TGGTCGCCTGGGTGTGCTTGCAATGAAATACAGATATATTCTCGCTATAGAATATGGTTTGCGCCCATTGACTAGACTGCTCAGCGGTTGGGACTGTAAATGGCATGGGATGGTTGGCGTAGTTGGCTCCGAGATAGAGTGAGAACGGGCGCGATAGTTTGGTTGTACGTATGCGAGAGCTTGGTTGGCCATTGCAAAGACGATGCTAATCCTAGAATCTACCTACAGGCTGAGCACAAATGATGCACTCGACCTGCCAAAAGACATCCATCGTGAGGCAAAAATGCAAAAGAAGAACTCCGGTACAGGGAATCGAACCCTGGGCTCCGCGGAACTTGATCTCTCAACTTAACGATGAGAGCGCGAAATGTTAGCCACTACACCATACCGGATGCTGATTCGTTAGGAAAGGACGCTGAGATTTATTATTAGGAAGGTATCAACCGCACGCAGCCAGCAATTAGACCGTGCGGATGGCTTTGAACTGTCGGACTCATGAAGCCTGATCCATCGCCGGGTGTTGTGTGAGGCGGTGGTGCCGAGTGGATCCGGGGACTCGCTGATTATCTCATCGAACGATAGGTTTTCGTATCCATGCTGACCCCTCTGGGCTTTTTCGGCCTTGAAGGACCTCACTTCGCGGGTTGCTACGAAGACTGGCGAAGGTTCGCATCCTTTGTGTACTCTTTCTAGTCGCGCATCAGGGCATACGAGACTAGCTCGCCGGTCTTTAGCGATGGTAGCTTCGAGGGCATCCCGCCGGGCTTACGAACCGCCATTTTCGGATCCTGACGGAATGTATGATTGAGTTTGCGATGCGAGTTCAGGTGTGCAGAGGCAGGACCTTTAGGTTAGAGGTTCATGTTTGGAAAGTAAATAAACACTACGGTGGTGTTGGTGGTCGGTGTGTCGCCGTATCATGAAGTCGTTGGAATAGAGGTTGATTGTTACCATGTATCGCAGGCCATTCCTACATCTTCGTTGCTTGTTCGTGTCTCTCACGATTTGACAAAAAGGCGAAGACGTTCGAAAGCCAGTGAACATCATGCGGCTCAACATTCAATGCTGCACATTCTGCTATAAAGGCCTCTTCTGCCTCCGTAATGGCTTAGTATGTGTCATTGGTGTATCCCTTTATAACACGCCTTGGATTGATAGCTCCGGCTGAGCGTATAACGCGAAGTTTCGTTTCAAGCAGACTGAGAAGCTCAAGAAACTAATGTACACGTTTGTAATGAAGAAGTGTTCCTTTGCAGTATCTCGTGTTATTCGATTTACGCCCCATGAGAGCTGTTTGGCTGACCAAGTCAGCAGTTCCGGGGAATACATCCATGGCAGTACCTTCTTATTAGAGTCGAGATACATTTTCCGGAAGTATTTCAGCGAGTGAAGGGGTTCGGCCCTGTCACCCTCGTAGTTTTTAAGCTCCCCTAAAAGCTCCTTGCTAAGGATGCCATGCGTTGTATGGCCATCGTCGGAACCAAACATTCTCGCGAATCTGAACGCCCTTGTCGAGATAGTGAGGGGACTTGACGCCCTCGAATGGCAAGTCATCCTATGGGCTCAGTTTTGACCACCAGAGTAACAGTCTTCGTCGCCGATAAGCATATAAAAATGGTGGGACGATATCCTGTTTACGGCCGGTTTGTGGGTGACCAAGATTGCATCGGCGTCCTTTCGGTCTTCCTTTCCCAGTACGACAAATGAATCATGGTCAATATCGGCGGAGTCGATCTTTTTGAGTCGCTTTGGGCCAAGTGGGTTGGTTCTTGGTTTCTTTTTCTTGCTTGGAGTATCCGGATCCGGTTTGAACTGGATATACTTGCTAGACTTCGACATCTAACGCTTGGAAAGTGTTGGATATGTGCTGAATACAACCCGGTATGGGTTCTTCTTTTCGACTACCAGAAGTCTTCTACATCTTCTTATAATCCTCAGTTCGAGAACATATCCTCTGGCGCTGCCGACAGTGTTTCGGGAGCCCTTCTTTCCACAACAAGAAACGTATCCGTTGTCGGCGATTGTATCGGTAGCTTCTCTTGACCTAGTCAAAGTAGTTTTCGTTTCTTCACTCCTTCTTTTCACGTCTCTTCCTATGACAGATCAGATCCTCGACAGAGGTAGGCAATGAAGTACGCCCCACAATCGGGGTATTATTTGACAGCTTTTGAATCAAGGTTGACAAATATGTTTTTGTCTGGCATGTCAACCCAGCTATGACCGTAACGTGAAGTAGTCTCTCAGTTGATGTTGTCTTTCGTTGATTGGCGATAGAGGTTGTGCCCCTTGATCTATTGTGGTAGTCTGTCCACTGACTTCGTTCCTCACAATGTTGGCGTTCCAAACTTGGTCGACACGAGTACCGAAGTTGACAGATGAAACACTCTCTTGCAGGGACACTCGATACTTGCAGGCAGTGTCAATTAGTCAAATGATTGACTGTTTAAAGGGTAATAATACCGGGCAATAGCCCCAGTGTTGTTCGTGGCGGCCAAAAATGTCATTGCGAAGTGAATGCTTCGCGGATATCCAGTCTTTTGCCATCTTTCGTTTGCTGATATCCGCTCCTGGTATGTGTGTTCTCCAGGTATTGTTGCTGGGCCAGGTACAATGTTCAATGGTCTGGCATACGTTGTTGAGCGTTGTGTATATACGGTCCCTGGTGGAGGAATCTCGGTATTGATCAGGAGCTTCCAGGGGCGGCGCCCGATTCATAAACTCTGCTTGTTCGTGGGTGATGTTTCCTGTCTCTCCAAGAACTGCAGTCAAGATATTCGCTCGGAGTTTGATACCAGCGCTTCTCTTTTGGGGTAAGGAGACAAATTGATGTGTTCGTATGGAGACTAGTCCCAGTTACATTTGAATGTCTGTGGGAACACCGACCACAGTGTTACAACATTTGATTGCTCGGTGAAGTATGCGTATCTCATAGCTATAGACGGGTATTGGTATCCATTGAGAATAGCGCTGAAAATGTCGTAGTTTGAACGAATGAACTATGCCCTTGTTTGTAGAGAGGACCAGCGGCCGACTTCTGGCTTCGTAGGTGATAAGTGCTTGGTTGGCATGAAAAATCGTCATCGGCCACTCCCCGAGCTCTTCGACCAACATGTGAAGTTGGCAAACATAGATAGTAATTCCCTTTGATGGAAGTGCCATGAGCCAGTTTTGAAAGTTCATTCCTGTGAAGTTATCAAAACTGCTGGGTGTACTAGAAGAGGCCAGCATGTTAGTAGCGTTTGGGCTCCCCCAGACCTTGCCATATAGGTCGCTGCCGAAGTGTTAGTGGGATATAGAAGACACAGCAAAGTCAAATATACTAGACATGCGGGTTCCCCATTTTATTTTGCAAATTCGTTGAATTGTGCCGTCCTTGCGCATTCTGTCGCCTTCTTTGGATAGCCGATAATGTCGTCGTCTAGATCCTTGTCTGACATGGCTTCGGTGTATCAAATGCACACTTTCCAACCATGATATCACCCTGACGCGTGCCTGCAAGTCGAACGGCGAAGTAAAGAATACATACTTCCGGTCATTGGCTTCTGTATATATGAAGACCAAGGCCATGTTTGTCGATACACTGTCTTGTGCGCCATTGACAAACTGCTCTGAGACTTGATACTCCTTTGGGTAGTCGTAGGCTCTTGATAAGCCCAATTTCTAGCCGCTCTTTCGAATCTCCACAGCGTGCGTCTCAAAGACTTAGAAGTCTTGGATATGTCAAGCACGATGTGTGATTCACAAAGGCATAAAAGGGCAGCTCGAAATATGCTTCCTACAGCGAAGCTTTGACTGCAAACTGATATATGCGTCTCGGAATATTGAGATGCAATGGAAGAGATGACTTAAATCTCAGCACATGTTGTGAAGCGATCCGGGCGTAAAGTGATGTGGGTTGTATTTTTCAACTAGCAAGACGCGACGACTGGGAAACATGGTATATGTATAACAAGGCGAACATGGCGTAACGGATTTAGGGGCTGTTTTAACGCCAGAAACAACCGCGACCCTGTAGGTTTGTCTGGTAATAGTAAACGACAGTCTGGGATATGTATTCGTATAGTGGTAACGACTTCGAGGACAAGTTGGTTCTCCCAGTCCGGTACCGGGTCTTTTTATTCGGACAACGCAAAGATGTTCATGTTGAGAGTATGGTTGTAGATACCGCATCTAACAGGTAATTCGATGGTTGCGAAGTGGAAGAATGTTGTCACGCTTCTGAGAGGAAAGAAGATTTTGCGACAGCCGAGTATATCGGTAGAGGCATCACCTCTCTGTGATGATCGTAGCATTCCTGGAAAACGCATTTTACGACGAGATAGATCATCCCCAATAAATATCATTGGGTTGACTGGCATGCGATAAAACCTTGAAGGTAGGTAGGAAGCCAGTAATTTATACCTCGGATTCCTGAGTTTGCAGCAAACCAGGTATTGAGACCTGTGGCAGTAATTGGCCAACCTTAAGCGCACTGGCTTGCGTATAGTTCTGACAGATTCCTTCATCCTCTAGTGTGATCGATGGAAAGAGGGAGGATGGTGAATAGGACTGTCGTCAGGTGTGTCATCCTTTTATTTCTCTTTGTTTTAACACCAAATTACCAGTCTCTCTATGGAGATGGATTAAGTATTTCGAGAGACAGAGGATCTTTGCTGTATCCCTGAAGACCGTAATACTGTTGGGAAAGATCTGTTTGGCGCAGTTTACTAGTGGTGCTCAGATCATCTGGTAAATGCTTTGAAAGATTCGACGTGTTCGTGTTTTCGGCCTTGCGTATCTCTGCAATACTGCCATGGTATTCTTGTTTTGCATTCAAAGCTCTTTGGAAGCGTCTAGTCGAATAGACAATAGCTTCTCCGATTGCCTCAATTTGTTTCAAGCGGGTACGCAAGATTTCCATAGCTAAGGTCTTTGGAGTCACCTTGAAAGAGTCGATGATGTAGGTGCTGGAGGAATTAAAGGTCGTCAAGTTTTGCCAGGATACTAGAACTCCCATCTCTTCAAATCGTTTTACAAAGGAATTGTAGACCGACAGAGACAAGACGAGCAGCGTCTACCGACTGATGCAGAAGGTTATCATTGTGCGCCTGGAGGTTTTCCTCTGAAGATGTGACAGCATCTTGCGCAGCCAACTTGAGGATTTCGTTGGATACACTGGCAACAGAGATAATGAAAGTCCTGGCTTGTTTTTGAAGGCGATAACTGTCGACTGTAACCACGTTCGATCCGCTCATTTTGTATGGCGGGACAAAACAAGAGATGCCATCCATAGGTTTGCATACATAACCATGTAGCATGAAAGCGGAGAAAGGTAGACGGAGGAACGTCTTCGACGTTCTGTTGTGCCGTGATGCTGGCAGACATGAGACGAGTTAAAAACACTCAGATGAGGAAACAGGGCAATAAAAACAAATTCCTCTTCATGTTCTTGAAGATGTCTCTGCTAAAATAGGCCGTATCGTTATAGTCAATGCTCCTGGCCAAGGAGATGCAACACAGGCTTCTTGAGAGGATGTTTCGACAAATATGACCTGCTCGTGATAAGTCTCGGTCGAGTTGTACTGTCAAGGCGAGGAGAATTCGCTAAGATGCTGATCTGACCGTGGAGGATAACGTTTCCTCATAGTTGATTCCTTCTTGCTGGAGGAAGTTGTCAAAATTTATTTCCATAAGTGTCAACAAAGCTCGCCGTTGCGTTTGGAGCTTCTTCGGTGCTAGTATGGTCTGCGATTGGATATGCTGAAATGTGCCAATATTGCTAGCCACGAACAATGGTCCTGAGGCCAATTGATCAAATACTTCAGAAGAAGTTGTGAAAGTCGATGCGTATGGTATCGAACTTGGTCCAAGAGGACATAGGAAATAGTGTACGTGAGGCTTCAGGCTCTGAGCTCATGGCCAAACTGCCAGACACTATCTTCTTTGGCAGTGATGATCGTTTCCTTTCGCTTATCTGAAGTAGACTTGGTAGAGAAGAAGGCGGCAAGTACTTTTCGTGCCGTGCGCCAGCATGAAAGGCTTTTTTGAACTTTGATAGCCGCAGTATATAGGTGTCGAATAGTTGCATATGCAGATGTCAGGTGAAACATAATGTGCATGCCGAGCATCCTACCATGCCTTAAGATACAAGGCATTGTTCATCCGTGGTAGACGAGGAGCAGCAGCATACAGTAATAGGGTTCAAAAGACATGTTTTGTCATCGGCTCGGGACTTGAGGTTGCTGTTTCAAATGCCCAAGTCCATTTGTAATATTCTTCGGTTGTCTGCTTTTAGGAAGTCCTTGCACTCTTGTTCAGAGACTGCCAAGCCTTGCGTCTTGTCGAAATGGTTCCTTGAGCGATGGAACAACTCGTGCTTTGGTGCCAGGCGGTGACAATCACGGTCATTCTGGAGGCTTCTGCGGTTTCGATGTATAGTATAATAGTAGAGCAACGACTGGGAAGAGGTGCTGTGTAAACGTGCAGAAACATCATGAAGGTGGGGGAGGAAAGGGCATATATGCTGATTCGAGCCCTTGTAGATCTGTAGTCAAGTATCAACTAAGCACTACACTACTATATCTCGGTACATAACAGATAATGTCATTCAATGGCTACTGGGCAATCAAGCGGTCTACGGATGGAAGGGAAGGCATTTACGGAGTGCAGCCGAGTTTCCCATGACAAGCACGGGAAGCTGATGCCGCAATATACATGCCGTGTCGAGTTATGTGCAGCTTTCCGTTGCCAATGTGCATTCTTTATCCGCTAGTATTTGTCAAAGATCATATATGGCGCTGCTCACTTAGACCGACATGTGGTCGTTTGTTAATAATAATGCCTAAATGTTCTCATGACATCAAGGACATACTGCATGCTGGGTCAGAACCATACACTTGAGATTACTAGCACCTACAATACACAATTGCAAATCTAACTAATATTATGTTACCATATTCCAGCACTTACCCGTAGTCGCAATCATATATGACACTAGCAACGGCACTCCTCCGTCGGTCAATTGTCTTCCCGCCTCATAACCAACTTCGTAGCAGCCCCAAGCTATGCAGTTAACCTCACCCAGTCGCCAGCTCACTCTCGTAACACTCAAACGCGTCCCGTCAATATAGGCCTCCAGCCAAGTATTATCCCCTTGGCGCGTTGACACACGGCTCACTATCCCAAATAAGATACGCTCCCGTGAGGCGGGAGGCGAAAAAGCACAATCCCGCCTCAGCTGGACAACTTCACGGTATTTTCTGCATAGGTGACTTACACGTGCTTAGCCTCATGTTACGTGTAACGAAATTATGAGAAATGATGAGTTGTAATTCGGGCATGGGTTGTTGTAATGATGTTGCCCCTCAAAATGGTTGGATCACAGATAAGGAAACATGTGAATCAAATCGGCGAGGTGTGACGAATCATGTTGTGTTCCGTTCAGCCCTGATGTATTGGCAATTCTTGTTCGATCATTAACCGTGAATCAATTCACAGGGTGGGAGATATGTTGTCAGCTTATGTGTAGTCGCCACCTCCATATGAAGTTCACTATCGCGAAGTTCAATGTTAGAGTAAAAGCAGAACCGAACATACATCAAGTCACATTGAAAAATAAAAGTGTGAGGCGAATTAGCTTCATTTCTATCAAGCCAGGCCATGTACAAGCCTGCCTCGTCTCTATCTGATATAAACCTCGTCATCCGAGTAACTAAGAAACCCGAGCGAGTGTGGTATCCCCAACGCCGATGATGATATGGAAAAAATAATACTGTGAGCCGCCAAACGATTCCCTTCCGATGCCATGCATGCCGCGCTCCCTGCGGCGTACTATGAGTTGACCCCGGGTCACAAGAACACACAGCGACAAAGCCAAGAAAACATGTCTATAATGCAAACTTGTCTCTCCACAATGATCCAAGTCCTCCCCAGATGCCGGGAGCTAAACTCAACAAATAATAGTAATAAAGCTGGTAAATGCAAACATCACACAACCCTCGCGCCATTCGTCCCGCATCCCAATCGCCTGTCTGCGATTGAGGTAATTTCGTATTTCGTAAGACATGTTTCGTTTCGTAGATTGGGAAACAACGAGATAATCAGAAAATCAATGCCAAGGCTAGATGATAAAAGGGAAAATCCGAAATGGTGGAATACATGCGTTCAAACGCCGTAAAATGAAGTCGGAGGACGATAAATGGATGCATCGACTTGACTGTCTAGGCAGCGTACGCTTCGTTGTAACTGGGGTACTCGCTGAATTGGACGTCGCCGTAACTGGAGGTCTTGACCTTGGGGTACTTGGCGTAGCTAGCGTTGTAGCTGGCGTCGCGAGAAGGCATTGAAGGGCGCTCAACAACTCGAACACCGGGCTGGTGGTGGGTGTAGTAAGACGAGTAGGCGTCCTCAGCGGTGCGTGAATAAGAGTTCTGTAGCGTTGTGCGGTTGCCGTCAACTCGGTATTGCATTATATGCTCGCCAGCACGGGCTTCGGGAGATCGGTGCTTCTTGCTGCGGTGAGCCTTGCGCTCACGTCGGTGACGCTCATATTCATCTTCTGAGTCACTCTCAGGGATCTGAGCTTGCAATCTAGTGCGTCCTCGACCGCGAGGATCAGGTTCGGGATACGCGCCGCTGAAAGTTTGAGCCCTGGCCATTCCTGGCACGTGGCGGCCGTAACCCTCAACAGGCATAGTAGTCGTCCGGGGAAGATCACGTCGAGGAGGAGAAGTGGTAGGCGCGCCAGTAGATGTCGCTGACTTGTGAATATGAGGGCGAGCAGAAGGAGCAGTAGCCTCAACAGGGTCATCGACAACCTCGGGCTTGCTGTAAGCCTTCTCGCCTGAGGATCCGCGTCTAGGCTTAGCAGCTGATCGCCGAGCATCGTCATCTTCCGGGGCGGCAAATGGCGAGCTAACCGGAGGCGGAGTAGGAGCAGGAGGCTGGACGTGTCGAGCAGCGAATGACGCAGTACCCTTACTTCGGGAAGCCTGGATATAGTTGAGCGCGGCATCAGCCTTGCTTTGGTATTCCACAGGAATAGGTGGCGGCTGCATTGAGCTGGTCGTGGGAGGAGGTACCTCCTCGCGGTGCGATGATCGATCGCGCTCACGTCTCTCGTCGTGCTTCTTGCTTGACTTCTTCTTTTCTGACTTTGGTATAGCCTCATTATCGAAGGTCTCGATGTAGGGCTTTGAGGTGTGTCGCTTCTTCTCTTCAGGCTCTCGCTTGCGGGACTTGTCGCGAGTCTTCTTCTCAGCACGTCGGGCTTCCTTTGCGGCCTCCTTAGCTTCTTTCTCAGCACGGCGAATGGCCTCGTCGGCTCTTCTCCGTCGTTCGCGCTCACGCTCCCTCTCCTTCTCTCGCTCTCGACTTTCTCGGGCATACTCCTTCTCGCGCTCTCGTTCCAACTCCTTCTCCCTATCCCTATCTTCACGCTTTGAAGACTTATCGTTGTATGACTTTTCCCTTCTCACAGTTCGGACACCCTCGAAAATGTCGGCAGCACGGGGATGCTCCTCCTCGTAAGAACGAGAATATGACGAGTAGCCCCGGGGGCTAGGAGAAGGCTGTCGGCTGGTAGACTTATAAGTGCGGTCGTTGGGGTGAATCTCGTATTTATATGTTGTAGATGTAGGTGTAGGTCGACTTGAAGCAGGACTTGAAGCGGCGGTAGCTGTAGCACGGTTGGATGCGCTCGCAGCTGTCTTTGCCCTCATCTGCTCGCGAAGTTCAGCAAGTCGAACTTGGTCATCGTAGCGTTTTCGCTCCTTCTCGTCGGCTAATGTTTCGTAGGCTGTTTGAACCCGTTGGAACTCGTCCTGCGCGCGTGCCTTTAATGTGGGATCTTGAACCTTGTCGGGATGGCATTTGAGGACGAGCTTTCGGTGCGCAGATCGGATTTCGGGTAGCTGCGCATCTTTGGCAACGTTCAAGATTTTATAAGGATCAGGAATTTGCGAAGCCATGCTGGGCGAGTTGAAGTTGGTTGACTACCCGTTAGGCTGGTGTTGAGTATATAGAGTAGACAAATGAGGTGGTGAGGCTGTCTATTGCATCGATCCGGAGGTCGTCGGAAGGGCGAGGCTAGGTTGGATGCGGGGTGAGGCTGTCTTGTCAGGAGGCAAGGCAGAGCTGGGTGACTGTTTGTAAATTAAAGCCAAGTTGATGATTGATGTTGTTGACAAGCAATAGCGGAGGGGCGGTCGCAGGTGAGGTGGTCTGGGCTTTTTGGGGCGGTGTCTTGTTTGCGTCTCGTCGCCAGAGCAAGGGAAGTGGATGCTCGGATTTGCAGGGTACCGTAGAACCAGGCAGAAACTTGTACTTGCAAGTTAAGTGCAATGCTGGATCAAACGAAAGACCAGGGTAGACAGGTGAGAAGTATTTACGTGAGCAGCCGGCTGCTGAACACGAGAGAAAGTGATGATGTGAAGTTTGGTGGTGTTGTTTGCTTGTTCACGTCCACGGGGAACAGAAGAACAATGCGGGAGCAGGAGACAGCGGTCGTTGGGGTATTGAAGAACAAGACCAGATGAGGTCACGGGCGAGCGTGGTTAAAGACAGGGGGGACTGATTCGCCGGTACGGAGTGTACAAGGGTCGATAGAGAGACACAGCGGGCAGAAAGGCTAGGCTCGACGATCAGACGCTAGGTAGGGGGCCCACGACTCTCTGGAGGGTTGCCTCTGTCTTTGGGGTGCCCGGTCGAGACGGTCCACCTGTATCGTCTGGTGGTGCGTGGTGCTGAGCTGTTGCTAATGGTCGCTGTTGGTCCAGAGGTGGTCCCCTGGAGGGGTGCTGTAAGCGGCCGTAGGTACTCGTGAGGTAGTCCGTCCCTCTTGGAAATGGGGTCAGTCCCGTCTGGTCTGGCCTGGTCTCGCGGTGGTGGACCTGTTTGAGTCGTGACTTGTTTATGGGACTCGAGAGGCTTCAAAGAGTCACAAGTTTACCGATGAATCCGGCCGGTTTTCACGCCTCCGAATACTTGATTTTATGAACTGAAAGAGAGTAGCCCAAAACTACTAATCAAGCCGCGGTTTGACTCGTGAGGCGTGTATTGGTAACGAGGTGGTTGGGCGTTGAAACTGTGGATGAGGTACCTTCTCTGTGCCAAGGAAATCTCTGCCTGAGGCGTTGTACAAACAGGTACGTACTTTCAAGTGGAGAAAAAAAGAATCGAAATGCAATGGAGAATGAGAATCAATTGGATGAGGGGATTCTGTTCCTTGCTTCAAAAGGTAAAGAATCAGGAACGTGGCGAGTCAATTCTACTTTAATTCTGGTTCTAAAGGCTTTGACGGCTTCGAAAGGCGTCGAGTTAATTAGAAATCGCCTCCTTCAGCCCCTTTTGAGTCGTCTCCTGCTTGACCTTTTTGGCTCTCGTCGGCGGCGATTTATCATGAGCTGACGGGCAACATCTAAGTGAAGTGACAGGCCGGAGCAAAATGCTTGGTAAGGGGCAGCAGTGGTTTTTTCGCTCTCGCAATGCACGCTGGACGAATAGCATCACGACGGATGGAGAAACTTGTTGGAAAAGCCGGCAATGGAAGGGCATCGAATGCCTCGAGTCCAGCCAAGAGTAAAGCCCGCAGTGCTGCTGCAGCCCGCACTTAGCACTTATACCAGGTTAGTGACCGGTATTCTGGCTGTTAGTGGTCAATGGTGCGGCCTTTCAGTGAAGGGCCTGGCAGAATGGGTGTAGACTTGATTCAATGTCAAGTGGGTTTGAGGCGCGGTTCGTTCGAGGTACGTGGATCTTACGAGTCGAGACACGTAGAGGTACATACGCTCTAGTGGCAATTTGCTAAAGGCAAAATGTATCTTAAACGATGACTCAGGTGACGGCTCAAGTACCGCGTCACTGTTTCGGCGTGCGGCCGGGCTTGGGCGACGCTGAGAGAGAGCGACCCTCGGCCGGAGCGCGATCAACGACGAACCATGCATGAATCAGAGTGAGCCAAATAACGGGCTGTGAATGATTACGATAATCCGATAATCCGCACTCCGTAGCGTACAAGGATCAGATGTCAGATTCGGGGTCGGATTTTAGATCAATTGCGGTATTTGAGTAATCGCAATGTCCGAAAGAGTTGATGATCAAGGGTTCCCCGTGAATAATACATATGAGAAGCTTAGTAGAAGGCGATTCCGTGATGGTGTACAGCACAAGCTTTGGTACCTGACTCTTGGTGGCACTACAGTCACCACCAAAGTACCTCTTTAATCAAGTGGCTGGTTGTGGCGAGTAAGACCCTTCAATCGAATTCTTTGGTTGACCTCCGAGCTGGATCAAGCCCGGGTCAAACCGCGGGAATGACTGCTGATGAATTGACTGTCCTTGTGTCGTAATAATGAGCCATAATTCACATGTATGATGAGGTGAGGCGCCCAATGCTCCGGGTCTGACCAAAGATCATCGCATCGTCAATTCAGGGTCCGAGTGGAGTTGGTACAAGATAGCCATTCAACACCCTCGATAAGTTTGTGAACTCTGAATCAGCCCAGGAGCATCCTGACACTGCAATCGGCCCAGCAAAAAGCAATCCAGGTCTAGGGGTGCAGGTCAGGCGTTTGCCTTCTTTGTATCCCCCCGCGACAGGGCGGAGATTCTTCAAATATTGGCCTGATTGTAAGAACATGGCGCTGTGAAGTGCTGCTGTAAGCCTGACAATTAGTAGAGGTGCCCAGCGGGAGGCAAGGGAGCGGGCACGGAAACGGAAGCGGGAGGGAGCGGGACGAAGCCCAGAGGCGGTGAGGCTGATGATTGCCGCGTTCTACTTTATCTTAGCAGTGAAAGGCTGTAGCTAAGCCAGCTGAAATCACACGAGGCGGTGCTGAATGGAGATGCTATATTGGTTTTCATTCTAGCAAGAGTAGCAAGGCGAATTATTGAGCTAAATAGTCATGATGGTGAATAGCTTCCACGATCCTAACTGCACAAAGTGAAAGACGATGTAGCCACGACATGATCTTTGGATAAGTCGAAACCCGGCCCTAAAGTAAAGCTGCCTTAGACCGTCCCTCAGATTGGATAGCCATGATGCATACTCGGTACGTTCATAGCACAAGCCAAGACAACCAACGACATATCACTTTTCAACTGTCGATACAAGTGCTCCCATTCCGTCTCATTGGATCACCAACGCCTATGGGCTGACTGGCTGATTCCCCCTCTTGGGCTGAATTGGTCGCAATGCCGTTGAGGCCAACCGACATGAATTGAACTCGCGAGACAGCATCATGCTTGCACAAAACGTAAAGGCATAAAAGTGCAACTGATTTCTCCCACCACGAGACGAGAGCCAGATCGTCGATCAGTTACTCGGTGTGTAGAGCTCCCAAGGGATCGACAGTTTGAGCTGTCAGAGCTCTCGAGGCGAGCTAAGAACCGAGCCAAGCTCCAAGCTATCTGGGCCATGTGCTGGTGATGAGTCGGAAGAAAACAGGTGCGGTCAATTGCTTCAAGGAACTTGCATGCAATCTCTGTAGCAACAAGAGTCTCATGAGCTCTTTAGCTTCAGCTTCGTCCTTGCTCAGCTCACTTCGAATGATGGAGCTAGGCTTGGCAATAATAGCTTCAGCAAGGGGACCACCGTGATAGCTCCACGACGACTTCTCTCTTTTGTCTGTAGCGCGCGATCTATTCATCGGCCTAGTGGAATAGGTGTCCAGCTGCAGCAGATATCCCTGGAGAAGGCACCTTGAGGTATCGGATGGGTAGTGATAGTGGACGCCCACAGCATCACGAGGCCTGCATTTCCAAGTTGCACCACGTCTTTAGACTCTCGCTTCACCCCTGCAGCCCGCTCGAGGTGGATATAGAGTCTGGTTGCTGTGGCTTTTTGGTCAGGATCCAGCAAGTTTATAACAGTAAACAATGCTCAAGGACATATTCCAGTATTCGGTTAAGAAATATTTACGAAATGGAAGAGGGACTCAACGATTTGCTTCCAAATACCCCCACGGTGGATGGGTGGGAGCAAACTACAGGCGAAGTCCATGTGGAGTGATAGCTCCATGAACAGAGGAGGGAAAATATCATGATGCGGATGCTACACCAGACAGACACACGAGCATCACTGCAGAAAGGCTTCTCTGGTACTCGGCATCCGATAGGAGATGGACCTGCAGAGATGCTGTGGGCACAGGCTGACAAAGACCAATTAAGCTGTGCAAACGATGTTCCAGGATGGTGGTGAGGGGCATTATGTTTCTCTGCATGACACCATCCAAGAGGAGAGTCGAGTCCTACAATCGTTTGTACCCAAAAGGTCGCTGCAGAATCCATCAACCATCACATCCGCTTTTTTTACCATAAGCGCCTGTGTGACGAGCTGCGGTGGTAGAACGAACCACCCATCACGTTTTATTATCACTGATATACTCCCTCGATCGCTGATGAACAGCAAAAAAGTCAGATGCTCCCCAGATCAGAGGCTCTTGTGAGTCGTGACGGGTGATCAGCAGCGTCATGGCCCAGCGCTGTTGGGCTTCAGCCCAATTCAGAAACAGAGGGGAAGAAAGAAGGCCTGATGTCTTGCACGTGATTGGACAGCAAGAGAGAAGCTCCCCCATCTAGCCCATCCACGGCAAAGGGCGGGGCCGCGCAACGGGCTTCACATCTGATCACATCTTAGTGATATCTCGGCCAATCAAGACCCTCTCTTGTGTCTCTGCTTTCTTCAATGTGAGGTCTTTTGTGCAGGATTTCCAGAGATTCAGCTCCAGGCTAAATCATACATGTGCCCGTGAGATCAGCTCAGCACTCGTAATACGACAGACGGGCGTTCTCCAGGTCTGTTGGTCACTGGCCAGTTTACAGACCTGCAGCTGAACCAAACCAACACTAACACCAACAGAACAAAGGAAGAGAGGATCCTGGGGAAACGTGAACAGCCACCGCCAAAACGAGCGAAGCCAGAGGAAGACGATCGATAGTTTTTTTCTTCTTCAGGGGGTATTTTCCTGTCCAAGTGACTAAATAAGGAGTAAAGAGGGGGGGGCGTCTCTGATAGGAATAGCATTGCGGCAGAAGATTGATAAAAGACCCATCCTTAAGAGAGCTCTCTAGCCATCTCGAGACAAGGCTCGAACGCCGTCCTGGTGCTTGATCTGATCGCAGCATGTGGCTTCGAGGATCACAGGCCTGGCTTACTGGGCTGATCCCTGAGCGAGGAGGAGAGAAGGGCCAAAGTACCATTCTGCGCTTGCTGACTGTGTTTAGTGACATTGAACACTCAGCGAGATACGAAACATCAGTGGCAGCAAGGTTCTAGAAGGCTTCTGCCTCTGAAGCTTCACAAAGGGCGACGATGATCAACTTTCAGTCTCTCAATGTTGATTGCAAGACACGACACGATCCATCGCGCAACCGCTACCGCAACCACAGATACCCAAGACGTACCACAGTCATACGGTTGGAATAAGTGTGAACTGGCACGAGTTCCTTGACGTTGGGTTTCTTCGCACCCACCACGTGGGTGGCTTTCTACCAGACGTCAAACCCTTAGATCCGGCTTTTTTCTCCCCAAATGACAATGACAATGATAACATTCAACTTTCCAAGTTTTTTCCTCACAAGGTGGAAGAAAAAGCTGGCCCATTGACGAAAGATGTCGGTGAATTATCCACCCATGTGAGCCCAAAGAGGGTGCACTCGTAGTATTCCCATATTCCCAAACTCGATGCTCTCTGTTGGTCCCCATCTGACATCGATACTATACCTGGTCGATCGATACCCTTTGGCGATCCCGCGATTGGCGATGTCATTGGAAGACTTCACGCGTTAATGGCCTCCAGGGAACATCCCGCTTCAACCCGCGTCGGTGAAATGCCTCAAGTGCCTGTTCCTGGGAGGATTTGCGTCCGCCATGTTTTACCACTGCCCTCCTTTTTCTTTTTTTCTTTACTTTTTCCCGTTGAGCGCTAAACGCGGGGTTTGGGGACTTTGCGATGCTGGTTTCATGGAGGAAACCGCCGTACCTGATCTAGCTGCACTTTACTACACTCCCAGACTCTAAAGGGAGTGATCTATCTAAGCTTCGCCGCTCCCAAGATAGAACGATTACACAGGGGGACTGATAAGCCACGCTAATTGGGCTGAGGGTATCACGACCGAGACTGGCGGTGAGCAAAGGAAAAGCTGTGGACTAGCATCATTCTCCCGCAGCCGAGCCCCTGTTTGGGTTTGGGTTCCCCGCAGGATTTTAATAGAATTCCTCTTTGCGGTTGTTTGTTTGTATTGGGTTCTCTTTGCTTGACTCTGTAACTCGGACGACGATGACCAAGGAGAGGGGTCTTTTCGGTGTCTATGCTGTAGGCACGTGAATGACTATCAATGGATTTACCTGTTTCATGTGCCGAAAGGGAAATGCTTTTCGAAATGCATGGCGTCTCAATGGGAGGGGCTATCGATTGACCTTGGAATACTGCGACATTATTCGACAGAACTGATTTCTTGGGGCCTTACATGATTCGATGTGAAGCTTGGAGTGTCGATCGTGAGTTGACATGCATCGCTCTAGGGTAGTCAAATTTGAATACTTACAATTACATCGTAGGACATGAAGCCACACCCTAATGCATCAAAATAGAGTTTCAATTTGATTGAAGGTTTAATTAAATACTAGTCTGAGTTATCGGGTGATCATTGGGACCACGTTCATGTACTACGGTTGCAGTTCATCCGTTGGATCCGACCCCAACATGCGTCCCCCAATGTTGAATCAAGACGTGGACTATCAGACACGATCTATCATATCCCGATCAAGCACGATGCAGAAGGTGCGTCACAGCGTAGCAAACATATGAGTAGTAGACGACCACTTGTAAACTTCCAAGAAGCACTCGTATCATCATCATCATTTCTTTCTGAGGCCTTCTCACCTCCCAATGGTTCGTTGGGCAGCAACCTCGAGCCTGAGTCTAGGGTAAGCCACGAGCGAATCAGCGGACCTCGATCTGGCCATTGTCCTCCCAGACAGGCAGATCAAGGTCGACTACAATGGGCTTATTGAACTGCTTTCCTCCTATATGTGGGTATCGACTCTTCATGATCGCTGCATTCACCACACACGTCTCTCGACGACCCATCCTTCCAGAAAGAGCTATCTGGTCGCTTCGTGGTGACGCAGGATCACCCCCTAATCCTAAGGTGCTGGAAGAAGCATGAGTATCCTCATTCCCAGACCCAAACGTGTATGGAGGACTACCTGTTGAGTTGACGGCATGAGCATCACATGTTGCGTCATGCTCCCCTATACTCAATCCATATCTGCCAGGGTGAGAGCCGTCGTTAGCAAGTGACGGTGCCTTCTTCCCTGTTAGGTCTACCAGACAGGCTTTGTTATTGCCTTCGCCAGGATCTTGCCAGTGAACAACTTTCTCCTTTCGATAGGCAATATTCCGACAACTCAAATCCCACATCACTCGCTCAGCACCTCTTCCGTCATGGATGTGTCCGCAGACAGCAAGCTGCGGTCTCACCCGCCAAAGAGCTTGCCTCAAAGCTTCACAGCCAGTAGCTCGGCGCTCATCCGTCTCATCGCAATGCGTTCTCGGCGGCGTATGCGTCACGACGATATCTGTGTCAAGAGGTATAGACTGCCAGAGCGACGTCAAGTCTGACCAGTTGCTAGGATTTTGAGGAGCGTCATAGTAGAAAGCCCAGAGTCCGAAACGTGGAGAGTAAGGCGACCCAAAGATCTTGAACTGCGTGTGAGGCCCGGAAGGAGATCTCAGACGGATGGTGGTTGATTCATGTGAGAGATATGTTATCGACGGCGAAGTTGTGAACAGTCGTAGACACTCGTCATGCGACTGCGGGTTATTATTGTGGAAGTAAAGACCATGCTCAGCGTAAAACTCTCGATCTAGAGTGAGATCATGGTTTCCTGATTGAAGCAAAGTTAGACATTGCTCGATTGTCCAACGAGGAGGCCATACCAGCGATCACGATTTTGGCCTCAAAGTCCTGCTTTTCCAACCAAGCGACCGTCTTCGTAAGCTGGACAAAGATCAGCTTCTCCGTATCTGACTTGAAATGTACCTGGACCAGAACTACAGACCTCTGCGTGAGTCCCTTGGTTGGTCAAGTCTCCTGCGTGGATGAGAACATCACCCTTTGGGAGTTTGACCTGACAGTTATGGGTGTCTGAAATACAGACAATTCTAGTCCTTCTCCTCACAGGTGCTGTCATGATGTCGTCAAGGCCGTTTTTCTCCAACGTCGAACCCAAGCAATCGGTTGACTTTATGTTAAGTTGGAGAGCCGAAAGTGTAATTGCTAGCGCTGGCGAGAGTGAGTTCTGATGGATTCCAGCAGCCATGCGCCTGATGGAGTTGTCTTAGACAATTTCTAGTCTTTTCAGAAAGCGGACAAGAGCTTCACGTCAAGTGGTTCAACTGATTTCTTTTCCGACGCAAGGGATAACCGTGCATCTACAAGACGGGAGCGTCCGTCCGAAGCACGTTTTTCGATCGCGGCCCTACTTCATTCTCGTGCCTGGATGAGATCCAGCGCCTCTCGCTTGTACCCGAGAATGCGAGGATGATGTGCAGGCTGCAGTGCAGATTTGGTGGATCATCTGAATGCTGATGACACTTGATCATTCGCAAGTCGTGTAATGAATGTTGATGGCAGACACCATCGAGATGGAGCAGAGAAATCAAGGGATAATTTGGCGCGTGAGCAGGAAGAGAAAAGAATGCTACGTAATTTAAGAATGACGGAGTTTGCGATAATGAACCGAGATGTTGGAGAGACAAGTGCCGTTGGAACCTCCGGGACTGTCTAAAAAGAAAGCACAGTGCCTGGACAGTGTGCCGCTAATGTGAGCGCTAGAAGGACCCTAAATGCGCTGTAGCTGGTGGCGGGCAAGTTCTTCCCGCTTTGTCTGCCTTGCTTTTCTTTGTCCAAAATGACTTCATTTCGGGGTATTCTGCTGTGTGTTTGCTTCGTTTGGTCTTTACGACCCTTTGTGACATTTAACGGCCACTTTTGTTGACGACAGCTAACCCCTTGCTTGCGGGAAACTTAACAGCGTTGCATAAGAAAGTCGCCTTACTGATGAATGGAACATAATATCTCCCCTGTCACTTGATCCAGGCACATTGACAGGGCCTGGCCAAGGCTGTCCATTCCCAGCGTGACGGGCCAGGCTTGTGGAGGGAAGCTAATCTCGGTATCATCCTTTTGAGTTAGAAGAAACCGTTTTGAGAATTTATTACTACGCGGATAATAACAGGACATCGCAATGATGATGATGATGTGTCGAGTCTTTTGACGTTGTGTATTCTATATCTAACTTAGCGCATGAATACGCTGGACCTTGGTATGACCAACGGTTCCTTAATAAGCGTTGAGAAAAAGCAACAAAGCCTCAGACTCACCAGACTGGAGCCATGCTGACCCTTGCCAGTGGCTTCCAAACCCTGGCACGGCTTATTCGCATCAGGGGAAACCATGAAAATTCCCCTTCCACTGATGGGCCTGGTCTCATCTGTGCGCCATGATCCATTCCTTTGTTTAGTTTTGCTTGGTTGGCAGCTCGCCTTGCTCACCCGTTGAGGCATTGAGCAATCACAATGAAACAATTGGCGGCGGCAACTAACGTTAAAAGGGGACCAGATGATGTGGCTTTATAGAGCTTTGATCAATGCTTCCATCAATCAATGCTAAGACTAGACTACGGTCTGTGGTCATTGTACATGAAGTGTGGCGTATCATGTCTCCTCGCTCGTAACCTTTCAGCCATTGGCTCGTAATGGCTACGCACAACATGTCCCATGAGGATTCAACAGGCACACCTCACCGCCGATGCTCCGTATTTTAAAGAGACAACCACGTTAGGCACAAGATGAGCTTAACCTGTCTGGTGACAAATGTCTCTCCATCATTCAACTTCATATCCCATTTTAAGCCATGAAAAGGGTTCGTTTGCTCGACCCCTGTCATTTTCTTAGGTACGGTATTTCCGTCCATGCCCACTTAGAGCTCGCTGATTCCGTACAGGGGCTCACAGGGGAATTGAGCCTGGCGCGGGGGCCGTGCAGGCCTCTAGGGGCGCTGTCGTTCAGGTGCCAGCCGTCCGTGCCTTGGTGGATGCTGCACACCAACACAGTGTCGATATCCTTCCAGACCAACCCCCCCTCATGCGAAATCTCCCGTCTTGCCTCTTGTTCTACCTCTTTCCCTCTGCAAAGCTCTTTCGGAGCCCGAACGCGCCTCGAGCTCCCAAACCATGCTATCTTAGTGACGACGATATCCTCATCTTCGACCGTTCAAGATCTCTCCAATCATTCTCTTTCACCAACCTTACTTACCGCTTCTTCTTTCTATCATCTATTCAGCCCCTTTCTTGCCGAATCCTCTCGTTGCACATCTTCGACTCACCCACCGCCGCTTGTATCTTATGAACAATACCTTTCCTTTGACCGACAACTACTACATCGATTCTGGTAGCGTAGACAGCGAAATAATACGCCTTCCGAGCAATAGCCTGAGACGTTAAGACATCCGCCGTTCGTTCATCGCCTGTCACGCTCGGCAGATCTCTTTCTAGAGGGTCGCGGGCGCCATCAATATGGCCACCATGGCACCCGCCCCAACCTCGACCGAGAACATTACTCCGCCACGCAGCAGTCATGGCTATACAGATTCTTGGGGTTATAGCGTGCCCCAGAAGGAGGTACGAACTGGTCGGCGTCCTGGATGCTGTCCAACACCTATTGGTTCCTGCAGGGGCGAGGTTGCTGATGATTTGCTAGGACTTCGATAATGACATGGACACCACCACGAACCAAGAACACCCCCAGAAAAACCATTTCGCTGCTCAAAATGGCAACTCCAACTCGTACCACTCTGGTATGGACCGAGTTGGTCGCAGGGTGAATTCGCACGATAATCTTTCGAGTAACAAACTGCATAACTCCGTTGACGGAGCCGGAGCGCGCCAAATCACCGAGTCTAAGACGAGCCCGGCATTGAATGGTAACTCCTGGCAAGTTCATGGTCCCCAGACCGAGGACGAATATAGTCGCAACGCTGTTCCTATCGACATCAAGCCTGATGAGGGTTCTAAGTGGATTCACCGCGACAAGTTGGCAAGGATCGAAAGCGAAGAGCTTCAAGCTGCAGGTTTCTATGTTGCGCGACCTAGAAACCAAAGCAAACAAAGACGAGACCGGAGCCGTAGTGCTATGCGCCGAGGTACCGACGCGTCGGAGAATGGTGCGAGATCTCGAAAGAACTCTACAGCCGTTGAAGCACGAAGCCCTGAAATCGCAGGCGAGACGTGGGACTTGAGGACCCCGGAGGAGATTGCCGAGGAGGAGAACCATGCTTATTTTACTTCAAACACCCACAAAGGCGGTTCTCGCATTCCGGTTGCAAAGGTTAGTCCAGTACCCATCTCTGTTGATCGTTTCGAGCGAGCATCGAGGAAGACGAGCGAGAGTCCCGACGGAGAACGAAATTTAACATATCATAAGACTCGACCTGGAAGCTCGCATATGATGAAGGGTTCCGATGCCGTATCGATCAACAGCAACTTCAACAGCAGTTTACCTGCACCAAAGCGAAACACCACCGATACCTCCCCTAAGAAAGCCACACCAGGCGTACGAAAGACATCTGGTCCCTCAAAGACGGGCACAGCTGGAACGAGCAGACCCAAGACGAGGTCAGGCTCTATCGGCAATAGCATTTCAACAACTCGACCTTCAACCCGATCTGGAGAATTGTCACTAGGAAACAAGGCACCTGAAGGTGAACCGCCATGGATGATCAACTCCTATAAGCCTGATCCTCGACTTCCACCGGATCAGCAGCTTCTTCCCACCGTGGCAAGACGTCTACAGCAGGAGAAGTGGGAGAGAGAGGGCAAGTTCGGGGATGTCTACGACAAAGACTTCCGACCCCTCAACGACAATCCTCTGGGTAGACCTGACCATCATGAAAGATCCGACAATGATGAGAAGGAGAAGGACACAGCGCAAACAGAAGGCGAGTGGCCGCTTAGACTGGAGCCTACCAAGAGCCCAACTCAACGCGCTGGTGGATACTCTACGATGCCCAAGATTTCGGACAAGTCGCATAACAGTCCTCTCCCAAGTCCCAGAACGCCCATGTCACCCAACGCACCTCAGGCGCCATCGCAAGAACAAACGAAAGAGGAGCCATCTACTGAAAACCCTGTACAGCAACACCCACAACAGCAGCAGCAACATCAACCACCGCCACCGCCACCACCACCCGAAGACGATAGCAAGGGTGGTTGTGGATGCTGTGTGGTTATGTAAGGATTTGTTGCCAGTCTGGTCCATTTACCACGCCGCGATCTCACGCATACCCATTCCCTATCAACACTTACGACGTCACGATTTCTCTTCCGACTTGTCTGCATACAGTCATTGTGTTACACAATATCATACCAAAATAGCCTGCTATCTTGTTAGCGACGCAACTGCCATTCCCTTTGTTCAACAATTTTAGCGATCCGTTCTACTGCAGCCGGACAAAAGACAGCGACCTTGTCACCAAGACAAACCATCCGATACAAGAAAGGTCATGTATTCACCGACCTGACAGGCTCAAGTGGTGAGCTGTCTCAGTCCTGGTGACCTGAAGACACATGTCTTTCCCGGAGTCCTTCATTACATGTATTTAATTATAGGCGTTGGAGCTTCTTGCCTTACCTTTGATAGTTGATTGTGGTTTTGCTGTTATAGTGGTGGTTCTTGTTATATTCTTACCGAAGGAGGAGGGATTCTGATATGCAGCGGATAGATGATGAGTGGTGAATTCTACTTCAGGACTTGAGAGGAAGCCTAGGCGAAGCTTACTTGGGGCGAGTTCTAGTAACTAGGACTTGCTAGAGGTTTTTGTTATTAAAAGTATTGGAGAGTAGAATTTGAAGCGGATGAATGAAAAGACATTAAACAAGCTGTGTTATGTTGATCAGTGTTGAGATGCTCGTATGCCGATTGTAGCTCTAGTCTTCAGTGATGCTCATCTTGATGCTGAAAACCGGCATGTTTGGTGTGAAAAGAAAAATGATCGAGAGCCATGCTGTTAGGTAATCGATACAGACTGGTTTTTCGAGAAACACGTAATGTATAAGTTATAACTATCATGAGTGCCCGTCCACACGTCATCATTGCCTTTCGATTGGACGTGACTTTACCAGGAAAATTCGGGAGATCGGCATTGTTATTCGCAAGCTGTGCGCGGCTCATTCCAGAGAGGGGAATTAATCAGGGAATTACTGAACTACGGATAGCGGCATTGTGCAGACGGCTAATTCGGATCTGAAGAAGCTCCAGGTCTTTCTGTTGGGTTACGGTTATGCCCGCGGGTGGAGTTTAATGGCTTAGTTATGAGAAGCGTGGGTTTGCATCATCGAGATGAGATGCTGACGTAGTGACATGATAATGGGGAGTTTAGTCTGGGGAAGGGATATTTTGTATAAAAGAGGCATGGGCTTGGCATTTTGTTGCTTGTCTTACATTGTTTGATATCTGATCCTACAGAAATATTAAGTAGATAGCGAAAATGGTTCATCAACACGGCGATCATCATGACATCCCCGCGAAGCACCGCATTCACAAGTAAGACTTCCTACAAAACACCCACTGCAATCTCATGAGAACTGACATTCTCGCCAAAAAGACCTGGTGCATGGCTTCCCGCCGACCATCGTGTACACAGAGAGTTCATGCGTCGCGTAACCAAGCATGCCGACGAGAATCCCAAGAAGCTGATCCCCGTTCTCCAAGAGTTCAAGGAGTTCATTGAGACCACGCCGCGCGTGTACATGTACTTCATCCAGATGTTTGAAGAGATTCCACAGAAGCACCCCTACGAGAATGATCCCACCGGTACGCCACAGCTGCGCGACTATGAGCACATGCTCCAGGTGCTGAACCACATCTTCTCTACTGCGCCCGAGTGGACGGATGCGGCGGAGAGTGTGGGTATGGTTGGTGTGCCGCTCTGTGCTATCTTTGACTATCCCATGGGAACACCGAGGTAAGTTTTGATAGTGAAAGAGGATGATTGAGTGAGTGCTGATGAGTGTAGTGGTTATGCGGCGTTCTTGGATCCTGATGTGAACCGTATGCTTAAGAAGGTTCTCAATACATGGGGCAAGTTCCTACAGGTACGTCAATTCATATGAGCAACTATGAACGGATCTTGACTAATGTTGTATAGACACCCGAGTCGGCCAAGGTTCTAGGAGACCACACGCAGGGCTGGTTCGGCCCAGTTGGTCTTCACGATCTCGTTGAGGTTGCCAACAAGCCCGACAAGACCGACTTGAAATTCGAAGATATGTTCCATTGCGATGCTTCAGCTAAATACTACGGCTACAAGTCATGGGACGGTAAGACATCACCTTCATCAACGTGAGCTCCAGATTTTCTGACTTAGTTTAGACTTTTTCACGCGCAGAGTCCGCGATGAGGCTCGCCCCGTAGCTTCTCCCGACGATGACCTCGTCATTGCAAACTGCTGCGAGTCACGCGTGTACAACATCGAGCACGATGTCAAACTCCGCGACCGCTTCTTCGCAAAGGGCCAGCCATACTCCATCCTCGACATGCTAGCCAACGACCCTCTCGCTGAGAAATTCGCTGGCGGAACCATCTACCAAGCTTTCCTATCAGCGCTATCATACCATCGCTGGCACACCCCCGTATCTGGTAAGATTGTTCGCGCCTTCGTCCAAGACGGCACGTACTTCAGCGAGCCGCTGTTTGAGGGTGTAGGCGAGCCTGGCTCAACTGAGATCTCGGCAGCGGGATTGTCGCAGAGCCAGGGATATTTGAGTGCGTTGGCGACACGAGCAATTATCATCATCGAAGCGGATGAGCCTGCCATCGGACTCTTGGCGTTTGTGGGAATTGGTATGGATGAAGTGAGCACGTGTGAGATTACTGTCAAGGAAGGTGACCATGTTGTGAAGGGACAGGAAACTGGCATGTTCCACTTTGGAGGATCGACGCATTGTGTTATCTTCAGAAAGGGCGTTAAGGTCGAGGGGTTCCCTGAGGTTGGCAGGGAGGCGAATGTGCCAGTGCGAAGTCAGCTGGCTGTTGTGAAGAAGTAATGAGTTACGCCATGGGTTCAGGCAGTATACAGACGGACAAAATGAATTCTTATTGTTGTAATTTCGCTCAAGTTCATGTTCTCGCTATTTACTTCTTCGCATCAGCCTTCATACCAGCCTGGACCCAGCCTCTTGATGCCTCGGCCTTCTTCTCAAGCTCCTCCTCGCTCAGCTTAGATACCTCAAACGCAGCATGATGCGTCGGGACGTGACGACCAGCCTCGAAGCCAGGACGCTCGAGAAGCTTGTAGAGCCACTTTTCCAGGTGAGGGAACTCAGAGAGGTCTACGCCAGCCCACTCTGGAGATTGTGTCAGTATGAGACAATAGTGATGTGGGAATGAGGGGAGACTTACTGGCACTGGCTACCCAGCCCCAGATGGAAACATCGGCAATGGTCACCTTGTCGCCAACGATGTAGCCGGATAATGTCTCGCCAAGGTGGGTGTCGAGAGTGCGGTAGAGACGGCGGGTCTCGTTGGTGTAGCGGTTGATGCCATACTCAATCTTCTCAGGAGCGTAGCCTAAGTTTCACAGTTAATATTTGGTGACGGTGAGGTGAGAGTGAGTGAAGACATACGCTTGAAATGGTTGGCTTGTCCCTGCATGGGACCCAGGCCACCCATCTGCCACATGAGCTGAGAAGTATTAGCACGTTACATATTGAGCTTGTTTAGTGAATGGAACTCACCCAGCTAATCACCTCCCAATGCTCAGCAGAGCCGTGAGGGAAAGAGAGCTTGTGGTCCTTGTCGTAGCGATCAACGAGGTACTCCAGAATAGCACCGCTCTCAAAGACGCGGATCTGCTTGCCGTCTAGGGTATCTGTGAGGGCGGGGATGCGGCCATTGGGGTTGATCTTCAGGAACCAATCCTCCTTCTGCTCGTTCTCAGTCATCTTGATGGCGTGCACCTGCGTCGTAAGTTAGAGGAGAGTCTTTATTGGTGTGGCAAATTGTAAGGGCTTGCCTTGTAGTCAAGGTTGAGCTCCTCAAGCAGAATAGACGCCTTGATGCCATTGGGCGTGTTGGTGGTGTAGAGAGTAATATCGGTCTTGATCTTTTGAGCCATGGTGAAGAATTGTTTGCCTAGTTGGCTGATGCGCGATGTCATTAAAGTGTGGGATGGGATAAAGGAGGAGGTGTTTGTATGTACTGGGAAGGGGGCAGATGAAGAGTATTTATACGGATGATCTTCAACCTCACTACAGCAACATGCACGTAACTACACTGCAATGAGGGGTTCACTTTTCTGGGGAATGATACCGTAGATTATTCATTGGGTTGCAGCTTTGTAATCCGAGGTTGTGGAGATGCGAGCCCACATTGGACCGACAAATTGCGCGATCGTAACACTCTTTGTAATCAGCCCGTCCTCCGAAACTCCATTGGGAAGTGGGAAGAGGGAAGAAGGAAGGTTTATAACTTAGATAAATACTGTCCCCACGTGTTTCTGTCTTGGTTGTATTTATATATGATCTGACAATGCTGCTGCGGTTGATGCTTCGCCTGTCTGTCAGCACTTTGAATTGACAACCTGAAGGGTCGTTGATGTCATGGCTTTGGGCGGCCACTACTTGAGAATTGCCGAGCAACTGGACAATTGACCTGTATCGATAAGGGAAAAGAACATTCCAAGGTCTCTTCAGCGTCATCGGTGACCTCTCCCGTCTTGAGGCAATTGCCGGCCCCACATTCGGATCCGAGAACGGCGGAATTTGATCCAAGACGATAATGCTGTATCGGCCGAATCATGAACAACTTCCCGCTTGCAAGCGTAAGATGTGGGAGGAAATATTCAGTTTTAGACAGTCAGCGTATGGGTTGCTACGATTGTATATCTAGATCATGTGATTTGCTATGCTTAAGATAAGTCGGCGATAGCCACTGAACCAGAGCGAACAGAAGTTGCCATGTGACGGAAGATTCCCGCAAACCTCCGAGGAATCATTTATCAAATTAGAACAGAGTGAATAAAGCTGAAGTGAACGTTCTTTGATATTGTACCCAGAGGAGTATTTTGGTAGGGGCAGATAGTTTCTGAATCTTAATGTGAGATGTCTAGAAAGCCTAAAACTTGGCGTGTACGCATCACAGCTGTGTCATGCGATTTGGTCATATCTTTTGAGCTATATGTAACTTACAGAGAAACTTAAACTTATACCAACCTAGTAAAAATATTCCCTCAGCCAATAGCGACTGCTGATTGGTACATGATACAAGGACGGCTCTTTAGCTTCACGTCTGCAAGACATCACCAACCTTGAGTACAAAAATATGCCTCCTGTGCAAGACGCATGGTAAACTGTGCTTTTCTTGAACACAACCACGTTGTAGATCCCGCAGACGAACTCAGGGCACGTATACCTTGGAAACCTCACGAGGCCTACTACGTAAGATCTGTAGGCGTCTTGGTAATAATCTGATAGAATTAACACCTTTCCCGCCATACTTTTCAGCTCAGATAACTATAGAACCAAACATAAGGACATTAAAGAGTCCTGGGATACTTCATGGCGTGGAAGGAGAAAGTCTTTCTCGAGGTCATTTCACCATCTGCTGTTAAACATTTCTCTATACTATTACCTTCCCATACTACATTATTTAAAGCAAGACTTTTACTCTCATCTCAACAGTTCTTCACTTAAACATTTATAATCTCGAAATACTATCAAAAATACCGCGTCATTATTCCGAATCAATATGGCTCACAATCTTTCAGTGGTTCCCAGGAGACCCCTGACCCTCGGCGATATATGCCCAGAGATCGTCTGTTACATCGTCGAAAAACTCCTGGAGATGAACCCCGACCGCAGTAAAAAGGCTTCATGGGAGTGTAATCTTTCAAAAGAAAATCAGCCAGTGTTTAGACCCCTCGGCAGATACAAGGACGCCCTGAACTTCGCTGCTACCTGCAAAGATTTGTACGAATACATCACTCCAACGATCTATCGCCATGACGTGCGCTATAACATGTCCGCTGCGCTCTTAATCTCTGCTAAACTGGACAACATCGCTGGAGTTGAAAAGTCTCTCGATGCTGGCGCGGACGTTCATACTGGCGACACCACCGAGTCGATGAGATACTCTGAACAAGGGAACAGTTATTGGATCCCTCTGAACATCAGGGATCAAGTCACAGCTCTCCACTGGGCCGCCTACAAAGGCCACAAAAGAATTGTTCTTTTCTTGCTCGAGCGTGGTGCTAACATCAACTACCGCGTTCGTCTTGATATTACTGAATGGCAGAACAGAAAAGATTCAGGCCGTCCTGGACGCCACATCCTCCTAGATCATTACACTATCAGTTTCTGCACCGATGATGTCGCGATTCAGGTGGATATAGCCTGCAACACCCTAGAGGGCATCGATCCTGACATCGTTCGGTTGATGATGGAGCAGGGTGCAAACCCTCTCCATTTCGCTATTGACAGTCGACGCTGCGACATGGCTGAGCTTCTCATCAAATCTGGAGCTTCCATGATCACCCATACTGGCACAAAAACTCATGCTCTGCACCAAGCAGTGTCGAACTGTGACTTGGATATGGTCAAGCTTATCCTACGGTATGAGACTGTTGATATTGATAGTATCAGGGATACTCGTCATGCGTCACCTCTTCACTATATCGACGACTTCGACGGTGAAAATGTGAACGAAACGGTCGAGATAATCAAGGCTCTTGTTCAGCATGGCGCCTCGGTCAACGCGACGGATGTTTATGGCAACTCCCCTCTCATGATTTACCTAAGAAATCTGATACCTAAGGAACCGATTGTCTCTGAGATTATTCGACACGGCTCTCATATTGTGGAGGAGTTTTACTTTGAATATACGCCTGACCCAGAGAACTTCCCCGATGGGTTAAAGAGTGCTTTCAGAGAAGCTGAAGTTAGGGGGTTTCTCCTCCTTGCTGACATACCACTCCCTGCTAATTTCACAAATCTCAATGCGCTGAGGTTAAGGTATTGCCACTTCTATAGCCTGGTGCAGGGAACGGACGTAATACCAGATCATATGGTAGGATGGGGTGAGGACGAGTGGGAAGGATACTGGGAGAAAATGCTGTTTTTGGTTTGCACTTCTGCATCACGTCTTGGTGGCCTTTGGGGCATGAACTATCCAGAAACATTATGATGATGATGGAAACCATGGCAGAATGGATCATGATATATTGTTTTCAACTCGAATAATAAGTTCATGGGCTTGAAACCATCTTCCTGACCAGTCTCGGTATTATTAAACTTTTTCCAGTTAGTGGCTATGTTCAAGGTAATATTTATTCAAGGGAGTTGTTGTTAGAGAAAGTATTAGATCTAATGGTATAAGTCACTTGTACATACCTCGAAAATTTGATTTTTCGATGAAAATTATTAGAATAATGCGATCAATTGTTAAGTAGAGAAGGCTTAAGTATCCCTGTTGTTGTTTGTGTTCAGGTTAAGTTGTATTTCATAGTCAAATGCGAGTATGACTGTGCCTGGTCCTCTCGAGACAAGAGATTTCCTCTGGGAACTGCAAAGAAATAGAAATATGTATCGAGTTGTTTGAGGGGTCGTTGGATGACCAAGCTGATGCCAGTTGTCGTGAGCGGGGAGGGTGGCGAAGAATACCGAAATGTGCACGCCTGTAAGGTTTTAGACTGGTTTAGCTTATCACATACTCCTGGCCTATCGTCTATATTGTTCTGTGAAGTACTTTATCCATTCTTATTGTAGTATAAGTAGTAATCAAACGCTTCTCATATTCAAAATCACAACATTACACCCAATATCTAGTACATATATCGCCATGTAACAGCCTTATCTCCCTTGGCAGAAAGCTCCTCCTCAGAGACAGCCTCATGCTCACCAGCCGCCATCCTGCGGTCACGACTCTTGTTGATACGGCTGTAGCTGAAGATTAAGATGAGAGCAGCAATTATACCTCCACCAATAAAGCCCAGCTCCAACGCATGGCCTAAGATGTATCGAGGTCCATCCTTTTGTCGGTAAAAGTTGGATGCCATAGCCTAGGTTTGTTAGTAAAAAGCTGAGTGTATCGACGAGGATGGAAACTTACACCGCCGAGGTTTCCAACTCCAATCTGAATAGCCATTCCCACGCTTCGCTTGTAACTTCCTGATAAGTTGTTGGAAAGCCATGTGATGACACCGGGGAATGCTGGGTAGATAGCGCAAGCGGCGATGAAAACGCCTCCGTAGACGACCTTGGGATTGTTGGTAGCGATACACCTGTAGATGTTAGTACTGATGAGTTTAGGAGGCGATGCGTGACTTACATAGAGAATCCAACAATCATGACACAGAGGAATGCCACAATGAATGGACTCCTCTTGCCAACTCGATCCGATGTCCACGCCACGATCACAGCGAGAATGGCTGCTGTGATATAAATTGGCACAGTCATCAGCTGAACCTTGGACGAACTATATCCTAGGTTTCTGATGATAGTCGGCAGAAACAGGCTGATTCCGTAAAGAGGGCACACGATCTTGAAAATGTCAGTTTCTGTTAGAATGGCAGGCTTAGGATTTTGACTTACACCCCAGTAGACGAATATGTTGACCCAGATCTGCCAATCCTTGAACGCATCCCAGACATACTGCCACTTAAACTCATCACTTTGCGCAACGCGCGCTTGACTATGACCTGCGGTCTGCTGCTGGCCTTGGTACTTAAGTCGGAAGACCACAAAGGCACGTTCCTCCTCGGTCAAGAAGCTTGCGGTTTCGGGGAAATCGTAGAGAGCCCAGAAGGCAAAGATTGCAACAACCACGGTAACGATTCCCTCGAGGATGAAGATCCAGCGCCAGCCTTCAAGGCCACCAATACCGTCCATCTTGGCGATGCCGAAAGCGAGAAGACCGCTGAATGCACCGGCGATGGAAGCGGCGGAGAAGAAAAGAGCCTGGCGGAATTGGATCTCGTGTCGGCAGTACCACATTGTGAGGTAGTACTAGAAACTGTCAGTAAATGGTAGCGCAGTGACGTGGACGGGACATACGGCTACACCGGGGAAAAGACCGGCCTCGGTGACCCCGAGAAAGATACGTGCAATAAGCAGACCATGGTAGTTTTGAACAATGCCCATAAGTGTCATGACAATACCCCACGCGACCATGATTGTAGGAAGCCAGACGCTTGGACGGAGTTTCTTGAGGAGCAGATTCGAGGGGACTTCGAAGGCGGCGTACGTGAAGAAGAAGACGGTAAGACACCAGTTGTACTGATCAGGGCTCATGTTGAGATCCTCCTGAAGACCTTCAATCTTTGCATTGCCGATGTTACCTCCTAGATAAATGTCAGTGGATGTAGTGATGTTGCGGGCGTGGGTGATGTACGGTCGAGGAATGAGAGCAAGTAGAGGAGCGCCAGCATGGGGATCAATCGCATGTCCATCTGGTGAGTGTCAGTGAGATTAGCTCTAGTGAAATGTCATGAAGATACGCACCTTGCGTAGGATCTTCTTCTCGTCGAGGTGAGAGAACGAGTCGAGCGTGGTTCCAGGTGCTGTAGCCATGGCATCAATGCGATCGACCTGACTTCTACCATTAGGCGCCCTCTCGGCCTCGACGAACTCAGCCTTTTCATTTGGGGGCGTATGATACGATGCCATGATTGTAGGCTGTAGAAGTAAGCAAATAATTGCTATGAGTCTATAGTTTTAATGGCCCAAGGAATGGGGATGATCGCCGACTTTAAGTATGTTTGGTGGCACCCTTGTCTTTCCCCATGTTTTCTCTCCCCGCATGTTTCTTTTTTGCTGATGTTGAATTATGGAGCTGCACAGGAACAGGTCGTCAGAGGCTTGTGTGCGCTACGGCAGATGCAGACTGTGATGGACATGGAGGGTGCGGAATTTGTTAAGCGGTAACGGTGATACCCAGGAGACGCTTATCTTGAATGGGAGTGAGGATGGTGATGGTTGATCCAATCCACCATTTTGCGGGGAAATTAGAGGGAGGAAACGGATCCGATGTTCGAGAAACCACCAACTTGCAAGTTGAATTGCTATAGGAGAAAATGGATTTACGTCATGACTCAAGAGTGATGCTCTCGGTTCCGATGATCCCTGTCCATGGCTCCCTTTTGTCCCTGACAATTGGGTTCAAACTAAATGAGTGGCGGCGCCCGTTGAACAGACACATGCAGTCTCCAATTTGTCATAGTTCGCTAATGCAATCTTTAATTACCCTTCAATACTGGTTCAGGTCGTTGAACCTAGAAACCCTCTTCTCTGGGTGAGAAATGGTGGCCATCTGATCATCCTACCGAGGATCTACACTTTGGACGTTTACCCCAGACTCCAACTGAACGGGGCGATCTGCATTACCCCGCATTCTTTAAGGACTTGGTCACTCCCAGAAACTTGGACCGGATCCGAAACTACTCATCTCTTGATTCTGTCTGTGAAAAGACCCAAAGAGTCTGCTATAGTGGGACCTACCATGCCAACTGTCGTCGCACGTCGTACCCAGTTCTCCAGCTGCGATGAATGTCGTCGATCGCGTGTGGCTTGTGATGCCCAGAACACAAACACAGACGGAGACACGTCGTCTCCCTGCACGCGTTGTCGGAACCGGAATCTACCATGCACTTTCAGGGTTTGTACTTGCAAGCGATAGTGTTACTCATTGGCTGATCTATTGGTCTAGTGGCTTCAGAATGTCAAGGCAAACAGCTCTGTTGTGAAGCGTAAACCACGTCGTAGGACGGCATCGAGACCGATAAGTGACACTTCGTCGACACGCGGCAGTAGAGCCACCGATGTGTCGCAAGAGTCGACGGTTAATAGGGGTACCTATGAGTTGGACCATGGCCACTATGGTGAAAACTCGACCTCTGTGGTGCCTGAACCAGCACCAACGCCGTGGCGTGCAAGTCCTCTGAAGGACTCACCAGAAAATGTCAATATGGATAATGTGGATGTTAGATGGCTCGATACTCTTTACAGGGAGGGCTTCGAAGCAGTACTTGGCTCATGGATGGGTAGATATAGCTGTCCATTTCTGTACGCAACATGAAACCTCTGTTGTAGTTGATACTGACCTACCACAGGTTCGGGCAGAATCTTGCAGACAAATACGTCAGTTTATCAGACCTCTGCCGCCATCTCGACGGATGCATAGTAGACGCTGGCAACAGTCAACTGGTAGGAAGATCTCGAGACATTGAACAATCTCTCCAGAGCACCATATCCGCATTTGCAGCACGATGGCTCCCCGTCACCTCTCCAGTCCCAAATTCAAGCGAAGATCACTGCAGCCTTGTTCAAGCTCTTTGGCGAAACGCACGCAGGGATATGCTACGCGTTATCAACAGACCGTCTTATCGATCGATGCTGTCGCTGTTTCTCTTCGCGCTTACACCAATACCAGACGGTATCTCGGAGGAAGAGGAGACAGATGGTATATCAGGGCAAGCTTGTGTGCATGCTGCGTTGCAACAAATACAGACCCTTCGAGCCCGACAGAGAAATCTGCAATTCAGCGGCTCAAAGGTATCTCCGTCGTTGCGATCACAAGCCATCGTCACGACGCCAGACTCCATCGAAAACTCGGGCTTCATCAACGCCGAAAGTATCGTATACTGGGCAGCCCTTACGTTCGACACCTCGGCCTCCCTCACTCTCAACTGTCGCTCTTTACTCTCCTCCGGCCTTTTCGGCTTTGAGTCGGAATTACCATGGCGACTCGTCAAGACTTGTGCCAAGATGTTTGACGAAAATGCCCGGCAGTGGGGACAGGCAAGTTCTGACATGACAGACGAGAGAGCAAATCAAATCATAGCCGCTGGAGCATCTTGGAAGTTACTAGGATGGAAGCTCACAGCAATCTTCAAAGAGGCGCTGCGTGATGGCCATGAAGAGTCAGAAGTGCGAAAAGCGTATCTGGCCGTGGTTGATTCCACGAAGCAGTTCGGTATCATATATCGTCCGCTTCTGGATGAATGTCATAAACGCATGCCATTTCTTGGCCAGCAGACCAAGCTTCGATGGTGTAAGTGTCATCAAAATCTAGTTGGTAAGCCTTTCTAACCATTGCTGTAGTTTCTCTAATGCTTCACTACCATCTCAGTATCTTAATGCTAGTGGATATAATAGAAGCCACAGATCGTCCAGACCTCCTAACCGACATTATCGACATCAGCATCGACGCTGAAAACACGGTAATGAGCACACTGGCATTTGGTCTTCATAACAATTTCACACTGAAGCGACCCGATGAGTCCCACACCGGGAAAATGGATGTGTTTACAGTACCGATCGTGTCTATCGATCCTTACCCACATCACGCAGTTGCTGGAGTGCAATTGTTACGAAAAGCTGTTGAGCGCGATTTTGGTATTGGAAAGATTACGGAGGAGACATATCATAGTCTGCTGGAGACGTTGGAGCGGACGTTGAGACATTTGCCGCAGAGTTCAAAGTCTGTTCAGGCGGCGATAACAAAGTTCTCCACGGTTTCTGATGAGGAGAGTACACCACCGAGTTTCTAGTATAAGGGGGTGAATAATACACCCCTAATATCGCTTATTAGTACAGAGAAATGTTCCTCTATGGGAAACGTTGTAAATCGTGTCTGTCTTATCCCTTCCGCAGTGCGGAAGCAAGCTGTCGAATGACCCCAAAAGAAGCGAGCGTTCAGCCACCTACCTCAGAACCAATTCAAGCATAATTACTCCGTACCTTGTTTTTCGTCTCGGATCCGATGACGCTTGTGAGGAGCTGGAGTGGGGGTATTTGCCACCGAGTCCAAGCAGCTTGAGCCGGATCCGAAATGACGATGGCGTAGACTTGGCTGGGGTTTTCTTTGAATGTTTGTTTTCTTGTAGATATTTGAACCTCTTTCCTAGGAAAATCGAGATATTCTGTTTCTGTAACAGTATTCTGCCACTTGTCGAAATCATGGTTCTTTCAGTAAACCCCAGGACATCAGTTACCTTAATAGGAGCTGGGACACAAGGCAGAAGGCTTGCGTTTCAGGTACGCATGATGGCATGATAATGTCTCTATTATCAAATAAACTGGAAACTCTTCTTTCTAGTCAGCGACTGACAGCTCATTACTTTCATAGTGGTCGAGTAGAGGAAACGACGTCCATATCGTTGACGGGCAAGAGTCTCAACTCCAAGCCAGTATCGAAGCAATTGAAGAATTCCGCTCAAAGTCCAGCAACAAAAACGCGTCATGGGGAAGAATCATAACACATTCTATCGATGACCTTCGTGAAGCTCTGCAAACTGCCTGGCTAGTCGTCGAGGTAAGTAAATGATTCAAGTTGCTATCGTCAGACGCTGATTTTCAAGTGTGTGCCTGAACAACTCGAGCTCAAGATAAAGGTCATCTCAGAACTTGATTCGCTTGCACCAAAGGAGACAATCATCGCGTCTAATTCTAGCAGTTACTCTTGTTCAGAGATACTGGATGGAGTCCGGATGAAGAATGAGAGCCGATTTTTGAGTGCTCACTCTTGTAAGTGAACCAAACTAGTGAGAGGATAACACTTACCTTTTATTCTAGACTGGCCACCTGAGACATCCGGTAAGGATTTAGGTTTCTATTACAACTAGTGCAGCATGTACTGACAAAAGGCAGAAATCGAAATCATGGGACATGGAACCACAGATCCTTCACATATCACACTGATGATGGAACAATGCAAAGCTCATGGTTTCTCACCATTCCACGTCAAGAAGCCATCAATGGGGTACATCTACAATAGGTAAACCGCTCATCTACTCTCACATAATCACTGGCAACAGGCGCTGATCCGAGACATTATCAGAATATGGGCAGCAATCAAAAGAGAAGCACTACTGGCAGCTTCAGAAGGAGCCGCAACTCCAGAAGAGATTGACGAAATATTCAAGGGCGTGTTAAAAACACCCAAAGGCCCATTTGAACAGATGGATGTGGTGGGATTGGATGTTGTTCTGGATATTGAGCAGCATTATGCTGATGCTAGGGGAAATATCCCAAGCGCGCCACGGGAATATCTGCAGAAGTTCCTGGATGAGGGGAACCTTGGTGTCAAGAGTGGAAAGGGATTTTACGACTATGGGAAGTCATGAATAGCTATGTCTATGAAATCAAGATCTGTCTATCCCATTGAAATCAAACGTTGAAGCCACTTTAGCTGCGTTATCTGATAACATCATCGGTCTCTTGAAAGATAGACATGGGCCCTTTTAAGTCTCCGACGATAAGGAAAGATATTGAGAGGAATTTAGCTCCTTCTGCTCCGGGTTGAAAAAACTCGAATGGCACTCTTATCTGGTTGTTCTATGGATATATTCTTAGCCGGCCTACCTGAACCAGAACGATGTTTACAGCAAGACGTCCGGCTCGGTCCGCAGAACAAGCTTTCCGAACGAACCATCACACCTATTCTTTTGCCAAGAGCCTGGAATCCTGGTTCTATGAAGCTGTAAGAGATGCTGTATGATACTAGGTTTCAGAAGCACCTCAGCGGCACGTCGAACGGTGTGGCGTTGAGCAATCTTAACCCTTAGGACCGGGGACTATTCATCAAACTCAGGGATCAGATGAACCCTGGGTAGTTCATGCGGGGATAGGGTTACATCGGGCTGTGCTCTCCGCTTGCAGAGAACAATTCACTTGAGCAAGCCGTCCTCATTGGGAAAAACATGGGGAACGCTTACACTAAAATTTATTGTTCTTCCACCTTATCCAGTCTTGTGCTTTTCTCTCACTCCTAAGTGGGAACGGCAATTGGGTGATTAAAGGAGGTACTGGGGTAATAAACCACGTGGTGGAAACCTCACCACGATTTGAGACCCTATATAGGCAGTTCGGTTGGCTATGCGTATGGCAGTGTTACATTGTGATATAACCGATGTTGGTGACCCAGCAAACAGGCTTGGCAGGGGTAGCGGAAGCATTCCCGGGACTTGGCGTCTTAACTCGTTCCCCCAGTCTGAAAGCACGATACGATCATGCACTTATATGCCAAGGTTTTATGTTAAGGGCATACGCCGCTGGACTTTACCGCAAGTGACCCCAGTCTCCGTACTAAGCGGGACAAAATCCTCCCTCAACGATGCTTGCGGAGATCCCAAAGCGTCTTTGTAGATCTGAACTACGAAGCATGGAGAGGTTTCTTGAAGAAATCACAGATAGCAAAGTAGGAGAGAAGATAGATGATGATATGAAGATTATATTTGTCTAATGTAATTAAGACGCTTGGCGGATGAAGATGAATACGCGCTATGTACATTGTATGGCCCATTTTCGCTACAGGTAAACATAGCAGAAAGGTCCAGAAAGGGTATGAAGAAGATCCTTGATCTTGCGCTCTCCTCCAATCCAGGCGATATCAATAGTATCATCAAGAGTGGTTTCAGCACTGGGAGGCATGTTGAGGAAAGTGTTTGTGCCCTGGACAGCATTCTTGCCGCTGACACGCTCCTTGGGGTTCTGCATCTGCCAGATCCACCAGACACGGTCAATCATGGAGTGGTGGAGGTAGAAAGCAGGGTCACCAGGAGAAGTGTACACATCGTTGCCAGGGTCGCCACCAAGGGAGTAGTGGCCGCCACCGTGGATACCGATGTCTCCAGTGCCAGGGACACCCTGCATCTGCATCTGGAAGTCGAGGACGGTCTTGGGCTGCAGGATGTTGTTGAGGACTGAAGTGGCGTTGGCGTAGCGTCGGTTGACAGCATCGCTAAGGTCACGCTTCAGACAGCGAGGGTTGTACTCCAGAGGGTTGGGACGAGCCTCAACTACACCGCCGGGAAGATCAAGTGCAGCAGGACCAAGATTGACACTCATGTCCTTAAAGGGGCCAGACTTGGCACAGCCGCCGCCGTTACCAGTAGGGAGGTATACGGGAGGGAGGCCGCTGGAGGCGCCGAGGACGATATCTGGTCGGTTTGGGATGGTTTCGCCGTCACCTGTAATTGACGTGCCACTTCCGTCGAAGACAGGGGACTTCTTGAGACCACTGACAGCAGATAGAGACCAATCCCAGTACTTTAGATGTAGGTTAGCAAATGTGTCTTGTCTGGTGTATGGTGGGTGGGTCCACTTACAGGTTGAGTGCCTTTGTAACCACACTCGTTTCGGAGAGCCTCCTCGTACACCCAGGTGAAATACCTGTGCCATGACAGAAAATTGCCCGTATAATGAATTCCCATAGTTTGATTCAAATGGATGGCAACCCAATCATCATATCTCGTCTTGGCACCGTTGGAGAAAGATTCCGGTGTCTTGGGAGGCAGAGCCTGCAGACATTTGACGGCGCTGATATAGTCCTTCCTCTCCTTCTTGGAAAGAGATCCCCTAAAACATAATCAGTATTTACTTAGTTTCTGGACAGTAGAAAGACTTACCACTCTCGTCGGACGCGGACATTGCTCCAGTTGCAGGTGTTTGCGCGCTTAGACTTGTCCTCGGACAGTTCCTGGGCAGTCTCATAAGCGGCAGCGGCAAGATCAGCGAGCTGATCAATGTTGGTGACCTCAGGCGCAGAAGCGTCAATGGTAGTGGCTTGGGGAGCAGCCAAAACGCCAGCGGCGTTGAGGGCAAGGAGGGAAATGAAACCGGCACGCATGGTGGCGACGAGAAGAGTTGGCAGGGATCGTCTTTGTGATACTGGTGATGTGGCTGAGGACCAGTGAGTGAAAGAAGTGTCTACGGTGCAGAATGGGGAGTAGCTATATACTCCTCCTGCATACCCCTTAAACGGACTTTATCCCTCTTTCTTTATTCTTTTTTCATGCAACAAGTCCAGGGTTTGGACGAACAGCGGCCTTGGCCACCGCAGATATTTCGGAGCCCCCATGGATCTTGGACTAATAGCATGAAGGTCCAAGAGTCAAAGTGCGGAAATATCTTTAACGGGAATATTAGGCCGAGGAGCCAACGGCAGTGACTAACAATGCTAGAACCAACAGTGGAAAAGGCCCTGTCAGTGGAACTTGTCTTGAAAGGCGAAGTGGATGATGGAGAGGTCAGTTCACTCGGCCAGATACGCGCTGTAGCTTACTCCGTAGATCTAATCCGATTCAAGGATCCTTCAGCGAACTGCATTGACCTTGTCAGTTTGGGTAATAGTGGACTGTAATAGTGGACTGCGGCACAGTTTGGATGGACAAGGGTACGATGCGTGCCACGAGATATCTGCCTGATAGTTGTGAATAAACGGGAAATAAGGTTCTTACCCAGGGTTTCATATACATACTACGTAGACTCACCTGTTATGTAGCATATTGCCACTTCCACTGCCACTTCATGCTATGAGATTGCAAAGAAAAGTCCTTCTCATCACATTTCTTATTCCCCGCTTACATAATTCCTCTAGCACCGGAGTATTTCGAAGGAGCTAAATTACCTAGGTACGGCTGGCGATCCGGAAGGGTTCCGTGCTAAGGAGTTGGGACCCATATATGTAGTATCGGACATGAACCTGGTTTGATCTGGCATTCCCGTTGGTGACAGACGGCCGATTCATGTTGCTTCTTTGTTCTGGTCCTCGGTCTAACTAGTGATAGTAGTACCTTTGATCGACATGTCGATCACCCTCGCGAATCAGCACGATGCTCCATTTCAAATACAACAGATAATCGACATCATCCCAGGCCTTGTTTATGTCCATAATTACAGAGTACACATACAAGCAAAAAACATCAAACAAACTACACTATGTCCTTCTTTTCAAATAAATCTCCGACACTTACAACGCAGTCAGCACTTGTAGAGCCTCGTCTTCCAAGTCCGTGTCAGTGGGTCTTCGCCAAGGAATTAAGTTATGCAGCGCTTTGTTCGCTGCGGATATTATGTCCTGGTACCTTTGCGACCTACCGCTTTAGCCACGGGTTTAACCTCCCAAAGAGAAAAGATCTGAGCGTTTCATAAGTCCATTTCCATCCAGGGAAGTCACCTGCAGAATGCACTGCGGAATCTGGCCAATACCCACGAGGTTCCTGGAAGCCTTGACGCAGGGGTTAGGAAGGGCTCGTATGAAACTCCAACCATCAAAGTAACGGTGATAATGGCCGGGGGTTCTGCAATAACCTCTGGCTTGCAATGACACAAAGGAACTTGGACGACCTCGGCAATTGATCCGAAAACAGGGTAGAATCTAATCTGATATTTTACGGCGAGTATCACCTCTGTCAAAGCGGAACACTCATCACGAGTAATGCACAGCCGAGGCAGCAGGAACCTCTTTGACGTATCCGCGCTCCGTACTGTACGTAGATGCATTCTTCCTCGCCAAGTCCGGTCAGTGCGGGAATATTTTGTTTTAGTCCGTCGGAGATAGATCAATTAAAACCAGACTCATACAAAAAGATCCTGCCACAACACGTGTTTCCAACTTCTTGGAAAAGGGATCCCCCCTGGCAAGCCCCTCTCGCATGCATCTTGCTTTCTCTTATTATGCTGCTTCCCTGCTGCCTTCTCCATCGTCCCAAGTTCTTGGGTCCGTCTCTACATATCGTTCCTTTCACCTTGCAGCCATGGATCCCACGGTCCAGCTCCCCTCGAACCCCAGCGAGAATGGGGCGACTGATATTCTTGCTGCGACTCTTTTGGTGATCACGATATCGACAATTGTTGTTTTGGCGCGTGTTTATGTGCGAGTGTTTAGTATTCGCAGTGTGGGGTGGGATGTAAGTCTCCATTCAATTTCACTCCTTGCTTTTGCTACCCTTCTTCGTGTTTGATCTGGAACCAAGCTAACAACGAATGACTGCAGGATGCCCTTATGATCTTGACTCTAGCCATGGACTGGGCAGGCCAAGGTGTAATCATTGCACAAGTAGCTCATGGCGCTGGAAGACACATTGGAGACGTTGATCCTGCTATCTACATGATAGGGATGAAGTTGAATTTCATAAGTCAGCCAATCTTCCTCATTGCCATCTGCGTTGTCAAACTCTCTGTTGGCTGCGCTTTATTACGAATCTCCTCGACAAAGTTCTACCGAACGTTGATTCTCTCCGTTATGTGCTTCATGTCAATCTACACTATAGGATGCTTCTTCGTAAGTTACATCCACCACTCACCTTGTTAGGTGAGTTGAGATACTAACAGATTTTTCAAGACAGTGATATTTCAATGCAAAGACATCAGAATCCTCTGGGATCCCAGTGTAAAAGGAACTTGTTGGTCACAGCACACACTACAGAGTCTGTCATACACGAACTCTGCTTTCAATATTTTGACCGATCTTCTCTTTGCAATCATCATCCCAACTCCTATGCTATGGAAGCTCAACGTTCATTTCCGAACAAGAATAACACTGCTTGCTATTTTGAGTCTCGGTGTCTTTGCCTGCGCGGCCGCTTTCGTCAAGTTGGGTTATGTCACCAACTACGGTAAACTCGGCGACTGGCTTTGGGACTCCCGCAACATCACCATCTGGACCAGCGTTGAGCTTAACGTCGGCATTATCGCTGGCAGTCTTCCCTGCCTTAGACCTCTCTTCCGTCGCTTCCTCGGCAGCACATATGGCAAGAACTCCAAAAAGACGCCGAACACAGGTCCATCCAACTACGGCCGTGGTACCGGATATGGCCGAGGTACATTGCGAAGTGGGAAAAGCTGGCACGCCTTGGGAAGTGGCCGCAGGGGCGATGAAGAGACCAGTAGTCAGACGGGTATCAACACTGCTCCCCAAGAGTATGAGCTTCGAGATAAGATGTCGAGTCCGTCGGGCGGTACAAATATGGCAACGGTCATATCAGATATTGAGGGGAGATCGAGTGATGAGAGTGACCCTAGACACAGGACGGGCATCACGAAAACGATGATCACGACAGTTGAAGTTTCCAAGGCTGACCAAACACAGTCGCGATGATCTTTTATTTCCTAGTCTGTTATCTTAATTTTGGATTACCTCATTGCATAGCACTTTTATTTTTATTTATGTATGTACGAGAATCAGGTGCTTGGGATATACCTTTGAATATGGGTGGATTATATAAGGAGAGACTTGTACATAGCTCTTTGTAAATAATCGTAGCCTCTGGCGTCACGTTGAAACCAAAAGTTCTATACATTTAGCTAATTTTACGTGAAATCTTCTAAGACTTATGCTTACTTAATGAGTTTTGAGATAAATTTTATGTAAGATCGCAAATCTAGGAAACGAATAATAGCTGACATGTTGAAATCGAACAAGTATCTACATTAGCACGCAGGACATTGTTAGTGATTGTGTTTACATCGTATAGACAATAGCATAAAGGATCGTGGATAACGATGACGAGCACAAGACCGGAGTTGAAAGCAAGTGTTTAATCCAGTCTCAAAACACCGATTTCCCCCGGTCTACGAGGAAGGCTGATATTGGCTTCAACAGCTCGTCCAACATAGGTACTCTGGTTGGCTTCTTTGAAGCGGATATCCAACCACTGCATAGTGAACACCAAACAGGTCTTGGCAGGTATTCAGGGGTAACTTGGATAGAAGCAAGGCAGTGTAATTTATCTATCAACCGCCCCAGTCCATAGATGCTGCTTTTCGTATATGTGATGCACCTCGACGTTGTCGGAATGGCCTTCTCTATATCAAAGTGTGGTTGGTAATGTGAAGGGAACAGGTTTCCGTTTTTGACGGGTGGTTCATTTGAATTTTTACCGCACATCAATGCAAGCTATTAGGCAAATCAAAAGCCGAAGTAAAGAGGCTTAAACATGAGATCACAAGTAGAGGGATCAAGAAGTTGCTATACTGTTAAGACGTCACCAAAAAGCTATGCGTTTACCATAGGTGAGGTATCACATGCAACCACCATGCATAATGACATACCTAGGATAAAGAAAAGTTTCAATATACTCATGTCTCCTGACACCCTTTAGGTACTACTTGCCTACCATGTCTTTAATTTTCATTAACTGGCAAGACCTGGCTCGTAATTATCGTGGCGGCCGTTAACGGTCGTTGGCAGTGCCTGGCACCCGTAACTTGAACTCGCTCCTGCCTTATCAATGAGTGAACTACGCGTAACGCGTCGGGGCTTCCGTATATTTAAATATTCCTCTCTCTTTCTCTACCTTCTTCTCCTCATCTGCAACTACATCGCACAGCATCGCATCGTATCGCTCACATCGCATCACATCGCATCGCATCGCATCGCATCGCATCACATCGTTCACATCGTTCACATCGCATCGCATCGCATCTACCTCTTTACAACCGTGAAGAGACGACTTTCGAAGAAGAAGAAGAAGAAGAAGAAGCCGATATCTCCGATTAGAAAAGGTATGTTTTCATTTCCTCATCCCAGGTACACTTTGCAGGTTGAGGGCAGTTCTCTACATCACCCTCAAACACTCTGGTTTTCAGCCACTAACATTGATTCTAGATGTCTTTCAACAGTGAAGAGTTCGGCAAAGCTTTTGCCAGTGCCTGGAACGCCCATAAGGCAGGTACCGTCGGCGCTTCTGGTTCTGGTGGTCGCGGAGGTGGTCGCGGTGGCCGCAGAGGTGGTCGTGGAGGTGGTCATGGTGGCCGCGGCGGTATTCGCAAGAACACCAAGTCGCGCTGCTACCATGTAAGTTCTCGCCCAATTTCTCCAGAACTTAGAAACTGATACCTACACATAGTGCGGTTCGCATACGCATCTCTATCGGGACTGTCCTAACAAGGATCAGCCCCGCCGTACGTTCAGAGAGGCGGCCCAGGCACAAGAGCAGGCCCCTTCTGAGAGGCTCGCTCTCCCATCCACCGAGACGCTTGCCCTCCCACCTGCTGCGCCGCCTGCTGTTGCCGGATGGGTAACCACTTGGGAACCAACAATCGGCCAATACGTCATGAGGCCAGCTGTGGTACCAACGCAGAGCAACCCTCCTTCTCCCCTCCCTCCTGCCGCTGCCGCTACCGCTCCCGCTCCCACTGGTGGTCTCCCCCTGCCTGCCCCTCTTGCCGCCAACGGCAGTTCTATTATTTCTGCCCGGGAGCACCGCTTGCGGCCTGCGGAGGCTGACGTTCGAGCAATGAGGGAACGCTTCCAAGAAGCAGAGCGCCAACGCCAGCAGCAGCAACAACAACAGAAGCAGCAAAAGAAACAGTAGCCGACTGTTTTCCAGTATGTAGAGAAGTCCCCATTTCATTACGGGGTAAGTTCTAACTACTTGATAGAGACAATGGCCAAGACAGGTGTTTCGAGATGGCGAGTGGCCGTTTTAGGTCTGGTGGATGGTTGTCTTCGGGTTGTTCTGTGGTCGACTTGTTCTTTTCTTTTGCCTTCATGGCATTGTCGTTTTATTGTCCGTTTCGCGTCACTGCAAGTTGTGCAAACGCTATTTCTATTTTTTGTAATGCTTTCGCAGTCAGCATCTCTTTGTATTCATGGAAAGCCCGCCCTCCCACTCCTTTCCTGACGCTTTATGGACATCCTCCAAGCTGAAGACACACACACACCGCATGGCTCGAGAGGCATACGTCCCTGGTTAGAGAAACATACTACCAGGGGTCGAGAGGCATATGTCCCTGGTTAGAGAAACATACTACCAGGGGTCGAGAGGCATACGTCCCTGGTTAGAGAAACATACTACCAGGGATCGAGATCTAAAGCCTTGACAGGAGATGTGTACTGCCTTGGAAGCTGGAGGAGCCAGTCAGTGTTTGTATTAAAGTGGCTTTCCTGAAGTATCTTTCTTGTTCTTATCATGTATGAGTATGTCTTTTTTGGGAGGGTCTAGAACGACAGGCTGGCACCTTCACGTGGTGTTCTAGGTCAGTAACCAGAGTCACAAGATGATTCCTGGTGAAGCTAAGACCAGCCTCATAGTTAGATAAATATGTAACAAGTTATAAAACCTGTGTCTACGCACGCATCTGAAGGCAACGAAACGCTGAGGGAAGTATTGGTGCCAGTTAGAAAGAAGCTTTTCCTCAGTTCAACAATTCACATCCATTGCAGAAGCTCTTGACGACTACACATATATTTCTCTACTGCCCTTACCCCACCGTTCCCGGCTTGCCCCTCAAACACGCTTCGCCTCGCGTCGACATTTTTATGTGAGTGCCATGGTTTTGCTATTGCATTAATTGCATTTCAATTGTTTTTATGTGTAAATCAAATCAGCGAGGTATAGTTACTTCCGTGTAAAAGTTCCAACAAGAAGACAATAGAGATATGAAATAGATCAGATAAATAAATTATAGTATAGTTAAATAACTTCAACATAATTTTGATGTAAGCTGATATGGACTATACTAAACTCTTTATTTTTAGGATAAGCTCTTACAATGTTATGTAAATTATGAAGAGTTAGTATAATTTTACTAATCTTGTGTAAAGTCTAGAGTAGAGAGAACGATCGGAACTTTTGTGTGCTCACTGTAGTTATTTTACAAAATGCCGCTAGCATTTACCAGTCACTTACTAGGCGCACTAGTTAGAGCATTTCATAGAAATATACATGTCATCCAACAGCGATACACTACGAGGAACCCCCCCAGCATAACTGGACGTCTGGGACCTGTCACTTGATGCCCCTCCCGAATGGCATAACGTCTCCTCTACTTCTAGAACAACCACCACACAAACAATTGATTGGTGACACCCCTCAATTATGCATGTCGGCAGTTACCAAGGGTGTCTCCGTCTTACATTTTCAACCCTCACATACCCTAGAGCATTAGAGTTCCGCCACAATCATGCTGACCACAGCCAACAGGTTCAGATGTCTCAGTCTCTCATCTTCCCAAGCTCTCCTATCAATACTTTCAAGGATATCCTGTTCTCAAACTCTCAGCTCCCTTATCCTCCTCCTCAGGAGTCATACGATACACTCACAAGGATGCTGTTATCAAACCTTATCTGCCGGGCAATCAGCCCCCTACACCCGGCCGTCCAAGCGTTACCCAATACTGCTAATCTTTCCTAAGCCTAAGTTCTCCGTCTAGGGAATAGTCCGCCCGTATCCATTTCCCCCGCAACGCGGAGGCGGAGAACGACGCGCTTGATTGGGCGATGCTCGGCGTGGCCGCGAGTAAGGCCAGGGTGACACCCAACTCCAAATTACAAGATAAGGGGAACGAACGGCTGAACAAATATATTTGGGGTTGATGGTGTTTTTTGGAAACTTATTTCCTCTCGCCACTGCGCTTTAGCAACTCCCTCAATTAATTACTGCTATTGTTGCTGTCATTGCTCACTGCAGTATGGCTAGCCACGCACCGGCCCAGGAGGGCCACCTCCAGAAACGCTTCTCGAAGCTCACCATGATTGGCATGGCATTTGCGATTCTCAAGTAAGACATTTTGTACATGGTTGGCTGCGTCGCGCTAACAAGCCCAAGCACTTGGATTTCTCTCGCTGGATCGCTAGGTCTGGTGATGCCCTCTGGCGGCTCCGTCAGTTTTGTCTACGGGTTTATCTTTTGCATCGTCTGCAATATTTGCTTGAGTGCGAGTATCGGGGAGCTAGCTTCTCTGCTACCAACAGCTGGGGGGCAGTACCACTATGCCTATGCTCTTTCTGGGAAGAAATGGAAGAATCTTATGGTAAGTCCAGTGTTTTATTTTCTCCCGAAGTCAATTATATAGGCCAATGGCTGATTAAGACAGAGCTTTCTTGTTGGATGGACGAATATCGCTGGTTGGTTGACGCTTAACACAACTGCCGCCTACTTTGGAGGTATGATATTTGCCTGTGAAAAAGAATTAGTACTAACATTTCATAGCCCGATTCCTTGCCGCCGCTGCGGTTGTTGGATCTGGATATACCTATGAAATCACACAATGGAGCACCTACTTGATGTTTGTCGCAGTATCCATCATCGGTGTGTTCCTGAATATTTTTGCCTATCCCATCTTGAACCGATGGAACGAGGGCGCACGTACGTTGACCGAATCTCTGTACCCTCACTTCAACTGACAAATTTCTTAGTATACTGGTCTTTGATCAGCGTTGTCGTGATCAGCATTGTACTTCTGGCAACCTCTCCAAAGACAGACGCCGAGTTTGTTTTCACCAATTTCTCCAACACAACTGGGTGGAGTGATGGCACAGCTTGGATGCTGGGACTGCTGCAGTCAGCCCTGAGCTTTATCGGGTGAGTTATGAATCGCCCTTTGCGATTCATTGCTAATGATTATCAGCTGGGATGCTGTGGCGCACATGACGGAAGAGATGCCTCGACCATCCAAGGACGCACCTCAAGCCATGGTCGCTGCCGTTCTTGTTGGTGGTGTAACGTGAGTCAAAGCCCCAAGGTATTGAGTCTTAACTGACGGAATTATAGCGGAATCATTTTCATCATAGTCATGCTGTTCTGCTTCGTTGACCTTGATCTGCTCCTCGCGTCACCTACGCAGAGCCCTCTCACTGAGATGATTTATCAAGCAACTAACAGCAAAGCCGCTGCAACCGTGCTGACTGTTGCTGTTGCATTATGCTTCGTCAACGGAGCCAATGGCTGTGTGACTTCTGGCAGCCGTCTTATCTGGTCAATGGCACGAGATGGTGGAACCCCCTTCTCTAAGTAGTAAGAATATCCTATGCATAAGATGCTTGACGTAGCTAACCCTCTAGTCTTTCGCACCTCCACCCCAAGCTCAATGTTCCTGTTCGGGCTATTGTGGTACAAGCTGTCTTCAATCTTCTGTTTGGCCTACTTTACCTTGGTAAGTCCTTCCACATCCGGACGTCCCTACCAATAGTGTTAACATATCAAAGGCCCCGAGGTTGCTTTCAACGCCTACATTGCCAGCTGCACGCTATTTTTGAACCTCTCATACGCTGCGCCTGTTCTCATTCTACTCATTCGTGGCCGAAGCTTGGTTCTTGACTCACCTCCTGTGTTTTCTCTTGGCCGCATTCCAGGATATATCACAAACTACGTCGCAGTTATCTTTGTCCTCGTTACTTCTGTCGTGAGTTACTCTACCCCGAAAGAAGGAGAAAAAGGAATAATCCGAACAAACGCTGACGCATTGGTGCTTTAGTTTTTCTGCTTCCCTCCGGCAATTCCTATCAATTTGTCCACAATGAGTAAGTCGTCCATAACCCGACCAGCCGTGCAATACTAACCCAGTTCAGACTATGTCACTGCAGTTGTGGGTATCTTCCTTGTCTTTGTAACAGCACTCTGGTTTTTGAAGAGGAAGACTTATCAGGGGCCAAAGCTTGAGTTCATTCTGGGGGAAGAACTACCCGTGACACATTTGGAGTCACGGGTAAATGAGAAAGGGACGGCCTCAAGTTCGACCTCAAAGCATGCTGAATCATAGTTCCATGTATTCTACAGTAAGGTTGAGGAGGGTGGATGGATGATTTGGACAGTCGTATTAGTTGAGCATTCCGTACTTGTAACATTTAGCGAATGGAATTGATGCTGGGTATTTGCAATTATTGGACAGATTGAGAGGAAGTGGTGTAGCACACGAATTGACCGTAGCCTAGGACTACCTATTAAGGCAAGTTTCTCCATAGGGAAAGCTAGATTGTCTAGACACCACCGGGTTATCCTATGCAGGCGAACTTTGCCATCCTCTACAAGACACTACTGGCCTCTTTCGCTAGCTGTCCAGGTGACACGATCTCCCAGCGGTTGGTGGTTGGGGCTTGGACAATCGCAGTGCTATAGGAGATGGGACGATGTCACGGGTTGCCGAATTATATTCAATATGACTCTTGATGTTCGCGCGCGAGTTTCTTACATTAGGTGACCTATGAGTATATGCTAAAAGACCCAAGCTACAAAGTGAACGATTACGTATTACCCCTATAGTCTCGCCGCGTTTTTCAGATATCCATAGTGCCAATCCTCTCGGGCCAGGTCCTTCCTGATCTGGTAATTACCCTCCGCAATGTCCACAGTCCTCATATCAACATCCAAAACACGCATAGCCTCTTCGCCATCTGTAAAGCTCCCAGGTACGGTGCCCACAATAGGCAATGACACTTGGCTACAGCCAAAGAAGCCCTCTTCTGCAGGCCCGCCAACGTTGCAGAAGATGACTGCCGCGGTATTCTCGAAGGCCCTTGTGACTAGCGCCGATTGTATAAACGTCTTTTCGCAGTTGGCGTTGTATGCAAGACCGTCTTTGCACATGTCTAGCGATGTCCAGTACGAAGGGATGATGATGATCTTTGCACCCGCGAGGACGAGCTGTCTAAACGCTTCGGGGAAGGCAAGGTCCCAGCACACGAGGATGCCAACACGGCCGAGAGGGGTGTCGATGACTTGGTGGGGATTGGGGGATGCGTATCCTTCTTGGGAGGTATTTCGAGCATGGTCGACATAAGACGTTAGCGTATGCCGTTCGGGTATCCAGAGGTTCTGCTTGGTGTAAGTGCCGAGGAGGTTTCCATCATGGTCGATGAAGTCTGACGTGTTGAGTAGCGTAGGAGTCGAATCAGCGTTCTCGTCTTCCTTGGGAGCTTGAGAGACAAATGTGCCGGTGCAGATATTAACTTTTAGCTCTTTCGCCAAGTCTTGATATCTTTTGCGAAACTTTGCCGCGTCTTCGGGTGTAAGTGCGAAAGAAGGCTCTTCTGGCACCCAGCCTGTAAGATGATATTCAGGCAAGACAGCTAGTGAAATGCCCTGTGCGGCAGCAAGGCGAATCTGCTCAGCGGCGTGTGCAAAGTTATGCTCAGCATCAAGGGGCTATGCATGTGTGAGCGTGTCGTAGATCCCAGGAGCTTTCTGTTGCTCACCTTTGGCTTCATCTGCACAAGAGCTACCTTGAATGAGGAGATTGGTGTCGTTACGGCCATGTTGATTAAAATTAGGTTAGAATTTCTTGATAACGAGAAAACATGTACGGCACGAGTGGGCAGAGATAATAGAGACAAGTTGACGGGCTATTCGGCTATCAATACCTCGAAGCATCCAAGTGGTAGCCGTGATCCTGTGCCACAGGCTGCGTATAACTTCCTTTTCCGGTATGCAATTCCTTCTCCTAATGGCGCCAAGTCGGGCAAGGCTTGGTGGAGTAGTAGATCGGAGCATATGGTGCGGGTGGCTCATTTGCATTCAATACATCCTATCCAAGACATCGCAAGCGATTGGTAGAAAAGGATGCCGAGGATGAAGGATCCATGTGATGGATATGCGGTTCACGTTTATCAATTGATATTTGGTAACGTTGGGGCATGTGATGAAGAGGATGTGGCGAACTGGCGATGTACCGATTGAGAATTGAGATGTACAGAACCTGGTTTCACTTTAGGTGTTTACGTTGGAATAGGATCTGGGCATTCGGCTGAAGGAGTTCCCTTGGTCCGCGAAGTGCTCACATCATGCGAGTTGGTGAAATCATACATCCGAGACAAATTAGGTGATGGAAACTGAAGAGAGAGGCTGCCCCTCAGTAGGGCCGAGATAAATGCCATAAGATTGAGGGGTTGCTTACTTCATTTGTTGACAGGTCCCCTTGTTCTCATGATGGCCAGTTTGCCCATGTAGTGTAGTGATCTAGCTATCAGTATGCGAGTATCACTAACAAAGGCCTCCTTCACAAACCTGCCAAACTGTGAGGACATGGAAATCTTATCATCGGCATTTGTTATCTAAACTAGACCGAATTCGGCGATCATCGAAAACCCCAGAAGGAATGAATTCGCGCTAGAGTCATCATGTGATCTGAGATAGGAAGCTCCTAATCCACTCTTGACACCTCCGCGGTCCACCTCCACCTTTCCTTCTCCAGACTCCACACTTCAACGCGATACATCCAAACGGGTCATAACTTCACAATGCTATCCGCGACCTACACACCCGCGCGTAAGAACATCACTAGATCGCGCATGGGATGTGCCGTGTGCAAGTCCAAAAGAGTATGGCGCCCTTTCCTCCTCGCCACGGGAGATGTCTAACCCTGAGATATAGCTCAAATGTGATGAATTGAAGCCTGCCTGTGGTCGCTGTCTTAGACTGGGCATACCATGCCCCGGTTATCAGAAGCCTTTGCGCTGGAAGGCCGGATCAAAGTCTCCCAAGGATGTCCCTGATACGCCCAGGACCGATGTCTCTGCTGACCCCCAGCAAGGCTCGGCATATGCTCCGTATCAGCCGCAGCAGCCGAATGAACAGTTTGTCAACAACTTTTACGACACAGAACTTTTAGATCAATTCACCGGTTCCATGGACCCTGCATGCGTTGAGGTTCAGGGTCAAGAACCTATTGACTCATCCGTGCCTCTGATGCAGTTCTCGGATGACCTTCTCCAGCTGTATCCGGACCAAACAGCAGATACTCTATCCCAAGGCTCCAGCGAGGACAGACTTTGGCAATCTGGCGCTTTGGTACAGGTCCTGCCATATGCACAAGCTATGAATCGATTAGAACCCCAGAATCAAGTTACCCAAGTTTCTCAAGTTGCTGAGCAACATTACGATATGCCGTTAGCAGCTGCCCTCCAGGACCATTCTTCAGTTCTTGTCGAGTACTATTTCAAAGAGGTATGCGGATTGATGTCCTGTTACGACAGCCCTATGAACCCGTATCGAACTACCATATCAAACATGTGGTCCGGATCACAATCTCTCTATTATATCACCCAGAGCATGGCCGCCGCATGCCTCTCTGAAGTCTCACCCAATTTCTCACCGATCGGCCACCGACTTCGAGACCAAGCCATGATTTGTCTGTCCAGAGAAGCCAAAGTTGCCGAGTTGGAAACTTCTTCTTTACTGGCTTTAGTCATGTTGGGAATGAGTCTTTCATGGCATGATCCCAATAGTCTCGGTCAGCTCCAATTCGACGTCCTGGCCAAGAAGGTCTTCGCCGCTGAGGCACGTGGTGATGCCCTCGCTTTGGCAGATAAGAAAAAGGAATTTTTCTTCTACAATTCTTTGGTATACTGGAAGATGCTACTCTCCTTTGTCACAGACGTGGATCCAAACACGAGTGCCCAGCCCCAACCAGTCCCGCCAGATTGTCTCGACCTGCAAGAACCTCGTATGCCTCATCCACAGACAGGTATCGGCATCGAAGTTCAAGAGCTTGTTGCCAAAGTGGGAAGTCTTGTGCGAAAAGAGAGAAAGAGGATCCGCTCCCGTCGCTTTGCTTCAAAGGAAGATATACAGCATGCGCAGGATGCAATCGTGACTTCAGAGCTGCTTCACTCGGAGCTTCGTGCGTTACGGCTACCGCAGGAAAGCGACATTGTCGATGCCGGGGATGAGCTCACTCCCGCAATTCATCTGGTCAATGTGGCTGAAGCTTATCGGTGTACGGGGTTGCTTCAGTTGTACCGGAACTTTCCGGATCTTCTTGCACCTTTCATACAACCGGCGCACCCGAGCAACCAGTCATTTATGGGGGGATCACCCGACTCTGCTTCTTCCTACTCCGATGAGCGAGCTTTGGCGGATGCTTGGTTGACTTGTCTAGCACTTCATGTGCTAGACTTGGTAAAGGACATACCTTTGTCATCGCGAAGCAGATCTATTCAACCGTTGCTATTTGTGAGTATATGCAGTGAGCTCTCTCTTGGTCGTTCATATACTACAATTCCGGAGTTGCAGCAACCGCATGTGGTAAGCATAGCAACAAGCCCTAGGTTCAGAACGCCCTTGACTGTCCTTGATATTCTACACTCAAGAAAAGCCATCATCTCTCGTCTCTCTGCTTTTGAAAATATTCTGGCAGCCAAGCCAATCCGTCGAATGTTGGCGCTGGTCAAGAAGACGTGGACAAAGATGGACGAGGAGAAACACGAGGCCTACTGGATGGATGTGATGATGGACAATGGATATGAAACATTGATGGGATAGACTATTGGACTCGAGGACTGTGATTTGGATTTAGACTCCTAGGCATGAAGTTAGAGTTACTGGGTATAGGATCTTGACCTTGTAGCGTTATGCAAGGTCAGTATGTAAGTGTTTTAATTATGCGGGCACATTCTTTCGGATGTACTAGCCACGCTTATCTTTGGCTATTAAGTAAGAGGCGTAAGGATAATAGACCAATGATATTTCATATGATGCAAATATGGCCCCAGTCCTAATCAAACAAGGCTGCAGGGCAAGAGGTACTAATATGGACTTACATTGTTTCATATTCCTTTGTCGGTGCGTTCGTTACCCTTACATGAGCCGTGAGCTCAGGTGAGCCGGTATGGACAGTTGGACGACCAACAGTTTCAGACACTGTGACGGATAACAATAGAACAATGATAGACCACATCTTGTACACAGCGGTGAGGTTGCATGGATATATCGAAAAGACGATATGCTCCTTCGTAAGCCGTAACCGTACAAGCCAATAATCACGAATGAGATCAACTCTGACCATTTCACTTTCCTTGTCTTCTAAAAAATGACCTTGTTCGTCATTGTTGGTTCGACAAAGTATTGTTGAGTATCGGGATTCCCGATTCTTATCGTGAAATACCTCCAGATTCCACACAAGATGTCTTGACTGACGCCAATCTTGATTCTGACAATATCGTAGCTAACCTGAATTCTACGCTAACGATTATAGCTGTCATTTACTAGAAAGGATTTGAGTGACAGAGGGTGGTAATTCTCGCAGTATTGAACATACAGTTAAAATTGGTTCATAATTTAAGCTAAAATTGTTGGACATACCCACAGCCCGGAGAGACTGCCCTAGTGTACTTCTGCACTGGCCTCTTAAACTACTAATGTTGCTAACTGTCTCGCAGTATTCATTGGGAGAGATAGAGGGCGTCCTTTGCTAATATGAGTAATTTAAATCAACTCCGGGGTCGAGAGATACTATTTGATAATGCCCTCCTATGTCGAAATGGACTTCTTTCCCCCAGAATGATGCATGTTGAACCATAATCTGCCCCCTCAAAACATTGAACAGAGCTATCATATCATCATGAATCTATGAATGTCTGCTTGATAAGAATTCGTCATGCCTCCAAGAATGATAAGTCACATATGTTTCGCTCTTCGTCCCCATCGCGTACCAGCCTCGGCTCCCACATTTACGGTCTTTTCCAACTCGTATAAACCCAGACTGATCGGAGTCCGTTGAAGCAATCTGGACCGAGGACCTGGTTGAAGATGGTCCACGGTATAGCCTCTGATAAGCAACATAAGCGAGGCCTATGGTCGGTGAGGCTAAGCTTTAATATATCGTCCATCCGGGCTTGCCTTCAAGTACGATTGATCCAATCGGGCCCAAGAATGACCGTCATCAACTGTGGACATCCTGGAATAATTGCCAGACTGTGCCCTTTTACGGCGTTGCTTTAATATCTCGGGGTCCTCGTGCGATTTGCCGCTAATCCATATATGGCAAACAACTGGGCCACTCTAACCGGTTACAGGCGATAATGCCGCCGGGTCGCTTAAGATGCCCCATGCTTCTCTAATGCCTGGTCGTTTGCCCGAGTCCGGCCCTGCATCAGCATATCGGTAGTCTGGACTTCCGTACCGAATTTCCTATTAGCATAGCATAAGTCAGCCCTTGTTTGTATCTAGTGCAGGGACCATGGTGTAATTATCATATAATACAGATCTGTAGCTCCCCTTCTCTTGGTTGGGGAGTCATCGCCATCACCATCATCTTCAACTCTCATCATGGCTCGTGGTCTTCTCACTCTCTGCGTCAGCGCGCTCATCGCCGTTGCTGGCGCTGCCAAGCCTGTCGCCAAAGCGGCTGATGTGGTATTCGTCAATGGCAACATCTACACCATGTGCCCGTCCAATGGCATGGTAACCGCCATGGCCGTGCGCGACGGAAAGATCGAGTACGTCGGTAACAAGAAAAGCGCGGATCAGTACGTCGGAAAGAAGACAAAGGTCATTGACCTCAAGGGTCGTATGGCCATGCCTGGTCTCGTCGACTCGCATATGCACATTCTCTCAGGCGGTGCTTTCCTCCTCAAGTGCGATCTCAGCTACCAGACATTGCCTATCGAGGGTGTTCTCAAGCACATCCAGGGATGTCTCGACAATGAGACCGGTAAGACAGATGATGATTGGCTCGAGGTTGTCAATATGGACTACGCAGGTCTGGTTGACAAGAGTGGCAATGTTGGAAAGCTTCAGCTCGACAAGCTCAAGACCAAGCGTCCTATTATCGTCCGTTCAAGCGACTACCACACCATCCTCGCCAATTCGCGCGCCCTCGAACTCTCCAAGATCGACGCAGACACCCCAGACCCCGCCGATGGCAAGATCGTTCGCCTCCCCGGTAGCAAGGAGCCCTCGGGCGCTCTCGCAGACGGTGCCTCTGCGCTGCTCGCTGGTCCTCCCCCACCTACCGACGAGGAGAACCTCCAGGCCGGCCGTGCTGCGCTCAAGCTCCTCCGTGAAGCTGGTATCACTACGTTCCAAGAAGCCGCTGCCGGCGATGACCACCACAAGATCTTCGCTACCCTCAAGAAGGAGGATAGTCTCTCCGCGCGCGCTTACTTCGATTATCGCATTGAGGCGCCCAAGTCCCTCGACGCTGTGCCTGCGCTTGTGAACAGCGTCGTTAAGAAGCTGACTCCCTGGCACGACAAGACAGCTATTACTGCTAAGCCGACAATCAAGTGGCAGGCTATTAAGGCCTTCATCGACGGCGTCATTACATACCCTGCGAACACAGCTGCTCTGATAGATCCCTACTGGGCGCCCGTCAACAGCTCTGACACGAATGGCACCTGGGCTCCTGACAAGAACTCCCTCAACAAGCCTTACTGGAACCCTGCCATTCTCACAAAGACTCTCGAGCTGCTCTTCCTCAGCGGCTTCGACGCTCAGCTGCACGTTGACGGAGATCTCGCTGTGCGCGTTGGTCTCGACGCTGCTGAGTCGTTTCGCAAGAAGTACCCCCGCAAGGACTTCCGTCTTGGCCTGGCTCACGACGAGCTTTCGCACGAGAAGGATTGGGCGCGATTTGCCAAGCTTGGCGTTGATCCCATCGTCAGCTACCAGTGGTCGCAGCTCAGCTCTTTCTACATCCCCAACACGTTCAAGTCTCTTGCAGACTACCGTATGGATAATCTCCAAGCCTGGGCCAAGATTGAGGCAGCGGGCCGCCCTCTTGTCTACGGCAGTGACTGGCCTGTAAGTATCTCCCTTTCAATAACTTCTTCTGCAGAAACCCACAGTCGCAGATTGATCCTCTTGATGAGTTCCTCGCCCTCAAGGTCGCCGTTACTCGTTCTGGCGACCCCAAGAACCCCAACTCCCCCGCCTTCCAGGGCCCACCGTTCGATGGTGTGTTCCCTGGCAGCGGCATCTCGCGCCAGTCGGCACTACGCTCCATCACCATCAACGGCGCGCGCTTCCTCCGCGCCGACAAGCAGATCGGATCCCTCGAGGTGGGCAAGCTCGCCGACGTCATCATCCTCGAGAACAACTTCTTCAAGGTCCCCAAGGAGGAGCTTGGACGCCAGAAGGTGCTCCTCACCATGGTGGGCGGCGAGGTGGTTTATGTGGCCGACGGGCAGAAGTTTGGCGTCAAGGGCAAGTACCCCGACGACGACGCGCACAGCGCTAAGCTGGCCCGCCGCACTATCGGCGGCTTTGGCGCGAAGGACCTGTCAATTGAGGAGAAGGCAAATGCTGCTAAGCTCCGAAAGAGGGGAGCTTGCACGCACAAGCACTGAAGCGGGCGAGTCAGTTAACGTTTGAGTTTATGGCGGGTTGTGGGTACTGTACGAGTTTGTTGCAAATAAACTTAATAAGCTAGGCAGTGCTAGACTGCTAGTAATGTAAAAATGCAAGGGAAATGAGCTGATAAACTCAGGGTGCTCCATAATTGTTGGTGTGATAACTGTGATAACTGTGATGCCTCAGGGATGTGAAATGTGAATCAACAACCAACACAATTGCGAGTCAGTGACCCAGTCAGACGGTAGTTTCGCCATGATAGAGCTTCTTTTTACGGAGTAGTTCAATCAGCCTTCGTCTATCAATCACCCTTAGGGGTTGGAAGCAGACCTCGCTACGGAGGAACATCAAACTTGTAGGCCCCGGATCTGCACTTTCTTCCCCTAGTTTCATTGACTGACTGCAATCGTAACCCTATCGGGCGACCCGTGTCACCATTGTAGAAACGGACGAACGGTTGGTGCGCCTGGCAGGGCCAATCGCAAGCCGTAGCCTCAGTTGCCTAATGCCTGTTACCTGACATATCTAAACAGGGGTCTCTCGGTACATGCCTGTCCCCACGCACGGATCGATCCCGCAAATCCGCTGCTAAGCCTTAACTCAATCTGGTTGATGTAGCAGCGCGCCATACGCAAAGTAGTTCCAGAACATCCAGCCGCATGACAGCCAACAGCAATATTGTCCAGCATGGCCAGTTCCTCGGTTCAAAGTGGTGAAGGAACAGGTATTTTGGTATCTTTTTAAGGGGCTTCAGCTGGCAATGTAAGGGGGATCGGTGTTTCTCTTGCCTAGCCTCATCTGAGATGCAGCCCATTGTCGGAACGACATGAGAAGGTTCGGAATCGAAGTGATATCGATCGTTGTTGGTGGTCAAAGCAGATTTATGACCTGATTATAACCAGGTGAATGATAAGAGTGGTGAGGATGTGAATCGATAGACTTCTTCCCTCCTAAATAGATCTCTTCTCTCGCAGTTTTCTTCGTTCTAATGTTCGGCACAGACGCCACTGCATGATACCATCCCACGATGCATGCATGCAGCGCGTTCAGCCCCGTGCGGCCGTATGTATGTACAGTACTGACTGATGCTCAGTTGTGGCGACCAAAAGCAAAAGCATTGACGGTTCGCGATGCTGAACTTCCCACTGAAGATCGTATCACCTGTCTCAGCCTTACTCTCCACAGGAATGGCGGCTTTCTGCCCTGTGGCTTCCACCAGCGCCTTGTGTACATCCCCTGGCATTCTCACAGCTACGTGAAATAACATTGCAGGATGTTAGGGTCTGGACTAGGCTGATGGTGCGACTTTGAAGAAAGCAGGCTGAATACTCCGTACAAAATGCTTGTTCCTTACGGCGGAACGAGCTCCTCCATCCAGTCGTCATGTCCGTGGCGTAAACTCTAAAAAGAAACAGCTAATTAGTTAGCACTAGAAGCCGGAATATCTTTAGTGGCCTAGCTTAAAGCCACTTTACATATCCGTCAGCAATAAGCTTGCGGACACAGAGTGCATCGACAGACAAGTCCGTCAGGCTCATGCACGTCGCAGCCTGGGATGCAATCCAGCCAACAGGAGGTGCTGGAGAGGTCCGTTCTCTGTCCCGTTATCTTAATTCCGCAAGTGCAAAGTTCAAACGGGACAAGCCTTGTCGTACCGGAAAGATTTTGGGTTTTTATCAAGGGCCCTGTCCCCAGCTGTTGCGTGTGCATCTTGACGATCTTTCTGCGCTCCCCTTGCCTTGTCCTGCGTTTCCTTGTCTTGTTCTGTCTTGTCTTGAACAAACGAGACTCGTTTCAATTGCGTCTAATGCTTCAATTCTTATTAAAATATTGCAATGGCTTCCGCACCTTCGGGTGCTGCCGTACTGGTGAGTTGACCTGGCCCCGCCCTGATGTTTATCCCTTAGATCTAACGGTCGGTCCAAGGGCGTGATCTACTCGCTCATTTTGTTGGCGGCTCTGATTATTATAGCTCGTATCTATCTACGTCTTGTGATACAGAAACAGAGACTCGTCGCTGCAGATTGGCTGCGGATAGCAGCATGGTGCTCAGCATTTACGACAGCATCTTTCGACGTTGTCTTCTTGAAGGAAGATGTGTTGGATCCCTCTCTTAACTACACTCTAGTCAATTGGGATGTACCTCCCGAGAAGCTGGAAAGAGTCCTTAAAGTGAGCCTCACTATCAAGACAGCCCAAGGCCTCATGCTAATGCGATATTGTAGTATATGTGGGCTGGTGTCATTCCCTTCTTCACAACATTCTACCTATGCAAAGCATCTCTTCTTGTCGTCTACCTCCAACTGTTTCCGCCTTTCATGAAAAAGAGAAGATTTCTGGTTTGGTCAGTCGTTGTTTATTGCATCGTTGCATACATAATATCGATATGTCTGCAGATGTTCTCTTGCTATCCAATTCGCAGAAACTGGTTTGTTCCCATATGTTCACCTCGTACTATCCGTTTCTAACAATCGTTTAGGACGGTTGCTCCACCTGAGGACACCTGTGATGGTGATGTGTTGGAGAGAACTTTCCAGGTTGCTTGGACATTGCACTTCATTGGAAGTCTGTTCCGTAAGTTCCATTGCATCTTGACCTCACATGGTATTTATACTTACTTCCACCTTAGTTTTTGCTCTGCCATTCCTCGTTCTCCACAAGCTTAACATGCGCACGCGTGTCAAGATCAGTGTCTACTGTATCTTCCTCCTGGGACTGATCGACATCGCAATGTCTCTCACGCGATTCCTGACCATTCAACTTGGCAACGTCGGTGACTTCCGCTCCATTACAACAATTGGTATGTACCGTTATCTGCCCCCCTGACAAACATCTTCTGACTGGATACCAGAACTTTGGAGTGCACTGGACGTCTACATAGGCCTCATCATCGCCTGTCTTCCCGCCCTCCGACCATACCTCCGCCGAAAGGGCTCCAAATACGACTACCCTGGATCCGGACGACCGACTGGCAACTCTGCTGCACCTCCCCGTCGGGTCGGACAGAGCGGCTTTGAAGAACTAGACGAGACACCGTCGCTGGATGGTGACGTTGGCCCTAGGACGTGGGCAGGGTCCAGCTCGCCTGAGCTTGGTGCAGGATGGAGCGATAAGAAGAGTACGAGAAGTGACGTTGAGCTTGTCACTCTAGATGCTAGTACGAAAGATAGGGCGCACACGTGATTGGAATTTTTAAGCGTACGGGACTTTTGGGAATAGAATTTAATTAGCCTGTTTATATCAATCGAGACCATGTCTCATTTCCAGATGCAGGATCCAGGATGCACTAAAGTCGAGACTGATAAGCCCACGAATTATTATTTCTAGAACATGGACAGGGTAACCTACCTAGTGATCAACAGGGGGAAGTAAAAAAAGATCCCCAGCCATGGTGTCCCTGCTCGGATCCTTGTTCAATTGGGTATGGGGTATGACTCGCAGTGTCATGGACCAACAGACGGTTCATGCAGGCTTTTGCCAGGTGATGCATCAGGCCATGAGCGGGAGATCAACGAAGCGATAACCGCATGGACCGAGAAACAAAGATGCCAAGAAGTCCAGAAGAAGAGCGTCACATTCATCTCGGTTTGAATCAGTGATAACTCTCTTTAGACAGACGAGATTCAGTCAGCATTTCTTCCATAAGAGTCTGCTTCACCACCAAACCGGAATGGGAACATCAAACATCCGTTGATCTCCAAGCTTCTCAAAGATCAACATAGAAGAAACTATGCCATTCATCATGCCAAATCAATAATGGAAGCATCCCTACCCTATCACGAACCTTCCATAACAATAATCGCTATATTATCTGGTTTTCTGTTGCTCTTGAATCTTGTCAATCATGGTCTAGACAAACTCGCCTACTGCGGTCTGATTGGCCAAGTCGCCCTTGGGATCGCTTGGGGCACACCAGGCGCAAAATGGCTTTCGCGAGAGGTTGAAGATGCTGTTGTGCAGTTGGGATATCTTGGTCTCATCCTGCTCGTATTTGAAGGCAGTGCCCATATTCTGTCTTGTCACGATATCACATATCTAACAAATGTTACAGGTGGACTATCAACGTCGTTCAAATCCCTCAAGGCCAACCTGGGTTTATCTTCTATCGTTGCAACCACTGGAATTCTCATTCCAATTGGCTTTTCCTTCGCCGTCATGTCAATGCTCAACGCAACTCCATTGCAGGCTTTTTCCGCTGGTGCTGCGCTCTGTTCTACCAGTCTCGGCACCACATTCACCATCCTAGGCACAAGCGGGCTTTCCGCGACGCGTCTCGGTGTCGTCTTAACGAGTGCTGCTATGATGGATGATGTCGTTGGTCTTATCATGGTACAGGTTATCTCGAACCTCGGCGGTGATTCATTTGATGCTATCACTGTTGTGAGACCTGTCGTGGTATCGCTGGGCTTTGCAGTCGTGATTCCTATCCTGTGCAGGGTTATAGTTGTGCCTGTCACCAAGAGTCTCAATTCCTTCAGGGAAGGAAATCCCATCTCAAATATTTCAAAAGCGTTGAGTCTCAGACAGACTGCTTTTGTTATTCACACAGCTTACCTACTTGGTATAGTCGTTGGAGCAACCTTTGCAGGTACTTCGAGTCTATTGGCCGCTTACATTGCCGGTGCGACTATCAGTTGGTGGGATTCTGATGTTCCACACATTGAAGCCCAGGATGCCAACGCCACTGACTCGCATGGAACTGAGGAATCAAGAACAACCGAAAGCGAGACTATAGAAGAATCATCCGCTGCTCCAGTGGACCAGAGACCATCACCCACAGCCATGAAAGGCGGCTCTGGAGCCGAAATCTTTCATCGTTACTACGAGCCTGCCTTGCAACGCATCCTCAAGCCTTTCTTCTTTGTAAGTGCATCGAATATCATCTTGCATTTCAATACTAATTGATTACAGGTATCCATCGGATTTTCGGTTCCTATTGCGAAGCTTTTCACAGGTCCAATCGTCTGGCGTGGAGTGATCTATACGATTCTCATGATAATCGCGAAACTTGCCTGTGGCTTATGGCTAGTTTCTTTCACTATTCCTTACCGAGCTTCTGCACAGCTTATCCAGAGGTTCTCCCCTAAACTTCGAAGTTCTTCTAAAAGCCTTGTTCCTGGTACCCAATGTGCAGACACCACTTTCACGCCCCAGGAAGATAGTACAGCCGAAAGAGTACAACAGTGCAATGATATCCCTCTAGAGCCAACTGAGGGCACCAGTACAACCCAAACCTCTCCCCAAGTACACAACTCGATGCCAAAACCGGAGAAATCCATATCACTTTACCCAGCATGCATAGTTGGTGTGGGAATGGTAGCTCGTGGAGAAATCGGTTATCTGATTTCTGCACTGGCTGAAAGCAAGGGGATCTTTGGTCGACCAGCGGATGGTCAGCCTTCGGAGCTCTTCCTCATAATCACATGGGCTATCACGCTTTGCACAATCATAGGGCCAATATCAGTAGGCCTAATTGTGAATCGAGTTAGACAGCTAGAAAGTGGGAGTCAGAAGACAAGAGGCGAGAATAAAAGAAATGTGCTTGGGGCTTGGGGTGTGAGCTAGACGATACCTGCCATAGACCCACGACTTCTTGTAACTTTTTAAACAGCCACAGAGATTAATTTGGTTGGCGCTGTCTATAGAACAGTACTTGGGCTTTTATAGAGTGCTACGCAGTCTTCCCAGTCCGGAATTGGTCACCATGCTCCGTTCCGTGGAAAAATACGTTCCGTCTTCTCACTCATGATGATTCATGGACTGTTCGTACTCATGAAGGATTTTCTTATAGGAATTGTAAAATTGTCACGCCTGAAGTCTATAGTGAAACCGAAGCAGAATGTAACGAACCAACACTCAACCCTTCCTTGGCTAATTCCACCCAAGACGATGATTCCGTGGTATCACTTGCACCAGCTTGATTTGAACTCTGGCGCATCTTGTTTAGAGCCCCGAAACCCCCTTTGATACTATCGACCTCGTATCCCTTGGCACGCAGAACGCTAGTGGCAACTCGTGCGCTATCACCATCATAGCAAGTGAGAAGAATCTTTTTACCTTGCAGAAGGGATTGCATCTCTGGCTTCGGGCTTTTGAAACTGTCTTCGAGTGCTTTCCAAAGGGATTCTAGGAGCTTGGCGTCTGAAAATGGGCTTGGTGTGCTGTTGTGAACAAACGGCATGTTGATAGAACTAGGAAGGTGAAAGCTCTTGAAGTCTTGTGACTGCCGTAGATCGATGATAGTGGTGTCCGGTCTCGAGCGTAGGATGCTTTGTAGGTTGATGGCGGTTGAAAGTCCACTCTTGGGGTCGGCGAGGACCATATCGAGAAGTGCACCTCGGTCGACATCAAAGAAAGCATCGAGAGCTTCTGAAGCCGATCGCTCCCACTTCTCGTCATATCGATACAAGTCGACTTTCAAAAGATCCTAAACAAATGTTAGTCATCCCGAGGAATCAGTCGACGATATGACTCACCTGGTTCGTAATAGGAGGAAAGTAACTCTCCCCAAGCTTATCAAAGTACTCATCGATATACTGATACGGCAAGTCACAGCACAGAAACACGCAGTTGATAGTTCCATCAGACCCCGCCAATTCTGAAAGAGTACCCTCGGTTTTACGCTTTTCGATGAGTTGGTATAGACCAGTGAGGTTAAAGCCTGAAGAGGGTCCGCAGACGATACCGTTTCTGCAGAGGTCTAACGACAGGGAGAAAGAGTTGTGTGAGTCGACTTCCTCTATATGATCAACCGCTCGTTTCCATGGGAATTGTACAGGGGCTAGAAGGGCGAAGGAGCGGGGACCTGGGACTCGGTCGCCGGGTGCGGTGCACACGCTGGAGGCTGTTAGTGGCGATGCAATGATGAGGTCGAGTGATAGTAACTAACCCCAAGCGATATACTGAAGGTTTTGCTTCTTTGAAATATGTGCCTAATCCCGTCATTGTTCCTTTTTATCGTTAGTTAGGAATAGGTAGAGAAGGACACATTGACTCACCAGAAGTTCCCATGCCGGCACAGATGATGTTGATCTCTGGCAACTGTTGGAATATTTGCGGCCCCGTCCATTTAACATGAGCGTTCCAATTCTGTCTCAAGATTAGGTCTGGTTTTCATATCTGATAGTGCATACTCACGAGGTCGTTTTCATACTGGTTTGGGTTTATAACAGTTTCGTCTGACTGCTGGGCTAGTCTCTGGGCTGCTCTTATTCCCCCTCTTTCGTCGAGTGGCTCGGGTTGGGATGGGCCTCCAAACAGGGTACTAGTCGTAGGTTAGTAGGACTTTCCAAGCTTCATTAAAGGTGTTGGCTCACATATCTATTCCGAAGAATTGCATAAGTCGGAGTTTCGATGAGCTTGTTTTGTTGCTTAAAAATGCTCGGACGTCGTCGATGCCATGAATGGCTCGAGAAATCAAGGACATTGAAAGAACAGTCGACCCAGAGCTGTACTCAACCACTGCTTTAGTCTTTCCAGGCACTACACAATTTTGAAGAAGATTCAAGGCTATTTCTTAGGTCAACTAACAACACAGACACCCTCGTAGGGCTTCTTACCAGGCATGGCTTTGACATTATTTGCAGGGTGCATAGTCATCATCTTGGCATAGATGCGCACTCCATCTTGATGATACGGATTAAGAGAATCGGGTAGTTCAACAAGCGGAAGAGGCGGCGAAGACTCCGGGTCAAAGTACTTCTGAATAGAGTCTTTGCCCTTGTACACGTTGAGAGGGTTGGGACTAGCCATCCTGGAACAAAGTTGTGGCTTGAAGTGGGAGCCGAGATGGTGATAGCACAGAACTGACAGATGTTTTGAGGAGAGACCTGGCCGCTATATAAACGAGTCCAAGTGATATTGTGCGCTTACCAGTCTGTGCAGAATGGTCTTCAGGCTGCAACAGGGATTTTCTCTTCTGCATATGGCGTGGGATATCTGACTGACAGCGCATGATGCATCGGTTCGTCTTGAACAGGACTGTGAGCCAATTGGGACACCTAGGCCCACAAGGTGATTTCTCTCAGTGCATATATATCCATTGCCAAAAGGCAGGGTGAGTGGGTGTCACGGAATAAAGAAACGAGATTGGGGCAGTGACATGGGGTCCGAGTGAAAGCACGCGTTATTTAGCGCCGTCCCCTTGTTGATCAACCGTCTACGTCTCATCTCATAGACGACTGCCGTGTTGCCAGACCAGGTCAATAAGTATAAACTTGTTGATATCAATGATGTCCTCAACCCTCAGGGTGGCGTTTGTGCAAAGGTTAGCCATCAAGGTGGTGCCAATAGATGCATGAGCAAGACGCCATTATTTAGCTACAACGGGCCCCCAGTTAGATTGTATTATTTGACTTATTTCCAGCCATTCTTTTGCAGATTCTTCACTCCAGCCTGAGAGGCTAAGGACCCTGATAGTTTGCCGTCCAAGGGCGAGTGGAGATGTTGATCATTGCTCCAGAGACCAGGTTTCATTTTACTAGTGCCTCGGGCGACCTTGATGGATCAAATATCAATTCTGCTCAAGGGATGTTGGATTAAAGCAACAATACTGATGCGAGTCCATTGAATGGAGACACATGCCTTGTTGGTGGCCTGTGCGACAAATCGCCCTCAAAATCGTGCAAAGCCACGCAGTCATTGAAGAGGATCATGGTAGCCAAATTTCGCAAACTTGCTCAACTAACTCGTATTGGAAGTCTTCAGAGTAGTAACTTGCGCATTGCGGTTATTTTCCGTCCAACTTAATCTGCTCACATCCTGGTACTGCTACATCGGCGGTCGATCACCCGAAACAACACCCTTGTTGTTCTTTCAAGAGGGTGGGTTTTGATTAAGGCTTTTACACAAAACATATCCAAATGCCGATCCAAAGTAGTGAAATCAAGGTTCACGGGACGGTAGTTGTCCGGTAATTCGACTGACATACCGAGGCTATCAATCTCCCACACGAGTTCTCACCGTCTTTGCAGCCCCTGAGTAATCTAGAATTGGAGGCTTGAAACATCAACGGTCTTTGGAATTCTTGCACCTTCTGGTGTCGTGTTTCTCATGAGAGAAACATTCTTATACCTTGCTTCATAACAGTTACTGGCAATTCCAAGGTCTACACCGTCAGTCTCGCCTAAATAATAACATACTCTATGATGGAGAGTCGAGATCCAACAGCTACTATGGCCACGAGCCGTGACCCAGAATCAACGAAAACCATTGCCGCTGATGGTAAATCCAACAGTGAGAATGTCCATGAGTTCAGCGAGCAAACAAATTACGTACCAAAGCGCGCCATCATCACAGTAAGTCTTTCTGAGTCAACTGCTCCTTTCTGAAATGTTACTGACTCCGAATAGATATTTCTAGCATGCGCAAGCGTAGATCTTTTGGCGCTGATGGATCAAACCATGCTGGCGACAAGTTTATACATCATAGGAAACGCCTTGGGCTCAACATCACAGGTCTCGTGGATATCCAGCGGATACTTCATGTAAGAGTCTCCGTAAATGCGTGCGAATATACCTAACATCAACAGAACCTCGACGGTAGGACAGCTCATGTATGGGCGCCTATCAGATATTTGGTCTCGCAAAGTCATTCTTCTCGTGGGACTTGCCATATTCTTCATTGGATCCCTCGCCTCATCTCTAGCAGAGACTGTGCTGCAACTTACCGTCTTTCGCGCCATTACTGGTATTGGGGGCGGTGGTTTGATGACGGTTGCGCAACTGATAGTGAGCGACGTGGTTCCACTGCGAGAGAGGGGGAAATATCAAGGTATCTTGGTAAGCCTTGAACAGACGGCAATTAACAGTTCAATCAGCTAATTTTCTCCAAGGGCGCCGTGGTCGCGATCGCCAATGGTGTTGGACCCGTGGTGGGCGGTGCACTATCTTCAAGTTCTGAGGATTCATGGCGATGGATCTTCAGAATGCAGCTACCTTTGACTCTGATAACAACGCTGTGTGTATTATTTTTCATGCCACTGAAGAGTGTGCCAGGAGATTGGAAGCTGTGAGTCAGGTATACCAAGGTCTGAACACGGCAACTGACGAGATTGCAGGAAGCTCAAGGCTGTTGATTTTCTAGGCATATTTCTTGCCTTGGCTGGAATGACCGTTGTTATTCTGGGACTAACTTGGGGGGGTCAGGACTACGCCTGGAATTCTGCTCAGGTAATTACGACTTTGGTGGTGGGCACGGCAGTATCTGTCGCTTTTATGATGTGGCAATGGAAGGGCCCTAAATATCCATTGATACCTTGTAAGACAACCATCAGTGATTCAAAAAGCAACGATTTTGACATGAAACACAGTACACATCTTCAAATCCAGGATCGTCAACGGTGCATGTTTAACCATGGCCATCAATGGCTGGAACTTTGTTGTGCAAGTCTACTACATCCCCTCCTTCTACCAACTCGTCTACGGCTACTCTGCCACCAAAGCCGGCGCGATGCTGCTCCCAATCACACTTCTGCAGACAGCAAGTAGTACTCTCTCCGGTCTGGTAGTACACTGGATTGGTCGGTATCGTGAGTGTATTCTCTTCGGTTGGCTATGCTGGGCAGTTGGCCTGGGCTTGATGTCAACTCTTGACGAGAATACGGGGATTGGGAAACAAATTGGTTATTCTGTGCTCATTGGAGCAGGAGTGGGTAATACTTTACAGCCGTGAGTAGTGATCATGACGTTTGGATGAGCGTGGGAGCTGACGAGAGCATAGTGCGCTCATTGCTACGCAAGCTGGTGTTGAGCGGCGTGATATGGCAGTTGTCACATCATTTCGCAAGTAAGTGACCGGCATCTGGCGTAGGACTGAAACGCCATAATCTAATATTATGTGATATGTAGTTTTGTCAGGAACCTTGGTGCAACCCTAGGTCTTGCAGTATGCGGTACAGTGCTGTAAGTTTGCTCACTCGTTGCAGCGACAATTGCTCACTCTTCATCCAGGAACAACGTCTTAGCAAGCTCATTGTCCTCCCTAGACCTGAATGATCACGACTCAAAAACATTGCTAGGAAACCCTCAGACTTTTCTAGACACAGTCTCTACAAGTGAGGCTGAGAGAATTCGATCAGTTCTCATCCCGGCATACAGACAGGGTTTCCGCATAATCTTCCTCACTGGCGCAAGCTTAGCAAGCGTTGCATTCATCCTAGCCTTCGTCCTCATGCCGCAGGTTGATCTCACTCGTCCGGATGACTCCCGGTTGAAGGAAGAAGGCCGCAGGGCATACGAGGAGAAACGAAGTCAAATTGGGGTGTAGCTGTTGTGACGGCATGCGTACGTGGGGTTTGGGAATATTTTGAGGCAATTGCGGGTTTATCAAAAAAGGCTACAGGGGGGGAATTAGAGCAATGGATGCCAATAATGGTGCTTTTTTGGCTCATGAAAGAAGAGTGACGTGCCTAGATGTGATCGACAGAAGATGGGTGGTCAGGCACGGGACAGGCAGGTGGTGATTATGAGACATCCAGGGTCTCTCAATGGACATGAGTGTCTCTGGAAGAGAAACAGAAACGGCTCAAAGTTTAATTAACCGTTGGTTGAAAAAAGAAAGAAAAGTTGGACACTGGCGACTCTTAACAAGAAATGCTGGTAGCGTGCACCGTTAGCGACCTCTCTCGTCGATCCACGTCCTTTTGGACAATCTTTTGGGTGCACATTCTGCACAGCCCTTATGCAGTAGTAGAATTTCGATTGCCTAAGCGTCGACGCCTCAACTGAACGAACCAATGTTACCCGCAGCCGCTCTGCAATACCGGGTTCGGATGATAGTGAGTTTTGCTGGTGCGTGGCCCGGCACAAGGGATACAGCATGCCAAGCGAGCCGCGTATAAGTCAGGGGGACCCTTCTGCCCTCTTTCATCCTGTCAGCGTCTGTATCAGCCCATTTTGTGGTCCGCCTGTCAAGCCCCCTGCCACCCTTGAAGAAAATGCGACTATTATGACGATTATCGCGTTTGGCAACGGAGCCAATCATCGAAGACGGAGGCCATCGCCGATGAACCAATATAGACATGCCGACGAATATGAAGAAGAATAGGAACGGTAGCCAATAATTGCTCGACTTTTCTTGTGATATCCGCTTATTGAAATCCGGGCTCTACCTCGTTTGATACCAAGTCCCCGGTTCGGCTTTTATATAAAAGACCATGTACGGTACATCTTGACGAGTTACCTCTCACGCTCCCATACTACCTTTCAGGGTATCGCGCCATAGGCCATCCTTGACGTGAATCAAAATATTAATAATTATCTAAACGATGTCATACTCTATCCAAAGTCGTCAACGTCCTCTCCTACCTGCCTCCCCGAAAACCCCATCACAAACCATCCCTCACAAGATCCTCCCCCGTCATCCAAGAGTCGGTGTCACAATAGCCTGCGAAACGTGTCGAAGACGCAAAGTCCGAGTACGTTCCCCTTGGCAGCATTTCAACGCTATATCTAACTCTTGACCCAGTGTAACGGACATCGGCCGCGTTGCGCAGGCTGCGCTCGAGCAGGCTCGACTTGCACATATTCTCTGACGACAACTGATCAGGACCTAAGACAACGGTTTAAACACGCTGAGATGGAACGGACGGAGAACCAAAACCTCATCGATATTTTACGCTCGAGAAACCAAGACGAGGCGAATTCTATTCTTGATCTGCTTAGGCAGGATGCGAGTGTGCGGGACATTTTGCGAGATATAGAGCACGGAGACATGCTGTGCGAGCTATCGCTTGCCCCTAAAACTAAAGACGTCTAAATATCTTCTCTTCACTGAATCTTCCACTCGCCCGACTTCGCGGCATCTTCTTTACGTCAAACTCTCTGGTGTCTCAGCACGCAATATCAAGTCTTATTCAGATCCGTGCTGACTCAACAGTGCTCCGAGGTCAATAATCCAACAGCCCTGGCCTATTTAATTAATACAAACAAGATAAAACCAAATACAACTTGTCTTATTTCCTATGATTCTGCGCAGACATGTACCTTTAGACCAACTTCCGCCCCACCCAACCCCGCTTACCAAATGTCTCCACGGTTTAGTCTATTTACTCAGCCATCACCATCATTGTTACATCCATTTCACTGAATTCAACCCAAAGATAGGCTCCAAACTCACTCGATATGTCACTCTACGTACGACAGCTTAACATTAGCGACCTTGAGCAGTCACTGGTCGTCGAGACCGCGGCCTTTCCACCTGCCGAGGCTGCTACGCGCGAAAAGGTACAACGATTATCACGACTTTGAAAACAGGCCTAACACGAGGTATAGATCGATTACCGTCTAACGGTTTGCCCTGAACTATGCATTGGTCTCTTCCTTCGTGCAGGGACTACTCTTCCCTCTCCCCTACCTCAGAATATACCCTTCGTCGAGAAACCGGCGTCCGACGAAGATAAGCTACTCGCACACGTCATCTCTACTAAAACAACCAACCAGTCTGTCAGAGACCAAGATATGGGCTGTCCTCCTAACTGGACAGAAGACCCCCAGGGTGTCTACGAAGTCGGCCATAATAAGAATGGGAGAACAATTGCCCTTCACGCCCTGGCTGTCTCTCCCGATTACCAGAGGTCTGGTTTGGGCAAAGCCATCATGCGAGCATACATTGAGAAGATGAAAGAGACCAACACAGGCGACAGGATCTCCATCTTGACATATGACCGGCTCGTGCCTTATTACCAGAAGCTTGGGTTCGAGCACTACGGGAAGAGCGAGTCTGAATATGCTGGTGTTGCTTGGCATGACCTTGTAAGTTGACAAAAGATGCTTTTTGAATTACTGCTAACTTTTACACAGTCATACGTTCTTTCTTCTGAGAAGTAATAGCTGAGTACATAAGCTGGAGATTGATTTTCCAGGATGGGAATAAAATCTCAGGGAATGCTTTCTGAATGAGAGTTTAGGTTCTTTCAGATGAGATGACTATAAACCGTCCCTTCAGGCCTGTACTGCGCCAAGAAATAGGGACACATGATTTTAAGAAGCTTCAAAGGAGGATGCCACAGTCTTATGTCTCGAAAAAAGAAAACAAGCTTCAGATACATCCAAAAAGTGAACATAATGGCGCTGGAGACAACGATATCTTGTCCCGTCTTAGCATCATGTGAATAGCATCTAAGGCAACGTGACGGAGTGGTTAACGTGCTTGCCTCGAATTAAAGAAAGCAAGTTCCTTCGGGAGCGCAGGTTCGAATCCTGCCGTTGTCGATATTTTTGCCTGTTCGATGTCTCGATCTATGGTGTTGTGGATATATCGTGTTAGTTCAGGTTACTATGGAGCGTCTTTGTGGGTCAATTCCCGCAGAGGACTGCAAGAAACTGACCAAAGGACGAGTCAGGGTAATTCTTGATGACATTTGATTATAGATGAGATGCTTGGATCACTTCTCTTGGGCCATGCCCGATCGTTTGCGACCTGGAGCTTTGGGGGCTAGTTCTTGCGTGGTATTTTGATTTTTGCAGGAGTATTCCCGCCCACATAGCAGAACTACATTTAAGCCGACGACACATCTTTGAAAACACCCGTGCTTGATAGACAGTCAAGTAGCATTGCGTAAAGTGGAAGTATTATTTAGATATAGTACGCTCAAAATATAGACACTAGACTTAGTAAACTGATTCTCCTTTGCATTAACAAAGGTTCAACTCGCCAACAAGCGCAACGACAGAAGCAAAGCCAGCATCAAGAGTTGGCCGAATCGACAAGAGTCCACTGCCTCGGTCCCACTCAGCAATATGTGCATTCTCCTCCGTGGCCTTGTCAGCATCACCATCCGGTGTGGCAGGAATTCCAAACACTCTCACTGAGCCGCCTGCGGACTTGGCCTCATCAAACATGTCGTCGACTTGGTTGGCGAGCTTACCGTCGCGAATGGAAATTTTGAAGCCAAGGTTTCTCACAACAACTAGATAGTCGGGGAAGGCGAGTTTGCGAGACTCCTCGGAGGCGCTACTTGATAGCTGGTACCGTCTTCCAGGGCTGGGCACATTCCTGCGAGAGGGTCAGCGGGTTTATCACGCATTATGGAAAAACAAGGCTTACCAGTCACCAGCTGGTACAGAAATGGTCTGAATCTCATCGTAGGAGAATTGAACATCAAGGTAAGTATCAGTGTCGACTGTACCGAAAGCCACCGCTTTCTCATTCGTGCTTCCTTTGCCGGCTGTAAAAGACAGCCATGGACCATATGAGAATCCGTCTGTGGCGGCGTGGCCAAAGTCAGACTCGTTAACCTCTCTACCATCAGCGACATTGATCTGGGTGGATGAATCGCCGTCGCCAACGCCGTTCATCCAATGCTCGATCTGGTATGTGTAGTGTGGAGAAAGGAACTCTGGGACATATGTGATGGCATGTGGGATTCTGTCTCTTTCGAGCAGTTCCCGTGTGATGTCTGCAGAGGCATGGCAAGCTGGCATGGTTATACTAGGAGAAGTTTAGTAAAAAGCAAGGTAACGGGGAAATGATGGTTCCCACCCTTCAACTGATTGTCCTCCGATCAGGGCTTTGACGATCCTGTTGAAGTCCCTAGCGAGCTGACTGGCAGCTGGTCCTCCAACACTAAGAAGCGATGCCTGGTAGTCTGCAGCCACAGCCTCGACTTTTTGTTTGGCTGCTGAGTATGCGGGAGCATGTGTAGGCCACCATTGCGAAAAGTCTTGTTCGCCGGTCAATCCGTAGCCCTCTTCTTTCTCGAACTTGTCCAATGCACGGTCTCTCTCGCGCAGAGCCTGGTCGAGAGTAGTAACCAGGTTACGGCCTATCATTGTTACACGAACTTGGTCACCATCGCCCTGTTCTCGTTAGGAAAGAACTAGTTATCGATGCATGCAGCTTACAATCTTAACGGAGACAAGGTATCTATTTGATTGTTAGTTCACGATTTAACTCTCTTGAAGCGTAATTTACTTACTCAAGTAAACACTGGACATAGGTCTTGTGATGAGAAGGATCATAGAACAAGTCGTTTGTCTGCAGAAGATTGTTGATGATACTGTTGATACCATAATTCGTGTAGGCTGGATCAATATCTGGCGACGCAACTGGTGCCTTTTGCGCGTTTTTGGTGAAAAACAGCGCGGGCTTATGTCCGGGCAGTCCGCCGACAGCGTTTTGGACAGCCTTGCAGTAGGCTAGCCAAAGGTACTTGTCAATGTCAGTGTTGGGCATGATGAAGGTCGATAGGGTTGAAGAAGAGAAGATCTTGGGGAGTGCAGATCGCACAGGCGGATCCACGGTTTTTAAATGGGAACGAGAGCAAGCAAGCCATGTCTCTGGCAGTAGGGATAGTCATCTTAGAATTTGGTCTCTATTGAATCTAGACCCAATAATGACTGCCAGAGTGTGCTCATTACTGGGATTGCAAAGGCCGCTAGTTCCATAGCCTCGAACCTTGTTAATCCGTAGCTGGTAACGTTAAACGATAGATCTGGTAGCAATTGGTGAGGGGCTAAAGACATGGTTTCAATAATTCAACGTGGATAGGCCGGGATTCTCCAGCCGCAGCAATTTATACCATGTCTCAGAGGATTAGACTCCTGGATGTCTCAGATATGCGCTGATTCTGACTGACCGCTCAACACTAGCCGTTATGACATGTCTCAGCTAGGGTCCGAGCCTCGTGGCAAGCTCTGAGGGGATAGCGGATTACAATCATTCCTTGCATTGTCTCATTTCAACTCTTATGTACGAAATACTCTAACCATTGATTTTGCGGCTGTACCGGCACAAGATGCATGGCAATGTCTGGGGTACAATTTGACCCCAAATTTAAGAAGCCACCATTCCTGTAGGATGGTTTTCCGTCACCGGCAATGGAATTTGTGGCTTGCGATAAGGTCTTTGGGAGATCAATTAAGTAAGTCTTACTTGTGGGCTGCGTAATCGTAATCGACAAGTCCTGCTCTGGAATGCTTTAGTTGATCGCTTTGACTCTTGATATGAGCAAAATGTGTTGGTCGTTGATTCTTAGATGCTGGTGCATTAAGAGGGTGTTCTAGCCACCCTCGTATCGACCCCCCTGCATTAGTTATCTTTAATCGCTCACACACACACGATTAAACCCACGTGAAAAGTCTCCGGGTAGTTTACCCTGTAGACTCAACTAGGTACTCGTGTGTTCACTAATATAGATAAAAACGCGGTCCGGCGCATTACTTAGATCAATTCGGGGCGCCATCGCGCGTTCTTAACTCTAGATGAGCCAACGACCCGGATAAGACATCTCGACGCGGGTAGCAAACAGACTAGAACTAGAATGCGGCTCATTCGTGAACCCTGGGCTAAGACTGAAACGGTGTCAGATATTTTGAGCTCCACGAAGCATTTCTCCGAGGAAGTCTGTGGTACGGCTGCATCTGGAAGATTCTGGTGCAGCTGCAAATGCCACAGGGCTGGAGGCTTGAATTATGGTTTGCACTGATGATGCGGAATATGTTTTCCAGAATATTGATCACACTCGAAGCTAGAAGATATGGATTTGTGAGACCCTAAAAATGGTAGATCTAGGTTCCGCATATCAACACATTGTCAACAGTTCAACGTCATGAAGACCAATCCTTCGAATTATTTCCAAATGCAGTTACGTACGACTTATTTTAGACTAGGTATTATCACCCAAGCTTCACTCCTCTCTAACTAAACTTAGGTGGGAAGACTAACTTTTGACACAGTGTCCATCTGCAAATAGCATATCTTGACTACGGCTTAGATATTACAACTAACTCCCCTCGAGATCTCTGATCAGGAGACCGGCTATTTATCACCTTGAAGCTCCAATTGCATGAAAAAACGGGCTAAGCGATCAAGGCCAGGATCTTCCAATGAAGCGTCTTTCATCTCTTCGATTATTGGATCAAGAGTTTCCCAAGCCTTCACAAATCTGCTATCTATCATTGAGCCAAGGTTTTGAAACGCCTGTATCATGACATGGCGACTTTGTAACGCTTCCCTGTTGACCCTGTAGTCTCGTTCCAAAGCTAGACGAGTGCGATATTCTTTCAGTGCAAACTTCCGCAAGATAAATTTAAACGAGCAGATAAGAATGGCTCCAAGTCCTGCTCCCATGGCAGCGCTGACGGATGAACCAGAATACATGCTAATGGCGTCGGTGTCTGGACTCTCGTTGGAATGCCTGGAACTGTCGATTTCGTGCTGTAAAATGACTTCGCTTCCGGGGAATATGAAGTCGGTATCTGAAGTAAGTACGGATCGACCGAGTACTCCGCCGTCATCGCGAGCTGTTCCAACTCGAAAGAAGAGATCGGGGCGAAGGGGTGAAGAAGTTTGTAGCTCTTCGCTGTCAGAAGAGGGACAAAACATGAGGATTTCATGATCATACGCCTTCTGAAGCATCTTATAGAGCATGTCCTTATCATGGGCACTGGAATTGGCATTGGCGGTTTCGATCGACCAGGATATAAGAATGATATTGACCTTTCGATTGATTGCTGCCTGTACAGCCTAAGACTCAAAGTATTAGATAATATCCTTGACTCAGAATGCAAACACTTACAAGAGCGGCCGATTTTAGATCGACATCTGACTTTCCAGATTCAGTTTTAGAGACGAGTATGTTGACTCGCAAGGGATAGAGCTTGGCCATTGGACAAACTCTCACAACTGCTCTCGCCATAACTGTACCGTGACCAAACTGTGAGACGTAATAGGGGCTGGCAACATTGCTTTCGTGGTCAAATGCAAAGCTTTTTCCACCTATAATGTTTTCCGATACGGAAGAACCGTAAGCGTCGATACCATCGTCTATCAGGGCGACCACGACATCATCTGCGATATCTGTGTTGTTGTATAATTGATGCCACATTGGTTTGATGACATCTGCGAACCCATAAACTGAATCAAGCCATCTATGCCCAGCTCGTGACTCAGCAATTGCTCGACTTTGGCCAAGGGTACCAAGCTCCTCCCAGTCCCTACCCTCCCCCTTCTTCTGAATAAAGAAAACCTCAATGTCTCTCTTAGTAGATTCGGAATCTGGAACAAGTTCCGTCTTCCGAAATTTGCCGCTCTCGCCCTCTTTTGGGACTACAACTCCAAGTGATAGTCTGTCTATACGTTGACGAAAGTCTTGAATACAATTTGATAACCATTCTTGAGACTCGGTCATCTTTCATAAAGTCAGTTAGTGTGCAATCAATAACCAGACAAACATAAAATCACTTACCTCCTCGGCTGGAGGGACAATAATATTGATCTTCCTCAGTCTGGGCAGCAACAGTAACCCTTCCGGCTCACTCCAAGCCCTCAAAACCGCATTATTACCACTCCAAGAGAGAGTTAACTCTTTGATTTCACTGCCAGAGCTTATAGATTTTCCTGAATCATCTTGTCGCCAAGTTGCCTTGGCTCCCAATCTACAAACGACCTGGGGGTCCATATCGACCTTTTGCCAGTTAAGGTGCTCAACCTGTATCCTTTCCAGTGACTCCAATATCGCCTGGTCACTGTGCGGGAACTCACCAGATTCTTCGACGGCGACCCTGATGATGTAGCGAACACCTTTAGTATACAGCCAATCAAAAAAGAATTGCACGTCTCGACGTCCTTTCCCGCCCTTCTGTGTGTCATGGAGGAGTCGGCGACGACCAGTTAGTTCGACCTTCACATTCGGACACGAGACAAATTGGAGTGTATCGTCAAACTTCATCCTTCCGAAGGCCGATTCGAAGGCAGTGTCTGTGATGGTTGAAGGGAGGCCTTTGTAGTTGAAGCAGAATTGAACATCTGGATTCTCTAATTAGTTGATGTTGATCAGGACGCCGAAAAAGACGGGATAGACTAGCCATTGATATTTTTGCCGTAAAGGAATGATTCCACCATCATAGGGTTTCGTGTTCGTATGTAGTGCAGTTTGAGTTCTTGAAGTATCTCTTTCCACTCTCCAGCAGCTTGTTTTCGTTTTCTTGCGACTCGTTCTTCCCTTATTTCCGGGACTGGCGTAGTATCAAAATTCATTTTGTACTCATTAGACTTCGATGGTCTTTCGCTTTTTATCTCTAATGTTTTGTGAGCCGACACTGGTGCAGGCTCTGCTCCCCTCTTCCGATAGGTGATACGAATGTCTTCTTCTTCTTTCTTCATTGCCTTCATTGCAAGCGATGAAGCTGTCACAAGCGCTGAGGCTTTCCAATGGTGTCTGTATACTGACAACCCTTCCCTGTTAATGATGTCCAGAAAGGTTTCGACTGGATGTGAAGTACTCGTAGTGCCCCTTGTTTTCAGAATATCTTTATCCCGCTGAATGAAAAGATGCATCACATGCAAGCTGGACCTTGAACCAGCAACCGCATAATGTAAGGGGGTCATGCCACTATCGTCTTGCATTGCAAAAGCTTTGTCTCTAGCAATTGTCATTAGCTTGATAACGGCCCTCTCACGTATGTCCAATCGAAAGGCCATGTGCAAGCAAGACCTGTTGTTTTGTTGAACATTAGGAATTTCGATAGAATCTTGGACTGCTGACTGCCACTCTGCATACTTGGCACAGTCGGATAGTATGGCTTCAATCAGAAGGGGTTTTCGTGTGCAAATTGCCATGTATAGAGGTGTAAGGCCCTCGGAATTCCTTGCCGTTAACAACTGGGGATGCTCTTTGACTATGCTTTGGATAAGTGGCATCATGTTGCTGGAGCGGACGTCCTTGTCGGTCTTGGCGAGTTCAATGGCAACATGCAAGAGGGTACCAGAATCTTCCGTAACCAGCCCGGTAACGTCTCTGAACCTGTAGAGAAACTCGTACAATGCGTCAGGTTTGGAGAAGCTGTAGTGGTTCTGTCTCAACTCAGTGGCAGCAGCACGGAAGCCGGTTTCCAAATCAGTATCGTCATCTTCCTCCTCTTCTAAATCGGATTCCAGCATATCATCCGCATCCTCAAAGTAACCTTCGCCATCTGAAATATCATCTTGAAAGTCTTGGGTGGGTAGGCTGGTTGTGGATGATTCCTCCATGGCAAGGCAAGATGTTGATATTGATATTCAAGGCGGTCATCTGGTGTCGGTTCAAATTGTCTCCGTACCAGTAATAATAGCCTATAAACATCAAAACGATTGTTTTCAAATCTGAGACGGAGTTTGGCGCCAGCACAGTGTATACAATTATTGTTGTTGGCCGTCAAGTTGCTTTCTCACGCACTCTTATGCAGTCATCACCATATGCGTCATTTTCCCAATTGGCTGTTTTCTTTGATCCTTGTTCAAAAAAGCGAATCAGTCGTCATGTTAGGTGATCAGCCGGCGTCTATTGCACAGTATCATGCATAGTACACCACTGCCATCACATCTGCCATAGCTGGTAGTGTACCTCGCCGAACACCAGACAGTTTTCAAGGCACCCATGGGCCATGGCCAGTCAGCGTTTATTGCAAAGATATCTGCACCTATTGTGCGAACAGCTTCTATAAGATTATCTCATATATGATGCAGAGTCAGATCGATCAGTCCAAAGGTGACCCCGGGAAGGAGACTTCATCCTCCAAGCGAAGACCCAGCCGAAGGCAATCTCGACATGCATCTTCTTATCTCCAAAGCTCATTAATGTTCGCAAAGGGAAACCGAGACCATGATATGCTAGATTCAGGCTCAGGCTCTGATTCAGACCCAGAGAACCCAATAGCTCCAATCCAAGTCGCAGCAGACAATCAACAAAAGCCAACCAAGGAACAGGATCGCGAATCACTCCTCAAAGATCTAGAGAGATCTACTTGGGCCACGCTGGAGGAATTCAAGGCGGCGAATGGCGAGAAGATCAAGCGTTGCTACATGGCCGATGAGCGTGATCAGAATAGGACTATTCTTCACTGGCTATCTATCCATCTTCTCCCAAACTCCATCACTAAGGAAAACCTCCATTGCCTTGTGTATACTGTGGTGGAATTGGACCCCAAGATCGTTACCAGGATCACTGCAGACACCCAAAAGGCCACTTGCTTGCATATTGCAATTCAGTACAGGCGATTTGATCTCATTGATTACATCTTTCAGACGAGCCATGTCGATGCATTGCAAGAAGCCATATCACATGGTGACTATTGCAACGAAACCTGCCTTCACTTGGCTGTCAGGCTCAATCCACCAAGCGTCGGAGTAATCAAACAGATTCTGGAAAAAGCCGACCGCAAAGCAATCACCAAGCAACGATCCTGCAGGTTCCAAGACGACAAGTCAAGTGACGGAAATACAGCCTTGCATGACTTTGTTCATATAAACCTATGCTTTGAAACGGGGTATATAAAGACACTCAAGCGATTCATCCAACGCTGTCCAGAAGCTTTGAAGATGTCCAATACCGCGAAAGAATCTCCGTTTCAGTTTCATATATCCACAAGACAGAAGAGGAACCCAGACTGGAAGGGATTGGAATTTTCACCAATAGATAAAAAGGCTTCACGAGAAGACAAGACAGTGGCCAAGGTTGGACAGTTACTCCTGAGCGAAGCATTTTCTGAGCCTACATGGGAGGGTGCTTGTAGCTGTCTGTATGGCGAGAGTAAGTTATCATTCTATAACAATGAGACTAACCACGTAAGATCACTACTAACACTGACTTGATCAGAGAATTTTGATCTAGCTACAACTTTTCAGCCTGCTGCACCTATAAACAAGAGGATCGACAAGTCACACCCTTTTCTTCACTTCTACCCTATTCTATCCTATGTTGAACTTGTCCTAGCACATCCTGAACCATCAGACATTAAGCATGATGCAGGCATACAGCATTCTAATGAACATGAAGAGGATTTGATATCTACCGAGTGGGCTTCGCGCGCTGATAGCATACGAAGAGTGTTTGCTTGGTTCAGGAGACAGAAAGTGAGGAGAATATTGAAGCTCGTTGTCATTGACGACCCATCATCGCCCTGCAGTGATGCGATTATGGAAGAGTGTCTTCGAGACTTTGATGTTCGATATTTGAACTGGACCAAGGATGATATCTGTGTTGAAGTGCTTCGCAATTCTGGTCTTTCCAATGTCAAGGAACTTTGGCTTACATGGAGCGGGCGGAACTCAGTTTTGTATAGCTGGTCATGCAAGGATAATGGCTTTCCTACATTACCTAAGGTAAGTTGTGTTGAAAGCACCCCAAACCTAACAGATGTTTCTTTAAACTGATTTGTTCTTATAGCTTCAGACAGTTCATATTCATACCCGAGCCGTAAGTTCCACTCCCCCTTTGAATAACACGCAGGTCTGACCTTCATACTAGGGAATCGAGTCGCCAGAGGCGAATAAGAAAAACCTGGCCAGCTTTAATTCTCGACTTCAAGATAGCATCGCGATGATTCAGATCGAAGAATATCGAGCAGACCTAACGGCCAGGGTTACGAAAGAACTGGAACCAGAATTGGCCTCTCTAGGATCAAGATTGCAGCCTGCCATGTCCAAATGGACGGATGGTCCGGATTATGTCCAGCTTGCTAGAGTTGGCGAGGGTGAGGAATCCCCTATGATTCAAGGGACCATCGCTGGTCTCGAAGCCAGGATGATGTTTGATCTCAAAGAAACAAAAAGCCTTCGAGAGATCAAGGTAGATGATACTTCACATGATAGTGTGAGCGAGGGTAAAGCCTCGAAGTATAAACGACGACAGGCACAAAAGTATGAGGAGACCACATGTTTCTACAAGAGATCAGTTTCTGACAACGATTCACTAGGGGACACCGTTGGCTCGATGCTGCTCGAAGACTCGCTACCGCTGTTAACACTCATAGACTCAATAGCCAACTGTCTGTTCAGCCCATCAAAGTTGCATTACTCGATGATGGAGTAACTCCAGGCGAACTCAGCGTCCCTGGGGTTCTGAAAGGTGGTTGGCCACTTCCTAGCACAAATGGTCTCTATAGCTCCAAGCCATACTATAACTCCGAAACTGGCCACGGCACAAAGATGGCACGTCTTATATACTTCATGTGTCCGTTTGTATCCATCTACGTTGCCAAGATCGACATGCATCGAGAGCAAGATGCTAGTGTTGCTGTCTCGGCTGCCAAGGTAGGTTTACTCATGCCTTTTACTCTGTATATCTCTAACTGCTGTCAGGCGATCGAATGGGCTATCAGTAAAGAGGTAGACATAATTTCCATGAGCTGGACTATCAAGGAGGTCAAATCCGGCCAAGGTGCAAATCAAAAGGCCATCTCGGCACTCGAGCGGGCGATTCAGCGGGCAGCTAACGATGACATCCTCATGTTTTGCGCCGTTCAGGACTCTGCTCACTATGGAAACGAAGAACCATTTCCACAAAAGAGCGATACTAAGAAGCTCATGATCGTAGGGTCGGCTGATGAAGACGGAGACAGATCAAAGTTTGTCAACGAGAATAGTTTCGACTACTTGTTTCCCGGCGAAATAGGCATTCCAGGGTTGCTAACAGAGAAGGATAAGGGCAGTTCAGTAGCTACTGCAGTGGCTGCTGGAATGGCAGCTATGGTTTTGTGGTGCGCAGAGTATCATAGCCTGGCCATAAAGTCTGAAGATGCCAAGGATCAAGAATCCTGGAGCAACGTCAAAGCACCTGTTACGACGTTGTCATCAAGCCTGCTTGTCACAGAAGAGTCAAAGATGGGCCAAAGAACAGCAGCGGAATGGGACTTTCGCCGCGACAGGAGGATGAGCGCTCTGTTTGATGTGCTCAAGCCAGATAAAGACAAATTCGTGGATATTACGAGTATCATAAACAGAGCCATGGCCAGCATCGACGAGTTTCACGAGGCAGACCGTGAGATTCAGAAGTCGTGTATAGAGTCGTTCATCTCGACGTGCAAGGACAGTCTGCCTCTGAATCTTCGATAGATAGATCGCAAAATCAACAATACTTTCTTTGTTCAAATACTAACTTCGAGACTAACTCCAGCTTCACTTCCACCTTCCGGCCTCTCAGGCTCTTCTACTTCCTTCTCGCCAGAATCTCCAGGCACATCTACATCCATGACGAAGATGCACTGATCCAGTAGGTCAACCTTATGAAGCTCATGAGATTTGCTATCAAAGGCCGTTTTCTCTTTCATACTGGGCACGAACACTATCGGATCATCACCATCCTTCCGTCCCAATACCCTCCGAAGTTTTGTCTCCATGTCGGTGAACATTCCCACTTTTGCCCTAATGGTGAAGGCGGCCGTGAACTCATCATCAGTCTCGCGACTGAGCAGTATTGCTATGCGTACATATGTCGGCAAGCCACTCCTTTGAGACTCGTTTTCGAAAAAGTTCCATTCGATAGCATTGCACTTATCAGGATCACGCTCTGCCCCGGTGCTAAGGTCGAGGTAAGGCTGTCCAGTGATGCGGATCTTGTCTCCAATGGTGGTTGACTTTGATAGGCCATAGACGCCTTTCAAGCTCGCAGATCCACCAAACTCGGCCCCCAAAGAGGCTTCCAAGTCTCTCTTTCTCTCTTCCGTATAACTTGTCTTATGGAGAGAGAAGCTTCCTCTAGGTGCCATCTGATACACTGCCGGCTCGTCCCATGCGCTACATCCTTCTGGACCCTGGAAGACGACGTTGATTCCCACAAACTTGAAGCGCTTCCTTGGGTCTCTTGGTAAGAAGTGCCAATCAAGAATAATCAGACTACCGTCTTGAGGTTGATCCTGGCCATCAATAAAGGAGCCATGGACGGTGGCGTGTCGATAGCCATAGACAACTGCAGGTTTCTGTTGGTCATATCCAGTAAAGTTGCGGTGTTGTTTTTTGCCATGTGCTTTGATCCGGAGTTCGAATTCCTCTTCATTTACTTCGTCGAGTTGAACAGCAAAAACTTTCGATTCTGCCATAGCAGATCAAGGAGTCGAGTCAGCGAAAAAGTTGGTCGCTGATAGTCAGGGTAGGATGTAACTGTAGAGAAACACAACAGGCTGTTCTATAAAGAAGATAAGTTGTAAGAGTCAGTGAGTGCCTATCAGAACATTGAGCATTACCGAATACGGCATTCCAAGAGAACTGATTGCGCAGAATTTCAGCTCCTGCATCAACATCACACCAAAGCCAGCCTCATCGCTACAGATAGTCCAAGAGATTAACAAAGCAGAATAAAAGTCTGGTATGACGGACCCTTGTCTACTTCTAGCCCAGTTTTTTGAAACGTTCAGACACCTACTCCTCGTACTCCTCGTCTGTCATCTTGTCTTTCTTAGACACCCAATCGCCGGTCTCGTTTATGTTGATTTCCCGCATAACCTGTCCCGAGACAGAGTGGGCAAAACATAAATTCAGCTCTGGGAATGGAAATAGATTTGGGTGCGCTTGACTTTCGTCTCCGAGTATCGTGGTATTGAACAGACTACGGCAAATTCCATGCCTCCCGTGAAACAAACCTGATATCCTACCCTATAGACACGGGTCTGTGTATTGTCTGTGGCAACCTTACGTGTCAAAGAACAAGATTCGTTCGCAATGCCCCATGATTTTCGCAAACAAAGCCCCGAACATGTAGCCAATAGGAACAAACTTAACATAAGCATGCATACGCAGTTCCATTCCAAATCTAAGATTTTCATTTCATCTTGAAGATCTCTCGCGATGTGGGCGGAACACAGTTCGTCCCGGTCACAACCAAGCCCTTTTCCCGCGCGTCCACGGACCAATAGTCGTCATCTTTTAGACCTGACACGCATGGTTTGCATTGTAGAGTCTGCTATAGGCTGTAGTTCGAGCGCCCTTGCATTGACCTAAACTAGACCTCGGCAGTGCTCTCTTAGCTGCCGTTTATGCTTGAGTTCTAGCTTATTCGGAGATTTTGACGATATGCGCGTTGTTTCATCGTTAACGCGTCACCGACATTCTCCCTGCGCCTCTTGAGGTTATGGTCATGGCTGGCGATGCACTGTCCGGTAAGTGGGCTGTAGTTGAGTGAAGCTTGGTCGGTAAGGCTGTATCTCTTGGCGATGGATTGTATAAGAAGGAGTTGTCTTTCTAGAATTAGATCAACTTCACCACCATCAGTATTCTCTCTCATTCAGCCTTACAACACCTTCACAACCGCACCCTCAGAACATAATGCCTTCTATCAAGAGTCTTCTCGCTACCTTTGCCCTTGCGGCCACTATCGCCTCGGCCCATCCAGGACACGATGTCGCCCATGAGGCTGCAGAGCGCAGAGAGTTTCTGAGTTCAGTCAAGAGATCTTCCCTCGCTCACTGTGCTACCAAGCTCAAGGCTCGTGGTGTTGAAGCCCGCAACGTCGCTCGTCGCTCGGCTCAGGTTCACAAGGCTCGCCAGAAGCGCAGCTTGAAGAAGCGAGATGCCGCCTCTGTCTTGAGCACTTCTCACAACCAGACTGACCAGGGTTTCACTTCGTGCACTGATCCCGCCACTCTCTTTGCGAGCATCAACTCGTGTGTTTTGACTCCTGAGGTTACCCAGGGTCCTTACTGTAAGTCTATTAGGTCCAGGTCCAGTACTGATTCATGTGACTAACTTTGAACAGACGTCGCTGGCGAATACGTTCGCAGGAACATCATCGAAGACCAAGACGGTCTCAACGTCATCCTCGACTACCAGGTCATCGATGTCGATACTTGCGACCCCGTTCCCAACGTTTACCTCGAGATGTGGCACTGCAACTCTACCGGCGTCTACTCCGGCGTCGTCGCCAACGGCAATGGCGACAGCTCCGACGAGTCAAACATCGACAAGACTTGGCTCCGCGGTATCCAGAAGACCGATTCTGACGGTGTTGCTCAGTTCGAGTCTACCTTCCCTGGTCACTACACCAGCCGAGCTACTCACATCCACGTCATGGTTCACACCAACGCGACTCTCTTGGCCAACCACACTCTCGGCCGAGACAACTACGCCAGCCACGTCGGACAAGCTTTCTTCGACCAGGAGCTCATCTCTCAGGTCGAGACTCTCGAGCCCTATGCGTCAAACACCCAGGAGATCACCCTTAACGAGGACGACAGCATTCTGAATGAGGAGGCCAAGACCGACGGTGTCGACCCTTTCATGGAGTACGCTCTTATCGGAGATAGTATCAGCGACGGTCTCTTTGCTTGGCTCGCTTTCGGCATCAACTCGACCCAGTCCAACTCCGTGTCTCCCGCTGTTTACTACTACAAGGAGGGCGGTGTTGCTAACGAGAACGGCGGTGCTCCCGGTGGCGGTGCCGGAGGTACTCCTCCCTCCGGATCCGCTCCTACTGGCGCACCCCCTTCCAAGTAAGCGTTAACGGGAACTGAATATTGTACTTAACCGGGTACGCCTTTGCGCAAGTCATTTTTCTTGGATTTTTTTTGCGACCTCCCTGGTGTTGGCGACATGATGGCCGGGGTGTAGGATGCTGAAGAGTGGTGGGTTGAGATGTGGGAATTAGTAGAGTAGAATTTGCGAGTCAGTCTGGAACTGAGCTCCATTGTATGAACGATATTATCTTGTATACAGTTTAGATACACAAAATTGGCAAGCCTCCTTTAAGTTCTATCGTTTCTTTGCAAGTGATACAGTGAGCGTGGAAAGATCCTGACGATCCCCTTCTCTCTAATATTTATATAATCTTATACGGATTATACGAGCTCCATTTAGTTCATATAACCTTAAATCAACCATAGTAAACTCTATTTAAGTTTGTAATCTTATTTAATCCTAGTCTAAAATACACTGAATTAGACTTGTTCGATCTTGTAGACTGTGAACATGGTTCAGCGGTTTTGCTTTGCAGTGGTGGACTGTCAGTGTTACTCGACTAGACCCACACGAAACCAGAGATATTCTTCCATCAAGGATGAGGAGTAAATACCTGCCTTTTTGCGTGTTGTCTTTTCTTATATAGGTATGTGATGTCCATGTGTTTCTCTTTCAGGTCACGCGTGCCCCGGTTGTTTTGTTCGGAAATTCACTTACATCTGCGTTTTGTAAGAATACTGCTCTTCGATAGAAAGGGTCTTCACGCTTCTTGTGGAAAGAAGAATATTGTATATTACATTTAGCTTTCATAAAGATCTCCACACTTCATAATGAGAAAGGGTGTTGCTCGTTGCTGTTTTGCTTCGAAAGGTCTTGTTCTTTTTAGGGGACGAGGTTTACCTTCTGTCGTTCGGTGCAGACAAAAGTGATTGAAGTGGCTCTTTAGGTCGGGTGAAGAAGTCAAACTCTGTACTTTCAGGCGGTGTAAGTCAGAAATCCCTTGGAATAATGCCAAGGAGCTAATGCAGAGACGCAAGAAGACTTGAATATCATTAGATTCTCAGAGCATCGGTCAGGATATGCATGAACCAACGAAAGCACTAGTGAAGTAACGCGAGGTGATTCAACATATCAGTGAAAGTTCTCAAGCACCTGCACATGGTTAAAATTAAGTCGTGGAATCAAAAAGATAGCTTTATGCGGGTTGTTCCATAGACTACATATATACTTGATTCTCATAGAAGCCAAAAAGTACCGACAACGGCAGGATTCGAACCTGCGCTCCCGAAGGAACTTGCTTTCTTTAATTCGAGGCAAGCACGTTAACCACTCCGTCACGTTGCCTTAATTGATACGGTTTGGGCTTCAAAGTAAGGAATAGGTAGGCTTGGTTGAATCAGGCGCGGTGTGTTGTATGGTTCGCAACCCTCTCGTCTAGCATACCTGCCTGCCATACACCATGAAGGCCCACCAACCGGGTTCTCATAACAGTATCCCACCACATATCTGGTATATTATAGTTCTCTGGGTGGCTTAATGTTGATGTGTCGTCTTATTTTAAGCTTAAAATAAGCCTGGGCTGGGGAGATAAGGTTGTTGGCCAGATCTCATCCCGGATCCAGGATACATTCACCGCTGGGTCATGTTGGCAGCTGTTTTTTATTTGTTTATTTTAGCTTGGTCACTAACTTATTCCTGTCCTACTTAATAATTGGATAATATCGCTACTGGCAATTAAAGTCGAGACGCCGATAAGTTTCAGCCCTTACAGCTAAGGCCCAAATCGCGTTAACACAAGATCTAATCATGCAATGAGCAAGGATGGATTCATGCTCACGAAGGGCTGAACATGGCCATTAATTACTCTACCATCTCACAAATAGCTTAAATACACGCTTATTCTCTCAACACTTGTTATGAGTAGTTTCAACTCATTGGGTTCAATTTGAGGCTGCCCAACCCAGCCATAATGCGTGCTGTCCGCTCAACATTCCTCACTCTAGGCCTCTCAGTCTTGACAGCTGCCTCCGACGAAGACGTGGTTTCATTCCCCGCCATAGGAGAAGTCGATGTCGTTTTCCCTCGTCAAGACACCTACGCTGCGGAGGCGCCATTCCCTGTTATCTTCGGCCTTCAGAACGCCCCTGTTTTGACCACCTTCAGCGGTACACTCAACTGGGAACTTAGCTGCCGCTACACTCTATCCGGCATCGGCTGACTCTATCTAGACTTTCTACCGGACACGGAACCCTATTACTTCCTCAATACCAGCCAGGCCATCGCCGATGCTGATGAAGATCAGTTCCAGTACTGGCGCAGTGAAGAGGACTCTTGCATCCTCAAGTGGGATTTCCGATGGACTACCGTCTGTGAACCTCGATCCGACGGCAGCGTTCTCTTGAAGAACAACCAATTTGAGCGTTCAGGGAATGTATCTTTCAATCTTCGTCCAGGCGCGAAGACTGCTCGCAAGGCCATCGCCGAGTACGACGGCTGTGCTATTGGAGGCACTGCGATAAAGCTTGAGCGGAACCATACTGTTGGGTGCCCTATTCTTGCCAATGATGCGTCGCCAAAGCCCAAGCCTTGCGATTTGTACGTAAAAAGGGCCCGGAGCAGCCTTGCAGCCGCTGTTGTGAAGCCGACGACGAGCTTGACGGAGTTTCCCAGCAAAACGACGGATTTGGGTGTGAGGACTACGGGTACGGGCTCTGATAGTAGCTCAGAACCATCAAGTACTGAAGAGGCTTCAGGCAGTGGCAACAGTAGCAAAGGAGATGATGGCAATGGTGCATATAGGCAAAGCTTTGGTATCACTGTGATTTTAACATTGATTACGGCCAGTGTATTGCTTAAATCAGTCCTATAGCTTGTCCAAAGTCTGGATAGATAAATAAATGAATATCTTCTACTTACTTTGCTTAGATGACCGTCATATCCGTTCTCGCGGCCCAGCTTTCACTCTTATGTCATCACAAGTGAATGCAAGTTGATGGTCTTTGATCTTGAGCTTATTCGCACAGCATCTCACGTTAGAATTCCTCACGTTTATGTGCCAAGAATCCAACGTAATCCACAGTCGGCCTATCCATCCTTCGATTGGTAAAAACAACAAACGTATTTCGCTGGCGCTTGATCTAGATCTGCAGTCAGCTTGAGCTGAAAGCCACCTAGCATCTAAGAATATCGGATGGTGGTGTGGCGTTGGCTAGTGAATTCCCTCTCTGACCGTACAGGATCACGATTGGGGTATAAATACAGCTATAACCCCTTCAGCTCGTAATCTAAACAAGGCCTCGGATCATTCATAGTGGAAATTACCTGGTACTCCAAATCATAACACATACGCATCTCTTTTGTTGAATTTGCATAAGCACCATGACCTCCTTCAAGTACATCACCCCTCCCGGCTTTTTCGAATTTCTCTCCGACGCCAACCACTACTCTCAAGCCGTAGACCTAGGCAATGGCTTCTACAAAATCTCAGGCCAGGGCGGCTTGAACGAAAAGGGCGAAGTTCCTTCTGATGTTAAACAAGAAGTGGAGCAGACGATCCAAAATGTCGACGATATGCTCAAGGCGGCTGGTCTTCGTGGATGGGAGGATGTTTACTATGTGCGAAGCTACCATACTGATATCGACACTACTCTTCCTCTCGTCGCAGAGATCCTCAAGAACCGTATCCCTGATAATCGACCTGGTGGTGTTGCGGCGGGCGTTACAAGGCTGGCACTTCCTAATATGAGGCTGGAGATTGAGGTTGATGCTAAAAGACAGACGGAATAAGCTAGACTCGTTCTTGGACGGTTTGATTTATTTGAAAGAGATAGGAGGATGGAAGCTAAGATGGAAACTAGTTTATGATTCTATCTTCCCACCAAAGCATCACAAATGGACATGCCAAAGCTACGAAGATAGCCAAAGGATGAGATTGCTATATCAATGACCTATGTTTTCAAAAACTTTCGTTTAAGACTCGGGCTACCGTTACTATCAAGTCTCAAGTTCTCTCATTATTACTATACAACCAAAATATCCATCGACCAACCGCTATAAATTCGCAAAACATTCTCTAATTGATGCCTCCTGCATAGCATCATACAATTTAAGCTCACTCTTAACGGGACATCCAAGGCTCTCTTCAAAAGAGCCTTGATCCGCAGCCGCTGCATGGCTCATGCCACCATCTCCCCCCAGATTAGAATGGAAAATCCCAGCTGCACTGACCGGTAGGAAATCTTCATATGTGATCGGCTCAAGCTTGACAGCTCCAGAGCTGACCAAAGAGTCGATACTCGCACCCTGAGCTCTTGGTGCGTTGGTGACAGGTTTGTATGTAAAGTAAGCCAAGTCTTCCTTTCGAATGGTCTCCATGTCATCGGGGAACTTCTCAAAGACCTTGGCCAGAAGCTCCTCTTTTGTTTCCGCTTTAGTCTCTGGTGAGAGCTTAGCAACAGCTCCCCGCCACTCGTTAATAAGATCATCGTATAAAGTACGGCCCTTTGGGTTCAGGGCCATTCCTCTCTGCTCGATTTCTCCAAAGCGAGCTTTATGACTTCCGCCAGCCTCCTCTCCCTCGGAAAACGCTATTGCTTCATCGATAGCTAGAAAGCTGGTCTGGCGAAGCAAAATAGGACATGACCTGGGAGGAGGGCCCTCTATAGCGTCTTTTGCCTGCAGGCCATATCGTAGCATCTCATCTTGTGCTAACTCGATATCCAACACTCGGGGTGTGAGATGGTTGATGTGAGGTCCTTTGAAGCAGACGACATCTGCAATTAGAGGATGCGCTTTGCGAAGAGCTTTGTACGTCTTCAGGTCGACTGTCGATGTTTTGTGCCATCTAAAGGTTTCTAGAGACTCTTTCACAAACTCCTCTGCCATGGTTTTGGAAAAGGGTTCTTGTGACTCAAACAGCTTGATTAACTCCACACAACGGTGAGTGAAAATGTTTCGTTTACTCAGAATATTAGCAGCCTCTGATCGAAGGGCTTCATCCTGGATGAGTTCCAAGCGTAGTAGTGAAGTGAATACCCGGAACGGGTTATAATCGAGGGCTTCTTTTGTGAGAGGTCGAAAGCATGTAGCATGCACAGGAAGACTCGCAACAGTAAGGTCGTAGTATCCAACAGGATGCATTCCCATCACAGAGAATAGGCGACGCATCATGGCGAGCTCCTCTGATGTTCCAAGCCTGATAGCGCCATGTCTCTCGACTTCAATGCGCGGTTCGATGTGCTGCTGTTTTTGATGGTTGATTTCGGATACCAATTTGAGAAGAGATCCGTATTGCAAGACTTCACGACGGTACATGCTCGAGAGAGCAGAGGCGAACATGGCCCTGATGGAATCTGGGCTGATGGGGTCTATTACAGCCATGATGGGTGTTGTTTCTGGCGATTGTCCAAGACAAACTGTCAATTACTTGTAATAGGTATCGGTAGAGATAAATAGTTTGTATTACTTTAGCATGCTCGGGACATGACCGTCATGATTCAGTCAAGCCTGGGGCTTATCATTTATATCCAAACTTCGGGGACAGATAGAGTCAACTGCCGTAATATCTCGTACGCCCTTTTGCTTGTATTCGCTCCACTCACCAGGGTGTAGACGAATGACAGTACATCTTTTCCTTGATCTAGCGGAGATAAGCTATCTAACACAAGATAGCGTTCAGATATGGGAACAAGTGGGCCGATACCGGGTCATGGGATGTGATAAAGAGGAAGCAGAACCCGAGCAGCGTCTATACTAAGTATCTTATCAAGTATGCCATATAAAACCGACTCCGTTAGTCGGAGGGCTGCTGTTAATATCATTCTTGAATCTGAACCTAGATCACTTTGATGTACTTCTTTGGTCGCCTTGATCAGATATTCAAACGAAATGGTATCATTGTAACTATCTCTCTGCATTCCATAAAATCCATCTATAGCTCAGCACCCAAGTTGACGTGAATAGCCTTGGACTGAGTATACGCATCCAGCGCATACTGTCCCAGCTCACGACCGATTCCTGAAGACTTGTATCCTCCGAAGGGAATACCAAAGTGTGAGTCGCCAGATGAGTTGATCCAGACCATACCAGCCTGAAGCTTACGGGCGACCTTGTGTGCTCGCGAAATCTTTTCTGTGAAGAGGGCGGCAGCGAGACCGTATGAAGTGTCGTTAGCCTTGGCGATGGCCTCCTCGTCGGTTGAGAACTTGGCGATGGAAACTACAGGGCCGAAAATCTCCTCCTTCATGATCTTCATATCTTCGGTGGTCTGTTCTTACAGTCAGTACACAGTGATTGCCAGCGTGGGTAGTGAATACTTACGTCTGCAAAGACGGTAGGGTGCAGGTAATAGCCCTTGTCGCCATACTTGCTGCCTCCGTATAGAAGTCTAGCACCGGACTTGCGGCCTTCCTCAATGTATGAGACAACGCGCTCGTATTGGGTCTTGGAAACTTGAGGCCCTTGGATAGTTGCATCTTCGAAGGGGGAGCCGAGCTTGTCGTTCTCCTTTGTGACCTCGACAAACTTCTCAAGGAACTTTTCGTAGATGTCCTCGTGGACGTAGATTCTTGAAGTAGATGTGCAGACCTGAGGTTATGTTAGTACAAGTACCATCGAAAAGATTCGCGAGGCCTACCTCTCCCTTGTTGTCCATGATACCAAAGTGGCACCACTTGACAGCTTGCTCGAGCTCCGCATCGGCAAAGACGATGGACGGGCTCTTGCCACCACACTCGAGCGTGATGTTCTTCAAGTTGTTTGCTGCATCCTTCATGATAGCCCTACCAGTGTTGGTGCTACCGGTAAAGGCAACCTTGTCAATATCCATATGTCCAGCAATAGCCTTTCCGGTCTGGGGACCAAGACCAGGTAGGACATTGACAACACCAGCAGGAAGCCCAGCCTCCTTGATGAGGTTTCCAAAGTACAAAGCCGACAAAGGCGTTTGCTCGGCAGGCTTGAGAATGACGGTGTTGCCGCAGGCTAGAGCAGGGGCAACCTTCCAGGCGAGCATCATGAAGGGGAAGTTCCAGGGGATGATTTGACCGCAGACTCCCAGAGGCTCCTGGAGGACATATGCAAGCTTAGCGGGAGATGTCTCGATTGTCTTGCCGGTGATCTTGTCGGCGGCTCCAGCGTAGTAGCGGAAGACATTGTACGACTCATCGAGGTCGCCAGCGAGAGCAGCGCTGAAGGGCTGGATGTTAAGTCAGTTATGGAGTCAATGGCATAGGGGTTTATTGTGTACCTTTCCGTTGTCAAAGGCGTCAATAGCGGCGATGAGTTCACGGTCGCGATCAATAAGATCGGCAATTTTGTAGAGAAAGTTACCACGTTCATTAGCAGCCAACTCGGACCACTCGCCCTCAAAGGCCTTGCGGGCAGCCTTAACAGCCTTGTCGACGTCGTCTGTGGATGCGCCCTTGAGCTTGATGACCTCTTCCTCGGTGCTGATGTGACATGAGAGTTTGGTCTATAAATGTGTCGGGGAAATGGGAGCTTACACTGGGTTCGTCACGGTGAACTCATCACCTGAAGCTGCGACGAATTCGTTGTTGATGAAGAGACCTGTGGGTTGGTCGTACTTCTTGCCGTTGGGCAATGTGATTTGTGTAGTTGACACCATTGTTGGAGATGTGAGAGGGGGTAAATGAGAAAATGGGAGAAGTGAGAGAAGCTTGAAGTGAGAGTATGCAGTCTGACGAAGTGTTGGGAGCGTCTTCTTTTATAATGAGTACGATGTAACAAGACCCGGCAATCGACTTGTACTTACACTCAAGACCACAGCTAACAAGTCTTTACGGGGTCAGTACGTGCTCGGCAAATCATGGCAAAAATAGCTGCATCTTGAAGCTGATATCAAGCCAATTGGCCCACGCATCCCGCATGTGGTCGTGATAAAGCTATCAGTCCATCATCATCTTGACCCCACAGGGGCAGCTGGAGAGTAAAGCTCACCCTCAAGTTGAGTGAACTAAACTGCTTTGGGCAACTTTTTTGGCCTCTGCCCTCTGGCTGCCCTCTAGCAACCCCCTGTAAAGTGCCCCGGACGCCACGCTAGCTATGGCCTTATCTTATACTTGATCGGGAACCTTTCTGGGCAATTCTGCGGGGAAGCTTGAGTTGGAGGTTGAGGTAGAGGTAGAGGTAGCTATCAGGAACTATTTAGTTTGCTGCTAGAATAGGAATAAAGACTGACCACTCGGCCAAGTAAATGATGATCATGCATGACGTTGTGGCTCGGTGTTGAGACAGCATGATAGGCTCTATTGTCGTTCAATGGCTGCGCCAAGCTCCCAGAGGGTTATGTTGTGTACTATTCTGCGTAATACATAAGACCAGCATACCTCTGATACAAACACCATGAAGCTCTAGTCCAAGCCTCCTAAGCTCTATCTATACCTACCAAATCACCAAGTTACTCATCTCTCTGTAACATCCCAGTCTCCTTGCACCAACAGCTTCCCCCATCATGTCTCACCTCACATATTACAACTACGAAGGAGTCGGCAAGACCAACAACCGCGAATACTCCTACTCACAAGCTGTCCGCGTCGGCAACTCCATCAAGTGTTCGGGCCAAGGCGGCTGGGACAACGAGGGCAACATCGACAAGGACGACCTCAAGGGCCAGATCGACCTCGCCTTCAAGAACGTGGAGAAGAACCTCAAAGATGCCGGCGCGCGAGGCTGGGCTGATGTCCATTCAGTCAGGAGCTATCACACCTCGCTCTCTAGCTCTTTCGAACTCATGGTAGAGGCGTTTCGCAAGTGGATGCCTGACCATCAGCCGACGTGGACTTGTGTGGGTGTTACGGAGTTGGGTCTTCCAAGTATGATCGTTGAGATTGAGGTGGAGGCGGATATTCAGAAATAGTTTAAAGCGAAGAATAATTGAAGCATTTCAAGTCATTTTGTCTGAGGTTATCTCAAAGCCATTCAGCGTCCCGACTCACACTCTCGCAGAAGAACTCGGCTCACATAACTGATCGGATCGCTCCCAGTGACGCACACCTCAAAAGAGGAAACAGCGCTGATAGACAGAACTGCTACGCCGTTGGCGAGGCGCAATGCAAATAACACAGGAAGATCTACGCCTGTTTTGATGGCCACTGGGCAGTCATGCATACTCCATCTTCCGTGCCTTTGACCTGCACAGCGGCTCGTTGGGCAGTCGTGAAGTCAAGCCAGACGCCACTCACCCCAAAGACATTTATCTCATAGGCTATCATAACTGTTATCTCTGACGTCTTCGCCACGGCTTTACGGATGCTTAACTAGTCAAGAAGCTCGAACAGCTTAAGTGTGTGCTCACATCGGCCTCTCCTCTTATCCAGAGCTACGTCGAGGCCGCACATGTTCTTGGACCTGGTCCGCCTGTTGATCGCCGTCTTTCCAAAGCGATCCATGGCATTGGAATCAAGATGGACCGAAAGAGAATTAATAAAACGGTAAAGTCGCTGCAACTAAATTGTCGTGCTGCTATCGTTCGTCTACCTCCTGCGACTCTCAAAACTCATCCGAGCGCATTCCAGACCCGGAGGGAAAGACTTGGGGAGTTATCGGCCAGAGTATTGCGAAATCCATGCCAAAAAATGTCCGAGCGAGCTCGTAGAGACGATTGTCAGTCCTCGGGGCCACAGCAATGGGGATGAAGGCATCGCTTTCCTGGGAGCCCTCCTGCACTCTTTGTTCGCGTGTATGAGTCAATACGCTGAGAGAGAAAGTCATTACAAATACAGTGCCCGCACTTCTATGCCATTCCTTTGACCTGACAGTTACTAGGACTCGAGTTACTATGGCTTGCTCGCCACCCAGCAGCTCTCGTTCGCATGGAGAGCTCGTTTTGGAACACTGCAAGCCTATGACTACGACCTCTCCCAGAATATATCACTCTGATATCACGTCCCACAGGCTCTTTGGTGTTCCATGAAAAGAGAACTGTAAACTTATTGTTGTCCGAGATGCTCTTCGACCTCGACTTGCTGGACCATTACATGCGCAGGATCCGCATCATGTTGCCTCTATTCCATGTAACGTCTGTTCCCATACCGCGGTTTTCGCAACGGTTTATTCCCATGCAGCACAGCTATGTCCTGTGTGCCACTGCAACAAGTCCGGGGATTATCTATGCGGACGACTCATTCCCTACCGATAGGGTTCCCATTGTTGCTGTGTAAATCTCATCCGGAATTCAGGAGGTATATGAGGTGGCAGATTTGGCGATTGTTTCCATTCTCACATCATCGGCAGAGGGAAGAAGAAGTAGTAGAATTGAATTGCGCAACGGCAGAGACTCGTAAGCTTGTCTAAAGTTGAGTGTCAATGATGGATCAAAGGCCTGCAGCGTGGCCCTGGTACTATACATCCCACCCAATCTTGTCGGTTGAACTTTCAAGTCACATCACAGCCGGAAATGAGTCAAGAGATTTAGGCAAACTTCAGCCACACAAGTTTGGACGTTTCGGGGCTTGCGACTATTCTTCATCACACTCAAGTCTCTTCGGAACAGTCTCTGGACCACACTCGTTCTTTCGCCTTGGGTGCCTAAGAGAGGTCGAAACCTAGTTCGAGTTAATCAGCGACCTCTGTCTCTCGCTACAAGTCTAGTAGTCTTGTTTAATACTTCTAGACTAAGTTAAGTGATGGTAATTTCAAAAAAGAATACTTCGTACTTCGCTGGGAAGGCCTTTTACGTAACGTTATACAACAAAGGTAAGCCACTAGCCTAAGCTTAAGTACTATTTATCACACAGATTTTATAGCGAGCCAGAATCTAAGAAGATAGGGATTACAACATCTTCAAATTTCGTAACTTTGAGGATATAGTTAGCTCATGTATGAACGAAGCATACTGGGTTAGTGCTGAGATTTGTGTACATTACTTGATCTTGTATTTTATTGAAGCTGTTCAACACTCACAAAATTTGCAGAATCTCTTTCCCTGAGGCAAAGAGTCACATGGAGATATGCCTGGAGGTGAAGAAGAGGAGAGCATTCGTGACTGTATATCAAGACCAACCAGCTATGTTACCACAACCAGGAATCAAGCAAAGTCTAGTGCAAGTCTCAACCCTATTGGACATTACCAAGTCTTCAAGATGTCTTCAAGAAGTCCCATAACGCACCATCACCCTTCGTCTCAACCAACTCATTCCCATCTTCCCCAACCGCCATACTCCACAACTCATAATCATGTCTCATCAAAAGCTCGTACCCACCCTTCGGGCTCGGCCCCAGGGCGAAATACTCGTAAGCCTGGTGTTCATGGGCTCCGGCGATGAACTTCCCTCTGTCGTTATGACCGATCAATTTTCCAGATACACAGTTGCGGAATCCGAGCCACTTGTCTCTTTTGATACACTCCCAGTGGAAGCCTCCTCGGGGGTTGAGGCCTTGGCAGAGTCGTAGCTCGCCGTCAACGACGGTAATCACTTTGCCTGAGTCGCGGTGACGAATAATGAAGATGGCGCCAGGATAGGGAACTGATTCGGTGTAGTCGGTTGCTGTTTCGGTGATGGTTGTGTGAGTTGGGGTGTTGGCACCGTCCATGGTGGATGCCATTGACATCGTGTCATGAAGATCAATGTATTTGCTCATCTTGAAGAAATCTCGCTGGCGACAACTGTAGTTGCGGCCCAGTGGTGAATTGAAGAAGTTAGAAAGTGAGAAAGTGAGAATCGCGCAATGAATAACTAGAGATGCGGGAGGCCGACCATTCAATCACATAGATACGTACTCTGTTTTCTTTGTCAACTTCAAGTCAAACCATCAACAAGATTGCTACAAAAGATATTCCAACACCAAAAATGCTTCATACAGACTTAAGACAAGACGTAACTTGGCTTCCATCCCACGCAAATACATATCTCCCAAAGGAAACTCCCCGCAACACTAATAACTTGTAACGCCGCGCCCGGTACTTGATAATTGCCGCAGGTGATCGGGCATCTGCTCCACAAATAGAGGTGATCGACAGTCAATCCGGAAGCTAGCGGTAGCCGTGCATAACTTCACTTACATGTTATGAGTTACACAAGAACACATTGAAGGTGTTTACGAATACCATTCTTGCTTTGTTGGATATGTATCAACTCGAATTAATGTATACAAGCACATACTGTGCCCTGACGATCAATGGCTCGTAAGCTTCGAGGCGCAATGCGGCACGCCAAGTTCGAGGCCTTACCTTGAACCCCGACGAAGCGCTAGATCCAGGGTAAGAAACAACTCGGCAAGACCATCAAGCCGACATCCTCAAAAACAGAGTCAACATAGGGCGCAATGAGTAACAACATCCCATGGATACGACGTCCAACGACACCGGCATCTTCGAAACACATACCCTGGACGGTTCTAGGTCACAAGGCGCAGCGCTACCCTAGGCAATCAGTCATTTCACCCCCCATCCTCAAACGCATCCAAACAAAACACGCTGAAGCAACACAAGCCAAGCCTCGCGTGACCCCAATCACAAACACTGCAGCCGCCTAGTCTCAGCAAAGACTCAGATTCACAATTCCATCTTGACCCTTGTAAGCTTTCGGGCTTCACAAACCGCCCGTCCTAATCTCTGAGTTTCCCCCCTCCCAGAAAAGCCGTTGCAATGAACTACGATCCCGCCGTATCCGAATGCGCCACAACAATTGCAGAGTTGTTCTAGACCGCGTTCCTCCCACTGATTACAGCCCAAGGCCTAGATTGTGGCTCAGGGCACGAGGACACGCAATGCCCATGGGCCAAAGAGGTCGGTCTAGAACGTCCCTGTCACGGTTCGTGGGTATTCCCGAGGAGTTTCCCAGGGGTCTATCAACGCCGCAAAGCTAAAACTGCCCAATGGGAGATGCCCTAGACCACTACGGATCGTTATTGGGCTAGGCGTATGCTACTTTTCAGCGGAGCAGGGGCGAAAGAAGATCCCGACGAACGAGCGGCCATGGTGATCTCTGGATATTGCACGCTGGGCGTAGTCTATTTGAAAAATAGACTGAGTTCTCGACTTAGCCAGGAACCTCGGTGATCGGCAGGCACGGGAAACGGCACTACTTCAAGCAACGTTGTATCAGTGCCCAGAGATTGATAACGGTGTTTTCCGGTGGCTTAGTATGGCCGAGGTGAGGGCGACAACTGGGCAGCGGAGGTTTATTTGCAGTTGACAAGAATGTTCTAAAGAGTTGTGAATTACGTTTGGGAAACACATTCGAGGTCCTTTGTTGACATTCACCCATGCACTCCAATCAGAAAATCAATAAAGCCAAGCCTTTCTATAGCCTCTTGCGCGCATCGGCATTGCCGAGCTGCATCATGATATGACAGGATATCAAATAGAATAACTGATAAAGCAACTGACTAAATACCGTGTGTCCTGGAAGGGGTTATCACGCGGAAGTTCTCTGCAAAGGCTTCTGTAGCATCCCGGGATCTGAAATGCACTCTTCTGAAAAGAACCAGGTGCATAGTGCTCAGTTACAACGCATCAGGGTCTGGCCCCAAAAGAAGAATGATACGGAGCATGGCTGGAGTCTGGCCGAAACAGTCATGTCGACCGAGCTTCTGGCCTAGAACTGATGAGACAAGCATATAAGCCAGTAGCTCTAGCAACAGAACCGTTCTGCTATGTTTAGCAATTCCTTTGGGGGGCTCCATTCCTCGTCTGACAGCCCTTCAAAAGGACCCCTAATTTCTTTCGACTGTGGAGGCATCAGATCACTGGCTCGTTCACAAAGTGTCCGCATTGAGATCCGAGCGCTGCACAATGAGTATTCTGGAATATTCAGGACGTCTCACCTTTTTTTCTGTTAATTTCCCACACACGCCAAGGACTGTTCTAGCCATGGGCACCAGGCCTCTGCACGGTTGTGTCCTGCGATGCAACATTCGTCTGCTATCTGTAAGTACTTGCCGGGGCTTTCGATAAACAAAGGGTTTCTTCAAACAGAACGTGGCTGGGACGGATTCATGTTAATAATAGAAAGTCCTTATTTTTATCCCGTATGCAAAACACACGTTGCGCGGGTCGATCAGAGGGACCACTCCGTACCCCACCCCCAATTAAAAAAACGCCGGATCAAAGGTAAAAAATGAAGGGACCTTGCCAAGAGGGTGGTCTTTGGAGATCTAGACTTGAGGGCAAGCGGCACATTTCCTCACCATGCGGAAATAGTGAAGACAGAAAACATCAGTCAGCAGTTGAACTCAGTCTAGTCAGTGGCTGTGGTGCTTTGATGGTTTGGCATGGCTTGCCAAGCAATTCATGATCGTCTGACAAAGATTGTTTGATTAGAAGAGAAAAAAGTCACTGCCTAAACAAGTGAGTTCATTTGCTCCGTCAGTTCCGTCGGCGCGCACCATTGCATTCTACAGAATTGCCACGGCATCGCATCGACGAACGGTGCCATTCAATTGCTGTGCTGCAGGCAGAACATGTCGAGATGCCAAGGGCGGGAAACTGGTCAAAGGTCTAGCAAAAGATCTCCTCCGAGCAAAGATGTCTCGATCCCTTATACGATTGAGTGATGAAGCTAGCAGTCTTCCACATGCAAAGAATAAAATAAACCATGGTTTTCTTAAATTGCATCTCAAGCTAAGAAATCGACAATCGACAATTAACATGGGTATGAGAATGGAACGGGTGAAACCCCGAAACACGGCATCTCGATATTGAGTGGCGAGCTCTCCATTGGTTCAACAGGAGCTGCTCCGGGCGGGAGACATAACGGATGCCCATCGAGAGCTTGGTGAGGATCTCGGCCGGTGGCGTCGCATCTCGATGCGGGAGCTATCACTTGATGAGGGCGTTTTTTTCGTGTTTTTTTTTTAAAGCTGCATTCCGGATCGCTTCCACGACAAAGGGTCTTGCTTAGTTTGCTGCAAACAGTTAAGTAGTAGAATCGGAGATTTCGATCCCATTAACAGCATTGAGAAATAGTGAATTTGTCCATGAACCAAGGGTGTGCGAAATCGTGGTTGTACATAGGCAATTGCGGATGCGGAATGGCCATTTTCCTTCGAACCACCAGGCCCCCAGCAGCTCTCAATGGCGGCCGTTTTATGTCCTGAGATGGGTGCATGGAGCTCTTTTACCCCTAGTGTTTTACTCCGTAGACCTCGATGACCCTTTAATCAGTTTAAAACGGTCCTCGGCGTGGGTTAAACGGAGCGACACTGCAAATCCCATCAATTAGTGATCGATCTTTAGGGGATCGAGATGCGACAGCGTACGTGTGCGCCTCTGCGATTAGTCCACCTCTAATGTGCTGTCGATGTTAGGCAAATCGTGTAAATTCCACTATAACGAAGATCAACCAGATTATCCTATCCCACACCCGTCAACCGTTGGGTCTGATACAACCGATCATGTCTTTGATGCCTTTCTTTTTTCCCCTGGCCCAAAACCCCACATGTCTTCCTGCTCATCGGTGCGATCTTGTCTTTAAGAGGCAAAATGTATCACCCTACGTAGGGCCGTCGTAAGCTCAAGCATGTATCCGGCACTACGGATACGGGTTATGATAAGCGCTTCCCGCCCGTCAGACCCGGAATTCGACGATCAATCGTCGCCTTGTCTGGCTGATCCGATTCACAAGTCAGGTTCCGGGCATCGAGGGTTGCTTCTTCGAGCCAGCACCAACACGTGGAGCAGCGTAATTAGCGACGTCAGTTTTGATACAGTCTGTGTCATTGTCGCAGCGGTTGAGTCGATGGACGGGATCCCTTGGCGCGCGAGCTAGAGGCCATTGCATCATGCAACTGTGGTTGACAGCTGCATTTTTATAAAACAACAAATGTCGCGATGCCTAGGGCCGCTCACCAGACGACGATAAGTCGTAGCGATCGCGAGCAAATGGCTCAAAGGCTTAACCCTGTCACCCAACTCTATCGATCATGATGAGCTGCAGGGTTTGTTTGGCGATGTGAACGGGCCATTGCGTGCATCTGATCGAGAAGTAGGAGCAAGACGGAGTTGCTCCGAACCCTGCTGAAACCTTGAGCTTTGGAACACAAGGAAGAAAAGAGCAGAAAATAATTATCGCAAGGTCGGTGTCGATGCCATGCGCCGATGTCGATAGCACTTTCGTGTCATGCTTACCTCCACTGCCGGCCGGAAAGGACAGCGTGCCCGCCCACTAACACCAATATCCGACAGTCATTCCCAGCGCAGTGGAAAGCCGACTAGACTCGGCCGGGTCGTGATAGCAGGAACCGTGAAATGGTGAACAGGCTTTTTGGCACTTGTTATTTGCTACCCTGTTGCTTGGTAGGTTGTTACAACTCTGGGGTTCAACCCAATCATGGACCGTGAAGCCGTAACGGAGGCATCGAGATGCCCAAGGCCCTGCAAAACGGTATCATGATCCTCAAACTCTAAGTCCTCAGCACCATGCCGTGTCTTGTCTTGCTCCAACAGCTCGCTCAATAGAAATGCTACGTTAAGCGTGCATCAAATCACATCAGAAGGTCTCGCATCAGATCAACAGTCAAGGGTTACGCGTCATAAGATCCCCGTTAGGAGAAATACATAGATATCCGTAGTTTCGAGACATTTCGTTCGAAGCCTCTCGACATATCTCCACGCGGCGGGTGGAATCTGCCCATAGTAAACGTCCGATCATTTGTAACAAAGAGGAATCCTAGATCTCTCAGATTGATTAAACGGAGAAGACGTCCGGAGGGGCTCCGCATGCTCCTATTCCTGGTCCTGCCGTGAAGAGCGTCATGGGAACAGTAAAAAACCGAAACGAACCAGACGGAAGCTTGATTGATGTTGATTACCTGATTCCTGATCCCCTCTACACCTTCGATCTTGCGCCTCGTAGTGGGTTGCCAGCCATACGCTTGCTTGTCGTTTGGGCCCTGAAGATCGGAAATTGGGTGTGTCATCAAAGGAGTCCCCGATTAGCACTAGGGCCACTTCAAACGCCGGAACGGAATGGGCCTGCCAAGGGCTCCGTTCGCTGACTCCGTTAGGGCGCTGGTTACTGAGATATTCTTATAATGAGTAGAACTATTATACGGATACCACTTTAAACTGAAACTGCCAGCAGTGCACCTTTTGTTTTCCACAAGGGCCTTTGTGAGTCACTTCTAGGGTCCCCCGGAGTTAAAAAGTCGGGACAAGGCCTGAATTAGCAACTCATCCCAACAATTGGCCCACAAGCCAAACACAGCGATGAAAAACGCATGCATTGAGTAGTATCGACAACTCTAAACACCATTATTTGTTTTTAACAATTGTGCTTCACCTTTCTTCACAAACCACCGTGCTCTATTTCTGGGTACACTAGCAGAGACTAGTTCAGAGCCCAATCCCACGGTTCAGGCTCATCATGCAAGGACAGGGTTTGGTGCTCTCGTTCTCGGTCAGCTCAGCCCTCTCAAAATTAGGGGTCCATCTCTGCGTCCCCAATGCTCCTCTCATAGAACAACGAAAACATGTAGCAAAAAAGAATATTGGAGCCCCGTGAGACCAGCGTCGCAGCCTTGAAAAAAATGATCCGAAGCGCCGGGTACGTGTTGCGCTGTGCTGTGCTGTAGCATTGCTCTCAACATAGTATCTCCCTGCTAGTATAGTAGGTCCCCTGGATTTCAGATCGTTCAACTGCCTATTATCCTGTCTCCTTTAAACGCGGCTCTGTTCTTTGTTGTCTCGTCTAGCTGGCGTTACATCCGCACTGAGGCTTGTAAGTGACAGCTACCCAATAGCGTAATTCCATCAATACGAGCAAAACATCTGCCAGATTTACAATTCAGCGATGCCTCGACATACAAATGCTTTCTACACAATTACAATTTGCTCAATCGTTGGTAAAAACATTGAGACCATGTCTCTCCTATTAATGCGTCCCGCGCGGCAGAAGAAAGTCAAAGAACCCCCTTCTCGGCAGCCGTAATATGCGTGAAACCCGACCGAGGCTGTCAAATACTCCATCCGTCGGATCCGCTTCATATACTGCAGCACATTTCAATGGAGATATCAGTATTGTGCACAAGCAAGGGGGTTAATTATGGCCTACTGCATCCATCTGCCGCCCGATGCGAACGCCCTGTCGTCTTTGTCTTGAATGTGACAGAAACTCTCTCCTATATCACTCAAATTGCGCGGCCTTTCGGCGCGGAAGAAGCGCCATTATCAAGGCGCATGCCGCAGAAGCCGCAGAAGCCGAAAAGCCCGTCGTAGCTAAATATCTTATCTCTTTCAAGACTTGTGCAGTTCAAACAGCAGCAGGCATCCGCGTACGGGCGCACAGTCTCAGCCATGCCCAGCCCAGCAATTCCGTTTGGGCGTTCTAATCCCTGTGCCTGAACTGGGCTGAGCTGGCTGATCTGATCCGGGGTTGTTTTAACGGTGAACCCAAAAAAGATTCACTTCAGACAAACATGAGGCGGACGAACAAAAAAATGAATGTCACGGCGTGTAGTCTAATTGACTCATTCTTCCCAGAGCAACATAGGACAACTCATCCCATCCCATGGCACAAGCCACCTCAAAGCCGGAAACGACGGTGATACAGGGGACCTTGAAGAATTGTTAACATGAGACTCTCAATCTAATTTGTAGGAAGCTTCCATTCGAGGCAAGGGACACCCCGTTAAACGCAGCACGGAACCCGGAGCAACGAATGACAACAAATAACAACATTAAGCTTTTTTGCTTCGTTGCATGTTCCTTTTTCCCAGCCCGACTTGAACAGGGCGCACAGCTGGGCGTATTACTGTAGCGGTGACACTCTTTGTAAGCTGTGCCCTGTTGTGTCGTCGTCGGCGTCGTAAGCAATCTTGGAACTGGTTCTTCCCGTGAGAATATTACTGTACAGTCAGGCATACCCGAGACAAGCAGATGGCTTCAGCCAGCCTCCCAACAAGTTATAACTGACGGGCGTGACCTATTGGACATGGACAACATGATCACAGGCGTTGCACGTTACAGGGTACATCAGACAATTAGATGCAGACAGTTTCTGAAGCATTTATCAGTTAATTAATCAGATACAGACAGCATGATAATTGCTCCTGATCACAAGCCAAAAGCTGACAGCGCTCTACCTAATTTGTAAACCCCGTTAAATCGCATAACCGCGACAGCGCACAGCACAAAACGGAGCGAACGTCGATGGGGTTAATGGAGAAACGGACCATAACTGGGGTTTCGATGGAGACGGACGGCTTTCGCCTGGCCAAGAACCCAAGCAAGGACTTGACGTTGCATCGGCCTGTCCTCGCTCACGCCAAGCTCAAGCCTACACACCCCTCTCCCCTCCGTTTTTGACTGCTTCGGCTCTCTGCTCTGGATCCAAGACCAATCGAACTGTAGCTAACTGCCCAGCAGGCGCCCAGTTTCAAGCCAAGACTCAGACTGCCAGCTTTACGGTTGCTTGGTCAATTACCCCCTCCCCGATGTCTAATTCTCATTCTGTCTTATACTTGTCATATGTGCCGTGGCCGCGAGCTCTTCTTGTGCTATGCGCGGACCTGCGCCGGAGGCCTAGAGGGACAAGCAAGGGTGTGTATGTGCGTCGCTCCGTTTCGCATGCTTGGCATGTTCTCTGCTTCTCAAGCTGCCGATCTTTTACCCTTCCACACGCCGTCTTCCAAGACATTTCCGTGGGCATCGTCGATCCAGGACTTAGCAGCAAAACTTAACTTCGTTACGTAGCGTCACAGGAAAAGAAAACCACACACACGTAGGGAAAAGGCACCATCTGAATGGTGCCGATATACCCTGTTTCAATCTGAGTGATGCATTACTAGCAACTCAGGTTTTGGAACAACCATTTTGATAAAAAGGTCGTCTCCCACCTTCAAAACGCCCTCTTATCCTAGACCCTATCTTCACCAACGAACGACTCGACCCGACTCAACACGATACCTTTGGGAACGCTCTAGAACTCTGTGTCAAATAACTTCAACTGAACAGTCACTCCATAACAAATACCAATAAATCTCAAGGACCTTGCCCTACTACTCTGCACCCAACGAGACTAAGACTCAGCCATCTGCAGAATCGTGCTACAATACCGTATCTTACCGTACCGTATCACTTACTACGTATACGTGCTCAGCCAGGCAACGCCCACCCCCTTGCTGCAACACCAACACCCACCCACACCCCTCCCCGGACGGCTTGTTTTCAAGGCTCCAGAGTTCAAAGCCTAGGCCCCTGGTCAATTCTCATCCTTCTTAACAGCACCCATCCCCCTTGAGGGCGAAGCAAAAAAGAGCCCAGTACTCAGAGCACCAAAGCGCCAGCGCATCCCCATCCACTTGAAACAAACAAAAAGGCTTTAGCTTCCGCTTCCCTTCTTATTACCTGCTTCCTGCTCCCCTAAATAAATTATCTATATTACCTGCCTCTCCGTCTTCCTACCTTCACCATGTCTTCCAGACCTTCAAACCACCACTTTGGATCTTCCGGCTCAACATCATCAGCACAATCAGGCTCCGACTCGGACTCATCCTCTTCCAGCTCCGGTCACAGACACAGCATGGACTCAATCGCTCTTCCTATTGCCTCGGTCGAGGTGCTTCGCTGCATGCGATGCGCTCGCTCAGTCGAGACCACTTCCACCGACGACGTCACCACCATGGGAATGGTTCGCATCGCGCACAACCTCTACTACTGCGAACGCTGTGCAAAGATGGTCGGCTACAAATAAATGAATCAAACCAGTACCAAGGGCTTGGACACGAGTTTTAAAACACACACGGAAAGAAACACTCGATTACTTCCAGCTTTTTCTTTTGTGGAGGAAAGCAACACAGCATGAGCATACGCGATCCTGGATCATCCAACCAACAGCAGCAGCTTCTGGGCGCACGGATTAAAGATAGTTGGCCATCGCCAGTATGCCACATCAACAAATATCCACCGCCAAAGGCAATCATTCACACCAATGGTAGCCTTATCATCAGCAAGAGCAACACCATGCATCGCCGTACAGCAGTTCAATGAATGCAACTGCATCCAGACGAGTTGGTACACTCTTGCAACACCAAAGCAAATCCGCGACAACGACGGCCACGATAATGCCCGCCATTCAGTCACTACAACCACTGCGAATTTCAGAAACACCTGCCCTACCGTTGGGCTCTGAGGTTTAGGGCATTTTGGTGATTGGGTGCGGCATGTCCGGCACCAACTTATGGGCCCCCGTCAGCTTCCGGATCAGCACTTGCCAGGCTCAGCCAGCCGAGGGCAGATCATCTAACCAGTCGAGAGCCCGCATGATTGCCTCATGTGAGATATCACGGAGGCTTGGCTCTTGTCTGTTTTATTTCATGACCTTTTTTGTTTTATTTTTATACTTGTATTCTTGACGACTATCATGTCTTACCATGTACGGAGTTTCTCTGGGAATGGGGCTCACTTCTCACATTATTACAATTTTTTGTACACCATGGATACCCTTTTTTGTCTTATTGTTGGGCGTTACGGATACGTTAGGCTGGCTACCTTATGTTCATGTTTTATTGTTTTATCTTTCATCTTGGAGAATACACGCAGATACCATGGCCTGGCGCCTGGCACAGCTCAAGCCAATTGGGCAGGCTATCTATGTATATATTTATCTTTTTTTGACAATCTATCAAAACCTCTCCACATCATATCATCAATGCATTCTGTGCCTCGTCTTGTGCATTACATACTGTTGGCCATCGTCGGCCGTCGACGTCTGGTCTCTAACAACTCCCAGCCCAAATATCCGTCAGTCAATGCCGTCCGCGCTACGAGCCGTCTCTCGCATGGCTAGCATGCATGGTTTGACTAGGGTCAATGATGTAGCCATTGGCTGTTTGCAATCAACGTTAGATGTCCATTTTTCACATTCCCCTCTCGGAACCAATAAGGGACTTTGCAAGATGAATTCCAAGTTCCAACTGTAGATGCAACTTGTCTCGACTTGAACGAGGGTCGCATGCCAGCCACTGACGTCTTGGCTCCCGCATTCTTCGCCCATGCAGAGCGGGGATTGCGTATGTAATGGGCCAGAGGGAAGATAGGGACTCGCCCATTATCAGGAATTACTACGTAGTACAATACCCGGGCTAAACACGATGTTCTGATTCTGGACTGCAAAGTGCACAGATTGGAATTGGGAATGGAGGCATGGTGGTCTCGCTTGAGTTCATTTCAAATCGACGTCTCCTTTTTTTTCTTTTCCTCTCCTCTTTGCATGACTTGTCCTTTTCACTTTTTCGCCTCCCCCTTTCTTCCCCTTGTCTTTGGGTTCTCCAGGTTTTTTATCCCGGCTTTTGGAGATTTCCTCGGTTAGGGTTTTGGACATTTTCTCTCCCAGTATCCGTAGTATCTCCACTCCTCGGGTTACCTGCATTTTTTGTGCAGATTTCGGTGGAGACTCTCGGCGGTTCTGTCTCTGACTTTTGTTATTAATATTTTACTTTTTTCGCCTTATCCTTTTTGAGGCTATTCCCACTGTCCCACTTGACGTGGTCTGGACCTATCTCGAGGATTCGTGGAAGATTACGACAACATGACATGGATATGAGCACCGGGTGTATCACTCCGACCATTTTGACCAGAACTGCAACTCATTGGGTGCTTGTACATGTTGAGTGGTATGTTGCGATGGATGCATAAACTCTCTTTCATTTGCCTATACCCACCCAGCAATGACAGTTGATAGTTCGTCGTTGCCGTGGCACATTGTAGCACACATGCAGCTGCTGTCTTCAAGCCCTGAGAGCCAGGAGAGCTCACCAGGCGACCACCTCAAAAGTCAAAGTCAATTCGTGTGCAGCAGCTCAAGCCTCGATGCAACCAGTGCCCTCAGTCAGTCAACACCGTTTAACGCGCTTCTGCAAGCCATGCAGCCCCAGTGACACTGGCCACTATCAATACCCCAGCCATTTCCAACAAGTAGAGGCATCTCGTAGTAGAAAATATGGAGAGGCTAATGTACTTTACGACTTCCCCTCTTCCAACATATCTCCCCCTCTTCTCGACTCGATTCGATTCGGCGCACAACGCGCCTGCATTGGAAACAAAGTTTTGAGCTTACGGCAGTTGAAGGATGTCGTACAAAAGTGCAACGAGGGCTGGAATGTGACATGGGCCTGTCTCATTCTGCTGCATCTGCCGTTATCCTTCAAAACAAAGAGGCACATCTAGACTCCTGTTTAAGAAAACGCCCCCCCGCCATCCTCGGCTCCGTAGTCCGTGGTCCGTGAGTAGAAAAGGAATTATTATATTAATTAAGACCATGGCGGCGGTGGCTTGAGCCTTAATGAACGGGCCCTCTACCGGAAGGTAGACAGTCCGAGACTTCATAGTACAAACTGCAGCACATGTGCACGTTACCACTTTTTGTCTTTTCCAAGTTTAGTTCAACGTTTTGGTGCACGGTTCCCGGCGGAACAGAGAAACACACAAACCACCGTGCACTTGTCAGTGTTGCTCATGCCAAGCTTTAGCTCTGCTCCTGTGCCTGCTGCGTCCCTTGTTCGAGTTACAACCCAGGGTTTCAATCGCCGATTAAGAGCTTGAAACCAGGCTCGAAATAGAAGCTCTTCGGTCCAGGGGTTGCAGCAAGGCCAGGGTTTTGTACAAAAGAGTACGGCAACTACGTATGGAATATGTCCCAGCTTGGTGGTTTACCTATCATGTGCACTTCTGTACAGTAGCTGACCGCCCACTTACCTCAGGTTGCACAGCTGACGCGCAGTAACAAGAATACTACAATGTCTTTGAGTTTTGCTTGGCATGGACTTGGAAACACGACGCTGCAACCCCCTTGTCTTGGCTGACTTTTGTAGGTAGGTGGGCTTAAATCTTGGTGGAGTAGTGACCAAAGCCGGGGAATACTCAGAAAGCCTCTTGTCTTAGAACAAGAAACGTACGATTGCGACAGATAGTAAGGCTGCAATTCTAAGACATATACAACGGAATCTTTTTGATCCGTAACCAACAGGTGAGATTGATGATACCCGACTCCCCGAACTTCGAACGGAGTGTCAAGCCCGTCGTTCGGCATGTCGTTGTCGTCTGTATAACGGATCTCACGGATACGATAACTAAGATGCCGAGGCCAATCCGACCGAAGGGAATAACATACTTAGCTCCGTAGACCATTGCATTAGAATAAACTCAAGCCCGTCTTAACACCGAGCTACCGTCTAAGTATCGCGCTTTTTCTTCCGTGGTATGTGATATTATCGCTCACACTCACCTCCAATCCCTTCTCGCGAGATCCTTCTCAATCCCCGTCTCACACACCCTATCTCAAACCCCAGCCCCCAACAAACTCCCGTTAATAAAGGTACACGCTCATCCGTCTAACCACAAAACGGTTGCGCCCGTGAGCTATGCAGGCAGATGTCATAGGGTCGCGCGCCAACGCCCGTACAGGAAAAGCTTCACCTTCAGTGCCGCGAGGGATGACGTCTCCTCATGCGTAAAGGGATTTTTACTGCTCCCTTAAAAAAAGAAAATGACAGGGTCGTCAGAGCGGTGACAGGAACCACACCCAAGGAGACGTTATACGTAGTACAAAAAAGTAAGATTAGTTGGGAAGACTGAACCACAGAGTTGGAAACAAAAAAAGAACTGGATCTCATGGGTGAGCCTTTTTCTGTGGAGAAATGCTATGTATGAACGGGAGATCACCACAAAGCATAGATATTCTCCAGTTGAGCCTCTGGAGATCTCCAAGGATATCTTGCCAAAACCATGGGCCTCAAACCCAAAATCTTAGTAGAACATTCGATCGTCGAAATAACGAACCCAAAAGAAGGGGTTCTTCTTTCTTTTCCGTGCAATTCCCTTCCACACCATCATGCATCTTCCCGCAAGACCCTGTGAATGCCCTCACTCTTGGTCCAAAATGGAGGGTCCCACGCCGCTTTCGTCATCCCGCCCGCTGACCTCATCGTGCAGCCCCACGGCACGACGCTGCACGCTTCCAAGAAATCAGGGCGGTCTATAAAAAACAACAGAGATTTTCTCCCCGACATGGGGGGGCGTGACGTCGCCTATGAGAGAAAACGGTCTGCGTTTACGCAATCTGACCGGGGATTTTGGGCAAAACGGTGGACAAAGAAGGATTAGCGAGGGGTGAGATTGATGCATATGGTGATCAAGAACTATTTTCGAACACAAAGAACGGTGATAGACACTTAATTGCGATGAGTATAGGGCTGTCTTATGCACTTGGCGGTCTATCAAAGAGCGACTGCGCCGCTTCTAAGAATATTCTATTTCTGTTTACTGAAGTGATCTTCCAGATTATATGTATGCCCATATGCAGGGTATCGTATTTCATTCCTAGGCTATCCAACGCCTTACGCCTAGTTCCTACAACCCAGAATTACAAAATGACACAGCCTGTGAGCGTCTTATGTCCGAGCCTCATGTTCCCGTTAACCAATGACCGCGGCGTATCAGAATGATTAACCCTCCATCTTCATATCTGTCTCCTTGCCCAAGTTCTTTAGTAAGAAGCTGCGCTTGAAGTACTCGTTGGGATGAACAAGGGTTTCAAGCTGTGCTTGTGTCATAACGCCCTCATCCTTGGCCTTCTTGATTTCTTGCTTGTGTAGGTGCTCGAATACGCTGCACAAAAAGTTAGTACACGCCTCACGGAGGAAAGCAAATGAACGTACCGGTTGCATGCCATGTGGAACTTCTGCTTGTCTTTATCCTCCTTCACACCCTGGAGAACAGAGCGATCGCTGACACCCATGGCTTGTACGAGCGCAGAAAGATTCTCCATGTTGAAATGCCGGTACGGGCATCCATGGGCCTCACCAGGGCCAGGAGGATGCTCAGTGAGAATCTTTTGACAACTGAAAGGACTGTAACCACCTCCCCTGCGGTTGGTGTCACCACCAACATCACCGTATACGTGACGAATATTGTAACGGTACTCCTTGTTGAACTTGTCGTCTGTAATTTTATGAAAGCTCTTTCTCCAAAACACAAGACACTCCTCCAGGTTGAGGCCAATGCCCTTAAGGAAGAGTGAGTACTGTAGCCGACCAAAGTGCTTGAGATGAGCGTCACGACGCAGTGATCGATGTAGGTGGGACATGCATGCTGGGAAGTGTTGTGAGAGGTTGTCAACATTGGCAGCGCTGATTTCGGCACCGGGCACGGCAGCTGTGCTCGAAGTGTAAGGTGCGTCGGGAGTGATGAAGTTCTTGGACAGATGGTTAAGGATGGGTGTAAGCCGGTCGTCCTCGTCGAGTCGAGGCAGAGCCCGGGCAGTCAGCTGTACGCAGTCAGTATGTTAGTTCACAACATAGGGAGAAGAGATTATACCTCAAGTTGCCGCTCCAAACGAGATGAGAATTCCGAAACGACCATACCAGCCTGTTCTCGGCCTGGTACAAACGCCTTTCCGGCCTTTAAGAATACTCTCCGGCTCTCGATCAAGTCAGGAACTCGCTCCCAATCCACCTTGAACCAACTATCATCATCATTCTCGCCTTTTCGGTTACTAGTGAAGGCAGCAAGCTCTGCAGCATATTCTCGTCTGTCCTCGTCCGTGACATCCTCGCACCAGTCCAGGCCAATAGTCTTGACAAAGGCGGATCGCTCTGCAAGATCATCATCGTTAAGTCGCATACGGAAAAGCATCGTCTCAACGCGCGTGAATCGGCGTCGCAGGTCCTCAGTGGACGAAAAGGCTAGTCGTAGGATGAAGTGGCTGTAATGATCTTTTTGGCGCTGCTCAAAGATCTTCTTTGAGCCTGAGCTATTGGCCTCGAGGTTGAGGTGCTTTTTGAGGATGGGTTTCATGTGTGTTGCTGTCTCGGCGGGAGTCTTGTTGCGGAACGAGCATGCTTCGAGTTCGGCGAGAACTATCGTCTGTTAGGTACGTTCTATTCCTTGATGATTCGCTAAGTACCTCGAAGTCGGTCGATAGCCCATTGTTCAAACTGCTCAAGGGTAATGTCTGCTGTTGGAGGATCTGTGTAAAAGTTGAGACGATGGGGATAGTCGAGGTCCTTGTATATAGGTGTCGCGAACTGCTTCTTGCGATGGTCTACGACGTTTCGCCGCTTGGGGTCGATTCGGTTAAAGTCTTGCCGCAACATGATTTCGTTGTTTTGAGTGTCTAGATGGTAATGAAGATGAAATGAGCAGGAAGTGGAATGGTCAGTAGGAGGCGTAAAGTGGGAGACGCGACTTTACGCGACTTTACGCGACTGGCGTCGCGGGGTGGATCGGTTAATTAAGTGCCAGTACACCAATCACAACGTCAGAATCTGGCTGAAGGTGTTCCCCAGGTGATGTTAGCGCAATGGTCTACTAATTTGAAGATGAATTGAGAGGGTGCTGTGAATGCGATAAACGATGGACCATTATTACCGCTCTGTCGACCTATGTGCGAGGTGCTTAGAGCTGTGATAACAGTTGGCATTACTCGGTCGTTATCAATAAAAAACGGGCGGCATCCTAAGTTCATGTACAATGCAATTGCAAGGCCTCTGATTTGTGGCGCTCATGTGTCGCAACGCTGGGAGATATCGATGACATCGTTAGAGTAGACGTTCTCCTCCATCTGCACCTCCCATTCTATATGTGACGCTGCGTAATCTTCTAACGAAGAGCATTCTACCATTTTGTGACCCTTTTGCTGGTTTACGTATTTAGGGAATGCCAGTTCAACTCAGACCCAGGCTTAGGCCATCAGAGCCTACAGTCTGCTCTCATACGACTCCTTTCAAAGTTCCAGCTACAGTATGTTTCCCCTTCTCCTTCAACCATCTAATCCACCAAGACTGAGGAAGTTCGCCATTACTAGCTTGTTATAAATGTTGGTCAAGACTCGGCTCTACTATTGAGGCTGCCACCCGAGATCCTTACCCTGATCTTCGGCCAGGCTGGACTGGTGGAAAAGGTCATGCTGGCGATGAGCTGCAAGAAACTACTGGCCATCTCAAGTCTCTGTAGCATTTCAATACCCGACCGCAAATTCCATGTTGCCATATGGAACCGAAACTATGAGCAACTTCCTTCAACCGAATGCTCATGCCTGCATATACAGCATCTTACCCAAAGGGCCCGACCTCCTGGCCGATCGAGGGCTTGGTGCGTTGATTGCGCCAGGCATCTGCCAACAAGAAAAAGCTTATGGATCAAGAAATTAAAGACTGAACTTGAAGTGTCGGAATATGAGTTGCCATTTTATAAATGTGCCATCGACACGTTTAGTCGCAGGTTCCGAAAGCAATGCCCACGTTGCTGGCTATGTGAATATGACTTCCACCACGGGAGAGAATTGGTACCTCAGCATGCATCAGGAGGGTGACAGTCTTGGTGGTTATTGAAACTCCTAGAATAGTCTGATTGATCATAAACTGGCAGTTTCTCTTCTCAGCTCTCTATTTCATTATTGGTGTCCTCTTGCTTGGGATGTTTTTACTCTCTTTTTAGGTACTTAGTAGCTTAGTAGTCTTCACCTTCAGAGATACCTACGATACATAAACCTCCATGTCAATTGCTGTTAATGAACACCAACACAGCAGCGGCTATCAAATATATCTGCAAAATCCCAATTGCTCAATCGATTAAGTTTATCCTTACGAACTCGCGATCAACTACAGAGCATAAGATTCCTGGTCGCACAGTAGTAGTCGTCTTGTGACTTGTCAAAAATGCCTTGCAATTGGAGATCAAGTGCAACCGCTTTCAACCGTGCCATAGTCCATAAATACTGCATCATCCATCCAATACCATGCAATTGCAACTCAACCACATATTCCTAACTGTCTCCACACACCCACACCAACTCCCAAATACGTCTGCTTGAAAGTCTCACTCGTTCCTTCCCTCAGTTTGTGAGCATCTTCACCCCAAACTCATTTGTTTTCCATTAGCATTTGTTCCTCTTTTTCAACAAACACAAGCTTTATACTCATGTTGCGCAAATTGCATCAATCCTTCTGGGCCCTCCCTCCATAAGTGAGATCCTCACCATGTCGAGTCCTATCAACATCCCATCCCAGCAGCCTTATCGACAAGGCCTGGCTGGAGATCAATCGCCCTTCCCAGAAACCGAGGGCCCATATATGGGCTATACTGAGCTATATGAAAAGTAAGAGAACATCATTGCCTTCTGCTTGTTGGGTTCTTTATGCGCATAGCTGACAGTCAAGTGGCCACATTTACCGCGCTGTATCATCCGGCTCTGGCAAATTCGTTACTCTTAGTCCCCGATGCGAATTGCCTTTTCTTTCTTTCGTCGTCGAAAAGGACAGGGCGAAAGATTCGATGACAATAGCCTTTAGGAGTAGACATCTCAAACAGATTATCAGTCATGTTCTCGGGCAGGATGTCGTTCCACCATTACAGCTGACTCTCGACTTCGGTCAAGTCCTGCAACATTATGTCGGTCTACGGTTTGAGCTTGACGAACTAGACTGCCACAGCCCTTATGGAGACTTGACCAAAGAGATGCGCTTGTTGGTGGATGATATCTTGCTTGAGCCCTCACTTTATGATGGCATCGGCATTGATGCCCTACGCCAACAGGGTATCATCAGCACCGCTCTTCTTCAAGACATCCATCAAAGGAATATGGATATTGGAATTAACGATCTCGAGGAATGCTTTCGCCTCGGACAAACTCCCCCGCAAGAGGCCAACAAGTTTCTGGGAATTCAGAACGCCGAAATCTATCGACTTGCGCAGACGGGCCGGCTGGACCTCGTTCGCGGACATTGCGAGCCCCTCTTGCGGTCTAATGGGATTAGAATCCTCTTTGACCCTGATCTTCTGACGCAAATTCTGGACAAAGGGTATTGGGATGTTTACGAGTATATCCTAGACCTTGTTGAGCGCACGCGACCCATATTGAAAGAGCTTCCTAATGCCGATTATGTCGATATAACCTACGATCCTCTCTGCGTTGCTATTCGTTTAGGTCACTATTACACAGTTAAGCTCCTTGTTGAGTGTCATTACATGACCTTTATGGGATACATCGAAGACATTCCTGGTGGCTCGGATCGCGTTTTCACGCCGCTCCTGGCGGCGGTTCTATGGCAGCAAGTGGACATTATCCCACTGTTGTTATGTTCTCCGATGTATCATGTTGAGTTACTCCAAGCCAACCAACTCGCCGCCGAGATGGGTCTCCCTCATGTCTTACAAGCCCTGGCCGACTTACCCGTTGAGTCAACATCGGCTTATCAAGGCATGAGCGCAAAATATCCAGTTCCAAAAGCACCTCAATTCCACCCTACGAGCTTATCTTCACCCAATTGCACACCAATTTCTCTGTCTCCTTCTGGAAATGGCAGCATTTCGGGTATTAGCAGTGCGCTATCTAACTCGTGGACATGCTCAGCAGTTAACGGCGACTATGACCCTGTCACCTCTATTCCAAGCATCGCGAGTCCTGGGATGCTTTCTCAGGCAACTCCATCTCCTATACTCCCTGAAATTTATGTCTCTCCCAAAGATCTTACACTATCTGACCCTGTCTCCTCGCCCCGGTTTGATCCTCCAATTCTGCACAACGTGCCTGTTGGCGTCCCTCAACAAGTTTCCCCTGTCTCAATACTTCAGCAACCTACTACTCAGTCATTGTTTATTGATTACACCAAAAGTCACCGGCTCCGGCAAACTCTAGGGCATGCTTCCGTGATACGGTTACAACAGCGATGTTGGAGAATAGGCACGGTCTGTGATGGACATGGCAACTCGAGCGAACATGAGATCATCCGGGATCAGTGCGCAAGTCCCAAGACTGCCTCGAAATTGGGACTCAACTACATGAGGAACATCATGAGGAACGAACTACGACCCGAGCTTATCGGGATCCTTCAAGCATTATTAGTGGCGGATGCATTGATCTGTCAAGCTCCTGATGCAGAAAAACTTGAAGAAGAGTAAGTACTATTTAATCTTTTAGCTTGGAAATATTAATAAGCATAGGTTCATCAAAGATCTCTGCCGATGGAGGTTCTTACTTCTTGGTAAGAATGCAGATACGGATATGTTCGACGAATTTGTTTGCGCCGCCTGGAAGACCGAATCCTTACCCGCCCCTGCAACACTGGAGACATGCGGGGATCTCCTTCGGTTTGGCGAATTAGTAGAAGGTTTCGTTTCTCGCACCGACATAAAACCGCCCGACCCAAAGCCTCATGGCAGCCGACTACGGACAGTCCAGAGACAACTCAAGGGCGTCTATAACCAAGATCCACAACCATTCGCGAATATGGCGTCGAGGAGCTCTAGTCTTCTGCTTGAAGCAAGAGCAATAATTCCTAGAATTGAAGTTATGGACCCCAAGGTAGTTATGATACTAGAGTCGGTAGCGTTCAACGTTTTATTTGCAACATCGTCTTGTAAGTATTTGGTGCAAACCCAATATTTGGCCGGTGGAACTAACCATCACAGTAGTTCAAGACATGGAAGACAGCTGCTTCCTAGAACCACTGTTCGGGACACCAGCAAGCATCAATCGAACATCTGCAACTCTGGAGAGTTCTCTTAATTTCGAACTGCCAGACCAACTCTCCTGCGACTCCGGTATTGGCATGGAACTCTCTGTCAAAGACTCGATGAGTCCGAGGATGCCAGGTACGAAAGATGTCAGTCATAGGTCTCAGGCCTCGAGTCCTTCAACGAAACCCTCGGGGTTTGCAGATGGAGTGTACGATTCTACAACACAATACACAGAGAACTTCAACTTGGCCGACTTTGATTCGCTTCTCCCTGGCCTAGATGGTATCAAAATGTTTGAGACGGATGGGCAAGCGGCGGATGCGCTTTTTGGCTACCCTTACATCACCGTCACGGAGGATGTACTCAACATGGACGCTTCTTTATCACAAGATCCATTCTCTGCTCAACCCCTAGACATCCAGTTCGTATCTATGTCACCTCGATTGTCCGAGGGCGATGACACCTATCCATCGCTTAGCAAGATAGACCTGCCACGGAGGATGCCAGGCCCCCAGTCTCCGTCCCGGCCAAATGGGTTCGGCCTTACTTGCGATCACTGCGGCAAGTTGTTCTCAAACAGGGGGAATCGCAACAAACACATGAATTCTGCGTGCCGAAACAAGTCAAATCCCAGATTCCCCTGTCGATACTCTCATCTAGGTTGTACCAGTATGGCCACTACCGTATGGAACCGAGATTCTCACGAAGAGAAGTGGTGTAGCCACAATCCTAATTTAGAACGGAACATGAAGTCCACAGGTTTGACGAGTTAATGATGATAATGATGATGTCGGAATGAAGGGGCGTTTAATATTTTTGAATAAGCATGCAGCCAATGGTTAGCTGGCTGCACGTTGGAACAGAGAAACGAAAATAGTGCTTGACATCATAGCTCAATTCCAGCACAACAAACGGACCTCCTAGGAGTCACCGCGGTACTCATCGGCGGCAATCTGATTGAGAATTGGTTCACGTTGGCTCAGATTGACTGTCTGGTCCGAGTGTGGGCATTGGACTGACGTAGCTTGCCGTAATAAGACACACATTTCAGGCCTCCTTCTTCCTCGCAGCAGTCTCTAGATGGGCCGGTAATTATGCTGCCTGATGTTAGAGCGAGGCAGCTGTCAGTCGTCGCCAGGTCTAGACATGGAGCATTTGGCCTGGCTGGTGGCTGAAAGGGAGGCCCCCATTAAGTGAGTGCGAGGATGTGATGCAAGAAACGGCTGCTAAGGGACGTTTCGTTCCCGAGAGAAGTGGGTCCGAACCGAGGGCACTTTTGCAGGGGAGCAAGGGATGGATGACATGTTCATCACCGTAGGGCTGAAGACACCTAAGATGGACGGGAAACTTCTGCCATGGTACGTGCGGATACACTACGCGACAACAAGGAGATTCGTTTCTTTCAGTGTATTGACTCAGTTATATTGCCACAATTCGAATAGTGAACGGGTGAGACAATGAGTGATTCAACGCGGATAGCTAAGGGAGGTAAGCATAAGGATCTCGACGCTAAATGTACCGCAAGGCATACTGCGTCGGACTCAGTATTACTCTTACATGGGTATTGCGAGAATAGCCCCCACCCTAGTACTATAACGAACGACCTTTGACATGGATATCTCATCGAGAGGGGTACAAAGTTGGAACAGGACTACGGAATATCCGTAGATTGGGCTGAACTGATCTATGGGTGTCAAGGCTGCCTCTGCCTCATCTTTATGTGCTGACGCCAATCTTGAAACCGAGGACAACCTTTTAACTGTTTTCTTTTTACTCTTTCCAACTCTTATTACCGGCTTCAATGAGACGTCTTTTTCCCTCCCTCTTTCGTCCTGTGGATTTATATGTATGGTACTGGTCTACACCGGCAGTACCTTTCTCATGATCCTTCTATCCCCGCATCAGCGAATCCATCAGTCAGCCTTACCGATTTCACCACGACAAAACAGCGACAAACGTGCAACATCCAACAACAGCAAAACAACAATGCTATAATGGCTACCTCAAGCGTCTTCTCAGTCAGGCGCCGAGCCACTCCCGGTGACTCTGATGATACCGATATGAGTCTCCCGCGTTGCGCTCCAGGCAGACGCATCCCCAGCGCGGAATGGGAGAAGAAGCGTCCAGTAATCACCAAGCTGTACCAGGAGGAGAAGCGTCCGCTCAAAGAGGTCATGGAAGTCCTCGAGCGTGAGCATGGCTTCACTGCTACGTACGTAACAGCAAACTCCATTAACTTTCTTGACTTGAACAGGGAAATTGACCAGCTCGACAGTGTCAAAATGTACAAATCGAGAATTTGGAAGTGGGGGCTTGATAAGAAACTCAAGAGCGACGAGGTTCTCGCCATTCTCATCCTCAAGACGGAGCGCGACGCCCAGGGCAAGACATCCGAGTTTACCATTCGTGGTCAGCCGGTCGATCTGGATAACATAAATAGATATGTTCGACGAAATCCCCAACTGGTCGCTCGATTTCACGCTGGCGAAGTACCCAGCATCCAGACCACGCTCGAGGTTCAATGCCAAACACCCTCACCCACACCCACACTCAACAGCCCGTTACCACCGCCCAAACAGATCTCGCCTGTAGATCAGGTCCTCAGTCTTTTCAAGGCCTATTTCGATACGTCCTTCACGAATGGCGTGTGGAGGTACGACTATAACGGGGACTGTCACAGCCTCAAGCCGGGTGACCGAAGCGTCGAACTGTTTGAACGCGTCGTAGCCAGTTTCGGTCTGTTTAACCGGTCGATGATGAGGAAAGACGAGATCTCTATCAGTACATTTCTGACACCAGCCTTCGAGTCACTCAAGGAGATAGTAGCCTCCGAAAGCCCCGTCTTCGCTGTCCGCACAGCGTTCCTCTTGTGGTATCTTAAACGGTTTCACGAAGAGGATATTCTCCATATTGTTATGAACCATCTCGTCCGGCTGGTGCCGACAGTATTGGGTCACAATCACCCAATCACACAAATTTGGCAGATTATAGCATCCGAGGACTTTACTGAACATTACGAGTTATCAACACGTCTTTACTCTTCACTTGTGCCTCTCTTTGAAGAGCACATAGGACCCGCCAATTCTTTAACCACAATATTATACTGCGACCACATCGACTGTCTGGTCTACCACGACCAAGCAGCCGAATCACTCGAAGTCGCCACGAAATACCGAACCAGAGCAGAACTCACACAAATACGACATCCGTGGCTACGTGAGCTAGCTATTCTACAAACAGGCATTGTGTGCAATGCGAAGACTTCCGAGGGCAAGATCGAAGAGGCAATACAGTATCTTCAAACACTCAAAGACTGGGACTTGGACGAGGAGCAGCAAGCTGGGATGAACGTTCAGTTAGGCAACTACGGCTACCAGATGGGCGACTTCTCCCTAGCAATCGACTGCTTCCGGGAGGCATCTCGCCTCATCACTGCCAGCCAAGGCGACGAGCGTATCCTCCTCACATGTCTCGCCAACCTCGAGTCCGCTCTGCGCAAGAGTGGGGAGGCCGACGAGGCAGCCCGAGTGCACAAGCTGCGGCTCACACGACTCTCTGACTTTGCAAGGGAGTCAGGAACCTTTGCAAACCTGCCCTGCCGGAGCTATCAGCCCGAGTCATCTATAGCGGCCGCGAGCCCAGCCGATAGTTACAGCTGGGACGGTCAGCAGGTGCCTGATTGGCTTGGGGGCGATGATGGACATAGTAGTGTGGTGCCGATGATGGGGTTGACATGACACTTGCAGAGCATGGCTTTTGGCAACCCTGCGTAAGTGTTTCATGATACAGGGGTGGTTTGACAAGCGATATGTGGCTTTGGATGTGTATATATATTGAGCGATGTTTTGGGGGTTTATAATGTGATTACGACTATACTATGTGCTACGAAGGAGACAGGACTCCTGATGATATTAAGAAGTTGACAGAAGGAATCTCCGAGAACGCTTGAGTCAATTAACAAAGAGGGATTGGGTTCATGTGGACTAGCTGAGTGGGTTTGACATCATGTTGGACGAAAGCGGTAACATTTTTCGAGCGACAACTGGCTCCCTACTGAGGCTGTGTACATTACTGGATAGCGAAATGAAGATCGGATATCATGGATGATAAGAATATTGCCGTCATCTCTTAAAATAAAATAAAATAATAACATTACTTACCATGTCTATTCTTTTCGTATTTGCCTGTTGAGGCTCGGTAGACAACGTCTTGACATCCAGTAGTCGCCCAAGAGGTAAAGAGCTCTGACTATAATTAGGTAGGTACATACAATATATCTACGCCTCTAACAAACATGTGGGTGCTGAATCAAAGGCCCCCTGCATTAGCTGCCTTCAAATATGAGTGTGCTGGCGAGTTCATATTGGGACCTAAGATGAGGTTTGGGTGCCTGGGAGCGATTCAAGACGAGGACAAGAAGGACATTAACATTAACAATCATGGTCATGGTCATTTAGACTGGTTTATATACTATGAATTGATTACGGCAGTGAGTCACATTGGGACATGGTCTCTTGACATTTCCCAACACCTTAATACTCATCCTTCACGATATGTCTAGATCAATCAATAGGGTTTCTACTCGTACCAGCGTACCAGAAGTAGTTCGCTGGAGGTCTCCAATGCTACTTAAGAAGAAGGGGGTCGGATCTGGCATTTACACACGGATATCAGCATCTCAACTAAACTTGCAAGAAGTGATTGTGACAAATACATGAATGATCCTGCCGTGTTGCGTGTATGATTCCTAATCTGAGCGTGTCTTTCATCAACAGCCTATAACATCCGGTATGGTGTAGTGGCTAACATTTCGCGCTCTCATAACCTGAGAGATCAGTTCCGCGGAGCCCAGGGTTCGATTCCCTGTACCGGAGATCTTCTTTTGCACTTTTTGCTACTTGGTACGTAGTGAACGCATACATTTTTAGTCCAGTGGATGGATAAATGAATTGATGGTTGTCGATCAAGCAGGTAGTAGTAGTGAGTGGGATGTGTGGAAAGTCACCGTAAATCTTCTTACCCTAGAGTCAGTCCGATGCTACAAGTTGAAAAAAATAAAAATAGATATGAATGATTGAAGTCTGTAAGGCTGTATATCCATTTTTGTAGGTGCATACAGGTAGATGTTTACCTAAATCTTCTTACACAGAAGTATTAAATAAACGTATTTGACTCGAGGATTGAAAAGAGCCATACGCGAAAGAACGAGAATGTGTTCTGTTCATGTAACTACACAAGAAATAAAAAATTGTGGCGTGCGCAACGCTCAAAGTAAAAACACCAAACGATCATACCTATTTGACAAGCGTGATCTATTCGATGGATCAATGAATATTCTACTGTCTGGTACGACACATCCGTTGTTATGCGAAGCAAAACTCAATATTAGTGGCTTCACTCAACCCAGTACGTAGTAAGTAGAAGGGGGAAAAACAGGCAATCGATCATGGCAACTATTTTACTCATTATGAAGGATTCAATGTATCAATTACATTGACCATGACTTTTCGAATTCTGGAATCCAATGGGATGCTTTGATGCTGTTGTAGCGAGTTGGTGATACAACTCCATATCAAAATTAGCCCCAGGTAAAGACCACGGACCTGTTTGATGTCTTGGTACATCAATGGATCAAAAACATCACGGGCTTGAGCAAATAGTGTAATTTGTCAGAGTGACAATATACATAGAGTTGGAGTGTAGCAAGGAGTAAGCCAATAAAGACAAGGGACGGGCCATGTGGTCGAGGCAGAGGATGAGATCAAAGGCCAACGGATCCCCGAGGCATTAAAGAAACTCGCCAACCAAAGAATGAAGGATGCGCGCTTGGTGACGCGAGTGGTCCGGCAGGATCTACGGCACGGCGCGGCGTTCATGATGCAATTAATTAGTAGTGTTTTTGTTTGAAGCTTGAAGTGGCTTGTGTGGCTTTGTTAATACAGATGTGTCGAGACTTGAGAAGCAAACATTACATGGCTGAGAAGTTATTTGTCTTCTTAAAAGGAGCGACATGGTAGTAAAACAAATGCCGATGAGGCCGGAGAGTTCGGCAGTCGAGAGGCCGGAGGTCCGGAGTTGAAGAACCGGGGAGCGATTCGCTGTGGACAAAAACGACTCGCGAAGTTACATTCATCGACGTCATGACAACGGAAAAGACAAGGGTTGGAGAGGGACCAGTTTGACTGAAATCAAGGGACGATCGTAGGAATGCGTAGGAATGGAGCGGGTGGCCCATCATAGGGCTCTTAGTGGCCGTCCTGGTGGGCGCTGCAGCTCGGGGCGGCAGTGGGCGGCGTGACGGCGTGGCAGTGGGGAAGAGAAGTGGAGAGAGGCAGATGGGGATCAGTTCAAAGAAAGAAGCGAGGAAGAGAGTGTTTAATATTAAGTGGGTTGGCTTGACTTGGGAGTTGATGTTGTTGGTAGAAGAAGGTCCTGTACAAAGGATCAAGGGTTGATGTTTGATGCGCATGAGAGACAAGGCTCTACCGACACTGCAGCAACTCGATGCAAGCAATGAATGAAATGCCATGCATGGGAGAACAGTGTCGCTGGTGTGAACCCTGGTTCACTTTCCATTCCCTTTCCCGTCTTCGGGATGCCACAAAGGGCAAATGGGTGCATGCAGGTGCGCTGTAACGAAGCAACAGAGGGCTAACGTTAAAACGTTACGCTGCAGCGGTCCCCTGTAAAGTGTCACAGGCACAGACTTGCTCATCAATCAAAGGCATCCTTGACATGGAGTAAATTGCTCGTCTCTTTGCAGTCTTTGTCTGATTCGAGTCAATCGATTCCCTGTTGGACCTGGGGATTTTGTCTTTGTATGCAGCTTGTCAAAGTCGAGCTTGGACTTGGTTGGACTTGGACTTGGTGTTTACCGCAACGTTTAATTTGCATCGGCAACCAACCTCTCCCCACGTCAATTTCATGAATCATTCATTCTTTCATTCCTCCTCGATTGTAGATATTAACTAACTACCTCTCACCCTCTATTTATTTCCCCTATCTTATCCATAAAGAGCTCTTCCTTACCTTGCCCTTAATTCAATTAAACAATCAATCCTGATCCTAGGAAATTGCAAAGTCCATGCACGCCCGGCTCAGCTCAGCGTGACCTTTACTTCACCACGCCACGCCCAACAACATACCATAAAGTGATCGTATTGCAATTTTGACGCTCCTGCACGAGACCTGCCGTCCCGCATTGCATTCCGCATTACCCCAGCTCTTGGTTACGTGCTGCCATAGCTACCGCTACCACGTCGCATACTTGAAGTCGGATAACTGCCCTGTGGCTCTTTACACCAACATTATTACAAGCATCTCAATTGATTCCTACCACTACCTACGGATCTGCTGCTGCAGTACATGCCTACGACCACTGTCAGCAACTCAGTACCTACCTTCATCAAACAAGGTTCAAAATCAGGTTCAACACAAAACTTAATCACAACCTTGAACCCCTCTTCTATCCACTGAGATAAGGAAGCCATCGCCAACAAGTAAATCTTGAACCGCTCAGGGCTGCAGGGGGGCTACCTACCTTACCTACCTACCTAGGTAAACTATCAACTGTGACGGCCCCGCTCTTTTTCTTCACCCGCTATCGAAGCTTCAACAAACTCAAAAGGTCAGTCATCAGAAAGAAACTTTGAGTGTTTACATAGAAGAAAGAGAAGGAGAAAATTGGTTCACACGGAAACCCAGACCTAGGACTTAAGACCTCAGACCCAAACTCGGATCTGGATACGACGAGACAGGACCAGACAGGACCAGAAGGAGTCACAGAGAAAGGTTGAAAGAGGGATAGGAAAAGGAAAGGAAAGACCCGCTCCGGTCCCCGGTTCCCAAACTTCCCAATCTCTGGTGCTAGCATTTGTACTAGTACCTAGCACATGAAGCTAGTGGCAGTCACGCCCTTGCTTTCGCTTTGCTCCAGCTCTCTCGAGTCTCCATCCATTGTTACTGGCCTCCATCCCACTCACTGCAATTGAATTGAATTGCTTGCTCCTTCCCTCTCTGCCCTGCCCCCCCAACGTCAAAAGTTCAACCTGAACGGGCCTGGCCTGGTTGGACCCACGATCATTTCAACTGCCTCTACTCCGTACCTACCTTGGCTTCCATCGTCGGCGTAGATCTTGACTCCCTCCGGCTTCTTTTTCTCCTTTGCTTTCTCTCCTTCTTTCCCTTCCCTTTCCTCTCCCCTCCTGTTTCCGCTCTCTCTTGAGCGACTCTGTCGGTATTCAGCATTGTTGTCCTAAATCGGTTTCAATCGCCTCTCATGTCCGAGTTATAGAAGATAGAACCCTTGGTCCATTTCTCCTCTCCTCTCCTCCTCCGCCCTATCCCTTGGACTCCTTCAACTCGATCAACGCTTCCTCAACCACCGCCAAGCCTATTCCTTCAACCCCGTGCACCCTTGACGCATTCCCAGAGGTTCCCTTGCGCCAAGGTACGTTCCAATAGCTTTGTGGACTGCAAACACCTGAATATCAACACTCGTCACCCCACATGGAATTTGGTCACAACGGCTTAGCCAATTGTGTTTTATTCGTTCTCCTGGTAATAGGCTAACATCCAACTTCTACTAGATAGCCCAGCGATCCAAGTACACGACGATTCTTCGAATCCCCTCCTTCAAATTCGCTTGACCTTGGTTTGGTTCTAAGCGACTCCGACGACCCGACAGCGCGGAGCCATGAACAAGCCCCACGCCCCCCGAATTGCGACGGCCCTGCCCCTCGATGATAACTCCCACAACACAGCAAACAACACTTTTAGAGGCCGTGATACATCCCTTCGTTCAGCCTCTCGTCCTATACCCGTTCCCGCGCACACACCTTCCCGTGCTGCCGCCTCCCTTACACCAAACTCCCGTCGGCACGACCACGCCTATGCTACATTGTCAACCAGTCCCTTGTCGTCCTTCACGCTTCCTGATGTCTCTGTTACCACGCCGCCACTTGCCCATTTCCGTGCAGATACAATAGCACCGGCTTCCATACAAGAGGGCGAACTCCCACCTCCACAGTCCAACACACTGAGTCTTGGATCACCAGCTATCCCGAGACGCTCCATCAGTCCTGTTGGCTCTCTGAGAATCTCGACTGATTTCCCTCCACGCCCTACAACTCCGGACCGCCGCGAATCTTACAATAACGGGAATGGCATTGGCTCGTCTCGTGGCTCGTTGACGTTGAACCATCGGGCTTCGTCTAACAACTTACACCCTCTTTCAAGGACACCGAGTCTTAAAGCTGCGTTGACCAACAGTCTTGGCTCTGCCAGTGGGACCAGTAGCTTGGTCCCTAGTCCTATTATCTCTGCTATGGGAGATATGACGCCGCTCCCAAGCCCGCTCATGTCGGGAGATTCCCCAGGACCTTGGAAGAGGCTGAATGCAAGCTCCTCGTCACCTCCACAGCACCGCCTCAAAAGCGTCGGAGAAGGTTCTGTTTTGGTCACAAGCACAGGTGAATCGATTGATTCCGCATTTTCCCATGGTGCCAAACGCAAGATATACTCATCCCTTGAACCCGGCGAACCTGTGCCAATTCAATCATCTACTAATCAGCAGCCACGACAACATACACGGAATCGAAGCGTGAGCGACTACGTTCCCGATCCTATGGGTATTCCTAAGAGGCAGATATCAGTATCTGGACCGCGACCCAACGCTGAAGCTTCAACACGATCCCTCGAGCCCCAAATCCGACGGGAGCTTAACCTTTCGGAATCTCGCGGGCTTACACCTTCCGTCGTTCAACCACCGACCCCTCCCCCAAGCGAGTCATCGCGAGATTCAGCCGATGGTACTGGAAAGCCCACGGGCACGCGTTTCGAGTATTTTGAAGCGAACGGACGTGATGATAAGAAACGCCGCCGTTGGAGGGCTGTACGGTTGCTTGGTCAGGGAACTTTCAGTAGAGTCATGCTGGCGACAAGCCAGATCGAACCCGACGAAGACTCTCCTGAAGTTGATCACGGCAGACTTACACCCAAACCCGAGCAGAGTCTCGATCGCAAGACTCTGGTGGCCATTAAGGTCTGTGAGCAGGGACCCAAGGGTGGCGCTAGTGAGGAACGTGTCGAAATGAGTCTAAAACGCGAGCTGGAGATCATGCTCTCAATTCATCATCCCTCTCTGGTTGACTTAAAGGCTTGGAGCATTGAACCTACTCGAGCAATTCTTGTTCTTAGCTACTGCCCGGGAGGAGACATGTTTGATATCGCGACGGCCCATCGCACTGTACTCAAGGAGCCCCTATTGCGAAGGATATTTGCCGAGATGGTTGGTGCGGTGAGCTATCTTCATGAAAGAAGAATCGTTCACCGGGACATCAAGCTCGAGAGTAAGTCAACTAAACTCTGACATACCAGCTGACGTTAACAATATCTCAGACGTACTCGTTAATCTCAGCCCATCTGAGCTCGCGGATCCATCTATGGACTGGACAACTTACCCGTACTCCGTGGTTATCCTAAGCGATCTGGGCCTGTCAAGGCGTATAGCCGACGACGAGAAATTAGAAACCAGATGTGGATCAGAAGACTACGCAGCGCCTGAGGTGATTATGGGCCAACCCTACGACGGACGGGCAACCGACGCCTGGTCTCTAGGTGTGCTCCTTTATGCTCTTCTCGAGGCTCGACTTCCCTTCGATCCCCACCCAGGTATGAGTGATGCGCACCGTATGCGCAGTCGTACTAGCCACCGCATCGCCAGAGTCGAATGGAAATGGGTAGAATATTTTGGTGACGACACCGACCATGATGGCGACGAAGCCAAATTCAAGCAAAAGGGTCTCCTCGGTGCCATGGAGATTACAGAAGGATTGCTAAGGCGAGCCAGAGGCCGATGGACTGTCGACAAAGTATCAAAGACCCCATGGGTTCAGGGCGCGATCAATGTCGAAGGCGGACTGCGCTTCCGGGAAGAGAAGGACGGCGAAGAAGTGTCTTGACTTACACACAACCTAAATTGTTGAAGCTGGCCCATTTTCAACCTCTGAGTGGAAAGATCTACTCTCTCATATCAAGCACTGGCCATATTCGACTTGATGCTTTGAACTTTCTCGCAGGCGCTACCACCACTCGCAGAGCAGGCCTTCGCCTTACTTTACACTTACAATGGCAACATATTCCGGGCCCCTTCTATAGAAGATGAAAGCCTTGAAGACTTTTGATCCAAATTCAGCATTACGACCGTTTCGAACCACTGAGACACACAACAGGGACTGGGTTTCTTTGACAACGACTACATGACGGGACAGGGGGTTTACATGGATAACGGATTGATCAGACCAGAGAATGACGAAGCGGCAAAGGAATTAGGAACGGTGTTGGTTCATGGGTACTAGTATCATGGGGTTTGGTTCTTGCGCAGTTTTAGCATTTAGTTTTCTTGCTTTTTGTTTCCCGGTTTGGCTTTGCGTTGCTCTTCTTTCTTTTCCCTCTCATTCATCACCCCCTTTCCTCCTCACTCTTTTTTCCTTTTTGCTTTGTTTATGTCCTATTCGATTACCCACTATGTTTCTTCGTACTTACTTTATATCATACCACTCGTAGGCTTTTGGGAGTAGAAAACGGTTATACCAAAAATGGATAGAAAGGTGTTTCTAAAAACTCATCTGTATGTTTATATTATTATATGTTCAGTCTACAGAGTGACCTGTTGCGTCTACCTCTCCTCGTCCTGTTGCCCCTCTGAAGTTTATTATGTTATGAAATGTTTACTTATATCTATGATTCATTCCGACCACGGTCCAACGTTGGTACAGTTACCGGGCCGTTTAAATAGAAAGGCTGATCCCACTTAGAGTTATTACGGTGCATTTTACACCGAGTGGACTTCAGTTTTGATGTCTTGTACTCCCGCGTCAACGTGCGGATGCTTATCTTGATTTCTAGTTCGGGATTGGACATTTGGTTATATTGTCCAGGACTAGCCTTGGGGTCTTGAATACGGATCGAGCCTCTCTTGTTAATCGATACATACTCTATATTCGCTCACGGATCTGATCAATAATATCGCAAAGCTACCCGTGTAGTTTTATAAGTCTCAAGGATGGATTCACCACTGAACTATAAAATCGTGAGTTGGGTAAGAGCTGGCCAATGGAATGCGAATCCAATATCTACTCATGTGTTCAGCTGTCTCGCCTTACTGCTTTGAGTTTCCCCCTTATCATTGTCGTATAGAAGGAAGAAAAGAAGGCCGGGTAGAACACCAATTACGCTGATCGAGCTTCCTGTATCCGTGGGGGCTGTCAGACGTGATGCCCGCATCAAGGAGTCTGCACCGGCTGAGGTACATAGCCCACACTGACTGTGTCTCGGAGCATTTACGTAGTAGCTCAGCACGCAACGGATACGGAGCAAATTGCCGCGAATGTGGCTTGTACTGCTGGCTGCTGCTGATCTCAGCCTTGGCGGCTACTTTCTCCAAATCGACTTACTTGGGGCTGGACCCTTATGAAGATCCCACTCGGCAAGTCTCATTTATTATCACGACATCTAATGAACTGAACTCATTTGCAAACTGTAGTGGGTGCTTTCAGGGACCTAATGACGAGCTCGCTCGATCGCGCCAGATAAGATGGAGTTGCGGCATGATCTCCATGGTTGAGACAGGCGACAGGGCAGAACAGGGAAGGAGGCAGGGATTGTCGGCATCGAGCGAAACACATGCAAGAATGGGGCTCGGTTATGCTATACTGTCTTGGATCATGTCCGCAGGGCTCTTAAGCCCAGAGACGGACGCTATCAACACGTCTCGAGTTAGAACTTGCAGAGGTTTGCTTCTCCCCCTTTGTCGTTAACCTTCGGCCAAGCCCGAGTCAAAGCTGGAGAGGTTATGGCATATGGAATAAAGCAATTCGTTATCTTTTTCAAATCACAACTCGATTCAATGTGACTCGGCCGCTCTCTCGGCCGAGTCCAGCTTGACTTATGGGAATCGTTGCCGGACCGGGCCAGGGGCTGTGTGGCATGTCATGGCTCCAGCGAGCATGGAACGTTCCATCTCAGCACGCCCCAACCGAGAGATTCCAATGGCTGGCTCGGTTGTTGTGTTTGCGTCGCTGGCTCAATAGAAAGAAACAGCGAGACTTCAATGGTTGATCTTGTATCATTTGAGTTTGGTATTGTCTCAAGAGTTTAAATCAAGACCCTCCGAGTCAGGCACGTTGTGAGAAAACAAACTTAGACAACGGCACCATGTGGACGAGAGGAACCACTCGTTCGTAGGCTATCGGCGGGAGCCGGCTTGGCTTTAGAGTCAGTAAGAACCGCGACTCTCCCCCCTACTCCGTACATGACTGTGATTTCTCGCTCTGCGATAGCGACTATCCAAAGTCAGTCGATGACAGAACCTGATTGGAACAGACCCGAAAAGGCTGAGAGAGCTGAGACGCGTCAATGCACAGGATCGCGCAGTAAAGGAAGGTGTCTTGATGCCCTGATTCGCGCCCGAACGGCAATCCTGACAGAGTGAGAGCGTCCAGCAATGTTGGTAATTAGCCACTAAGACCAGCTCAAGGCATGGCCTCAGAAGAGCAGGTCGACAAGCATGGCGCCGCCACGGCCGAAGCCATCGGACATTCAGTCGACAGTACCGGAGTGTCCAAGCCCCCCCGAAATTGACACGCTTGATGACCGATATTGCCTATTATGCCGCTTCCCATGCCATCCGACAGCACATCAAGAGCGCGTACAGTAATAATCAATTCTTAAATCTTGTGGTTCTTCGAGCCAAGGCAATGAAGCCTTCTGGAATATCTTGAAGCTCAGCATCCGTATCGTCGTCGGTTCATATCTCAGTGCAGCGCAGTAACAGAAGGCTAGCCGGAGTGCTCATCCCCTCGGCAGATTTCCCTGTCGGGACGAGGCCCCAGGGTCGTATCGAGCCAATATGATTGGTGCTCTTAAGTTGGGGTGGTGCCTCCGTCTTGTTCACCTTCTGCTTTCAGGCAGCATGGTCGCATGCTCTCACAAGCCCACCCCTGGAAACTCCTCGCTCAGTGGTCGAGTCTCATCGACCCCAGGGATGGCGTTGTCGTTTTAGTGCAGCCTCATCGGCCCTTCTCTTTGTGTGGCCGCTGTGGTGCTTGATCTCAAATCCATAACTCGTCCTATTGAGTACTTCTCTCCAGCCTCTCTTGACAAGTTGCCTCTGCACAGCCCATCAATAAGTCGAGTCGTCGTTGCAGTTATCTGAGGGTCATGGCCGATTTCAAGTCTGTGCCAAATTGTCTTGGTCTGCGCACAGTTTTAACCATAAACCCCCCCTGGTCTGCTTGACCGAGGATGTCCTCTTATCTCCCTCAAGACCTTAGAGCCCACTCCAGCCTCCTCTAGACACCAGATTGGGTTGCCTTTCTGGGAAACTTTGGCGAGGGAACTTTTGCTGGCGCTCTCTCACGCGCATTACTTGGCGTTCTGGCTCCCCGTCTTTTTCTGGCTCTCATCGCCTTGACGTCCTATCACAACACCGCCCATATCTTGACTAGCTGGTGCGTCAAGTCTGGGGAACGATAACGTTAGCAAGCCCTGGCCGTTGCTTTTGTGCTACTCTCTGGTACCGTCCTACAGCGGCAGACACCCCAGTCCTGGTAGTGCCCGCTGAACTGTCGTTTCTGGCTCACGCTTTGTTCTGTTCTGCTCTGCCCTGCCTGGACCGTTTGGGTGCTCTTCCTCTTATTATACGTACCGAACTGATAGTCATGGGCGCTTCTGCCCGCCAATTCATCCTCCTGCTCTTGAATCTACATCTGAGCTCTCCCGCTCGCCACATTGACGAGTGATGAATCCTCGCATTGGCGACTGAGGACACAGCCGAGGCTTTCGACTCGCCTCAGTCCGTCATTGACTGCCTTCCAGCCAGTAGACCGGACTTCTCACGTCCGGCCTGGGCACCACCGGCGACAATGTTTAACCATACAGCAGGCGGACCTCGCCCTTCCAGCAACAACAACGAGGACCCGTCATATGGCTTCGCCGACCAAGCCTGGCAGCGGTTCAGCATGAACAATAACACAAACAGTTTCTCGACGGTCCATTCACAACCATATCATGACTCTGGCGCATCCTACGGCGATTCGTCCGGTATGGACTGGGCGCCAACTCCGACGGCGGACTATCAAATGCGATTCGACCAGCAGGACGATATGTCTCAAGATGTTGAGCTCGACAGTATGAGCTCTTCTCACGGAGCGGGAGGTGGTGTTGGACGTTTGGTCGCGCATTTCGAAAACAAGACCTTTGCGCCACCACTTCCCCCAAGACCATCCAACGCTGTAACGAGCCCAGTGCATCAAGACCCTCCAGCTTCCTCGCCCTTTGGCAACTTCAGTGTGACCTCGCCTATCGTTACGAGTCCTCTTGCTAGTCCTTCAGAGCCCAACTATGGACTCTTGGGTGGCCATTCAAGGGTCACCAGTCCGATCGTTAGCCCGCCGCCCGCCCTCGCTTTTGGTGGATTCCACGATATGCCAGTTCACAATTCAACCGTTAATTCATCATCTGCACCCTTTGGAAGTATGAACAGCTTCATGGTCAACAATAATAGAATGACGACACCGATGGAGACAAATTCTATGACTGGGTCGTCGATGATGCCGAATTCTGGGATGAATACCAAGATAACTTCTCCCAACCCGACTACTTCAACCGTACCAGGTACACCTGGATTTGCCATATGGCGACCGCCCGTACCAATGACCTCTAAGCCTTCCCTGGATCAGTCGCAAGGCAGCAGTAATCCATCAAACCCAGGTGTTTATTTCACGAAACCCCCCATTCCCTCTACACCTAAACCCGTGATGAACGCTGGAAGCCAGCTGGTCTTGGATTTCAATACCAATTCCAGCTTCAATGCGAAAGGCAAAGCTCCTGCCAAACCACCCGCAAAACCGCCCAGACCAGCTCGGCAACCCTCTCGTTCATCAATATCTACACCAGGACCTTTCAGCCCTCCTATCAAACGTGAGCCTTCTACGCCACAATTGTCTCAAGCCTCTGCTTCATCTTTTCTGCCGCCGGTATGTTTCAGTAGCTCAGGATAAGACCGATGTTTCTAACACCTTTTTAGAATGAACGGAGAAGTTCAGTATCTCAACGATCTCAGGCGGGAAGCCGCCCTTCAAGAGAGCAAGTTCCTGCAGAAGCCTGGGAATCATTTAAGAACACGATTCGAACGCTGTATCTTGAAGAGAGAAAACCGTTGAAAGAGGTCATGTCAGTCATGGCCGACAAGTACGGCTTCCAGGCAACGTAAGTTTTCCCCCATGACCATCCCAGGACCATAACTTAACCCATCTCAGGCCAAAAATGTACAAAACTCGATTCTCACAGTGGGGGTTTGTCAAGAACAACACCGAGGAGGAAGTCAAACGTCTGCTGTCTATGAAATTTCAACGCGACGCTGAAGGAAAGGTGTCTGAATTCGTTCGCAACGGCAAAGTTGTTAACCTGGGAACGTATTTGAAGAGAAAAGGCGTAACCGAGTACGACTTGGTTGACTTCGAGCTCCCTGCTGATCTACCAGCACACATCCGATGCCGAACTCCAACTCCACCCCCCGTACCTGGCTATCTCCAGTCGCCAGATCTTCTCCGAGCACAGGAGACAATTGTTGGCAATATGAGAAAAGCGTTCTTGCAATGTCGACAATTTGAAGTGGAAACCGATGCCCAAGTCGGATGGCAAAGTATTATGGTGTGGGGAGCTGATTCGAGCGATCTTCTTCTCGAAGCTAACCACTATTTCGAAATGAAGGACCATGATCAAGGTGGTCATTTCCTGATGAAGGCTTTCCAGCAGCTCGAGTCGGATTTGAAAAAGCTTTCTCCCCAAGGAATTATAGAGTTGCTTTTGGGCATGGTTCATCGTGACCCAGGCATGATGACGGCGCTTTGCAAGTACCTGGCAGCTTACTCGACCACCAACTTTGAACGATCGCATCCCCTGCGGCAAATATTTTCTTGCTTATACGAGGTTCAACAAAAACATGGCCCAGGGACACTTTCTGAGCTACTCTGGGGTAGTACACCTACCATTGCCGAAGAGTTGGAAGCCATCTACGGGCGAAAGCATCCTTATGTAGCACGAACGTGGGTTGACCTGGCCATGTTTTACAACCACGTGAACCAAGAACGAGCCGAGAAGCTGGTTGGAGAACTTCGACTTCTGCAGCGACAGATGGAACAAGCACTCGGCCTTGAAAGTGTCGACGTTCTTGTACTGCGGTATACCGTCGTCCAATTGATGTTTGCGGCACATCCCCAGTCCGACGCGACGAAACAGGCAACTATCGATCTTTGGCACCACATGAGAGGGATGAATCTTGTTTTCCCCGTTCGCAGTCAACAGCCAAATGTGTTCTGCTACCACAGCCCAGTCAAAGTTGATCCTTGGACAAAACGGTGCCGACGCCGGTACGACTCGGGTGCTCAATTCTTCGAGGAACATGTTGGTGTGCGCGTCATCATGTACTTTGAGGAAGACTTCCATACGACTGAGCACGCGCCAGACCATATGCTGCAACAGCAACAACACCAGCATCAGCGTCAACACCAGCATCAACACAACCAGCAATACCAGCATCGACAGCAGTCGCAGCAGCAACGCCCACAACAACTGCAGGCACAGGATTCGTGGGCCGCTGCAATGGAGCAACACATGTCGAGCTCGAAATATTCGTTTATCTGAGCAGGATCTCGGGTTGCTTATTATTCTTGTTCTTGATCCTGATTTCAACGAACCAGGATCCGACGTACGTAATTCGATGAAGCCGATGTTTTCAACAAGTATGGGTGACGAACCGCGGCTTCAACGACTGCACGATATGACCGTGCGCTATGCTATGTACATGACATAAGCACACTGCAATTTTCAATTCAATGATGATACCATTGATAGTACACAGCCTGGAGCCTGGTACCGAGCATATTTTTCTTTGTGGGTTTAACGTCTCATGGACCGGCGTTTATTTTGGAATTGGCGGGACAGCGACCGGCATGGTGTTGAACATTTTGGTTTCCCTGGTTGATTATGATATGACAACCTCACTGTATAATAGTAACTGATGCGCGCTGGGTATTTGACGAGGCGAGATAAGAGATGAGTGACATGAGACGGTGTTGGGAGATTGCGGAGTTTGGAAAATCTTCGAGATGGCGGCTTATCTCAAGGCAAAGGTATGAAGAAGGAGGAAGGAGGGATGAGACAGACAGTAGGTGTCCGACATTCACCCTGAGGGAGGAACCACTTCTATTCGGATGGTTTGTGAGGCAGGCGCGAAGGTATGGACGGAAGGAAGGAAGGACATCATAAATTAACTCCTCCAAAATGAGGGGAGGCGATACCCCGGGCCAAAATCACATAACTGTCGATAGTGACGCATGGTAATTACAATTAGACTATCTATTTTACTCAAAAAAGAGACGACTTCTCATAACAAGTACCTTGCCGAGCACTTAGACTGTGACATATGCAAAAATACTTTTGACTTTGATACAATTAGTTCCTTCGCCATGTGGTGATCTCCAAACACGGCACATATATTATTCCCGAGCCATCTCCGTCGCAAAATCAGAACCTCCCAAATTATCATCATGACAACCTCTCCACCACCCTCAACCCTGCATCATGCGCCTCTCCCGCCTCCCAGCTCTCTCAGGCTGCTCCTCCACTCTTTCAAGACGTCTTTACTCTTCATCGCGTACCATACAAAGTCAGTATATCTCTTCATTGGCGCCTTTTCTACTCATCATGCTGACCCCACGATTGACTAGAAAACGACGTTCTCTTTCTACGCCAACAGGGCCTCAGAGCTCCGAAATGGCACCTTACGTCCCCTCTTCGCGCCGACAACCGTATACGCCTTGCATATGGCGCATCTATTAATTCCTCTGAGCTAATAGGCCGTCGTGTGCTCGATTCTCTGACTGATAGTTCTGGACGCTCTCTCACTATACATGAGCCGACTTTGGCTTCTTACATCATTAATAGCCCACGACAAGCTACACCGGTACAATACCATGCCAATTGACTTCGGAGAACTGAAGCTAATACAGGGCTATCCTTAGATCTACCCCCATCATGCCAATACTATCGTGTCACTACTCGACTTGAACCTTTCCCGACCTGGTGAGGAAGAATACGACTTAGACACCGACCAAACCCCTTCGCAGTTCGAAATATTTGAAGCTGGTACAGGTATGGGGAGCTTGACGCTGCATCTCGCTCGTGCCCTTCATGCAGCCAACACAGCTGTGCCTCCAAGCCTACGTGATTCTCTTTGCACTGCGCGCTACAAGACCGACGAATTTGGCCTTGAACTTTCCGAGGAAGATCAAGCTGCCTATGACTCCTACCGCTCTAGTCGCCGAGCTGTACTACACACTCTAGACCGCAATCACAAGCACTCGCGTGCTGCACACAAACTAGTACGGCAATTTCGCCGTTCGCTTTACTTCCCCACCATCGACTTCCATGTCGGCTCCATTGACGAGTATATCTCGTCCCGTCTGGCAGAGACGGATAACCAACCTTTCCTCTCCCACGCTATTCTTGACCTTCCATCCGCCCACGATCATGCTTCTCATGTCATTCAGGCTCTCCATCCCAACGGCCTTCTTATCATATTCACACCCTCAATCAGTCAGATTGCCGACTTTCAAACCTGGGTTCTCCGAACACGTCAGCCAATGCGCCCCGAAAGAGTCATCGAGCTTGAGGTATCGACGACAGCGGACGGTGTCCTCGATACTGGCGGTGGTAAGGAGTGGGATGTTAAGACTGTCATCCCTAAAGAAACCCCCGACGGCGCCCCCGTGCAAGTAATGCGACCCAAGGTGGGTGATCGCGTTTCTGGCGGTGGGTTTGTAGCTGTCATGAGGCGATGGCCTGTCAGTCAGATGTCCTCTCAGGTTGAGTCTGCAGCCCAAGAAGAGGGGAACACTGATCCAAAAGAAGCGCTTATGTCTGATGATACGGTTGATACTGAGCCAGATAAAAGTGCATCAAGTTTATAGACGCTGTAGCATTCTGTATAGATGTTGTACGACAAACTTTTGTATAGTAGATATTCAAAACCATAAAAGAGGTTAGACATGTAAAGAAACAATATATAAACATCGATGGGAATAAAATCAGGGTGGAAGAACAGTAATGTGCCGCTTGTTATTTCATTCTGGCTCCCAAAGCATGAATGGGTATCTCTATGCAACATGCTCAAATATCAAGTCATTTCCTCCACACGTTCAATCGTCAAGATTTCATAGTCTCATCCCATCTTCTTTCCTCCATTTACACTGCATCTCCCCAAATCACGCGGAGTGCAATGTCCAGCATTTTCCCCATATTAAAAAGACAAAAGTCCTGCCCCAAGTAAATACCAATGCATCCAGTGCGTGGTCTAACCCGACCTGCGGCACCGAAGATTAAATCAAACAGGTAAAAAGAAGTAAATAAGCATGCAGTGCAGAGGCCAGAAAAGAAAGAAAAAGAAATTGTTTCGCCAAGTCGGAGCTGTGGCCTTTGAAACCTTGTTGTATACCCTCTTGTGAGGAAATGGGCTTGCGCCGCATGGAGTCTTCCAACCTTTAATGCTTTCCAATAATATTTGCGCAACTTGCGCATTTTTGTAACCGATAAGGAAAAGTAGGGGAAGAAAAGTAAATGTTGTGTTTAGACACTGGTGATGCGCTCAAGGGGAGCTCGAGCGCAACAAACCATGAGCTTCAAGCTTGTACCAAGCTCTTCAGACTCAGAAAGCAGCGACTTGTCGCTCCAGATGCTCTTTCCGGACGGGTTCTCTGCCGCGTTTTCGTAGCATCGAGTATACCACCATCGGCCAACGCGGCTGACCATCTTGGTGATGCCCTCGTCAGCCAAGGGACTGTTGTCGCTCATCATTTCGGAAAGACTTGGCTGGTCCTTCTTCTTCTCGACAGGGGCCTTGCCCTTGCTGTCCGAGCGAGTAACAGAGCTTGCGACGGGTACGCCGACACGCGCTGCCTTGATGGTGGTGAAGCCAACCTTGCCGAGCAGACGCACAATGAGATCCGCAGTCGATCCAAGACTAGTATCGGGTGTCTTCTCGTTGATTCTCTCCTTGAGTCGGCGAACTGTACGTCGACCACGGTTGCCCATATTGTTCAAATCAACATCGAGGATGGAGAGCTCGATGAAGCCTCCAGGTTTCAGCACACGCCGAGCTTCCGTGAGGATGCTGCGGTAATAAGCTTCTGGTGCTGCGACAGGGAATCGGTACACAACAGCCGTGAAGCTTTGAGGAGCGAAGGGGAACTTGTCGAGATGAGAGACATATTGAATCTGATGATGGTTCGGGGGGCTGAGAGGGAAGCTCGACGATGAGCTCTTCAGTTCTTCAGGAAGGGGAGCACGAGGGGACAAATTGAAGAAAGTGGCGGCTGGGTACGTTTCGGCAGCATAGAATGACCAGTCATCATTGCCGAGACCGTCAATCACCAAGATTGAGTGCCGCTTCAAAGATCCCTCAACCGGAACCAATTCGTGACGAACATCACTGAAAAGGACATGTCCGAAAGTGAGCCACTTACTTACTGTCATCGAGCCAACCCTGAGGTTGACCTGTGCGAGTGGTGATCCATCTTCCGAAGAGGAGCTGGCGTCAGATCGTCTTGTCTTGCGAGAAGAGCGGCTACTCCTTCGTGACACCTCACCAACTGCGGGAGTCTCGGTGTTTGTATCGCGATCTTCTTGGCCTGATACAAGATCTGATACCGGGAAGGGAGTGGTAGGGCTAGGATGAGGCTGGAAAGCCGCTCGCAGACGCTCAGTCATATCAGCGCTGCAAGTGCTAGAGATAGTCGTTGCCTTAGATTGACGGATTGCCTTCTTATCGAAGACAATGGTAGGAGACTCCAAAGGCTTCTCCTTGCTTGCCAGCTTGGACTCATAGGTCTCAAGGTGGAATGGCGTACCCCTCGATGATGTTGCTGAGGGAAGTGGCTTGGCAGCATCATCTTCAAGGAGATCGTCGTACTCATCCCACACTTCATCCTCTACAGGTGGGTCGTAAGGCTGTGGTATAACAGCAGTAGAACCAGAAAACGCGAGGATACCAGAGCAGCTTGAGCTAGATGTGCCAATGGTTCCTTCAGAGTCCTTGCGAGGTGAGAATGCCAGGAATTCCTTATCCGCTCGGCCCAATGCAAGAGGATTTGAGTCTCTGGATGAGAGGTTGTTGGTGCTATCTGCTGTTGAGCCATCGGTGGTGAGATCTGGCACAGGAGTGGTAGGCCTGGAAGGCTCGGGTTCTTTGTTGATTGGCTCGGGGGTAAAGACTTCAAGGGTCTCGGGCGCCAATTGCATGCTAGGTCTGAAGGGTCGAGAGAAGCTCATGGGAGAAACATGTTCAGTACGGTTGCTCACGACTTTAGGAATCCTTCCAACTTGAGGAAGTCTGCTTCGTCGACCAGCACTGGTGCCAGTTGAAGGAAGCTGCAGAGTAGGTTGGAGAGTGAGCTTCTTCAATCCCGTGGTCTTTTGAGGAGCAGCTAAGCGAGACTTGATCTTGATCTCAATACTCTCCCTTCTGCGGACTTGGGCTGGTTCCGCAGGTTGTGCTGGAGAGTTGGTAGAGGATCGCATCTCTGGTGTGCCCTGTGACAGCTCAGGAGTACCACCGACACTAGGTGACTTTCCATAAACCTCGGCAAACCTCAAGACATCTTGAATGTCCATTGGCTCACTGTCTTCTTGTTCCGAAGAGTCCATCATGGTATAGAAGGCAAGAGGCTTCTTCTCGACCACCTTGACGGTAGCCGAAACCTTCTCACCCTGCTTAGACGATTGCTGAGTCTGTGTTGATCGTCCGAACAGGTTCCATTTTCGAGGCGAGCGCGACCTTTTGACCAGCTTCTTCGGCGCTGGGTGGGAGGACTTTGCCTCGTGTGACATCTCCCGTTGCAGATCAAAATGAGACTCATCAGACATAACACTGGTATCGAAACTTGTCATCGGCGAGGAAGCATAGCCTGAAGTGTTGATAGGCTGGGGTAGCTTAAGTGGGTCATCTGGGGAAGATCGAAGACGTTGGACAGATCTTCGAAAGGCCAGTGTCGACTTCATCGTGGGACCCTCAGAATCGCTGCTTTCGGAGGGTCGGCGAGAGCCAAAAGCTGGGTGTTGAGTGCGAGACATGGGTGATGGCCATAGAGTATTTCGAGACTTCTGTTGGGTAGGAGCCTGCATGCTGCCCAGCTTAGATTCGTCATTCGCTAAACTCTGGGAGCTTGCACTGCGAGACATTTCGGAGCTCGCGTTTCGGTTCTCAATGATCTCACCTCCAGCGATAACCACTGGGTTGACACGGTCCGTCAAGAAGGAATCGTTGCTGGAACGAGGCTCTTGGGATGACGGGTTAGGCGAGTTGCGAGTCACATTGCTGATACTGCCACTGCGTCTCTTCGCAGCACCGAGTCGTCCGTAACCTTCATGACCTGTACCAGCTGCAGGGCCCTTTCGAATAAGTTTCTTGTCCTTGTCGCTCTTCTCAGGCTGCACTACATTGGTGTTCTTCTTGCGACCAAAGAATGCGAACCGCGAGAAAGACGAGCTTGAAACGTTGGGACTCGGTGTGCGGGTCATTCGAGGAGGCTCGGGAGCCTTGACCCTATTTGCTTCGGCAGACAGCTTAACTACAGGTTGAGAATAAACCTCACCTTTGATGGGAAGCTGAGATGTCGATGCTGTCCGGCCTCCATGGGTGTACTGAGGCTTAGGGGGCGAGAGAGCTCCCGAAGCAGCAGACTCACTTCCACGTCTTTCGGTTGGGAGGGATTGTGTTGAAAGGTTGCTGTGAATGACTGGCATGGGGTTGAACAACTGGGACTGCATGTCGGGGGTGCCATCTCTGCTGGGCCGTGAAGGGGGAACAGCTCTGGGCGAGGCGGATGTCTGAGTGCTTCTATCTGGGGAGGGAGATTGAAGAACAGGTCTCGATACCTTGCGCACCGACTTGGGTGACGAAGTCTCCTCTCTGAAGGACTGTGACGACTTGCGTGGCGGGGGACTTGGTGGTGGAGGAGGAAGATTCTTGGTCTTCTTCTTGATGGTGGCCTCACGAACAGTCGAGTTTGATGATGAGGAAGTAAGGGATTCTCTGACGGCTGCCAGGCCATGGGGATCGACAGTGATTACATCGTATTCGTTAGAGAAACTTCCAGCCGCCCGTCGGGTTACGGGAGGTCTGTTAAGAACGGGACTTTGTAGTCGATTCTTGTTCTGGTTGCTGCGAAGAGGCGCAAGGAGACCTGGGGATTGAGATGCAATCGATGTTGGCGTAGTGTCACGGCTGTAAGACCATGGCCCAGGCGACTCAGAGAACCTAGTGGAAGGGCTCCCACTAGTCCCAGAGAACAGTAGACTGGCTGGAGTTGGAGGAGGCAAATCGTGTGTCGCTAACCGAAACGGAACCTCGATACGGTGGTCCGAGCTGTCTGACGGGCGGCGAACGTTACGGTAACGGTCCAGCTCGGGGTAGATTACTGGCGACTTGGAGGGCTTCTTTACCTCGACAACTTCAGCAATTTGAATTTCAGCAGGGCTACTAGTAAGTTCTCTATCCAGATGGAAGCCGAATGCAGGATCCAGTGAGCCCTGTCGTTTGTGTTGAGACGATACAGAGGAAGAATTCGTGCGGGATGAGCCATTCCGTGCAGTGGTGACATCGCCAGAGAGTGAAGACTTCTTTCTGCGCAAAACATTTGGGTTTGGGCTAGGTCTGGTGTTGTCCATGGATTGGGCTGATGATGATGACCCGGAACCTCCGCCGCGATGGTTGGAAGCTGGTTTCGTGGATGTTGAAGTAGAAGAAGAGCCCCATGATTGTGCCTGATGGTTCAAGGCAGGGCGTGGCACAGGCTGAGGGATCGAAGGACGCCGAGTAGTAGAGGGTTGGGGGATCCTTACGGCTGGGCGTGAGATAGATGAGGGCTTCGGTAATGATCGTGGAATCTCTTCCCTCCTTCCGGGTCTGTTGAGTGGTTTTGGAGCATTCGAGCTGACTCCAAGTTCAGATCCAGGTCCAGGTCTAGGTCCATATCCAGGTGTAGGCGCTGGTGCTGGTCGTCTGATACGAGACGGTTCCGAGGGCCTGGTTGGGAGACCAGACCCCAATCTGTAAGATTCCATCTTCCGACCTTCAATATCGAGTTCGTACACACAATCCCATGTTTCATAGGCGAGGGCGTTGAATAGGTGTACCGGTATATATGAAAGTCAAAGGGTAATTGAGGCCGTGAATCGGAAAAGCGAGCAGAGAGTCGTCGTTATTAGTGTGGAGGGACTCGGGGACTGTAAGAATGGTGTGGGTATCAACTCGAAGAGGTCTAGTTCGATGGGTGATGGTGTGAGCCCGCGTCTAAAAGCCGTAGAGTTGGCGCTTCGGTTGATGTGATGAGTGTTTGGGCGAGTACAGTAGTGTCCCTTAGGGGTTGGAGTGTAAGTGGAGGAGGACGGCAAAGGGTAAATTAGTATTTAGAGATGGAGAGATGAGAGACAAAAGAGAAGATCAAGACAGTGGCGAAAAGAGAGCGAATATACAGATGTAAGTAAGAAGAAGTTGGGAAGATGGGATGGTGGTAAGGTAATAGCGGGGAGGGCCGAGACGGACGGGAGCAGGTGTAGGTGTAGGTATAGGTAGTATTCAGGCATAATCACCGAGTACATGAATACACGGAAAGACGAGAGATGGTACTTGAGGGCTCTGACTGTGGCGTTTTCCCCGTTTTCCGTTTTCCACTCCCCCTGGTCGAGGTGTAGGGACTTGCAGTTGTAGTTGCAGGCATTGCCCTGGCATCGCATCGCATCGCGAAGGGACCTGGCAGCCTGGGCGTGGAGTCGCCGATGTCGACAACCAGTGGTCGAATGCGCTGCAATGCGATGCGATGCGAGAAAACCTATGCTCGAGCTTGACTCATCCGTTTGGCCAGCAAAGACAGTAGCAGCAGCAGCAGCGGAACCCACTCCCAACTGCGCCGCGTTTCCTCCTTCGGGGTGCGTATGGTGCATATCGATATTATCCTATGAGAAAGCCCTCATGCCATCTTGGCCACATGATTGGGCATCACACCCTGGTAGCGATTTGCACGCAAAATCCCAAATCCTGGTCACTTTGCAGGACCCTTGGATAAGGTGGGCTCCCTGTGTAGCGGGGCAGTCTTTTTCGGTCTTAAAAAAAAAACAGACACCTCTATTGTTCTAAAGACGGGGAGTAAAAGAGAGAAACACGGATATCTAGAAGCGACTGGACAACCTCGTTGGGCTGGACCGTTAGGGAGAGTGGACCTAAGAGGGATGGGCCGAAGGCTTAGTTGATATGCTCAACCAATGTCGAATCTTATGATACTGTGCCTTAGAGACCTATGTAGTGGGTGGTGGGTAAATAACAAGAAGGAGTGGACAGATATGGATAGATAGAAAGCCAACAGCAGAACGAAAACATCGAATCAAAGTCTAATATCTCAACCTGAGAAAAAAAAAGCCTGACCAAGAAACGATGCGGGTGCAGGGAACAGACCCAAGTTTTGGTGGGTGTCGATGTTGGCTGTGTATGTTTTTGGAGGTGATGCAGCTGGACGAAGGGGGAGCAGAGAATGGTATTCGGAACTGACTGATTATCTTTTCTCTCTGATGTCTCAAATTTGCATAGTCAGGGGTTGATGAAGCTATGTCCGGATCCGAACGAGAAAACCGTTGTTGTGTATGTGCCTCTGTGTGTGTGTGTGTGTGTGTGTGTGTGTGTGTGTGTGTGTGTGTGTGCAGATGTACAACCTGGGGATAAAGATCTCAAAGACCAACACAACTAACTCAAAAGGTGGCCGTACTGAGGATTCCCATGCCTGTCTGTGTCTGTGACTGTGACTGCCTGTCACGGCGCTTCATTCTTCAGCACAACATGCGACGTCGTTGTGGCCGTATGCATGTCTAAGACATGCATACCAAATGTCTCACTTTGATGCTCTCCCACAGGCCGATCTGAACTGCATGTCTTGACCCTCAATAACAGCCTCACCTTCCACATCGGCTGGTGTTTGTTTATGATAAGCGTAGAGTAAGCAATACACCAGGCACCCACAAGATGTGATTTGATCGCCAGTTGAAAGTAGGTTCCTCAAGATTCCGAATATCGAAACCTACACTTTTTGATAGCGCTGTACTCTCTGCATGGATCTTTCGGGTCCAGTGGTGAGTGGATCTGCCCTGTATCCGTAGGACGTTGAGCTTTCTTTGACGGATAGCATTTGTTAAACCGTTTAACGGCCCCGCATTGGGGGAAAAGTCTATTCACGTTGAATCCTTTGTGGGATGAGCTGACAGCCATCATCTCAATCTGGATATCGCTTCCTTCTCTCAAAATATGACGAGAGAGTCCAAATCTCGAAAAACCTCGAATCAACTCTCTCAATGACACAGTGTAGTTGCTGTTGGTCGTGATCATGACCAGGGTGAGATCCTGGGGGCGAGATAGCTGCTGGCCTGCTGCTCTCCCCTGCTCCAGTCAACACACCCAAGCCCCAGAATAACCAGACCCAGACTACCAGACTACCCAGACCAAGCTGCATGAGTTGCATCTGCATCTGCAGCCAGCGGCGGCCCATGTTGAGACAAGAATAGCATCATTCGAGGGCCGTCCGTGTCACCGGATTCATCGTTGGCGTCGAACGGCGTCTATCTACACGCCAAAACATCGGGATCTCGTCCACGACACTTTGATACAGTGCTCATGATGCTGCGGCGTTATTGTCAACAGAGTCTCAACTCGACTCAAAAGCAGAATGTTGGATTCAACGGTCAGCCATCCCGTCTTAGCCTACTCTACAAGATTTGCTTTGTCCCGCGCCGACACAGACACAGACATCTTGTATCCCGTCCTCCCTCCCATTCGTTAAAAATCACTTCGCGAAGCGCCTGGGAGTGGCCATCGTCAGAGGGACTTGATCATACCATTGGTCCTCGTTCAGGGATTTTCTACCAATGATAAATATGCAACTGACAATCTACGGTTTCACTCCACAAGCCGTCAGAATGCACTCCAGGATAAGGAGAACCCTTTCTCCTGCATGTGCTTTTTTCTCGCAAAGACTACGTGCGAACGATTGATCCATGATGTGTCCCATCCGCAGCAAGATGCAGCTCGCTTGTCCCCTTGTATTTTAGCTATTGACAAGGGTACTATATTTCGGCAAAGGCGTAGAGGCGAGGCAATGGATAGCAAGAGGGAGCACGCACAGCACATCTCGGTATTCAGCAAAACTTGTTTGTTAGTCGGCGGATCATTCAGAGAAGCGGATAGCGAATTCTGCGCATGAGCGGTTATGCGATATCGATCTACGTACTACATACTACGTATTGGCTGGGGCATTGGAAGTTCACCGCCATCCGATGTTAGTCCCGTGATGTGCACTTTTAGAGACAAGACACCACGAGACCAAAGAAGCAAGCCTGCATGAAACGGTCGGCAGTCCAGGAAAAAAAACACAATCCTGGCTTCACGACGTCATGTTCAAGACACAAGGCATTCTCCAGAGGTCTCATAATGAGTGCCATATTGTACCCTGGTAACCTTCTCACGAGATCAGGACCCAGACGCTCGGTGAGAGTTTGAGCCTCCAAATGGCCCAGAATCGGTGTGTGCAACTAGACGACTAGGCCCTGGCCCCAGAGCAAGCTTGGCTAGCTGAAAATTTTACAGCTTGAATAGTGGCAAGGCGAGTGCGCTGGCAGGGCGGCAAATGCGTCTTGACGTCGGTATTCCCCCCGATAAACCAGATGATGGCAATCTCGAATCTCGAAATAGAGACAATGCCTGTCGTACCTGGATCAGTCTTAGATCTTGCTGCACGACCGGCATGCTTTGGGAACCTGTTCCCATAAAGTGGCTCCTCAAGAGGCATCCCATATGCAAGATGCAAGCTCCGCCACAGGCCACAGGCCACAGCAAAAAACCGCATACCGCCACAGGTTCCTGGTCGCATTTTGAGGTTCTTGAGGCTGGAGAAGCAGAGAAGCAGAGAAGCTTCACTGACGTGGCAGAAGGCTCGTGGCTGGCCACTCCGGCAGACGTCAAGCCTCGCCAGGCTATGATCCTTGTCGGTGTGGCTTGTTAGTCGATCCAGCGAATGAGGTGCAAGTTGAATGCTCGGCTTCCATGTGCCCCCTTGCAAAGTCACTCGATTTCAATCTCAAAGTACTCTGTACTTTGGGCAGCGGTGAATGCAATGCAGATGCAAATGGCGTCTCTTTGCAGTTTTGCCTCGTTGCCAACTCATCAACTGCGATGTTTCCAGCCGGTCCTGCGCAAGCCCAAGTAACTTCGGTTGCGAAGCCTTTACTTCGCTTGGGGTGATGGAGCGGGCCACCAGCAAGACTTCAAGGCCATGACGGGCTCTGAGCGTCCAACGGCATCTGGAGACACTGGAGACGCTGGGGTTATCGAGTGGTCCAATTGCCTAGCCGCCTCTACCAACCATAGCCGCCAGACGGCTCGGCGACCAGGGCTACTCTATCGCCTGCGCAGGGGTTTTGCCATCGCCATTGGCTTGTTGTCTGAGACTTGACTAGAGCTTAGCGTATGATAACATGTCAACCAGAAGGACCAGGCTGTTGGTGATAATGGTTTGATCTCGCTTTATAGTGCCTGCTTTCCCACTTATCAAATTACACTGTCAACACTGGCCATTGGGGGCCTCTCCTCCCAGGCACGTTTGTCGAGAAGCCTTTTTAAATACCGCGAGATCGTCCGAGGACGGAGATTGTGGCTTGCGTCCTGAAGAGACTATCAAACCCATTTAGGATTGCGGGATTAGCGCAGCCGCGGGTCTATGTTTCTCGTTGGTTCCAGACGTCTTCGAGCTACTCATCATGTGAAGATTAAACCAAACATGACACCCATCCCATCAGGGTGTATCCCTTCCCCTATGTCCATCGTCGATGTCGATCTGCTAATGGTTGCAAGTTCTGTGAATCGGACGGACTTGGATCATCCCTGTGTGCTGCCAGGGCTGATACTCAGATTCTTCGGTGCAGTTTTGAAGATATGACGTTTAGAATTGGCTGTTCAATGTGATGTCTCGACCTCGAAGTGAGCTGAATGGCTTTTACTACATCAGCCTCAGCTGACTTCTGGTAATACAACTTTCACTTAGGTATAGACGAAACAAAATATTCTCCCAGTTCAGATGCTCCATCGAGATCCCCTTGCTCGATCACGACCCGCCATCCGTCAGGAGGCAAGCGTCCGATACTCCAGGCGGCCCTCAAAGAAAGGGGGTATTGTAACACCAGGCCCGCGGCACCGGCAGTCGTGCCATAACACACAAATATCTCGGGAACTAAAGCTGAGGGAAGACCTCCCCGTCATGGAAGCTCGATCCTGTCGTATATGTGGTGGGACCTGAGCAAGGACATGGTGTTGAGCCTTGGTGGATATATCTCTCAAACTCAACTCAGCTTGGCTAGACAAAAAGGAGTAAGTTCAGAAGAGAATAAGCTTGAACTTTACTCTACAGCACAAGTCTGGAGTACAGCAAGAACAATATTTATGTGATGAAAAAGGTAAAGAGTTCTATTCTCAGACCAATCGAACCTCCTACGAGTGAGGTCTGCAAGTGATATTGGTTATCTCTGCACTTGTGTATTATACAATTGACCTTGGGTCCTTCTTTCCCCTGATTAAACTTTCTCTTGATAAGCAGACCCCATTCACGGCTCGTATCCGAAAAGCCCTTCCTATTCCCCGGCACAGAGACTAGAGGAAAAAAGCCAGGCTGATGGAGCCCCATAGCGTCTGTCAAAATGCAGGACCATGGAGACTGGTAGCTCCTTAGGTGTAAAAATGCAACCATTCGGAACGTACGGCTTCTTGTGACCTCGAAGGATGATCCCAGTATCACTCTCCTGTTCGCAAGGCCACCGTGTTTGATCAACGTCAAGGAGGCTCGAGGTTGTGCCTCGTCCCCCGACATATTTCGGAGTATAGGGTGGGCTTGCGCGTAACTCGGAAATGCTGATATATGTATGATGGATTGCGCAAAGAATACCTGGCTATTCGATCGCACTGATAGTTGCGAACGCCGCTTGGAATGACCATCATAGCGTCGTCTGATATCATCGCTTTGATAACCAACCATTCGCGAAAGGAACCCCTGGATCTGGATGTGAACAAAGATTGACCGAAGACGCCGATTTCCTGTTTATTCATTTGTCCTTGATAGTCTGCGCCTGGAAACGAAAAACGATAATGTTGTACAACTAGAAAATGTCCATTTACGTAAATAAGTTTTGCCCTGTTCGCCTGTTCCAATCTGTCCTTGAAGCTGTCGTGTTTGCTGCTGCATCATTCTTCAGACTAGTTTGTAGCGAACCTGGCAGCACGCTTCTCCGCCTTGGCCTTCTCTGTCGGGTCGTTAAAAATGCCGCTCTTGGCTGTCTCTCTTCGAGCGCCATTCTCGCGACCGCCTTCACGGTTACCATCACGGCCACCATCGCGGCCGCCACGGCCTCCTCGTCGTCGACCTCCGCCGTTTCTTCGATCAAGACTCTGTCGCTTGCTGGTGCGGTTGCCCTCACTCTCAGTGTTGCGCTCTCGGCCTCGCTTTCGAGATCGCTCTGGGAGGGCGGAATCGAGGGTAGTTGCCAGTTCCTTCTCGTCGATGCCGAATCGAGAAGCACGGTCGGCACGCTTCTTCGCGTCGTCATCCTCCTCAATGCCAAATCGTTTGGCGCGTTCAGCACGCTTCTTTGTCTCCTCATCAGCAGCGGTAGACGAAAGACCGATGGCGTAGGACTTTTCGGGCTCAGCAGGTGCCTCTGCTGTCTCAGCGGGCTTCTCTTCTGTAGACTCTTCAGCCTTTGCGGCCTCAACAGGTGCTGCTTCGGCGGCGGAGGCCTCAGCAACGGGCTCAAGGGCAGCAGTAGCGGTGGCTGGGGCGGGAACGGTAGCAGGTGCAGCAGGAGCTTCGTCGTCGCTGTAACTGATCTCGTCTTCCTTGTTCTCAGCTAAAGGATAAGATTAGTCGATGTTTTTTTTTCCTATGCGATAAAATTTGCGCGCGAGGTGAAGCTCGTTTCTAGGGGCGGGCTCGGGGTTTGGTGGACGTACCGGGCTTCTCTTCAGCTTCGGGTTGCTTTTCGTTCTCCTGGAGCCTTGCGATGAGATCTGCCTTGTTGCCAGTCTGCGGCAGACCCTTCTCGGCCAGCAGTTTCTTAAGCTCGGGCACCTTCAGCGAGGAGTATTCGGCCATGATGCGCGAATTGAGATAAAAGCGTGTTTAGGTTGTGTGTTTGAAGTAGAACGGAGATGGGTCGTGATACTGCTGTTGCGACTGTGATTGCGATTGCGATTCCCGTCGTGATATTTGATGCGCGTGGGTATGAAAGAGGACAGGAAAGCTACGCGATTTGGATTGGGGGATGACGCCTGTATGGAAGAAATAGTGGGTCCAGCTCTTTGTTTGGGACGCAGTATCCGTAAAATTGACACTAAAGGGGCTGATAGAATTATTCGGTCTTTGAGACACAACAAAGGATGTGTATACTTTCTAACGACGCCGAGGAAGAGGGTTTTGCGTTGATATGATACTTGTAGCATACGACAAGAACTGAACTATAGTGCCCAATGGTTTTGTTTTGTTCCTCAAGTTCGTCAGAAACTTCCTTTGAATGGAAGTACCTATCTCGCTATTTGCAGACTTTATTGTCAACTATGGATGGAATACCTGGGCCTACCTACAGGTATTTCTGTTCGCAGGGAGATGTGCACGGACCATTGAGCTCTCACAGGAGCTTGATAAAGCTTCTTGCTTTTATGTAGGGCCTCAATCCTACTGCAAGCTAAAGCTACCTGCTTTGGAGTACAGAGAAAGCAACCCCAACACTATCGCGCATATGCAGAGAGCCTCACATTTAGTATCAGACTGCGAATCAGTTGGCAAGGCGAATCAGACAAGACATGATCATAGGAACAAGAAGGTATGGTACCTAAAGAGACGCCGCCACCACCACCACATGACCTCAGTATGGGATGGGCAACGAGGGCCTCACGTGGCCATATCGAGAATGCCATTGTTGGATGTAACCCCAAGATGGCCTGCACAGCTGAGTACTGAGTAACAATTTATTTCCATGTACGGGCATAGGGCGTGCAAAAGTCCAAGTCGCAATGTGTTTGTAAGTAATCAGAGTGAGTGTTGTGATCCGCAGATAATAGAAGAAGAGCAATGAATAATTAAATATCAAGTTGATTAGTTTAACAGGTTCCCCGGATTTCCTAGAGGTTACAGAAAAGGCTCTATACAAAATCTCCCCTAGACCGATAATAGGTAGTCCCTTGTTCCATGCTCCACACTTGATGCTCTTTTTTGATAGTTCTCCAGGGGAGGGAGGCCCTGAAGGCGGACCAGAGGCCAGACTTCAAGTATCACAATTGAAATGATTTCTTGGCTCTGGTCCTCTTTTTACGGTCAGGAAGGTGCGGAATGATCCTCCGTTCCCCTGTTTCCCGTCCACTTCCATCATCAGATTGATCCGCACTGCATTGAATTGCATGTCAGGTGTTTTGTTTTCTCTGGGTGCTTGACTTCTACAACGTGCACAAGTAGCTCGCCGCTTGTTTTACCTTTTACTTTACCACCCAGCTTAACTTCCAACACGGACTTGTCTCGTCTCGTCCCCTCTTCCCGTCCCCACGATTTGTCGATCGCCTCATCATCACTTCTCAACCACTGTCGACATTTGCGACTACCGCCTTATAGCTTGTAGAGGCAACCCCCTTCGCCGTTAAGATAGCTTCAACTCGACCAGACGCACTTATCCCATTCTACATCTCCCTCTTCGCCCCTCCGAATCATGCAATAGCACCCGACCGTTGGAAGATGCGAAAAGTTCAGCCCGCCATTCAGCTTGCGAATGCCCGTTTCCCTCGCCCTTGCCTGGCCGTTGCTACTTAAAGTAGCCTGCAATTTATACTTAAATTTCCCCTGAGCAATTCTCCCTAAGAATTCGACCTCTATATACAATCCATCATCATATCATGACTCGACGAATCGTATGTCTATTCAAAGCTCTTCATGGTTCCTTGCCGACCTCGGTGCATAGAACGCTGTTTACTGACCACATCCCTGCTAACAGGTTCGAACAGCCGCTCAGCTCGCTGGCGCTGCTATCTTTACCTTTCTCGTTATCGCTTTCCTCGACCGCAATTATCGTGTCCTCCCGAATTCGATACATGGCTACATGCCATCACACCACCCCGGACTCCTCGTCACTGATGTCTCAATAGTCACATGCTCGAGTGTCAATCCCTTCTCTTCATGCGATCTCGACAAAGAATGGCACCGAGTCGATAAGGATCTCTACCTCGGAAGAACATGGACCACGAGCGCCTACTTGTATGTCATGCGCAAACACGAGGAAGACCTTACTGAGGAGGACCGTGTCGTGGTGGATGTCGCAGTTGGCAGATTACAACCACAGCCTAAGGGAGAAAAAGACGATCCGTGGGAAGCCCGATCTGCGGGCATTTGGATCAAGCGTTCGGCCAAGAGGAAGGCCAGCGATTCGAAACAGGCCGTGACTGATCTTGATGTCCTCTTCGGAGACGATGCTGTCGAAGCAAGGGATGGCTACACTATTACAGGAACACCGTTGCTTTTGAACACGGGCGGCAACCTGCTCAGCGTTCAACTGACGGTGCGCAGGGGTGCTCCCCGAGAACCGAAGAAACCCACGCCAAGGATCCGCGACGATGGCCGATACAAGATCATGCAGATTGGTGATCTACATCTCAGTACTGGTGTTGGTACATGTCGTGAGGCCGTTCCCGATTCTTACAACGGCGGAAAATGCGAAGCAGATCCCAGGACACTTGACTTTGTCACTCGGATCCTGGATGACGAGAAGCCCGATTTGGTTATTTTGAGTGGTGACCAAGTTAATGGTGATACAGCACCAGACGCACCCACTGTTAGTATCCCCTCAACCCAATTCCACAGCATTCACTCCTAACACCATCCAGGCCATGTTTAAAATAATTTCGCTCTTAATCGAACGAAAGATCCCCTATGCTGCCATCTTCGGCAATCATGATGATGAAAAGACCATGTCTCGTGAGGGACAGATGGCTATTATGGAGACCCTTCCCTACTCTCTTTCTACGGCTGGACCAGCTGATATTGATGGTGTTGGCAATTACTACGTGGAAGTATTGGCTCGCGGGAAGACAGATCATTCTGCCCTGACAATATATCTTCTCGATACACATGCCTACTCGCCCGACGAGCGCAAGTTTCCCGGCTACGATTGGGTCAAACCTAACCAAATTGAGTGGTTCAAGAAGACGGCCGCTGGTCTCAAGAAGAACCACAACGAATACACTGGTCGGCACATGGATCTTGCATTTATTCACATTCCCCTTACAGAATATGCCGACCCGGAACTACCTCGCGTTGGTGATTGGAAAGAGGGAGTCACTGCTCCCATATATAACTCTGGCTTCCGCGATGCCCTTGTTGAGCAGGGCGTCGTCATGGTCAGCGCAGGACAGTAAGTTTTGAGCAGTTTCCCAGTAAATCGATATCGCTAACCAGGTTTCTTAGTGACCACTGCAATGACTACTGCTCTCTGTCTTTGGCTGGAGAGGGAGAGACCAAGGTCCCTGCGTTGTGGATGTGCTACGCTGGTGGCTCTGGTTTCGGCGGCTACGCTGGTTATGGTGGATATCATCGCCGCGTGCGCTTGTTCGAAATTGATACTAACGAGGCCCGGATCAAGACTTGGAAACGTCTCGAATCCGGAGACACAGCTTCTCGCATACATCCCCAGATTATCGTCGATGGCGGTAAACCACTGCCCATCACCCCAGTTTCATGAGCTCACGACACTTGAACATTCTGATATTTCTTATATTCGTGTTTTGGACGGTTAGTTACCACGTGTCTATAGACTGGGGTGGTTCTATTTGTTTATGAAAACATATCCTTTTGGATGACATCGAGGAGGACATTGATCGAGAATTCTTGTATAACAGTTAAAATATCCCACGTCTCGCTGAATGGCAGCAGGCAGAGTTGACGGCGACAGTACATAGCGTCGGGATGGAGAACGGAGTTGCTTTTTGGTTGATTGGAATACCACACATGAGTCAACGGCTCAGCCTGTCGGTTTGTTTACGCATAATGCTCTTTCGACAACGTGATAGAACAGCAATGACAGTCTATAGTTCAAGACTTGAACAACAGAGCGAGTTCGGGGTAGCCAGCTTACAGCTTGAATGATTCGTGCTTTCATAAAGGTTGCGCAGTTCAAAGTCATACCAGCGCAACATAACAAAGCAGTCTACGGGTGTCACATGAGTCAGGTATTGATTTGTAGAAATGTGGTCGGTAATGATATATTATCTACTGCTCCTTCTCTCCAGGTTGTGTACATGTGCACTTCTTCCACCACGTTCGCGAGAAAGGGTAGTCCCTAAACGTCTGCCTCGTGAAGGCCTCCAAAATGTATGTTGATGAACTCCTAGGCCCGAGATTTCTCCAGCAGCTCAGGGCATTCCCACTGCGATGCCGTCCGCCCATATCTAGATGCATGTATGAAGAAACAACAAGATTGGTATACAAAACCGGATTAAAAAAGGCTTCAAAGAAAAAGTGGTATCGTTTAAGTCTCATCGCATGCTATGCGTTGAAAGGAAGAACAAAGGTGATGGTGTATTGAATAACACCGGGATATCAAATAGGAAATATGAATAATGTAACAAATCTGGAAAGTTCCAGGAATGCGAATGTGCTTGTAACAAGGTACAAGAGAAGTGATAGATATGTAAAGGAAATTGAGGTGTGTGTGTTTAGATGGTCATGACCTCTTGATGGACAAGCCTCAGCACCCAGCTCGCTTCTGCGACACTGGCGCACTGGAAACACCATTTCTTGACGTTGCCGCCTGTAGGGCCTGTAGCCGGAACAACGCCGACAACACCGTTGCTGCCCTTCATTTCTTCCCAGACGCCGCACACGATACCGCGGCTGCCCATGGGTGTGAAACAGCCACTGCCCAGGACGGCGTCTAATAGCACCTTGGGCTGTTCTGAGTCCTTCCGTGGGATGGTAGTAACAGTAACACGCTTTTCCATTCCGTGATCGGCACGAAGAGCCTGGTGCCAACCTGGCGGAGGTCGTCGGATGGAAAGCTTGCAGTTGCCAAAGTCTTCCCACTTGGCAGCTGCAACAAGGAGATGCAAGCGGATCTTAAGATCTTCAGTGCCGAAACTAACAGGGCCACGACCACTATTCTCAACACTGATGGAAGGCGAGCGAGGAGTGGTGCCGCCGTAAGATGAGGATCCAGGTGTGTTAGCGCCACCGCCATAGCGGCTGCTACGGTTAACAGAGGAGCGGGCCAGACTGAAAGGCAAGCCACGTCCAGTGAGTCTCTTGAGGAAGCTAGACGCAGAGAGAGTAGATGAAGGAGTAGTGCTTGCGCCGTCATAAGATTGAGTTGGTGCGCGGACGGAACCTCGGTAGCTGTTCTTACGGCCGAACCAGCTTCGTCGTCTTCGGCTGCTGGTGTCATCGTTCTCAGGTGGTGGTGGATTGTTTTCGCCAAAGCTTCTGAATCGAGCCTCGTTTTCAAGCTCGATAAACTTCTGGTTGTTGAGACGGGCGTGATGAACCGACATATAAAAGTTGTAGCAATCAGGGCCGTTGTGGCATCGGAAACGGAAGTTTCCTCCGCTATGGGAACTGGCCAGCTGGCAGTCGGGTCTGACTGAGGAGCGAATTTCGAGATCGACAGCTGTGCTCTGGCGGATAAGGACAAGCGGAGTGAGATCAAGTGCGAGTACCGGCTTATCTCCTTGCTCAGCGCCACTATGGACGGAATAGGCCTCAATCAAACCAGGAGTAACGATGATTGAGAGATTGTCTCCGGCAACGTTCTTCCACATACCCTTGTCGGACCATCTGGAAATAGTAGCAGTGTATCTTGCGGCTTTCTCTTCTGGGGCAGTCTTTTGTCCATAGAGGCCGGCCTGAGAAGCAGAGTTGGATGGTGCCAGGCTATCGATGTTTGAGCCTGATAAGATGGATTCGTGGAGCTCCCGTCGTTGGTACTCTTGAGGGTACTCCTCTTCTGGCAAGGTTTCCAGGCGGTCCTCCGGCTCCTCTTCAATAGTATCACGAGACCTGGCTTCGTCTCTGATGCTAACTCCCAGTTCGGTCTCAGGGAGATCAACACTCTCAATATCATCGTCTGAGGAGTCATAGCTGTAATCGGAGTCGGTGTAATCCTCAGAGTGGTAGCTGCCTGTGATAGAAGTACCAGATATCGACGACTGGTCTGAAGGTAGGTATTCATGCTTCAGTGGGGACGATGTACGGCGCTTGACGCGACTACTAGTAGGTGGCTCCAGAGGAGGTGGCTTAGCATATTTGGACTTCGAGCTAGGTTGAGGGCCCGGGCTGGGACTCAGGCTTCGATGAGCTGGGGGCGGTGGTGCACCATCATCTCGATATGATACGCTGCTTGGACTCTTGCGGATGTTCAAGGGATCAGGCTGCATGCTCTGCGATGTCATGGGTCTCTCATCGTACTGATAGTCGTGCTGGCTTGGAGTCCTCTGTGGATCATACTGGTCAGGCGACCTAAGAGGAGAAGGGTTTGCTGGGGAGGCTGATCGGGGTCGATATCTAGCTGGCAATGTTCGCTTGGGGATAGTGGGTGAGGTCGGGCTGGCCGGAGGTGACTCGGCGGCAGATGAGCGGCGAGAATGCGAGTTTCGAAGAGAATGAGCTGAGTATTTGCGAGAAGATCCTCGGACACCCACGGGTACATCTGGCATTCGAGATTGTGAGTACGGTTCCTCGTCATCAATCACACTAGGCTCTGGCTCTCTGGGTGGAACAGGAGAGACTGGGAGAATATCGAGCCAGTCTAGAATCTGGTCTTCGTTATCGGTTGTAAGTGTGAGCAATTCTTGCCATGGTCTGTCATTGTGGGATCCGCGAATCATGACCACCATGTCAAAGTTGCCATCTCCTGTTCTAGCCGATATCAACTCGAGTGGCACAGGTGGGAACAAAAGGTATGATCGGCCTTTCTCTCCGTTCTCGCGGATCAAAAGATCTCCCTTATCTTCAGGATGGCGTTGGTTGTCCCGGTGCACCAGCTCGACTTGGCACTCCAGTCTTTGGCCATTGGAGTGCGCCAAGTCGAAGGAGAAGAAGTCCTTGGCACTGACTTGTCTCGCTGGTTCGATGTACACAGACTCCATAGGAGCAAGTGTTCGGAGGTCTCGCGATCTAGTAGTGTCGGTGTTGATCGCATCCTCATCTGTCAACCTGGCCATTTCTTCTCTGTGTCGACGACGGGCCTTCTCTTGAAGGTCTTCAAAGTCGTTCAGGAGATCGTAGGTGTCGTTCGTCCCAAGAATGGCATCGACACACTTGAAGAATTTGGCGATCTGCTTGAGTCGAAGCAAAGGCCTTTTCAGAAGATGAGCCACGTCAACGCGCTCTCCTGTGGCATCAACAATATCTCCAGATTCGTTTCGAGGCATTGCCCCAACGAGGGAATCTTCATCCTCCGGCGATCCGGCCGCTGGGGCAAGATTAACGACAAGATTCTGGAAGCCTAGTCTCCAGGCGTCAAGGTACTTGTGATAGATAGGCACAACACCATGGCCCCATGATGCTAACCGACGAATATCTTGGACGGGTGCTTTGCGGTGTGCCATTCGAAGCTTTTCTAGTGCAACTCCCATGTTCACTACAGATTTTGAAAGAGCATCTGCTTTGGTGACTGGGGCACCAGACCCGAAGATGTCGTATGCATCATCCCCATTGACAACTTGTTGTAGTAGGACTGGAATAACACCGTCGACCAGTGTCTTCAACTCTCTAAGATAGAGACTCTCATCTTCGGAAAATTCTTTGAGAAGATCGTCATTCGTCACATCGTTGGCCCCACCTCGACTCTTTCGCATACTGGGTCTTGAGCGGTTGCTTGTGATGGCGCTGGGGACGTTTTTGTCGTCAGGAAGAGAAAGGACTGATACGAGATCAGAGTGACGAGTCAGTCGTCGCTTAAGTCCAGAGCCCTGGTTCTTTGAGCTCGAACGTTTGCTCCCCCTGTTGAGGCCTGTGGATTGCGTAAGAGTGGATTGGGTGACATCCGTGGTTAGATCCGATTCGACAGTACTAGAGCCTTCCTCGGAAAGAATTGTTGACAACTCATATTGACCCCTAGTTGGCGGTGGGAGACGAGGGCCTGCCATTCGCATTGGGAAGACTATTTCTCGAGCCCTTTCTTCTTCTCGAGCCTTTTCTTCTTGTCGAACTCGTTCCTCTATCCGAGCAAGCTCTTCTTCATGGGCTAGGTCCCGAGGATTTTCTTGTTCTTGTTCTTGCACTTGCACTTGGGGTTGGGATTGAGGTTCGGGTTGAGGCTGGGCCTGGGGTTGAGGTTTCTTCTCTTCTTCAGGAGATGCAGATCTGATGCTCTTGGACTTTTCGGGCTTGGAAAGCTCTGTCTCGGTCCAAATCTCGGTTGAATCGTCGTGAGTAAGCTCGTCGTCGTAACGGGAGTCTCCATATCGAGATTCTTCGTAGCGGGAGTCCTCGTACCGGGAATCATTGTATCTGGAGTCGGCATACAGAGACTCAGGGTCATCGTCATCGTAAGGCCGTTCCTCCCGACTTTGATAAGGCTTCACCTTAGGCAGAGAATTGCCTGATTCGCCTGTAAACGCTTCCTTGAGCAGGCCAAATAGTGTATTTTTAGGGCTTGACTTGGCAGGTGAAGGTGTATTCCGAGTTGCTTTAGTTCTCTTGAGGCCGGAGCCACCTGGGGCCCTTGTTGGTGCCTTTGTATCTTGCCGCTTTGGCTTTGTCTTGACCTCAGGCTCAGGCTCAGGTGCTTTTGAAGGTTCTGGCGAGGATTCTGGTGAAACCTCTGTCACAGAAGGTGGTTCAGGTTCCGGCTCTGGTTTGGGGGTCGGCTTCTTCTCTGGTACTGGTAATGATTCTTTGACAGGCTCGAGCTTTGGCGCTGGGGCTGGTTGAGGCTTCTCTTTGACTGGCTCCGGTGTAGTTGGCAGTTGCTCACTTAATGTAGTTTTCTCCGCGGTATCCGGCTTACTCATAGTTGAAGATGATACCCTACGTTTCTCGTTGCGAGATGGACGGCGGTTACTCTTGATTGTCTCAGGAGAAGACGGATCATCTGGTACCGTCTCACTCAAAGGCGTTGTGGCAGGCTCTGACTTGGACTCTGCGACAAACGGGTCGACGGTGGTATTGAGCCACTTCTCGATACTTCGAGGGTTATTTGGTACCGCCTCTCTCGGAGGAGGATGCTCATTCAACTCATGAATCATCTTATTAGCCCCCTCCATGACCTTCTTAAAAACCTTGGGCATGTTCTTGAAGCTGGTGTTCCTTTCCGGCTTCGCGGGGCGGGCAGGGCGGATAGGACGACTTCGAAGGGGCCCTCCTTTCTCTCGCAGAGGGAGGTCAAGTTCAGTGAAAGCTGAGTTACCCCAAGGAATCTCTCCAGGGATATCGGCTATAGATTTCGCCAGAAGACTGGAAGATAGGTCGGACCCATCAAGCTGAGATGGCTCCAGAGTGGACTCATCATCAGGCACCCATGTTTCCTTGCCCTTCTGTTTTGTCGTAGGAGGTTGATAACTTTTAGGTCGAGGTCTTGACTTGCTTCTTGACGCCTTTCTTCCTTTGGTAGGGGTATCCACCACGGAATCGTCTTCCAGAACTTCGATCGGTGCAGTCCCAGAAAGATCTGACTTCCCGCCTGTCCTCATGATCCTTGATAGTTCTGATACATCCTCAATCACTTCGATATACTTCCTTGCCGAAAGCTCAGATGGATCCTCTATAACTTCGATCTTGGCTTTATCTGCTTGCCGCTTCTTCATCTCCTGTTTCACGGCGCTCATACTAGGTCGTCGAGAGCTAGGAGCAGATTTGAGCCGCAATCTTGCAGTGCGTATGGAAGTTCCGGCGTTAGACGAGATATCGCTCATAGGCCTCACTCGAATCCCTTCGTCGTCGGTGAGCGTTGTTCTCACGGCTCGCACTCGAATACCATCACCGCTATTCCTCTTCTTTCGCATGGGGGTAACCCGGATTCCATCGTCAGCCCCTGACATTGACTTGGCAGATCGCTGTGCAGTCACCCGGCTGCTATTCACATTGCTCACTGTCATTTCGCTGTCGCTCATGAATTCACTATCGGTATCGTCCATCCATGGCTTCGCCCCAACTGATTTGGAAGACTTATGACTTCTCGGTGCTGGCGGATCCGGAACTTCGACCTTCTCCGCCCAGGCCTTAACTCTGCTTGCGACGCGAGGGTTAGCAGCGGTGCGCAATACGAAATCTTTTGGTATCTTGGCCGGAGTAGGGGCTTTGGCGGGCGACGTCTTTCTGGGTATATGTTTCCGATTTTTCCGCCAATGTTCGTCGCTCACAACACGTTTCTTGGGCGGTGGCTTCGATGGACCCGGAGTTGGTGTCGTTGGCGTGACTGGAGTCACTGGGGCCGGTGACGGTGATGGCGCTGGAGATGGCACTGATGCTGGTGCCGGGTCCGGTGTCGTCTCCGGCGTGGCATCGTCTTCTGTTGCCAGACTCTCTTTCGTCTTATTGTTGGGTCGTTTGGGTTTCTTCTTCATTTTGATACGGATTCGGTCCTCTTCTGTTACACTTTGGAAATCCTCGTCATTGAAAGCAATATCAGGGGGTTCCGTTGCAGCGTCGTCAGGAGCATCCTCCGCAGCGGCAGCGTTCGCTTTTTGCCATTTCTTAACACGATCTCGGACGCCGTTGGGAGGCTGGATGCGCTTGACTTGAGACTGCTTCATTTCATGGCGTAATTCGGCCTTGACAGCTTCTAAACTCATTCTTCTCTGGCGCTCAGCGGTCTGCCGCGATCTGGATGGACGCCCGAGAAGGAAGTCGTGGAGAAGTGTAGGCTCTTTGGTAGACTTAGCACGCGGGCGGCCACGAGTCGCCGCTGGAGGTGCCGACTTGGGCGCTTCCCTTCCATCATTGTTTTCGGATGCGGTAGGCTTCTGGGGAGTCTCAGGCTCGAACTCGGTATCGTCTATGGCTTCTTCAGGAGAAGCGGGGTTGGATGATGACATGATCTCAGCTACCTAGGAATTGATGTTGATGAGCTTATGATCCGGCCGAACTGTGGGGGATTATGGCTGCGCGATGCGCCAGAGTCGGAAGAGTTCACGTAAGACTCGTACCTGAAGCTCGGTAACATGCTGTGCTGGTGTTGCAGAGAAGCGGTGGGGGGCTCAACTGCGAACCGAAGTCGTCCTCTTCCTCCTTCGAGAAGATCTACTGTCCTGGTGGTCGATTATGCGTTGTCGCGATGTTCTATTGGATCGGCCGGTAAAGTTTACAGCAGGCTTTGGACAAACAGCTGGAGGGCGGAGCAGCCGTTGAACCGCACATGCAACTGTGAGAACGAGTGGGATAGAAATGAGCGAGTGGTAAGTTCAAGCCAAAGACGGCAATGTAGAGCTTTAGATGGCAATGACAGTGGCAAAAGCCCGAAGTGAATGACGGAAAACGAGGGGCTTTCCAATAGCGGCGAAGTAAGATTATTGTGCCATCCACGTCTTGAGCCGTTGAAGGGACCTTTTGGAAGTTGCGTCGTTGACCTTGGTTGGACTTGAATTGAGGTGCGGGTGTCCCAGTAACCAAACGTGGCCCACCTCAATCTGAGTGTAAACAACATTTGAGACCATCCCACCTATCAGGGACAGGGATGTTGGGATGTGGCGCCTTATTGACAGGGACCTCTCTAGGGCTTCAGTGGGTCTATCATCAACCCCCTTGGCTGCAGATTAGTGGATGTAGGCCGGGTTGAAGCGGGTGGCTGCCGCGTGATAGGCCAGCATGCACTGAAAGACAATCATCTCTGCTCAAGCCTCCTCTGCCACCAAGCCCTCCCGAGTTTGGCTGAACCCGATCTCCTGGTGCTACTGTATCTCAGCCAATTTTCTTCAACCCAATGCCGCATGTCAGGGATCGACAACGATGTGCTTCTTTATTATTCCTTGAACTGCAATTCCTTATGTTTCCAAGGCTTTTCTATCAAATAAACCATGCACATGCTGCTACCTACACTTGGCATCTCGCAGCCGACGCGAACAAATGCTGCGTTACCACCTCACTAACTATTAGACGCAGACAAGAACAACAACACGACCTTGACATGGGTAACCCTCCACTGCCTTGGCCAAGCAGCTTCTAGCCTCAATGCGCCATCCGTCCTTGTTTTCGTTGCTGACGACAACAGGCTAGAGCAGAGGAGGGGACCATCCAGTGGGAGTCGTCTGCGTCCTTAATGCAGCCATGTCTGTTTCAGCCATTGTTGATACATTGTTCAGGTTTCTGGTGCATTTAGACTTCCATAGCTATGGACAAGACGAGTTACACGCGGCAGTGGAAGCCGGCGCCAACATCTGATGTTGGGCATCCATCCATGGATCTGACTCTTTTCTGGTTCGCTAGATTTTGTACCCATTTATGAGGAGAAACAAGGCAAGCATGGACCAGTACTATACCGCTCTTTGATTGACCCGCAGCGCATCCATACTGGTTATCAACAATAATAGATGTTTCAAGGTCCTGGAACACTCTGGAATCGTGGCGCCGGAATCCACTGCCGAGATCTCAACGTCCACCTCCCGCATACCTTGTCGAGGTATTTCAGCTTCGATGGGCAATTAGTGTTTCGAGAACCTAGTTAAGCTTAAGTTCCAGAACGCATCGTATTCAGACTGGGCTTGACAGCCAGATATTGGTTACCCTGCAGCGACTGAATAGTTTGGTAATCAAACCTATGGATGCCAAGATATTAGATACTAAACAAATTGCACAGGTTGTATTTACAATGAAACAGGTTTAAGGAAATTAACTAGAATGGTGCCAGTAATTTTAGAATAATCTATCGTAAATTAATTGTTCACTAGTATGAAGTATCGCGGTCTAGGTAGGTTGGGGCGGTATGTGCCAGCACCAGTGGAGATAAATAATATCAACGACATGCAATGTATACGGAATGGAATGGAATGGAATTTCGGTATCTCCGAATGCTGCAGTCCCAAATTCATTTCAAAGGTGATTTCTTCCGACGTATCACTTGACTGATCACACATCCGTCCGATTTCAGACGTGACCATCTCCGAAAGCTACGCCAAGCAGCGTTCCAAGGCACAAAGCAAGAAGCAGAGTCACGAGGATAAGTCGCTCACGATGGCTTGTTAGAAGTTTGTTCCCACACCATCTACAGAGTAGATAATTCAGTGTCACGGAGCCTTGTACTGTTAAGATGTCACAGAGTAAGAGAAGTTGGTTCAAATAAATATCAATTTATTCCCGCAGACCGGTATCCCCGAAATCCAAATAGGTATCGAAAACGGATTGCTCCGGATGAAATGTAACCATGAAGATGCCCCGTGTGCTCCAGCTTCAATCCTCCTCTGACAAATGCACCCAATACATGCATGTCCGGCAAATAGGTATTCTCCATGGCCCAGCCATTATTCCTGATCCATCACTCCCACCATGCAATCAACGCCACCCATGCAGATGCAACCCAATATATGCTGAGAACAAAAGAAAATAAAAAAAAGCAGATGGTAACCTGAACTCCGAGTTATGCAAAAGTATCACTCAATCAATCTCAACCTGCCCTTAAACCACCTCACCAGGCAGCACAAAGCGAACCTTCTTGATCGACTTTGTCTTCTTCCCCTTTCGCTTCTCACCCTCAACATCATCATCGTCGCTAGTGTCACTGTGGGCACCAACGCTGCTTCCAATCTCACTCATCATCTCCTCTTCGGTCTCTTCCTCGATGGACCATACATCTGGGCTTGGCTCCCGCCATAAGTGTCCCGGTCGACGTGTTGCTGAGTGTCCTCGAGAGCTGGCACCATGACGACCACGTCCCCTTGATCTGCCGCGGAGCTTGGGGCTACTTGAGAGAGCAACTGGCGAGAGAAGAGCGTTGTTGGTCGACTTGTTGAAAGCAGGCTTCTTGGGGCGTGATGATGTGCGGCTGTTGGTGAAGAGATCCCGGAGAGAGAGCAGACCGTGCTTGTTAGGGGAGAAGCTGATGTAGTCTTCCTCATCGTCATCGTCGTCGTCTTCATTGTTGGACTCTGAGATCTCAGAGCTGCTGTCGGGAGACATGGGTCGAAGGCCAGGCTTGCGCAGTCCATCGAGAGTAGATGGGCTTACACTGCGAACAAATAGTCGAGGGGCACTGGCATCCTCAATACCGGCGTCAAAGTCGAACAAGGCATCGTCAAAGTACTCTTCGTCGTCGCCGCCGTCGAGAAGAGGAGTTGGTGTGAGAAAGTAGGTAAGAGGGTCGTCGTCGATATCATCCAGAGATGGAAGCGGGTTGCTCTTGGTAGAACGAGTAGGCTCAAGGCGCACCTGAGTCGGCGGCCATGAGTCGCGGCGAGATCGCACCTCAGCCTGGGTAGTCATAGTGAATACTCGTAGTGGGTGGGTAGCGAGTATAGTATAGTAGAGTAAGGTGAAGTTGATCTGATAAAGATTTCTATCAAAACCAGCAGAGGAGCTTGCAGGGACCTCTTTATAAGTGGGTGGATGGCTGCGAGGCTTCACCGCGATTTGGCGTTAAAAACAGGTATAAGCCAGGCGAACAAAGAACGCTTGTGTTAAGGCTGCGAGAAGTGGATGCCCTGACGTCTTTTCCATGGAAGACCCTTTGGAGTCACTCACCGCAGGCAATAGTCTTTGTGTGTTTGGAGGAGTGAACACAAAGAAGGCCGGTGCTGATAATGACCAGACGGTAAACGGGCGAAGACGCCTCTTCTATATAGTCAATCCTCCAAGCCTCTCCGCGAGCTCACATTCCACAGCCTACTATGTGAGACACAGACATCAGCCGTAAAATATCCCCTCTTCAAACCTCCAGGCGTCGCAATAAAGGCCAAGATGGGGAGGAACAAGCTGGAGAGGGCTGCAAGAACCCACACACTAAACAGGGCTGTATCTCCAAAAGCGGCCCAAGTCCCAGTCAGATCTTGGAATTCTTGTAAGCCGCGAGGGCCTTGTGAGTGGCAGCCTGAACACTATGACTGGGAAAATGGGTGGTCATCAGTCTACATTGGGCGGGGCTGCCTGTAGCCTCAGCACGTGAAGTTGCTTGAGCCAAGATAGATACGAGCATGTAAAGCCCGTAGAGCCCGCAGAGCCCGTGAAGTCGCGCACGACGACGCCACGCGGCCCGAAAGATAGCAGAGTCGGGAGGCTCCGGCTCTGAAAATGGAAGTCATGGGTTGAACTAGCGGGTTGATAATCAAGAGAGAAGAGCTGAGAGAAGGTTGGTGGCTGACGATAATTGCTGCGATATTGGATGCCACGGGCTGAACTTGGCAGTGATAAACAGGTTCAAATGCACATAGGGTCCACGGTCTAACGCGGCAGCCGCCAGTAAAAAGGCTTTGGGCGCAGCCAACTCGATCTGCCGTGATCGACAGAGGACGAAAAGATGGTGATGGTGATGGTGATAGCGGCCAAGTCGGACATGGCATTTGCTCCGCTGGGGGCCTACTACAATGGCATTTTCCTTGGAAGAAAGACGTCGCGGGGTCGGTCCCATTCCCCGCGAGTACGATACCAAGGATACTTAGTGAGACATGGCCTTGGGCTACCTCTCATCTGACTGCGTCTGCTATCAGCTCCACCAGCCATTCCGGACTATTTTGAGAAGAGTCATGCTGGGCCCCTCAGGAACTAACAATGATTCAAATTCACGATCGGGCATTTCCTGCAAGATCGATCGCCTTGAGGCCATCCCGACCTGTCTGTTGTGCATGGTGCCTTGCAGCTTTGGTAGCGTATCCGCAACGACTCCATATTTGGGCCATCACGCTTGAGGTCGGGTGTCAAGCACGCGAGGGGCAGGAGACTGAAAATCCCTTTTACTGCCAACTTTTCTTTTCTGTCGTGAGTAAAGTTTCTTCTAGGATCTTTCTGGGCATGGGAAGTTGGAGGGTCGCACGTCTAAGCCACGAGGCGCTTTCGTAAAGTTGCCGTGTAATACGCAGCCGCAGCTGGTGAGAGTGATCAGTCAAAAAAAGGCACTATTGATTTGTATTGCACTCAATAAACAAACGTTAATGGTGTCGACCGGCCGAGAAGGGGCGGGCATTTCCTCTCATATTGGACCCTTGCGACGATCACAAAAGATTACGTGTGCTAGTACGCATCCTGTATAATGGGAAAAGCGAAAGGGTGTTGTGACACCGCTTGTCGATATCGATTTCCAATTTTCCCATCTTACCATACCTTTCCCTTTCAGCAAAGTCCCAGCCTCCCGCCTCCCCCAGATTCCCTCTCCAATCCTGCTTTGATCCAACCCTGTGGTCCGCCCTGGCCCCATGATCACCTCACATCACCCATTTGCAAGGACAAGGACATGGGTCCCCAGCCATCAACAGGCCTAGGCCCGCCTTTTTGCAAAGAGTTAAAAAAAAGATGCGACATTAACATGTTGTTTTCTGCCATTCTCCTGGGAGGATTACAAGAGTTTACCGTCATTATCACGCAAATGCTTTTGTACAGAGACCACATGGTACCAAGCCATGATTCATCACTTAAAGTTTTGCCATTAATGAACGGGATTAGACCTGGTTTGGTTTGGCTGAACTTGACGGCCATGTGCCGTTCCGAACGGCCTCGATGCGACCCGTAACTCAGCGGAGGCCCTGTAAGTTTTCGCCAGCAAGCGACAATTGAAACGCCCGCTCACCGAAGGATATGCCCTCGGCCGTCAAAGAAACGGGCCAAGGGCCGCATTTATGGGTCTGGGCTCCGAGGACCGCCCGGATGCGGATCCACTGCTTTTCGGAAGCCACTCTTCGTTAATCTCAGCTGCATTAGTGAATTCAGTAGACTCGATTGACGTTCCACAGAATAAAGATTAATTAGCGAATCGCAGCTAGATTCAGTATATTTATAATTCTACCTACTTTGAAATTTGGGCCATGTCCCTAACTTCACTTTAGTAACCTTAAGACATTGGAGGTGCCAATCCCTAGGTCTAGGCTGTAATCATTTCGCCGTCATAAATGTCTAGAATGTGTGGTTGCATAGGATAAGGCTGTCAGACTAGTGTTCTGACCGTAAACTGCCATCACTCATGTAATGTAACGTCCTTTGGCGTTTGCCACGGCGTGAACATTTAGTAGCCTGACTAAACAAATTATCAATAACAACCACAGCTCTCCCGGTCTGCGGTAAGAATGCCTTCCGGATGATACGAGTTTGGGTGACTATCGAGTCAGCCCTCCACCACACATTCAGTAATGGTGGTTCGATCAAGTGTCTCATCTCTACGAGTGGCACATGTCTAGTCCATCCATATCGTTAGCAAGCTAGAGTGGCCATACCAGAGTATTAGTCTCACTATGCTGGAAAGATGGGGACCGAGACCGGTCTGTTTCGATACAATAAACTCTAACTTCTGTCTCTCGCCCAAAACCAAGCACAATCACAACACACATGTCTGCAAAATGATTGGTTGAGTACATTGTTGTATATTGTGTAGTATTTCATCAGGGCACATAATGTATTGTGTGGAGATACGTCTTTTATACAATCGTTGTTCCAAGGTGGCACTTCTGGAGATGGAAGAGGTATGTACGCACTTGTCTATGAGGCCAACTTCCTAAAGACAAATGACAACACTAACGTTGGTGGTAAATTGAGCCAAGCAATAGTGCGTACTGGACGCGAGAAATGTATTTGGCGTTTGGCTTAAACAAAAAAGGTCAATAACATGTGCCCACGAGATCATGAAGGAGATGGGGGTAGACGCACCATCTGGTCAAGCGTTTTGGCATTAAACCAAGCAGGACCCTCAAAGTTCCGTGGAATCTAATAGAATTGAAGCTGAGTTAGGTCGCTAATAGTTTTGGTATCATACATTGCTGAGCATGAGATGATAGTATAATTTGATGCATTGTTACGATGGCCTCCCCATGTTACAATCTAGAATTCATTGCTAGTCCGCAACAAGTCGATGTTAAGCTATTAGGACTGACTCAGAGAGGAATGACAATTTATTGGGAAGCCAGAAATATGTGGAATACGTAAGAAGGTGGTTGGACTGTAGGTTGATATATATGCTCAAATGCAGAAGTGGTGCCCCAGATGGCTTGGCTTGACTCATTGGCCTAGTGGAAGACGATTAGAGATATATCAATACTCGGAAGTACACCCTTATTGAAACAAATAAGATCATAATCGAGATATGGGCTATTGGAATTGCGAGCCGAGACTGAGCTGGAAGCCGAGATGACAAGCAGCCTTCCTGCTGACCTCTGACGAACGAAGGGATCGTGGATTGTAGAGCTGAGAGATATCCGTGATATTGATTAAAGATATCATCTGGTAGAAAGCCTCAAGATCTAGCTCAAGTGAGTTTAGTTGACCGGATAGCCTAGATAAAGTGATCTACGTAAACAAGATGCTTAGTGTAGAAGTAGTCACGGTATAATACTTTAGCTATCAACTCTAGGCAACCCGAGGGTTAGGCCATCTAGCTTGAGAAGTATGTGCTAGATCAAAGATGCTGTGAGAAGTTATGTTAAGACCATAGAGTAACTTGCAAGGTATAGCAGTGGACACTTCTTGATTCAAAATACAGCCAAAGAATTACTCATCAAACGGCTGTCTTCATCACCACAGGTGCTGCCGTAAGATGCTAGTGCCGGCCTCAGTTCCTGATTATATGATAGATACAGAGATCATGGGGTCATTCAAGTAAAAGGCCCATAACGGAGAGTGGTTAAATACAGTTTGAGCTCAGGATATCTATCATGGGATGTCGTGGATTTGTTGAATCACGCACGCCTGAACCTGCATTGATGACTTACACCAGCAATGCCCTAGTCAAGCTCAAACACACAGTTCAACAATATACCAACACCAACAATGGGAGAAAGAAAAATCACATGGAATAATTCGAACTGATCGTTCAGAAATTAACAATCATTCACACTTGGACTACGTATTTCCTTGAATAGCTTGGCTGATAACCCCCTGCAGATCTAAATCCGGGGTAGAGAAGGCGTTTTGCCTATCGCAGCGTGAAACAGACTTTCCCCACGTGATGACCTCATTGGATACGCTCAGCTGTTGTCGGAGCTGCAACTTCCATCACAAACTTATCATTAACTTTATCGCTACAGCCTCATTCATCTTCTCAGATTTGGAGAATAAAGGTGTTTACAATTCCCCGAATATTGTTTAACCTCCCACCTCTAGGGATACATCAGCATAAACGCCGCCATGACGCAGCTCAACATTCCCTCTAGCGCCTCATTGAGAATGGAGGTCCTCTCCAAGCACCAGAGGATGCCTTTGCGCATCATGACTTTTAACGTCCGCTACGCAACAACAAACTATGAACCCAACGAGAGACCGTGGGAAGAACGCCGCCCCAAGCTCGCGAACCTTTTAGCCTTCATTACCGCTGGCCAGGAGAGCCCCTTCATATGTCTCCAGGAATGCCTCTTCCATCAGGTCAACGAGATCCAAGAGGACTTGGGCTCTGCGTGGGATCATATCGGCCGTGGACGCGGTACGAAGCCAGAGGATGGCGAGTTCTCTCCCATCTTCTACCGCAGCGACACATGGAAAAATGTACGTAGCGAGGTGCGCTGGCTCAGCAAGACGCCCGAGAAGCCCTCCCGAGGCTGGGACGCCGTGCTCAACCGCATTGTCACAATGGGCGAGTTCGAGCACCGGGTGACAGGCACCCGCGTTGTTGTCTTCAGTACTCACTTCGATCACATCGGCGTAAAGGCCCGTGAGCACAGCGCCGAGCTACTCGTCAAGTTCGCTCGCGAGTGGGGTCGGTCCGGCGACAAAAAAGCGTCAGCCGTGCTCATCGGCGGTGATTTCAACAGTGAGCCTGAAGATGGCGCGTACAAGACCATCACGGCGTCCGGATCGGGGATCTCTGACGTGTCGGACATCGTGCCCAAGCATAAGCACTATGGTAACGAGACGACGTACACAGGCTTCGGGGAGAAGTGGACGCCCTCGCGCATTGACTTCCTCTTCATCCAGGAGCCGCGCACGGCACATGTCAAGACGTTTGGCGTGCTGGCGAATGGATTTGATGATGCTGTTCGTGTCTCCGATCACCGACCTGTTGTGTCAGACTTTGACATAGTTGTTTGATCGGGGACAGGGTTGTACTGTGCCCAACGTGAGTGTAATCTGTCATGGTTTGACATATGCTGTTATCTAATTAGCGGTAGAAGTGGCCAGGGGTGTTGAACGTCTAACGTAGGGGCACATACAGGATGTAGGATGCGGTTTAAGCACTTCCTTTACAGCATTACTCGTATTGATGGAGACATCATGGGTACCAGTCGAACGAACTTGCATGGCGCCTACGAATGCTCATCGCACTTGAGAGTATGGTACTGGGTAGACGCTGCAACGTAGCTGATTACATGTCGATAGTGGAAGGATTCTTAAGTCTCAATCGTTATCTTTACTGTGGCAATTGCCCAATGGCTGTTCAGGCAAGACATCACAGCAGGTGAAATTGCAACTCATTGCCAATGTATGACCAGATTTAGCTCCGTCTTACGAGTCTTGAACCATCGATCGTAGAGGCACAGCATCGAGCGTAGCAGATACGATTGGGTTGTTGCCCGTTTTCCAAGTGATCATTTCCACAACAGGGCGATGCAAGCTAGCAGAACGGGTAACGTGCATAGACATACAAGGCATCACCTTCATCATCGTCATGCAAAGATAGCACCTCGGCGAGTAATGAGCGCCCTATCACTGAAGACTTGCAAATATTAGTCTGCTACATGAGACATGCCTAATCAATGGCAGGCCAATGCAACCTTGGCTGGCTGCCTACGGAAGACCTCACACCAATGGGACATGCTGAAGATGGAAACGTTGATAAGTTGAGGCTCTGCTCGGAAAAGGTGAATATAAACACACGCGTAGGAACAGCCGGAGGGGCAAATAAGAAAAAGCGGTGTGTAAAGATGGTGGAGGAGAAGAGGGGTTTTGGGTGGCTCTCCAACATCTTGTGTGGTTGTTAGCCAGGACTGACGGTTCAGTTGGGGAACACGATCGGAGCCGTTGCCCTCCAGAAGGGTGTCGGCTTGGTGGTTGTTCACAGGATGGATGGGACGAAGGGACTGTAACGATGGTAGCGGCCACTCCACGGATCTTCAAGCGGTGCTATGCAAACTTGCAATTTCATGCAGCAACATGCAATGAACATGAGCTACCATTGTCTCAAGTGTGGCTCTGAAGATATTCAAACACAAGCCGTTATCCGCGGGCCCGGGATACATGATACTAGGAAGACCTGGCCGCGGTTTAGTTCCGGGTGTCTGTGCCTGTGATGGCTGCAACTATGCTTGTCATCCCCAAGAACAAGACTAGTTGCGCTATTACACGATAGCTCAGAACTAGCTCGGTACGCGGAGAGAAGGGAGAACTTACCGTCACGAACGCGAGCTATCTCAAGATCTGCGATGTGACCTTTGCGATACTGTTTCGATCGCCCTGTTTAGAGATGTGTGGACTTGTAGCTCAAAACTGCATTTTGCAAATACAGACTTTGTAGATTGCTCTATCAACTGCACACAATCCTAGTGGGCGGCCAATGAATTGTAAGATATTCATGCCGGCTGACGGCCCTGTAGATGCGTTGATGCGTCAATGCCTTGGATGCAAGTCTAGCCTATCCCCACACAATCTCGAAGCCAAAGCAAGCCATCCGCGAGACCCCGGCTGTGGTATATCCCCGTCAGGGTTAGCGAACACCAGCTTAAAATCCAACCATTGAAAACCCCATTTTACAGTGCCGTGCTCAATCTGTTCTGAGTCTGTCAAGATAGAGATAGGGCGGCACAACATCAGGCTTCTAGACATGTTGAGGAAACACAGGCTGACAGCACGGCATGATTAAGCAAAGCTGAAGCCAATCAACAACCTCGACTTGACCGGATTTTGCATCTCGGCCTCGAGTCCAAGACAAAGGGAAGGGAAGGGAAGGGAAGTGAAGGGAAGTTGGTAGGTGAAAGTGCAAACGAAAACTTGAGGTTGAGGGTGCAAAGCCCCTGGGGTGTGTAGTGATACGACCGATGACAATTCATTGGACAGGTAGATCAAATAAGAACATGCAGCGTGTTCGTCCTCGATTACGACTCATTGAAGTCAGCTGATACCGATGCCGCCGATTCGGTATCCTTCTCAGTACGTATATGATGCAAGTGGCCTATCGAGTGCTGGCTGCTTGGTAATCGAGAATAGTCCGGCAAGAATACCGGCATCGATGCCAAAGCGTACACGATGCTTTGGGCAGGTCAATGTGAGTTGCATTCGGACACGACATCTTGAGCATAACTCCCGGCATAAACACCAGATGACAGACATTATAAATCTACACTGTATATGTTGTCCTTTGGGTAGTACGGAGAGTGCGGAGACCAATGCCCGGTCTGGGCGCGGAAGGACAAGGAGGCCAACCCGGAGAGAGTGGGGCCATTCGCCCCGGGATTCGGAAGTAGACCCACCAAGGTTGGGCCGGCCAGGAAACAGTGTTAGACACGTACTCATGCCGTGACGAGTGGTACGACGCGATACTTGAACGGACCCTGAGCCGGATCGCCAGCTGCGGCAGCGTCGCCGAGCACGGGACTAGCCGCCCGAGCCTGGACTGGCCATCGACGAGAAAGGCCCCGAGGCCATTGAAGCCAGACAAGGACCGCTTGATGTTGGGCACCTGCACCAGCCCCAGACTTGGCCATTGCGGCACAACTACTGGGATAAATAGGTGAGATAGAGGCGCTACGGACACCTCTCTTCCAGTTGTCAAATAGAAATACCAACGCCGCAAGCGCGTCGAAAACGGTGACAACACACTGGATTCGTATTTGTTTCAGTCGAGAAGATAGAGAGTAGGAAACAACCAACGCCTTCAGAATCGGATGCAGCACATTGTTTTTTCTGGTATGAGTCAACACCAACATATTTTTGCTTACAGTGTAGTACTCAGTTAAGCTCGGAGCCTCAACTCAATCGCAACGACCAGTTACAAACATGAACATGGATGGCGGACAGTCTGTCATGATCAGGCATGATGTCGGTGCTCCGATATCCCACGTGTACCCCGCGCTGCACTCACATTTGGCTTCCAGTAATTATGTCGATCGGGTTCATCGTTGGTACCCGAGCAAAAGGAATTTCAGAGCCAGCTTGGCTTGCTTGGGCAAAGGCACACCCAGTTAGGCACGAAAGATGAAGTCCTGCGCTGTAATGGGGTGGGCTAAGCACGGCACTTGGTGGAGGCGTAGATCAATGGAGCCGTCTTAAGGCTAAAGACGGTAACAAGTCGGTAACGGAGAATCGTAACGGCGCTTCACGCCCCTCTTCCTTTTGGAGGCATCGGGTATCTCTGTACGTACGTGCCTACAGGCATAACGATTTGGCGAGCTCGGCAGGGCTATCCTGCTCCGTGTACTCTTGTCCTACCTCGTTAAGCCTTCGTGCCATGTGATCACCGACCTCATCTACTCAGAAGAGTAGCGTAATTTTGGGCCTGTTGTTTATCTGTCACTCGCAAGAGCGGCCCGGGTAACGGCGAACATCCCCTTTGCGCTTCTTTTTGGCTTCCTCGAAGCTTTAGAGGACAGGGTCTGTAGGTAACCGTGGCTTGAACCAATAGAGCTGCTCAATCACCAAGCCAGAGTTCCAAAGTGTTTCCGATCCATAGTAAGAATAGGTATACATTTCCTTCAGAGTGAGCCACAACATCTCTTTTGAGGGAAAGGGTGTGTCACCAGCCTCATTCAGGCGTGCGGGTTTTTGGCAACGAATGTGGTGACTGGGAGACAAGAGATTGGAAGGCGAAGAAGATTCTAAAAGAACCGTTGGATGAAACGATCTGAAGAAGCTCCACAGTTGGGCCTGACTGCTTGCAGCTGGCACCAGTCATACAAAGGCCTTCCCTGTCAGATAACAGTCAGACCCGCTCGAGGACCCAAAGTCTCTCAACAATCCACCAAGGGTGGGCTTTCAGGGCACTATCTGGGGTTGTGTCGTTGGATCAGATCCATTCTCGGCGGCACAGAGGCTGGGCTGGGTTTTGCTGGATTGCTAGGACCCAAAGCGCCTAGCAGCAGCTTTCGCTGACAGCAAGCCAGCTTAACCACCTCACCTGGTTTACGAATGGTTTGGTGACTGTTTGCTGGCGTTTCGTCTGTCTTGAAGTGTTTCACCTGTTGGAACAATTCACATGGAAATGCAATGAATTACCAAGTCTCTCTTTCGGACGCAGATCGAGTTGGCTTGGTGGCTGAAGTCGGTGAAATGTATCAATAAATTTGGTGTCTGATGGCTAGTTGCCTTAGTTAGCTGCTCGTCACGACAATGCGCTTGTGGTTTCGATGTCGTGACCGTAATCATAAGTCTGTCAGTCTTGACAAGAACGAGTAAGAACAGACATTTCCTTTGGTCTAATTAATTAATGGCTGCAACATCGACTGATTGTCCTGACTGCTGGGTCAAAGCAGGCATACCCCAGCTGCCCAGCATTGAGTTTAAGGGTCATTCGAAGCTTAGGTACTCCGTAGTGAAAACTCCATCATCCAGCTCGCTGCTTGTTGGTGGGCTTGAGCGGGATCCATTCCATTCAATTCACTTCACGACGATGAGTCCAAGACCACCGCAGCAAAAGTGCAGACCCCGATTTCAGTAGCCACCCCCACCTCTTTGTTCTGGTATGATTATCTCAAAGTATGACATTTTGTGATTTGAACAGTGACTAAGAATGGAAGACGGGAATTGAGGCACAGGGGCAACTGTATCGCTTAGTTCAGCATAGAGAATATACTGCCAACGCAGCATTGATGACTGAGTGAGGCGGGCCGTAGCGAGAGACGGTGGTTTGATAGGTGCTCAAGGCTCCCCTGCCACCTGTGTGAACTGTCACTGTTCATAACGGAAAGACGAAACTGAGGTGCTGACGAATACGGTACAACACAGATTATGGGAGTCAGAAGCCAGAAGCCAGAAGCCAGACAGCGGAAAGTGGTTGGACATGTTGATATTTGTGGCTGATAGTAATACTAGTGTCGGGTTACTGCTGGTTGCTGGATGAACGAGGACGAGCCGTGAACTTGAACTACGACAGAGTACAGACTACAGAGTAAGGTACGTAGAACTAGAACTAGAACCGGCTGGCGGTTAGTGTCTCACTGGCCGACTTTGCTTCAGTGATGCTGCTAAATCAAGATATTTTGGGTGCTCGACGGGTAAATGAGCGAGTAAAAACAATCGACAACCAATCTCTATCTGCGCGTTGTTCTGTTTTTGTGTCAGTGCTTTCGTCATTACCCTCAATTGACTTGACGTGGTTGACTTGAGTGAGTATGAGTGTGAGTGTGAGCGTGCAGTTTTCAATTGCTGTGCTGGCTCCAGCGTCGAGTCGCTTGATTGATCGTCCCGCTGCCATAGAGACACGCCCCCTAGGATGACACTGTCCCCCCTTGCATTCATTCTTTTTGCTTCAGTGTTGCTGGTCGCACACTACCTTACACGCCCGTCCACACACCTTTGGTACTTAGTAATTATTTACCCATTTCCCTTCGCTGCTGTGAATATACAATTAATGACAGGCGCAAGAGTGTGGAACATCTGGCGTTCTCTTTGCTGTTTAATCAACAGTCGTTAGGCTTAAATAAAGTGGCCTCCGTTCTATCGCCCATCGCCAACGTCTACTGCCACAACGGCCAGTGGCTGCATGCTCCAGTGCATTTCCACTAAAACTACCGATACCTGACCTCACCACACACTGTATTCAAGCCACGCCCCCCACACTCCATCCATCTGCTCCGTACCTCAGAAAGAAAAAAAAAAGCTGAACACCCCCCCTAGGCCCTGACATTACCACACCTGCACTTATTAAAAACAGACCATCCCATCCATCCATGTCCGTTGCTTTCCCCCTCCTCCCCTCCTTCTTGTCTTGTCTTTCCCCCATGACAGTTTGATACTTTGTCTTTTCAACAAACCTATTTCTTCGCTTCCTCCCTTCGATACCGCTTCAAGTAAAGGACCATATCACCTTCATCTTGATCATATTAACAGTATCGATATCAACTTCAACTTCAGCATCGCTTTATTACATATCACTACTAGCTAGCGTCTCCATCGAAAACCGCACTGGTCTATCCCACTATCGTCACCGCCTTGGATACCCAACTCACCAGCGATATTTTACATTCGACCTTTTTTTTTTCCGCAACCAGCTGTCCTGATCAACGAATCCGACTTCCTTCACATGTCGCCCGTTGACTTTCACGAAAGGGGACGTTAAAGCATTGCGTTCACGGTTGCAAATTGTCACTACCGTCACCAGTGCCCTCACCGCCTGGATTTGCGATCACATATACTTACTGTGCCGTCCCACCTAGTGTGGTCCCTGTTCGAATCTGTCGAACCACCTCTTCGAAATAACGCTTCTTCGAAGCGAGTTCACTTAGCTCAAGCCTACGACATTTTAACCACACAATGTCTGGCAACCACGTCTGTTACGTCGAGGATGCCGAGGAGGATTCTGGTAGCTCCGTCGCTGCCGAGGGCATTCAAGGCACTCGCCGGTATGCTGTCTCTGAAGCCCCGGGCCCCTCGAGCCCTCCCAAGGAGCGTCCCAACACTGGAAAGTCTCGTGGTGAATCTAGGCGATATTCCAGTCGAAGGCATGTCTCCCCTCCTAGCGACGACTTCTCTGACGAGGAACCTGCTCCTCCCCCTCGTAGGGAAGAGCGTCCTCGTCGAGATTATGAACGTGAACAACAACGTGAACAACGTGAAAAGGACCGTCGCCGCAAGGAGAGAAAACAGAAAGAGGCTGCTGAGCAGCAACAACGAAAGGTTCGAGCTGAAGCCAAACCGTCAAGGGAGCAGAGAGAGCCGAGGGAGCAGAGAGGACCAAGAGAGCAAAGGGAACAGAGAGAGCAGCGTGATCCGCGTGACCCTCGTGAGCTGCGTGAGGCCAAACCTGTGAGAAAGCCTCGACCAACATCTCTTACTCATACCAAAACCGAGCCTGTTGTCCAACAATACCGTCGAGGTCGTGTTGAGGATCCTTCATGCTATGGTGTCCAGCAGCCTGCAGTATCAGGTATGCGCCCCCGCGCCCAAACCCGACCTCACAGTTATTATCCGGGCCAGACTGGTCCTCCAATCTCGAATGTTAGCTGGCACCAATCCCAGCATTCTCAGCCCTCTTTCCCTGTTGGATCATTCCCACCGCCGCCGCCCCTTTTCCCTGGAGGACAATCCCCATCCGTGAGCGGCCTTGCATCTTCGCCTGGCCCTGGCGCTGGAACGCCAGGGTTCTTCGACATGAGTTCGCAGCAGGCAAGCGCTCATCTCAGGAACCGTTTTGAGCGACCAGCTTCCTCAATGGGCTTTCGGCAACAGCAGCCATCACCATCCAATGTCGGCTATCCTCAGGACGAATACGAAGAAGAGGAATTACCTGATCCTCGCCTCTTACGGCGTGCTTCCCGTTCTAAAAGACCCCAGCAGATCGAAGAGGACCGCAGGCGCATGCCTCCTCCCGAAAGTATTCCAAGACCTAAATCTGCCATGCCTCCCCCAACTACTCCTTTCCGCGCCCCACCTCAGATACTGGCTCGACAAAAGACGAGAACTCCTTCACGCCCGCCCCCAACTGGCCGCAGCCGTGTTGGGTTTGCTGATCAAGGTTATGATGAGGACGAGTATACGGATAGTCCCGGGCTTTTCGCCGACTCTCCTGAAGCCAACTTTGATCGTCGCACAGCCCTGGCACGCACTCGCCGTGATTCTATCGCATACGAGCAGCATGGTGTTGACATTGTACCTGCTCGCAATCGACGTGGTTCTGTGGCATATGAACAGCATGGAGCTGATATTGTTCCTGCTCGTAATCGACGTGGCTCTGTTGCATATGAGCAGCGTGGGATTGATATTGTGCCTGCACGCACTCGCAGAGATTCTTACTACGAACATGATCGTTCTCTTGGTGGCGGCGGCGTCAGCTTGGAAGACGACGAGGACAAGTACCTGGACGCCATGCGATATCAAGACGACATGAATGGCGGCCCCGCTATGCCTTTAACTGCCGAAACTCTCCGCAAAGCCAGCAACCCTAGGCTAGGTGGCGGAAGCAGTCGTAGCAGTGGCAGCCACGACGATAGCGAGTACAAACGAAGCAACACTACTGGTCTCACCCGTTCTTCCTCCAGCGATACCGACAATGTCACTATCAAGGTTTCAGGCTCGGCCGTTGTGCGAGTATCAGGTGCCGAGATTGAGTGTGGTGACGGAGGCGAGATTACCTTTTCCAGGCCCAATGGCGGCTCCCGTGTTGGTAGCGACCGTGCTAGCAGTTATTACCAACTCGAAGATGTCCGAAGCCGTGTTGAACAAAAGGCCCTTCCCTATCGGCCGCATACTCCCAGTCGTTCTGATTCGCATCATCGCGGCTATTCTGGAAACCATGCCCCATATGATCCATCGTTTGCCATGGACGACTACATTTATTGATGATTGTTCTTATGAGAGATGACAAAGTTGATGATCAGCGCGCAATTTTCTGCAATTTATTTAAGTTCTTTTTTAACGTATATTTGTTTTCTTCTTTATTTTCTGCATTGAGAGACCCTTGCAAGATAAGCAGTGTTTCGCTCTTGATCTTGGGTTTTGGCTTAAGGGGAGCATTTCGGTGGATCATTCAAACTTCAGCAAAGCTGCAGTTTTCCTTTTACAGCTCAATGTCGGCTCTTCTACTGAGCTTGTATCTTTATGCTCCTGCTCTTTTGTCAAACGCGCTTGTCGGTTTCGTGGCAGAAAGTTGATACCCCAAGAACGATGATGGTGGGAGCATCCAGTTGATGTTCTAGCTGATCTTCCGGCCTGGTTCTCTACCGACGCATTTGGCCTGCGCACGAAGCTTACTGAAAGCTCATCTCTTTGTTATTCGAAATCATGTACGCCCAGAAGGGGTTGTGTCGGAATTTGTTGGGGCATTGAAAGGAGATCAGCATGTTTTTGGGGAAACCTGACAAGTTCTGTCATACGGCGGCTAGTAGCCGAAGCGTCTTATTTTGACGCATGGTGAAGATCGCTCAAATGACGAACGCGACAAGTTCTCCAGGACTGGGCTTTTGGTTGGATTGGGACTAGACAATCCCGTTCTATTGGTCTATATCTCTTGTTGCTACGACTATATTTGTATACATCCCTGGGGGAGGTGGATGAGAGACGGTTACAGTTACGGGTACAGCTTGTGTATGCATTGTTGAGCATGGTGTAAGTGGAGGAATGGAGACTTGGTCGGAACAGCTATTGGAGCCTTGTCATCAGAACGATAGATTGTACGGGTAAACGAGGTTCGCGCCTCAAAGTACTGCCCGGCAGAAAATAATCTTATGTTACAACCAGCATGGCATGCATGTTTGGCTTCCTCAATTTGTTCATTTCGAGACATGTGTGATGAACCTGTGACAAAGTCTTGTGCTGTTTCAGTGTCAAGGAGGGCGGAAAATAGTCCTCTTCTGGTGATGAGGATCGAGTTGAAACGGAGGCATCGTCTGGGAATGGGTAACGCGTTAGTGTGCAAGGTTGAGTTTATCCCTTGTCTCAGGTATTTAACTTATGCATGAGAGACTGGTGATCTTTCAAATGAGAGGAATGTGTAGGTCAATAGCTCCCACGAAACGAAATAAGCGCTTCAATATTCATGCAACCGCGAAACCAACCGCTGGCGCTGTCTCAGGGCTCAGGGTTGGGTCAGACACGGCCCCCAGAGTCTTTGATTATGTGCCCCGACGTCTAATAACCTGACAGACATACCTGTTGAACGAAAGGAAGTATCACGGAGGACTACGCCAGTATCGGCGACGATGGTTGTCTCACAGCCTCCGGCGGCGCTACTCCCTACAGTATCGGGAGAATCTTCTTTATGCGGGCTAAAATAGAGCTCGTCAGTTCCATTCCCAAGTTGCACGAAAAACGAGCTTGAAGGGGCGTGTGCATTACAATCTGGAGCATAAAGTCGTGGACAGCTGTTATTGGTTAGTGACCGATTGGGCGCTCAGTGCGAAGTTGTCCGGTCAACGGAATAAATGCTTACTTTCGACGTCATTTGTGGCTGGTTTTCTTTTTTAAAGATGCATCTGAATGAATGATTGAATTTGAACGGGAGGTTATTCCACGGATACCTGCACCGTTACATAGACATTGCAAGATTGTTACATACGCCAAGACTGGCAATTTCTTCACCGTCGGGCTTGGAGAGCGTTGGAGGAATTACTGACGCGCACGTTGAAGTTGGCCCAACCACCCTTACCGTACCCCAGCCACAGATTTTCCAAGCCTTGGTTTCTGGGTTAACCAAGCATCACCGCCTCATAGCCACGCAAGTCTCTCTTCTCTTCATTAGTTTCCTGCACCTTATCTCAAAGTCAATACACTATTCACACTTATCACAACACCACCATTCAACAACAAGCTGCACATATTCAACTTGTGCTCTTGCAGTTTCGCCTGTATTTACCTATACTGCTGGGTCTTATTCACCACTGAGCTCGGCTGGGCTACAACACCCTTGAGCCTAGCTTGCACATCGAACTGAGACCTCTTCATTACATCTCATTCCATCATGGCACCCGCTCTCATCAAGACGCTGCGAAGCGCACCTTCACTCAACCAGCACGCCCCTCGTGCTGCCGAGGCTTTCTCTACGCTCTCAAGCCACCTCTTGAAGGCCAGCAAAGTCCTCCTCACTCGAGACGACAAAGATGACGACAAGAAGCAGGATGATAGGCATAAGCCATCTGTCGTGCCAGATTCAGGCTCGTTCGACCCCCACAATATCAATAACGCCGGTTTCTTCTTCCTCTTCGCCCTGATCGGTGTCGTCTTTGTGTGCACTGGTATCTGGTTCTTTTTCTGGGCCAAGAACGGTGGTTTCCAGTTTCAAGAGCACGATTGGGATGACTACAAATCTACTGTCCTTCGACGCACTGGACCTAACGGCACGATTCTCTCTAATGCGACCCGACCAACAAACCTAGGCGGTGGCAGTGTGTACAAGGATGTGGACGATGATAACACGACTGTCGTCACCGAGAGCACGACACTTACAGGCATCACGGCAGGAGCAAGTGACATTGGGGCACGCGAAAAGCGACGTCGCAAGCAGGAAAAGCGAGAGCGAGCGCGCGCAAAGGCCGGCAAGAAATCCAACCGTCACGTTGGAGATCTGGGTGTCGAAGACGAAGATGCCGAACTTGCAGCCAAGAAGGAACTCCGCAACTACCGCCACGAAAGAGCCGCTCGCGTTGGAGGTCTAAACAAGGAGAGTGAAGGCTCTGAATGGGACGGCTCTACCAACCACGGCACCGAATCCAATGTCTCGACAAACCTCCTCTCTGACCGCCAGACCACACCTACCACCACACCTACCAAGTCCAAGGCCGGCATCCGCAAGGTCTACTCCACCGCCGACCGCCGTGAGAACCGTGAAGCCGAGCGCATGCGTGCGGAGGCCCGTCGTCTACGTGAAGCTGGCCGAAACGCCCGCCGCGACTTTAGCTACCAGCGTGCCGAGAGCTACACCCGTGCCGACAGCCAGGTGAGCGAGAGTCTCCTTGACGGCTCACAGGTGACTCGTACCACGGACGATAGTGGCGACCTGGGTACCAAGAGTTATCACCACCCAATGCCTGAGCTGAGGGAGCTGGAGAGGGAGCGGGCAAGGGAGGAGAGAAGGGCGCGAAGAGCGGCCAGAGGTTATCAACGAGGGCGAGTGGAAGAGGAGTAAAGATACAAACTGAGGTGAAGTTTAAGAAACCTCCAACAGGTTCTAACAGGTAAAATTGCGGTTTTGTTTGCTTTGGCAGGGGGTTTTCTACATGTCGCATATGTTAATGTAAATATGTAAATAGGTATGGTAACGGATTCTCACGGACATGAATGGATATGCTGGGATTGTTAAATTATATGATTAAGATAGGCAATGCATCAAACAAATTACAATGCTTTTATTTGAAGGAATGCTGCTAGAAATATTTCCTCTGAAAGCGTCTCGTGTTTGGGCCGATCCGTTTGTTTCATGAGGATCATGAACTACACATCACCAGTGCAACCAACCAAAGAAGGGCAAGTGAATAATAATGATCATAATAACAATGATAATAAACAATTGAGCATTGCCTCTCCAATATTCGGCATACCGCATGATCGTCTCAAGATCCCAGCAATGTCAACAACACAATGTTGATTATAACAACGTGAAACGATTTACCGATCAGCCATAACTTATGTACACTAATTTCGAAGCAAGGTGCGTAATTATTGTAGACGCTCAAAATAGCATGGTAAACGAGCTGAGGATCAGATATTGATATTTGTGGATATGGGCGCCAACATCCATGACCGATGTGAAACCCAGAAGCATTACAGATACGGGGCCGAAACAAAGATGCCCTGCTTTGCATTATGCGATAGTGAGCATTATTACCTCTTGTGTTGAAGATCTGACAGTGACAATGGGCACTGAGCCGGTTTCGTATGGGATGAAATTCCTCTGACCGATAACGTCACAAATGTTGACTCTATGTAATTTGGTTCCTGTCCTGACCCTAACAACAGCCAAAAAGTCAAACGCCAGGACCAACCACTTGGTTCGAATGATCAACCGGCTCAGGTTCAGCCTTGGGCGACTTGAAGCCCCACGTTGAATTGTTAGTGGTATGCAGCGCTGAGCGGCAGGTGGCGCTAACACGATGCAAGCGCTATCAAAGTCCCCGAAGTTCTCCGCCGGTTCCGTGCGACGTACTGCGGGCACCTCATACAACGTGCGGCCGGGTGCCTTGCCCTGCCCCTCCAGGGCTTTCTCAGTGGAAGTTTGCTCGGTCCTTTGCGGGTTGTTAGGCACCCGGGAAGAGCCCTGTCGAGATACCTATGGACCCCACTAAGAATGGATGTCGCTGGGAGCGTCCACTCCAGGCTCCATGCTTTGAAGGTCGCTTCCATTGCCTGTGAGATTATCATGACGCACAACGGGAGCATCAACAGTGAGGAACAATACCTAATTATCTTCAGTCAACTAGGCTTGCTTCTGCATTTCTCACCACACGTTCTCTGTCATTATCAACAAAACATAATATATCTACAATACGAGGCTACAAGCCTTCCCAGCTGGTCCCTGATTTGTTCAAACGATCCGTAGTCTGCGTGGCGAGATCGCGTGGGCCGAATCCTTCTTGGCTTGGAACCTTGGGCCTCTCTCCCGTCGTCTCCTACGCATATCTCCTCCACATTAACCTACTTTGGACGACCCAGATCCCACCAACCAACCACCCAACGCCTGGGCTTCGCTTCGCCTCTCACCTTGTCTCTCGCTCCCCCCGTCTTCGTCATTCTCCTCCTTCAATCTTCATCACCACCAAACCTCTTGGTTTTATTCCCCATCCTCAACTCAGGTTCCACCTTCTTTCGGCGTTTCCTCTTCTTCATTTACAAACTGCGTAGCGACTTCGACTTGTACCTCCACATTATCATCTTCTTATCTCGCCGCGCGATTGATTCTTATATGTACTATTTGCGGCGGTGACGCCGTCCGCCAAGAGCCGTGACCTTGGTTGTCCCCGAACCGACCGATCGATCGCCTAATCCGCCCAACGCGATCTATACCATTCGAATCAACCGCAATTCTACATCAATTTGTTCCTAGACCCGAATCAAAACAGCATTCAATACGACGAGGCTATCTGTAACTTGAGTCAACCGCCCATCATGGGGCTCTCTTCCAACCCATCGTCTGCCTTTACAGGCGTCGTTATCGGCCTCGTGTCATCCTTCGGTTCCATTGTCCTCATCGCCCTAGTCATCTTTATCTTCTGGGTTTCCGGCTGCGCGAGTACTGGTCGCATCATTCTCGATCGTCTTGGTCGGCCAGGAGAATACGATGATGAGCAGGCGTTCGCGCGTGATGAGGCGGAGGCCCTCGAGGTCATGGATGATATGTCTCGTCAAGAATACCTACGTGCAAAGGGTATGTAACCAGCCCGCTGGTTATCGTTATTTTGGAGAATCCGGCTTACTAACATACTCTTACGATAGCCTGGGTCACCGCGAACCCTCCCGAATCAATGCAGACTGATATATCTCTATCACAATATCTAGCTATCCAAGAAAAGGGCGTCTCGGCGTGGGAGTTTGAACCTGAACTCGAGATCGCCAATTGTTTTGTCGAGGCTCGCACCGAAATTGAATTCTTTGACTCCGAATGCACCGTCATGAGCAACCTCCCCATCCCCAAGCAAAACGATGTATATTACTGGGAAGCCAAGATCTACGAAAAGCCTGAAAGCACTCTGCTTAGTATTGGCATGGCCACCAAGCCATATCCTCTCTTCCGGCTGCCTGGTGAGTTTTGTCCCACGTTGTATACCTTCTGCCCCCTGCCACTTGCTGACTCTGCACCCAGGTTACCACAAGTACTCTGTAGGATACCAATCCACCGGTGCCCGCCGCTACAACCAACCATTCGGCGCGACTCCCTACGGTCCCCCACTGGTGCAGGGCGATGTTGTTGGTGTGGGTTATCGTCCTCGAACTGGTGCTATCTTCTTCACTCGCAACGGTAAGAAGCTGGAGGAAGTGGTCCACGGACTCAAGGCTCAAAACTTCTTCCCTGCCATCGGTGCTAATGGCCCTGCTACTATCCACGTCAACCTGGGACAAGCCGGCTTCGTCTTTATCGAGGCCAACGTCAAAAAATGGGGTCTGGCTCCCGTCACAGGAAGCCTGGCTCCTCCGCCACCTTACGGATCTGAGCAGGGTAGCATTCTGTTAGAAGCTGGCACTAAAGACGGCCACACTTATCCTCAAGGCAGGCACCACAGTCACTCGATCACGGCGGGCTCTTACAATACACGCAACCCTTCAAACGATTTAATCCCGCAACATGGGCGAACACGCAGCGGCAACTTTCGTGTCCTCCCACCTACAAGTCCTGGACCGGTCAGAAGCTCGACCGACATTTCTTTAGCTCATTTTGTACCCAACGAGGAAAATGGTGAAGCTAGCAGCAATGCCGCACCTCAGCAGGAAACTCACAACCACAATCCTTTACATCTACACCTCGAGGATGCAACCAACCCGCCGCCTGAATATCAGAGTCCCGATCACTCAAGTAGTGATGATGGCCGGTATGGAAGTGATAGCGAGGAAGACACGCCCTTGATCCGCGTAATGAGCCGCAGTCGAGGCAATTCTTCTGCCACTGTCATTCCCTCGCGGCAAAGCCCCAGCCAGCGTCATCCACCAGTACCTAGCTATAGTGACGCCGTACGACAAGGTGCCGGTCGTGACCGAAGCGATAGTGCGCGGTTGCCCCTACCGAGCCGAACGTCATCTAACCGGCCTCGCAGCAGTACATCTGCTTAAAAGTGATCACTGATGTGCGAAATCGAGCAAAAGATACTATCACGCAACTAGTCAGTGAGCAGCATGCTTACTTATCAAATGCCGAACTATGATTTTGAAGACGAACGACGGTGCCCAAAGAGATGTAGCATCGACGGCATATGATATCGGAGTTGACAGGACCAATCCCCATACATGAATCATTTCACTCGTTTTCCTTTTTGTTCGCACAGGCGCCTTGGAGTTTTGGGCATTGGCAGGCACACGTTTTCGAGGTGACACGCCTCCAAACAGCGGCCTAGCTGTTCTTTTTGTATTTTTAGACAGGGAGTCTGGCTCAACCCTTTCGGGGTCCATGAGCCGACTGGATATGAGGTCTTTGGGAGGGAACTGGAATGGAGTACTGATACCAACAACCCGGAGGGATTTGCGTTCCTTTTTCTCGAGAGTTCCTATTTTTATGCATTGTTCACCTCGTTTGGGATCGTTCCAGACTTGGTGAGAGCTTGGATAACAACTCATCTGCCCGTGGCTTTAAAGACGTTGATGTATGGCGAGGTCTTGATCATGGCCTCATGTAAAAGGTGGTAACTTGACGTGTTACATGTGCTGAAGTAGTCTTGACTTGCAAAACGACCTATTCACCGTGCGATATATTTCGATCTCGTAAGAAGTCTTGCAGTGAGATGTTAAGCGTGTTGTAAGCATCAGACATCCAGACAAATTAGCCAAATGCGACAAGATCAATAAAAGGGTTCTCCATCGTTTTGTAAAAATTACAGAATTATACCATGACTATAACTGGAAGATGAATAATGTGATGCATGCCATCGACCTCATTGTTTCGTCGTCTCATTTTGTAACGCCTCAGCCGATCAGTCAAGATAATATCCATATAGGCAAATTCGTCATGGGGCTTGTCATCGGTGTTAATGGTACTGCATGACTTCCACAGCCAGCCCAAGCCATCTCCCGAGTTGGCAACCCCCTCAACCATGTTTGGAGTGCTTACTGCGCGTGCACAAAGTGGCAATTTTCTTGTATACAAAGAGTCGCGGCACTACAAACCCGAGGGGGGTCCAAACAACACAAACCCCAGCCATTCTCAGTAATACGGTCATCGTAAACTACACAGCGATGGAAAGAAAGGCAGTTCGCAGAATAAGCTCTCAACTTGTCGTACTCAATATCTTAGGCTGTTAAAGGAGTCTGGTTTGGGTATGGAACGGATAAATCAACACATCGATATACAGTTGTATCACACATCGGATCGTGAGCAGCGCCCCTGAGCGCAGTGGCCATTTCAAAGAACATCGCCGGTTGTAGTGGCTGAAGTAACTACGTAGTAAAGAGCCTTACCTTTTTTACAATCTTGAGTGACAGATACTTGGCTGAGAACCTTGGACCAAAGATCAAAATACATCACACAGGCATATTTCACAGGCATCTAATAAATTTGAACAACGGGTGAGAATATCTTGGATCATCGATTAACCTCCTGGCAGCGCGTGAACGACCTGCCATCAGACATGAGCCTAGTCTACGAATCCAACGATATACTCAAGCATTACAAGCAAATAAACCAACAAACAGTCTATCCTCGCACAATATCCTTCGCGTGTATCGTATCATCCAACGCGTATATGTCCACCAGTGGATTCTCTTGAAGCGCTCTGTAAACTTAACTCAAAATACAATCGTGCTTCTGTCCCGTGATGTTCCTTCGCGGCCCCTGACCCTGCGAAGAGTCGGCGCGACAAGCACGATCAATCCCAAAATAAACCAGCCAAGGACAAACATAAATAACATGATCCAAGCGCCAAGCAAATGCCATTCCAGTGTGCACCAAGTAACGCCAAACTTTTTCCCAGGCGCAGTAAAAACAAAAACAGTCGCTATGCTCTCCGAGTACGGATTTCAACCTTTGCGGGCGGAAACCATAAGGAGTGAATTCTATAACCGATCGAATATTCGTAAAATCGTAAAAAAGGAGTGTCTATCGGGTATCATTGTATCAAGGAGCGTCGTTTCTTGGTGGTGGGTATCATAAGGAGTGTGAGATATAACACTGCACTTCCAAGTGCGTGTTTAGATCGAGAGATAAGGAGTGTCGGCGTTAACAACGCGGTGAAGTTTGGGTGTAGCGAGCGTTGAAGGAGTGTGTTATACGTGGCGCCTGCGTCGTTATCGGAAAAAGCAAAGGGTCGAATAAATCATAACAGTAAAATCAGATCGGTAGCGAATCGAAGTCTTATTTGGTATCAGGTGGCCCGGCGTCGAGCATTGTCGTCATATTGATGGTGCATCGCAGGAAGTCGTGCCAAAGGAGACGGGGGATGCGGAGCAGATGAGACGGAAGAGGTATGGCGATGTCGTGGGAGCGTCGTATTCGAAGAGACTGGAGATTCGGGGAGAGGGAGCATGCCGAATTGCTCCGAGCTGAGATACGGAGACGGGGCGCTCATCATTGAGGTCATGTACAAACTCGGGTCTTCTGGAGGCGGGTATGTAGGTGTCGTGTTTATCCTGGGTGGTAACGGTCAATCCCCTAATGTTCTTTGCGTAAATTGGGCCAGTGGTCGTCTCGAGGAGCCTAGATCCACACGGCCTGGACAGGAGTAACGAACCCGACGCCATAGTTTTGAGGGGAATCCTGAATGCTGGAGGCTGGTCCGCCCTGCAGAGTGTTCATGTCCCATGTTCCGTATTCCTCCGTGTCGCTGTAAGCAACAGAGCCCTCGAAAGTCGAAGATGCCGGGCTGTAGGATCCGTTATACGCCGGAGAAGGCACGTTGAGGTACTGCTGAGTTGGATACGGGGACAAGATCAGTGGGCTCACAGCAGACGGAGGTGGTCCCGATGCGTTGAGCATTGGCATCTCCTCGGTGCTATAGCTGAAAGCAGGGTTGCCGTACAGATATGACTCATGAGTAGACATCTCCTCCTGGACTGTGAAATTGCGAGGGTTAAATTGAGGGAACGATGGAGTTCTCTCGGGGTGCAGCCATCCCATGCGCGACCGAAACTGCCCGACTGTATCAATAGGAAACTCCATGAGAGTCAAAGGAGTCTGCATTTCACTTCCAGAGACATTGATCGACATGAGCCGTCGAGCAATCTCCTCAACAGGCGAGATGGATAAGCTGCCAAAGTAAGCAGCACCGATCTCAGGGAAGAGACGTTCCATGAGCAGGGCCACAGTGTATAGATGGGCGATGATGATCAGCGAGTTGGGGGAGCCATGATAGTTTTGCAAATAACCGACAGGCATCCAAAAGAGCCATTTGCGAAGAGGCTGAAGACGCTCAAACTGTTGGGCAATGGAGAGCGTAGGGCTGATCTTGCGCGAGCCCCGCAGGAAGCCAATGAGATGCTGGATCTGAGTAGTATCCTCCTTGTAATGCTTGAGGTGTGCTTCAACCTTTTGAACCTGCTCAAGCGTGCGTTGGTAAGCTTCCAAATCCTCAGGGCGAGGCTGGCTAGGACGATGGTCCTTTCCTGGAGATGGCGGGGCCGTAGGGAATGTGCTGCTTTCGGCGATGAAGTCTCCAAATTGAGATTCGTGCTTCCACGGGTCCATAGCATCGATCACCTAGATTGGAGTTAGCGCATCCTGGGTATCAGATATCGGTTCACTTACCGATGAGGTGCCTTGCATCAGTTGGGTCCAGCTGCGCCTGGTCGAGATGTTAGTGTTCATTCTCAATCTTTTTACATACAACACTTACCAGTCAGTGGCTTGCCAAGAGAGAACAAGAGAGGCAGCCAAAATAGCATCCGAGGTCTCGCGGGAGAAAGATCCGATGGCCTCTTGCAAACCCTTGAGGGCAATGCCTCGATGCTCATAGGCCATACTGCCCACCAGCGGGCAATCTGTGAGAAAGGCAATGTGCTCAGCAGAAAAAGCAAGCAAAGCGTGCATCACATAAGGGGTTGTGGCACCGATTCGAAGAAGACTAGCATCGAGCATTAGCATTCATAGACGTTTGAGAGGCAAGTTTGCTTGACGTACGTTGGAATATGGCGAGTCCAGAGGGTGAAGTTGTTAGCATCGATAGTTGCCAGTTGATAGTACAAAAGTGCAACGTGGTAGATCAAACGGAGGTCCTCAACCGAATACATATGTGGCATGGGAGCAGGGTAGATTCCCAGACTAGGAAGCGGCCAGATTCCGGTTCTCTGCCACTCGGCGATGGCGGCTTCAATTTGAGGCGTCCACATCAGATCGGGCTTGTCGGGAGTGGTAGAACGTTCGGCATCGGGAACTTGGACGTCGTTGTACGGACATCGGATCTTGTGCTTGGTGCAATTGCGGCTACATTCGAAGATTAGCTTTAGGAAAGGAGGTTCGTCATCCAAATCTCAAAACTCACCATTGAGGGAAGTTCTCGTCACAGCGAATATGTCGGCGTTTGCTGCAAAACAGGTGTCAGTTCTTGTTGCGCTATTGTTGCGGACTCGATGGATCATACCAGGTATCACAGCCCTTGCGGGACTTGGTGTGGCTGCGGCGAGGGGGACCACCACCGGGACCAGCCATTTTTGAAGATTTTACAGGTAGAACTGTACTGGGAGAGAACTGTCGAGTGAGTTTGTGCACAGCTTCTTTTAAGGATTAAAAGACATACATGAAGTTATCCACTAAGACAAGCTTGTGGATTGGTAGCGAGCGTGGGGAGACAAGGGCAGTCAGTGATATGCCCAGTCAATAGATTTCCAGGAATTGATCCAAGGAGTCCGGTTTAAGGGGTTTCTTTTGAACGTGTTCTTGAGATAGACAACAATTCAACCGAGAGGCGTCGAGGAGTTAAGCTCAGGTGCAAGTCGAGAATCGAAACTTATACACTGGTGGCTTCAACAATCTAATGTGGCTGAAATGCTCGATGGACTCTACGAAGCAGCGACTATCAATGCCAGGTGAGTTGAAGAGATATCTAAAACCCTGGCCGGTGATGTTGCGTAGTGCGATAAGTTGTTTATATCCAAAACTTTCCAGCGGATGGTAGCGATCGAATGAGGTGGCCTGGTTTGATTTTCCTTCCTTTCCAGGAGATTTTGGTGATGATTTTGGAAGCGAGTGTTGGTGTGCAGAGGTGAAGATATCAGCTGAGAGTGGAATCGAGGAGCAAAGTTAAGCCAAGATGAGCATGTAGGCGGACTTGGGGGACCTCGTATTCAGATTAGAGCCGGCAGTCGATCTTTGACAGCTTGGGGTGCGAGATCAAATGAATTTAGTGTGGGCCGTTATTGCTGGTCTCTTGAAGATGGGTCTTTGCACAGAGCGATTGTTCCTGGTTATCCACAATGGGGAAAAGATCGAAGGAAGCTCAGAGATATTGGAGGAGGAGCGTAACGTGGAGGAGGATTGTTCTTCTAGAACCAAGGCACAGTAAAATGACAAGCGAGTGACAGGAGTCAACGAGGACTTCCTAAAAAGAGTTGAGAGGTGAGGAGGGTGAGGAGAATAGCGAACGTGGTTTGACTTTGTAAGACGAGATGTATTGTCTGAAGATGACCAAAAGGGAATCAAGAGGGGATCTGGTAAGGAGCTGGGGACCACGGCTTTGTTAAATACAAGCGGAGGTGCGGGAGTAGATGGGTGGAGGAGCCGGGGCCCGGGGGGGTAGGAGCGTGTGGGAGTGTAAGGTAAGGTCAGGTAAGAGTGGGATGGAAGGAACGGGTGGAAGGCTGTGTAAGGTACTTGCCTGCCTCACCTACATGCTGTATCGTGAATAGCAATGCAGACAATACTGGAAGGTCGGGTAAGGTGAGGTAAGAACGTGCCAGTGCCATGTGCCGTGCCAGCGTCAGTGCCAGTTCACCAGTACTAAAAACGTGCAGGCGACGGGCACCCACCATCAGCTTTAGCCCTTGGCCTGAGCGACCATGATGATGAGCGTGAGCAGCATCAGAATCACCAACAATGCTGTAATAGCCAGCACCTAGCCTGCCATTCAGAAGCATTGGAATGAGCCGAGGAAACGTCAGGCAGGACAAGCGGACCAGCTCGGCCTCAGACTAAAGGGAATTGTGGGTTATGGAGTACGGACCCAGGGACTACGGAGCGGGCAGCAGTGGATGAGTTCCAATAAATCGGACACTGGCTCTTTGCCGTGTACCCCGAGTACGCTGTGACTGCCTGCAGCTATGTCTGCGCCGCCTAAGCCAGAGGGGATAATGTGTGCGCTGGTCGCTGGTCTGTCTACAGAAACACAACCCAGGGCGCTAGGGATGGGGTGTGGTCCGGTACCACAGGTACAAAGAACGCCAGGGGGCGCAACCTGCAGCCTCATCAGTAATAGGGCCGCTTTATCCAAAAGATCCCTGGGCTGGGCATCTGTCATAGCAGAAAAACCCATATCCATCCCTCCATCTGCTTGCGGGTATTCTGAAGAGCTGGGACCCAAGAAGCCCTTAGCCTTAGCGACACATCCCTGGCAGATCAGACTGGCCTAAGGTAAGACTTGGTCAGGCGACAAAGCAACCTGGCCCTCGGGGTGAAGAAAATATGCAGTCTTCACTTACCAAACTTCACAGGTATCAGGGTCCGAACTTTTGTTCACCCCTACTGGCAGCCTGGCAACCTAGCAAGCGGGAAGGAAGGTCGTCTGCGGAGTAGGTAGGGGTGGATACTGGAGTAGCAATTGGAGATGCTGGGCTGCTAGGGATGCTGCCGGGCTAGGCTTCGGTAAAGGTAGGACGGATCCATACCTGAAGATAACATCGATCCATACCAGGTGCTTCTGCTGTGCTATTTTGGGGAGCAGATGGTTGGAGATGGTTCATTGGGCGGCCGGTCGACCTTGCTGGCTTGTGCTCGTCCCATGGTGATGCCCCTACACGACAGCCAAGATGGCATGCGATGTTGTTTCCATGGGCAGAATGAACATGGAGGCTCTCATGTTGGGTTTGGCCGACGCGGTGGCGGCGGGAGGAAACCGAACCCAACCCAGAACGGGCAATCCATGACAGCAAAACACAAAGATAGCGGGCAAGTGAGAGATGGTGGCGGACACTGGCATCTACAGAAGGTGTACAGTGCCTGCTGGCCTTTGGTTTTGGGCTCTTCCAGGCCATCTGCAACAGACAGCAGACTGTTGGTGATCAGCAAATTGAGAATCGAGCACACAGCATGAGCCAAAAAGCAGCGGCCAAGAGCTAGCCTTGCACGCAGAGGACATGACGCACATGGCCCAGGGTTCAAGGGGTCTACAGTAGGTTCCATTGTCTAAGACCGTTAGGAGCTAGCATCTGTCCTCCGCTTTTCCGCGGTGGCTGGAACGGAAGCTGAGAACTTTTTGAGGCATAAGAAGAAGAAAAACAGAGACAGGGCATCTATCACCAAAGGAACTCTGAGCGAGAGTGTATTGACTCACTCTTGGCAACAGAAGTCGAGTGGAACGAGTGGAACGAGTAGAAAGGTGACAAAAATTCTACGTAACTAAGTAAAAATAACTTTCGGTGTCCGTGCTCTGCGTTATACTTCCCTATCAGACCTAGTCAAGTTGCAGCTATCAAAAATTCCGCCAGCATATTTTGCCCCAACAACAAGCACTTTTTAGTCACCCTTCCATGGGGGGGTTGGGAAGTCGGTAACTGCCCGCGGCGTCCGGCTCAAAGCTGTCTTAGCCCAAGTAGCGGACTTGTCTTCTATTCGCCGGTTTTGATGGACAAGCTATCTTTCTGATTGGTTTGTGCGTTTATAACAGGCTGAGCAGGGCGACGCATCGTTGAGATGACGGGCTGAAACAAACGGAGGGACGGGCAAACCGGGGCAGCCGGTAGTTGAGTGAGTTCCAACAATGGATGTAAGTACGGAGTAAGCCCAGGTAAGATACAACCTGTCTCCGCGATTAACCCCTCGGGAGCCATCTCTAATCCAAGCACCGTAAGGCCCTGGCTGGTCACAGAGTAACGGTCAAGGCTGGGGTTGAACAATTGCCCTGCATTGCATTGCAAGCGGCGTCTCTGAGTGGCCACACGTCTCCAGAAACGGCATGTTTTTTGGCTTACTGAGGCTCCTAATACGGATACGTATGGAGAATATCTAAAATAGGTACTCGCCTAACCACAGTGGGTAAGAATATGGACGTAGCACTGGAACGTTACTTATGGCCCACCTTAGAGACAACCGCCGCTGTGGCCGTCGTGCCGCACAAATGCTTAGGTCGACAGAACACCAGCTTCCCTTGGTTGTTTGCTCGTTTCCAGAGCTTTGGGCCCCTTACCGCATTGTCTCATCTTGAGCTGAGACAGAGGATCCTCCCGTCTCCGAGCCGAAATCTGAACACGATGACGTCGATAGCTATCGCCAGGGTCTTAAGGTTGCCGTAGTAGTAGCAGTAGCAGTAGTAGTTGCAATTGAAGGCGCAGTCGATCTAGACTCAGACCTCCCTTGCCTCCGTCTTACACGACTGTCCGTCATCATTTCTAATTGCTTATTCTGTACTTGTCACTCCCATTTTGCTCATTGTACCTACGCATCACGATATAAGCAAGAGTATAGCACGATGTGGTATGGTTATTGATCAACGATAGGCATGATCTTCCCGCTCTATCGTTCCTGGATGGGATTATGTATATCAGGTATACTAATTCGTCGATCATGCGTCGCCAGGGTGTCGGCGTATTCGGGGTGTAACAGTCAACCAACTACTTGGGTCATTCACGGACTGCTGGGAAACGTATCGCAATCCGTGGTTCCAATACAGCAGCGATGGCGGTCAAAGTCACAGCTTAAGATAGGTAGTATTTAGTAAGTGTAACAAGGGCCATGTACGGAGTATAACTGGAGACATATATTTTCCTCGACCGCAAAGGGGAACTATCTTTGGTAAGGGCATCACAACGGTATTTATAAACTCCGTTCATGTCTAGAAACCATCCCAACTTTGAGCCTAGAAGTAGTAATTCGTAATATCCGTACTACTGTGAATAATCCGGTTATATAACGACTACATATTCTGGCTTTAACCAGCGGTTCTATGTAGCTTCGGCTTTCCTTTGTTCGCATGTCCCCTGCCTCTTTAGGGGCTCGGCTTTTCCGGCGGTAGGTGATATGACGGTAACATCCCGCCTCTTGGCTATATTAGTGGTGCATTTTGTAGCTCAGACTCATAATTAGACTCGACGATGGTTTTTTCGCCCAAGCTCGGCCAGCCTCTTGTCATCTACCCTGTCCTTGCAGTGCAGGGGCTTGGGAATTATGGAAGCTGGCTAGACTGACAGGGCAACAAGGGGTTTTAGCTGAGACGCTGACTGATCACATGATGTTTCCTTTCCTTCTCCAAGGAGACTAACATCGCGACCACACATTATCCTTTAAGGTAGTCAACCATTGTACACGAATTAGAACCGACGTGAACGTCCAGATATTTCCGGAATAACTGCATAAACACGACGCACATATTAAGCCCTGCTAAATCAGTTGCCTCACCCTCTGGTCTCGATAGGAATATTAAATTCAGGAAACTAGTATTTCGAAGACTCCAACCAAGCCATCGATGAGTAGAGATACCCTGCAGGAAGTCCAGTTTTGTTATAATAGACCTCTCGCAAATGCCAACTCGATCAATTGATAGTATCCACTTAGTAAATAACAGTTTTTTTATTATTACAGAACTTGCTAAACTAATAAAAGCCAAGTTACATAAGAGAATTCGCAGTAAACTTAGGAGACGGAAACTCCGCATAGTGGTAGATGAAAAGGAGTTGAAATGTGGCAACCCCGACTTACTTAAACGGGGAATTCGCTCGGCCTTTTTGCGACAAAACTAGAACCACAGTATACATAGAAGCAGAGCGAAGGACAAGATGAAGGATCATAACATGCTAGAAGACACTATCATTGTGCTATGTATGATACAGGGGTGAGTACTTTCCCCCGAGTACCGAAACCTTCCTTATATGGTGTGCGCCCGCGTTCCACATACCTTGCAAGAAGCGCGTGATTGCTTCAGATTGGCGGATTTAACCCCAAGCAGGTCTGTGGAATGGTTCTGGAGTTGGACCAGAAGTTCAAGCTGAGCATCATGTATGATCTGATATCAACGCGCACCTCGGTGGTTTTTACCCAAGAGGGTTATGGCCTATCAGACTCAGCCATCATCACTCATTGTCCGTAGTATTTGATGATCATAGAAAGTCTCAAGGCCCCGAACTATTGCTTGATGGCCTCACACGCGGTCTTAAATTATCATGAATAATTCTTTTGAGTTGCTGTTTATTGGATGACCCATCTTCAACCAGGCTGATAACATGCATGTGCTTGTCCAGTTAAACAGTAATCGATAAGTTCCGTTGGCTTGCAGCCTGGCGCAACACAACTGAGTAGCCGCAGGTAATTGACTTTGGCGGTGCCTCAAAAGTCAAAAGCCGACCATGCTGTGGCTGAAAACAAGTTCCAGGTCGATAACTGATGTTAGAGGCTACCCAGCTCTTAGACCGCCCTGGACCTTGGGGCTTCTAGAATGGAAGCAAGCCTAGGTTAGTACTAGATAGGCCAGCTATTTTTCTATTTACGCACAGTCACTTAAAGAACCAGTCTAACCCAATTGCTGAGTGTAGTGCGGAATGGAATTGAACAGCCTAGACTGCATCGCGGAATACATGATAAGGCCAAGCAGTGTCTCACTTATTAGTGTCATGGACGTGGTCGATTCATGTTTGCTCTTAGAATATTTTGCGCCTGCCAAGTTACCTGCGCACCGCACTATACTTTTGAGATCTGACCGATTACTCTTTTAGATTTGAGGCCCCTCAATTCGTGGCTGTCATAGCTTCTAGGTACCTAAGTACCTACTACTACAGTGACCCCTCACTTGTGAGTTCCTGGCTCAGGTTAAGTTGATTTGGCAGGAACATACCGTGCTGAGACAGCTAGCTAAGGTAGCCAACTGTGCGCCTTCCATTGTACCTTCGCAACTCCAAAAGAAGGGAAGAGACACATATGTGTACATTTTATCTTTCACAATATTATTGTCGTCGATTCTCATCATCGCCCGCAGCAAGCCGCTTGACGTCTGCTATCATGGCTCACTTAATCCACCCCTCTCAACCCTACAGGTACCCTTTGAGCATATTCTATCAGATCAGCAGGGCGTTGAAACTTCACCATGTCAACACCAACGCGTGCCGCTCAGCTAGAGCCTATCATGTATTGAAATCAATTCATGATCTCAAATGATATATACTGTACATATCGGCAGGTCTATTTCACCTTCCAGCCGCGCCACGATTGGTTCTGTCCAACATTGCTCGTTCCGAAGTCACACATACCTTACGATCAACAATCAAACACACTCGGCAGCATTTGCTCCGGTCTTGGTCCTATGTTATAACCCGCGAGCTAAGGTTGTATATTTTGAATGGTCTAGGAAGTTCCTATCAGCTATCGTTCTGTCACGCTGCCAGGCGATTTTGCCCCTGTCTACAAAGTATGTTCCCCGAACCCAAGCCCCGCAACAAAGAGTGGATTACCCTTCATTCTCTACATACTCTGGTGTGTCTAATAACAAGTCTGGCCAGACGATATGGAGCTGCTGGACGAGGCTGAAAATTAGTCCATAGATCTTCTTCCAAAGGGACGTTACAAAGTCGACTCCCTTCTGCTTCTGGTCCTGGCCTTCCGCCAGAAGGTCCCCACAGCTGAAACAAGCCTTGATTTCGGCCGACGACTAGTCAGCCAAATTGTCCGCCTAGGCCCCATCTCGGCCGAAACTGCTTTCAGCACAGTCTGTTATTGGCTGTGCATGACACCAGACGATGGTTTCAATGGCAACTTGGAGGAAAATGCTACTTTTCGTCTGTGATCCTCCCCAGATTTTAGGGCTAGCATTGCGCTATGAGGTCATCGACCGAGCGATTTAATGGTTGTTCGTTTGCTGGCTATCATGAGTACACTACCAGCGACCAACAATTATTCTCCTCTACCATGACCTTGTCGTTCCGACGAAGCCTTGCCCCATTTTCCAAGGTCACATTTACTAAACAACAGCCGAGGCACGACGGAAGTTGTGTTATGTAAAAGGGAGGGGTTACTGGACATCAGAGTCTGATGTACGGATAATTCTTCGCTCCTTTTACCCCTTCTCCTTGCGTCGGGCTTTCGCGAAACATGTATCGAATATTTTGTCTTGCTGGGGGCTAGCGCTAAAGAAATCTACCTAACGGTACCGCAAGGGCAGGGACCCTTACCATTGAATCAGATCTGTTTTCCGCAAACGAACGTTTCTGATGTTTCTGCTTGGGTGAAATTACAAACCTCGTGTCCAGAAATGGGACATCCACAGCAAATTTGGACCCATGAAACAGAGATTTTGAAAAGCCCATTAAAACTTTGACAACCGTTCTACCAGGCCTTGCAATGGCCAGTTGATCTCTGCAGCGCTACACACAGGCGTACCTGGGAAAACAGTGTTGACATCTTGACTGTTCTTTGGTTGTTTATTTCCTTATCTACGAGATGTCATAAGAGAGTTGTTCCAGCATCCAACTCAGGAAGACTCAGCGCTCGGCTGAAAATAGACTCGACCTGAGTCAATGTCTTGGATTTGTCTTTTGACTTTTAGTAACCTATCATGGAACGAAGGATGCTGTTTATATCTACTTGGCATTGAACTGCAGGGGGGCCTGGAGCGTCAGCAACCAGTTAGCACTCACGCGCCATTACTTCCATTCTTGGCGCACGGCATGACCTCATGTCCCGTTATAGCCACCTGCTATCTGGCACTGGCTTGAGAGATGCATAGCGCGATCCCTGATCTCGAACATTTCAATACAGGCTGACCGACGAGAACAGATTGTGGAAAGCGGTGAAATGATCGACATTGAGAGTTTGGCGTTCCTGAGAAGCTGAACCTTGTGCACCGCACCACCCCCCTAGCCTCGTTGAAAAGGCGCTAGTGAAGCATGATCCGTATAGCTGGGAGGCACAAAAGATCGGGCTGCATGCAGACTGACGATCACCTTGAGGACCCACGCTTATGCTCGCTACATTCAACCATGCGCCAAAAGTCCCTGGCTTGGGACTGGGTACCATCGTTATGATAAGCTACCGAAAAGTGACGGCAGACTTGGAACAATGGCACTTACAATACTGCAAAAACGCAAAACTTCCACAAAGCTCACTGTGTAGCAATTACACAATTAGCTTAGGTACACTTCACTCCGCGACACAATAACCTAGACACATTGGGCCCACGCGGATCCGCACGTCTGCCGAGAATGCGACGGACTCGGAGTCTTCAGTTTTGATCATCATTTGGGAAAGTGCGCCTCACAAAAGGTTCCCACAACTCACTCACCCCTGGCGAGGATGGCAAGACGGAGTTGATATCAGCCTCGGTTGGTAATCTGCCTGTCACGGCAACTCCAACATTCTGAAACCCCCCACCTGCTTGCGCGAGAAAATGACTGTCAGGTCTCATAATAGCTCCTGGTTATTACGATTTGACGACGGATACCACAAGACAACACATGGAACATCAATGGGTCCAATGGGATTGGATGTCAAAGCATGGAGAGCCACAGATGAGGGTTAGCAGCTTGTATGTCAGAGCAACTCTTCAGCATCAGCATCAGTCTCTCCTTTCTCCCTCTGACAACTGCTAGCTCAGTGATTGTGGCTCAAAAGGTGAGCCGTGTTGACCGGCTTCAGGGCGTGTGACCCATCAACTCTGGAACGTATCACAGTCTGAGGTCTCTCGCGTGATACATGGCAACCCAGGTTCGTGGTGCGCAATTTTCTGCGCAAGAGCCATTGACCGACTTCGATAAATGAGGCCCAAGGTGGATGACACCTTGTAGGCAGTGCTGTAGATGATCATGGTCGCTTTGCTCTTTTAGTACCTGCCCTGGATTCTTGTTCGCTGCCTCTCAGCTTGACCCGTCAATTCAGAGCATTCAACTGGGCTGTCTTGATATACCTCAGCAAGTGACAAAGAAAAACTCACAAATATGAGTTCCCCGAGGCGAATGATCTGATGATCCTTGGAACTTAATGATCAGCACATATGCTGTCGATCGCGTTTTGACGAGTGGTAAAGAAATCTTTTAGGGAAGGAACTCACTTGGGCATCAATGTCGACGGTCTGTATCAGATTGGCGATGCATATCCCCAACAGGGCCCGCTCGTTTGCGCACCAATGAACCGTAGGGACGAGACTGAAGAATGCCGATTGCTCGACCAAGCTACTGTAGCAGCATGAATCTATATTAGGTGGTGGTTGGCATACCTTCGCCGCGGCATTGCGGCAGACTAACGACTTCTGACTTCAAAGAAAACGGACGCAGGGTCACCCAGAAATGACATAGCCGGCTGGTTATAAGGCTTACATCAACACTCAGAGCCATTAGGTAACGTATCATTTCGAGATCTAGGTACTGACTCGACCAGTGAGGCCATCCCTTGATAGCGAAGCTGTGCTAGCGCTGCGGAGCCAAGACCACATGGCCCTGCAACCAAAGGGCACTTGACCCTTGACAAAGCTGGAGCTTTTTGTTGAGAATTATCTTATCGTAGCGATTCAGTTCTTCAACTCCGTCGGACCTTATGTAAGGGTCGAGTCGTTGACCCATAATCATGGGTCAGACTCCACCTTCTTGAGGGCATCATCGACGGCCAGCGGCTGGCTTTGGTCTCTACTCTCTCACTAAGTCGTGGTGGCCCACCCCAGCTTGGCTTCGAAGTTGGAGTTCATCAAACCTTTGTGGGTTCAAACCTGGTAGCTAGTCAACAAGAGTCCGGGTTCCAGCAACGCTTCATCAGCCTTGCGGGTTCCACTTCCACTTCCACTTCCACTTCCCAGCTTCAAGCCATGAAGTACTTAAACCGTTCCTCTGTTAGCTGATCACGCACCAGTCGGCGGCGTTGACATACCAATGGCCAAAACTGCGTTTGCTGTTCTAGACCAGCCCATGGCTAACAGAATATCGGACAGGGTTTGCCGAATAGGCTAACTGGGGTGGTCTGTACAAATAGGGCGCCAAAATGGGGAAGATGGAACCCCGGAGCGGATAATGCCATGCATGCATGCATGGGCAAACGGCAGGGGACAGGGGACATGGTACCACATTAGTGCGAGGCTGTACTATTAATGGCGACACGGACAGGGACGATGACCAGGTGGGATAAGTTCTCCAATCGCTGGTCATGACTCTAGTGCCAAAGCTTAAACGGCACAGCAGCAGGAAGTCGGTGGTGGTTTCACCGAATGAAGTGACTTCTACTCTTCTCTTGGCCTCTTGGCTTGTGAGCAGAAACAGTCTGCGGATAGCCTTCTGCTGGTTGGCTAGGTTCTAGAATATTTGCCGCAGATCTGTTTGCTCAGACCACGGAATTGTGCTCAACAAATCACTTATGCACTTATGACGTTAACCAACGCCAAACACCTTTGGCTTCGGTCTTGGGGAATGAGCATCATGAGCCTCACGTGGACCTTGGCCTTGGGCCATGTGCGATGTTACTATGCAGGGCAAGGTCCGGCGAGCATGCTCCGGCCAACCATGTCTACGGGGCATACGGATATGGTTGTTGCAACACACGATTGATCCAATAAGATGGACGCATCAAATGCCAGCAACGGCAGCTATATCAGATCCTGCTTCTCTGCTGTCTCTGCATCTAGACGGGTCGATGCGTCTCAGCTCAGTTTATTTATGATCTGGTGCCCGGCTACCGACAAGCCACATAGATAAATTTAGATGCCAACATTTCTATTCCAAGCTTCGAACACAGCTCCTGCTACCCTTGACTACGCTGGAGACCCTTTTATCCCCTGCATGTGTCCGTAGTTATGAGCCGAAGAGAATGTCGCTGTCCGGAACTAAGACTCCAGAGTCATGATGCAATATATGGGAGACTTGTAAACCGGATCATCATTCCAGCCTTATGAGTCTTGTTGCTGGGTATCGGACCATACTGCACAACTTTCCACTGCAAGTTCAACGACAAGTTTGCTTGTTTCACATAGTAAGAGGCTCTGGCTCATTTCAAATCTAATCATGCACGCTACGCGAGTCGTAATTTGTGCCGAATCCCATGAGTAGGTGTATTACTTCCTAACTTCTCCCGCCCTTTGGTTCTTGAAATTGAAGCCTGTCTCAAATCGGTCTAACGGTTCTAGATAGCCACTGGTTTACTGGCCCAGCAGCTTCGATATCCCAGCACCACGATTGAACTTCCTAACTTGGCTGCAGTGCCCGTGTGCTTGCCCAGCAAGCCCATCCGTATACACGGTTTGATGTTCAAGTATTGGTCGAAGAACCCACAAGATCGCCCGGCTTAACTATGGTTTAACCCGTGTAGCTAATATGTTGTTGGATTAGGCCTGTTAGTGTCCCAGCCCACTCGTGAGCCTCCCTCATTAAAGCACTCTTTCGTCGAATCAGGACTCACAATGGCAAGGTCAACAAACTCTATGTCTAAAGGGGTAGGCCCGTATATTTGTTCTGACGTTTGATATGCTATCGGTAGTTCAGGAGACCGGCTCGGCACGGAACTCATACCAGAGTAATCACAATGGCGCCGTAAGGCATGAGACCCAGTTGGAAGATCTTTCATGATGGAGCGAGTGTGCAGTTAGAGCTAAATACCCTGGTTGACCAAAAGAAATTGGCAGTGGCCAATGTGTCATGCTTGTCATTCAGACTGTCACTGCACGGTAAATGAGTAGCTTATGGGTCCATATCCATAGATTACCTACAGTTTATTAGTTTATTACTGTAGTGTGTTTCAAGTGACGAGTGACAGTCATCAGGTGTTGCGTTGATGCGCACGAATCAATCAATTTAGTTCGTGGCCAGATGTCGTACAGAGCTTCGCTGAATGACTCGCCTCTTTAATGCCCTAAAAAAACATATTTTGCCGATCGGGATCAAAGACAGCGTGGTCGTACTCCTAATTAGAAAGTAAGGTATCATTGACGGTTTAGGTATCCATCCTCAGTGGTTTAATCTGCAGCTGCTAACGTTACCCTGTACCATCGGTGGTGATGGTTTTCACAGCCATTGTCAAGTCCCTCAATATGTGTTTAATACGACGGGTGTCAAATCTGAAGGGGTGGTTTACACAATTATGTTTCATTCAATATCTCTCGGGTAATGAGATAACGGTCAAGTAGAATAGATTAAACGTGAAAACACCATGGTGAGGACACCACTAACCAAAACATGTGGTTTTACACGCTTCAATATCATTTCAGTTTGCATAAAAGATCCTATCTATTTAACTCGGACCCCATGAATGCTAACGACTGCTCAAACGAACCCGAGTTTTTCTATCTACACCTTTGGCATATCAGGTTGCCCTTCACCCAGTTCCAGTTCCAGTTCCGTCCCAGTTCCATCCTAGTCTCTGCGTCAGGTATATCTTCGTCCACTATTGTATCCTTCGTCAGTTCATACCATCGTATCAACATCAATCAAAAAGGCTCCAAGACTTTTCATAAAACCCCACCTTGAACTTCGCCATGCAACCCGTACCATGCTATCTACTGCGATCAAGAAAACAGTGCTATCTATAACTATGTAATAACGACGAACCATCCACTTCTACCCTTCTGGCATCCATTCACTCCAAAATTGGGAAACCGATATTAATTGCCAGCCCCTATGACAGAGAGTAGTGTGACTCCAAAGCCTGTCGGTCTCGTGGCTGCAACTGACCAACAAAGTTGCTAAAGTCGGGAATCATTTGCTTGTAAATGTCGATAACCTGGAAGTCGTTAGCTTGTTTGGACAGCCCCAAGAGGGGGTTAACTTACCTTCTGGAAGATATCATGCAACTCCTGCCTGACAGGACTCTTCAGGCTCATATCACGATATCGGGCAATGGCCGTAAAGTAGTTGAGTAACTCCTTCTCCATGGCCTGAGGGTTACGTCCCACGATCATGGAGAATCCCTTGAAAGCTGTTGCTTTCTCCTCTGTTGCCTCGACCTCGCTCATGATGCTGATCCATTCCTCAGCAAAGGTCGACAGGTGTGGTCCAAGTTGTTCCGAATTGTGCAAACCCAGTCGTCCTAGGGCCATGGCGGCATTTTCGTTCAGTGCCTTGGGAACACGAGGGTTGGTCATGATTTCAACGAAGCGCTGGAGAAGCTCCTGAACCCAAGGGCCCATGTTTTCTTTGTGCTGCATCGAGATTTCGCCTACTGACCAGCAAGCGTTGTTCACGACGCCAAATCCACTATCCATATCCTCATCGAGCACGCTGTCCATATCAAGCTGCTTGAGCAAGATAGGAAGAATCTTCGGGAGATATTGCTGTAGTAGAGGATAGACGTATCGAGCGCAGTCTCCCAACAACGCATATGCAGACTGGCGAACCTCATCGGTAGGATCTTCCATGCAGAAACTCAGAAGCTCGAAGAAGGGTTGTTGAGGGCTCTTGACCAATGCAGCCGATTTGTCATCGTTAAGGGCTTGGATGATGGCACTGAGAAGGTCCAAACTTGTCACAAGGAAATCCTTCTCAGGTTGGTCTAGGGCCGGGTTACCGGCAGCGGCTAGAGTTTGCTCCAGATTCACATGAATAATGTTGACGCATCGCACGAAAATGGGCTCAGCGTAGGTGGCGAACGCATCACCGAGTGCCATCGCTACATAAGAGAGGCACTCTAGTAGAGGGAACAACTCCCGTGACTGGTCCGACACGCGGTTATATCGGTCGATCAATGCAGGCATGAGCTTGCCCGACAGTTCAGGAGCGGCTAGGACAGGCCCAATATGCTCCGCCAAGGTCTGCACACAGTCGTAGAGAATGTACATGTTGCGATCCTTGTACTTGGCAAAGCAGTGAACAAACTGCTGGATAATTGGACCACAGTAAGGCTCGAGAATCTTTCCGGACTTATCTTCGAGATTAGCAAAAGCCGATGCGGCTGCTTCCTGAACCTTCTTGTTCTTATCCAACATATGACGGAGGATACCATCCATCAGAGGGAGGAAGAACTGGTCCTTGTCCGTATCTTCTAAGTTGGCAGCCCAGGAGGAATACCGACCGAGAGTCCAACAAGTGATTTGTCTTACAACAGGCTCTGGATCCTCGAGCAAAGAGATCAGGTAGGGCACAAGTTCAGGCAGGTGAGGGACAACAACGTCCATACATCCGTCAGCCACGGCACCCAGGGCCAAAACAGCGGCTTCTCGGTTAGGCCACTCGTCGTGCCTGAGGTGCTGTGACAGATAAGGGAAGATGGCCTCGAAGACAGGAGCTTGGAAATCGCGGGCGAAGACGTCGAGGGCGGCAGCTGAGCACTTGCGGATGGTCCATCTTTCATCGGGGTTGGCGTCATCACCGTCATCGTAGTCGTCAATCTCTCCCTCCTCGACATCCTCTTCCATGCCAGCAAGCTTCTCGAAATTGCCGTTCTGTTGATCGGAAGACTCGGTAACCCCGCCATTGGCCTTTCGTGCGAGAGCTTTCTTGGCAAAGGCAGGGCGGATGTCTTCCTCGCGGTCCTCCTCTTCCTCATCGTCTGAAGCACCTCCAAGGAGAGCAATATCCTCACCACTGTATACCATACATTGAAGAAGGACGGGAATAATCTGGTTAATGTAAGGCTCTAGTGCCCTCCATAGATTATCATGCTCGCCCACGGCCAGCCAGAACTCGGCAGCTTCACATGCAAGCTCCTCGTCGTCGCCTTTCTGCTGAGTTATGATGTAATCGACAAGCCCGCCGATGTGTGGCTGAAGCTTATCAGGTCGAGTCTCAACGAGATGGACGAAGGCGCGACACACTTGTCGTCGGACATCGACATTGCTATCGTTGGCTAGGATGAACAGGTGCTGAAGAAGGTCATCGATGGAGTTGAGCATGGCCTGGGATTCTAGAGGTGTGAATACATTAATAGCTGTCAGAGCACCGGCTCTGACTTTGGGCAATGCACTCTTGGTGGCGGCAATAAATTGAGGAAGAACGTGGTTAAGAGGCCGCTGACCATTGACCTCTTTGATCAACTGCCGGTGGTTATCCTCACAGATCTTGGCCAAAGCTGACATGGCACCCTCCTGCGCCTCGTTGGAGGTCTGCCCAGAGGTGTTGTTAACCAAGTCGAGGAGCTGGGGCAGCAACTCAGGCCAAGAGAGCAAGCCTCCACGTCGAACGATCTCGGTCGCAATATTTCCAGCGAAATTGCGAATTTGGGAGTTCTTGTCTTGCAGACACATGGGCACTGCGAGCTTGATGAGCTGAAGGTTGGACTCGGGGATGGTCTTCCATTCGCTTCGAACATTATTCTTCAGCATGATTCCAGCGGCGGATCGCACCAGGTGGAAGTCTTGCTCTGAGAATTGGAGGCCATTGGGAGGTGAGGAGCTCGAGAAGAGGTATGCGAGATAGCTGTTGATATCAGGCGAGTTCTTGGCTTGTTGAAGCATCTGCAAAGAAAATGATTAGTTGAGGGGCCGGCGCATGTATCGCGATGGGCGGACATAGTCTTACCAAGTCAGCCTGCTTCTGAGCAGTCTTGTTGAAACCGCTGAGGGAGTCTTTGAGGCATGCAGCAAGCTGCTGCAGCGAGTCGGGGGAGGGTTCCCAGGAGGACATGGCTGCGGTGGTGTCGAACAGCGTCTTTGAGCGTCGCAGAAGGTGGGTATAGAGAGAAGAGGGGCGCGGGACCTAGAGAAGGAACTTTACGTGAAGGACTTTCACATGAGCGAAGCTCCGTAACTCGTTCTTATCTACGGTTAGCAATGCGCAAGTATTAGCCAAGACAAGGCTAAGTGAAAGAACAATGGCAAGATGTCTTTGATGAGGGGAGAGACGAGCGAGCGGTGGACTAGAGTGTCCGCTTGGGATGGATGGTAGTAGTAGTGGGCGAGAAGCGAATGTGCCCCTCTGATACAGGGATGTGTAGCACCGTGGGGCCACACTTGAAAGCTCAAGTCGACTTACCGGGTGCTTTTTAGCCTTTCTCCTTTGTTCCTTAGGGGATTGTTATTTATGATTCTGATTCTGATTCTGATGGCGATGACAAGAAGAACGCGATGAGACGCTGTGCGTCGTCGACGCCAAGACGAATAAAAGGATAAGGAGGAACGAAAGGTTGATGCCGATCTCTCAAGTTAAAGTTGAAGAAGCTCAGCCGCCCACCAAAAGCTGGGAACCTGGGAAGTTTTGCTGTAGAGGGGCGAGGAGCGAGCGGAGGCTCCAGGGCAAAAAAAGAAAATTACCTATTCTAGCTTAGAGTTGGCGAGATGAGACAAACGGGTCATCTTACACAGTATATGCACATAAGAGATGGCCTGAAACACGCACCGGCTGGTGTCAAAACCAAGGGTCCTCAGAAGAAAAATTCTGGCGCGGGGTGCGATAACGATAACCCGCTTCGAGACAGAGAAGGTAGGTTCTTTATTGCGGGGATCGCCGAAGCTAGGCCCTGCACTGTAAATTGGAGACGGAGAAGGTAAAAAAACAACAAAAGATAATAAGACGGAATAGGCGCTCGGTTACATATTTCATCCAATCGATTGGAACCTTTGATTCTGGATCATCCAGTCATGTCATGTCATTGCATGCAACGGGCCGCAGCCTTGCCCTGAGACTTGACATCCAACGGTCTTTTAAACTACCTCCGAACTACAGAGTACCTCACCCAAGATGTGCATTGTATTTCAAGTATTAAGCTATCTACTTACTACTTAATCAGCCTATATTTGTACATACTCGATATATAACTCATCATATGTACGGCTAGTCGTTACTAAATCAGTCCGACTGTCTACAATGTGAAGCAACGGTGCATTGTAAATGACAATGCTCTTCTTCATCTAAATGCTCACCTAGTTTCACCAGAGCATTACTGCGAGATCAGTATTGCCGTAAGTGCCGCGCATCTCCACGTTGCACCAGTCTTCATAATCATGTACCACGCGTGCAACACTATCTCCAAGCCAGTCGACATTGTCGTGGAGCGGTCTGTAGATGATGGGATCAAGATACGAACCAAGATCCAGCCGCGTGAACCGCAAAATCGAAGATATAAGACTTCCAATTAGGCAGGCAGCCAGGCAGCAAGTATCTCTGTCGTGATATACCTGTGTGATGATCATGCAAACATAGCATACTTAGGGTTTCATTATCTTCTCGAGATCTAATTATATCTACCAAGAGGACACGTCCTGCCCAGGTCTCCCTCAACCATCATGATAGCATGCTGCTTTGGTGACACACGCACATCCCCGCCTGGTGACAAACATTTGTCTCAAGCCCACCGTCTGCGTGTACCACTACGGAATCATCCGGAATCGTGCGCGACCCATGTCATAATTCTCCCAAGCTTCTTTGACAGCTCCGTTACCAGGTGATATGGATGAAGTGGTGCACCTTCAATTGTGCCTGTCGTTGAGAGTTTTGCGAACAGATGCCAGAGACTGCTAGACCTAGGATCCAGCAGAGGCTACAAGTTTGGAAACGAGAGGGTTCTCAAGGTTGTTACTTGTAAGAGTCTAAACCCACCGTTTCTCCTGGGACGGTCTGTAGGTTATACTCAGGCCGTAGTTGACTTGGGGCCTGAAAGCTGTAGCCTCTCTACAACAACCTGAACAATCGTCTTGAAAGCCTCCATCTCTTCTTCCACAGTACCACCCATTCCAGCATTGGCAAAGCTTATCGAGTTGGTGACATACACCGGGAGCTGTGATTTGCGAGCCAGCAGCTTTGCCAAGCGCGTTGTGAACTCCACTGACGTCTCTGATGAGTAGAGCGTCGTGGATAATGGTTGTGCCTGATCTAGTCTCTATGAGAGTGGTCTGAATTAGCTAGGTGTTACGTGCACAGGAACGGGCCGTACTCACGTTGGGCAAAGCATAGACAAATGAACCCATGGAGACAGGGGCGGCGAGCTCATCTTGTGACGCTGTTGTCGTAAAGAGCACGATGGACTTTGCTTTGGTGGATAAGCGGAGGTAGATGCGTGTATCTAGAGAGCGGGGGAGAGGTACGGAGAGCTCGATTGTGTCTATGGCCATGTTGATAGAGTGTTCGAGTTTCGAGGAGGGAGATGACTGGATATTAAGATGGGATTTTTTGTGTTGTGAGAATGTAAGTGATTGATTAGATATCTAGTTTGGCTCTCAAAGCTGGGTTGTGTAGGTCAAGTGAAGTTGGGTGGTGTTGTTAAATTAGTGTGAGCCATCTGACGTAACCGGATTAACTGTCAGTATGTGCACTTTTCACAATGAACAATTGTACTGACCTGTGAAAGAAGGAAAAAGGAAACAATTGGTGAATTCCAAGCAGAATACGTCTATACTTTCTGCACAAGATGTTGTCAACTTGGATTTGCAGGTTTGCACTGGTGCAGGCAATCACATGATTCCCCCAACCCTACCAAATGAATTTCCAAGATCGATAATGATTGGCGTGTACGAATGTAAAGACCGATATCAAGAGCTCATTCATGATCTACCTATTTATTCGTTCATCTCAAATTATTATTCGATAATTTACTGCACTTTGTTATCACCGAGCCTTTTTTGTTCTCACAAGAAAATCGCTCCGTCATTTGATGGCCACCCTATATTTCTTCCCCTCTACCCCGCCATGATCATCACTTGTTCGCAACATACCAATACCTCTTTCTATAACGACCGACATGGCTGAATCGGAAGATGGCCACCACATTGAGATTGTCCCAGATGATAGCGCCTGGGCTGGCGTAGAGGAAAATGCGGAGGATCCTGAAGAAGTTCGCGTAATTTTCAGCGCATTGGATTCATTCTTGTGAGTCAATACAATTGCTAGATCCTCATATTTACTTGAGTGGGCGATCTTCATACGCAACATTTATACCCAATGGATGATTCAATCGTCACTTTCGTACCTACTCCAGTCAATATTCAAGCGTTCTTTGTACTGAGATACCAATAGCCAATACGCCAAAGTTTCACACTTTAATGTCACCCACCTTCGCCGCCAGGCCTTCTACGCTCTCCCTCAAGAGCAATGGAAACTCTTAGCTGCACCTCCCTTCAACTTTCTCGAAACCCTCGACAAAGTTGACGAGGCGCTCGACGAGAACGCTGAGCTGGCCCGTACCATCGCTCGTGTTGGGCTCAAGTCGTTCCGCATGATGACGGATGAGCCCGAAGACAAGGAACCCACGATGCCTCATGAGTGGGCGGGAGTTGCGAAAAACTCAGACGTTGACAAGGCAAGGAGTACAATTCGCCAGTTCTACCGTGATTGGACTGCGGCGGGTGCTGCGGAGAGAGAGGCTAGCTATGGCCCTGTTATGAAGGCACTCGCAGCGGAAATGGACAGATACCCAGAACGATCTCCTCTCAAAGTGTTGGTACCAGGCGCAGGTCTAGGAAGACTTGTGTTCGACCTGGTAGCAAATGGACATAGCGCAGAAGGAAACGAGATTTCTTACCACCAGCTACTTGCATCGTCCTACATTCTCAACAATTGTCCAGCCGCCGAATATCACACCATTTACCCCTGGGTTCACAGCTTCTCGAATCATCTTACTCGAGAGAATCATCTCCGAAGCTACCGCGTTCCAGACATTCATCCAGCTACCATCCTGGCTACCACGCCTAACATCGGAGAGATGTCCATGTGTGCCGCGGACTTTCTCTGCCTCTACGCCGACGAAGACCACGAGGCTCAGTACGACGCCGTAGCAACTGTATTCTTCCTTGATACAGCACCTAATCTTGTGCGGTATTTCGAAGTAATTCGGCATTGCCTTCGACCTGGAGGCGTTCTCATCAATGTAGGCCCCTTACTGTGGCACTTTGAGAATAACGCTCCGGGCACCCATGGGCAGGATGGCGATGCAGAGCATGACCCTAAGGCCTCATCAGGCATTGCAGACCCAGGGAGCTTTGAGCTAACTGACAATGAAGTCATTGCACTCGTGGAAAAGATGGGTTTTGAGGTTGAATGGCACAAGACTGGCGTTGACGCCCCGTACATTCATGATTCAGAAAGTCTTCTACAGTCAACGTATAAAGCGAGTACTTGGCTGGCTCGCAAGCCATTAGACGAGAGAAGATCTTGATGGGATAAGTCACAGGTGACGAAAATTGAGAGTAGAAATAAACAATGGAAGAATTATCCAGCTAGAGATTTATATCTATGCGGATCAATGACTTTGACTTTATCATACATCACTTCGCTGACCCTACAGCTTCGCCTTGTGCTCCGCCATGAGCTCTCCTCGTTGCCACAACGCACCGCCATCAATAGCGATCGCCTCGCCGTTAACATGCGACCCAGCCCGACTGGACAGATAAACGACCACACCAGCAATATCCTCAGGTTGTCCAAGTCTGCGCATGGGGTTGCTGTTTGCGAATTGCTCAGCGCCACCTGACATCTCCAGCAGGCCGTTGGACATCTTGCTAGGGAAGAAACCGGGGTTGATGGAGTTGACGGTGATGTGCCTTGGTCCCAGCTCCATAGCCAGGTTGCGTCCCAGATGCATCACTGCCGCCTTACTAGCGGAGTAGCCATATGTGCCCTGCGTTCCAATTGTGCCGACACCAAGTCCGGCAGTGCTAGATGTGATGATAACACGGCTGGGGTCCTGCAGCGAAGCACCCTTCTCCAGCATGGGGGTGAACAGGCGAATTGTGTTGAACACGGCCTTGACGTTAAGATCCATAACCTTGGCGAAGGCAGAGTCAGGGTGCGTGTCGAAAGACTCACCCCACGTAGCTCCTGCGTTAGCGAAGAGAATATCCACGCGATCAGTATGCTTCTTGACCTGCGCAAGCAGACTCTCTACACCCTCAAACTTGGCCGAGTCCGCGGGAACTGAGATGGCGACGGCGCCGGGAGAAAGGTTGGGGAGCGCATTGAGAGCCTTGCAGGCTTCTTCGCATGCGGCGGCCTTGCGGGATGAGATGAAAACCTTTGACGCGCCCGCTTGAAGGAATCTGAGACGATGTCAGTCGCGTTTGTCGAGATAGCTCAAATTATGTGACTTACGCTGAAGCTGCGTGGAGTCCAAGGCCTCGAGATCCACCAGTAACGACAGCAACCTTGCCCTTGAGGGAAAAGAGCGAGGGGTAGTCTTGCAATTGAGCTTCAGCCATTGTGATTATGAATTCGCAAGTAGCTCCGAGAGAGATAGGTAAATGACGTTGATAAACAGGGGTTTTAGGTGTTGTAGCTTGATAGAATTTATGATACGCGGAGGCAGATCTCTAAATTAAACTCGCAGAAAAACGTAGGAGGAAAGATCTATCCTTTATAGGAAAGAAAACTGACAGGCAACGCCTCCTTGATATTCGTGGCAAGCATTGAGCCTCGGAGTATTGACTGCCCCTGGGGAATGTCCGGGGTTCATTAATTAACCTCCGGTTGCGGGGAAAAAGATGCCGAGGCACGATGTCCGTTAGGTGGGTCCATCTCGGTAACATCATCACGGCCGTGTTGGATATCTGGAGTGAACGATTGTTATCGGATCATTTGAGCTCATATAATTAGTTTCTGTGTTGAACAAGCAACGTTATTGATACGTCTTCATTGGAACATGTCGGTTCACAGTTCAATATCAAACTCTGCCCTATCTTAGTGATGGTGAAGCCAATTTGCACACGCAGCGCACTATGAAACCCTTATGAACATTGTGACCTTTGGAATTCCTGAATGCTTGTGTTCAATCTTTTCCAAACAGAAATATGCCATAAAAATATGAATCTTTGCCGAAGAAGAGACAAGACGAGATAAGAGAAAGACCAGAACTCATAATATTCCAAGACTATCCTTGCCAACATGCCAGTAGTTGTGTGCTGTTCCACCTCACTCTGCTGCCATATTGTGAAAGAACATCCCTTCAAAAACAGTGAGATCATCCATAGACCTTTCTAGGAAATTGAAGAAAGACAAGAAAGAAATGTCAAATTATATTAAACCCAAACCAAGAATAGAAAGAAACACGACTGCCTTGCGATGACACACAAGTGTGTATTGTGCGTCTCTGGGCGAGGGATCTTAGTGTTTTAACCAGAACAACTACCGGAATGGTCCGAGCAGCACGTATGGAGAGTCGACTGAAGACCCTCGCCGCAGTTGTCTCGAGGTTGCGAAGTTGCCGAGACAAGTTTCGCAGGGGCATGCCAGAGAACATGGCAGCTCCTGAGGAACGTATATATGCGGGTGCCAGTAGTGACACCCAATGCAGGGACCTGCTTGCGCAGGCACCATAAAACGTGAATTTGAGGGCTTTTCGCAGAGTAATTATCTGCCAGAGCGATGCTTCTTCTTGTGCGTATGCATCTTCTTTGCCCAACTGGTGTTGACAGCCTCAGTGACGACCTCCCAATCCGAGCCCACTACACGACCAATGAAGAGCACCTTGACGTTGTGCTCAACAGTTGTGAGCTTCGCGTAGTTGACCCGAGACTCTTTCGAGATTCGTTCACCTTGCTCGTAGATATGCACACGAACGGGAGGGAATCCAAGACTGGGCTCGTTGGAGAGGGGAGTGGGATTCCGGTTACTGCTTTCGGCGACGATACCATGTTGTTCTGCCTTGACGCCAGACTTTTTACAGCCCTTCTTGCCATAGGTTGAAATTGGTCTGGAAAGTTAGCAAAAGCCCGTCAACTTGCAATCAAATGGTGGATCACTTACATGCAGGTGCAGTGCCCAAGGTCGTTTGCGACCACGATAAACCGGCGAAAGTGAACAAAGATTGGACCGCCGTATTGATCTCTATAGACTGTTTCCTCAACAATGCTACCACCTCCTGCGGGTTCAGGCCACAATACTTTGAAGACCTATCAGATAGTTAGTGTACTGAGAGCTTCGGCGCCAAGAATATGAATGTACCTCGCCCGGTTGAAACGCACTAGAAACTGCTACACAGTATCCTGAATTGAAGTTAGCCTTTGGTCGCCAAAATATGTCGAATAGATTAGCATACGTGGATCTAGCTTTTCTGCATCACCACCAGTGCCCACAATGTGCTCTGGATTGCCCGACGGTGCAACCGGTCCTGGCTCGTCCTCCTCCTCTTGAGCTACTATGTACACTGTTAGCAATGTGAAGTACAGTTCAGTGCGCAGATAACGTACCATAAGCTGGATATGTAGCCGCCGCCGACGCCTCGCCACCCCGATAAGGATCACGGGTATATTGTTTACTTTGAGCAATGGCCGCCTGCAGTTGTGGGTCATCTGCGTCCCCAGAGCCGTCAACGTATGACTGGCTAGGAGTAGGGTCTGCTATGATCGAATGAGTACTCGTATATATCCAGGTAAAATTGGCGGACCTTGCCTACCTTGTCCAGCTTGGGTATATGGATAGTACTGTTGGGTGTTCGGGTCCCAGTCTAGAGAATTTTGTGAGCCACGCCTGTGCCACCGGTACACCGAAGCCTCTGACAAACACTTACACATTTGTTCGGCCTGCGGAACGGCTGATCTATTTTGGGAATAGCGACTTTCGTAGCCTTGGTGATCTCGCTCATCAACTTCATCGATATCTTCGTGAGCGGGTCCCTTCCCTTTACCGCTGGAGGTTTTGGAGGGTTTCGATTTCGGCCTTGACGTTCTGTTCTTCCCCGACGAGGAACTGCCCGTTACGGCATATTCAACATCTAGAAGTATGTTAGTGGCCGTCTATAACTGACCATAAAGAAAGACATGATGGAGGTATGTTGAAAGGGGTGAGAGTCCAGACCAACGGCAAACGTACAATTCGGTTCCTCACTTTGTTCCGGGCTTTGTATGCTGGCTGCCCCAAACTGCTGGGTCATCTCGTCCATCCCTTCCGACCGAGGTACCTGGCTGCTCTGGGCAGCCTCATATTCGGACTGCCATTGGATTTGGGGAGTGCCTGCGTTCATCCAGTTAGTGTTCTGTCATCATCTAGCCAAGAAGTTGTTTGAATGGTACGAACCAGAAGAATCTACTCGCTGGCGGTAGTACTGCTGATATTCTTGACTAAGGATCCACTCGCTCCATCTTGATCTCTTCGTTTGTAACATAGACATAGTGGCATTTTGCGCATGCAAGCAATACTTCTAGATATCTGCACTTAATTGGGCGATTTGAAAGACCACGAGTCAATAAGTGACGAGATAAGGCGAAGATATAGTTGAAACAACAGTTGCGAGCCAAATTGAACCCGAAGATGAGACGATGGGGCGAATCCGTAGACAAAATTTTGATAACCAAAGGAATTTCAAGAAATATCTCAACCAATCAAGAAGCTATTGGAGGTTGATAACAATAGCTTGAGGTATTGCCTCGAAAGACCGAGGTCCTGTTGTCGTCTGAAACCTAGAGCTCTTGCTAAAGTCCAAGTGAAGGGATTCCCAATAGCTGAGAAGATGGTGGGTTGGGGGCTTTTGTAGAAATGAACAAGAGTTAAATGCCAGGCAGTGGAGCCGTAGATTGATAGGTGTGTTAGCTAGTAAGAGATGCGGCTCAGCTCTCTTTCGGGGTGCAGACAGAACAAGGGAGCTGCAACTGGGTTGCACGAGGATGAAGATCTGGGCTCTCAGTGGATTTCTTGGGGTGCGTTGGCGAAGATCGGGACTTGATGGGGATCGTTGTAGATAAAAGTACTCGAATTATTCGTGGGCAAAGTTGCTTTGTCTCGGACTGATCGCTTTACCGTCTGATCTGTGTCTGGGGAAAGTTGGCCAGTGCCTTGTAATGATTTGCGGCCTGTGGCGTATGTACGTTTGGGTACCTAAATCGGATTCTGGAGCTGGAACTAGGATTGTCGCTTCAGAGCTGCATGAAGGACGCCGGAGGTGTATCTCGTGCGCTTGTTGTGGTGGTCTTGATGGTGAACTAGGAGTCAGAGTAGTTGATGAAGGCGGGTTAGTCGAGGTGGTGGCACAACAGAAACAGCGGCATCTGCCCGCACCATATGCGATGATGACAGTGAGGGCTAGCAATAAGAACCGCGGTGTTATAGCTTGGCTGCAGAAGCTGTATCACTGCCTGGAGTAGATGGCGTGCAGCCTGGTCTCAATGAGAAATGCAATGGATTTGAGTCACCAAGTTTCGTTTCCCAGTTCCGTCAGCCTTGAAGGACGGAAAACAAGAGGTAAAACCGGAGGGCTCAGAGGGTGGACAACTGAGCGGCAACCGCAGCTTATCAGTCGCTTTTGTCTATGCAGTCCAGCATCTCTTAATGTCGCGCATCAGCCAGCGAGTAACAGAACGAGTCGAGTGGGGATGGATGCAACAAGTGGAGGAGGTGGACTCATGGAGGGGTTCTCGGAGGAGTCGAACTGCAAACTCGCATGACGAGACCTTAGCTAACTTCGGATGAGAATAGATAAAAAAGGCACTGTTCGGTAGGTAGGAAGGAGGCTCTCGAATGACCAGAGGCGTTTTTGTCTTGGAAAACCCCAGCTAAGACGCCATGTTATGGGCTCTTGCGAGCAGTGAATGATATGGGCATATCATATTGAATAGGCACCAAACGAACTGGAGATTGGAAAACACGCCCCTCCGCATAGTCCAGTACGGAAAAGACATGGGTAATATGCAGAGAGCCAAGAGCGTATTGGACCGAGTCGGGTATTGGAGGGGAGTGAGCGATTTTAGAAGGCGTCTATCGGGAATGACTGCAGGGTGTAGTTGTTGGTGTTGAGGTAGAGTTACAACGACGAGGCTCTAGCAGCGTTGGCTGTGGATAGAAAACAGCACAGTGCGTGTTTGAGCATCCACCAATGTGGGATCTCGGTGGCCTCAAAACCGTGGACTAAAACGTTAGTTTACGAGGCGCAACTTAAGTGCCCGTGGCCCGTTGACCGTTTTGTGGACTATATTAACATCCTATCACAATATGAGGTGGATTTCTGCATTTCTTTCTGTCGAAGGAGAAAACAAACATGCCAAGTTATCAAATCGCCAGACAGATCACAGACACACGCATGGACTACGTGGTAGTGGGCTGCGTCAACCGCCCCCATTTTGTCTGACAGAGACACTCGCGACATTGTCACTGGTGGACATTGCTGCATAAATCTAACAAGACTCATAGTTTCCCCTCCCACGCTCCGCTGTCACATTCTTATTTGGTCAATAGACATCATGAGGATAACAAGTGTTGTACTCACTCTGTCGCCTAATTGCCAATGGATAAATCAACAGCTTCCACATGCATTTCCCCTAAACTTAGGCGCTAGAGGTCGCTAACGTTTAGTGGCCGCTGCCCCCAGACACCGGAGCACTTCCCCTAAAACATGAACCTTGTTCCGACCCGTGGACGTGCAATCAGCCGCAAGATTGCTTTGTTGCCCTGGATTCGGTCACCAAATCAAAAAAGCCAACCCTTGCTTGCTTGCTGCATCGAGTCCATTTCCCCGTCATCTCCCTTTTCCTTCTCCCTTGCCTTGCTTCCATTGCTCTACTTTGCTCTACGTATCCTATCGACAGTGGCTCTCTCTCTCCAAACAAAAGAGCCTCAGCGGTCGACTCGGCATTGATCGTCTCGCTTCGTCTCATCTGGTAATGAGAGAAATGGACGAGCCGCCTCCTGTTCCCATGTGTCCAACTCTTTACCCTAGCTCTGTTGATCTTACGTACGTCGATGGATGCCGTAGCGTACGACAACCACAACCACTCGAGCTTCGGCCGAGCCCATCGGATTCCATATCACCATCACCACCATCCTCATATCTCTGCCTCACCCCTTCCTGTGCCTGTGCCTGGGGCCCATGGCAATCCCCGGTCCCAGCACCAGGTCGAGGTTGAGGTTGAGGGTGAAGGACGGTCTTTAACGCTCGACACTTTATCGGCCTATCCTCATGTCTCGACAAGCTTCCAGTCTGAAGTCGATACTGTATTTTCTAACAAGTATCAAACTACGTCTACTCAGGCAAGCACCACCAGCAAGCGCGACATGGACATATCAGGCCCACCTCCACCTTCTCATCCTCTACCGCCATGGAAAGGTGGCCATGATTCTCCTCCACATCCTCCACTACTACCGCCGCCTCCTTATCTTCGGCCTCCAGCCATCCCATCACAGTCATTACTGCACGCATCGAATCGACCCCCTTTGGATATACTCCCGCCTCCACCTCGACCTCCGCCTGGAAATGTTATCCTTCACACAAACTTACGGCCACCACCTGGCTACGGTCGTGACACGGCTCCACCTCCACAACGGCCCTCTCAGCAAATGACACCAGCACCTTCTTTTCGGACGACGATCAGTTCCGCACCTAATACTACCGGCGATGTACCGATCCAACATCAGACCCTAAACTTGAGGCCACCCAGAGGATTTACTGGCTTCGGATTACCGCACAATGCACATCAATCAGTTGACGAGAGTAGTTTGAGAAACCGCCTAGCTCCGGACGCACCCACTCAGCCTGGATTTGTTGATACGACCTCAACATCACAATCTTCGAATTATACCATCCCCCGACTAATTGACGATGTGGCATCCTTCTCTGACTCTTTTTCTGACGCGGACTCTCTCGTCCTTAGAGAGTCGCGGCAGTTCCCTCCTTTGTACCCAACTACATCAAACTTGAATATTCAAGGGGGGAATCGTAAAACGTCGATGACGAACCGTATAACTACATGGATATCGGGCTATGAGCGAGATCGTGCGCCAAAAGACCGCCCAGATCTGAGCACCAGCCTCGATCCTCTGTTTGAAACTGCCAGAGGTGACAGAAGTCATATGTCGAGAGATTCTGCCCCTTCCGAGGATACTCTGGAGCTGCTCTGGACCAAGCTCAAAGACCAGCGAGTGAAACTCAACGACATCAAGAGTCAAATGGCAAAGAAGAGAAAGCGATTGAGAGAATTGCGTCGAAAGAGAGACGATGCGGACAATGCGTTTATGAGTGTTGTTCGACCCATACTAGTGGCTCAAAATGGGTGGACAGGAACCGCGCCCGGGACTTTGGAACGACACCTGGCAGATTTACAGCGCTTGAGAACTGAATATCAGGCTTTCGAAAACGACTACGAAGACCTTGAGGTCACTCTTGATGAAGAAGAGGAAACCCTGAACAGACTAGAGATTCGCTTCTTCAGCATGCTCGCAGTAGGCCAAACCATTCCTCTTGAGCAGGCTCCCGAGGATGAATCCAAACACGAGGAAGATCAAAGCATACCCAATGATTTGATGGGTATCTCTCCAGATGGTCCACCCGAGGACCTTCATCCTCTATTCCGGGACCTTATGGAGTCAGTCGGCGACCTCGAGAACGCTAAGGAGGAGCTTGACGAGCTACTATTTCTTAAAGAGCAGCATGAGGGTGAACTTAAAATGAAGACTGCAGCAGGAATGGAGTTGAACGATGCCGAGATCGAGTTCTTCGAAGAATTCCCATTGGAAGAGGAACAGATGCGCAGCAGTGTCGCAGGCCTGGAGCGACAGGTAGCGGATCTTCGGAACCTTTGTGAGGAGAAAGGAGCAATGCAGAAACACTTATCATCACGGGTTTCTTATCTTCTCTATCCCGAGAAAGGCTATGAAGATATAGAGCTCGATGATGTCTCCGTGATTCTACGCAGTCGGTCGGATCTTGCTCACGGCACATTTCCTGTACTTCTAAGCCAACCTGAGCACGTCATGGCCGAAGACTTGCCTCTTACATCGCGTGGAGCACTCAAAGCAGCAGCAGCGTTGCCGACAAGTGACCCAGCAAAGCCAAACCTGATGCAACTCGCGTCAAAGGAGTACGCTATCGATCGGCTCATGCTCGATCATGGAGAGGGAGGGAAGGGAGACTTTATCAATCGTTGGCTGCTGCAGCAGCTACGCTTGTCATCGGTTAACGCACTACTTCTCCACACAACATTTACCAAAAGTCGGGCTCTCAAGATCCGCGACCTTGATCGTTGGCAAAGCGACGTACTACACTATTGGTGGAACGATGAGGTCGCAGAGCTGTCGGACGACATGGTGCAGCTTGTAACAAGTGAACATTCAAACGACGGGTCGATGTTTGGAACGAACTGTATCTCGAGGGCGGTAACCGACACTCCAGGTATGCCTGGTGGTAAGCAGAGTTATCTAACTTGGAGTAGCGTTTCGCACTCCGCTTTGGAATGAGCCTCGTGATATTATAACGCTACTGCAGTCAGTTGTTGTGTCTTGTTCTGTGTTTCTTTCTTGTCATTGCTGTCTTCTCTTTTCTATGTCTTCAAATCCTTTGACCTACAATCTGATGGTCCAGGATGACGGTTTGCTTCATCTTTTGGATAAAGAACAGAATGTACCAGGTCCAGTCTGGTGCAAAACAGGACTAGGCAGGGAGACCTAGGTCAGCACGGTAGTTGCAGTTTGTTCTTCCCGCCTCGATGTTGAGTTTGGTTTTGTCACTTTGGGATTGGCGTAAACGGTAGCGAGATCTCATATACCCCGTTCTTGTTCTGTATTGGCTCTGAGAAAGGAGGTAATGTTTGTGGATATACCCTTGAGATGCCTGGGAGGACGAACGGATGGGAATGGGCATATAGATTGGACGAGTTGGAAAATCTTTGTTAAAAGGTGAAAGCGATATTGGTTCTTTTGGTTAGCAGGCGAGTATTGAAATTCGAATGGTTGTTATTTTAAGCTTTGTTTTAATTATTCGATGTTCTGGGCAATGTATTGCTGCTCTTTGGGAGATATAAATAAAACTACTCTGTACGGAGAGCAGTGTTTTATTCGTACTGTAGTTTCCCCACCGCGAATGGTAGTTCCCGCAAACAACGGGTCCTAGTGATGCAACGGCGGTCCCCCAGAGGCCACGAGACGAGAGGGCTCGGGACGAGCCTCGCGGGGCCGGGGAGACCCACCGTTTAGGGACGGGGACTGCTTGTACCGATACTTGAGCGCCATCGAGCATGACCCCTCCCGGTTCGTTCGAGAGGGGGGAGTGTGCATCAAAACGGCCGAGATGAGGAGGCATGTGACTGAAGTGTTTGTGATTTTGCTTTCAACTTGGCAGGAGCGTCATTCTTGCACTATTTCATTTGCTTCTGTCGTGCCACTGAGGCAACGCCGCTTCTGCTTCTGTTTCTGCTTGTGTTCTTTGGGGTTTCAGTGTCCGAGCCTTGGTGAGGGTTCTTTTGCGCAAATTACAAACCCCAAACTGGCGCTGACTGTGCATAGTGGAGAGACCGCTGGTTGGTGGGGTCATTGGCTCCTGAGACAATACAGCATAAGTCTGCAGTAGCAGCAAAATAACAATCAATATGGCGTGCAAAAAAACAAAGATGACCAAGTGTTTTGACTAACACAGCATAGAGTTGGCCCTCCACCTTATCCTGTAAGGCTGGTGATGGGCAGCGGGAAGATGTGAGCGTGAGAGTGAGTGTGTGTGCGAAAGTGCACATTATGCGTGGAGGCAGGTATAAGAGTGACTCGTCACGCACGGCATTTGCATTGCAGAATATGAGGTTTACCAGGGCCTATAACAACCGAATGCTTATCTTTCATACCAAGAATAATTTTACCTAGGGGTAAATGCAGATACAACGAAAAGCAGTCGAATCCATCGGTTACTATCAAAACCTCCAGATCTTAGCTACACCATCCATTTCAGCATAGTACAATCATGAGTCAAGCCATCAAACCATAATATTGACATGCAAGACATAATGCCCCACGTTCTTCATCTAAACCCTTCAGAAGCCGCTTTCTACCGTGCATTACACCAAGCCATTCTTGTGGGGGGTCATCCCGTCGAACTGTGACCGACGTCATACAGCGCTTCAAAGGGTTGTCAGTACGATAATGCTCGGATACTCCGAGGTCAAAGAGGAGTACTCGTATGGAGAGTAGCCATGAGGCTCCAAGACACGGCTGGATGTCCTGAGTAAAAACGGGGACTTCACATCAAGTTAGTGATGGCATGCATATGGGGTCTTCATCAGGGTAAGATCAGCCCGGATCAAGATTCTCGACGAGTCGTGCCTATCAGGTTCAGGACATGTGTTGCATTGGTTCTTTTGGTCCCAAATCCGATACTATCTTGTTGTTGAGGCATTCACTAGCCTCGAAACGAGGCTCCTGCTTCCAACCTCCGAATGGTGCATCGAGGCTGGTAACAGCTCGTCAGTAGTATCTTTGATTTGCTTCCCTACATACTCGAAACGCCTTTGCAATACGTAATCAAGAGTTTGGGCCACTAGGTATATATCGTGAAGGCTATAGAGAGTTATACTGGCAGGAAGAGAATGAACGTTCCATCCAAGACTGACCAATCTGCTACACTCTGACAATACCAAAGGGTTAACCAAAACCACTGCATCAATGCGCCATGCTTTCCTCAGTCCTCTTCGAACAGTCGCTTCAATTCAGTGGGCGATTGATGAAGAAGAGGCTCTTCGTCAATCCAATCCAACACACTGGGTCTAGACCCGGAGTCGTCCTTCGTCTCGAGCTCATCCCTGGTTTTGAGCGTTTTGGGGCTCGCAATTGTCGAATCATAGTTGCCGGGGAGTTCCTGTTTGGCCCAGAACTTCCACTTGCTCTTTCTTCTCGGCTGAGTTGCCATCATAACGGTTGGCGTCTCTTCGTTCGGTTCGACTTTTTTGGGCTTGCCAATCTTGAGACCTTGGCTGAATCGTCGCCAGGTCACATTGCCAGTGTTCTTGTTCTCCTTCGCTGACTTGACGGCAACAAGCTTGTTCGCTGGTGGCTGAGGTACGAGGTCTGCTTCTAGTGGAAGCTCGGGGTGTTTGGAGCGTCTGCGATATCTTGAACTGCGTTTTTCGCTACGTTTATACGAATTTTGGCTATGGTAAGCACGTTGGCCACGGCGTCCATGATTCTTGTGATGATGCTGCCTCTGTTGATCACATGAACTCAAAGTAGCCTCATCTGAACTTCGAAGATCACGATGCTTTTTGAAACGATGGCGTATGGCTTCCTCGTGGATCGAAGGTGGCCTTGTAGCACCAGAAGACTCGCGAGTATGATAAGGAGAAATGGGAATAGGGGACCGGTTTGAGTAAGATGGTTCTCGGGAGTGGCCGGATGAGTAGGTGCTGGATGAGAGTGTAGAGTAGCTATAGAGACCAAGTGCGCCGGAGCTATCAGTAGGATACTTCGACGACATGGTTGTGGTTGTCTATGGGTGAGTAGGAAGGAGGTGATGAGAGTAAGAGAGTACGGCGATCGTCTTCTCCAAGAAAGGTGAGGGTGAGTGTCGGGATATTGTAGGTGAAGAGTGGTCTGATGTGGGAGGTTTGTTGAGTAAGTACCCTCAAATAGAAGGAAGTTTTTACATGGGTACCTTCCTTGCAAAGGCGGGAATCTAACAACAGTTCACAGCAGGAGTTAAGAGGCAACCTGGAACGTCAAAGCATTTATCGGTGAAAGGAGGGACCCGGCCGGATTATATCATTCTAAATCCGGGTAAGGTTTCGGTATAAAATATTTCGCGGTGAACCATTGCTTCCTTAGTATGTATCTCATCGCTTTAACCCTGAACATATAGAGCTCAGAATAGTTATGCCTGCCTTGTTAAGCACTAAACGTACTTATGAGGCAGGCTATGGATGCCCAGTTTCTGTACAAAATTGACCGATGGCCATGTATTTGTCACTGCCTTGTCTCCCATGGCCTCGCAACAACCCCGTTACGATAACACGCTTCTTCTTCAGGCATGCGAACCAAATAGACAGGCGTAGTCGGCTCCCACTGCCAATCCATACTAGCATCATCCTCCTCGGGCGTCCCAATATCAACAGCGAATTCCAGCATCTGGGTGTATAAGCTGCCAACCCTAGAGCAAATATCTTGAACATTAAAGGGAGCGCTTGTATTGTTGAATATGTTGTTATGAAGGGCGAGCATCGCTGTCCGGATAGTATTGCGATTTTGCCAATGCTGACCCCCATAGTGTTGAATGGAGTGATTCATTTCATGCGGTGAAGAATGATGACAGCTGAAACATTGCTGCATATTGGTCTGGTTGATATCATTCTCCTCAGATTGCTTGATTCGTTTGGACTTTCTTTTGGTCGTTCTTCCCTGTTTCGGCTGCTTTTCCTTATGTTCTTTGGCCATTGCGGTTAATCTGATATGGTATATCGTTTCATGAACTTGTGGCAGAACGTGTTGTGATGCTAAGAGGGAGATACTCAACAGTGATGACAGAAGCTAAGTTCACATTTTATGTCGATCAAATAGCTGTCTGATGGGTCATGCGTATCTCGGTGAATATTCATCGTAAAGGGGTACAAATGGAGAAAGAAACATCGAAAATTCCAGTATTGATGAATGGGGAGGCTACAACAGACGCTCCACGTTGAAAAGGAACAGGTCAGGCTTATACATACAGCCACACTGAGTTCAAACATAGATGTCATTTCTCTCATGTCTGCAAAATGTCGTTACGGACAAAGACAAGCTAGAATACTTTGCCTTTCAGACAATATCTATGTTGGGTGAAGGAACGCCTTGAGTGAGTTTCATCCTGCCCTAACCTATAGCCAAACAACATTGAATGGCAAGGGGTTTCTTTCAGGAGACATAGTGGCTGGTCTGTAAATCTGTAACTAATATAAATACATATGGTTCAAGATTATGCATCTGTGTATCTATTCTGATTGCCTTTGGCAAAGTAAAAGACGTATAGGAAGACATGGTTTGTTTCTTTGTGCTCGTCAGGCCGCCTAAACAACGGACCAAACCTGCATCATTCTGCAAACTTGCACATACTTTACTTTTGGTCGTTCTGTGCCTACAAACTAGCGCTTTGTACCTCTGACTATATTGTTCGACAAATATACTTCGTCGCGCTAACTCGTCTTTATCGTCGTACCTCCTGTTCTCTCCGTTCTTCTGTTGGAGTCACTGGTATCTCAGCCATCGGGACTCATCAAGATGGAGACATCAAAAACAAAATACGAATGGCATTCGAGACTTAACTTGTCCAATCCGGGCTCTATATCCGCTGTTGTACCCCCTTTGACGCGAAAGGCTGCAGAAAGTCAAACGGTGAAGACCCTGAAGGTGTCACAGGTCGATCAAAGACCAAGGCCGGTATGGGATACCGGTTCTTCTGACTGAAAGAAGAACATAACCGCGCAATTCCTATGGGGTAAACATGGACATGACATTTGAGGCAACACAATCTAGTCAGTCTGGAACTTTTGGCCATGTAAACTTCGGCGATGCCGTTCACTTGATCAGTTCTGTACGCCAGCAGATAAACTGCGGAATAAAGTGGATGGATCAGTGTAAATCAAACTCCCAAGGTCATCGAACTTAACTGTTATAGATCGATAAAGAAAAGCCCTTTAGATGCATTATGTCGCGAATCGACTTGTGAATATGACGACTAGAACATCAGTCACCATGCATACCATATTTCTTTCTAACTTTTAAGGGGAGGTGTCCGATGCAGGGAACACATTGAACGAGGCAGTGACACGGATAAACTAAATACGATGAAATCTGGATTAATCCTTGTAGTCCCTCGTGTGATGGGAGTTGTCCACGCCGACATGTGGCTACGTAGTATCCGTACTGAGTAAGAACAACCTTGCATGCATTCCTTAACAACGCGCGGTATCGATTCACTTTACGGATGCTTTTGAGCTTGATCCCTATTGTTTGTACAATGGGTCATGGCAGAGTGTATTCTTGCCCCCTGATAGGGCCCTGAAGAAACAGAGTTCGAAGGACAATCTCGCAACCCAGGATGTGTCTGGGGTTGCTGATGCAACATCACCATCAAACTCTAACTATACCAGGTGTCCTCTACAGGCTCTACTGAAGTTCCTGATCTCACAGCCCTTTATTCCGGAGATCTCTCAGACATCTTAGCAGCTGCGTCTAATGTCTAATCGAGAGATCTGTGAACAATTGACATGGTAGCGAAGGGAATGGAGAAAGGGGTAAATAAGTGGCAAGTTTTATGTTGCTAATCTTGAAACTGGGACTCTTGCGATTCGGCTTTGGCGCCGCTCACCTGAGGCGCGGCAAAAACAAGACTAGAGGATTCCTGTGCCTTATCAACGAGATGGCGAGCTTTCTACCTCCGTATTCATGGTTTGTACCGCGAAGGCCGAGAAACAAGGCTGTCGTTGGTGTAGAGATTTTAGCCGGGACAGGCTAGCTAAGAATGTACCTTATTATACCTTAACTTATTTCACTCTTAATTACAAGGCGTAGGTTGGTTTCTAGGCGCTAACTGCCCGCGTGGCTTGGGGAAACCAACGTTTCAAGACAAAGCTGCCGGTGCTTAATTATTGAGGAGACAAATGAAAGACAACTAATAGTTCATGCGTGGCCAAGAAAGCTTGAGACAATATATTGGAATTACCCCAGATTTTGCCGCCCCAGGAATCTGGAACCTGGGGAAGGGGAGCAGCTGGGAACTAGATTGTCGAACGAGTTACATTATAGATTATCTCCCTACCGTCACGTCAAGTGGGTAAAGAGCCGTGAAAATTTTCAAGAAAGAGGACGGTTGAGGGAAAATCTGGGGTCTCAGCTGTAAGCGATGGACAGGGATGCGCGACCAGCTGCGCCATGATAATGCGTCAGTAGAGGGCCCATGCGACACATTTGCAGCTTACAGGGTGCTGCAGAAGGATCGAATCCCAGTTCTGGAGTCTAGATTTAGGGATATAATTTTGGCTGGTATTTAGAAAACGTGGCATATAGCCTATACGGAGGCAGCCGCCAAAAGTTCTTACCTGCCAAGAAGAGATTAGTAACTACCCTTACAAGCCCTGACAGGGGTTAGGTATATAATTTATATAGGAAATTACTATATATAATTCTTTTCTTATTTTTTATTTCTTTTAAAATACTAATTAATATTATAACTTAAGCCTTAATAATAATATTAAAAATACCTACTAAGGTAATAAAAATAACTATTAAAATTAATTAAATAACTAGTATTTCTATTTATATAATAAATATTATATATATATAAGTAATATAATAAGGCTTTAAGCTAAATAAAAGACTATTATATTTATTTAATATATACCTTAAAGATATACCTTACTTAAGGTAACCTTTTATATATATAAAAAAGAATTATAATCTAGTTATTATTAAGGTTAATAAGGATTAATTTAGTAAGGAAAAGATTATTAATAATATTATTTAGGAAATTAATACTTAAGGTAATAAAATATTAACTATAATTATAAAGAAAATCCTTAAGGTAATTAAATTTAGGAAAATAAAGTTAATAAAAAAGCTTAGTTTAATATTAAAGATATATAAAGAATACCTTATTTAATATATTACTTACTATAATTAAATTATTAAAAATTAAAAAGTAATTATTTAATTAAATAAGATTTTTTTATTTTTTTATTACTATAAGGGCTATTATATTTAATAAAAAATAAATAAATAAGTTATTTATAATTATATTTATAAAAGGTAGAAAGGCTTTAATAAATTTATATTTTAAGATACCTTTTTCTATAATAAGAAAGGTCTTTATTATTATTAATCTTTAAAGACTATAAAAAAGAAAGTAATTATTAAAGAAGCTTTTAATACCTTTAATAAATAGCTTAAGTTAATAATAAAGGTATAATAAGAATTAAAAATAGGTATATAAAGATTAGGGCTTTATAACCTATTAGGTAAGAAACCTATATAAAGGTAAAAAAAAAAGATTAGTAAGTTAATAAAGAAAGGAAAAAAAGATATTATTTAATAATATTATTAATAAACTATTTTTCTTTTAAAGTTTTTTCTTTTTATAAAGAAATATATAAAAAAAAGAGTAAATATTATTATATAAAAAATAAAGCTTTTATATATAAATACTATATATAGTAAAAGGTATATAATTATTATAAGGTTTAATAGCTTTTTTAATATTTAAATTTACCTAATTTAAATATAATAAAGCCTATATAGCTATAAATAAAAAGATTAATAATAAAAAAAGGTACTCTAAAGAATAGAAATAAAGCTATTTATAAGTAAAAGGTAATTTAAAAGGAACTATTATAAGAGAAAATATAGATATAAATAAAAAGAATTCTAGTATATATCTATAAAATTATTAATATTAAAGAAGGGAATAAATATATTAAAGGTAAGGATATTCCCCTATAAAAATAACCTTTTTAGATCTAGCGGCACTATTTCCCTATTTTTGTAATTTTAATGTAGGTAAGAACTTTTAGCGGCTGCCTCCGTACAGAGGAGGATAACGTGATCCTTCAAGTTTAATACCTAGTCCGGTGGCGCTCTGGGAAGAAACAAGCAGACCGCCCCCTCATGCACTCGGCTGCAAACGATGTGACACGATACTGCAGTAGGCCTGACGGCTCGCATGGCATCAGTGAGCGATCGCTCCCCAGGATAGAAATGATGCTCGTCCGACACACGTGGTTAAGGAGCCGGCGCGTCGAGAAACACAACATTAACGGCAGAGGCGTCAGAGTCGAAACGAATGACTTGACTCGAGTGATTGGTATTGCTACGTACTGACTAGGACTAGCATAACAAAAACAAAGTGAGGCGAGTGTGGAAATAAGATAGTTGATGTTTGATGCATGCTCTGTCCGTAAATGCTCTCTAATTACTGCACGATTCACGTGGGCTCTCCTTGGCAACCCTACGGATAGCGTTCGCGTTGAGACTAGAAATCTGACAGCCAACTCGAGTTGAAATGCTAGTGGCTTGGCTATCGTCAGGCAAGAAGAAGTAGTAGACACTCATGAACGAGTCGCACTTGGCGGTCAAAGCGACGGTGTTGGACAAGACACATGCAAGACGCGACGAATCGATTGTGAGGTGCTCGGCATACGGCTCGTTAGCTGCAAGTTTGCATTGTGATGGGCGTGTTAGTGGGCGGTAGCTATTAGGGAAAAAAGAGGTCTGAGAGGCATGAACCCACATATCACGGCAATTAGTTACTCACGCTACTGAGTATTGACTGCTAAACACTACAAACATATTCGGTGCTTGTTAATACCGGACCCTTTCGACTGCATCTGCCTTTCTCCCCCCCATTTCCACTCTTGCTGCATGTATCTCGATATTTCTTTGTTTGCCCCAATATTACAGTAGATAGATGCCAAGCGTCGCCAGCAAAAAAGGACAAGCGTTCGGCCCCCCGAAGAAGCCAAGCCAGCCGCGGTAGCAAACCCCGCGTGCCAAGTCCAAAGAGGCCAACAAGCGACGGAAGCCCAGCATCCGTGAGGCATCTCAAAAGGGAGGAAAATCCGGGGGAGGGTCGTTGGCTGTTCTCCTAAGTTCTAGCCAAGCGGGCCGGGAACAGGAAAATTGAGGTGGATATCAGGATACAGCACCAACACCAAGAGAGAAGGAGAGCAGACTCTTAGCTCCAGCGAACGGACTTGTGCAATTGAAACAAATCCACTGACAGTGAAGATCATTGCCATGGATTCTATCTCTTTCGGAGTATTATTTGCAGGAGAGCGCCCAAAGGTCAGCTCTGATAGGAGATTTTAGTCCTCAACACTCGCGCATTGAACGGGGACTTGGGGCGGATGTTCAGGGGGTTCCCTCTAAAGACGCAGGCGCTCGTGCCATAGTGTTAGTGTGTTAGTGTGTTAGTGCTAGCTCTGGAGCTAGTGTAAGTGCGGCGAGCGTTGGACCGTCTCCTTCCAGAAGTGCCGTAGACAGCCCTGGCAATGGATCGTTCCTGAACTACGGGCGGTGGACGGTATCATCGCCCTCCTCTCGGAAATGGCTTGTATTATCATAACGCCAATAAAGAGAAGCAATCAGGCTACAGGAATTGGCATTGGAATTAGAGGAACTCCAGATTCAACTGCAGTTGGCCAATGGTGGGTTTGATTGTCACTCACCAGTTTCTCCACAAACTCTGCTCCACCCGCTATCGTCGATCTGGAGCCGCACGCCACCAATCTTGAACCATTCATTGTTCACAGTCTCCAAATCTACCTACATATGAACTTGGATTTGCACCTGGGATTGTGTTCCTCACATCCTGGAGATACAGATATGGCCCTTTCTTGTTATCTTACTAGAATTATCCAGAACCTTCAATGGCTTGCCTCGTCATGATCAGCGTTAATCCCCGGAAGATATCAAAAAAATGCGGCATCTCATCTGCGACCTCCAAACAATGCGATTGCTCATTCCTGTGGCTTACAGCCCGATAGCCTGCCAAGCCAACTCCTTGGCACCCTCTCACTCGTCCCTCTGTAATACCCGGAGTGCGTGGATTCGACACAAAGATGTTGTGCCCTCATCATACCTGTCCGGTTGAATAACGCCACAGATTGAAACCCTTGACCATTCTCCCGCTGTCATAGCTTCAGGAGGCGTTAGTCATACTTCCTGCCTTATGTGAAAGACTAACAGATGTCCGTGTCCAAGGGTCTCCATATTCAATCTATTCTAACCAACTGCTCTACCAACAGGAGCCCTCGCCAGTACATAATAGATTCCCCATCCGCTCCCCGGAACATGGAACAAGGGACCTCAACTCTGACTTGTCCTCCTTCAGCAGGACTTGCAGGGGATCCTCGTCCATTGCTTGCACTCATCTTTCTCACAACGTTCTAGCTCATGTGCCCTATGCTGATAGGTTCACATGCGCACATCCTCACACCTCACACCCCGGAGGCATAAGCATATGTCAGCGGAAATATCACCGTTGACTCTTGGCCTCGTCCCTCTTGTGCACTCAATTCCTTTCTCCCGGGTGTCTTGACCTGGTTAGACTGATTTGCTTATATCTTAATTCTTAGCCTTTCCCCTCGCCCCCGCGATCATCATCAATCAATCTGCTTCTCCTTGTTCTAAACATGCAAGCGATATTGATCTGCGGCACTTGTCTTTAAAACCCCAATCACCCAATTTGATCCTTGGCAACACCTTTTCCCTGGTCCCTCTGTATCATCTTTCACTCTCGACTTATATCTATAGCATTGGCACCTACGTATCACCGGGCTCGACTTCGACATTACATACACCCAACGTTCCTTCTATATCTTGATCGAGGTCTACATTGCTTACCACCAACAAAAGGACATACACTATACAACTACATCATTCTTCCGGGATCCATCTCATCACTCCCAACAAGAAAATATTAAATAGAAGAATTGGGAATGATATAAGCACGATAAATCGAACACCAATCTTCAAACCACACATCGACGACAAGGTCGAACCGACGCCGCCTATCTCTACGCTACCGTCACTCAAGACACCTCACGTCAAGTCTCTCAATTCTTGGAGCCTTGAGTATGGCATCAGCAGAACACATGACGAAATCACAACTAGACGCCTTGAGCGTCATCGAGCGGACATGCTCCGTATTCTCATTACTCGGCTCACTTTTTATTATTGGCACATTTTTATCATCGAAAGCTTTCCATAAACCAATCAATCGTCTAGTCTTTTACGCTTCTTTCGGCAACATGATGACCAACGTCGGGACATTAATGTCGAGATCATATACAGGCTCCCCAAATTCCGTGGGCTGTCAATTTCAGGCCTTCCTCATCCAGATGTAGGTTCACTTACACCATAACGAAGCTATCGGACACTAATATGCATCAGGTTCATGCCTGCCGACGCCTTCTGGACTCTCTCCATGGCCATTAACGTCTACCTAACATTCTACTGCAAGTTTGATGCTCGAAAGTTACGGAAGATGGAGATTCCTTATCTGATCGGCTGTTACGGTGTTCCTTTCGTCCCCGCCTTCATTTACATCTTTATCAAAAATAAGGAGGGACAACGAATCTATGGAAACGCCACACTTTGGTGCTGGGTTAGCCCAGAATGGGATATCTGGCGCATCATCACTTTCTACGGCCCTGTTTGGTAGGTAATTTTCTCGTTTGCTGTCTTAATGGTCGCTAACCTTACAGGCTTGTTATTCTTATCACCTTCTTCATCTATATCCGCGCCGGCAGCACGATCTACCGCAAGCGAAGAGAACTTGACGATTTCAGCTCAACGGATCGGGATCTTACTTATGGCGGTGGAGATCATATCGGTACTATCAAGACGACTGAAGTCTCGGTGACGACAGAGATCCTGTCCCCAGATGCCATCCATCTGCAGTCTATGAGCCGTCAGGCGCCAGACCCCAGCAACCCCAGCTCTAATGGGGTCTACTCAGTTCACATCACAGCCCAAACCAGTTCTGGAGATATCGAAGATGAAGTGATTCCTATCGAACAACAACAAACACGAGCCAGCATCCAGGTCCCCTCACAGCAGCAACAGCGTTCTGTGGTCAATCCGGCTCGAAGACGGAACCGTGAGCTGAACAACGCAGCATGGCAATACACCAAGTGCGCCCTACTCTTCTTCACAGCTATTCTGATTACATGGGTCCCGTCAAGCTCCAACCGTGTTTACTCAGTTTTTCACCCCCAGAGCTCGTCCCGAGCTCTCGAGTTTATGAGTGCTTTTGTGCTTCCTCTTCAGGGCTTTTGGAACGCACTTATCTACATGGTCACATCCTGGAGTGCGTGCAAGAGTCTAATGAGCGATTTGCGCACAGGACGACGTCCGGATGTGACAGAACTTGTTGGTGGCATGGCGCCAGGTGTTGGTGCCAACCACTTGAGGACAGCAACCAACCATCGCCACAACCTTGGTCAGTTCCGACGATCGAATAAGTTTGAGACAGAAAGCATGACTGAATTGGCCAACGAGAGCCGACCAACATCGGACGACGAGCGACGAGATCATGTGCATGTATAACAATAGTAAAGAGCGTCATTGGACACCATGCTGCAAATGCTCTTTCTTTCTTTCTTTTGTTGGTTTTATATTACGAAGACACGACAGTCGGCCAAGGCGTGCTCCAGGTAACAGAGGGAGATTGGCAGTTGTCAGGGTGGATGGAAGGTAATGGATACCCTAGCTTTGTTTCAAACAGTGTTTATAGTATTTGAATGATGAATTGAGTCTTTGATTATCAGAACATGAGTTGTAGAGTGCGCGTTGGTGTAAGAGTTATGCTTGCATGAGATCCCACGATATTCCAGTTGGTATCATCTTTATTCGATGATCATTCAATGTTGATAGATACCTGCCGGCTTTAAGAGTTTGACATGTTGCTTGGATGTTCCATTTTTCTTTTTATCATTGCGATACATTGACGTCGTGCACAAAAGAAGCACCTATTTTCTTCTGCTGTTGGGCGCCACGCAAGAAATCCGTGTACCGAGCCGTTAGCGCGAAAATCCTAATTACTATAAGAGATAGATAGCTATGTTAGCTAACGGCTGTCCCCGACATATGTCAAAGTCTTATGAATATGAGGCAAATCCCATTGGAGATTTGTTGTTGGTTATTTCGACCACACGGCAGACACGTGGCTTTCTTCAACGATGGAGCGCGCGGAAAGATAGTACCGGGACGTTGGAAAGACTATTCTTGACTTCAATGGTGTTTGTGTCTATGCTCCTGGAGGGGGGTGCTTCCTTTCGTCCGAAGCAAGCGACGACAGATCCCAGAACGCCTTTGCGTGACGGGTTGAAGAATCCGGGGTCAAACGGCTGGCGTCAAGGATGTGAAACCGAATCCATGTCCTTGATATTTGCAGTGGCTTGACTATAATGTGTTTGTCGTCTGATCTTAGCTGGGCAATATGTGTTGACGATTCTTGGCGGAGTTGCATCGTATGATGTGACTGAAAGGATCAAGGGTAGAGAGAAATGCGGGGAAAGACGGTTTCAAGAACATTTTGTGCGTTGGGTGAAAGTCATCTTTTATGGGGAGGTTGAAGCCATCACCAGACTTTCCTGTTTATGGTGCTAGGAAAGTTGTTGGTGTTTAGCGAAAAAGCGGCAAACCATCTACATGCCACCATTCAATGTAGCGACTCTGACTACCTAACTATGTGGTTGCAAACTTCATTAAGAGTATTGAAATGAAAAATGTATCATGTTTCTGTACGACTCAATGTGATCTCATCTTTATCCTCAGTTTTCTGATCTAGTACTTTATGTCAGTGAGTGTATTCCATACTCAATTTTGTGATTCGATTTCTTACGATAAATCGCAAACATACAGGACTAATAGAATTTCAATCGAATGTGATGGGGGCAAGTCGCTCTAAGTACACGAATGCCTTACCGAATGCCTTGGCAATGCTTCAACAGGCCTCCCAGGTTTTAGAGTGTCGTTTCTATTAAACCTATAAGGCAGACTTCGTTCATATTACACAATTGCGCCTTCATCTGACTGCCAATTTTGAGGCTGTGCGTGCGTATTTGATTGGTTCGCCCAAGCGTCATGAGAGCCTGACTTCAAGCCTACAATCCCTTAGCTGAAACCTAACCTAACTCTTTCATCTCGAGTGCGCTAGTCCGTCGTTGACTATCACTATTCGTTTTAATCATTAGTACAATCTTGAGAAAAGACCTCCATACTCTTTGTCACTTGCAATGGAGGTTCTTGGTGCTGTAGCCAGCTCCATCGCTGTGATCCAGGCGCTGGCGGCTGGAAAGCATGTCGTCAGCCTGACCCGAGAAATGCCAGATATCCAGAAGGATTTCGAATATATGATGAAAGAAGTCTGTTCCCTGACTTTGTTTTAGTCCCAAACTAACACATGCTCTTTAGCTGGGCCTGATTCGATCCATGGTGCAAGCTGTCAGAAGCATGTCTCCTACAGATTTTGAGCAAGACTTGATCGACAACGCATGTGGTAATCTCGAAGAAGTTACCAAGCAGCTTGAGGCATTGCTACGAAAGTGTGCTTACGAGACCGAACAAGGCGACAAGAAAGTATGGAAGATAAAGAAGAGAAAATGGCTCCTTGATAGGAGTGATATCCAAAAGCTTCAACAAAGAATAGGCCAGGCCAAAGAGACTCTGCATTTCGCTGTCACATCCTCGCAAACATCGCTCAATTCACAGTGAGTGAAAGCCACGTCGAAGCCTGTGATTTACGTCTAACACAATAACAGACTCTACACCGAAGTGCGCCAGATGCATACGAAGCTTTATATGATGAATATGCAGATATGCTCAACCACTGAAGGTCTACAGGCGGGCCAGTCGTCAGGCCAGCCTTTCAACAGTCCAGTTCTTAGTGATCCGCAGATTCCAGTGCTACAAAACGAATCAGTCCGACTACGGGCGGTAGTGCCTTTCGCTCAAACTGCGCAAACCGCATCATGTAAATGCCGCTGTCACTTCTCTCAGAGCCTGTACAGAAACTCTGGCTGGACGCAGTCAGTCCTCGGTTCTTGGCTCGTACGTTGTAAAGGGATGCCTAAACAGGAATGTTCAGACCCGACTTGTCTGTGCATAGGCTCAACAAGCTTGAAACTGGAATACCAAGTTCCAAAGTGGCTTCTCCTCAAAACATACAGAGTCTTTGCGTTGTACAGCAGTATTACTGGGATAAGTTGCTCCCTGCGTCCGGTCAGATTTCTCCCTTCCGACTCCGTAGTTTGGCCGGTCCTAAGGAGGTCCCGTCAAGCTGTGCAAAAAGCTGTAGTTACATATGGGATCCATCCTCACGACGCAGATATCTTAGGCGAAGGGGTTCTAGAGGTTTGTAGCAACATCCGACAAGTCTGGCTTTTCTGATCGGTCTTTTTTGTGTAGTATTCTATTAGACATGAATTATATTCTTCTGTCGAATTCCTTCTCGACATGTGGAAAAACATTTTGGCTGAGTCAGGACTTCCCAGGTATGTAACTGATGCTATCTTGTATAGAACCAGCATCTAAAAAAGAAAATTCAGACGGGTTGCAGCTAGAGCGAGTTACCTACTCCTACATATCAATCTCGACGCCCATCAGACGTACCTAATTCAAAGAGTCCTAAGCTATGCCAGAGACGATTCTGAAGGTGTGACGACGAAAGTTCATGCGGCGATTAAGCAACGGGCAGGTCTAGACGAAGCACTACGGGAGCAACCTTGGGCTATCAACACAGTCGACGAGAGTGGGTTATCTTCCCTTCAACTTGCAATTCTTGAAGGCCAAGTCCCTGATATGGAAGTACTAATTTCTGCGGGCGCCAACGTTGAACAACAAATGTACGATGGAATGTCAGCCCTGAGGCTGGCAGCTCGTTTAGGAAATCCCGAAGCTGTAATGGTTTTACTCAAGGCGAAATGCAGTGTGAACTTGGCCGATCTAGAGAGAGAAACAGCATTATACTCTGCTTTGGCTGGCGGCAATGCGGAAGTGATACGCCTCTTGCTGATGGCAGGTGCATCCGCAACGCACCGTACTGCTCGGGACATAACACCGCTGCATCGTCTCAGCAAGTATATGAAAGCGGATTTAGATGTCATAAAGTCAACCATTGGCATGCTTGCCATGGCAGGTGCTGACCTGGAGGCAAAAGACGATATTGGAAATACGCCAATCGCATATGCAATAATATGGAACAACGTTGGAGCTGCGAAGTGTTTGGTAGAAGCGGGCTCTTCCCTCTCCTTTTATAGCTCCTACTCCCAAAACTTGCTACACTACGCGTCTGCTTTTGCTTCGTTGGATATGCTCAAATGTCTTTGCGGATTGGAGCCATCTGATATAAGTCCCTACCAGAAAGACCACTGGGGTTTCACGCCTTGGGATTTGTTTATCTACCTACATGTCGCAGACGAACGGAACCTTCAAGGGCGTTGGAACCTTGAAGGGCGTCATGAACCAACTCCTGCTGAGCAAATGGCCTACGTCGAGCTCTTCCAAGGTGTCAGAGATAGATATTTACAGCACGATATCTGCATCTTGGAACGTATTCTCTCTGCGATGAGAAAACAAGACGTCACTGCGGCGCGAGAAGGCCTAGCATTGCTGATTGGAAGAGAGACAAACTGGGGATGTCACGATCGCGCTTCATGGTATCGAGCTGTTGACAAGCGTGTACAGCATATGGAGTGGGATTTGGCTATGGAGGATGTGGAAGACTTTCTCGTGGATATGAAAAAGGAACTAGACACACTTGTTTGGAAATTTCCGTCATTCTGGGGTGCCTACTTATGGGGGGAAGACGATAAGGATTGGATCACTGAGGAGGAATCGGTAGAATCTGACTGGTCAAGTGAGGGAGATATGACGGAAGACGAAGTTCCAGCAGCGCAGGATCAAGATGGGTAACGGATGAAGTACTGAGATCGACTAACCTTGGTAAAGATATGTGTGATACCCAGGCTCCAATTCTCCATCACATATTATGGAGAAATAGAGGACAAGACTGATACCTGACGGATCAGAGGTAGTATGTTAGCAAATGATGAATAATGAATGTACAATATGTTATAATTGACAAGATTTCAACAGGCGTCAACTCGTACAGTTCAGTCACTCCATCACGTCCCCTCATGATATAACTTCAAAAGAATACAAATGCTTTTATCCTCAAGCCAAAGCCTTACATGCAAGATCAAGTGCCTATCCTTGCCATCTTATCCCGATCCACCTAGAAAGGGATATCTTTCTCTGAAAGAAGCCATGGGTTCTTCTCCCCTTTTCTCTAATCCAGCGACGTAAGAAAGAAGAAACCGAAGCGCAAAAGCACAAACCAGCCACCCTCTTGTGTCTAGATATCTCTCTCCTCTAGATTCTAGGTCTTCCAAGATCTAAAGTTCCTCCTCTACCTCGTCTGTCGTGTCATCTTGCTTGATCCCCTCTATCATGTGGTAATCCCAAACCGTGCCAAGCTGGACACACTCGTTGACGCAGCCATCGTCCTCCCACCACCATTTGTCCCCAGTGACGAATCCGCCCCAGACCTCCATCCATAGCAGACGGCCGATGATGCTCCTGACTTCGGCTTTTACCTCACGTTCGGAATGCCCGCGGTCAATGAATGGATCGTCGTCGTCGGCTTGACTGCGGATGCTTGCTGAAACAGCGTAGAACTTGGATGTTGTGAGGGTACTGCCTTGGCCGCGCAGAGCAGCATCGCCCATCCAGTCAGGAAACAGCTTTCTTGGGTTGGTGCATCTGAAATGTCGCTCTAGATTTATGAGAAGGTTCTCTTCGAGCCATGTTCGCATCCTGTGCCCGAGTGTTCCTGCGCATGGTAACGGGTCGATGAGAGTGAGCTGCAGGGAACCACCGACTCGCAGACACTTGCTAATGCTCTTGAGTACCCCTGGGATATCTGGCGATGGGCACACTGCAGGTATCGAGAGGGAAAACACGGTTTCGAAAATATGATGTTCGAGTGAGGACGCTGTGGTCATTGGCGGTACAAGCACGGGTTGGATGTTCGAAAACTGTGCGTCTGAGGGAGACTCAGATGATACATGGTACACCTTCTTGGTTGGGTGTAGAGCTGCAAGGTAAGATGCCGTCACTGGAGCCGTTAGCATCATAGCACGCCAATGCTATTTTGGAATCCCTACCATGAGGTTCGTAGAGTGCCAGAACCTTAACGCTGGTAGCCTCATCCATAACACCAGAGACATCTGCGGTACTACCTGTTGGCTCAATATCCAGATGGCTCAGAATAGACAACATCCATCGCTTCAGCTCCATGTTCAATTCTGCGTGGAGGCTTTCGTCTGTGACACTCCAGATCTGCTTGATGCGCGTGAGAATCATAATAGGGCTTGCCGTTGCCATGAGCTTCACTTGATCCTTCAGCTTCTCAAAGTCTGTATCAAGGGGCTGGACTTGGTCGTCTGTTTGCGGCACCATCTCAACGTCTTCCTCAATCTTGGACATCTCCTCTTCTGCTTGTCGGTCGATGTACTCCCACTCCTCAGGTGGGCGCCACGAGTCGGGATCGTTGGGGCGAAATTTGATTATCACTGGTTCCTTTGACTGTTTGGGGAGCCTGATACTGGGAACAAGACTGCAGGGTGAGTCGGTCTGGAGTAGCGGAGCTGGGAAGTTTCTATAAAAGATCAGTGACCTTGTCGTTCGCCATGTTCTGGCAGCCTACCTATCACCCAATGAGCCTGCGGGGGTAGTAGGTGGATCTGTATCAGCCTCAGATGAGATGCGCATGTCAATTGACATGTCTGGGTTATCCACGTCAGGTCTTGTGGAGATTTGCGACACTTCATGGTGCTTAATCGTGAAGGTAACAGACCCAGATGATGGACAAACTTGGGAGGCATCAGCAGAAGCATTAGTAGAAGCCGGCGTGACTCCTCTCTGTGCTCTTGCAGCTCCAATAGAAACATCGGAAAGGTTTGCCATGAGCGCCGAGCGGTGATAGCTGCCTGAGTTGGAACGAGAAGAGTGTTGGCTTGGAGTAAGGAGTCCCGAAGGAGCCTTGTCTCTGTTCTTTGTCTGTTTGCCATTTCGAGGCCGAAGGAATTTGAAGCGAGATTCTGCTGATGATCGAGTACTTGTCACCGAAGTAGAGCGTGTCATGATCGAGTTTTCCTGCTCTCTTTCTTTCTCCCTGTTCTTCAGTTCGCGTTTCTTTTCCTTTCTGGCGCGATGCTCGCCGACAAGTTCCCGGTCGGGGTCGGTCCAGATAACATCAAACATTGCGTTTGAGTCAGTGCTGGTAACTTGTTTGACTTGATGTATGCTTGGAAGTATGGGCGAGTAAGTGTCTGGTCGTGATTGTTGTGGAGTCTAGGGTGAAGCTGGTTGGTGGCGTAGGCAATGCGAGCGAGTGAGGGTATCTCGAGTTCGTATTCTAGGTATTAAGGTGAATTTTAGAGTATAGTGTGTGCTTAGAAGCATGCAACGGCTTCAAAAATGATTCAAGGCAAAATTTGAATCTCGTCTTCTACGACTTGTGAGCAGGTGGGCGTTGAGGATGGGGGTTGGTTGTGGGAGAGATGCAAGATGAGGCGAGAAGCTGAGTTGTTAGGGAGAATAGAAAGAGGAGGGGAAAGTACTGAAGGCTCCCAAAGAGCTTCAGCCTCAGGAATTCGAGAGTGAAATTGCCAGTGTGGGCGCCAGAAACGGTGATGGGAACAGTATAGGCTGCTGAGCACCGGCGTGGCAGTGTCAGCGTCAGTGTCAGCTAGGTGCACGAAGTTGACTAATGATAGTGCCAAACGACTCGGCAAATAGTCAAGTAATGTATAATAGTGAATAATGATTTGAATTTTAGGATTATTCGGTGCCAATGGCACTTCTTTTAAGCCCAAATCGCCGTTTGCTAGGCATGACTAGATGAAATACAAGTGGGCGATTAAGTGTCGAGATGATGAGATTAACCGTTGACTATGTCACTGATTCACTGACACTAAACAAATAACTTGATGTAGTCAGGCTTTAGTCATGATGAATCCCCCTGGTTGACGTAAGACAACATAGGTCCAGACGAGTTGATATATGCGGGCAAGGGTGAGATGTGATTGAGGCCTTCACCAATGCAAGTATCTGTAAGTCGGAGATTTCAACTTGATTCCTTGGTGGAGTTGGCTATTACAAGCATCACCTCGATTCGATGTATTGCTTTCTCTTTTTGAGTTGCATTCGGTTATTCGGGCTGAGTCTGCTGGTTTCGTTGTAAATACCACCTGACCATCCATCTACCTCAGTGTAAGTTGGTTGAGACAGACACACATTTGGGTGCAACTTGAGCGATCTAGATACCACAAGGGCATTCACGATAATTCTCTACAAACTTAGCGACAATATGTACATATACGAGGCTTGACAAAAGCCTTGAATTGCGTTCCTTGCCATCAAACAGCAGATCCAAGTCCATATCACCTTTATCAACCAGCAACAGCGATCTCGACCTTCTTTTCACATCAAGACATCCCCCAGCAGGAACAGGTTCATTTCGGCTTCAGACATATCGGACATTGTACCACGTGTGTGATAACCAACCACGTCCATCGCCACCATTCATACCCGACGCCGCCTCGCTTCATCAACGTCGGCGGGCTGCATACGGTGTGACGAACGCTGGGCTTGTGCGACTTGGAACCCATGTTCTCAGAAGTTGGTACTAGGGGTTTGAGGGATCGAGAAGAGGGTCTTTGTGGGGGATGATCTCATTGTAGAGTGTGTTGTAAGCGTTCAGGGGTAATATATTATTGTTCTGTAGTGTGGACAAGACGACACGGATCTGTAGGTATGTCTGAGTACCTATCAGTTCTACAAGTAGCATATTATTATCTGAAGACCTTAATTCCTCAATCAAGTGGAATATACATGACCTCAAGTATACTTTTGATATTTAGCACTGTTTGTCCCATTCAAACGCGCCTCAGTAGCTATAAAATGCCGTTTAGCTGGTGTTTATTTAGCTGTCACTCAAACGTATATTATCCTCAACATCACATACAGACAAACGGCCTTTTTCCAGGGGTGATTTCGAGGCTCTGCAAAACAGGAGAACGATCATTACACAGACACGCCGCAGAAACGATGCCCTCCCTCTTTAAGCAAAGCAAACACTCAACTTGCGATACATACAAGTACAGAAACTCCCCACAGCCCTACAAACTTGCTCCCTTTTTCTTCTTCTGCTGGTAGTATGCTTATGTCGTGCTTGTGCGTGTGCATCTTGCGCAACTCGCAACTCGGACTCGAAGATCGAGTCTTGTGATGCATAACGATAACGATACCAATACCAACGATTCGGTAACTGATTTGACGAGAACAGGTCTCTTTAGCGGTTTATCTAAGCATATTCGAGGTCTGATCTGTTCTTATGGTGGACTCGGGCTTGACAGGTATTGGCAGTGTCAGTGTCAGTGCCAAATAGCTGCCCGGTTGTTTTCCACTCGAGCTGCTTTGATAGACGGCCACCCACTCACTCACTTATTTGGGCACTCAAATAAACAAGAGAGAGACCTTCTCCCTCTCTATTTTCAGTCATTTCTCTCTCTTGCTTCATGCCGCTCACACTTAATCTAATCTAATTTTCGGATTCTTGGGCACCACCGCAAGACAGGATCTCTTTCTTCATCTCGTCTGGTGTCACCTCTTCCTCTTCACAGGCGTTATTGGCGTCACTATCAACCCAAAAGGCAGCCCAGACGCAGCCTCTCCTTTTCTCATTCTTCTTTTTCTTCCTCTCACATTCATTCTCTTTAGCAAACCCCTCCACTCTTTTTCTCTTCCGCTTTCTTCTCGCTTCTACTTCGACTCCTTCGCTGCGCTCCAAAACTCTTCGTCAGCGCAAACTGGTACCATATAGCAGCTTGCGCATTCTCCCTCGTCACCTTGACGATGGCCTCCTCGCCGCCGCCTGCGCATGGCATGATGCCCTCCCACGATGACAGTTCTGTCGTTGAAGCTGAAGCCACTCGCTCTCGGTTCTGCGGTGTTCGCGACTTTCTGGATAATGTTGACGCCTATGTCACCACATCGCGCCTCGGATACTTCTTTCACCTCTCTGGTAGCGGCCATGTAAAGAATACCCCCCCTTGATCTGTTCTGTTCTATCCCAAACTGATCAACTCGCCAGCCTGACGCGATTACCGGTTCGACCTTTTTTCGTGAAATGCGCGCAGGTATCACTACCTTTGCAACTATGGCATACATCATCGCCGTCAACGTATACTCCTCCTTGTCCTCTCGCTGTGGAACTGACTGACACCAATATTCCATCTAGGCTTCTCTGCTCTCGATGACTGGGGGTACTTGTGTCTGTAACTTGGAGGATCGACACGAGTGCGACAAGATCGATTCGTACATGTCTTGCAAAGAAGGCAAGTCAGCATCCAGCTCGCCATAACCACCACCATCACGAAACAGAGACTGACTTGGCACATAGATATTCGACGAGATCTCGTCACTGCCACAGCTGCCGTCTCTGGCATGTCCAGCTTCATGTTCGGTCTTCTCACAAACCTCCCTGTCGCCATCGCGTAAATCACCCTCGTTCTCTTCTATGGGGTACTGAAGAAGTGCTAACCCTCCTGCAGTCCTGGTATGGGCCTCAACGCTTACTTCACCTTCCAAGTCGTCGGTTACAACGGAGATGGCCCCATTTCGTACCGCCTCGCCCTCACGGCCGTTTTTGTCGAAGGTATCGTCTTTATCATCCTTGCTCTTACAGGTATGCGCCAGTGGCTAGTCAAACTTATCCCAGCAACCATCAAGACTGCCACGGGTGTTGGTATCGGTTTCTTCCTCACTGAGATTGGTCTGTCTTACTCCGCGGGCATTGGCGCTATCACTCCTGGAAAATCTACGCCTCTTGCACTTGGAGGCTGCCCTCAAGAGATGCTTAATGAGGCGGGTTTCTGTGTTGAGGGACAGATGTCGAGCCCCAAGGTGAGTTATCCAAACACCTTCGTCGAATGATGTGCACTAATAAAAGCAGTTGTGGATTGCTGTGTTTTGTGGCGGCATTCTCACAGCCTTCCTCATGGCTTTCCGCATCAAGTATGCCCTCATCATTGGTATCGCCCTTGTTTCTGTCCTGTCTTGGCCGTATGTCCGTCTGTTTCCCTTCAGCTCTCATCGTCTTCTAATAACCACACAGCCGCAACACCCCTTTCACTTATTTCCCATACACCGACGAGGGAGATCGCCGCTTCGACTTCTTCAAGCAAGTCGTCGTTTGGCATCCGATCGAAAGAACACTTAACGAACTCGACTGGTCCTTTGGCGGGTCAGCCTCTCAGTTTGCCCTCGCGCTCTTTACCTTTCTCTATGTCGACATCATCGACGCCACTGCCACTCTCTACTCCATGGTTCGTTTCTGTGGTGTTGTAAACCCCCGGGACGGTGATTTTCCGCGCTCAACTCTCGCATACTGCACTGATGCCGCATTTATTTCCATCGGCGCTTTGTTTGGAACTTCCCCTGTTACGGCCTTCATCGAAAGCGGTGCTGGTATAGCTGAGGGTGGAAGAACTGGTTTGACTGCGATGGCTACTGGGTTGTGCTTCATTGCTGCCGTGTTCTTTGCGCCCATCTTTGCATCTGTCCCACCTTGGGCAACTGGTTGCACACTGGTTCTGGTAAGTTTCACCGCCATTCCTCTGGGTTCACTGTGTTCGGGTCTTGTCTAATGGTATCTGTAGGTCGGCTGCATGATGATCCGCCAAATCACTCAGATTAACTGGCGGTACATAGGCGACATCCTCCCCTCTTTCGTTGTCATGACTTTCATTCCCTTCAGCTACAGCGTAGCCTACGGTCTCATCGCGTAAGTCTCCCTCTCTCATACCGCATTATTTCTACTAATGGTTTAAAAGTGGTGTTTTCGTTTATGCCGTTCTGAACGGTCTTATCGGCCTTGTTGTGTTTGTTTCTCGCGGCTATATCGAGCCTCGTGAGTATGATCTCAAGGAGTACTGGACCTGGAGGGGCTCTGGCCGCGCGCCCTGGTTTGTCCGTGCCATCCGCCGCCGCCGAAACACCGACAATAGCGATGATGGTGATGAGGACGGTCACGCGGGCGGCTCTGATGTGGCAATGAGAGACCTCGACTATGGTGACCATCGTGACCACAGCAGCTCTACGACTGGTGCATCCACTGGCAAGGACGAGCACCCCGTGTCTCCTCCCCCTGGACGATGGGGACGGTGATTGAACGTGACCACCACTTTTTCATCATACTTTCCATTTTCTATATCGGTCGGTTTAAGGGGGGCGGCGCCTCATTTTGGGAATGTGAGACGAAAAGGGGTTTGCTTCTGGATGATAACTGTCGAGAGTTTGACATTGGCACCCTCAGGATACAACACTGATCCAGCTCTGTTATCAATGAGATCAGGAAGTGCAAATGGAGGAGACAGACTGCATACACGGGGGGGGGGGGGGGGGGGGGGGGGGGGGTTTAGATACCGAGATGTTAGATGTCATGTAGTAACGAACTCAATGAGTTATGATAATCCTGTATCGTATCCATGCAAGTGAGCGTAGCACACTGTTGGTGCAAGAGACTTTGTCTCATTCGTAGGAAGCTCTATCTATAGACGTGAGCCATCGGCATTGTAGTACTAGTATTATATAACCTCTGTATATAACACCCAGTCTCTAACTTTGGTATCTCTATTCCCAACCAATAGACACATTCAGCATTGATTTCAAGCTCCCATATCAACATCTCCATCGCCATCACCACCGCCTCGGCCTCTCATAGCCTGCTCCGCATTCTTTCTTCGTTCCAAACTCTCCTTCACCCACTTCTCGCAAGCACCGTCACCACCTCCAGCAACCTTGCTGCGCACGACACCCTTCAACACTTCACCCGCGAAGCCGACAAAGTTATGTCTTCTCAAAGCATTCTCAAACATCCAGTCCCGGCGCTTGCGCTCTTCTCGAGCCAGTAGCTCCTCGTCTCCGAAGTCGCGCGCACGCTGCCGCAGGTCCCGGCACATAGCAAGAAGATTGAAGCGAATCTCGGTGGCATCGTATCGTGCGATCCTTTTCTGGAGGACGTCGACCACCTTGGTAGCAAAGTCGTCAGAGTTGCAGGCGCCGTGGGAGATGGGCGCGGGTTGCAAGCCGTCGAGTTCGTAGAGTGTGCCGTTAATAGGCGTGTAGGCGATGAAGTGGAAGGCATCCTCCGATTCTGCGCCAGTTTTATCTGTCTCATCGGCAAAGGGACTACTGCGAGCGAAGCTGTTGTGTACCTCACGGATGAGGTCCGAGTTGCTGAGCGCCTCACCACGGAACTCGGGTGGTAGAACCATAGTGAATTCTCTGAAGTCACCTAGCTGGTCTCCTATCTCGATATCATTTGTCTTGTTGAGCAGCACGCTCAGAAGGGCTTGCGTGGCGCATGCATTCTGGATCGTCTGCGCAGCGAAAAAGATGTTCTCCGAGGCGTCGTGGTCGAACGAGCCGTCGCGGGGTCCTTCGGGTGTCGCGTACGGTTGATCGGTCGGGTATTTGAAGAGGAAAATCACGCCGTAAATAGGCTGGAGGGTGAGAAGCTCAGATGGGTCGAGGGTGAGGAGTTCTTCGAATTGGACGTCCTTGACGCCGAGATTCTCGATGAGGGAGGTAAAGACACCCTGTTAGCTACGTTAGCTCTTTGGTTAATCTTCAGGTGTAACTTCTAGTCGTACCGCATCGGATTCAACTAAAACCACCTTAGTCAGTATGGTTTCTAATGTTCCCAACAAAAGAGGAACTGACTAGTATTCCATCCACCACTCATTGTTGCGATGAGTCGGGCGTTTCCCACTTAGTCTGACCTGCTGCCAGAAGTCTGTCGACTAAAAGTCTGAAGAGAAAGTATTCTATTCTTGTATGACCTTTTTCTGGTTCAAGGTTTTGGGTCACCGTCAATGCGTGCAGGTGTTTTATAAGATGAATGACGAATTTGGAGCTTCAAAAGTAGGGAACTGAGCTCGAAGCCACACGACGTCTGATATCATCAGCCACTGATAAGATAAGCAGCTTCGAGGCAGCAACACGCTACGACACCACTTTCGTAAGTTTTGATGGAGTCGAACGACAGATAGGTTATCTAATGTCTAAGAGCTTGCCTTGGAATTAAATAGTGATATTTGAAGATTAAGTTTCCATGATCAATTATGTATATTGCAACGAAATGATACATACGGATACAGCATATCGAACATTACTCTTCAGCTTAACTATGGCAGATCAGACGGACGTAAAACAACATATGCTCTCTTCCACCATTAACAAAATATATCAAGCAATACAAGGCCTACGCCCGACCCTTTTTTGGAGGCAATTATCTCATTAAGAAGGATATTGGAATTTGACAGGGGATACATAGAAACACCACGAACTCCAAGTTTACCCCCTCTAAGCTAACGCTTATAGTATGCAGCATATGGTGTATAGTTTTCCGCTCAGCTCATATCTTGCTTCATCTCGCTTGAACACGTCAACACATTTTCAATATAGCAAATATCTGCCTTCGAAGCACATGCCTACAAGGGAATAAGCTGTTCCCTGGCCTGCTCATTTCGCTGATTATCCTCCTGAACTCCTTGCTCCTCAACCAGCGGTCCTTCGTTCTCATGTGTTCTCTGCACATTACTTTGATCTCCATCCGTAATGGTACTGGCATTCGTTCCTTCGTTTCCATTCTCAACTCGGCTGTCACTGCTGCCACTGTTCTCGTCGCTCTGAGCCGCTACTGCTGCCGCTGCCGCCGCCTCAGCTTCTCTCGTCTCGGCCTCCCTGCGCTCTCTTTCAGCTCGTGCGGCTGCCTCCAGATTGGCAATATGCCTTTCCGCAACCCCGGGTGCAATACTGGCTAGAAACAAGAGGCCGGCTCGTTCCAGGCGTCTGACTTGAGAAAGAACCCAGTTGTCCTGTCCTTGATGTTGCGCCACTAGTCGCCTTGCCATTTCTGTTGGATCGGGATCTTGTCTAGGTTGTTCATCCTGCTGCTCCGGTCCAGCGATATCCTGTCGACGTCTCGGCTCCAAAGGGATCAAGTTCTCAAGGTGCCGTCCCAAAGGCCGCCAAACATGATCGGGGACCCCGTTCAGGACTCCGGTGCTAAGCACGAAGATAAACACAGCGATAACAATAATAGTAAACCATCTGGACCAACTCGCGTTAGGGGAAGTAAAGAAATAGACAAATAGAGCCAAACGAAACAAAAGCCAGAGGTGTGGCCAAAACTGCATGAGTAAAGGCGGAAGTGCAGCCATGGGTGGATTACCACGGTGCATTAAAGGAGCCATGAATGCTGCAGGGTCTGGTTCTTGTGCCTGGTTTTGGCCCTGGCCCTGAATCTGTGCCACTTGTGCAGGGTCCTGCTGAGGCACAGGTTGGTATGGCTGCTGCTGCTGCAAAGGCTGTAGGCGTGGTTGGTGTAGAGGTTGTAGCTGAGGTTGAATCTGGGCCAACGGCTGCGGCGTCACATGGGAGCGGGGATGGTGATGGTGGTGGTGATGATGATGTCTAGCTCGGAACTGGTTTTGTGCGTCCTGGATTGCACTGAAAGCAGCAGCTTGTCGAAGTTGAGGAAGGCTGGTCTGAGTACGAAGTCGTGGGGTATAATATGTCTCAGAGCTCGCATTGTTGAAGAGCAAAGCTCTTGGGCCTTCGGGTGATGAAAGAATGTACACCTCAGGGCCTTGCCTGGCTTGAGAGCTTCCGGGTCCTGCAGCAGTAGTGAGACGATTGAGGGCTGGGTCGGGAGTCCCTCGTCCGCTACCAGCGATAGGATGAGGAATAGAGTATGTGGGCGCCATCGCTCCAGGTTGGCCCAAGGGGCGGTTGTGAAGAGAAGTGCTTGACGCACTCCGTTGCATCGCACTGGCCCTTGCCGATGTGGCTTGGGTGACATCAGCACTTCGAATGATATGCTGCACATCAGCGGGGGATATAGAGCCACCAACGCTTCCATTACCCTGTTGCCCAGTACCAACGGTTCGAACCACAGTCTCAACCTGGTATGTATGCCCGTTGGGTCCAATATGCTCTCGATAGATGGTCTGGCCGGGGGCTGGGCTTGCTCGGCCACTGTTGTCAACTCCAGGAACGTGTCCGCCAACGCCATTGTCCCCAACGCCGCGCATTCCCATTTGAGCTCTTGTGCGTTGGTTCTGGTTCAGTGCTCTTGCCATGGCCTCTCGCTGAATGTTGGTCAACCACTGTGTCATGTTCTGATGTTGGTGTTGGAAGGCCGCAGCTTGCTCGGGGGTGTGAGAAGGTGAAGGTGACGGCATACGTGGTTGAGGGAACGGATTGGAGGTTGGAGGCATTGTGTTCCGCCAGGAAAGGCCGGGTGGAATTTGGTAGCCAGGCGGCTGGCCGTACGGGTGTTGTGGTTGTGGTCGCGGCGGATTGGTCGGGGGTGCAGAAGCAATTGGACTGGGACCGCGCGCTGGAGCTTGAGATGGCGCAGGAACGGGAGCAGCCAGAGATGGTGGCGCGGAGGGTGCACTCGGAGTTGAAGATTGACTATCACGCATGTCGCGTACAACTAGATGGATCGTTTGCTGTTCGGCAGTACGAATCTGTGGTTGTATCGAGTCAGTGGGTTGTAATATGACAGGCTGGTTTCAACTCAGGAACAACATACCGCATCAGGGCCAAAGATATCAAGCAGCGTATCCGACTCGCGGACAATTGCACGCCCACGATGAATCAATCGCTGGTGGTCATCAGCAGGGCGCAAAGGAAGACTCTGGCGAATCTTGTCCTTGAGCTGTTTGACTGTGGTGCTGGCAGCAAGACTAGGGAACAGTAGAGGTCGGTTTACGCCAACAGACGGTGACAGGACCTGTACGGTGATGGTTTGTTCAGCGACTGCTGGCTCGGAGGCGGCGGGAGGTCCATCGTCTTCGGGACGGGTGGAAGAAGGCATGGAAGCCATGATGATCAAGCAGATAGCATACCACTTTCCGGTAATAAGCTAAGGGAGGGATGAAGCGGTCCGACGTATCGAGGTGAAGGAATGGCGACAAGTAGTAGTGAAAGTGCAGATGGAGGTCGATGAACCTATGATTCTCGGAGATATATGTCGCTAATCGACAACATAGGATTTCGCTTCTCTCCCTAATCGCGACTGCCGATCTGTGAGAGCTCACGTCCTGGAGAAAACGCACCGACTTGTTGACTGACGTCGGCTTGTGTCGTCTCACTAAGTCTAAACGGGTCGCATGTCCAAGGGAGACGGAGGTCAAGGGATCTGGTATACACAACGCGATGTGGAAAATGAAAAATGCAAGCCCTATAAAACTGCTAAAAAAGCGACGTGGTTATTCACCTTGAAATATGTATTTGGTGTTGAGAGGTGAAAGATGTGGTTCATCAAACACAGACACAGGCAATGGTCAGGGTGGCCTTTTGCCGTTTGGGGCCTTGCGACTGACTACCTTCCTCAGGTAAGCTCAGGTACAAGCTGCTGGGTCCAGGCAGGCCTGCGACACCGGGGACGGGAAGTGACAGCATCTCAGTTGCGGTATTGGTACGTAGGTACTTCCAGCGTGGTTCTACAGCTAAGGTGACCTCCTATTGGCCAGAGTTTGGCATTTTGCTCGTCTATTTGTTTGTGTTCGTCCATCAAAAAGTAATGTACAGCATAGTATAAAATAGAAGCATAGGCATTTTGTTCCCAGAATAAAGAGTCCCTGAATCTAACTGATATTACATAAAACACAGGTATTAATATTTGGACCGTATTCTAGAGGTACTCTGCTGTATCTATCACCCGGCGCGCTTGGTAATTGCTTCCTCATAGGTAATGAATCACCTTTACACCTCGGTTTCGGCGGTCGGCGTCTTTTACATCCGAGAGCTAGATTCGGATTCAGCCCACCAAGAAGTTGTGTGCGGGTAACAAGCTTGAGCAGCCGCAATCCATCGTCATCGCGGTTTTTGACGTCAACATCCATCAAAAAAGAGTCTTATTCTCTTTGAGAGGCTTCATTTGCCTCTCTTTTGTTCACCACTCTGGTGCAAGAGTACAATCTCAACAAGGCAGCGTTCAATCGCTATCACTCGCCAATCGCCACTGCCCGTCATGGCTCCAACCCTTGGCCATGGCTCCTCCCAACTCGGCTGTCACATGCTCCGCAACTCATTCTACACCAGCGGTCGTTATGCAAACTGCAGCTCGCCATCTGCCTCACGACACATGCTCCTGGCCTCAGCGAGATCGCGATGCCTGCCACGGCCTACGGCCTCTTCCATTCGAACATTTGCCTCCAATTCGGGCAAGAGACCGAAATTCTCCCAGCGTCTCGGCGAGGCCATGCGCAACACCAAAATACAATGGTACCAGATCCCTGTCGGTCTAGGTATTGGGTTTCTCGGTCTCGTCCAATTCTATAAGGTCTCTTCTCGTGAAAAGGAGAGACTTGAAATGGAAGATGGACAAGATGGCACTAGGACGCCAAAGAAGCGTGCCAGGATTCGTCCCGATGGCCCTTGGTAGGCCAATTCATTGTGCCCCTATTCCCACGTCAATGCTAACTCAAGCCCAGGCAAGTCCAGGTCATGTCAACTCTACCTCTCAAGGCTATCTCTAGGATCTGGGGTCGATTCAACGAACTAACCATTCCTTACTACCTTCGGGTTCCTGGTTTCAAGCTTTACTCTTGGATCTTTGGTGTCAAGTTTGTCCCCTCAATCAACCAGACAGAAGCCCATTTCTAACGAATGTAGTCTCGACGAAGTTGCCGAACCCGATCTCCATGTGTACCCTAATCTCGCATCCTTTTTCTATCGTACTCTCAAGCCCGGTGCTCGACCCCTCGATCAGGATCCGCATACTCTTATATGTCCCTCTGATGGCAAAGTTCTGCAATACGGCCAGATACAAGGCAACGACATAGAGCAAGTTAAGGGAATGACTTACAGCATCGACGCCCTCCTGGGAAAGAACACGCCTCCTGCAAGCATCTCAGGTACTTCTACACCAGCGACCAGCCAATCATCGACGGACATTTCAGATGAGGAATCGCTTGTCAAGCAGGACGAGGAATTTGCTCAAGTCAACGGGATCTCATACACTCTCCCCGATCTTCTCTCCGGCATAGGAAAGCAGGCTCCTTCGGCGAAGGATGAGTCTATGCCTGCATCTCCTGGTACAGTGTCCGAGGTTCGTGCTGAACTGGCCCTGGGTGAGCGACCTTGGTACGATCTTGTGTCTCCCGATAAGACCACTTCCCTCTACTATGCAGTGATTTATTTGGCCCCCGGTGACTATCATCGCTTTCACTCTCCAACAAACTGGGTTGTTGACCGCCGACGTCATTTTGCTGGAGAACTATACAGTGTTTCACCATATCTTCAGCGAACTCTCCCTGGCCTTTTTACCCTTAACGAGCGTGTGGTGCTTTTGGGCCGCTGGCGCTTCGGTTTCTTTAGCTACGTTCCTGTTGGAGCGACCAATGTTGGCTCCATTGTCGTCAACTTCGACAAGGAGTTAAGAACCAATAGTCTTTTGACCGATACAGCAGCAGACCGTGCCGCAGAGGAGGCTGCCAGCAGGGGTGAAGTGTACCATGGGTTCGCTGAAGCCACGTATGAAGCAGCTAGCCCTGTTCTTCGTGGCCATGCGCTCCGACGCGGTGAAGAAATGGGCGGTTTCCAACTGGGTAGCACTATCGTACTCGTATTTGAAGCACCTGAAGGCAAAACAGACGAAAACAACAAGCATATTGGTTGGGACTGGGCTGTACAGAAGGGACAAAAGGTGAAGATGGGACAGGCTCTGGGAAGAGTCATCGAGTAAGATGTAGCATTACTGCACAAAGATTTCAAAGTCAAGTTGAGCGTTTGGATACTTGAAGATATATATAATTGCATACCACCCCATATGATGCAAGGCTCTGATGAACAATTTCTCTTTTTAATTCGAGTAAGAGAATATATTGGCTTGGTCACCAAGGACAGGTGCTTCTCATGCTAGATATGCAATGTCAGTGGCCTCGGCTGGTCACACATTCAAAGCCCAGCATGCGGCGGTCAACACGAGTCAAAACAATATCAATATCAAGTATATATGTAAGTTTTGTTTATTCAATCTATTGGTGGTAGACGACGACTGGTCAGGCCCGTTGTTCTAATGTTAATCGCTAAAGTCAAATGCAGGATCTACCGCAAGCCCGACCGTCATTTCCCGTGTCCTTAAAAAGACTTTTAAGCGCCAAAGACCTTGACACGCTCCTCGAGAGGGGCATACTGCTTGGGGCCAGCCTCGCCAGCCTTGCCACCAAAGACAAGCTGAGCGTTAAGGGTCCAGGTGGAGGGGATCTTCCACGTCTCAGCAACCTTCTCGTCGATCAGAGGATTGTAGTGCTGGAGGTTGGCACCGAGACCCTCAGCCTCGAGGGCAGTCCAAAGGAGGTACTGCTGAATACCAGCGGATTGCACAGCCCAGGGAGGGAAGCGATCGGCGTAGATGGCAAACTTGGACTGGAAGCTCTCGACGGTGGTGTTGTCGACGTAGAAGAGGACGGTTCCAGCAGCACCCTTAAAACCGGCGAGCTTGTTGGATGTGGCCTCCCAAGCCTCAGGGGGCACAATGGAGCGGAGAGAGTCGGCAGCGATATCCCACAGCTTATCGTGCTCGGCTCCGTAGAGAACAACGACACGGTTGCTCTGGGAGTTGAAGGATGATGGTGTCTCAAGAGTGGTCTGGTTGACGATCTCGGTGATGCGCTGGGTGGAGATGGGGAGGTCCTTGGAGAGCTGGTAGATAGAGCGACGGTTCTTGGCCAGCTCGATGAGGGCGTTGGCGGAGAATTTGGCGGCCATTGTAAGTGTAAGTGGTGTGGTATAAGGTTATACTAGGTATAAGTGTAGGTGGTGATATAGTGTAAGTGGTAAGAGTTGAGATGGAAAACTGATGAGGAATGGAAACCAACAGCGGGAAGGCAGGTTGAATATATACTGATACCCTCAGTTCACTTACCGACTCTTCTACCAGACTAATACAATAGTTCTACGTACTACTCTGCCCCGCCATCCATATTGACCGATCCATTTGCAACCAGGAAGAAAAAGTTCGCAATCACCAAACCCCCACTGACTAATGCACCATCGGAATTGCGTCAATCAGGGACTTTCTGTGTTGTACCTGTTTGTAAGCCTCCCGCGCGCGACGGACCTGATGGTGGGGCTAAATCCGGATATGTCGCCCAAAGCGGTAAGCTCCGGATATCCAAGAGCTACCCTAAAGTCAGATCTGGTGTTTCGGATGTTGTGAAGCCAGTAAGATATTACGAGGTTGAGATTATAGGTAATGTTCTATAATTATATTATTCGTACATAATAAAGCTTACCTTCGTACAACTCTTACTTGAGTTTCTGATTTTGTGGAGGATCGAGGTATTATACGCCGGTTAGAAATACAACACAGGCGGTGATTAGTTACCATCATCTTCTACTGCTAACAAGACGCCACTTCGAGTAAACACCTTCGTCAAGTATAGAATGTTTAATCAGTCATAACCACAATTCCGCATTACCTCGAAACCAATTCGGAAGCACACATAATTATTCTTTCCAATATCTAAACGCATGCAGGCTTGATAATTATCAGATTAGAGTTTCTACAGAATGCGCTAAAACTTTAGTCTATCATGATTAACAATACGCGCGCGCGATATTGATAGTGACGCCGAAGGCTCGGATATTCAGGATAGAAATGGGATTGAAGCTCGCTAACACAAACACCAATTACATGGACCACCACTCATGCATGTGAGACAGCTGTCACATATTAGTGGGGAGCCTATCATATGAGACAATATACCAGAAGGGGAAATATGTCGTCACGAGGCTAGAATCTGACAGGCTTATCACCAAGTGAAAGTAAAATATCCTGGCCAGGAAAATGCTTCAGAAGCGGTCCGCGCCGTGAAAGTGTCAGCAGTGCATTAGTGCACCATATGCCGGAATATTGCGACCAGTAGGGTTTGATGCATGAAGCGATAGTAGTTATATAGATCGGTTATGATACTCCTTACGATGTACCCTCACAGGAATTTGACAAGCCATGCATTATCGACATTTCCAACACATGAATGAAGGATACTTATTCAAAAATTGTAGATTCAGTTTCTTGATGCACAGAGCAAGCTCTGCCATGATGCTATCCTGCCCAATCTACTAAAGGTACTTTCCGTAGAAGAAAAAGATGGCCAATACGCGGTCCACCCGGGCAATCACCCAACTTTGCAACCCATATATCGCCGTATAACGCCTTTGCCGTGTCCCAATGCTCTCGTCTCGAATCAGAAAATGCCATGTCCCATCCTTCTCGCTTGCGCTTCGGGCTTCTAGCTTGCGCCAGCCGGTGATATTCCCTTTTTTACAATGCTCTTTATCTCATCACCACTCTAGCAGTATATGGAATATCGTCCAGCATACCTCAAAATTCCCATGTGGTTCCGGTGGTAAGTAAAACGCGGACCCATGGCATCTACCATGTCTCAGAGATGTACTTGCCCTCCTCCTTTTTGAGCTGCCAGAAGTTGTGAGCCTCTTCGCGCTCGAGGTTACCTTTCTCCATGGCAACGTCACAAAGAGCTTCCTCAACACCTTCACCCATACCCTTACTGCTTCCACATACAAAGATGCGGCCGTCCAGAGAGTTGATGATGTACCAGACCAGATCAGATTGGTTCATAACCTCCTCTTGTACATACTTGCCAGTACCCACTCGACTTTGGACAACACGCTTGACCTCTTCCTCGTGCACTCCCCACTCACCACTGTAGATCTCATCTACCAATGAGTCTCGAATGCCTTGGAGGACCCAGACCTTGTTGGCACAGTTGGCCTGCTTGAGGCGTCGCTGGACGAAACCACGGAAGGGGGCAATACCGACACCGGCACCAATCAGCAGCATGGGACCATCCGAGTTGAACTGCTTGGCTAATGGGTTGGCCATCAAACCCTTGAACATAGGGATAAACACTTGTGGTGCACGTTCACCAGCAGCTTGAGCTCTCATGAACTTGTGAGCCTGACGCTCAAAAAAGCCAGATCCAACACCGGCACGGCATCCACGTCTCCAGTCCATCGAGTCATGGACTGTGACGGCGATCTCGATCAAGCGACGCTGGGCGTGCTCTCGGAGTGTGTATGATTCTGTAGGGTCGTTGGAAAGAGAATAAAATCGTGGCATAAGCTGAGCTTGAACCGAGAGAAGTTGATCCATAGGAGGGTGGGAGCTGGGGAATGCGTTGAGGATCTGTGAGAGAGTCACATGGGGTCCGCCACGGAAGTCAGCGAAGATGCTAGCACCCTCGTTGGAACAAAGGTACATAAGAATCTTCTTTTCGTTGGGAGCAGTGGCGTGCTCAGCAATTACGCGAAGAAGCTCCTTGGTTGGAGCATAGGACTGAATATCGGTGGTCCAGGTGAGGAGCTCACGGCGGGTAGTGATGAGTTCTCGTGGCTTCTCGTCACCCCAGACAGTGGGCCAGCGGCCCTTGGTGGTCTTCATGAGAACAGGCTTATCACGCTGGAAGCGCGGGATCATAAGAGTGTCGAGGATTTCATCCACAGAAATCTCATCGTTGGGGGCCATGACGCCAATGGCACCACCAACCTTGAAGTCGAAGACCTCCTCTGGAGGATAGTCGGTAATATCGAGGTCGAAATGGAAAGTTCTCTTCTCAGCACCAGGCTTAGTGAGCTCGCGAGTGTTGTGGATCCTGGCTGGGTAAACGTTATGGGGAGGGTGAGGTTGAACGAAGCGAGGAGGTTGAATTGAGGTATCAACGCCCGCGTACTCGGGACCTGGTACAAGGTAGTTGTTCTTTGATGAGGCGGCCGAAGAAGCAGGCTCAGAATCGGAGCCGAGAGACACGGCAGAATCGGTGGGAGAAGAAGTCGGCCAAGGAATTGAGGTGAACGAGACAGTTTGCTCGGGCATAGGGATGATACCGGCCAGGTTGGCTGGGATGTTCTCGAGTCGAAGACCCAGAGACTTGAAGGCATCGTTGTCAGGCAGTGTAACCTGCTCGTACTCGACATTGTTTCGGTCGCTCATGCAGCAAGCTCCACCACAGCAGCGCCCCATATACTCAGCTGGTGTCTCACCAGTGATTCGCTGAATGTCCCTAGCATTCTGGGCAATCAGGCGTGTGGATGCACGGCGGCGGCGCTCGAGAGGAATGACGGGCTCGTCTTCTTGGGAGTCGGAATCGTCTGAGTAGGTCAATGAGGGTGCAATTGAGGGAGCACCCTCGGCCATGATCAGTTCGGGATGAGGTTGCGCGGCGGGGTTGACGATGCCGTCAATTCGAATTGTAGGAGTAGTCATGATGGGCCAAAAAATTGAGCTAGACACCCGCTGAGAGTTGTTATTGAGCAATCGGAAAGTCGGGCGTAGGCGGTGTTGGATTGCTCTTCGAAGCAAGTAAATCGTGAGGGTTTGTGTGGTGTGGTTTAAAGGGCGACGTCAGTATGCAAATAGCATGGCGGTCCAGCAACAACAGGGATTGTGGGTGCTGTCACTTGGCTGTAGAGAAAGGTGCTGTTGGATAAGATAAGTGATTTTACTCTGGAGGACAGCAGAGCAAATACGATTGATAAAGGAAGGATTGTTTGTGGGAGAGAGAAGTTGAGAAGAAAGCTGGAGGGGGCAAAGAGTCAAATGGCGGCCGAGAGCGGGAGGTTTTAAAAAATCCAAGCCCATTTACAATTGCCAGTGTGTAGGGAACGCACCCCCGATACGGGTTGGGGATAGGTATCCACCGTGGGGCTATCAGGTCTGTCGGGTGGGCAGAGGCAAAGCAAAAGGCAAATGAAGGGTGTGCCGCTATTGATAAACAGTCAGATACCTACCGTGATACTTTCCGATCGTCGTTCCCTGTAACTTTTTGGTGACAGTTGCGTTTCTTTGCTTTATATAACTATCCGCACAATCAAGGATATTTCTACATATAAATGGTATTAAACAAAAGTCGACTCAATACTCTAATCATGTTAACTCATTCTCGTTCACTGTTCACTCCCAGGTACTGAGCACTGTATATGATGATCGATCAGTACTCCGTGCCTTACAACCCAATCGCCCGGACACACCCATGGCACCATGTAATTCTCCTTTCTCTACTCCATAGACCTGGGGTAAGGAAACCCGAATTCGAGGAGTCCCGGTTCAGGGCGATTCTAGCCCCCTTCTTGGCACTCGATCTCCCCAACGGCAACAGATCAGAAGGTTAAATAATGCGTGGCACTCCGTAATTGCTTTGAAGATGATTATGAAAAGGGGGGTTGAGAATTTATCCAAGGTTGTTGGGTCTTTGACTGGGTAACAAAGAGGTCCGAAACAGGAGATTCTTGCCATGTCGCAATTTCTTTATCAATCAATGCTTAATCAATCATCGTTAATCAATCAGTCAGTGCTTTTTGTCTCACCTTTCTTGCGGTAATCAATTTGTGCACGTGGGTCGGCTCTCCCACCCGAACCTAACACTTTGCAATTGTTTCTCCTCGGTTGCAGGAAATAGCTACACAAACTTACAGGTTCGTTGTGCCTCGTGGACTTCCCACATGATTGTGCAGCTCTTTATCATATTTTATCGATAGTCGGCGAAATGATTTCCTTGTGCTTCTTTTTCTCACTTTTCCATGACGGGTTATGATCTAATGTTTGCCGATCCAGTGACCGGTTTGTGCAACCCTGCCGGGTTTGTATAAATCCTTTTTGTGATTGGTTGATTTGCCCAAAACCCTCTTTTATCAATCGGCCACTCAATGACCAGCACTTTATCCTGACACGTCGAAAGATTCGGGGCGAATAACACCATTTTCGTGATAGTTGATTGTATAACATCACAAGGTCACCCAGTTTTAACCCATTACTCAAATATTATATATTAACAAGCTTAACAGTTGGTAAGATCTAATTATCATGAGGACATGGCCAATTAGTATCTTCTACTGTGACAACTCGACCAATGGACGTACTGACTAGAAATTTTAGCCCGAAGTTTAGGGTAAGATGACATGCAGGTAGGAACAAGCTGAATCGGCATGGCCGTTACCACAGCTTGTCTAACACAGGCGCTGTAGCATGTGGCCTCTCACAGTGAGAGATCGGCAATACTTGAATGTTTTGTTCTTTTCTTCTTAACAGTAATAGGCTAGACACACCCCTCAAATTATCTTAAATAGGCTGGCATAGTAACTCGAGACTGTATTTTGAGCGCTCTGTACTCCGTATACCGAGTATAATTGAATCGTACGAGATGTCCTCTCACCGGATCTTTTCGGTTCATCAACGATGTGGATGGCACACTCCAGCGGTCAAGACCTAACATCCTCAGCAATTGATGAGGCTCTGTCTGATCATTATTAGCACTGACTAGAAAAACAAGGGTTCGGAACCACTGTAGCCACTCACGCCAGGCACTGCAAATTTCCAACCTAGCCGAGTCACGGGTCAGACCACCTCAGGCCAACCGTCTGTTTCCGCGATTGTGGCCTGTCAATCCCGTGTATTTCCCCCAACAACCGAGTATAATTTAAACAAAACCCAGGTACGATTACGACAAGGACAATGCGATGGAATTCATCAGCTGACAATTGAATTGCAGCCGACTCACTTTCACTTCCTCTCATCCATTGGTATTCGGTCCATAACCGACCCTTCAAGCGGAACTCGTCCGATGGCCGAACCGAGCATTTCCGTAGTGCGTCCCGAGTGCAAACCAAAAAGTGTTTCTGGGTAACGGCGGCGCCCGCAGATTAGGTCTTTGGGCTCCGTATCGGCTGGGTTATCAGATTAGTATCCGTCCCACACTAACCAGAGTCGTACTGTGCTGTCTCGGCGTCGTGGTGTTTGTCCAGTAATCCCCTTCTTCTCCCCGCATTATTGATTCGTTCGGTTTCCAATATTCTCTGCCGATTTGTTGACTCCGAATCTGAGCCGATGCAAGTGTAGATGCAAATGCAGATGCTGATGCAACATGATGTGTAATGGGTAATGCGTAGGCTATGACTGCACACTCAGACCATGGCCAGGAGCAGTAGTGAGACGGCATACAGCCACGGCAGAGAACTCCCCATTCCCCGACCAGAACTACCGATGTAAGGATAGGTAGAACGGGGAGAGTTTCTCGAGTCATATGCTTTAATTTACCCCATTGCTCTATTTGATATGACCGACACCATCTGGCAAGGCATCTGGGGTTTTGTCTTGGCTTGTCCTTTTATTTCATGCAAGTCTTGAGACAGTGGGAACAAAACTAGACCAAAACTTGCTTATTTTCATAATAATTCATAACTTCCATGTTGCTAGGCCTAAACGACACGCACCCTGACCAATCAGATCGTCCCAACAAGCCATGGCTCAGCCTTGATCCAGCCAAAAAGTTATCAGATGGATTAAGTTTTTATCAATCCAATCTAATCTCGGACTCCCTTTGATGTTGAGATCCATAACACACGCACGCAAAAATGCAAAACCGCCGATCTCGGACCTGACATTTGCTAATGCCTAATGTACCCACAACATTCCTGGGGAGCTGGGCTATTCTGTTGGTGCTCCAAGACTTTGCATGTGTTTGCGATGCAGGCCATATCACTGATGTTATAGTACCTTAATTCACGTGTCTACCGTTGGCGGAACGTACTCAGTGCTAGTCTACATACTACGTAGCTCCCTGCTGAATGAGCTGGCCTTTGCTATGGCCCCCTCTACTTCCATGTTCCCTACCACAGACAAGTCTTCTCCAGGGATCCCTTTCACCGACATAACTTGTTTGGTATTGAGTGGGCAGGGATGATGTAGGTGAGTTTCCTTTTCTTACAATTTTGCTGATATTGTGACTTGCCCCACTGTGAAGACGGCGCCATCTTCAGCCCTTCTCGGGTCCATGGCTTGGATAGTGAAGCCACGATCTGATAAGATGAAAAAGATGTAACTTTTGTGGTCCTTCACTAAATGCTTGTCCAGACAGGGGTGTCTCTGTCCCATTTTGACCATTTGAGCGCCATACTATCCCTCTAGTCTTGTGCCCCTGCGGTCCAACAATATGTACCATTCCTTGGACCACCCCTTGTCAAGAATACCCAACACAAACTGGACAAACTGACACGAATCTCCGTTCCTTGGTTCCGTGTCAACGCCGAGGTCAACCAACACTACCCTACCAAACCTGAAAATCCATCTGATGGGCCCGAGCCTGCCCTTGGTCGTTCTGCTGCTGCTCCAGCTTCTGCCGGTGTTGTTGCCGCTCTGCCGCAGAGATCTTTGTTGCCATAGTTTGCTGTTCCTCATCCTCGCTTGCATTCATATAAGCCAGCTTGATGTGAATTGTACCTGTAATTGTCCCACTGCAACGTAGGGTTTGCCATGCCCCAAGGTCCGGCAGTTGTCCCCTCGAGACAAGTTCGCAGAGGTCAATATGCACTTCACCAATAAGCTCCAACATCTGTACTCCCCACACAGAGACTCTCAGATGGTAGCACATTGGTGAATCGTGCACTTCAAAGCGGAAATCGTCGTTCCTGGACCAATCTTAGCATCAAAGTCACATTTCATCTTGTGGAAGATTGCTGGTTATAGGCCAGGTTACGGCCTGCCTCGGTGGATGTGTTATTTCACTCACCATATTGGTTTTGGCGTTGCTCTCTTTGACGGCTGGCTTTGCCGAACATCGTATCCATACCAGAGTACGCAGGTATGGCCGATCTGATTGCCATTCAATTCTGCTTGACCAATCGACACGATCAACTGCTTTGCTCTCCAACTCTTCGAGCTCAGTCCCTGTGCTGGATCTAGGCGTGTATTGGCTGACATAGAAGTTGGGCGATCCGAACCCAAGAGCTCTACTGACGGTGGCTTATTTCTTCTCTTGTTCGCTAGGACCTGACTAGCCAGAGAACCCATCATTCCATCCATCGGTAGCCTGTTGTGCCTCAGTGCTACTAAGCTCGCAGGGCGCGATATACCTGAGTCATATCCAGAATCAAGGCTACTGAGCCCCGATACTGATCTCAGCGGAGTGGTGCAATCAAAAGGGTCGCCTTTCTTGCCTTCTGCTACGTGCTTGGTAATGGGGATAGGAGTTGCTGCTCCATCCTTTGGCGGGTCTATCGACAAAAGATTGCTGGTTTTGATGTATCCCACAAACTGGGTCGCTGGATGTTCTGGTAGCAGATCCCAGAGAACAACTGGTACCGACAGCAGCAGAAGAGTAGAGTAGCTGCTGTAGACAGACTCAACGCTTACGTGCGTCGCCAAGAGTGGAAATTGCTTCAGCCATCGAGAGCAACTCGCGGCATCAAAGACTTGGTCTCCCTCAAGTGCAATTTTCAAAAGGACATGTGGTACCACTCTTTGCCCTTTGGGACTCACGCCCATCAGTGTCTGAATGCGCTCCTCAGCCGAAACGTAGGTGTCTGACTGTAGTCTTTCTGAGAGATTCCCTTGGGTGGACCCTGGTATTGCTTGAGACGATGATATCGAGCCGGATTCTTCCTCCGACATTCGACCCAGCGTGATTGAAGCGGTATGTGGATCGGATGTCGAGAGGATGTAGGCAGGCGTCTTCCTTGACTCAACCAATCTTCCCTGAGACGACCGGTCAGGCGGTGCGTGCTTGAGTCGAGTCAAGATCTCACTGTGCAGCATCGCGGCGGAGAAGGGGAGTTGCGAAGCCCATTCCTTCAAGACCTCGATCATTGTGTGAGTGAACGATTGTGCGCCTGGGCGAGGGGTCCACGTCTCAAACCCGCAAGCTGCAATCGTCTCTTTCATGTTGGTCGGCCGCTCAGTCAAGGGAGCAGCACTTGCACCAGCACAGCAGTCGAGAAGTAGAAGGACATCGCATTTGGCCATCTCGAACAGAGTCTGGATAGCGGACCACTCCACTGTAGCATAGCTCTTATCACTTTTGCTGCCGAGAAGTAATGTCAGCTCTGGGTATCTGAAGGAAGAATTGCTCATACCAGGACCAGGTTGACTGCCTGGCTTTGTTGATGGCCCCATGCCCACCATAGTAGACAACGAGAAGCGTATCTTCATTCTCATGCTCTTCGACGAAGCTCAAGACTTTGTGATTGAGCTTTCGATGAGAGTTAAGGGTGGGAATGAGGAACTTATCGGTTGTGAACCCGTACAAGTCACGGAAGACTCCTCGCAACTCGTTGAGTTCCCACTCGACCTCAAGTTCGTCCTCCTCCCATCGTATCAGCAGGACTTGAACCTCGCTGTATCGAGAGTATGACGAGTTAGGAAATGCTCTCTTTGCGGCCTGCGGCGTGTAAGTAACCACTCAGCATAGATAAGACAGAAATAAATACCAGCTGGAGGTCCTCGACGAAAAGTTCAAAGTTACTCATGTGATGATGGGACTTGGTAGTATCATGGGTTGTCAGCGGTGGCAGACAGATATTGGAGGCCAGAGATAACGAGGTATGCGATGACGTATCAGACGCTTGCTGCTCCGAGTAAGAGAGTGATCGTTCATGGGTTCTGGTTTGATGCTTACCACAAATGGACTTGACGAACTGCCGCTCGTCGAGCTTTGGAAACCATCAAACTTGGCTCCGAGCCCATGGAAGTCTGCCATTGTTGAATTGTACGGTGAAAAGGTCTATTGGAGATTGCTGGGTTTGGAGAAGAAAGATGGATTGATGAACTACAACTTCGACCGACGGTTGACTGACATGATATCTGATATATAACCAAGACAGCCTCACAACTATGCAAACAACCCGTCACCCAATTTCCTCAACCCCCCCTCAAGAGTGAAAAGTTTTCCATTCTGCAGTTGGCTCCCTCGTCTTTGATGTCGATCATGTTCGCATATTATGTGATTACCGCCCGGCTGACTATGCGGTGGCTGTGGTTGCCTCGTTTGATAGGGGGCTGGATTGCTGGCAAGGCATACACATATAGGATAAAACTCGGATCAGCCAAAGAGAGAGCGAAAAATATTTTCCATGGCAGGATTCCTTCACCACGGTGTGAAAAAATATTTTCAGTTACCGGCGTCTGGGGTAAGCATTGGTTATAGTGATTGGATGTTTGGGACAGCCTCATCGTGATGTGCAGGTAGAAACAGGAACAGCGTGGGGGAAATATAACTGAGGAGGAGGAGCGGAGCGGGTCGAAGCATTGCTGTGTTGGACGGGCGAACCATTTGATTCTGGAGGGTGTGATTTGTGTAACATGCATTCGGCTCGATTTGGCCAAGACGCCTTGGTGCTATATGTAAGTAAGTCGACTATATCTGATTTATTGCTCGAAGAGCGTTGGCGTCGGCAGGCTTGGTTGTTGAAACTAGAACGCCATACTCAGGTTTGCTAATGCTGAGACCGAAAGAGCAAAAGAGGTAAATAAACTGGTCTGTAATACATATATAGGCCATGAAGATTGTGAACTCGTGCTTCGTAGTCTCCATGGTTCCCCAGGAGGCTATCGACAACCAACAGCATGAGACGACAAACTTTTGCCTGCTACATCGATGTTCTGATAATAGTGTGCGAACGGCCTCATAGATAGCTCACTCGCAATCGAACGAATAGTTGACAAAGCTCCTATGTTGGTAGTGCAGCTCGCTATCATGCGGGTAGGCTGCATTGGAGGTTGAGGCTTGAGCAGGATGAGGTTTCGGGTAATTCTCTTGTTGATCCGTTATCCATCGATTATTGGTCACCTGACATGGAAGATGTATTAAAGTTGATTATACAGGAGAACAAGCGAAAAACGCGTATCAAGACATGGTATCGCGATACGGTATCATGTAATAGATCTTGGTTGTGCCTGTTTCATATCGAGGGATGTAACCGCTATTACCCCAGAGTTGCCGCGTCTTTGTGTCGGTCGAGATGAGGTGAATCTCCTTCCGTCTGAGATTTCGGGGTCAGTCTCGCAAACTAGATCTAGATCTGGATTAGATTTGGAGCCCAGATTTAGCATATTTCAGAATCATAGGTAATTGTGATGCGACAAAAGTCAAGGGAGCAGAAGTTTGGCGAGACGTTAGAGATAAAGAGGGGCCTGGGGCCCGTCAGGTAAAAGAGAATAGGCGGTAACTGCAGCCCCAGGGCAGGCAGAGACGCCAGGAGGATCACTACGGAAGCTGACAATTCCGCTGCTGGTTAGTGGAGCTAGCGAGTGGAAGTCCCGGCATCCGAGAAACTAGTCTTGATTGCAGATTTCAGCAGGAGTCGCACGGGGAATGAGAGAGAGAGAAATGGAGAGTCAGTAACAGGACAAAGAGGTATTCTAATGAAGTACTATAAGTATGGCGGTGTTTTGTATACGGAGTCAACATTCTTCAATCAGTCGACAGTTTGAGGGTTGGCTCACTTAGGCAGGAAAACACACACATTCTCTCTCTATAGCCAATGAATGTTTGAGAGTGATGCCCTCAAAAAGGTGTAGTCTGCAGTAGGCCGTTGCAAGTGCCGATATTTGCTTCTTTAGCGCTGGGACCCCGTCGGCATCTCAATCACCTTTTTCTTCTTCTTCTGGCTTTTCCCATTTCCTTAGCAACATCCAATACCCTTTGTCTCTCAATGATGGCGATCATCGGAAAAGACGGGAACCACTTGCTTGTTTGCAGTCTGCACCGCATATCAACGTCCTAGCTTAGGGAGTTTTTACAGGCCATAATGCAAAAGGATCAGACGCTACTGATGCCCCAGCGCCAGACTAACAAGCCTAACAGCCGGAGTTGGCTTCTCCCGAGAGCTGCTCTTTGGTGCCAACTTGTTTCAGACAAACACAGACCAATGACTTTGGCTACTTTGTCTATGTAGTCTATCAAGTGACGCAGAAACAGAAATGGATCATCCGCTCGTATGGAACTTGGCCAGATTGCGATCTGATCAAGAGACAGACTTAATTAATTAACCAATTGTCAAAAAGAAATACCATCCCTCACTACTCATTTGTGCCTCCTCCTCAGGTTCTTCTCTCTCTACACCATACCCCGTTCATTCTACTTATAGTAGCCACTCGAGTTAGAGTATCATCACCTCAAGTACGGAGTAGCTACCAAAACACTTCGCTACCCTCTGATTCGTTTCGGCCTTTCTATGTTTACTTTGCTTCTTTCGCACGAGTCTTACCGAACTTGTCCATCTCCGATCAACCTTCTAAACACAATCATACCCATTCTATTCCCTTTCGTGGTGGGGGCCGCCTTCTGATACACTGCTGATACCTCTCACTTATATCCCAACACATCCACAGTATTCTCCTGTATCTTGAAACTCACCTTGAGGCGAGACTCATTTGGATATCTATCAAAAACACGCTTACATTCTTGTCTTCCTCTGCATTGTCTCGAGTCACCTTCACATACTCACACCCAACAATGCACAACGTATCAAGTCTTCCCGCCTTGCCCGTCGGTGCCGATGTTCAGCTACCGAACTTCTCCATCGAGGGAAACCGTGCTGGATACTACATCACTTTCACTATCTTAATCGCTACTCTGTGGTTGATACTGCCAAAAAAGAAGGCTTCCCAGCTCGAAATTCCCTTCTACAAGGCTTCCAAGACAAAATGGATATTCGATGCCGAGTCATTGATTAAAGATAGTTACACAAAGGTATGTTGACTCAGCTTGTCTTAAATACACCACATATGCTTATGCTGTACTAGTTTCGCGATCGTGTATACCAGATCAAGGCTACAGAGGGAGTGCAGGTTATGGTGCCTCCGCATCTAGTGGGCGAACTCAAGGCACTGCCAGAAGATATCCTCAGTGCGACAGAAGCCGTGGCAGATGTAATTATGACCCATCCCTATGCTATGGCAAGCCTCGAGTCAGTATGCTGATATATGAACAGGCCCTTCAAAGCAAATACACCAAGTTCTCGCCAGGCCATAACGGCGAGCTGCTCGCTTTACTGGTCCGAACCAAACTGACACAGAACCTCACCCGAGTGTTGCCGCTCCTCAAGATAGAGCTAGAACATATATTGGCCACCGAGTTTCCAGCATGTGACGATTGGACGCCTGTAAAATGGCAGCCCTTTAGTCTTCGAGCTATTGCCCGACTAAGCGGCAGAGCTTTTGTTGGACCTTCTATCAACCGAGACGAGAGGTGGATGGACACCTCCATCAACTTTGCCGTCCATGTCTTTACTGCATGCACTAAGCTTCAATTCATTCCAGAATGGGCCCGACCTGTGGGTCAGCATCTTGTCTCCGAGCTACGCCAGATCCGTAAGGATATCAAGATAGCCAAGGAAATGCTGAAGCCTATCCTGGAAGAGAGACTGCAAGATATGGAGATATCGAACGGAGAGGATGCGCCCGACGACATGATCCAGTGGCTCATGGAAGCATTGCCAGAGGAAGAAAAGGCGGATCTTACGACCCAGGCGGAGCTACAGCTGATTATCGCGGCAGCTTCTATTCACACGACTAACAATCTACTATGCGAATGCCTGTGTGACCTGGCCGCCTACCCCGAGGTTCAAGAAGAGCTACGTGAGGAGGCTTACCGCATCCTCGAAGTAGAGAGGGGATGGGAGAAGAAAGAAAACATGGCCAAATTGAAGAAAATGGATAGCTTCATGAGGGAGGTTCAGCGCACAAGTGGAAATATCGGTGAGTTTCAGTGTTACCGCTTCGCGATTTTTACTTTTCTAACAGAGTTTCAGTATCATTTATCCGAAAGGTCATGAAACCTATTTCCCTCTCTGATGGCACTCAACTACCCGCTGGCACCAAAGTTATCGCTCCCCAAGCTGGCATCGCTCTTGACGAGCGCTATTTCCCTGAGCCAGAGCGATTTGATGCTTTCCGCTTCTACAAACTACGACAAGAGTCAGCTGAAGCCAACAACCGATTCCAGTTCACGTCTCTTGGCGACACATATATGAACTTCGGTGCGGGCAAACATGCGTGCCCCGGGCGTTTCTTTGCTAGCAACGAGATTAAGCTTGTGCTGGCACATCTACTCATAAACTATGATATCCGTCTCAAGGCGGGCGAGGACAGACCAAAGGCTATGTCGGTGGTTATGGTTAAAGCCCCTTCGCCAAACACTGAGTTAGAGTTTCGACGAAGGTCATTGGTAGCTTAGACGACGAGTCACGTACATAAACTCTCTTGATACCCAGTATATTACTTTATTCTGTATATAGAGCATGGAAGGCGCACAAGCGAATGTTTAATACAATTGGGAACAGAAAGGTTACAACTCGAAGTATGTGTAATGAAAATCGGGGGTGAAATTAATGAGTACTGTGCATATTAGATGTGTATCTCAAAACAATCGTGCAAAGGTTCCGAGAAGTTTCTCTCTTTTGTAGTTTATTCAAGATGGTATAAATCACAGTACAATTTCTACATAGGTAGTCTTATGTAATCTTAGGATACGATTATGTACATCTGTAGTATTATGCGCATCCGTAGTTGGCTCGTTATCAGAAGTTTTGCACAAGACTGTAATCGCGTAGGTTACCAAATGGTACAAATTGCATTACTCGGACTGTTCTAATCTAACAAAGACACAACACAGGGACTCCGAGCGTGGCTGTCGTATGGGGTATCATGAAGTCGTAGGTCAGGCGCACGAGAGCCACTTTGCCCTGGCCTTGAAGCATCGTACGGTCCTCTCTGATCCCGTGCCATCTCTCTCTGACTGACCTAACCAACAACCGGCGCATCCCGAAAGGGCTGAGGCGAAGGGTGAGGTTGTAGCTGAAACGAAATGGGTCCGTAGTCTTGTTCGAAAGATGAAAAACAAATAGTGATTGATATCCTTGTTTTTGATCGGATTCTTTTTTGGGATGCGCAACACCAAAAAAGACTTAAGATTCGGACAAACATTGATATTTACAGATCCAACCCACCCGGAACGCCCCTCGCCGTTGTTGAAGAAAAAGCCGTCAACCATTTTTCCCTGATGCAACAAGCTGAAGACAAAAAGTCTACCGGGAACCGTGAGATACCTGGGAAACCGCATGACACAAAGCAGACCATCTCTTCCTCAATCTTCATTCCTAGCGAAATACACTGTAGCAGGACTTAGGTCGTCTATGCCTTGTAACGCTGGTACTCGCCGGCAACCAAACAATGGTCACGCTCGAAGGGTTCTATAGACATGTTAGTTGAGTGGCTTCATGATTGCTGAGGGTGGGAAACATACCCAGAGTAAGCTGGAACTTGGGCTTGATGGACTCAGCTCGCATCTTCTGGACCTCGGCAGCGAAGACCTCGGCGGCGGGAGCGGTACTGTCGATACAGTTGGCCTTGATGGAGATGAGAACACCACCGCCAACCTTGAGGAACCAGTTGGCGTTCATGGCAACAATACGGGCCTGATCAGGCTGGGCAACATCGGCAAAGATGACGTCGACCATGGGGACAATCATGCGGTAACGAGCAGGCTGACGGGCGTCCTCAACAATGGGGACAACGTTAGGTCGCTTGGAGGCCATGGTGATGAGATCACGGCCGGATCGGGAAGAGAACTCGACGGCGTAGACGTAACCGGTAGGACCGACGATGTCAGCGACGTGAGAAACAGAGGTACCAGAGGCACCACCAAGGTAGAGGACGCGAGAGCCAGGCTTGATGTAGATCTCATCAGCACCACCGGCAATGGCAGCGCAAAGCTTGCTTCGGAAGGGGTTCCACATGCGGTACTCGATCTTGGTAGTGGTGGTGGTACCGTCGTCGTTCTGGACAGACTCGTCGACAGAGATGCGCTTCTCGCCGTAGACAGACTCGCCAGGGGTTGTGTTGCGGGTAGCAAGACCATCTTCCTTACCGCCACGGACGACGAAGACACCGGGGTGGCGATGAGGCTCCTGTGAAGAAAAAAAGTTAGATCGCAAAACTTGGTGAAAAAGTTAGACGCAAGGATCAACATACAACAATGACCTTGGCACCGCCTCTCTGGCCAGCACCAGCACCGCCGCGACCACCGCGAGGAGCACCTTTTCATCTCGTCAGTATTATAATCATGGTGTAGTAAAGGGTTGATGCTTACCTCGTCCACCGCGAGGACCGCCACGGCCACCACGATCACCGAAACCGCCACGGCCACCACCTTTGCGAACAGTCAGTTTTCAAGTCCAAAAGAATGCGACAAAGACGTCGCGAAAGCGCATTTCATACCTCGTGCACCACCACGGCCACCTCCACGGCCGCCGAAGCCGCCGCGATCACCACCGAAACCACCTCGGCCACCGCCGCGAGGGCCTCCACGGCCACCACGGGCACCTCCTCTGGGAGTGAAAGGAGCCATCTTATTCGATTAGAGAGGAATTGAACAAGTTTGAAAAGATTAGAAACGACAAGAGGTCGATATCGAGAAGTATTGCGCGCGAGGAGAGATCGTCGAGAGAAGGCGGACGTGGATCAAAGTCCAAACTTGTCTTTTGTATAGCCTTGTCTGGGGGACGCTGGGCGCTTTGGGAGACTCTTGAGAAAGAATTTTTTGAAGCTCTATGAAGCTCAGGCCCACTTAGTTTATGCAAGTTTCTCCGACTCCGAGGTGGGTCCGGGGATAAAGCGGCTCCGGCAGTTCGGATGCAAGAGAGTTCACGTGCCGATAGCAGATAAGAGTCAGGTGATATTCACGGCATGTTAGTTAGCTGGTAGACATCCAAAACTACGATACAACAGCAATTAAAATCACAAATAACTATTCCTCATATCCAATTACCCCGTTGCACGTCTTACAGAGTTTCTCTCAATTTTTTCCGATCTCATTGCGACTTTTGCCGCTGTTTTTCGCATCTTTCACCAACAGGGCAGGCAAACCCTAAGGCTTCTTTCCCAAAGGAGTGGGGAAAGCGAGTTTGTGGTCCCTCCGACCTGTTAGGGCAAGAGCTTCAGAATTTCTCAATTTCAGCCCGCCAACCCACGTTCCCGTCGAAACCGTCACTCACCACCCAAGTCGCCGAGATGGTGAGTAAATGCGCCCCCGTCGATCGCCATGACGAGAAAGAGGAGGATATCTTGTTGTACGGATTGTCAGAAAATTGCTGGTGCAACTTTTGACGGTTCGGCAACCTTTGACCGACCGAAATCGCTTCGTTGTGGTGATGGCATGGATTTTTGAGGATGTGTCATGACTGACTGGGATTTTCTACGCACACAGGTTCGATACGCTGCCACCGAGATCCAGCCCGCGAAGTCGGCCCGCGCTCGCGGTGCCTACCTCCGAGTGTCTTTCAAGAACACTCGCGAGACCGCCCAGGCCATCAACGGCTGGAAGCTTCAGCGCGCTGTTACCTTCCTCGAGAACGTTAAGGAGCACAAGGAGGCCGTCCCCATGCGACGATACGCCGGCAGCACTGGTCGCACCGCCCAAGGTACGACGTTCGAGATCCCCAACCGCTAGCGATGGACTTTGAGAAATCTGGATGAATCGCGAATGGTTCGAATACGTCAGAGGGGTAAAATGCTGATGGACTTAATCAATAGGCAAGCAGTTCGGTGTCTCCAAGGCTCGATGGCCCAAGAAGTCCGCCGAGTTCCTTCTCGGTCTCCTCAAGAACGCTGAGGCCAACGCTGATGCCAAGGGCCTCGACACCGGTGCTCTTGTTGTCAAGCACATCCAGGTCAACCAGGCCCCCAAGCAGCGACGAAGGACATACCGTGCCCACGGTCGTGTATGTTTACCCCTTCCATCAATCTGAAACCCACCTAACATGATATCAGATCAACCCTTACATGTCCAACCCCTGCCACATCGAGCTCATCCTGACCGAGGGTGAGGAGGTTGTCCAGAAGTCCGATGCTGTTGTTGAGCGTGAGCACCTTAACTCGCGCCAGCGTGGTGCCCGTCTCCGCAAGGCTATCACTGCCGCTTAAGTCAAACAACAACCTTCTATCAAATAGACAAAATTTAAGCGCTGGTTGAAAACTGGGTTTACGTCGGGTATCTTTTGTGTTGTAGATGTGTGACTACCAAAGGTACACTACACCAAGATTACAAAGCTCGATCAATTGTTCTAGGGTTTTTGCGAGGGTGGTTCGTGGCTTTTCATCTCCTGGGGTATGGCAGGCTACGGTAGCATGGCATTAAAGGGAAAACGCATGCAAAAATTCGCAAGGTTTTCTTGACGAAATAAAATCAATGAAGTCCTCCTACATCTGGCTCTTGCTCACGGTGATAACGTGACATGATGAAAAACGTCAACATAAATGGTTATGTGAAGCTTCGATTAAGTCTGCTTGCCACCCTGGATGTCAAAGTTGGATCACCCTGGTTTGTCTGTCTCATTTTTGAAGTTGTTAGGTCGGGTGTAGGTTAAGTCATGTCAATGGGTGTATTGGTAGACTTATTCGAATCGCTGGTCTGATAGCGTGATTTGTGTTGGTGACTACAATTATTTAATACTTTAAGAGGCATATCATACGACACACCAATACCCAATGCTAAGCATGGTTCAACAAACCACTTCCCGAAAGCTACTTGTCATTCATGCCGACCGGGAGCTACTGGCTCGGGACAGCTTATCCAGTTCTGTTTTGCCCAAATATCATGTCCTTTCTCCAGGTCCACACAGAAAGCAAGTACTAAACGCTTGTCCCCTTCCTTTTAATGGCTGTGCCTGATTTCAAGCACCATGAGCAAGAAATAGTTGCTCAAACATACAAACAAGCCGATCTTACCAGAGCACATCCATGGGAGGATTGCTATCCTTGGCTCTGATAGTGCCAGCAGTATTGATTGTGCCGGAGAAGCGACCCATCCCTGGTGTCTCAACACCATCAGCCCTTGCGTCGGATATCGTCCGCTCGTCGTAGATGCCTTCCCAACCAAAATCCATATCGAAGACATGGGAAAGGTGGAACACCTCCTGACCACGCATACAAGGTGCAATACGACCTAGGAGCTTATCCCTAGAGTGCTGCATCAAAGGTGACAGGTCCTGACCATGTGGATTGCCATTACCACCAAGACCTTGTACTCCCATAGGCAAAATACTTCTGGTATTTATCGCTGTCAAATCAACTGATACGTAACCACAAGACTTGAACGAGAGGCTCTTGAGAGTGTACTTCTTTTCATCGGAGCGCAGACGGTATGATTCTGGTATGTACTGCCTCAGAGAATCTGGTTGGTGGGGAGTCAACTGACTCGCAGGATTCGGAGCCGAGTCTTCCCTGGCGGCTAAGATATGTTTGGTTTTGACACTAGGAGACAAGTGATCTATGATACCTGGCCACGAAAATGGCTCAGGCTGTTGTAAGGTATCTGGCAAATCTGGTGTTGGATTGTTGGGTTGCGGCAAGGGGAAGAATCCGTGATTTGGAGGAGCCGCTGCTGGCCATTGCATTGTTGCGGCAGGCGGAGGAAGAGGTTGACCGAGAGGAAGACCAAGATGAGTCAGATGTGGTGCAGGCCCCGGAAGCTGAATTAAGCCTAGAAGATTGGCAGTGTTCAGATTAATAAGAGGATGCTGGAGAGGAGCTTGCGGGACGAAGGTTGGTGGGCCAGAAAGTGAAACAGACTCTAAATCAAGCTTCTCGAGTGCAGAGAGGGCCATGGTGCGAAGTGTCTGCAAAAAGACATGCGGCGAAGCCCAACAGTTTTTGATCGACAAATGTTTTATGAACGGCAGTGTCAAGAGATCATCTTGGTGAGTTTTGGGACTATCTACCTTTGCCATGAGTTCAGGGTTTTCGAAGAAAGGAGCTGGGAGGATGAAGTGATGTCGCTGGTATGTTCCGGGGGCAAACTCTCCACCACAGATCCATTCAAAGTGAAGACTCTCAATGTTGGGCTGGGCACCAATATAGTTGTTCAGTAGCTGGTATACCTTTTCAACAGCTTCGACAGGAGAGACGGGAGAGTCTTCAACGCATCCAGGGGCAGATTTGGAAATGCGTCGCCAATCAGCAATAACGCCCAGTGAAACATTGTTGAGAGCCGGCAGGTTTTGCCAAAGTTCGTGACGATTGAAGATATACACATGACTGCTGGGTATCTTGGCAATCGTGAGGGTTGTTAAATTCTCAAAACAGCCATCTCGGGCGTTGTCAATCAAACCGATAACATAAGACTGAATCATAGCTCGGTGTGCCCACTCCAGCTCTAGAAGCATTTCTTTTTGTGCTCTTGTGAGACTGGAAGGGATTAGTGGGTGACTTGCCACATCTGCGGCGACAGGCTCGAAGTCAGCACGATAATTATTCGGTGGCAATGGTACCCTAGCTTCCCTGTCGTTAAGAAGGGAAGCTCGCTCGTCAAAGTCGATGGAGTTGATATCTGTACCCTCCGTTTCCAGTATCATTCGCACAGCTTCATGGAGCTGATCGCCTGAGTATCCAGCATCGGAAGCCATTTTCTGTAGTACGGTTTGCTTGAAACTGATAGGACTCTCGAACACAGGTTGCTTGGAGTCACTGGAAGACATAGTGACAATAGGTTGCTTCCGGTGTTGTTGTTCAGAACCCTTCAGACGCCAGTTCTGTGTTGAAAACACAGGGTGAAGTGTGGTAGCGCTGCGCGCGATGTGGTCAGGTCCCGAGAGAAACCCAAGGCCAGCATCGCAACAGAGTCCGAGGTTCGTGACCTTGACCAGGCATTTGAGCGCTTCCTTCATTGCCTCGGTTTCATCAGCGGTCTGTTCAAGGCCCTCGAGATCGGTATAGCGGTGGTAAGTACCGTGCGGCCACCGATATATGCCCCAAAAAGAGGGTACAGCCTCCTGTGAAGGCTTGATTGGGGGATATGAGAGAGTTTCCTCATCGAGCTCCAGTGAAAGAGCGAACCGCCAGATATGTGGACCGAACGACTGGAATATGCGCATTCCATTGGAAAGAAGCGCAGAAGAGGTGCGCTTGAGGGCGCCGTTCTCGTCACGATCCAATTTACTGTAAAGTTCAGACTTGAAAGGCACGACAACATTTCGAAAATACTGCGCAGACACCTTGACCTCAAACTCTTTGCAAACGAGTCGCAAGCATCTAACTTCCAGACGTGTGAGGTGCGAGATGATGATTTCGAATATCTCAACTGGTACTTGATTCGGAGGCCAGATGACGGAGGTATTCTGGCAACCCCAATCGCGGGAATTTGACCGCTCAGAAAGAGAGGTCATTTCATCGTCACAAGATGGAGGAGCAGTGCTTGGTCTCCTTTGATCGGAAGCCGAACCAGTCGTATCGATTGAGTTGCGCATCATTCTAGCAAGAGGGAGTAAACAAACTCTATAAGTAGTGTTTGTGAACCACAATATTGCGTTGAATAATAGCGTGAAGAAGTATCGCATATATGTTCGGTGAGACGAAGTTGAGATGAAGTTGAGATATCGTCGATGGAATGGCGGGGTGCACCGAATGCGATGATGCAAGAAAGGGAAGGTTGTAGTCGGAGTCTGATTGTTTATAGACGTAACGCTGCAGAGCAATGCTGGTTGGTAAAGAGTATCGGCCCAACTGCGGTGAATAAGAGAAACGAAAAACAAAATGTTGTGCAGTTATGGTTCGTATTGAACCGAATGGCTGAATGGGTGAAGTATCGTAGGCCGCTTGGTAGGCAGGTGGTTGAACCAACGGGCGGAATCGGATTTGCGGCAAACGCCCTGGGGAAAACTGGATTCGAGGGGACAGACCCTCGTCTCCCGGTAGTTGGTAAGATACAGCAGCTATCGATCTATGCTGGGGTTAATTGAACGATGTCTGATTGCGGCTCCGAGGGGAGAAAATCATGTTGAAGATGGGGATGGCATGTTTGAGTTTAGGCTTCAGGGCGTGGGGAAAGTCCATGCTCTTTCCGTCTGCTAACGTCAGTGGGTGAGTGCCCGGGCATGTTCCGTGCCGCAAAGGTACATCCATGACAGCTGCGACGCAGTCAGAATTTAGGTACCGTTATAGGTACCTACCTCTTAGACGAAGGTTCCTCAGCGGAGTGGCATGATCATCTGCGGTGGATAGGTGCCGTAGATGTCAGTGCTGAACAGTGAAGGGCAACCAAGGACGCAGGTACCGAATATCTATATCTTTATTTGTTTATTAGAAAAGGTAAAGTTCTTTATACTACTAAGGTATTCACACTACCCAAATATTTCTAGAATTAAGCAAGAATGTCCCTTATTAGTTGTACATATAATGCTCGGCTCAATGGATGCTTCGCTCTCCAACTTCATCCCTCTAGGCAGGGTCCGCCCTGTGCGCGTCCCCATGGGGAGACCATAGGGATATCATGATACAAAGCGCGGAGAAGGTCGGAGCTGAGTATGACACTAGAAGAGTCGTCACCGGCTTGAAGTATCTATCATTTAACTTTGTAAGATGTCGAAACTCGGTTTTATGATGCAAAACTCTCACATTCACTTGCTCAAATCCTCAACAGATCTCAAGTCACAAGTTGAATTATTGACCTCCACTGCGCTAACATCAGGGGATATTACATAACCAAAACAAAACTATCTACGTGTATAAGAAAAAGAATGCTTTCATGCCCAAACATCCAGTCATATGATGATTAATCTGCCACCTCTTATTTCAACCATTCGTTTAGCTCTCGTCTTCTTCAATGTCACCAGCCCAGAACCAGTATCTAAGCCGTGTTAGTCATTGTGTAAAACAACAAATAGTGTGAGGAAAACACTTACAGTGTTGAGTATTCAACCTCAAATTCAGATCCCATGCCCTTGCAAGTTGCAGGGGCGCTACCACCAGCAGTCGTAGTTCGGTACACCTCCTTCATGTTGTGAGTCGCACCCTCGATGGTCTTGAGCCTGAGCCACGGCACAGCGGCCTCACCAAGTTGTCCCTTGGCGGAAAGCGAGGGAGCGGGAGCACTGCTGTTCTTGGCGCAAGGAGCCTCACCAATATCTTGCTCTGGTGTGCGGAGGTCGAAGAAGGGTACGCCATCGGCAGTGAAGTAATGGTGACCAGAAACAGGCAGAGACGCAGGACCGAGCTTCTTGGCGTCGGTCAAAGGGAAGTGAACAGCCATGCCAGGAATACGTTCGAGAAGGTCGGGGTAAAGTGCGGCGACGCAGCTGGCGTTGAAGAGTGTGGCCACAGCACCAGTAGCAACAGGGGCCGATGAAGGGTTCTTGGTATCGCAGGTATAGTTTTGCGTTCCACGGCCGATGGCGACGTGCTTTAGAGTAAGACCCTTGGCTGGAGGAAGTAGTTGACCATCTTCAACCACATATTAGCACAAGGGGGACTGGTAGCTGAAGAGTGACAAAACATACCAAGAGGCATCTTAGCGAGCGAGAGATCACACACCGGAGCCATGCCAGACACCTTAACAGCCTTGACCTTATCTGCAACAAGGTTGAAGTAACCAGACAATGACCCTAATGTGTCGATGGCAGATCGAGTATCTGTGACTGTGACTTTGGGATAGGTAGGTGCTGCTGAAGCAGTCACCGCCAAGACAGATGCGACGAGTGTTGATAATTGCATTTTGGAGGCGTGTAAGTATAATGTTTTGGTGATGTCGAGGGTGTAAGGCGTGTCGGTATCGTTTGAGTCGTCAAGACGTCTTTCGTTACGAGAACTAAAAACCCGAGAGAAAAAACAAACAGGAAAGCTTATAGATAATCGATCAAGCAGGACGAGATTTGAAGAAATGAGACTGATGACCCTAGGAAATAAGGAAATAACATATAAAGGAAAAGAGACAAAAAGAAAAAAGAACGCTCAGCGTCTTTGAGTGTATAGAGATGCAGAGACTGAGAGATCTTTTCCTGCCTCTTTCTTTTTTTCTCGACACCATGGAGCAGACGAACCATCTCTTATTATAACCAACCTTCTCCTCCAGCCAAGATCCTGTTACAGGCGCCTGAGCGTGTGGGCGGTAAGTGTGAGCAAAGGGCCATGATTGGACCATCTGCCAAGATCTGAGTACAAAAATAAACACCAGCCCTTTTCATGTCATGGCTGTCCAAGATGTCCTGCACCTTCGGCTCATGTGTGATGCGGGAAGCAGATTGATCGCTGAGGTCCAATCGTTGAGTTGATGAAGAAAGATACCGGGGTCGTGATTGGTGAGATGAGTTTGTTTAAGCGCCTGTCTCGGGCGCCGGCATATGAATGAATGCATGGACCCCTCCAAGGGCGTCTAGAGGAGATTTGATGGGCACTAGGGAAATGCTACGACAACGAGAGTATCATTTTTAATGGGAATTGCCATGTGAGATCTGGGTTCGAGAACTCGAGCTTATTGTCAAAAGCCATGACGATTCAATATGCAGAAATCTGACGACATGATGCTCTACCTGAATAATAAGTCAGCTAGTCACCTACTTACGCAGTACATATATATGTTCAAATCGTCCCAGTCGGCACTCGAACTAACCAAACATGTACCACTCCGCACGCTGCCTGTCTCTCTTTCTCTTCTATTCATACCTGCCATGTCACAAGAGCCATCTATTGAACATAGGTTACATCCCGGCCTCTCAATCATACCCTTTCATCTTCTCCATGCCAACCGGGATCCCTTCAATAGAACCCAAGATCTCTGGGCGCCACTCGTGGACCAACCTCATGCCAGCATCAAAACATCCAAGACTTCTTAAGAAACGAGAAACAAAGTCCCGCGCCCAGAGTAAATTACATGCAGGGTACCGAGTAACCTGACGCCAGTCTACGAGTCTCTGATTGGCCCGGGGGTCATGCACCTCCACGGGCCGCGATAAACGGCCAGCGGCTGCAGAAAATAGCAACTGACCCCGCCAAACAACAAAAGAACCCCTCTCACTCAAGATGGAGGCAGGCTATTTTCGTATACTAATTACTACGGATATAGCCAAGCTTCCATCATGACTTGCATGTGTAGTGGAGCTCATAATGGCTGCCACATGTTTGCTTGACTTCTTTGAGGAGGTTGCTTAGGTGGATCATGTTATGCTTTAACTAACTTAACTCTAAACATCCATGGATATCATCATCCACGAACAACTATCTGTGCACTACTATCTATCTTGGCATCTCGCTTACACCAACACCAGATCCCGCTTGCTTCCAAAATACAGGGTTCCATATATCCAATTACTCCACTAACGAGCCCATCCCAACCCGGGCTTATACTGGTAACAATACAATTCCGTCTTCCTCGGAGATTTATTTACACATTCCTTTTCGAGCTTTTTGACAAAACACACCCCAAACGATACGGCGCATCGCCCTCTACTTTGCAGGATCTTTAGGCGCCCCATCCATTGGACTGCCAAGTGAGCCCCCGGCTACTCCAGCTGCCGCCGCGGCCGCGGACTCGAGATGAGTTACCCGCTGGACGTCCGACGAACTCAGCCAGTACAGACACATAAACACCAGCAAATGGAGTGCCACGCAGTAGGCACCGAACAGGTTTCGACTGGTCCGCGAAGCAAGGACTGTGCGCGTTAAAGAGTATACTGCGCGCTCCGGGAGGCTCATCCTCTTGTAGGCTCGAGCAGATTCCCGCCCGCGGAAAGCTGCGAATGGTGAAATATTAGACTCGTATGCCTGGCGGTACCGGTCCATGGCAATACCAGGATTGCCCGTTTCACCGATCGACACTGTCGACGGGTTTGGGTTTGCTCCGTACGCTGATGATGTCGCCGCGCCGCCCCCTCGGTTGTAGGTTGAGACATATCTTGTCTTCTCGTACAAATTCAGGTTATCCTTCTGCAGTGCCGCTACTTCCTGGCGCAGCTGCGAAACCGTGCGGTGTGTGTTTGATAGCTCTTCCTCCAACTCTGTATTCTTTTTCTTGTAGCGATCGCGCTGGGCCGTAACCATCGGCAGCATACCAGAACCTCCTCCGTAGACTCGCTCACCAGGCTCACCTCCTCCCATGCGAGGGTCCATGCCGCTGATGATGGAAGACGTTGGCGAGATTCTGCCACTCTTGCGTCCGACTGCCCTTGTAACATATGTTCCAGCTACGGAAGCACCGGACGGGAATGCGTTGGCACCCTCTTCCTGAATCGTCTCCAAATCACTCTCCAGCTTCTGGTTGAGCTTCTGAGATCGCTCCAAATCTGCATTCGTCCTCGACAGCTCCTCTTGTAGATCCTCTAGGCGGCTCTGCAGATCGTTATGAGAAACACGCATAATTGTCAACTCGTCGCCCAGCTTCTTGTTTCGTGCAAGGAGAAGTTTCTCAAGAGAATTGCCCTCAGCATTGTTCGTCTCGAGATGCTCTCGTACCTCATCGTCATCGCCTGTAGAGAACTCGATGCTCTTGAGCACTTCAAGCTCTTGCTTGATCTCATCGTAGTCGCTCCACTTTTGGACCTTACTCTTTAATGTGTCCCTTTCTTCCCTTATAGCACTTATTTCCCTTTCAACGGACCGCAGCCTGGCATCTAGGTCCCGCTTGAGTCCTTCCTTCTCTACGCGGGCAGCATCGAGCTTGCGGATCATAGACTGGTTCTCGGACCTCACTCGCATATAGCCAGGATCGTCCTCAAGGTTCATCTGAGGCTGCTGTTGTGCCGAGGATTTGGCTTGTGCCAGCTCCAGGCGCATTTGCTCGTTGCGTGCTTCGATCTCGGCAAGTCGAGAGCTTGTACGATCCAAGTCCGCATGAAGCATCTCAAGCTCAGCGCTCGAGACTTGGTTGCGTTGAGTATCCTGATCATCGCCATTCTTGCCCAATCGCTGGTTAACCTCATAGCTAGCACGCATCTCGGTAAGCAGGCGTTCCTGTTTTTCCAGCTTGTCCTCCAACGCCTTCTCCTTGGCCTCCCAGTTATCGGTCTTCTCTTCTAGCACGGCGGTCCACGATGTCTCGACTTCCTTGACACGACTCTCGAGATTCTCCTCCAACTCTTTTCGGGACTTCCGCTCATTCTGAAGCTTCGATTCGACATCCTCTAATTGGGTTGTGAGGTTCGAGACATTCTCTTGCAGGTGTTGGTTCTCTTCGGTAATCTTGGGCAAAGTATCTTCAGCAAGGAGCATCGAATCCACCGAGGCTTCGAGGAGGGGGTATGGGTCTGGAGCATCGGAGAACGAAGTATAAGTCTGCAGAAATGCCGAGTTGACAGACTTGGAGTGGTTCGTAAGAAGGTCGATGAAGGTTTGATAGGCTGCAAGCATGTTAGCTCACCATATGTACTAAATTACGATGCCGCGCTGCTGGTACATTTCAACAAGCCCTTGATTTCTGTAAGCTTGGCAGAATCATCGAGTTTACGAAATTCCTTCGTTTTTTGTGCCAGTTCTTTTCGCTGAACGGTCGAATCGCGCTGATAAGCAACTATGTCTGACGCTGTATTGTCCAGGTTGGAGACAAGGCTGGTGAGATCGATAGCTATGTATATAGTTAGGAATTGATAATAGCTGAAGTGTACTGGCGGGCATACTCCTCCATGCCGATATGGCATGCTGAAACTTGTTCTCTCCCTCGAAGGTTGGCGCAGGCGTAGGCACAGGAGCTTCAAGCGAGGTAGCCAAAGCCGCCTCAACGGCTGCGTCGGTCATGGCGTTGTATGGAGCTGGGAATCTGAGCGGCGCAAAGGAGTGTATTTGGCAGCCTTGAACGCCGCGAATTCGATAGAACGAGCGTGTTGCAGTTGGAACTATCCTTCAGGTTGTCGTATAGACTTCTTTGTTGTTGTGATCAAACCGAAGCCATGTGTTTGTGTTGATGAATATAGTAGGAATGTGTTCTCCTTGATAACTTGGGGCCAGGTTGTTCCGCGTGTCTCCCAAGCTCATTGGCTGCGCAAGCTGTCAGGCTGATGACGCCAAGGCCACAGGGGGAATCCGTGGACTGATCCCCCGCAGCCTTGCAGCTCAGTGCAGCACAGGCACTGATCGCAAGCATGTTCAGTGGTCGCTCTAGGCTACCCACTTAAGGTCCCGCCAGCTTCCAGAGCTTCAGCTGCATCCACCCAACTGATGTCAACATACACCAGTCAGCCTGAAGTGCAAGCTATATCGGTGTTTGAATGCGCAACCGCACACCACGACATGCGCTATTCGCTCAAATGATGCTGTTGATAACGACGCCGCTATGACATCAGATGGCTCAGGCGACGGGCCTCCAAATATCAACCCCGAAGCAACCATTCGCGAGGTTGGCCCTTATGTTCTCCGGACACTGCTGGACGAGGTACCGCTATCTGCGGACGGTGACCACGACGACATCAAGATCAATTGTGTTGACTACTTAGGTAAGTTTGTTCTGTCAAGAAACTTCGGTATTTGCGGCCATCGTTAACATATGCGCATATAGAGGCGAACCTGTATGTTGGCACATCAGCTTCGGAGCTGCTTCACTTCGTCCAAATCCCACCCGACCCAAGCGATCGATCCGGACAGCCCGTTTATATCCTTGCGTCTCGCCTGTGTCCTCAGTATGCCGAGACACCAGGCACCCCGAACTCACGACCTGGCGTCCAACAAATACTACTGCTGCCTCGTGTTGGGAAAGCATGTATCCTATGCAATTGGACTGTCACTTTCTACTCTTTGCCGGAGCTCAGCCCTGTCTTTGGAAACACCATTGTCAAGAACTGCAGCTGGATAGGTGGAATCGACTTGAATGAGCCCCCTCTTGATGATGGAAGTACGGAGAGAACTGGAGGAGTAACGATCCTTTTGTCTCTCATGCGCAAGATCCAGGTAGTTCGAGTGGGAGATGATGCTCGCGCTTTCAAGGTAGTCATGCGAATTTCATTTCTAATTGGGTTGATACTAACACAGGGCAGAAAATTGACTTTTCAGGAAGCACTTTATCGGTACGCAGAGATTCGATCGCATGCGTGGCAGACTCCAAATCGTATGCGCTCATTGACGTGGACCAACAACTCAAAATTCCTTTAATGAGTATCTCCTCATTGGAAGAGACTACTTCACCTAGTGAGATTGGACATGCTCAGAGCATTGGAGCAGATACTTCAAGTGGACTCCTACGGAGTTCTTCTTCTACTGGAAACCGCACATCCAGCGAAGCCCCAACCCATAGCCGAAGCACAAGCTTAGGAGGCTCGATATTAGACAGTATCCGCCGACAAGATTATCGTGGCAGTGAAAATGATGACTGGCTGGGTCGCCACCCTTCACCGCAGCCATCCATAAGCCCCCGGCCATCTATGGAGAGAGCCTCAACCCCAAACCCTATGTCACTCGATAAGCCATTGCCTGCTGCACCATCGCCATCGGGCACTCCTTCACAGATGACAGATCCTCGACCCAAGCCTAGCTCAGTCCTTCTGAAACCTCACATTACCTCACCAACCCCTGACGAATTCTTACTTGTCACTGGAACTGACCCTTTGGAACCTGGAATCGGCATGTTTGTGAATCTTGATGGTGATCCAACGCGACCCACCCTTGAGTTTACAAGATATCCCAGAGAAGTTGTTGTAGATAGCCCACCTTCAGATCCCAACTCATCACAGCCTTCTTCAACACAGGAAGAAGAGGGATATGTTCTAGCGTCAATGACTAAAGAGGTCGAAGGCAGCTTGCAACATGGACTCGAGATCCAACGATTTGATGCTGGTTCAGAACCGAATCCCCAGAAGTATTGGTTGACTGCTAGAGAAGCCGCTCCTGATGGTACATATGGCATTCGTTCTCTTGCTGGCAGTGAAGACACGCGGTTTGATGAGATCGTTCAGAAGCTGTCTCAAAGACGATATACTCCCTTTTCCGTCTCCATTTCCCCTGGGACTCCCGACCCTTCGTCTACAGCCAAGACTCCTGACTCAAGGACTGCATTATCAATAGAACACCTCTCAAAAGAGAAGGAACTATTCGACAGAAACATAGACTCACAAGACGAAGAATCACTACCTGAAGAGTGGGAGGCGAATCGCAATGCTGAGGGAGAAGAGTTCGCTCGTCAACTTGCCAAAGCCCAAGCAAGATTAGCCGTCTGGAACGGGAGCCGCATCTGGTGGGCTATTCGCAACCCCCTCATTATACAGCTTGACGCAGCTCTGGAGGCCGCATGTGCGGGCGATGTTTTCAATCCTGCAGAACTAGATCGCCAGGCCATATTCCACACCATTAATTCCATCAGGGGCCGAGATCCCCAGACCGAGCTAGAGTTTATGACTTATGGCTACATACGACAAAAGGCTGGTATCCTACTCCTAATAAGCTTGCTGAAGTCGCCTGAAGACAAGCAATTTACAGATAATGAAGTAAAAGCGCTTGAGGAAGTTTTGGTTGAGAGTGGTCTTGACCCTCGAGTAGTGCTTTCACTGATCCCTAGTATCCGAAACGAGATAATCGAAGGTCCACGCGGGATATGGATTTATGGAGGTGTGAGAAGAACCGCCGATGCGTACCTCCGAAGCAGAGAGTTCCAGGTGACGTCTAAGGATAGTGTCGGGACCCTGGAGCCGAGGACCATGCATTTCCTTCGTAAATTCCTTGGGACCTGGCGGAAAAGGAAAGGCTTTGGTAGTGTTGCCGACGAACGAGAGGTGTTCCATACCGTTGATGCTGCTTTGCTACTCGTGCTTCTCGAGGTTGATCAGCACTCTCCAAAGGGCATGGGCAAAGGAGGCGTTGTGAGGTCAGAGCTATACGAAATCGTGGACAAGGGCGTTGACTGCTTCGACCGTGCAGTTGACCTACTTGAATCATACCACCGGCTTTTTGTTCTGAGTCGACTGTACCAGAGCCGCAAGCTGTCAAGCGATGTGTTGGCCACTTGGAAACGAATTATCGAAGGCGAGCAAGACGTGGGCCAGGAACTTCGCGAAGGCGAACAGCGGGTTCGTGAGTATCTGACAAAGACTTACAGCCAGGCTCTTGTTCGGGAATATGGCGTGTGGCTGGCAAGTCGGAATCCCAAACTTGGTGTCCAGGTCTTTGCAGAGGATAACGGACGAGCACCCAAGTTCGAACCAGCACAGGTTGTTTCCATCTTGCGGGACGAAGCACCCGATGCGGTCAAATACTACCTCGAGCACTTGGTGTTTGGCAAGGGACATACTACATATATCAACGACCTGATGGCGTATTACCTTGATGTGGTTGTGCACGACCTGGAGTCATCTGAGGATAGTCGGACTCTAGTCAGAGCGACATATGCAGCATATCGCGCATTGCAAGCTCCCAAGCCTGCATACAGCCATTTCCTTCGGGATAATGCTCCGCCCGATAATGAGGTCTGGCACAGCCGTCTCAGGTTGCTTCAGCTTTTAGCCGAAGCAAACGATTATGATGCAGCAGCAATAAGAGATCGAATCTCCACTCTGCCGGATGATCTGCTTGTGCCTGAGACTATTATCCTCGCCGGCCGGGAGCGTAAACATAATGACGCCCTTCGTCTCCTAATCCACAACCTGGGCGATTACGACACTGCTGTTTCTTACTGTCTCCGAGGCGGTACGAGCATGACAGGCGCTGCCTTATCCGAGCGGCCTTCTTTTGAGGAACAGCGCCGCCTTTTTAACGTTGTCTTCCACGAACTCCTATCACTCGAAGACCTCAGCGATCGGATTGAGCAGACTGGTGGGCTGTTGGAACGCTTTGGTGGTTGGTTCGAGATCGACGATGTGCTTGGTCTGATTCCTGATGACTGGTCTGTCGATATCGTCTCAGGGTTCCTTGTTGGGGCGCTTAAACGTCTAGTTGGAGAGGGACGTGAAGCTATGCTAACACGCGCACTGAGCGGAGCGCAGAACCTGCGTGTAAACTATGATCTTGTGGTCAAGGTGAAGGAGAAGGGGCCAAGTATTGAAGCCCCGAATTAATACACACCTACTTAGCAAATTTGTTTGTTTCATTATATAAAGAGGAGGATTCATAGCGAGCTTATGTACAGAATACAGTCAATGTAATCAGAGGGTTTGCCCATTTGTTCCGATATCATGATAACATATTCATTCTTTGGCGCCCATTGCACGCATCTTAATGTAGGTAATTCCCTTTCACTCCTCCTGACTATGTCCAGCTTTTACTTTGGGAACTGATTAACTCCGTCTTCATTAAACCTTGCACACCCCTGTGGGGGCGTTGCTCAGCCTCATCTTGCGGGCGGTAGTCGGGTCGTCTGAAGCAAGAGAGCCAATAAATCGAGTACCGGATACGAGACTAGAAAGCGATATGTTGCTCCGCCACGCTGAAGCCAAGCGGTTTTGGGTTCGGTGCTGACGTGGCTGTGGTATATAAAGACTCGTCCTCCCCCCTCTTGTTGGGCGAGGGTTTCTCGAGTCGGACTGACGACCAGCATCGACCTCACGATGTTGAAGCCCACTTCAGCGAAGCGACGACGAGCCACCTCTTCCGAACGGTGATATCATCCTCCCGCTCGATATCCCACGGTCTCTCTTCGCCGTTGCAGTCTCTCTCCCATATCCTTTCAACTTCAAGTCCAACCTTTTGAAGCGCCTCCACGTTGTAGAACCCGCTCATGTTCGTTCGACCAGTATGAAAGCCTGCGACGACCCAGCATCGTGCCTCGGGTGTGCGCTTGAGGAAATGGGCAATGGAGCAGTGCAGGTTGGAGTGCTGCCAGGGCATCCAAAGACAATCCGCGGCGATGATACGATCGAACGCATGCTCGCCTGATTTGCTGAAATGGTCTTCAAGCTCACCCCAGGAATGGCCCTCGACAGAGATTGCAGTAGAGGGTGTTGGCTCTGCCGAGGGGGGTGCTAACGAGGGCTGGATGTTGCGAGCGACGTTTGTACGGAGAGTTTTGAGAACAGGTTCGGCGGGATAGTCTGTGACGGCGACACGTTTCGCGCCCAATATACCGCCCATCATACTTGGTAACGCGGTTCCAGCTCCGAGTTCGAGAATATCAAGTCCCCTCACGTCGAAAGAGATGGTGTCCTGGGCTTCACGGGGCTTCTCCAGCGGAACATCAAGCGAATCGGCCTCAATGAACTCGGCAAGTAGGAGAGAGGAGTTCCAGAGGTAGTGAGAGAACAACTTTCGATCATCCTCCTTTACGGGGTCGGCGAGGTCGATGACAAGAGGCTTGGGGAGATGAGGTGAGGCGTATGAGAGGCTATTCTTGGCGTCGCCGTGTTGGTTTGTGACGTCGTCAGGAAAGATAACACCTAAAGCATCGTAGAGATAGTCCTCTGGGCTGTCGGCCTCGCCGATGACTGAGATACGCCAGGTGAGAGACATGACTTTATATTGACTCCCAACTCCAACTCTGAACCAATCCGACTCGTCTGATAGATCACTTGATCTCACTTTTAAAAGTACCAAATAGTAACGTGTTTCGGTTTTTTGACGGGCTATCGTACACAGAAGTCAAATAGGATCCTGGCAGTTAGACTTTTTGCACGATCGTCAAAACAACTAGCGATGAGTTATGATATGGATTGATGGTGGGGGAGGGGCATAGAGAAAATTTGCCAACCCCGACCGCTTTTACTGGAGACTAATACGACACAACTTCTAAGCCATTCAATATATAACATGATTCGAAACAAACTGCTGATTCTGTCTTCTGTACATCTCTCTGAGTCAAGGCGTCTTCCTGGCGAGACTTATACAGAGTTGGAGTTATCAGCACAAGACCAAGCACCTGATCCTCCAGAAGCCTTGTTGGAGTTGAGAATCCCAATAACAGATCCATATGTCCCGGCAATCATGAGGAAAGTTCCAGAGACAATTACAAAAATACTCCAGATAACCATGAGAACCCACCTGAGGGACTTCTCCTGCTTCCCTGCGCTCCAGTTGTCGTATAGCCAGAAACAACCATAGGGCTGAAACGTCTGGAGCGTGCCAAGGAGAGCGCCAACAAGAGACACGAGACTTCCGAATACTGGGATCGCACTCGCTATGATATAGGCAACAAAGGCTGTCGTGAAGGTGAGGCCGAGCCAAGTGGCCCAGTGGACGACGGTGTTTGCTGTGAGATGTTTTGAGCCACGGAGGATGCGAACGAATGCGTATTTTCCGGTGACCTATGACACACATATATAAGCAATTGTTTGTTTAGCTGGTAAAGATTATCTCACATGGGCGTTTATAGTCGCACCAGCAATAAGGCCTGGCAACGCAAGTCCATAGGCAATCTGCTTGATAGTCTTGCCGGCCGAACCCAAAGCTGGAGACGCAACATAGGAGCCACAGTAGTAGTAGATGACAATTCCTACAACAATATACGTAACAGTTGCAACGGATTGATAAAGCAGCATCGCCTTCGTGTAATGGCGAGGATCGCGCATTTCGGCTGCGATGGGGAAGAAAAGGGGCGTGCCAGCGTAGGCGAAAATAATTGTTGAAATGGCCGTCATGGCATCAGCAAAGCCTGGACTATTATAGAGTTTATAGTCTGATTTCCAATCATCATCGAGATTGATCTGAGGAGCAGCAGACGGCCGGTCTTGGATGCCAACGGCGATGGTGACGAGGTAAACTGCCGAGTGTATTCAGTATAAAAGATGGGAAACTCTCAGAAAAGAGTCATAACTTACCAGCAGCCATAAGAGAGATGACTCCAACCCACGCCAACCAACTCATTCTACTCAGCGTGCGAATACTGGAGCAGAGAAATACAATGATGGCGGCTACTGCAACAAATACAGCCGTGCAAGTCCCATGTGTTGATAGTGCATTGAAGCTGATGGAAATACCTAAAATGCCAGACGCAGAAGTAAAGATTGTAACTTCGTACTTGTTAGCAACAACTAGGATCCTATCCCGGTATCACATGTATCACTCACACAGGGCGAAGCCGATACCAAGGACTTCTCGTCCAACCCGTCCAAATAAAATACCACCTGCATCGTCAATTCCGTAGACTTCGCGATGGTTAAGTTTGAAGGTGCCGATCACGTAGTCGGACCAAGTAGTGATGGCTCCTATAACGATAAGGCATATGATGCCGGGGATAATACCCAGGGTATGGAACGCTGATGGGATCGAGAGGATTCCCAGGCCGATCTGTGTCTTCATCATGAGGGCAGACGTTCCTAACCATCCGACCTGCCTTCATCAGTTCTCTGCCTCCGGCGCAGTATTAGTTGCTGAACGATTACTTACATCGCGATAGTTAGGCCCATCCTCTATAATGTCACCAAAGACAGCATCGTGAGCTATAGCTGGAGCACCAGCAACTGGGATTTCACTTAGGCGACTCGGCTCCAAGTTCAAGCACGCGGGCTCTTGTTTATTAGCTTGTTCGTTATTCATTTCGATAGATACTATAGATTATACAAAGAAGAAACTCGTGGGATTGATGCTCTAAAGTACTTCATACCAACATCCATCTCAAAGTCCTCCCAACCCCCCAGTCGGCCCGTCAAAACGCTTTACGCCGCAGTCTTTCTCATGACCTATACAAATCTGTGGTAAGTCCATATGGCTTACTATAATCAAACAAGTGAGCGCACCATCATAGCCTTCTGGACCAGTCGCATTCTCCTCTCTTTGATAACTAAGAAAAAGGGAAGGCAGAGAAGATAGCCTGACTAGCAACCGCCTATCAGCCGTAACCTACCCCCAGCAAGGGTATAAAGACATTGGCTGGCTTTTCCGAAGGCAAGTGGGTTAACTATAGAGTTTGTGGCTGTATACTCTACTCATCAGGAAGCATCCTACTGAAATGTGCAATAGATCATGATGATTTTTGGGTATGAAGTCCACCAAGGTAAAAAGAGTATTGCACTTAACGAGGGAAATAAGATGACAGCATTTCCGACTACATGTATCCTGCCGTGTGATTAAGATAATGACGGTCCCTCCCTTGAAAGATGCCCTCGATACGTCGACTATATCTCAAGTAATATCTTTTCTACCGATTGACTCAATTTTATAGCCACGCGCCGAAATATAGGTATGTAGTCGTTTTATGATCGACGATGCAGGATCGGAATATTAATAACAAGTAATATTATGCAAATGCCTGCTCATATTACACATCCTTGTCCAATTCCATCATGACAACCTCAATAAACTCCGGAACTGATATACATGGCAACGGTCGGGTCATTATACAATAAATCCAATGATTCCAAGAGCATCAAGTGTGAATTGCAGAAATCATACCGTATGAATCATGTGCAGAGTGATTAGAGGTGCATTCAAAAGAGAAAAAAGGTGTGCCAAGATCATCCATTATTGTCATTAAGCCATCAGTGGGTGAGGTGCAAGTCCAAATCCCAGATAAAAACAACGAGTAAAAACATGGGTATCGATACGTCAACTCCTCGGTGCAAACATAGGCCCAAATACCATTCCGTTCCCTTTCCATTCCTTTGCTTTCGCTGCATCCCGTGGCTGGATATGTCCCATTCCCAAAACCCCGACATGAAGTTATCCGTAAATTACTCTGATCGAGCATCCATGTTCTAATACAATCCCGCCTACGCCGTGCCTATTATGCTTTTTTCCCAACATGTTTTGTTCGTGTACTTGAAGAGAGGGGTTGTAGTTGGTTCGTAAAATTGTGACCGATGATGTAGTGTTGTTTTATAGGGCAGTGCTGGTGTTGTTTGCGAGCATTTGCTGCATCTCCTTGAGCTGCTCGGGGGTAGGGTCGTCTGAAATCCAAGGGCCCTTCTCCTCATCTGTGGCACCGTGGAAGCCAGCAGCTCGCTTGAGAGTCTGGACATCGAGGTCGGTGACATAAGACTTGCCATCGGACAGCTTGATGCGGACCTCGTGGTCAGTAGAGAGCATCATATCGTCCTTGGCAAGACGTCGGGGACCGTCAAAAACAGCCATGACACGCTTCTTCATGGTCATCTGGCCCTTGTCGAAGCCCCACGACGAGGGGTAATCACGACGGTTCTTGCGGCTGCGGGTCTTGGTTCCCAACGTGACACCACCGCGGGAGTGAGTGACACCTCGAGACTTCTGGACACCGTTGGCAGGGTTGCCCTTCTTCTTCAGGAGGGGAGAAGCGTTGCTCTTGGGAGAAACATCATCGTCATCGTCGACACTCTCGGCATCGTCGTCATCATGGTTGGTCATGGTAGTATCGGTGGTAGTAGGGAGGTTGTTCTTCTCCAAAGTCTGGTGAACATCCTTATCGTTCTCAACCTCGGCCAGACGCTTAGCGTTGATAGCCTCGGCAGGATCCTCTTGTTGAACAATGCGCAACACACAGTCGTCAAGATGCTCGTAGAAGTCCTGGGCATTGGAGAAGGTCTGTGAGCAAGTGCTACACTTGCCAGTAGCGTCAGGGGCGTAGCCCGACAGCTTCTTGTTCGCGTTAGCTCCTGCAGAAGACTTCTTTCTGCTGTTGGGTGGAGTCTGCTCAACACCATGAACTGCAGTCAAGTGGCGCTTGAAGACATCGGCGCGGTTAAAGGACTTTTCCGCAGCCGATCCGGAGCCTGGGCAAAAGCCGCAGACCATTGTGCCCTTGTAATGGGTGAGAGTGTGGCGGTTCTTGTCATACTTGCGAGCAAAACCCTTGGTGTGGTACTCGCAGGTCTGAATGGGGCACTTCTCGGGGCGTTCATTCTGATGTGTGAGCATGTGAGCCTTGAGGTCCTTGAAGGTCTTTCCACAATCGGGATAAGAGCATCTTTGCTTCTCCTTGGACTCGTCACTGCTGTACTCGCCCGGTGTAGGCGGCACAAATTGGCTGATGCTTGGGGCGCGGATGTGGTTGTGGTTGTCCATTGGCACGCCGTAAGGGCTGCTAGGGAATTGGGACTGAAAGCTGCTAGGTTGGAGGAATGGCGAAGAACTATTGGTTCTCATCATATGGGGTTGAGGCGAGGATGAAGATGCAGAAGGTGATGCGGGATATGTGTGATTGGGTTGCTGGTAGTGAGCATCATAGGAAGGAATTCCCATAGGTGGGCGAGTAAGCTCTGGGTGAATAAGAGAAGGGTCTGTCATGGCAAAAGTATGGTTAGCGATCAACTCAGGAACAGATCAAAAGCAGATGCAGATGCAGAAATGGTGGAGTTGAAGTGAGGGTGGGTGAGTACGCGATTGCAACCTCGGGTCAGCGGAGCTAGGCCCAAGATGGATTTACAGCTAGCCATTACCGAGCGGAAAGCAAACAAGGTCGCCAATCTTTTGACAGCGGAGAAGTGACATCAAGCGCCGATTGGGTTGACAGGTGCATTTGTCTCAGTTGATGGAGCAGTAAACGGGCTATGCCGTCGTGTGAACGATCCAACGTGTGAAGCGAGGTGGGACTTGATAGCAAGGGATGAACTCAAAAGGGCAGAAAGAGAAGAAGATGAGATGAAGATCGGCAACTTCCAATACAGAGCAAGCTGAATTGAAGAGCCGGCGACCTGGTAGAGAGCCCGCCAGGCGCAAGTGCAAGCGCAAGCGCAATCAGACACATCGCTTTGTCATATGTATTGCAGCACAGCAGGGGTTCACAGGCACTATCATCTAGTGGTGGGGAAGAGGCCTCAAACCGGGGCTCGGTCTACCAATACCATCCCGAGGCAGGGGAGAGGGGATCGCCGAACTCGAAGCGAGTAAGAAATAGCTCTGAACTTACCGACATAGGCTTTGGCCGTGGGAAAGTCGAAGCTGAGCTCCTCCATTCCCGACCCGTGAAAAGACGCAAAGTCGGATCCGATGTAGTCGTTGCCCACAATAGTAGGCTGGAGGCCCATGTTTTGGGGAGCCCACTCGGGCATTGCACCCATTTGGCCGTGGTGGGATTGGGGAGATCCAATGGCCGAAGAAGCAGTGGATGGAGCCGAGGCAGTTGAAAGACTTGATGAGGGAAGTCTCATATCCGAAGACTCATCTGTGTACATGCTTGGTGATCCGCAGTTGTTGAGCATGTAACCGGGGGCCTCGGCGTACATGGCGGGCTCGACAAAGCCCATTGATGAAGCAAACATATCCTGGCTGGCGTTCTGCTGTTGGAAGCCGAATGCATCGGCGGGGATGCTCACATCGATGGGACCAGATGTGAAGATGACATTGGAATCTGTATATCGGGCAAAGTCCTCGGCATCGTGTGTGGGAGGAAACATGGCGTATGACGGTTCTGACAAAGTTGTCATGATGTCTGAGTAGGTGAGGTGAGAGATGTTGAGTTGCAGGTCGACAAAATGAAGTTGGGAGACTTGTTGGTCAGGGCGAGAGTGGGAACAAGCTTGAAGCGATGATAGCTTAAGCTCGGAGTGCAATCACCTTTATCTATAAATCCCAAGAGGACAATGTCAGGTTCAAAGCTCTAAGAGAAGGGGGAGGCGCGCCAGAGGATATCTTGCTAGATGTCCAACCAGAAGAATGAGCAAAGGTAACCCGGGGAAGCTTACCTGCACTTCGCATTCCAGAAACAGAGTGAGGCTTGAAGTGAGTCGACGTCTCGCAGGGTCTGAGATGTTTCTGGTGGATGTGGGCTTTGGACACGGCGAAGGATCCTGTTTTGGTTGAGTTCCTGGGACTAGTATCGTGTTGATTGTCTCTGTTGTATATCGACTAGCGAGAATGTTCCCGGTAGAAAGAACAACGATCAGATCACCAAAGAATGAGTGACTGAGTAGGATAAAGAGAGAGGTAGAGATATGTAGATGTTTCAAGGTGTCGGTAGATGGATGAGAGGAGCACTGCACGTCGAAGTGAGGTAAGGTAAGGTATGCAATGCAGGAACCACTTGTTGGTCTTGTGCCGTCTTAAAACGTTTGACGGGTGAGTGTGATGGACAATGCTCACTGTCGTCTCTTTTAAAGTTGTCGATGTCAAGTAACGAGCTCTTCTTAGACCAAGCGAGAAGGTTGGGGGCTGCCAACATAGATATAGTCAAGGCACCACTAGACCTGCATTCGGGCCCCGTCCGTGATGGATCGGCTCTCTTCCAGTTGACTTGACGGGATGGACACAGGCTGGCGAGGAGGCTGCTGGGGTTAGAGTCCCAGAGAGAGAAAAGCCATGTACGATACATCGGCCGGTACATTGGTAGGGCCTAGGGCCCAGTAAGTGAAGCCAAGTCCAGGGGACCAGGGGGGGTGAGAATCCACGGGGTGTGTGATGGTGAGGGTGGTAGGGTGAGCTCATCACCTCATCACCCATCACCCATCACCCATCACCAGCCAGCCAGCCAGCAGAAGCTCAAGCTCAAGCCCAGTTCACCATGTCCCCTAAAATAAAAGGCGAGGAGGGTGTGCACAGCCGTGGAGATGGTCTAAAACAAAGGCAGAGAGGCAGACTCAGAGGGAGAGGCACGCCAGCGGCCCAGCGGCCCAGCGCCATGCAGCGCCAAACAGCGTCAGCCTGCCTCAGAAACGTAGGGACCAGGGAGAGACGGGATATTCACTTACAGCAAAAAGTTACTCAATGAGAATGTGAATGTGAATGCTCTCTTTGATGTGGTCTCTGATATTCAATCTCTAATCTCTAATCTCTGGACCCCAACTCAACCGTACATGACGGTACAGATACAATCTGCATCCATGTTTGGGGTCCCTTAACATGGATTTCGGGAGGATCACTCAGACGACTCGCTTCCCATTGAGAACCTAGAGACTCCGACATCTGATAAAACAGTCCGCCATTCATCATCTCACACGAAAGGAATATGTCAAGTCCTTTGCTCTAAAGATATCCAGAATATTGCTCTGTATCCGTACTACGTAGTTCATCTCGAAAAGGCGGAGCTTACTATTACAGAGTAGAGTGCCGTTTCGGTACGGAAACATGGAGTGAACCAAAGACCCCTTCAGAAGCGTAGCGCGGAAACAAATTGATCTACATCGATGAGAGAGACTTGCGTCTCAAGTAACGGTACCAAGATGAAGGCCTCCTCGATGGACATCGTTGGCATTTGGCGCAGTGACGGGGCGGTTCGCATGGGTCGCAGCAGACACATCTGGAGCAGGGGGCTCTGCTCAAAGTCTCTATACTTGAGACAAGTATCTTCTAGTACGTATCAAACATCCCAGTCGGCTTCGATGGATACTCCGCCGTCCGCAGTTGATGGGTCCCATAGTCGGCCTTTACGTCTCCAGGGGTCTCTCAAGGCTCTCACGTCACAACTTTTAATCCATTTAGCGGTTGGCCAGTACCGCTGGGCCTGGCGCGGGTTTAGACAGACGATGTTCTTCAACTTGTCCATGTATCAACGGGATGTCACCGAGCTGCTATCCGTAGTAAGCCTATTGTCCTGGTGCCCGTAGTTCGTTCAACGTTAGAGTATGTGCTAATACTAGTCTGAAGCGGAGGTTTAAACTCAATGCTTGATGTGATACAAGCACTGCATAAACTTCAGTGCGGCAGCCATTATCAACGCCTTTTGGTGGTTCGCGCGGTGATCTCCTTTCGTGCATGCATTTTTTGTGTTTGCTACCGCAAGCCCCTCCTCGTTATTATCCCCCTCTCTCCCCCTTATTAGATGATGTAGCATCCAATTGTCTTCCGATGATTGTCGATGCAGTTTGATCTGACATGGACCAGCCAGTCGGTGAAGTTAAGGTTCCGGGATCTCGTTTTATTATTTTATGTGATGTTAATCGTCTGGTATCAAACCCCAAAACCACTCGCAGGATACTCCAAAGTAGGCGGCCGTATATGTTACGTAGGGAATTGCTTTTTTACCGCAACATGTATCTATGTACGTACGTTTCATGGGTGATGAGGAGTTGTTCATGCTTGGTAGGTAAGCTTTCCCTTCCTCTCATCACATGCGCAACTTTCGTTCCTCAGTGGCCCCGATGAACCTACACCTACACATACAGCAGTGCATTCATTGGATGTCCAGTTGTAAAGTTCAGTAACAATACCCGCCCGCGTCTGCAATTGTCTGGAGCCGCGAGACATACCGGTAGGTTTGCTTAAAACGTGGTAGTTGGAGGAGAGGCCTTGCCTGAACTGTGATGGTGCATGATGGGAATGGATATTTTTATTTTTATCAATAAACCAATGCACAATGTACCCAACTGCAACCCCTTGGTGCATTAGAACAGTGCAGTCCACCTATAGTTTGGCCCTACGATGGAGCGATTTGGGCTGTGCCTCCCTGTTGTACCTACCTACTGTAGGTAGTACTGTGCTGTGTTGTGCTGTGCTATGCTGGGTGTGCTATGCTGTGCTGCGCTGTACTGTGCTGTGAAAGATAGAATAGGTGAGCCACTAGGACCAATCAGACGCCTCGGCTTCTGGGTGTCTCAATCGGCCCCGAGCTCTAGAGGCGCAGTCCGGCCTCGCCCGTCTCCTCCCATCTTGGTTTCTCCTCCCTGATCCCTCCTTTTCCTCTGTCTTTCTTACCTTACCTTTATAACATCTCCCTCCCTCCCTCCCCTGCCAAAACGTTTCCCGGCATGGGTGGTCGCTGCGCCCTTGTCGTTGGCTCCCACGTCGACGTTGCATCTCCCGGGGAAAGGCGTCCCAAGGTCAAGGTCCCAAGCATCTCACGTCTTTGTCTTGGCTATTCCCAAAAAGGTCACTCGTGTCTGGCCGTGCTGCTGGCCCGGAAGATCACTGATGTTCACAATTACCTGTTTGGGCTTTACGTCGCGACATGCCTGTCCAGCTACCCTGCAAGTCTTTTCGGTTCCCATATATCCCGTCATGATCAACCTTGAAAGACTGTTTCATCACGGGCCTACTGTGTCTTGTCTCCATAATCTCCATTTCACCATCATCGGCTCCAGAAGCTCTGCGGAACAAAACCGTCGACGACCAAGCTCGTAGCATGACGCCAACGATGGATGTCAACTCCACATGGCGTCGACTCAACTTAGCGCACAGCAAGTAAGGTAATGGAAGGCAGTGTACGGAGTACCGAGTGATGATATCGGAGTTTTAAAACGCAACTGAATGCAGGTGAAAGTATCAGAGATTAACCATGGCGGACCCTAAGTTCTAAACAGCCCGAATTTTAATTTGATCAATCGTTCAAGGTGGGGTCGTACAGATTGAAGTATCCACGAGGGAAATGATCAAAGAAAACACTGTCAGCCTAAGGTATCTAACTGGACTGGTTTAGAGAACACCATGTAATCTTTTAACTACCTGCCTGTTCATACTACCTCGTGTTAGTACGCCTTTCCAATGAAACTCATGTTACACTGTTGTCAGTCTTGCCAAATGGCGTTCCTCTGCTTATATGTGCCTTTATTGATTAAGGTCAAGTACGAAAAAGGTGGTGCGATCATGGCTGTGTCTTGGTGCCATATGCAGTCAACAAGCTCTTTAGTGAATTATCTAGACGGGCACCCATCATTCGTAGGGCTTAGCCAGATAGCAAACTTTGTCTCAGATACCGCTACCTGCGGGAGGGGATCGTGTGTGCGAAGTATCAAATGTTTCTGTTTCTGTTTCTACTGCCCGGACTAGAGAACAATCCTACTGGGGCAGACTCTACGACGGAACAAAATGTGGTCCTCGTGGCACCGGGGCTTAAACCGTTTGAGGTCTGACTTCTCCTCTCATCCGAACGCCATGTCCGGGCTCAAGTGAAACGGCGAAAGACGCCTTGAGGAGTTTGCATTCAAGCTTTGTCTCCCCGAGATCCTCCCACCACATGTTGTGCAGAGTTCCTGCGTTTGGGCAGCGGCAGTGACGGTTCTCGGAGACGCAATCGGCTTAGTTCCAGAACGAGACACATGAATGCTAAGCCATCATCGACGGGTATGCACCTCTTATTGGATGTTGTGTACCAGTGCCCTCGTTGATCAGAGCCTGTCAAGCTTGTCAAGAATTGGTGGAAGGTGGGGGGTTTAAAAAAAGAAGCGGGATGGCTGTGCAACGCATTAGCTAATGGAGGTTTTGACACGATTAATAAACTACCTACATCACGAACCGATTGGGGAATGATGTATAAGTTGAAGAACAATCGTAAGACGTTTTGGCAATAGCATAGGCTTCCCTGAACTCTGTTGATAGGCTTGCATATGTGATACCTTCATCGAGTATAGGCTAGGCATTCTCTCCCCTTAACTTAGATAGGATGTGTAAGATAAGTTCTTGATTGGTACTGAAGCTCTGTGCCCTGTGATTTATCGACGTACGAGAAATTCTATTACTGGCTATACCGAGTTGCTCTCCAGAAGTAAGGTGCAGCCCTTGTCGACTTTCTTTCGACGATCCTCATTAGTGGTTCAATGTTCGTCAACGTCATAAGTACTGGGCGAAAACGAGATACACGAGACACTAGGAACGGGAGATGGATAAGCGGTTTACCTTCTCAAGTAGGCAACTGTTTCTCCACGATGAAGTCGGCAGGGCAGCCGTGGCCCCGATTATCCATGTTGGGTGCTAGCCTTGTGCTCGCTATCAAGACATGGAGCCTGAGAACAACATCATGTCATGTTTTCCATAACCCGTACCACGAACCTGATGTTACTATGTGGGCAGAACAGATAACAGGAACTAATAATTCAACCAGGGTAACATTAGTATAATCTGATTGCTGACTACTCCGTACATACCTCTATATCTCTCTTTGCAGACCGCCTGGGCAGAGTAGCCTGTCGTTTAAGCATGGTGTCTCACCTACTCAGGGGTTTATAGCCGTTGGCTTTGAATCAGAGCAGCAATTTTACAACCTCAACTAATACTGCTGTACTCGCAAAGTGATGACTCTCCGAAGTAACACGCACACCTAGTAATCCTTCCCGTACAGCGGTGTCTGACACTAGTTCATCGTCAATCCTTGCTTGATGTGGCACGGCTTACCCAGGCCTACCCAGGCTGCTGGAACAACTACTGATGCATAACAGAAGTGATATCGATGAGACAAACAAGCAAAAAGAAGGAAAATGTCAATATGGCTTCATGCCCAACGGGTCTAGAAGAGAAATGAACCCAGAAATACGGCACCACTCACAGGGGGAAGACCAATCTTGAGGATTTCTCCATCTTGAGGAAGAGGTACGTAGCAAAGAAGGGGAAGATGCGCAGAGATATCGACAGGGGTATGTAAGTGGACCACGAAAAGGAAACATGAAAATCCGATGCTGCGGGTCCTTCATTAATCGCATTCCACCCTGTCTCTGTCCAATGTTGGTCGGTTGGTTGGTTACTCCTCCCACGTATCACATAATTATTGCTTTGTTCTTGATCCTTCAGCGAATGATGCGCAAAATCAGGTTGGGATGAGCTTCCTCACCGATCTTCTGGAGATGAATCAATTCCCACTGGCCGGTTCAGTGGCTGACTGGGGTTATCCCGCGGTCAGCCTGCATCGGCAAAGGCCGAGTTATTTATTATTACTCCAAGCCCAGGTGTTTTATTCCAGCAATCTGGCACTCCAATCCTCCTTATGCAAACGAGGGGTTCCCGAATGGATCCCTACTGGGGCGCATTCACTACCGCATAAAAAAAGAGCCAATGATGGCACATACCCATTGGACGTTATCGGTTATGTGCAGCTCTACGGTCGCAGCAGATGCATGTGTGTGCACAAACCTTGTGCTGTCCGACACGGGACATTGATGCACAGCCCTCACGACGTGGCACTGGGGTATCGACTACTCAGCCCTATCGACTCTTTATGAGGGTTGGCCCTGACATAGTGTTACCTGTGACATCTTTGCTGCGGTCCTGATGACCGAAGCCAAGCCTGTCAAGTTAATGAAGAGACTGCTTGCAGCGTGCATCGCTGACGAAATTGATAACACACGAGAGTAACCATCCAACAGAACCCTGGATGAGTTGTACAGAAGTAAGATGACGATAATTCACATCAAACACCATGGAAACCTCCTCCCTGCAGCTGGCAATGCGACAGAAAATCACGGGCTTGCAGGCTCGCAAACTCGCAGCCAGCCACAAACCAACCGTTTCGCTGAATGCGGATGAGGACCCTGAAACTCATCTTCTCTCCCGTTTTACGACCGTACATGGGGCGGCCGCTTTCATTTCAGTACGCATGGCTTTCGGCTGTCTGAGTCGTGCCGTTAATGACAGGACAAGCGATTCATACCCAAGGCACAACTCTAACAGCCACTCTCATTGCACCGTAGGCGCGAATTCCGCTGGTCGCTTTCCGCAGACGAACTCGTTGCCTGAACAGCCAATGTCATGGCAGCATTCCCCCCTGAAGCGGCTATTCCCGTTCAGTCAGGGCGACGGGACTCGCACCTCCTGGCCCCTGCTTGAGGGCTTGAAGGCTTGAATCTCTGGTGGGGGAGAAGAGACCCTGGGATTCACCATCAAGAGGAGATCCGCCTTGGCGTTGATCACACATTTATGATGATTAGTTTTAGCCACATCTTATTGTCCTGATGCCGAGTCTGCTTGGTGCGTACCCTGGTACCTGCTCACAAGCTACATTTTGCGTCAGAGTCATCAAGCTTGTCTGTCACCATGGTGGATTTTGGTTGATACCCTGAAGTTCTAGGCCGCCTGAGACCACAGCTTCCATTCTAAACCGGCGCGAGTGGCGCCATTTGAATGCCGGCAGTTGATTAAGGAGAATATTGTTGATTGACGTCTAATGCGAAGCCCAGGACCGAGGATCTGGGCCTGCTCGTGGTGGATTTGAAGCGAGCAGCGAGAGTACCCATTACAGAGAATTGCCAAACGCGAAGCCGCGATATCTGGGAACTGCAGAGGGAAAAACATAGGTTCTCCTGAGAAGTGGCATTCTTGTGATGAAGCAAGCAGCATAAAGACTTCGACTCCAATTGCTCTAACAAAGTAGAGAACATACTATTTAGAACACAGCCCAGGCCGCAGTTCGTGATAATATCGCAGGACACTTTACACTTCACACTTCACATTTCACAGTAGCAGCCTGGCTTCACACCTATTCATTCCTAGTGTCTAATGGGGGTGTGTTCCTCAATGGCGGGAGGCCCCGCCCGAGACGCTACAGCGTCTGAGGGTGTGGCTGATGATTTGATGGCTGATGAATCTGGCGCTAAAAGTAAAAGGTCGCAACACTAAAAGTCGAGCTCCTCTCATCTCTGGGATCAGGCTGGCGCGTAGGGCTGAGCACGGGCTTCCGGTGAGTACGTACCGTAGGTACTGCCTCCTGTACCTCTGTCCCTACCCGCTGTCCTCTTTGCTCTGGGCGGGCTTGATGTGATCTGCGTCTCCGTCGGAGATGGAACTCGGGCTCCTTGCATCGCTCAAACTTAACCCTGTTCGGAACTCTCATGTATACTTGTACTGTAGTACCTGGCTGGCCAGCATAACTTGCCGTAGCCCCCTGTATCCTCAAGACTCAGACTGACGTCCAGCATTCAATCATCAAATCCCAGATGCCAAGTCGCTCTCTCCAACCCACCCTGTTCATCCAATCAATATCTTACCAACCGACGCCCAGTTTGGCAACGAGCGCGAATGCATCTGCAGCATTTTGAGAAGCTACCTACCTCTGAATCAAGTCGCAGGCCATGGTCATGGTCACGATATGGCCTTTCATTCATTACTGTAACATCGCACCGTAATCACCGCTACAGTGCAATGGCTAGCTGGGGAGGTCATGACCGCTTACCACCACCTACTTTGACGATGCTCATAATGGTCTGAGAGTGGTGTTCCTCGATCTATGCATCAATCATATCCCATCATTGACAAGCCGGTGCAGTTACACTACTGTTTATGTGCTGGTTATCTGACAAGAATGATGCAGTACCGCCCTCTCGAACCCTCTGCTCTACAGTTTACGCAATCGCACTCAGTCCGCATTCCTCAGTTGCAACAAAAACGGGTTTCCTTGCCTCAACAAGAACGTCTGTGTCAGATAGCAAGACATGCGTTGCGACCTTGAAGTTGCGGAGTTGAAACGCAAATCAGCGCTTGCAAAGTCAAGAAAAAGCAAAACCCCAAAACATGTCGATAAGTCGTGGCATACAGAGTAGAAATACGTACAAGCTATGGAGCTCTCATTGCCAGGCACGCCAGGCTCCTTGAATCACAGATCTCGGGTGTCCACATTGGAACATGGGCACCCGACGCACATTCCAGCGGTCGGCCGCCGTCTCTGAGTTTCTGACCGCTGACCCTGTGCGCTCTGGAGCCTCTGATTGGATACTTGGGCCCTGGCAAGTCGATAGAGTTGCCAAGCTCACTCGGCTTGGCCGATGCGAATAAATCACCACCAAATCTGACTGTCCCGCCGCCGCCATTTCCGTGAACTGCAGCCTGAGGTGCTCTTGCGCTCCGCCGAGTCCTCTTTCGGAACCTGTGTTTATCATGGGGTCCTCCATTCGGAATTGAGGGCCAAGACTCTGCACCTGATTGCTTGCATCACCGCCAAAACATAATTAGCCCTGATGTATCCGTACGGAGTAGCCTGAGTCTTTTGGCCCCCACTCTACTCCGCAGACGAGACATGCACCAATGGGCAATCAAGGTCAACACCCTTCACTTCAACTTGACATACAAATCTCCAACATCGTTAGCCATTGCCTGTTTAGCATATCGGAAGTTTTGGCCGGAAGCCCGCCTATCCTGCTACAGAGTGAAGCATGCGAGTGATTCTTGCGAGATCCAATACAACATGGCATGTACTTACACGAGTAACCTAAATTGAATCTAATCTGAAGATCGTCATTCTGCGCGGCATCACATCTGATCCGAACAGCCATGTTGATCCTTTCCTCACCAGCTAGAACAATGTTAATTAACCGTTCGCCTCACCGACGACATGTCGTATTTCTCGTATTGCAGACCTCAATGTTGGCATTGTTACAACCCTGGGAGGCTTGTCTCTATCCAATGTCAGTTTACGAAGTACTCTATTTAGACTTGCACTTGTCATTCACAAGGGACGACATTGTTGCACAAATACGTAGGGGCATAGCCGTTGATCAAGGCTTCATCTCGGACAACTTGAACTTTCCGAAAGAGCCATTAAATTGAAAAAGGTGATAGCAGATAGCCTCTGGGTTAACAGGGCGAGGACCAAGTACCAGGAATCTTTGATGAACCAAGCTGCCAAGCTCCACGCACAGATCCACTCACCACATCATATCATGGAGAGAAGAACTTGGACCATGGATCTACGATGGATCGTCAGGAGCGCCAGAAGGTATGTACCACCGCGATGCTACCACGGCTACGGAGTAGTGGCCGTGGAATTGTAATCGCCATCTAACACTCGTATATGTAATTGCATTTTTATCTCTTCTCGATACAAAGCCATTGAGGTTCGACAGGCAACGAGAAATCGCCGAGCCCCATGGTCCGTCTGTAGAGCGAAGGAATCGTCTTCCAACATACAATAACAACTAACGCAAGCAAACTCCACCAGTTTGCGTGGCCGTTGGGGGCTAATGTCCGTTGAAACGCTCAAAAGATATGCCTCAAAATGCTCGAGCTTCTTGTTTGTTGGCAACTAGCACTGGTTCTAGGCATTATTCACTCAAGGGACAGCCTTGTAAACTTGGAGACCCCATGGCAGCTCAGTTCCAACCGTGGTAGCCTTACGCGAGCGCCACCAGACTAAGATGATACTAGCGACCCGTTAAAACCTCGATCGCGGCCTAGAACAAGGGGAGCAATAAGGAAGAACGGCATTTCTCGATGTCAGCACTCGCTCGCGTCGAGCCGCCTTTATCGCCAAGTAGGTATTCATGTCCAGTCGTGGCCCATACTCGATAGAGACACTACTGTTCCAGGATGTCGTTCTTATCCTCGGACTATTAAAATTGGCTTATTTTTCATGGTTAGCTGCCGACAATACTCTCCGTATTGTTGTCTGCAGTCGAGGCTTTAGAGACGGCACTTGTGCTGGCGGTCTAGGCGCCGTTCAGCCACACCCAGACTGTCGGACTGAGCTATCGAAGCTAGACAAAGCTTTTGCAGACAGGCTTGTGAGTCGATGGTCTCGTTTTCTGGGTAGTTGAACAAACTGTGCGAGGGGTAATGGGCTTGGTGTTGCAGTAGTTGTAGTTGCACAACCTAGGTAGTTCAGGTTATGGACCAAGTCACAAGTTGCTTTGGTCCAATTATCAGAACAAAATCGATTTCAGACACAACTTACTAGTACCAAGAGACTTGTACATTTCTCGGAAGGCATGGGACTGAATGCTATGGCTCTCAGTGCTGGTGCGCGGGGTAGTGGCTGGATACCAGGAACTCGATATCAATGCGATATGCGCGCTATATTGGCGACTGTGCTTTCAATTGCTCATAAAAGTCTATCTCCTGGGAAGTTCCCTGCGGTATTAACACGGTATGGTATAACTTAGTGAGCGTTGGAGAGGCGTGCGGTTTGGGAATATCGGCCAATACCTATCACTTAGTTTGACATTTCACGTCGTCACATTTGAGAAGTAACATTGTACTCAGTTGAGCGAGGGACCCGACACAATGGATTGATGCGCGCCCTGCCGCTCCTGAGCCGCCCCCCTGTCAAACATGGACAGGCCCAAGGTACTGTATGTAACTTTGGTGGCCCTTGGCTCTCAAGCCCTTGAGGATCTTGACCACGTGTGGGAGTCGAGATCGAAACTGACAGGGTATAAGAGAGAGGAGGGGGAGAAAGCGAAGGGGAAAAAAGAAACAAGGTACGGATATACAAGATGGTCAATACATGATAAACCCTGCCCTGCCGTGCTCTATCGGGCCCTGTTGTGACAGATTCCGACGCCTTTCGGGAGGATCCATCGTCTCCATACAATACAATTATATTTACAAAGAGGATTCATCATGATGTTACTCTGATCCTGGAGCTTGAGCTGGTTGTGGTCGGCCGTCCCTAGGAATTGGTTGGACAGGCCCAAAAACGAGACAAACCAATATGTGTGTGACTACCTCGGAGTGTCGTGCATCCGAAATTATTGCTGCATGTCGACGACATTCTATTTCTATGTTTGGCTCAGTAGACAAGTGTACAGTATCGTGTATCCCAACTTGCTACAACCTACAACCTGTATCCGTAACCCCAACTTGAATGCTACCCTTCTCGCTCTTCCCCGGTCGAATCGTACGTCTTGCCATCCAGGCGTGTGTGTTCCGGTTGCCTTTTTCGCTTGCCAGGTCACCAAATTCGCCTTGTGCTACCCAAATTTGGCCTTTTCAGAGGAGGGTGTGGATGCCATCCTATCCTGGCGTTTAATCAACCCAAGAAAGCTGCAGAGAGTCAAATGCAAGGTCGCATTGAGTGGTTGGCTCGCCTACCGAGTACCGGTATCAGGTCAGTGAACCCCACGGTTAGGCTTACTCGCCCAAAGATCGGAGTCGAGTCTGCCTATCTGGACTCGGCATGACGCAAGGGACATGGGGCCATGGGGGAAGACTTGGGGTATTTCACGGTTCAATTCCGCCTGCAACATAGTATCCGCCCTGCTAGAGAGGAAATACCACGGATAGCGATCATGAGGGTTCCGCGACGCGATGTGATGGGCCTTGACGCTGGCGACGGAGTCGCATGTTCGGGGTTCAATTAGGAAGCCCTCGTTTACAGAACAAGACGAGTATCCATCATCAGTACTACCAGGTGAACATAGCACGAGATGAACATAGCACGAGGCATGCAGCGGGTTCGGAAACTGAAAAGAGTCTAGGATCCTGCGGGGGTTTATTGAAGCTTGATTCTAACTCGGAACATTACGATCATGTACCTTGACTTGTTATGCCGTGCCTTACTTCACCTTATCTGGGTGATTTATATCACTCTGACGTGGCGAGAAAAAGCTATTCCCTAGGCGCCGTTGTCAAGTCGAGACTCAATATACAATCGACAATGTCTCGGATGTTCAAACTTCAAGCCAGGGAAGGGTTATAGGGTTTAGTTAAAGTCTCAACGTTGACCACGGGAAGCTCCTTTGGATCTTTGGTTTAACGGAGTAGTCTGTTTGGCATCGTGCAGCGAACCAGCATCGAGCAGTAGCAGATCAATGGCCTGTGGCGTGCCCAGATTAGGCCCTGGCTGGCCTCGATTGCTTCCAATTCTGCGGGTAGTAAAGCGGCATTGGCACTGACTGGCATTGGCTTTTTTAGCTTTGACCTCTCCTCTCTGCTCTGCTCTCTCTCGCAACGCGCCCCTCCCTCCTCCGGGTCATGGATACAATGCCCCCGGGAGGTTTCGTTCGACCCTTAATCCTGGCCCTGGTTCGCAAGGCAAGCCAATCTCTAGTCTTAGGGGCGGGTTGCTACCCCTGCTTTGGCGCGTGACAGCGGATTGAGACTTGGCTCTGTTGGCTTCGCGCGCTCGCTCGCCTATTCGCGGAAAGGCTTCCGCTCTTTGAATCCTTTCTCGTCAAAGGGGACGGGGGGCTGCCGCTAGGGAGTTCGAGAGGCAGAACACATTACGCAGTGAGACTAGGCGCCGTTTGGACGTGAAACGATAGGCTGCGGAGTTTACTCGTGTAAACGTGCTTTTGTGGAGGATGTTGGAGAGGATGTTCAAATCTGTCCGTGGTGCAGCACGGCCGGGTGTACGATACTTAAGGTCCAAGTGAGAGAATCGTTGACATGATATTACACAATTGACAACTGAACCTATTTCTTATTGACAATATAAAACTAACTCGATTATAAATAATACTTGAAGCGGTCGGTATTCGGCTACACGCATTGTTATAACCTGGATTGCTTCATTGTGTTTCTGGTCGAGTCTAGGGTAGGCTCAACTCTCGACGTCGACATCAATCTACACATTAGCAACTTCACTTCTCCAACCCCATCCCCCAATGGCAGTCTCTTCGAGTTTCCTCATTCCAGATGCCTCGCATATCTTTATCACTATATCTCTAACAGCCCGCACTTCGTCCACAGTGGCGCCTCCATTCAATGCACCCCGCAGATGTCCTTTTAGTTGAGGGCTCACCTACAGAGCTTGGGGTTAGCAAAGCACATGGCGTTACGTGCAGCCGAGTGGCCACCAGTAAAATCACTTACGTCTTGGGGAATGAGACTGGCAATAAGCACGAATGATGTTTCGGCCGGTGTGAGTACGTCGGTATTGCTGAGCACATATCCGTAGGTCATTCTCGCCAGTAAGCCCAAGTCTGGTGCACCTGAACGATCGAGTTGACCCATTATACGCCGAGATATCTTGCCATATATCTTTTCGAAAAAGGACTGCCCTCGTTCGAGCACCTGAGTAGGTGAAGAGTCGTATATGTCCTTGTGCCTAGGTGATGCATCATATGTTCCTGATTCGTCCAGGAGGTCTTCTGGCGTTGCGGACTTCAACGAGAGCAAGGCATTGATGGTCTAGTGAGTTGATTAGTATGGTACACTCAAACATTAACCCGAATGGTTCCGACCTTGGGCATGCCTGCAACAGCGGAGGCTTTCACAAGAGCTTCTCTGAGGCGTCTAGCGATACGTAGTTGCTCATCCCGACCCGTGGCACCCTCATTGGCAGTTTCTAATCTTTCTTCGATGGCATTCTTCAGCACGTTTGGTACTTCATCTGGCCTATTGATTGCTGACAATGTCGTTGCTGTGATAAAGTACCACGAGTTTCGCGGGAGGTTGGGCTGATTGCGTATTGCTGTGAGCAGAGCCGGTGTAAGAATTGGAGTCACTGCCATGTCTCCAAGAGTTCTTCAAATGAAACAGAAAACGTATATGCTAATGTGTCCAAGCCAAATCAACTTTATCCAATTCCTAGACAAGCATTGCGAGAAACCATTTATACTACCATCTCTCACCCTCACTCTCACTAAGCTGATGTTTCTGACGGGCCTTAGGGTAGCCTCGTTCTGCGCAGCCACTGTGGCCCCTGCTATTATTAATGAGCCGCTGCGGAGAAACGTCGGCTCCTTGACCTCTCACGTCAGAGCAGTATCACGTGCATCGGCCCCTGCGTCATCGGTGGTCGTGTGTCGCTCTGCTTAACGTGGCATCAAGTGGTGGTTCCCTGCAGGTTGCTTTCGTCGATACAGTCAGTACAGTCCATTTACCAAAAGTTATCCGCGTTCAACCATGGGGATGAAGGAGTGAGAGGTCACTTTTGTCATTTTTTACTCAAACAGGTACCCGAATCATCGTTCAACATAAAAAACTCCCATGCCCAAGATGCGACTTGGCTGGTATGCTGGGGTAAGTATTGCTTTGGTGGGAGAGCTCGGGGAAGCTATATGGAGCTATGGCTGATCATCATGGACCGATGCTGACATCTCGCTCATAGGCCTCGACGGCCCTCGCGGGCACAGTTGTGTTCTCGGCCTTCTATCAACGAGCCAACTTCTACTCGGCAATGGTCTATCTCGCCCAGAGTAACTTTTGTTTGTTGGTATGTGATCCCGCGACTCCGCATATTGGAGTTTCCCTCCTACTTCAACGTTTAACTCATGATGCCTAGATTTTGGTCAACTTCTCGCTACTCCTTTACAGTAGCTTCGTTTACGGCCTCACCCGAATGTTCTTTGGCCCCCTTCGCGCAGTTGAAGTTGAGCAGCTTACCGAGCGTGCCTGGTTTGCGATTACGGAAACATGCCTGGCCATGACTATCTTCCGCGAAGAGATTGGGGCCTGGTTCCTTGTCATGTTCGCCGCTTTGGTGACAGGCAAGGTCTGGGGATGGATTGGGGATGGACGAGTTGAGGTTCTCGAGCAACAACCTCCTGCCAACCCTCGCCTATTCCATTTACGACTCAGTTTGTCCCTGACGCTAAGCTTCATCTACGATATCTACATCCTCCGATATACGATCAACACCGTGATTCAACAAGCGCGACCCAATATGATGGTTATGTTTCTCTTCGAATTTGCAGTACTGGCTACTAGTTCATGGAGAACAGCAGCCCGATATGCGCTATCGTTGACGGAGCAGAATATCCAGGAATCGCAAAAACGAAAGCGACTTGCCGAAAGGAGACAGGAGGTCAGACAGGAACGGGAGGCTATCATTCGACAACGCGAAGCAGCAGCCGCCGCAGGGGAAGAAGTTTCCAACAATCCGCTGCCAAATGAAGATGACATTGATGAGATGGATATCGAAGTGCCTGGTTGGTCTGCTAAGGGAGAGTTTGTCCTTTGGCTCGACCTTGTCACAGGTAAGCTATACACCGAACATTTGCGAGAACCATTACTTACAGTTTTAGACTTGGTTAAACTTGGAATATACATTGTATTCTTCTTTATGCTCCTGGCCTTCTATGGATTGCCGATTCATATCATGAGAGACCTTTTCATGACAGCAAGAGACTTCATCAAGAGATTGGGCGCTCTGATGCGTTACCGAAAAGCTATCCAGGAAATGAACCGCTACCCCGACGCCACCCAAGAGGATCTCGGACGAGAGGACACCTGCATTATCTGCCGCGAAGAAATGCGGCCCTGGGACCCGGAGAACAATCCGGGCGCAATGGACCGGATTCGACCAAAGAAACTGCCCTGCGGGCATATTCTTCACCTCGGCTGTCTCAAGAGCTGGCTCGAACGGCAACAAGTATGTCCAACATGCCGCAGCCCTGTTACCCTTAACGAGAACGCTCGTGCTGCACAGAATCGGGCCGCTGGTCTTCGCATAGAAATTGGTGGCGGGCGCCCAGCCGATCAGCAACCGCCGGCGAACCCTGGAGCGGCTCCTGCTCAGGGTCAACAGAATGGAGGGGCACAGCCTGAACAACGACCAGCTGGGCCACGGATCTTTAACTTCGGCCCTCTTCGTGTGGGATTTGGTGCTAATGGACAGCAAGTAAGAGAACTTGCCCAGCAATTTGGTTTGCCCCAGGCTGCTCTCAATCAACAAGGACTGGCGCCTCCTACGCCAGGAGCCGGTACCCCCATTGTTGCTGGCCCAACTGCTCCAGCGTCTCCTCTACCCACTGGTGACAACCTGCAGAATGTCGGAACTCTACTAAGCCAGGCCGATCAGTTAATTCAACGCGAGATGCAGTCGCTTCAGATTGCGCACCACGAGCTACAGACCCTACAGCTCCTCCAGGCAGAGTTAAGTCGTCTTCGACAGAGACAGCAGCACCCAGAGCAGGCGCCAATCCCCCAGACACAACCAATGCCGCCTGCTGTCTTCCCTATGACCCAACCTTTAATGCCCCAACCCTATCCTTTGACACCTCAGATGGCTATGCCCCCCAACTTCCCTCAATTTCCTGGCATTCCTCCTCGAAACCCGAGCCCCCTAATGGCTCGTCACGGTGCTCCACTCAATGCTATACCTATCCCCGCTGGTAGTTCCGAACTCCCAGAAGGAGTTGTTATCCCGCCCGGCTGGTCCCTTTTGCCTCTCCAGCGACTTGATGGTGGCCAATCTTCGACACAGCCTTCTCCTCAGGTTGGTCCCCAGACGACATTATCAGACATCATCTCTGCTGGCCAGCCCACATCTAGCGCTAGACAACCATCGCCAATCGGAATGAGGAGTAATGATACTCTATCGGTGGAGAATGCATCTTCTGCTGCCTCTACCGAACAGCGTCCACCTTCATTCACAACTCAGTTCGCACCTGCCGTGGATACCCCCCAGGTCGTTGCTCCCAGTCCTCGTATGCCCAACTGGGGTGGATCAGCTCAACTTTTTGGTAACGGATCTCGTCTCGACCACTCCGAACATGCGTCACAGAACGAGTCACAGGCTGAAGGAAGCTCAAGTCAAACTGCTCCTGCTGATGCTGCATCTTACTCGAGCCCGGCGGATGAACATACGCCACAAGGCACACCTCCGTCACATAGCGATGAAGATGAAGAGTCAGAGAGGAACTCCTCGAAAGGCAAGGCGAAGGCCGTGACCATTGAAGACGTGGAGGACGAAGAGGCCAAGGACACAACAAAGGAGGATTAGCTATATTTGCGATAATCTTATGTTTATACACCCACTCATTGGCTCAGAGGAGAGCAAGACTGCATTTCTTTGTTTCCTAGCACAAGATAGCGATGTGGCGTTTAAGGGAGTTATGTACCATTTGCTGTATTAAAGCGGCATAACACAATAAGCTCGAGATGTGAAATATAAATTCATGAAGCAAATATGGTACATTGACTTGCAAAGCTATCGCAAATTGTAGCGACACAAGTACCCATGATCCAGGGACACCGTTCCATGACGAATGTAATCAGTAGACACGCTGACGAATTGGTGCAAAGAAATTGTAAACCAAAAGCAAAGTAAGTACGCGCGCACGAGAACGAGTATCAACGTAAGATACACAGAGATCAAGGAGACAACAGAGCAGACCGGATCCAAGGACGATTCAAGGGAATATTTTTCCTGCTCTTCGATAACGCCTATTAAGGCGCTGTCATAGTCTCCATATTCCAGCCAAAATACATCCTCCCTTCTCTTCCTCTGCCCACGACAGAAATCCTCGAGGCTTGTTGACGATAATGCACAAGGAACCAAAAGAATAATGACAAAAGAAAAATATACATGTATCCATGCCGCGCATACCCAAGAGTACTTCATCATACCTGTATCTATTACCATGTCCGTTCATAGCCATGAAGCGGCAACGCATTAGTCATTCCTTCTTCACCCTTCCATCTCATGTGTCGTCTGTTCGGTTAGAAGGGACATCCGATGCATATACGATCTCCTCCTAAGCGTTGAGAGCATCGAGTTCATCCTCATTGGGCAACAATGGTGTTTCGTGCTGCGGTATATCCTCGTTCTTCTCCCAGGCGGCGCCAGGTCCTGAATAGCTCGGCTCAGCGATTGTCGATGATTGCGAAGTTGGTCCGGATTCGAGACGGCCACTGCTCATGTCGCGCAGAATACCTGTCGATCTTTCGCCTTTTACCGGCTGAGGACTCAACACACCTGTGGCGGACTGCGCAACATAAGTAGGTGATTTCACATCACCCGAACCGAAAGGCAATGGGCGTGTTGGAATCTCGCGACTCACTCCTCCTTCTCTCCCCTCGTCCCCATCGCCACCGAGCTTCTTGAGCAATGCATCCGATTGTTGCTTAGCTAGCTTCTGGAGCTGTGCTAGCGGATCCTGGTGATGTAGCACCAAGTCAGTCACCTCGCACAGGCAGTCTGTAGGCCTCCATCGTCTCCCATGCACACATACCCAGTCGGACTGCGTCGGAACGCCTTCAGCCTCCGGGAGCTTTTTTACCCCTTCCTCCTCCTGTTCCGTGTCTTCTCCAGCCAAGAATGAGTTCCGATGGATCGGGGCTGGCGTAACTGGCAAGCTGGGGCGGTCAACAGCGCTGGGGAAATCGGTGAGCTTTAAACCGTGAAGCTTGAAGCTGTTTTGGTTGTTCTTTAAGATACCGGTCGTTGGACTTTTCACACGCCCTACCGAAGAGGTAGAACTCTTACCACGTCGATGACCACCATGCAAACGATCAACATACCGCTCAATCTCGGGCACTTCATCCCACGCATTTGTACGTGTGTATGTTGTCCATGGATCCGATGGAGTAATCTGTACTATAGGGGTAGATAAGGTCGATTCGTTCTTTGCCCCGGGTCCTGATGTGCCCTCTGCCAGACCTTCGGTTTTCAGAGAAAGCTGTGTCGGATCTGCGTTAGGACCCGAACCAGACTCTTCAGGGGTGGGTTCAGGCTCGGGTGCTGGCTCAGGCTCTGCAAACGTCCTTGTCGGCCGAGGTCGGTTGCGCTCCCAGGGAAAGATCTCGGGAGCTGGCTTTGATCGAGGGGCTGGCTTCTCTTTTGGCACCTCATACCACATGTTCTTTGGAGGACTCGGATATCTTGCGGGCGGGACAAAAGGAGTAGTATCGCGAGACATTTCGTAATGAGTGACAGGAAAATTCATCGCTTCAGGTTTCGAGTCAGAAGGAGGGGGGTGTCTTGTAAAGTTAGTATTCTATGTTCAAAGCAAGACATCATTCTTCAATAACGATAGGCCTACCTCTGAGCATCCCAGTCATGCATTGTAATCGGGGGTGGCTCTTGTTTGGGCTCTTGATGCTGGTGCTGGTGCGCCGTCTCTTGATGGTGAGCGTGTTGCTCAGGTTGATGTTCGGGCGCCGAGCTAGACTGTTCACCATAAGGAGCGGTATGTTGTCCATGATGAGCTGTTCCAGATTTCGAATGGTCATCGTGAGATGACTCGACATGGTGCCCCGAATCTTGCTCACCCTGGGCTGCAGGGTGTTCCTGTTTCGCAGCGGAGTCGTGACCATGTTGTTCGCTTCTTGGGGGCTGCGCATGGATTCCCTGAGGATGCCACTCCCCTTTAGTGAAGTATTGGACATATTGGGGGGTAGCTGAATCATTGCTAGAAGCAGACTCCTAAAAGATACGGTTAGAAAACTGGCTGCCTGCAGAGTCCCCAAACCAACCTGATGTCGGTAATGCCTATCATAAACCGCCCACCATCGTCCTATCATCTCATTGAAGGGATCACCACCAGCAGGCGCATCCCGACCAGTAAACCACGGCTTGTTGGAGCCAATGAAATGCACCATGTTGATGCTGGATTGGAAGTGTCGATACGCTGGGACGTATTGGTAGTGGGCAGATGGCGTGACGTTGTAGGTGAAGCTCAAGCGATGGTACTGTTGGCCATAATGCATGTTGATGAGACCTTGATCGGCGCCGTCGAACGATATTCCCCTCTCAGCCATAGCCATCATGGCATAGAAATCACCCATATTGGGCTCCAAAACCATTACACCAGTGTTGAATAGATCTGGCCATCCGATATCGGGAGCTGCACCGAAGGGATGAGGAATATCGAAGAGTTCCTCGGGAGCTCGGTATGCGACGACATCAGCGTCAATATAGACAATTTTCGAAAACTGGGTGAGTTTCCACAAATTGATCTTGGTAAAAGCCGAATGCAGGTCGCCGCGATTCATTAGGTACAGATTGGCTGGGCTGTCATTGCGAATGCGCGGTACTGGGAAGATGTAGTCGTAGACATTCTATAGAAATAACGGTTAGCAAGAACGGGGTTGAAGCTGCGCAATTAATGGGAATGTTCACCTTGAGCTGCGTGATTGAGTCGGCAGATACAGAATCGAGTGTTACCAACACTGCCAGCTTGCGATGGGCTCCAGTATCGCGAAGAGAATGACCGAGAACGAGTGCGCCTGGGAGTTTGTCAGTTAAAGTTCAATGCAGCACCAAACTCAATTGACGTACCAGGAAGATAGGAATCGCTTAGAAGAAGCTATTCGCTGGTTAGCAAGGCGATCTTGTAAATTTGACCGCAACAAGCGCAAGACACAAGACGAACCGTAGCATAAACATGCTCCCCTTTGGAAGCTTGAGTGGCCATGGTGGCTGGGAGCGTATAACAAGAGTAGTTGACCAGCCAGCTGCAAGACGAACCTCGGCGCAGATTGTCTAGGTCAGCTACAACAGAACAGGTTGGAGAGACGGTCAGCAACACATGGATGAGAGCTTTAGGAGACAAGTCGTGGTGTCGCGATTCGAACGAGCGCGTCGAGGGTCCAAGCCAACAAGAAGGACCAAGAGCAAGAATAGCAAGCTTAACCCAACGTTAACAAGGATACCGTTGAAAGCTAACGTAGTGTACAAGTATGTTTTTAGAAACACTACTAGAACATATGATGTTGCTTTCTGAAAGCGGCAAAATAGGAGGAAAGAGGAGGGGGAGAGGAGAAGAGAGAAGAGGAGAGGAGAGTAGAGGCGTGACGTGAGAACGGCAGCAATGAGCAACCATACAATAGAGGTAGAGGTAGGTACCGGGTTAGTATGGAGTCTGTTGATCCAATCTGTGATGATCCGATGATGGACCCCGGACACCTTTTGGAGGGGGGAACTTCCCACCAGAGCGCAGCGCAGCTCAGCTAGGTAAGCTCCTGTGGGCCCTGGACTATAGCTCCCTGCAAGCCTGTAAAGGTCAGGCAAAATGGCCGGTTACCGGTGCCTCAGGTCAAGTCAGGTCAGGTCAGGTCGCTAATACTAACAATTCGTTCGTCTGCTTGCTGGGGAATCGTCAGAGAGAGAGAGAGTATTTGACCCTTCATCTCAGGCACTAAACTCTACTCCAAGCCACCAATGACCCTGAGGAACTCTACTGTTCTAGAAGCGCCGAGACCGCGACACACTCTGCTGTGCCGTCCCAAGACTCAAGCGCTCAAGGGCAGCGTCGCATATAACTGTGCGCCAAGTGGTCAATTCCTGTTGAATTGTCCCCCCCACGTTCGTGCAGAAGAAATTGAGGGTTCACTGTCAACAACGCGAGGGTAGTGACCGTTTTGGTACTCCGTTACAGCAGCTCGTACTCCGTGGTTCGGGGGACGGGTTTCCCACTTGTGGCGGCTCTAGTGAATCGCCACTAATTTCAACGGCTGCACGATGATGGAATTGAGCCTGTGCTCAAGCTTCAAAATTGCTTAGCTCCAACCTCTAAGACTCTTGTCCAACCTCAGTAGCTTTTGTTTTGCTTGTCTTTTTTTCTCTCACGGACCCAACGATACCCACAAAGCGTAGCACTCCAAGGATTTCCTGTCGTATTTATCATACTTGCCAGGATTGAGCTTGGATCGGGCTCCTGCATACAACCGAAACTGGCCATGTTGGAGTTGAAGTTGTTTGCTGCGATGCAAGTATGTGAGCACATTCGGCCTACCTAATCTCAACCATTCCTACCTGGCCCGTCCCTCGATGAAAAGTCGTTGAGTTACACAAATTAATCCCTCGCTGCCCTTCCCGCACTGAGACGTCGCAAGACCCCCTTTTTAGATATATCGCGCCCTTGAGCTTTTATAAAGACATTCAAATCTCCCCAGACTCGGGTCAGATGCCAGTCTCTGATAACAAAAAGAGCCTCTTAAAGTGTGACGTAGATTAGTTGTCGTGCAGATTGAGCAGCACTCGGGCATAGCACACCGAGACACCAGAGGAACCGGGATAAAAACGCGCGAGACAAAAGAAAATATTCCATGCCAATGTGTCTCAGCTACCACTTCCATTTTAACATGTACAATTGCAGAAAAGAAAGGCGACTCTGATTTGGTGAATCCCCTTGTGTGTTCCCCAGATCTTAGCAGTTCTGCAAGGTCGGGATCTGCAATGCACGTATGAACTAGCTCCTTTGCCTGCTTTATTCCAGCTATCAGCTTGATTTCGATGCATCACACGCTCTTACTTGCATGGCCCACGTGAGCCCCGGTAGCATCCATGATTTGCCGACGCCTTCGTACGGTTTCCACAGCCCAACCGATCTAACGCCATCCAACAAGAAGTACCCCATTATTTCCTCGAGGTTCCTTGGTCGTGTATGGAGTACACCAGTACGTCGCCTAACCTCCCTTGTCTCATCACGCCAAACTCCAAACTTCAAACCCCCTCCCAACCGCTCAAAATGCCCTTCCAAACCAAAACTTCCCCTGAAAACGCATTCCGTAGCTAGACCTACATGTCCTTCTTAAATGCGTGTTCTGGTTTATGTGTTGTCTCGTAATCGATGTGAACGTATGCCCGCTCAATGTCCGGTAGATCCTCCAGCTTGATTTGTAGCGCTTCTGCAACGTCATGGCTCTCTTGGAGAGTTTGAGTTGGATCCATAACAATGTCCACCTCTGCGATCAGACGAGGACCTGAGTGATACACACGAACGGTGTCGATGCCAACAATTGAATCGTCGTGTGTGACGCACACGTACGTGATGAGCTGCTGTGTCTCGACAGAAGCAGTAACTCCGACGACGAGCAGGAACTCCCCAAAAGCGGTACGTAGCCAAATGCATGAGATCAGAACAGAGAGGAGGATGGCGCCCATGGGATCAATCCACCAAACCAGCTTTGCACCGCCGGTAGCTGTGAGGATACCAAAGCCGTTGATGAGAAGATCGTTACGGTGATCCTGCCAGAGAATGTTGACTTGGCTGTACTTGTCCTTGAGAGCCCAACAGTACAGGAAGAGTCCAAACTTTGTGGCAAAAGCACAGCAGACGGAGATAACAGCAGGAAGATGAAACTCCTTGTCCCCTTTGGACTGGGCCAGTTCTTGACAAGCAAAGGCAATGATGATGAGCGAGACGGCGATCATGAGGAAACAAAAGACAATGTTACCAACAGTCTCAAGGCGGGCCTTTCCAGCAGGAAATCGTCGGGCATCGACACGGCGAATGGCTCGAGCTGACAGGATGAGAGTGAGGTTACTAAGAGGGTCGAAGATGGAGTCGGCCATGGTGGTGAAGAGCGAAAGAGAGCCTGACGATATGGCAGCGAAGAGCTGGATAGCCGACAGGGCAATGTTGGCGGCGAGGGAACCCCAGACAGCAATACGGAACTTGAGCTGGTCCTCGCCATGCTGGTCGCGGGCTTCGTCACGGTGCTCCTCGACTGTCTTGAGCATGCGATCAATTGCCGCATTCTGATTTTTGTAGAAGCCCTGGAGCTTGCGGACCTTGATCTTTGAGCCAACCTTGCCGGGGACACATTTGCGACCAGGGAGACTATCCCGCTTTCGCGATGTGTTAGCTTTGATAGCTTCAAGGTCGGAATCGGTCTTGTAGGCGCGGGAGAGGCCATATGGGTCATTGTCAACAACGCTGGGTCTCCGGCGACCAGTGGCGGTGAGCTGACTCTCTACATCTGTTACGTGAGAAACGTTTCTGGCGACAGTCTCATTATCGTCGGCCATCTCGGACTCAAAGGCGGTGCTAGCGCCATTGCGCGTGGTCGAATGCCGTGAAATGCTGCGCGTACGCTCGAGGGGTTGTAGGTGGACGGCTTGCGTATGGTGAGAAACGTGGCTGCTCTTATCAAGCGTCATGATGAAGGACTATGTATTGTGGGCGACAGCTCGAGTAAACGTGAGCCTCAATGTCGATATTCTGGAGATTCAGGTGCGTAATAATGATGTTGCTTGCTATACAAGACAAAGACTGGATGGAGGTGGTAAGTTAAAATATACAGTTGGGTTGGGTTGCCAGAGCAAGAAAGAAGGCCTCAAGGAGCGGAGCAGGTAGGTCCCTCCTTGTCAACGTCAACTAGCGCTGCAATTGCAATGAGCCTATGCGATCATCAAGTTTGGATATCAAGATGTGCTTGTCATCTGGCCTTGCGTTAATGATTTTAAAGTTGGTAATATAGCATGGGTGTGTGTAGGAGGTCGAGCAAGCTGATCGATAGACGAGGATACGGTACGGAGAATTATGTGAATAGATCAAATAAATTCTGGCTTCGTAAGTCTTTCTTCTCTCGTCAGTCTGGATAAACCAGTCATCTTCCCACGTGGGCTCATCTTAGAAAGAGGAGTAGCAGCTCTGCGTTGGTTGCGCTTGGTGCAATTGCCACAAACTGGATACCTCATATTACCGGCCGCTTGGTAATACACTGATTGTTAACAGTTCAGCATATAAATTCACAGGCTGCAGCGATAGTGCCAAATTGCCCACGCTACCCAACATGGTTAGTGAGTAAGTCGCCGCGCAAGCCGAGATAGCTCATCAGCGGTCAGGCGGAGTATGACATCCGGATCGACGTGGAAATCCAAGCAACGGATTGTGAGAGGACATGGCATACGGAATAAGCTTCGAAATTCGATATCGAGGAGCGGACGACGTTCAGTTATATTTCAAATACGGCCCCGAAACGCCTAGGAAACGGCCGGGACAGGCCTCGGCGCTCCGTAGCTTTTGACGTCTAGAAAACGCTTGTTTTTCGGGCATCTACGGAGCTGAAGTCGGAACGTGGGTCCGCTTTGACGCGCGATCCGCTCTCCATAGATCTGCTTCTGGACTCTGTAATATGCAGGCCAAGAGCGACGAAAGTGAAGCTATTGTTCAGTCTATTGGCTTGGTTTGTAAATTATAACCGCTTTCGTCGATTGAAACGATAAGGAATGGGTCTTTTCAGCCAGCCCCGTTCAGACTGTCGCATATTTGACGGTTGGTTGATATTATATAAATGTTGTAGCGTTCTCACTCTCTGCGAACTATCATAATACCTACTCCGTAGATTTAGTTGTATTAAGTGATAGAGACTATCTCGACGGCCTTAAACAAGTGGGAAAGCTCAGCTCCTTGGATCGAGTGATCCATGCCTTCCGCTGCACTACAGCTTTGCTTCGATCGGTTTCTCATCTTGGCTCCTCTCCAAAATCCATTTAGTAATGTCGTTGGCATATTCCTCCTGGCACAAGTCTACATGCAGCGCATGGTATCCTCCGACATATGTCTTGACGACTTTATCCTCGATATCTTGCTTCTGCACAAAATCCACGGCAGCTTGATAGCTGCAAGCCTTGTCGTGGTCACCATGGCCAAGCCAAAGCGACCTTACTTCCTTGCCTAGCTTCACAGAACCCGACTGCAAAACTGCTGTGCGATCGAGCAGCGACGCCAAGCCCTCCAATGTGCCTGTGTCATGGCACAAAGGGTCATTTTTGAAGCCTTGGGCTACCTCGGGCTTTCGCGTCAAGTTCGCGACGTCGAGTACATGCTTGAGCTGGAATCTTGGAAGAATTTTGCAGACGAGCCTTCCTGCGACAACCTTGAACCAGCTTGGGACTTCCTCAGGAGCGAACCCAATGAATGGCGCTTCGAGGATCCAGCCACGCACCTGGCTTACGAGTTTGACGTACTTGGGGTCGGCTGCAAGTGTAACGACCTCGCCGCCGCCCATAGAATGGCCTAGGACAAATACCGGGACATCCGATGGCAGCTTGCTCTCGATGAAGGCGGCGATATCAGCAATAACTCGCTGCGTTGAACCCGTGTTTCCTTTATCGGCGGGTCGCTTGACGCTTCGTCCCCAACCTCTCTGGTCGAAGCCGAAGACCTGGATGCCATTTGAGGCTAAAATTCGATATACGTCATCATACCAGTTGACATGGTCACTGAAGCCATGGACGTGAACCACCTTGGCTCGGATGTCACCTTGAGGCTATTGTCACAGTTAGCTCCTATCTCATCCACACGCTCGTTTGACCGTTACACACCGTCCATGTTTTGGTGTAAAGGCTGGCGTCTGCGACTTCAAATGTTCCCTCGGTTTCTGTTGACATGGCGCTTGAGTGAGATGCTCGACGGCTTGACTGGTGGGGAAATTGGTGAGCAACAACAGCAAGGTGCAAACGAGATATCTTTTGAGGTCAGGAGATAATTGTTTCAATACAAGGGAGAGAGCCCGGTTAGGAAGCATCAATACTGGGTCATGCTTTGAGCCAAATTGGGGTCACATGTGACAAGCCGTTGCCGACCAGCCTAACCTGGAGTTGTTTCATTGGCTTCTGCTTCGTAATTTCATTGAGGCTTAACAAGTCCAAGACTACTTGGACGCAGATTAGGACTATTTGGGCTAAGCTGTGTGCATTGAATATATCTGGGGGAAATCCTGCAGGTTTCGAACACCTTGGCTCAGGGTGCAAACTCGCCAATTCAATGAGAACCGACTGACCCATCATGCAAAAGCATCAAAATAAGTGATAAAATGTATTGAGATTTTGTTTTCTGTACACGGTTTTCATCCCCACCCCCGTTGTTTCTTTTATTTTTGAGATTGAATAACCAGACCAGACCGACGCCAATGGAAGCAAGATATATGTCGAGTAGAGGTCTCTCTGCAGCTGCTAGTGGGACGACCAACCGCCCAAGAGACCCAGACATAGATACTAGGATATATAATGTACATGATTCGTCTAATCTTTCTCCTTCCCACAGTCCCCTAAACAATTACATCATTGTGGGAAAGCTTCCCTACTGTATGCCATATTATCTGCTTCAAGGGCGCTTCTCTTCGCTCTTGGAGTCCCTACTCTCTTCCTCAGACTCAAAAGTTTCCTCCTCTTCCACTCTGTCTAGATCATCCTCGAGCTCCTCAGCCTCGGTGATATGTGCCCGGGCAGCAGTCGATCCGCCGTCTTTGGACACCTCACCACCGCTCATCTGCCACTCCATAAGCTTGCTGAATGCGCTATCGTTGTCGGCAGCAAGCTGCTTGTAGCTGCCAATTTCGGCGACCTTGCCCTCGTTGTTGAGAACGATAATTTGATCAGATCGCTTGATAGTGGAGAGTCGATGGGCAATGGAGATGGTGGTATTGCGACCACGCAAAAGGCCAGCCAGAGCCTCGTTGACAAGAGTCTCTGACTCAGCATCTAACGCTGATGTAGCCTCATCGAGAATCAGAATATCAGGATCCTTGAGCAGAGCTCGAGCAATAGCAATTCGCTGCTTCTGACCACCAGAGAGCTGTGATCCACGAGCACCGACTTGGGTTTCCAAACCTTCGGGCAAGTCGCTGATGAAGTTACAGTTTGCTCGTCGAGCAGCGGAAATGATATCGTAACGGCTTGCCTGAGGCCTGCCATAGGCAATATTCTCGGCGATAGTTCCAGAGAAGAGAACAGGTTCTTGGGAAACCATGCCGATACGTCGTCGAAGTGACTTGACGTTCATTTTGGAGATATCCTGACCGTTGATAGTGATAGTACCTGATGTAGGATTGTAGAATCTCAAGAGCAAAGATGCCACTGTTGATTTACCACCGCCTGATGGACCAACAACACACACATTGCTACCTGAGGGGATCTCAAAGTCCAGTCCGTTGAAGATTTTAACAGCTGGTCGAGTTGGGTAGGCAAAGCTGACATCGGTGAATTTGATAGGACCTTGTGCCGACTTCACCTGAGCACCAACAGTTTGCGGGATTCCGGGTTTGCGATCCTGGAGCTCGAAAAGTCGGCTCGCAGCACCGACTCCCTTCATGAGTTCCGAGTAGAAGCCTGAGAGACCAAACAGACTTGAACCTGCGAATGCCGTGTACATCATGAAAGAGGTGAGATCTCCAAGTGACATGGCTCCGCTTCGTACGAATCCGCCTCCCATCACTAACATGGCAAGAATGGTCATGTTGCCAGCCCAACCAGTTGAAGCAAAGAATGTGGCGGCAATGAGTGATTCCTTTTTACCGAGAGCGAAGATCTTTCGAATTTGGTTGTTGTAGCGTCCGATCTCCTGCACCTCGCCAACAAATGCTTGACTCGTTTTAACGTTGCCCAGTCGCTCCTCAGCAATCTTGGTCAGAGTACCCAGGTTCTTCTGAATCGATCTGCTAACATTTCGAATGGCTCGACCGTAAACAAAAGCTCCAACGGCGATAGGTGGGAACATGAGCAGCAAAAGACCAGTCAACTGGGGGCTTGTCCAGACCATAATGGCAAAACCAGCACCTCCACTGAATAGAGCACGAAGACCGTCACTTAGGTTCTGAGTCACTGATTTACCAACAATAACCGTATCGGAACTGAGGCGTGAAATGAGATCTCCCACTCGGTTCGCATCGAAGAATTCGGCGTCTTGAACATATGTGCGTCGATAAAGCTGAGATCGAAGTCTGGCAACAACTCGCTCGCCGACAATTCGAAGTAGGACGACTCGACCGAAGTTAGCCATAGCTCCAATAGTTAAGACAGTGCCCAGGCCAACAAAGAACTGGTTCATAGTTAATCCAAAGAGGCGGACATCGTCGGCTTCGCCTTTGGTAGCGAGATCCAAGATTCGACCAACAGAGAACGGAATCAACATGGTGACACTAGATGAAATGACCAGGAAGACAAAGGCAATGCCAAGCCAGCGAATTTCAGGGCGGGCAATCTTGATTAGTCGTACTATTTCGTCCGAACCAGCTTTGCCAGCCTGCTTTCCCTCCCTGGAGAGCTTAGCAGCTAAGTTGACCTGCGCAGCTCTGGCGGCCTTTTCACTTTTGGCGAATTCTTGTTTGTGTTCATCCTCGGCAAGATCTCGCTTGATTTCAAGTTCAGCAGACTTCTTGGCGCCTTCCTCGGCCTTGGTCTGGATTTCTTGGAGTAAACGAGGTGCCGTTGAGAATTGCCGGAGGACGTGCGAAACTGAACCACATTGGAGGGATTGCTTTGGTGTCAGGGGAATCTGGGTGCGAGATAGAGTAGGGTGTGTCGATGACCGGAAAGTAGCGATTGAGAACGGAGGGAGTGCGGCTTGACGGTTGCTAGAGGCATGGAAAAGCCTCGTCTGCAGAGGCAGAGCTTCAGACTTGTAGAACGAAGCTCCCAGTTGACTTCGCGATGCAGCCAGAGACACTTGCGAGGGCTCGGCGAGACGTGGGAGCAGCGCGCGGCGTGCTACTCCCGAGACCATGATGACGGTAGGGAATTGATCAGACGCCCACTCAGCGTAGCATATTCAGAAGCGGCGCTGTGGGCCGGAGAAGACGAGGAGGGGTCGAGCTGTAGGATGAGTGAGATTGATGAAGCTGACAGAGACGTTTACATGAGCAAGAAGGATCAAAGTCGAGGTGGTTATGATGCCGTCATTGTCGTAGCGGCATTTCTCAGCTTCCGAGTTGCGACAAGCCCACCTAGAGATGGGCTCACAAAAAAATGGGTGGGACCCTGTCGCGCTGGTGGTCCCTTGTGTCGGACCTACGCGATAACGGATTCTGGATTGCTCCGATGGGAGCCGAATGCACTCGGATATGTGATATTTGCTTGCATTTTGCATGTTTGATCATGGTGCAAAACATATGCGTAATATAATCATCTTAATCTTTAGCATCCTATGTCCTTTATATCCTCGACCTACAAACATGCCAACTGTAAGCCTTTATTTTGGATTCTTTGATCCTTGGATATCACTAGGTACTCCATCCTTACTTCAAGCTAGTCTCACCTTGAATGCAGAGAGGCAACGTATTGGTATATGTTGAAAGTAGTAGTTTTCATTGATTATCGATATAGCCATCGATCCGTGCCAACAGCAAAATTACAATATTCTTAGTAGTACACTGTGTCCAGAGTCATTCACCCCGCCTGTCCTCGACAATGCATCAATCCAAGGAGTGTATGCGCAACCCAGCTCACATATTGGAGCAACCATCAAGCCCATACGGTAGCGTCTGAGACGCATGATGACCGGAGACATAATCACGATTGAGCCCCCCCCTTCAACATCTCTGCAACATCGGCATCAATTCCGTCGTCTCCTCCAAGATCAGGAAACTCTTCAGCGTCGACCCGACGGCGCTTGTTTGACCCGTTGGTTGAGATCGGTAATGATTGGTAAGATAGAGGTTCTTCATCCTCGTCAATAACAGCAGGAATAGGTTCGGCACTAGCATCAGCAGGCTCACCCTCTGGTGTCAATGCCTCAGGAGTAGGCGCCTCGAAAGGCTCAAAGGACGGCGGAGTAAGTGCCTCGATTTCTGGTCTGTCCGGTTCCTGGGGCGTGCCAAATGAGTCTACTTGCCCGGTAGAGCCGTTGCTGTCAGCTGGACCTAGCGCTCTCATGATACCAATCTCAACCTGTTGTTTCTTCTCTTCAATTTCAGTCTTTCGGGAAGTCAGCTGAGCAGCAGCAGACTTCTCTTGCTCCAGTGCGGCACGGTTGGCGTTGAGTAGTGTCTCCAGACCAGAGACAAGGCCCTCTCTCGCTTTCACGCACTCAGCAACCGCACTTTCTGCATTAGCCAAGGTTTTGAGAAGTCCGTTCAGGCGAGCCGCGTAGACAGGAGCGGAAGGTACAGGAGTAGATGAGTCTGTTTGCTTCTCGTATTCTTGGTTTGCTGAAGTGATTGTGGCCTTGAGGGGCGTGCTCAGTTTGCTGACGTTCTGATGCGCAGATACAAGAGGCGCAAACTCGGATGGGATCGCAGCGGTACTGGTACTACCGCCACCAAATGGAGAGCCAGCAAAACCAGATTTGGCCATACCACGAGCCTTGTCGAGTTCTGGCCAGGTAATCAGCCTCTAGTTTCATCAACTAGTTTCAATCAACATGCACTCACCTCCAATACGGGCATCAATCGCAGCTTGGATTGGCGCCTCAAAAATCGAGCGATCTCTCCAAACGTCAATAACGCGCTTCAGCTTCGACTGCAGTTCCGCTGGGGCGCCTTTATAGGCAACAGAAGCAGCTTCGGCAATCACTGGCGCGAAAGCAATGATAAAGTCATCCTTATGACGAATTTTAGACTGTTGAGCAACCTCTATATTTTACGTTAGCTAAGCACAACGCGTCTTGCTGGCAAACATACCATTGGCAAGGTAGACCAAGCTCAACCGTTTTGTGCTGGATGAGTCTTTGAGACGCTGCATCCACAGCTGTACAGTCCTGTCTGCATGCCGCCTGCGCTTATTGTTAATCATTGATGCATTGTGGCAATACTGAGAGTACATACCTATGGAACATGATCCATTGCGCAGCTGTCGCAATACTGTCGTGGCTTTCATTCAGCGACGAAAGCCGCGCCAATACAGAATCATCGTTGTAAGCCATCTTTGGTATCGATGACCTTTTTGTTCGCAAAATGGATAAGTAACAACAGCTTATGGGCGCGAATACAGGCCGACAGACACAATGAAATGCCACGAGAATTACTAGGAGCTGGATGTCGGTAGCTGTTGTTGTAGTATCACTCTGGAAACGTTTGCTACAGCTACTTGCAGGAATAATGTCCGAGGCTTTAGTTAACCTGTTTCCACACGCAATAAACAGAGCTGAATCTGGTTACGACCTGATTCGCCTGTATATGTATGCAGCGAAACCCAGAGTGATGCTGAATTCGAATGCGCGATGAAACGAAATGTTTTCTTTGCTAAAGCAAGGAGAGTTTATAGAACAATAGCTTGCTTGGTCAAATAGAATCAACATCTGTTAAGAACAAAAATAGCTTGTAAGTGCATAGTATAGGGCCTTGGTGCATATCCAAGACCCACTGCAGCAAGCTAGGAGTCCCTCACCGCCCGGCAGAATACACGCCATCAGCAAGTGATGGCCTACTTGGCAGTAACTGGTAACTGAATAGGAGGACCATAGCAACAGCATTCACTCACAACGCCGCCTTCGAACGATTCCCTCCAAATTCCACACATTGTCATCCGATAACGTCAACCGAACTCGCGCATTCATAACATTAAACGATTGATCTTTAGATCTTTACATATTCAAAATGGCCGACCGTTTCCCTTCGCTCGAGGATTTCGATTCCGGGGGTATGTGCATTAACACAACGTATGCGCGGAATGACAGCTAACCTTTAACTTAGCGCAAACCGACATCAAGGACCCTAGTGCCGAGCCTTCGACTGACGATTTCCTCGCTCGTGAGAAAGCTCTCCTCGGAGACGATGCAGACCAGTTCGCGACCAACGATGACGCTGCAGCCTTTGGTGATGCCGATGATGACCTTCTCGGCGGCACTGGCAACAACGAGCAGTCCACATTCGAGTCTCAGTTTCCCGATTTGACCAACCCTGAAGCGGTAAGTTGATTCATCAGCATGCTCTGAACTGAAGCTTAAATTTATCTAGGGCACTGGGGTCTCTGCTGGAACTGCCATCACAGGAGGACCTTCAGTCAGCTACAACTCAGGATACCAGGCCTTCGCCGAAGAAGAGCAGGAGCCCGAGGTCATCAAGGAGTGGCGCGAGCGCCGAGACAATCAGATTGCCAAGCGTGCCGAACAGTTTGCTGCCCAACGAGAGGAGACCGTTAAAGAAGCTCAACAGAACATTGATGACTTTTACGAGAACTACAACAACAAGAAGGAGAAGGGTATCGCCCAGACACGAAAGGAAGCCGAGGAATTTCTGGAAAGCCGAGAGGATACCGTCTCTGGCGGCACCAGCTGGGATCGCATCGCAAAGTTGGTGGATGTGAGCGGTAAGGGCGCCAAGGGAGGTGCTTCTGGGTCAGGCAAGGAGCGATTCCGAGAGTTGCTTCTGAGCCTACGAAAGGACGAGAAGGCGCCTGGCGCCACAGGCTATTAGAGCGAGTATGACTGGAGTTTCGTCCATATCTCCGAAAATGGAGAGTTGCAGGTTGGTGCAGCGCACTAGGCATCACTTTTTGATGCATGCAATTTTCTGAGTTCTTTATGTATTCTAAAGTTTAGGAGTCCAGGTTTAATGGCAATGACGCGTGAATAGACATCACGATTTGGCTCAGGTGTTTGTCTTGGCCCCCATCATCGTACATTGAAACACTATCTCGTCAGGATATCACTGTGGTGTCATCTCCGTCTATTCACTCAAACTACTGATCATATTGACCTTCCATTGCTGGCGAACTATAGAGTAAGCCGAGTAGCTTCCGACGCTTAGTTTCCGAAGTAAGAGTTGTAGCCGAGTAGCTTCCGACGCTTAGTTTCCGAAGTAAGAGTTGTAGCCGAGGACCTTGCGGCCAGCGCCGTAGAAGGAAGCTGAGATACGTATCAATACTCCCGCCAATACTGAAGCCTAGAAGTTGTAGAGAACTTACCACCGAGGGTACCCCAGAGAAGGAAGAGGTAGGGGGTCATAAGGATGCGGCTGCGAGGGCCCTGTCAGGTCGGTCAGCCGGAATATCAGGATAGCTAAATGGCCAATTCGATCGTACAATCTTCCAAAGACGGGTGTGGTTCTTGTAAGCGTTCTGGTAGAATCGCTGGTTCTGGGGAACGGGGTTCTTAGCGTCGACGAGACTGGATGAGTGTCAGTGACGGAATCTCGTATGATGTGATGTTCTGCGATGCGGAGCTCAGGATGGGCCATTGAGGTTAGTCGAGGCGGCTAGGGAAATCGCTAGAACCGCTCCTGAATCAATTATACGTACGCCATTGTGAAGTCGTGTAATGAGAGTCCTGGGAGGCTTCGATGGTAGGTTTCGCGTGGGGTGGTTGAGTTGGTGAACGGAGGATGTCGAAGTTCGGGTAAAGAAATGAGGCCATATCTTGATTGGAAGCCGGGTGTTGGCATGACTCAGCAAGAGCTCTTGACGTTTCTGTTGGTGGAAAGGCACGTGCAGGGACCCCCCCCCCCCCCCCCCCCCAGATTCCCTGCTAGTGACGGGAGCAACTTTGTGATGCGCGAACAAAAACATTTGGAGGGGGATATGAGGTAGCTCTTGGATGTTACAACAAAGTCTCAATTTTGGAGCAATCTCGATGACTACACTACTGTTCTCTCGATACCGACCGATGCGATGATACGATACCAGCTGAAGCTGGCGAATTTACCCAGCTATGCATCGAACTCCAACAATATTTCGAGCTCGCCAACCCTCATACTGTCGATGCATCAATGCCATTGTACACAATCAATATCGATTTACGAAACGGAGACTTATAAATACGGATTCATACAATAACAACGACTGCATATATTCTCACAAAGTGGTTGAGAATGCGATAAATCACAATATTCCCGGCCAATCTAGATCCAGACAACGGGCTGCACGACACGACACTCCATCCCGGCTGTCAAAACGCAAATCGCTCATTCCACTGGGCATTCGAGTGCATGGGCGTGAACTAGCAGTACCCCCTAAAAATGAGATCGATTCTGATGAGATATCTTCCTGGGAACGTCGCATCGTAGCGATCCGTCATAGCCGTGGAGATCAAGGAACTTGGGAGACGTTTTTGGAGCTTCGGAACCAAGGCAATGTGCATCTTGTAACCGAGCCTCGAGCCGTATTCTTGCGGGACAACATTTTGAAGGCGGCATTGGCACGCCCTGACCGAATGGAGGAACTTTTTAAGTTTGCTCAGGAACTTCAAGAAACTTACCGTTTTGAATGGCCCGAGTTTTATTTGCAAGTGGTTCATTTCTACCTAGCTCAGACTGACTATGATGCCGCGTTCCGCTGGCATCTGAAGCTACTACCTGTTTTCCGTCCTGATCTGGATAGCTTTGGTGCCCTTTTAGCGAGTTTCGCTACCGATTTCTCTCCCGGGATGCAGAGTACTTTGACGAGGATGTACTCCTTCAATCCTTATCGTGAGCTGTACGACTATGTTGTGCCAGCTCTCTTCGACTCCGGCCAGTCACATCCAGCCCGTGTTTGGAGAAAACGATTCATCCTATTCAACGACTATGCCAAATCACCGAAGTCCATGCCGTTCCTTGACTTCCTTTCTCGATATTTTCCCAACGTACAGCTTACAAAAGAAGAGCTGGTAGTGCTCAATCGAGACTTGGGCGTTGGCAATGGGATGGCAAGCTCATACCCCGAAGATATCCAATTGGACCAGAATAAGGGTATTTACAGCGATAAGTTTACAGCCCGCTGGTTTGCCAGCTCTTGGACTTCTTCGGAATTTGCAATCAGTCTAATGCATAAGCTTGGTCTTCGCACAGTCGGGTCACAATCGTTGCAATCCGTTGCTTTGAGAGAAGACGACGCACGGGGAGTTACCCATCGGTTGGCTCAATTTAGAGAGTTGGGAATGACTATTGCACCTACAATCTACTGTAAAGCTCTGATATCTTTTGCTGAAAGAGGTGAAGATGACTTGCTCAGAGATTTGTTGCACTGTGACATACATCCAGCCGAGTTTGACGATTCAGAAAAACGACTGATGCTCCTAGCGGCTTCTGCTAGAGAGCAGGACTGGAGGCGGGAGCGGTTACTTCAAGAGGTCGAAGGTCTGGCAGCCAAGCCAGCAAAGAAACCAAACAAGGCACTCTCAAAGGAGCTCAACCGAAATCTCAGTATTGCACTATCAGCAAAAGGTCTTGCGCAAGTGAGGAGTGTTCTTGATAAAATGGACAGTATGAGTGTCACTTTAGAACAAAAGAACTCGGAAGGACTTCTCACCCGTGTCTTTGAAGACATCTGGTATCATCCAAAAAGGGCAAAGCAGAAGACCCACGGGTTGCAAGGCGACCCCCAGGTTGACAGGGCTATTCAACTTTCACTACGGATAGCAAGACATGGTGTTGCTGTCCCTATCAAATACTGGCAAATGCTGCTCTACAATCTTGGTCGTCTCGGCCGTTTCAGAGAACTCGAAGAATTTAGCTATGATATATGCGAAATATACAGCCCAGATCTTAGAGGCTTGATACCGGTGCACTGGCGAGACCTGCCCCCTAAAGCCAAGTCGAAACCCAACTCTTCGGATAGCGATTCAGCAGCATGGGCTCACTACTATTCTTTTTCTGATGGCAAAAAGAAGAGAAGTCACTTCAGGGAGGAATTCTGGAAAGCTGAGATAGGTCCGACCCAAGACCAACAAGTTGGCCTACTCACCGAGTCGAAACCAGACAAAAAGCCTCGTGTCCATTCACAAAAACGACTTAGATCCGACTATGTATTTTGCATACCCGCCGATCTGCCGTTCACAAATAGGCAACATCCCATACAAAAGATCTTTGATGTCAATCTCCAGCGTGCCATCTTGCGTTGGGGCTTCGACATAACATTAGGGCTAGAGCCGCCTCAACCTTCGCCCGTAAATGCCCAGTCAACAGGAGTTGCGGACTTTGATCTAGCGTGTGGTGTTCGTTTGCTGGCTTTGCTGAGAGACAAAGGTGTTTATATTGATGAGCAAGTAGTGCGAAGCGCCATCATTAATCGTCTCGTGGTCGCACATGTACCTGGAAGGACGAGAGCTAGATCCAGAGATGATAGGGAGCTATCGCCCGCACACATGAAGCAGCTGGTGGAAGAGGCATGGGGTTCGGAGATCCTTCCTAGCGAGGCTCAGCTGGTGTCAGAGATTGCGACCCAGAAACCCAAGGTATGGAAGAGCTATTCCAGGCTTTTGGGGCAAAGTTATGATAAAAAAAGAAGCAACTAATCTACCGTTTACGCCACGAGTTTTAATGGTAAAAGCTAATTCTAGCTACCTATGTAACAAGACAATGAAAATAAGAAATGACCATGACGCCAAACACACCGGGGACGTATCCCTCATGACCCGCTCTACATTGTATTGGTACATGTATATAATCAAGGCCGCGTCTCCAATGTCGGAAGTTCGAGGAAGACAGCGGGTATAACCGAGATTTTCAATGGTTGAACGCCTTCTACTCGTGTTTTTTAGGCTTGATGACTAGTAGAATGATCATACCAAAGATAATAAGGATTAGAAGAAGGATGATCTTGCGCTTGGTTGTCTTTCGCTGGTAACCAGAAGCGACTACTAACTCCTTGTCTGCGGCTTTGACGTCAGTGTTCATGCGCTCAACATTATAGTCAATGCGGTCCAGCATAGTGCCTTGATCGATAACCATATTTTGTAGGTCTCGGAAAAGGTCGGAGAGCTCGATGATGCCTTGTGCGATATCCTCGATCTCTCGTTCGCGCTGAGCGATGGCATTGTCGTTAGAATGAAGTACCCTTTGTTGTTGAGTTGCCTGAAGTGTCGATTGTGAGAATGATCGGTCCGCATCAGATTCTTGAAGAGAGGGATCGAGATATGAGCCTGGTTGGGGTGTACTGGATCTCTCACCCGGACTCAACGCGCCAAAGCCACCCATGCCACGAAGCTCTACAAGGACGAGTTAGCAGAAATCCAGGAGTAATTGAGAACGAACGAACTTTTTAGATATGCACTCTGCTTCTTTCTGAAGCTGGCGCTTGCATCTTGGACTCGTGCAGCTTGCGAAATCTGGATGTTCTTGGCCATAGTCTCCTCTGCTCTCGTGATTGTGCCCGCATGTTGAGAGTCGCGCACCATTTGTTCGACCCTTTTAATGCAGCGATGGCAATCGTGAAAGCCCTTTGTGATCTCCTGGGTAAGCTTCTCTATTTGCGCTTCCTCGGCTCTTTTGGCATCCTCGTCGTTGAAACCGGGTAGCACATGCTTCTGGTGCAGCTTCTCCAAGCTTTGGCTCTTAGTCGCGATGTTGGCAAGCAAGTCTGTAATCTCATCCGAAACATCAGCCCAGCTGGGTGGCAGCAGATCCATCTCAATTACGGCATCGCCATCGTCCTCGAATGCGCCGGCCGATAGGAGGCCGCGACGGTCGTCGTTCGCATAGCTACTGGTATAGGTGTCGGCAAGGGCACCAGAAGCAGAGGCGCCAGGTCCATACGATCTCCGCTGAGTAGGATGGTGCGCGTAAGACTGCCGGTAGGAGATGTATCTGCACGTTGAAGCTGTATCAGCATGTAAACTTGGTATATCAGGATGATCTCGCCAAGGACGTTGCAATGACAAGTGACAATAGGCGTCTCACAGGTTCGTGCGGTCTCGCCACATGGCGGACGCAATTTAGGGATAAAAGCTATCGTCGGCCTGAGAAATGGAGTAGGATTTTATCGAATCGATTGTATCGCGAAGGAAATCGTCATGGGACGGTACGTAAAGGTATTGTCGTCATGAGAGGGAAGATCGCGAATGGAGTCGAGATGCGGATTGAGGCTGATAAGCTGGCTTCGGCTGGGAGCATTACGACACTGAAGAGCAGAAAGCCCACTCCTGTTCGCCAGGACGACAGGGATCATGTGTCCCCTTCTGTTCGGTACCGCCGCACTTGGCCCTGAATTTCCAGTGAACGAGTGCTCACAACGGGCAGCTCATTCCCTGCGTGCATGAGCTCGAAAAAAGCTCGCACCGTGCAAACAGCCCCTCATGACAAGCTTCACAACCCAGTTTCAGGCTCCATGAGCCCCCGCAATTCGAAAACACAGTGCTTCATGCCCCCTTTGTTAGTGTATGGTTTCCTGCCTTAGGTACCGATTTCCCCCCTGACATCTGGCTATCCCCACGAAAGCTCCAGCCAAACCCGTGGAACGAAAAGGTCCGACATTCTTGGCTCGAGACCCCGCGACCTCTGAACTTGTCCAAGTCATCTTCATCCTTCTCGTGCGATCGACATCCACCTTTTTAACCACTTCTACCGTTACTTCCATATACAACCAACATGGTGAGTTGAGTCTATCTGTTATTGTTTCCTCTACATATATCTCGTCTTGGCTCTACTGCTTTGACCTCCAAGGCTATCGCCCATCAATTAGCTTCGACCCCGCGGCCGTGGTGAGAGGGGCTGGAGCTGATGTTTCTGGCGATACCTTTCTTAGAGATCTTGGACTGACAACTTTACTACTATAGGCCGATTCACTTACTGAAGAGCAAGTCTCCGAGTTCAAGGAGGCTTTCTCCCTGTTTGTAAGCTCCCTCTTCCTCACTGGGGCTCTTCCCGATCCAAGTTGTCGCTAACCTTTGTGTAGGACAAGGATGGCGATGGTGAGTGATGCTCCTCTTTTCACGATGTTTCTTCACTAGCCCGGTTCCAACGCCCAAGATCGATCCCATCGGACATCGAATATATAAACTCTTGATCTACCGTCTTTCGGCGATAGAAAGTCAAAATCATAGGCTAAACAATTCGCTATAGGCCAGATTACCACCAAGGAGCTCGGCACCGTTATGCGCTCTCTCGGCCAGAACCCCTCTGAGTCTGAGCTTCAGGACATGATCAACGAGGTCGACGCCGACAACAACGGCACCATCGACTTCCCCGGTGCGTAATTCTCCAAGACGATAGGGTACAGCAATACTAACAATAGAACAAAGAGTTTCTTACTATGATGGCCCGCAAGATGAAGGACACTGACTCTGAGGAGGAGATCCGTGAGGCTTTCAAGGTTTTCGATCGTGATAACAACGGTTTCATTTCCGCTGCTGAACTCCGACACGTCATGACCTCCATCGGCGAGAAGCTCACCGATGATGAGGTTGATGAGATGATTCGAGAGGCTGACCAGGACGGTGATGGCCGAATCGACTGTGAGTTGCCTCTCAGATTGGGCGATAAAGCACCAGCCGTACATCTTTACTAATGGTAAATTCAGACAACGAGTTCGTTCAGCTCATGATGCAAAAATAAAGGACAATATTCTGATACCTCGTCGACTAATTCCTCGACCCTGCCATCCCTACACTCTCGCCAGGCGCTGAGTGACGAACATGCATGGTATCAGAGGGGGCAGGTTGAATCTTCTTTACTTAGTGGCAAAACTGCAAGCGATACTGGGGTCATCTGGGACTTGTTGGGCAGAAGTTGTGAAGGGTATTGGCTTGCTTTCCGTGTTACTTGATGTCTTCACGACAGTGATGCCCTGGATCTCCCTACACAACTTCTAGCAACTGAGAAATTTTCCATTCGGCCTCGAGGCATTCATTATATTCCTATCATATATGTACTGCTACATTACAATTGTGGTTATGCCCTTTGTCCGTTTGCGTGTCGGTATCCGTAAATGCACCTGAGGTACGGATAGCTTTAGTGAGGGGCAACGGAACGGGGCGGTCAGAGAAACGTGCCCATCGTTTCAGCCAATTTTAATAACGCTGAGTGACAAGGACGATCAGCCAGCCAGCCAGCCAGCCCTACAGCCCGCTCATCCGTCTATGGCTCTACTGCATGCCTTACTTACCCTGTGTATCCAACACCCATGAATCTGAGGCTGTCATCGATGAGCTTGTATCGTAAACGTGGATCCCAATTCCGATGCTTGAAAGAGTCCGTATACAAGCATGTATTTTATTTGTTCGTTAATGGGCAGATCAGGGTGGGATGTTCCTTTGAATCTTTTTATCAGCGACATACTCATGCATAACAATGGGCTTCTTCGTTGAGAAAAGCCAACCCTGGGAATCTGAAGTTACTGGCTCGATGACAGTTAAGGCTGCGCTTGAGAACCAGTAAGACGCAAACATCGGCTCGACTCCGTCCACTCCTAGTAACTATTTGAATGAATCAGCTTCTTTGCTCTAGACTTCTTTGCTCTAGACTTCTTTGCTCTATCTGGCTGGTCAAGTCAGCTTACAAAAGGGACGCTAATAATATTAATGGATGCCATGCCACATCGCTAATTGAGAGTTGCAAGGGAGCAAAGGAGCTACTGCTACTAGGATCGACCCCACAGGAGCAGGTCTCGTGTACCTAGTCCCTGAGTCCCTGAGATGTCTGTCCTCTGCTATTCAAGGGACACTCATCGTGAATATCATGACAGTAATTGCATAGGTAGCATGGCTGGTATTGGACAGGCGAAGAAATCAAAGCAATGGGCCCAGCAAGACTTAAAATACTTATTCATATCACGCCAAGAGAGGTTGGCGTCTCTTTCAGGCATTGTTGAATGGATGACATTGTACTCCGTAGGATGAACGCCAAGCAAGGGAAGCATTTTGACAAGAAAGACCCTGTCGAATGTCGCAGTCCTCCGTACGGCGCATTCCTTCACGTGTTAGTAGGCCTCCCGCCGCAATTTCCAAGTCAGGTCCCATCCCTCAGCCACAGACATAGCTTTAGGGGGAATGAAATACAATTGCCCTTCAGTTAACGTTCCTCTGAGGTCTCCATATCGCCCTTCCCTTGGGAGAGAAGTAAGGTAGCCATTTCTACCGAGGACCTAGCTTAGCTTAACGACGCGAAGTTCAGCCGTTCTCAACTCACACTCCAGCCCAGACGTGTCTAGAATCGAATTTGAATGAGGCATCACCAATCTTGACAGTTTCAACGTCAACGATTTGAACCTCACCAGCTTTTACCTTTCTCCTTTCCCTCTTCCCTCTTCCCTTCTCGGGCCAGCGATGTGAGATACCAGATTGCACCTCACCCTTTTTTTCTGTCACATCAATCCTGTGCTACTCAGCAGCAGTGCACTTCACAATGGCGGGTCCCTTACGGCGAGGCCGTCTCTGGCTTGGTGTCGCCTTCATCTGGATCTTGTGCTTCTGGTACTGGTCAAGTTCGGACTCTGCCCTCACGTTGTTTGGCAAAAATGATCCTCTTGCTGGGACAGGCACCAGTGCCTGGACTCGAAGGCTGCCTAAATACCCCATTGCTCAGGAGAAATTAGCCGTCTTGCCCAAGATCAACGGAGATGTCAAGGTACCCAAAATTCAAGCTGCTGCGCCGGTTGAGAGCACTGCGCAAAAGGAGCTACGGCTGTCACGTCTAGCTGCTGTCAAGAAGAGTTTCGAGCATAGTTGGAGCGGATATTCCAATTACGCCTGGATGCACGATGAAGTGACGCCAATGACAGGCAAGTCCAAGGACCCCTTTGGTGGTTGGGCTGCGACACTGGTCGACGCTCTTGATACGCTCTGGATCATGGACATGAAGGAAGAATTCACAAAGGCCGTTGCTGCCGCGGACGGCATCGACTTTACTAGGAGTTCCATGACTACTATTAACATTTTTGAGACCACTATTCGCTATCTCGGCGGATTCTTGTCGGCTTACGAGCTGAGCGGCAGAGCCCACCCTATCCTCCTGAAGAAGGCTATTGAGCTTGGAGATCTTCTCATGTGCGCATTTGATACACCCAACCATATGCCCGTTACCCGTTGGGAATGGAAAAAGTAAGTTTGTTCCCGTACGAACGGTAGCATTTCTTACATACTCACATACTCCAGATACGCCTATGGACACTCCCAGTCCCCTTCCCGAGATGCTCTTGTCTCCGAGCTTGGCTCAATGAGTTTGGAGCTTACCAAACTGTCTCAGCTCACTGGCAACATGAAATTTTATGATGCGGTCAAGAGGATTGGAGATCAGTTCGAGTCTACGCAGCTTAACACTCGTCTTCCCGGTATGTGGCCGGTAGTCGTTGATGCTTACACGCCAGCCTTCCATGCCGGCTCAGACTTCACACTTGGCGGAATGTCTGATTCTCTCTATGAGTATCTTCCCAAATGGTATCTCCTTCTTGGAGGTCAACTAGAGCAACCCCGCCGACTGTACGAGAACTTCATCCCTGTTGCAATCAAGCATTTGTTCAAGAAAGCATTGACGCCTTGGGACAAGCCGATCCTTATCTCTGGAGATTACAAAGTTACGGATTTGCCAGGAGAGCAACCAAAATACACTTCTGTTGCGCGAGGTCAGCATCTTACCTGCTTCGCCGGTGGCATGATGGCAATGGGCAGCAAAGTTTTCAACCGCCCAGACGATCTCAAGATTGCTGCCCAACTCACAGATGGCTGCGTCTGGGCTTATCAGGCTACCCAGACTGGACTTGGACCTGAGGTTTTCACCTTCATCCCATGTGGCAGCGCAGATGCAAAGGAAGCAGGCGACTGTACTTGGAGCGAAGATAGGTGGCTCAAGGCCATCGAAGAGCAGCATGCTCCCGACTTCAAGCCTCCCCCGATGAAAGGATCAGAATGGAAGACACCTACCGTTCAGGACATCATCAAGAAGCACAATCTCCCCAAGGGCATGATAGATGTGAGCGATGGGCGGTACATCCTACGACCGGAGGCTATCGAGTCCATCTTCATCATGTACCGAGTCACTGGTGATGCGCAGTGGATGGAGAAGGCATGGACTATGTTTGAAACGATCGAGAAAGTGACACGAACAGAGATTGCTGCTTCAGCGATAGAAGACGTTACCAAAGCCGAACCTACCAAGATGGACAGCATGGAGAGTTTTTGGTTGGCCGAGACGCTCAAGTACTTCTATCTCATCTTCAGTGAATTTGATGTGATCAGCCTGGATGAGTGGGTGCTGAACACAGAAGCACACCCTCTGAGTCGCCCAGATACCAAGTCAAAGTAAGGTTATTGGTAGAGCAAGTGCTTCGGTTGCAAGACGGGAGAAGGTTTAAATACTGTTTACAGTTTTATGTGTATCATTATAACCACAGATTTTTATGCGAGTATGAACAAACCATAGTTAATGTTAAAATGTGTTTTCTAATTTCACTGGGCTTTTGTTTCCCTTTCTGCATCTTCTGTTGTCTCCTGATTCCATTTAGATAACTCCTATATTGATGACTAACGAATTAGCATGGAGTTGAAGTACGTACTGCTTCAATTTAGCGTGGACTTGTTCTATGCCCCACGTCTGGGCCTGAAAGGTGTCCGCCGCAAGCAGAAGTACTTACAGCACAGCACACACCGTCACTGATCACTGACCACTGACACTGACCTGTGACGGCGCAACTTAGGTTCTCTCTTATACAGCTGCCTTGAGTAGGCTTCGATCGAACCACCTATATCATCCTTCGTCTTGCTTCACCTGTGAAGCAATATCCTGCTCATTGCTTAGTGCTAGAGCTGATTGAGCTTCTGCGAACCTCCAACACCTACCTCACAACCCCTGGATAAGCATCGACAAGACGGCCCAACCGCTGGGTCTGTCCCTCCAAGATGAGTTCCCGTACGGCGCCGACGAGCTCTCCCCCGCGACTTGATCCATTAGAGACTTACTTTTATTTTCATCTTGGATAGTCAAGCAGTTTATTCGAAACGTGCGTGCGGCCAAGACGATTGCCGACGAGCGAGCTGTCATCCAAAAAGAGAGTGCTGCAATCCGCGCCAGCTTTCGAGAAGAAAGCCACGACCCCAACGTCCGGTGGGTATAACGATGCTATCAGGGGAATGGGCCATGCTGACGCTGAGTTAGTCGCAACAATGTCGCAAAGCTTCTCTACCTCTTCACGCTGGGAGAGCGAACCCATTTTGGACAGATCGAATGCTTGAAACTCCTAGCTTCCCCTCGATTCGCCGACAAACGTCTAGGACACCTGGCTACAAGTTTACTGTTGGATGAGAACCAAGAAGTTTTGACTCTGGTGACCAACTCGCTCAAGAAGTATGCGTTTTCTGTTGCTTCTTGTAACATCAGGTTGCTAACTCTAGTCTAGTGATCTTGGACACTCCAACCAATATGTTGTCGGCCTGGCACTTTGCACACTAGGAAATATCGCTTCGATCGAGATGTCCCGAGATCTTTTCCCCGAAATTGAGACCCTTGTTGCCACGGCCAATCCCTATATTCGAAGAAAAGCAGCTCTCTGTGCCATGCGCATATGTCGCAAGGTTCCCGATCTGCAAGAGCACTTCATCGAGAAGGCAACGCAGCTCCTGTCTGATAGAAACCATGGTGTTTTGCTCTGCGGCCTCACTTTAGTCACGAGCCTTTGCGAGGCGGACGAGGAAGAAGGCGGAGAAGAGGGAATTGTTGAAAAGTTTCGGTCCTTTGTCCCGGGCCTTGTCAGAACCCTGAAAGGTCTCGCAACTTCAGGCTACGCACCCGAACATGATGTCACTGGCATTACCGACCCCTTCCTTCAAGTCAAGATTCTGCACTTGCTGAGAGTCTTGGCTGTAGGCGATGCAGAGACAAGCGAGCAGATCAACGACATCCTGGCCCAGGTTGCTACCAACACAGAGTCCTCCAAGAACGTTGGTAACTCTATTCTGTATGAAGCTGTACGCACGATTCTCGACATCGAAGCCGACTCAGGTCTGAGGGTTCTCGGTGTCAATATCCTGGGCAAATTCCTTACCAATCGCGACAACAACATCCGATACGTGGCTCTCAACACTCTGATCAAGGTCGTCGCCATTGAGCCCAATGCTGTCCAGAGACATCGAAACACCATCCTGGAATGTTTGAGAGATCCTGATATCAGTATTCGACGCCGAGCTCTTGATCTAAGCTTTACCCTGATTAACGAAAGCAATGTTCGCGTCTTGATTCGTGAGCTTCTAGCGTTCTTGGAAGTTGCCGATAACGAATTTAAGCCTACTATGACCAGCCAGATTGGCATTGCGGCCGACAAGTTTGCACCCAACAAGCGATGGCACTTTGACACAATGCTTCGGGTTTTGTCGCTGGCGGGTAACTATGTCAAGGAGCAAATCCTGTCATCATTCGTTCGCCTGGTGGCCACCACCCCTGAGTTGCAGACTTACGCCGTGCAAAAGCTTTACATCAACCTCAAGAAGGACATTACCCAGGAGAGCTTGACACAAGCAGGTGCCTGGTGCATCGGAGAGTACGCCGATACTCTGCTCAAGGGTGGACAGTATGAGGAAGAGGAACTTGTTCAGGAGGTTAAGGAACACGAAGTTGTCGACCTGTTCTCCCTTATTCTCAACAGCGCATACGCCACCCAGGTATCTACAGAGTACATCGTGACAGCTCTGATGAAACTGACAGCCCGCTTCTCTGATCCTGCTCAAATTGAGAAAATCCGACGACTCTTGCAATACCACCAGACCAGTCTCGATATTGAGATCCAACAGCGAGTCGTTGAGTATGGCAACCTCTTTAGCTTCGACCAGGTCCGACGGGGTGTGCTCGAGAAGATGCCCATCCCTCAAATCAAGGAGGAGTCTCGTGTGCTTGGTTCTGCTCCCACCAAGAAGAAGGCCTCCAACAGGAAGTCAAGAGTTATCAAGCCCACGGAGCAAGATCTCCTTGACATCATGGACTCGCCTGCTGCCGCACCAACAGCTCCCTCGACGACCAATACTGACCTTCTCGCTGATATTTTGGGTGGCGCATCTTCGCCCCCATCCGCAAGCTCACCACCCCCTCAGCAATCCAATGTATCAAACATTATGGATATGTTTGGGTCTGGTCCTATGTCTTCTACATCATCTCCCGCACCTCCTTCTTCAAACCTTGACCTCATGTCTCCCGTTTCGACGCCTCAACCTCAAGCACCCCAAGCACCTGCTGGTATCCCATGTTACAACTCTAACGATCTTAATGTGACGTTTCAGATCCAGCGCAACGCTGAGGGTATGATCCAAGCTGTTGCCAAATTCATCAACACATCTGGCTCGGCGGGTCTATCCAACGTGTCTCTTCAAGCTGCCGTTCCTAAGTCTCAAAAGCTGCAGCTGCTGAGCATCTCTTCGTCGGACCTCGGCCCTGGAGCTGAAGCCTCCCAGATGATGCGCGTGTCTGGCTGCAAGGGTGTAAGTGGTTCTCCGTCTACTTTCTATAAAAAAATGACATACTGACATAATATCTTAGCCCCTGCGTCTACGGCTGAGAATTGGATATACGCACCCAACTGCTGGACAGGTCATGGATCAAGTCAACTGGACAGAGTCCTAGATATGTTTGGTATGATGGGTGTAGGGGTCAAGAAGGGCATCTTGTTTCTTGAAGGTAATGTAACTCGCGATTGTGGACTATAGGAGCTGGACTTGGAGAAGATAGAGTCCTAAAACGGACGGTAGAGCAATATTCTTTACAGCAAAAATTGGTTTCAATCATCGGGTTTCTTAAGCGTGCAAATGATATCTACAGTAGTCATTAGTTGCTATCACACGATGTAAGTGTTTATATGGTCGCCTTACTCAGCTCGATGATGCATTAAGTATGATAAACGGCAGATCAACCCCACTATGGCAACCTCCATGTTCCATGGGCCAGCGATATATGTATCAATCAACGAATGCATATGTGTACATGTCTCTAAAACTCGGAAGGCTTTCTACTTGTCTCCTTTTGTTAGGCCGGACATCAAAAATCAATAATAAACCCGCATTCTTGCGAATAAGGCCCATGTCAACTCAGCGGAGTGGCCATCTGGAACGGACGGCTCAGGAGCCACGGGATGAGGTTCGTTTATGCTCATACTGAAGGTGAATGACCTTTGGCTAACAGGTGGCACACCAGAGTCTTCTCAAGGTGAGGCTTGGTAGCATAGACCAAGTAAATGAGCGGATTCGGCTGTTTCGCTTGTATCTTGAATCAGGACCAGTCAATGTACGTTCAACATTTCTTACATCTATGCAGACATTCGATTACCAAGGCCAGTATTTGCTGAAGGCATGCAGTTCTCAGCTGGCCAGTGGTTAGATACGTATGTCCCAGATATCCCCAAGCCAGGTGGCTTCACCATCACGTCTTCACCTCGTGCCGCTGCCGACCCAAACGCCCCTTACTTTGAGCTAGCAGTCCAGGATTCGCCATATAATCCTCCTGCGGCTTGGCTCTGGCGCTCGCCGTCCGAAATTCTTGGATCCCAGTTGCAAGTACGTGTTGGGGGAAGTTTTGTCTTTCCTCCAAACGAAATACCTCTTGGTGAGATACGCCGGGTGGTGTTTGTCGCGGGCGGCGTTGGGATCAATCCATTTGCCAGCATGCTGGGCTGGACAGCTGAAGAGGCCTGCAACCTTGATGTGAAGGTATTGTATGCGAGCAAGATACCCACGCAAGGACTGAACGGTGTTCTTTTCCTAGAAAGAATCAGAGCGTGGTTCAGAGAGAAGAAGCTCAGCGGTGATCTGAAAGTCTTTGCAACGGGGGAACCTGGCGAACTTGAAGGTGGTAGTGAGCTTGAAGTGCTAAGGAGGAGGCTTACCATTCAAGATGTAAGAGAGGCTATTGGTGGGCAGGAGGATGATTGTGTTGCATACGTATGTGGTCCTGCGGCGATGACAGATGAACTCGTTGAGGGTCTTACAAGAGATGGCGGAATGGATAAGAAACGAGTTATGCTAGAGAAGTGGTGGTAGGGACATGGTCAAAGTCGTCGTCGAATATGTACGTTGGTACCACTACAATAATGCTTATCCTGCGGTTCCTTGCAAGATGAATTAGTCCGTACATGTGTATTTTATTGCGCCGTGGTATCGTTACAAAATAGGTTCTATTCACCAACGCACCCAAACTGATTGCGTCCATATTGTTGACCCAGCCCATTCATCGCTGCGGTATATGTACCAAGTTCACCTTCAGACCCAAATCATGAGAATAGATCCTCGGCCTTCTGTCGCTGCTTCGATCTTCCTCCCTCTCCAAACAGCTCCTTTCCAGCATTATTTGCTCCCAGCTTAGTAGGGAAAAGTTCTCTGGCGTTAGCGGCTGCGGCACCCTTAATCGCAAAACCCTCCCCGCCACCCTGTTGCTTGGCCATGCCACGTATGTTGAACGAACTGCCGCTCCCTCGTTTTTCAGGTACAGATACAATCTTGGGTCGATCCTCGTCCCTGAGATGGGCTGATCCTATGGCCCGTTCAAGGGTATCTAGATTTCCTCCACCAAACTGCTTGATTGACTTCCTAGTCGGGAACAATTCCTTGGAATTGCCACCACCTGATATGCGATCCTTAAGGTCGCGAGCTCTCGCCCTGTTCCCGGACGAACTAGCCCGCTCACTCATCAAATCGTCACCGTCGCCGTCGCGCCTGGGGGATGCAGATCGATCGCGTTGTGGTCTTCGACCCGAGAACAACTCTTTGCCTTGATTCTCGCGAGCAAATGAATGAGGTCGTTCTTCTGTGTCGGAATCACGTCTTCTCCGTGATGGGCGTGGCGCATCGTCGTACATGCTGGCCTCGAATGTCTCAACATCGTCGTCCGAGGCGCGTCGACGTCGACCACCGTCATCTCGACGATAGCCACTATCCCGCTCCCTGTATCTCGTCCGATTGTCCTGGTTCCTCCGTCGTCGCTCTTCGGGATCGTGCTCGGGGTGAAGGAGGTAGTAGCGACTTCGCAATGCAGCGCCGGCCTCCTTCTTGTCACTTGAAACGGCGAATCGCACCTGGAGAGAAGTTTCTGGCTTTCCTTCCAGAGGCTTTGCGGGCAAAGTCTCCCCAATGGCCAATGCAGTAGCGTCTGCTACGGGAACAGAACTCAGGGCAACAAGCGCATCGCGCGCCGTAGGTTCTGATGGGAAGAGAAGATTGGCGGAGGAATCGTCGATCCACTCAACCCTGTCAACGTCACCAAAGTGAGCCTTTACATAAGCCTTGATGTCCGATGTGTGTAGAGAATCGACACCTTTGATGTGAATCTTTGTGGGAATGAGTGTTTTGGAATCTTCTATCGCAGGCTCGTCTTCGGCAACCTCGCCAGGTTCTTCTGGTTCGTCGGGTTGCTAGCAAGAGGGTTAGATTCAGATCGCAACGCTTCGATGGTATGGTAGGTCTTACAAGAATATCATCGCGACCGAGATCAGCAATGGGTGCGTCGTGGACGGTCTCGACAGCGTCGTCCATCTCAATATCCAGATCCATCATGGGCGGAGGGTTGAAATCGTCTTGCTGTACAGAGGAAGAAGCTCGCGAATTGTTCAAGATTATCAGCCTTGGGGCCGACAGTGAATCAAAAGGGGTGGATAAAGTAATTATGCTTTGAAGTTGTAAGAGCGAGAAACGTTGCAGCAAAGAGGAATTGAAGCTGGCTCGCGATTTAAGGCTGATGCGCTCTCTAGGCCAAGCAGTGAACAGACCGATCGGAGCTTAGTGGCCGACTGCTCCGCAACTTAGTACCTAGATCCAGATGTGCAGGAGGAGTTCAGGGATCCTCTGAGAATCGATGTATAAGAGCACGAAGAGTGACCAAGTCCACTATCTGCTGGACTACATACCATGCGGGATCCTCTATTTTGACTTCTCATCAGGAGCTTAATTAATCCGTTGGACACCACTTAGGTACTAAGATAGCCATAAAAAATATTAACATCCAAGTACCTATTCTCAACAATATAAGGCCAATTCTTTATTGGAGGCTCTTCACAGGCATTTATATTAGGGGAAGATACGCTAAAGTCTCCACATTGCACCTCAGGTTCCCCAAGTCCATGCGGTGGAAGGACGACCCCAATCATGTAGCCACACCTGCCACATTACCTAATCATCTTCAGGTAGCTTCACTTGTGAACACATAGCTTTATACCTAAGATAGCTGCGGTCGTTAGGTGCAACCCTTTAACTGGTATTTGAGCCTCCGCTGCGAAACATTCACCATTCACACCGAGTCCAAAGTGCTCTCGACATAACACCTATACACACCTCTATCCGGCGTCAACAGTCTGACGCATTCTACCACCATGGATTACGAGACGCTCAAGGAGCAATGGAGCGAGGTCGAGGATCGCGATGGTGTCCGACTGAGTTGGAACGTTTTCCCCAGCTCCCGCATGGTAAGTTGACCGCTTCGTGCCGCTTTACCTTAAGCTCACATCGTCCAGGAAGCTTCAAGGCTTGTTGTACCCATCGGAGCGCTCTACACTCCCTTGAAGGAGAAGCCAGATACTCCTCTCTTGCATTTCGAGCCAGTGACTTGCAAGCAGCCATGTCGTTCAGTGTTGAACCCATTCTGGTAAATTCGTCTCTCATTTGATGGCTGTATCTTTTCCTTACTAACCTGATAATGAAGCCAGGTCGATGTTCGGGCGAGAGTTTGGATCTGCCCTTTCTGTCTATCAAGAAACCAGCTTCCCCCACACTATAAAGACATCACCGCGAACGCCATCCCACCAGAACTACACCCCGCCAACACCACGATAGAATATCGTTTGTCCCGACCTGCACCTGCACCGCCGATCTTTCTATATGTTGTGGATATGTGCCAGGAGGCGGACAGCCTCGCTTCTTTGAAGGAATCCCTTGTGATGAGCCTGAGCTTGCTACCAGAGAACGCTCTCGTCGGTCTCATCACTTATGGCACAATGGTATATCACTTACGCACCCCACCGCGTTGCTCGTGTTGCTAACAAGTCGATAGGCACATGTCCATGAAATTGGCTACGAGGAATGCGCCAAGTCATATGTGTTCCGAGGCAGCAAGGAGTATGCTGCCAAGCAAGTTCAAGAGATGCTTGGATTGTCAACCTCTGGTGTGCGACCAGGCATGCAGCCGCAGCCTGGTCGACCTTTCCCCGCAGGCCCGGCATCTCGCTTCCTTCTGCCAGTTCAGCAAGCTGAATTTCAGCTGACGAAAGCCCTTGAATCTCTTCAAAAAGACCCTTGGCCTGTTGCGAATGACAGGCGTAACCTGCGGTGCACTGGTGTTGCCCTCAGCGTCGCTGTTGGATTGCTGGAGTCGTCTTTCCAGAATGCAGGCGGTCGCATCATGCTGTTCTCTGGTGGCCCCGCTACCGAAGGACCGGGCATGGTCGTTGGCCCTGAATTGAGAGAGCCGATTCGATCGCATCACGACATTGACCGTGACAACGTCAAATACTATAAGAAGGCATTGAAGGTGTGTTAATCCTACGATCCTTGTCCCCAGCCGCTGCTAATAATTTGATCAAAGTTTTATGAAAATCTCGCCAAGAGGACCGCCCACAATGGCCACATCATTGACATCTTTGCTGGTTGTCTGGATCAAGTCGGTCTTCTTGAAATGAAGGGGCTCTGCAATTCGACCGGTGGTCATATGATTTTGACCGACAGCTTCACTTCTTCCATGTTCAAGCAGTCGTTCGTGCGAATTTTCGAAAAGGATGGCGACGACAATCTCCTTATGGGTTTCAATGCCGTATTGGAAGTTCTGACTACCAAGGAACTGAAGGTCACTGGACTCATTGGACACGCGGTTTCCCTCAACAAGAAGTCCATCTCTGTAGGTGAGACTGAATGTGGTATAGGTAACACATGTTCTTGGAAGATGTGTGGCATTGATCCCAAATCGAGTTACGGAGTGTACTTCGAAATTGCCGGCCAAGGTCCTGCCACACAGCAACAAGCACCGCAAAAGGGGATGATGCAGTTCTTGACCTATTATCAACATGCTTCTGGTCAGTTCCATCTTCGTGTTACAACTGTCGCGCGAAACCTCAGCAGTCCTGCTGGGGACCCAGCACTTGCGCAGTCATTCGATCAGGAAGCTGCCGCTGTCCTCATGTCGCGAATTGCTGTGTTCAAGGCCGAGGTCGATGACGGCCCTGACGTCTTGAGGTGGGTTGACAGAATGTTGATTCGTCTGTGCTCGCGATTTGCGGACTACCGAAAGGATGATCCTTCATCCTTCCGACTGGAGAAGAACTTCACTTTGTACCCTCAGTTCATGTTCCATCTCCGCCGCAGTCAGTTCCTTCAAGTCTTCAACAATTCTCCTGATGAGACGGCATTCTATCGACATGTACTCAATCATGAGGATGTCAGCAATTCGCTTGTCATGATACAACCTACTCTAGACTCCTACACCTTTGACCAGGATGGAGGACAGCCGGTTCTACTTGACTCTGCTTCCATCCAGCCTACCCACATCCTCCTTCTGGATACTTTCTTCCATATCTTAATCTTCCATGGTGAAACAATTGCCGAATGGAGAAAGGCCGGTTACCAGGATCAAGAAGGTTACGAGAACTTTGCTGGTTTGCTCGAACAGCCCAAAGAAGATGCTCGCGTGAGTTTGATCTCTATATTTCTCTGTGACAATAGCTTACCGTTTCTAGGACTTGATTACTGACCGCTTCCCTCTTCCACGATTCATTGTTTGTGACGCGGGTGGCTCTCAGGCTCGTTTCCTGCTTTCTAAGCTTAACCCATCTACCACACATACCACTGGCCCCTACGGTGGTGTGGGAGCTACAACTGCCCAGACAATCTTCACAGACGATGTATCCCTGCAGACTTTCATGGATCATTTGATGAAGTGAGTATTCAATTTATCGCCAGTCAGCGTGTTTTCTTTTTAACTAACCAATCTATCTAGGCTTGCCGTCAGTGGTACCAACTAAGACAATCTTTAAGTGGTTGGGTGGCTTTGCCAGCGTTTGATAATATCTACAAGACATCAAAGTTTTGCTCAGTCCGACAGATGAGAGTCTCAATGAGTCCGTAATTTCATTTAGATGGCAGTAGAATAGCAATCAACATCTTCCTGGGCTCCGGCTCTCTTAATACATCTGCAAAGCTGATCGCTGTCTCTTCATCCACTTCCATAATGAGCTGCACGTGACACCCATGCCTGTATGACTAATCACACAGAATTCGCTTTTTCGTTAGGGCAGATTCAGATCTAGTGGGGCGCACTTTTTCTAGTTCACGGAATTGAGATCTTCAACTTTTCTTCGCTTTGATCAACCTGCCTTTTTACACCCGGCACGCAAACCACGAGCCTCTGCCGACTTCAACGATATCACAATGCGTACGTTTACTTGCAATCTGCTCGAAATTGGCATACCAGCTCACACGATGAACAGCTCCCAAGCTCGACCCCAATGAGATCAAGGTGATGTACGTCGAAAATATTCGGAAAGTCCTCACGATGTTTGGAACTAATAATTTGTAGCCACCTCCGCGCCACTGGTGGTGAGGTCGGTGCCTCTTCCGCTCTTGCTCCCAAGATCGGTCCTCTTGGTCTCTCTCCCAAGAAGGTTGGAGAAGATATCGCCAAGGCTACTGGCGACTGGGTAGGACTTACAATTTTCCTCGTCCTGATATGAGAATGCTAACAATCTTGCAGAAAGGCCTGCGCGTAACTGTCAAGCTCACCATCCAGAACCGTCAAGCCGCTGTCTCCGTTGTGCCCACCGCTTCCTCTCTGATCATCAAGGCCCTCAAGGAGCCTCCCCGTGATCGCAAGAAGGAGAAGAACATCAAGCACAACAAGTCCGTCAGCCTCGACGAGATCATCGATATCGCCCGCACCATGCGATACAAGTCTTTCGCCAAGGAGCTCTCTGGTACCGTCAAGGAGATTCTCGGTACCGCCTACAGTGTCGGTTGCCAGGTTGATGGCAAGCCTCCCCAGACTATCATTGAGTCTATTGACAGCGGAGACATTGACAGTAAGTTCTGGATATTCGTTCCTCATGTTGCCCTTACTAACACATTCGGCAGTCCCTGAGGAGTAAATTTGGTCCTTTAACTAGACCCGAACCCTCCAAGTAAAAAAGCAATAGAACCATTGTCTGATGGATTCCCCCTCAATAGCTGCGCTCTGTCATCTCTGTGATATTTTGTGACTACGTAAAGTACCCTTGACTCACTCTGAAATCTACCATCATGCCCTGTGGTTTATTTCTATTTTTGTTCAAGGAAGAGGAACCAGCCCAATACTCACCGCGATATACTAGCGATTCAGCTCTTGTGGATATAGCGGTCCATCATCATGGCTACATGACTTTTTAGAAAAAGAAATTGAATGTTGGAGTAGCTTATCCACAACTCAATGTACAGGGTAAGGTGAGAATACTGAAGCCTTCAACTGAGATACTGGTATCTCGACATATTACATCGAGTTTGCCGTTGTTCGCAATTGGAACCAAAGGCTTAATTCATTTATATTCCCCTTATTATAATATTGAGTATCGAAGTCATGATATCTACTCCATACCCTGCACTTTCTTGAAACTTGAAGTAATAGTCATATCGTTACACTTCGATATCTAGCTGGCGCCCCTCCACCCTGGCAGCCTGGCTATATACTACTAGTGTAAAGTCAGGGCAATGATGCTGAGCTGTTGCACATGGTACAATACGGTGTTGGGTATCTGTCTAGGTACTTTGTGTGGGGATTATATGAGGCTCGAATGATGTACTCGATGATGTTGTTCACACGAATAAGATACATATCGCGTGATGAAAGTTGGGGCCCCAAATTTGGTTTCAAGCACGTCTGTACTCTGTATCCCTAGCCGAATGGAAGACACGGGGTAGTCTAGTGGTGTGGCAGCCCGAGGTGTGGGATTCCGTGATCGCCCCATTACCAATGGAACGCCGTAATTGCTGACACCCAATGACTTGGGCATGCTGCAGCGTGACGGTGCAGGGTCCCTAGGTGCGAATGCCTCCATCCATCTGTGCTGGCCTAGCGAGCAGTGAACGGGCAGCAAATTACACGGGTGTCTTGCAGCCAGTTCCAGTGCAGCATATACAGATACAGTGCTATGTATGTATCTACGGAGTACTCCATATCAATTACCCAATTGTCACATCAACAAAAAAGGTACTCTGTCATCGTCACCGGTTAAAATTACCGCAGTCGATTAGAAGCGGGCAGTGTAAGCACCAGGCACAAACAAAACATGAAGCACGGGCTGTGTGATGGTCCTATGGAGTACCTAGTGTCATTGAGCGTTGAGCACTGAGCATTAAACATGGAGGCTAAGCAGGTAGGTACCCCTCTCCATTCAAGCTCCCTCCGTCTCTCTCCCGCATGTGGAGCGCCCTGACCCGCCAAAAGCTCTAATCAGCTCTAACTAACCACCTTCTTGACTTTACTTCATTCAACCTGGCGCTATCTGTTGGGCAACCAACGTGACAATATACAAACAACTCGTTTGTTGGAATCGCGCCTCAGAATTTTACACATACAGGACTTGCTCCTTGCTTCATCAAACTTTGCAGACCTGGCGACTGTACCAGATCCTGGCGTGCTATTACCGCGAAACGACACCCATATGTGAAGCGACGAATGCGAACATTATTGACCGTGCGACTTGATTTCCGTCCCGTCTTTTGTCTGCGATAGACTCAATAAATTACTGTTTTACAACATCTTTCGGCGCCTGGCATCTCCCTATGACATAAGGGTAGACTTACCAGATCCATTAAAACACAGGATATCCTCGCAACGTCTTGGAGTCGTTGGTCTGGCACTGGCGCAACACCCGCCCTTCTAACTCGCTCAGATGCTTGTCAGCAATCAACCCGATACTCCAATACACAGCGCAGCCGCCAGCCATGCCCTTTGATCAACAGGCCATGAACGACCGCTCTCTAACAGTGTTCCTATTCCTGCGTTCTCAGTCCGTTTCGTTTCTTCGCCAATATACCCCGTTGTCATGTTACCTCTCCTTCAAATGCATCCTCATGCGGTGACGCCGCCGCAATCGAATCTCGATGCTTTCGCCGCGTTCCCAAATAACAACACATCTTCTTTCAACGATTATCCTGCCCGCAACATCGCATCGCCGTATCAGCAGTCTTTTGCGATTCGTACCTCTCGACCGCATCGGCACTCTTCATCATTCGGCTCGCCCTTTCACCCGCTGCGCCAGGAACATCATCTCAGACGCAAGACCCCGAACGGTACTATCGATGCCGGGTATGACGGATCCCCATCATTGTTCTCACATGGTCCGCCGCCTTCAAAACATGTAATTCTGCCTCGGTCGGCGGATTCTGCAGCATTTACCCCGATAGGCCCATTAATACATCAACCGCATTTCACTCCAGGCATCGACCGCCATCGTTCGTCCTCGGTTGGTGATGCGCGACTCTGTGACGACCTACAAGCTCACCCTGGACCTTCTACTTGGTCCTATAGTGGTAATACGGCATTGCACCATGGCGCATTTCCCGGTACCCAATATGGCTTTCCACAAGTCGAAGGGCACTATAATATTCATAACCAACATGAAGCGATGGGGAACTATCCAAGTGCTTATCAGCCACTAATAAAAGCTCACGAATATAATGTCAGGGCCTTTTGTCCTCCTCCTATTGTTATGAACGAATCGTTGCCTTTTGGTCAGTTGGCCATGCACACGCCATGGAATTATCACGCCCAAACCAGAGGTATCCCATCACGACAGGTCCAAAGGCACGACCTCCGCCCCTTCCAGCACCATGGTGCTTCTGAACTCGCATACCGACCTTCTTATGCTCCCGCCATCGACCCAGATTCCCAATACCGCCTCGACCATGATCCAGGCATGCCGACACAGTCATATCCTCAACCAGCCCATATGAGTAGCCAACAGGGATTCAGAGAGAAGGTACTATTGCAGGCTCACAAGATCTATCTCGATCTATTGGCGTACTCGCAAACCATGCGGAAACCACATCCAATCAAAGGAGCACCTGGCCACAACACATCACCTAGACTTCTGGTATATCCGAAACCCCCAAAACCATCTTTGAGAGTATCTGATGGCTCACTTGGGTATGAGGGTACGTCACTCAAGGTCTCGCCAGAGAACAGTTTGTATCAGGATTACCACTCTAGAAGACATATGGCTCTCCCCTTTCACTTTAACAACTACTTATCAACAGTACACACGACGCCTTTCGCGGCAGCCAAGTCTACATTGGACATGCTCAGTAACCTCTGCGAGCAGAGTAGCTGGGGCTGGATCGATGGCATAATGCTAGGAGGCTGTCTGAACTACGGTCTAGAACAATATCAAGAGGCACTGGAATGGTTCTCGAGAATTACCGCCCTTGACTCGAGGTAAAGCTCCTCTCCTTGGTGAACTGTCAAGTGGCTGTTCATTAGTCTGACTCTTTCGCAGTCATGTCGAGGCAATTACAAACAAAGCCGCCACTCTTTATTGCCTAGGTCGCCAAGACGAGGCCGAAAACCATTGGATCCGAGCCGTCGAAGTGCAGCCCAACTACTTAGAAGCTGTCGAGCATCTAGTCGGACTTCTGTATAAGAAGCGCAGTAAACAAGCCATCGAGATCATCGACCATGTCCAACGTGCTTTGAGAGTATCTTCGGTATGTAATCTGAAATGGCAAACTGGCGGTGATCAGCTAGCTGCCCGAGATGATCAGAAGCATAGTACTTTGATTCGGAGTTGCTGGGTTGCTAACAGGGAGCAGGCGCAAAACCAACGACACGTGCTTCATGGCAATGCAGAAAAGCCTTCCGATTTTGCATCAAGCGGTTACGCCATACCTGGAAGAGAAAACGGACGTATCCTGGCTCTCATACATGCAAAAGGGACCATGCTGTATAGTCTCAAAGAAGTGAACAAAGCATCAGAAGCTTTTGAAGAAGCCGTTTTGATTAGTGTTGGTCGACAAATGACTGGTATACAGGATCTTGTTCTTCGAATCCAGACCGCCTTATTACCAACAACTTCTGCTTCAAATAGTTATGGTACACGACCCTTACTACTCCCTCCTGAGCGTGCTCGTCATACTGCACAACTGGTCTTTGGTGGTACCGGTGCTTTGCCGGGATTGAGGCATGTGACTGAAGGCTCGACCAAACGCGCTGCGGTACAAACCACGAGTAACTCGCTATTATCCCTAGCAAAGATATTTCAGGACTCTTTATCGAGCGGACAGGGCACCCCAAACATCCTACGACGCCCCCCTGGGGTCGAAGACATTTTGGCTCTTTACTACCTGTCTCTATCGCTTCAGGAAAGCCCCTCCACAGCCAACAACGTTGGTATTCTGCTTGCTGGTGTTCAGCAAGTTGTGTCCAATTCTTCGAACGCAAATGGCGAAACACATTCTCAGCCAAGCATTCCTGGGATTGTACCAGGTAGTGGACTGTCCTTGGCGTTAGCATATTATCATTATGGGCTGCGACTAGACCCCAAACATGTGCATTTGCACACGAATCTGGGTAGTTTGCTCAAGGATATTGGCCAGTTGGATATGGCGATCCAAATGTACGAACAGGCTGTTTCATGCGACGGGACTTTCGATATCGCCCTGACCAACCTGGCCAACGCTGTTAAGGATAGGGGTCGCATCAACGACGCAATCACATATTACAAACGTGCTGTGAACTCCAACCCAGAGTTCGCCGAGGCCGTATGCGGCCTGTCCACGGCTCTTAACTCCGTTTGTGACTGGAGGGGTCGTGGCGGGGTCATGCTCAAGTCTGGGAGATACGATCGATGGCATGTTGATGAAAAGGGGCTGCTCATCGACGCTCGGTCTTTTGGGCACGAAAGTGGTCTCATTAACCGTGTTGTCAGCATCATCAGCCGCCAGTTGAATGAAGCATCGCATTGGGGCCGGGGTATCCTGAAAGATAAGTACATCGCTGCTTTTGCACAACAAATTCGGGATCTCGGCTTGGTTGGATCATTCGAGCCTGTGCAAGCGCTGAGGAACTGGAGTGACAAGCCATGGGAGGGTTCGCGCGTGATCCGTCTAATAGAGCGAGCCACCCGCGCAACACAATGGAAATGGTATCGCGATCGTCTTGAATCTGGCAGCCGATCGCATAGCCATTATACTCGACTTCGTCTACCGAGCGGACTTACTGTACCCTCCGCACCCACCGTTCTTCCCTTTCACACGTTTACGTGTCCACTATCCGCAAAAGATATACGAGTCATATCGCAACGAAACGGTATCCGAATATCTTGTTCAACACTGCGATTACCATGGCTACCCTCTACGGTCTACCCCCCACCGCCTCCCCCGAGTCCGCAATTGAACATAGGCTATGTATCATCAGACTTTAACAACCACCCCTTGGCTCATCTGTAAGCTCCATCATCTTATGAATTCATGCCCTGAGTTACTGATTATGTCTAATTGTTGTGCAGAATGCAATCTGTGTTTGGATTTCACAATCCCCAACGTGTGCGCGCTTTCTGCTATGCTACAACAGCAAGCGATCGATCTATACACCGACAGCAGATCGAACGCGAGGCCCCTGTATTTCGAGATGTAAGTTGCTGGTCCGCAGACAAGCTGGTCGAGCAAATTGTTAGAGATGAAATCCACATCCTTGTCAATCTCAACGGCTATACGCGGGGAGCACGTAACGAGATCTTTGCCGCACGACCTGCACCAGTCCAAATGTCTTTCATGGGCTTTGCTGGTACATTAGGTGCCGAGTGGTGCGACTATATCTTAGCTGATAGCACTGCCATTCCGCCCGAGACACTACGACCCTGGCGTGGAAACTTCAAAATCACCGACGTATTCAAGGATGAGACTGAAGACGACGAGGAAGACTGGATGTATTCCGAGAACATCATATTCTGTCGCGACACGTTCTTCTGCTGTGATCATGCTCAGTCAAGCGATGCTGGCGAGCGTTTGATCACTTGGGAAGAGGAGGAGGAACGTCGCTGGAAGATGCGGAAGGAACTTTTTCCTGCTTTGGCTGATGATACCATCATCATGGGCAACTTCAACCAACTGTACAAGGTATGTGCGAATAAGTGAACGTTCATAAGTTCAGCAACTAATTCTTACTAGATCGAGCCTACGACTTTTCGAACATGGTTGCGCATCCTGGCACAGGTTCCGAAGGCAGTGATTTGGCTTCTTCGATTCCCAGAATTAGGAGAAGTCAACCTGCGACGGACGGCAAAGTTATGGGCTGGCGAGGAAGTTGCTAGTCGCCTCATTTTTACTGATGTGGCGCCAAAAAGCCAGCATATCTCAAGGGCTCGAGTGTGTGATTTGTTTCTCGACACACCAGAGTGCAATGCCCATACGACAGCGGCGGACGTTCTTTGGTCGAGTACACCTCTCCTCACACTTCCTCGGTATCCATACAAGATGTGTTCTCGTATGGCAGCGTCGATCTTGAAGGGTGCTCTACCGAAATCAGACGAAGGCCGGCGAGCTGCAGCAGAATTGATAGCTGCGGACGAAGAGGACTACGAGAAACGCGCAGTCCAGCTTGCAAGTGGGCTCAACTACACCATATCAGCAGATGGCTATGGCCAGGGCGAAGGCCGTGTTGCCGAAATACGCAAGTTGTTATGGGAAAGCAAGTGGCATTGCGGCCTCTTTGATACGAGAAGATGGGTCAACGACGTTGAAACGGCATATGAGCAAGCATGGCAACGATGGGTCGCTGGCGAGGGCGGAGACATTTATCTATGATCTGGAGACGATGATGAGGTGACTGCATTGTGACAATGGCACGAGAGTATTTTCACTTGATTCAGGGGTCTGACTAGAGGCCAATTATTCTAAACGTGGTCATCGGGTGCATGGGTAAGCCAAGGTGTTGTGAAGGACTGGTCTAGGGTGGTGTCTGGCGTATGATCTGCTTCTCGATATTTCTGACGATGCCGTTGGGAAATGCCTTCTGTCGTTGACAATCATTGGCTGTCACGTTCTACGCATGTCCCTGAAAGTGTTTGTTGGTCGATACATTCATTACCTGGTTCCTGGAACGAATCGCCATTCGAACCGACGTTGATGCTAGTCCATTTTTTTAATATTGAGCCATCTGCAGGATCTAAGTGGACGGACACATGGGCACACCTCCAGGCGCCACCTCTGGAAATCGATGTCCTCCTGGCACCAATCGCTAGTACAAAAGAGAGGTACAACAAGCCTGCCAGCAACGAACGAGCGACCGATCCTCAGATTATCGCTGATAAAAGGAAAGGGTAAGTAAGATGTGACGAGAAGAAGTGAAATGCGTAGACTATCGGTGTGAAGTATTTCCTTAGATGCATTCCCTTAAACGTAATCAAGTTGATAATGGCAGCTGTTGCGTGTATATGTGATACCTAGGCTTTGGGTTGTTACGGATAGTGGAAGGGGTGTAGGGTGGGCGAGTGATCTGCTGTGGACATTTGCGCACCCTGGTAAATAAAAGCGACAACGTTGCAGATGCAGCTGGACGGTCCATAAGAGGAAAATGATGTGACTGCGTCAAAGCTGAAGTCAGGGTGGGTAGCAGGGGGGACAAGCAGAAGGACAGGGGAGAGGTTCGTGTTATTGGCCGAGGCAGACGTCAACTGAGAAGCCAGCTGAGTTGAGCTGAAAAGCCGTTGCTCACTACTCTTGGCGTGTCCCAAAAGGGGAATGGCCTGAGAAGGGCGGCCTGACGCCACAACGGTTTTGTTTTGTTTTAGTGGCCGGTGTGGACTGGACGCATGGACTGGACACACTGGACACACTGACACTGGACTCTCACTCACTGGCTGGAGTAGAATAGAATTAGGGTCCGGGCGGCTATGGACTATTGACAATATCGTCATCTGCGCACCGGAGTATCCCCTGATGCAGAAGGAGGCAGTTCCTCTGGTTTATAGTACCACCGGAGCACTCCGTACAGGAGTAGCAGTACCTATCCTGCGGTATGTGTTTGTATACCCTCAGTCTTGGGGATCACTGTCATGAATACACATGAGCTTTTGAACGGTCAAACGCCATCTCTCTCTCTCTCTCTCTCTCTCTCCCTGTCTCTCATCTTGGCCAACATACGGATAGATGGAGATGATGGCGAGGTCTGAGCCCCAGGCCACGAGCAGGGGACGAGTCAAGATTGTCGTGCCTTAACGCTCTCCGGAGGTTTTCCGTTGGTCGAGCCTCGAGATATGACTCGGCATCTTCTTCTCATGCCTGAGCGTTATGCGCTGTGGTCCCGAGCGCATGGGCTGATCCAACGTTGGTCAACGTTTTCCATGTCCCTTGCTTCCACGATCCATCTCTCTTCTCGTTTGGGGGGCCTGCCTTGCTGTCACCTGTTTGTTTGGGTACCTTAACTTACCTGACCTACCGACTTGGTTCTAAGCGAGCCCGTTTTTGTTTCGTTTCGTTTCCTACGTAGCAGCACCGCTTTGACACCGACCCCTACCATGTTTTTCGATCCTAGGCCGCGCAGGATGGTATTCTCCGCATCTGATAAAACGTGGACGAGGAGTCAGGACCAGGGTTTCAAACATTCGGATGTCCAGACCTGGCCAAAGTGAAGAAGAGTCCCCATACGTAGTTATATACGTAGTATGGAGATCATATGGGATGGTGATGCAGCAATCTAATCTTACTTTACGGGTGCAGTGCAACAGTATTCTGTAGACGGGTGGGCGAGTCAGGGTCTGGCAGGTCACCGGATACAAAATTTGGGCTTCTAATTGTCAGTTTCTAAATCAGGTGTTATTGGGTGTTGTACGTAGTAATAAGGAGCAGTTACCTTTGCTCGTGTGTTTAGAAGATTGGAGAAGATGCAATATGCCTGCGCATTGTAATTAATCCTTCAATCACATAATGTAATGATGGGCTTTTCTTTTCTTTTCTTTTTTTCGGCATATTCTCATTCCTGGTAAAAGGGGAGAGAAAGTCGTTACGATTAATTAAGGCTGCCTGCCTAGGCCGAACAGCTTCGGACGCACTGTCAAAAGGTCCGACACAGAAACATCGCCGCCGATCAGCCGGCACGTCCAAGTCCAAGTCCAAGTCCAGGGGGCCAAGGGTCAGAGAGTTATGGTCCAAGTTCAGGTTCAGGTTCCAAGGTCCAGGTTAACAAAGTAGGCCTGTAAAATCATCCTTGCTTACTCACGCATCACTTCCAAAGATCCCAAGCAGGTGGCTCAGATAATACGGTACGTACTCGCGTCTATGCGCGATGCGCAGCCCGTACAATAGCCACCCGTTGACGATGATCGCCCTACCTCCAACCCTTGTCCTGACCAAACTCCCCGCTAACAGCCTGCATAGATCCACAGCGCACACGCTGGTAGCGATGGTGACGGTGAAAGCTGGCAATCCTGACCTTTGTTAGGCCTCGAAAGCGACTCGTAGCGGAATCAATAAACCCAACTTATGACAGCGTAGTATCATGGAAACGTCAGGGACAGGCTAAATACAAGAAAAAGCATTATAGCGGATACACAGTTTCCATTCGAACAGGCGTAGTAAAATAGGTACGCATTGATATATAACCCTCCCTGTCAATAACTTTATAATAAAACTTGACAGTGTTCTAGAAGATCTTCCGTGTGAATAGTTGTATCACGTAATAATTCCGCATACGTAATTCGACGGGCAATAAGTCCTGGGACCGAATACTTGTGTTAGCAGACAACAATAATGACTGGTGTGTCCAGTTCTAATACCATACATTTGTAAACACATTATTGATACTTTTGTGTGTCTTGTTGGGTCATTTCTCTTTTACCTGGAAATGCTTATGTTTATAGTTGGGATTACGGATAAGACCGAGCGAGATGTAGTAGAGTTTTGAAAGCAACAAAAACGTAAATTTGGCAACAGGTTAAGTCATTATATTCCAATGCCCTCACATATCTGTTAGTTGAGTCATAGTTTTACTTTTTTCTATGATGAATACAGCTTTTTTTAATGACATCGTGTTGTCAACTCATGCGAGCGAGTAGGGGAAGAGGGGGAACCAGATACACTCAATCATCAAGAAAACCTCCGATGTGGTGCTCGTACCTAATTGAAGAGCCTAGATTTGCCCCGTAGATGTTAACTCCACACTACAGTATCGAAAGCAACCGATATGTGAAGCCAGTATTCCAAGACCAACGTAAACGACAACGACAACCAGCGTCAACGTCCAACAGACTTTTACCTACTGGCAGTATGACTGCTTCGGCAGGTATTTCGGACAAATGGATGAGTATATTTGCAAGCAGGCAGCAAGCGGCGTCCAGAGGTCTAGTCGCAACAAACCTTATTAACACAGCTCGGGTAAGCTTCTTGCCAAATGCGACAGCTGTCAGTTCTAGGTCGTCTGGCTTGGCGGAGGCTGGAATCAAAGGTGCCCTGCGAATGCTCTCAGTTCTCACACTCTGGTGGCTTGGTCAACCGGCAAGGTCCGAATGAGTTGGGCCGATGGAAGATAGCTGTCTCGGTGACGACGAAGGCGGCGCCGAGTTGCTACGCTGAACCCGTTCGGCCTCGACGATGCATTGATAAACGAAATGCTTGGATGAGAATGAGCACGGGAATGAGGGGAAGACACTCAGTGACAGCAATGGCTGTTGAGTTGACTGACATGCAGACATACAGACGATGTGCCGATCGTTCAACGAAGCAGTTGCTGGTGAACGGCGGAGCAATTAAAAACCTCTGGCTGTTGAGTTTGTGCGGATGACTTCACCTGACTGTCCTGTGACTGTACGAAAGTCAAGCACCTTGTCGTGCCGACTCGGTCGTGTCATTGCCCCTACGGACAAGTTTTTGACGCTGAAAATGACTACTCAGTGCAAATTCCCTTTTCTTTCTCAGTTTCCATTTGCTCTGGCTCTGGCTCTAGCTCTGGACCTGGACCTTGTTGACATTCCACAGTGTTCTGATGTCCCGTAATGAATATCTCTAGGAGTAGCTTGAATTTGCAATCACAACCGCATCGAGACCCCCAGACTAGACTAACAGGCACAAGTACAGGCACAGGCACAGGCACAGGCACAAACCAAAGGCAGCTATTGACGGGTTGGTTCCTGGGGAACTCTAGATGCTTTAGAGATGGGAATAGCAGATTGAGCAGGTCATCGCATCCGGTCAACGTTCAACCAACCACCCCCAACAGTTATGTTATGAAAAAATGACAGAGGCAGCAAAAGCACGCCCATGCCACTAAAGCCAAAACATGTCCTGTCAAGTCAAAAGGTCAAGAGCCAAAAGCCAGTTCGCCAAGTCCGTCCATCAGTTACTCTCTCTCACCCACTGTCGCTTTGACGACAGTGAGCGGGTCAACACGTCTAGCCAATCCTGTCACAGGATCCAGCTGAGCGTGCCCCTAAAGCCCCTAATGCTCACCCCTCACCCCTCACCCCTCTCCCCCCTCCCTTGGACTTTGCAACCAGTGCAAAAAAGACCCACTCACACAGACGCCCCTGTTGATTTGAGATAACCCAGATTCACGCCCCCCCGGACATCAGCGCCACAGCCCCAAGTTAAACCTCGACAGCGGCATCCTGGTGGCAGATCAAGAAAGTTTGTCCACTGGGGTGCCGAAAAGCTCGGCCACTCCACTCCATTTAAACAGTTCAACTGAACTCTCTATCGCGACCCCCTCCCTCCTGGTTGGTCTCACGACGTTCCTTTTTCCCCATACATTGCCTACGCTTCATGCCTTCCTCTTCCGCCCCATCCTTTCCACGGATATTTCATCACCTCACCTCCCTCCTTCCTTCTTAATAAGAACCTCTATCCCCCAAACACCATCACTCTCATCACCAAAGTTTCATCTTCTAATCTCAAACACCATCAACAACACTCACCAAGAATACCCGAGTCCCGAACTATATCTTCCATCATCACTATTTTTCCTTCTTGAGACCCTTGGTCCTATCGACTTCCAATCAATTACTTCGTCACCACACTGGCCAACGGGTCATATAACCGCACATCATGAGCTGCCAACGAAGAGGTCCTTGGTCCCAGCAAGAAGATGTCTACCTGATGGATCTTGTCAAAACACACGGTGCTCTCAACTGGGTCCGCATTGCCACAACTCTGGGCTCAAGAACACCAAAGCAGTGCCGTGAGCGCTATCACCAAAACCTAAAGCCTTCTCTCAACCACGAGCCAATCACACCTGAGGAGGGCCTTCTGATCGAGCAACTTGTACAGGACATTGGAAAACGCTGGGCCGAAATTGCACGCCGCCTTCATGGCCGTAGCGACAACGCTGTCAAGAACTGGTGGAACGGCAGCCAAAACCGACGCAGAAGATCCGACCGTCGACGTGTTGGGCAGAGTCACGATGATTATTACCACCACATGAACCGCTCCGGACTTTCTATCTCAACACCAGCCTATCCCATGCATGGAGGCCATCCGTCGCCGCTTTCACGCCAGGCCATCCGTCACCCAATTCCCTCGTGGGTTGAAGCCCCTCTACCTTCGCCATGCTCCTCCGACTCTGCCGAGTCCGAAATTGGATCCAACTACACAACCTCACCCTCTCACCAATCTCTTCGTCTCCACATGCCTGTCGAGCTACCGCCACTGCGTAGCACACATGTCCCTGTCCATGTTGACCCCAGACTCCCTAGCCTCAACACAGTGGCCTCTCCGTACTATCAAGACCGACCTGAGTACCAACCCAGGTTGTCGGCACCATATGTTCCTCAAGAGCAGCTACCCACAGCACCCAACTCACCTGTACAACATCAATCGCAGCCTAGAAAGGTGCAGGACTCTCGTATGAACCTGTCTTCTCTTTTGGACTAAGATGTGTTTCGGCAAGCAACATTGATAACCTCGGATGAGCATTATCATAATCGCCACCTGTTTAGTTATACAGGAGGACTTTCGAGGTTTATGGGGCGTTTTTAGTGGGCAAAAGATACCAGGCGTTCACAGGAAGGATCACGGTCGGGAGTAAATGGCATTTACGTTCAAGCTCAGGCTGAACAACAAGCTTGGCAATATGCCAGGCTACCGGATCCAAAACTTAGCGATTCGAATTCAATATCCTTATAATATTCCTTCTTTAAGTATGCACACAGAATCAGTGACGTTACCCGAAGTCGATACTTGTGAATGTTGTTTCGAACATACAAACTTGCACAGGTCGCATGATTCAACGCTTAATCACATACAACCGCGACAGGTAAGTATAAATCGTCTAGTTTGCGAAAGTTAGCCATGATTTGTCTAAAGCACAATCCGGTTGATTGTCCAAGTAACCAGGTGGGGCAGAGGTGACCTTGGAATGTGGAATTCTGTGTTAGCAGACTGGCAAGCGGGAAAGTTTGTCATGTCTGGCCAGACCCGGCTGGACACCACAGCGTTGCTTGGACGTTTACGCGTTATACCCGCTACGGTCACTACAGTCATCATCATCTCGAGTGTTCCGTGGACAGGTAGGCTACTGTACGTGCCAAGTTTCAAGCCGTGTTCGATGTTGGGGAGGGCACAATAGGATAGTGGCTTCGTCCGTATTTGGTATGGTAGTCTGCAACTTGATAGATATCGTACATAGTAGACCTTGCTTCCTTGCTTGCTACCAGCTGTACCATGTCCTAGATTCACGGTCGATGCAGTAAACATCCACAAGATGGGGCTCCTTGACCAGATCTCCTCAGTCGGACTGGGTCTGAGGTCGTGTACCCAGCAATAGGAAACAAAAGCAAGCACAGCCGCAAGACACAGGTTAAAGAAGCAGAGACAGATACAGGGGAAATGGACAGGGATGGGGACATGGGAAGCCAAGACACGCACCGCACACGGGATCGTCGTTGATCTGTAGAGAGGCAGAAGAAGAGAGAGTGCATATCTTTCTGGTGAACAAGGACAAGCCAGATCCAGATGCAAAATCTCGATTTCGCACCCCTGGCCTGTGCATTGTCAGCCATGGCTGGTTTACATATGTACGCCCAGCGCAGCTCCACGACGTAAGCGCCCGAGAGGGGAGGGATTTGAATTGTTTTCACCTGGGTTTACCATAAATCCTCGAGGTGCCTGTACGTTATCGATTTTCCAGAGGCAGCCGTCTCTGGCGCGGGACCTGGGAACCAGTCCAGCACGACCAACTTTTGGCTGGCGCCCGAGCGGCTCAGACCCAATAGGGGCCCCTTTGCCTCGGGCATGGCGCTTTGATTTGTTTCTTTATTCTTGAATTCTGGATCAGTTGGTAGTCTATCCGTATCCGCAGGCTAGTTGATTGTCATGGCGGGATGTCAGTGCCCTGTCGTTTTCGATCCATGCCCGAATCTACGGGCCTATTTTGTGTGTGGCGTTTTTTTCTTCTACTTGTGTGTATTGGTGCATGTACGTATGATGTTTTATGGCATGGATGTTTACCTCATGATTGAACCGGGGCTGAGAATGATGCTATTCAGCTCCTTCGTTTATTAACTTGATCCCAGCTGTTAGTTCAGTTGTGAGTGATCGATAATTGATGGAGCCATCTTGTGAACTGACTAACACTGCACTACGCTAACGGTCCCGGCTTGACGGTGTCCCGAGCGAAGGGACCCTTACCCTGCTGCTCTAGGCGCTGTGCTAGTCCCGAGTCGGCACACAGCATGACCTAAACAGGGAAGAGAGGGTAGCATTGTCCAGTTAGTGTCTGTCGCAGCTGTGATTGCTTTCCGTCCGTCAGCGCAACGCTTTTTTCTAGCCCCGAGGGCACGGGTGCGGGAGAAAAGATGGTGTGGAAGAGGATAGGGAGGTAATAGGGATAGGGATAGGGATTGGGCGATAGGCTCATGGGTATTGGTGGAGAGATCGGGGAGCCGTCGACAGCCCCGTTTCTAGGTGTAGATTGAAGATTGGATTGTAGGGCATATCACTAATCACTGAGGACGAGCTGAATGAACCCTTGTCTGTCTCGTCTTGTTCGTGTGTTGATTTATCCACTATCCACTACGTCGATACCGATAGACTACGGAGTTGGAGTAGGCTCTTTTTTCTTCCTCATGCAACACGCTCAAGCCTCTTCTCCCTGACTCGGTCCCCTAAGTCCCAGCAATAAGGGTCTGAGCGATCGAAACCCGCAAGCCTTGTTTGCAATCTTAATCGAGCCCGGGAATATTTATCCTCACGCTTGCATGGGTCAAGTCAATCTCATGATTCACGACGATTTAGATCGAACAAATGTGATATGTTCAGGCTGGAAAAGTCACCTGTCACGTCTAACCATATGGCACCCATGCCCGCTTCTGTTGTAATCGTACCAAACCGCCAAAGCAGAGGCAAACAATGCTCTGTGGGAATTAGGAGGGACTCGATAAGATAAATCAGAGAGCGACCAAAACTGTATACCAACTGATATACACACTCTTCCCCAGTGTTCAAACACCTTATATTGACGCCATTGGTACGAGTACGATATCTCGTTGTAGGCTCCAACCCGCGAGGCTGGGTCGTCAATCTCAGTTTGATCGGTGCGATGCGAGACGGAATAATCTAGCATCGAACAGCCACCGATATGAGATGCAGATGCGGATGCAGGTGCAGGTGCAGGAGCGCCACACCTGTTTGGGAATCCAACAAGGAGTTTGAAAGCAGGACTGGCAAATGAGCCCTCTAAAGACAATTTCCTTTTCTTTTACTCTGGGGCAGCTGAGCACTGTTTTGGCGGTTGATCGATCCTATTGACGTCGGCACTCGACATTTTGAGGGGAGGGGGAGGGTCACCCACCCACAGGGCTAGGTACAGGATCCAATAGGTAGCGTAGCGTGAGCCGATCCTCTTCCAGGTTCTGCTTTGACCTACCTGAGGCTGAGGTACCTGAACCGTCTACGCCTGTGCCGATCCCAACAGACAAGACAAGACAAGACAAGCAAGGGTCGTCGGGGAAAAAACCACCCAGTCATTGAATTTTCCGGTGCGTGCCAATCACCCGGGAAAGACTGTACCCGACAATACGACAACCCATGTCGATGTCTTGTTCGAAATGGCGGATCTACAGAAGACAGGATACCTGTAAATTGTAATGCAGTCCCCTGACTCTGACTCTCCCGGCGGGCTCTTCTCTGTTATGACGTCCACCTCCAACTGAGTCTATATACCTCGGCACAGGCATTTTGAGGTCGCCGGCTATGAGATTCGTCCTCGCTTCTTGAGACCTCACACTCACCTACCGCAGCATTATTGATGACAATCTCTAGTTGTGCAGCATCTCGGGCTGTGGAACAGGTCTCAGTGTTTCTACTTTCTCTTTCTTCAGCTGATTGGCTCCATGCCTGTGGTACATAATCTTACCGTCATTCCGCCCTGCTGCAGGTGAATATAGCGCAACGCTCGCAGCTCAGTGTTGTCCAACGTCGCCGCAGCCTTAACGGTCACCAACTAATTATTGCTAAGAAAAATGAGGGGCTACGCAAGATTGACCGACTGAAAGACCTGCACGACGGGGGATGCTGTTGTAATGCACCCTGGCCCCCAGGATACGAAGTGTCATTGATTGGACACGAGGCCCAGCTGGTAAATCGCAGAACAGAAATAGGAACAAGGGTGAAATATCAATAGAGGGTCCAAGAGGGTGCAATATCATCTTATTAACTCGGGAACCAACCACAGGAAAGGATAGCATTCACGAATCGCAGAGGCAATCAAACAAGCTTGTCACAGGGCTAGGTATAAATTGACCCAAGAAAGCAAATAAACTACCGTTCAGGGGACCAGCGTGACGACTGGGTGGGTGTACGGAGCACATAGTGTCACCGATGAGGCGGGCTGCCCGTTTAGCTGAGAGCTGGAGCAGGGTTCTCGGTGGACAGCCGATGACATTCGGGGTGGCTCACATGAAACCTAGACGTTACATCTTTATCGATGACGACTACGAAACGCAGGAGGGTGCAGTACAGTAAACAGTAGTAAACCGTAAAACTCCAAAACCCAAAGTTTGGGTGAGAGGAGTATAGACTACAAATGAATAGAGTCCGGAAGAAGAAGATCCGATCTACAAGAGAAGAATGCAATGTTAGCAAGACGCATGCAGATATTGTAGTGGCGTGACGGGATCTTGCAGCATCCTTTCCCCTTTTCCTCACCATAACGGAGCTGTATGATGCAGTCTATTGCCGTCGCATCGCCAAGTCCAAGCATTGACGATGATTACTGATTAGAGTATTTGAAAATTGCATGCCGGAGAAACATGGGCTTCTCAAGAATATCTTTCCCCTTATTCTACGGATAAGCCTTGACCGATTGCGATCTTCAGCTAAATAAGTTGAGGTATCCCGGTCCATCACCCATGACGTTTCACACCCCTCTCCACTGTCTTTCCAGGGATCTAATTCCCAAGATCGCGTAAAGAAGCAAAATGGCCCATCGCAGTTTACGACAGTTCAAACAGAAGGAGATGCATGCGTCCGCGACTTCTGAGACAGGAATCGGGTTAATATTGTAGATGGGGCAGCAGCCTGGGGGGAGGGGCTTATACCGGGAGAATGGCAGTCTCAACGGTTTTCTTTCAGGTCTGGCGATTACTGATCGCCAGGGGCCTTTTGGAGAGCCTGGCTGATGTTGAGTGTCACGTCACGATGGTACTGGAGGCCTATAGGTGACCAGTGTCTTAGTAGGTATGTCTCTTGTGTGTACGCTGTGCGCTGTGCTCTGTGATCAGCATCGGTTCCATTGTCCGCGCCCGTGTCTGCGGTGTCCCAGCGCTCTGTGCTCTGTGTTCGGTGAGCAGGTAACAGCCCAGTGGAGGTAACAGGTCGTGGTGTTCTGTTTCTTCCATCCCATGCTTGTTGTTTGGTTTTGGGGCTCGGGAGCTTGGGCCCCTCCCGAAGAATTTCGGGCGCCCGTTACGTTTCGGCCGCGAGTCTTATCCCTGGTCCTTGTGATTGGACTGTCTGATCTGCCAGCCAACCTGGAGCCTTCAACCCAGAAGGGACCGGAGAGCGGAGCATCACATCATGGTCCTCACCCTGTTCCCTGTCAAGAATGATCTTTCTTGTTTCCTCTAATTATGGGTCTTTCCTTACCCTGTTCTTAGACCCTAATGTCCCTGTCAAGCTGATGCTGATGCTTCCCTGGTTGTTTCTACCGTTCTGGCGCCTGTCACGGAGTGCGGAGACTCGCGCAGACAGCAGACAGCGCACGCTTTGACGATGGGACCGTTGCTGATCGGTTCCATTCTTTTTCTCTCTGTTTTGACCAGTTGATTTGACTTGGCTGACATTGCTACCACGTTGACTAGGTTTAGCATGCGAGACTCCCCTCGATACTGATTCCTGAGCCCTGATTATTAGGGTGCTAATAAAAATGACACTACCTACCTACTCATCTCGGCCACCGTTTTCGTGCGATTCAGATGCATGCAAAGTTCAAGATCCATTGTTAACCCGCTAGACGACTGACTTTTCCTCCCCCTCGATGCTTTAAGCCTTAAGGAGAACGGTTGAGACTACAGGACGCACCTTGACGACTGCTTGCAGCTTAGATCATGCCGCTATTTGCTCACATTGAGTTAGCGACAGACGGGCGGGTTATTTCGACGCTGGGTTACTGGCTAACGTTAATTAGCTGGACGGACACGGTACAGTACGTAGTACGCAGTGGGATGTTCATCCATGCTGACCATGCCAGTGTCTTGGATCCAGAGCATGGATCATAAACCCGGCTAGAAGGTCCACTACCGCTCCCGTTCACCGTTGGCTAAAACGACTCCCCTCCATCTCGTGCCCCCTGGCCCCTGGACCTGGCTCGAGCCTGACGGACTGAACCCCCCTCCGAGACCTTGTATCAGACTTGCTTGCTCCAGTTTTCGATGCTGTGTTCCGCCAGCACACACCCCCTCGCTGGAGATCGTGTAGCCAGGGCCGTTGCGATGGTCTCAACCCGGATCTTGGGTAGGTTTCATTGCACATCGCACATTGCACATCGCACATCGCACCTCATCTTATCTCCATGGTGCTACAAAAGGAAAACCACTGCATTGTTCATGCATACGGCATCGTGCGTGTGTCCTGCTGCGTCTGCTCCGAACGTCGCTGCGGTGCCAAGCAAGGCCTTTGAGTTATGGAGGTCAGAGACGTTACGACAGTTGTCGATCCCCTTGCCGCTCACGCTCATCAGTGATTTATAGTTTGGTCGCACATGTGCGACGCTACGTACGTGTCAAGTACTCGGCCGGCTATGGCGTTACCCTACGTTGACTCCCGCGTCTTGAATCAGCAGAGCGTGTATCCGAACGGATATGTGAAAATCGTTACCGCATTCTGGCCCCCACTAGATCTTGGCTTTCATCCCGTCTTCTTTTTCCCATTCTTTTCCAATTATTTATGGGTCATGCGATTACATTGACGAATGAATAGGAACAGATCGACGCAATGAATTGATAGGCACAGAATAGAAAACTCTACTGATAAATGTGATGCAATAGATTTATCTAAAGATATCATCATCATCGTTTTATTTTTCACTGTATCTTATGCTTCTTATGGCCGTGGCCCAGGAATGCTTGTTGGTGTCGCTACGCAAAACCTTGCTCAACCATATCGCACCACCAACAAGGCAAATACCTGCTTTACACAAATGACCAATGTCCGCCCGCTTTCGGCCCAGCAAAACGACAAGGATAAGAAACGAGAAACAATAGATCGAGGCTTGAAGAAGACCTTGCCACATTTGGCTTTCACTTCTATTGAAATGCCACTTCCGGTGTCTGTCCCGTGTAGTGTCTTGTGGTGATATAGACACCAACCTACCCATAGTTAGGTAAATACCTACCATTGGTGTTGTATTTGGTCTACGCTGGTAGCCCGGCCCTCTGTACCGGGTGTCCCGCGGAGGTGGAAGCTCAACAAACAACGCAGCCTCAATTCTTGAATACAGCCCCACGGCGGCAGGCGCCTCAGAAGCAGCAAAAAGGGACGGATACCAAAAGCAATTCTGCTTAGACCAGATCGGATCAATTCAATTCAAATCATCAATCATTGCAAGCAAACCTACACCTATTGCTCGACGGTTAAGATAGCCTGCTACGATAGAGTTTCTCTAACCTATAGCAGAGAAGGGGTGCGAGGCTCATCCATAGGTAAGTCACGATTATCTACCTAATGGAGCAAGACTCAACGAACGCGGCGCAGATGTCGATGGCCCCAGCAGTCGACAGCCAACGAGAAGTGAGAGACCCAGGGATCTGGTTTCAGCATTCTCGCTTATCGCCGTTCGGGGGAGATCGGGGCCAAAGGTGGACGCCGCTCGATCCGCCACCAACACACTTGGACACTTTATTCCGGACGCTAATTACTAATGGAGTCTTGGGAGCATCCGGCCACTGTCAGCTTTCTCCCAGGCACCCCTTCACCACAAGATAGATAGATCCCTTAACCGGATGTGGACCATACCTATCATATCACATCGCATCACATCACATCACAACCGCACATGAAAAAACCTTATTCCTGTTTCGTTGGTGATTGGAACGGGATTTGGACGTTGGCCGATTCGAACTAAGATGAAGCCATCGCCATTTTGTGGTCTTGGTGACGTATGGTCTCCTCTTACATCCGTTAGCTATGCTGGCCGTTCCCAGATCTTCCAACCGTCGAATCCAGGCACAAGAGTATAATCGCTATCTAACGTTGTTCACAGCTTCGCGCTGAACCGTTATCACAGCCTCAATTAACAAACTCGAGCAACGCCAAACCCATCTCGGCTCAAGAGTGAAGGAAGTCTATGTTCATGGTACATATCCAACAGCAGGTGCCCAACAATGCTGCACGAATCAGGCACTACTGATTCATCTGTTCCTTATCCCATCAGGTCCAGCTCTAGACTTTGTTTAGGCTATCGTTGGACAAAACGGGATGCCCTGATCTAGGTGCCATGCCATGCCATGCTGTTCGCCAAGTGGATGTGCGCTTTCTATGCCTTACCCGTCCCGTTGATACCTCCCTGATTAGTGACAGTCACATTCCTCACAGGCTCACCACACGCTGTCGATACAGCGATGCGGCAACCCGAGCTCGATCCAGCACTCAATGGGTCAGCATTCCAGTCATCAACGCCACTCTTGAGCCGTTCCAGGTTCCTCAACCTTAATTCGTCAATTGACTGAATATTGAGCCGCCATTTAAGGTTTGGCGAAGGCGTCTTTACCTGACTTGATGAAGTTGACAGGCTTGACAGACTTGACAGCCCAGTCTAGGCGTGTCTAGTCTTCTCCAGGTTTTTTTTTACAGTACAGAACCCAACTGTAAGTTTACTGGATGGATAGTCAGCCTGCCGCTGCCTTTGTCTTCCAAGTCTAAGGTTAGGTCCCGTCTTGCCCGGCTCGCCCGCCTCACCCGTGGTCACTTTGGTGATCTGTCATTGTGTACTATCCTTCTTCCGTCGAGTTGTGAACCTCATCGGTTTGAAGCGACGCTGCTTCGGCCACGCCTGCTATCCGTCTCTCCGAGCCTATCGCTTGTCTACACTCGTCACGATCGACTCAACACCCCATACGATGCTTTGACTAACTCGTTGCCCATTATGATAAAGTTTCGCCGTTGACATGATGAAAAACTTTAAACGTCCAGCAGCCAGACTCCCTAGGGTAATACCATATTGCTTGCAAACCAACCTGTTTTGACTAACCATCAGAGACTGCAGCTGTGGTAGCTGGTCGAGCTCCGTTAGTGGGCTCCAGTTAGATTTGCTGCTCCGGGAGAGTTGTCTGTGTCTGGCCGTGGCCGCCCGGGCCTCCGTATCCACTCGGCCGATCTCGACCTCCGGTTCTCTCGAGAGAATGGAACCGCTGCACTACCAGCACCAACTGATGGTACCTGAATGGTCTGGTCTTCGCTTACTGGTGTGTTTTCCGAGACTACGGCCCTGGTTCCGCCCAATCGTACAGCTGTCCTGTCGTCCCCTGGCACAAATGAGAACTGGCGACGATGGTGTCGAGTGTAGTTCTGATCGCTAGTTCGATCGGGCTTTTGCTCGTGCTTATGTTCATGCATGTGTGCTGTGGACACGGAATTTGGCTGGCCATGACTACCATCTCCAATTTCAGCCTCATGCGATTCTTCCGCGGCTGGCCTCCCGGCAGAATCGCGCTTCTCATTGACACAATCCTCGTGTGGCGCTGTGTCTACTATATCGCACGCACTTGGACCAATTGAGAGCACAGAAGCGCTCTGAGAACGTCGCTCTGCTCGGTCTTGTTGTTGAAGTGCCCCTTCTTCGTCAACTTCTCGCGCTTTGCGTCGGCGAGTGCCATTGATGGCTTTCTTCTTGGAGTTGTCCAGATTTCGGAAGCCTCTGCTCAAGCTGATCTCGTTACTGGTATCGATAGTTCGTGTTCGGGACACTGTTATTCAGATGTTAGCGCAAGTCCTGAGCCATAGCTAATCAATTCCGAAACTTACATACTGTGCCTTGTCGCTTTGGCAGGGCTTCGTCGAGTGCCAGAGCTGTTTTCTCGGGCTGGAGTGTAGTCTTAGAGGCTGTTCGAGTTAACAATCAGTACAAGCTTAAGCATCGCGTGGAATGAGAACTCACGTCCACCAAGAGTGTCGGTACCCTCGTTAACCGTACTTCGTTCCGTGGTTGTTCGGTCCCCTGTGGGAGGATCAGGCATCTTACCCCTTATGAGACTTCCTGCTCTGGCCAGTGCCACAGCTTCCATGCCTGTACCGGATGTTCGATGGATAAACATCTCAAGACGCTTGATTTCAGCTTTGTATCGTGCCTCCTGAATCATCCAGTGTTCCTTAATCGAGGTATGGCGATCGGTCTCCTGCTTTAACTGGTGTTCAAGCTTGGCGGTTTTGCTGTGTCGGGTGCCATAAGCCTCGCATAGCAGCAGGATATGCGGGCGATACTCAGGAGATAGTGGCTCATTCGTAGCAGTTGTCATTAGAGCGACACGTAAAGAATCTGCGATTTGCTCAACAGATGGGCTATGCCAAACCTGCTGAGCTGCGTTGATGAACAACTTGTCTTCTTCGTCCATGGCGAAATCTGAGTTGGACACCAAGGCAGTGCCTCGACTGGATTGAATTGTATCTTGACCGCTTGTAGGTTGTGTCATGGCTTTTTTCTCGGGACTGGTATGCCTTCCTGTGCTTCGAGAGTTATCCTTGAGAAGATCCTGCAAAGCAGCTTCGGAGCGACGGGATATGAGTTCGTGTGGGCGAGCCCTGTTGCCCCCAAGGAAACGCAGCCAGCCTGTGTCAGCCATTGTGACGATGTTTGATGTGGTGTTGTTTTCCCTTCGTTTGCCCTTTTTCCGGTGTTTGGGCGAAAGGTATCCTCGACTTCTTTGGCCGTTTGGTCATTGACGAGCAAAAAGCGCGGCACTGGCAGCTGTCAGTGACAGCTGTTTGCAATGCAGATGATCAAGATGCCACTAGACTACAGAAGTGCTCTCCTACTCAGAAACTTGCGCATTTCAGTCGACGATCAAAGCGATGGCTTTGTATAAAATCGAAGTATATGATTTGTTCTAGGTCTAGAGTTGACTATCCTTTCACTCCAACTCAACAGACTATTTCCTTTTGTAATAGTAAATCTGGGTACTCTCCCCTAAATCAAACCGATTGTTTGTGATTCTATTCCACTCCCTCACAGTTGTGGGCTTCATGTGTTCCAATCAGGTTGTCCATCTCGCAAAGCTGAAGTGATTAAGCACCCCCTCTCATCCACTCACTCTCGTTCAGCCTCCACCCAGTCTTGAATGAACGTTCTGCTTCGGCCGCAATAGATACAGCATCAGAGGCGCCTCCCGCTTGGTCCTGTTCTTCCGTACGAGTTGCATCTTCTAACACTACAGATATTGCTCGTTGGTGGATCACATGAAGGTGTTCTGAGTTAACAACCAATGAATCCTTAAGAGCAAAACTGGTCTGGCACTCAATGACCTCTTCGCATCTGTACTGTTCTAGTGCTATCGGCTTCGCACCACGAAGCGAGTCTGATCGTGCCGGGAAGCTGCTTGTAATGTTGCCTTCGTCATCTTCTACCTCCTCCTGAATGACAGACAAGTTTGAGGTTGTAGCAACTAGGGTATATGGTTCGAGGTCTTGATTAACCACATACTTTTTCGTCGGGATCTCGGGAAGTGGCCGAGCAGAAGTGTTGGACTGCTCTTTCGATATATTTGAATCATCTGGACGCACATAGCTCGCAGCGGAGACTCTGGCTGAAAACTCTTCCAGTTCAGTTGAATCCGGTGCTAGGCTCAGCTGCCGAAGATTCGATAAGGAGCGGTAGTGAAAGCGGAATGAGACGAATGGTGATTCTTTCGAATCAGTCAGGATCCAGTCATAGAAGCCAGCTTCTTCTGGTGAGTCTAGAAGCCCACCCGAGGGCGATCTGCTATCCGTCAGTTCGAACGTTTTTGCTGCTAGATCACGGAGACAAACCCAATACCATAAGCCTCTTGGCCGCGATGACTTTCTATCACCGGTATTCTTCTCTTTCTCCCCTTGGCCCTGTAGACCTGGAGCTCGATGAGGCCGCCATCCTCCGCGACTGATTGGTTTGTGTTGGGGAGAAAGCTGAAGCAGCGCGCCTCAATGCCATCCCTTATGAGAAGCACGCCGTCTTCCTTGTATTTCCAGCGGGCACTCGGTTCGCAAAGAGCACGAGTGATGCAACCCACAGAATTCCTGAGAGGATTTACACCGCAGTTTGCAATGTTTCGGCCGTTCATGAATATTTTGAAGTAGAAGTAGCGCGATGGCGGTAACTCTTCGAGGAAGGTATAGTCAATTCCAAATTGCGAGCCTAGAGCAAAGTATCAGGACTGAAAATCGAGATTAACTGTAATTATATGATGACCAACCTGGATTGGAGGGTATGTAGACAGAGATCCGGGGGCTGGCTTTCTGAGCCCGCTGCACGTCTGAACGTAAACAGGTTGAGCCGCTATCATCAGGAGGAGGTACTTCGCCGTTAGAGTGCAATGCAGGCTGCGAAGAGACATCTGACAGAGGAAACTCGGGGAGTTTCTTGTCATCAGGCTGAGTAACGATGGCAACTTCAATGCCTTGGAAGGAAGGCATGTTGTGGTGTCTCTGGAACAGTAAAGATTCGCAAAGATAATTCACCAATGCATAATATCAAAGAAACAGATGATTTCTTGTGTAGCGAAAATGGAACAAACAAGTGGGAGATGTTGGATTGCAATATCCGCACTGGAAACGAATGTCTGGACGAAGTGATGGCCAGCTGTTGTCGGCTGGTGAGCACGATCACGCCCAACATTTACCAGAACACTTGGGGATGTACATCAAATTCTTTTTTAGGTCAATAAACAGAAGATAATGAACTGCAAGTCTGACTTGATTGGACATAATCCATTGCATTGCTGGCCTATCTGCCTCACCCAATGTCCTCGCGGATCGAACCCCCGAGCTGCTAGTGCAAGGGCACGAACATGTGCGCAACAAGAATTCATAGTACATGACTCAAACAAAATCATTGTCCAGCACTCTTTATGATATCTGATTCATCATATAGGATAGGTAAAAGTTGTGTTGATGGTGTGGTTCCGTTAAAGGAGCCCAGGAGACCAGCGCCAACTTACACGATCGCAAGTTTGTCCCAATTCTCTTTTTAATGATAGTTTCTTTCCGAGTGTTGGCTATTTGCAACATATAGGCAGGCCGCTGGGTAGACGGTTTCGTTGTTCAGTAACTAGTAAGTAGTCTCGGTCGTTCTGGTCATGATCACGAAACGCGGCCTAAGTTGAACCAAGCTGTATTCCTTCATCTACGATCGATCCGATACAACGAGTCCAATGAGCGCACTAATGGTGTTCGAGTATAAAATTTATCGGAGTCATTCCAGATCCGTCGTCTAGCTTTGTCTCAGCACCTTCTTCGTATCTTCCTCCTTGTCAATGAGTCCCAGACTCCTTATTTGCTTGACACTGGGCGCATCGTCACGAGCGGTGGCGGACTCTGTTCGGGCGTAGGCAGCTTGCATAGCGAGAGCTCGGGCATGCTATTCGTTATCGTCAGTGGGTGAATCCTCCGACAGCTCAGCTAGATGTGTCTTAAGCCTACCTCCTTCTTGTGGTGAAGGCACTCGTAGTAATCCTCGAGAACCAGGCCACACTTCTTCTTTCCGGAGTCGTCAGCGGCAGAGGTGTTGACGACATAGCAGCCCATAACCTCTTGCCAGAAGGGAAAGCAGCGGCCGACGCCTAGAGTGCCAAAGTTGATGTCGTCAGCCTACGACTGCTCGTATTATGGTGTTTGTGGTGTCAGCGCTTCTAAGGACAGACTTACCGCCGTTCATGCCATATCCCGACGCCATCTTGAGCCAATTGAGTATATGTCGGGGCTTTGCGCGGGTCGGGCGAGGTGTCGTCGTTGAATCGCGGTTCGTTTGACGTTGGATTGTTAGTTGATCGTGAAGTGCTTCCCGACTGATGAGTTCACCCGTACCTTGACCGAGTAGCAAATAGGCGCACTTGGATTGGATCTTGATGTGGGTCTTGTTCTGTGCCCGGGCAAGAATTCCCGCCGCATGTGTGGCGCACTCGCACTGTCTTCACTGTGGCTGAAGCTTCCCTCTGTTCGTCTTGTAGTCTAGTACCGGCCACTTTGTTAGTTGCAGTGCACATATGACGACTGACAACGACACTGTCGATACGAAACGTCCCATTTTCTTTCTTTCCAAACTCGCTCACTTTGCTAAAGACACCTCCTGTTATATCTGAGCTTTAGGGCACTCATCGAGCTACTAACCGTTGGGTTCATCATCATGGCGGACCATGTCCCTGTTCCGCTGGGCCCTGCGAAGCTGGTGCTCCTGGCTGTACACTTTGCGACGATTGCCGATATTGACAGCTTGACTTATATAATAAGTCATCATGCCTCAATCCTACGGCCGGAGCTCGCCCTCCGGATACTTCTTACATACCTGCCCGAAACCCTCAGTCCTTCGGTCTATGCACCTCTCGTACAAATCATAGTCACTGCTGAGTCGCCTTCACAAACAGTTTCCGGTCATCAAGTCGATTATTCTCCTGTCGATAGCTTCTCAGATGAGCAAGCTTCAAGAAAAGTCAAGAAACTTCATCTTCTTCCCCTCAAGACCACGGATGGGCTTTTTGCACATGATGCTGATCCACTCACCTCCTTCTTACTTTTGCGAGCATATAGAATGGATGAGGAAGCAGGCATGTTACCTCAAGTCCCCGAATTACTATCTCCATTTCTTCAGCTCTCTCCAGAACTCCACACTTGGATGGTTTCAACAGTCATTCCATTGATAAGAAGAAACTACGAGTATTATCCACAAAGACCTATCCGGTTTTCACTGCTTGAGTTTCAGAATCTGCCTGACAGAATGGCTATTGACTACCTACTCGCTGAGACTGGTGTTGTGGAAGAGGAGCTCGACCTGGCCGGTCGTGATCTGGGTGGATTGGTAGGGCCCTGGTTACATAATGACTCGCGTTGGAAACGTGAAGTCTTCAACGAGGATATCTCGAGTGACTCTGGCGCTTCCGAGCTGTCATGTCCCGGATGGGAGCAGGCCCTCGAGTGGCTCGTCTCTAAAGCTTCAACCTCCTGGCGAGTTGCTTTGAAGGCCGTCGAATCCTGGGACGGGCCGTCAGATATCGATTTAGGGATTGACACTGGTTCCTGGCTCCAGGAAGCGCAACAACAATACCTCGACCGGTCTTACGCCAGGGCCGTTCTGGCTTCGGCTTATCTTGTTCCTGAAGCCGATGTGGACGCTCTTGAGGGCGCGTTCAGGATATGCAATAAAATCAGGTCGCTCTTGGATGAAGATTCAGATACAACGCTCCAATCAGCAGTACAAATTCTTGCGCCTGTGTCACCATTTGACACGGATTCATTCGGTGGCATTAAGGCAGCGACATATCTGCGGAACGACCTGTTGCAAAGTTCGAATCCTTTCACAACCCCAAAGGAGGAATCTCTTGACCTACTTCCTGCTCTAATACAAAGTGCTTACCTTCTTACCTACTCCGGTGTTCCTTGTACGGTCCGTAGAGCTGGAGACTTGGCACTTATTCGAGACCAGCAAGAACAAAAGTCCCAACTAGGGCGACTCATCCGAAATCTACCCACACGCGCATCTGACGACGATGACTTTTGGATCAGAGCACGAAAAGAAATCCTCTGGCTATACAGTTGGGGAAATGAACCTAGCTCCACTGGGGACAAGACTTTCCGGGGCATCTTTGGCAATGTACCCCTGGATTTTATAGAAACAGAATTGCTGAAGGCTCTGCTTTCGCGGTCACGTATGTTTCACAGGCATATCCTTGTTTGAAGATAATATCTAACAATCTCCAGGTTATACTTTAGCAAGAACTCTTTACGATCAAGAAGGAGCGGATGCACCCCTCTCTGCATCTACCCTGATCAATACTATTCAAAACTCAGCTCTTGGGGCGTTCGACAATGCGTCGAACCCAAATCGTACAAGGGGAGGGCTGAAGAAATGTGACGAGATGTAAGTCGATTCATCAAATTCGTGCCAAGATAACATCTAACCGCAAAAACAGCATCAAAGCTTTTCCAAAAACAATGACTCATACTCATCCAATCAGACAACGCATCGAGGCGTTGCTAAGGGCTACCCACGCCTTGAGCGACTATCGCCTGGTGCTCAAACAGGGCGAACCTTTCAGTCCTGTGGTACTTCGAGTACACTCTGATCCAATCTCGATCATTGAGAAAGTCCTAGAGCAGAACTCCAAGGCCTACACCCGTCTCCAGGAGTTTGCAGAATTGGGAAGCAATATGGTCAATGCGAACTTACCAACTTGTGGGAGGTTAGGCAAGCAATCACCGACATCTGATGACCAAGATGCTGCCCGGTCTATGGTCGAAAAACGTATTGTTTCTATGTGCGTCGAAGCCGCTTTGCGAGAAGATGACTTTGAAACTGCATACTCCTACGTGGTCAGTCGCCTTGGTGTAGATGAAAAGCTACGTGAGATGCAATCCTCTAGAAATTATGATGAATGGTCATGGAAAGCAGCACTGGATGCTGGCAAGTATGTTCGCACAGAGAGATCACAAAAGCCAACCCATCTCGGCACGGCAAGTGGAAACCCCGAGATTCGCCATCTCGAACAGCGTATTGAATGCTTGGCGACGTCTTTACGCATTGCGCCTCGTTCCCAGCTTCAGGAAGTCCTGAAGACCTTTCGCCGTTGCGAAGAACAATTGGATGCTGCAATAAAGGAGGAGGCTGCCCGAGAAGCTGCCTGGGACGCAGAAGGTGATTTCTCTGGCGTTCCGGGCTCGTTTGATTCACCGGATCCAGACAAGGCTTACCCTCCCCGTAACATGACTGCCAGTGCAACCGCTCGTCAAGCTGAAGAGGCACCGATGTCTCTATTCGATCTCTCCAGGGCCACGGCAAGAGTCGCATCAAAAAACCTTACCGTCCTGTCAAACTTGCAAGGTTCTTTGCAGGACTCTTTCACATCAGATAAGACAAGCCCAGAATCCGAGTCATCCGAATCCGAGTTGCATGAGCAGAACAGAACAAGAAAGAGGGATCAACTTCGAGAAGCTGCAACTGGTACACTGGTTTCGGGCGTAGGGTGGCTCCTCGGAGCGAACCCCAATCGATCCGGGTAGCACTAACCAGAAAATCTGAACTATTTCGAAATATATACTGAACAGAAGAGCATTATATCAGCGGCACAGCGTGGCAGCTTGTTTGATTTAGCGAGTAATGTGAACAAGCTAAAACAACCTAGAAAATTGGTCTTCAGATCTGGAGACATGGCAAATGATAGCCCCTTTGAGGAAGTGCCAAGTAATTGCAAACCAGAGTTCAATATTATTAAATACATCGAACCACGCTAGCGCTAATAATAATAAGCCACCACATGTATCGTACTCGTAAACCTGTAAACAGATTCATGAGTCCTGTCATCCATGCTAAATTGCTTCACATGGAAATAGGCGAATCATGTGCAAGTGCAGGAGGACATGCGAATGGAAGCTATTGCGTGAATAAACATTATTTGACAACTGATTACATCTATAGAAGGACTCGCTATATAATAAATGCTCCAGGCGATCCTCGAGAAAGGGCCGAAGGCAATGCAACGCTTACAAGTCTCGTAGCTCCATAGCTCCGTACGTCAATCACTGTACATACATTTTTGGGGACGCATCTTGAAAGTCGTGAACATGTACATGGAGAAGTCGAAATAGCACATCCACCCGAATCTTGTATACGGTTGGTGTCTCAGCAAAAGTCTCAGTGCCGTCCTGCTCAGGGGTAAACCCTACCATCAAGTCAGCAAGATCTTAACTTGCAACCCTTACCAGTAGTATGTCTCTTCGGTACATAACAGGAGCCATAAAGATTAATGACCAAGCCAAACAGCGGAGCAGATTCTTGCGAGTCAACGTTGATAGTCTCGACCTCGTATCCCATATAGCTTAAAGCGGAGATTTTCTTGACCTTGATGAAATAGCTGTTAAAGGTTTTGCGAGTTGTATAACGTCAAGTTGTTTTACAGACATGGTGATTTGGTTGGCGATGAGACATTTACAGGCGGTTCTGAGTCAATATAAATGTCAGTCAAGACGAACAAGGCAAGAGCCGTAGCTAAAGCTCGCATAAGACGATGACGTGAAACACCGTCTTGCATACCCCGTGACATTATGTGATACGAGGACAGTACAAGTAGTTGAGTCGCGAAGTCGCATTCGAGGTTGATTTAATAGTCCATGGGATTCACCGATTAGGTCGAAGTCGACATCTGGTTGACGTAGTGCTGCCAAAAGCTATCATTAAGTCGTCGAAGACGCGATGGTTGACTGATGAAGTGTTTGATTTGCAAAGATCCGGAAGCTGCCAAATGTGGTCCATCTGTGACCTTGTTGCAAAGCCGACCAGCAACAAGAAAACTCAAGTGACGCAGGCCGAGTACCCATTTTTGATCCCAATCCCTTAGTTGTCGCAATCACACTAAACTCCTGTATGAGCAGAGCCAAATTCAGTCTGCTGCGGTCCATGAAAGAAAAGATAACGACGAATAAATAACAGTTGACAGAGGAAAACAGACAAGCAAAGCAGGGAGGGTTAGCATAGAAAAGAGAAAACCCTGGCGACTGATCGATCAGTCAGGTAGTGATACACATCCGCTGCGGGTTTACTGGATGCTTCGATCGGGGGCACCTGGGAGGATTAGCTGGAACATATTAGGTGGCACTCAGTGGTAGCCCAAACCTCCATAAGCATCGCGTGTCTCGGATCGAGAAGCGGACTCGCCATACCCAGCACCAGCACCAGCGCTGGCAGCGGGATCACGACTTCGGGCAGCATCTCGGTCGCCGCCGCGTTCGTATCGGTCACCGCCACGCTCGTAGCCAGAGCCACCAGGACCTCCGCGGGCACCATAACGGTCTCGGTCCTCACGGCCACCGCCACCGCCGCCGCCGCCGTAGCGGTCACGGCCATAACCCTCATCGCGGTCACGGCGCTCGTAACCACGGTCGTAGTCTCGGCCACCATAGCCACCACCTCGATCTTCGTAGCGACGTTCGTCACGGTAGCTTCGATCATAGTCCCGACCGCCAGCACCGCCGCCGCCACCACCACCGCCGCTGCTGCTGCCGCCGCCGCCGCCGCCGTAGTTACCACCGCGGTCATCGTATCTTCGCTCGTAGTTGCGCTCGTAGCCACGGTAGCGATAGGGGTCATCACGGCCGTAACCACCGCCGCCGCCGCCGCCGCCACCGTAGCCTCCACGGCGGCGATCCTCGTAACGTCCAGGACGAGGCTCTGGTGTGTGTTAGTGCAGCACGAGATGTGTCATGTAGGAATTCACTTACCTCTCTTGGGCGGGCCAAAGTATTTGCCTGGAGTTGGGGTGCGAGGACGGGCTCTGCGGGCCTTTTCGATGCTCATGGTGCGGCCCTCGATCTGCTCGCCTTGAAGACCCTCTTTGGCAGCTTCGGCTTGGTCAGAAGTAACCATCTTGACGAAACCAAATCCACGGGACTCCTTGGTGTGGGGGTCGCGCATGATTTGACACTTCTCGACATCGCCGTATTTTTCGAACATCTTCGAAACCTCAGCTTCAGAGAGCTTGGGGTGGATGCCTGTGACGAAAAGGTTGGAGCCAGGGTTGATGGCACCATCATCGTCATCTCGAGGAGCGGAAACGTCCTTCATGTTGCTGTAGCAGGGTGATTGTCAGCATGTGTTGATCAGAAGCAGAGTCGTTGAAACAAACCTGTCACCATGGCCGCCGGGTGAAGCGGAGCGACGACGGCTGCCCTCGTTGTCGTCACGGGGGCGAGGCGAGGCGCTTCGGTTGTCGCGCTCGTAACGAGGAGCCTCATCTAGAACAGGAAGGTCAGTTATGATCAAAGCGATGCGACCCATCTTGATGCAATATGATGATGAATGAATGAATGCAGTAGTGGTCGGCGAGCGCGTCCATTCACGCGCCGGAGCTGAGCAACGAACCTTCGTACCGGTCGCCATTGGCAGCCTCGTAATCCATCGCGGTAGTAGCCATCTTGTTTGTCTTGCTTTGTCTGGTAGAATATCAAATGGACAATCAAGCCGTGAAAGGGTTCAAGTGCGGTGGCTGACGTTGGATAGCTCACTCGCAGGCTGGTTGGTGAAAAGGGCGATGTTGAAGAAGGGAGAAAAAAAAAAGTCGGCGTAGGGGGAAAGGGAAAAGCAAAGGCGCCGCAAGGCAGCAAACCCAGTATTAAGTAGTTAGGTACTGTAAGGACGGGTACGTGCAGGGCGACGTAAACTTCGCGGCTGCTATTGAAAGAAGCTGCGAAAAAGAGAAATAACAAAGAAAGTTTGATGATGGCCTAATGTTAAGGCGATGGCAAACAGATGGCTCAGAATGGGGCCTGGCCGATATGGGGGATGATGAAGGGTTAGGAAATTGATGGGGGAAGCAAACAGCTCCAGCTGGAGTCAAAGGGTGACGGAAACTCGTAGGTTCCGCTACTTCCATCACACTGTGCCTTCAGCCTTCAGCAAAGCAAATGTGAGTTGACAGGGGGGGCCTATTAGCTCCCTGGGGGAACGCTGGAGTAATAGGGCTCCGTCATAGCGGCCCTTTATTTATGGTTTGATGGAGGACTGTATAAACGTCCGGGCAGATTTATATCAAATCGCTTAAACTCCAGTCCATATATTGTAACCCAAATACCCTACTTGTATTGTCATAGACACTTTGCTACTATTTGTGCTTGGTCATTTCCCTCAGACGCTTCTATTCAAAGGGAGTATAAGGCAATGCACTACAGTAATTTAACTGGTATCACCGTATCTCGTTGATTTGAAGTCGAGATATGTGTTCTATGTGACATGCCAAACGGCAGAGCGTATATTTGTTCGTATTATTCCGAAGCCATTTGGACGTTGATACATGCAAGGAATCAAATGGTACATTACAAGTGCAAATCAAACGGTAACTCCGTTACACACATTCCCGACTAATATCGACGGCTCGTGTTTGAGAGGCACCTACCCTAAAGAGAACTAACGTTACATGTATGAAAGTCGACGGACTCGGTACAACTACCCACTCTATTGCGTTTACTGATAATGCTTAGATCATATGTTCCAGTTAGGTTCGATCCATCCTAGAGCTGGAGCTAGGTGTTTGATATTATACATTATACAATTCTTAGCAGCATGCAGGGGCGTGAACACCGCCGATTGAGTTTAATGCTGATTCTTCCCCAAACTAACCATTTGCTGTTCAATGCGGGGGTTAATTTGACCTAGATACCTATCCAGTCAAGCAATAAAGGTCACTCGACTTCCATCAAGTCGGAATATTCTCCTCCTCACTCACCAATAATCATATACTCTGGGCGAATTCTGTGGATGCCAGATACAATGTCTCTCAAGGGAAAGGTCTACGCCATAACTGGTGGTGCAAGCGGCATCGGCTTCGCGACAGCTCAGGTTATTGCACAGCGCGGGGCTACTGTGAGCATCGCCGACGTTGATGCCGCTGCTATGTCCAGCGCAACGGCATATTTCGAGGAACAAGGTATTGAAGCCCTAGTTTCCCGTGTCGATGTTTCTCAGCGATCCGAGGTCGAAAGCTGGCTCGATGCTACAGTCAAGAAATATGGAAGGCTTGATGGCGCAGCCAACGTGGCCGGCATTATTGGAAAGCATCACGGCCTTAGGGCTGTAGCAGACCTGGAAGATGAAGAGTGGCATAAGATTATTGCTGTCAACTTGACAGGAACGATGTATTGTCTGCGAGCGCAGCTCAACAGAATAGTAGATGGGGGATCTATCGTCAATGTGGCCTCTATTCATGGCATCAAGGGCAGGTCGCATCCCGCATCCCGCATCCCGCATCCCGCATACAATATCAGCTTTGTATTCTAACCAATATACATAGGATTCGCCAAGCATGGTGCTTATGACGCCAGTAAACACGGGATAGTCGGATTGACCAAGGCGGCAGCAAAGGAGAACGGCCACCGGGAGGTTCGAGTCAATGCCGTTGCCCCAGGCGCAATTTACACTCCCCTGATGAAAAAGGCATGGGATATGCACAATCGACCAAAGGATGCCAAATTCGACGAAACAACTCCCTTTCAGCGACAAGGGACGTCGGAAGAGTGTGCCAACGTGATAGCTTTCCTCTTGGGTCCCGAGAGCACCTTTGTGAGCGGAAGTGTTTATGAGGTGGACGGAGCTTGGATATAAACAATTGTCATCCCTCACTTCATGTTAGGATTGATCCAATGGGTTGGATCGAGCCGAATGTGTCGAGTTCGGTGGAGTTACGGAAACAAATCGCATGTTGATGCCGCTTACCAGACATCCTCAGGATCAACCATATGGCTCTCTCCGTCATCTCGAATGTGCTGGTGATCCTTGTCTCGCTTCATGGGCTTGCGCATGTCGAATGCATCCTCGCTCGACCTGGAAGGGTCTGTAGCATGGTCGCCATAGTAGTCCTTGACTACACGGAAGACACTGTAACCCAGATTCTTGTAGAGAGTGATGGCCCGGTGGTTGCTACTTCGCACGAACAGGTCCACGAACCAGGCGTTCTCAGCATCAGCTGCAACCTCCAACTGGTCGGTCAGAATCTTGGCAATGCCAGACCTTCGGGCTTCCGGGGCGACGGTAAGTGCTGTGATATGAGCGTGCCATGGCAGATAATGTTCGGAAAATTTGTAGGCGTCCGGTGATGATTCCACCTTGCCCATGACTGTCAATCGCAAGATTAGTCTCGAATCAGCATCATAAAAGCCCAGGATTAACCCCACTATATCCAACAATATTTCCATCCATGTCCTCACAGACTTGAAACAGAGATGGCCATTTCGCATGATATTGGAGGTAGAAGTTGAGTTCGTATGTTTCCGTGAAGGGATCGAGGTTGCACTTGGAAAACTTATTCACATCGTCGGGTCGAAATCGCCGAAAGGTGGCCATGTTTGAGAGTACGTAGTTGTAGTTGGGAAGTTCGGTTTGGTTGTGGTCCGCAATGCCAGGCGGTAACACAATAAAACACGCAGTGCAAAATTTATGGCCAGAACTGGGGTGAGATGGTGAAGAACGAAGAACAAAAAACGGAATAGTTGAAGTAATGAAACAAGCTGCAAGCTGCCCCGCGACAAGTGTAGATAGCTGATATTTGTGTGGTGTGGCTGTGCTTTCGTGATGATGTCGCAGCCACAGCTAATGTCTTGAGATGTCAGGATGCATAACATCACATATCATTGCCTCCTTCACTGGGGTTAGTAGGTAGTCGCTAATAAAAAACGATATTGTCTGATCCCAGGTTGTGTCCGCATTAGCGCCAAGTCCTGGAGGGCCCCACATGTGTTTCGCTTTAAGAACCCAACATCGCGCCGCTACAACGACGTTGAAGAAATAGGTGCTGATCAGTGTAACAGGTAGGCAGGTTGGAAGTCACAAATTTGTTCAAAAGAGCTTCGCAGTAAACTACGTACTCATCTAGGATATAAATGAATAATAGACAAAAAAAGTAAGATGACTGAGTAGTTAAATGAACACGGAATGATCGATATTGAAATGTTCCAGAAGCTCGGCCCATTCGTTGTCCTGTCCTTTATCCGTTAGCCGCCAATTTGGTGCGATTAACAGCCAGTCCCTAATAAGGGTCCCTGGTCACCTAAGCCGATATCATTTCAAGCAACGCCGACTCTCCCTCGACACCCCCCCCCCATTTTGAAAGGAGACTGAGCGACCTTCCACCCTGCGAAACAATTATTCTATTGCCAACGAAAATCGACGAACGTACCCGAAACCGCTTGACCGAGATTGCAACACAGGCGGTATCTGCTGCATCTGGCGGTGGAGCAAGCACTCGCAGTTATAGCCTCGTCAGTCTAGGTTGTGGAATATCACCCGCCTTTTTAGTTCGACATACGAAAAATGCCATCCTCGCCGCAGACCCCCAGACATTCCCGGAACTCGTCCGCTTTCGATAGCTTCTCAGGCTCACCACAAGCCCGAAGGTTCTCCAAGTCATCCGTGCAAGACGCCTCCACACCGTTCCGAAACAGTTTCAATCAACAAGATGCGTTGGAGTTGAGTGGAAACGGCATGGGAAACCTGGCAGATGAGTTGGCCGACGCCTTCTCAGACTCAGGAGACGAAGGGGACTATACAGATGGTGACGCCAACAGCGACATGTTTAGACCTGAAGGGGGAATGCAGGTTCAGGAGGAGGCGGACGAGATGGAAGATGTGGAAACCACCAGCAGCCCGAAGAAGCAAGACGCCGAGCGGGCAAAAGCTGCGAACCTTACTCTTCTCTCGCCACGACGAAAACACCAACGGCAGACCAGTAATTACGATGGTAGCGAATACGGATCAGAGTCAGATTTGGATTCCCCTGGTATGCCACCTGGCTTGGTATCTAAAATGGACGCTGTAGAGTCACTTGCTCGGAGAGGAACAGAAAACTATGGTGGTCCAGCAGACGATGTGTTCAAGAGAGTCACGAACGCATTGCGGGACCTTGGCTCCCAGTCGAGTGTTGAGGCTAGTGCATCAAGGTTTGTGAACACTGTTATAGATGTTGATGCGTTTCGAGACTGACAGAAATTCTAGGTTGATAACAGCACACTCAGCGTTGACAACACATTTGAGTCACCAGACTCGTCAGATCCACAACCTCTCGTTTTCTTTACTATCACCCCTAGTTGCCCCGCCGGACCCGGAGACAATTGACGACCTTATACCATTGCTCTTGAACCTTTCTGATGCCATGCCACGACCCTCAACATCGGCATTCAACTCTTTAACAAGCCTCCACTCCCTTACCACTGAGCTTGTACAAAATCTCAATTATCTCTCCGATACTCTACACATGTCTCGGCAGACAACAACAATGGCAACAAGAAGACTCAAGAGTGCAAAGGAGATTGTGGCTGAAATGAGAAAAGAAGAGGAGCTGAGAGAGGAGGGTGAGCGGTGGCTTACAAGAGGTAACTGGGGTGAACGTCTGGAGAAGAGAGAATGCGCAGGCGTGTGTGGAGATGTCATCGGCGGGTTTGAAGAAGTCTGTAATGGATGGCGAGAGAGGCTGCTTGCGCAGGCCGAGTCCCAAGCCTAAGCAATGGAATGATCTGTGTGCTCATGTGCAAGCGGTGCGAGCCATCCTCACCTATACACACCCTTCCAATATCTGGACACCGTGTCTCTGCGCATATACTAGACGAGACCGACATCGTTCTTTCTTTCTTTTCTTTTTGTCCACAGCACCCTTTGTTATTTTCCCTTTGTACGTTTGCAGGGCGGCTTGATGTTGCTGGGATGGACTAAGGCGCAGCAAGGTAGGGAGAAAGAAAGCTCCCCGTTTGGGAGAGCGGTCTTAACATGATAGAACATTTCTTTACCCAAGTACTTAGAGGCATCGTCAAGGAACGAATAATAGAATGAAGTGATGACCAAATACTCAACCCAATTTCTTGAACTTGACTTATTATGGGAGTGATGTAAGCCAGAGGCTGGTTGAATATAAGCAGAGTAAGGGAGACGATCGAGTTCTTAACAATGCGGATGAGAGTTTCCGCAACGCGACTTTCTCAGGTTCTCATTGTTGTTATTGTTATTGTTATTTATCAATTCATCCTCTGATCTAGATATTTTCTGGGCTGGTTAAAGCCACTCATGAACAGCCACAGACCAGTTTTCATGGCCTTCTGCGACCCAGCCTCCGGCCAAAACATTTCGCTGGAATTCAAGTGGGGGAGAGAAAAAGGGGAATAAGGAGGGGGTAAAATCGATACGCGATCCAGACGCGTTAAGTGGCGTTTTGCTCAGGAGTCAATGCGGACCGTGCCATGCGTCCCTTACGCATCTGACGTTGGTGCTGTGCTGGGTATGCTAGACCGGTGTTTTGATTGGTTGCCGACACGCTGGTCGTTAGATATCCGCCAAGGTACAAAGACACAAACAAGCAATGATGCAAAACAATGAGAAGCCAGCCAATTGAGACCCAGGAGCTAAAGACTGGGAGATATCGCGCAACATTCACGCGCGTGTCCCTCACGTCTGCGAACCAATCATTTAATTCACGACTTTTCTACCAGAACAATCTGGCCCTAGGAGAGAGCTATAATATCCATATCGAGAATGTAATATATTCGTTGTCAAATAGAGAGCTAGCTGCCAAACGTCCCACTAGAGATCGGCTTTGAAGGATCGTTGATCCGAATGTCGACACAATAGTCATGTTCAATAGTAATAACCATATGTTGATTACAGGACTCCAGTCAATTGATTACTAGCAATCAGAAACACTTCAGGGCTGTTATGCTCATATCAAGGATTGAAGTGATGTTTATTTGGTTTAACAATAAACCACGCGTATTCGCACTCATCTGGTTTATATGCATGACTTACATGTAAAAATAACAAACATGCACGATGGTAATGCAACATAACAATAGCGCGCAAAGCATGAGCGGTGGGCGCATGGGTATGGAGGCTTGTGCTAAGGGATGGTAATATTGCTGTGCTATATCTTCCATCTATTATTGAGGCTGAATATAGTAAACAGTTGCCAGTGAATTCACCCGTGGATATCATCTTTTCGCAATAAGTCATTGCCGATGACGCAGCCTGCTTAAGAAGATGTTGTGCTATGCGCATCAACCGAGTTCCCGGATTGCCTTAGTAGGCTAGGTAAGTCTCTATCATGAATCAAAAGGGACGGGGCCTATGAGCAGATAACATATACCGGGCGGGTAAGGTAAAGTTTGGTATCTTAAACGGTTTCATGGATTAGGTAGTAGACAATGAAAATCGCAAAACAGATGAGTGATGACGGACAATTGGCAATGGCAAACACGGCGCCATAATCATAATCTCAAAGACCATCCCGCGCTGTGTTCTCACGATAGGACCCCATATTGTCCCTCCTGTTCAATAACATTATCACGCTTCTGTTCTATTATTTAGGTCAGGTTGGTTTGTTGTTATTGACCCGCGCGTTTCCTGGCCGTCCGCGGTCCTCCTGGTAGAGCCCGTTCGGGGGTGCAGGGGGCTTGGTCCCGGTATTTGAGATGTTTGATTGGACAGTAGGCCTCTAGCGCGACCCGAGAGCCCCAGTTCAACCTCCCTCCAGCAGCAACATCCCTCACGAGAGCTAGACGACCCTCTTCCCGCCACCCCTAGCGGATCTCTCTCTGCCCGCCCAGCCCAGCCCAGCCCAGTATTGCACCCGCCCGCTTCGACCTCTATCCTCCACTGCTGACTTGGATCTTGCACCTCACGCCTGGTATCGCCAACTATCGCGTCGTGCATCATCACAAGCTTCCCCTCTCTGAATTGTTCTTGTTGGAAACAATAGACCATTTACACCATACTCTTAATTTATTAATCAAGCACGAGCTCGCTTTACAAACGTCATCGATTAGCGTGCCTCAACTGCCCCGTTGCTACGTTGCTACGAGGATCGAGACGATGCGATAGACGCCCGACGACGAACAAAGCTCGCCATTTGCTTGACGGTGCCTTGGACCGGCCTTGCCGTCTTACCTTCACTCTCTTCTCGCAATTGTCTCCTGACCAATATTAATCAACTACTGCTACGATCGTCTTGCAATCCTGCACTTCTCAATAAACGGCGCTCTCGACACTACCGGTCGTTGCGACCTTTTCCAGTACCTTGACCGCATATCATATTCAGAACACAACAAGAAACATGGTGGCACTTCCCGAAACCGCAGGCCTAGCTGCCTTGAATCAACACTCCGCAAAGCGAGCCATCGATGAATCTAAGAGCTATACCGCTACTCCTCGCTCATCCACTCCTCCACGCTCAGATCGCGCCCGATTGGAACCCAGACATAGCCTCGACAACGGACCACACCGCGCTCCTCGCAACATCGGAAGAAAAAGTGAAGGTGCTCGTGCGAGCCCTTTTGATATCGATGCAGTCGATAGTGCGCTGCTACGTGAATTCCAACGTCCTCACAGAGAGAGTACTCCTGGTGCTAGTCCGCATCGCAAACGGCAGCGAATAAATGGCGATCGGTTCGTTGAACTTCTAGTGTAACCGGTATTTGAACTCACACTTCATAGATTCATTCCAACCCGCACGGGACAGGACTTGCAAGCAAGCTTTAGTCTATTGCATGAGGATGGGTCGCCTGCCACACCCTCAAAACAAAAGAAGCGCACACCACACGGTGAGCTTCATTTCCAAAAGAGTATGTCATTTCAAATTCCCCTTGAATTGTGCACAGGAAACTGACATGGAATTGTAGCGGAGGAGGCCAACCGTACTTTCTCTCATCTATTGCGTGCTGAACTTTTTGAAAGTTCCATACCACAAGCAGCAACCCCCAGTCTATCACCGAACCAGACTCTCCCTACATCCTCCCACATTCCCGTCAACGATGGAACGCGGGCTCACACTCCTCCCACAAATGCCACTGCTCCATCACTGCCATCCTCCTCACTAACGCCGTCAACTCCGCATAAAAACCTCTTCTCATATATGTCGCCGCGACACCACAATCAAGTCGCTGGCCACCCTACACCATCCAAAACTCCACAAAGCCGACACGGTCCCAATCTCGATACGCGGGCGGAAATCTACAGCTTATCACCAGTTCGATACGGAAGCCAGCAAATGCTTCTAAGCCCAAGGCGTCAACCCAGAGCAGTCAGCAAAGTTCCTTACAAGGTTCTCGATGCTCCCGAATTGGCCGATGATTTCTATCTAAACCTGGTGGATTGGGGAAGTGCAAACATTCTCGGAGTAGGACTGGGCTCTAGTGTCTATATGTGGAATGCACAAACCAGCAAAGTCAACAAGCTTTGCACACTCGAAGACGATACTGTTACCAGTGTTTCATGGATACAAAAAGGCACACACCTTGCTATAGGAACTGGCAAGGGTCTTGTACAAATCTGGGACGCGGAGAAGTCACGCAGATTACGAACGATGACTGGGCATACAGCGCGAGTTGGCTCACTGGCTTGGAATACACACATCCTCACATCTGGATCACGCGATCGACTGATCTATCACCGCGACGTACGGGCCCCTGACCAGTGGTTACGAAAACTGGTCGGCCACAAACAAGAAGTCTGTGGTCTGAAGTGGAATTGTGAGGACGGGCAGCTGGCAAGTGGCGGTAACGACAACAAGCTCATGGTCTGGGATAAGCTCTCAGAAACACCACTTTGGAAGTTTTCGGATCATACCGCAGCCGTCAAAGCAATCTCGTGGTCACCTCACCAACGTGGCCTCCTGGCTTCCGGAGGTGGCACTGCGGACCGTCGCATCATTTTTCACGACACTGTCAAGGGATCAGTTATCAATGAGATCGATACAGGCAGCCAAGTTTGCAATCTTGCTTGGTCAAAGAACTCAAACGAGATCGTATCCACACATGGGTACAGCCAAAATCAGATCGTTGTTTGGAAATATCCTTCCATGACGCAGGTGGCTAGTCTTACGGGACATACCTACCGTGTGCTTTACCTGGCCATGAGCCCAGATGGCCGAACAATTGTGACTGGTGCAGGAGATGAAACCTTGAGGTTTTGGTCTACCTTTGGCCGAAGGCCAGGAACTCGGGAAGATGGCGATAACGGTGGCAGGCTTGCTGACCTAGCTGTCATCCGATGAGTGTCAAGTCTTATGCGAACTTGAAGCTGCTATGAATTATTTCGCCCAGGCGTTTACAGTTACATCAGCCTGTTGCCCCGGCTGTCTTATGATGATTTACAGCATACACCAGCCATCTTTATACTTCTTTTTATTTATTCAGCTGCGGCACTCGGAGTGCTGGCAGCTTTTGAAGTCGCAGAATATGCGCTACGAACCATACCCCAAAGGCTATTGCATTATGCATTAACTGGCGTTGCATCTGGGCTGAGGCTCTTCACTGGCTTATTATGTGAGGGAGGTTGGTGTTGGTCGGGTTGCTTTTAACAGGTATCTTGGGATTTAGGGCGTCACGACGGATCATGACACCCCTTTGGATGAACGGATGGGTTTGACGAAGGAACGGAACAACTTTAGGACTTTGCCTTTCACATAGAGAGGCGAAGCAAGCAGGCGGCAAAATTACAGTGACTGTGTCTGCACATATCTTGTTCGGCCACTAAGCCTACATAGCACAACGGATGAACTATTCATATAAGGTACATGGATACCGGACAAATATGAAAAGCTAAATCTCTTCCGTTCAAAGTCACACCCTGCGATTCCAAGCTTGCAACCATCTCTCATATCCTATTGTTCAGTGAAAAATAACATGATGATACTACCAACCTGCTCACGAAGCCACGAGCTTTGTATTCATTCAAGGTCAAGAGTATCCATAGGTAGGCATTTGTATTAAATCCGAGGATCAACAACAAAGACCTATCAAGCGCTAATTCACATGGCATTGCCCAAGTAGCAAAAATGAATGATAAGCAGATCCAAATGGGAGCATCAACAAGGCATATATATCTGACTAAATCTAACATAGATAATACCGTCTAACCCGCTCTCCGGCCTCGAGTATTATTAACCTGGTTTCGATCAATTCCCGTAGAAGAGTTTCGTGTTTCATCTAAAAGCGGGATCTTGTCCACGCTCACTGATCGGTTCGCATCGTTACTAGCCAGAGATGTGTCTTTCATCAAGTCCTTCTCGCGGCTGACTTCGTTCATGGAAGGAATCTGCCCTGTGGACCCTGAGGGTGCTGCCCCCTGCCGACCTTGCTGATGAGCAAAAGGTCCTTCGGGTCGAGCATTCAAAGGGGGCGATTGTGGCATGTGTTCTGGGGAGTTTTGCCATTGTGCTACCTCGGCCTTCATGGCTTCCAACTCCTTCTGGAAGCGCACGCCAAATACGTCAATGTAATACGTGGCACCATTGTAAATACTCCAGGTGAAGACGGCCATGAGGAATATCGCCGAAGCCCAGCGGCTAAGGAACCAGAGCGGACAAGGAAGCATGGTAAGAAGAGCGTAGGAATACTGGATGAGCATGAAGGTGGCTTCCTGCAAACGCTCTGGTTGTCGTAGCACAAATTTCCCCAACCAGGTTTTAGCATACGACTTCTTCAACCAAGTGAAGGAGGTTGGCCGACCGGCCGCAATCTTGTCTCTCCGGCGCACAGTTATAAAGAAGTAGTACAAAAACTGCCAGAAAATGTAAGGCAGGGTACTCCAAGCAAGCATGGAGACAACATTGGCATACGCCGTTGGCGATCCTGGCGGTGAATTCTTGATGGTCCAGATGGCAGGGAAGAGTTCCTTCTGCTTCTCGGGCGAGAACAGATGAACAATGCAATGCAAAGTTGCGCACGGCATGATGTGGATGAATAGCGAGGTTACCTTGTCAAAGCTGTGGAAGACAAGCGAGTTGCGCCACATGATGATAGCAACGGCATTATTACCAAAGGCCAGACAGTACGAAGCAGTAAAGAGGCGCTTGGAACCAGGGAATACCCAAATCGAGAGTGCCAGCAACAGGTTGGTGAAATAGCAGAGGTCTGCCAGGAAGTAATGGTAACCGCGGCGGTGGTAGGTAAAGAAGCGGATTGGCATGAAGTACAGGAGTTGTGCAGTGTACCACCAATGGAAGTATTCTGGGTATGCGCCGATAAGGTAACCACTAATGAAGATGTTCATGACACCAAAGATGAAGGATACCTTCTCTCGAGCACTGATGACCTTTGTATCGCTCCATCGCTTCCCAAGCTTGTCGACACGTCGCTGCATTTGCTTGCGGTAGCGATCGAGCTGCTCATCAGCCTCAGGGACTCGGCGTCTCCACTCTTCCACCATGCGGTCTCGTGCGGACTGTGTCTTGGTCTTGATGGCCTCTCTGGAGCGGCGAACCTTTTCTGTATGAACCGAGAAGTTCTTCTGAAGCTTCTCGAGCTGTTGGGGTAACGTAAAGTTGTCAAGGAGGTCAAGCACAGACAAACGATCAAGAGGTGGGATTCCATCCCAGTCCTCATGGTTGGAACTGCTGCCTGAGAAGGATGGGTTTCTCGAATGCATCGAGCCTCTTGGTGTAGTAGCACCTAACATGGGAGTATCGAGCAGGGCCGAGTCGGCAGGCGGGTTGCTGGGAGAAGTAGGTGCTTCGGGGTCAGGTGTGAGAATAACCTCGCTATCGGTTGAGATATTGTCGAATCTGAGGCCTGGGCCTGTCCCCGAGGCTGTCTTTGCGTCGTCGTCCATGTTTTGGGATCTTTGCTTTGCCCACTTTCACGTGTTCAAGTCAAGGACACAGTCCAGATGGCGGCTGATTCGTAGGAAGGAGACAGGCATCAACGAAATAACTACTCCAAGGTTAGATGAAGGCAGTGAGTGTCGATACCAGAAAGGACTACTCACAGAAGTGAACAAAGTGTGGCCGATACGGGTACAGCGCAAAGAGATAGGTGCAAGGGAGCGCGACGCAGGGTACTTATACCGTTATATAAGAGAACTTTATATGAGTAGTGGCGAGTGGATCATCTGTCCCTTGAACCTTGAACCTAGAACAGGGGAGGGGGTCGGGTGATCCAAGATGGACAAGACAAATGATTACTGAGGTTGAAGATGGGACAAGTCAGTCGTGATAAGGAGAAATAGGGAAGAGCTGAGTAGGTATGAAACCAAGGGATCCAAGCACTCAGCGGTGACGGAAGCATGCACGTGGGATGGGACAGGATTGGATGCTCTTAAGAAGCACCAAAAGCTCAGAGCTGGACCCTAGAACCGATGATGAAATACTGAAAGCTTGCTTGGCTTGGGGAAGTGGAGCCAGCGGGCGGTACATGTGTTATACGGTGGGTAACGTTAGGTAGGGAGTAGGTACTCCGTAGGGATGTAGGTAGTACTAAGGTAGCCTGTATTCCAGGTTGTTGAATGTCCACTGCCCACCACGTCAAGCAGTTTGCATCATCTAACATGAGTTTCTGCCAGTTTTATGATTCAAGCTAAACAAAGTTCAGGCTCAAGAAACATCCACTATCCAGCACATCATAGTAGGAGTAGTTCTTTCTTCTTCTAACTCTTGTACGTTCCAGACTCGTTAGTTGTAGTGATCAAATATCACCATACCCACATCATAATCATGTGAGCTCTACAGGAGACCAACTGTCACTGCCATGCCTTTGTTCGATTGTTGCGTGGGGAATTATCCAAATCTAACTGGCTGTGACTTCAACACAGCGCATGCTATAATCATCTTATTCCCAACACTCTCTTCGGGTACGGCTCTGGCTCAGAAGTGGAGGATCTACGGAGCGTCTTGGTACCTGAGGCGTCAAGATGCTTTTCCTCTTCCACAAAATCTGAAACTTTGATTGGTTCATATGAGCCGCATAGGCCATGCCCAATGCAATTACTGTTAAGGGTGGTAGTCCACTAGAATAGAAACCCAGCCGAGTCGCGCGACGCGTTAACCATCATTTGTGAGCTCTTGCAGAACGCCAAAGGGCAAGCATCTTGGGTCGCTTATTCTCGAAATTGATGATGCATATTGTCAGTTGTAAGCTATCACATCTCGCGACATAGCACATATCTCTACCTCATATTCTGCACGTGATTCTCGTGCCTTTTCTCTTCAAGTTCCTTCGCGCGATTCGTTGGCGCAACGAATTCGAGCCCCGGTCACTTTGACGCGCCTTCTTGCTCGTTGGCGCATTCGCTTTACTGCAGACTATTCGTACCTGGTCCAACGTATGGGAGACCCATTTGATTCAGCATCACACTCTTCCATCTCGACCGCACAACTCTCTTCAGCCACAGACTACTGGGCATACTGCCCCCCGACGTCGCCATGGGCAAGCTGATTCGTCTCGAGCTATTCAGTGCGTCATTCTTTTTCCACGCGTGTACTCAGTTGTGATGAGGAACGCAAAAGCTGACTTGCGCTACAGACTTCAAGTCATACAAAGGACATCATGTTCTTCTCTTTGGAGATTCGTATTTTACTTCCATCATTGGACCCAATGGATCCGGCAAATCCAATTCGTAAGTCGCTATTCTCCTCTCTGCCCCAACTTCCCTAATATCTTCTGTAGCATGGACGCCATTTCTTTTGTTTTAGGCATCAAATCCTCACACCTGCGTTCTGCTCATCTGAAGGACCTTGTCTACCGTGGACGAGTCCTAAAAACGGCCAAGATCAACGACGATGGTTCAGCACAAACTAACGGTGATGCAAACGGTGACGCCGACGGCAACGACAAGGCTTCTCGCGGTGACCCAAAAACAGCTTGGGTTATGGCTGTGTACGAGGATGACGCCGGAGAGGAGCAGAAGTGGAAGCGTTCCATTACAAACCAAGGCGCCAGCGAGTACCGAATCAACGACCGTGTTGTCACCGCCCAGCAATATAATGAATCTCTCGAAACCGAAAACATTCTTATCAAGGCTCGAAACTTTCTCGTATTCCAGGGAGATGTCGAGGCCATTGCTTCGCAGTCTCCTCAAGATCTCACGCGCCTGATTGAGCAGATCTCTGGATCCCTGGAGTACAAAGCGGAATACGAGAAGACACAAGCCCAAGCCGAACAAGCTGCCGAGAACCAGAACTTTCAGCTCCATCGACGACGTGGCATTAACTCGGAAATTAAGCAATATCGCGAGCAGAAAAAGGAAGCCGACAATTTTCAGAACAAGACCGATGAGCGTGATGCAGCCATAGTTACACACAGTCTGTGGAAGCTATACCATTTTCAAAAGGCTATGGATGACTCTTATGCCGCAATTCAGGACCACCAGGAAGATCTCAAGGAGCTACGTCGCAACGTGGAATCGTTCGAGAAGAGGCTTGATGCTGCTAGAAAGGAGCAGGCTGCCGCCGGTCGCCAAGTGGCCCGTATCGACAAAGAGATCAAGACCAAGGCAAGAGATATCGAGGATAAGGAGAACAGTCTCGTCCCCGTTGAGGAAAAGATAAACGAATCTTCCCAGGATGTCCAAAAGCTTCAGGCTCAAATTGCTAAAATCACTAAAGATCGTGATGATCAGGCCGAGGTTGTTCTCCAGGTTCAAAAGGACATTGAAAGTGTGGAGAAGGCTCGTGAAGTCTTTGAGAATGCCTACAAAGAACAGATAAAAAAGCAAGGCCGTGAGGTCAGCGACGAGGATCGCCGGGAGTTTAACCGACTTCGTGCTCAAGTTATGTCCCGAACAGGTTCCAATCAAGCTAAGCTTGAGAATCTTGACCGGCAGCGCAAGGCAGACGAGGTCACGGTCAACAACCTGAAAGGAAAAGTCGACAGCATTGCAGCAGGCATTGAGAAGATTGAAGCGGAACTCACAAGCATTGAGGAGCGCAGGTCTGCAGCGCAGACTACCTCCAAAGATCTTGCGCAAGAGATTGATGCCAAGAAGAAGGAATTCAACCAGCTGCAATCCGAACGCGTCAGAACCAACCAGAAGCGAACTGAGCTCGAGGAGAAGCTCGAAGATGTGGCCAGAAAACTTAGGGAGGCCGACGATGGTCGTCGCCAGAACGACAGGGAGGCCAGGATGAAAGAGATGGTAACTGCTTTGAAACGCATGTTCCCAGGGGTCCGCGGCCGCATCGGTGACCTCTGCAAACCGAAACAGAAAAAGTTTGATGAGGCTGTTATTGTCGCACTTGGACGAGACTTTGACTCTGTCGTTGTTGATTCCGAGAAGATCGGTGTCGAATGCGTTCAGTATCTCAAAGAGCAAAGATTCCCGCCTATGACCTTCATCCCTCTGGACAACATCAAGGTCAACGCTGTCAACACCGCTGTCAAAGGGTTTTCTGGTGCTAGACTGACAATTGACACCATCGACTTCGACTCCGCTGTTGAGCGTGCTATGTCCTATGCATGCGGAAGCTCCGTTGTATGCGATAGCCTTGATATCGCCAAACACATCTGCTACGAAAAGCGAATCCCCGTCAAAGCTGTGACACTGGAAGGCTACATTATCCACAAAGCAGGTTTGATGACTGGTGGTCGTGGACCTGAATCTAAGAGCAAGAGACGCTTTGAGGAGGCCGATGTTCAGAATCTTCAACGAATGGCCACCAAGCTAAAGGATGAGATCGATCGACTTCCCAAGGCTGATCGCCGTGGTACACAGGAAGAATCACTTCAAATCGAGCTGTCCGGACTCGAGAGGCGATTAGCAGCCGTCAAGGATGAACTGGCCGCGTTCAACAAGAACCATGCTAGCAAGAAGCGCGAGCTGGAGAATCAGAGGAGGCAGCTTAGAGAGCTCGAGCCCAAGTACCAAGAGCAGGCCTCGCAACTCGAGAGTACCACTAGCACATGTGAAGAGTTTCGGGATGCTATCGCACGAGTTGAAGATGAAGTATTTGCAGATTTCTGCAGACGACTGGGCTATAGTGATATTCGTGCCTACAGAGACTCTCAAGGCAAGCTAGAGCAAGAGATTTCTGAGAAGCGCAACGAGTTTGAGGTTCAGAAGCAAAGACTGTCCGCCCGACTTGAGTGGGAGCAGAAGCGTAATGACGACACTACATCGCGAATTGATAGAATCAAGAGCCGCGTTCAGCGTCTCAGGAAGGACATCAATACTTACACCAAAGAAAAGGATGAAATAGAGAACACCATGCGCGAAGAGCAGGAAGAGTTGGAGGCTCTCCACGAGACGCTGGATGAGAACAAGACAGAGCTTGCCGAGAAGAACCAGAAGGTTTCCGAGGCCAAGGCTGAGGTCCAGAAACGTTCTAAAGATATCGACACACATCTAAAAGACATCAACGCTCTTGAGACAATAGTCCAAAAGAACAGTTCTAGCAAATCGGCATTGCTTCGACGATGCCGATTGGAGCAAATCCGCATACCGCTTGTCGAGGGCACATTGGACAACTTGCCCAATGAAGATGGGCTGCTTCACCAGGACCCAGATGCGATGGACCTTGATGAAGATGACGAGGAGATGATGGACCTGGCACTCGACAACCATGGAATTGCCATCGACTTTGATGGACTTGACGATGATCTCAAAGGCGTAAGTACCTCATGCTTCATTCAACAATGGCGCTAACAAGATGTAGTCGGACGACCCAAGTGTAGAAGAGAGTCTGTCGGAGAAGATTACAAACTTAACTTCCGAATTGGAGAAGCTAAACCCCAACATGCGAGCTATGGAGAGGTTGGAGAGTGTCGAATCTCGACTTAGAGTCACCGATCAAGAGTTCGAAGATTCAAAGACTGCAGCACTTGCGGCCAAAGATGCTTTTAACGAGGTCAAGCAAAAGAGATATGACCTCTTCAACAAAGCTTTCAGTCATATCCAGGAGCAAATATCGCACGTTTACAAGGACCTCACCCGATCAGAAGCATATCCTCTTGGTGGCCAGGCCTACCTGGACATTGAAGAGGACACAGATATGCCTTACTTGTCTGGCATCAAATACCATGCGATGCCTCCTCTGAAACGTTTCAGAGATATGGAACATTTATCAGGAGGTGAAAAGACCATGGCGGCACTGGCACTTTTATTTGCTATCCACAGCTACCAACCTAGTCCCTTCTTTGTCCTCGACGAAGTTGATGCCGCCTTGGACAACGCTAATGTGGACAAAATCAAGAAGTACATCAAGGACCACCGTGGTCCGGGTATGCAATTCATTGTTATCAGTCTTAAGGCGGGTCTCTTCCAAGACAGTGACAGCCTGGTGGGTGTTTACCGAGATCAAGAGGTGAATAGTTCAAGAACTTTGACTCTAGATGTAAGTATCCCCTGCGCCTACTTCTCTAACTACTTACTTACATTTGAATAGTTGCGACAATATGTGTAAGAGCGGATAGAACTCTGAGGGGCTTTTAATTACTAGTTTTTCAGAGCCCAGGTGAAACGTTCTGTGTTTGTGCTGGCCAGCCTTTTGAAAGCATGGGTTTCATACGAGTTAACGAATTCTGTCGCGTCAGTCAATACTGCGGTACTGAAATAAACACGTAAATATCACTATGCTTATTTGGAACATACATGGACCCTAGTCAAGTCGTTCTATATCCTCCCATTCACAGTGTGTTTGTTGTAGTTGAAAACTTGCGTGTAGAAGCAGCCAGACTTCCTCCTCTATATTCAATCTTCGTCACTTGCTGCACTTGTTGAGAACCTTAGCTAGAGTCTCCCCCATGCAGTTGATATAATGCCTTATACAGTGGTGTATAAGGTAGTTTTGAGTATTTGTGTTTTCTGTGGAGTTGGAAAGACTCAGAAATAAAGTATATATATAGACATGAATTACTCTAATCTTGCTAAAACCGATCTGAGGAGTTTTTTTTTTCACTGTCATAAAGTGTAATTCCCATTCTTTGTCACCTGTTTTCACATTCCTGTCGTCTCTGATCCGTGCGAGGTTGAGGCTGACTGGATGTGGGTTCTTTGTTCTGGAGCTTGGTGCAGCCTAAAGCTACCTACTGCACGCAGTCTAAACTTCCTTGCGCCTCCAGGCAAACACAAAGAACAAATTCTTCCAAACAACAAACCACGACCGATAGCGCACCACGAAACAAAGCAACGACAAACCAAACAGCGTCTTTGATTTGATATTCGCCAACCTCGAAGCTTTAATAGAGTTGACCACGTCATGTACGAAAGCCTATAAAATGGTTGATGGCTCTCAGTCCATCCGAGACAACATTTTGGATCGCAACACGCAACAAACTTCCATATCATAATACCACTACGCGGAAGATCGCTTGCACCTCCTTGCGCTACTCAGCTACCTCGCGACCGTAACGATAAAACTTGCGCTTCGCAATTCTGCGCTCCCCGTACGATCGTATCTCATCAACCAACGGCATCATGGATCTCGCAATCACCCTCGTCAAGTCCGTTATGAGGGCGTTCTACCAGACGCGCGACATACTTGTCGTTGATGCGCTAATCCTTCATGAGGCGTGCGTATATAGTTCTGGGGTGTCAATGGGGAGGTCACTGAATGTTGTTTGTTAGGCTTCGAGACGACGATTTGGCATACCTGATGTCCATCAACACAAAGGATCTTCACAAAATTTGCGGCAAGCTGCGCGAAGATAGATTTCTGGTTGTGTAGGTAAATGCGATACTGCAGATATTAATTGACTGACTGAGACGTGTGCAGACATACACGATCAGAGTTACGAGAAGGCAATCCAAGACCGAGCAATCGAACATGGTATTACATCGACTACCGCAGCACAATCGATGCTATCAAATGGCGTGTTTACACTATCGACAAAGAAGTGCAGGGTACTACACAAGTTGCGAGTGAAAAGAAAGAGTACTTTTGCTCACACTGCAAAGCAGAGTGGACGGCTATGGAAGTTCTGGACAACGTTGGCCCAGAGGGATTCTTGTGCCATCGATGCGCGCATGTTCTTACCTTCGAAGCCGACCGAACATCCACCGGTCATGAGCAGTCAACACGTCTTAACGACCAGTTCAAATTCATCAGCGAACTATTACCCAAAATCGACGCAGTGCACATCCCCGAATGCGACTTCGATCGCGCGCTTGCCAAAGCACGCCCAGTGAAGCGTGACGAGACACACCAGCGCGCCCAGACTATTGCAGCAGACTCTGGCGCGAACAGGCCCATGGCAGTTAAGGGCTTGACCAATACAGGACCGCAGTCTATCGCAGTCAACATCTCAACATCCGATGGGCCATCGGAGATCGAGAAAGCAGCAGAACAGGCGCGCAAGGAGAAGATTGCCAAGCAAAATGCGCTGCCAGCCTGGATGTCCAACAGTACAGTGACTGGTGACTCTTTCACAGCCAGTGACACCCCGGGCACTACTAAAACTGCTAAGAAGGATGTGGGCAAGGACGCAGGAAAGACTGAACCTGTCCAAGCCAACGCTCAGATCGACGACATATTCGAGAGATTGAAAGCCGAACAAGCTGCAGAGCTAGCCAAACAGCAAGAAGAGGAAGAAGAAGATGAGGAGGACGAAGATGAATTTGAAGACGTGCTAAGTCGCGATACCCCAGTGACACCAGCGATCAAAAGAGAGTCCCCTGGAGACTCAGAAGAGCCACAAGCAAAGCGTGTTAAGGTTGAACCTGAAGTTAAGAAGGAGGAAGAGGAAGAAGATAGCGAAGAAGAGATCGAGTTTGAAGATGTATGAAAGAACAAAATACATGAGGATAGACTATTTTAATACACGGCGACTGCACTTGCCAGCCCTTAGCTTCACAGCTGTATTATATCCTACTGTCCAACAAAAACGCTACTGGGAACCAGAGAATAAACTGCAGAACCAAGTAAGCACACGATAATTGAGGAAGTTGGTGGGTAAGCAATGTCACCTGATGTCGTGATTAAGATCTCATGCATAAGGACTGCACTACTAGTAGTGTCATTGCAACGCGCATTCAAGGTGCTTGTGGGAATCTTCTTCTGCCAAAGGGGAGAAGATGAAGGTGTTGTTAATCGCATCATGGGTAGACAGAGCCTACCCACCTACTTAAGGTACTCAATGAAGTTGCCCAGGTCCACAGATGAAAAAGCAATTCCTGAGGAAATTACCATGGTGCTACGGACGCATAATATTGGGGGTGAGTGGCTGAAGTGTTTGTTACCAACGTGCATATTTGATATCGGGCTTCCCTATCGAAATTCGTCCATCAAGACGTCATTCTTTCAAGCAGACTCTCATACTGACTGTTCCTAGGGTAAAACAATCCAAGTCCCTCCAGCGCAGATGAGATTTGCAATCTCTATCTATCAAACCCATCTGCTCGGCAGCGAGATACGCGCCATTATGCATGCAGCTCACGTCAAACGCTGCAGTCTTGACATCACGCGAATAGAAAGCCAAACATCTCCTACGGAACCCAAGTCTCAAAGCTGGTGCTAGAGCCGCTGCAATGGACCTCGACAATCTTCCACGGATTTTCCTCCTGTCAGCCCATCTGAAGCCTGATGAGTTGCATCGCCTGGAAGAACGGATCCCGACATTGACGTATGACATCAATGAGGCCGAGCTCGTGGTTGGCAAGATTTCGCAGCCAAGGCGCGCCGAATTTGAGCTGAGGAGAGCAAAACTCGAGTTTGTGCCTTTGGAGCAGTCGCAGACAGGGAGTGATTATTCTTCACCAACATCTCTAGCAAGAGATTCAGACAATGGCCCAACCACCAAACGGAGAAGAGTTGTGGAACAATCGACAGGAGAGACCGCTATAGTCAAAGTTGTCAAGCTGGCATGGCTTCTTGACTCGTGGGAGAAGAAGAGACTGCTGTCTGTAGATCCATACACGATCTATCGAGGTAATAAAATTGTGCCAAGCGAGACGATACCTACGACTGCATCTATATCGCCAAAGGGTTCAACGTCACCAGCGAATAGCATTCTAGGACGTGCCTTACTCGAGCATGAAACGCAGCCAACGAGCAGCTCACCACATGGCCGCAATAAAAGACGGCACGATGCTTCGACGACGTTATCACAACATGCACCCAATCTACTCAACCAAACTACGTCGGAACACGATATTGCCCTGCCCTTGATACCCAATTTCCTGAAAACAGTGTATTCGTGCCAGCGGCCTACGTACATAAATTCGCCGAATAACGAATTCGTAAAGGTTTTGGCAGAAATAAGAACGATTCGCCAACTTCGAGAGGATGAAGTTGGCGAAAGAGCTTACTCTTCATCGATTGCTTCGATCGCTGCATATCCGTATCCACTCAAGAACCCCCAGGGTAAGTACAACCAACCTTCTAGTCGTCATCTGTAGCTAAGCCTTTGAAAAGAAGTTGCACGATTACCAGGCTGCGGCGATAGAATCGCCGAACTCTGGCATCACTGGAAGAAGACAGGAGAGTCGGTAGAAGTACGTGAAGCTAACGCTGACCCCAAGATATCCACTCTCCAAATCTTCTACAATATCTGGGGGGTTGGAGCCATTTCAGCCCGCGACTTCTATCAGAAAGGTGAGACTGGGAAACCCGGGATCAAACGTTTTGCAAGGTACTAAAACTTCACAGGATGGAGGGACCTGGATGATCTGGTCGAGTATGGATGGAACATGCTCAATCGCTCACAACAAATCGGCATCAAATACTATAGCGAGTTCCTACTGGGAATCCCTCGGGAAGAAGTCGCGTCTATCGGCGCCACCATCTTAGAACACACCCGTAGGATCGACCCAGGGTTCGAGATGGTCATTGTGGGAGGTTACCGGCGAGGCAAGCAAGAATCTGGCGATGTTGACGTTGTCTTGAGCCACCGAGACGAAAGCAAGACGCTGAATGTGGTATCTAAGATTGTCGTGGCCCTCGAGAAAGCCTGCCTCATCACACATACACTCACCCTCTCTACCCATAATAGTGAACGAGGACAACGCCCAGTATCCTGGAAGGGAGAAAAGCACAACAGTTCAGGCTTCGACACACTGGACAAAGCTTTGGTAGTTTGGCAAGACTCCAGCAAGGAAAACCCACCGCACCGAAGGGTCGACATCATCATCAGTCCATGGAAGACAGCGGGATGTGCGGTGCTGGGCTGGAGTGGTGGAACAACATTCCAAAGAGATATACGACGATACTGCAAGAACGTCAAAGGATACAAATTCGACAGCAGCGGGATACGGAATAGGGCTGATGGTAGATGGGTGGACCTTGAAGGAACCTTAGCCGGCGACAAGGCTCCTGATATGGAGACAGCGGAGCGGAGGGTTTTCGAAGGGCTTGGTTTGGCATGGCGGTCACCCGAAGAGAGATGCACTGGTTGAGGATGAAGTTGGCAGGTTGGTTGCAGCCCGTCTTCGGAGTTTTCAGCGTACCTGCATTGGTAGCTGCGGAGTTTGGGCTAGGCGCGTGCTGAATACGCCAAAGCGTGGGTTGGAATCCGGGGACTCAATTGCACCGACGGCCCCTGCCGACGGCTGCCGAGTTTCAAAATCTCTCCGCGGTCCGAAAAATCATTATTCGATACTGGCCCTGTCGTATTCTCTAACCAACCAGCATTGAGCTGAGCCAGCTTGAGAGTATTTACATACATAATGTTATCGGATATCATGATATGATGCCGGGTCGTCGGGCGGAGCGGGTCTCGCAGTCTCGTTCCTTCATGCGAGATGCGGAGCGTCAGTAACAAGGACAGATGAGCGGATCCATAGGACACTTTGCAGAATTGGAACACATTTGGTCAGTACATATCTGCAATACGATGGATAATAATAAACCTCCGCTTGTCTTTGGGCAATCCTGGTTATGCTGCTGTGGAAGGGCCAATACCTACGGAGTAGGTAGTTGGTGGATTGTTGCCCCAGGTGGAGCTAGCTCCTCTGGACCTTTGGGCCCGCTCCGAAGGTAGTCTATCTAGCTAATTAGTTTCATACCTGAGGGAGTGGAGGAATCATTATTTAAGAACAAGGGCCAGCGACACCTCTACGGTATCATACCAATCCAACTCATACCTTCACGTTCATCTCTTCTCACCAAACTATCGCCATCATGTCTCTCGTTCTTGAGCTCCCTGCCGAATACAGGTAAGGAACAGATACTCTTTCTTCCATTGCCTCACTCACCCTCAGAAACAACTGACACTCCTTTCAGCTACGTTCTCGTTGCCGCTACTTCCACCTTCTTCATCAACACCCTCCATGTTGTCCTCACCAGCAAGGCCCGCAAGCGTAGCGGTCTCAAGTACCCCGTCCCATATGCTTCCAACGAGCTCGCCGAGAAGGACGCTGAGGCCTACAAGTTCAACTGCGGTAAGTTATGCTTTCGCTATTTGGAGGCTTTAACTATTACTAACCTTGTCTGCGATTAGCTCAACGCTCGCACGCCAACTTCACCGAGAACCAGATCTCATTCCTTGGTGCTCTTCTCATCTCTGGCCTCCGCTTCCCCGTAGCCTCTGCCGTCCTCGGCGGTGGCTGGGCTCTCTCTCGTGTATTCTACGCCATTGGATACTCCTCTGGCGGTCCCCAGGGACGCATGGGGTATGTAAAAGCCTTCCTATCTAACCATCCCCCAAAGACATGTCCTAACATAATCGACTCAGTGGCTCTATTGGTTCTGCCCTCTGCGACACGTCACTCAAGTTCATGGCCGCATACACCTCCATTATGTATGCTCTTGGCAACTAAGGTTGTCCGTTGGAGAAGAATTCAAAAGTGTAATATATGATATTAGTCTCTGTTTTTATACAACTAGATCTTTTACGAATATTTCGTCGTCGTATCATACTTTGCTACTGTGACCATTAGACGCCTGCATCCATTCCTTTCCCTGACAGCATCGTACAGACCTAAATCAAAAGTTCATAAAGTTCAATCGTTATTATCATCCATCAACTGCTTGCCCAGTATCGTTCTTTGTGCATCCTGCAGTCTTCCTGCCGGGTTCACCTTCGCATTCTCCTCCTCTTTAGGTCTTGTCCCGCTGTCACGTCTTCCTCAAGCTCTGGCAGCGGTTCCTTTTTGTTTGTTTTGAAATCGTCATCCGATTCGGCCTCGGGAAACCACTCGATGCCATTGTTGCCCAGAAGATAGTCTCCGTAGTACTTCATGGCATTGAATATTTCTTCACCAGTGGGTACTATATGCTCTTTAGGGAGCAGGAAGCCATAGCTGCCGGTATCTCGAAGCTTGATCTGATAGCTGTAGTGGGCTCGCATCTCGTGGTAAAACCAGTCAACAGCCGATCCACCACCGGACTCAATTCGGGACCAATACCGACCCCCACTGAACTCACGTGCTGACACAGCGCCTTCACATGCAGATGCGACGGTATAGGACTCTCCATTCGATAGGCGTATCGATTTTGCAATGCCTGCAGCGAGTTCTTCCAGGTTCTCCAGGTTGGGAGGGTCAACCGAACAGGTGTAAGAGAAGGGGTAGAGGATCTGCTGTGAGTACGAGTGTAGGTCAATCAAACCTACGAATCGGACGTTGTTGGCCCAGGTCTGGTTACGCGCCCAGTCGGCGATATGGACCGCTTCAACAGCCTGGAAGGGCTTCTCTCCCCCATAGCTCTCTGAGCAAGGGTCTCGTTGAACCTGAGAGCCATCCCACTCGTATCCGTAAGCACGATCAAGATCCAAACCGCGACAGAATTGGAGATTGGTTTGTTGCCGGGTTTTGCGCCAGAGTCGATCAATATGCCAGGTGTATTCAAAACCATCTGGGTTGGCGATTGGAAGGAAAACCAGATCGAACTCGTCCAAAAGCTTCGTAATCATTCTTTCCTTACCATAACTAGTGATAAAAGACCATGCCAGGTAGTTGACAGTGCTAGTTGAGATCCATTCACGAGCGTGCGAGCCACCCATTATCATAATCGTCTTCCGTCGGGGCGCATCCGGTGCCGTATTCGGAATTCCTACGCGCAGGGCAGGTATATCACGGCCTTCGTATGATTTGCCAATATTGATGTATTTGACATAAGAAGGAAACATTGCCTCAAGAAGACGCATCCAGCGCATTATCACTGGCAGGGACTGGTAGTCTTGGAAGAAGAGGTTGTCCCCAGGGGAAGATGCAACCTTGAGTATTGGGCCAGCGGTTGTGGGATCTGTATAAGCTGGGTTCCCGCCAGTTGGCAATGAGCTATAGACAGCCGCTGCCAAGTCTGGTATCAGGACCGAATGCGATGTGTGTAGTGACTTAGGAAGCAAGCTTAGTAGTGGTCGGATCTCGTCGGAGTGCATGCGAATGTCCACATAGTTCTCGGTGAAGGCCCAGACGTCCAGGAATAGACGAGCAGCGGCATCGGCAAGAGCACCCTCTTCGTGAGAAGTGGTGACATTGAATCGAATGACTAGTTGCTTAACGTATTGAGCGCGCAGTTGATTGGGGACGGGCGGCGGGGTTGTCTTCTTGGTTGGGTGGCGTCCGAAGACAGTCTCGATAGCCTTGTCGCGAAGTTTGGTGAGGAAAGGGAAGAGTCGCGTGTTTGCGTGGTCGTTATTCTGCGGATTTGAGATGGCGCGCTGAGTATCGATGCCGGCAGCGTTGACATTGGAGGCCTGCAGCAGCAGTAGACTGGCCGCCAGCAATTGCAGCTTCATTCTGAATATCTACGACGAGCGCGCAGTTGAAGTAGTCGGCTTGTGCTGGTTGATCGATATTACCAAGAGGTAGAGGACTGTCAGCCCCCAGCTGAGCGTCTTGGTTGGATGACTTGGGTATGATGTAGCAAAATTGTTGTAGATACGAGGGTGATGATGGTTGGGTCAGTCAGTCGTAGTTAGTGTACATAGTAGGTAGCCTACAGTCCCGTGCAAAAGTTCCGATAACGAGCTAACTAGGAATATGCATAAAATATTATAAATATTATAATAGTTAGAATACTATATGTATAATATTATCATAAGATTACTTAAGAGTATTAAAAATAGAAGAGTTTATTATATTTATAAACTTTAGAAAAGCGAAAGTTATTAGAACCTTTACACACCCACTGTAAATCGGGCACTGCTTCAGCAGTGTGATAACGAAACGCCTGCCGTTTTGATGTGGGTCAAGCAGGCAATGAGGTTGTTTCGATGGTCAATCGACTCTGGATTACAGATACTATGCCAATTTTCGTGATGAACAATAACCTGAAATAAGTAGTATTGTTGCTTATATCGTAATTTTGATTCTCTTCCAGATTTCATGCTACAGAAAATGCTGATCATGGCAATATTTGCTATGGGTTTTCATCTATTTATCTTGCTGCCTGTCTACACACCTATACGGACAGCTGAAGTCTCGATATAAGACCTTTTCAAACATCGGTTCAAACGCCTAGTTTAATATTGAGTATGTTTCGGGAACTGTTCGCACTTCATTTATACATTAACAAGTACTATAGGTCGGTAGTCTAGGCATTGGATATTTGTACGGTAGAAAAGATGCACCATTACGGAAATTCGCATATTAGATCAGTATCGCCAGGGACGGGTGTCGAGGCCAAGTGAGTAAGCGACAAGATAGTAGCTAGGGGGGGGGGGAAAGTACAAGATACAATAAACAGTACAAGCTGATTTATGTGTAGGATGATGAGAATACCTACCAATAGGTCTGCGCTCAATGCTGCCGTTTGGGGGCTACTCACTGCTTCTATGTGAACCCCAGCTTCCACAACAAACAGATTACGCATATGCTATATCCGCACCATAAGTTATGCTGGAGGCACCTGGCCAATCTGATCAATTTGAACTTAAGATGAGAAGAACACAAGGCCAATGACCACAAGTTCCAGGGTTCACATGCATTGTAGAGTCAACCTCCTCAACTCAACCGTGCATCAACAGCGTAGATTGAAACACGTATCATGGTAATATCAAAGTACAAAAGAGAAGGGACAAAAACGCCTTTGTCTTTCTGTATCTGTCTCTATCTTTCTCCCTCTTCCTCGTAACCGTGTAAGATTTGTTCCTTTCCTGTGTACGGAGCATCAAAAGACTTTTTTTCTTTTCGTGGGATGGCGGAGGCTTACCCTGTCTCTCATTCTACGTGTATAGCCCTGTCGTTATGAGTAAAGCGGCATCACTCTGACAACCCAAGGTACTTTCACCAAATGAGAAACTATCATTGATGCCTGACCTCCGCGCAATCTCGGTTTCGTTGTGATCATACCAGCTTGCTCTTATTAATCTGTGATTCCCATTTCCCACCACCTCCTTACACTAGGTAGCCACGTGAATACTCCGAGGGGCTAGTGTCCAAGAGCCTTTTTCAGCGGATCTTCCAGGCTACCCCTACACCCAGCCACGCAGCTCTTAGTGGCGGAGTGGCCCGTGAACACTGTGCATACATAGGCTGGCACCTAGCTGTAGCCGTCTGACAGGCGCTGGGCTGTATTAATTTGAGGCTGCAACGCCCAGCCCCTGGCCTTCCATTGTTACTGGAAGCTCAGAAAGCGACTGCTGCACCGGTATCAAGGTCAAAAACGGCACAACTACATCAACGAGGCTCACGTCACGACCCAGCTTCTACGCGCCACATTCACATTCGCATTCACCTTTGCTTATCGGTAAACTCTCATTATCAACCTCGAATCCTGTAGTTGTTTCAATGAACACCACCGCGACTTGGTACCAGCCTTTTGCTTGGTAGGTGGTTATACACCTGCCGCCCTCCATCTCAACGCTTTCTCCTGTCGGGTTGTCAAACATCGCCTGGTCTTGACAACGCCCGGGCTGACCGCGTACCATGATCAGTCGCTGTCATGGCTTTTCTTCGCCGCAGAGGCAACGTGTCTAATGAGACCGATATACGCCGCCATACATTCTTCGAATCCAGCGCATCCGGCGATATTCCTCAGTTCCCTTCCCAGCCCGAACAGAACAACGACCAAAGCGCTGGGGAGTCTTACCGCCCGCAGCCATCCCGCGAGTTTACTCGCGACTCTACCAATAGCCGCACCGAAAGTCGTCCAGAGAGTCGCCCTGAAAGCCGCCCTGAAAGCCGCCCTGAAGGTCAAACTGAAAGCCGCCCAGACACCCCTCCTATACAAGAGGGAAACAGCAAACATCATCGCTTCTCCGTCTTGCGCTTTAGAAACGCGAGCGATTCGCAACTATCCCTTCGAGCTAAACAGCAGTCTGAAGAAACCCCTCCAGTCCCACGACGTAACTCATCCCTCTATTGTTGGTTGAGACGGTGCCTAGCTAACCAATGTCGACTTAGCACCTGAAATCATAACTACCGCTCCTACAAACGAGTTCAGTGGGCCGAAGAAGAAGACCTCTCGGATTAGCCTAGGTGCTAGGTTTCGCCGCTCGACGGACATACCCCGTGATGAGAATCAGTCTAATAATGGGCCGGGGCGTCAGAAGACACTTCGTAAATCCTTTACCGATGACAGACGACAGCCAGCGCTTGCTACTCTAGAGGAACCCGAATCTCCGCGACCATCTACAACAGCCACGCAAAGTAGTCCCAATGGAACCATATTGACCCCTCCGAATCGCCCGTCCGAGTCTTCGAGATCAGATGCTAGCTCCAATGATCGTTTGTCTCACCAGAGTTCGTCTTACCAAAGCCCAGAGACAACACCCAAGAAAACTGGACCTTTCTTCAGACTGCGGAGGCATAAGAAGGCGCCAGAACCTTTATTCCCATTCGCACATTTACAGCAGCAAGGAAAGCCACCACCAGGCATCACATCTGCCTCATCCCTTGGCATTTCCACAACTCCTCGTCCAGCATCGGCTCAAAGTAACAGAACAGCTGGTGGAAGCACTATGAAAGGTGACCCGGACTCGCGACTAGCTCAATCGCCTGCAACAACATTGGTTGCACCCGGGGTAACGCAGTCGGGGCATTCTTCGCCGACAAGGGCTACTCTGTTGCGAGGGAGATCATCTACTATGAGTTCGATGGGCCGCGATTCGAATGATGACCACCTTTTACCTCCAACCACCCGGACGTCTTCTTCCACTGGCCGCAAAAGTTTTGGCGATTTGTTTGGTTTGAGTCGTCTGCGGCAGAACTCCGAACTTAGCCGTCAGGGCACTATGACCCCTACAACCCCTGGCTCCATGGGGTCCAAGAACAACTCACTCCAGCTTGCTAGAGACTCGTTCGTTCTTCCAGAGCGCTGGGAAGACGAGTCACCCGCCAAGTATCTGACCCGAGTCGAAGAAGTTGCAAACCGGGGTATTATTGCCGCTACACTATCGAAAAGTGCAGATCCGTTCATGGTTGCTGTACTGCGCAGTTATATGCGGAGCTACAGCTTTTTTGGCGATCCCATGGATATGGCTATTCGAAAGCTGCTCATGGAGGCTGAACTCCCTAAGGAAACTCAACAAATTGACCGTTGCCTGCAAGCGTTTGCAAACCGCTATCATGAGTGTAACCCTGGCATCTACTCATCGCCTGATCAGGCCTACTTTATTGCATTCTCCTTGCTCATTCTACACACTGATGTCTTCAACAAAAACAACAAGCACAAAATGCAAAAAACCGATTACTTGAAGAACACAAATGGAGAGGGCATCTTTGACGACATTCTGGAATGTTTTTATGACAACATCACTTATACCCCTTTTATTCATGTTGAGGATGATTTAGACCCAACCATCGATCGTTATGCTTCACACAAATCACGACGAAAACCTCTGCTTCCCTCTACAGTCAACGACCCTGCGAAACGAGCTATCAAGGAGCCTATTGATCCTTACACCCTGATCCTCGATGGGAGTCTGGACGCGTTAAGGCCCAACTTGAAAGACGTGATCGAGCTAGATGACCACTATAACTACCTGGGTTCTGCCACCAGCCTGAATCTTAAGGACCTGCAGAAGACATTTTTCAGGACTGGCGTACTGCAGATTGTATCAGCCCGATCTCGACCGGACGCTTTCATGACGGAACAAACGGCTAGCAATCCAGCTGAAGCGCACCCTGGCATTGTGGATATCAAAGTAACGAAGGTCGGATTGCTATGGCGGAAGGACGCAAAGAAACGCAAGGCGCGGTCTCCGTGGCAAGAATGGGGTGCAATCCTCACAGGAGCGCAGCTCTACTTCTTTCGTAACACAGGCTGGGTCAAGTCTTTGATGCATCAGTACGATAACCATATCAAGGCAGGGAATGATGGGACACCATTGATCTTCAACCCCCCACTTCAAGAATTCAAACCGGATGCGCTTATGTCGACTTATGCCGCCGTTGCCCTGCATGATGCGTCATACAAGAAGCACAAGAATGCATTTATATACGTAAGGCAAGGTGGTCTAGAAGAAGTTCTTTTGGCGGACAACGAGGAGGAGATGAATGACTGGCTCGCCAAACTCAACTATGCTGCTGCCTTCAGGACGACCGGCGTTAAGATGCGCGGTGTCCTTGGTGGGAACTATGATGGGCAAAGCCGCCGCGGTCTTCGACGACTTGATAGCGCCGATGCTGCCACACTCATCCAGACGCCAACAGGACCGGTATCCATTGCTCGAAGTCGGATAGATCACAAGATGGCCGAGGACATTTCAGCTGCTCGGCGGGATGTGATGAAGCAAAAGATTTCTGAGGCTGACGAAAGTGTTCAAGAAATTCAACAACGACTGGAAGATCAACTCAGGAATGCACGCCATTTGCTGATTCTTGCCCCTATCCAGCCAAGAACGAGAGAACAGATATTGTCTGCCGCAGCGCGAATGGCTGCTCAGCTCAAGTGGACCCGTCAAGAAATGTGGAAGTCCAAGTGCCACCGTGATATCTTGATACAAGATCTCGAGGAAGAGCACCCATCAGAGACATTCACTCCGACAAAGCAGCATTCCAATCGACTCTCGCAGAGAACAGGATCACCCACACCTCGCGCCGGTATGGGACGTAGAGGGTCAAGGTCAACACACCACTCTGGAACAGAGGCGGACCCAAGAACACCTGCAGAGCCACAAGTTATTAATATGCCTAACCCTGCAGAAGTCACGGAAGATGTAGACTCTCCTTTAGACCAAATTTTCACAACGCCTCCTCAGAGTGCTACCAAGCGCCGCCACAGCTCTCGCGATCTTTCATTTACTCGACCAGATGCTGCTAGTACAAGACAAGGCTCCATATCGAGCATCGCGCAGTCTCCTCTGGTGTCGCTTCCGCCGACTCCGCTAGCGAAACCCCCTTCGTCGCAGGACGAAAATTCCAAACCACCGCAAAATGTTGAACATGACGGCCACCACGATCCTGATGCAGATGAACGGGACTTCCTGGAGCAGGCAGGTCTGCTTGAGCAGCGATCTAGCCGGGACCCTACAGATAAGACAACTGTCTCAACCGGTGCGGATGTGACTGGGGAGCCTGGCACACCTACAGATAAGCTGGACAGAAGCAAGATCCGGCGTAGTCTTCAGCGAACCCTTAGAGAAGGCGCTGGGCACCTCTCGCACCACCGTAGTAGCCGTAAGGGTAAGGAGGTGGCCGCTTCAGGAGAGGAATCGACACAAGAACATCAACTCGCCAGAGGCACAGGGAGCTTCGTAGTCCACGGAAAGAAGGCATCAGTCATTACTTTTGGTGATGGATTACAAAACATGACCCATGACGAGAAGATCCGCGCCCGAAAATCTTCGTACCAGCAGGATACTCCTTTGTCGCCTTTGCCAAGCGCACCTGAGGATGATGACTTCTATTCTGCTGTCAGCGTGCCGCTTGAGTCAGCCGAGCGCAGAGAGTCAATTGCAAGCGCAAGCACCGCAACCGCTCGTAGCTTCCGTGAGCTGCATAGAAAGTATTCATCAGCTCAAGCTACTAGAAGCACTTCAGCTGTCGGTAGATTGACAATACCCTCTGATACCGAGAGTGAGGTTGCGGTCAGCTTCTCAGATGGGCGTAGGAGCCCTTTGCCTCCGAAGGAGACAGAGACAGACGAGGAGTCCGACGGCACGGGTGATAAGAGAGGTCGAAGCAGCAGAAAGGACGATTTTGAGAGTCGAGATTCGGACTCTGAATCGCTGCAAGATGTTGAGCAGCTGTCAAGCCGGCCTGTGCAACCTGTCAACGCCTGATGCTAGAAAGAGATGGAAGCTGTTGTGTGGTGTGTGCCCTGTGTGTATATAACTTTCTCTTTCGGAACTGGGGATTGCTGGGACGAGCATTAGACGTCAATTTTCAGCATGTGCCAGTGGATAACCCTGGGAGAGACAGAGATAAGAATCCCACTGGGTGAGCTTGTGTGCTGCGGCGAGCCAATGATGAGAACCTATGTATCTAGATATTGTTTTAGTGGCCTAAGCCTTTGTTCATTTGTATTTGTTTGCTCCGCGGCTTTGGCAGAGCATCAAAAGTAAGCGTTAGAATTTATATTATTGTTTCGCCCGGTCTGTCACGGTTCATAATTCGCGTGTCAAGATGAGTTGGGACATGGACACAACATGAGGATATTAGGTTGAAGTAGCGATGAATTTTGACCATGCATATACAGCACGCTAACGCATGAAAAGATCCTGCTATTTCTTGCCCTTCTTCTTCTTCTTGGAAGGCGGTGGTGCCTTCTCTACCTTGACACCCCCTCCGCCTACAAGCTCCAAAGTCTCCTCTTCCTTCACCATACCGCCCTGTGTTGACTCTCCAGCCTTCTTCTTTCCCTTCTTTCCCTTGGGGCGGTATGAACTTCGATCACGCAATGGCAACCAACGCTCGGGATCGGGCTTGGTGCCTTCCACGTAGTTCTTGGGCAGACGGATCTTTCTACGGCGCTTGCTTGTCTTTTCAGCAGGACCTGAGGGGGCAGCGCGCTTAAGGGTTGTGGATCCGACTTTGTTGGCCGCAGTGGCAACGCCGGCGCTGAGGAGAGATGCAACATCAATACCTTCAGTAAGTGAATCAACAGAGGGGAGGCTCTGAAGATGCTGCTCCACGCGAGAGGGCTCTGAAGGGGCGAAGGATGCAACAAGACCAGCCGTAACAACATCTGAACCCTTCTGCTCGTCGAAGAGCTTTTGGAATGATGAACCAGCGAGTTGGAGGTCCTGAGCGTTGGACGATTTCATCAGTTCGATACCAGCCTCTTGAAGCAGCGAGACAGCTGAACTAGCCTGTCGAGATTGCCAATGCGCTGCGGCCTTGACTAGTTCGGCCTTTGCGGAAGAGTCTCGTTCTTGCGCCCGCAAAAGGGTGACAGTTAATGCAACAAGACCTGGGCTATAACGAGCATTCTGAGCCTCCTCAGTCTCAGCCTTCTCGAGACGCTGGAGGAAAGACTCGAGTATAGACAGTGCTGAGCCGATGTGTCCCTCGTTGAGCTGTATTTGCACAATGGTTAACACGAGGCCGACGTCGTGTGGTCTCTTTTGAATCAATCCCTGAAGATTCTTCAAAAGTTGTTTTCCTACAGTCCCTTGCGAGCTTGCAGCCGCATTGAGAACAGATAGAACGCCGATCTCAGCCGAGGTCGAAGGATGCTTTGCTTCGGAGAGTACTGCATCAGTGCGGCGCTTGACTCCAGCGCCTTTCAGAATTTGCAGATCAACGGTCAGCTTGTTGCGTTGCAAGACATCAGACTGATGCTGGAAAAGCTTGGCATTTCCTTCCTTGGCCGTCAAGGTAGAGAACCTGCGCTCAACCAAATAGGGGTTTTCGGCTTTGGGTTCCAACGCCACCAGGTTGTTGCCAATTATTATTGCTAGGTCAGGGTCTTCATCTCTGTTGTTGTATGTCAGTTCGTGTGATCTTGGCTCCGGGAAATCAGGACAAAACTCACTTTGTACTGGATAATGAGTTATAAAGGTCGAAGGCCTCCTTGAGCTTGCCCAGCTTTGCGAAGACATACGCCTGCTGTGCGAGAATGGGCCGCGTTTCGGCTTGCTTATCCTCATCCGTGAGGTCATCAGAGGCATCACATAGTCTGCTGGCGCGTTGCAGCAGATCAGCAGCAGTTTCGAAAGATCCGCTGGCAATATGCGCACAGGCAGCGTTGTAATACAATTCGAATCCATCAGAGTCTTGGACGGAGATCTTGTCAGCGCTTGAGTACCCCAACCAGCTGGACTGGGCGAAAGCGGCTCGAAGATTGATGCTGATGTCGTTCTCCTCATCGGCGGGGTCGGTATCGAGGAGGCGATTATAGATGTTGCAGGCCTCGTCGAAACGCTCAGCGCGGTAAGCAACCTGAGCAGCAGCATGTTGCAAGCCCCTTTTGTTCTCTATACCAGTAGACTGAAGGACTGCGGTAGCCTCGCTGAGTTTTCCGGTTTTGTAGAGCGCATACGCATTTTCGAGGGCAATTCGGGGCTGGAGTATGAGGGACGCATCTGCGATGGCGCGGAGGGCATCCTCGAAGCGATCGAGTTTCAAGAGGGCTACGATGCGGGTGTGCTGACTGTCGACGTCGTTCTTGTTAGCCTTGAGAGCAGCATTGGCGGCCTTGAGGACTTCGTCGTGGTCTTCGATGGTGGATTGGCGCAATAAGGCGCTGAGAGCGGCGGCGGGATCTTGAGGCATGATGGCGATGCTATAAAGGCGTAGGCATGCCCAGGTGGGGTAAGATCAATGTCGAAGCTTGCAGGTGAAGAGTTGGGACAAGCCCAATTTGTCGTCGATGAATTTTTCCCTTTTACTTCGTTGTTGCCTTCTTCCCCCTTTCCGTCGTTGAGTTGGCCGAGGTGATGACTTGAGGTTGTCGTGTGTTCAGTCGTGATGCTGGCGGGGCATTTTGGAAAGTGGGGCACAGGAATTCATTCGAAGCTGTTCTGTGGCGTGACAGCCTTGACAGTGCGTCGTACAGTGCGATGTTATTTATGCTTACTTATCTAACCTCCAAGATGAAGTTTGTTTAGCAGAATCCAGACAGGCATTCGCAAAATAGAAAGAGATGTTATATGACTTGCTAGAAGATATAGCACAGTAGGAAAAGTCGTCACGTTGTTGTTTGATCACCCTAGACAAAGCATGCTCTATTGTGTGTTGATAAGAAGTTGGCATCCGATAGGATTCGGTTTATGCTGAAGCTCACTTACACAATGATAAATTGATATAATTTAACCTTAGAACCGTCGTACCAATAGTCACTCGTCGACTCTACATAATACTTCATACTTGGTAGATTTATCAATTTTCTTATCAGGCTTGATAACCAACTACCTACCTATGTTGGTCCAAGGAAGTGTGAAACGTGTATTTGTAGGTTAACTGGAGGAAAATGTACTGTTCAACCATTCCCTTATCTTGTCGAGTAGAATTCTGGTCTTCATGGTGTAAGTTGTTACCACGACATCCACTAGCTATCGACGTCTGAAAGGGTTCCACCACTTCTTGCGAACGGGTACCTCTTCGGTGTGGTATGCATACAATGGATAAGCAACCTTGTTCTCGAATTCCTCAATTGGCCTTTGCTTCGATAGGCGGTGTCTGATCTCTCCTAGCTTGGTGGAGTCTGATGAAGTAGTCAGTATGGAGATTCGATGAGTTGCTAATATCTCTGGCGAGTGCCGGTCCTTGCGATCTTGTCGATGATGTCGATCGACAGACGGTCGTCCCCGGTGACTTGCGGGCTTCGAGCTCCTTGTCTTATCCCTCTTCTTAGACCTTCCTTGCGAATGTCTCTCAGATTTTGTCGCAGGTTTATGACTGTGTCGGCGCGATCTCTGTCTTCCCCTACTCACGGTGCTTGTTGTTGATCCTACCCTGCTTGACAAATCACTCATGGTGCGAATGGCATCTGAACTCGAGCCATTCGACAGAGCAGCAAGAGTTTCGTAGTTGATCGCCTGTCCTTTCCGTCCGTAAGATGAACGGACAACCTCAGCCAGGGCGGTGGTGAGCTTCTTCACAATGCGTCTGAGGGCCGATCGCGCAGGAGCTATGGCGTGCTTCAGCTTCACGATTCACGTAACTCTCCTCAAAACAGAGAATCGCAACTCACTGTCGCCCTTTTCGAATCGAGAGCCATCTTGGGAGAGCCGCGAAGTATATGCTCGACGAACTCTTGCTCGGTCAGATCGAAGCGAGGTACTCAGTGTTGAACGAGTTTCACTCGACACCCCTGCTTCACTGTTACGGGCACCCTTGAGGAGAGATAGACATTTGGTATAAGTGTCTAACAGTGATGCAACTGCAGTTCCGAAACTACCCATGGTGTATGGGAATAACTACTACACTGCTAGGTAGCTGGCAGGTGAAAGACAGACCCGATGCAATTCCATTCCGTCAGATTATAGCAGTGCAGCCCACCCGAGAGGCAATTGCACGTGGGAGCAAAAGTTCTTGCCTCTAGCCAGGCCCGCGCTAACTGATGGCTGTTACGTACTTTTCTCCAATACTACGCTGCTTTGGACATTAATTAATACACCTCGGACACCATCAATAGGGTTCCAGGTCTGGTTTTTTTTATCAATTCACCCACGACAAAGACAGGGACCATGATGATACCGGTTTCAGCCGGTCCTTGCAGCTTTGACCTCTGAGAGGCTCATGTCAATAACAGATTAGCCAGCCCAGGCCAGTCTCGATAACTGATAACCTTGCATCAGCAAAGCGCCGATAAGACAGGCGATGTCGGACAACAAGTCCAAAAGACCTTTGACCGCATGTCTAGATGAGAGTGACTGTCAGACTGTCTTGAAAATTCAATAATAAAAGGGATTAAGAGAAAAAACAGGTGATAGACCACTACACCCACAGCGGGTTTGGAGACCAGTTTAGTCGGGCTGTTAGGTCCCGCGACGCTACGGGACAGGGCCCGCCAGGACCGGTGACGGGAGGACTTAAAGGCGGGCTGGAAGGTCAATCAAAGTGGCAGGGCTTGGCGCTGAAAGATGGTGTGGGGGGTGGACCAGCCAGCGAACGTCTGCTAATCAGTGTCCCATCAATCAATCAACAGTGCGTCCCTGGCCACGCATCCCGCATCCTGCATCCCGCATCGCTCGCATCACATCACAAGAACGGAAGCCTTAGGTAGATAGCGACAATAGGGTCACTGATACCGAGGCGACGCTCGCCCTTTTTTGCACCTTTTGCGCCCTTTACGCCCGTTACAGATCTTTGTGGCTGTTGCCCCCAATCCAACTCGCGCGCATAATTACCTATTGATCGAGGCTTCAGGGACCAAATACCTGAAGGACCAATGGAGATAGGGTAGATACCACCAGCCAATCTTTTCCATTGGAGTCTGAGAATGTCGCAGATTCACAGACTCGTAGAAGCAAGATAATGGCGCTATTGTCTCTTCCACTTGTTTAGAGAGGACGTCCCCTGCTTTTCTATCCCATGGCCTACAGATATCTACTCTGTACGGACTTGACTCAGGCTGGTGCATAGTTAGGTCTTCTCACCGCGTTCCGTACGTGGTCTGGTCTCTCTCTGTAGGTACTGTACTTCTTCAGGCCTCTATGCTTTTATCCTCTCGGCGTTACTCTACCCAGGCGCCAGGGTATGGAAGTTGGGGGATTGTACGGATATTTAGGTAGTCAGTACGTACCGGTGTGCTGGGATTCTCCATGTTAACAGTTGGTTTGCTCTCTACTAAGTCTGGACGCAACAGGTAACCCCCCACTCTCTCCCATCCGGCTGTAGTGGTGCCATGACCATCTGCGGGTCTCAAACGTGGGAGAGTTGTGATGCCATCAGCCGGTCTGCGGGCGCAATCGGTCTAAGATTCGTGGGTTGCCCGTCTGTGTTTGATGGCGAGTGCGGACCTGGATGATAACGTCGCAGAAGCCTTTGTTTTCAGCCTGTTAGCACGTTACTCAAACGGGTATTTTGCTGCCGCCCTTTTTATCATCATCACCAGCTACGCCCCCAGTATCCTTCTAACACGGTTGGCCACAACATCCCTGATGCTCCAAATCTCGACATCGCCCTGCCTTATTGCTTTATCATTAGAGCCCATCCGCCTGTCATCCTCTACCCGCCCGCTCTCCCTCTTCTCTGGCCCCGTCCTGTATCTCTCATATCTGGCTCTCACTGCCACCGATCTTTCCATGGACGACCTATCTCGACTTCGATTCCACTCTGCAATACCTTGGTTCGACGAGACTTAATGTCACCCTCACCCTCCCCATCACCCTCCCACCCATCGGCCTCGACGCCGCATCTTGAGGAGTCTCAACTTCCAAAAGGACAATGTCGCTATATTCTCATGATACCTGAGCTCAAAGGCCAGCGCTGTGGATGTATGGGCTTCGACCACAACAAATCACGACCTGGTGCGACATGCAACTGTGGTCACCTGTCCTGCTTCCACATCACTGCAGCCGATACACCAACACCCAGTACAAACAAGTCTGAGATCGAACTAGTCAAACACCAAATGCAAGTTTTGGAGGAAAATTTTAACCGGAACGACCATGATCGATTTTCGCATGTAATTGCCCGCATCAGTGAATTGGAAGAGGTTGTCGAGAAGAACAAAGAGGAAGCCGAAGTTGAACTCAAAGCTTCATATCGCAATGCGTCTGCCGCCTGGGCACTCGTCTCAGAATTGCAACAGCAGATGAAGAACATGGAGCAAACTCTGCAATCCTACAACGATCAGATGGTTAGGACGGGAAGAGAAGTCGAAGATTTACGCAATCGCCAACTTGAGTTGTTGGACAGTGACGAGGTATTGGAGGAGAGAATCGAAAAGCTCGAGGATGCCGAGCCGCTATTGTCGCCCCCTCAAGAACCTGGCCAAGACGATTTACTGCTGGATGTAGTCCATCTCTCGCCTGCAACTACCACAGTTTCTAAACCACCATCGAAACTACTAGACGGGCTGTCGAAAGCCCAATCCTCACCCACGGAATGCCCAAAATCATGGACAGTGCATGTATCTCTCATGCCCTCCAAGGACACCCCCTTCCCCTTTGAAAAAGACACAACCTCTTACAAGAGATGCCTATCCCGCGGACTTCACCGTATGTTGGTAGTGGAGGGAGATGATGCCAAGTCATTCACAGATGCCGTATCACGAGCATTTGAGTCCTTGCTGAAAGGGCGGCCATGGGTACCATTACAAGCAAAGCTATGTGACGCAGAGCGACTGCAGGGCTTGCCGATGCTGCGTCCCCTGGAGCTCAGGCTCGCGCATGGCCCTTACGACCGGGCCTTCCTCAGCCAACACTGTGCTGTATTAGATGCCAGTGGCAAAATGGACTCGCTATACATCGCAATGGCGCACGACTCTTTATCGTGGAATTTTCTTAAGCGATCGCCCGTCTACCTAGATGGGCTGGAGGCCTCTTGGGAACGCGACAGCATGCTTGACAAGAGAGACGAACAAGGCCTGCCAACCAGAGAAAACCATGGCGATGAGGGTGATGAGTCACCTCCTGCCGGCAATATCATTGGGGCTTTGACAGGCTTTAAGCGCAGTTTGTCTGAGATTTCCTGCTCGTCGCTTGATGACACTGAAACTCCCGTACCCAAGATGGCACGATCATGCAAGACGTCTCAACTGGAGATGCGACGCGGAGTAGAAACTGCGCGATAAGAATATGATAACAACGATGGGTAAGGTGAAGTACGAATATTGGAGTTAAAGAACTTCCGGCTTATGTCTTATACTTTGCTTGGCACGGACGAGCAAAACTTGATAAAAGGGACTTGTTTTGGGCATATGCCGGGCGTTGAAGCATCGAGCTGGGAAAATTATGATACCTCAGGCAAAGCGTGGCCTGTTATTTGTAGAGAAGGGGATTACTCTTCTGAGATGATTTGTATAGACTTGCAATTAGAAGATATAGGAAAAGGGACTGGGTCACACATTCCATCCCGTCCAACTTGTACATAGACACAGGAAAGACAGTTGATAGTATCAAGGAATCGTTTCAAACTACTCTCATTCAACTACTACGGTTATTCTACTTGGGAAATATCGTCTCGGAACTGACTGGGGCTGCCTTTTTGCCCTAGATATCTTGTTTGGCCTATTGTTGCCTTATCTCTTGGACTCAGCCTACTCCTGGTTCAGGCAATAATGGCTCTCATAGGGTGATTGTTTCTATATAATGGCAAGCAAATTGTTCGCATCAGAAGTGATACTCAATATATAAGGATAACAAAACAAGTGATATAACAGCTTTAAACAAAGAAATAAAAACTTCAATTATGTTGCGAATTGAAATATGTGTTTTATTAGTCATATGATTGATTATCTTGAGGTCACTTGATCGGGTCATCTTTGTTTTTCTAATATCCAACTTAGCTTCACTTTTCAAAGCAGTCCAAGTGCATACTTTCACTCGCCTGTCTTACACATGGAGAAATCTGCGGCCATCGAGCATGAGGCCTCATCGCCTGGGCCGGTGCACCACAACGAGGAATCACAACAACACCCAGCACTTCCGCCTTATTCAGGACCCTCCGTCATATCAGAAGCTGGGCCATCGTCGGCGCCAGATGCTGAAAGGCTTCACAAAGGCCCAGCACGTTATCCTGGACTCCCGCGGCTGGATTATCGTCTATATTCACCGCCGCTCTTCAGTCTCTCCAGCGATTCCAAAACACTTTCCTCGCGTGCCGAGTACTTGTCTTGCAAACCAACTGCACTTGTCGCACTCATTCGTTCACAGGCTTCAGTGCCTCCCAAGCCTCAGATTCATCTACGTGGGAGCCGCGGGCGCAAAGTGGACTTTGACATCAAACTAAACCTGATGAGCCTTTTGGTCCCAGACGATGAGAATCAGCGTTTAGATTACATCCGGTGCGTAGGAGATGGAGAGTTGGCATATCGCGGAGGCCTGAAACCTGATGTGGTTCCTCAAGTTGGGGATGGCGGTTTGGATGAATGGTGTCGCTGCTTCATTGATGACCCAGCCTCTATCAAACTTTTTACCCTGGACCGCGTGGTCACAAACCTCGACACAGCATGGCTCGAGGGCCAGCTCCGCAGCCTGGTCGCAGCGCTCAACTATCGCGGCGTCGTTGATGTCAGCTTTGTAGTTACCCACAGCCGCGTCGTGATACAGAACCCAGACAAGGTCAACCAGTTCTTCACCAGCGTGACGAGTCTTTTCTCGGGCAAGCATAAATACGAAGTCGTCAAGGCCGTGTGGCCCTTCGCCACCGCAAAGAGCGGGGAGCCTGACAGACGATGCATGGTGCAGAGCGAGGAAACTTGGTGGAGAGAATGGAAATATCCAATCAAATATGCCATTTCACAGAAACGGCACGGTTGGGTCACGGTTGAAGACAAATTGGAGGCCGTCATGGAAGGCAAGGGACATGAGTTGGAGATGATTGACTGGGGGCCAGATAACATGGCTTGAGCGTCTCGTTATTGCCGAGAGTATCGTATAACTATGGAACTGCCGTGATGGAAATCTCTCAAGGTGGGCTGTGTAACCTGTTTGAGTAATTGTGGATTTTGAACAAGTCAAGTAAGGGTTAAGTTATATTCCATTTGTTGTAGCATGTATGGGGATGGGCATCATACGCTCATGATTCACTCCGTCGAGACTATTATGGGCTATTATGGAGGCAGGCTGTCAGCCTGTGCAGTGTGCATCTTGTTATTTCATTCTCACTCTAACTTATGGCAGCGTCTTTTAAGTGAGTCATACCGACAACCTACATCCACCTTCGTTTCATAAAACAGCATTAATAGCAAACCATTAGTAGAACCTAGATAATATCGTCACTTTCTATGAGTCAGTAGAATACGAAAAATAGTTGTGATAATTCAGCCTTGCCGAGCACAGAGAAACATAAAGAACACAGGTTAAGCCGCCTTACTCATTGTGTCAACTCACCATTTATTGATTGACCTTGTCCATTTCCACGTCCCACTTGCCTGCACTGGGCACCATATTTTGAAACACCCTCTTATTCATTTGTATACTTTGGAAAGTGATATACCAACGATGGAGAACACTAAATCGTCGTCTCCCTTGATCTTTGAATCTCACGAAACTGCACTATGTGTTATTCCTCCCCGCGAGCTATGGCCATCAGTGGATGTGCTGAGAAGCCTCTACGACAAGGCTTACACTACCTGGCCCCCTCATATGAATCTCGCCTACCCGTTCGTACGACCTGAGGTCCTCGAGGATGCAGCTCAAATTCTCGAAGGGCTCAAGACAGAGAACTTGCCCCAGCTTGTTCTCGATGTTGCCGATAGTTTCAAACACAAGCACCATAACACTATCTTTCTGGGCTCAAATCCTCACTCTGGCACGGCAGAGCTATCAAAGCTCAGAGATAGTGTCTCCAGCGCCTTTGGTCAGCTTCAAAATTCTGGAAGTGAAAGATTTATTCCACATATGACTATTGGTCAAAGTGAAGACTCTGAAGCTGCGGCCCATCATTTTCTTGTTGAAAAGGCACGTCTTGTTGCACCATTGAAATGGGAAGTGAAGGAACTCGCGGTCCTTGTCCGCGACGATGCTTCTGCTTCTGCTTCTGCACAAGGAGTAAACGGGCCACGGCCCATGAGGCTCTGGGGGACCTTGGAGCTCAATTCAGGAACATTCAAAAGAATGACGCCACCTCAAAGCTTTGATGATCGTCTTGCTGATATATCTGCCACCGCATTTCGCCCGTCCTATCATATGCCCCAACCTCTTGGACCATGGGAAACGGCTTTATCAACAACCAATACGCCTGAACCCAGTGAGGTTGTACTGGACCGATTAGTTGTTGCTTCCTATAATGTCTTGGCTGAGTTTGAGTGGCCTCCCCGGTCAAACAGACACCCGGCTTTGGTACAGAACCTTCTTTCAGCTCGTGCTTCAGCCGACATTATTGTTCTTCAAGAAGTGACAGACCACTTTCTTCCTGACCTGCTTGCAAGTGAAGAGATACGCTCTCGTTACCCCTTCGTCAGCGCTGGTCCTCCCGAACAAGCCGGCATTGGACCCCTTCCAAGTCTTCTCAATACTGTTGTATTGAGTAAGTTTCCCTTTGAGTGGCATCACTTGCCCTTCCAGAGGAAACATAAAGGATGCACCATAGTTCGATTCTCAAACATTGGCACCCAAGATGCCGATGATGGGCAGTTTAGACAATGGATCCTTATGGCATGCCATCTAAGTCAAGGACTTACCGACGGCGCCATTGTGACTAAGAAGAAGGAGGTTCAGAAAATGCTCGATTATTTATCTACGACCTTCCCGCAACACCCATGTATTGTGGCAGGTGATTTTAATCTGGTAACATCGTCCTACACTGTTGAAGCGGCCAGAAAAAGACAGGACATTTCACAACAAACGGTCCATCGTTTGGGAGACATTGACCGGGCCTTGTCGGATGCCGGTTTCCTCGACACATGGCTTGCAACACGTCTCGAGTCAGGCGAATCTTCAGACATCGCCAACGACAAGAGGAATGTCCTGGACTCCTTCCAAGGAGAACAGGGTGCTACTTTCGATCCTTTGACCAACTCTTTGACCACCGAACTTGTGGGGAGTGGACTGAACAATCGCCCTCAGAGATACGACAAGATACTGGTCAAGGCACGCAGTCAATATCACCCTCAGGGTTTCAACATGTTTGGCCAGACGCCACTCGAAATACCGGACAGAGCAGGACTCTCATATGCAAGTGATCACTGGGGTATACGATGTCTTCTATTGAAGTCAACTACTGCTGAGACGTCTAAATCTTGTGTACCAGCAGTCCCAATCAAGCTACAACGGCCTGTACCAGCTTTGGCCAACGGCGAGGATCTGGAGCAGTTCCTGCAAAGCCACGAGAGCTTACCAACTGAGCAGGAAAGGGACGCGCGATCAGAGGCCATCAAGACTCTCGAGAACATTCTTAGAGATGCTGCCTCAGTTCCCGAGGGCGAATCTAGGGTTGGTCCTGACTTCATTGTTGTACCAGTCGGCTCTTATGGTCTCGGTGTATGGACGAGCTCGTCTGATCTCGACATTCTTTGTATTGGATCATTTGGCTCTAAAACATTCTTTACTATGGCCATCCAGAGAATTAAGCGAGCGTCAGCAGCCTCAGGTGTTAGTATCTTACGACGAGTCAAGGCCAACTCCGGATATATGCTGGAACTGGAAGTGCATGGCATCAAAGTAGATCTCCAATATTGCGCGGCGGCATCAATTGTCGAAAGGTAACTCCATAAATTCACATTGATAATGAGAAATCCGCTGACCGTTTGACCTAGGTGGCCTGAAGTCATGAAGCATCCCGCCAACGATCCAGCATTTGCCCTATCATTCCAGGCACTCGCAAAGCTCAAGCCGGTTCGCGATTTGTTCTATCTTCGCCGGTCGCTTCCCGACATGGTTCAATACCGGATGGCGCATTTGTTCATTAAATCTTGGGCACAGGCACGAGGTATCTATTCGGCGAAGTTTGGATTTCTTGGTGGTGTCCATATCAGTGTTCTCCTTGTCCCAGTCTGCAAAGCACTGGCTTACGAGAATGAAGCTGTGTCTCCAACCGACATTGTCGTTACCTTCTTCAACCACTATTCAAATTTTGACTGGAAAGATTCGATGGTGTTCGATCCATTCTTCCACAAGGAGTTGAGATATAGCAGGACATTCCGGGAGCCTCTCTGCTTGATCGGCTGGCATGCTCCAGCTCTCAACACAGCTCCCGTCGCATCTGTACCAACAGTGATGACGATCGCAGCCGAGTTTAAGCGCGCCAACAAACTCCTTTCCCAGGAGGTTTGTACATGGAGTAGCCTTCTCGGTGCCGGATCTGAGAACACTTTGGAATCAGGGGCATACCCAGGAGCCACAGAATTTCTGCATACTTTCAAGACCTACATCAAGATTGATACGCAGTACTGGGGTCCATCACAGGAGAAGAGTGGTCGGTTTATAGGCTGGCTTGAATCACGATGCGTCATGTTGCTTGTTGGTAAGGGCGCCCATAACTTACTCACAGAGGTATCAAGTGTACTAATACAAACTAGACATTAACAGAAAGCTGAAGGACCTGTTTGCACGGATCTGGCCCGCCCGATTCGTGGAAAAGTCATCCGAGATAGAGAATACTGGCGCAGAGCGGAACGGGTGTTACCTCATTGGCCTTACCTGGGACGGCGACTCAAGTAAAAGCGATATTAACGAGATGAGCTTGGCCATGCAGACAGTTTTGCAGGAGTTTGAGGGGAGAATTCGCCGTGATGAGAAGTACTACGATGCTCAGTTCTGCTGGATGAGTGCATCTATTGTTCGAGCCGATAGCATTGGCGGACTTGAAGTTGATCAAAGCCTTTGGGGAGAATTTGCCGGCGATACAGACGACGACGACTCGGATGACGAACTCGAAGAGGAGGAGGAGTTGGAGGAAGTCGAAGAAGTGAAGGGGAAGAAGGGGAAAGCGTCCCACGGCTCTCGAGCTGCAGTGGTGGGCAAAGAACCAGGCTTGGGCAAATTTCGCACGGCCGCTGATGTGCTTAATCGCATACGATGGGATGCCAACTTCGACCCAAGCGACTACGTTGTTGGTTACGAAGACCGCTTCCTTGGAGCTCGTGAGAGGGCGGTAGAACAATGGAAGAGTGAGCAGACCGACGAGGAGTTTATTCCACAGCACCGCATTCTTTACTTCAAACGCAGGAACGACAACGTTATCGTATGGGAGCGACGGACACGGATTGACGATGTTTTCGGCAGCGGTATCAAGACCGATAAGTGAGCTGAGGTCTGTTGGTTGAGACAGGCATGCTTGTCAGATGCATATTGGGTGCAAGGATTCTCGAATCAAAGCAGCCATCAAACCGGGAGCATGGGTGTGATCCGACAGATAGTTAGCCTAGTGTGTGTGTGTGGAATAAACTCGGTGTGTCATCAGACAGATTGATAACTGTGACATATATAGTAAGCTATGGACTTGTTCTATTGACCGGTGAGGATTGATTTGCTGGTATTGTTTCTTTCAGATAGCCATGTAGCGGGACTCGGGCAGAAATCGAGGTGGTCGCCTCATGAGAGAAATAAGATACCAACTGGCCACCGTGACGAAGCGTAGAGGGCGATGCTATTAACCAATGATGTACAAATCGACTCAGGGCCAGAGAACTGAGCGACACTTCAACGCCAATCAGGAGGACATATCGTATTGTGCAGCATGGGCATAATGCTGTGCATTCTTCAAATAAATGCCAGATGGCAGCTGCCGCTTGCTAGGATCTGGGTTCGATTTCTGACTTGCAGGCAGGGCGCCATATCCCAGGAGCCCGGGCCCAGGCTTTTAATGGCCGCGACTAGGTTGTCTAGCAAGTGCAACACATGCATGGTGACGATGGCCTCGGCAGCTGGCTCTTGAGTGCTATTCTTATTCTCACTGGAACGTAATGTGAAATGAGACTGAATATGCGCATGATGACGACGCGCTATGTGGGGTGTGGTACTGTTTCACGTTTCAATCCATCCGGAGAAAGAAGGTCGCTAAACCCTGGCTCGAATGTCCGAATCCTACCGAAAACTGAGGGCACTCAAACTGCCATTCCACTAGCCTCACTCTCAGATTTATGAGGCCGTCGTGGCATTGCTGGCCAGAGCCTAGATGCCTAGATATGGGCCGAGTATAAAGCTTCCGGTAGTGTTGACTACGTCCCTTCCGTGCCTTGAAAAGATATCAGCATCTTTGTCGCAACTTGACACCATTATTCTCCTGTCATACGAACCAAATAATTGACATAGAACAACAAATATCTCCTCACCACCTTCGCCATGGCTATGACCGAAGCTTCGCTACCCACCAACAGCTGCTGCACTGCCTGCTGTAAAGCCAACGATCTTGGGACTCACGACTACTGTGGCACTTGCCCCAAATGTCCCTCCTGATCGCAGTGCAACCTCTCGAGCGCCCCTGTGTAAACTCGGCGGGTCAACAGCACTCTTGATCAGCGCTTTCGGCGTTTTATCCGCTGGCCACTTGTTCTCATTCTGTTCCGGACTCGTGGTGTGTAGATTCCATGCCAACTCGGAACGACGGAGCGGAGTTGGAGGGTTTGAGGAATAATTGGTTTCCAGGGCGGACTAGATGCGGAAAATCAGGCGAGAAACGGGGATAGCTGATAAACAAAATGTTACTCGCTCCTGTATCGAGCCCCCCATTGTGAGATCAAGGAAGTTCCTGGGCAGTTGCCCTAGAATGGCGGCGAGATATCTCATAGTCATTGGGGACTAGGTTGTGAACATTCTCAAGATGCTAGACTTGCAAAGACTGCAGAGATAGACGTTTTGTCGTATTTGACATATTTACCCTTGCCCTTGTCAATCTCATGATACCGATCCCAGAACCGTTCATAGAGTGGCTGTAGTTTTTGGCGAATGTCTTCTCCAAACATTCGCCGGACTTCGCGTTCCATACTATAAGATTTGTGTCGAGAAACCATGTCATCGAAGGCGCCATTGAATTGCGTGAACTTCTCTTTGATCTTGTCCTTGTCTTTGCTGCCTAGCCCTTTAACGATGGAAGTTGAGTCGACAGGTCCAGAAGTAGGGCGATGTGAGCGATTGGTATGCACAGTGTCGAACAGATGCACGGAAAGGTCCTTGCACACATCTGTGTAGGCCGCTGTTGCCTTTTTTCGCCATGTGTCGAGAGTATCAAGTTTCATTTCCAAGACCTCATTGAGCTCTGAAGTCTGAACCATTCTTCCAATAATGATAACGCTGTTGGCCATAAATACTCCAGCGACAGCTCTGCTCTTCATGAGCACCCGTGACTTCTGTTCAAGGCCAGACAGAAGCATTTCGACCGTATCGAGACAGTAATGTGAGAATATCTCTTTACCATCTGCCCCGATATCAAACGATGCCAAGCTAGGAATCACATCAGGTGAGCGCCCATTTGTTGCCGCGTTAGATTTCCAGCCACCGTCCCCTATTGATACCATGATGCTTGAAATCGGGCGCAGGAAGTGTACCATCGTCTGGAGACGCTGCATAGTCTCTGATACCAAAGGGATCGGAGCACCATCCGCTGGTAAAATCTGCAGCATACCAATCTTGCGCCTCGTCTCTTCCAACAGCTCTGCGAGTGATGACTTGGCAGTTTCTCGCACGGGTTTCAAGGCTGCAGCCAATGATCCCTTCAATTCGCCTGTTCGTGTTTCGAGCTTTCCGGAGAGAGCCGAAATAATTTCCGTAATTTCATAGGCCAGATAGCAGTCTGTATTTAGGTGATTTTTGATATGGGCGTTGAGCTCACGTAGAGTTCTTGCGAGTTCAGCCAATGCCGTCTGACAAGTCGATTGGAAAACGATCCCCCAGTCCTCGCGTGAGAAAAGGCTGCACACGTTGTCGTATTCCGAAGCAAACAGACCTTCCATAGCTTGTGAATAGGTGCCAATACCGTTGGTGCCCGCCCGGTAAACGGCATCTGGACTCTTCTTCTTGGCTGTGTTGACACTTGCTGCGGCAAGGTTGGCCAATGAGGTGGAAAGATACGGGCCACGGATTTCCGAGTATATATGGGCAAGCTCAGAGGATCCGCCGTGATGACTATCGGCCACATACGAATAAACAAGACCGAGTCGAGCTATTTTGTCCTGGGAAACCGTGGGAAACGGCTTGTCCTTGGTGATGAAGTGCAGTGGTTCGACAGCTCGAGGCGTTTCTGCGCGAAGCAGAGTGTCAAAATGATGCTCGAGCTGACTGTTGCCCGACTTGATAAGGCGCGACAAATCGGCCATTGTTTGTTGATTCGCGCGCAAGTTTGATGCTTGCATCTCAGTCAAGGCTTTGCCTAGCCGTTTTATAGAAGCAAGGTAGTTGGAGAGGCCGGCCTTTTCTGGGCCAACACGAATTATTTGTTCTTCATCGTTTTTGCTGTCTGCAGGCTGGCGCAAGCGATCGATTGCAGCGAGCACAGAATCAACATCTGGCACACGATTAGCCATGGACATCGGTCATGCATCGATCTCCCACTCACTATTTCCCAATATCTGCAATCGCCGAGTCTCTCCATTAAGAGGCCCTGCAACATCCTGTACACTTTTTCCGGTCGTCTCAAGTCGGTTAAGGCATGATTGAATCTTCTTGGTCAACTGCGTTGTCTTCTCGAGTCGCGAGTTCAGAACATCGACCTCGGCCCTTGCCTCCTCGTCCAGAGCGTTGTGCGCATTGCTGGTGAGCCCGACCGACATTTCTCAGTGATGATTTGGGCGAATATCATTCGCCAATAGGTTGGTTTGTGAGCAACAGTACAATGCAGTACGGTGACATATAAGGTTGAGGGTTTGGAATGGTCGGTTGGGGGAGTAGAAGGATACCAGCCAACGTATTAAAGGTCATTACGGTAATAGGATTAGCTTCTTTGGGGAAGGAAGCTGGCCCCTCGGAGCCACACTTCAGCCACATACGGGGGGTCCCCATGTTTCCATCAGTACCTACCTACCTAGGTAGCAACCACTTTACGCGAAAGGGGACGCGTTCTTTCAGAGAGCGCGGTAGCAATTTCGAGCAGCCACAGCAACGCCCCGCCTGGTTTACTTCCACCCCTCGATTTCCATATTCGCATCGGCTTCGACCCTGTTACTCGTTAGCAACAGTTTTACGAAGGAAACGTCATCATGGATTCTTTTATGCTTCAGGATGAGGGTGTGCGTGATCGTATTCGCCAGGCGGAAGAGTTTCTCGATCCTAGTATGTCCACCGCTCAACTGTTCGACGAACTGTTATTCTCGTTGTTTATTGTTGAACTCAATTCATGTCTAACCGTTGGCCTCAGATGATCCCCAAGTCCGAAGTTATAGATCGGATATCATTCTTATGCTCCAGAAGAACCAGCGCCGATTGACCGTTAATCTCGATCATGTTCGTAATCACAGCCCAGACCTTGCACAGGGCCTGCTACAACAGCCCTTCGATTTTACCCTGGCTTTTGATCAAGCCTTGAAAAACATCGTCCAAACTATTCCCCAAGCACGACCCGACCAAACTGCAAGGGATACCGTCTACTACTGCGCATGGGCTGGCAGTTTTGGTCTAAACGCCTGCAACCCACGTACACTGTCCTCTCACCTCCTGAACTATATGGTCTCTATCGAGGGTATCGTAACGAGGACCTCTCTGATAAGACCCAAAGTCGTGAAAAGCGTGCACTACAACGAGACGAAGGACATGTTCCATTTCCGCGAGTATCAAGATCAGACCATGACCACCGGCGTCACTACTTCGAGCGTTTACCCCCGGGAGGACGATGATGGCAACCCTCTCATTACAGAATACGGCTTTTGCACCTACCGCGATCATCAGACAATTTCTATTCAGGAAATGCCGGAGCGTGCACCTGCTGGACAGCTCCCCCGTGGAGTGGACGCCATTCTCGACGACGACCTTGTCGATAGTGTGAAGCCTGGAGATCGCGTTCAGTTGGTGGGCATCTACAGAACCCTGGGAAACAGAAACACCAATCATAACAGTGCTTTGTTCAAAACAATGATTTTGACTAACAACGTCGTCTTGTTATCCTCCAAGTCTGGGGGTGGTGTTGCAACTGCCACCATTACGGATACCGACATTCGTAACATCAACAAGGTGGCCAAGAAGAAGAACCTACTCGAGTTACTATCTCAGTCTCTTGCACCCAGCATCTACGGTCATGACTACGTCAAGAAAGCCATCCTTCTCATGCTTTTGGGCGGTATGGAGAAGAACTTGGAGAACGGAACACATCTGCGTGGAGACATCAATATCTTGATGGTTGGTGATCCATCCACCGCCAAATCTCAGCTCTTGCGCTTTGTACTCAACACAGCTCCACTCGCAATTGCAACAACTGGTCGCGGATCTTCAGGTGTTGGTTTAACCGCGGCTGTCACCTCGGACAAGGAGACAGGTGAGCGCCGGCTTGAAGCTGGTGCCATGGTCATGGCCGATCGTGGTGTCGTCTGTATCGATGAATTCGACAAGATGTCAGATGTGGACAGAGTTGCCATTCACGAAGTCATGGAACAGCAAACTGTCACTATCGCCAAGGCGGGTATCCATACATCCTTGAACGCTCGCTGTAGTGTTGTTGCTGCTGCCAACCCTATCTTTGGTCAATACGACCCGCACAAGGATCCCCATAAGAACATTGCGCTACCCGACTCTCTCCTTTCTCGTTTTGATTTACTCTTTGTCGTCACAGATGACATCGAAGACACACGCGATCGCCACGTCTCGGAGCATGTCCTCCGTATGCATAGATATCGCCAGCCAGGGACCGAGGAAGGGGCTCCCGTACGAGAACAAGGAACTCAGTCTCTCGGTGTCTCAGTTTCGAATCAGAACGAAGTTCAGGGGCCAACTGATGTATACCAAAAGTACGACGCAATGCTTCATTCGGGCGTGACTATAACATCAGGTCGAGGAGCCAACAAGAAGCCTGAAATTCTCAGCATTCCGTTCATGAAGAAGTACATCCAGTACGCCAAGACGAGAATCAAGCCTCTTCTAACGCAAGAGGCTTCCGATCGCATCGCTGATATCTATGTCGGTTTGCGAAACGACGAGATGGAAGGCAACCAGCGAAGAACAAGTCCCCTGACAGTACGTACTCTGGAAACCATTATTCGTCTTGCTACGGCGCACGCCAAATCTCGTCTGTCAAGCAGAGTCGAGGAGCGAGATGCACTTGCCGCAGAAGGCATTCTGAGGTTTGCCCTTTTCAAGGAAGTTGTGGAGGAATCGCGGAAGAAGCGGAGAAAGACTCAAACAGTTGACTTCGCCTCATCCAGCGACGAGAGCTCCAGTGATGACGAGGACGGAGACGAAGCCAATGGTACACAGACCAACAGGTCAGCTTCAAGGGCTACTCGTAACAGCAGCCGCCTCCAAGGAAGGGATACTACCGACACAGCTCGCTCTAGCAGGGAGCCTGATCTGCCGGAAGAAGACTCTCAGGCCACACCGCGACGCTCGAGTCGCAGAACACAAGACTCGTCACAGTCGCAACCCTCGTTCGCGTCATCAATGCCTGCTTCCGAACTTCTATCTCAAACTCAATTGGAGTCCCAGGAAGGTGACGATGATCTCGCCGATGGAGCCGCTGCGCTAGCGATTGACGACACCCCTATCAGCCCTGAGCGCCTGGCAACCTTCCGTACAGCTCTTGGTCAGCTCCTCAACACAGGTTTGTTCGTGGATGACAATGCCGAATTGGATGCAGTTATCGAGGCAGTCAATGGCAAGGTCAGGAGCCGTCGTGATGCATTCGACAAAGCAGAGGCTACGAAGGCCCTACAGAAGATGGGAGAGGCTAACCAGATTATGTAAGTTTCTCATGTATCAACCGTGTGCGCAATCACTAACATTGACTCTAGGTTCACTGAGGGAGATTCCACTGTGTACAAGATTTAAGGGTGATGGACATGTTAGAAGAACAAGACCTCAGCTGGCCTTGAGGAGAAGTTTAAGTTGTTGCATATATCGACAAGCTTAGTACTGGTCAATGCCAAATAAGACTTGATAACGACGATGGTAATGCGGTTTCAGGCACGTTATGTAGTTAATGATTGACAGAAGTTGAATGTAGCATATCCTTTCTCTATTTTTGTTCTTCTCATATTTCTTTTGTGTCTGAATAGTCGGTATCGCGTCATAGACGTTCGCGAAATTCTTGTAGGCGAGCCTCGACATTATGCCCGTTCCAAGCCTCGCGGCCTTCTGCATCTCTACCAATTGTTGGAACTCCAACCTGTTCGATTGCGAAGCTCGCAGCAACGGCACCCCAAGCCACAGCGTCCTCAATGCCTTCTCCCCGTGCCAAAGCAACGCCAAGGCCACCCAAGAAGGTGTTACCACCACCCGTAGGGTCAATGACATTGGATGAGTCTGTGTGGTAGGCAGGAACCCATTTTTCGATACCGGGATCAACCTCGATCTCTTCGCGGGCGACAAAGCCGTCAGCATCCTGGAGTAGACCAGCAAATAGAGCTTCCATGTCGGTATCCGGCTGCAGGCCTCCTCTCACGTAGTCCTTCTTTCGTCGCTTCGTAGTCTTGGGGTCACGAGCCCGTTTTCGCCCTCCGTTTTTCGCAATGTAGCATCCCTTTTCGCCAGCACGGATCACGAGTGTGAAGGATTGTAAAGGCATGCTTGCCAGTAGCTGCTCGCAGGCTCGCTCAATAGCCACGGTGGAAATCTCACCCGTTTCTGGATCAAGACCACTGTCGCCCATGAAACCCGCAAGTTCGGCATGGTTAGGACTGCATATGTCGACAAGGGGCAAACAGTTGGTGCAATTGAGCAGCTCATCAGGGGTACACAAGTCGGGAACGGGTTCCCAAATAAAGATGGGTTTTGTGTACGTCTCTGGAGGCACAACTTTCTTGCGAAGCGAGGTGATCTCGGAGACGAGGTCTCTACATCGATTTGGGGAGCATATTAGATGGAATGAGCGTGACTGAAGTAGTGCCGGAGTGAGATCCTCAGCAGTCAGGCGCTTCTTGGGAGTCAGATATTTGAATGCACGCTTCTCATCAGTGCCTTCATATCCGTTCCAACCTCGGGTAGTCAGTCGAAGTTCGTCATGGCGGAACAGTGCCGAGGTGGACCAGCTATCGATGAGCGTCGAGAGAGAGGGCGGAAAGTCAGAGCCCTGATCGACAATCCAGCCAACAGAAGCGGATTTAGGTGGGGGAGAGAACAGGCGAGCTCCAAGGGCTGAGTATGTGCCAGCACCACCAAGAATATCCTTGACAGGCGGTGTTGGGGGAATAAAGTCGATGTCATCTTTGAGTCAAGTCAGTTTGGTTTTGAATGAAAAGAACAGCCTGGGACCTGGCTGTCGTCGAGGGTCTGCTAACCGATTATAAACATGCCCATCGTGACAAAGTCGATCGGGACATCTGGCTCGTTTGCTGCAACATGGCCAGTGGTTTCATCTGTCGGTTCAGCTTGTTCTGGTGATTTATCTGCATCTTGGTCGTCTTGCTTTGTTTCTGCATCTGAACATTTTTCTTCTGTTTGGTCTGGATCTATGATCTTCTCTTCCTCTACAACAGCCGTTTCCTTACTATCCGTGGGCTGCTCAAGCTGTGGTGGTTCGGTGAGTTCCGCCATGGTAGGAGATTGTATATAACGTGGCTGGTCTTGTTTCTCTATAAAACAGTGCAAGGTCGTCCTGTCTTGTCTGTGAAAGACTGTGACTCTCAGCTCACAGGTTGACTAAGAATGTTCAACAGGTAGTGGAGTTTGCGTTCAGTGAGGCGAATCGGGATGCAGAGGCAGGGGTCTAAAATGTTTATATTTGGTGATGAGCCAGGATAGGATTTTTCCCTTTTTTTGTCGGATGGATCTGGAAGACGGCCTCGACTAGACCAGGAACTGGAACCATGGAATTTTTGGTAAGATGCAGATCGCAAAAGAGAGCGTGTCACTGCTGACAGAACAAAGCAGTGCATGCGTGGACGGATAGGCGGTGTCTGCGTCTGCGTAGTGTTGTGTCGCGTTATCTTCCGTTGCGTATCGGGTCCAGTTGGCTGCTCTGCTCTGCTCTGCTCTACTCGTAGCGTGTTGGACCGTTCACCCACTAACTAAACTTAACGACCTAACAATAGTAGTCAGGCACCTGCAGTTGGATTGTCACGGAAGGATTCAAGCAGGTTAACTTACCCACCTGAATCTACTGCTGCCCACTGAAGAACAGTAGTATTAAGCTCGGTGTTCATGTCACAACATAGGTTCGACTCCAGTATCCCAACGTTATATGATTTCCAGCCGCTGAGAAACCCCCGCCCTTCACATAGGTAAGTATCTAACATTTACTCAAAATGGCCAAGCTAGTCAGGGTAAGCAAGCAAGCAGTATCCAACAGAAAGCTTCTCGAAGACACAAATGCTTCCATTCGATCTGATACCGAGGCCCATTCGACCACGTGGCTTGCGCTGAACGGAACCCTGGAAGCTTGACAAGCCGACGCTTAATCACCCAATTCCGGCACAAATGCAACTGGAATGCCCCTAAAAGTCAACGCAAGCCAGCTACCCCGTCTAGGAGCTTCATTGAAATAGAAAGAATAATGATTATGTGATCTTCCATTACGTTGAAGCTTTCTACAGATACTGCAAACACTCTATGACGTGGATTAAAGTCCCTGCCTATGTCGGTCACTACTAAAATTAGCATCTCGAAAGGTTTTGTTCAATCAATATCACAGAACACGTGGTTTTACTTCATTACATGTAAGGATTAAGGAATGATGTTGTCAAACCTTGATATACATACAACTTACATAGCAGCACTTCGTTAGAGCTCGGTGGTTACTGTAGACATGTCGATGACAGCACTTAACCTAACTAGGCATAGTCCCACAGTCTGGGGTAAAGGAGGTCTCATTACCTACTGCTTCCCCTGCCTGGTGCTACTTGGACCAAGGCAAGCTCCAATCACCTCACCTCACCTCATACCATCTTCATTGTCTGGTGTTTGATCTCTTGTGCTACTCACTATTCACCAATCTACCCACTGAGCTTACTCTTATCCCCCGTTCGCTCTACATTATCGACGACTTCGTCAGGTTGGCGATATAGAAAGCCACTTGTCATTGCGTCTGCGCATTCCACCAAGGCGACAATTCTGCTGCCTGTGCCCTTTGCTCTGCCTTGCTACATAGTAGGCAACTTCAACATATATAGGAATCAGGAGTAGCCTCAGCTTTGAGCACTTTGTTCTTCCGCGCGCAGCTCATACAACTAGGCAATCGATTGACTACTGAGCGTTCACCATGGCTGCCAACACTCAGATGCACAACTTGACCACTCTAATCAAGAGGTAAGTTCATAACACTTACATGCTGGCCCCATGGTGACTAACGAGGACTTAGGCTCGAGGCTGCAACCTCCCGTCTTGAAGATATCGCCTCTTCAACCACCGAACCCCCCGCCGATACTGCTGTTCTGAACGCTATATCCTCTCCTCCGAACCCTACTTTGGGCGCTCCCGCACCCCCACCTGCTTCTACCTCGAAAGCCGCCACTCCCACCCCCGCAAGCCCCGAACCTGCTACCGAACCGCTGCCTGAATCCATCGAAGAGTTTGATGCCTTTTTAAACGCCTCTGTCGACAAATATGTCAAGCTGAGCCACCAGCTTGGAGGGCTCGTTGCTCAACAGGTACGTGCTACTCTACTGTGTTTATGGAGTGACACAGCACCTTTAATAGGCCAGGACTGATGAGAGTACGATTGTAGGCTTCCTTGGTCAAATCTGGCTTTCAAGAACAGCGCAAGTTTCTCCTGATATCGACCAAGGCAAAGAAGCCTGATCTTTCCGGCCCCGGTCTGCCAGTGTACGAAAGTCTTATCAAACCTATCAATGAGGCACTGATGGCCGTGACCGAGCTCAAGGATGCCAACCGCCCTAGTCCCATGTATACCCAGCTGAGCACCGTTTCAGACGGTATTATGGTCCTCGCATGGGTCACCATTGACACGCGCCCCTATAAGCATGTAGATGAGTGTCTTGGTTCGGCTCAGTTCTTCGGAAACAGAGTTCTCAAGGAGCAAAAGGACAAGTAAGTGAAGCACCCGCGCTGATGCGATTGACTCTAACCAGATCTTTAGAGACGCCAAGCAAATTGAGTGGGTTCAAAGCTTCTACCAGATGTTCCGCGATCTTGCCGACTATGTCAAGCAATATTTCCCAACTGGTATTCCCTGGAACCCGAACGGACAACCCGTTCAGGAGGTTTTGAAATCGTTGTCTGCAGGCCAGTCATCTACTTCTGTTCCCGCTGCTCCCGCCCCTGCTGCTGGCGGTGCTCCTCCACCTCCGCCACCACCTCCTCCAGGACCTGCTCCCGTTTTGGATATCAAGACAGAGAGTGCTCCTGCTCCTGCTGCTTCATCTGGAGGTCTTGGTGCCGTCTTCTCAGAACTCAACAAAGGCGATGCCGTTACCAAAGGACTGCGAAAGGTGGACAAGTCTGAGATGACACACAAGAACCCATCACTTCGAAGTGGCTCCGTGGTTTCAAGTGGCCAGAGGGGTAAGAGCCCTGCTCCTGGCAAGAAACCCAAGCCCGAAAGTATGCGCACCAAGAAGCCCCCCAAGAAGGAGCTTGACGGCAACAAATGGACCATTGTATGTATTGTTTCGGCTGAAGTAAAGTGATATGCCACTAACTTGAGCTAGGAAAACTATGAGAAGGATTCCGAGCCGGTCGAGATTGAGGCTTCTTTAACGCAGTCCGTTCTCATCAGCCGTTGCAACAACGCCACCGTGATTGTCAGGGGCAAGGCTAATCAAGTCACTGTCGAGAACTCTACTCGTTTGTCGCTGATTGTCGAGACCCTTGTCTCTACTGTTGACGTCGTCAAGGCCCAGAACTTTGCTCTTCAGGTCTTGGGCACCATTCCTACCGTCATGTTGGACCAGGTCGATAGCGCTCAGATTTACTTTAGCAAGGAGAGCATATCGACACAGGTCTTTACCAGCAAGTCAGCGGGCATCAACCTTAACGTTATTTCTGGCGAGGATGACGACTACAAGGAGGTAGCCCTGCCTTCGCAAATCTGCTCTTACTACGATGAGTCCAAGGGAGACTTGGTCAACGAAATCGTAGCTCATGCCGGCTAGTTTGGGAGGCGTTTTGTGTTAGCCAACGGCGGGGTAGAATACCCCTTGCCCGTTGTGCTGTTATTTTACTCCCTGTCGCATGTACCTAGCTTAGATATGTATGAATGGTAGAATTGGAAGTGAAGAGTTGACTCTTTCTATTTTAATCTTTTTTTCGTCTATTTGGTTTGTAGCCTTGATTCTTGCTTAATCTGCCAGAACCATGCCGCTCCGATATCTAATGCCATCTTGACCATGGCACAAAAAGACAATCAAATCTAGAGAACAACGCCCACCAAACAAAAACGCTATGAACCTGGTGTATGACAATATAACGAAGCATTGGTCTGCTGGCGCACATGGCCCCTTTATTCGTGACTGCAAATATACATTACAGCTTGGCCTTGGGCGGCTCAAGCGTGGGTGTGAGCAACTCGCGCATGTCATTGGCAGCCTCGTTCAAGTAGTAACTCATACGGTCACTGCCAAGACCCTTCGATACAACGTTGAAGCTAAGACTATTGAAACTGTTAGTATGGTCTACTTGCCAGGCATCTTGGTTGCAATATTTACCTGTTCTCGTTGATCATGTATGCAATGCCGAAACCACCATCGATGACCTGACTCCAGCCGTAGCCGTTGAAAAATTCGGAGCTAAGCTGAGAAGTGGAAAGGTGCCATGAACTGGAGTAGCTGTAGGCAGGGTCCTTGTAGATGGCGGGAACCTCCTGGCCAGGCTCAAGGAGCTTCTTAAGGCCAAAGAGGTGTCTGTCAACACCCTTGCCATCAGAAGCTGCAGTGATGTACTCGACATGGGCGTTGATGGCCTTTCGGAAGAGGTCCACGCGTTTCTTATCGTCGATTGAGGAATCGGACATGGCCTGAACCCAAGACACAGAATCATCAGACACAGTTCGGCAGGTCTCAGTACGGCCGAGTTGGAAACGGCGCGTAGCAGCAGACTCATATGTAGGTCGGCTCTTGCCATACATCTTGTAGTAAGCAAGCTGGATAATCATCTGAACATAGGCGTCAGGGGAACACTTGAACTTCTTGATGAGACTCTTTCCGTAGCCTTGGTAAGCCTGCACAGCGAGTTGGTGCTTGCCAATAACATCGTTAAAGTCCTTAGTAGCACGGTCAATCTCGCTCTGGACTTCCTGAGTAATCTCAAACTTGACGAGCTGCGGCTCTGGTAAGTTAGAGCGGACGTTGGGGTCCGAAAAGTCGAGCTTGTTGCCGAAAATGAGGTCGTTGACATAATCGTTTAGACGATGAGTGGGAGTGCCGTCCATCATGGAGTGCTCGCCCATGAAACCAGAGGTACCATTGTCATTAACAATGAACTGCAGGGGCTTGTCGTACCAACGGTTGGCACCATCACCGTGCCAGTACTGATGAGCACGCTCTTCAAGAGTCACTGGCGCCGCATCGTCGAGGCAAACCACGAAAGAGGATGACTCGATAGCCTCGAGCGCATCCTTATTCTTCGGGCTGGCCTTGAGCAGGATATCGCGGGCATCCGTCCAGATGTCTCGGTTCTCTGACGTAAGAGCGCCAACAGCAGGAACACGTTGAGCAAGTTCGTAAACCCGCTTGAACTGTTGCTCTAGCTCTGATGTGTTGAGCTGCTTTCCGTCAATTTCGTGTTGAATCTTGAAAAACTGGTTCTTGCGAATAACAATAATATGCTTGTTCTCTTCGGCGGAGAACTTAACAGGGTGATCTGCCGGCTTGGCTGCGACACGAGAGGCGTTGAACATCCACTGGTAGCTATCCATGCAGATGGGCAGCTTCTTCATATACTCTGGCTCGAGGACGCCAACATCGACCTGCTTCTTGAATTCGAGGACCGAGGTTGTAATAGCAGCAGCGCGCTTGGATGGGTCTCGTCTTCGACGGTCGTCGCGGTGGGAGTAGAAGTAGCTAACGTAAGGGACAACTGGGTCGCGGTAGGAGAGATAGGCAGCGTCATTCCACCACTCATAAATCCAGTTCTTTGTGTTGGGATCCTCGCGTTTGGCCACGAGCTTCTCCTGTAGCTTCGAACCTACACCACCGGGGCGAACAAACTCGTCGATGGCTTTCTTGCTAGCCTCGTATTCGCTAGGAGACAATAACGGGTGGAGAGACTTGAGGTAACGCTTCGCGGTCTCCTCGAGTGTTGGCACGGGTAGTCGGGGAAGAGAGTCTTGCCATCGTAACATGGGACCTTTAGATTTGTTCTCAACATAGCCTGTTCGCGATTCGTATCAGTATGCTAGACTTGATTCTTAAGCGATTACATTGGAGTATACCTGAAGAGGCTGCGGAGCTGTTGGCTCGCTTGGTGGGTGCCATGATAAGAGTCTGTGCCTGTTTCCAACTTGTTAGAGGTTTCAACATATCTAGAGGAAACGGCCGAAGGGAATATGGTTATGGCATTCGAGACCAGGGTAGCATGGCCAGGGATGTGGAGCAGTCGATCACAAGCAATCAATCCGCCTTAGTTCCTATCACCCGCCCATAACTCGACTCGGCATCTTTCGAATAGCCGTCGAGTGCCCCGATATTCATGGCATGTGAAGTTGCCTTGAATGAGCGCAAAAGCATATATGAAAAGGCGAGCTCAGAGGTAGGAATTGTGTAACGAGCGGGATATAACTTACAGCGCGCGTCTTGGTGAAGGTACGGAGACTGTTCCTGAGAGCGGGCGAGCGGGCTAAAGTCAACATGGCCAAGAAGGAGAAACGACGGAGAAAGGTTGAAGAAAAAAGCTGGAGGAAACGAAGAGGATATGTAGTCTAGCCCACGACGTGGTCGGCTTTCATATATGAGACAGGTAAGAGACCCGGTTTTGCAATTGCTTTTGGCCTCGGCTCAAAGCGCGGCAAGTTTGCAAAATAGTATATGGTTTAGTTTCTAGCAAGCAAGGGTATGCTGTGCAATGCAATTCAGTGCCTACTAGGGTTCAAAGGCAGCGCGAGACTTGTTATGGAGTAGTCAATGAGATGCGATGGGACGTTTGCTTGTGACCGAGACGTCACCCGCTCCCCTCAAAAAGCCTTGGGCCGAGGTAGAGCAAGGGCCGACGGGTCGAGGCCACTGGGGTAAGGGCCTAAGGAGCAGTGGAACTAGTTTACAAGCCAATCAGGGCAATGCACTTAGGTATCGATCCACTATCCCCGAGGCAATCCCTTTGAGCCTCCTCTGGGGAACGAACGAGTTGGGGTTGAGTTATAAAACAACCATCTATCAATATTATTCCCTCAAATCAAGACGCATCTTCAGTATCGGTAAACTGTTATAAATCGCGGATAGCTTAATGCATATTAACCCTAGAACTGCCATATGTACCGGTTTCTTAGCTAGGTACTCAGTTCAAGAGATTTAGTCTCGATAGTGGATAACTCCAATTCCAGTACCGAGAGATTGGAAACCTACAAGGGAAGGACAGTGGCATATATTCACATGCCCTTCCTTAGGTCTAGCGCTATTCGACCTGACTTTAAATAAATCTTACAGAAAACAAAACATCTCCAAATTGTGACCAGGCCCTATTTTACCCCAGCTATCAGGTCCAGTAACCGAGCTGTGGGGAAGTGGGGAGCTTTTCCTCCACACGATTCAACTTCCATTTGTCCACCGACGATACTGCATATTAAAATAGTTGTACAAGAGTTGGAGGCTACCCATTATGCACGATAAAGCTTGGTGCTCAATACCGAAAATCTTTCCCCATTGGCCCGGTACTCTGATAACCCATAGGAACCAATTGAGTAATACTAGTCTCGTTGTGCTTAAGCCATCTGTTAAGTAGCAGGAATCGTAGCCCACGGGGAGATAATGCCTGAAGCAGCGTACGGATATGCAATAAACTATACAGTCACTTGAACGAACAACAGTCGCAACTCTATAGATCATCGGAGTGGCACGCTTTAAATGATTAACAATGGCGTTAAGCAGACAGCATTAGCAGCTAAGGTAAAACGTTCCAATTCGCCCAATCTCACAAATCGTCGACCATAAAAACTGTCAGCCAGCAAGAAAACAACCAAGGCATCTATACCATGTAGTAGTACACCCTTTCGCAACTGATTATATCAACTTGTACGCATACACCCTTGACCAGCCTGTGACCCATTACCCTCTCACGTTGACGGCTTCACTTAGACGAGTGATTGCAACGGCTCAGATAAGAAGGCCGTACCTTCACCCGCTCTCTTCAACGTGAAACTGCTGCGATTCAACGGTTTAGGGATGATGCACATTTAAAAGAGGTCAGCCGACGCACTTTAATACCTCACGCCGTCAGACGCCATGACTTTGAACCCAAACGTCCCATACATCATTTTCCCCAAGTCAGCATTGTGTGTTCCGTTCCCAGCTCATGCCTTCAAGCTTCGTAGCTCTTGATCTGACCATCGCTACTAGGCGGGGGAACAGCTTGCGCGCCAGGGGCAGCCTGGAAACTTAACCGATCGCCATCGTTCATAGCCTCCTGGGCAAGTCGTACGCCTTGTTCGCCCCCGACAGCAGCGGCAGCCTTAAGGCCCTCCTGTACTTCCCGAACTCTTCGTCGGAAAGTCAATCGATCCAAGAACAGCTGCTGTCTAGCACGTTCGAGTTCTCGTCGCTCCGCGCGCAAGACTGCCTCCATCTCGTCAAAGTACTTAAGCTTCAACTCGAGCTTTTGTAGTGTGACGTTAGAGGCAGCAGACACCAGGCGTGTCATTTCTCGCTCCTCGTGAGATGCGAATCCTGCAGCGCGTGCACCTATCGAGGCTAACGGAATGGATGCAAGTGCACTGGTCTTTGTTGTGGTTGTTGTAGTAGTCGTTGTCGTGGTTTCTTGTCGGAGGTCAATATCCATCGAGTCATTCTTTGACTTGCCGTCCCCGTTGGCCTGGGATTCATCATCGCCCTTATCACCGTCCAGTTGCTTGCGAAGCTTGCGTTTGAGCTCCTCAGCAGATTTGTTTGCAGCAGCCGCTGTACTAGCTGGGTCTGCCAGGCTAGCAAGGAATCCAACAACCGACATGACTGGGTTGTCAACTTGGCTGAAGGGGAGCTGCCCCTGTTGAGGACCGAGCATAGACAACCCGGTAGGTGCATTGATGGGAGCTTCCGAGTCCAGATACTTTTCCTCAATGTCTAGTTGCAGGAACTGGAGAACACACTCCTCTCGTGTGCGGGTGCCAACATGCTCTGCGATCTCACCCCAGTCATCATCGAATCGTTCAAGTCCTTCGAGGAGTCGCAGGATCTCGGCATCTGTCCAAGGAGCGTCGCGATCGAGGGTGGACGTATAAGTGGGGTTTTCCATCTTCACATACATGTTGCTGTTATGGTTGGCAGGCAGACGGCCCTCAGTAAAGCAGTTAGGACAGAGGTCGTACTTGGCCTTGGGGTTGGCATCTGTGTGGTTGCTGTGATAGTATATCCGAGTGCAGTCGTTGCCACACTGATGGCAATGAACCTTGGCGATAGGGGTCTTAGTGGCATCATCCGCACCGGGCATGCCATTGGTAGCTGGTGTTTCGCCGTTGGGTTTGCCCTCGGTCTTGCTGATAAGGGTGCTCTTGGCGTTGGCTTCATAGATGTTTCGTCCAATCTCGAGGTTTTGCTCTCCTTTGGCAGGGGTAGCTGCAGTAGCCTTCTGGTCCGTATCTTGGTTCTTCTTGCCCTCTAAGACGACTGGGTCAGCAGAGGGCTGCCATGCCTGGAGACCTCGGGGAGTGTCGCAAATGATTTTGAAGTGGCCAGTGAAAGGTGGTCCAACATGCGAGGGACGTTGGTCGGCATCGACCTGCTAGGTGTCAGAAAGGCCACGAGACCATAGAACGAGCTTCTTACCTGATAGTTGATCAATCCCCATTGCTCCAAAAAGGCGTGGACGCGCATGATTGCGCACACGTCACCAGCCAAGTTCCTGCGACAGGCTGTCACAGTCAAGTATTCAACGGGGTTGAGGCGATATGTGTTGATCATAAAATCGCGGTAGTCCTTGTAAACAGCAGGCGTCTTGCTTCGATTTCGGTTGTTGAAGAACTCCGCCATGGCCTTGCGCTCGATATCGTGGATGGCGTTCATGTCGAACCAAGTGCTGTAGCTTGGGAGAACGATCGCGTGGGTTTGCGTCATAAGATGCTCGCGAGCAGCCGACTCAACAACTTCCTTTGACTTGGATTCCTGGCCATCTGTACCAGTGGTTCCATCCTCCTTGGCTTTGGCCTCGGCCTCGTCAGCGGGCGCATCGTTCATCTCTTCGTCGCCACGAGCTAAAGGTCTCAGCAAATAGTCTCTCAGAGCTCAGATACTCTCATTACCTGGCGCAGGAGTTGTGCTATCCTGTTTGATGTTTGACTCGGTAGCCAACCCCTCGGACATTTGGACATCTGTATCCCATGAGCGACATGTTTGGGATTGGGTCTGGATCAATCACAATGCGCTTACCTTCACTATCGCCTGCGCCTGAATCGGGTCGTAGAGGAGGCTGCGCGAGGATCGGGTTGCTGTCGGGAGAAGCACCGTTGCTAGGTGAGCCATAGGTCGCTGTGTCATCCATCTTGACGATATCCGCGATGGGTAACAAGCCACGGGCGATGGTTCAGTTAATCAATCGAGCGCGCGCGTTACAGCCAATGCGCGATGAATGGTGGCCAGGTTTATCGCGAATCAAATTGATAAATCTTCGTATGTCGTCGGGAAATCGATGCCGCTAGCGTCGTGATGTTGATGGAGTCTGGCGATGCAATGGGTCGCGTCTTGGAGAATTTTTGGCGCGAACTGACTGGTATCAGCTTCGTGACCATCTCGACGCGCAGATCCAGGGGATGCATTTGAGTCACGTGGTTGTGTATTAGCTAATCACTAGATACGTACTTTTCCTCGGATATAACAACGCCTCTGGAGGGTTGTAGTCAAAGAACAATGAGGTGAACATTTAATGTAGAATTGATTGTGAGGCCTTGAGCAAGACACATAAACACGCCCAGGTTATTGGGTCTTCAACTCGTATTTTGTCAAGCGCCTTCCTGAACGTAGTGGTAGTACTTACTTACCCATGAATACGTGGAACCATAAGTTACCTATCTCTTGATCACTGCCAACCAAGCGCAAAGGCGGGCAGCATTAATTACAATATCTTTAAAACGGATCAAAGCTATGGAATTATACCTAAGTTTAATATTCATGTCCGCAACATAAAATCTCATTCTTATTCTTTAACACCTATGGCTAAAGCATCTATGATTTGCACCACATTCAAGCTGTCATGTGATGCAACTTAAGCCGATTCGGCATTTCAGTCCACATGCCGCCAGTTCCCGGTCAATGGCCGATGGCGGCGGAGAGTAAGTCGGCCATGACCTCGGGCCGTTAACAACCGGCGCCGACTTAATCTACATCACCCTACATCACTCCTCGAACGGGCGGTTGTGTCGCTAACATCACAAGTCAATTACGCCCTCACGATGCTTCCGACCGCGAAACGAGTGCTGGCAAAGCAGGCCACTGGCCTCATGGCGCGCGCGCACGCCTACAGTCTAAGCGCACAACGGCAACGCCTACTGTCTACCTTGGCAGTTCTTGAGCAGAAGGATGGACAACTAAACCACAGCTCACTGAGTGCCTTCACAGCTGCTAAGAAGCTGGGTGGAACAGTGCACGGCTTTATTGCCGGCAGCAATATCAAGCCCGTGGCGGAAGAAATTGCAAAGGCCGAGGGTGTTGAAAAGATCATTGCGGTGGATAACGCTGCATATGAAAAGGTTGGTACGCTGAACATTGACCACAATCACAGGCACGCAATGCTGACTTTTAAACCCAGGGTCTTCCCGAGACTTTCGCCCCTCTCTTGGTTGAAAACATCAAGAAGGGCGGATATACACACGTCATTGCAGGCCATACCGCGTTTGGCAAGAGTGTCATGCCTCGAGTCGCTGCTCTCCTCGATTCGCAGCAAATCTCCGACATCACGGCTATTGAGGGAGAGAACGTCTTCGTCCGACCTATCTACGCCGGTAACGCGATCGCCACGGTTGAGTCATCTGACTCTGTCAAAGTCATCACTATTCGGGGAACTGCTTTCGCCGCTGGCTCGCTTGAGGGAGGCTCCGCCACTGTTGAGGATGGAGTTGACTCCAAGCCCGAGTCGCCCACTGAGTGGGTGTCTGAAGACTTGGCCAAGTCAGACCGTCCCGATCTCTCTACTGCCAGCCGTGTTGTCTCTGGAGGCCGTGGTCTCAAGTCCAAGGAGGAGTTTGACAATATCATGCTGCCTCTTGCTGACGCTCTTGGTGCGGCCGTTGGTGCCTCGCGTGCTGCTGTTGACAGTGGTTACGCCGACAACAGTCTTCAAGTAGGCCAAACTGGCAAGGTCGTTGCTCCTCAGCTGTATATGGCCGTGGGCATCTCGGGTGCTATCCAGCATCTTGCTGGTATGAAGGACAGCAAGGTCATCGCTGCAATCAACAAGGATGCCGATGCTCCTATCTTCCAGATTGCCGATGTCGGGCTGGTGGGCGACTTGTTTGAGAAGGTGCCCGAGCTTACCGAGAAGGTAAAGAGCTCATGAGCGTCTATATAATGTACAAAGATTTAGAAGTACAGAGTGATGTAATATACAAACAGTCAAAGTACCTTTCCAGCGTTAACCGAGGACAGCCAGCATTTCTTCTGTGTTTGTGAACTTTTCTCTCTCTTTGCCATTCTTTCGCCCTCGTTCTCGCTCGACATTGTCAATTCGTCGCCAGTCGTCCCATGAAATAGCTCGACATGTCGTTGGTCCTGCGTGGTGACGCAAGCCCTCCCATCCAGTGACGCTGCCATTACCTGGTGTGTTAAGGAATGCGCCTCCTGAGAGCCAGTCATGAACAATCGCATCGCCTGTCGTGAATGCGTCCTGCATAGTAGTTGCGATGACCCCAGTTGGGCCATTTTTTACCCAACCGGCGCAATATACTCCAGGGACTCTCTCGTTGTGGGCGCCTCCAGCGTGTTTATCTGAGACCATTCTTGTCACTCTTCCAAGACCATCGTTGTCGACAACACCCCGGCGTTCGTCGAATTGGATGCCAATCTCGGCGAAACCAGGCAAGGCTACAGATTTATATCCCACAGAGCGGAAGACCACGTCAGATGGTAAGATAGTAGTTTCGCCTGTGGCCTTGACTGAGGACTTTGGGTCAAATGGTGAAGCGAGCTCCGTGACGTCGAACTCGGTACTTGCCACCTTGGTCGGTGCGTCCTGATTACCGAGGAAATGCTTTGGTGAGAGGCAGCTGTCCAAAGACCATACCTTGGATGCATTCTCATGAGAGGTTGACGAACCCTTGACTAATACTTCCATCAATCGTTTCGATGCCCGTGGCAAAGTCTTGATGTCTTCGGGAACCAGTGATCGGTTGAAGGGTAAAAAGCCGACTTCTTTGAGTTTCATCAGTTCTCGCACTTCCTTAATGGTGAATGAAGCCTGTGTCATGTGTGTCAGCATTTTCTTCTTCGCTGTGATATGATATCGACTTACCTGCATCGGTCCTCTTCTTCCAACAACATGAACTCTCTTGACTCGGCTTTTGGATAGTACCTCGAGTGCCTCTTCCGTGATGTCTGTCTTTCTTAGAATATCGACATCTTCTAAAAGCATCCGCGCGACGTCAAGGGCGACGTTTCCTTGGCCGATTACGACAGCTTCCTCGGCCTGCGTGAGATCCAAGTCAAGGCCAGAGCATCCAGGCAGACCATTGTACCATCCTACAACTTCACGTGCCGAGTGAATGCCGCTGAGGGTTGACTCGCCTGGGATTCCCAGCTTTTTGTCCTCGGATGCGCCATAGGCAAAAAGCACAGCATCGTAGTGGTGCATCATGTTTTGCAACTCAATCGTGCAATGATTTGAAGATTGATCTCTGTGGCCAATGGACACATTGCCGATGAATGTGAAATTGGGCTGTGACGCAATCTCATCAAATTTGTCCTGGCAGTTCTGCATGGATTGTGTAAGTCTTGAGGTTTATCATTGTTTCTATAGGGTAGCCAACCTTGACCTCGGGATGATCAGGAGCAACACCATGACGAACCAAGCCAAAAGGTACTGGAAGACTCTCATACATGTCCACCTTAACTCCTGGGACCTTTCCCATTACTCGGTAGGCAGTGTAGAATCCGGCCGGTCCAGAGCCTACTACTGCCAGCCGGAACGACGCATCCGGGGATCGAGAGTTTTGGTGAAGCGCGGAGGAGAAATATCGACTAGAAGTAGTCACCCCAGGTAGGCGATAAGCGATGCCAGGGCGACAAAGGTACCGAGCTATTGACAACATTGTTTTTATGACGACAGTTTATTATCATGGTCAAAGAACAAAACCAATGACTGTGAAGTGGCTCTACTGGGACTCAATGAGAATAACCAGGTTTGCCCCGGCCGGCAATGACCGTGGCCGTGGCCCGAGCTCTCAGCTCTCAGCTCCGATTCCCGATGCGGCTGGTTGTTGTGCCAACACGGCCCGCCCCATGTACACAAGTTTCGTCAGAGACATGCGACATGATTGTCCTCAAATGCAAGACCCTCTCTCGGTTCTCGAATTCCTCGGATAACAATCGCATTCTATTGACTCGTTTGCTGTATCTTACAGAACCCTGCCACGGCTTCATTCCAGCCCAGGGCGAAGATCATAATCAGCAATTCATTGTCGCGCAACAACAATTGCGCTGTGGTGCGACGATAGATATGGCTCCGTCGCAAGCGCCTTTTCTCTACAGCGCCGTCCATAGCGACTCGCGCTTCCCTGAACCCAAGTTTGATCCAAAGGCCGTCACAAGAGCGAGTTGGACGCCTCCATCACCGCGAAAGAAGCATGATGGTCCTCTTGTCTCCTTCAACACACACCCTGAGTGAGTACAGGCGCATTGCAAATCGCAAGAAATTCGGTGCTAACTACCTCTCAGTATGCATGAGGTTCTAACCTACAGAGCCAATGAGTATGCTTCCATGAGCCCGCGAAGCAAGAGCTTCATCAAATGGCTTCGACACTTGCAGTCTGCTCTGCGCGTTCTGCAGCTCGTTGGAGCTCTTGGGCTGCTCGCTTTGATGGTTCTTATTGACAAGGTTCCCACTCTTGAGGGATGGGTCATGAGAATTACTGTAAGTCTTTGCTCTATCGACGTGTTGTGATTAATGTAACTAACCCAGATCGATAGCCTGCCGTTGCCATAGTGCACTGCGTTTATGGCATCTATCACCATTCTCGTGACGCCGCGGGACGTTCACCTGCCTCTTCGGCATCGTATCAGCTGTTTTCTGGAGTCACTGACCTCGGTGTTGCGCCTCTGTACGCCTTCGGTGCCCTCTCAGTACGCACCAAGAGTGACATCTGGATAACGCGCCTTTCGAACCAGTCCCTCATGGACACTTTCAAGCCTGTGCTGTTCTACACGTTCGTCGCTGCCGGTGGTCTTCATGTCATAAGCTTGGCTATTGCTGGATGGCTGGGCTTCATGTTCCGCAAAATTAGCTTGATGCCACCTGACATGAACCCGCTCGAGAGTCACTTGACTGCTCGACCAAAGCACAAGAAGAACAAGTCGTCTGTGATGACTGCCAGCACCATGGATAGCGATGGCCGACGAGACTCTATTATACCCCAGGAAGGCATTCATGATGGCATTGAACCACCACGCACGATTCCTTTCCGCCACACTCGCAACGGTTCTACTACCACAGTCGGAACTAGAGACTCCCGATCCCAATTCCCAGCAAGCCCGCAGTACCAGAGACCTCCTACAACCCCCCGCCGTGATCGTCGAGATTCTGCTGCCTCAAGGGCGACAACAAGGACTTCTGCCACTCGCTCAATTTACCACGATGCGTACTCGGAGATTCCTCTTGATGAGCAAGACAGCTCCCGTCCTCCCAGCAGCTATAGATATAGCCAGCCTCGCCCCGCTAAGTTTACCGAGACCTGGAGACCTACAGACTCTCTCATCTCTCGGACAAACCAACGAAACCGTGAACTGGAAGCGTCAAAAACAAGTACTGCGAACCGGGAGAACAAGTCTTATGAAGCTTTGGGCCAACGTTACGTGCACGAAGATTCAGATTCCGAATACGGCGACGAGAACAACCCGTCGTATGATATGGGCGTTGATGGCGACGAGCTTCGACCTCATCCTCTCCGCTTGAACCCCCCAGCTGAACAACGGGAGCGTACCTCGCCTCCTCGAGCCAAGACACCTTACTTCCCATTCAAGGATTCCTTGACCGACATCAGCTCCAACGCAAGACGCGTGAGTGCTAGCAGAGACATTGCCGATGAAAAGCCAGCCTTCACTTCTCAAAAACGACAAAGCTCTATCCAACCAGAGTCCGAGTTCTACGCCAGATCATACGGAGAACTCAAGAGCGCAACACCCCCTGTTATGGTTGGCAGCGACAACCGCAAGGTCTCGACAGGAAATGACTATAACCAGAATGCTGCAGGAGCATATGGACGAAGGAACGTAAGCGGCAAGATGGCTGAAGAGGGACGAGCGGCCGGAAACCGGTTTTCCTTCCTTGATGGACGTAACCCGCTGGCAGAGAGAAGATGAGATTTTTGATTTTAAAACGTTTAGTGATACCTTTGAGAGTTTAATGCAGGATGCGTCATGTTATGAATCGGATGGATAGGAATTGGAGGGTAATGGTGCGATTTGTAGACATATGTAGTTTAGGTAGTTACGGTGTTTCACAATGTACAAGTCTTGATACATACAAGCAATACCTTCCCCAATTCATATCTCTCCTTATCGTGCCTCAAACAGCGTTATTTGTTACCCATATATGACTGCCACGATACTGATGGGCTCTGTACACCATCATCCCTCCACCCCTTCGCATCCCACGAGTCCAGTTGACACAAGTGTCTCATTGTAGGACGACCATGAGGGCAGTTCCAGGGCTTGTCCAACTCAGACATGTGCCGTACCAGTGTCTCCATCTGTCCATGTGTCAAAGCCTTCCCAATCATGACACTACTCCGACATGCTCTTGATGCAAACATCTTTCTTACTTTCGAGGGCCGGGGAATATGTTTTGACTCAGACGATTCTTCACCAAGCAGCGCTATCAGCTCATCGAGGTCGGTGAGTGAGAATGTTACCTCACGGCTCATGGGAAGCGCCAACACTTCGCACCTCGAACCCACTGGTTCATCCCCACTCATATCAACATGGACTTTGAAACCATTTGCTTCTATTGCAGGAATGTTTTGCAACACAATCTCCTCCTCAAGAGCTGTCAGCTCGAGTCTCTTGGGATGGACTAGCCGCTGAGACTGCACTGTTTGGATCTCCTGCAGTCTTTCGAAGTTGTATTTCTCGTCCGTTGCGTGCTGGTCGATTATGAACAGCTCATCATTCCCAGCGGCTTCGAGCTCCTCGTCTAGTCTCTTATTCGCCGGACGACTTGCAATAATAAAGCCCATGTTGAATTGCCCAGCTATTCTCATTCTTAGAAAATCCTTCCGAGCTATGGTGAGAGATAACTTTTCTTCTGCATTGGATGCATCAAGATCTGTTACTTCATCATCAGCTCGAGAGTCTTGGATCGAACTAAGACCATTCGCCCATGATGCCATCCCTAATCTAATGAGACTTTCGTCGGTTCGTAAATGTTGGAGCAACTGCGCAGTAGATTCCTTCTTTCGTACACTAGACTTGAGAGGCTGACTCTTTTGGTCAGATGTAACAGTTTCGCTCAATCCTGGGACAGCAGGGCTATCCGGGGACAGACTGCTAACATCTCGTTCTTCCATTCCGTCGTTCTCAGGGAACGAAACGACCGTTTCACGAACAACATCTCTTGTATCGGCTGCATCAGATACGGCATCGTCGTTACTTGCATCGTCGTTCCCAGATTCTGCGTTTGTCGGGACATCAGAATCATCCTCAGATGACCCCGGATGGGAACTCTTCTTTTCTTCTACCGCCCTGGCCCCAGCTGCATATATCTGTGTAAGACGACTTCCAAATGAGGGCTTTGGCATGGCGGTAGACACGCTGTCTTCAAGGGTAGTTGTCATTTCCTCATCATCACCATCATCGTCAGAAGCGCTTGCAGCACCTTGGACCATCTCATCACCAATAAAAACTGTAGTGATATCTGGTTTCATTTGTCTCCGAGGAGTTCTCAACCCACTGGCATGTCCGCTCTCTTGTCCACGTCTGAGTGGCTGTGTCGCGGGAATCTGAGGTTCACTCTGAACCAAAGTTGGTGGGCTGTTCGCTGCAGCAAAAGGGATGTCTTTTGTTATAGATTTCGCCTTAAGTTGTTTGTTAAAGTCTCGAACAGGTAGCGGCTTATCAGCGTCATTCTCATCACTATCTGACGGGGGTGAAGGGCTCCTAACGAAGAGGCTTGGTTCTTCTCGAGTAATGGAGTTTTGCGCCAAATCGGACGGAGCTGCAGCCCGTGCAGCAGGTGTTACCGGGCTACCTGGGTTTCCTGACCGTGAGGTTGTTCTCCTCTCTATCCAGCCACTTATCAAGTTCTGGCCGCTAGTATCTTTCGACAATGATCTCGACCCCCTAATTTTCCTCGCAGCGCCAGACGGAATTTTTGAGGTAGGCGTGTCTTCGCTGTTATTCTCTTCATCTGATTCGAGACCTTCATCAGAACCGCTGCGAGGCTTGATAGGGGTAATGGACAATGGCTTGAAGGGTGTGTTGCCGCTTGGTTGCTTTTCAGTGCGGCTTTTAAACGCGAGAAGCTGCGATGTCGGCACAGAGTAGTCTTGAGAATCAAAAAGATTTGTGAGAGACATGCGCAGATTATCAAGGAGCTGGTTTTGATCGTGTAGCAATATACTCCTCTTGTCGGGGCTGACATTGACATCGTACATGTGGGTATCGAGCTGAATATCGGCTAGAATAAAGGGGGTTTGGGAGTTGTTGTAAGACTTGTATACTTCGTTGAACGCCTTTGCGAACTGGGGCAAACCACAGGGCCTTCCGTTCACGAAGAACATTTGGCGATCTGGAGTTTGTCTCCCATCACCATGAGAAGGTCGTGAAACATGGCCCATAATGCGGACTTCTTTGGGCGTGGATTCGTGCTTGGAATCGATCTGTAAAGTTGGTCCAGCTGTAGAAGGTTGCATCTCAAGAGTTAAATCTAGGGGTACAAGAACTGTCATGGTCTTGGCTCCAAAAATGTTGATGATATTCTCCCTTGTCGTCTGGTTGCCCTTTGTGGAGAACAGATGAATTCTTTTACCTTTCGTAGGCTGTTGGGACACTGAGAACTTGAGGTTGGTCTGGATGCAAGCATATTGACCGAGGAGGGCGATGACCTTGTTCCATTCCCGTTTGATATTCCGTTCAAGCTCACGGCGACGGACGGGAAGGTTGTGGAAGAGACGCTCGACTGAGACAGTAGTGCCTTTTGAGGATGCTACGACAGCTGTTCCACTCAGTGCGCCTGAGGGCTCAAAGCTGAGCTTAGTCCCCTTAGGAGCCTCGCCCTGCTGACAAGTCGTGACGGTTACGTTTGATAAAGCGCATAGAGAAGCCAAAGCCTCGCCTCGGAAACCAAATGTCTCCAGTGTTGCTATATCTGAGTACGATGAGAGCTTTGACGTGTGATGCTTAAGAGCTACCGAAGGGTAGTTGGCTGGGGCAATGCCAGATCCATTGTCAGCCACTTCGATGAGATCTAGTCCCTGATTCTTGAAGCGAATATCTGTGTAATACATGTTAGCACGAATCCCAAAAATATGCTTTATAAAATGACATATGACTAACCTATGCTTGATGCACCGGCATCAACACTATTCTCCACTAGTTCTTTGACGACAGAGCAAAGGTCAACAATGACTTGACCAGATTGAATTTGATGAACCTGGAGATTTTAGTTACAGTTCGAAAGCTAGGACAGAAGGGTAAAGTACTGTTCGTCCATCGATTTGTTTTATAGTGGCCATATCTAACGACTCTCACTTTAGTATCTCGAACAGGATGCAGATAACACAAGGCAATTGGGGTGGCAAAACCCCGATGGAATTATTATTCCACCACCATTTGGAAGCAGAGAGAGTGATGCAGCTGATGAAACACAACACGCCGGGATTTTGGTGAAGCGATCAAGGTCAATCTGTAGTAGTTGTTTACTCCGTATATTGTTCAGTGTCGAGTGTGAGCTTCAGGAGCTCTTACAAGGTTCATGGAGTGGAAGCCGACATACGCTAACTAAGTACAGCGTAACGCTAAGCAGTTATCCCGGCCTATTCTTTTACCGGGTAAAGAATAGTCTATGTATACTGAGACTCCAGCTTCCAACGTCAAAAAGGAAGGAAATCACTATAATGTCAAGTTTATACACAAATACCTGACGGAAGCCCCGGACCATTCGATGATCCATGAAAGCAAACCCCAATACTGCGTGGCTGCATTAAGGCAATGTCCTTGTATCAAAAAGATATGTGGCGATTTCAGACTTTTGAATCCTGATCATTACTGGACCTTGACAATAAACGCAGCTTCCAGATATATGCTCAGCTTACTCCGTACAGCAACTCGGCTTGCGTTTGGCATAGCGGGGGATGTAAATGACGAAAGTATGCCAAACTCTAGCTAGAGTCGGCTTGACATCCATCAAACTCATGTATGAATGATAGTATTGATGTCATTAATCAATATGTCAAAAAGATAAGAGCCGGATTGTTTATTCCCAGCCATCCAATATTCATAGCCAAACATTCTGTTTATAGCGCATGAAGAGCCTTTCAATGGCAGAATTGGGGTCTGATACTACTCTAGACCTAACTCGACCCCACAGGCCGTGAGGAGGGGCCGATTCTTCCTCCTGATTTCGATGTGCGATGCATATCAAAGTCTTTAGCTTTCCAAGTTTAAGGAAGCTATCGCAAGGCCAAGACGGAAGATGCGCTTAAGCGGCACGCTACCCAGGCCCTAACAAGGAGCTAAGAAGGGAGAGGCGTTGACGGTAGACTACTGAAGCAGCATGAGGACGTGTGCGCTGTCGAGGTGACGCAGTTGGGCATCTTGGTTAAGCGCCTTGACAAGATAGATGGCTGAAGACTGATGGCACTTGAAGCCTCGCTACGCCGTCTTTAACCCTATGCAGCCTGGATAATTAGAAAGGCTGGTAAGCATAGTAAACGTACTAGTCTGCTTGACTCGACAACAACCAACAAGGAAACATTAAGTGAACTATGCCGTTCGAACTTGGACAGAGACAAGACATAATTTTCAGATTGTCAGTGTCAGACCAGCCTGTAATAAAATTAAATGGCTACAGAATATCCCTGTTATGGAGGAAGTGACAGGATCAAAATGTGATGAGTGAAGACTGATTCCCTAACAACATATAATTTAGTTGGCTGTTGGGGCATGCTTCCCTGCAAATTGGCGTCCACTGTGTGTCCCGGCAGCTTCCACTTCAGTGTTCCAGCCCCCATGGAAGGGTACAAAGAAAATGGAAAGGAAAAAAGGAGACTGGACACTCAATCATCAACGCGCTAAGTGGCCCCGACTCGGCTGATAAGTGGGAGAAGCCATCGACATCCAATTTCCCACCCACATTCATTGGATTTAGAAGGGACTGGGGAATCGGCATGCCACATGCAGCAGCTAACGGCGAGCACGATATCGTCTTGATCTTTTCTGCTCGGTCCGTTCGCTAAGTTTGGACGCTATCGCTATCACTATCACTCGCTATTTTCTAATCAACACATAGACGCTCGCTGTGTATATCCGGACGTGTTGGAGGTAATTTATTAGCAACAGTCGAGTACCAGCAGACGCCAAACCATCACCCCCGGTTGCATTTTGTCGCAAACGGGTCTTTCGTCTTCACCGACCCTCACTAAATCCCTGCTGGGCTTTTCCCTTTAGTGGTGTCCTGAAGCTGTGCCAGCCTGGTTAATCTTGCAGCCGCTGTTATCCTAGCTTTCACCTTGTCCTCCATCTTGGCCTTGGTTTGCGTTCGTCTCCGACTTGGCCACCAAATCTGAAGATCGCCGCGACCCTCACTTGACCTCGTCGATAGTCCGTATTTTTGCTTTCAACAACTCACCTCTGTTCCCCTTGGTTCAGGCTCGCGGCGAGTCTCAAAGCGCCTTCTCCATGAAGAGGCGCTCCTCCGGGTCGGCCGATGATGGTGACGAATCCTCCCTCGAGTCCGATATTCCCGACCCCGATCCTAATTTGAAGACGCGCACATCGCCTGCACGAGCCCGACGACCGAGCAGCCTCAATTGGAAACCTTCGAACGATCGTAATGGCAGGAATAATCAGGCTCGTGATGAGACTCAAACAACGGCCGCTTTAAAACCCACCTCGCTCGCAGCACCTTCAACTCCCGACATGGCTCTCGCCAGGACTCCAACTCAATCGCCTTCTCCAAATCGTCGTACACATCGCCCTCGCTTCTCGATAATTGTCTTGCTCACTTCTGCGCTGGGGATTGCGCTCCTAATAAGCATTCTGAGGTCTCTAGTGACTAGTCAACTGGACCCAAAGGGGTGTCGTATGTCCTACATGCGCCCATCATATGTTCGGTTTACCGAGTTCGATACTGAGCATACACGCTTTGCAACCAAATACTCGTTATATCTGTATCGCGAGCAAGGTGTCGAGCCAGTGGATAAGGTATGTTACACCACTTTTGATCCTATGATTTGGTTATTTAGTTGCTAAACCTGTACGTTAATAGCTTCTTGGTATTCCTGTACTGTTCATCCCAGGGAACGCCGGAAGCTACAAGCAGGTCCGCCCGATTGCTTCGGAAGCAGCTAATTACTTTCACAACAATCTTCAACACGACCATGGCGCTCTCGATGCCGGCATCCGGAGTTTGGACTTCTTCACTGTGGATTTCAATGAGGATATTACGGCATTTCATGGCCAGACGCTACTCGACCAGGCTGAATACCTTAATGAAGCTGTTCGCTACATCCTCTCACTTTACTCCGACCCTCAGCGCACTACTCGAGACGGCCACCTCCCCGACCCGACTTCGGTAATTGTTTTGGGACATTCTATGGGCGGAGTTGTTGCAAGAGCCATGCTTGTTCAGCCCAACTATCAGACGAATTCGATCAACACCATTATCACGATGTCGGCACCCCACGCTCGCCCTCCTGTCACTTTTGACGGGCAAATAGTTCAGATTTACGATGAGATTAATGATTATTGGCGTCGGGCATATTCGCAAAAATGGGCGAACAACAACCCTTTGTGGCATGTTACTCTAGTTTCGATCGCGGGTGGTGGCTTGGACACGGTGGTTCCATCAGATTATGCAAGCCTCGAATCTTTGGTTCCTCCGACACACGGTTTCACCGTCTTTACGACTGGTATTCCAACTGTATGGACGAGCATGGATCACCAGGCCATTCTTTGGTGCGACCAGTTTCGAAAAGTCATTACGAAAACACTTTACGATATTGTCGATGTTGGTCGCGCATCACAAACCAAACCAAGAGCCGAGCGAATGAAGACTTTCAAAAAGCGGTTCTTGACGGGAATGGAGCCAGTGATGGAGAAGGACTTGCCTCAGAAAGACGCAACAACTCTTCTAACGTTGAGCGACGACTCGAATTCCATTCTCCCAGCTGGGCAGCGTCTCACTCTGAGCCAAATCGGTAAACAATCGAAACCTCGAGCCCATCTACTTCCCATACCACCACAGGGCTCACCCGAGGCAAAACGATTTACTGTCCTCACGGATGCCTCTTTGGACGAGGCTGGCGAGAATGGCAAGTTAGAGGTCTTGTTCTGCAGCGTATACCCCTTTCAATCTGGACAAGCTACTTCGCTCTACCCCTTTCAAATCGACATTTCGAGCGACGACAGCGATTCAACGCGGCTCGCTTGTAAGAATGCCGCATCAGACCGTATTCTGCTCCCTGCGTCGACGCCTTCGACCAAGTATCCTTTTTATCTTGACAGGGAGCGTGAAATCATTCCTTTCTCATATCTTCAGTATGATCTTGACCAGCTATCAGATCATCAATTTGTGGCTGTTATAGAGAAGGCTGCTTCAAATACGCCCAGTTTCTTGATCGCGGAGTTCAGTGATCAGTCTGCGTATTCGAAGAAAGAGGGCACTGGTCTTATGAAATTACTTATTTCCGGAATCTCTTTGGATCTTCCCGCAAACCGCCCAATGACAGTAGAGGTTAACATCCCCTCATTGCAATCCGCTCTACTTGCATACAAATTGGAAATCACGAGCCCCCGCTGTGAGGCGGAAAAATCTCTCTTCAGTCCTTTGGTTCGACAATATCTTGATCAACCTTACGAGTCCAAATATTTTGTCAATGTTCAATCTGCCGACGTCAGTCTTCATGGTGTCGCTCCCTATTTGCCTCCTACATTGGATTCTAGGGCCCAGAAAGGCCTCACATTTCAGTTCTGGACGGATCCGTCCTGTAACTCAAACGTCCATCTCGAGATCAAGCCTGATTTCTGGGGGAGTCTTGGAAAATTATACATGAGATATCGGACTGTTTTTGCTGCTTTCCCTATGTTGACTGTTGCTCTTGTTCTCCGCAAACAGTTTCGCGTCTATGACAGTTCTGGGGTCTTCATCTCGTTCTCCCAAAGCTTGGATCTATGTCTACGACAGTCGATCCCTTTGCTGCTTGTGTCTCTGACACTCCTCTCCATGTCAATGGAGGGCGTTCCGGTTTCCTGGCTAGGTCGATGGTTTGATAAGGCTCATGCAGCTCCCCTGAGCGTCGATTACCATCGCCACGATATTCTCATTGGAACGGAGGATCCATTCTTCTGGTTCCTTGTACCCCTGATTGGGGTTGTTTGCGTCGGTGTCTGCGCTGTGGTCCACTACATGACAAAAGCTTTTACGCATATACTTGGTATGCTCTATTGGGCGCTAAGTCTGCTTCGCGTGTCGGGTGTAACAGACAACGAAGGGATGCCAAAGTCACCAGTGTTCGTCCCTTCGACCCCCAAGAGGCGCATGATTACCACGGCTGTCCTCTTGTTCCTAGTTTGGACATTCATCCCCTACCAATTCGCCTATCTGGTGGCATGCCTAGTGCAGCTTTTCACCGTGATACGGGCTCTCCGCATTAACAACACTACCCCTTCGGAAGCGAACTCAAATTACTACCACTACGCCCATTCTATTCTGCTCCTAATGCTCTGGATTCTCCCCATCAACCTCCCCATCCTGGCGGTTTGGATTCGAAACTTGGCTGTTCATTGGCTGACGCCGTTCTCCTCGCATCACAACGTTCTATCGATAATGCCCTTCATTCTCCTTGTCGAAAACTTGACAACAGGGAAGATGGTGCCTCGGGTGGGCAGAGTTTTTGGCTATATCACCAGCCTACTCCTGTTCGCTACGGCCCTTTATGCCGCCATGTACGGTATTTCTCATGCCTACATGCTTCACTATCTGGTGAACATCATTGCTGCTTGGTTGGTTGTTTTACATTCAACGAACGACCCTTTCTCTCTCAGTGGGTTAGGTGCTATATTCGACAGTAGTCCAAGCGAGGATCGAAAAACATCAAAGGCCTCGATATGAATGATCCAACGACATAAATTCTAAATTATTTTGTTATCACACTTTTGTTTAAACCATTGCGTAGCCTATTCCAACTTTCATGGAGATGGCACGATCATCTGGGAGCCATACACCCCGTCTCTAATTTTCAAATGGGGCTGTTCTTCTCGAACGGGTTTCAGCGAGGGCTTGCCCGGTAATACCTATTTATTTTTGCATGGTTCTGTAATCAACGTCCCTCTAGTGTCTGGAACGGATGACGTTGTACGCCTCTTGACGGCGTCAGTCCACGGTATGAGCATTTTCTCGGCGTTTAATGGGTAGATGGCACGATCAAGGAAATTCAGGAGGAGCCTGGCTTCGTCTGCACTGAGTCGAAAGTCTGTTTCTCATGGGGACTTTGGTTCTTGTGCAAAGTTTGGCCATTCTTGTCAGTGACTAGAACGGTGGATTAATTCTAATATTGCGCCTAGTTTGGCGACTATGGGCAAAGTCCTTGGAAATGTGGACTAGACCTTGTTGCACACGGAACAGTACACCTTGGTTGGCATATAATGGTATTAGACCTTCTCTATATCAAATGTTTAATGACTTTACCTTACCATCTCTGCTAAACGCCAGTCTGTTTGTACTTGTCTATGATTCTATTTGCAAACCCAATTCAATAATAAACCCTCCACTAAACGCCACTAAATGGCCTCTGTAAGCCGCCCAAGCCAATACTCCCAATGATGAAGATGCCCTTCACTTTTTCAAGCAAGTATCGAAATCTGAGATATTCTTAATCCTCTTCCTCGCCTTTGTTCATAGCCCTCAGAGCCTTAGCATGTCGGTGCCGAATGGCCCAAAGGGTGAGGCCGGTTCCAGCACAACAGGAAATCAAAGTGACCCAGTAGGCTGAACGATAGCATCCAAGTCCTTCCAGGCAGGACCTCTCGCCGCCCGGCCCGACAACGCTGTGTTGATCGTAGACTTTGCCATAAAATATGTTGAAAATGTTGGATGAAATAACGGGAGCCATGGTCAAGAAGCCCCAATTCTGGCTCAGTCCTCGAACACCAAATGTTTCTGCGACAAGAGATGGAGATACACCAAAGAGGAAACCATAGGCGAGACCTGACGGACCCGAGACAAGCCCGAGTAAGTGCGGGTCTTCGACATTCAAGGCACACACTTGAGCGAATATGAAGACGGCGCACGCGATCACAAGACACCAGAGCCTGCTAGCATGGAGCCGGTTGACCAAGAAATCGGAGCCGACGCCTAGGGGGAAAGTTAGACTCTGCAAGCACGAGATTTAATATCGTCCCTTAACTCACCGCTTGATAGTCTACCTAAGAAACTGCAGATAGACAAAGTCGACACATGCATTTGCTGTCGGTGAACAAGAGTATCGTCGGTAACATTTTTATCGTAATGTTTCCAAAGAGCCTTGGCATCGTTTCCGATGTTGCTGGAGATATGGTCAGCTGGGTACTTCCCCAAATCAATAAGGGCAATCATACTTAATGGTCATAAGACCCACGCCAGCCAAAATACCCATGATAACAAAAAGGTGCCAGAAACTGACGCTGCGTACAAGAGCGAGACCTCGGATATCTACATGGTGAGATCCATGGCTATTAATATCATGGTTTCCAAGAAGGGGTTGTTCGACACGTGATGAGGTACGGGATGTCAAAGGAGACGTCTCGCCAACCTCGAGGTCCTCAGGATTCTCGGGGGCGACCACGAGGCCAAATTCAGGCGCAAATGGAAATCCAGGAGAGCCCGTCGGATCCGGGGCGGTGGCAGATGAAGATGATAAACCGGCTACGTGGGAAGTCGTACTGGCGTGTGTGCTATTACTACTGGAATTAGTTAACATACCGGGTTCAACCTCCGCTCTGCTCGAGCGGTAGGGTTTTGGCTCATCTGAAGAGCCGGGTCGAGATTGCTGAGAATCGGCGGATGGAATGATTTGGCTGTCGTCCGAGCCAGGCACTGCCTCATACTCGACTTGCTCGTGGTGGACCTTGAGGAAGAAGAAGCTGCCAAACGTAAGGCCGAAGGTACCCCAAGCAAGGAGCTCAAGGAACGCGCTGGGATCTCCAGGAAAGAACACAGCACCGAGGAAGGAGAAGAAGAAAGCACTCAAGCCAAAGGCGGCCAAGGGAAAAGCCGTGGCCGATCCTCGATGTTTTGGCCAATTGAGAGCGGATGTCTTGACAGCCGCAGAGAATGCCATACAACCACCCAAGCCAGTCATGTAAGAAAAGACGCACAGCAGCATCACTGACCCGGAGGCGCGTTGATAGGCTTGATGAAGAGGGAAGTAACCCAAGAGCATGAGAATAGCTCCGCCAAGAACAGCAAGTCGTGGACCATGATGATCGACGAAAATACCTATAGGCATTCCCAAGGTGTACATGCCTAGATTGCCAGAAAGACCAATCAAATTGCTCTCAGTGGATGAGAGCTTCAGTCTTTCAGCGAATTGCGGAGCCCAGGCTGAGTAGACATACTAGGGATGTTGTTAGAACTACTATCCGTACACTATATAACTAAAAGCATAGTTGAATGGAAACCAACATTGGTGCCGCAAGCCAGGGATAGAGTGGTAGCTGCAACGCTGGCGATAATTCGCGCCCGAAAAAGACGCTGTGGCTGATCTTGATGCATTGCGACTTCGAGAAGCAATGCAATGTAATAGAATAAAGGCGATTGACCGCACAGAGTATCAATATGAAAGGGCAAGCTTCTGAGAAGATAAAGTTAACATTTGGTTAGTAGAGATAAAGCTGACACTAGTGGGACAAGTTGAGGAGAGAACTGATAAGGGAGTGATGACGAAATGAGATAGTGAGTTGACGTTCTTAAATGATCGGAGTTGTACGAAGTAGGAGCTATATCGTAGCACACGTGGCTACCTTAAGGGCGACATAGAGTTGAAGGACAAGGGGACACTATGGAGCATCTCGTGGCTCTTGCAATTGACGAAAGTGGAGGTTGATAGGAGAAACTAGGAACTAGGGAGGGAGGCTCCGACGCACGCGGAACAAGTCCCGAGACGCAACCCTTGTGACTACTGGTGAGTTTGGGAGGTGCTCTGGAGAACCCCGGCTTCGGCCTCCGAAACAGGTAAGGAACCTGCATCTTCAGCCACAAGGTGCGCCACATATCATAGCGATATCCGGCCTTGATTGACGACGTAATCTCACGTGGCCAGGCCTGATTATAGCCTCATCCAACCAACTTCAACATCATCAACAACTAACAGAAAGGCTAGGCAATCATATTGCTAACAAGACCACGACCTAACTCTGTCTCTGTGCTTGATTACGCAGAGCACCCTTACTACAAGACATACTCAACGGAACCCTAATCAAACCAGACGCGAATAGCCTCAGCGCGCCTTGGCCATGGGTGCCCTCTTGTCTTTGCCGCTTCTCGCGGTCCCCAGCGTTGGTGGTGTATGTCGACCGTCTCCCCAAACCTAACTACCAGAGCTGACCTTCTAATCAGATCATATCCTTCGCTGCCAGCTGCTGCGGTGCTGCGACTTGTTCTATGGTCTGCAGCGCATGTGGCAAATGCGGCAATAGTGTCGCAACTCGAATCGCATACGCGCTCCTCCTCCTCGTCAATTCGATCATCGCCTGGATAATGCTCACGCCTTGGGCGATCAAAAAGCTGCAGAAACTCACCCTCGATTATGTTACGATCAATTGTCCCACAGGCGAATGCCATGGCTGGTTTGCCGTTCACCGAATCAACTTTGCGCTTGGCCTCTTCCATCTCATTCTTGCTGGCCTGCTCTTTGGTGTCGCAACCTCAAAAAGTCCTCGCGCTGCTATTCAGAACGGATACTGGGGACCCAAGGTCATTGCGTGGCTTGCCTTTGTTGTTCTCTCTTTCTTGATTCCCGACAACTTCTTTTTGTTCTGGGGCAATTACATTGCCTTCGCTGCAGCTATGTTGTTCCTCTTGCTCGGCCTTATTCTGCTCGTTGATCTGGCTCACAACTGGGCCGAATACTGCCTCGCCCAAATCGAGGAAACCGATTCAAGAGTTTGGCGATTCGTTTTGATTGGCTCCACCCTGGGCATGTACATCGGCTCGCTTGCCATGACCATCGTTCAGTATATCTTCTTCGCCCAAGGTTCTTGCTCGATGAACCAAGCTGTTATCACCATCAACCTTATTATGTGGCTTGGAATTTCCATCATCTCTGTCAACCCGACTGTTCAAGAGTTCAACCCAAAGGCAGGACTTGCTCAAGCGGCCATGGTGGCTGTTTACTGCACATATCTTACTATGTCGGCTGTGTCTATGGAGCCCAACAGCAAGTGCAACCCTCTGATAATGGGGTCAGGAACACGAACGACTTCTATTGTTATTGGCGCTATTGTCACCCTGCTCACCATCGCCTATACCACCACCCGGGCCGCAACTCAGAGTCTTGGTCTGGGTAATTCGAACGGTATTCAGCTGCCGGAGGACGATGAGCACGGTCTTGTGACGCAACAGCCAAGTGCTCGCCGTGAAATGCGAGCAGAGGCCTTGCGTAGAGCCGTTGAAGAAGGCAGTCTGCCTGCCGATGCTCTGCTCTCCGATGACGAAAGTGAAGCTGGCGACACTCCTGTGGGAGACGATGAGCGAAACAGGACTCAGTATAGTTACTCTGTGTTCCACATTATCTTCTTCTTGGCTACTGCCTGGGTGGCTACCCTGCTCACCATGAACTTCGACGAGTCCACTAAGGATGGTGACTTTGCTACTGTTGGCCGTACCTACGCAGCAAGTTGGGTCAAGATCGTCAGTGCCTGGGTCTGTTACGGCATGTATGCGTGGACTTTGGTGGCGCCTGTTGTCCTTCCCGACCGTTTTGACTTTGATTAGGTTTACATATGCATTTGGCAGGAGTTTTTGATGGGGGAGCGCTTGTACACCTTTTGCTTGCCAGATTGTTACTTAGTTACTTGTTCAGCACACTATTAAAGAGCCGACCTGGATCTCAACGTGGATCATTCGCATGATTTGGTTAGTGTCACTCTGCATGATGTTCACTCAGATGATCAAAAATGAAGCATGTCTTTGTTCACCGAGTCGGCCACGTAAGAACGAATCTCAGACACCTTGACGCAGGTCTCGGGGACCAACTTAAAAGTGACAGACGTAATGAATAGAAAGCCAGCAAACAAGAAGTGCTAGTCGAGTCAGTAGTACCTTACGGAGATGATATCTGAAAGAGGGCATCACTTCACCCGATTACACACTCGTCCCAATAGTTGTGTAACAACGGACAAGGGCGGATAGAGGGGCCGGCGAGCAGGATGAAGTATGCCCTGGCGGTGCAAGGATCTGGATCAATGATGAAGCTGTATCTCTTCGGACGTGGCGTCAGGGGAGAGCGCTCGGGCTGTATGTAACTTACGTCGCTGTGCTCCGATGAAGCTATCGTGAGCTTTGGCTGAAGGGCAAGCCATGATGAACTGCTTGCATATGCTTCCCAGATCACACAAAAGGGCAAACTTCGTTAAAGCTGTGACTATAGCAACTTCAACCACTCGATTTCCATCTCCCGTCCTCGGTTGTGTTTTGTATATCTTGGCCCTTCGCCCTTCACTCTTTACTCTTCTCTCAACTTTCTTCGTTGGCTACCGCATCGCGATGAATATGCCGACACTCACCGGCAAGCATCCCCCCATGTAACCGGTGTCGCCTGTGCCACCTTTATCAAGGCTCTGTCCTCGATTTCCCCGAGAAAGTCCATGTTGATAAAGAGACGCATCGGTTACACCAACGTGACTGGACCCGTGATGAGATGCGTGATGCACGCGATATCAGATATGATGGAATATCATCCTCTCCTGAAGATCGCGCCCATGCCAGTTGGGGTATGACGGCGCATGCTCAGGTTCAAAGACTCGCGTAGCTTCACCAACCAGAGACGCGCGGCTGTTGGAAAGCTCAATGCCGAGATGTATCGTGACGATCGACCGAGAAGTCGATGAGAGAATGAGTGCATTGTAAGCACTTTATATCGAAGTTTGGCTCAGGCCCATTGTAATGTCCTAGCTAGGCGAGTATATAAAAGCATTGAGGACACGCGGATGGTCTTCGAGACAACACTGCGACCATAAGATCTTTTGCGTGGCCTGAAATCACTCTTATGCGACCAATTGAACTGGGCAAGGACCGAAAGCAACAGCAAGCAACAGCAACCCGATGCCACACAAAGTTGAAACCAATGGAGACGGTTTGAACAGGCAAGTATAGAGTTGCTACTTCACGACTCTATCATTAGTACTGACCTAGAATCCCAGCACGCTCACCAAGGACGGCTCAGTTATATTGAGTCAGAAGAATCATCCCAGAGCTGAGCTGAACAAGAAGGAATGCGGTCTCATGCTTGCTGCTTGGATGAATGAGTCAAGTCGGGAACGCCTAAGCATTAACGAGATTCTACTGCAACGAACAGGGTATGTTGAAATCTTCAATCTTTCATATGTTTTTTGGGCGTTTCTTAAACCTATCTGCAGGTCCCCAAAGCAACCAACTTGAACTCCATAATTCATGCCTGCCAACGCCAGCCTTAGATGATAATACAGGTCTTTTCTTTCCCCCCATGCTTGTTTTTCATAGCATCGCCAGTCAGGTGGTATGAGGGGCAGTCATCTTTTTCTCACCCATCCTGTCGATGGCTAGATATTCATAGCACGCCAAGTATTGAGATGGTATTTAGTAGGACCACCGGATTCGCTTGCAAAATTCAAAATGTTTTTGTAACACAGCGGCGTTGGGCTGTGTCCTCCTTTTTTGTCATTTCTTCTTCATGTTGTCGTAGCTTATTGGAACACGAGAGGCGTCTCTCCAAGCTCCTTAGCTGCTCCAGCTGCGTGGAAGCCATCCAGGGTGACAGTAACGGCGCCAGCCTGAACCAGCTGTAAGACTTGTTAGCTTTGCCCGACATTGTGGATTATAGACACGTCAAAAACTTACAGCACGGGAAAGGTCCTCAATTAGGTCGTTCGGGTCTTCAATACCCACACATAGTCGAATTATGTCCTCGGGCATTTGTCGCTCTGCTCTTGTCTTGGCGTCGATACTCGCATGGCTCATCTGGCAGGGCATGCTGATGAGGCTGTTGACACAACCAAAACTGACACTGATAGCCCAAAGCCGGGCAGCCTCGACAATACGCTCAGAAACTGCAGGGTCGCCGGTCTCGAAAGAGAGGACAGCACCAGCACCACGAGCCATAGACCAATGCAGATCATACTGCGGGTGTGACTTGAGACCGGGATATCGAACACGAAAGCCGCGAGACTCGAGAAACTCGGCAATTGCTTGGGCATTGGCCTGTTGTTTTTCCATTCGGATAGCCAGAGTCTTGACACCACGCATAAGAAGGAATGAGTCGTTTGGAGAAAGACCACAGCCCGTTGAGTTGATAACGAAAAATAGCTTGTCCCCGATCTGGGTGTCATTCATGGCAATGACACCAGCCATGATGTCGTGGTGACCAGACAGGTATTTGGTTCCAGACTCATACACAATATCGCAACCCACGTCAAGAGGGTTAAACAGCATGGGCGAAAGCATGGTGTTGTCGACGATCACCAGAGCCTTGGGGTTGGCTTCGTGGGCTAGGCGAGCGATGGATGGGATATCAACAACCTTGATCAAAGGGTTGGTTGGGGTCTCAAGCAATACCATGGCAGTCTTGTCCGAGATGCGTGCCCGCACGCTGTCCAGGGTTGTGGTGTCAACATGGTGAACGATGATGCCCTGGTTAGCAGCAAGGTAAGTGAGCAGACGATGGCTGCCACCGTAAAGGTCGTCGCCGGTAATAACCTCGTCACCGGGTCGAAGAAGTCGAGTAATGACATCGAGAGCTCCCATTCCAGAGCTGACAGCCAGTGCTCGCTGGGCGTTCATGATCTTGGCGAGGTGTCGTTCGAGATGTGTTCGGGTGGGATTTCCGGAGCGTGTGTAATCATATTCTTGCTGGCCTCCGCTTGCTGATGTCTGCTTGAAGGTGGCAGATTGGTAGATAGGAACGCTGGAAGCGCCATACTGGTCTTTGCTGTCGGTGTATACAAGCTCGGTGGCAAGAGCGTATCGCTTGCGACCAGTGCGTGGGCTCGATGGCGCAGGAGACGGAGGAAGGTCATGGCCCTCGTTATCGATTCGCTTCAGAGGGTCGGCCGACTTGCCAGGCTCAATTGGCGAAGGAGAAGACATCTTTGTGAATAGCTTTTGAGGTCTCGAAAAAGTGTGAAGTTGTGCTGTATAGAGGCGACGTTGATGGGGGGGGAATGATTTAGAGAGCAGGAAGGTTAGGTGCCAGGCAGATATATGGCACACACAGAGTATAGCGCGATGGACTGAAATAAAATAGAGTTGAAGATGATAGAAGAAGGAGGAATCTGATGATCTAGGAAGACGAGGGGGAAGACTAGGTACTAAGTGAGTCTACAGCTTGCAAGAGGACTGTCGCTCGGGAGTCGGGGAGTCATTCCCGCTGTCGGCGGTCTGGGGAAAGATGGTTTAATTTTTTGCCTGTGGCGGTCCCCGCAACAGACTGTAGCGCTGTGCACAAGGCTTCTCCAGCGCTTCTACAGGAAAGATCGCATCATATTCCAGCGTGCTGCAGTGCTATGGCTCAGAGCAGGGTCCCGCCCACCGCCATTCCTCTAAGTCATTCGACCGATTTACGGAGGAGATCTGATGTTGAGATACCTATCCAATACCGATTCCCGGCACTAAAGAGGAAGTATATGGTTATCAGTTCCCCAGAAAATGTTGGTGGAGTTACCAAATGACGTGATCAGGCACTATCATGGCCCATCGCTCCCATGCTATGTCCTGCTGCACTGTACGGAAAACTCGGGGGACGGAACCGCGCCCCGGCTTAATCTCATCCAGAAAATGGTTTCAATTAGTTGTTAAACTATGGAAGTAGCTGTGTTTCAATTGGACATGAATACTGCTACAACCGCTTGGTCTTCGTCTAAAACGTACATTCCTCTTATTTCAATCAATAACTTGGAAGATATGTTAATACAGAGTAGATAATTTCTACTTCATCTACCACATCCCGGGTTTTATAATGCCCCGCCGCTGGCTTCCGGAAGATACTGGGACAGTGCGAGTGATACGGTATATAATAACAGCTCGAGGACATTGCCGTGCCGCTTATTGGGCAATGGCCGATGAGACAAGACGGGGTGAGGTGAGGTGACGGCTGGGGTTGAGTGTGTCTATGAACAATAATTAGATGGTGCCGGCTCTGATCGCTCACTAATCTTGCTCCTCCGCGATCAGCTCCTCGACGCCGCTAGTCCGCCGGGCTGGTTGCAGTTTGATCTGTCCTCCCTCGCGGCCAATGAAGTCATCTGATCTAATGCCACGGAAGTGTCTTGGGTCCACGGTCGACATGGCTTGTCCGCTCTCACGATGTTGTCGCATATACTCTCGCACAGGCACCATAGCAGCGTCTCGGCAAGCTTCCTTAATATCACTACCTGAGAGTCCAGCAGTGATTCTTGCGACGTATTCGATGTTGAAATGCTCGGGGTCGGTCTTGGTATCCTGCAGGACGAGCTGTAGAATTCGACGTCGCTGCTCCGTTCCCGGGAGTGTCACAGGGAACTTCTTGGGCATTCGACGAAGGATAGCCTCGTCAATATCGTTGATACGGTTGGTCGCGCCCAAAACCATGATACGAGCAGGCATGCCTGAAGAGTTTGAGGACGTCAAGCCATCCCAGAGAGTCATGAATCTGGTACTCGTTAACACTATCCAATAAATCCAATCATGAGGGGCATAACACTTACTCGGCCTTAACCATGCCACTGGCTTCATGTTCGCCACTCCTTCGAGTGCCAAGTACCGCATCAATTTCATCGATGAAGATAATGGCAGGCTGCATCTTTCGAGCCAACGAGAACACGGCTCGGACGATCTTATTCGAATCTCCGTACCACTTTTCCGTCAATGTCGAGATATGTAGGTTGATGAAAGAAGCGCCACTCTCGTGTGCGACAGCTTTAGCAAGCATAGTTTTTCCACAGCCTGGAGGACCGTACAACAGCACACCCGATGGAGCTGACAGTAGTGGTGCGGCATGAGAGTAAAGATGGGGCATAGTCAGAGGGTATATGATCGATTCTTTTAGTTCTTCGATGATTGTGTCCAGACCGCCAATATCTGCAGTTGTTAGGAGCTGAAATGGCACGGGTAGTCAATATGCGTAGTTCACTCACCGTCGAATCCAACGGAGATGTCCTCAGGAGGGACCATCTCGAGTGCAACCAGGTTCTCATACTCATTCAGAACTAGATCTTCAGGTCGTGGTCCCCTCCTCGAGTCACTAGTGTCATCGCCATAGTCGAGTCCGTCTCTCTTGTGTCGATTTAACCGCTCAAGGTGCGCCTTGGCCTGCCGTCTCGCTTGTTCGTGTTTCTCTTTATCAGGATCGGCTATATTGCTGAGGATGGGATTGAGAAAGTTTCGAGCAACGTAAAGGCCAGCAGTCATCTATCCAAGCGATATTAGTACCATACCACTGATCACAAACCCCGGGACAAAATTCAAGCACTTACCATTCCTGCGAATAGCAGGATATCCATGGCGACATCGCCGAGCTTACGTCGTTCCCCCATACCGAGGACCCAGCGTAGCCAGGGGGTTGACTCCGATGGCATGAGACAGCAAGCAGAGAAAGGACAGGAAAGCAACGATTGAGAGTCGACGATAAGCCTATGTGGAGTGTGGTGGATTTTTCTCTTTGATCAATCCAGGGTTTGGCTACATCGAGCGTCGCCCAAAAATACGTTGTTAAATCTAAGGAGGCTCGAATCGGATGGTCTGAAGAATAAAACATCGATATGCGCCTTCGGCAGGAACCTAATGCGCTGGCACATGCCCGACGCACTTCCCAGCGGTAAGTGGCGGCTAGCGCAGTTCGACAGCACGGGCCACACTCGCCCAATTGTCGATTGTTTACATGGGTGAGCATCTCGGCATGACCCCCAAACATTTGATAGATCCCCTCTAACATTGCTATCCGCCATAATCATTTTTGACCATACACAAGCTGTGGCGCATTCCACAGAACCGATTCCTTGAGTCTTATCGAGTCTTAGAAGCGTTTTCTGGTCCTAGTCGTATCGCGATTGCTCTTGCGACAAATACAACATTACCAACGAAAGTGTTGCGATGCCACCACGCGCACGCGCAAAACCTGCAACTGGGCTCGCTGGGTTCGCGGCGTCCGATTCAGAGCCCGACCTGGACGCTTTCGACAAGTCCGAACTCCAAGCAGTTGCACGTACTATGAGCACCACAAAGAAACCCCGTGGTCGCCCGCCTGGTACAGCTAGCAAGGTGACCAAGACCGCACCTCGGACGGCACGTCGGACAAGCAGCGACAGGCTATCGGCTGTACCAGAATCGACAGAGCCATCAGCCGCTGCAACCAAGAAGAATAGTAGCGTGTCGAAAGCCACGCGCAAAGTCCAGCAAATAGCTCATGACGAGACTGTTACATTTGACGATATTCCGGCCACTGTTCCCGCGACTGACACGAAGAAGGGGACGCGCGGGCGTCCAAAGAACTCCAACGGCGACACGTCTATTATTGCTCCACAAAGTACTGTGAAGCGTCGTGGTCGACCCCCACGACAACCCGCGACATTAGTTGAGGAGGTTCCGGAAACGCAGCAAGCCGACATGATGGAACTAGATGCAGTGCTAGAGGAGGAAGAAGAAGGGGAAGAACTGGAAAATCGAAATACGGGCGTGACATCGGCCAGTGTAGCCCTTGAATCGTGGGCAGAGTACGACACGAACGACGTCTCGTTGCGTAGGCGAGTGGGAGATCTTGCCAAAAAGTATGAAGCCCTTGAGGCACGTCACCGAGACCTCCGTGAAATCGGCGTTCGAGAAGCTGAGCAAAACTTCGCCCGACTTAAAAAACAGGCTGAAGAGCGCACTGCCGGTAAGTGTCTTTACAGAAATTGTGCTCTTACAACCGATGTACTAATCCCAATAGCCGCCACCCAGCTAATCACTGAGCTCAAGGCTGAGCTTGCTGCGCAAACTGCGCTCGCCAGGGAAGGTGAAGAACTTCGAAAACAACTGGAAGCCAGCGAAGCCAAGACTCAGAATTTGGAAGGCACTATCCAGGATTTGAACAAATCTTTGTCCGGGGCAAAGGCCGAGATCAAGACTCTTTCTACCAAACTGGCCGCTGTAAGATCGGGCGACTCCAACTCCAGAGTACCAGGAAGCGCCATCAAGACTGGTGGTCCTGCAAACCGCACTGCCCAGGCTGAAGCTGCTCATGCTTCACAAGCTATTGCGCAAGCCAAGGAAGACTTGTACGCAGATCTCACAGATTTAATTATACGCGGTGTGAAGCAAGAAGAAGTGGAGAATACATTCGATTGTATACAAACTGGGCGCAATGGCAGTAAGTTTGGACGCCTACCACTTTATACGTATGTGTACTAACAGAATGGTCAGCTCTTCACTTCAAACTGGCAGTCGAGAATGATAGCAGCCTCGATGATTTATACTTTACATACCAACCACAACTTGACGCTGGGCGAGACCAGGAAATGATAGAAATGCTCCCAGAATACCTTACTGACGAGATTATCTTCCCTCGGTCCCAGGCACCCAAGTTCTACTCAAGAGTCAACAAATCTTTGACGGAAGACCTGACTCGGTAGTTGAAAACGTTGATGGTGGTTATACAGTAGGATGTGTTTGTTGCTAGAGATACCCAAGCCTTGTTTTAGCGTAACGCGTGTATGAGCAACTGGATGGAGATGGACGGAAGATTAGTCTATAGTACATGGGAACCCCTTTGAAGCCATTCATCAAGGTAACAGAGTTATCCGTCAAGGTATTCCAAGGAATGATGACCATTGGTGATGAATAACCAATTGAATTTGACATGTTCAATCGTCCAATATGCCAACTAGAAATTTACTCGGTTAGTCCAATTCAGAACTGCCAAAGGTAAATAAGTAAGAGACAGATTATTCATATCAATGGACTGAAGCTGGAAGTTCCAATTCAACACAATGGCTGGTGACTGGAAACTTTGACGCAGCCAACCACGTGTCGCGGGTACCAGCTGGAAGTAAGGGTTGTAGCACAGGCCACTAGCGTCTTTCCCCTGCAGATGGTAGATGGGGTCCTGGACTAAGATGTATCGGGACCAACCTACGTGGACGCTTAGACGCGTCCCGCATCAGCGTCATTCCCATTCTGGCCACGGTTTTATGTCTTGACTTCCTGCATCTTCATAGTAGGTTGTCTTTCGTTTCCCTCTCCAACAGATCAAGGGGCTATACAATATCTTCGATTGCTCTCGCTCTTTATCTTATTCCTTTTTAAAGGTCTTGCTTTTGGAACAAACTTATGGAATATTCACACTCATCAGCTTGGTGTGGTTAGATTTCGCATTTCATATTCTATCACCCCTGACTTACACCAGAACCAACGATTATCCGAACTACTTACACTTGCGCCCATACGTCTGAACTTACCGAACGAGTTGCCATGGCTGGCTTCAGTCGCATTGGCTTTATGGCCATTGCGGTCGCTTTCCATCTGGTCTACATCTTTTCCATCTTCGACATCTACTTCGTTAGTCCGATCGTTTCGGGCATGCGGCTCTTCAGCGTCGAGCGTCCAGAAGGCTCCCCCAAAGCTCCAGCGGACCGGCTTGTGCTCTTTGTCGGTACGTTAGCCTGCACACGAACATACTTGTACCTAATTGACTTATTGCGCCTCTAGGTGACGGATTGCGAGCCGACAAAGCCTTTCAACAACACCCCGAGCCCTACCCTAAATCCGATGAAGACCTCGTTCCCCGTCATCTAGCTCCCTACCTTCGCTCCCGAGTTCTTGAACATGGAACATTTGGTGTCTCCCACACGCGTGTTCCAACAGAATCGAGACCAGGACATGTGGCCCTCATTGCTGGCTTGTACGAGGACGTATCAGCCGTTGCCACAGGCTGGAAGATGAACCCGGTCGATTTCGATAGTGTTTTCAACCGCAGTCGACATACTTGGAGCTGGGGAAGCCCGGATATTCTACCCATGTTTCAACACGGTGCTGTTCCTGGCAGGGTAGATGCCTTCGCATACGGCGCTGAGCTTGAGGATTTCTCCAAGGATGCGACTGAGCTTGATTATTGGGTCTTCGACCATGTCAAAGATTTCTTCGCCGCAGCTGCCACGAACGAGACCCTCAATGCTGCTCTTCGTGAGGATAAGGTGGTTTTCTTCCTTCATCTGCTTGGTCTTGACACAACCGGTCACTCTTACCGACCATATTCCAAAGAATACCTCCATAATCTTAAGGTGGTGGACCAAGGTGTGCAGGAGATGGTAGAGCTTATCGAGAACTTTTACGCCGACGACCGAACTGCTTTTGTGTTCACAGCCGATCACGGTATGACAGACTGGGGTAGTCATGGCGATGGCCACCCTAACAACACCAGAACCCCTCTCATCTCGTGGGGTTCTGGTGTTGCCACTCCTGAGTTACACCCTGAGAGCATTGCACCTGGTCATGATGATTTATCTTCGGACTGGAACCTGGACCATGTTCGCAGGCATGACGTTGCTCAGGCCGATGTCGCCGCTCTCATGTCGTATCTCATCGGTACTGAATTTCCAGCAAATGGTGTTGGTCAACTTCCATTGAGTTTTCTCTCAGCAAGCACGAAGGAAAAGGCAGACGCCTCTCTAGCCAATGCCCGAGTCATTCTCGAACAGTACCGAGTCAAGGAGGAGAACAAAAGGAATGTAGAGCTGCGATACCAGCCCTATGGACCGTTGAGTGAGGACGAACGTAGCCCAGAGCAACGTACTGCTCATATCCGCTCCTTGATTAAAGCTGGTCAGTTTGAGGAGGCCATTGAAGAATCTGACGCACTGATGGCCATTGGACTTGAGGGACTGCGTTACCTTCAGACTTACGACTGGTTGTTCTTGCGTGCCTTGATCACCATCGGTTATCTGGGCTGGATGGCTTATGCTACCACGACCGTCCTTTCTCTATATGTAGTGCAAGCGAGTATCCCTCCTCAGCGCACTTTACTAGGATCTGTCCTGTTTTCATCGGTACTTGTCGCCCTTTACTCATCCTTCATCGTCTCCAAATCTCCCCCATCGTACTATCTGTATGCATTCTTTCCTGTTCTGTTCTGGGAAGAGGTGTATGCTCGCAGGGCTAGCATTGCCAAAGGCTTCCAGGCATTGTTTGGCCATGTCAAGTCCGGTGGTGCTGTGGCTGCCCTGGCCTTTAATGTTATTCTTTACTTCGGTGTCATTCAATCTTTGGTAAGTCAAAATTTGCCTCCCTCATGCCGCCTCTTCTTTTAACATTCCTAGGCCGTGGCATATATTCATCGCGAGGTTCTGACCGGTCTATTCGTCCTCGGTGCATTCTGGCCGATAACATTGGGAATCTCATTCTTGCAGTCCCACCTCTTTTTGAGCTTCTTGTGGTTTTTTTCATGTCTAGCTATGAGTACTTTCACCCTGTTACCTGCCATGAAGGTCGAAGACATATCTCTCATGTAAGTTGCTCCCCTCGTTGATGAACATTGTTGCAGCCACTAACAACAGACAGCATGGTTGGTGGCGGCTTGATGACTGTTGTCGGTTTGGCATATCTGGTCCTTGAAGATTTCATCTTGTCCGACTTCACATCCTTCCAGAGCAAATCGAAACGTCTCCACACGAACCGAATGCTTCTTGGTATACAGGTTGGCCTCATAGTGCTTGCCATGTTTGTCACTCATTCTAGTGCAAGCTCACTACAGGCCAAGCTCGGTCTTCCCAAGGGTAATCAAGCGGTTGGCTGGGTTGTTTTAGGTAAGTCACATGCATTGTGCATCAATACCATTCTAACAAGTAATAGTTGTATCGTTACTCATGCCCTTGGCGTATCGGCTACAGCCCAACAATCACTACATGCATCGCCTTGCGATCATCTTCCTGACATGCGCCCCTACGTTCATCATATTGACAATCTCCTACGAGGGTCTATTCTATGTTGCTTTCAGCATAACTTTGTTGGCGTGGGTTCGTCTCGAGTATGCAGTCCATGCCTTTACACAAGGCCGAGCCAGGAAGGAAACGACTGTCGCTGAACAACAGAAGCGTGAGCTGGGCACTTTCCGGCCATTGTCTCTTTCCGATGCACGGATCGCACTCTTCTTCATGGTTCTGCTTCAATCAGCATTCTTCAGCACTGGCAACATTGCCTCCATTTCTTCCTTCAGCTTGGAAAGTGTATCCCGGCTGATCCCCGTGTTCGACCCTTTCTCGCAAGGCGCATTATTGATTCTCAAGATCATTATCCCCTTCTTCTTGATATCAGCTAATCTAGGCGTGTTGAACAAGAGATTGGGTGTGGCGCCTTCTGCCCTCTTTATGGTTGTCCTTACAGCCAGCGACTTTTTGACATTGTACTTTTTCTGGGTTGTCAAAGACGAGGGTTCCTGGTTGGAAATTGGCTCAACTATTACTCACTTTGCTATCGCTAGTTTCCTCTGCGTTTTCGTTGCCGCATTGGAACTGGTAAGTGCGGCTTTCATTGCTGGCATTGAGGTTGAGCATGAAGACCATACCACAACAAACGCTACGGATTCGAGAACAAATGGACAAGCTCCGCCAGTGCTCAAAGCAGAGTAGCTGTGTAAGACAAAATGTTACTATAGAAAATAGTGCTGCACACAGTACACAATGATCTTGAATTAAAAGTCATATACGTATACATACCACGGGACTACCTAATGGAGCAATACACACAATCCTGAATACACACCATGTGACAGACGACAGGGGCACTACATCGAGCTGGATAGGGCTGAAGGAAAGGCAACCGGAAGATGACCGCGACGGCGCAACCCGTGGTGACATGATGATGGGCGGGTTGCGTCTGGCGGCCTCGGATGGTTCTTGGCGGCATGCATTGTGTTTGGCTGTGCATCCATCATGGTCGCCGAACAAGTTGGAATCTGGGGCACAGATTCGGAAGCCCGGAGTACAGGGACCGGGTGTTGTGGGGCAACCGTAAGCGGAACGGTCAAATTTACATGTGAAGAGTTGAAATAAAATAGCAAATGATATTCACCGACCGATTATTTTAATAAGTCACGAATATAATTAGACAGTGAAACAGACTATGTCACTAGCCATGGCGTATCTGCTCACCACGTGTACTTGTATGTATATATGTATGTATGTACAGTAGCATACTGCGTTAAAGTTCAGGTAGAATTCCACGCTACAGATCATCACGGATACCTTGCTAGCCAAAGGAGGCTCAGTTTTTACCAACTTCCCCAGCTTTTTTCTCGCGAGACAAGCCCTTTTCGACCAAGTAAACCTGCTTCAACTTCGAGCCAAACTAGATTGGGTGCTTGGACCGTTACCATCACGCCTCCAAGCTTTCACATGCCATGACCACCACGACGGCAGTGCTATGTGTTATGTACACGATTTGTCGATCAATCTGATGTACAGGGTTTAATCATTTCATGCACAAGCTCCATTTGGGCATAAAACAATTATAAACTACAACTCGTTAGATTTCTAAACCAGGCACACGCTTGGAGCCACAGGTCACGCGCGCACACAGCGCCGCAGTTCGCTGTGGTGTTTGACCTTGAAGAGGACATCTAGGCCCTGATGATAGGAGAAGGATTCGCTCTCAAGTGACTTTAATTACTTGCCAGGCCTTTTTATAACATACTAGTGACGCTTGGTAGATGCCAAGGCAAACAAGCATTGGTTAAATAGATCAACTCAGCAACCTCTACAGGGCCCCTGTACCTAACCTACTAACGTTCTACCCCAGGCCTCAGCTCAGGCATATTCATATCCCACGTCTGGGTACCAAATGGCCTCACAATAGCGTCGCATTCATGAAGCCGTTACAAAAAATGAACACATCATACTTCGTTAACTGCCTTTCCTACCACGCACTCCCTCTCGGAGATTGAACTTGATACGGCATCGACCAGCAACAAACACGGATCGCGGATGGCGGAACGAGTTCCATATATCTGTGGGCCCTCTCATCTTCAACTGAAGTGAGCGCCGAGTAACTTATCCAGTAAGTATGGAGTAAAGTAAGTACCTTTGTGTGCTTCCATTTGTTTGCACCGCTTGTACCGGACGGAAACAGTGACGGCGGCTGCAGTGGAGAGATGCTGTCCACCATCTCCGACGTTGCAGGGCCACCCATACCCATGACCATATTCGCAGGAATCTGGAGTGTGCGTATGTACACCCGCCGATGTTTCCGCCATTCTTCTTTTGCTCCTTTAAAACCTCTCTCGTAGTCTCTTGTAGGTACTTCAGGACTAATCAATCAGTCACTTGAATCTTCTTACTCCCTTTAAACAACCCTCAGCAAAGTCAATCCGCCTCGGCTCTCTGTCTGCATATCGACAAATATACCTTCCCTGTGTCCATCCAGGCGATTGCAGTGCAGGTTTCAAGACGGGGAAGATCTCTAATTTACGTATGGATCCCCGCTCCCGCCGCTAACACGCACCTCGGCCGGTTCCAGGCTCCGTTGTCACTTATTAGCTGCCCGTCAACCCAGTTGCTGAGTCCTGCCTGTACCTTATTACAGCGGAACTTATTGCCGTCTGCTGTCCCGACGTAATCCGTTTGCTGACAATTGTCTTGCTGCTGGTGGTGTTACAGACTGGGCAGTATCCGGCCTTGGCTTGACTCGAAACAAAGTCAAGGCTTGAGGTTGCGGCCAAGGTGTTTAAGGGGCACGACAAGGCCGAGAGGTAAAGGTAAGGTAGGTACTTCCGTACTAAACTTCAGATCGAAAGATCTTCAGACCTGCCGTTTTGGTGTGGTTCACTCCTCCCCGCCTAGTGGTATTGTCAGTGCTTCTTTCTGTCTGGTTGGTGCTGGTCGGTACCTGCCCTGGCCGCGTGCAAGCCCATCGCAACCGCGCAACCTACCTTCCATTTCTACCTTACCTGCGTTCTCAACTCGTCTTCCCCCCTCTTCGATACCATTCCGACTTCGACATTTCCTGTTCGCCCTCGCTTCGACCTTTTGCCGCCGGCTTTTCCGATTCCATGGACGTGGATATGTCGTCAGGCAGCGGCACGCCGCAGGTGCAACCCCAAGCGCAACAGCTACAGCAGCCAGGAGAGTCGCAGATGTCTTCGACGCCAGGTCCGCCCGCCGGCAGCATCTCGACATCGACACAGGTTGGTGGAGTGAGTTTTCGAAGGTGAGTCGCTTTTCCAAACTGAATTTGTTGTTGAAAATGCTAAACTCGCTCTTTCGCAAGACAACGAGCGTCGCGTGCATGCGAGGTAAGCACCTTTTTAAGTCTCGCTGTCTTTTGCCGAACCTAGACATCCATGAGAGAGAGAGCCCTGTCCCCTCGACATGAGCCGAGGCATCAGCGGGCACCAGCCCACTTCATCATGATTCTTCATCGCGACATTTGCCAACAGCTATGTTTTTGAATTATTTCTTGAGCCACTGTATTGGACCGTGATGCTAACCAACCCGAAAAGACTTGTCACGCCAGAAAGGTAAATCCATATTCTTCCAATAAATTAGCCGACCCAATTGGTTCCAGGCTTCACCACGGGCAGCAATAATAACCCTAATATTCTGCAGGTTCGATGTGACGCCGCCAGCCTTGGTGTGCCTTGTACCAATTGCGTTGCCTTCCAGATCGAGTGCCGTATCCCGAATCCGAAGCGCAAAAAGACTCAGGGTTCTGGAAGCCAAACCAACAAAGACTCCGACAGGTATGAGAATGCGCCCTTGTGCGCATCTCGGTATCTCATGCTGATTACTATCTACTTAGCGACCGAGGCGATGGCAACGAAGACCCTTCACCACGTCCCGCAGCTCCTTCAAGTACTGCATCTCTCACGCCGCGAGCCCCCTCAGTGTATCACTCCAACAATGGTACTCCTGTCGCCGCTTGGACAGAAGCCCAGGCACGTAAAGAAGAAGTCGACAGCGGAACATACCTCGATATTGTCATGAAACCCAAGTTTACGCGCGCTCCCATTACCGAAGCTGGACGAGTCGCATACCTCGGTGAATCCTCAAACCTCACTCTTCTTGTTCACGATCGTCAAGGATCGGCAGATGTTGTGCATTACCCACTGCCTGAAAACGTGCGCGGCTCCCGAGCTCGACTAACAGAGCTTGACAACGTTGAAATCGACATCCTGCACCAAAGGGGAGCGTTCTTGCTTCCTCCCCGATCACTATGCGACGAGCTTATCGATGCCTATTTCAAATGGGTTCATCCAATTGTACCCGTGATCAATCGCACACGATTCATGAGACAGTACAGAGACCCAAAGAACCCTCCTTCGTTATTACTCCTTCAGTCCGTCCTTCTTGCCGGTACTCGCGCCTGCAACAACCCCCAGCTGATGGATGCGAACGGTTCAACCACGCCTGCCGCTCTGACTTTCTACAAGCGTGCCAAGGCTCTCTACGATGCCAACTACGAAGATGATCGTGTGACAATCGTTCAATCGCTACTCCTGATGGGCTGGTACTGGGAAGGGCCGGAAGATGTCACGAAGAATGTCTTTTACTGGAGCCGCGTAGCGACAATTGTTGCTCAGGGTTCAGGCATGCACCGGTCTGTTGAGCAGTCGCAATTGAGTCGGGCAGACAAGAGGTTATGGAAACGAATCTGGTGGTCTCTGTTTACTCGCGACCGTTCAGTGGCAGTTGCTTTGGGTCGGCCTGTTCATATTAACCTCGACGATGCAGATGTAGAAATGTTGACTGAAGACGACTTCATCGAGGACGAGGCGGATCGAGTCAGCGAGTATCCGCCTGATCCTGTCCATGTTCAGTTTTTTCTCGAATACGTCAAATTGTGCGAGATCATGGGCTTGGTGCTATCGCAACAATATTCTGTTGCATCTAAAGGAAGGCAGAGGAATGCTATTGATCTTACGCATAGTGATATGGCCTTGGCCGACTGGTTGCAAAACTGTCCGAAGATTGTTTATTGGGAAATGCCTCGCCATCATTTTTGGTCGGCACTACTACACTCGAACTACTATACAACACTGTGTCTCTTGCATCGAGCTCACATGCCACCGGGTGGTTCATCACGTTTCCCTGACCCTTCGCCTTACCCGTCTCGCAATATTGCCTTTCAGGCTGCGGCTATGATAACTTCGATCGTCGAGAACCTTGCCGCGCACGACCAGTTACGGTATTGTCCAGCCTTTGTTGTCTATAGTCTGTTCTCTGCACTCATCATGCATGTCTATCAGATGAAGTCGCCCGTCCCTTCGATTCAGCAGGTGACACAGGATAGGTTGCGTAGTTGTATGTCAGCTATGAAGGAGATTTCACGAGTCTGGCTGGTCGGCAAAATGGTATACGCTCTCTTCGAGTCTATCATGGGAAACAAGACATTGGAGGAGAGGCTACAAAAAGCCGAGGGCAAACGACACCGAAACTTGCGACATACTCTTTCACAATTGGAACAACAACAAAATCGCCAGGCTGAGGCGCCGAAACGAAAGTATGATGACATGGCTATCGACTTTGGTACCAACACACCTCAACCTCAGGAATCGTACGAGAGGTCACGGCCACAGACACCGAGTGCTGTTAAGGTTGAATCGGGAAGCTCAATGCAGCCACCGCCAGTTACATCCCCAAACGCACGACAAAGTACAACTGACACTTTCATGGGGGGAACAAACTCACGCCCTCAGACTCGGCCGGCAACGCCGTTCAATCCATCTTTTTCTGTGCCGCCAACCCCTCCGGATCTATACCTGGTAACAAGAAACTCGCCAAACCTGTCCCAGTCACTCTGGGAAAATTTCCAGCCGGATCAGTTATTCCCAGACAGCGCTGCCATGCCAGCTTTCCCTAATTTATCACCAACGCAGACGCATTCTAACCTCGATCACAATCCCATGGGATCAGTGCCGCCGAGTAACGGGCAGAATAGAATGCAAACCCCACAAGCCGGACAGTATCAACACCAAGGGAATGGGATGATGCCACAAGGGTTCCAAGGACATACGAATATGTGGCAACCAAATCTGGACCCAAACCTGCCTGAGGGACAGAGTCCTGACAGCTGGAGTACTTCATCCGGGCCTGCCCAAGCAGTCCCGACGACACTAAATGTTGAGGACTGGTAAGACATGGATGTCTCCAGTTCATATGCGGTTGGCTAACTTTATATCTTAGGTTCCAATTTTTCGGTATTAATGGCGCGGATGCTAATCATATTAATCTTGAGATGCCACTAGGCTGAAAGAATCAAAAGGATGCAGCTAAACATCAAGGAGTAGATGCTGCCCATGCCGAAGATTCCCTTGATTCGCCATGAGCGTATGGCTCGGTCGCTGAATGATAGACGAGTTTTATATACCTTCTCCCATCTTCGCCGCTAGCTGGGTGGCTGAACAACTGGGCGCAGTCTAAACCCGCCTTTGGCAAGCGCTTCAGAGAATATCCAGGGTTTAAAATCTCGAATGCGGTTTTCTCTTCATGGCACTGAGACATGATGGTAGATGTAAATCCGGCATTTGAAGACACAGGGCAGGGTTACGGGTTCAAGGCCCGACGCCAGATCATCTACGACAATATAGTACTGCTCTAGATAAAGAAAATATACACCGTTACTCACTTCGCAATATCTTTTTACTACCTAGGTAATCAATATATATGATTTGATATGTTATCCGGATAACTCCAGCAATAAAGTATTTTGGAGACTTCAGGTAGTAGTTAGTATCGAAATCTACCTATATCAAATTGTAAACACTTAATTATAGTGCACCGGAGTTGAGATATCAAGCACCTACAGTAAAGGGGACGAACACCGCGGATTTCTTCTAGAGGACATGATATATCTAGAATTTACCCAAGGCTCTCAAGCATAAAGTAACTCTCGGGCGGAATATGATGCAGTATTGAACTAAGATTTGAGACCCCTCCTCTGATTCTAGAAGCCAAAGGGTTTCCAGGGGCCTTGGGAGACTGTTCTCAGCGGGGGGCTACAGCCATCTAGTTAGTGGGGTTATAGTGCATGGATTCAGTAACTGTGACGCTAGAGCGTGGGCACTTACACACTGCAACCAATACAAAGCGTACAATGGTTGACGTGGATGAGGTCGGGTGTTCTCCACGCGGCCTCCGGTAAATTATTACCTAACTCGTCAATCGAAGGGCCCCTTCATTATGCATAATTACCTTGCGATAGCGGCAAACATCGTGCTTTGAATACCGAGTTGCGGTTTGAAAGTAAATACTGGTGATGAACTGAGATCTAAGCACCTAACCAGCATCTAGATCTTTGGCTTGGAATGGGTGACAAATTTTAACAGAAGTTGACTGAGTCACGGCCGCTTGCATCATTTACCTACCAAACCGTCCAAGGCAAGGTAAGGTACCCTGCTGTGCCTGTTCGGTATTAGGTACTACGTACTGGGTTTAGCAAGTTGGCTTCCGTAGTAGGTACTAGGTATGTGGTCTACTGGTCTGTTGTACCTACGGCCAGAAGCCAGCGAGAGTGAAGCAACCTTGTCCTAACCACCACCTCAATCATATTCCACGACAGAAAATAGTTGATATCACAGCTCGAATCCACACTCTCTTAAAAGTAAAGTTGGGCAAGAGCAGATTTGACGCTCAAACACCAAGAGCATTGGCTCTGGTTGATCTTACTCATCGTCTCCGCTAGCGATCGGGGATACTTGAGAGGACCCTCCCGTCCTCCATCTCCATCTCTATCTCCGCCCCATTATCTCGCCTTCTTGACCCTTACCGTCCGTCCTCTTGATACATCTCTCCCGGCTGAATGATTGCGACAACGACTCTGGTAGCCGCGCCATAAGTGCCGCACACTCATGCAAAGCCTCACCTGCACAACCCAACAGCAACTATCGTCGCCGAGTTGGTGGCTCTCATGACCGAACCAAGACATTCTACGCGGCCACAGCCGCACCGGTCTTCATCGGCCCTGGCGCCCGCCAACCACTCCTCAGATTCCACCTCCATCCGCCCACGAAATCGACGTCTGCTTAGTAACCTCGACGACGATAGTGACACTGCCACCTCCCGCGAAGCGAGCCGCTCCCGTCGTAACCGCAACCTCAATGTCCATGATACCGCCGGTTCTTCTTCTCCTGCGCGGAGCTACGGCCTCTTGTCAGCTTTGAGCCCTGCCAACAGTCGTTCTACGAGCCCTCTTCCCTCAGAACGGGGTGGCACCAGTCCTCACCGAACCAACAGCGCGGCTAACCTGACGAACTTCTTAAACGATTCACTGACACAGAGTTGGGCCTCGATTCAGGGGTTCACATCTTCACTTATATCAGGCGACAATGGCGCGGCCAGGAGATCCCAGTCCCATAATCGAGCGGGCTCTCGACCTGGGACCTGGGGCAGAGACTTTTCTAACAGTAGTGGCTCGAAGAAAGCAAGCGGTGCTTGGGGTCCGTCCCCTCCTCAAGAGCCGAATCTGGATGACGTGGGTGCTGGCTCGAAGGCAGAACGGGAGGCTGCTCTTAAGGCTGCGAAGACGGCTATGGTGCTGGAGAGCCACGATCGAGTCAATGGTGGACTAGACGTCAGTGGGAAACATAAGCGCCGCAATTCTGACGAATCTGTCCCCGAGCAGTCTCAACCTCAGGAGTTCATGGTCTATATACACAAGGTTGAAACCAGCGACACATATGCCGGCTTGATTCTGAGATATCAATGTCGTGAGGATGCTTTCAGGAAGGCCAATGGGCTCTGGACACGAGATAGCGTACAGGTGCGCAAGTGGCTCATGATTCCAGTTGATGCTTGTGATGTCAGAGGACGGCCATGCGATCCGCCCTCATGGCATAACGCTCATGGAGTTGACTTACTCGCTCCAACGCCTGCTGCTGAAGACAGCGCATCGGCTGCCCACGACGACTTCTTCAGTCGACCAATCAACGGAACGTCGTCGGCAACCCCACGGGCTGAGGAGGAAGAGAGGCCATGGACACATGTACGATGGGTCAAAATTGACTCTTTCTCACACCCAGTGGAAATTGCACGAGTTGCGCGGAATGCCATGGGTTACTTCCCTCCTCGACGAAAGAAGAGTATTAGGACTATCTCCACACTTTCGACGCCTCGACAGAGTCTAGACCTATACAGCAACCCTCCTGGATCTGTAGGCACCTCGTCTCGTCGACAAAGCTCCCTCGGCCACCGACCTCAGCTTTCGGGTACGGTCACATCAAGCCCAGGGCGAGGTGCGATGAGCGACGGTGGTGAAGCTTTACCTGCCTGGATGCGTCGGCCTGGAGGTGTCGGTTCCATGGGCATGGGTACACGGGCTCCTGGTCCGGACAAGGACCAGCTTACCACGTGGACTAAAAAGTATTTGCCCGGACTCACCCTCGAAGGTATCCCTTCCATGTCCATTATGGGGTCGGAAACAGCCCATTTTGGCTTCAAGGCAGGAGAATCGTCAAGTATAGTTGAAAATCCAACCGGGGAGGGACAAGATGCCAGTTCAACACAACAGGGCAATGGTCTAGATAAAGCGGCTGCAGCTGTCGAGACTTGGCTTAGGGGCGCTCTCATTCGCAAGCCAAGTTCCCAACTGGATAGGATACGTGGAATGCCTGAAGGCGGCAGGCCCGAGCGAAACGGCGATCTGATAGAGTTGACGGATAACGGTAGTGACGATGGAAGAGGTCCTTCATCGGGAGCACCGACCAGTCTCATGGAGTCGCTGCAGATCAATAGCAGCAGCAGTCGAAGCGAAGGCGGGGGCGGCGTTCGAGGGCGGGTGGTGGCCAAGGGCGGTAAAGACGATTAGAGGCCATAGAGCCTTGAACAAGAGATTTGTATGGAAGAGGCGTTAGTTGTTGGAGGACAGCATGTGAAAATACTAAGTCTTAAGCTGCGAGGCGTTGGGAGGCATTCGCGATTCTTCAGGATATACATACTTGATACTGCATAAGTCATCCCTTTTGAGCGGTATGGCTCTCCGTTGTGTACATTGCTCCATATAATTTTAAGTGGAAGAACATGTAAATAAGATTTGAGGCTCATCATTGACTCTAAGGTGCTGTTGAATTTAGTCGCTGTGTATCGACATGGAGGGAGCACAGCACAAACAAATAATCAAATATCCCACTGCCAGTTCACTTGGTATCTTAATACTGTCTACGTGTTAACTGATTTCTTGATCTGACTGTAGCAGAAGGTATTTGGTCGCACATCCATTGTAATGGTTGTTCGTAGGTACCTATCTTTAGGCAGTACGTGTCGTTCTCCCGGCTATCCCCATATTATTTCCGGCTCAGGTTTAAACTGCGTGGCTGCTTTCAACACCATGACTTGCTATTCCTAGCCATGATATTAGTCAAACCGCCCACATCACGACTCACATTATAGCAATCGGGCACTCATCAAGATTTGCTTAACATATCTATCATGCCCATCTGCATTGAGTGCAGGCACCCTGTCAAGACGCTCTGGACGGCATACTCTGGCGCAGGGGACAAGTCCAGCGGACACAATATCCGACTCACCGTGTGTCGCAACTGCGGCCGCTTCTGCGACAAGTACGTCGAGCATGACTTTGTCGTATTGTTCATCGATCTGGTTCTTATAAAGCCCCAGGTATTTCACCTCCAATGACAATTCCTTCTTGGGATACTAAAGATTACAGGTTTATCGACACTTGCTATATAATACGTTGATGCGTGATGATGATCGCTTAGATGTAAGTTATGAGAATGTCAGCGTCATCAGAGCCATGTTAATATCTTTCCAGCCCTCCATCATCCGTCTTGGGATCCTGCTGCTTCTTTTTGATGTGTATTTGACATGGGCACGGCTGGAGAAGCAGACAATACCGGATGCTATACCAGGAGCGAGTAATCTGGGCAGACTGGCCCAGCAGCCAATTGTCTTTCAATATATATTTTTTCGTAAGATTGCCTACCATCTTGAGGCTGTTTCAAGGACTACGAACTGACTCTGCTTGTAGTCATCTTTTGCGCTCTCTCGACGGCAGCATTCCATGTGAGCATACGCTTCCTCACATCGTCTGCCTTTTCACCTCTCAACCTCTTGGGCATTCTCCCACAGTATACAAGGCCCAACTCAGTGTCCACAGCTCTTCTGGTGTCATCTTCCACCAAGCTGTTCCCCATCCTTATGGTAATCTGGGACTACGATGTCCCCGCCTCTGCTCGTTCACTTGGCTGGGCCGTTGTGGCCAACAATGTGGAGGCTCTGCGCATCCTCCTCGACTGCAATTACCTAACAGCATGCCTACTCGCCATCGCAGGGGCGGCCTCACGCTGGGTCGTCGGCCGAGCCGTTCTCCTCGGCGCTGGTCTCGCGGACGTTGACTCGATAGGTGAGAGTGGTGTGGCGGCAGATGGTAAAGCACTCTGGGCATTGTTGATGTATGCGAAAGAATGGGCAGGCCGGCTCGCTGTCGGATGAGTTCACCCACTGTAGCCAAACAATCACAATAGAATTCTCGAAAGGGGCATATTATGTGTAAAGCGCATCTTTGGCTTGGTATAACAGGCGTTCCAACTCCGTATGTAATAAAACAGCAATACCAGTATAAGTCTTAAAAGTCCAACATTGTAGAGTTACAGTCGTATCCTTGCGACAGTCCCATGACAGTCCGTCTGTCCGTCCGTCCAGCTCTTCCGCAATGCATATTATATGAATCCAATCGAGGTTCTCTTCACTCTTCGTGGAAGCCACTTTTCCTCGGCGCGATAAGGGGGTGCAGTTGAGCGAGGAACGTAATAGCCCACATGAGGTAACAGCTCACGATGGCCAAGATGAGAGACGACCGCCAGAGTCTAAAGGGAGAGAGGGTCAGCTTATAATGCGTCGCAAAAGGGCAATGAGTCGCTGCTGCGAAAAGGGGGGCAAACTGACACTTGGTTTTCGCCCTTAGGAGCAAAGAACCATGACGCCACGCATAGAACCGCGATGACAACAAGGCCGATGAAGACGGCGTATCTGCGCTTTCGTTAGGACTTCCACGCGTCGTAAGCAGGGGAGAGCGTCGCTGCATACCCTTGAGCCATTATGAAGGTTGCGCTTCGAGTCTTATCCTGCCGGCAGGAGGTGTTTGTTCGGATGGATGCTTGCGTGCGATTAACAGGGCTGTTTTGCGGCTGTAGGAGCTTTCTCGATGGTTGATGTCGTCGGGTGTTTGGAGCTTGCAGCTAGGTTGGTTGCATCACCGAACAGTGACAGGAGTTCAAAGCTGAGTCAGCCAGTTGGCACAGAAACTACCCTACACCGTGAGGTGAGACGACAGCAACCATCGAATCGAGATATTCTGTAAAGCCTTTCAGTACATTAAAAGAATCTTGCACGTCCTCTAAGTTTAGTGATTTGTTGGAGAATGAAGGTTCAAAATAACTAAGTTTGTAGAGTTGCCTTCCTGTATAATTCAACTTTGTGGAGTCACGTATCACACAGGCTTACATACTGAGCATCCGATATCCATCGTCATGCACTTACATCCCTAAACATCATTCTCATACTTGAGACCGGATTCCTTGCGGACTGCTCCGTATATCCCAGCCATATCTGCCGATGAGCCAACATGATCATAGGCCATAGCAAGATGGGCGTCTGCGGCCTCAATGTTGCGTAGCTGGACACCAGCATCTTTAGCCAAGCTCATGGCATGTCTAGCATCCTTCCTTGCCAACTCTACAGCGAAAAGCGGCTCATCGCGTTTGTAATAATCACCGCTCAGCATGCGCTTGCTGTACGAAGCATAAGGTTCCCCGAAAATAGACTCAACAAGTTGGTGAATAGGCTCAGTTCCCAGACCCGTCTTCTCCGCCACAACATGTGCTTCTGCGAGCTGCTCGGCCATGTTCAGAATGAATGTGTTTCCGAGGACCTTAAGAGTCAAAGCTTTGCTGTATGGTTGATCTGAAAGATCGATCTCCTTGCTGGACGTCACACCCTTGAACCAAGGCTTTGCCCTTGCAACGCTGGCTGCAGGTCCAGCAAGCACACCGACGAGCTGACCAGCCTCAGCCATCGAGGGAGCACCAAACACAGGAGCAGCGACGAACTCAGCGCCCTTGGCCAGAACTTCTTTTGCCAGGGCTTCGGTAGTTTCGGGATGGATCGTTGAGCTTTCAATGAAGAGTTTACCCTTGACATCTCCTCCAAGAAGTGTCTTGTAAGTCTCCTGGACAGCTTCATCGTTGGCAATACATGAGAAGATAACATCTGCTCTGGAGACGCCTTCGGCAAGTGATGTGATTACCTCAGTCTTGCCAGTGGGAAGCGTGGCACTGAAGTCAGTGGTCTTTTGAGTTGAGCGATTGTACAGAAGCAGGGGGCCATCCAAGTTGGCCTTCTCAACAAGGTTTTTGCTCATGCCCTATAGTCATTAGCGTTGTCCTTTAGGTCTCTTTTAGAAGAACACAATCGAGACATACCCTTCCCATATTTCCAAGACCGATCCATAGTAGTGTAGGAGCCATAGTGACAAGCTAAGGAGTCGTAGAGAAGAGATACAGGAGCTGGCAATAAACCGTAGAGCAGATGAACAGTAACTCGTTGGAGTAAACTTGCTGACGGCTTGACCTTTGCTGCCCATGCGTCATTTATACAACATAAACAAGAGACCGATTCGGGAATAACACAGCGGAGTTTGTTGGTTGCTGAGACGCAATCAGGTGGAGTTGTACTTGACTTTGACCAACACAGAACCTACTACCTACCCACCTAGGAAATATCAACAGTATTACACTGTAATGCCCAATGTCCCATTTCAGTCGCCAATTAATAGGACCTTGGCATCCATCCATAGAATATACGTCGCTATTCGAAGGACCTTCATTGACCGTGATTGAATGTAAGGCTGAGAGGCCGAGTCATGACGCAGTTACAGAGTCCACTGTTGCTTAGAGCTTCCCCATGTTTGTGTTAGGCTTGACTACGTCTCTATTCCACGTTTCTCCATACTACTGCAGACTGATATGGCTGTCCACGTAGGTAAAAAGCTTAAGAGAATCGACTAGAACTAGGTCTATCACATGCCATGATCAATTGACGCTTTTGTAGTTCCCCCGCGCCTACCTACTATTACTAACGTTAACATATCCTTGTCAAATATGAACAATGCCCATCGTCATCTCTACTTTTATTAGCGACATCGGCATCAAACCTGGGGCTTATCAGCTTATCTTCCACATGCCGCTCTCCCAAAAAAAGTCGTCACTCCACTGCCCGGCCATTTATCAGAAGTCCCAGTCCCTCCCTCTACTGAATTTTGACTCACAGCGACGTTGCACAATTACAATTTTTGCCGATAGGGGCATACTATAAACTACCCAGCGATGCTCTGCAGTTAGCCTCAAGACTTCTCCCCCTAAAGGCCGCTCCCAATTCTTCAGATCACAGGTCATCCGGGGGAGGCATTGGTATTCAAACCTCTTCCACTTATCAATCTACTTATCAATCTACGCCTATCGAGGCCAGGCACAAAATCCAAAATTCCATCATGAGCTTGCCTCGCATACTGAAGCAGGCGCCTCGGTGCGGCCAGTGTGCTCCAGCTTCTGAACCACATTTTACACCATCTTCCCAAAAATTCACGAAGTCGATCCGATCTCGGCATCGTAGCTTTGCTTCACAATCCGGCAGTAATTCCTCACGACCGTTATGTCTCGGCAAAGGCGCCACTCGTGGCTTGTCTGCAGCTTCTGCAGCTCTTGCTAGAAAAAAGGCCATTGACAGAGTATGTTGACTACATTTCCTAGGTTGGCTACCACGTTACTCGACTGATTATACTCATAGGACTTTATTGTCTCAGTCTTGGAGGTCTCGGCAACGAAGCGTGATGCCAAAGGCTACCTTCAGAAATATACGAGCAAGAATCCGAAGTCGGTTGCTGATGTGCCTTTGTTCGTGCAAGGTGATCCTCAACAAGAGACGGCGTCCGAAGCTCAGAAACCTCCGCACGTTGCTATCATGAAGCTGCGTGTGCCCCAAGAAATCGACGCCGAAACCCTTGCTGGAGTAGCGAACACGCTCTCCCAATTGCGCAAGCTCGGACTCTTGAGCGTGGTTGTGATCGACTGTGGCATTGATGAATCTCGCATGACTTTTCAAGACGAGGCTTTTCGCCTTTGCGAAGCTATTGATAGCTTCGGAGATATTGGAGCTCGCGTGGTAAAAAATGCGCTTGTGTGTGTTGAGACCCCTAAGCAGAACGGTATATCGCAGGCGTCTTCACCAACAGACATTCGAGTCGAAGACCCGGGCTTTCTGGACCACATTTTACATCATAAGATGCTGCCAGTCATTCCTTCGGTTGTCAGCCGTGATGTGACTCGGCCGCCTCAGCCTGTCGACTCAAATCAAATCGTGCTAGCTCTTACCAGATACTTCGCAGGTTTACAGTTCAAAACCACTGCCAGTTCTGCCGAAGCAAAATCGTCTTCCCCCGAGCCTATTGCTCTGGTAGAAAGGATCATTCTTCTTGACCCGCTTGGAGCAACACCGATGACAGGTAGACCAGGAGGTTCTCACCGATTCATCAACCTGGAGCAGGAATATGAGCCAATTCTTAAACAGCTCATGGGTCCAGATGGATCTCCTATAGGGGACGACGAGAACCTTCGCGCCTCAATCACCGCACACGCTGCTAATCTGGCCCTTGCCAAAGATGCATTGGCAATGCTACCGCATACGTCGTCAGCTCTCATTACTACGCCTAATGCTGCGGCAAATCTTGTCAACACTTCTTTCGAACCCGACGTAGAGGTCGAGTCAAGCTCTTCTTTCCAGATTGGCGGTTTGGTTACCACTCGGCGTAAGAAGAACCCGCTGTTACACAACCTCCTCACAGACAAACCTGTTTTTTCATCGTCATTACCAATGGCACGCGCTCCAACCAATTCCGGCAAGGAACAGGCTGTTGGGATATCTGTTGGCTCAACTCTGCTTAAGAGGGGTATGCCTCTTCGTTTGTTTCCACATCCTCGTGAGAACCCATGGCATCCACCTCGGCCTGGAGGCCCTCGGCTACGTTTGACCGACTCATGTATCGACCTTCCTCGACTAGTTCATTTGATCGAAGATTCTTTTGGCAGGAAACTAGACGTCGAGGATTATCTCGCGCGAGTGAACGAAAATTTGGCAGGCGTCATTATTGCTGGAGAATATGAAGGAGGGGCCATCTTGACCTGGGAGAAACCTGAAGGCTTAGACGACCAAACTGCATACGAGCAAGGCCGTTACGTTCCCTATCTGGACAAGTTTGCCGTTCTTAGAAAGAGTCAAGGCAGCGGTGGTTGTGCCGACATTGTGTTCAACGCTATGGTGCGGGGCTGTCTTCCTGACGGTGTATCATGGCGAAGCCGAAAAGACAACCCCGTGAACAAGTGGTATTTTGAGCGATCTATAGGAACTAGCAAACTGTCTGGCTGCAACTGGACCATGTTTTGGACAACACCGAACTTGGATATGCAAAGTCCTGTTTTGCAAGACTACGAGTCTGTATGCAGGGGAGTCGAGCCATCATGGGCAGATAATAAACATATCTTGGATTGAGCACTTTTAGAAGGGGGGAATGACAAAGTCCCACGTAGGGAGATAGAATAAAATACTTTCAAAAACCTGCGCAGTTGAAGCAATGATATAGTAGCAGGTAGGCAGACTTGTCTTGCTCCATAGGTATGTCGTGTTCATATCTGTGTAATAAATAGTTCTTTAAAGAGGGACTCGTCATCAAAGTGGCTTGTTTAAGATGGAGAATTCTTGTTGTTGAGACTTCCATCACCATTGTGGCTGATTAGGGAGTTTGTACCTTCCATGCTGTAATTAGCATAAAGAGCTAGGAGCCATTTTGCAGATCTGCACTCGCCTAGGACAAGGCAAATGGCGGGCCCGTTTTGGATGGACCCGGGCCTGTGACGCCCTGAGCTTTCCATGAGGGGAGGGATGGAGGGGAGGGGAGATGGAAGTTCCATGAGCCCCTAAGCCCCTGGAAAAGGGAAAACCCAAGGCTCCAGTCCGCTACACAATGCTGTGGAGAATTCGCTTCTGACAGCGCTCGAATAGGTGATCCATCCCATCAGCCAAGTACCTACGGAGTGGTTATCTGTACCTTACATTTGCCTACCTCTCAACCTTACTACCTTACTTCTGCCTCAACTTTAGTCCGCTGACGCAGAAAGAGCCTCCCTTTCCCCTGAACCAAACCTCCAGTCCACCTCGCACCAACGAACCATTTAATCACCCCGATCAACCAAATCAAACCGTCACGATGGATTTCGGAAACTTTGGAGCCGGCTTGGGCAAGAACCTCTCGTATGTGCTCATTTGCCACTCACAAGAAGGATGAAGGATAGCAGAGCTGCGCAAACTTGTTTCTCAAAGCTCTGTTCCCAATCCGTGGGACCCAATGCTCACCAAGTCCAAACAGTAACTTTTCAGCTTCTATTACTCCATTTGCGTCGCGCACCTTCCAGTATACCAAGGAGCAGTTTGGACAGACCGATGACAAGGTGGGTTGAGCCGTTGACACTCTATCGCCTATCGCGCAGCCGTTGAACTGACATGTGGCCTGCAGACTCAGCTTCCCCCCGACTACATCGACCTCGAGAAGCGTGTCGATGCCCTCAAGCAAGCTCACCAGAAGATGCTTGCTGTGACGTGAGTTTCATTATATATCCATTTGCGTTATTGCGTATCCCGAGCGTCGATCTGACTTGCTTTCTATAGCTCGCAATACTCCAACGAGGCATACGACTACCCCCCTAACATCAAGGAGACTTTCCAGGACCTTGGCCGCACCGTCAGCGAGAAGGTCAGCCTCCTCTCCTCCGCGACCTCCCCTGCCGAAGCCCAGGCCGCCCTCGTCGCTCCTCCCGCTGCCAAGCCCCAGCCCAAGACTTTCAGCCATGCTGTCGCCCGCGCCAGTCTGTCTAGCAGCCAGCTCCTGCACCAGCACCACACTGGTGCCGGTGAAGACCCTCTTGCGACGGCCCTGGAGAAGTATGCGCTTGCCAGCGAGCGTGTTGGCGAGGCCCGTCTTGCCCAGGATGCCCAAGTTCAGAGCCGCTTCCTCGCTGGTTGGAACACTACCCTTAACACCAACTTGAGTTTCGCTACCCGCGCCCGTAAGAACGTTGAGAACTCTCGCCTCTCGCTTGATGCTGTCAAGGCCCACGCCAAGGGTACCACTTTCCGCCTCGGCGGCCAAAGCGATCAGCCCCACGACGAGCAGGAGTTGAGCCCTGAGGCCCAGGAGGAGGTTGAGAAGGCTGAGGACGAGTTTGTCACTCAGACCGAGGAGGCCGTTGGTGTCATGAAGAACGTGAGTTGTCGTTAGGTTCAAGAAACGTCAATGGCGATCATACTAATTGAATCAGGTCCTCGACACACCTGAGCCCCTGCGCAACCTTGCCGAGCTTGTCTCCGCTCAAATTGAGTATCACAAGAAGGCATATGAAATTCTTACTGAGCTCGCCCCCGTCATTGAGGGTCTTCAGTCTGAGCAAGAAGTGCGTCGTGCCTCTGCTTTTTAAGTAAAGACACATAGAAAAGGGGCTGACATGTTGTGTTTTAGGCCGCCTACCGAAAGAGCCGCGAGGAGTCTTCTTAAGCCAGTAACAGTCAGACGGATGATTTGGTTACGTGTCGCTTCAAGCTGTGGCATGGAAATGCTGAGTCGGGCCCAATAGGGTCCATGATCTGAGCAAACGCAACGTGTTTTGTGTCTGTTTCCTTTTTTTCTAGTTTTCCTACGTCAAGATCGCATGTTATATGTCTATAAGGTATAAGATATTGTCTTGGCCATGGTATTGAGATATCAATCAACCCGAGATCTGAGGGTTCCTTTTTCTTCATATGTGTAAAAGGCTTCAAAAGTCTTATGACTAGACCCCAGACGAAGAGATGCTCATGATGTAGCTGTATGCAGTTGAAAACTTGGTTGTGGCCCAATCGTTCCATCATGACGTGAACGAAATAAACGGAGGCGGACTCGCACATTTATCAATGCCATTGAATTGTTTGACGGGAAATGGAAGCATTCTCGAATCCTGTCGAGAATACATCAAGCTTTCATGAGATCACATACTGTCATGACGATCACGTGAGTATGCACGTGCCCGCCAGATCGGCAATGGTGAGGCAAGAGTCCAATGAGGTCAATTCAATTTCCTCTGACCATTCCATCAACTCATAACTCACGACGAAGCAATTGCAATTGACCTCGCCAGGATGAGGCCGACAGCTCGTGTGTTTGCGCGCTACCTGGAGGCCGGTACTCCCACCGGCCTCACTGGTCTATGGACACATGCCACGCCCCGATCGACCCTCCTCTACCTGTACGGCACCACCCTTAGCAAGCTCCAGAGCATCCCCGAGACTTCCATGTACCGCCAATCCGTCGAGGCTGTTACCAAGCAGCGCATGACCTTCGTCGAGCAGATGGTTCCTCCCGGTTACAACGAATGGGCGGCCCGCGCCAAGGAGCTTGTCAGCAAGAACTCGTCCCAGTTCCGTGTTGCCAGTGGCCGTGTCGACGGCAGCGAGGCTCATACAGTCAAGCTTGGTGACAAGATCTTTGTGGTAGGCCGAAAGCATGAGGCGGGCGATATCCGAAATGAGGAGTGGAACGGCGAGGAGGACGAAGGCTCTGAGTATGAGGGTATCCGAACGCTCAAGGAGCGAGAGGACCAAGTTACCTGGGCAGAGCGCAAGCCTCTTGAGGACCACGAGAAGGTTGAGTGGGAGGACGAGCCTCAAATGACAGCAGATCAGTGCGTTGATCCCAGATACTCACGGCCGGGATACACAGACTAACTTGCGCGATAGGGTTCACGAGCTCGAGCAGAAGATCGGAGCTGGTCTTATTGAGGAGGTTATTCAGGTCGCCGAGGGCGAGCTCAAGCTGGTTGAGACCATGGAGAAGACCAAGGTGTAAGTTGCGACAACCCATTACACTATTTGGAACTTTACTAACGGTTATTTGCAGCTGGGAGGACCTTGAGGAGCAGCCTGTCACTGGCCAGTGGACGTACTTTCCCCGAGCTTAAACAAAGCAGCCGATAACAAAGCAATTGTAAAAGTAGAGGAGGGTTTATGTACATAGAATGATTACGCTTGGCTTTGTATGGTTGGGTCAATACAGATGAACCTAAGAGCTTGATTGATGTGTGGTGGTTTATGCAGTGATGTTGAATCATGATATCACCATTCAAGAGTGACTATGGATGCGGTACAATGCCATGTTTGACGAATTTCTCGCAAGAATTTGTACGTTGTTTGAGATCGTATACTGCTTACTCGGTTTCAACCAATCACTCAAATTGCGGCTTGGGGGCAGTTGTTAGATATTCACCCATCAGCACTGATGCCAAACTGTATCGCATCAGTGGGGCCAACTTCACGAAGACTTTCAACACTTCAAATCAACCTTGCTCAACTTCCGCATCATCACCACAACAATGACGTCCCTACTAGAACCCCCGTCATTCTTACAGCAGAGTAAATCCAGCAAACGCAAACGACTAGAAATCACAGATGCTGAATTCCCAAGCTCGTTGCCCTCTGGCTCCATCAATCCACTCAGTCACTCTCCCGGTATAATAGCCCAATTTGCCATCGCCGGTCTCTCGCAGACAGACGAGGGCCCTTCACAACGCATCCGAGATTTCCCCCACCGCGGTCTTGCTGAGCAAGGTGTCTTTGCTGTCGAACCTGAGAGCGAAGAGGATCCGGAGACAGAAGGTGACGAGGCAGCCCGCCCAAAGTCTAAAAAGACCACGAGTCGCAAGCGAGGCGGCCATTTTGACGTTCTACTACAGTCTACCCACCATTTTCTTGACCGTGGAGAGATAGATAAGGCATCTCGCACATATGATCTCCTTTTACAACTGCGTCCTTCTGGCCTGCCCGTTGATATCCGTCACCACCATCTCTGGGCCATAGGCGCTGAGATTCTCATGCGCGAGGGTGAAAACGCCCGTCGAGAAGACGAGCAGCAAGATGACTTCAAACCAATATCTCGAAAGAGATGGGGCAGCGCAGCCAATATGAACAAAGTCAAGGCCTACTTCGACACACTTATCCAGCAACACCCTTATGACTACAGGACACCCAGGGTCGTTTCGGCCTTGGATTTCTGGATTGCCCTATTGAGTTGTGAGATTTACAACACTCATACAGAGCATGTATTGGCCATTGATCGAGTGGCCCGCGACGCTGAAGATGGTCATCGTCGCGGATCGCTTGACCATGACGACAGCTTTGGTAGTGATGACACAGACAGCACTGAAGCGAGGCTGGTGCGAAGAAGGGACGGGCTCCGGGTTCAGGCACTATCCGCTATGCAAGATATCACGAAAAGGATGGACGTTCTACTGCAGGATTTACCTTACTCGAGAGGCCAACATTATCTTCGATTACGTGCAATGGCCTCGCTATACGTTGCAGATCTAGTCCTACCCATCGGCTCAGTCTCGACGTTTCAGATTCGAGAAGGCGAGAAAGCAAGACTAATGGAACAAGAGTCGGCTAGAAATTATTTGGAGAGAATCATCACATATGGAGGCGAGCTGGACAGTGCAGCATTGGATGTTTTGAAACCATCGGATGGTTCTGAGGAGGACACTTCAATACCATTATACTCAAGCCTTCCAATCAGAGGGCTTTAGAAATGACGGGCTAATATTTGCTAAGTAGTGCCACTCTTGCTAGGCGCAGATGGAGGTGCAGAGGCGGAACCAGTCGCCCTCGACGCCGAGCCTTTGTTAGCCCAACGCTGGAGGATCAATGCTTGATTCGAACTTCCCACCACCACGCACCACTCTCCTCCGGGGCTCCAGGCTGCCTGTCGTCCCACAAAGTTGGCTGATGAAGACTCTGTCTTATGTGCCTTCAAAGGCTCATGAGGATCATCCTGACTGTACCTAGACGCCCAGGTCTCAAGGGTTTCTGCATTATAGTCACCGATTTCTTCGCTTAACCTGATGGCGTCTGCCCGGAAAGCACTCGGGGCGTCTTTGTCGCCACCTCCATGCCGGCCTTTATTAGAGTCCGTCTTGGGGCGACCCTTCACAGGTCTCATCCAGTTAGGATGGGGAAGGGGTTTACTCCTATTCCTGTTGGGATCTTTGAGCGCTTCCATAAACTCCCTGTACGCTATTAAGCGCTCAAAATCCCAGAAGAACACGTTTCCAGCAGCATTACAGAATGCTAAAACCGGATGTTGATCTGGGACAAAATGCAGCTTGAAACGCATAAAGAATTGCGGCCCACAGTTAGGAGTATGGAACTGAAGCAACATAGTATACTGAGATGGGCATTGAGGCGAGATTGTGGGGACGAACGCTGAACGCGTGAGACGGCTCGCTTCGTCGTAATTAGTTGGAACGGTAGTTTGAGCTGTCGGTGCTATGCTCTGGGGAGGAGGTGGATTCGCCGATGAAAACCCCTCTATCCTCCAAAGCGAAATAACGTTGTCATGGCATGCCCTGGATAGGATACAGTCGCCGTAGAATGCCACACTATATTTTTGTTAGACATGAAGCCGGAGGAGATAAAAACGACGCAGAGCCTACCAGTCTATGATGCCGCTGTGGACAGCTGATGTCGAAAAATGAGGATAATGCACACGTTCAGGGGTAATGATCGGCTCGGTAGGCAGGTCAGGAAGTGTCCACTTTGATGAGTTAGAAAAGTACGTCTTGAGCTTTTCGCAATAATTACCAGGTTAATAATCTGGTCATGGCCAGCTGAGAGGAGATACCGGCCAGTGTCATGGAATGCCTATCAAAAAGTATCAACATTGATCAATATGCTTCCTTTTCATCCAATGCAAGGCTTACCAAACTCAGAAGGTCCCATGAGTGGCCTTCACCAGCGAGAATGGCCAAGCATGGGCGGTTGGCGTGAATGGGATCAAGACTCCAGATACGAATACTTGTGTCACCCGAAGCGGAGGCGATGATAGAAGGATTGGCAGGCGAAGTTGCTAGATCGTTGACATCCTGCTTCGCATAAGTTGCTGTGTTAAGTCATGACGGGTTGAAGTGGATGAACGAACACCTCCGTGGCCAGTAAGGCACTTCAGTTCAGCAAATATTAGCAATTGTCTCTGCACAGCATTTTCTTAGGATGGGGAATTACCCTGTATAGTTTTCCGTTCACAACATCATAGATCTTGACTTTGGCATCGACTCCGCCAATGCAGAGATATGGAGCCCCTGTTGCAGGATCTTTTGTCCAAGTACAACAGCATGCGGAAGCCTCTTCCTAGACAGTGTTAACAACCCCTTAGGCAAGATGGCGCATGATGAAATGCCTACATCATCATCTCTGATCACCGAGAGCACTTCACATGGGTTGGCATCGGCTGTCTGAGAGAGGGTACAGATAACCACCTGGATGCGAGTCAGGGCTTGTCCTCATATGGGAAGGATACTGGTGCAGGGAGACTTACATGCTTTTTGCTGATCGCTGCAAAGACAGGGGCTGCATCTAAAGGCTGATAGGGGCAAAACTTGACATCGAAGAATTCTGTAAATAAGAAAACACCACCTTGTGTTAGAAGACTGGGCAAATATTGATCAATCGGCAGGGTGAAAATAAGAGGGGGGTTATACCAGCAACGTTGTCATTCTCCAGAAACTCCGTATCGTTCTTTTAGATTCATCAGCATATGCGATCCAAGTACAAAGCGCACACACGGGCACTCACTTCGAGGGCGAATGAAGAACGGAGCTTGGGTAGCTCAAAGGCATTATCCTCTGTGATAGCCATACTGTTAATCAAACTGGTGGCAATAGTTGTAAAATGTTATGTTTTGTTTAGTATGAGGGTGCCCGAAACATATCATGTACGAAAGTAGAGAGAAGGGAGAGAGGCCTCTGAGCGGTCCTACTTTCTTCAGGCGTGTGGACAAGAAAGTGCGTGGTGTGAGTTTTGGTCGTGGTGTTGAAGGTCGGCTGCTTGAGATGAGAGATTGGCAAGTTGACGACCCTTGAAGGACAGCTAAAAGCAGCGTCGGCCGAAACACGCAGAAAGATCCCAAGCCGTTCTATTCCGATTCGCGAGTCTTTAGATCGAATCAAGGGCAAATTCTGAAGTACGAAAGCATCCTTGTCTCAGTTGTACGTCTATGACCAAGAAAAAAACGTTGGACGCGATGCGCGTCAAGTAGAGGATGATGTTCAGATGTTGTTAAAAGAGACGACGGCATCCCTGTTAAGCAGCAGTAAAGTGGAGTTGAAAGCTGGGCAGTCTTTGGCTAGCATGGCTGACCAGCTAGTCTAGCGGGGAATAAATGGCAGGTACTATCCGTATCGGTTCTTATTAGGTAACTTAGGTCTTTCGTGAGTCGTGACTGCGACTGCCTTCCACTTCATAAACACAGTTCATGTGTTTAGCTTCAAGATTGCTATACTAACTAGTTGGAAGGTGACACCAACGGTTTGAGATGCTGCATCGATCCAATCATATGTAGAACATGAAGCGAAATGTACGATCCGGAAGTACCTACCTACCTAGATATGAAGTAGGTACGCAACGCCTCCACGGCTTCCCGTTTACTCCGTAACCTGGGTTAAAGGTAAGGCAGGCTCTCACTGTCACTTTCATCGTCGAACCGTGATGTTAACTTACATTATACACATGATGTTCTGGACTATTCCTCCAGGGTACAGGAAATCGTGCACGGTTTTGATATGTCTGAATTTCTGGGTCCTTATTCCACCACATAGCACTAATCGTCTCGCTCGATACATCCCGTCATCGCCTATTGTTTCGAGCCGGGATATCAGCTGCCCAAACAGCCAACGGATCACCATAAATCCATGTGCTTGACAACGACTTTAGGAAATATGGGTTTCTTAAAAGATGTCTTGGAGTTTGAGACATCTGAAACATTGACATTGATCTTTTGATTGTCCGAATGTTATTTGGAAGTCGAGGGACGACTGAGGTGAAATTGCAGACGGTTCGTTCCACTAGAAGATAAGAATAACAATTAACTTATGCCTACCTGGCCTCATCATGGATGAAGGAGGAGGCCATCAGATCTGGTAACCAACCCAAGCTCTCGTTTATTCCTTACCTATACTAGTGTCATCTCATTGTTGTCATTTATTGTCCTCTGTTGTGTATATAATGTCATAAATGGGCTCTTGAACAAGGTATGAGACAGGGATTGAGCAGATGCTGTGTAAGGAATAAGCCTTGTTTTCGCCAAACACTTGAATCTGGTGTCAGTAATGTGCCTCCCGAGGATTGAGCTACCCTATTGCACACTCGTCAAAACCACCATACAATGTCTTTAGAGCTGGGACAAATGAGACCTATCAGAATCTTTGCAAAGTCTTGACTATGAGACAGCTGTTCCAGGTTGGAGCTTCACTCCTGATGGAATTGTTGTTCCGAATGGTAAGTAAGCTTTTGTTGTATTAGTCTCACCATCGAGGCTTTAGCGGTCGATCACGAATGACAGGACCCTGCAACGTCAAGTGAGCACATCCAGCCACTGTTAACTAGGGGTTCAACGCTTTAGTGTGGGGTATACTGTAGGTGGGCATTCTTACGGGTTATGGCAACGACTTCCCGAGATATTCAACCAATCGAACAAGACACGAGGTTCGCCTTGCAGCGTCAGGACCTGGTTTTTCTACTCTAGGAGCAGTCGGGGTTGGGGCCGGGATAGAAGCATCCGTCCGTTGGTCCCTTGTGGCTTGAAATAAGGGCGATGGAGAAGACTACTAACCATTCACCCATTACCCAGAAGCATTGTGCAACGGTTAAGGCGCCATCGGCCAAAGACTTCAGATCCCGCGGTTATAAGATGGGCTTCGGTCCCTACAGTAGCACCAGGTTGAGATACAGCAGACTTGGTTACTACGTAGTATATGCTGTCGATAAATTGCACTCAGCCGGAAACAAGGGTCTTGCAGGGCCACGAACTCGCATTGAACAGCCCGGATATGTGTATAACAGTCTATGATTATTGGCATGTATCCACAAAATACCGGTGGCTGCTGATGGCGTTGTCCAAAGAAGCACCCATGTTCGAAGAATGCAGAATGCAGCATGTTGAAACTTGAACCGGCTGGGAGCATGGCGTACTGCACCAAGCCATGTTGCACAACTAGATATACATTAACCAATGCATTTGGTGAGATGTGAAAATTGTGCTGCTTTGTATTCTTCGAGAGATGGAATAATGCGGTGAAGGATATATGCGCCTGGTCCTTGATCTATGGTGACAATGCATATGAGACTCTTTGACTGGAGATGAAGCAATAACAACAACAACAACAACAGGCTGTGTCACCCGCTTTGTATTGGCCATTGTTCCTGTCATCCTTCCTAGTTAGCATGGCATGCAGTACTCCGTAGTAGGACTGGCAATTCAACAACAGTCGTCTTTGATAATAAGCCCGTTTCGCAATTGATAACAATCTCGAGGCTCGATCCTTGCTTAGACTGCCCTGTCGTGACATCGGGGCGGCTTCTAGTTAGGGTGCCCCTCTATCAACAATCAGCCACCGCGAATCATTCCTCTTCTGAAGATAGAGTTGTTGGACCATTCGTCATTCTGTTCAACACCATTCGCTCATCTCCACCCCTCCAATGCGAATTCAGGACAGCCATTCATTCATTCATTCATTCATTCATTCATTCATACATTCAGCTACTCAAGGGTTGTGCCATGGTCATTTTCTCTCATTTGTTTTCTCAATTCCTCCCAAGTTTTCTCACAGGAAAAAGCCTCCACTTTCGTCACCCTCCTCCCTCGGAACTCGACCATTGATCGCAGGAGTTGATGCATGGGGGTTGAGCCTCTTTGCTTTTTCCCGAAAACGACGTACTTCGTGACCATCTTCTAATCCAGTCTAAAACAGTATCACTTCCACTTCCAAGCTTCGGCTACAGCCACTAAATGCAGCCTCATTCCCTGGTGCTCTACCTAGCCTGCGGTGCTGCACCCTGAACCCCTCGACCAACGGTGCATCCGAGGAACGTCGGGGTTTCTTCATCATCGCTGCAAGTGGCAGTTCGTGTCGCTCTCACGCCTGTCCTTTGTGTGATCCTACAGTACCTTGCAAGTAACCTTGTCTCATCTCCATATATCGCAAGTCAAGGGTGACGATGGTTTTCAACAACAACGTACCGTTGACGATGGCATGCCATGGCCCCTGGGACAGTTTAAACACGGGATACAACGGTTCAGAAGATAAAAAGTTTACACTACGGCATAGTCCCTGGATTGTGACGTCGAGGTCTGAATGACTTATTCCAAACTAGACAAACAAAAGCAACCCAGCTGAACGAACCAGACCAAACCTAACCTAACCTTTTCACTTCTTGTCAAGCCCCCAGCCAAGCCCTGCAGAATCTCACTTTTCACTTTTCACTTTTCACTTTTCATTTTTCACTTTTCACTTTTCACTCCCTGTTTTCAGTTCAGAGCCTTACTTACATCCATTGCTCTTCTCTTCTCTCGCTTGCTCTCGAGTTCCTCGTCCCCGGATGCTCATTGCTCCGGAGCCATGTCCCAACTGGTCCACAATTGACAACCAACCTCCTACGTAGAACCAAGTGAGTTCTGGCTACCTTACCTACCTTACCTTATTATATATGCTGCCCGCACATTCTCGAAGCAATATCAACTCCATCCACTTTCATCCCCCGTTTTCAACAGTGCTCTTAGGCACCGCAAAGACACACCAACTGCCAGGTATCTCAGTACTAGTGCTTCTTTTTGGTTTGCCCCTCTAACGCTGTTATTCGGGTTTGCCTGTTGTCAACCTCCCACATCCATCAGTACCTATTCTCAGAACAGAGAATTGCCTCGTATACGCCCCAGACGTCAAAGTATTCGGTCCCCAAGGTCTCACACTCTTCACTGCCGCGTCCGTGCCCTTGTCAATCGACATCACCCTCTCTTGCCACCCTCCCAGATCCATCTGCTTAGTCTACTTTGGCAGTTGACACCAAACGAAACTATCTCGAGTTAGTGAGGTAGACCTCCATGTCCATGTTGGAGAGCTTTTACCCACTCATCACCTCTTCTATTTTCCTCTGCTTTGATTCATCCGCTCCTGAGTCCCGTCGTGCACTCGCTTAAACCTTAATCTTGAACATCCAAGACTCCTTCAGCCACCGTTGGTATTAGTCAAGGCTCATTGGGTACGCCCTACAAAACCTCCCTCTCCAATAGAAATATCCTCCCAAACCAAACCAATCCGTTGCCGAGCTCGCTGCTCTTGCACCGTCTTTTTCATGGAGCACACTTTTTTGACCATACATAGTGAGTTGTCTCTGCCATAGCCTCCAATGAACTCGTTCTAACACTTCCGCCTCAAGATTTACATCCGGATGCCAACATCCTCTATGCTTCTGATTCCATCTTTGAAATTCTTGGGTACTCTCCACAACAGGTGGTTGGCAAGTCAGCCTTTGATTACTTTCATCCGGAGGAAGTCCCATATGCGCGGTCCGTCCATAGTCGCGGCGTCTTGCTGGACAAGGCTGCCGTCCTGCATTATGCGCGTCTCCGTTCTCGTGATGGCTATTGGGTAAGCAGCGAATGCTGCTTCTCGATTGTCCATGACATTTTATTTGCTTGTATCAGTATCTATAAACGCGATGCTAAGAGTGAGAGTATGTTCGCACAAGAGGCACTCTTGCATAGAGCTGTCTATTTCTGGATCAAACATTGCAGAGACTGACTTATAACAGAACGCGCTCTTGACGCTCCTCAGGTTCGACGCCTCTTCTCACGTTCTCCTCGAGACCCGCGATATCACATGTTGGAGCATCTATCGCCCAAGTTCAGGCTACCACCTGTGGAGCGTGAACCTCGAGCCGCCCTGATCTTGAACCGCTTCACCAGAACATTAACGGTCATGTTTGCAACTGATGCTATCGCGTCTATTCTTGGAGTACCAGCCGATCAGGTGCAACACAAGAGTTTCTACGAATGTATTCGTGAAAGCTGTTTGGATGATGCCCTCAAGTGCATTGAGAGTGCAAAGGCAAATGACTCGATTGCTTACTTGCGTTTTTGGTCCAGAGACCCACGACGACCAGAAGATTTTGATGACGAAGAGAGCCATGCTGATGAAGAGTCAACACTCGACGCCGTCGAGCCTGATAGAGCCAACGGGAATGAGGAGCCACCTCATCGTTACCACAATGGCAACGGCAGGGATCACCTCACCCCAGCGTGGAACGGGTCCGGCAGCGGTTCGAGGGAACCAGAACATCGGCGACGTGCTGAAAGCCGCCGCTCCAGCGATTCTGAAGGAGGTGGCGTTAAGCTGAGCAGTCCCATGGATCTTGACTCAAATTCCGGCTCACGTCCAGGTCCCTCCGTCAAAGTCGAGCACGATGTGGAAATGCAGGATGGGGTCACTTCCATGGATGAAACTTCAGGAGAATCGCGTACCACGAGTTCCAATGCCCAAGGCTCGACTTCACACGCCGGCGGCTATCAGACTCCTCCCACTCCTCCATCGCCCCCTCCTGCTCAGCCTATTGGGGGCAACACACCTCGTGCGCGAAGCGAATCTAGCCGCCCTGCACGACAATTAGCATCTTCTGTTGAGCTAGAAGCTGTTATTTCGTGCACCTCTGATGGTCTGGTCGTTATCCTCCGTCGGGCAAGACCGCAGATTCCCAGTACTCATCCTCCCCTCATGCCTTCTACCTTCGACAATGGCGTGTTTGCCGCTCCCTGGGCACAGGAGCCCATCCATCCCCAGCTACCTCCTGAGGCTATTCACAGTTTCCAGGCTCCCTTGGCTCCGCAACATATGCCGTTGCGAAGCGGGGCACAAGCTGCAGGAGGACCACCTATGGACCAACTTATGCAGTCCATCCGAGAGGTCGCTGTCTTTGCTTGGGCCATCGTGGGTATCAATGGGAATTTGGCTTCGTATGGTCATGGTCGACCTTCAGGCGAGGCTCAGCCTCCAGATGGTCTTCCCGTATGGGATCCTGCATCGTCAGAAGCATCGTATGAGGGGCCTTACAATCAAGCTGCTGAGCGATGGGCCCGAGAGGCTCAGCAACAGCAATATTCGCACGTCCCACATGATTCTTTCTCAGCAGACTTATCTATGAATGCATCCGCAGATCACGGCGCGGGGGGTATGAGGCACCAAACTCAGGCAACTGACAGTCATCAAGACCCATGGTATTCTCAGCGGTCAGCCTACCAACAGAACCAGGAAGCCTTTGCGCAAAACAATCGTCATAATCATGGGAACTCATCCAACCACTCGAACCAACCACCGAATCAATGGGGTGATGGACAGCACTGGTTCGGAGATTCTCAGGTTCCGACGACGTCAGCCGAGGAACATGACAGCCATACTTATAGATGGTATTGATCAGTCATTCCCAGTGTCGGACAATTGGCCCTAAGGAGGGACCTAACACGGACGAATCTTCTGGCTAAGTTTAATTCCTTTCAGTGGAATACATTGCACATGTTTTGGCATGTTGGTTCCTTGACTCTTGAAATATCTTAGAAAGCATTTCGGGTATAGGGCAACAGCTTCAAAATTCGTTCGAAATAACCACAATACTCCAACTAGTAGTACTAGTCATTCTATAGTGCTTAGCTCGGTCAACGACAGACTCTTCCACCTGTGAGGGATATTGATAATGCCTTGAATTGAATTTGGATGGTACAATTTTAACAGCCAAGGGGATGTCGAAAGATGGTTATGGGAGACAATTATCAGTTTCCTTTTTCGCCCGAATAGATAAGATTATTCTACAATTTCCAGTTTATTCTTGAAAATGAAGTATCGGAATTAATGAAATTTGTTTTGTAGCATTTAAAAACTTGGGTTATTCGCCCTTCATCAAGCACATGGTCCCTGACGTTAGTGGGCGCATGTGATTGGTTTTCAGCCAATGAGAAGCTTGGGCCACTTCTTGTCAAGGGGTTGTTTCTAGAGAGGCGACCGTGGAACTTTCGTAGTAATTAGAGATACGTACGTCAGCTTTATACTCAACATCTTTCTTTCACTCCTTCTGGACCACGATACCGCTGCAACGCAACGTCGGACAGTTCATTCCGACATCACGTTAAATCTGAGCGCATTCTCGCACCGATAAGATCATATCCTACCAAGACTTCAATCTCCAATAGCTTAGATCATGTCTGCTGCCAGCGCTCGAGGGCACTATGCCAACCCACCTCTGGAGGATGAGGACGATCTGATTGACCCTGATGATGGTAAGTCTATTATGCGCCAGGTTCCTGAAGCTATCTTGTACAAGAGAGGCCCTGCTAGTTGTTCTCCAAAACTCACACTCTCCCAGCTGACCTGAACGACTTCGACGATCCCCTTGCGACCAACAACTCCCGCCAGCCCTTGACAGGCAACATCGGTTCCAGCTCATCATCGCGACCGCTTAACGAAGGCTACCTGACCTCGCGAATCCCAGGAGAAGATCGACAAGCCCCTCAAAACACAATTGATGAGACAGTATGGGATACGCTGCGTCGCGACCTGCTCGCCGTCTGGGCCAAGCTCAGGGAGGTGCTGTACCCGCGCTACCTCCTGGGCGGCACCATGTTTGATAACGAGGGAGGACTGCGCGGTGCTTATTCAAGCATTCGTGGTGCTGGTCTCTCCGGAACCAGAGAAGAACTCACCGGGTTGGCAAGCCGCATGGTTGATGCTGAAGCTCTGCTGCAAAGCAACATGACACCCGGCCTTCGCGACTGGGATCTCTGGGGTCCTCTGATCTTCTGCCTGCTTCTTAGTGTTCTTCTGAGCTTCACTGCCCGAGCCGAGCAGCGCGATGCCGTGTTTAGCGGTGTCTTTGCCATGATCTGGCTCGGTGAAGCGGTGGTTACTTTGCAGATCAAGCTGTTGGGTGGTAACATGTATGTCCTTTCCCGATTCGGCGTGTATTTGTGTTGTCTGCTAATTCACTTTACAGCTCCTTCGCTCAGAGCGTTTGCATTATCGGATACACTCTTTTCCCTCTAGTTCTGGCCGCCATGATGTCTGCTTTGGGTCTCCACTGGATTGCCCGTGTTCCTATCTACATCGTCCTCATCAGTTGGTCTCTAGCTGCTGGTGTTAGCATTCTCGGCGGCAGTGGCGTGGTCAAGAACAGAGTGGCTATTGCAGTGTATCCTCTGCTCGTTTTCTACCTCGGCTTGGGATGCCTCTGCTTTATCAGCTAAATCAAGCTTATGCAACGGATGTGACATCCAGCCGTTACAACGACAAAAGGGGGAGCAGGCCAAACGATTGATTTAGACTGATGTACTTTTACTTGTGACGAACGGAACTCTGCTAGAATTACGGTGTTGTGTGTATTGTAGCGACCGAGTGCCAGGGAATGACACTGGAGTCTTTGAGTTACTCATCGGGAATATGGATCTGATTTGCATCGACTACACCCACCTACTCAATACGGAAGTGAATTCTACGATGTGGTTTTCAGTAACATAACCGATCCTAGTGTGATTACTATGGAAATACTACACCTGCATTAGTCTTCATGCGTGTGAAAGACAGCATGATATGGCGCGATCATGGATCGTACTATAATGTTCCACCGATACAAGTTTGTTCGATTAAGCCATACCAAGATATACAACAGCCAGGTTCGGTCTCACATATGTATATCCATGCCACCCTACACTATCTTCCGTCTTCCCCGGCGACACGATACCAAGGGTTCACTGGATAAAGCAAGGCCATAATCCCTGTTGTCCAAGGAGCAGCCTTTGACATTGGTTCAAAGATAGTTGATGAGAGTTATGATTTACGTTTTGAGGTGGAACCAGAAACTCAATTGAAAATCTGGTTTCAAGTACAAAATCAACTGGCAATCACCGACTAATTTCTTGGTTCTTAATAATTTATGCCCAACCTCTATTGTTCTCATCACAAAATAATGGAGTCCAAGCTCTACCTCGATCTGTTACCCCTCTTGATAGCGCAGACGTACAGGTGGGCGGTGAATACAAAGGTCGGCCCAAGGTGTAGGTTAGCCTTGGGCTTAAGTCCCTAGTATTTCGACGTCGGCGACTGACTCTCTTTGATTGGTTCCACGCAGCGCTCAAGTGCTCAACCGCCAACTTCTATCATTGTCAAAGACCCAACTCAAGCAACCTGCGCCCAGCCTGATCCTGAGTCCAGCGCATAGACTTGTCGGACCGCACGCACGAACTTCGACTTTATTGTTTTATTGTTTGACTTGTCAATAAATATTTACCCGGAGACCGAAACACTCTCTCCATATCAAACTCATCACCAGCAACCGTCGTCCTTCATTCTGCCGTCATCACGCTCAACCGCTACACGCCATGGCCGACGACGCTCCCGACGCCAGTCCTAAGAACGAACCCGTTAACATTGAGACTAAGGAAGACGCAGAGACACGAGCGACCCGCCGCGAACTAAAGCAGTCTTCCATCTCCGACCCCCCAACATCTGGTGCCGAAGATGCTGCCAATACCTCAGATGCGCCCGATAACGGTTTGAAGGAACAAATCACATCTCCTAAGAAGAAGCGCGCACATGATCAACTAGAGGGCAGCAAGGAAGCCGAGGAGAACGATGCCAACAGTGTAGCATCTTCAGACTCGGCCAAAGATAGGGCTCTACGAACCGAGCCCGAGAAGAAGCGACATCGCGATGAGGACACAGACCTGGTATGCTAACTTTAGTGTTTCCTGTGGAGATATAGGGCTTCAACTAATTCTTCTGTAGCCTTCAACAACTGCTTCCAGCCAAGAACCGACCAAAGACACCGAAGCTGGCAAGTCACCTACGAAAAAGTCTCAACCAGAGACATCTGCCAGCGCCTTTGCCTCGTCTGGCTTTGGAAAACTTTCATCCGGAGCGTCGCCTTTTGCTTCTATCGGTGGTTCTCAGGGCGGTAGTGGGTTTGGATCCCTTGCCGCAGGCAAACCCTCGCTTAGCTCATTTGCTTCTCCTTCCTCATCCACAGCTGCGCAACCAGCAGCACCGCCTAAGCTGACCTTTGGTGGCTCTGGCGGAGCCTCACCCTTTGCTGGCCTTTCGTCTGGGTCTAATGGAAGTACATTCGGCGGCAGCCCATTTGGTGGAAGCACATTCGGATCCGCTCTTGGGGCTGGGAAATCTTTATCTAGTTTCGCCGCGCCTGGTTCAGAGCCTCTTAAGAGCGAGAAGCCCGCAAAGCCATTTGGCGCCCCTGACAGCGATAACGAAGAGAGTGAAGAAGAGGACGAGGAAAGAGAAGAGAGCGAGCAGCCTGCTGAGGCTGAAAGAGCTGCTTCCCCAGAGAAGGAATCCGACGAGAAGAAGAAGCTCAAGTTGCAGAAAAGTAAGTTTTTCGCTGGTTTGTTCACGACTAGTGCTAATTATTTTCAGTCGAGGTCAATGACGGCGAAGCTGGCGAGGCAACAGTTGTTTCTGTGAGAGCCAAGATGTTCTATCACGATAAGGAAGCGGGCTGGAAAGAACGAGGTGCAGGCATGCTGAAGATCAATGTGCCCCAAGCTTGTGTCGAATATGACGATAATGGCGCTGTCATCCCTGGATCGTTTGATGCTTCCGCTCTGGAAGTGGATGAGGAGGCTGCAGGAGGATCGCAGGGGCACAAGGTTGCCCGTTTTATTATGCGCCAAGACCAGACTCATCGAGTTATTCTAAATACGGCGCTCGTTGCAGCCATGAAGTTTCAAGAAAAGGCTTCATTGAAGTCGGTTGGAATTCTCTTCACCGCTTTTGAAGGCGAAGAGTCCAAGCCCGTGAGCATCACTATGCGTGTAAGTTACGATACCAGCCTTTTGGTGTATTTGAAACTGACTGATGTTGTATAGATGTCAGCCGCTAATGCTAAGATCTTCATGAATGAGATCGGGGTTATTCAGAAGGAACTCCAGGAGAGTTAGAGCTGTGTCAGAGGAGCTCGTGAGAGCCGTCAAGCCCACCAAGACTTGATGCCAGGCATTGAACATTGAGCATTGAGCCATGCCGGATTTGTAAACAGGGACTTACACTGATACATACTGGAGCAAGTCAGGCCAGGTGCCGATTTCAGAGATGGTTAGCAGGGTTCAGGGCTGGAAAGATACAAGGGCGTGCCTAGCTTGGAACACGTGTTGATATAGGGCATTTGTGAGTCTGGTTGCCTTCTGGCTTCGTGCAGCACTATGGGTAGAGTTGTTTACACATGACCCATCGTTTGGGAATATTATTGCACCTTAGAAAGGCATTGGGATGCCGCCAGTAAGAATCCTGGGCACTCAAGGGGGTAGACAGAGACGAATCACAGCTGTCTACTGTCCATGTAACCTTAGCTACGCCAATAAAGGTACTTCGATTAGATGCTGAAAATGAGTTAGCTGTTGCCGTGTAAAGACGAATCATTTGTTGTCATATAAGCTAATCCCTTACTTTGGAAGGGTACCTTGGTTCACGATCTTGATGTTTAAGGTCGCACGTGATTTGGCATCAATTTCGCGCCTCGAATAATGAATGACGTCGTTACTTCCACGTCTCGAGTCAACCTCAACCATATCAAGTGTTAGTCGAGCCTCGCTTATTCGTCCAGTCCTTGGAATGACATGACATTTCACTCTGATATGTCAGACCCCAACAGTGCTGGCATGGTCGGCAAGCCGTCGCCCTCATCGCGGCAGGGGAAACGCAAGCGGAATGGCGAAGAAGACCCTTCAGCCGGTAGTCCAGCTTCCAGTCAACCGATCAGCTCCAAATCCCAAAGGGGCGGCAAAGTAGGAAAAGGACGACCAAGCCTTAATAAGGAGGCGAGCAGCATTGTGGTACCATGTGCCGTAGAGTGGCCAGAGGAATTCAAGAAGATAGAACGAACGCATCGGGCTCTCAACCTTGTGTACACCTTCTGCACGACTCGGAAACATCTTGCGACGACATTTGACACCATAAAATCTGCTGTCGAAGCTCATATTAAGCGGGAGTTGTTGGTTGATGAGATCGTTTCTATGGTAGCACTCCGCCCAGAGGGTATCTTTTTCGCATATGTTGATGAGATCATGCTGCAACTCGACGTAAAAGGCACCGAGCGAGATGAAGTTTTCAGAACCGGAAATTCATTTAGATCTCAAGCTCCAGCGCACGATGCTTCGGTGGGTGGCTATACTGGCATGGACAGCCTTGACAAGCAGCGTGATCGGGACCTGGAACCTACGGGAAGAGAAGTACTGTTTCTTGAGTTCATTGATGGCGATCTAAAGAGACAGGTTCCGGGCAAGGGAGGGGAGCCAACAAAGCCAAATCGAAAGCTACGCGACGAACAATTGAGAATGCCTGTCTACAGCCAGAAGCAGATGACAAATTTGATCGAGAGACGAAACCAGAAATTTACCAACGCCATCAATATCTTCCTCAACAAGTGCGCCGAGGATAAAGTTGACCCGCTTGAAACTCTTAAAGAACAAATGAAGACATATGTTCCTGTCCCTACAGCCCCCGAAGAGCTTGAGCCGGAGAAGGCTGCTGAGGTGATCCCAGAAAGCATCCCGAAAGAGCGTAAGAGTGTGCCAGAGATTGTACAAGAGCTCAAGGAGAGTCCTTGGTACACTGGACAGATTGTACCAGATGGACACCGAGTATTTGAGAAACAGGAGCCTGTGTATGGGGATCTCAACTTTCTCTTGAGCCAGGATCTGGTTAATGCCTTATACAATGCCAAGGGAATTACTCAATTCTTTGCGCATCAGTCAGAAGCCCTCAATAGTCTGTATGAGGGAAAGCACGTCGTGGTGTCGACATCAACTAGTTCCGGCAAGAGCCTAATCTACCAACTCCCTGTTATTCGTGCCCTTGAAGAGGATTACAACTCGAGAGCAATGTATATCTTTCCTACGAAAGCTTTGGCGCAGGACCAGAAGAGAAGCCTGAAAGAGATGATCGGGTATATGCCTGGTCTTGAAGAAACCATGATAGAAACCTTTGATGGCGATACCCCAATGACCGACCGCAATGACATTAGAGAGCAAGCCAGGGTAATATTTACTAATCCAGACATGCTTCATATCACTATACTACCACAAGAAGAGCGATGGCGGTCATATCTGAAAAACTTGAAATATGTCGTTGGTAAGTGCTTGGGCCATATTCCTGTCCGTCCTTGTTCAGGTGCTGATTACTCCAACAGTTGATGAGCTGCACTACTACAACGGCCAAATGGGCTCTCACATGTCTTTCATCATGCGGAGGCTGCGAAGAATATGCGCGGCTGTAGGAAACCGGCGTGTCAAGTTTATCTCTTGTTCTGCCACTGTCGCTAACCCCGAGCAACACTTTAAAACGATATTCGGCATCGAAAACGTTCAACTGATAGACTACGATGGGTCTCCATCAGGGCGTAAGGAATTCCTTTGCTGGAATACCCCTTACAAGGATCCTGGAGATCCTGCATCTGGTCGAGGCAGTACAAAGTTCGAATGCGCCCGCCTGTTCTGTGCTCTTATGCTTCGAGGTGTACGAATTATAGCCTTTTGCCGGGTTCGAGCACAATGCGAGCTCCTTGTGAGCACCATCAAGCAGGAACTAGAGGCTATGGGACGGCCGGAATGTACCAACCTGGTTATGGGATACCGCGGTGGCTATACAGCTCAAGACCGCCGCAGGATCGAGACTGAAATGTTTCAGGGCCAGCTCCTCGGAATTGTTGCGACTACTGCATTGGAGCTCGGCATTGACATTGGTTCACTTGACTGCGTTATGACATGGGGGTTTCCCTACACTATTGCTAATCTGCGGCAACAGAGTGGCCGTGCAGGTCGTCGCAACAAGGATTCACTTTCGATATTGGTTGGCGACGGGTTTGCTACTGACCAGCATTATATGCAGAATCCAGACGAGCTGTTCACGAAGCCCAACTGCGAATTGCAAGTAGACCTGGAGAATATGCTGGTACGCGAAGGACACATTCAATGCGCCGCATATGAAATGCCGATACGACCAAGAGAGGATGCAAAATACTTTGGCAAAGACTTGCCGAAGATCTGTGTGGAGCGTTTAATACGGGATGACATGGGGTTCTATCATTGCCACGATCGATTCCGTCCTATCCCTGCAAAGTATGTTGCTATCCGAGACACGGAGGATGATCATTTTGCTATTGTTGATATTACCAATGGCCGGAACGTGGTGTTGGAAGAGCTGGAGGCCTCGAGGGCTACCTTTACTCTCTACGACGGTGCCATTTTTCTTCACCAGGGTAACCCGTATCTTGTACGAGATTTCCAGCCCGACAAAGGAATGGCCAGGGTGGAAAGGGTCAAAGTGGAATGGACGACTGTTCAGAGGGACTATACCGATATTGATCCTACCGAAACGGAAGCGATCCGGACGATTACTGATTCACGATCGCATGCTTACTATGGGACAATCAAAATACAGCAGAACGTATTTGGTTTTTTCAAGGTCGACAAGAAGAACCGGGTGCTAGATGCGGTGCAAGTGGACAACCCACCAGTCATTCGGTTCAGCAAGGGAATGTGGCTAGATGTGCCCAAGAAAGCGATGGGCATTCTCCAGGAACGACGGCTTCACATCGCTGCTGCGATTCACGCTGCCGAACATGCCATGATGAGCTTGCTGCCAGCATTTATTATTAGCATGCCTGGCGACGTACGGACTGAGTGCAAAACGGCAGTGAAAGAATTTGCGAAACAAGAATCGCAACGAAAGCGACCTGCGCGGTTGACGTTCTACGACGCCAAAGGTGGTGCAGGAGGGTCAGGCATCAGCACCAAAGCTTTTGACCACGTTGACCAGCTACTACGGGACGCACTGCGGCGGATTGAAAACTGCCGCTGCGAGCGAGGCTGTGTAGAATGCGTCGCATCAGAGCAGTGCAAGCAAATGAACGAAGTGATGAGCAAGGCTGGGAGTCAAGTGATTCTCAAGACTTTGCTGAATATTGAAGTGGACATGGATTCACTGCCGATGGGGCCCGAGCTGAACATCCCCATAGGAACTGAGACAGTTGTACTGGCAGAAACGGTTCCCTACAGGGCCAAAGAGGCAGCCTTTGACAACAATGCGATCAATGGTAGGGTGGCTATGGCTGTGGAGGGAGAGGAAAGGGGAAAGGGATCTGGGGATGGCGCCAAGACTGGGGATTCTGGAACAACTGATGGCGGCGGAGGATTTGAGCATTGGCTTGCAGATTCGATATGAAGTTAATTGAGGTCAGGGCGTGCCGGTAGACGGGAAACCGGCACAGGGACACAGAGCAAGCTGCCCCTATTGGGCTTTTGCAAGTCTACGGCGTCATTTAGTGGTTTGAGGCGGTCTGTATGAGGCTAGACGATTGGGCCTAGAGCTCGGAATGGAGACTATAAAATAAGGATAAAAACAAGAATAATCCGTAAATAAGACCCATGTCATTAGGAGCGAGTTGAGCTTTAGTGTCGTAAGCATTGATAGATAAGACCACTGTGTCTTATCTGATATGAGAAGTGTCTTTTTACCTATGTACAGTAATCTACCTGCGTAGGTACTAAGTTGATGTCGGTAATGTATAATGATGTCGTTTGTATGGGGGTTGTGGCACAGCATTTATAGTGACGTCGGCAGCCTAGTGCAGCCAAGGCATCGCCAAGTAATGTCCCCCGAAGATTAACGGTTGGGCCCGGCTTGGCCCATTAAAGACGAGACCATAGCTGGGAGCTACCGAAACTTGGCAGGGCATAAATTATCAGTGACCGCATTCTCCTCATACTGGCGTTGTCTCATTGGCTGTTGATTTCAAGGGGTCTCTGTGTTTACTGTTTAGTTACTGGGTAAGGGGGGGGTGAGCTGGTGAAACATGGTAGCACTGGATGCAGAGTTACAGAGAGCTTTTTACTATGCCACATGGCGTCCTTCCTTCGCATTAGTATACATATATCTAAGGCCTCTCTTTGTGGCCCACGCTTGGTCCTACTCCCCTCCCTTGACCAACGACCTTTTCAATTCCAGACACTGCCAACTCCCCAAGAGGCGCTCTGCCTCTCTCCCTAAGCCCCTGTCCAGCTGTAGCAGCCAGAGTCTAGACCTAGACCTCTCCTACCTTACCTACTAGGTAGTTAGGTATTTGGAGATTTTCTACCTAGGCTCGTACCTACAAAAAGCCGTCAACATGCCTCGCGAACGCTCCTCCTCACGATCGCGTCGCCATCGCTCTCACAACCGCAACCCTAACCCCGAAATGCGACAGTCATCAGACCGTACTCTTCCTGTTCCCAGCACATACAACGAGCATAAGAGAGGTGAAAGAAGGAGGAACGGTAACGGCACCATGTCTCAGTTCATCAAACCCGCAGGCGAGAGTGGCCGAAGAGGTTTCCATCCTATTCACTTTTCGAAGATCTCCTTCAGATCAACGAGTCGTGCTAGTTTGCTCTGCAACTTCTTATGGCCCTTTGTCCCTGCTGCTATTGCTGTTCGCTGTAGGTCTCCCAACAATACGATATAGTTTCATGGATATGCTCGACTGACACCCCTTAGATGCTATGCCTGACAACCATGTCACCATCTTTGCTCTGGCTTACATCGCCATGGTGCCTTGTGCAAACTTGATCGGCTTTGCTGGTCAAGAGCTCGCTCGCAAACTGCCCCATGTCTGGGGTGTGCTCATCGAAATCACGTAAGTCTCCTTGATACTACATCTTACAACAAGGTTACTCACAACTTTTTAGCATTGGTTCTATCGTCGAAATCATCCTCTTCATGGTACTTCTCTCCAAAGATATGTTTCCCGTTATCAAGGCTGCTATCCTGGGTTCAATTCTTGCCACGATGGTCTTGTGTCTGGGCGCTTGCTTCTTTGTCGGAGGCATGTTAGAAGATGAACAGGAATTCAGCGAGGCCATCAGTGAGGCTGGAAGTGGATTGCTTTTGACTGCGTAAGTTTTGCTTGTCCCAATCCCTCTCCAATGTGCCCTGTAACTAATTCCATGACAGTGGTGTTGTTTTAGCTCTCCCTACAGTTTTCCAGTATGGTATTGACAACGTCGAGTCTGTCACAACCGCGAGTCTTGACCACAAGACTCTCCAGATCTCACGTATCGTCTCTGTTCTTCTCATCATCGCGTACCTCGTCTACGTCTTCTTCCAGGCTCGCACTCACCACGGTATCTACGACGCGGTATTTGAACAGGACGAGCACAAGGATCGAGACAAGCACAAGGATGAAGCCAAGGCTAAGCTTACTCTGACCGAGTGCATCATTGCATTGGTACTCGCTGTGGGATTTGTTGCCTGGACCGCTGTCATCCTTGTTATGCAGATCGAGTTTGTCATAGAGCGAGGAGATGTGAGCGATGCGTTCATGGGTCTCATTCTTGTTCCACTGGTTGAAAAACTGGCGGAGCATTTGACGGCAATTGATGAGGCCTGGGACAATCAGATCAACCTGGCAATGTCCCACGTCCTTGGTGCTACCCTTCAGACTGCCCTCTTCAACGCGCCCCTTGCCGTTGTTGTTAGCTGGGGCCTTGGCAAGACTCTCGATCTAAACTTTGCCATTTTTGACCTCGTCATGCTTATTCTCGCCATCCTCACTGTCGGACGATTCCTTCAGGATCAGAAGAGCAATTATCTCGAGGGATTTCTGCTTGTTATTCTCTACGTCGCCATCGCTGTTGCTGCATTCTATTACCCCAATCCTGCAGGCCATGGAGCTACAGGTGAGGGTAGCAGCGCTGAGGGAGGTTCCGAGGGGGGACATTAGAACATCTCTTGACAATCCCCTCCGAGTCTTCCTTCTTCTTATACTATCTACGATGTTATGAGTAGGTGTCACTTTTCAGTTTCATAATATTGGGGAATAGCGAGTCGGTATACATGCACAGGAAATTGGGTCGCGAAGCATACATAAATGTTCGTTCTTGCGCAACTAAACGAGTTGACTTCTACAAATTTGCTTAAAAGCAATTCAAAGTTTTATCCTAAAAACGCCATTCCTACGCCGCGTGATGTGACACCATTGAAACGTAAAGCAGCACACTCGAGTTGCAAAACCGCTAGAAGAACACAAAGTCGTCTGATTTGAACCCCATGCCAATAAATGCCGCCTCAACAGCCTTGACCATCGGCGGAGGGCCGCACACAAGCACCAGCTCATCACCTTCACCATTAGCCTTTGGTAGAACCATCTGCTCAGGGACCAAAGCCTGGTTCACAAAACCCCGGATCCCATCCCAAACAGGTGGGGGGTTTGTGAGTGCATTGAATACACGGCACCTTGAAGGATTGGCTGTTTCCAATTCATCCAGCTCCTGCTTACAAAGTATATCCTCCACGCCACGATTACCATTGAAGACAAGACAAGGCGTTGTGTCTTTGGGGTCATGCATAACAGCTCGAAGCACTTGGCGGATGGGAGTGATGCCAGAGCCACCACAGACCATGATGAAGCGGCGGACCTGGCGCTTTCTGTCGCCAATGGTGCAGAGACCATTGCCGTGGTAAACAAACTTTCCTACAGGGCCCTTGAAGTCGACCCAATGGCCGAGGGGAAGAGAGTCGAGTGCTTGTGTCATGGCACCACCCTTGCGCTGGGGAGTATCGTAGTATATCTTTATGAGGATCTCAAGACGGCCGCAGTCTGAGCCATCTGAGTAAGGTGTGTAAGAGCGAATGATGGCTTCACGGGTGGCCGGATCTCGAAGACGCATCATGAGATGCTGGCCAGTAGGGAGGCCTATCTGTTGACTTTCGTGGTTGAGCTTGAACGAGAAGATCTTTGTATCTGGTGAAATGGATGTTTTATTGTCAAGGATGGCCTTGCTCCATGCCTTGGCCTGGAGGAAAACCTCTCGGCTTGAATCGTCATTTGTTGTGGTTGCATCACCACTGAGAATGGCACGGGAATCTTCGTCGAGGGTGCCAATATGGTAAGTCGGCAACATAGCCTTGGCATTTTCGCTATCTGGATGTAGATGTTAGTGAATAGTCAAACCACTTCCCGGTGTCGCTTGTGATAAACTTACGGATAGCCATGAATTCTTCAGTCGCGTCCTGGCCTGCTGCACCAAAGATAGATGCTGCACCGCCAGGATGGCCTGAGAGATAGGGAGTGCCATCGTAGACTTCACCATTGATAACAAACCATGGCTCTTGTTCGCCGGAATGGGCCTTGAGCTCCTGAATAGTGATCTGGCGATTGACCTGGGGGTTTGTCATGACAATCTGTTTCTCAGGCTCCTTCACTACCACTTCCTGGATTTCACCAGGAGCCTTCTCACCCCAGTAGCCGTTTGCAAGATTTCCACCAGCTTCTTTGACACGTTCCATCCAGCCTTTCATCTTTAGTGTAGGATGAGTCGGGTGCTCAAAACGAAGTCCATGAGCTTCCTTCTGGATTACAATGCGGAACCAAGGATTGTTCATCATGCCGAGAACACTCCAATACAGGTCTCGGGGCTGCACATTCATGGAATCATCCATGGCGCGCATCATAATATCGTCGGCATCTCTAAGTTCATCCATAGCGATATCTAGATCCCAGAAGCACCAGCAGAAGCATGTCTCTCGCCACCACATGTCGACTCGCCCGCCGTATAGAGTGTCACCCTCTGGTGCGTTGCGGTAATCGTCCTCATGGTATCGAATGCTTGCAAGTCTCCAGGTCTTGCCCTTATCGAGTGTGATTTCGACTCTTGTGATCCGTCTTCCACCACCGGCGTAGGCATATCCTCGTGCTTTGTAACTTGGAGGGGCATCTTTGTAGGGGATTTTCTCTTCGTGCGCAGGATAACAGATTGCACTGTTCGTGTTGAGGTCGTAGATGGCGTACCTTTCGTCCTTCCAGACCTCGGGTAAGTTTGCACTCTCCTCAGGCGAGACCATGGTAGGCAGGACACGGTTGTCGTAGATATGGTACCAGTTATCGCTGGGCTCTTGAGTAACAGTAATCTTTTTCAGCCACTTAATACTCCGTCCACCGATCTGTCCAGGGATGACTATACGGACAGGCTTGCCATGGTCAGGATGTAGGGGGTTGCCGTTCATTTTGTGCGCAACCATGATGCCTCTGTTGGGATCCATGCACCAGTTGAGCTTCACAGAAGTTCCGTAGTAACCATTGGGTAGCTTGTCAGCCCCTTCAAGGCAAACATATCTGGCTCCACGCTTGGGCTTTGCTGCAGCAAGGAGATCACCGATAGCAACACCGGTCCAGAGAGCAGTTGACAAGCCGGCAGCACCCCAAGAGAAACCCTTAGTCTTGCGTACAATGTTTTGTTCTTTCCGGCGGTTTCCAGCACAGACAAATGTTACTGGATATGTTAATTGCTGGTAGTCGTTGATGAGATCTCGTACGGTCATCTTGATAGGGTTATCGACGAGACCATTCACTTCGAATTCCCAGTCAAGGATCTCGTCATCTTCGCATCTTGGAACGTGTCCGTGGTTCCGGACATAATGGAGGTTTTCGCTGGTCAAGAAACCATCGTCGTATAAGTCGCTCAGGGGTGCCTCGACATTGAACGGATGGACTCCAGTAAGACGAATTAGGCGAGCATCTCTCTCGACAAAACTGTCAGGGGTTTTAAGATCCTCCTTGAGGATGGATTTTGGTAGGCGTTTGGGAGGAAGAGGATAAGACTTGAAATGATTAAGTTGAGGCGGCTCGATTGGCGAGATCTCTTGTAGGTCATGAAAACTGCCTATACGGGACGGCTTTGCTGTGCCTGGAGGTGTAGGGGGAAGGCTGTGAGTAGACATGGCTTCAGACTCTTGAGAAACCTGTGGTAGGACTGTCGTTGTTGTTGTTGAAGCCTCCATGTAAGATAAGGACCTGGACTCTTGGTGGAGAGTTTTGAATAAACGGTCACACAACCAAGATTCAAATGGAATTGTTGAATTGGAATTTTAGATTAAGAAGCAGAAGTCCAGTATAATAAGCACTGCACCAAGTGATATGACACCCATTTGCCGGTCGCTCGGCCTAGGGCATCCACCTGGACGGCTCCATTGGATCTGCTGAGGCCTTGTTCATGATATCGTGTTTCCGTAGTTTACCGCGAGGAGATGCAGGTTGCAATTGAGTGGATGCATGGAGACTGGTCTGATCCGCGGAGGTTGAGGAATTGTCGTTATCAGGAGATGAAGTCGATGGACGAATCACGTTTGCTGCTGAGATGTTTGCGGCCGGAGATGTCTAAACCACAGAAGGACCCACAGCGCAACTGGGCTGATAAGGAATAAAGATAGCAAGACAACAAGGAAGGAAGAAAGGGAGAAAGAAAGACCCGGCTCGTTAATGTCTCGTGCTTTAATAGGCGAACAGGTAATCGACCGGAGATGGGGGATACTTCGGAAAGATCGTCGTTTTCTCTGCTGAGATTAGATCATGGTCATGCTGTGGGAAGAATTGAATTGTTGGATTGAAGTTGGATATTTGATCACGAGGATATACCGAGAATTGTGGCATGGCATGACTTTACGCAGAGACACAAGGGGTTGTTTGAATCGTGAATAAATGATGTTGCTGACTGAAACAATGTATACCTTATGATGCAACGTCTGAGAGGAAGTTCGACTTCCATTATCGTTTATTTTTCGGAAGTACTGATAGCGTGGATGAGTGCCGCTTGGTATGAAGTGGTACCTTCATCAGAGGCAGTGATAAGAACAAGTAATAAGAAGAACCCATGAACCCATTTGTATATCAAAGCTCCTAGAATATCACTTACAAACCTACCTAGGTAGCCAAGTTTGTAGTATCACATAATGGGGTTTGTTCCACGGAGTAGGCTCGGACCTGGTTAGAGAATTCTGGACTTACTGAACCTCGTACATAGCTGAGCCTTTAACGTTACCCCACGGCCAGGGACCTATTTAATTGAGACCTGCCCCATCAGCACCAACACTAATATCATATCCAATAGCAATGATCCGGAATAGTAAAAGATCAGAAGAGAGTCTTTTTTACCATACAACGCCTGGTGAGACGAAAAGAGAAGTATATAATTAAAATGCTAAAAATGATCTAAAAGAAATTATACTTTATATCTCATTTTATGACATTCTTATACGGATTAGCTTATTATGACCGCATACTTAGTAGTACATCTGCGTGCCCTGGTAAAAGAAAAAGTCCAACCCAGCCGCAGGGCTACCTACCACACAGGCGGCAGGCGCAAACCTAACCCTACCCATAATCAACATCCACCTCTGATTACCTTATTGGTACCTTAACATGAGTGACTGTCAACTTCACCTAAATCAGGTAACGGCAAAACTCCAAACATTGACGAACCGACCCTGCTATCTCGCAATCCCTCCGTCCTGGCTTGACGGAAGCACCCATGTCGGCTCTGTTGCCTTGTCTCCAGCATCAATTTCTAGGGAACTACATCCCTTAGCAGGCCGCGCGCGCTGAACGTAGCGCCGCCTCCACCCAACTCATATCCCGGATCTAGAACATCTATCCGTACCCAAGTCAAGTCGCGAATCGCCTCCAATCATATCGTGACCCGCCATGGATCGCGCAAGGAAGCGTACGATATCTCGCTACATCTCTTCTTTTATGCTTAGCAGCTCATTATATTTGCAGGTGAACTGCGCACTCTAAACGAAAAGGCGTGGGATGGCGAATCTGGTATGAATCATCTGTCTACCCCACCACTCCTTCCGCCCTCATCCTGTTAACAACATCTACCATAGACTTGTTCCCCGTTGGAAAGACTCTCGATTCGTCCCTCAAGAAGAACACCGCTTTCATCAAACGACTGCGAACCGCCATCACCGCTGCCACCCTCAGCACATTCCTCCAGGAAATCCGAACTTTGAGCCTCCACAAGTACCTCTCCGAGATCATATCTGCCTGCTACGAAGGACTATGTAGGCTCAAGTCACCCGGCGAGATCGAGGCTGGCGTGGAGATCGTCAGTGCCCTCCACCAGCGATTCGGTCCCGGCGAATTTACGGAATACTTGGCTTGGCTGCTTGGGAAAGGTATGGCAACCCCTGATAAGAGCATTCTTAAAACTCTGGCACCCGAAGTCCGCGAGAAGGAGGAAAAGGAGCGTATTACTCGACAGCGCGCATTGCTCCGTGTGGTAACCGAGTTGTGGCTCGTTGGTGTTATCAGGACTCTCGACGACGTTAGCAGACCTGATGATACAACAAAAGGAGCTACAAGCAAAACCTCGGAATTGAAGACCCGGACGGCCAAAGGTTCTGGCGCGGAGCCGTTCCCACTCGAAGTGCTTAAGGATCTACTCGGGTACGACCGTGAACATGCAAACCTTCCACTGCTCGTTATTTTTGTCAAGTCATTCAGCTGGGATATTCTTGGAGTCAAACCCACGGGTACCGATGGCCGAAAGACAGTGGAGGAGGACGGCACAACGGAGGGAAACGAAGCCGACAGGGACGACGATGGTGGAAATGAGACGTCATCTGATGTGGACCAGCCATTCGCCGAGCCAGAAATGCGCGAACGATTCAGGAGCATATTAAAAAAGTATTTCGAAGATGTTAAAGGACATATAACCCGGGATCAGAAATCGATACAATCGCAAGCCCGACGGAACGCTGAAGCATACGTCAAGTCTGGAGAAGTGTTTGAAGATCGACAGGCCAACTACGAAAAGCTGGTCAAGGCCCAGGAACGCCTAGTCTCGAATGCCCAGGTTATCGCGGATGCCATCGGGGCTGATATGCCCGATTTAAAAGATTCAGACGACTCATTCGCTGCTTCCAACGGGTCTATCGGTCTCGTCAAGACGGGCGACTATCTGCGCTCAAAGGGCGATGGTGCCGGGATCTGGGAGGACGAGGACGAGCGACGTTTCTATGAAAATTTGGTTGATCTTAAAGGCAAGGTACCCGCTATTCTATTGGAAGATGGTAAGAAGAAGAAAGCAGACACAGATGAACAAGTTGGAAAGAAGGTGGACCCAGCCGAAGCCACAGAAGCTATCAAGACTGCCGAGAACGCTGACGACCAGTCCACATCCATCGCAAATCGAACTACTGGTGCGCAAGTAGATGCTTTGCTTGCTCGCCTCCCAGAGTTGACCAACAAGGATATTGTTGACCAGACAGCCATCGACTTCTGTTTCCTCAACTCCAAGGCTTCGCGCAACCGGCTTGTAAAGGCATTGACTGAAGTTCCAAAAGGCCGGAGCGATTTGCTGCCATCCTGGTCACGCCTTGTCGCTACCCTGGGCCGATACATGCCAGATGTTCCTAAGGGCCTTGTTGATTATCTTGATGCTGAATTTCGAAGCCTGCAGAGGCGGAAGGAGAAAGACTTCCTTGGTCAAGTTCGCCTAAGCAACATTCGTTACCTTGCTGAACTGACAAAGTTTGGCATTGTTCCTGAACATGTTGTTTTTCACTGCCTGAAGGTCAGTCTTGATGACTTTTCGCGCATGAATATTGAAATTCTGTGCAACCTCATTGAAAACTGCGGTCGATATCTACTTCGAAACCCCGAGACGGCCCCGCGCATGATGAGTTTCCTTGAGACCCTGCAGCGCAAGAAGTCGGTCCAGCACATTGGGCAACCAGAACGTATGCTAATCGACAATGCTGTTTATTACGTCGACCCGCCAGAACGCTCAGCAATCGAGCAGAAAGAACGTACTCCTATGGAGCTCTTCGTGCGCAAGCTGATCTATGTTGATATGACAAAGAGAAACTACAGCAAGATCTTGAAGCAGATTCGAAGACTTCACTGGGAGGAAGCTGAGGTACGAAGTCATTTGAAAAAAAAAAGATTGTGATTGTTGGCTAATTGTCTACAGGTTGTTGCCATCTTGGAGAAGGTGTTCTCAAAGCCTGGAAAGGTCAAGTATGGGAGCGTCCACCTCCTCGGTATCTTGCTCAGCGCGCTCTATCGCTATCACCCTGCGTTTGTGGTGAAGGTGATCGACAACGTAATCGAGTCTGTGGCTTTTGGTCTCGAGCAGAACGATTACAGGTTCTACCAGCGGCGTGTCGCAGAAGTGAAATATCTTGGCGAGCTTTACAACTACCGCATGCTTGAACATCCTGTCATCTTTGACACCATGTACAAGATTTTGACATTTGGATACGGTTAGTCGGCTTTGAGTGATTCCATTTGTGCTGTTACTGATTTGTGCCATAGGCGGCCCCCCTGTTCCTGGTAAATATAGCCCACTCGACCCCCCTGACGACTTCTTCCGCATTCGACTTGTGTCCACGATGTTGGAGACATGCGGTATGTTCTTCAACCGCGGAGCAGCGGGCAAGAAGCTTGACTACTTTCTTTCTTTCTTCCAGGTATGATTCAGTCCAAAATTCCAGGTACAATCTGCTAAACTATTGAAGTACTACATCTTTACCAAGGCATCCTTGCCAATGGATATTGAGTTCTTAGTTCAAGACACCTTTGCTCTTACTCGTCCTCAATGGAAGCTCGCCGCCGGCCTGGACGAAGCTGTCAAGGCATTCCAACTTGCTGTTGCTCAAGATCAAAAGTCTGCAGGCGTCGACAAAGGAGTTGATGCAGATGATGCCACAAGTGACGCTTCGTCTGATGACGACAACGCGGACAACGATGAAGATGGAGATGACAATGATGATAGTGCGTCCGAAGAAGAGGAAGCAGAGGTGAGCTGATCGGACGCTAAACAATCAGAACTAGCTGACAGGCGTGATGCAGGACGTGGAGGATGACTCTGACGATGAGAGCGCTTTTGACGATGAAGCTATCGTGGTTACCCGACAAGAAGAGGAAGTTGACCCCGAAGATGAGGCTGACTTTGAGCGTGAATACGCCAAGATGATGACAGAAAGTCTCGAGTCACGCAAATTTGAGCGCAAGCAGCTCTTTGATGTGCCGCTTCCAGTTCGTTCCAAGAACCGGGACGCCAACTCGACAGAGGGAGGCGAAGATGAGCTTCCTCCTGGTCAAACTATGGCGTTCTCCTTGTTAACAAAGAAGGGCAATCGTCAACAGGTACCTGCTTTCATCAATCCCTGCCGTTGCTAAAGCTAATCTGGGGTTAGACACGAACTGTGGAACTGCCCTCGAATTCCACCTTTGCTATTGCTATGAAGAATCAGCAACAGGCCGAGCGGGAGGAACAACAACGCATCAAGAACTTGGTGCTCAACTATGATCTTCAGCAGAGCGAGGATCAGGATGGTGGTACAAACCCCCAATTCCCAAATCTTGATCGCAACACCAATATTCACATGTCAACTCAGGCACCGAACGACCGGCGACGTACTACCACAATCGGCTGGAGAGGTCGAACAAAGACCGGGGACAGAGATCCCGTAAACTCCAACTCAGCGATGTCGACTGGTAAACAGACACACGGGTAAGGTTTTAAACTAGGTCACCCAGCCTCGGAGCTGAACCAATCAGTGGGCATGACAACCGGAACTCGACGAGTACTTTATTAGCTGTCGTCCCTTATTACCATACCACAATCGCAGTGGCAGCACGCAACGACTTCGTGCTACATCCATGACTGGTCGGGTACCAGCTTCGCTGGCTGCGCCAAATAGCACTTCGATCTGTCGTATCCGCCTCGGTGCTGGCTTGAGCCATGCTATTGAAATAGCGGCCTTGAAAGACCCGACTCTGAGAACAGAGTTAGCATAAAGCCAGTGAAGAACAGGTCAGCTGGATAGATTCACAGGATGAAACACTGTTGTGCCACATTCGCAAGCCAGCGGTGCAACGTGCCTGTCAAGGAGGCTTAGGGCCTACAATGAGCGCTAGTATCTTCCATATCTTGAGGAGGTTACGCTGTTAAGTCTTGCTGAGTACCTAAACAACTACCTGGAGCCATATAGAAACGTGCCAGACTGTTTGTCGTCCAGTACGTTTTAGCTTGAATTTGAACTACTGAATTTCTCCACAAAAAGCCTTCACAACCTTATTCCTTTACTACTGCTGTATACGTAGTAGCAATGGTCTGAAAACATTATCCATGGGAACTGTCCGTGTTTGTTCATATGTTTGCTCGATAAATGCCTTGCTGGTCAAGTAGTCCGCTTTGTGACAGGTGAGATATGATGTGTGACCGTGATTCAGTAGGGATGTGACCTTTTCATGCTTGAGGAAAGGCAGGTATGGCTGAACATTTATTACTCCTGCCTTTATAATTTGTTCCGATATAGACCTCTCTTGCCTTTATGGAATGTGATCACTAGTGGCTTCTGCCTTTGAGATCCGTCGCTTCTTAACCTCTCCAGCTTCGAGTTTGCAGCCCCTTACTCGATCTCCAATCCAACACGCTTGGTTTGTGTCACCAACGTTGTTTCTCGCCTCTTCTAAATCCAAGGCTTGTCATACTCTGCGGGCACCCGCTGGACGCTCACTTCATGGCAGTGCCTTAGCAGACGACTCCTTTTCGAGCACTGGCCGCCTTCGACTGTCACATTTCAGGACTTTCCTATAGCAAATGGCCCTGATATCTTCCAGAACCTCCATCAACTTGGACTCTCCTATTCTCCATTGCTTATATCGAAACCCGAGGCCTAATTGTATTCGCTCTACGCGCCCTCTTTTCTTTGTCACCAGCCGACTGTCTCGAAACTAAGGGAAGAACAAATCATCATCGGCCGTATTGTCACTCAGCAGCCATGACTCTGCTGGACGATTGGCCGTTGGAAAACGTAAGTTGGAGCTTTTTATTGCCTTTTCGGTGACATACACAGGCTCATCGGGACTTGATAGATCATTTACACCAGCATAGTCGGCATTGTGCTATTGATGGCATGTCTTGAGTGGTTTCTTGGGCTGGCAGCATTCGCTTATTGCCTTATCAAAATCTTCCAGAAGTCGGAGCATTGGTCCATCAATGTCTTATGCATTGTAGTGGGCATTGCCTTTGTTATCCTGCGGTAGGTTATGTATGACTTTGCACTGAATGTGACACTGGCTAAGTTTGACACAGGGTCATATTTCTTCCAATCATGCTGGTCACATTGCCCCTTCCAGATCCCGTAACAAAGCTGTGGCCAAAGAGGATGGTGTCCTTTCTTCAGTGGTTCGCATTCTGGACCTTCGCTATCCTCCTGACAGTGCCTTGGCTATTCTGCATTTACCAGGTAGTCACAAATCAACTTGGTCGAACGAAGCGGATAAAGCAGGTTCTAGACGATGTCACCGCTCCCAAAGTTGTCATAGTCATGCCTTGTTACCGGGAAGAACCCGAAGTTCTTATAAAAGCCATCAACTCGGTTGTCGACAGCGACTATCCTCCAGCATGTATTCACGTTTTCTTATCTTTCGACGGAGACGAAGAAGACGAGTTATATCTCAACACCATCGATCAACTTGGCGTTTCGTTGAAGATGAAGTCGTTTCCCAAGAGTATAGATGTTAGCTATCGATCCGCACGTGTTACCGTTTCAAGATTCCCCCATGGAGGTAAGCGACATTGCCAGAAGGTAACCTTCAAGCTTATCGACCGGGTGTACCAAGAGTATCTCAAGAGGAACGACAATCTTTTCATTCTATTCATAGACTCGGACTGCATTCTTGACAAAGTATGTTTACAAAACTTTGTCTATGATATGGAGCTCAGCCCCGGCAATACTAGAGACATGCTGGCTATGACAGGCGTCATTACTTCGACGACGAAGAAGCATAGTATCATTACTCTTCTGCAAGATATGGAGTACATTCATGGGCAGCTATTTGAAAGGACCGTGGAGTCGGGCTGTGGTTCCGTCACTTGTTTGCCAGGGGCATTGACCATGCTACGTTTCTCGGCCTTCCGGAGAATGGCCAAGTACTACTTCGTGGACAAAACAGAACAATGCGAGGATTTGTTTGACTTCGCAAAATGCCACCTGGGAGAGGATCGCTGGCTGACACATCTCTTCATGATCGGAGCCAAGAAGCGATATCAGATCCAGATGTGCACTTCGGCATTTTGCAAAACAGAAGCTGTACAGACTTATCGATCCCTGATTAAGCAGCGGCGTCGATGGTTCCTCGGCTTCATCACGAACGAGGTTTGCATGCTGACAGATTGGCGCTTATGGAAACGGTATCCCATCCTTATCCTGGTTCGTTTCATGCAGAACACTATTCGAACAACAGCCCTGCTGTTCTTCATCATGGTCTTGGCCCTCATAACCACAGTCAAGAAGGTGGATGACCTTCCGGTAGGATTTATCGCCATTTCCCTAGGATTGAACTGGCTGCTGATGCTGTACTTTGGGGCTAAGCTACGGAGATTCAAGATCTGGCTGTACCCGCTCATGTTCATTCTAAATCCGTTTTACAACTGGTATTACATGGTGTACGGAATATTCACAGCAGGGCAGCGAACTTGGGGTGGACCACGAGCTGATGCTGCTTCTGCTGACACACACACGACAGCAAGAGAGGCAGTGGAACAAGCCGAAAAGCAAGGCGACGAGTTGAACGTGGTTCCTGAAACGTTTAAGGCGGCACGCGAAGCACGTAGGGCCGCATCGAATCGTGAGTCTACAACAACAAGCGAACTTGGCCGAACGAGAAGCGTGGTGCGGCCGCCAGACAAGATTGATGGTAAATTCTCAGCACGCCAGAAGACAGCATCAGGCACGTATGCTCATCCGGATGAGATGGACACCAGCGCGGAAGATGTCGAGACGGGGATAGCTGCAGCCGGTATTTTCTCGAAGGACCGTGACTCTTTGGATAGTGTCCCATCGATGCAGAACGTAGCCCTTGGGGTAAGTACACCGCGAAGGATGAAACTCCTCATGGACGAGGAAGCTCTTCAAAAGTATCAAATCGCGCAACAAATACAGGACCGAGCCTCTGAAATTAACGATCTGAACGATATACAACCGAGTCAAGCGTCCTTGACTTTGCCTACGAGACGCGCTGGATATCTGGGAGGAATGGCTGACAGCACCCCAAAGATTCAATGCCCATATAATCAGGTCTCTCAAGAGGACTCGGGTGAGGGACGAGCTATTGGTACACAGCTAGACGGTGAACAGCCAAGACTGGAAGCAAATTTATCGTTTGCTAGTCGAATGGCAAGAGGGAGATCCAGAAGAAGCCGGTGAGCATACATGAGAGTTATTGTGGTTGAGATAGCCCTCATGCTATTGTTACTCTCGGCCTCAAATTATGTGAATGAGGCTATCTCGAACAACAAGCAAGTTACATGGCAGGCATGGTTAGGCATTCGTCGATCCCACGCTTCAAAGTTCAGTGAACAAACCCACAGTCTACCCCGCAATTCTGGAGCCGCATGGGCCATGACAACACACAAATGATGTCGGTCTTGGTTGGGAAATAAAGATGGACGGCCTGGCCGGGGTTTATTGAGATGGCCCAAGCCTCAAGGGACCGAGCAGCCTACAAGTCTTAGTCCAAGTATCCGTATGTACCGGTGATGCCAACTTTGTCGGTGAGCTGGTTGGTCACCTGAACTTCCAGTTTCTAGGTAGGTAGCCAGTACAGACAGTGCTGCAATATCGGCGGAGCAGAAAGTGCATGATATTATTTTCGAATAGCTTGGCACAGTTTGTTTAGCTGTGTCAACATCATGCATATTGAAGATTGAGTTGCTTTTAGTCATATGCGGAGGATTGAGCCCGGCTTAGCCATCTCGAAGCTTCTTTAATCTTCTCGAGATATTTTATTTCGAGAAAGCTGTTGTTTGTAGAATGAAATCCACTGCAATTATGAAGATGGATGCCCTGGGAGAGTCGTCTTATTGAGTGCCTGTCGGATAGTGGCAATGTTTGATCGTTATCAAAAGCTAGAGGGGTTGCCCCTCTATCGCTTTAGCGCTTGTGCTTCAAGCCAGCTGCCAGGGCACTTTTGGAGTGACGGCACAGCGGGGGAGGGGCAGCTTACCTAATTTTCATTTTTTATTACTTTCCATCGTTCATCAGTTTCGTTTGGTTACTTGGACGATGCGAAGCCCTGTCGTTTCTTGCCTCATTCGAACATGGTCTCGAGTCAAGGATAGGAAACAGAAGCTAACGTTAGCCATTATGGAACATTCAAACGACTCGTGGCCGGTGCCTTGCGTTGCTCTGTGGAGATTTCATGTGGTATCAAATCCCTGATATCCACTGTAATCCGATTGATTGCGAACAGGAAGAGTACACGGTACATTCAGGTCGTTAGCTCTTAGTTGGTCCAGCTGGTGTTAAGTGGTGACAGAATCGCACAGAAATCCATCGTCGTTTCTAGGGTCTGCCAAATCCAGCGTTGATTGTTGAATGTGACCACCAGATCCTAGCACAGTGGTATTCTGTTCTATTGTTTCCTTGTTTGCTCCATATATCACGAACATATAAATCGTTAGTCGCATACTCGAGCCAATATTTTTCGACTTTGCTAAAGGAACCAGCCTTCGCATCTTCCAGGAGCAACATTAAAAAGAAAGAAAGTAGCATATACGTGGTTTACATCATTCTGCTACGTAGTAATCACTGCTGGTCCACCACTTCACCCGTCGACCCGCAAGTACCGAATACTACTCCCCCAGTTTGCGCGAATACCACTGAAGTCATTGGATCGAAATTTTCCATCAGGACGGATACAGTACCTGCACTACATACAGTATAGGGACAGTACACTGAGCGGCACCCCCCATTCGCTGCCCCTCCACCAAAAACCAAAAACCGCCTCAAAGAAAAAAAAATTGACCCAGCGGACTAAGCCAGGCCGGCCATAAACAACCGCCGCCCAACCTTACCTTACCTTACCTCACATTTCCCCTCCATAATATTCTCACGATTCTCTCTCTATCTCCCACCCTTCTTGCGATCGCTTTCCTTCCTCTCTTTGAGCTTTTCTGCGAATCGCTCAACATTATCGACCCTTTCCTCTTTTTACCATAATATTGTGTCTCGGGGAATCCCCCACCAGTCGCAACCATGAGTGTCGTTGGTGAGTTCCCTTCTTTTTTTTAATGGCTTTTGCGTTTTCAAGTCCCGCTCCCCGGGGAACTTCTGGCTACTCGCGGGGATACCATGACTGCAAGAACATATGGACTGACCGTTGGCTTCTATATCTACAGGAATCGATTTCGGAACCCTTAAGACCGTCATTGCCGTTGCCCGAAACCGCGGCGTCGACGTTGTGCGTATACCCTCTCCCCCGCTGTCTATCCCAACCGACATCACTACCCCTCCATGCGTTGCCGTCGCCTTTGCTCATGCATCGCGGATGGGCTGGACGAGCACATCAAAGGATGTAATAGCTGACTTTGCTTTTGTCTAGGTCACCAATGAAGTCTCAAACCGAGCAACCCCGTATGTTTTCCCCGTCGTTGGCTTTGCCGCTCGTTGCGCGTAGTCCAATAACCCCACTATCCTCACGAAACATATATACTGATTGCGTCTTGTCTAGTTCCTTGGTAGGATTTGGACCCAAGTCTCGCTACCTTGGTGAGACCGCCAAGACCCAGGAGATCTCCAACCTCAAGAACACCGTCAGCTCCCTGAAGCGCCTCGCTGGCCGATCATTCAACGATACCGATATTCAGGTTGAGCAGCAATATGTCACTGCTCCTCTCGTCGATGTCAACGGTCAGGTTGGCGCCGAGGTCAACTACCTGGGCAAGAAGGAGAAGTTCACTGCTACTCAGCTTGTTGGCATGTACTTGAGCAAGATCAAGTCGACCGCTGGTGCCGAGCTCAAGCTCCCCGTTCAAGATGTTTGCATGAGTGTGCCTCCCTGGTTCACTGACGTCCAGCGCCGCGCTCTCATCGACGCTGCCGAGATTGCTGGACTTCGAGTTCTCCGTCTTATCAACGATGGCACCGCCGCTGCTCTCGGCTGGGGTATCACAAAGCTCGACCTGCCCGCTCCTGAGGAGCAGCCCCGCCGCGTCTGCTTTGTCGATGTCGGCCACAGCAGCTACACTGTCTCCATTGTCGAGTTCAAGAAGGGTGAGCTCGCCGTCAAGGCTACCACATGGGACAAGGACTTTGGTGGTCGTGACTTCGACCGTGCTCTTGTTGATCATCTTGCCAAGGAATTCAAGGGCAAGTACAAAGTCGACATCATGACCCACGGCCGTGCCCTCGCCCGTACCATCGCCGCCGCTGAGAAGACCAAGAAGGTTCTGTCTGCCAACCAGCAGTCCCCTGTCAATATCGAGTCGCTCATGAACGACATTGATGCTTCCACCATGATTACCCGCCAGGAGTTCGAGGCTATGATCGAGCCTCTCCTTGCCCGAACCCACAAGCCCCTCGAGGAGGCTCTCGCTCAGGCCAAGCTCACCAAGGACGACATTGATATTATTGAGGTCGTTGGTGGCGGATCTCGTGTCCCTGCTCTCAAGGAGCGTATCCAGGCTTTCTTCGGCAAGACCCTCTCTTTCACCCTGAACGCTGATGAGGCTCTTGCTCGTGGTTCCGCTTTCAGCTGTGCCATCCTCTCCCCTGTCTTCCGTGTCCGCGACTTCTCTGTCCAGGACATCATCAGCTACCCTATTGAGTTTGCTTGGGAGAAGGCCCCCGATATTCCCGACGAGGACACCAGCCTGACTGTCTTCAACAAGGGCAACGTTATGCCTTCTACTAAGATTCTTACATTCTACCGAAAACAGCCTTTTGATCTTGAGGCCCGATATGCCCAGCCTGAGCTGCTTCCTGGCAAGACTAACCCTTGGATCGGCCGATTCTCCGTCAAGAACGTCAAGGCTGACGGCAAGGACGACTTCATGATTTGCAAGCTCAAGGCCCGTGTCAACATCCACGGTGTTCTCAACGTCGAGACTGGCTACTATGTCGAAGAGGAGGAGGTTGAGGAGGAGGTTAACGAGGACGGTGACAAGAAGGATCCTGATGTGAGTTTGTCTGAGCCAGCTTCGGTTCATGATGCGTTTTCCCCTGTTTCAGATCAAGACTCAGCGTCTACTTCATCATCCGCGTCGGTTGGAGACGATAGCCATGCCTATCCCGCCAAGCGTCAACGACTTGAGGAAGACGAGGAGACTCCTTTCCGTTCTGCTATTGTTGTCCCAGAATTTCTGGAAGAATCGATTTATGAACCCCGTTCGCTAACATCCGCTTCCCAAAAGGCCATGGAGACTGATAAGGATGCTCCTAAGAAGACTCGCAAGGTGAAGAAGCAGGTTCGCAAGGGTGACCTGCCCATCTCTACAGGCAGCGCCTCGCTGGATGACTCCACCAAGTCCAGTCTCCTTGAGAAGGAGTCCGCCATGGTCATGGAGGACAAGCTTGTCGCCGATACCGAGGAGAAGAAGAACGAGCTCGAGGCCTATATCTACGATCTCCGTGCGAAGCTCGATGAGCAGTACTCCGAGTTCGCTGGCGAGGACGAGAAGCAAACCATCAAGGCCAAGCTTGAGGCCACTGAGGTAAGTTGATGCCTGTATCTTTACTGGACGACCCATATTAACTGTTTTCCCAGGACTGGTTGTACGAAGAGGGCGAGGATACCACTAAGGGTGTTTACATCGCCAAGATCGACGAGATCCGCGCCATGGCTGGTCCCATTGTCCAGCGCCATTTCGAGAAAGTTGAATCCGAGCGACAAGCCGTTTTGGAGAAAGCCGAGGCCGAACGGGCTGCGAAGAAGGCTGAGGAGGATGCTCGCAAGGCTTCCGAGGGCGACAAGTCCAACGACCAGGAGATGAAGGATGCCGACGCTCAGCAACAGGAGACCGAAGGTTCTGCCGACCCCCAGTAAATTATAAATTAAAGGGGAATTATCGACACACAAAGGCTTGATTCTTCGTGTGCGATGCATGATATGAGATGAATGACGCCTAAAAAATATTACGGATGTTGACAAAGAGAGAGAGAGAGAGAGACTACCTGGATTAGGGAGAAGGAGAAATAGAGCATGGTATATGGTTGTGGACGGCTTTGTTTTACTGGAAGAAAGGGGCCGGATCATCATGACGGATATGTTACCCGAACGTTAGACAATTTTACATCTTTAGTAGTTAGGACCCATACATTCGAGTTTGGTTCACTTTCACGAATCTCTTGTCACTGTGTAGTATTGCATACTCTTGTGAAGGTAGTGATATGAGACATGTGTCCGAGATGTAGTGTACTTGGACGGTTGCCAATCTGTGTTGAGCTCTACAAGAAGTCCCGGAGGGAGTGGCCACACATGGGCAAGGACCCAATCATATCTAGTCACTTGAAATCACTCAATGAACACAACTGCGGATAGTTGTAAATCTCGTTTGGTAACAGCCCCATACCTATCTATAGACTACCTGATCTCCAGAGAGTCCTTTTCCGGTGAATCTCGTGCGTCCTCTCCTTTTTGTTGCCACGAAAAAAAATGCAAACCAGTACCTGACACAGTTCCTTCCAGATGGATGCAATCTCTTTTCCTATTCTCTTGCCTTCGATATGCATTGTAATACTCGTACTCTTCCCCTCAAAGGGAGCTTGCTAGACCCTGCTGCATGTCTTGGTCCTTGTAGAAACAACTATGTATTTCACTCTTCGTGTAGGATAGTCAAGCTCCCGGCGCCGATGATGGGTAGAGGTTCCAACGACCCCCAATTTGTTGACTTTTGGTAAATTCAGCCGCTTATTAAATGTCGAACAAAGGCTTGAGCTTGATGATGAGCTGCCACTCCTCATTACTGACGTCCTTTCGGTAGAACTCCTTGAGGGTGTCAATGCTCTTTCGGGAGATCAGACTGTACAGAGTCTCCTCTTCTTCAAGGTGACGACCGTACATGGGCTGGTTACTGCCCATCTCGATCTTGATAGCGACTGATGGTTCCTTGCGCTTGCACACAGGGATCTGCTTGTGCTCTCTCTCAATCGATGTGCTGTAAATAGTTAGCGAGAGTTTTGGTTAGACAGAAAAGGATTGAAAGACTGACACTCTGCCCAGCTTGATGATTTCCTTGGCACCAGTGGTAGGGTTGTTCCTGACGGCGGCAACAGGACAGTTGATTCGGAGCTGACCCTCAGTGACATCCACACCAATAACGATAGGGTCGTTCTTGTTGAAGACCTTGACGGGCTTGAGGACACAAGGGAAGACAGCAAGCATCTTGGACTCTTCCTTCTTTTTCTCAAGCTGCTCGTTCATGTGCTTGGTGAAGGCATCAAACAGATGGTAAATAATATCAGCTGTGAAGATCTTGATACCTTGATCGTCGGCATACTGCTGTGCTTCCTTGTCAACCTTGACATCGAAACACAACATAATGGCCAGGTCCGGAGCCTTTTCCAACATGACACCACACTGCATCACATCACGCTTGTAGACAGGTCCGATACCAACATTGGCGACAGGAATCTTGGACTCCCTAAGGAAATCGAGCAGAGCCTCGAGCGAACCCAGGGTTGAGGCCTGGACGCTGACACCACGACCAGACTTCTCGACACGGTTGAAGAGAACAGCGAGATCGGCCTCAACCTCATCCTCGATATCATCTTCATCGTCATCGGGTCCAACAACCATCAGACGAGAACCAGCGATGGCACCCTCGAGACCAGGGGCACTGATTTTGACACCCAGTGCGGCCTTGACCTCCTTGTTGTGGACATAGGCCGACTTGAGACGCAATTCTCGTAGAGGCGCGGGTGTAAGCAGAGCTCTGATATTTGTCTTGATAGCACCTTCTGTACCACATAGCACAATGCGATCACCCTCTCGCAGAATACCGTTGGACAGGACGACATCAATGGTCATACCGAAACCTTCAATGGCCTTGACCTCAAGAACGGTGGCCTGAACCTCAGAAAGGTACATGAGAGAACCAACCATACGCTCTTGGGTGAGTTGAACAATGAGTTTCAACATATCGGGGACACCCTCACCAGTGTGTGCTGAAGTGGGCACAAGCGAGACGTACTTGGACATGGACTTGTTCTGGTAGAAGAGCTCAGAGTTGAAACCTTGCTCGGCAAAAGCGATCTTTGTCTTTTCGAGACGGGTCTCGAATTCGTTGCGGACAGCCTTGCTCTGAAGGGCCAAACTGTCCTGGAATCCGTTATTGGCGACTTGCTTCCAGCCGTACAGACGATCGATCTTGTTGAGGGCGACAATGAAGGGAGTTTTGCGGTCTCGCAGCATCTTCATGGACTCGAGGGTTTGGGGCTCGAGACCGTGCATGATATCGACGACCAGAATGGCAATGTTACAGAGCGAAGATCCACGAGATCGGAGGTTAGAGAAGGACTCGTGACCAGGGGTATCGATGATGAGAAGACCAGGGACCTTGAAGTCGAACTTGCCATCGGGGTTGACAACCGCCGTCTTCTGTCGGATGGCCTCAACGGGGAAGTATGTGGCACCGATTTGCTGTGTAATACCACCAGCTTCGCCTTCCTGGACGTTGGTCTGTCGGATCTTGTCCAGAAGCTTGGTCTTTCCGGTATCGACGTGACCGAGAATACAGCAAATAGGGGATCGCAGGTTGTCCTCGGATCGAGCAGCCAGAGCAGCCTGGTGGGCTTTCTCGCGACGTTCAGCAGCCTCTCGCTTTCGCTTCTCCTCAGCTAGCTGTCTGGCTGTGGCGGCCTCGTCATCAGAAGACTCCTCTTCAGAGTCATCATCAGATCCCTTTTGGGCCTTTGCTTTTGATGTGCCATTCGCCTCTCCAGCTTCCTCAGCGTCGGAGTCAGCATCCCAACTGTCCTTAACGTCGCCGTCAGAAGCAGCAGCGGCCTCCCAGTCGTCTTCCACATCGCTCTCGGCGGCCTTCTTCTCGGCGGCAGCCTTGGCATCGGCCTCGGCCTTCTCGCGAGCGGCCTTCTCTTCGGCTTCCTTCAGAGCCTTCTCGGCCTCTTGTCGTGCTCGCTCTGCAGCTTCGGCGAGGGCCTTCTCCTCATCGAGCTGGTCAATGTTAGCAAATACTGATTTAGATCATTTACGTAGCATCAAGGCTTACCATCTGCTGGGCGCGGCCCTTCTTTCTCCTTGTGTCTGTAGGCTTGGACTTCTTCTCGGCCTTCTCGCCAGTCTCAGCGGGTCCGACCTGGATACCAGCAGCCAACATCTGCTGAAGCTTTCGTTCGTTTCGAGCCTTCTCCTCCTTCTGAGCCTTGGTCATGTACTTGCCCTCTTTCTTGAGCTGCTCGATACGCTCCTTGTCTTTCTGCTTCTTGAGAGCCCTGGCCTCCTCACGACGCTTCTCTTCCTCTGCAGCCAGGCGATCCTCCTCCTCGGCGTTGGCCCTAGCCTCGGCGTCAGCCTTAGCGGCTTCTTCTCGTTGACGCTTGAGCTCTTCCTGCTGCTTCTGTAGCTTGGCAAGATGAGGAGGGAGCTTCTTTTTCTTGCCTCCCGCGTCGGCGGCGGGGGCGGCCTCTTCAGGGGCGGTCTCCTCCTTCACCTCAGGGGCAGCAACCTTCTCGGGCTCAGCCTTGGGAGCAGCAGCAGGGGCACCTCCCTTCTTCTTGGCGGCGGCCTATTGTAGAATTGTCAGCAGATGCATATAGAATTGAACCGTGCTGCAAAGCATCCGCAGTTATAACGAACCTGTTCCTTCTTTCGCTGCTTCTCGCGCTCCTTCTTGAGCTTCTCCTTCTCGGCCTTGGTCAACATACGACCACCATCAGCATCGTCGGTGGCAGCGGGCTCGGCCTTCTTGGCGGGTTGCTTGTTCTGCTTGCCACCCTTGCCCTTCTTCTCGGGTAGAGCGAACTCGTCGTCGATGTTTGCCTCGACGGGTGCTTGAACGGCGGGCTCTTCGGCAGCAGGCTCCTCGGCGGTGGGCTCCTCGGCGGTGGGCTCGGGTTCGACAATGCCCTTCTTCTTGCGCTTCTCTTTGTTCTTGCGTAGTGTAGCCATCAGGCCACCGGCGCCACCCTCGTCGTCGTCGTCGGCGTTGGCATCGCCATCAGCACCGTTGGCATCGGCAGGCGGGGCAATGGTCTCGCCCAGCTCGGCCTCCCAGTCGTCCTGCTGGTTCTTCTTGTTTCCCTTCTTCTTAGGCGGCATATTGGCGGTTGTCTCGTCGGCTGAAGCTCGAGATGCAATCGTCCAGTTTGGCGAGTGGGCCAAATGTATTTATGGATTTTTTTTCTGGGAGGGGCGAAGTACCGTAACCCAAAAAAAAGACGAATCAAAAAGCTGCCAGATAGACAAGGCAACCTAAAGTTCGCTTTCGGTCTCTCACGCACACAAGCACACAAGCGTCTGGTTGGAGGGTTGAGAGTATTACTACTAGTAGATGGGCGTGCTACTGTACGGGCAGGTTTACTACGTAGTAAGGCGGGGCAATGCAGCGGGCAGCAACCATTATTAAATACCTACAACAGGGCTTCTTGCGTGGCGAATCTAACCTCGTTGAGCCTGTGCGAGTTATTCAGTGTCATTCGATGCTTGATATTGCATGCATCATTCTTCCGCCAATTTCTTAAAGATAAACTCCAATCGCACTGCGTGCCCTGGCATGTTCTCTTGCAAAGAAGTAGCTGTGATAATATTTCAAGCCATATCGGCCTCTCATATATAGTGCGGGGCAGTGACAAAAAAAGATTATTTTGTGAATGTGCCATATTATGTAATCTTTTACCGTTGTGTAGGTAAATTCAAGGCGAGTTTCTTGTATATAACACCTATATAGGCAGCAATGACTCACAAATCCAATGGGTTGACTCTTTTCATAAGGTGGCAATTGTGCTTTAGAGGCCGTGTATATACTGAGAGATTTCTATATAGCTCCAACTTTCATCTCTTCACGAACCTCTTTGCTTCTCCCAATTCAGATCGCTAGAGCTAGGACACTTTCAAGAATCTCGTAGCCCAGCTCAATATACTTATCTTGCCCTTGGATTCCACTCTCACGGAAACCCTTGGTATGAACACCTTCGTCGATTTTGTCCAAATACTCGCAAAACAAGTCGATAGCATCTCCAATAGACGCTAGACTTATCAGTGCGCGCAAATCGAGGCAACGCTTCAGTAAATCTCCATCAATGTGCATCGTGTTTGGAGACGGGTGAGGCTCTAGCTCCGAGTCCAAATCCACCTCGTGGTCTCTGTCCCTGGGCCTTTGGTTGCTGCGCGTAAATGGACACACATTGATGTCGTGGTATGCCAGGTTCTGGATTAGTCGGAGGAAACGCCAGAGGTCAATGCCTATCAAAGAGAACTGTTGAAGCGAGCCATCAAGAGAAACTCCTAAAACTTCGGCCTGATCGGCCGTGTTGAACAACGTATTGTACTGTCGCTGGCGATCAACAGCCAGCCAAAAGGGCCGTGTGTGTCCTCTGCGGAATCTCCTCACCGATGTGGGCAGGACTCCTTCAAAGACAACCTCGAATTCCTTGTTGCGCTGGCCCCACGGTATCCAAACTCCAGTAAACCCGCCCTGTGAGGTAGAAACGACACTCACTGGCCATTTGCCTGGTTGTTCTTCGGAATCTCCCATCTCTACGACATGCCCCGTATATCGTGTTATCTGATCAGTGTGTATCATAGAAGCTTCGGTCTGCTCTGATTCCACATGGAGGTCGATGATCTGGAGGGAGTGCTGTGCTGTCAAAGCACAAACCTTTCCATCTTCCACGCGCAGTGCCGTAGCTGGAGAATCCAACCTAAATTGCTTCATCGGCTTAAGCTTCTTTTCTGCCAGATCGAGAACTTCCCAGTGAAGAACCGTGCCGACACAAAACAAAAGACCAATAGCATCCCCAACGACTGAGTAAATCGGATCTGTAAAGCCTTTCTTTTTGTATCGTGTCCAATACTGTAGTTGTTTCGTCGGCCCATCTTCAGTATCAACTGACGTCTTGGCAACAGATACGATCATTAAACGACCTTTTTGAGTGGTAACAATGATGAAAGGGAATTTCTGTCCATCTTTGACATAAGACCACTCATATAAGCCAAATATTCTATCGCCCTGGTGCCCTAGTCCGGAGATATACTCAGAGGGCTCTCGGTCCTTGTTCGCAGCAGCTGAAATGTTAGCTCCAGATTCGGGGTCGATGAAAGAAAGCGTAGGGCGATCATCCTTCAAGTGCGCTACAACTAAAGCTTTCCAAGTTTGAGAGTAGATAACGCGCATCGGAGTTCCTTCTATGGGGATACTACGAGGAACGGGGCCAATGTGCGGCCATATATCCACAAGAAGAATTCGTGTTCCAGCTAGTAGCATCAAGGACATGTGGCGTTGGTAACCAGACAGACTCTTTTCGAGGCAGAAAGCTGAATAAATTGGCGGTGAGGGCATCGATGGATCGTTGAAGTCGGTCGCCCAGATGCGGTTTTTGGTTTGAAACTTGCTGGTCCTTGGTGAAAAGTCTTTGATGATTGATAGAGTATTGTCGAAGCAGGCGAAAAGGGCGTGACTATTATCGAACTGGCCAGACGCTGCGAACACGCTTGTAGGCGACAGACTCAGTTGCTCAACTCCGAGGGAGACTTGGTTCATCCCTTCTCCCGAGAGTTGTATCGTTACAATGTGTCCGCTTCTTGTACCAAGTACTAAAATTGTCTTGTCGGGGGTGTCAGTGATTGCATGCACACTTGTGTATGCTTCTATTTGGAAAGGGGCTTCCTGTCCAGCAGTATCTAGAGTAGGTTAGTGACTACTTCGCTTCCTATGTCAGTATGCCAAACTCACCTGGGTCTAACTGGGTGGCATGGTTGCTGAGTTCAAGACCGTCGAGGGAGTATATATTCAAGCGTGGTATCCCCTCCTCGATGGAGCCTGCCACGATGTAGGTATGAGAGGATTTTCGGAACAGACTGAGACATGTCACCTCCCCTCTCACATCAATCGAGTTTGCATGCGAAAGGTTCATTTGATCTATACGCAATACATCCAGTCGAGATGTATTTACTCCATGCGAAGATAATACGACTGCGTCCTCCATACAGCACGCATGTTCGGCCACGAATGAAGGCATTCCACAAACCACATCGTGGTTGTGTCGTGAACTAAAGTGCCCGTCAGTTACTGTTATACACCAGGCTTCGATTGCGGCAGACAGTTACCTCTGTAGGGGTGCAACAAGACTCGTAGAAGTCTCAGTCACTTGAATGATCTTGCCATGTTCGCCCTGTATCGCTGAAATTGTTCGCGAGGAGGTATCGAACGGACAAGTATCTGTAGACAATGCGTTGGCATTGCTAAGATCAGCAGGGAAGTGAAGGATGTCGGAAGAGTGTGGCAATGATAAGACAGCATAAAAGCCCCTCTCGCCTTGAATCTCGACTGGGAACATCCATGACTGGCGAACGGGTTGGTCGTAATCAAATTCTAGGCCGATTCTTGCCTGGATCCCCCACCTCAGCTCCGTCAAACTTGATCTAGGTCCGCGACCAGATGTACAGAAGATACGATCCGGCTTTTGTCTCAGATGCATGGGAGCCTTGCGCCTTGTTGAAATATCTTTGCTTGTGTTGTCGCTCGTCCAAGAAGGATTAGAATCTGTGGTGGTCATGTCTACCACGGGCGACCAGTTGGGTATAGTACTGACTTGTTGAGGGTCTCTCCGGGCTGAAAGCTAAGGAAATCGTGCGTCAGTGAAAGATCTGATACAGCAAGAGCAAGTGTCAGGTACCTTCCAAATTCCCCCTGGACTCGAGTCACCACCAATAACAAGGACGTCTGAAAAGACATCATAAGCGGTGGTAAAAGCTGTCGTGATATTAGTACCAATGGTACCAAGGTTAGTCGCCGAAAGAACGAGATCTTTCGAATCGATCTCAATAGTTACAATAACGCCATCCTCACGAGCTAAATAGATATTGTCCGTTCTTGCCAAATAGCTCATGAGTCTAAAGGGCCTTGCCCACGCGGTCCAAAGCGGCTCAGCAGCCCCATGGTGCAACCAAGTCTGTCCAGGAGAATGAGTTTCGCAAGTATCGAATGTGGTCTGTCCAGTGAATGCGTTCTTGACAATTCCAATGGAATGCTCTGAAACCGCAAAGAAAGCAGTGTTGACTTTAAGAGGGATGATCATGAGGGGCATCCGGTGCTCTTTGGGCAATGGCGTTCCCCCTTTTTCAGACCGGAACACAGTACCAAGTTCGTCGCCGAGTTCCCAGTCGTAAACGACCATACGGGAGACATGAGCCTGCTTACTTGCCTCACGTCGAATAAGGATCAGAAGCAAGATGACATGGTAATCGTCCTCCGGCCTCGGGTACAGAAATTCCATCTTGTGAATAACTCCTTGTGTTGTTCGAACTCGGGTGGTCTTGACGGGTTGGAAAGATCCATGGCGGTGAAATTGGGAATCCATATTGATTAGTGATTCGAGCTCGTAAATTATAAAGGCTCCTTCAGCTGATCCAGCTGCCATGTATCGTGATGAAGGATCGATTGAAAGATGATAGCCCAAGAATTGGAGGTTTCTAGGACTTTCGTATGTGGTGGTCACGAAGCCAAGCGATCCGTCCGGGCGTTCTTTAACAAAGAGGAATACAGCATCGCCGGTCTCAAGCATTAGTACTAAGAGTTGTGGTGGTAGTATACGGTGACGATTGGGTCCATATGCCTTTACATCGTCTTGCATAGGAACATCAGAATCTTCGAGTTTGACAGGTCCAGAAGATGTGACACGAGGGCCATCATCGGGCGGTGCTCCAAGTACGACCGCATTTCGGATTCGTGTGCCAAAATCAGCTTTTCGAATGACCTCGTGAACTTGACCATCGTCACGGAGTTCGCTTATTTGAACAAACCGATCCTAAGTCAATTAGCAACGATTCAGAAGGCAGAAATGGCGGTTTAAAAGACATGTGCAGGTCGAAGTTGTGGAGAATCTGATCGGGAGCAGCCAAAAGAAGGCAACCAACTTTTGCCCCCGTATTTATCCTCATGCTTAGGTTTGGGAAGAACACATCGGACATGGAACATAGGACAATCCAAATATGGGTGTGTCTAGGTATGGCTGGCGTGAAATATGAAGAGACTTACACCAACGAATGCTATGTCGTTATGAGACCGTGAACGTAGCCAGACTGGGAGGATCCAGTGGATCACGGGGCTCTCTACAATAGTTCTGGTAAGAATTCCGCAAGTAGGTGCTTCGGGATTGGGATCTAGGGCGGCTTTGGGCGCTGCAGAAGAGGCCTTCAAGGCATCTTGGAAGTTGACTGTCTGCGTCACCCACTCGCCATCTCTAAGAACACTGCTCTGGAAAGCCATACTTCCCTCTTCATGGCATCAAAAAACAGAGCGGCGGGATTATGGCGGGATTCCGTGCAGGAAGACGGACAAAAGGTTGACCGTAAGATGTTTGTAGCCGAAGATATGCAATGGTTAATAGTGACGTTTCCGTGACGGTCAATATATCGAATAGTATAGACGGAGGTTCAAGCAGTGGTCATTCGGCACAGTTGAGAAGCGTTGGGTGCCTTGCTCGTGCATGTGGTGTGATAAACAGCGCTGGTGTGTGGTTTGTTGGTTAATGATGTGGTTGAGTGGAGGAATAACCGCAAAAGTTCAACAACGATTTAGACGTTGCTCGAATCACCCTTTTTCACGGTCTATTGACCCAGCGAAGGCAAATCAGTTGAACTCTCGAAGTGAATGGGCTGAATGGCAGTTGCTTCTCGATAAGCCCCGAAGATTCTGTTGCACAGATGCATAGAAGGCACGTATAGTGTAACGAGTTGAAGATAGGACATGTGTCCAGTGCCTATTAATCTAGCGTAATAGTTGAGGAGGAGGCAATGAGTCGGGAAAAAGCATAAGAGGGTCTGCGGCGTGTCGATCCAGGCTAGGTGAGCTCACCTGTGCGGTGATGCAATGTCGTCGAGGTTGCGAATATTGCCAGCTAGACGAAAAGCCACAAAAAAGTGAACAATCCAAATCGATAGGATGGAACGAGACGAATGCGCAGTTCGCAAGAAAGACAAGTTGGGTCGTTTGTGTTTGCAATATGCTAGAGATCCAAAGTATGAGCGTGATGGGTCGAGCTTTGTGAGTTGCAAGTTGTAGGCAGGTGTGCCACTGTTTGATCATTAATCAGGGCGATCGATGTTAGACAAGAGTCCCATCCGTATACTGAGCAGTGTGTGTAACTGTCCAAGTACAAATCCGGGCCTTGGGTGTTAAACTAGAGCAGGGCAGGTCATTAGGTAGTAGGTACCTCTAGTCTATCGTTCGGTGGAAGAAACTTGAGACGTGTGGGATGAAGTGAGGCGCCACGGAAAGTAAGAAGCTTAAGAAGCGATATGGAAGGAAGCCTGGCTAGCCTGGCCTATGAAAAGCCCACCTTCCCTAGGTTGCTCCATAGGTAAGGTAGTTATGTTGGATCCGTAGCCTTTTCTTTTTGCCGGAGGATCATTCCATCTCTTCAGCGGCGGATAGATTTTAGCGCCAGACCCTGGCACACATGGCGTACTTGATACGAAGTACCTACACAAGCTGACAAGAGACCTAATCATGGTCCCTGGTAGAGAGAGAGAGAGAAAGAAGTCACCTGAGAGCACTACCTATGTGCCTGATAAAACGAATCAATAATAAAGTACGGTCTAATACCAACAAAAGGCCTGCGGCGGAGACTCTGATCGGTCTCTAAGCTGCCTTTGGTGATGATATTATTGACAAAATGACCCGGTTTCACCCCAATACCTTGCTTACACTGGCCAGCCCAGCAACTGCGGAGGACAAGATCGCGAACGCTACGCCAGACCGCCAATGACTCAAACGCGCGCGGATATAATGTATACGTGCAGTAACCTGTAACTAACCCCCAAGCAACCTCCATAACATGAGGGTGGCTTGGAGTACCTAAGTGCAGGTTAGCAAGATACAGGTACCTTGGTACCTACTAACCAACTGCCTTCAGTACTACTAAGTTAGGTACTACCTAATAGCTACTATACTAACCTACTTATGTGTATTGGTGCTAGTAACAGGCGGGGGTGTAGGCGGGATTACTCCATTCGCAGCAATTGGAAGCTTACCGATACTGTAGGACCCTTTAAAAATGGTGTCCTAATTAGATAAACCCCACTAATAAGACTTGCCAATCCACAATCAACCTTGACCTTGACCTCGATCCAACCTACCAACAGAACGACTATTACCATAACCTTCTCGCTTCTGAAGCAACTTCAACCCCAGATCCCTGCACGCACCGCGCCATAATCCCATCACTCATGACGATCCTATATTACGATTCACAGGGAAGAGCCCTGGATCGTGGAAATATTACAGGATCTGGTGTTTGTTGTCTAAACCATCTCTACTCTTGTAACAAACAAAGAGAAACTCTCTCTCGAACCTGACATATCCTTGTCCTAGGCTTGGCAGTACATGTGTACTTACTACTTAGTCCCCAGGCGGGTAGCCGGCCTGTTTCTGCATAGTGCGGGTTGCAAATATCTTGGGGGGCACCCCAGGACCAGGGCGTCGGGGCGGCTCTTTATTAGATCAAACGGGTCTTTAACTACGGTACCTTGGGTTGCTAGGTAGTCTGCTACCTCGTCTATGCACTTTGCTATCAACCTGCGTCATCTTGTTGGGTATTCTGTAGTTGGGCCGTTCTGGCTACAGTAGCTTATATCGCCAGATATACTACTAATTGCTGCAGTTCACAGTTTGTGCTTTGTATGGACGACTCCAGGCCGATGTATTGCCTGCATTCTCATCTTAAGTGTCCTCATCAACATCAACTAGACTAAGCTAGTCTAGGTAAAGTACCTAGTTCAAGGTAGTGGGCAAGCTAACTAGAGGTTAGTCGAGCTTCTTGATGCGGGATAACCACACCCGTTTACCAAGTATAACAACTTCACTCAACCAACTGCATATTCGCATACACGTCTACACGTCTGCATTCTCCATCTCTCGGAACTTGACGACTCCGAATCCAACCCGTTTCAGAGACGATTGTGGATTTTCCTGGCCGTCATGGACCGAGTCTAGACCAGCCTGGGTCTTAACTTTTAACTTTATTTTCTCAACCCTTGATACACAGAATCTGCCGATGTGTGAACTGCTTATCACACCGACTCGAACTCTCCTTGTTCAAGGTTTATCATGCGGATAAGAACGCACTCATCATGACGTCGGACAGCCCAGTGTGGTTGCTGGCTGCTTTTCTTTTCCTCCTTAAACATCATCATCCATATTGTGCAACCCCCCAAAGAGTCTCGGCCCGTATTGCTTTTTGAACAGAGATGGAATGGGGGATGATGAGGCATGGTTCGCCGAGAGCTGACCTGCCTAAGTAGGTTGTCAGTTCATGGTGTTGCAAATGAGTTTGCTTTTTCCTTTACCTTCTTTGAATCCCCCTGCAAATATGCATCTGGTTCTTCAGTCGGCATATGCCCAGTCGTAAAAGCTTTGTTTGATTGTTCAGTTATGCACCAAGACAAACCAACCAGCCGCGAATGCTTAACGTCCATTCATGAACGGGATGGGACACTTTTGAACTTGAATGAGCAGGAATACTTGTCGTATTGTCCCAGGCTGAGTTCTATCTATGAGTCCCCAAACATACAATACTCTTGCAACTTAACTGTCACATTCGCATTTTAATTCGGGCTGGTAATGCTATTGGTCTAAGTGAAAGAGTAAAAGATTTGACACTCAGCACTCAAACGGGCATAGGATGACTCACGTTCTAGCTGGACAGAAAGACTATTACATCTGATGTGAGTCAGGAATTGTTTCGCTTCTGAGAGATTTGTTAAACCATGCAAAACGTGGTTGTTGTTTGTGCAATGCGAGCTGTCAGTTATGCCAAGCCATTCTCGGAGACTTTCCAATCACTCCTGTCTTAGGGCTACGAGCTGAGAGTTAGACCAGTAGTCAACTCAGTTGTTTTGACAAGCGTATCCTATCTGCCTATCCAGACCGGGTATTTGTGCGGCACGGTAGCGAAGGTGGACAGCTGCCAAACCAAGCATGTAATGCTGCGGGATTGTCAAAACCTACCTATGTCAAGATAGGTCGTCGTGGGTCGTTGTCTCAGACAACGTAAGTGACCACCATGGCCAGCACCAAAATTAATCATCGTCACTGATTGACTAATGGTTAATTAGCAGGTTTGCGGGAGGGATATATGTAGAAGACAGCTGTATGTCTCAGGTAGTCATTTGCTCCAGCCTGTTGCAGGGGTTTTATTGGTAGTGTCCTCTTCTTGTCGTGTCTCAGCCTAATCAAGACTGAAGCTTGATGTTTTATTTTTAATGGTCACAGGACGTGATAGAAACGTCCGCCGAGCCACCCCAGAATGCGGCTCGATTTGCGTTCGATATTGAGGCCTCCTTGATAGATGACATTTGACAGATGCATATAGAGTTAAGACCAAAGGCACAAGCACGGGCCTCGAATAAGCAACTAAAATGACATTAGTATCAATTTCCAGGGGGATAATAAAATGAACAGTAAGAAAAAAGTAAACATGAATTAACATCAACATAGATGTTAGTTGGTAACTTCCAATACTAACTATCTCCTTAGTTAGACTATCGAAACCAGACGTGGGGGAATGAATCTCTGAGGTGTACGGAGTACGTACCTGTAACCACTAGCTTTAGGTTAGCATCAAATCTGAATCACATAACCAAACAAGGATCATCGACCTAGGCCTGAGTACAGCAAAGCGATTCTTCTGATACTCCGTGCTCCGTATAATCACCAACAACCACCAAGTGACACGAACTACTACAAACACCTTGCGGCACAACCACAGCATCATCACACAAGAAAATTCCATCAGCTCGACCAGTAGCATTGCCAGTAGGGTAAGGGAGCAGAGACGAATTCATTCTGTTTCTGAGGGAACCTGTCTGTCTCTCGGCCATGGCAAGACTCTCCATCTAATTCTGATATCTCCTCTCATCCGAACTCGGCACTCACTTTCACTACCCCCTCCACCCTGGTCCGATAGTCTCATTAGTTGTTCTTAACGCGCTCAGTCATGGAAAGTCCTCAAGATAACGATCGTTGTTCGTTGTCTTCAAGTCGCTCCAGCAGCAACACTAATCCCAACAGTAACAAGGACGTTTCTGAGGAACCCGATATACTATCTCATCCCAAAGCAGAAAAGATCCTTGAAGCATGCAAATGGAGAGACATAGGCCGTCTCAAGGCTCTAGCTGAAGCCCATGGTGGATTCCTATCAGATACCTTACGAAGGCAAGCATGTATGTCTGTTCCCATCTCGAGACCAAGCACATCGACTAACACCATCTTGAAGGGCCCATTCTACTAGGTCTGGATGCTCCCTCTGACGAAAAGGAGGATACTCTATCGGCTCAGAATGCCGATGACGACTGGAAACAGTTGCCCCGTCATCATGACGAAGATCAGGTTCAGCTTGATGTCAATCGCTCGTTTATTTACTACCCAAACAGTAAGTGCCCAGTCCTTCACCTGCTCTTCCCAAGACATCGTGGGAGTTAACACATAGACAGATCAATCCGATGCAGAGCTAGCTCTCCGCAAATCGGAGCTCTCATCCCTCATCACCGAAGTTCTCCGTCGTAACCCTTACCTGTGCTACTTCCAGGGCTACCACGACATCTCCCAGGTCCTGCTGCTGGTGCTGGCGCCGGCATGGAGAGCTCCATTGCTTGCTCGCCTCTCAGTTCTAAGGATACGTGACTTCATGCTACCCAGCTTTGGACCCACGACCTCTCAGCTTCGCCTTCTGCCCGACATCATCCTCGCTGCCGACCCAAAGCTCCGACAACACCTGCAAGGTGTTGAGCCTTTTTACGCACTGGCAGGGACGCTGACAATGTATGCTCACAACATTGAGGCCTACCAAGACATCGCCAGGTTATTCGATGTCTTCCTTGCCCAGGAGCCTGTTTTCCCCGTCTATGTGTTTGCTCAGATCATTCTTGATCGCCGAAATGAAATATTTGAGATTGACGAGCCTGATATGCTGCACGTCATCTTGGGCAAGGTCCCTACCAAAATGGACCTGGACGAGCTGATAATCAAATCAGCCGCTCTTCTCCAGCTTCACCCCCCCGAGACGCTAAGTTACTGGCGTCAAATATCTGACTACAGTGCCCTCAAGACAGCTCGGAATATTGAAGCCTGCGCGCGACAAACATTGGAGGAGGGCTCGCAGCTTTTCGAGAAGCAGGTCACTGAGGTTCACTGGCAAGAGGTGCGAGATCGCATCAAATTGACCCTCTGGCGCTACCGCCGTCCAGCGAGGACGGTCGGAATGGCTCTTGTTGTCGGAGCCCTAGCATTCTACCTTCGTCGCAACCCGAGTGTTGTCCGTCGTATCGCTTCTTTCTTTTCTTAATAGCTGTTTGAGTTTCTAGTCTACATAGAACCATTCTTGGTGGAGCCCCAAACATACGCGGGTAATATAAAATCTGGCGGTTGGGGCGATCTTTTGTTGTTAGAACGGTATAGAACATTTGTTTTATTCAAAAGACCATACTCCGTTTAATCCTTACATGACCTTAACCTAGACGCCGTGCAAAAAACATGTGCATATCGTCACGCTCCAAATCAGAAACTCGAGTATGAAGTTCTTTCCCATGATAACCTCCAGTCTCCCAATCGCTTTTTGTTCAGATGAACAACCGTTTTATGATGTCTCCTGATGCTGAGTCTTCAACTTTTCAAAATGCTCCTGCTGCTCATCGGCAAGCTTACCATTCGCATCACTGATGATAGTAAGAATAAGCGAGTAGTTGTTGTACAAGAAGCGCCCACTCTTGCGCTTGTCGCCAAAGAGCTCGGCATGGCGAGTAAGAAATGCCTCTATTTCAGAGCGCAATCGGCGCAGGCTGGATACAACTGGCTCGTCATCCCCTGCATCGGTACTAAGAGCTAGGAGCCCGTGTAGAAGCTGGCCGAAACGTTGAGTTGCGACGTGAGGCGCCGCAGACAGTTTAGCAGCTTCGGCACGACTTGGCTTGGAGGGCACAGAATTAGTCAGGTGGCGGACCGAGTCGCAGTGGCGATCCATGATCACTTGGAGACGGGGCCACAGAAGCATGGTCGTAGCGTTTATATAGCCATCCACGGCGGGTACTTTACGACGCTGTAGCTCAAAAGCAAAGTGTTGGTTCAGGCGGATGCAAAGTAGTAGGCCGAGAGCATCGTAGGTTTCCCCAACAAGATTCTTAGTAAGTATCCTACCCAGCTCAAAGGTAGCCTCGAAAATATAGTTAAAATTCTTTGAGATCTGTCCATACGATAAGGCAGGCGAAAAGAAGGTAGCCATGAAAGTGTACTCGGCCGTGGCATTGTCGATGAGCGCGAGGTTGAAGTTACGGAAGGGTACTTCAAGGTAGTGAGTCGTTTGGTCTTCTTCAGCAAGGTATGAGGAGAGGGCGGATTGATTGTTGGTCCTCAGAAGATCTATGCGCCGTCCCAGGCTAAAGGCGTCGTGAGGAGGTCCGGGTGCTCGGTTGCTGGAAAGGACAGTGGCCTTACGTGTTGTGTCTTCGTTTCCGAGAGCATCGTTCTTGTCGAGGATGTGTAGCTTGATCTTACCGAGTGCCTTCTCATACCGGGAGAACTGGTTCAGGTAGTACCATCGCATAGTATTCATGTAAGCCAAAGCTATCTCATTGGCAAGGGTCGCATGGTGTTTATGCAAGAATGTGAAAAGATCCTTAAATCGAAGGAAGTTTTGTTGTTGAATGATTTGCGCATTAATGTGTGGTGATCGCAGTGCTTTGATTTGAGCCACGATGAAGTCGCGAATACGCTCAATTGCCTAGTAAAGTTAGGTGACATCTCTGACAATGCAGTGCTGTATCCGTACCTTTAAAGTGAGCTTCTCAAGAATTGGTTCCAGATCTTTTGCCGCATTACTAGATTGGGCTTCCGGTTTCTTCTTGAACGAGGCCGATCTGCGATCAAGTTCAGCTAGCATCTTAGCCCAAGTTTCGTCGATATGGCCCTCCGAGATCTTGGAGATGACTTCAGGAGGCAAGCTCAGTTCCTCCACTAATGGCCCCAGCGCCTTTTCAACCTGTTTTCGATTCTCCAATCGCTTGTTCAGTGCTGTTGAACGATTTTGTAAAGATTCAATGTCTGCGGACACCATAGCGAGGTCATTGCGGAAGTTGGCAAGGTTGATCTCCACCGAATTGAGGACGTCGTCGCAAGCGTCTATCGATTTATGGAGGTCTTCGAGTTTGGTTCTATCTTTCTCGCCTTGAGCATGTCAGTTATGGTGTCTGTATGGTTCCAATCGAAGGTACTTACTCTCTTCTACTGATTTTGGCTTGCGATTGTTGGTAGTGGCCGCATCAGGGGGTTGCGACGTAGCCAGCTCCTTTAATGACAGCCCTCCAAACTCAGCTTCGAAGCTGATGTCATCCTGTTTTATTGCAAATGTCTTCTCGGTTTGGTCGTCATCATTAGGAAAGCTTGCCAACAGTGTCTCCAGCACTTCGAGGGAGTCGGGTCCGGTTTCAATCGTTGAGGCCTGCCTCAAGCCGGAACCGTTCGGCCTTCGCGACAAAGATAGGAGTGACGAGGAAGAATCGTTCGAGGCCAGAGATAGTGACGAGCCGCGAGGAGTGATCCCAGGACGCTGAGACGTGACGTAAGGACTCAGAGTGCTCGAACTTCTCTTTGGGTATACTCTGCCGCCTGGCTGGGGAGTGGAGGGTCCGGGACTGCTGGCCGGGCCTCCAGCCAGTCTGTCGAGCCACATGGCAGCAGAAGCACGACCACTATGGGGCTTAGTAAAGACAATTTATTCGATGGATTCGGCACTCGTGGCCAGTATCATGGTATTATCGCGGGTACCGGAAGTGCTGGTGACAATTCAATATCGAGGGAATGGTAGAAGCTTAATCAGGCGCAAAAGGGTCAGCTTGGCCAGCTTGCAACGCGAGGCTGTCAATAGCCATGGATTTGCGGGTGCCAAGAAAGATTTGATTGGCTAAGCTGGTCCGGAGGTCGGTTAGCTTCCAGCCTTGTGTGGCTGCACTGGGTTCTATTCCATATTAGGTATAGACGGGGATCTCGGTTGGCCGATACCCGCTCATAAGATATATGTAAGCCCACCAACAGCACAAAGAAATGCAATATGAGAGGATGGATGGGGTCGCCATGAAGAAGTAGGTAGGCAATGCCATAATGGATAAATCTGCAGCCTGCGGGCGGGCCCTTATGGCACGCATGGTACTTGCAGCACTGTAGTATTAGCAGGCAAGACGTTGTCATAGGAATGTCAGATGTGGTCGTTCAATCGCCTACTCATTGCTTCTATTGCATCGCACCGAGACCTTATGCTTGACAAGCAGGTTTTGGGCACCAATAGCCATCTTGGGATTGTGAGGGGCAGTTTAATGCCACAAATGGATTGCTCCCCGCGTGAGCAGTTGCATTTACAGTCAACGGATCTCTGGTGTTAGCAACAACGGCTTTGACGCCTGACAATGCAATGATATCCATATCGTTTGTGAAAGTCGATTTGCCCAGAACACTCTGGTGAATTGTATAGTAGGATACCCCACACTGTTCTTGATGGCAGCAAACTGTAAATGTGTCGACTTGAATTTGTGTTAAATGAGGTAGGTCGATTTTAAACCTCGGGTGAGCCCCGCCACACCAGTTCAGGTCTGCTCAAGTGATCAACAAGGTAGCAACCCAACTTGATCTGAAGCTTCCAAGCAATTGGGCTTTAGCGCTCTTTGGTGGTTTCCGCTCCACCCCGCTCGATCTTTGCAGCGAACAGATGCCCTGTAATGAGATGACCCCTCCACTCGTTACCGGGAGGGGTTGAAGGTCGAGGTCGAGGGTGAGGGGCTAAGTTAGAGGGGCAAAGGTGGTGAGCTCCATCGAGGCTTCAGAACCCATTCAGCCATCCTCAGAGCCCCTCTCTTGACTTGACACCAAGAGCCAACCTTGCCTTAGCCGTCTGGGCTGTTAATTTCTGACTACAGTGCACATTTCCCTCGGCCGGTAGTGTCCATCCATCCACAGCCTGGAAAAACAGTGTCCACTCCACTGCTGCACCCAATAACACCCAATCATAGACCTGAGAAAAAAAATCCGTCGAGGGCCTCGCACCTTTTTCTTCCTTTTTCTTGCCCCCTCCGTCTCTTTTTCCGAGTTTGGTCCTTTCCTCCTTCTTCTCTTCTCCATCCCACTCTCAAGCTCTTTTTTCCTCTACCTTTTCAACCTCACTCCTTTCCCCTCAAGACCCTCGACTTCTTGTCAATACCGTCAAAATGGCCGCCCCCAACGATGCTGAGGTGAGTTCTCCTGCTCGTCTTGCCCATTATTTCGACATCTAAGCGCACGCGCCTACGCCCACGAAATCTGCCCTTGCGCCCATTTTCGCCTGGAGATTTTCACCCCGCATTGTGACTTGTGCCCCACGATACAATGCTGCCCTTTGATTTTGTCTTTAATTTGAGCTTCATCAGTCCCCAAAAAATAATGAACAGCGACGTTTCCATCATGTACAGCTCGTATTAAGAATTTTGCTAATTGCTGTTTTTTGCTCTCGTGCAGCATGAGATGACCTTCGACTCGGCCGATGCCGGTGCCTCGACCACCTACCCTATGCAGTGCTCTGCTCTGCGTAAGAACGGTTTCGTCGTGATCAAGAACCGACCTTGCAAGATCGTCGACATGTCGACCTCCAAGACCGGAAAGCACGGTCACGCCAAGGTCCATCTCGTCGCCACCGACATCTTCACCAACAAGAAGTACGAGGATCTCTCCCCCTCTACTCACAACATGGACGTTCCCCACGTCTCTCGTCGCGAGTACCAGCTTGTATGTGAACCCTCGCCCCGCTCCACAGAGGAACGACCCCTCCTTTTTAAGAGCTTACCTTGTCAACTCCTCTGGGAATGTAACTAACGTGTTAATCAGCTCGACATCTCCGACGACGGTTTCCTCTCCCTTATGACCGACGACGGTGACACCAAGGATGATGTTCCTCTGCCCGACAACGAGATTGGCCAGAAGATCACCAAGCTCTTCCGAGAGGAGGAGAAGGACACCAGTGAGTAGCACTTCACAGTTGTCCTTTGACAAAAACCCTAACTTTATTTCTTAGACGTTATTGTCCTTACCTCCATGGGCGAGGAGTGCGCCATGGACGCCAAGGAGGCTCCCGGCCAGAACTAAATTGTCTGACCTTTGACTCGCACCTCACTCAAATGACTCTTGGCCCCTGAACATTTGCATCGAAAGATGATAGGGGCCATGCGATCTTTTTGTTTTGATGAACATTTGGCGCATCAATATTATGGGCCACGGGTTTGGGCGTTTCGCAGAAGGACTATCTGGGCAGGGTTGTCTGCCAGTTATGATATACAGCAATCCTTAACATACCACCTGGGTCCCGGACTGAAAAATGTTTTCCTTTGTTCCTAGCTCACACGCTGCGCATGCCATCATGTCACGATACGTAGCGGCAATTTTTATGAAGAAAAAATGGGAGAGCTTTGGAGTTGATAAATATCTGTCTAATTGGTGATGTCAAGCTGTTAAGTCGTCGTGCATCACCGTGGTGACCAGTGTTTAATTATCTGCCACATTATTCGTGTAACAAAACAGTAAAAGTGTCTGTGTCTTCGGATAGTGACTTAAAGGAAGGCGAAAACTAAAGAGCAACAACGGGCAAACATACAAGCATATTTCAGCCACCTAGTTCACGATCCATAATCCTGTGATGCAAGCTATTTTACTTGTTGCGGGTTGAGTAGATATATGTGTAAATGATTTCGGTCGTGAAATGGCAAGCAATAACACCAGAATTCACATTTTAGCCTCGCCATTGACCACTTTTTTTTCTTGGCGCAAAACATGCATCATAAGCACCGAATGAGATCGCTGAATCAAGTGACAGCTATCTCTTGCATTGAAAATCAACCATCTTCTTACAGTCTTGTAATCTCATAATACTATGGATGTGCGACGGGATCTTCGCAAATTTCCCCGCGGGGAGAGATGCCCAGAATGCGGCGCCCGAAGATGGTATTTGGAGAGTGGTCTGCGCTTCTGCTCCAACGGACATCAAGTTGAGGTTCGTGGTGCAATATATTCTTTCATGCTGATTCGTGTAATGACACTGCAAACAGGGGTTTATTCAATTCGACATCGGTGACGATGTAGATGCTGGAAAGCTGGGGAGAGTGGCCAAGAAGGACAAAGAGGCCAAGGAAAAGGAATTGCGACATCTCACTGGCCAGGCAGGCAAGAACCTCTTTCTCGAATGTCTGCAATTGGTGTTGAGGAGCCAACTTCTTTGGCTAATACGGAGCAAAGGCCATCGAGAGGAGCTTGAGACCGTAGTACGCGACTTGTGGGATCTTCGCATTCGCGGCTCTGGCTCACTTGCTGTTGATAAGGAGACGCAACCAGATGAGGGTCTGGCCGTGTTCAGCTCACAGCCTGAAGAGCCTGAGAAGGACGATATACCCAAGAAACAGGGCGCGAGAGCTCAGAGCTGGAACCCAGAACAGAACGCAGATTGGCCAATGCCTAGGATGATAGACACCCTGGCTTTGTGCTATCTCGGATGCTTGCTGCTCAGGGTACCTACAGCTATTGGGGAGCTATGCCTTTGGGCCAACTCCGGACGAATACCATATAAACGATCTGTAAGTCGTATGATCGATAATTGATCCGTATAGCTGACAAGTTTAGTACTACGATCTCCCGCAAGAGATGCAAGATCGATTACCTTCTGCTTATACCAGAGCACTCAAATACCCCCTTCGCTCATCCCTCAAGGGCATTGACTTGCACAACGCTGTGCTAGATCTTGCCCTATCATATCATCACAACTATGAAATGATATTCCCTACTATCAATGATACCCCGACCCTTGTCCACTTTGTCCGACAGCTTGCTTTGCCAGGTATGTTTTCTGAAAACAGTGGTTTCTCCTATGCTAACTGCCTCAGTCGAAACGCTTGTCACAGCGAGAGGTATACTGTCAATGATGAAATTCTCGTCTCAGTTGCCCATTGAACAATCGCGACGCTTTCATATCGACTATCCCGAGATTCTACTTATTGCCGCAGTCGTTGTTGCCGCAAAGTTATGTTTTCCACTGGGACGGCACTCCCCTTTGCTTCAGGTCACTAGCACAGAACACAACATCCGATTCAACTGGACAAAATGGCACAAGGGTGTCCAAGAACTGATAGATGCATCAAAAGCGCCTGGAAAGGAACCCAGCTTCGACGAGGTCACAACAGACCAAGTTGCTTCCATGACTACCGAGGAACTTGATAGGTACTTTGCTCACATTGCAAGTACAATTGACAGGAAGAGTGAGTTGTTGCGGTACATGGACTTCAACATGCTAACAGCCAATAGACGACTCAGCTATCACAAGATTCTTTCCATTAGAGATTGCTCCCCGTCCAGAGACTCCTCCCGGCGAGAGCAACGAAAAAGACAATGACCATAAGATGCGACAGATCCTTGGCCAAGTCATTACAATCGCTGGAGAGGAGGAGTCAGAGCCGGAGAGTGAAGATTTATCAGAGCCAAATTACGAAGCTTTTCGCTCGGTAGAGGACCTAACAGAAACAGCGCAGGCGCTATACAGAGCTGCTGGTAAGTTGTCATGATCATTTTCAAAAGCTACGAAGTTTACAGTTGTCCAGGTCACATCTCAGGATTGTCACTTGACGAAACAGTGCAGGCAGTTTATATGTTGGAGCAGAGGATTCTCACATGGCAACTAGATCGGCGTAGGGAAGATGGTGAGATGCTATAATTACTAGGTATTTTTTATAAGAAATACCAATTTGAAAAATTAGCATCTTGACTTACATGCCACGAGTGACTTCAACTTGAGCCTCCATCTTAAAAGGGCATGATATCATGAGTGCTAATGCTGGATCCACTCCCCGTGGTGCAGGTCAAAAATCCCGAGTGGGAAGGAGCGGGCACGTGACCCACCACAACCTTAGGGCTTTCCTTCCTCTCGTTTGAAGAACGCCCCACCAATATTGCACGCAGAAAGAAGCCCGGCTTTCCAATCCTCACATCGTCACCGTCAAAAATCAGTCAAGAGTGAGTGTACCCCCTACCTATGGCCGCAAATAACCTGGCGAAGGCGTAAATACTGACTCTCAATGTAGTGCAGATGTAAGCTCGAGCCCGCCGATTCCGAAAAGTCGAAAACAAATTCGCCTCCCATGATTTTGTACTAACAGAACTGTTCAGTTTCGTCAAGACCCTGACGGGCAAGACCATCACCCTCGAGGTCGAGTCCTCGGACACCATCGACAATGTCAAGTCCAAGATCCAGGACAAGGAGGGCATTCCCCCGGACCAACAGCGACTGATCTTCGCTGGTAAGCAGCTCGAGGATGGCCGAACTCTCTCCGACTACAACATCCAGAAGGTGCGTGGGATCTGAAATGCGGTTGCGACCGCAGGAGCCGAATCAGGAATCCATGGGGACATATACTTACGCCTCACACAGGAGTCTACCCTCCACTTGGTCCTCCGCCTCCGTGGTGGTATCATTGAGCCTTCGCTCAAGGCTCTTGCCTCCAAGTTCAACTGCGACAAGATGATCTGCCGCAAGTGCTACGTACGTTGAGCCTCACCTTGCGCGTTCAAGATCCCAAGTCTAACACCCCACCAGGCTCGTCTTCCTCCTCGTGCCACCAACTGCCGCAAGCGCAAGTGTGGTCACACTAACCAGCTCCGACCCAAGAAGAAGCTCAAATAAACGATTACTCCATGGATGTGGCGTCTGGGATTTGGCATTTGGGGGTCGATGGCAAGGACAGAGGAGAGCTTTCTTTTGTTCACACGAGGCTGGTTGTTTTTACATTAGCATGTGCAGCTCAGGCAATACATTCTAGATGATGCCCATATGACGATGTGCCGTGCCGCAAGGTGTCCGGGCCAGGCCCCTCAAAAGAAATAAAAAGCATTCAAGCTTCGAGTTATATCTTTGCATTGCATGGAATTGAATGAAATTGTGGATGGGTGCTTCTGTAAAGAAATGGTAAAAGCCACAGGTGCCACACAGGATTGAACCTGAGCCTGTGTGAGAACTGGTGACAATTAATGAAAGTGCCTCTTCGAAAGCATCTTGTTACTTTGAAGTCCTGCAATGCATCCATCAATTGGAATATCCCTTGGCTGCAGGGGTGTTTCACAAGCTCTTTAGATCCACTGATAATCATGCCCCAAAGCACAGCTGGCAATCATGAAGCGCCGGTTAAACTTCGGTTCTCGAGCTTGACACGCCGCGCGCTCCTGAATTACGACAACTGCCAAACTGTCCAGTCCCAATTAGAAGCTGACAGAGACCAGTAAAGTAACTTGAACTTAGCAGCGACTTTACTCTCCCTTGTCACAGCGCCGTTCATATCTCACCACGAACACCTCGCCAACGGAAACTGGATCGCCCTTTGCATTTACTCGACGATATAAATTCATTTAAACACAGTTTTCATAATGTCTGGCTCCGGTTACGACGCCGTTGTCGATGTCGACGATGAGGTACGATATGCCCCTCTAGCTATACCAAGCTTCAACGCCGGAAATATTTGCGCATATCACCTATGATGAGACTAACAGAATACTCAGGGCGACCTCGGACACACCGATCTCCAAGAAGACCTCGAATTCCACACGTCCAACTTCGATGACACAAACCCGAACACTCGCAAACCTCCTGCCGGTGGCAGCGGTCTTCCTGCGCCTGTCACAGCCTCGAGCGGCTCTGGCTCATCAAAGCGCTTCCTCTGGAGTATGAGCTTCTACGCTCAATTCTTCGATGTCGATACGTCTGCTGTCCTGTCCCGCTGCTGGGCTGCTCTGTTCCCTCGGGCCAACTTCCTCGATGTCCTTGAAGGCAACCCTGATCTGTACGGGCCTTTCTGGATTGCCACGACGGTTATCCTGATTCTGTTCCTGGGCGGTACTATCAGCCAGTACATGTCTGAGACGACCAACGAACCGTTCCTTTACGATTTCAAGCTGCTAAGCGGTATGTGTATTATACCATTGCTCAGGAGAAGTGCACTAACATGAATCAACAGGCGCTGCTGGCCTTATTTATGGCTACACCCTATTCATCCCTATGGCCCTCTTCCTGGCCCTCCGATACTTCGGTAGTGAATCCGCCAATCTCCTTGAGTGTTGGGCTCTGTACGGTTACTCCAACTTGATCTGGATTCCTGTGGCCCTCATCAGCTCGTCACCCATTTCCATTCTCAACTGGGTGTTTGTCGGCGTCGGTTTCGGCATCTCGGTCGCATTCCTGTTGCGAAACCTGTACCCTGTTCTCAGCGCTACAGATCGCCAGGTCAGCAAGATCCTGCTGGTCGTCGTGGTGTTGCTACACGCTGGTCTGTCGCTCGCTATCAAGATCCTGTTCTTTGCGCATGGAAGCCCTGTGGCGAGCAAACCTGATGAGGGTAAGGGCAGCCTTATGTTTTAAGCGGCGGTCCGAATAAATTTGATTCGAAAAGATGAGATGGGATATAGGACTGAATGACACGTGTAAGAGAATGTGTATTCTTGTACCTCAACTATAGGCACGGTGTGACCGAAAAGGAGTCTTTGGGGAAACCAGATTATTTTTGGCATTGTTTGTACAATACGTTAGAAGGCGCTTTTATTTGACCAACATTCTACATCATCCTGTAATTCATGATCTTCTTACTGCGATGGAGGCGTCCACTGGCCAAGTTTCCTGACCGGTTCTACCGGTCCGTTCTTCGCCTCCCAGTCCAGCCAGCTCCCAGGATAGTCGCCTACGTTTTTCCAGCCTGCATGTTGCGCCAATTGCGCGGCCGCTCTTGCACGCACGCCTGCCTTGCAGTAGAACAGTAGCTCTTTAGTCTTGTCTGGTCTCTCAAAACCGTACATATCTTCGAAATCTTCCTCGGGGATGTGGAAGCTCTGCGCCGCTGTTGTAATAGGGATGTTTATCGCGCCTGGGATTTTGCCCGACTGGAAGAGCTCGGTCGGTTCTCGGACGTCTATCGCACATATCTTAGCCATGCGTTCGGAGGATTGGAAGGGTGGAGGAGAAACGCACCAACGATGACTATGTTGTCGTTCTTGTCCGTCTCAACTAGCTTCTTAAGGTCTTCAAAATCCCAACTTTTACTCTCTGGTATAGATTTGGCGCTGTAGCATCGTGCCGAGTTGGCGAAAGGCGCAATTGCTCGAGATGCTACGGAGGATCTTGCTGTGCGGGCTGCGACAGTGAAGATTGATCGGGCGGGTCGGATCACGGATGACGCGCGCAGCGCTGAGGAGACAAGGGCACGGCGGGACGCCATTGTGAATTTGTATGTAGGGTTATGAGTTTGAAGAGATTGTGGTCAATGTTGAGTTGAGGTCCAAGATGGCAAATCGTGGGCTACCATGAGCTCACTTAGCTAAGTTGACTGACTAAGGAAGGGATCTCCCACTAGAGAGACATGGTTAAGAAATGCCATGATACCTATTAGAGAACAAGGAAAATAGACAACCACATAAAACATTCACTGAATGCCAATAAGACGTAAGATTCAATAAAAGGATGGTTGGTTCTTTGTCAAATAGAAACGCCAGTGGTAAGGCCGATTGTACAGTAACGTGACCCATCATGGATCCTTCATGCTGACATTGGTTTTAAAGTCATGTCACTTACTCGTCACTTTTTGTTTTGATTATTATTGTGAATTCGCTATACAAATGCCATGTGCTAAGCATAGCAATCATCTCTATGACCTTCTGGTCCCAAATGCCCTCGGGCTGCCAAATATATACACCGAGAATAGGTATTAAAACGGATATCCATCATGTCTCTTCTTTTCGTCCACATTAAGCTGCTTTGGCTCTTCAAGCTTCATCTCTGGAGAATCCTTTCTCCAACGGCTCGGAGGTATAGTAGCTCAACTTTCTTTTCTTCACTGGAAGCTTGAGCTCTTTATAGCCCTCTTCCTTGACCACTCGTTTCGGCGTATCCCTCATTAGATGCGTTATAGCAGATCAGCTCCGCCATTACTACATCAGGGAGGCCACAGATTTGGTCAACGCGACAGTGTCCCATTTCGGCAAGGCAATTGTTGATATCGATTACCACTTCCTCTCCTCAAAGGTCAGAGGACAATCATCCTACATCAAGTCAGTCGTCGTTATGTCATTTTGCGAAGTGCTTTGAACTTACCATAGGGAAGATAGTGGCGAACACCTTGATCTTCTCTGACAAGGGGGTAGCGTGGTGCTTCCAGTCAAGCATCACAGAAGCCTTTCCGATCATGAGAGCCAGGTTAAGCTGGGCGTAGACCTGGCCGAGACAGTAGTGAGGTCCAGTACCGAAAACCAGGTAGTTCTTGGAACCCTTTTCCTCGGCATCACCACTGTAGTATCGCTCGGGGTCGAAGTGGCTGGGGTTGTCGTATACCTCGGGGTCGTGGAGAGCCATGAAAGTAGTGGGGATCAGCATGGAGCCTGTGGTAAAATTTACAGTTAGTCTCATGATCAGAAGAACGCAGTTGGAATGTGCTAAACTTACCCTTAGGAACAGTGTAGGTATCAGTCAGGGGGAAAGCCTTCTTAGTGACATAGGGAACCATGATGACAGGAGGGCGCCATCGGAGAAGCTCACGGACAACGGCACGAGTGTATGTGAGACCTTCGAGTTGATCCATGGTGATGGCAGCGTTGGGGTCACCGTTGCGGATCTTGATGTTCTCCTCTCGGACACGGTCAAGGACATCGGGTCGCTGGGCGGTAACCTGGAACAACCAAGTGGCGGCACTGCTGGTGGCATCCTGAGAAGCGAAAAGGAAGGTGAAGATGGTCTGGGAGATCTCATAGTCGTTGAACATGCGGAGAAGAGGAGTGGGCTTCTCAACGTCGTGGGGCTCGCCCTTCTCCTCAGCCTCCCGCCAGCGCTCAGACTTGACCATCGACAGAACCCAGGCATCCATGATACAGGTGACCTCACCACCAGCGGTCATGCGGACCTTGCTCTTGGCGGCGCACTTGGAAAACTCGGCCAGGACCATATCAGCAGCCTTCTTTCCGTACCAGGACTTGGTGAAAGGGAGGATAACGGGAAGGTTGACAAGCTCGAGGGCAGCGGTGATCAGGTAGTAATCTTCAGCGATCTTAGTAACGGCCTCATCGGAGATGTAGTGGCCGACAAAGGTTCTGCAAGAGACGGCACACATGACCTCACGGAACTCATGCATAAAGGGAACAGGCTTGCCACCGGCGTCCTTGGTCATCTTGAGGAAATGCTTGAAGTAGTTGTTGTAAGACTCCTCCTGACCGGGCAGGTAGCTTTCGAGGGCTTTGCGGGTGAAAAGACCGTTGAGGCCCTTGCGGAAGTCGACATGAGCCTTTCCGTCAAGGAACACCCAATTGTCGTGTCCAAGAAGCTTAGGGGCAACGTCGACAACAGTGGGCTTGACATAGCCGGGCGAATTGAAGACCTTGCGGGCCATATCACGGGTAGAAGCAATAACAACGAACCTAGGGGGTTACATGTTAGTATCGTTGTGTGTGTTTCTCGATTGGCATGCTCGCGACTAACTTGTGGAAAATAGAGACACAGCTCAGGGGACCACTGCTCCATTTGGCGTGGTAGCCATCGAATCGGGGATCCATAGAGTCGAGGAATGGGCCGATGAAAGGAATCTTCATGGCAGGACCCACGATAGGACCTTTTCGGACGATGTAGGCAACTGTACGAGGTGCGGTTAGCAAATGTGGCGCCAAAGTCCCAGTAGAGCATCAACATACTCTGATCATAGGCAACGCAGAGGGCAATCAGAGTAAAAACCCAAGTCCAAACACCAGCGTTCGACACCGCCTCGATAACATAGTCGACCTGGGGAGGAAGGGCGACATTGGCGTATTTTGTGCCAGCCAGAACGGACGAGAAGCCGCCTGAGGTAGAGTTGACTGCCTCCATGGTGAAATTTGCGACGGCACGAGTCGAATCAAGATCAAGTCGTTAAGTGAATCGCGTCGCAGGTCGAAGCCGAAATCACAATCGAGTTCGAAGTCGCAGCCAAGCGAGATGTGTTGCTGGCTGTGTTGAGTCGTTCTCAACTGCTGGATAGGTAGGTACACCTTGCGACTAAAGGAGGAGGAAGGATAAGGGAGAAGGAGAAGGAGAGGAAAGGGAGAGTGAGGTGAGGCAGGGGAGAGGTGGATGTAAAGTACTACCTTACGCCCAGAGTTGGGTTGGGTTAGTAATTGCCTGTCCACTGAACGGAACTGAACTGAACTGGTCTCCTACCTACTGCAACAAGCTTATTGCTGCTGTGGTTGTGACCCGCAGAACGCCTCCTGTCTACCTACATACAGACTTCCGCGTACCACAGCGTACCGTCCGTACCCAAATGGCAGTTTGCTCAATCAGCACCAACTGCAGGGAACAGACGTGGAAGAAAAAAAATAAAAAGAGGGCCCTGGGGTCTCAAGGCTCAAGGTTTAGTTACAAGGCCAGGGTGTGAACGATTAACGGGAGCGAGCGAGTTCGCTAAGAGCGGAGAATATCAACTGACGCCAGAGAGAATTGGATATGGGATAGTTGCTGCATTTTAGCATTTATTAAGTCAATGGCTGTTGTGGGCGTTGTCTCTTACTGTTTGGATCCTACAAACTATATTCTATTTCCTATAGACGCCTGTTCGTGGTTCCTCATGTCGCAAACTGTTGTTGTTGACCAGGGCGTGAGGGGAGGTTGAGAATTGGTGGGGGGTCGCTTCTGTAAAAGTGAAAGCCACACGCCCACTTCTGACTAGCCCGATGCTCGTCTTTGTTAATTTCCATGACAGCTTCTAGAGATTCGGGAATTGCTACTCCGTACGGATACACCGGTCCTTTTTCTTTCGTCTCAACCGGTTCTTTACTGGCACTTGCGGATACTCTCTGAAGATCTACAACCCTCAAGATGAAGAGAGGCAGCATCCAAATGATCTGTCCACATATTTTTATGTCAAATTTCCCATGTTATTCTGCTGGGCCTTTCATTAAACTCCCATTTACCATGTGCCAATATCAACGCCCAAGTTCAATATTTACACCACATAGCTTCCCATTATAGTTTAGTCTCCGAATCTTGAGCGCCTGTCGATCCTGTAAAGGGTAAAGGGCTTAAGGTTGCTTGTCACATTTTCTCTAAAAGCAGGCCACTTTATGCTTACTTATACTGTCTTTCCATCATCGGTGGTACTCGCGTGTTGCTTTTCCATGCGCAATGGCAATCTGCGAAGCAGTCATCCTCATCACCACTCTTAACATAACCGCTCTGATCATCACCCTTCTCAACAATCGCAAAAACGCCCATACTTGGAGCGCGTGACCATCAATTGACTTAAGTTACAGCTGGAAACGCTAACCTAAGTATCGCAATGTCTTGCTTGTTTGGTCATCATAGGGCTCCAGTCTCCACCAGCCATGATCGTATCCGTATGAGTGAAAAAAGGCTCCCACCCCCTTGCACATACAAGTCGCAGCGTATTTCAACGTCCACCGCTTCGCCTTTCCGCCTTGTTGATTGCTCCGCGTCTTCCGTCGCAGATCTGAGCAGGCCCTAGCCTAATACTCGGGACGGCGCTTGTTAACGACCGCTCATCGTATGACTGACTCCCATTCAGCCTCATACTTGCAGCATATTTTGCTGTGCCATAGCTTTGCTGGTTCATCCAATGCAGTGTTCTCAAAGAAGCGATCGGGGTCGTCCGGCTTGTCAACATCCGTTTTGTGACTCGTCCCTTTATCAGACGTAAAACGCAGGTCTATAGCAAGCTCAGGGGTCTTATTGTGGTATTAGGCAAATCGCACCATGAACACAGAGCTGAGACTGTGCCTAGGTGTTTCTGCTTGACCTTGGCTCCAATCACTTTTTGTTCTCTCACAGGCATTGCATTGCACCGATTATCGCCGTGAGCTCCACGGAGTAGTTCCTTGTCAATCTACATACTCTCGGGGAGAGGATCTCGCCCGTGCCGCTTAGATCTCAGTTGGTGTATCTCTGATCGGACGCGTGGAGATGCGCATCAAATGCCTGTCGGTACCTGCTCACATTGCAAACTCGCAACAGCATTAGTACATACATATCAAGCAGATGCTATCAACAACATGTCTCTATTGTATCGCGGTGTAAGACTCCAATATGCTCCAATATTCGTACAGCCCTGTTGTTACTCGCACTCCCCGCCCATCTAAAAGTATTAGACTCTATTGGCCAGTCTAACTTACAAGACCAGGGACACAGCCAATCACTATTCGCTGACAGATAGCTCATCTCCAGGGACCACTAGCTCGATCGTCTGGGGTCCACACCAAGGAACGGTTCTTTGAGGATACGACGTATTCGTTTTCTGGGAATATTCGGCTTTAGTTGAGAATAGTCTTTTGTGTTGGCGCTTGGTTTGACGGTTTGCGAATACGTGTTCCGCACGGTCGGTTCATCTAAGCGTAAGCATTCGGCTTTTCTGTATGAAGAACGGAGAGCGAAGAACGAAGAACCCGGTGAGAGTGAGAAAACACCCGCTTGTCTGCGGTTGTAATAGTAAGCCCTGTTGTGTCAGCCAGACAACACCCTCGAATTATATTCGCTTTCAGTTGCGAATATGAAGGAGGCTTGGATCATTTTGACAGTCTCGCACTGCACGGCGATATCTAAGATGGTTTTGCTAAACGCCAGCTTTATTTCTGTTTTCCTCAGGCAAAGGGAGTTCAATGCGCGCGCCGAATACGAATACGTCGCTCTCCACCGTACTCCGGACGCTACACCAAATTTCAACGTAGCAAATTGTCACCAAGAGTACGGATACATGCACATCCAAAACTGCCCTGTTCTCTTCTCTAGGTTGCGTGCGACTCAACATTTATCCAGATCTTAGTATCATGACTAAGCTTTCTGAATTTCTGGAAGCTCATCATGACTGTCATACCAGCATACCTCCATGATCCATCCAGAGCTTGCAGGACCTAGCCACTAGTCAGCTGCAGGAGGATAATCTTATCGGTGTTCATCAGCTTATCTATCATCGACGTCACTCATCTGTTCAATCTCAGACCGTCGCTGTGTCGACAAGTGCTCTTCGGCTAGAAGTGGGGGATCGCCAGGATCATGAGGGGTCAGTTTACCCTAGGTACATTGAGACGATAGCCCAAGGGAATCAATCACCTACTAATCCAGAGTTTTTTTGACCATGTATATCGGAACTATAGTCTTGGAATGTGAGATTTGCGATCTTTATTTCCTGAACGCTCTGTCTCGCCGGGATTTGACGTGGTAAGCAAAGGTACATTTGATACTTGGTTTAGAGTCCATTTATCTGTGTACCATGGTGATGTTTTACGTCCTGCACACATGCCATTCAATCCAACCATACTCGTATCATACCAATACCTCTTACTTAGATGAAGCCTCCAAGCCATGGCCTAACTACCGTATAAATGGCGGGATAGTTCATTATACCATTTCAACAACCACGTCATTGCTGTCAGATATCTGCCGGCGTCACACGCTCCAGTTCGGGTTGCGTCATGTCCTCGAGGTGAGATGTGAATCTACCCTATAACCACCGAGAATCACCGCTCTGCACTCTCCACCACGAAACATACCGGAATGGGCAGCTGGGAAGGAGGGTGATTCATTGGTATATAGTAGGCAGGTAGAGTGGATTATATCGCACAAGCACTACGTAGGCCTGCGTGTGCCTGCTTGGGGAATGGAGCAAAGCAGGGCATTCTGAGTTGGAAAGGATGGGTCGTGGTCACGCCTCAGCCCAACTAACAGCACTTATAAGTCGCGGCCTTCGCAGCCACAACAACTTGGAAGCTCCATATACAACACTCCTCAGACATCAACACTTTCACCACACAACCATATCAACCATGCCTTCCTACATTGTAAGTACCGGTATTACCGCTGTTACATGTATGGGCTTGCACTAACACTTATTTCTCAGATCACTTGCAAGGACGACGCGACCGACGAGCAGGTCCAGGCGTACGTACCCATCCCGATACTATACACAACTGTATAAAACTGACATCCAATAGTGCCAAGCAGCACGCCAAGGATCAAGGAGGCAAGATCACCCACGAGTACAGCCTTATCAAGGGTTTTGCGTATGTTACACCACCCCATAAGTACAGAAAGCGGAGCAATGACTGACTATCGACAGTTGCGAATTCCCCAGCGACGCCGTTAACACTCTCGAGAGCCATGAGCACGTCAAGGCAGTTGAGAAAGACGGCGAGATGAAGACCCAGTAAATGTTATAGAATATCGATGCACTACAAGAGCCAGGTGGAATCCCTAGATTATCTTGAGCCCTATATCATGGTGGCGTAATGGAATATAATCATCAAACTGTCCTCTGTTCAACACCTGTGATGTATAATAAGCTATAATCCAAGAGCTTCCTACAAGTTCACTCATATGATTATCACAGCAACACCTCAAGTCTTGATCCTCAATATATACTGTTGATACCTGAACAGGTGGTAGTGGGGGAACCGATTCAGTGACGTATCCGATAAGCTCATCACCCCGCAATTGAAAGCCGTGTTGATAAGCGATAAGCCGGCCACAAGCGCGCCAAGTGGTGATAAGCCGGTTGTTTGATGTCCATCTTAGCTCCACAAGTTTCCCCGGACTGTAAAAGAGTCATCCAACTTGGGACATTAATATTGATCTCTACAACATTTCCATTACCGACTTAACAACCCAGCTACGCCAATAGAAGGGCGCATTTAGAAACAGAAACTACTCGCACTGATAATGCCACAATGATTGCTTCCGCCAGGTTACTAAGGCGTCGAGTGCCTACCGCTTCTGTTGTTCCTCGTCCTTGGTCTCTTCCCAGCGCACCACGATGTCTTTCGCAATGGAGAGGACCTAGACTGTCACAAGGTCATCGGAGAAACACAAGGAATGGGCCGGTAGCGAGAAGGAGTATACACTCTCAAAAAGTCACGGATGATGAGATTGCGACTCTAGCTCGACAGCATCAACACCCACTATGTCTCGCGGATCTTGTGAGGTATGTATAAGACATCCTTGCTAATATTGGCCTGCTCCGAAGGAATGTCTAACAACATATAGGCACGGTCGTCCACCTCTGTCTTCGGAATCTCTCCTTTCGTCCGCCAACTTCGCCCTCTCTCTTCTGCCCGTGCGACTCGCCCATCGCATCCAAGCCCTGCGTAACCTCCCATACATCGTCGTCTCAAATCCGAACATCTCGCGCATCTACAACAACTATCTCCACTCACTATCCATCCTGCTGCCATACTGGCATGCCACCCGCGAAGGACGACCCATCTCGACACTAGAGGACGAGATACTCTTCACAAATGTCCTCGCTGAGCTTGTCGCGACGCATACGGATACTATCCCCATACTCGCCAAGGGCTTTCTCGAATGTCGACGTTACATCTCCCCAGAAGAAGTTACTTTATTCCTCGACCAACATCTCCGCGCTCGAATTGGTACTCGACTTATTGCAGAACAGCATATCGCACTGCACTTTAGTTCCCAACCGCATTTCGACCCAAGTGCCAGCCCAACGCCATGCCCTGAACATCCATCGTACATCGGAGTTATTGACACAGCTCTCCGCCCTGCGCAAATAGTGGAATCATGCGCTGGATTTGTTGCTGATATATGCGAGCTTCGCTACGGGGTGCGGCCTCTTCTCTACATCCATGGCGAGCCAGATACCACCTTCGCCTTTGTCCCTATGCACCTTGAGTATATCGTTACAGAGCTTCTCAAGAATGCCTTCCGCGCCACCATAGAGAACAAGTCCAACGAGCCTGTAATTGTCACCATCGCTCCGGAACCTTCTCTATCTTCAGAGGGTCCAACACCCTCCTCAAATCAATCGACCAGAGACAGAGATGCGGCTGCCACACTCAGCCAGCCATTGGAAGACAACCGTGACGCCACCAGTACCGACTCCATAGTCCCGCTCAACAACAACGCTCCAGGTGTGACGATCCGGATTCGTGATCGCGGTGGTGGCATCCCACCGGAGGTAAGCCCCAACGTCTGGTCATACTCATTCACCACTTTCTCAGACAATATGGATGACTTTCCGGGAGATGCAAATGGCGGTGACGGACTTAACGCCATATCGACTACCAGTACGGGAGGTAGTTCTATTGCAGGCCTGGGCTATGGACTGCCCTTGAGCAGAGCATACGCAGAGTACTTTGGTGGTGGTATTGCGGTGCAGAGCCTATATGGCTGGGGAACGGATGTGTATCTACGACTGAAGGGTGTGGGAAACTTGAGTAAGCAGTAGTAAAGGCACACTGTTCTACAGGACTTACGAAGTCTGTTTGTAGGAGATGACAGAAGACTTTGAGAAGGATTGTCAGCGGAAACGAGTTACTCTCGAACATGACTATAGGATATGCTGTGTTAGAATAATCAAGTAGCTCGTAGTGAACACCAAGCTTGACATCTGAAGCTTTTAATGCTACTTGTACACTGACGGGTTCCATACAATGAGCAAATATTGCCAACAGACTAGCTGGCATGAGTCATTACTAGATGTGCACCAGCTATAATATGAAGGCAAGGAGAAGGCGATATGTAAATAGAGGTTTGACAATAGGTAAGTGGCATTAAGAGTATGAAAAAGAACCAATTGCAGTCCCAGCCAGCCATTGTACCATTAAGAGACAATATCATTTTTACAATAAACCAATATAAAATTCCAAGGAGCGACTCCCATATCTGCCCAGTAATAAAAAGCACATCCAACGCCTATCGAGATTCTTACTTCCTCATTTTTTGGAACACCATATTTCCATCATGCTGTGGCTTCGCCCTGCTGCGACACGCTGTATAAAATCCAGTAAAAGGTATGTACCCAAAATTAGAGTATAAAAACAGTCACGTAATTCCACATTTCCTTATCATTCAAATTACATGTTCTCCAGCTCATGATCGATCTGGCGATCCATGAATGTGCGGCGTTCACCAACAAGTTCGGTCTGAAGACGCTGTTCCACTAGAGCACGGACTTGCTTCTTGGTCACGGTGTCGAGGTCGACCTCGCACAGGACTGAGCGAATCGACTCAACGATGGCCATGTCGGTAGGACCACCATGGCTATGTTGGAAATCGAATGAAGACTGTGATCGCATGGCATCAGGCATTGGTGAGCGAGAGCCACCGTTGAAGCCCAGAGCGGTGCCAGACCGGCTGTGACCACCACCTGCGGCAGGTGAGAGGTTGGCTTGGCCACGGAGGTTGCTAACACTGGGGTGCTGTCCGGGGTAGTCCTGGTATGGCGACTGACTGCGCATGTCATGGACACCTGTGCCCAGTGACAACATCGACTGGCGGTGCTGCATGGGTGACTCCTGGAAGCCCATGGTCGATGTGCGGCCATTGTTGAAAGCAGGAGATTGAGGAGGCATGTAGGTGTTGCGGCCAGGCATACCAGTCAAGACAGAGCCTTGAGGTCCAGCAGAGTAGACAGACTTGATCTCATCAAGCTCGTAGTTGTCACCGTAGGAGTATTCGGGCTTCTCCTGGTAACCACCACGGCGTCCAGGAAGGTTGTTGGCAAGAGCATAGTCGTCCCAACGCTGCAGGGGGATAGAGCGGGGATCGAAGCCTTCGTCATCAACAGCGACGACCTGCTTGCTACCCTTCTCTCCAATGACAATACGGGTATTACCCCATGAGAAATTGTCCTGGTTCCAGAAGGAGTAGAGGGGAAGGATAAAGGAGTAGATGGGGAAAGCAAGGAGGTAGATGATCATCCATCCGATGTGCTGCCACTGTCTCTTGAGAATGAAGATAAGAGCCTGAAGACCGTAGACGGCACCAATCATAGCAAGAGAGATAATAGGAATGGGTCCAGTGCCGGTAGCCAGGATGTAGATGAGGTAACCCATGTAGACACAAGTCGAGGGGAGAATAATGGTACCGCAAAGATCAATGAACACAACGAATCGCATACTGAAACAGCAGAAACCACAGAGCTCCTTAAGCTGCATAAGCTCGACCAGGTTATGGATGGTAGAGTTAATCCATCGTCGACGCTGAGACAGAAGAACACTCCAAGATTCGGGAGCAGCCGTCTTACACTGGGCATCGGGAATGAACTTGTAGGACATCTCGGGGAAATACTTGGTCATTAGGGTGGTGAGGTAGCGATCCTCACCGAGGGAAAGCAAGTTCTTCTTGTGAAGCGTGTCCACATCACAGACGGAATAGTCCTTGATAACACCATCAGAGATGATAAGAGGCTTACCCTTGTCGACACTTCGGAGACGGTACATAGTGAAACTGAAAGAATGTTAGCAAAGTTAAGAATAACACATATGAGAGCAAGAAACTTACCATCCGGGCAAACAAGTAACGCTGCCAAAGAGAGATTCGAAGGCCTTGGAAAGATGATGGGAGATGAAATACTCATAAACCTGGATCATAGTCCACCAAGTCTTTTCATCGTTGTCTAGGGCAGTCTCACCACAGATACCAGCAATTTTAGCGTTGTGAACACAGGCAGCAACAAGACGGTTGAGTGAGTCTTCCTCGACGCAAGTATCAGCATCAACCATCAGCAGATACTCGTATAGCTCAGGGTCCACGCCAATGATGTTGTTGATCTGATGGAACATCTCAAGCTCAAGAGGAGACATAGGGGAGCGATGATGGACACGGTTGAGGAAGCTCATAAGGAGAATCTGAGAGTCACGCTTTCCACGGTTACCAGGCTTAGCCTTGGACTGTTCAGATTCCTTTCCAACCTTGACGACGACGATGTAGGGAACAACGTTGCCTTCAAACTCGTAAAGACCGGAGTAAACCTTGCCGTAGTTAAGCTGCTCACTGCTGGCGCCGACGGACTTGAAGGGGAGGGCAGGAGGATCAACCTTGGGGTCAACTCCAAGAATATCGAGAACAATCTTGGGCGTGGGACGATCGTTACCTTGACCAACGACGACACCATCACAAATGACGCAAATAAGCTTGCGCTTGTTATCGTATTGGAGAGCTGTCAAAGAGTCCAAAGCGTTTCGAAGCGAGTCCTCACCCTCAGTGTAGACAGGAACCTGGCAAATGACAAATTTGTCCTGAGGGGAAGGGCGTCGCTTGGAGCCGAACTGAAGAGCAGCAAGGAACTTGACGGCAGTGACAATACAGATGATGACAGCAAACGCGAGAAGAAGATAGTTGTTGACCTGGCATCGAGCGGAATCACGGAAATCGACAATACCCTTGAATCCAATGTTCTGGATACATATCCAACTGTTCTTGAGGTCGGCGGCAACAGTCTCGTTCTTGGCGTTGGCAATGAGATTATCAAGGTCCTTCTTGATGTTGGTGCCGGGACTGTTCGTCCACAAATCGACCATATCCTGGTTGAGGAACTTGTAAGAGTCGAAATTGTCGTTGATCTCAAGAGTGTGCAAGTAATCCGTCAGGTCATAAACCTGGTTCCCGTACCTGGCCCACATATGCTGATCGTTCTCACCCTCGCTCTTGATCTTGCTGGCTTTCCATACGAGATCACCATGGTAGTACTCCTTGATCTTGGGCTGGAACTTATCCCAGTACCAGTTTGGATCCTTGAGGGCACTGGTGCGATCACGAGTATAGAAGCCAGAAGTATGCTGAGCAAGAGGTTGTGTGATGGTTTCGTTGAAAGTGAGCTGGGTGGTTTCCTTGATACCAAGGCCTCTGCAGGCCGTGTTCAGAGGAGGCATGAAGTAATTGTCCAGCACCATACCAGCGGTGGGTAGCATGTTGGATTTGGTGACCTTGATGTGGGTATCACTGTGCTGCTGTCGCCAAAAGTCTGTGATATCATAAACCTTACCATGAATAGCAACCCAGAATTCCTTCTCATCTTCTGCGTGGCCGGCTATCTCCTTGACGTTCCACGCCTTGTTTGAGTTGGGGCACAGAAGCTTGCCAAACCCGATGATCCAGAAGATAACCAAACCGTTGATGAGAATGATGAGGAAGAAAAGGACGAACTTCTCACGCCAAGCCATGCGAACATCGGGTCGTCTCATACGGCCAACGAACTTGAGAAGAGGAGATGGAATCCAGAAAGTCAAAGCCCAGACGAAAGCGATCCAGGCCCGACGACCGAATGTGAGTGGCTTAGTTTCGATCTTCTTATCCTTGGCAAGATCAGAATCCAACATGCCAGTGAACTCGCCATCCTCGTTGTAGTAAACTTGGCCCTTGTAAGTATCACCCTTGGCCCCAAGACCATAATCACCAGTGTTCTGGACGTTGCGCATTGCTGATGGAGCGATCGAAGGAGCAGACTGGAGGTTCATGTTCTGGTGCTGGTTCAACGTAGCCTGGCTCATGTTTCCTTGGCTGAAGTTCCGGGTGTGGGTAGGCATGAGCTGATCATGGCTACTGTTCAGGCTGTTGGCCATAACAGGAGGTGGGAAGAAGCCGCTGCCGTTAGGAGGATGGGCAGAGTAGCTTGTGTCAAAGCCTGATGTAAAAGGATTTTGACCAATGCTCTGCAGACTGTGAGCAGGCTTAATATCGAGCATGCTCTCAGCCTCCCACCAAGGACTTTCTCGGACCCAGATTCGTTCTTTGCCAATGAAGACTTCACCATTGCTCCATCCTCTCTCCAACATCCAGGTCTCAATACCATCCTTGCCGTCCTTGCAACCGAGGGCTCCGTATCGGCCGACGAACTCATCGACGTCGAAATCGGCAGTGTAATCAAGGTTTCTGTTGCGGCGGTTGGCCCACTCAGGAAGTCTCCAGGAGCGAAGCTGTCGAGAGATGGTGCCAGCTGACCACGCCGAAGTGATGGCAGGGAGCGTAGCCAAGTTCGCAGGCGAATCATCCGTAGGATGAAGGCAAAGATGGAACCAAGTGCGGCTAGCGCTGAGGAGAGCAGGAAGATCGAATCGACCAGCGCGACCAAGGCTGATGCCCTCGCCTTGAACAGGAAACAAGAGCTTCTTCAAGAAACCATCGTCTTCAGAAGCATACGCGACCTTCTCTAGAATAACCTCTCGCTTCTCAATTTCGTGCTGACGATCCCGACCTTGAGGACCAGTCATGATACCCAGGTCAGGTCCAACATCGGCAACGGCCTGTTGCATTTCACGAACAACAGATGATCCAACAGTGTGGACCTCCACGCCGTCCTCGATCATTTCAGCGTTAATGCCGATAGTATCGTCGAAAATGGTGCGCATGGCCAAAGCCTTTCCTAAGGAAGGCTCAGGCACCTCGACAACCGTGATGGATACGGTGTCGCCATCCTCGTTTGAGTTTGGGGTCTGGACACCGCGGCCATCTACAGACTCATCGCCATCTCGAATGCGAGTCATCTGAGCAGCAATAGCGCTGTTGGCCTTGGAAATAACCCAGTCGACGAGAGCCTCGTACAAGCCACCGACAAGTGCTCGTCGGTCCTCAGTGCTCAGCTGCTGCATGAGCACCTCGGGTTCCATACCAAGCAGTCCACTAACATCTTCGCAGATCTCCTCGAAATCGTCCGAGTCGGCGTCGTAATCAAGAGTATTGCCGAGCTTGAGGAGACCGGCTAATGTGGAAATGAAGTTACGGTGGGAAGAACCCTTGATGCCAATCTCCTTCAATGCCTGGCGGAAGTCGTCAGCAGCCGCAGCGTCGTCGGCAGTAATGAGGTAAGATGGTGGCTCGTAAGTGGCAGAGCGAGCGAGGAGTGCGTATGCTGAAGGTGACTTGAGGCCCAGAAATTCTCTCTCGGCGGGTGTAGATGCTGATGTCAAGAGGTAGTAAAACACATCAAAAGCACGGTAGCCTGCCTCGGCGGGAACGTTGAGTAACCCGTTCTCGGTATCGATACCGCCTTGAGACAATGCCAGAGAAGCTCCTGTGACATTTCCACCCAGGCTCATGGTCAGTGTAACACCGAGCGCAATTTGTCTCGGTGCCGAAGCGTTGTAAGGAGTGACACATCGGAGGAACGGTCGTACGGCTTCCAAGGACTTGTAGATGGAAGCGGGAATAGCAAACGGGAAAGTGTTGAGAAAGGGGACAACGAGCGAGGGAGTTGACTGATGAAGCGACCTGGGAAATATTAGCAATGACAGAACTTTACTATTTCGATTTAGCGTACCCCAGGATCACACAACCATCCTCGGCACGGCGCCTAGCATGCTCCCAAGCTCGAGCAGCGAGGGTAGGGTCAACAGTAGCACCAGCCTGAGCAGCTGTGAGCCATGTGTTAACGACGAGACTGGTACTGGCGTCAAGTTGGTAAGGCTGAGATGACAGGTAGATGTTGTGGATGGCATTCAGGAGAGTCGTGGTTGACATCTGGGTAGGCTGAGGGCCGCCCAGAGCCTCTGACGCCATCGAATACATCGACATTCGGCTCGCCATGGTCGGTGAAGGTGATGCCCTCGATGGGGACAATCACAGGCGATTGCACGTTGCGAAGTGGATGTTGTACACGGGATTGGGATTGGGTTGTCGTTCAACGGTCGAGTCTAAGTGCAACCAAGTAGACTGTATAAGAGGTATTACGTCCGTGGAGCAGAGTAAGAGCGACAGACGGTAAAGATTAGTTGTATGAGCGAACGAATGGAACAACAATCGAGCTGCAAGCAATTGAATGCGGCTGAAAGGCTTGGAGTGAGTTGATCGAATGATGAGATCTAGGTTTCGGTCGCTAGGCAACGCCGCCCTCCTTTTCGACTGCCGAATGAAGTATCACGATCTAGGCGAGTGCGTGTATGCAAAGAGGTTGGTGAGAGGCTAAAGAATATTAAGATAGCGATTGATTTGATAGAAAAAGACACAGCCAAAGCGAGTGAGGCCGGTTAATGAAGCTGTAGCGAAAGGCGAAATCAAGAAAAAATGGCAAGGACAAGACGCTCTCCAAGAGTTGAAGAAACGACTGGGTCTTGTGCTGGGCTGGCGAGGAAGGTAGCAAGCCGGGAGTAGAGAGCAGTCTAGTCTGATAGTAGCGTGCCCCAGCAAAAAAGGGCGACTCCGAAAATGGATACGGCTGATGAGCTGCACTGTGTACGGAAGGCCATAATGGCTATAAATACATTAATTCAGGTCCAACCTCTACTTTCGGCATCGTGATAGTGGCGCTTCAGGCGGGCGATGCGCTGTAACAGCGATACTTCTACTGGGCAAGCGATGATATTCTCTCACCAGCTTCCCACAAGAACGCCACATACGGAATATTGATTACTACAGACCACAGAAGCAGACACAACATAACCACAGCCTACAAACAACACCATACTGTACAGTAGCGACTCACTGTGCTGACTGTCACTGTCAATGGATCTGTCCATGCCATGTCTAAACTTGGAACAGCCCGACGTACCATGGCCTGTCGGGGTAAGGGGCCCGACCCGAGGGCAGGGCAGGGAACCTTGTGTTTAGTAAGGATTGGGCCTGGATTGGCGTTGAGGGTGTGGGCCTGGTGAAATACGAGGATTGAGCCAAAGTGCACCTCCTTCATGTGCATTGGCTACGCGGCCATCATCAGTCTCAAGATGCACAACATAAGGTACGATATGCACTTCGTATGAGAGAGGCGATATACTACAGCTTCCTTCCGCAACCAGTTCGTGATCTATAAGAGGCACAGAGGCTGTGTTATGATTCAACCCGTGAATGTCGCTGTTTGCGATGCATGATGTGTTTTTTTGGATGCAGGACTGCCAGCCAAACATCCATGACGGTCTGAAATGAGGACGTTACATGTCCCAGATTTTCCTCCTGGCGTCTCGTTACATCTTCGAGGTTCAACCCAAGCCAACTCACCACCAGCCTGGTCAGATCTTGTTAATTAGAAAAATACCAGGACAGACATCTAGGGATACAGGATCGATGGATCGTGTTACCCGAGGATCTTATCTTGATATAGCCCGGAATTCAGGAGATTGTATGTCATCGATCTACGTGTAAACAGGTCTTCTCCCAAGCTGTTTTCTTGATCCGCGGTTACCACATATCTTCATATTTCCTTCAGCAACATTTGACGCGCCCCTATTGGCCAGACGCCAACGCGTGTGATAGACGCCAAAAATCCATAAATCGGCAGCAGGCTTCAGCGGGAGTTACGGATACGCAGTCGCCGTTTGTTAGCATCAACGTTGGGTAATGAATCTCGTTGTCAGAAACGGTCTCCATAGAACAGGCCTACTAGGCCCATAACAGCGCTGAAGCATGTCTCCATCCTGCAAAGTGTCAGAGACCGCCTCATATCATTTTGGCCCTCGCAGATCAGCAGTAGTAAGGGTGTCTCGGGTATTGTCATAACACACTTATTCAACTCCCAGACACGCACGTCTCACAAATTGAATGACGTTTAGCGTGGGCAATATGAAGATACAAAATGATGAATTAACGAAGACTCGTGATATATTGCCATCATTGTGAACAAAGAAAGGCTGCCTGTGCCTCCTCCACATGACATGACTGCCATGGCAGTTCAATCCCGCTCCTAAAATAACAAATACAGGGGACGAATCGCGAGCTAGCATCGCGGTGCACACATTCCAGAAGTCCGATGGTAGGATCGACCGCTGGAGCCGGATGATGACCCCAGTATGCCGAGGGGGATGTTCCCTGTCTTCATGACACTGGCGACAACGGGGGAAAGTTGAAATGTTGATAGTGGATATTTCATCCCCTGAGGAATAACTGGAGAGATTGATCATAGCGCCCATATTTCTGCTGAGTTTGCATTCTTTCCATGCTCTTCGATGTCGTAGGGTAAGTTGTTCTTGTGACGATTTGGAAAGATATTGGCTAGGTACATAATGTCTCGCCCAGACTTTTGGCACCGGTCTTGATCCCTTGATGCCCTTCGACATGTCTCACAGATCCCTATAAATATCGCCACTTCACTGGACCCCCAATATCTTCACTGACCCGACCGCCGGTCATCTGTTATCGAGGCTCAGCATGGTAGCCGAAGCAGAAACATGTCTTAAGCCGCATTGCAACTTAAAAAGCCGTGTCTTATGACCACGAATGCGCACAGTACGTGGCATAAATGCATCACTGGAGCATAAAAGTAAACAAGCCTTTTGTATGACCCGCTGTGTCGTCCCTGTCTGTGCGGGTTAGACTAGGGATTTTGGGGGATGCCATTTGAGGAACGACTGGCTGGTTACTGGGCCAGACATGGGATGAGGTTTCTTTTTAGGGGTCTTGAGGGAACGAAAGTTTGTACCAACCATGATGGTCTACGGGGCCATGACAAGTCTGCATTAGTCTCGTCTCCTGATGATGCAGTCATCAGAGTGAGTTGATGTTTTTCTTCCGCTGACAGACGGATCCGAAAGGATCAATACCAAGGTTGAGAGGAATGCTTATACAAGACTGTCTTAGCTATCGTCATGATTGACCGTTTGTGGCGTGTATGAGACGGGGAATCCTTTATTAGAGGGGACAAGGCTTAAGATTTAGAGATGGCACAGACAGAGTCACCACCGGATCTTTTATTAAATGTGGCATACTCCGTGTTGATGGACAGTACCGAGAGCAGCACAGTTTACTGATCCCACAATGAGTAAAATTCAATTAGCTGCCCACAAGCGTAGTTTCAGAAACCGTTAATCTACGATCTGGGGGGGAGGAAATGCTTAGACTTTAATTGGCACCGCAGGAGTAGTTCTTAATGCACGATGGCACTCTATCACTAACTTCAGCCAAAAACGATGCTGATTTTAATTGACTTTTCGTGATGAGTGATATTACTTGCTTTCAGGACAGTCATTCGATAACGTCGCCAACGGTATCCGTACATGTCCTATTTTTCATGTCGCCTATTAGCCTGTTTATCATCTGTCAATCGAGATGAATCTGACAACTGTCCACTCAGTTCTGCCAAGAGCCAGACGAGACGAGGCGAAAGGAGAGGCAAAAAAAGACACAGAACAGTCAGAGACAGATCAGGGGGTAAGATATTGGTGGTGTCCGGGAGTGCCGTGTGGCTATGGGCAGGGGAAAACCTCGTATGGCGTCCATTTTTATGCCGTGGCCGTGGGACAAGCCAAACATAGAAATCATGGAGGGCCAAAAGGGGGGCTTGCGCTATGCGCGAACTGCGCACCCTAGATTAAAAGTCCGCCGTAGTAGAAAATCCCACCTTCTACCTTCTACCGCGTACCACTCTCTCCCTGTTCTGTACGAGGAGACGAGACTTGCATGTGGCCAGGTCTTTCCCAAGAAAACAATCCCTTTTCCCAGCCCAGGTTGTTTTTTTGTTGGTGTTAATACCTTTTGACCTTGGCAAGTATAGTAACACTGCACTATCAATTGTCCTGGTGAAGGTTTCTGTTTCCGGAGCCTAGCTCTTCCTCTTCTCTTTTCTAACTTTATTATTATTGTTTATTTTTGACACTCGTTTTTGTCTAACTACTTGCACCCTTACCCTCGCTCAGAGTGCCTGTTGACTTGTTGTCTGTTGTTCGATCTGCTTCGAATCAACCAACCTAACGATACAATTCAACAACGAACGATCGATTCCTTAATAACCAATCCACTACCGTCGTCTTTCTACTAAGAACAACACCAACCGAGTCGTTTATACGCATCGAGAGCCACTAGTTGGCTACTTGTCCATCATGGCCATGAGCCTCCCACAGCTCGGCGGCGCAGGAGGCCCTCACACTCAACCCTCTCTGCCTTCGCTACCAGCACACTTGCAATCCGACACGCATCTTACTGCTCACCTCGCCAGTCGTTTCCATGTCTCCCATCCTACCGCCCGATTGTCTTCTCACGCACTCATCTCTCTCAACACATACACAAACTCGTCAAAGGGTCCTGATGGTGGAAAGGAGGGAAGCGCCATGGCCGGCGCTGAAGATATCGCCGACCGAGCCTATCTGCGATTAGGACACAGATCTGAGAACCAGGCTGTCGTATTTCTGTAAGTAATGCCAATTCCTTTGGCTTGAGCCTCGAATTCGAACCAAAGTTGCTGATGCCGTGTTCAGGGGTGAATCTGGTGCTGGAAAGTCTACCATTCGAGCCCACCTCCTTACTGCTCTTCTCAACAAGTCTTCGACGCCTCTCTCCACTAAGCTTTCTCTTGCCGCATATGTTTTTGATAGTCTTACAACTACAAAGACTGCCACGACACCCACGGCGTCAAAGTCTGGATTATTTTACGAGCTGCAGTATGATACTTCGGCCACTACCAACCCTGTCTTGATTGGTGGTAAGCTTCTGGACCATCGCCTGGAGCGTAGCCGTATCGCGGATGTTCCTACGGGAGAGCGTAACTTCCATGTTCTTTACTATCTCCTTGCTGGTACAAGTGAGGCTGAAAGGTCTCATCTTGGCTTGGATGGAGGTTCCTCTGCCACAGGCACCACTCAGAAGCGTTGGAAGTATCTTGGCCACCCTACCCAACTCAAGGTTGGAATCAACGATGCAGAGGGTTTCCAAGTCTTCAAGAATGCTCTGCGAAAACTAGAGTTTCCTCGCGCTGAGATTGCCGAGATCTGCCAGATTCTCGCCAGTATTCTTCACATTGGCCAGCTCGAGTTCGAGACGACCAGTCAGACCAGTGCTACTGGCGACGACAGTGGTGGCTTCTCCCACGAGGGTGGTACTACCATCACTGCGGTTAAGAACAAGGATGTTCTTAGCATTATTGCCGCTTTCCTCGGCGTGAGCGCTGCCGACCTGCAAACTACTCTGGGCTACAAGACGAAGATGATTCATCGGGAGCGTGTCACAGTTATGCTCGACCCTAACGGCGCACGTGCTCATGCTGGCGAGCTGGCACGAACACTGTACTCTCTTCTTGTCGCTTGGATCCTTGAGACCATCAACCAGCGTCTTTGTGCCCCCGAGGAGTCCATTGCTAACACCGTATCGATTGTGGATTTCCCCGGTTTCTGCCAGCAGACCCCCACTGGCTCTGCGCTCGACCAACTGCTCAACAACGCCGCTACTGAGAGCATCTACAACCTGACTCTCCAGAACTTCTTCGACCGCAAGGCCGACATGCTCGAGTCCGAGGAGGTTAGCGTTGCTGCTACCAGCTACTTTGACAACTCAGATGCCGTTCGAGGCATCTTGAAACCTGGCAATGGTCTTCTCAGCATTTTGGATGATCAGACTCGACGCAACCGATCTGATATGCAATTCCTTGAGGCTTTGCGAAGGCGGTTTGACGGCAAGAACTCAGCTATCGAGGTTGGCTCTGCCCAAGCCAAGTTGCCTGGTAGCAACTTCATGACTGAGAACACTTCTGCTTGCTTCACTGTGAAGCACTTTGCTGGTGAGGTCGACTACCCTGTCAAGGGCCTCATCGAGGAGAACGGCGAGATCATCTCTGGTGATCTTCTCAACATGATTAACGGCACAAAGAGCGAGTTCGTTGCCCGCCTTTTCGGCCAGGATGCTCTCCAGACCGTCACCCACCCCACTGAACGTACAACTGTTATGCAGGCTACTGTCAGCTCGAAGCCCATGAGAGCACCCAGTGTCATGTCCCGAAAGACACACCGCACTGGCCGTCCCAGCACAGCTCACAAGCGTCAGCAGCAAGAGGCTCTTGAAGAGCTGGACCAACAAAGCCAGGCCGGAGGAGAGTCTAAGAAGAACTCTAAGATGGCTCTCGAACAGGGAGCTTCAGGACAGTTCTTGGCCTCGTTGGACAACGTCCAAAAGGCTGTCACGGACCCTAGCACAAACTCATACTTCATCTTCTGTTTGAAGCCCAACGACCGAAGAATTGCCAACCAGTTTGACAGCAAGTGTGTGCGCATGCAGGTTCAGACTTTTGGTATCGCTGAGATCAGCCAGCGTCTCCGATCTGCCGACTTCAGCTTGTTCTTGCCTTTCGGTGAATTCCTAGGCTTGACAGATTCCGAAACAATCCTGGTCGGCAGCGAGCGGGAGCGTGCTGAGATGGTCATTGAAGAGAAGCAGTGGCCCCAGAATGAAGTGAGAGTAGGTGCTACTGGTGTGTTCCTGAGCGAACGCTGCTGGATGGAGGTTGCACAGCTTGGTGAAGCAGTTTCTGTCTACGGTCGCTACGGTGGCTTGCACTCATCCGATGCGGGTGACGGTCTGACACCTGCCGAGTCGATGCCTTTCGGTGCCTCCAAGGAGCATCTGGTATCTGGTGGTAACACTCCTCTTATGTATGGTGAGAAGGGCAAGGGCGGTTACTTCACCGATGACACCCGGTCTGAAGCTGGCGTCTCTACTTTCGGCGGAGGTGACATGTTCAAGAATCTGGACACTCGTGAACAGATGGCCGAGCGAGGTAATGAGAAGTCACTTGAGGAAGTTGAGGAGTATAGAGATAAACCTAGCCGAAAGCGCTGGGTGGCTCTTGTCTACTTTCTTACTTGGTTTATTCCTGATTTTGCCATCAGACTGCTCGGACGTATGCCTCGAAAGGATGTACGCATGGCCTGGAGAGAGAAGGTTGCCATCAATATGCTCATTTGGTTGATGTGTGGTGTTGCTGCCTTCTTCATGGTTGGATTCCCCATGCTTATCTGCCCCAAGCAATATGTCTACAGTGCCAATGAATTGTCTTCCTACGATGGTGACAAGGGCAGCAAGGGCGCCTATGTTGCTATTCGCGGTTTCGTCATCGATCTTGAAGCTTTCATTCCCAACCATTACCCCGGCAGCAACCTCGTTAGCGATGATACTCTCATGAATTACGCTGGCAAGGACATCAGCAATCTTTTCCCTGTTCAGGTCTCTGCCCTGTGCCAGGGTAAGGATGGTGCCATCCCCCCTGAGGTCACCCTCGACAACCGAAACACCAACATCACTGGCCAGCCTCAACTGCTTGCTTCAAGAGACGTTGATGTCAACTCGGTTTATCACGATTTCCGTTATGGTACCAACGATAGCCGACCCGATTGGTATTTTGAGCAGATGTATACCTTCAAGCATGTCTACTTGAAAGGCAGAATGGGTTACAGTCCCAAATATGTGTCAAAGCTAGCTCGAGATTCGGCTTGGAACATTGTCACTATCCATGGAAAGGTGTACGACATGACCAGATATATGCAGGGTGGTCTTCGCATGAAGCCCAAGGCAGGCAAGGCTACTCCCAACATCCCTGGTGCCACCGACTTTATGGAAGAAAGCGTGCTTACGCTGTTCCGACAGGCCAAGGGTCAAGATGTCTCCAAGTACTGGGATAGCATCAAGCTCGACGCAGTCAAGAAACAACGCATGGAAACCTGCCTGAACAATCTCTTTTACATCGGTGACTCGGACACTCGAAACTCCACCCGCTGTCAATTCGCCGAGTACTTCATTCTGGCAATCTCAGTTATGCTGGCATCTATCCTGGTTTTCAAGTTCCTTGCCGCGCTACAATTTGGTGGCAAGAACGTGCCCGAGAACCTCGACAAGTTCGTCATGTGTATGATTCCTGCTTATACAGAAGATGAGGATTCCCTGCGCCGTGCTATCGATTCGCTTTCCCGCATGAAGTATGATGACAAGCGCAAGCTGCTCGTTGTTGTTTGTGACGGTATGATTATCGGTCAAGGTAATGACAGGCCTACGCCCCGCATCGTGCTTGACATTCTTGGTGTTTCTGAGACCGTCGATCCCGAGCCCCTCAGCTTTGAGGCTCTCGGTGAGGGTATGAAGCAGCACAACATGGGTAAGATTTACTCTGGTCTATACGAGGTCCAAGGTCACATCGTCCCGTTCATGGTTATTGTCAAGGTCGGCAAGCCTTCTGAGGTCTCTCGTCCCGGTAACCGTGGTAAGCGAGACTCTCAGATGGTCCTCATGCGTTTCCTCAACCGTGTTCACTACAACCTTGCTATGAGCCCCATGGAGCTTGAGATGTACCACCAGATCCGCAACATCATTGGTGTCAACCCAACCTTTTACGAATACCTTTTCCAGATTGATGCCGATACTGTCGTTGCTCCGGATTCCGCCACTCGCATGATCTCTGCCTTCATCGACGACACTCGCCTGATCGCTTGCTGTGGTGAAACTGCTCTCACCAACGCCAAGGGCTCTTTTATTACCATGATTCAGGTCTACGAGTACTGGATTTCTCATAACTTGTCCAAGGCTTTCGAGAGTCTGTTCGGTTCCGTCACCTGTTTGCCCGGTTGTTTCTCCATGTACCGAATCCGTGCCGCCGAGACAGGAAAGCCTCTGTTCGTCAGCAAGGAAATTGTCGAAGACTACTCCACCATTCGTGTTGATACCCTCCACATGAAGAACCTGCTGCATCTTGGTGAGGATCGATACCTCACAACTTTGCTCCTCAAGTACCACTCCAAGTACAAGACCAAGTACCTCTACACCGCACAGGCATGGACCATTGCTCCTGACTCTTGGGCTGTCTTCCTGTCTCAGCGTCGTCGTTGGATCAACTCTACTGTGCACAACTTGGCCGAGCTTATTCCCTTGGCTGAACTTTGCGGTTTCTGTTGTTTCAGTATGCGTTTCGTCGTCTTCATCGATCTTCTGTCCACTATTGTCCAGCCTGTCATTGTCATGTACATTGTCTACCTGATCTACCAGGTCGCTTCCAACCCCTCTGTCGTGCCTATCACAGCTTTCTTGCTGCTTGGTGCCATCTACGGTCTGCAGGCCATCATCTTCATCTTGCGTCGTAAGTGGGAGATGGTTGGTTGGATGATTATGTACATTGCAGCCATTCCTGTCTTCTCTTTCGGTCTGCCTCTTTACTCCTTCTGGCACATGGATGACTTCAACTGGGGTAACACACGTGTTATTGCTGGTGAGGCTGGCAAGAAAATCGTCGTTTCCGACGAGGGCAAATTTGATCCTAACTCGATTCCTCGCAAGAAGTGGGAGGAGTACCAAGCCGAGCTTTGGGAGACTCAGACCCAGACTGCTCGCGACGATGTTCGATCCGAGATTTCTGGTTACAGTTATGCCACCAAGGCCCAAGGACCTTTCTCTGAGTACGGTGGTGGTTACCAGCCCAGCCGTCCTGGTTCAACTGCTGGCTTCGGCCACCAGAACATGTCTCGCATGTCTCTGGCGCACTCTGAGATGCCTGGCAACCGCATGAGTCAATTCGGCGGTTCTCAGTTCTTCTCTCCCGAGGAAATGGTGGGCATGCCTAGCGATGACGCCCTTCTCGCTGAGATCCGCGACATCCTCAAGACTGCTGACTTGATGACCGTCACCAAGAAGGCCATCAAGCAGGAGCTGGAGAGACGCTTCAACGTTCCTCTGGACGCGAAGAGGGCCTATATCAACTCTGGTAAGTTCTTGCTCTTGAAAACATGTATTGATCACAAGCTAACATTTCCCTAGCGACTGAAGCTCTCCTTTCCGGCCAATTGTAGACTGCATAGAACCCAGCATGTACCTATTGAAACGGATGGTTTAATGCCTCATAGCCTTGCGATAATCTTATTTTTATATTGGATATCTTGTTTGATTTACATACGGCGAATTTGGAATGGGAATACTAAAAACTCAACATTATCTTACGGCAGAAAGAAATGGCCGCTCTTATCCATAATAATGCGTGGGGTGGTTAGCGAGGGGGGAATATCTTTGTGTGGAAGGGTACACATTTTCTGTGTCTTCTATGGTGTCTGTTTAGTTTTTTTATTAGTGTTTATTGTGGTAGATGGTTAAGGATCTGTACATACATGTACGCACAAATTTGATCAAGTTTGAAATCTCACCCGTCACAAGCCAACTTGTATGAGAATTACATGACGCTGTCTGTGGATGCGAATAATAACATAGATTCACCACTAGTGACATCCTTCTTTACCGTGATTATCTTCACTTCAACATCGGCCGTGGTATCCTGGAGCTTCGTCGTATTATAACGCCGGGTATATCAATTATCATCGAGTCTATATAGATCCCATCATCCATTTTTACAAAACATGCGCAGCAAGTAGCTTTTCAACTCCCCCCTTACTCCAAACCTTGACCTTCTCTTGATCACATGTGTCCCACACCCTCTTCATCAGCGCAATCATAACATCCGCTTCTTCACCTCCCTCAAAAGCAGCGCGCTGCGTATCCAGCCAGCTTAGGATGCCGAAACGAGTAATCAGTGTGGTGCTACCACCTTCGATATAGGTCGCTCGGTATAGTAGACGCAGAAGACGGGTACGTAAGTTGACACGCAGATAAGGGTTGGCACCGAGCGCGAGAATCTTCTCGAACCAGCGCTTGCGGTGGAAGATGCTCATGTCAGAGGGTGTGCGTAGGCTGTCAAGGAGGTAGGTAAGGAGCCATGTAATTTCGGTGTAGTACTTGTCATCTTCCGAGGGCTCGCCGTGGAGGATATCGTGGGCAAGAGGAAGCTTGTCAGAAGACCAGACAGGGCTGCGAGTAAGGTAACTGTTGATTTTGGGGTAGAGCGGGTGCAGCGGGTTCTTGAGGACCTCCAGTGAGTGGATAGCAAATGCAGTGAAAGCAGAAGGAACAGGGCCCTTGTCAACTTGATCTCGTGAAGACTCAGCGAGCTCGCAGAAGAGGAGCCAAACTTGGTCCTTTTCTTCGTATGATGATTCCTTTAGCTTAGCAGCCATCTTGAGGATGCTGGTAAGAGCCTCCTTGCGGATGTTGGTATGGGAAGAAGAAAGGAGACGGATTAACCCGACGGCCCAACCATCCTCAATAAGGTCCTCAGGGTTTTTACCAGCCCATTTGGTCAATGTCGTGGTATCCTCATCCTCAGCGAGCGTCACATGCAGCATGGCCTCAAGCTTTGTGGAGTCGATGGCCGACCCATCCTTTGCACCATTGGTGTTAACCGTGTCGACGTCAGGCATATCTTCATCAGCATCTGCGTCGCTCGTCTTTTCCTCCTTGAGCTTCTTCATCTTAACCTTACTCGAAGAGAACTGGTCTGAGATGCGTTTGTACAAGGCTTTGGTGAGTTGTTTCCCATTCCTCAGTTGGTATGAAGCTGAGAAGTAGGAAGAGAGAAACTTGCCAAGAGCAGCTTGCTCATCGCTGCTGGCAGACTTCATAGCAAACGGTAACTGTTCCACCATTGTTACATTGACCAGAGCAGTCTCTGTACTAGAAGATGATGAACTGTCTTCCTGTACATATGTCTCTAGCAAGTCGAGGTACTTGATCGGCGAAGAGGCACATCGGTTGATGCAGTTGTCCACGAATAACCAGACCTTCTCCATATGCTTCTCCTGCACATCAGCCAATGTTGACTGAATCGCCTCATACATAGGGGCCATGATGGTTGCTTTTGTGACTAGCTGGTTCTCAACAGCAACCTCGCCCAAAACCTTCTTCAGCTGCTGGAATGGAAGATCTCGCTTCTTATCACAAAGCAGCCGTAAGAGGGCAGTGTAGGGCGACGACCCAGCTCCGTCGATAAGGTTGTCTATTCTTGAGAACCATCGCATGCCTGGGGAATAGCTGGCAATTGATACAAGGTTCTCAAGCTCCATGACTCTCAAAGACTCGTCTTCGTGCTGCTCACTGTCCTTGTTGAGCGACTTAAGAACTTCCGTGAAAAAAGGCGAGACGTCAAAGTTGGCAGCAAGAGCAACTTGGGGAATGACTTCATAATAAAGGCGCAACAAGCGACTGGCCATAGTCTTATGAAGGATATTTTCGACTGGAATTCCTTTGTAAGAACGAACAATTTCTTTCATGTCAGGGATACGCTGGCAGAAGGCATCAATCAAGCGACGGCTAGCTTCTGCCCAGATGGGATCTTTGCCCTTGGACACCTCTTCGTGCATCTTGAGGGCTTCAGCCAGCTTTTCAACTGCCACGATGAGGATGCGAGTTGCAAAGAAGGATGTAAGATTGGACTTTGAAGAGAGACACCGGATAATGACCTTCTGGTTAATTGGGAGAGGGATGATATTGTCGAGCAGAATGGATGTGGGAGGGGGAGCCTTGGCGGACCGTGAACGATCCCCAAAGCGAGGAGGAAGAGGGATTTGCATGGTGTTGAAAAGGAACGCGGCATATCCAATCCAGGTCATGGACAATTTTGGTTCGAAGGTGAAAGATCGGTTGTTGAGGAAGTACTTGGCTGTGAGTTCAGGGGCGGCTGTAAAGATAGCAATCAGAAGCTCGTTGTGCTTCAGACTGGACCAAGGACGCAGCTTTTGGGCAAACTCGGCAAGGACGAAGTTGTACACAGGAATCTCTTCCTTGTACTTGTCAGTGAGGAGCGTGTTAGCCTGCGTCCGTCCAGTTGGCGTTGAGTCGTCTTCTGATTCTTTTGGATAGAGACCAGTAGAAGGGTATAGCACACCAGCAGTCGAGGTCGTGCAGATATAAAGAAGAAGTTGATGAGCCTTGTAGCTCACGGTCAACTTCTCATCCACATCATCACCATCGGCGGAGTATGTGTACAGAGCCAGGAAGCGCATCAGTGACTTAGTGTTGAAGCTTCGGAATTTAATTTCTCGAGGAATCTTCTCGTCCTTGAGGACATGCGACTTTAGGGAATCCATGATGTCTGTGATGAGATATGGGGGATCGGTTTTGATCATATAAGTCAGATGAGACAAGAGCTCTTTCTGAGTTATCAGCTCCTTTTTTCCGTCAGAACCCAGGAACTTGAGGAGGCTTAAGAAGAACCGGACGGCATTTGTCCTGACAGAAGCCTTGTGTACATCCTCCGGAGTATCGCCAATATGTCCGATTTCGAGATTTCGTCCAAGCGACGTCAATGTAGAGTTTCGGGCGCGGAAGATGCGCTTCGCGTAGGCACCTCCATCCAAGCATGTGGCCTCTCGAAGTAGACGCAAGGTGGGTGAGATGATGAAGCCCTTGCTCTTCTCAGAAGAAAGATTCTTCGACAATGACTTGAGTTGTCGCTCTTGTAGAAGGGTCTGGCAGATGCCGAGACCGTGTCGAACAAGCTGCAAGGAGCCCGACAGGACTTGGAGCAGCAAGGCTAAGACAACAGCAACAGATGACATGACACCATCGTTGTTGACTTGCACAGCGAAGGACCACATTTCCATAATGTCGTTGAGGAAGACCGCATCTTCGGAGATGTCTCTAGGCTTGACGGCTTCCAGGTACTGATGGAGGATTTCGAGGTTTACTTTTCGGTCGCCTTCTTCGTGAACTAGCTGATCAAGGAGATTCTTAAAAGATTGGAGGCCTAAGAAAAAGAGAAATGAGTTTATGTTCTGGCGTAGTGCTTGATAATATCACGACTTACCGTGTCTGGCATTGCGCAAATCCTGGTCGAACGAGAGGAGATTGCGCAATTGGTCGCTCGAGGTAACTTCTTCGCTTGTGGGCGTCTCGTGGGTGATCTTCTGGCGCTTGCGAAAAGCAGCAGCGCCATCTCCGCTGATAAAATCCCGTTTACCCATTTTGTCGACCTGGCAGCTTGTCGCAACCTGGATCGCTTGTCCATGAATTTACTTGGAGATTTTGGAATTCTGCCATTTGAGACCGCTGTCCCGCCTACCTAATTCGGACTTTGCAAGCAAGATTGTGGAGCATCGGCAGATGTATTTGTCCGGCCAGTACGGAGTATCAATGCCTTTATTACAGTGGACAATGGAAATGGACGCCACAACATGATTTCAATGTTAAGTTAACGGAGATGGCTGATTAGAGGTATGCCGTAAGAAAGAAGAAGATTTAATGAGCTTATTAATCTTCATTCACCTGATACATTGTGCTCCGAAGCCCTTGACACTAGGTACCTAGGTAAACTGAACTTAACATGCATGTTTTGGAGCAAGTGACAAAAAATGGAGGTTGATACACTGGAAAGGTTGAGATGGAAAGCCTTGAATGCTTGATTCTCCCGTCTCCTTATCTTTTGGAAATATGTAACTACTTGCTCTTTCTTGATTCGAAAATCGGGGTTCTCATCTCTCGTTCCTACACCACTACTACCCAACCTTGGAAATCAGCCTGGGCTGAGAACAGTTATCGTCTTCAACCTCGAATCAGCAGCTTTTTATTATCATCTGCATCGCATCTGCATTCACATCCACACCCGCACGAGTCAAACGAGTCAACCTCTCCACTCACGAGATAACAAGAGGCCGCTTCATCCCGCATCATGGATTGCGCCACACCCGTTGCATCCGCTATTGCAGCGTTGGAGACTCGAATGCTGCAAGAAACAGGGAACTTCTTTTTAAACAACCATTCCCCAGCCGAAGACTGAGACATGTTGCCCTCCGAACTGATAATTGCGCCTCCTGCGGGTTATGATAAAAAAAGCTCATCGGTCAGAATGACTGAAAGGTCGCCACTAGAACATCCACAATCTTCTATTTTGCACATAATGGGAATGCATCATGGCATGTGAGTGATCTCTTGTCTCCATAAACTCGAGGAACACTCCGATGAGCTTCAGGACGTATCCCTGTTATGCTAGCGAAGCTTGCCAGAGGTCCCCCATTCTTGGGCATCACTATTTTAAGAACCAAGGAATGGCAAAGTTCAAAGTCAGGGGCACCACCCTCACATGCCCATTCACCTGACAATGATGACTCAAAGTCTCAACTATTGAGCAAATACAGTGGCGGCGGGCATGCAACAAGCCGATGGGAGACTGCGTAAACTTAAAGTAACGTAATAATAGTGGCCCTGGTTTTGAGAGTTCGCAGAGCAATGGAAGTGCAAACTATCAACCATGCCCATGTTTGCAGCAAAACGCAGCAGCAGGGAGCGGTCCGGCTGTCGATCGGGCCTGACACTGGCACTGACCCAGCTGCGTGGGATTTCATCTCTAATCTTTACCGGGGGGGCTGCCCTAATAAGAAAGGCTAAAATAAAACAAAACCTGCTAACAATGCTTCTTTGTCCGCTTTGTTTCCGCCCCACAAACGAAGCCATCACACCTTGCCTTCCATCGTGTTGATGACTCTCACTGAGACAAATGTCGGGCTGTGCATTATTTCTACGTACGGCTGAAGGCAAAAAGGTAACAAGAGGCGATCCCAATACGACACCAGGGTAGCATGGCCCGCTTACAGTCCGTCTGATGTTGCTGCTGAAAAGCCAAGACGAAGATTGCTTCAGCCGTTCGTCAGCGCCAAAATATTAAAATTTCGGGAGTCTTATCGTTTAGTCACTTTGTCTCAAACCGTGGGCACAGACGAATAGCATCGCGTCAGCTCACGCCAGGATACGGGTTGTCACAACGGCCACTTTCTCTTCACTGTTCCGGGTGGCATGAAACATCAATCACGTCCGTTTTGGGACAGTGACGGCCAGTTCGTCCAGCCAAGCAATTAGATGTTTTGCCCAAAGGAGCATCCGGATTTGATGAGAGGTAGATTGACAGGCGTTCCTGAAGCTCCCACGTTTCAAGAGGCCCTAGGCCAGGCATAACAAACGCGGCTGTCAGTTGCAAGGTTGAAGAGCAACAAAACGTGCAGCCTACCGATTTGATGGAGCAGAGATGATGAAGAGACCAAGTCCCGGGGTACATCTACCAATCAGCCCGGCTAGACCAGGGTGTTGCCCAAACCGGCGGTGCAACTCCAAATAAGATGGTCGAATGCAACGTCAGATGTCGATTCCAGTAAGAACGCAAGAAAAAAGAAAAGCAGAAGACGAGAATGGCAAGGTTTGCACTAGAAGCCAGCAAGCGAGGCAGGCTTCACGATCTGCTGCTGGGTGTCTGTTTACCGAAAGGCACAGGGCTGTACGGATACTCCGTAGAGCTATGACATTTCACATCTGTACCACGTTTTACTGAACGTCTTTTTGCTAGGTGAGTGATACTGGTTTTATGTCGATGGCCTTGCCAAGACCCAAGTTTACACCAGTTTATGAGAAAAGGTGAGAAATGTGCAGCGTGATGACACACAGCCTCGAACACAGGCAAAGGCCTCAAAGGCTCAAACCCCGTCATCTCAGGTGATTGTCCAATACGAGAGCAGCACGAGACCTTGCTTGGGGCCCGTTTGTGGCAAGGACAAGCATAACAAAAATGTCAATTGCAGTAGAGGATCCACGACCAGCCAGAGAGATGGAGTGGACCAAATGCACGACATCGCCTCGACTCGCCTCGACTCGCTGGACCCTAGTGGCCTAGCCAAAGGCTACAAGCAGAGGGAGGAAAAGGCGACACCATCTCGGGCACTACGTGTGGCCCAGTCAATGTGTCTCCATGGTGTTTTGTTAGAGTTGGTGTGGAGCGCTAAGAAACTCGGGAGTCCTTCAGGGCCGTCTTCTAAGCGCCGACTGGTCCGGCGCGAGAACCGACCCCGGTCCATCACCTGCACCCGTGGGTTCGTCTTGGACAATCGTCAACCACTCAACACGTCGTCTTGCATCTGCTTGGGCTGCCGCCCGTGGATGTATTTTTGTTCTATTTTATTTCGATAGTAAATGGGGCCCTGAAACTCTCAGATCCGTCCGTAATTATGCTACTTGTTTATTGCCTCCAGGGAGTTCCCAGAGCTCCAAGGGTTGAAAGGGTGTGGTTATATCGACCACCACTCGTGGAAAACGTCGCGGCCTGGCCGTCTCTCACGAGATGGGCTGGGTTTGACGACTGCAGAGTTGCTTGCCGCTGCTTGCTCTCTCTCTCTCTCTCTTACTTCTTTTTATCTGCCGGGTCCCTGGTCCTCTTTCCTGCAGCTTTCCCGTCTTGCTTCTGTCCTATCCCCTTCTTCCTCCTCTTGTCTTTTGCTTCTGATCCTGCAGCTGCAGGCTTACATATACGAAGTGGTGTACATACATACATACACACTGAGATCCCACCTTATCTACATGCCTACATACGTCCATACATACCTGGACATATATCATATATGCATCGAGCCAGCCTCGGTCTTGTTTTTTCCTTTTGTTTCGTTGAGTAACGAATAGTTTATTCTCCTCTCTTGTCCGCCTTTTCATTCTCCCGAGTCTTCTCCACGCCTTCTCGGTATGACGTGAGAGCCTCGCAGCATGACACACGCCGCCTCTCACGGTGCCCATGGCTCTGAAGGAGCTTCTTGGCCATCGTGGCTTTCTCTCTGCTGCGCACCGCTGGCATCCTCAGACGACAGGAGGCCGCGTCGTAGTAAGTCTATGTCTAATTCTACCTCTGCCCGCACTGCCATTGCATGGGCCTCGGATTCGTCTTCTACTTTGAACATTTCGTGGCCCGTAGGCAGGGTGAGCGACGAACAGTTGCTGATAGGCCAAGTCGATGAGAAGCGCTCATATCCAGTCATATACGACCAACCAATTCACCACCCCCAACCTGTCGCCATGCCGGACTATCGTAAAATGTCGGACAAGTCTACAAGAGACAGTGTCTCTTCCAAGAGAAGGAGATTCTGGTCATTCTCTTCAAACTCGCGCCGGCCTCTTATATCAGCCCCCTCAGACTTTCGCCATGTTTCAACATCTACCGATCCGTTCTTTGACTATCCTGAATCTACACCATCCAGGGCCTCGAATCTTCGACCTGCTAAGCAGCTTCCTCATCGCCCATATCGACCGCTCGAGTTGAGCATCTATCAGCCCGACAATTTCGTATCCCCCATCATGCCTCACTTTGACCCGCGACCTGCGAACCCGGCTCCTTCATCGGACTATTCTGAATGTGTGTCGGATCTTTCAGATGGTAAATCGGAAGAGGTGAAGCCTTCGTTGGAGCATCAAAAGAGTTTTTCTGATTCCCCCATGTCATTTCACTTCCCTCGCAGGCAAATGACGGGAAGTGCGCCCAGTTCTTCCCATGGAGAAGACGAGATTCCACCTTTGATACCTCCCAAGTCGCGGGGCCGTCCTCGGGCATATAGCTCACCAAACGTGGACAAGGTCAAGGAGCGAGTTGCGAGTGCCATGCTCGAAGTTGAGAAGCTTCAGAAGCAGATTGACGATGTTATTGAGAGGCAGAGTCTTTATGTCCCTAGTCGACCACCAACTCCCCACTCAGTGGCCAGAACCATGCCTGTTATGAGTTCCATGAACCATCCCAGTGACGAACCTCTCCCACTGACTTTCGCAGAACTGGAGCCTATGCCATCAATTCCAGCTCTGCCTCCAGCAGCTCCGTCTTTTGCTCAGCGCCTCAACTCCGATGTTATTGAGAGGCCACACACAGCACCCATCAGGTCTCCGCGTGCACCTGTGAGGACCCCCATTACTCCTCCTCGCCGGGCCCAAACCCCTGGTGAGCCTCGGACGCCCTCTACTCCTCTCTCTCGTCCCAAGCGCGAGGATATGCCCCCGCCGCCACCTCTCCCTCTGGTACTTCGACCTCCTTTGAGAAAGAAGAAGTCTTTTTCGCGGGTTTCAAGCTGGCTTTTCCCCGGATCTCAACATAGCCGTAACATGAGCTTTGACTCTGTTACCAATGTTCCTCGCCCTATCAAGGGCAATCAAGGTTTTTACCAAGTCTCGCTGGGCGGGACATCAGAACGACGGCGGAGCACAGACTCTGCCGATACCGTTAGCACTTGGGAGTCGGATGAAGAGAACCGCACTGTTCCAACAACATGCTCTGTGGGTAGCACACCTGCTGTGTCACAGGACGAACCTCTCATCTCACGCTTTGCTAGTTCAACGTTTGGAAGAGGTGATACCCGAGGTCAAAGAAGGAGTGTCGGTGTTGCGATGTGAAGGAAATGATTGGATATTGTTGGCTTATACCCCGCGTTTTTTCGTTGGACGTTTTTGATGACTTGTATACATTCGATGATACCACTTCGTACCATGCATGACTGATGCCCCGTAGCTAGACTATGTGGCACAGTCCTTGGGTATTTGTTGTTATGGTAATGGGATAATGATATGGGAACTGGAATTGGCTTGGATACCAGGATCTTGGGTGGCAGGTTTGCTCTAAAATTTATGCTTAAGCGATAGATATCTCGTGGAGAACGGGATTTAGGAACAGCGGTGCTGTTCGACACTAGTTAGACGATACAATACAACCGATACCGCCTAGAGCGGTACATGGCTTACTTTATTCTCTTGGCTGTTTTGCCCTTGATCGAATGCAACTTACAATTGTCGAGGACCTTTACTGAGGATACTGAGTTTTGCAGCTAAGCTCTATCCGTAGGGTATGTGAATTCACCGACATCGCATGGCATTGGAAGCACTGCGGCTTCATTCTCTTCTTTCATTGCCTGTTGATGCTTTTCAATGGATAGAACTGAGTAGTATTGTCTCAGAGAAATATTATGGTTGATCATAGTCACTGTAACGACCATTCAAGTACATCAACATGTGGCTAATGAGTGCCTCATTCGTCGCGTCAGCCTCATGACCCTGCACGTGGCCCACCTCAGCTGTCCCGAACCTCCAACGACCTTCAGGGATGATCATTCAACCTGTTCAGCACTATTCACATTCAATTGATGCCATCAGCCCGCACGAATCTCATTAAAGAGTGAACCATAGCTCTTCGCCTGCCTCATTCATCCGCAACCGATTCCCATCGGTTTGTCATTATCGACCTTTGCTGAGAGTCGCTGCTGGCTCTCAGATAAGCCACCTTGAAACATCCCTGTCACGATAACCGACTCATTAGAGATGGTGGGAGTACCGCGCGACGAGGCGCCTTCTACGGCCGGACGTTCAGATGCTTCCAACTCAGATGCCGAGAGAGGGCGGCTGCTCTCCGGAGACGATGAAGAAGCTGATCCTGAGACCTATGAGGATGCTGAACGACTTGACAATTGGCATGTAGAGCACAAGCGCCGAGAGACCCGGCGATGGAGCTATCTTGTTATGGTTATCAGTACGGTCGCGTTGATCACAGTTCTTGCTGTTTGGGTTCATAAAAAGTGAGTCTTTTTGTAAAGTATGTATGTACGGAGCTGAGCTGAGCTGACACTATTAAAGCACACTGACCTCTGGATGTGAGTATGACGGAAGCTGCAACGATATCTCCAAGCTCTGGGGTCAGTACTCTTCCTTCTTCTCTGTCCCATCAGAGATTGATTCATCGACGCCGGATGACTGCGAAGTTACCATTGCCGTCGTTTTGTCTCGTCATGGGGCTCGTTATCCCACCACCACCAAGTCTGAAGCATACAACGCGACTATTGCCCGACTACAGAAATCCGTGACCAAGTATGGCACGGGCTATGAATGGCTCAAAGAGTACACCTACAAGCTCGGGTCTGAGGATCTGACCGAGCTTGGTCAGCAACAGATGATAGACTCCGGAAAGGCTTTCTACGATCGATACATTGGACTCGCTGAGAAGACAGAACCCTTCGTTCGAGCGTCAGGGTCAGACAGAGTCGTCGTATCGTCTTATAACTTCACACAAGGCTTTTATGCTTCCCGAGGAGAGTCTGGAGATGAGTACACTGACGATGTCTTGGTCATCCCAGAGGAGTCTGGCATCAACAACACATTGTCGCATGGGTCATGCGCCTCATTTGAGAAAGACGATACACTCGGTGAAAACGACGTACAAACTGCCTGGGGAAACAAATTCCTACCCCCTATCCGGGATAGGCTGAACAGGAATTTGCACAAAGCGAAGCTGTCGTTGAAAGATACCGTTTACCTGATGGATTTATGTCCTTTCGTCACAGTCAACACTCCTGATGGTGCTGGGCAGTCCAGATTCTGCGATCTTTTCTCTACGGAAGACTGGCGAAGTTACAATTACTTCATGACGCTTGGAAAATACTACAAGTATGGTAACGGTAACATTATGGGACCAACGCAGGGTGTTGGATATGTCAATGAGCTTGTTTCACGACTGACAAGGAAACCTGTCCATGATCACACAACAACCAACAGCACGCTAGACTCCAACCCAGAGACGTTCCCGCTTGACAGAGCGCTGTATGCGGATTTTAGTCACGACAACAGCATGGTATCAATCTTCTCAGCTCTTGGTCTGTACAACTCGACAGGCAACTTGCCGAAGCACCACATTGTGCCAGCTGTCCGGGCACATGGCTACTCATCAGCATGGGTGGTTCCTTTCGCAGCGCGTATGTACGTCGAGAAGCTCGAGTGCGGTGCGACTAGGGAACAGAAGGGTGAAGAATATGTCAGGGTGTTAATCAACGATCGAGTCATGGAGTTGGATACGTGTGGAGGAGATGAGTATGGACGCTGCAAGTTAGAGGACTTCGTAGCGAGCCTGTCGTTTGCCAGAAGGGGAGGGAATTGGGACAGGTGCAGTGCGTAAGGTACCAAGATACAGACAGGGTTTAGATATATTGAGCGGTTAATTGCACGTAATTGTCATTTCGAAAGGCTGGTATCCGTCGTGATGGACTGAAATAGAATCGTGGTGCAAGGGAGAGTAGGGACGCGAGATAAGCCGGGTACTCGTTAACGGAATGAACTGATTATACGAAGGGTGAAGTAAACCTGACAAAGAGATGATATGAGTAAGTTCATTTTCATCTCTGGAACACAAAAGAGATTTACATCGTAAACAAATAAACCCGCCCGATCTGACAAGTCCGAATTATTTATCCTAACGAAGGACTGCCCGAACTGAATCCGCTCGGATACGGGTCTGGGGCATCCCTTCACTGAGCATCTCCACTACAGCGGGCCACTGATGCTAAATCCAGAGCACACCTAGGCTAATAGGATGCGCCAAGCTCACTGTAAGCAGCCCTAGTCCCACGGAGGCTGACAGAAGTGGGGCTTTAGCTTTTCCCGGTTCTTCGTAATTGAAGCACAGTTAGTGACATCTCCATCTCCATCGGAGCTTGGACAAAGCATACTCACTCAAGCACCGCCACATCATTCCACAAAGACGAACCCAAGTCAAACAAAGGATTCTAAGCCTTACTTGTGCGGACTGCTATTCATCTCTCTTCCGTTCGCTTCATACGGCAAAGTCTTATTTACATACGAGAATCAAAGCAATCCTCGTGACTTGCGCCCGACGATCGACATCTGCTCTCGCACACACTCTATTCTTTCGTCAGCAGGCGATTGATCGCATCGTACAGCCGCTTCGCTTGGGACACACGAACGCGGGATAACAGAAAATGGTGTCGACGGGCGGTGGCATCGTGATTGCTATTCTGGTTCTGCTCGTTGCAGGTGCCGTAGGATGGGTAGTCTTTACACAGCTACGTGCTCGCAGACTTGGCGTATGTCAATTCCCTCGTTCTCCTACTCTGTCGATCAAACTGACCCTTTACCTCGACAGCTTCCACCCCCAAGCCTCACGTCATATCTACCATGGCATAAAGAAGACAATGGATACGGACCACCCCAGCCTGCGCCAGGAGGTATTGCTGGCTGGTTCAATGACCAGGTTCGCAAGTTCAAGAACCGCAACAACCGCTCCGCCGCAGGTGCCTACGAGCAATCTGGCGGTGCGCCCCGCGGCCGTCGTGGTTTCGGTCCGCTCGATCCGGATGAGGCGTGGGACTCGCGCGTTGGAAACGAAGCGGATGCGTACGGATACTATGAGGAGGAAGTTGGTGGCCGCGGCCGGGATACCGGATACGGCGGAGGCTACAACATGAACCTCGCAGCGACACCAGCAGTATCGGGTGGACGAGGCCCGGGCGACGATGAGGAGGACCGAGGCAGAAGGGCAAGCAGAAGTCCCGCATCGGGACCCGGAGGACGGAACCCTTTCGATGACGACGCAGGTTCGAGTTTGCGTGGCGTGAGCCCTCGACCTATCGACACAGGGTTTTCAAAGCCCAAGAACAGAAGCGGTAGTGCCGAGAGCAGTCCAACAGAGCGACGGTCTATATTCAGGGAGGATGTATAAACGAAATGTCGATGAGTTGAGGAGGTTGTGGCGGATGAAGTGTGTCGCAAGATGAACACAAGGCAAACGATTCACAGACAAAGGGTTGTCTACGGCCCTTTGTCGTGCTTTTCACGGCCTGGGCTCGAGAACCTTTGTTCGAGCATGACATGAATTTCACTGGATGGAACTCTGATATATCATGACTTTGCTTACACGCTGTGTGGTTTCTTTCTATTTGGTAGCTCTGGAACGTTTATGTAACTATTATGGATAGGTGATTTGGCTTCGAAATCAATGGCGTTGCGATATCAGATGTGGCCATGACTGAAGAAATGCTATGCCTCCAATTGAAACACGGTATGAGACCAACGTGCTATTTACTCCCTGTTGATTGAATATGATCATGCCGTCTCAATGAGAGCTACGGGTTCTGACCGGCCCCAGCTTTCGGCCCCTCACGGACGTCAACTCGCCGCTTGAGCTGCCCCGCCATAACTATGACATTGGAACCCCTCCATAAATATGTTCCTCTGCCTCTGATCACAACACCACTTAATTGTACATCCCAACTGTGCAATCGTAATAATGTCAGACCTCAATCTTCAAGCCGTTCACGATGAACTCATCTCTGTGGCCTACGAGGCCGGCGCCATGATCTTGGCCGCCAATCCTGCTGAGCTTGACACCGATACCAAGCTGAATTGTATGCTACCGTTCTCACCACCACATCCTTTGCATACCTTAGCTAATATCAATTTGCAGCCGTCGACATCGTCACCGAAGCAGACAAGGGTGTTGAGAAGATGGTCTCAACACGTCTGTCATCATCCTTTCCTAGCATCTCCTTCATGGGCGAGGAGACATACCAGCCTGGCATGAAGCTCGGCCCTGAGCCAACTTTCGTCGTTGACCCTATCGACGGCACAACCAACTTCGTCCACTCGTTCCCCAGCGCTTGTATCTCCCTCGGACTCGCCATCGATCGCAAGCCCGCCGTGGGCGTCATCTACAACCCATGGCTCGACACCCTCTACACCGCCATCAAAGGCCACGGCGCCTTCCTCACACACGGTCGCGGCACACAGCCCAAGAAGCTTCCCCTCGCGCGCTCACCGCGACCCATTGAGGGACTGGGCAACTCGCTCATAGCTGTGGAGTGGGGATCGCAGCGCGACGGACCCAACTTCGACGTTAAGGTTGAGGCCTTCCGAAAACTCACAGCGAGTCGCGAAACGGGCGGATCGATGGTGCACTCGCTGCGGTCCATAGGCTCTGCTGCGCTCAACATTGCTTCTGTGGCAGCGGGACAGTGCGATTTGTATTGGGAAGGTGGATGCTGGGCGTGGGATGTTTGTGCCGGATGGGCGATCCTGGAGGAGGCTGGCGGTCGTATGGTGCATGGAAACCCAGGTATCTGGGATAATGAGATTGAGTCCCGAGTGTACCTTGCTGTGCGAGGGGCGCCGAGTGGCCAGAAAGAGCTTATTGAAGAATTCTGGGGTGTCCTCGGCGACAGTAAGCTAGATTACTCCAGCTAGAGTCTTGACGAGTTATCTCATGAGATGTAAAGCTAGAAAAGAGAGGGACTGTATAGAATAGAATGAATGTGAAACGCGATCATGAGGGAGAGTGTCACTTGCGAATTGCTTCAGGTTTGTGATGATCTTTGTCAATTGCCGCCATCCATCTATGGATGCGTGATAAGACACAAGATAAAAAAGGATAATAAAGCACCTAGTTGCTCCGTAAAGAATCCCATAATACAGTTGTTGTGGCGGATCCGCGTTGTCTCCTTATGATAAAACGTTCCCAGTTTCCGAGACCCTTCCTTTTTTTGTATAAATGCATGGTATACGCCTGCATGGCATTGGCTATTTCGTATTTCCTCTTTCTTCCCCCGTTTAAAATTATGAATTCGATTCAGTCTTGGCTTCGACCTACTCAGCCTTGACGTCAACCTTCTTGGCGGCGGGCTCGCCAGCAGAGGCACCCTCCTCACGACCTCGCTTCTTGTTATCGGTGGACTCGTTGGCGGTAGACTGGATACGGGGCATAGTGCTGTTCAAGTTAGTGAGTGGTTCTCTGTGACGTTGTTCAGACGGGATAACATACTCATTGCTGCTGTGCTTGGCCTCGTCCTTCTGCTGGTCTCGGTCACGACCACCATCGCGTCCACCACGGCCACGGCCACGACCTCCACGACCTCCTCGACCGCCTCGGCCACCTCGACCACCTCGTCGGTCCTTGAAGCCGTTCTTTTGGTCGTTGTCCCGTCGCTGCTTCCAGTCGTCGTTGCCTCCCCGTGGACGACCACCACGTCCAGCCTTACCGGACTCCTTACCCTCGTAAAACTTGCGAGGGTTGCTGTGGTTGGGTTCGATCTTCCCTTGTCGGATGAGATCGTTCTTCTCGTCGCAGTAAGCACGCTTGCTCATGATCTTGAGGTCATGGTCGTTCCACTTGGGAGCAGGGTCCATCTTGATAAATTTGTTGGCCTCCTCCTCGTCGGCAAATGTGACGAAGACAGAGCCCTTGAAGAGGTTCTCGTTCGTGCGTCGGAGCTTAAGGCCCTTAACCTCGCCGAACTGCGCAAAGAAGCTCTCGAGATCGAATTGAGTGTTGGGAGCCTCGTCACCGAAGCCCTTGACGTAAACGGTAGCAGCCTCGACCTTAGATTTGGAGGCGGTCATGGCCTGGTAAGGGGTCTTGCGCTTGACCTCCTCCTCGCCCTCCTCGCCGGAGAGGTCGAGGACCTTGCTATCCTTGAGAGCAGCAATAACGGCGCTGTAAGGCTGGAATGTTCGCATGCGCTTGAAAGAGTGGATAGTCTTGACCTTCATGGGCTTGTTTTCGCTTCCGCCGCATGACTCCCACATGAACTTGTCTTGGGGGAAGTTCCAGTCACCAAAGTAGAACTCGACCTAGAAGAGTAAGCACGCGCGCGACAGGGGAAATTGAACAAGGCTATGCATACCTGCTTGCGGATGGCATCGGGGTCATCAGTCACCTCGCGGCTGGAAGGGTCAAATTTGCGGTTGTTGCGAGGGTTCTCGTTGTCGTGCTTGGCGGTAGTCTTGAGGACCTCCTTCTTCTCCTCAGGCTTCTCTTCTGACTTTTCTGAGACCTCCTCGGTCTTCTGCTCTGACTGTTCCTCGGCAGGCTTCTCTTCGGTAGGCTGGACAGCAGGAGCAGCCTCGGCCTCGGGCTGGAGAGCCTCGACAGGCTTGGGGGCTTCAGCTTCACTCATTGTGAAATTCAATCGATATTTGACTAATCGATAATGATGCGCGACCGTGATAATCTAATCGGCGGAGGCTGAAAAATAATGTGAAGTTGTATGAAGAGGAGGGAAACTGGGGACTAGGTTAGAAGAGGTCGCGAAAAAAAGAAAAAGATGGTGGCGGGGTCTGGCAGAATGAGACTCGATCGAGTCATCGGCGTGCGCTTATAGATGCTTCGCCTGTTGCCTAGTTGAAGACATACCTGTGAATTGCAATGTTCGTTAAAGTTACACAAGAAACTGTTTGTGTAAGATTCAAGTTTCCAATTGAAGAGGAATAGTGCAAGAGTGCGATTGATTCTGCCGGCGCGAGAAAAATTACTTCAGGAAAACTCCATCGAGAGGCCCATGGCTCGCTAGCTCTAGCTTTGCGATTTCACCGCCCGCCGTTTTGGTCGTGTTTGCCTCCACTATCCACGCGCTGCTTTACGCTGCGCTGGAGATGCTCTGGTGCTCAGGTGTGATTTCCCCCCACCGCGGATGACCCCACTTTCCTGCCGCTCCCCTGCTTTCACGCTCTAGGTTGTAGTGGCCGTGGAAAAGGTATGACGGACAATTTCTAATTTAATATTATCTAACTTCGATAAAGTGTATTGAAACATTGTAATCCTAAATTATAAAAGGCCTGTTAAATGCTATGGATCCTACGCCGTTACGGAAGCTTAACTTAACCAGTTGCCTTGTCGGAGGTTTACATGGGACTGAACAACGTCCAAGCTTGGAACGTTTTTTGAGGTTCAGTGGATGGCAATGTGAGGTGCCTTAGTACTACCTAGGTAGGGTGTCTGTTATACGCCTCAGTCGCAGCTGTTACTGGCTACCTATCGTCCGGATTACCACTACGGCTCCAGCTAGATATAGGCTCATATGGAGGGAGCTTCATCCGCTGTAAATACAGCCTCGTCTTTAGTTTCTCACTGGAAGGTATGGGGCCTCACATATCGGCAACACATACGCTAGATAAACTTTACAGTACTGTTGTGGTCATGGAGTTGATTCCACGATACAGAAACTTGGCAGCAACGCAAAAAGCTTCTCGCCATGTGAAAGCGCTTGAAACTTGAGTCAGCTGTAACCTGATTGGGCCTTAACCTCTCGACTTGGCTTGGAACCAAGCTTTTGGGCCATCCAAGTCCAAAGCGGACCTGAAGATCCGTGGCACAGGTAAAAATTGGCAGATCAATCGACTAAACCGTGAAAAAGCCCGATGGGAATCGCCTCTTTGGCACATGTTTATAACACATTGATACAATATTCGGAAAATTTCGACTCCCTCAACCTTGCCAATGGCACGATACGGATGCACCCGACGTGCTAGTGACCTCAGAGAACGATAGAGTGGTACTTTCGTTTCACGGTTATTCACAATGAAGGTTGAAGTACCCCTCTAGCCTCACATTTCTCACCCCACATCCCACTTTAGCAAGGTGTTCTGGAAATGACATCAGCCATCCTGAGCTATTCTCAACAAGTCGCACAGCTTGGTGTCATATAAATCTCTGTCCTCCGGCAACAACCCGCGTTGTTACGAGTATCTTTTTATATACCTCAGACCTCTCAGCTCAATCTGCAGATTCGATTCTCTACTCTCTTTCACAACCCCACCAAGTCCTATCTGTCTATCTGTTTTGCGACAATGTGCTAAGTTCGGTTAGCAGCCATATGAAGCATGTGCGCAATCAAACTATGATAGTATAATCTTGAATAGACCCCAATTACACTCAGAAACCATGAGAAATTACCGTGGCTCTTTCAGGAGTCTGCATAGACTCAACACCCGGCTCAGCACGCAACCACGCCTTCCACGACGAAGACTATCGCATCGCCATCTCTGGACATCTCCATCCAAACAGGATGCCAAGCAAGAAGCACAACAACGATCGACGTTGCCAGTAGCAGTAATCACCGGCGGCCTTTTCATCTGGTGGCTCTACCCTTCTGACGACTTTGCACAGCTTTCCGGCAAACAAGAAAGATTACGACCCAACCAGGACTCGGCAAGAGACGAGAAACGAGACACGAACCAAAATGCCGCTCCGGAAGGGGATCAGTCGGCCTGGGTAAACTTCGCCGGCCGCTTCGAATCATTTATCACGCTTAACGACGTTGAATTCTCTTCTTTTTCCGACAAGATTGTCAGCTATCTCCTCCCGGAGTGGTCAAAATTCATACCCGGATATGTTCGCAAACTACAACACGAACTATCCATGGCCCCGGGCTCTCTTGCCGACGAGATTTGGCAAGATGCACACGATCCATTACTAAATCCCGAGATCCAATACTCAGCCCAAGTCCGGGTATCTCCAAACCTTTGCGAGGAGGAAAAGGAGTTCCTGTCCCGACGAAAACGAGTTGCCAGGATTGGGTTGGCCAAATATCTTGGGCTCGAAGAGGATGAAGTACACCCGGACGATGTCCCTACTATTGCTATGTGCGGCTCTGGAGGAGGCCTGAGAGCGCTCATTGCAGGATCTGGATCGATGCTCGCTACAGAAGAAGATGGGTTGTTTGACTGCGTAACATACACTGCAGGCGTGAGCGGTTCATGCTGGCTCCAGGCCCTGAACCTTACCTCATTCAACAAGGGCAGCATGAGTAACCTCATCGACCATCTAAAAGCCAGAGCCTCAACTCATATTGCATACCCACCAGAGGCCTTCCAGTCTCTTGCTTCTATGCCTACCAATAAATACCTTCTTAGTGGTATGGTGGAGAAACTCAAGGGTGATCCAAAAGCCGATTTTGGCCTGGTCGATGTCTACGGAGTCCTATTAGCAGCAAGATATCTGGTGCCGAAAGGAGACCTTGGAGTCAACGATCGCGACTTCAAGCTCTCGAACCAACGCCAGTATGTTCAGTATGGACAACTCCCACTACCAATCTACACCGCCGTAAGACACGAGATCCCCAACTTGCCCGAAGCCGCCGAGCAGGGACCTATCGAAGCCGAGATTGCCAAGGAAGAAGCCAAGAAAGAGGCTTGGTTCCAGTGGTATGAGATCACCCCCTACGAATTCTTTTGTGAAGAGTTTGGTGCCGGTATCCCTACCTGGGCTCTCGGGCGTAAGTTCGACAAGGGTCTCGATGTTCCCCCTGAGCATGGTTTCCATCTCCCTGAACTCCGATTGCCTCTTCTCATGGGCGTCTTTGGCAGTGCGTTCTGCGCGACTCTCAGTCACTATTACCGGGAGATCAAACCATTAGTCCAAGGGTTGACTGGCTTTGGCACCATCGACGAGCTCATCTCAACACGCGATGATGATTTAGTCAAAGTACACCCCATTGATCCCGCCAAGATACCCAACTTTGCCTACGGCATGCACGGAAGGCTGCCAAAAACTACGCCTACCAGCATTTATGACAATGAGTACATTCAACTCATGGACGCTGGAATGTCCAACAACTTGCCCATCTACCCTCTACTGCGACCGGGTCGAGATGTGGATGTGCTCGTTGCATTCGATGCATCGGCAGACATCAAAACTGATAACTGGCTGTCAGTAGCTGATGGTTACGCTCGTCAACGTGGTGTCAAGGGCTGGCCGGTCGGAATTGGCTGGCCCAAGTCCGGAGAAGCCACATCACAAGTTGTCGAAGAGCTTGACGAAGCACAAGCTAAATCGGCTCGCGAGGCCGAGGTTAAGCTTCGAGAAGCCAAGAAAGAGCAGGCGGAGCTTCGTCAAGAGGCCCACGAAGAGGGAAGGCAGGTCATGGCCGAGAACGACAAAACCAAGTTCGAGCATGGTGATCAAGAGTCCGGCGACTTGGGATACTGTACTGTCTGGGTTGGCACGAATGAAGAACGCAGCTCCAAGCCGCCACCTCCTTCGAAAGCCATATCAGGTGACACATCGTGGCAACTCATGGAACCCGATGCTGGCATTGCCGTCGTATACCTGCCTTTTATCTCCAATGACAAGGTGCCCGGCATTTCTCCTGGAACTACCGACTACCTCAGCACCTGGAATTTCATTTATACCCCTGAGCAGATCGACAATGTTGTTGAGTTGGCACGAGCGAACTATAATGAAGGGAAGCAGCAGATCCGAGATACTATTCGTGGGGTGTATCAACGCAAAAAGAAGTTTCGCGAGGAGCTTGAAAAGGCCAAGCGACAGGATCGCTACCGGGCTCTTATGAGGAGAGGCGAGGGTGTCCGGTTAGGTGAGGGCGATCAGTTTAGTTGAGCCAGTAATTCCCATATCACTGGCTGGAATCTTTTGTCTTATAGAACCATGTACCTAATACCCATTCGAGCGTCAGGGACGCAGTGTAATGTAAAAAATTGATTCTGACTCGTCATTTGTCGAGGAGTTTTGTCATTGTTCTACATTGATCTTACATCGACATTTCCCGACCCGATCCTTTAGGAACCTATGCTCCCATGTGATTTTTATACACTGCCCAACCCGGGCAAAGAATTGCTCATTATCCACATACAGGGCCGACGCCATATACACCGCCCTCCGAGTACATATATATCCAACACGATGACGCCTCCTTAGATAATCTCACCAATATCAATATGAGGGGCCTTCCAGGGCTTCGCACCCTGCTCGTGCATATCACTTGGTACCCGGACCTTGTTGCTAGGGCTGTAAAGGTACCATGACTTAAGGGCGTTCATCGATGCCTTCCATCTGGCGACATCTAGACTAGGACCGGCGCCCTCACCAAGCTTCTCAGAACCACTGTAAACGCCAACAATGAACACAGGTGTTCGTGAATGACGACCTGTCTCACTCTCGAGGCGTGCGATAGGAGCCTCGAAGGCTTCACGGGCACACAGGAGGGCGAGTTCTCTTGTGGGGAGCTTGAACTGGAACATGGAGGCAACGTCGACTTGTCGTGTGAGCACGTGGGACTTGACGAAGTCACGAGCAGCGTCTTGGCCGGCGTGGGTGTAAATGGAGCCAACAACGGCTTGGACAAAGGAAGAGTATGCCTCATGCTGGTAGTACTTAAATCCCTCCTCGCCGGTCTTGGGTTCCTGTAGGGTATCGCCGAAGTCGTCATCGAAAACTACACGGCTGCTAATTCCACGGCGGGGCTGAAATCGATCAGTGAAGGCAGCCTCTTGACGAACATAACCCCAACGGGTCTGCATGCCCGAATCTTCAGGTGCCCATTGTAGTAAACCAGGATCGACTTCCTCGCCAGGAGCGGCAGCGGCCTCAACACCCCACCGACGGGCTATTTGATGCAGAGATTCCTTTCCGGCAAAGGCACGGAGGGCCTCATAGAGGATTGCCATTGGCAGGCGGGGCCATTTGCAGACGAGATACTCGAGGACGTGGTAGTTGATGAATGTGCTGCCGAGGAAAGCGAGGTTGGAGTTGTTAAAGTTGGGGTTCTTGTCGGCGGAGGGGACGACAAGGGCGCGGGCGAGAGTCTCCAATGGGATCTTGCTGGAGAGGGATAACCGGGCGTGGAGGGCGGCAAGCTTGGCTGACCCTGCAGCACGCTCCGGGACGGGAGAAGGAAGGCTTGTGAATTTGGGCGTATCTTCGTCAATTTGGGGGGCGGCAGCCGTGGTAGCCTGACGTCGAGTCGTTTGTAGAAATGCTTGTCTTGAAATACCGATACCGCCGCGGGCTTGGGCCTGCAGCAATTGGCTGCCCCATCGATCGAGCCGTACCCGCTTCATCTGTCCAGATTATATCCCTCTATCCTGGAGTCTCCAATTTCCCGTCGGTCGTAGAAAGTCGTCGAGGGGGGTCGACGGAGGGGAATTGGGAATTGTCGCCTGGTTTTTGGTCGTCGACAGGGAAAAACTTCTGCGCTACAAGGCTAGAGGCTAGAGTCGTGTGAGCTGGGGTGTGGTTGGCCGGAACAACCGGCGGCCCGCTGTGCGTTTCTCCCGGGCCAGCCTTGGAAGCTGGGACCTCACCTGTTGGTAACCGGCCATTTGACATTGATTCAACGACGCCATTGCGCACCTCAACCCCCTCTTTTTCGTCCGTTGATAAATCATTCAAAATGGTAAGTGGGAGTTCCGAAGTTGCAGTGAAATGCGCTGACAATTGACAATAGGGCGGCGGCGGAAAAGTCCCGTAAGTTTTACCTCACGAACCGACGCACCGAAAGCGAAGCGACCGCCATATCTAACCTGAAGCCCTGCGATAGTTACCCCAAGCACGTCTGGTCCCCAGCCGGTGGTTGGTACGCGCAGCCTGCCAACTGGCGCGGCAACACCTTGATCGCTGGTGTCGTCATGGCCGGCATCGTGGCCGTTACGTGGAAGTTCAGCGCCGAGCGAGAACAATGGGCGCACAGGCCCGAGCAAGGGCAGTGGTACGCCAGCCGACAGTACGTTATGTTTTCGCCTGGAATTTTGAGATCGAAGTGGAAGTGCTGACGATGGAATGTAGCTGGTCAAAGCAGTTGAAGCAGTGGGATGCGGAGGACGCACAGAACGGAACAAAGAGCGAATAGAGTCTGGACAAAAAGACATATTGTATGAATTTCTGCGACAGATGAAGACAATCTCGGTTTAAAGATCAACATTTCATATTTCGCGATGGTGTTACAAAATATCAACACGTTGGGACTGTATGTGATGATGGGTCATTATGGGACTCTAATTGGATTCCAGTGAACTAGAATGACCGCCGCCGAAACCTCTGAACCTCTTTGACACATTCATCAAGGGTTTACATCCAATTGATAGCTGGAAACCGCCGTTTGACGCTGAGGGTAGGGAGCGAATCAGAGCAGTACTAAATGTGCTTATCGACATAATTATACCCGTCCAATTTCCGAATTGTATGATCTTGAACTTATTGGAAGCTTCACTTACAACTTGTAATATTTCTAACAAAGCTAGGAAACGAGGTGGTGTCATTTGCCTTAGCTGGTCCATAAGCATTCATAATTATAATGTTAGTCTACTACAGCACAGCTGAAAAGGGACGCGATCTTAAAGAGTACAGGACAGTTCTGCAACAAACTTTCTAACTGCTGCAACAGTCCGGCGTTAGCTCTGTGGCTGCGTCTATTGAGAAATTGATATTTGTAAATGTTGGTTGTCTGAGGGGCACTGACTTCCGGGTTATATTCTCGTCAGGCCCTTCATGTTACCTTACCGTAGGAGATGGGGCCTATCTTGGGTTACTTTAATTTTGAAAGATGGTGCATCATATATGCAATGCTCATTCACGCAATGCTGACATGTGTGCCTCGGGTGTTGAATGCCCTCATGTAACACAAGAGCCCAGCTGTGAATCAATGGACTTAGTGAGCCTCGCTGGTAGTACGATGAGAAAAGTAAAGTTTACCCAAAGTTGATGTTCCCATACAGTAATGAGACCAACATTGTTCAAGTCCATATACCGTTTTCAAGATTCTACAGGCAAGTCTCACACAGTAGTGACTGGTCATCAAGACACATCTTGTTCTTCTCAAAGACAACATGTTGCACATTTGAGAGACACAGCAGCTCAGCCCCCACCACAGGCTGTCCCAGGTACCAAGCCTCGGGCCCCAGGGGTACTTTGCAGACACAAGGATTAAACTGTTCGAGTCCACTTTAACCCGCTGCCACTGAGGTCACTACCGGCTCTAAGTTTAAGTATCTGTCTCACTCTCTCGATGAACCCTTGCACAACACAACGAGGGGAACATTCGGTTGCTTATTGATGCTTGCAAGGCTGCTTTTGCTCATTTGCTCTGATGTGTTGGAAACTTTCCCCTCTTTTACATTGGTTTGCTGTTTATACATCTACCTAGTAGTGATTGATGTTTGGATCAGTTGCTGGTTCATCAACAGCGTCTCTCTCTACTAAGTCAGCTGCCTCTTAATTGCGCGGGGAAAGCTTGACACCGTTCGTCATTGTAAACGCCCCGGCCTCCGGTTTGCTTCCGCCAGTATCGATTATCTTCCAACAGCAGCCAAATTACATTCGTCCTTCCACTTCCACTACCTCAACTTTACCTATCTACCATACTTCCAGGCTCTGACACTATATTGTATTCCTCTTAAGCATTGCATAGCTCGTCTTCCTTTTATACCTTCTTTGTTCAGATCGTACCTGTCTAGCCTTACCTACCCTGGTCTTAGCACTGCATCACTGCTGTTCTTTGCCTGGTTTAGGCCACTTCTTTCGCCACCGCCCTAGAGCTAGACGTCAACCGACCACCACATTGCATCGCCCAGATAACCTCATCTGGTTCCTGGATCGGGCCGGACTCTTTCCTCCTTGTTTATCGCTTCCCTAATCTTTAACAAACGGCGCATCTGCGACTTCACCTGTGTTACTAATCTAATCTCACCATCTTGACCTCCACAATAGCCTCCTCTCGTCCTCGTCCTCGGCCATCTACGACCTCCGGCTTGGATCTATTGTTGTAGTCGACCTCTTTAATCATCGTTCACTGTGGCGTCACGCGCTTTTCGCCTCGCCGGCCTTGCTGTCGGCCTTGGTTTGAGTGCCTTGACTGCGTACCAACGCAATCAAGCGCAGCAAATGTCTTCTCCAGGTGAGAGGCATGGCCACCTCGACGCGACCACAGGGCGTGACGTAGTCTATTGTCACGCCTGCGCCGGCGAATGGTACCGGGACGAGAATGGCCTAACATGTCCTGAATGTCAAGGGGAAATCACAGAGATTGTATGCTTCACTTGCAAGTCCTTGGTTTTCAGATTGCTGACCTTGATATCTAGATTGATCCCGAAAACGACCCTCGCGACCTTGCCCACCATTCCTCTGCCTCCACCTCACCCGAGCCTAATCATTACGATTCGGATCCCGAAGAAGCCGACATAGATGAGCACGCTCAGCATGGTTTTGTCTATCGACGTAGCGTGCGAGTCGGCCCAGAGCATCATCACCACCACGATCCTGCCGTTGCCCCGATTTTCGAGCGTTTCTTTGACATGCTTAATGGGTTTGGACCGCGAAGTCCTGGTGGAAATGCTTCTTTCCCACCTAGTCCTGGGGAACATACTGGAGAACAAAACTCCGGGACACAAACATATCGGACAACATTTACTCCTGGGCCTTTTGGAGGCGGCACAACTGTAACAATAATCCAACGGCCTATCCATGCTACGGGAGGCGCTCCTCCAGTGAATTTGGGTTCTTCAGCCCATGCAGGATCCGATCCCTTCCAAGAGTATGCACAGTCCCTTTCCCATCGCCCTGAGGGACCAGGCGGTCTACGGGTTACGGCCATATCCATGACAATCGGAGCTAATCAGCAAACCAGGTTCCTTTCCAACATGTTGCGTGATGTCGGGCCACCAACCGGTGTGAACCAGGGAGGCGAAGAAGGAGATGGAGGTCCTCCACCTGGCTTCGCTCGAAGTTTACATGATATTTTGAGCCTCTTGAGCCCGGCAAACGCCATGCACGGTGATGCAGTGTATTCCCAGGAGGCTTTGGATCGGATTATTACCGGACTCATGGAGGCCAACCCCCAGTCTAACGCTGCCCCTCCAGCCACAGAGGAAGCACTTCGAAATCTGCAGCGGAAACCTGTTGACAAGCAGATGCTGGGCTCGGAGGGCAAGGCAGAATGCACGATCTGTATTGATGAAATGAATGAGGGAGACATGGCGACATTTTTGCCTTGCAATCACTGGTTTCATGAGGAGTGTGTTACTCTATGGTTGAAAGAGCACAACACATGCCCCATTTGTCGAACACCCATCGAAAAGACCAACCCCAGCGGCAACAACAATAACAGTGGCAATAGCAACAACGGCGATAGCAACCAATCTCAGGGGCCAGCTTCGGGAGCTGGCTCTAACCAGTCAAATCCGTTCGGCCAGCGTACATCGTTCATGTTTAATCCTGGCTGGTCATCACATGAGCCCGCTTCCCATACCCACTCACGCCCAGTCAGATATTCACGACCTCCCAGCCAAAGCCAGAGCCGTCTGAACGAGGCTTTACGGAACATTTCCACACAGCAACAGGAGAGGGAGCGAGAACGCGACCGTGACCGGGGCACAACATCCGGGTTTAGTTATGATACCTCACGACTTCAGCGACGTAGCTCGCACTCTCCAACAAGTCCTCGGGCGACTGCACCCAGTGAGCATGGCGCACGAATGAGACAGAGAAGCCCTTCCCAGAGCAGTCGACGCTCAACTGCAGATTCGGATCAACAACGTCGGCCTAGTGGCCAAGGGCCTATTAGCTGGCTCCGTGACCAGTTCAGTAGGGGGCCTGGCAACGGATCGCCACGAGACGGGCGGCGGCAGTAGGACCACCACCACTCACCATACTCCAGAGGAATCACAAGGGGTACGATAGCAAGCGTACCTTTACCTTACCGCTCACTGACTAGCTGGATCGAAGACTATGGGAGGTCTGAGAGAATTACCTCAATGAGAAGAACGCACACTCGTATTATGGTATATTGACACACGACGTTCAAGGTCTGTAGCCTCTGAAGCTGAGTGTTGAGCTCTCTGAATTAGAGGTTGCATGTATGGAATAGAATAGAGGACCCGCCGGAGGGGGAACACCAAGAGGGTTGGGGTTGCGATTGGAATTGAGCTGCGAGCGGCATTGCTAATTATATAAATGGACATCATGGATACCCACACCGAAATTAAATTGAGACTGCCCACCCACTGCAGACCATGCTGTCGTGAGAAGATGGACATGGTGAGGTACCACAAGTCTGTCGCAAAAAGGAAGCCTGTGAGGTTCGTACAGGGTAAAGACAGGCATATATTTTTTAGTCTTGCTTATCTACCAAAGACGCTTGTGGCGCACCTCTTATTCTTTTATTTCTGAAATGCCAAAATAATATTACTCGAAGGCAAGGAACTTGACGATCATCTGAAGGTCGAAGACAACATGTGGGCAGCAGAACAAGAAGACGGTTCAAATACCTGGCTGTTTCCTGAGTACTAGGTAGCTGCTGACTACCTATCTAGTCTCGAGCGTGGAAATAGCACCACTATCGACCGCTATCTACACATCATGCTTTCTAACGCTTTGTCGGATTTATCGCTGGACCTGACTAATTCTTGCACCCGTTGTCCATGGAGACCCTTCCCCTTCCTCCTGTACCTGACCTGGACCTACTCCTCCTCGCTATCGATCGCGAAGTCATCCTTCTCCTCCTCGTTTTGGGTCACGGCATTGCCCCGATTGGCTTGCACTCCCGTTGTCACCGAAGACTGAACTGCCCATGGATATCCAGTCTGAGCGAACCCAGATTGTCCACCATTTCCCCTATGCTGTTGCAATACAGGTGGCGGTCCAGTCGGCACATGGAAATTGTTCTCGCCACCTGAACCAGCATAATGTGGTGTAGTGGGTGGAAATCCAGTCGGAGCAAGCGATGGCCTAGTCGGCACATAGGAGTTATTTTGACCACCTGGAACAAAATGTTGATGTATAGCAGGCGGAAAGCCAGTTGGAGTAGGCGATGTCCTAGCCGGCATATGGGAGCTATTTCGACCACCTGAACCAACATATTGTGGTATAGCAGGTGGAAATCCGGTCGGAGCAGGTGATGGCCTAACCGGCGCATGGAAGTTATTTATACCACCTGAAACAAAATGCCGTGTCATAGCGGGTGGAAGCTCATACGGAGCAGGCCGTATGCCCCTAAAATGGAGATCTGGATTTCCACCGCCTGAACGCTGTGGCTGGGAATACCTTCTTTGGTCATGTGTTGGACGCGGTGAAGGAATATGCCTATTTTGACCATTTCGCTCCTGTGTTTCATATGATGGAGGAGGATATTCCAGTGGGTGATTTGGGGGAATAGCAGGCAACCGATTCGGAGCAGGTCTTGAGGGCCCAGGCTGGGCATGTTCGTTCTGTGCACCTAATTCCGCATACTGCTGTGTAGCAGGTAGCCAATATTGAATACCTAATGGCAATGTCTGATACGGTAACGATCCAGCTGTCCCGTCAAACTGACCAAGTATTGGATGTAGGTAGAGGTCTCGAGTAGGCTGCGGCGATAGCAGAGGAAGGGACCGTGATGGCCTCGGACCTGCTGGTCTCTGCGGAGTAACCGAGGCAGATGTACGCTCTCTGTCCAGAATATTCAATGACTGATCAAGCTGGTGAGCCAAAGTGGTCATTCGGTCCTGATTTCGAAGTTGATGTCGAGTTACACACTGGTCTTGTTATTAGTACTGAACAAAACGAAACACTACTGGGGTAGCGGGAGAGACTTACATTTGCACAAAGGCAGTCGGCTGGATGTTCTGGGTTTTGCATCTCCTCCGCATCATCGGCAATTTCATCAAAACAAGAGCAGTCGTCTGGATGTTCTGGGTTTTGCATCTCCTCTGCATCATCGGCATTATCATTAGAGCGGCGGGGGGGATCATTGAAGCGGCGGCCAAATCTGTCCATGGTGAAAGGGGTACTGTCAGTAAAATGTATGACCAAAGTAACGGTGGAAGAATGATTGTGAATTGACTGAACGATGGGAACAGAATGAAAGAGATGTTGTTTGAGAGAGACAGAATGAATACCTTGGGAAGAGGAAAGCAGAATCTATATAGGAGAGCTCGTCGAAAGAGGGTAGGACCAAACAGCAGCCCCTTCTCAGGCAATTTGGAATGTGAAGAGGAAGCAAACACCTCATGGAAGGGGCAATGGATATCACAACTCAATGGAGGCTTCATAGGACTTGGAATTGTATCAAGCATCTTGATTAAATGATTATCTCCATACTGTAGTTGTATTCAGAATTAGGCACATATATCTATCCATTCCCCTACTAGAACCCTTCTAGTCAAACACATCAGTAGCAAAACGCTCATTCTTGCTCTTCTCGAACCAAGCTCGTGCCTTCTCTTCAGTTGCGCCCTTACCCTCCTGCTTCTCCGCAGATCTCTCCATGGCAAGACGTACACAGACATCCTCAACTGCCTTGCCGATCTCGCGACTTCCGCAGATAAATACCTTGGCGCCATTGTCCCACAGGTCGAAGACGTCGGCTCGGTCGTGGTAGATACGGTCTTGGACGTACTTGCAGCCCTCCGACTTCTCCGTGGCACGGGAGTATGCGCGACGTATATCCACGGCGCCCATCTGCTGCCAGCGGGCGAACTCCTCGGCGTAGAGATCGTCGATTTCTGGGTCTCGGCAGCCGAAGAAGAGAAGAGCCGGAGCGAGTGTTCGGCCGGCGGCGAGCATGGCAGCACGCTCCTGGACGAAGCCGCGGAAGGGAGCGAGGCCAGTTCCGGCAGCGACACAGATGATGGGGGTCTTTTCGGGGTCGCTGGGAAGGTGGAAGGCGGCGCTGGAAGCACGGACCGAGACGTGTAGCTTGTCGCCGACGTTAAGGTGAGAGAGGAAGTTAGTAGCGACACCGACGTGGCGGCCTTGTCCAGAGAGAGATGGGGCGTCGAGGAGGGAGTATGTGAGTGTGAGTTTGTCAGTTGCGGCGAAAGGAGACGAAGAGATGGAGCTGTTTCTGTTAGGGTCTGATCATATGAGTGAAAGTAGGAGACTTACTATTGTCGGACTCTCATAGGAGGTAGCATGGCGAGATATGAGCCGATGGGGAGGGCGACAGCAGGGTGCTTCTCCAGAAGGTCCAAGACCGAAACCTTCTTGGGGGAGATGTCATCTTGATAAGCATCACCAGCCAATCGCTCGAGTTCCTTAATAGTATCCTTGTCCTCTGTTGCTTCAGCAAGAGCCAGGATGTTCTAGTAACGTTAGTTGAGCTAAGTATTAAGAACTGAATGTACAAACCCTTTTTGTTGCTGGCTGAGACAACTCGACATAGGCGCTGAATACATCAAACGCAGAGATGGCGATGTTTGTGGGCAGTGTAGTAGGACCATCGGACTGGATCTTCAAGAAAGAGTCCCAGGCTAGAGAGAATCGTCTAAACACCCGCGAAACAGTTGCCCTAGGGTTCAAGGGGAGAATAGCGAGGTAATCGCCGGCCTTGTAGCTCATACCCGATGGGAGCTGGATCTCAATGTGCTTCTTGGCAGGGCCAGACTTTGTGAGCGTCCTCTCAGAAACAACCAGTGCCTCCTCAACGTCTTGGCGAAGGGTTGTCTTTCGTGGTGTTGAAACCTCGACCAACAAACCCCTCTGTCCGCTTGACTCGTCATCGGTCACATTGTACTTCTCCTTCAGGCCTGGCCACAAGACGTTATCTTCCCAAGCTTCAAAATCACTGAACATGTCGCTGGTAGCAGCATCTGCACTGCCCATAGAAACAAGACGGTTACCACCTCGCTTCTCCAAGGTTGCATCAACGAGCTTGGGGATTCTGTGGAAGGTCTCGACCCAGTCGTGGTGTCCGCATGCGAAGACGGCATAAGAAACCTTTTCCATCTCGTTGCCGCTCAGGTCTTCCATCCACTTGATGAAGTGGGCAGCGTTGGAGGGTGGTTGTCCTTCGTATGAGGCTGTGACTATGACTACTGGACGGTCTTCTGGGAGATTCTGCTTGGCTTGGTCCAGGGGGCCGACAGTGGTTGCGCTGAAGCCATGGCCAGCAGCATCTGAAGCAAGTCTGTTGGCAAGGGCCTCACAAGTACCACTGTTGGAGCCGTAGTAGATAGACATAAGCTTTCCAGTACCGGCCTTCGCATCAACATGTTTAGCAGTCTTAACATTGGAGGATGAACTGCTGGTGGCTCCTCTGCCTGCCAGGACGTGTTCCAGCTCAGTAGGAGTCATGCCATGTCTAAGAGTAGCATTGATGAAGAAGTGGTCTGGCTTGATAGTCAAAGTCTGCTTGATCTCGAGAGAATAGTTTGGATCGCTAGCCGTGAAGTTGAAGTTCTGGAAGAGCATCACCAGAGCCAACAGACTCTCCTGCCAAGCAAAGGGTCGTCCAATGCAGGCTCGTTTTCCGTTGCCAAACGGCTTCCACGAGTTGGGGAACTCCTTAGTCAGCCTGGCGAACTCATCGTCAAGCATACGCTCAGGAACGAACTCTTCGGCATCACTGCCATACACAACAGGATCCACATGTCCTCTTGATAGAAGGGCAGTGACAATGTCGCCCTTCTTGACGAGATACTTGCCGCCGAGGAAAGTGTCATCGATGGCCTCCAGGCCAAAGGCAGTAATGGGAGAGGTGATACGGAGTGTCTCTCTCAACACGGCGCTGATATATGGGAGCTTGGTGAGATGCTCCACGGTGACGGGGCCACGACCAACAACCTCGTCGACCTCCTTCTGAACCTTGTTGTAAGCTTCAGGGTGCTTAAGAAGGTGATACATGGCGAACGAAAGTGTACCAGAAGTGGTCTCGTGGCCGGCGATGAGAAAAGTGATGAGCTGGTTAGTGATATTATCGTCAGACAACTTCTCGCCAGTCTGAGGATCCGTGCCGTCAAGCATAGCAGAAAGCAAATCCTTTCGGTCACTAGGGTTCTTCTTTCGCGCCGCGACAACTTCGTCGGCTACGGACTTCATCAGAGCGATATCGGCATAGAACTTTTCGTTGGCCGCGCGGTAGAGGAAGTTTGGGGCGAAAGCAGGGCGTCTGTTTCTGTTTCCTGATTCTGTAAGGAAATCACCCATGGCTTCAATGAAGGGGTGCAGCTCCTCCTTGTAGTATGAGTTGAAGCGGAAATCCATGGCACAGAGAGCCAGAGTGTCGAGAGCTGAGAACTGTTAATTGCTGATATCTGATGCTGATCGTATCACATACCTAGACGAGTGAAGTTGTCACTAGCATCTATCGGTGTCTGGGGCCCGTGGCGAGCGACCTTCATGCACAGTTGAGTAGCAATATCATGCATCTCCGGGAACATATTCCTTATGCTCAAAGGACCGAACGCCGGAATTAGAATTCTATGAGCTTTGCCCCAATTGGGCTCGTCCTCAAAAGCTGTGAAGAGGCCATCGTGAACACCCTCTCGAACGACCTGCACAGCGTTAGTAATTGCACAATGTCAAGGCCAGTGATACGTACACCGAGAACAGATTTCAAGGTCTTCTTGAAACGCTTCTCATCGCAGACCTCGTTAATCATAGCATTGCTGGACACAAAAATAGGAGACTTGGCTCCGAGATGTAGTCTGAAAATGGGGCCTGTTTGAAGAATTAGTGGCGGTCAGGAATAGGCAATGGACTCAATTCACCATATGTATCCGCTAGACGGTTCAAATCAGAGAGCGGGTTTGTCGTGAATTCGCCCAGATTTCCAATAAGAGGGTAGCCAGGAGGCTCAGGGATAGGTACAGATTCAGCCATGATTGTATGATTGTATGATGGAGAGATTGCGGGGATGTGTGACAGGTCGTACTTCAGTATCACAAGCCAGGCACGTGAATATTAACGAATGGATTTGAACTGTGGATAAGTAAGGTAAGACCTGACGTATGCAGTGGAAAGTCTATTGATGCAGCTTGGTTAGTTGCTTAATGTTTTCGTCACAATAGACCGATCGAGAACAGGCGATGATAAAGGTTGATGTTCTTAATAGAGAGTATGAGCTGATCAGATCAGATCCAATCTAGAGAAAAAAGATATGGATACGCTCTTATAGTAAAGCTCCAGCTGAAACGTCATAGCAACACCCAAACCTCCTATTCCCGTTGCATTTTCTGTGTCCTCCAAGCGACGAGGTCACCGACCGCAGCCAAGTGCCGCACACCAATCGGGGAACACGCATTAGAAGCCTGAGGCCATCGACGGAGCAAGCTTGGCATTTTTCATGGAGAAAGCTCAAAAGCAGCCGAGGCAAACACAAGCCCCAAAAGAAAAGAAGCGGGCTTTTGCACTCAGTGAGTGGTCTCGGCCGAAGCCGGTCGCCCCACTCTTCCCGTCCGATCACCCCAAGTCCGAAGCGGTAGCGGTGCACGGCGGGATTGAAGAATCCGAATTCCCCCAACGGAGACGGGGGAGGGGAGAAAAGGGCAATTTTGTTGAGGGATGCGAAATTCAAGAGAAATACGACGTCAATCTCGATATCCATCATATCTGATTGGCACCCTTGGACGACGCTTTGGCGGACCATCGGCGTGTCGATCATCCTTTCACCGTCTTGGCGTGATAAACGGTGGTTATAAACTACCGAAAAGCCCGTTTGTTCCTCCACAGCTGGCAGTATTCTGTTCAAACCATGCGGTGCTACCCATTAATCGCCAGCACAAAGGTTGGCGATGCCTTCAACAAGGGACACTAAGCCACCGCCGTGATTATCGTCAATTATAAAAAACAAGGAGGACACGAATGCCGTCAATCCAGGAGGCCGAACAGCAGTGGTTAATCACGAGCTGGACTGCCATAATAACAGACCACGAGAGTCCTCTATATCAACCCTCGTCCGCATTTCAACAACCTACTACGTAGAGACGAGATGCATAGATATTTCTGATTACTATTGTGCTTCAACATCCTGTTACTCAGACTAGAATTGTGCTAGAATGTCCGTCGGACCTAGCAAAACACCGTTTCGGGCCAAGACCCAATGGTTGGCATTGCCCCCTGCCAACCTGGGACTCTCCGTCGGCACTACCCATGACAAGCACTAACACTAACACCAATCTAAGCTTCCGTATCATGCAAAGTCCGATGTTTATTTATGCCTTGCACCTTCGAGTCTCAGTTCTCTCTGCGTCTCAGGAGGGCATCATGCTTGCAACATGGATGGCTCCGTTAATTGAGTAAGTCTGCAAACGAAATGGCGCAAGTCTACCCTTGCAAGTCGGTGTTTGTCTTCAGTTAACATACTGTCACTAAAGCAGTCCGCAAACAGCATGCAGACGAAAAGCCCTTCGAAGGAAATGTCGGGTCGAAACAGACATATTCGTGAAATTTCATAGACGCCCATAGCGCATTATTTACATGATCCATCAATCATTCCAAAGCCCCAACAGGCTGTTCACACATCCCGACTCCACACCGCAGCCCAATCAGGCGTAGATGGACTCAGTTATGCACTTTGCCTTTGATCCAGGCTCTGCCATCCCCGCTTCGTAAAAGAAGTTTGTCTGCCCAACCATGTTCACACCCTAAGTATAGATGGACTCCGTCACGGTGTTTATCTGCAACCCCCACTGCGCCATCTCGGCTTCCTCTAAGAAGCTCAATGAATGCCATACTAAATGTCCCTTTACTTGAGAAAGCTTCTTTCTCGCGTCCTCCGGGCTCATGAAGATGTCGAATAGATGTCCAGCCTTTACACCTCGAGTAGGGAGGTAGCTATCGTAATCATCGAAGGTTTTGACTAGAGTACAAAAGTCAGAAATGAAGAAACGGAATGGAAGTGAGAAGTATACATACTGTGATCATCGGGGTCCGCACGGAACAGATGTCGAAAGATATCGGTGTTCGTGTCCGCCTGAGAAGTCCACTTCTCCCACAACTCGTCGGACAACGGATCCTCAACAAACTTGTAACTCTCGTCTTGGTCGTAAATATCGTTGTCCGGGTTGACATTAGGCGGCATGGCGTTGATGTCATTGGACGCATCGTGTTCCTGAGGAGGTAAGAGACCCATGTGCTCCCGCCAGAGGTATCGGCGGAGGGTGGCCGCGTGGTAACCGGCCTCGTAGGGTTGTCCGTTCATCGTGCTGGGGATCAAGCGGGTATCCTCCATGACCACACTAAGCTCGCTGTCGTGGTCGCCGAGCTGACTTCGGTCGTTCAGGTTACTGCTTCCACAAATGGCGATTCTGTCATCGACGAGGAGCAGCTTGGCATGAATATAGAGCTCCTCTTGAATCCAGTTCTTGATCTCCGACTCGGGGCTGTCTTCGAACCAAGGCTCACTCTCCAAGCCCTCCCCGTTGTCTGCCATGGCATGGTGGGCAACGGAAGATGTTGTATGGATGTTCTCATTAGGAAGTGCGGCTTCGAACTTCCTTCGGGCCTCAAACAGCTTCTTGGTGTCCTCATCAAGCTCCTTCTTGTTTTTATCTCTGCGCATGTGTTCGTCGCCCTCACTATCCTCAGGGTCATATGAACCGTGGATACCTTCAGACATGATCTCTTCTGCCTCGGCACGCTGCACCTGTTGGTAGTTTACGCCAGTCTCCTTCTCAGCTTTGATGATACCAGGCGTCTTGTTCAAGCGGTCGTAAGATCGTAGATTGAAGAAGAAAATATACTTTGTCGGATCCACGCCCTGAGCGCGGCATTGCTCGAAGATGGAGTGTTCTCCTCTGCAGATAGACTTGTACTGGTAATCCATGATAGCACGAGTACCCGCCGCGGCCTCGTCTCGTAGATCTCCCGCGAAGCCAGGAATAGCAGGAATCAGAACTATGACACGGAATTTGCGGTCCTCTTTGGCTGCGCGGACGACAGCATCCACAATAGCACGGCCGATTGTGTTGCGGACCGGAGTTTGCTGGTCACCCGTCGCAGTAATAAAGAACTGGTTCTCGATGTAAACGTAGTGCTGCGCCTTAGAGATAATCTCGATATAAGCGTTCTGGATGGAGTGGTCTGTCAAGATACCGCTACTCCAGTCAGCGCTCGATCGCACGAGTTGACAGTTCACAGTGCCTCTGTTTTCGAGGTTCTTAGTGTTAATAGGCGATAGAGGGTGCTGGACATATTCTCCAACAGGATGTTTAGGGCGCTGGACACCGATGAGGTCCTCGTCCTCACCTGGTCGGGTCTCCATTGTAATCCAGTCAAACCTATCATCACGTTTGTACTTGTCACGTTTGACAAAGTTCCAACGTAAAGCAAAGTGCTCGGCTACATCTACCACGGTAGGACCTTTGGTATCTTATTAGCATTTCTTTCTGTGACACCACACACATCATATTTGCCAACGTACCTTGAATACACATTGCAACGTCGTGCCAAGGCATACGGCCAAAGTCTGCTTTGCTCAATTCGTTATCCTGCCATGAACTAACGTTCTGGAAATCCATAATTCTGTTGTTGTTAAAGTCTTGGCCGGGCCAGATCTCATCACGCACATCCGTGGGATGGATATCGGCTAGAGGATGCTGGTTGTTGTCCCATCGTCCAAAGCAAAGGTCAAGACCACCGACGAAGGCTATGTCGTAATCGATGACAATGAACTTTTCGTGATGCGCCCAGTACCATGTCATATCACTTCATTATAGTTAGCTCTGATTGTCCTAGCTAGTGGGTGGTGAATCCGCTAGATGCGACAGTTCCAATCGCCACTCTAATTAGACAGGTGCATCCAGAACTTACCCAAAGTTCTCAAAGACGTTATGATCGGGATGGCGAGCAATATGAATGTTTCCATGGCCGGGTGTGCCCTTGGGGCAGAGTCTGCGTATCTGGTAAGCAAGTGATACGCGTCAACGATTTGTCCTAACCCACCTCCTCAACGCATGCTTGGTATGAGCCGAATTGCAAGTCAAGGCCTGCTCAACTTCCTTGTATACGCAGACATAAATCTGAACGCCCTCCTCGGCCTTTCGCTTGAGGATCTTGTCCAATCTGAACTCCTGCTCCTTGAAAGCTGGGCGGCGTAGGAAGAGCTCAGGTGACAACCACCAATCCGCAATGTAGATGGTTTCTTTAGCTTTCTCTAGGGCAATTGAGACAGCCCAGAAATAATCACGTCCATCTACATACCACTTGACGTGGTTGCCGGCGCGCATGGGGAAGTAAGATTTGAAACGGTTCTGCTCGCAGATCGAGGTGCGCTTATCGTCGCAGCGTTGTTCGTGTTCCTCGTCATGTCTGTGGTTACTGTTGAACTAGATTGTGTGTAAGTGAACTGTACAACAATTGCTTCTTGCGTAGAGCTTCGTGCTGTGCGTGCGTGCAATCGCAATCGCAATCGCAATGCGACACAGGGGACAGGATGCGCCATACCAGATTTGCCAGTTTACCAATCTTGTGCCTTTAGTTTCAGCGTTAGAGACAACAAAACCAATTGCGATTCGTCTGAACTACTAACTTTTGGTGGACAAGATGAACTTTCGCATCGTGAAGACCCTCGCTAATCTTGAGCTTCCCCAGCAGGCTCTCAGTCCGCTTGTGATCACCCATGATAGCGCAGATTTAGCGGTTCACAGGGATTGTCGAATAAGCGCAAGACAAGAGCACTCAGATCGCGTCAGGGTCTTTGCAGAAGATCGAATCGATCGGAGAGAAAAAAGTATGAGGAGGGGAGGGGCTCTCGGTTTGGTGAGATGAGGGGAACGTAGGAAGACCAATTGGAGAGTCAGCACCATTCAAGAAAGGGAAGGGGAGAGGGGGAAAAGTGAAGCAGAATAACGAGGGTGAACAAGTCCTTTTGGAGTAATTTCTCGTCAAGTGAACAATTGAATTTACTGCCAACCTTGGCTAAACTAGTATTGACCAAGCATTCTCCTCACGCGACAAACACCCTAGACAAAAAGCCAAGCTGATGCGCTGATGCGGATGCGGAACTGCATCTGGTAAGACGAGTGAACTACAAAGATGCCGACAGCGATGTCATCGACCAGGCCAAAACCAAAACCACCACCAGAAAGACAGGAAAACCCGGTGCCAAGCCGGCCGAGACGGCGCGCAAATCTCTTGGGATTGGGTTGTAAGTATTAAGTAACAAGTAGCTCACTAACAGGTAGGTAGCGAGCAACGAGCCAGGCTATAGGCGGGGGGCTGGTTTATTTTTACCCTTTTTACCAGGCTTTTGTTTGAACCTAGGTTACGGGGTACAAGGGACATAATCCAGACCTCGTAGCCAAGCAGGCCAAGCTAACAGAAAATCACGGCATCCGTCATGACCCGCACAAGTTGAGGGATACATACACGTAATGGGCTACGCACAGGGCTGAAGGCGAACGACACCAGCCAATTACTACTCAGAACTGAACACGAACTCCTTTTTTATTCCCGTTCTGAGAAACAAACAAGCTACGACAAGCCGTGACAAGAAAAGCTTGCATTGAAACTCTAAAGATTAAATGAAGAGGCAGGACATCGCGTTTACATGGGTTGAATGAATATCCCTGGAGGTTATCAGGAACATAGACTATGACGTCAGAAGCTACCGGTTCTGGCGCATAACGAATTCCCTGACAATCATCAGTTGTCCATGTTTCACGCTTGTTGTGCCGGCTGATCGACAAATCATGTGCTCTCTCTTAATTAATTGCATTAGCCAGTCCAGCCCTCTCAATCCAGCGATATCTCCTTTGTCTATGCTTGTCGCCAAAGCTTGGCACGCGGCTATGCTGATCCTAGAAGTATACAAGCTTCTTACCAGTGTACTATATAGCCTCATGTAGTCAACAATTCTTGCTTAGAGGAGTCCCGGTTATAGGCTGTACGGAGTGACCACTCCAAGTCAATCAAGTTTCACAAAGGATGTTACCCGGTTCCTCATCCGTTTCCCCCATCTTGGACCTCGAATCGGTGTAATGGTGATCTGGTGATCTGGTGATCTGTACACTACGAATTGAGTTTGCTTGTTCGTGGTGGTCACACGGCGGTAAAGTTGGGAAGACGTAGTCTACAAGCTTGTATGCAAGCCATTGAGCTCCTTTCAATCTACGTCTTGCTCAGATCCATGTTCTGAGTTGTCCCAACCTTTTATCCGGAGCGGCCACTTATGAACTTTCTATGTGATGGTCCAGGGTGGCCTCTACTTGAGGCTCCAAATTTCTTGACCGCTCGAGGGACCAGTTCGCATAAGCTGCTGCAGAATACTACCTCAGATGTTTAAGTTAGAACAAGATCCACAAAGTGTTCACCTTCTCATCCTAAACTTCTGCCAAGACGTTCTTCCTCTCAATGTCTGGTCATTGCGTGCAATTGGCAGTCGGAGCCCACCCAGACTTGATTGCGGGCCATTATAATATATCCAATTAACACGGATCGCATAAACCAAACATATCCTTTCGACAAAGATTATGCGAGCCTCGCAGATCATACTCGCCTATCATGACACTGTAGGTATGGTCTAAGTTCGACCCGCTTCGAAGCGTCGTAAGCTAGCGCAGCATCAGAAAGGACACATTTGACGTTGAACTTTCGTTGTTTCTACCCAAAGCAATCGTATCAAGCATTGGCCAAAATGTAACCATTGCCATTGCGTTCTCGACCCAGGCCCTGCCAAGTCGTACCATAGGTTGAGCTTCTCGCCTTCGTCTCCGCCATTTGGAGCTCTTCAACGCGGGACAACGTGGGGTTTCTAGCGGTCGGCCTCAACGGAACAACTAAATCCAGCCCCGGGAGCACAGTGTATAGCGCGATTCAGGTCTCTGCGTCTTGCGACGATGTGCTCGAGTAGACTCGTTCTTCACAAAGTTGAAGATGATTCCAACATCTCGAAAGTGACTAAGGAATTTTCGCAGTGTTGTTTCAAGTCAAAAATGGGTTCGATGCATGTTTTATACCAAAATTCATTCCTGATATCGGCCACATATAGCTCTTATCTTATCCATCTGCACTGTGCATTTTGCCCCTCCTTTCACCGTCTCGACCCCTCCCGCCACGACAGGTCCCCTGAGCTAGACCCCTCCTGTGCTGCTGTTGCTGGAACTACCCGCAAAGGGACAGCTCAGCTTGACCGCTCCAAAACAACAACTCTCCTGGATCTCCTTTATCTTCTTCTCTGCATCCGATAATTCCTCCAACTTTCTTCTTCCCAATCATCTACTTCTCTATCATCATTCATCATGTCTGCTGTCTATCCTCCCGGTGGCACTATTGTCCAGTCGCTCAAGCGAACCTTCGACGACGTCCCCGTTGATGAGGCCAACGGCAATGCCGTCTCTACTGTCGAGTTCCTCGAGGCCTCTGAGTCTCTGACCACCATCTTCGGTACGACAATATCCTATAAACCTCAACGAGATCTCAATGCTAACTATGCTTTCTTCCAGATGCCATCGGTGGTGTTGCTTTCGGTCCCGTCAAGAAGGATATCCTTGGCAACGTCGAGGTTCGTAACTACTACCCCTTTCATTGCTTCTAGCAAGCTCTACGATCCATACAATCTCTCCCGATCAAATGTCTGACAATTCATCTACAGAAGCTCCGTGTTCGTCACGCCGCCGCTCCTGCTGAGTCCGCTACCGTCCAGGACCTCGTCCGAAACGAGCTCAAGGAGAAGAAGCACACTGCCACCGAGGGCTGCCTCTGGCTCGTCCGGTACGAATACCCTTCCATGTATAAATAAGCTGTCAACTAACACCTCATCAGTGGTCTTGACTTCACTGCCCAAGGCCTCGAGAAGAACGTCAACAGCCCCTCCGAGGAGCTTGCCGACTCTTTCCGCGGCGCCTACACCAACACCCTGAAGCCCCACCACAGCTTCATGGTCAAGCCCATCTTCAGTGCTGCCATGTCCGCCGTTCCCTACCGAAAGGATTTCTACGCCAAGCTCGGTGAGAACCCTGAGCAGGTCCAGACTGAGCTCCAGGCCTACCTCGCTGCCTTCACCAAGATTGTGAACATCCTCAAGGAGTTCATCAACAGCCCCGAGGCCAAGTGGTAAACAATTTATGATTTATGGAAATGTTAGCGTACCAGTCTGCGCAATAATAAAGCTGAGCTGGAGTGACGAATCAAATGTTGGAGAAACGACTTGAATGGGAATGCGTTCAGAATCCAGAAGATATACTACAAGATGTCTCTGGCAGATTGCCACAGCGATAGCTGTCATCTCACCTTACGATGACGAAAATGAATATATTATATGCATGACCATCTGCTTCATCGCTGTACTTCATGACCTGGCTGATATCGCTTACCCTAGACTGTCGGAGTGCTGTCTTGAAAGATGAAGTTTTATTGTCCAAAAGGACTGTGTGATCATACCAAACATATCCAGGTTATGTTTGCGGAACAAGGTTAGCCCTATGTTCAAAATCTTTTCAATAATGCTCACGGCGTGGTTTCTCAAGCTGATTAAGTTTTGACCGTGCCTCGACTGGCTTCGTATAAGATTTGTGGAGAGACCAAATCCATCGAGTACGATTCCCGAAGTGTCGATTAAACTAGAAAACCAAAATCCCAAGTCGCTCGAGTCAGGAAAACTGTTCATCGACATCCGCCACAGATCATCACGGAATAGTTGCCATTTCGTGTCATTGAGCATTCAGCAGATCGCCCTCCATACTAATCCGCCTTGGCCAATCCGGCTATCCGGGGCCGAGGACACCACCATGACGGCCGGGAATGCACGCCGTCACCTGATTAATAGCATGGGAATGTCACGAAAGCTGATCTTTGGAGCCGGCGTTTCGTGGCAAAGAAGCTTGGCGTGAATTTTAAGAAACTGAAGCTTACTGTGATGTAAGAGCTAGTGGAAGATGGGATTGATCCGGATTTTATGCTTCGTCTCTTAAAACAACTTTAGGTTACGTTGACTCGCCATGAGAAGATGATAATGCCGTGGTTGATTTATCCAGAAAAAACTTGGATATTTGTCTTGACATCCTCGCCCCGGCGATAATGCAGTTCGCATATGTAGTACCCATCAAAAGTCCGAAACAAACCCGGCGTGACGCCGGAAACTTCGGGAAATCCGGACAACGCATTGTTCGGAATTTTGACAGACGCCGACAAGAAAATGCCAGTCGCACTCACGCGCCCAACGACGATAGCACGGAGAATAAAGGACTATTCACAGATGGGCCAGATAATCGCAAAACATAAGCAGCTGACCAAGGGGCCATATCTCATAAGCATCCCCCCGCACATTGTTTGTAAGGCGAAACTAGTCTAAGCTGAGAGTTCGATACAGTGGATGTCTCTTCTTACAAAGATGAGAAACAATGAACAAGAGCACGTGCAGAACAAAGCATGCTCTTAGCAACCAATGCGAATCTTGTTCCAGAAATGCCACATGTTCATGGCTTTACGGATCGCCCAATACCATTTAGCCATACCTCCGAAGCTTCCGAGAAGGAGACCCTTGAAGTATGGATCAATTCATCCTTCATCAATGTATCTTTTTGCAGGGCCCGAAGTACCTTTTCTCAATACTTTAGTTTACACCTTGGGGTGAAAGAATGTGGAAACCCCAAGAAGCGAATGCTGGGGGTTGGTATGCCAGGAATACCTCTTTAAGTTTCGACAGGGCTGGGTAATGCTTGTCCTGAATCGAGTTAACATGCACATTCGGATGCGACCGGATATCATGATCTTGGGTATGAACCATCAGACCCTTATTTTTGCACTGCCACGCGTGCCTGAATTCATGGTGTAAGTCTATGTTTATTCATGTCTGGTAGTTTATATGTTCAGTTCGAAACAATATGTGCAATCCAAAGCCTGCCTATTCCTCCGATGTCCTACCAACTCTTGTCTTAACGATTATGTGAAGCGCCTCGCTATTGAAAGAAGAAAAAACAAAGGAACAAAGTAACAAAGGGGCAAGCGATAACCAAAACTCCTGCCAGGGACCACTACCACCCAGACCAGGTATTGTAGGAGAGATACTTGGGCCGCTTGAAAACTGCACGCTTGAGTTTCATTGACCGTAATGACTCTGTATCGGTCTCACACTTCTTTCCAAACCAAGAGGCCATGTTCTCAATTGCCTCCTGGTACTCGACGAAGACGCTCTCCTTTGGTGTCATGGGCGGTGGACAATCCCAAGCATGTTTCTCGCCCTCAACAACGCGTAATGTGTGTTTCTTGTTAGCAGCCTTAAGACGGTTCGAGAACTTGAGGCCCTCTGCAAGAAGCATGTCATACTCGCACAAGACCAGGTGAACTGGAGGAAGTCTGTGCAGCAGCTCATCCGGCATCAGACCTGGTGACATTCTTGGATCACAGCGTTCCTCACGCGGGATGATCGGGTAGACAAAAGAGGCATCGATCAGATCTGTCAGACCCTTGGGCAAGGTAAACTCAGGCTTAGCGCATGTAAGTCGCTTCTCGGGACGGGAGATAGTCCAATCCAGAACAGGATAATAGAGCGTCAGACCCGCAATCTTGGGAGGCTCGATGGGGAGCTTGTAGCCCCATCGAGCAGGGTCGTTGAGGATGAGCCAGCTTGACAAGGCATTTGTTGCACCTGCAGAAAAGCCCGAGAGAATGATGCGCTCAGGGTCGATGCCAAACTCGGCAGCACGATGCTTGATTTGGAGAACAGCATCGACACAGTCCTCAATGGGAGTTGGGAAGGGACATGAAGGGGCAAGACGGTAGTTGACAGTGAATACGACGGCATCCAGATTCGTCATGATAGTGCCGGCCCATCGGGCGTCGTCGGTACCCTGGCCGAGGATCCAACCACCACCGTGGAAGTTAATAACGGCAGCCCGAGCGCCGAGAGCGGGACGGGGCGGCATCCATACTTCGGCCTTGATCTTTGTCTTGGCGCCGGCGTTTGATAGCGTAGCATCGAGCCAAATCTCTCGAGTCGGCGAGGGTGCAGGAGGACTGGTACGATTGGCGATGCTGAAGCCCAGACTCGCAGCTGAGCGAATGGCTTGGGCACGAGCAGTCAGGTACCATCGAGAGCTGGACTCGAGAGGATTCACGTAACCCGGAGGCTCCGGGGTGGTAGGACGTGACTCAGAGGGGGTGGCCTCAGTCTCCATATCTTTGAAAGAGAATATGAGAGGAGGGAGTGGTCCCAGCGCTAGATGCCGATGAGACTTTGGGGTAAGACTGCAGCAGCGAGCCGTGTAGGTAGGGGGGTAGTAGGGGCAGAGAATATGGTCTGACCGGGTTGGGCTGGGTTAGGGAAGGGACGGCAGAGGAAAAGAGAAGCTGTACTGGATGTGAAGCACAAGCCAAGACAAAGACCCGGCTGTAGCGGAGAGAAGCGGTGGAGAGAACGTGTGCAAGCAATGCAACACGTGGTTCAGTCAGTATGCAAGAGTATGAGGTATGAGCAGAACTGTCCCGTCCCGTAAGCGCGGTTGGAGTGATTGAAAACAACCAGGATTGGTTGCAAACTGCTGATCAGTGTCAGAAGGAATAAAGAAATGATAGTTTGCTGATGTGCGGTTGATAGCGTCTATCGATAGAATAGATTGCAGATGTGACGGAGGCCGTCATTAGTAGTACGAGTGATGGACTACGCAATGCAGTATGGAGACAAAGCAGGTTTAGCAGACAGGGCCGTTTAGTCAGTGGCCAGTGCGTTTTCTTTGGGGGAATTTGATAATACAAAAGACGCGTCAAAATAACGATGAAATTATGTTGAACCCTGGTTAGAACCAACCAACGTCGTTAGGTGACGTTACAAAGCCCAGGCAAGTTTGAAAGTGAACAGATGAGTTCATGCCATGACGTAGGCTGTGTTTCCCGCGCGTCTGGGTCAATGCGGGAGCGGTAGGATAAACAAAAGTGGAGCAATGGAAGCCCAGCCCATTTTATAAAAAATTAAATAAGACACGGAAACCAACCAGAAGCGATCTGGAATTTGTTGGGCGATACGAGAATGTTCTGTCTGCTCGGGCTAATAAAGTGCAGCCAGTGCATGAATGAATCGCTAGTTTCGATTCACCCTCGATTGATAAAGACAGCTGACGTCAGTAGATATCTCGCGATTTAAATCGTCCCCCTGAATACCAGAGCTGCTGCATCTGAGGTATCAGAGCCTCTGCATAAAGGAGGCACCAGATGTCTTGGATGAAATAATAACATGGGAAATACAGGTTATAGAACGGGCACAAGCCCTGAAACGTGGAAATCACCGTTTGATAGTCCTCAATCGCCGATGAGGTTAAGGCAGGTCATTGGCCTTGGCTACGTTATCCGGAGCAACTCCACCGTTCTCCAATCACCAGTTCCGTGCGCATCTGGGGGCGGGTATTAGTCGAGGAGTCTGTGCTTCTAAATCTGGCGTCAACAGAGGGAAAAAGAAATATTTCGACTTTTGTCTGTCACTGATGTCACGGCGTTTTTCCGCGTTACCCAAATGGGTATCACCCATTTACGTATTGGGTATCCGTACCTTGGATGGATACGTACAGGGACGCCGAGACGGCAAACGGCAAGCCATCCCTTGCTTGTGAACGTGAGCCAAACAGCCAAGCGTTGGGACCTGAACTGTCTAGTCTGACGGCAATAAGACCTTGGCTGCCCGGGGTAATTGTGGCGTTCGTCTACTTGGTTTGCTACAGAGTACGTGGCTGAGCGTAATTGCTCAGTGACAGGGTAGGAGATGATTATCTGACACAGAGGAGAATCAGGAGATTAATTCATGGCGATCAACTAGGACCTCTGTGTATGAGGGATAATAACAAATTATGACGCAGATGCGGTCCTCGCCCTCAAATAATGGAGGCTCTTAATTATGGACTATCCGCACGCCACAACTACCGGGAACCTTTTCTCATCGCGTGAATCAGCAATGGGCCCCGTTTCTCTAGGGCTGCTAGTGCTAGGCCCGAGTCTAAAACCCGTGCTGACTTTTTTCTCATTGCTACGGTACCTCTGATATGCGGGAGAGTTACATACATCGCTCCACGAGGTGCCGAGTCATCTGTCACTAAAACCCAATCCACGGATTCATGCAGTGAGCCGAGGCCGATGGCTGCTTGAGTAAGCGATAGGGATTTGACGAGAGAAGTTTTTTTTCCTTGTGTGCCTACTGTGCAATACTGTAAGCAAATGTTGATGATTCCGGGACGCCGAAAGTGCCGTGGGTTTGACACAAAGTGTCATGAGTTTGACTCTTCGGAGTAGTGTAGTTGATAGTATAAACATCTCAGCAATCCCCATCCGGAGATAAATACGCTTCACACTAGAAAACACAAACACATCCAATGCACATCAATTGAATAAAAACCTCGTCTTCCGCCCCTGATTTATTTCTTCTTTCTGCATGAGCCACTGTCAACTGATACAACCACACTCATCGCCACAGCCACGATCAATCGAAGAAAACAGTCTCCGGCTGTCAAGGACCCAAAGAGGGAAGCCTGAGACCTGAGCAACCAAAAGCAGTCCACCCGATCGTCATCGAATCCAAGCCGGTGTTGCGGAAATAGCACACAAGCCAAGTCAGGATATCCAAGGTTTTCAACTGTGGCTGACCCACCGTGCCACACCCTCCAACTCCGACATCATCGCAAAAATTCACCCTTGACCTTTGACCTTTGACGCTCCACCCCCTCACACTCATCTCACCCCCCTGATCATGACGGCAATCCTTGTTCCCGTCGCATCAGCTTTTGGCATGCCGCTACCGTCGAAATATCGTGTAAAAGGAAAAGGCTCCTCGGCCACCACAAGCTCGACCTCTACTCCTTCTTCTTCCTCACCTACAACTCCTTCACCTTTAATCACTTCATTTTCTCCAGCCAGAGCTTTGTCATCGACCCCACACTCTGCAGCCTCTGTCTCCATAGACTCGGTGCTTTCAGAAGCCACAGCATCTCTGACATCATTGCCGACGTCGCTCGAAATGGCGAGCCCAGACACCGCCAACCGCCCAGCGTCGACTACGACTTCGCTGAGCCTCGACACAAGGCCATCAGCAGCCATATTGAGCTCGGCTTTTTCCTCTCCTCGCTCTGCTTCACCATCGCGAACTATCCGTGAAACTATGCGCGATAGCCTCGATATGCGTGCCTCACCTAGATCCAGCATGGATGGTGCTACTAACACCACCAACGGCGGTATCGTTCCCAGCAGCCGAACTTCTCTTGACAGCGGCCGAACCAGCATTAGCTCTGATTGGCCTGTCCACCCTGGTGAGATCAACACTATCGCCCAGCTCGATACGTTGCCTATTGGCACCGAAGTTACTTTCCGAGCCCGTATCGAGACACAGCGACCTATCTCAAAGGTCCTCGACTTCCTACTCCTTCGAGACCAAACACACTCCGTTCAGGGTGTCCTCACGCAGGATGCCGTTAATGCCGAATTTATTGCGTGGGTTCGAAAGATCAACTCTGAGTCTCTCGTCCAGATCAGTGGTATTCTCAAGCAGCCTCCTGAGCCTGTTCGATCTGCTACACACTCTGGTGTCGAGGTCAACATCGAATCCGTTCACCTCGTCAACCTTGCCCAGAACCTTCCCTTCAGCAACTACAAGCCTCCGGAGACTCTGCGTAACCGTATGAACGCCCGAATCCTCGATCTTCGACACCCTTCCAACCAAGCACTCTTCCGTGTGCGATCAATGGTCTCGCGAATCTTCCGAAACACACTCGAGGAGAATGGCTTTGTCGAGATCAACACACCTAAGCTCCAGCCTGCTGCCACAGAAAGTGGTGCTGCTGTATTCCCTGTGAACTACTTCGGCCGCCGGGCTTTCCTCGCACAGAGCCCCCAGCTGGCTAAGCAGGAGGCTATCTCTGCTGATTTCGGCCGTGTTTTCGAGGTTGGCCCTGTTTTCCGTGCTGAGAACTCCAACACTCACCGTCACTTGACTGAATACACTGGTCTCGATCTGGAGATGTCCATTGACACCGACTACCACGAAGTGATTGAGTTCATCGACATATTCCTCAAGGAAGTCTTCAGAACTGTTTACGCTTCTCGTGAACTCGAGGTCATTCGCAAGCGATGGCCCAGTGGTGAGTTCAAGTGGCTCGAGCAAACCCCCGTTATCCCCTTCTGGGAAGGACTCCAAATGCTCCGCGACGACGGACGTGACGTTCCCGAGGAGGACTTGTCTACTCCCGATGAGATCAGACTCGGTCAACTTGTCCGCGAGAAGTACAACACCGACTACTACGTTCTCGACAAGTTCCCAGCCAACGCTCGTCCCTTTTACACTGCCAAGGACCCCGAGGACCCGAAGTGGACTCGATCCTTTGATATCTTCATTCGCGGTCAGGAGATTTGCTCTGGTGGCCAGCGTATCCACAACGTTGACGAGCTTCGAGCCAACATCGCTGCTGCTGGCATGACTGAGGATGGAATGGAAGATTACCTCACCGCTTTCGAGCTTGGTGCTCCTCCCCATGCTGGCGCTGGTCTTGGTCTTGAGCGTATTGTCGCCTGGATGCTTGAGCTCGGCGATGTTCGATACGCCTCTCTCTTCCACCGAGACCCTAAGTCTCTCCCTACTAAGGCCCCTGGTCTGCCTCACCCTGAGGCTGATACCACTAAGCCCCACCACGCCGACTCTCCCCCACCTCTAGAGAAGCTTATCGCCAACTACGGTGATGCTACCAACACCTCTTGGCTTGACGACCGCTTCCAGATCTGGCGTCACGAGACTGGTGCTGCTGTTGGTTGGGTTCAGAAGGACAAGTTCGCCATGATTACTGGTGACCCTCTTTGCGACCGAAGCCAGTACACCAAGGTTATTCGTGACTTTATTCATTATGTCACTGTTGACATGCACCTGACTCCCTTCTGGATGCTTGTATCATTCGAGGTCCAGAAGATTCTCGCCGCCGAGCTTCGATGGCGAAGTTTGTCTTGTACCGAGGAGCAGCGTGTTGACGCCGATAAGCACAACAGCGCCCAGATTGATGGTCTGGCTGCCAAGGCTCGCCGCGTTGAGCGTGAGGGTGTCAAGATCCACGAGGTCAAGGCCGACGAAGATTTCATTTCTCGTGCCGACCCTGCCATTGAAGAGTGGAAGAACGCCCGCAAGGGTAACAAGGGCAAGCAGGTCCATCTTACCGAAGTCCGACCCTGGATTGACCAGGAGCATCGTCGATACTTTGCTGCTGAGAAGGAAGGCAAGGTCATGTCTATGGTTGTTTTGGCCCAGCTTGCCCCTCGCCACGGCTGGCAAGTGAAGTGGGCTCTTGACTTTCCTGGTGCCGTCAACGGTGCCATTGAGGTCTTGGTCAGCCATGCCCTGTCCAACGTGACTGGAAAGGTTACTTTCGGTGCCGGTGTCTCCGAGAAGCTTACCCCTGGTGAGCACGTCGGCGGTATTCGAGCTAAGTTCCTCAGCGCCAGCTACCGATCCATCGTCGACAGCCTGGGTCTCCGTCGCAAGGCCTCATTCCGTTCCAAGTTCGGCGCCCTCGGCGAGGAGATTTACATCTGCTACCCCAAGCACGGAGTTGGCCTACGAGATTTGCAGAACGTTATCAAGTTCTTCACAGACTAAATGATCAAATACCCCACAACGTTACCAGCATCATCACAGTCTAGCGAGTTACATATTAGCGAAGGGGAAGATTCATTGCGTTTCTTTTTAAGATACCATACCGATACTATACTTTACATGAGATTGGAAGCATGAGGAGGGGTGTTGCTGCACGACGAACGATGTATTACGGCCTGAACTTTTTTGCTTCTGTTTCGAAAGGGCTGTTTAATGAGGATTACTGTTTTTCTTTTTGGATGGAGGGTTTACGATGTTGAAATTTCCTTTGTACCAGTGCGCATGTTTGCTGTTTACCAAATTCCCCCTTTAGATACCAAACCTGGATGGAATACCTCTCTAGACGGAACAACTTCAGCGGGCTGTGCCTGCTGATGGAAACCAATATTACTAGTTACAGAATTCATTTGTTAAAATATACCCAAACTAAAGTTCTATATGGAGTGACATGGTTATGGCAGTGATTTGTGTTTGTAAGGTGTTGTCAGCGTCGCGCTTAAGCACTAGTGCGGGGAGGGCGATATACAACAAGACAGAGCAACTGAGTATACGCATGAACGCCTAGAAACAAGTATCTGAAGTATTCGTGCAAAGATCGTTTGAGTTTATCCCACTTATCGATGTCTGTAGGGAAATCTTGGACAAGTGTGAACTCACGAACGCCAACCATATAAGATATGGCGGTCTCAGGGAACGGTCCTGTGTGCAGACGAAGATGGATGAGGGACCAATTGTAAGACCAGGGGAGGGACAAAATGAAGCATCATGTTATACGAACCAGATAGAAGTCGGAGCCAGGGCCGTTACCGGAGCTGGAGACAGTCGAGATCCGGAGACTCGAACTATGACTCGATCTGGGTCTCAGGGAACAGTCCTGGGTACAGACGATGACGGATGAGGGAGCACAGGGGTTACAGTCGTACCAGTGGCCTTAAAGTTGTTGCCTTTACTACGCGGAGGACTACTGTACCGTTTTAGATTCCCATCGCACTCTCCACCTTGTATGATTCTACTTGAGAGCGTCACTTGGGCACCATACAACACTCTGCTATGTCAGGTAGTTATCAATCTGAGATTAGATTAGATCCAATCTTGGTCTAGTACGCTCGCTTATATACCCCACTGACGCTAAACCAGGGCCGTGTGGACGCGAGCGATTTCGGCCGCAGCAGGAAAAAGAAATCGCCGATATTTCCCCCCCGCCACCTCACAAATTCTACCTCAACAACGGCAACAGTCACTCACGGTCCATCTCTGACCTCACTACCGTACTATCCTCATCAATTGGCCCGAGAAGCATCCGTCATCATGCTCTCTACCTCCTCCGTGGCTGCGCGCGCCGGCGCCCGTCGCGTCCTTGGACGATGCGCATCAATTGCCCCCACCGTGCGCCCGATCCGATCATTCGCCGGCCGACAGAACAGCTTCGCCATTGCTGGCATGATGAGCCAGCAACGACGTGGTTATGTTGCCACGACGAACCCCAACCCTCCTCTCGGCAAGAAGAACGCGACAAACGAGAACCCTTCTCGAATTGGTCTTATCGGAGCCCGAGGATACACTGGTTCAGCTCTCGTTGAGCTCCTCAACAACCACCCCTCTATAGATCTTCAGCATGTGTCGTCTCGAGAGCTTGCTGGCCAGAAGCTCGAAGGATATACCAAGCGCGATGTTATTTACGAAACTTTGTCACCAGAAGATGTTGCTCAGTTGGACAGCAACGGCAAGGTGGACTGCTGGATTCTGGCTCTTCCCAATGGTGTTTGCGGGCCTTACGTGGAAGCCCTGGACCAAATCAACAGCAAGAGCGTCATTGTTGATCTCTCAGCCGACTACCGATGGGACGAGAAGTGTAAGTCTGGACAGAGGGTTGCTCCACGATGTTGAGCGCATTACTAACCAATACCAGGGACCTATGGTCTCCCCGAACTTGTTAAGCGTTCCAAGATCGCACAGTCCAACCGTATCGCCAACCCCGGATGCTACGCTACCGGAGCTCAGATCGGTCTTACCGGAGCTCTGGACTTGATCGAGGGCATGCCTGTCATCTTCGGCTGCTCAGGTTACTCTGGAGCAGGATCCAAGCCCAACCCCAGGAACAACCTGGAGGTGCTCAAGGATGCCATCATCCCTTACTCCCTAACGGGACACGTTCACGAGCGTGAGATTTCTTCTCAGTTGAACCATGAGGTTGCCTTCGTGCCCCACGTAGCTGGGTAAGCCAAAGCTCTCGACGGTGGAAAATAGTGGGGATAACAACTGACACATTAAACAGATGGTTCCGGGGTATCACCTTGACTCTGAACATCCCTCTCCGCAAGGAGATGACTTCACGAGATATCCGCCAGCTGTACCAGGACCGATACGCAGGGGAGCATCTTATCAAGGTGGTGGGCGAGGCACCTCTCGTGAGCGCGATTTCAGGACGCCACGGTGTAGAGATCGGAGGCTTCGCCGTTGATAGCACTGGAAAGCGTGTTGTTATGTAAGTCGATACTAGTACCTGGAGGAGTTCATCATACTGACTGTTACTCAGTGTTGTCACCATCGACAACCTTGCCAAGGGTGCTGCAACGCAATGTTTGCGTGAGTAATCCGCTTCTTCGACAGATTTACATCGTTGCTAACGTATTTCCGCAGAAAACATGAACCTTGCCCTTGGTTATAATGAGTACGAGGGAATTCCCGTTATGTGAGGGTCTTAATTCCGGTAGATCGGATAATCTGCACAGGAGTTGTCATTGGTATCTAAGGACTCATGCCAGTTAGACATCATAAATACACCTGGCCTGTTTTTTTTCGGCGTCACTTAAAGTAATGCTTCTTGTGACTGAGCTGGACATGCGTTTGAATAGAGTCCATAGACCTTATTTAAGTCAGGGGCACAATGCGGCATGAGGCTAGAGTGTCACTTTTGTCTCGTGTACTAAGCATGGACATCAAAGGTTACCACATGACCTGCCAGATGAGCAGATGCAAGGCACCCCAACAGCACTCCTAGATGACGCAAGGCTAGGCAATTGAGGTGAATTAATTGCGTCTTATGTTTGCATACCGCCCTGCTGTCCAAACACCATCGTAGAGATTTACCTGTGATTGCGGTCATCTTTTCGAAACCCTTGTGCCCAACTTTCTTGAATGCTTTCCTCTTGTCAGTTTCCCAGGGATGACTATGTAGTGGCATCATTCGTAATGCCCAAAGCGCTGAGGAGTTCCGCCATGTGGCGATAACTGGCGAATCCCATCCAAACAGAAGTCATTGGCGACTCTTGGGCCGCAAGGGGACATAAGATGGGGGCCAAGTGCACATTAAGGACACCTTGAATATTCGAGTAGATGAAATCGCGTTATCATGTGCGTAGGGCCGTAAGAAATACAAGGAGCTCCCAGTTGTTCTATAGCATAATAGGAGATACGCGGATTAGGCTTTTTGATATCAATCAAGTTCCGAGGAAATAATAATATGCTTATTTAGATATAGCATGGCGATGGCATTGGCCTTGGCTTCATAGTCTTCGAATTTACCAATGGCGAAAGGAGCGATATGATGTCCATGTTGGCGAAGTTAACTCAGAGTTTTGATACTTCACTGTATTACTTACTCTGCGGTTCAGTCTGTATACCGCCTCATACACCTCACGGGACACCTGGGCCTCGGCGAGATAAGATTCAGGTATACTAAGTGCCACCAAGAATAGGAGAACTTTCCGATCCTCGGCGAAGTCGTATAAGATTCGCATATTCAAACATTTATCATAGATTTATTTAAGAGCAATGCTGTACCGATGAAGTAACTCCTCGAGATTCTTCCCAGCAAAGCCCGTATACATTTTTAATGTAGCATAAATGACCAGGCGCGTTGAATGAATGTAGTAAAAAGGGACTACCATCCAGATCGAAGTTGACGACTCTGTTGCGTGTGTGCTCCATAGTGATACTCATACCACTTTTGCAAAGTGGAAGAGTGGGTTCGGTGTTGAGATGGGCCAGATGATGAATATACTGTTGAGATGCTGGAAAGAGAGCACTCTTATTGAAAGTTTTCAATCAGGTCAAGGCTCTTCTTACCCTTTTTATATATGTTTGAAATTTGACATCGATTCGAGACTTAGTTACATTTTCTTCCTCCGATGTACAGTTAACACTGCCAGATATGATTATGAGTTCATGTGGGATATGTTGCCATTTAATAAAATCGGATCCTAGGTAGTTAAGAATGATGTGATACACCGGAATGAAACTTGTTTAGGCTTTATAAAGGCCATGAGGTTAGGATCAGTCGAGACTAATTCTAGATAGTTTCTTTATCAATCTCATCTCGTGCAAGTACCTAAAGCGTTTACATATGGCTAAAAGCTTGTCTCCAACCGAGCATATATCACCGTCCGAAGGTGGGGCCGTGGCTCCGAGAAGCTAGCCGGCTCCAAACGGTCGTGGCCCGATACCGGTTACTAGGGATGGAACACATTATACACAGTCACTTGAGCACTGGGAACGATTTATGATGTTTTGCAGCATCGAACTGCAAGCAAGAATTTGTTTATATACATGAAGTAAATACGAGTTCCTCTTACTTCCGTACCACCGATACGAGAAGGAGTTGGTTCATGAACAAGGTCTCTCTAATCCCAACAACACAACACAAATCATCTTGTTTACTCGCATTTGAGAGATAATGGCGGTTGGTCTTAGATCGAATCGCACTGCAAGAGTGCCAGGATCTTGCTTAATATTTTCAGGTTTAAGCTTATTGGCAAGGCTCGTTAGCGTCACCCTCGGCTTGCTGCTGCTGGGGCTGGTTACCTCCGAAAGGGTTGCTGTTGCCACCCTGCTGCTGTCCATCGCTTCCAGTAGCAGGCTGCTGCTGATCGTTACCAGCGTCGGGTTGAGCCTGACCGTTGCCGGCATCAGGCTGAGTAGCGTTACCGGCATCACCGCCAGTAGAAGCACCCTCAGAGACAGTGATGGAAGAAGAGCCGCTGCTGAAGTAACCCTCGGTAGCGACAATCTGGTAGTCGTGAGTACCGAGCTTCATGCCGGCCTTCTCCCAGGCGTCGAAGTGGGCGCCGACATCGACGCTGCCCTGGGAGCGGTGCTCCTTGCGGACGGACCAGTACTGCTGGAAGGTCTGGGTGCCGTCGATAGAGGGGGCGTTGGTGCGGGTGGTCTCGAAGATCTCGTAGGTGCTGCCGTCAATATCAACGGTTCCCTTGCTCTGAGCGCCGCTGGAGGGGTCGTAGGTGCCGAATGTCTCGACGATGTAGTACTCGACGAGAGGGCTCTTGGTCCAGCCGTAGATGGAGAGGTAGCTGTTACCGTTGGGGGTGTACTCTCCGGAAAAGCTGATGGTTCTGCGTGGCTCGTTAGTAAAACTCCAGATCAAGTATAAGTAATAACATACCGTGCTTTACCGGGGTTGAAGCCCTTGCCACCGACTACGTTACCACCGTCCTTCCACTCCATGGAGTAAGATCCGCCAGCACCGTTGGTGTAAGTGGCATCGGCACCGCCGTCAGACCACTGTCACTGGAGTTAGCCTGTGTCTCCAAGCAAATACTTTGAATGAAACACATACCCAAGAGTAGTAAAATCCATCATGCATTCCAGAGCTGTTGGGAGTACCAGCTCGCTTGGAAATCTTGGAGAACATGCCTTCTTCGGTGGGGGCGGCGAGAGAACCAGCTACGAGCGTAAGCCCAGCGAAGACGGAGGTGAAGGCAACCATGATGGATGTTGTTGAAAATAAAAAGAGTGAAAGAATGGATAGATGAATAGAAAACGAGTGTTGAGATAGATTGGAGAATGAGGAAAGCTAGGAACAGCGTGAATGTCTCTTTAAGATATATAAATTTCCTCGAGGTTCAAAAGACCTCAAAGGCCCCTTGTTTCACGAAGCCCTATGTTTATGTTGTATCGTTGAGGCTGAAACAACCACGACAGCATATTTATGGGGCCGGGCCGAATTTCCGATCAGGCCATGCCTGGATGGTTAATGAAGAGGGATCGACTGATTATTTTTCCGTCCTGTCAATTGATGTTTTGAGTGTTTGTTCACGTCAGCGCATTAATGCCGATGAAGCCATGGTGGGTCGATATACGACAATCCGCCAAGGAGATCATCATGCCTTTGGGCTACGGCACGGCTACATCATGACAACACATACAGCCTGATATAGTTTCAGATCTTCTTAATTGTGATGCTCGAGTCCGGGTAATTCTTGCGAATGGAATCCAGGTACCAGGCACCAGGCACCAGGCACCAGGTTTCAATGTCAGCTGTCAGTTGTGTTAGTGCGTCATGGATATATGCCGGACAAGGTCAAGAATACTCATTAAACAACAGCTCGTGTTCAATAATTTGAATTAATAAAAACGGCAACCACGACTTATCAACTCCAACTCTATTCGTATCACACCGGACAATCTCGTAAAAATGTTTCCATCCCCAACCCAAACCCACTCACAAATCACAATGCTGGGGTCAAAACCCACTACGTATTCTAGTCGAAACATATGCCACCCACCTCCGCAGCTGTGATCCCGGCGCCCGCGGCACCCAAAGAATGTTCCTCAACTCGAAACATCGTATAACCAGGGATCGTATGGCTAAGTTCCATGTTTCAGGGTCAACAGCCGATCTACTGACTTTAGGCTAAAAGATGTTGTCTATATCCCGACTCAAAAATACCGTCTAGCCGGAATCAGCTGCATAGTGTTTTAATTAACACGGAGCCAAACGCCTCGCAATCGTTTCCGATTCATGATATCGCTTTTTGCCGTGCAAGATTCTCTCAATCTCATCGACAAAATGCGATTTCTCTAACCGTGATCTGCAATGAGCTATGATCTGAGGGTCAACACAGCAGCTTGGATCAACAGCGGAGAGTCTGTGCACCACCACCTGTTGCATCACGGCTGTTCTAGCTTGAAATGTCAATAGCTTTTAATATATTTTTCTACATTTGCCAGAACTTAAGCAATGACAGCGGAATACAAGCGGCATTGGTCAGCCTAGTGCCCGAAAAGTGTCTGGCTAATTCTAAAGAAGAAATAGCCTAGATCAATCTTGGGCATATTCTCACTAACCTGGTAACTCCAATTGATCCTGACAAGGATAATTACGAGCCATTTACGATGTATCAGTGGAGACAATGACTGATGCACTCAGAGAAGATCCATTGGTAACGAGAAACTCCTTCCTCTATGTCTTCTCCATTCTCAGAATATCTATCAGTCGTAATTTTCAATCATGTATAGACCTTCAGCTCATATCGCAGCTGCAGCATTCAGAGTATCCACGGGCTGTACTCAGTCAGACACCACTATGGGTTTTCCAAGTCTCAACTTATTCATTCCTCACACTCTGCACCTCTAGTCCTTTGATTACAATACAACCAACAAGCGGCCTGTTTTGCTATCAACGTCCTCTCGATGTAGTTGCTCGACCGAAAGATCTACGCGTCCTTTGTACCATTCGCCTGGCCCGGTGGTTTCTCTTCCACACACAGCAATACCCTAAAAGCGTCAGCTCAGAAACTCACCACAGTCCATGGGAACAATAACTTACCATGAGATTCGCCAATACGGCTTTCCATTCAACCTCTTGCACATCCCTCGGCTTCCATTGTTGTTAGGCGCTACATCAGCCGCACACCAACCATCATCAGCAAAATCAAGAGACTTTTCGCGAAACAACTTTGCAGCGAGCGTCTTAGCTAGGCCGCGTCGACGGTATGGTTCCTACAGAGGTTAGCTTGAACATTTCTCGTCGGATTTGGATGACATACTTCGCAGTGAAGACTAATCAGCGAGCCATCAAAACCTGACACCAGTTAGTTTAGCCACATACATAAGTTATGGATATTACCTAGGAATGCCCATGATATAGGTGTTCCGTCGTCAAGTTTGATCACCAAGCTTGGCATGCGGCCCAAGACCTCACTGCGTAAATTCAATTAGCAGAGCTCATACATCTCAGTCGACAAGACGTACACTGTTCTCGGGATGTTTGTCCGCGAAACCACAACTCGACAATCATCTTCGGTCGCCGTCCCCCAGTTCATTCCCTCAGGCAGGGTCACCTCATCCCTGGGCAAGTCCTCATACTTGAAAAGCCACTTATCATACGCGCCTGTTTCTCGTGGTACAACTCGTCCTGTTTTGCTCATGAGCTCGCGGACAGAGTCGTGGAGTGTTCCCAGCAGAACGGCACCGCTATGTTTAAGCTCACGGCCATACTCTTTTGCTATAACCATACATTCCTTGACGAACCTGTCAAGTTGTTCCTCGTAGATAGTTGTGTCCTTGATATCGGCTTGGTCCGGATGTTCAAGTGTTGAGTATATCCACCCTTGTGTATCAGGACCACCAGCGACATCTACGTACGCCGCTGTGAATTTCTGCGGAGGAGACTTTTCATCGTCGACTTGAGAATCTGCCACCAGGATAATCTTCGCTGTCTCTCGTAAACCTCCTTCGAACTTGGTGAACTGTAAACGCCGCAAGAGGGGTAATGAGTAAGGCAGTTGATCAGCCAATAGCGTTAGGAGCCCCGAAGGCACGGTCGAATAGACCTTCGTGAAACTTGCCATTTCGCTCTCTTTTGTCTTGTTTCTGGTTCACTGGAAAGAAGAGATATTGCAAGACGAAGACTATGACTCAACCAGGATCGACCAGTGACTCCTCGTTGCTCGTTGACGTGCAAGGCTAAATATCGGTTACCACTGCAGCGCTTTACCAATGAAAGTAACGATGAGAATGCCTTTCTGGCAGTTGTAATGCCCGATAAGAGCTAACAGACAGGAAAATGTCACAAAGTGTCTATTCGCGTGTTGTAAGAGAATTCTTGGCCGAATTTAAGTGCCTCTGTTCTGTGTGTGGATTTGATTATCAATCAGCGCAAACCATCCGCCAGGGAAAATGCTACTCTCACATGACGATATATATGGTTGCAGAGAAAGATTGAGATACAGATGAATGATTGAGCTCAAAGTCGTAGCTACAATAACCGTTTCTTTGCCTAGAACATACGGAAACAATATTCATTCATTCTGTTCACATCACTGTGATGGAAACCCCTTGTATTTCACTACCCTATACTAAACTACCATACACGAATGATTCGATGGGAAAAGACCCATTGAATGATTATGGAGAAGTAAACAAGATGACTTAGTAGGTGCCAACCTATGGGATATCTGTTGTAGAGAACAGAGTACTGGGGAGCTATTGACGATGACTATTACGATATGTCGAGAATATCTGAGCTCAGCCGTCGCTAAAAGGTCTTCACGGGCTCGATTATGTGCACACCTGGTGACTACACCATCACCCAAGTACTACAAACGACTCATTGGGGCCAAAACATTTTACAGAAAAGCGATTCAAACCATTCCAAGCATTGTCGCCACTCTCTACTCCACGATAACTTGTCTTGCCCATCCCCCCGAGTCCTCAAGTCTCCACACCATCATGTACTCCCCGACAAATGCTGGGCAAAACTCGACTCCCCGTGAACTCCCCGAAGTCAATTAATAATTAAGAATAATCAAGGCACAGTCCCGTTTGCGGACAAATGACGCGCCTGCGTCTTGACGCGCGTGCCATTTCCAACTTCACACCAACATCGCGAGACTGTCGACCCACGGTATTCAGCACCACCCGATTCCGAGCCTGATCACGAAGGACTAGGATGTAAAGCTATTGAATGTCACTGGGTGCATGGTATGTGGGTCGAGATAATTAAGCATAATGAACGCTGCTGACACTACAGATGGAGCGTCTAGATTGTTGATCGTCTTCGGCCGCATACGATAATCGCAATTCGATACCTACCTTGATCGTCGGTCGATGTTCATATTCCTCGATCGCATCGATGTGTCTGTCATATACCAACGTAATGTGGACATGGCGACATGTCTAATGGCCTCTCCGTCTTTCACCATCGCCGTGGCTTTCTACGCAATTGACTATTGCTACAACGTGTCTGTGTGCTTGTCGACCTGATCAATCTTTGGCCAGTGGCATACCTAAACACAGCGGACAATACCCAATAGCGGCAGGTGGATGTTCAGCTCACGATGTCGTGCCCAATGGTAATCTTGATGGGTCAATCAGAGCAAGCGTCGCAAGCCTTGACGAACAAATAGCGACGAGACTGGAGTTGGGAAAAGCAAATCCCGCGTATAAGCTCGTCCATGTCTTGATAACCTTGCATCCGATGGCAAGGCTATGTGCCGTTTTGCCGGAAAAGGTGTGCTGCCAAGCTTCCCAGAGCGACGGGAAGGGAAAACGTGCATTTGATGGCGTTGGGCAATGACCACAGTCCCGGTAGAGGCCAAACGGCTGCACGAGGGCATTCCGTGGACCATCGCTTGGCAGGGGATCAAAGTACCCAGTACATCTGTTGAAGCTAAGGAGCTAATGGCGCTTATGCGTACTCCCCGTCGCTGCACACCACCACTCAATCTATCGACAAGTGCAAATCTGGACCTCTTTCGACATGCAATCCCACCCTTGCCTCCCCAGCGACACAGAAACGAGCGTGGTCAGCTTACCTGCTTGCGCGACAAGATCTAGGAGCCATCACGATAAGCTTGGATCTGAATGTGCGATGTGCAGGGTCGTTCTGAAACTGTCGCATTCGTCAATTCACAGGCAAATTTGGTCACTGAAGGATCGGCATTGGCGAACAGCCTCGGGGTAATGATCCCTCGAACCTCGCCAGGCCAGTGATCGCTTCTATCAAAGCAAATTGCTTATTATCGAGATGGCCAAGACAACAACAGGATAGCGGAAGGGATGCCGAGAGGCGGTCTCCTTTCGTGGGGGGGCCAAGACGGATGGCTGCTTCGAAGCCTGCTCTCCCGAGCGGGAGTGTTGGGATAGGGCCTTGGCTGCACATGGACTTCTCGATCAAGTCATTTGTCCAAAAGCCAAGCTGGACCGTCGGACGAGCGCCGATGGTCCGGAGCATGGGCAGCCTGTCAGACCCAATAAGACATGCATCAGGGAGAATGTCAACGAGGTTACTCCCAGCTCGCGTGCCTGCGTGAGTTCAGCATTGAGTGGGGGATGTCTGGGGCTGAACAGCAGATTCGACTGCAGTATGGTTACAGTTCTGTTTCGATCTCGTAAGGAGAACAACGTCCAATCACCGACATCGCAATTGGAGGCGACGGTCCGGTAGGATTACGCGGGAGCTCGTCTTAGTTGGTTCGGACAGACTTGAACGAGGCGAATAACGATGCGGCCATTCTCGGCCTAGATGCGTGATCCGTGCTACTCGAAATGAGAAGATCCAGATGCGAGGCACTAACATAGAGCAATATCTCAGGGTTCATTGCGTCAGATCGAGCTTCCAGACTGGCATATTGCACCATGCCTGTGCGCCGACCCGTGGTGACGGATAGAGAGCTCCCAGCCTCGACTAAGTGGCTAGCCAGACGCCAGATCATCAACACGGAAGATCGGCAATTGCAAAGCTGTTGGGCCAGACTCTACAGTGTGTTCGAATCACATTAGATAGCTTGTTCGAGCCTAGACCTTGTGTTGTACGTGACAGCACGACTTCAGCCCTGGAGTGCTAAGCTGTCTCGGTGTGCATTCACTTCAGTGACATGCAAGGGTTTAATCTTGAACAGGGGCACCCGGTATTGACGAATAAATGGGTAGGTATTGGGTCACTGAGCGAATGGAGATTAGGGTTGGACCCCCATCTTGAATCCTCGGACGTGTTACATGGGTGCTGAAATGAGAAGCAATAGTCACAACAGGGAGAGTTCTGGGCCTAAGAGGGGCAGGGCGATGAGCCGACAGGACGTGCGTGCATGAGCATTTCGGAACTCCAAGCTCAGGATTTAACGACAAGTATTAATTCGTTGCTGTGACAGTTCGGTTTCCTTCCGCGATTTGTGATAACATGGTTGAGGTTATTGAAGTTTATTCAAGGTCCCTGGCCTTTTTCGCCGGTGCCGGGGACGTTAGTAACGGTAGCGCCATGGGTATATTTGGGGGTTGTGGGGCAGATGGGACCAGGTCTACGGGGAGTTGTAGGATGGGCCGTGATTAGGCCATCATGATGTGAATTTGATGATTGAAGAGATTTTAAGAAGGGGGAATTGGTCTTTGGGACGGGAAAGAGTTTCGATTCAAGGTTTTATCTATCACTAATGAATACGTAAATTGGCTTCCACTGTTGAGATGTTTTCCCCGTTGAATGAACAACTCCACATGCAGCTCCCCGAGGAAAAAAGAAGCATGCATGGAACAAAAGCTCCCAGAATGGCAATGGCGGCGGAAATGTTCAACTCCCCGAAATTCCCTGCAGGATCTCTGTCTCTGACCTGTTACCTGTGCCGTCGCTGACTCTCAGGCAAAGATCTCTGTCTTACAGCGCTACACAACAAATAAATTACAGCGTATTGGTTAGATTATCCGTCTTGATGCATTTTATGGATAATATGAGTTCATGGGCCATCGCTAATCCAATTATGATTTCACTCCATCATCAAAGCTCCGTGGCTCCAACTCAAAGCTTGCCTCCCGCCAAGCCGCAACGGGCATAGAGCAGGGCCGCTTATAAAGCTTACGGCGCTGCTATTGGCTATAGCCCGATGGCGCAATCGAAGACCATATCGTCGTGAGGGCGATCTAGCAGGGATTTTCTCTTTCTTGAACTTTGAGGACGGGAAGATGCAACACTTTGCGCAACAGCCAGAGACTTTGTATTTATCGCTGAAATTCCACAGATGCACCATGAGCATCACAAAGCGACCCCGATGCTATTCAGATTCTCATCTCCCCGCTCGAAAGAATCTTCATCTCTATGGAGACGACGCGAATGTTGGTGGAGTTGTTTTGGCGGAGCTGCTTTGGAATAGCGACAATGGCATGCTCAGATCCTGGTCAGCACGCAATGGGTTCTAACGGACGGGCCCTGGTACACACACCAGCTTTCCGGGCGTTTTGCCGCCCCAAACTCCCCACGCTGGCGCTCCATTCCCATCCCATCTCAGGGCAGCTTGACGCGGCAGAGGGACACACTTGCACGAGGTTCCGAGGAGACGCATGATCTGGCACATGAGAGGACCTGGTACATGATACTTTCCTCGACGTCTTTGAGGCGTTCGTCGATCATGGCGTTGCGTGAAATGGGGGGTATCGTTAGCCATCGCAATTACATCTCGTCTGCGTACTTTCTTCCATTGGGCCAGGGAGACGAAAGGGCTGAAGACTGGTATCGGCAGTACCGTGCAGGCCACCCCGAGTAGTGTGCAGTCCAGGTACAGTACGGCACAGCACATCACAACAGCACAGTCCAGGCCTGTTCCAGTGCAGTCTGCTCTTACAGCAATTGACTTTGGGACTCGGAATTGACACCATTTGGATCGTCGCAGTGGTCAGCCCTTGACCAAACCTAAAAGTTTATATGTACCTGTTCCTCTCGCCTCTCTTCTCGATCATCTCTCTTATCCTCTCATCACTTCACCTTCTCATCTCTCTCCCAAACTGGGACAGGCCCTGCTCGTTCTTGGAACCCCATATATAGATCGACAAATCAACCGATCTGTCTGTCTGTTTTTACCTCGACGCGACCCTGGTCTCCACCTTGAAGCTTGAAGAAAGGTCTTTCTGGTCGGTAAGTCAAGGCCTTCATTGATGAGGAGTGTATCATGCACTCTGCTATCTCTTCAGCTTCAACGCTGTACAGAATGTGATGAAGACTCACTAATTCATCAGTTACAGAACCTTCAGTAGAAAACTCCAGATTCTCCCATTTACTCACACGCCCCGTCTCCGTACCAAGGAACTCGTCGTCATACCTCCCTCGACTACTTTTCCCAACTAGGAGAAAGTCTTGCTAGCGTTGCAGCTTTGCAGCCATACCCCGACCGACCGAGCGACAATCCGAACGGACCGCAGACCAGTCTTCACGACTCAAATACCCACGTTGCGCCGTTGCTGATCAGCCTTTCATCTCCCCGTCCTTGCATTCCTACTTCATAACCCCTTCAACATTGACCATTTTCCCATCCTTTGGTCTGTTTATTTTTTATTCTTATTGAGCGTTGTCCTTTTTTTTCTTCCGTCACATCGACTTCACAGCCTAAAACATGTCGCAACACGGTAAAGGCTCCGTCAAGACGGCGCTGGAAAAGTTCATTGGCGCCGATCACACCGAACCTGAAGAGAAGGCACCCTCAATCACAAATGCCGACCTTTACATCGAGGAGGAACCTACAGTCGGCGAGTTTCTGCGAGAGATCACTCCCAGTGCTCACGCCATCGGCGAATACTTTTACAACCTCTTCCCCTTCTTGTCATGGGTTGGTAAATACAATTTGATCTGGTTCGTGGGTGATATGGTTGCTGGTAAGTCTCAACTCCCCGCCCTGCCGTTGCATTCTCGGGGAGAATTCATTTTTGCTGACACAAACTCCCCGCATTAGGTATCACCGTCGGTGCTGTCGTTGTTCCTCAGTCTATGGCCTATGCCCAGCTGGCTCAGCTTCCTGTCGAGTATGGACTGTACTCATCCTTCATGGGTGTCTTGATCTACTGGTTCTTCGCTACATCCAAGGATATCACCATTGGCCCCGTCGCTGTCATGTCTCAAGTCACAGGTAACATTGTCCTCAAGGCTGCCGACACTCTACCTCAGGTCGAGGGACATGTTGTCGCCTCCGCCCTGGCTGTCATTGTCGGTGCAATTGTCACCTTCCTCGGTCTCGCCCGACTCGGCTGGCTCGTTGAGTTCATCCCTCTGCCTTCGATTTGCGCTTTCATGACTGGTTCCGGTGTCAACATTATTGCTGGTCAGGTCCCCAAGCTCATGGGCATCAAGGGTGTCAACACCCGTCAGCCGACCTACCGTGTCATTATCGACACCCTCAAGAACCTGGGTGGCTCCAAGCTTGACGCCGCCATTGGTCTCTCAGCCCTGGTCCTGCTTTACGCCATCCGTATCTTCTGTGGCACTATGGCCAAGAAGCAGCCTCAACGCGCCAAGCTGTACTTCTTCATCTCCACCCTGCGAACTGCCTTTGTCATCCTGCTTTACGTTGGTATCAGCGCTGGTATCAACATCAAGCATCGCAGCAAGCCTCGCATCAGCATCGTCGGTGATGTTCCCAGTGGTAAGTTCAAAATGCCTGACCTGCCTCGTACAGCCCAACTAACCACTCTCAGGCTTCACCCATGCTGCCGTCCCCGAGATCAACGCCGACATCATCAGGTCCTTCGTTTCTGAGCTGCCTGCCGCCGTCATTGTTGTCCTGATTGAGCACATCTCCATTTCCAAGTCTTTCGGCCGTGTCAACAACTATGTCATCGATCCCTCTCAAGAACTCGTCGCCATTGGTGTCAGCAACCTTCTCGGTCCCTTCCTGGGAGCCTACCCCGCCACTGGATCATTCTCCCGAACTGCCATCAAGTCCAAGGCTGGTGTCCGTACTCCCTTCGCTGGTGTCATCACTGCCATTGTTGTCTTGCTCGCTCTCTACGCCCTTACTGCTGTCTTCTTCTACATCCCCAACGCGGGTCTTGCTGGTGTTATCATCCACGCCGTCGGAGATGTCATCACTCCCCCCAAGGTCGTTTACCAGTTCTGGCGCGTCTCTCCCATCGAGGTCATCATTTTCTTCGCCGGTGTTCTTGTTACTATCTTCAGCTCTATCGAGAACGGTATCTACACCACAATCGCCATATCCGCGGCTGTCGTCATCTTCCGTCTCTTCAAGACCCGTGGCCGCTTCCTTGGTGTTGTCCGCGTCCGAACCATGAAGGCCAACGTCAGCGACGGCACTGCAAGCCCTGGCTCTATCGATGAGGGCGAGAGTTCTCTGCGAGCCGGCTTCCTTCCTCTCGACCACGGAAACGGCAGCAACCCTAAGGTCATTGTTCGCACTCCTTACCCTGGTGTCTTCATCTACCGCTTCGCCGAGGGCTTCAACTACCCTAACGCCTCTCACTACCTCAACCACCTTACCGAGTCCATCTTTTCCGAGTGCCGCCGTACCAACCCCACTCTTCTTGGCAAGCTTGGTGACCGTCCCTGGAACGACCGAGAGCCCCGTCACATCAAGGTTATTGAGAACGACGAGCGCCCTATTCTCAAGGCTGTAATTCTCGATTTCTCCAGTGTCAACAACGTCGATGTTACTTCTATCCAGGCTCTGATTGATGTCCGCAACCAGCTCGACAAGTTTGCCGCCCCCGAGGTTGTTGACTGGCACTTTGCCAACGTTGAGAACCGATGGACCAAGCGTGCCCTGGCTGCTGCTGGATTCGGTTTCCGCACTCCCCGTTCTAACAATGAGAGCACCGGAAAATGGAAGGCCATCTTCTCCATCGCTGACCTCGGTGGTGACGACAGCGCTGCTACTGCCGCTGCTATCGACGAGAAGGCCAGAAACGCACCTGTCCGCCAGGACATCGAGGCTGTTGACGATTCCATCCACAGCGAGTCTTCCGAGAAGGGTGCCATTAGGGAATCCACACACCGCCTCGTCGCCGTGCAGGGACTCAACCGTCCTTACTTCCACCTTGATCTCCAGGAAGCCGTCGACGCCGCTGTCTCCGCCGCGGAGCTCAAGCAGCACTAAATTAATCGTTTCTGTTCATGGGAAATCTGGCGTTTCTAAGGGATTTATGAATCTAATTAAAATGTTTGGCCTGTGTCCTTATCTAAAGGAAAGGAATGTTGGAAATCGCAGATCGCCCTGAAGTGTGGTCTTGGGCGATGTCATTTATACCCGATTTAGTTTGATGTTTTTGCATTGTTACAGATAGCTGGAAGATGTCTGCTGTGGAGTGGCCAGGCAGGGCATGGTATATCGAATGACATTGATGATTATTATTACTTTAAATACCTGTGTCGATGGATTGTGAAATGATGTATCTACTGCTTCCAACTTGGGGGTTTGACGTACCAAGACTTGTATTCATCGTGTGTCAGAATAATATGCGCTAGGTATCACCGCCTAACCAGGAGTACGAGAAAACATTTCCACTTCCCTAGATTCCTTCGACAACGAGTACCGACCCAGAATGGCTGTGGATGGTAGTTATTACTAATCACCTGCGCTTTGAAGTAGATAAAGCTCACAAGACCATGTACGAACTGCATGTTAATGTGATATGGGGAAATAATCGTCGCACCACAGACTCTGTCGACGAATAGGAAGTGATTTGAAATGGGTGGTGGTGTTGACAAGTTCAGCTGTGCAAGCTTCCCCGCTCGAACCACATATATTCGTATGTATAAGTATCACACGCCATGAGAGAGCCAGCATGTTGACACAAATCAAGTTCCATCATTAGCGACGGAATTCGAGGTTGCTGGGCACGAATAAGCCACTTGATGACAGTATGTCTACCAACAGCAAGAAACAATATCCGGAGCCGTTGAAGCTTTCCGGGGCTCTCGATAGTTACGAGTACATCGATGCAACACCAGCTATTGGTCGTGAATATCCCAGAGTCAATTTAGTTGAGTGGCTTAATGCCTCCAATGCAGATGAACAGATTCGCGATCTTGCCGTCACCAGTAGGTTCATACTATCAAGCTCACCGAAGAAAACCAGCTAACGGCATCAGTCTCTCAACGAGGTGTGGTTTTCTTTCGTGCACAAGACAACCTCACAGACGAACTGCAGAAGAAACTAGTTCTTCGTCTTGGCGAGCTCACTGGGCGTTCATCAACTTCCTCCTTACACATCCACCCCGTGCTCAATTCGGAGCGTGAGATGGGCGGTGAGGATGCAAACATCAGCACGATTAGTTCTAAGCAGCGCTCCAAGTTGGAGAAGAGAACCAACGAGGATGGAGTCGTGGTGACGAAGCGCAATACCGAGCATTGGCACTCTGACATCGCCTTCGAACCAGCTCCAGCGGACTACACCTGTCTTCGACTGGTTGAACTGCCCAGTACAGGAGGTGACACGCTTTGGGCCTCGGGTTGCGACATCTACGATAGCATGAGTCCAAAGTATCAGAGATTCCTCGAAGGTCTAACGGCTACTTTCTCCCAGCCGAATTTCTCGAGAATCGCAGAGAAGCAAGGCTTTGAATTATACGAAAAGCCACGAGGATCCCCACACAACATCGGTCGTTCGATGAAAGCCATCCATCCAGTAGTTCGCACCAACCCCGTGACAGGCTGGAAAAGCATCTTCCCTGTTGGTGCACACGTTTCGCACATCAACGACGTGACGGCCGAGGAGAGTGAGAACTTACTAAAGTGGTTTTTGGATATCGTGGTAAAGGGCCATGAGTTTCAGGTTAGGTTCAAGTGGCAGAATGCAAACGACGTAGCTATCTGGGATAACAGAAGTGTGTTTCATTGTGCGACGGCAGATTATGATGGGCTGGGAGATAGATTTGGGGTGAGGGTTGTTGGGGTTGGGGAGAGGCCTTATTTTGATGAGGGGAGCGTGTCGAAGAGAGATATGTTGGAGGGGGAGAGTTAGCAAGGTGATCTGAGGGCTCAAGTAATATGGTGGTAGTCTCCCTTGGAGATAGGATGTGTGAGGAAGGCCTGTACCTATGAGTAGTTGCCGCTTAGGACTTAAATAGTCATCTCGAAGCTATATCACCTGGCCGTATTCAACTAAACAGATCGTCTGTCGTGAAAAACAGCAAATGCAACGTACAGAAAGATCCTCTTTTCCAAACACAAGCATCACCATACCATCCAAATCATAAACTTTAACAAATTTATGAGGTGTCTTCATTATCAAAAACTGTTTATATATCTCATCGGAGTTTTCATCCAGCGATATGGACCTGAACTGAAATTTACATCATGAACCGTTGTTGGCTTCTCCAAGGAAACTCAGCAACGTTAGAGAAAATCACTTGAGTAAGGTTCAGCGAATGGATGAAGCTCACCAAATCGTGGATTGAGGACAGTCAACTCCTGAGATAGATGCGTTTTCTCGAGGTCAATCTACTGTAAGACTATAACCATATCTATCCGGCATGTTCCGTCCCGCATTATGAAGATGGAAGCAAATATTGCATTACTATTAGTTAATCACCTGAACTGAAAGAATGGCGCGCTGTGGATTAGACCAGATATAATTGTTCTCAAAAGCTGTCAATTATATCATCCCACGTTGAACCCTCCCGAGTCTCTAGTGTTGAATAGCTACATTGAAAACAGCGTGGGGTAGCATCCAAGACAAAGCGCCAAGCTTTCAGCATGATTTGACTCGGGAGATTTGTTTCACCGGGTCTGTCTCTTCCGGTCAAGCATCCACAAAAGAGTTGATATCGGTGACGGCGACGGTAACGATATCGGCATCAAGGTCGGTACCGGTATGACCGAGGGGCAAGGACAGGGTAGTAATACTAAGCATCTGAGAAGGGGTTCCTTGTCCACTTTGATATCAGTATACGTAACCAGCTCTTGACTCGAGAACCAACTTGTGATTATGTACTGTCCGTATCAGTAAACACACACGATCGATCTCGTCAATTTCGGCCAACGGGTTAGGATACCGTTGCTAGTCTTGACCAAAGCTTCCGAGGCTAACTGCTAGAGCGTTAGCATCGGGGCTCTAACTGCCACTACGGAGTACTTATCGGGGCCTAATGCGTAGCCAAATTGAAGGCGATTGCAATTAATGCGAAACTGTTTCAAGGACCAAAGGTCGACGTTGACGATTTGTTTCGACGGTTGAGTAAATCCGAGAAGAGAAATGCAATTCCGTCGGAATTGACGCTGCAGAAAAGTTACTTTAGGTGGACCCTTGAAAAGCTGAATTGCCGCTTCGTGACATCATACCCCTGTTCCTGTTGGTAAAGAAGATAAAAGAGAAGAAAAAAGAAAGAAAAAGGGAGATCTCCGTAGGATTCTGCCTTTCATAGAATCTAAGATACCACCTCATCATGCACGTTACAAGGTTATGCACGTGGAATACCTTCTATTCTGAGGCACGCCGACGCGAAAAGGGTCCGCTGTGGGCCACTTTACAGCGGGCGAACCCACTAAAGCGACGAGCGGTCCGGAGACTCAAATTCCCGGTCCCAACGGTCGAATTTTTAATTCTCTTAGATTACAAAGCTACGAGACCGGTGGAGAGTTACGTGTGCTGTCCGACGACCGGGACAATGTTTCAATGTGGGCAATGCCTGTCAGGGACTAGAGAGAGTTGATACTGTAGCATTGTAGCAGAAGCCGAGGGAAAGCTGAGACTCGTTGTGTATAGTAGAGTTAATTATAGCGAGTAGCCGTGAGCTAAGATATCCTGAACAAGGTAGAATCCACCGCGGACGCTTTCTTTTCAGGTCACCTACTTTTGAGACGGGACTTGGTAGTGATTAGTACTCCGTAAATGGCCCCATTCAACCATCAGACCATCCCATTCTATCCCATCGCATCCGCAAATGTTTATCCAGTCCATGCTTTACTTGGCTTAGTTGTGAGTCCGCTTAACGCGGACCAACGCCCCGGCCCCATCCAACGGTCTCAAGCTCTATCTATCTATATAAAGCAGACATCGCAATTGTCGTACCATAACATTCCCAATAATACAGTCCTTCTCTTCTCTGTAATAAACATCATCCTCGCTTACTCTCATACCCTTACATCTTTATATACACCACTACTCACAAACCGCAACAATGGTCCTCATATCCACCGGCGAAAAGGTCTCTTACAAGGTCTTCCGCGGAACACCAGAGGGCAAGATCATCGCCGATAACGTCGAGCGTGAGCTCCAGAACCACGAGGTCTTCATCGAGACAACACACTCTGGCGTCTGCGGAACAGACAAGCTCTACCAGCCCAGCGGCATCGTCCTCGGCCATGAGGGTGTTGGTATCGTGCGCCAGGCCGGCCCTGCTGTCACAAACGTAAAGGTCGGTGACAGAGTCGGATTCGGATACACCCACCAGATCTGCGGCTCTTGCGACAACTGCTGCACCGACCGCGACCAGTACTGCCGCGAGCGCCAGATCTACGGCTTCTCCGACCACGACAACGGCTCCTTCTCCTACGGCGCCGTGTGGGATGCCAAGACCGTTGTCCACATCCCCGAGGGCTACGAGTCCGCCGACGCCGCGCCTCTGCTCTGCGCCGGATCCACCGTCTTCACAGTCCTGACCAAGTACGACGTGCGACCTGAACAGCGAATTGGAGTTATGGGAATTGGCGGCCTTGGCCACTTGGCTATCAAGCTCGGTGCTGCTATGGGAGCCCACGTCGTGGTCTTCTCCAGCTCCGAGGGCAAGCGACAGGAGGCTATGGACTACGGTGCTTCCGAGTTCCTCGTTCTCAAGTCTGGCGAGAGCGCCCCTGAGGACTTCAAGCCCGTGAAGCACCTCCTTCTCTGCGGTAGCGCCAACGTTGACTACAGCAGGTATGTATTTCCACGTTGCTCAATACCGAACTCACAACTAACAATCTCCCAGCTTGGTCCCTATCGTCGACACCGACGGCAGCATCTACCCCCTCACTGCTGCTCTCGAGAGCACCCCCGTTCCCCTGACCGCGCTCTCCCTCAAGGGCATCCGCGTGCAGGGCTCCCTGACCAGCTCTCGCGACACCCTCCGAAAGCTTCTCGAGTTTGCCCACCGCAAGAACATCAAGCCCACGATCATGACATACCGCCTCAACGAGGAGGGTATCGAGCAGGCTCTGCACGACCTGAAGGACGGAAAGGTCCGATACAGGGCTGTTCTGATCAAGGAGTAGGATACGGTCAAGGGAAAATTGTAAACTGTTATTATAGCGGGCGGGGATGTTGATATGAGAGCGAAAAGTTATACACGATGATAGATATACCAATGAAACATAACGTTAGACTAAGATGTAAACTGTGTTAGTTCAAGTGAAGCCATGTTGCTGTTGAAGTGTAAGAAGATTGGGTGTTTGGATGGAGTGGAACTTAGAGTGCTTATGTGGGGCACACCTAATATTAGTGCAAAATATATCCGTAACTCAATCATCATGAGATTCATCTAGCGAAATGTGAGGTTATCACGAGCTTGACTACATGACATAAATACTCAAATCGCAGTTTTGTCCAACTTACATTTATTACTTGTCTCCTTGAGTGAGATCAAGGGAAGGAAGTCAATGCATGTTAAACATGCGGCTCTTGAAGTCATTCTCCACCAAAAAACGTCAGCACTACTTCAGGGACCTGCATGGTTGGACCCTTGTAGCTTCGTCTCTGTATAATACACACCGAATAGCTATTTAGTAAGCTGACATGTTATATAGACTTATAGGCAGTCGAACTGTCAGGAGCTAAGTCCGCCCCAGAAAACGAAATTCAAGATCATCTGACACTTGAGTAAACACGAAGATAAATCACATCCTGACAAGTCAATTTTAGAAGGGTTCAGATTGAGTTCCTCGGATAGCTTGGCTCAACTCTCCCATGCAGCATGCTCACTCATTACCAAACATGAATCTCCGTCCCCGAGCCAAAATGCCAAGTGACCAGTCTGCGATTACATCTACAGCAGTAATGCTCAGCATTCTTCCACTGCTTCCCAGTATACGCAAGAACCCCGCCAACGACTGTACAAGCAAACATCAATGCTGCCATTGCACTAAACAATGATCAATTCTCGCATGTTTCACACGTCCGGGGTCTTGTACTTACTGTGTTCCACCGCAGATCTTATGCTCAACTCGAGTTAGGGATAACTCCCGACAGGAGGGACATACGACTGCTCGAGGCCATTGCTTGAGCTTTCGCAGAGGAACGACGTTTGATGGAGAGATTGTGTTGAACGCGGTGATTTCGCTCCGTTGGGTTTCGCCTGGGGAGAAGAGTTCGATTTTGTTGCTGTCGTCAGGTGGATTGTTGGTGAATAGAGTGTGAATGCGCTGTTTCGACGTGGTTGCCATTGTGATGAAGTCTTTTGGGGCTGGCCTTTTCTATTCCCACGATTTACTATTGATGAGACCTGCAAATATATATCTTTATCTCCAATATCGACTGCCATTTTCAATCCAATTAATTCCCCTGCAATGTAGATGCCTGGTGTGCTGCATCGTCTTACGCTCGTATTTCGCATTGCGAAGAAATAACCAATAAGACAACACCCAATGACAGCCACCGACGCCATTAAGAGGTAGAGCTGAAACAGCGCCCATATAACCCGGGCAATCAATCCGCCGATTCGGTATAGAAAGTGGAAGCATCTCGGCGGCTTCTAGATGCACCAACGTTGCATCGTATTGAACTGACCACATGCCGATAGCAATGGTTGGCAACGCTCGATGCGGAAGATGTGTCTGTTTAGCTGTGGCTCCGTGATTAATCGGAAACGCACAGACCGTTCTTTATTGGCAACGCTACCTGCAGAATTCCTTAGTTTTATTAAGCTTTGGTGCCTCGGAGGAGAGTTTACGTACCTTGCATGAAATAACCGTCCGCTATATCTAGGTAGTCCTCCACAGAAGCTCCCGAACAAACATCGCTGACTATCGGCTTTGGCTTACTGAACCGTCAGGGAAGAATGCATCCTCATATATAAACCTTATTCTCCCCTCTGAATCACGTAGATCCTGAGCCGCGGGTGTCACCTTTCAACTCCATCTGACGTTTGACAGTGGCAGTGCAAATCTCAGGAATGGATCTACCTCTAACGTCGCGGCTAACGCCCCGTTTCGAATCCGGCATATTGCCCCCACGGACGGGTTCCGCAGCTGCCACCGTTGTCATGCTCAATCTAGTTACTTTATACTGCTCCAGGGGATTCTTATTCCTAAAGGCGGCGTGATCTGCACATCCGCCGCGGGACTACACAGTCTGTTAAGTGGCTTGCATTCCAGATCACGGTCATTATGGACTCATCACGACACCGGTAAATTAAAACGCCAGCGTTACGGTGGCGGCTTCTTTATACGTCAGGGCTTGTAGCTCTGATTTCGCTAATATGAATAGACTCTCGTCCCAGGAACAAGTGCACCGTTTGGTACCGGCTTTCCGGGTTCTGAAATCAGCACCTCAATCAACATGACGTCCACCGAACAAGAAAACGCTGCAAAGGCCTCGCATACCCATCTTGTGATGGTGATTCTGGTCGTTGCCTTTGCGATATCCGTCTCGATTCTGGTTGTTTCGCTTCGGCTTTGGTGTCGACGTGTGATGAAGCTGGCTTACTGGGATGATCTCGCTGCTGTTATGTCAATGGTAGGTTGAAACTAACAGTATGGATGAAGAGCGTTGCTAAAAAGAGTTTGTAGCTATGTGTGATTGCACTCGGCTCTGGATTTCTTGCGCGTAAGTTGATGCTGAACCTCTGAACCGCAGATGCTTACTTTCCACAGTTATACCGCGGGGACTAAATAGCCCTACCGGAAAGATACCAGCTCACAAAGTCGTATCTTTCTACAAGGTATGATTGCATCTAACCAACGAGGAGACGTTAATAACGTAATCCCAGTGTACATACTTTGTCACATTCTTCTACGGCCAGGGCCTCTACTGGGCAAAGATGACATTTCTACTGCTCTACTACAGAGTGCTATGCCTTTCTTACTGGAGATGGACATACTTCGGAGCCATCGTTATGCTCACCCTGTGGAACATTAGCCGAATCCTCGTATACTTCCTAAACTGCATCCCCATGGAAGCCATCTGGAACCGAAATATCAAGGGGAAGTGCGTTCCGGATCGACTCGAAGTTGCATATATTCTAGCTGGAATCAACATATTTACCGATCTGGCTGTTGCTGTTTTGCCATTACCTGTTATCTGGAACCTCAACCTTCGGCGCTCTCAGAAGATTGCACTTTCTGGATTATTCGGTCTCGCCTGTTTGTAAGTAGGAAACTCGACTAGTATCGGCCGTTTTGCTAACAATTTCCCGAGTCCCATTACTCTCGCCATCGTGAGAATTAAATGGGTAGAGAAGTGGTCATTTTCCACGTGGGATATAATTAGACCCAACTTGTGGGCGCTCGCGGAGGTCACATCAGCTCTGACTTGCGCTTGCATCCCAACCTACAAACCCCTTCTTCTGGGTATCAGCGAAGTGGCACGTCAACACAAGAGAAACACCAACGGCTTTGTTCTTGAGCAACATGGTAGCGATAGCGAAGCTGGATTACGTGCAGGTAGTATTGGGAGTGAAGGCAGCTGCATTCAAAAGCCGAAGCATGCTTTGCTATATGGCACGCAGACTTACATTACGGCTGAACACGATGAATGGCGGGTATGAGCCCAGGACAATACTTGGAGGGTTTGGTACAGAAGGTGAAACAACATGGAAAGGAAGCGTCGAATTAATAATAATCAGACAATGATCAGAAAGTTTTACTCTAATCAACTTCATAGAGTAATAATAGTAATGTTTTGAATTGGCATTTATTATATTAATTTTGTTCAATAAATAAGAGCGGTGTTTTATCCTAGGACTCAACTGCATGCATGATGAACAGCCACGGCGCTATTGACTGTCAGGCTGATTGATTGGCGATGCGCTGTAGCACGGCGCTTTCCAGCATAGCCTCACGAGTCGCCAGTATCTCAAGCATCCCGCTGCCTGTCCCCTCAAAACTCATCCCTATTCATATCAATTCTAGTTCAATTCTCACTCCAGTTCACGATGGCTTCACTTTGCAACTACAGCCATCCCGATCCCCAAATCGCGCAGGGACTAGTTCCCCACGGCGCAGGGAAACTTTTTCCCTACAACCCCGAGTTCTACGATAACGCGAGTGGCTTGTACGGCCCCGGCACCATATACTGCTGGTACATGCTCCTCGTGTCTGTCGTCGCCAGCTGGTCGTTCCATCAAGCCGACCATGGCAGCTTGAAAGATCCCGGGCTTTCCAGTGATCTTATCGGCGCTTTGGCATATCCTGTGTTTGCCGCCACGGATCTTCTTGTCCAGTCTATACGTATGCGGGGAATGGACCATCGCGCGATAGCTATTCTATGTCTCCGATATCCAAAGCATGAGCTCGATGCTTACGGCCCGTTTGATAACGTTGAAATTGATTTGCATCATATTCCTCTCGATTTACTCAACTTCGGACAGCATATTGTCGATATCACCGGGCCGCTCACGATCCGTTATACTGCTACCTCATTCCTATTTCTCCTCTACATACTATTCTGTTCCAGCATGGATTTGGGCGGTACAAGATACTGGAAACCAATACCCGCAGTGCGTTGGGTGATGTACACCGTTTATGGCTACATTCTACTTATACTTGCCGTTTTCCATCTAAGTCTCGACAACTGGTTTGCCAGCTTCTTTCTCTTCTACATGGAAACAACGCTACCCGCCGAGATCATAATGGCTTACGTGTCGACTTTCACTATAACAATAGCTCTCATCTGCTTCCTGGCCATGCTCGTCTGGGCTGTGATTGGCAAGGACCGTGGGCAGGCGATAGAGGCTTTGAAGGCGATTGGATGCGTTCTCTATTTCATGATACTACTGGCGATGCCTTCTATGATGGTTCTTCGTTGGAACGAACTTGGTGCCATGCCAGATTTGGGTATCCGAGTTAGCGAGAGAGATCAGTTGGCGACCTTGATTGTGGGTGTGTTTACATTAAGTCTGACGTTTTTTGACATTGGTCATCACTTTTACCGAAAGATGAACGGGCGGGAGGTTACAGAGGAGAGCATAGAGATGCTGCCTGCAAGTGAAGTATAGGAATTTGAAGCCAAAGATGGTTTGACAACGCCTCAGGTTTTGTGCTTGGTGAACAATTCTGGTGAAGTGGAGGTATAGGACACAAGTACCACGCTATTCTTCGGTGGACAAACTCCGTCATCGCCTATCAACCGCGCCAAATTTCCAATCGAGGGATAGCTTACCCCGCCTTTATGCAATTGCGGTGCCGGGTGACATTACTAGCGTCTCGATAACTCAACATGATAACAAAAGTTACTGATAGTGATATCAAGGTTGACTCAGGTCCTATACTCTCACACACGTAATCCAACGAATCAACCTTTGGAAAAAGCTTACAGCTCGGTTCTGGTTACCTTTGTAATTATTACGACAACATCTTCTTTGCTACATAGCCCCAATCTCAATGGCCCCCGGAACCTCTCCGAACTCGGACAAAGGAAAAAAGAGACCCAAAGTCAGAGGTAACAAAGTCGCTGGCCACTGAAGCTCTCATATCACTGCTGACAAATTGACAAGGCTGTTATCAATGCTCCCGCCGACGCATAGATTGTGATCGCGAAGAGCCCGCATGCGGAAAATGCTGTGCCAAGGGAATCAAATGCAGCGGACTGGGGCTGCGATATCGCTTCAACGATGGCATTGCCGCAAGAGGAAGGTTTGTGGGCAAGACATTACCCATCGTCGACGGAGTAGCAAGCAAGGTCTCAAATGAGTTGGAACCTACATGTTCTGCCGTTGTGAAGGGAAAAAGAAATGATCCCTTCCGTGCAAGTGGTTACGAGACTCAGAAGCAAGTCACAGTCGAAGCCAACGAACCGACGGAGGAAGACAGACAAACCAAAGAATTAGTTATTCCAAACCATGAACAAATCTTCGTCCATTGGGGTCTGGACCATGTTGACTCCAAGTCCAGATTCTGCCTCGGATACTGTACGTATTCCCCGGGCTCATCCCTCCAAAGTCTAACAAGCCATAGTCTCAAACAACATAGCCCAACTCATCGCCGTTATCAACATGGGTTTCAACGGCTATCGCGATCTCGTCCTACCACGAGCGGAAACAGACCCTCTCGTACGGAAAGCAGTTCTCCTCGTGGTGGAACAACATCTTTCGCTACAGAACGGCACAGCTATCTCACTCGATCCCGCCGCTTATAGTTCGCTTGTTCGAGAACTCATAACGCGTTCCCATCAGTGCGCACCCCAAGATGATGATTCGGCACTGACTGCGCTTCTACTTCTACATATACGCGAGATGATCAGCGGCAGTGACAACTTCAAGCTTATCTACGGCTCTCTGAGAGTGGTAGTCAATGCACTTGCTTCAAACTCAAATGATAAGAGATCCGATCTTAGAAGGTTTCTACAAATGCAAATCCTGAGGCATGTTTCCAATATCCAAGCACTAAACACACATCTAACACATCAACAGAGTCTGTCTCTTTGGAGAATCCCTATTCAACGAGACAAACGGCGTGCACTTCATCCAAGCACAACAGCAAGCCTGTCTTGAATTCATCCGCTGGTGCGACCGCTTCCACCCCGAACTCCAAGGCCTTCTCTCCCAACTCGCCACCCTAACAACCTGGGCGTGCGATATTTATGTCCAACGGGCGATGCTCAATCCACCTGCCGAGGATACCGTCCACATGATAGAAAGATTCAAGCAATCGCTTGAAGAAGTAGACGCGTATGTTGATATAGTGGGCAGACATCTCCTCGCCTGGCCGTACTTTATCGTCGCCGCTGAGAGTTCGACGAAGGATCATAGAGAGTTCTTTCTGGATAAACTGGTTTCGTTGCATAACAAGACGGGATGCTGGAATTTACTCAGGGCGATTGATCAGGTTAAGGAAATTTGGGCGTCACAATCTTCGATACGTTGGACTAGTTTGTTAGGAGGACCGACACAAGCTTTTATAATGTGATTATTAACTACACAGAGTAATGAAGACATTATGTCCACAAATGCTTGTATCACACTATTTCTCAGGCGCCAAGCACGGCGATGACGACCTTCTCTACCTTGTCAACAATCATCTCAATCTCTTCCTCTGTGATAGTAAATGGGGGCGAGATTATCACCATATCTCCTCGGATACCATCAATATTCCCTGTCGCAGGAATCAGTGAAATACCATAGTCAACTCCCAGTCCGGTCTTATGAAGCTTCCCAGCAATCTGCTCGCTCAAATCAAATGGGTCCTTTGACTCTTTATCACGAACAAACTCGAGCTGTTCAAAGGTGTCAGTGAAAGACTTGAAAGGGAATGCTTCAACTTACACCCCAGTACAATCCACGGCCTCGAATATCTCCAACATTCTTATGCCCCGCAAGTCTCTCTTTCAGCTTTGTACCTAGTACCTTGCCCATTTGTTCCACATTCTGCAGCATGTTATCGTCTTTTACAACACACTGCACAGCATATGCAGCTGCACACGCAACGGGGTGGCCCTGGTAGGTCTGACTATGCGAGAAGGCCCCAGAGCCTTGGGCGAGAGTGTCAGCGACCTTTTTTCCAACTAGCAATGCTCCTACAGGCATGTAGCCAGCTCCTAGCCCCTTGGCTACGGTTTGTAGATCTGGGATGACGCCTTCTTGCTCCCAGGCGTGAAGAGTGCCAGTTCTACCCATACCGGACATTACCTCGTCCATGATGAGGAGAGCGCCATGACGATCGCACACATCTCTCATGGCCTTGAAGTACCCTGGTACTGGTGGTGCGCAACCCAGTGACTTTAAACGTCAGTAAGAACCCCTATGCGAAGAATCAAACTTACTGTTCCAGAAACCGTCTCAGCTATAAACGCACACACAGTATCGGGCCCAACACGCTGGAACTCATCGTCCAGCTCTTTTGCGAGACGTTCAACGTATTGCTGTTCTGTCTCGTCTGCTTTCATCTCTCGATAAGGATAGCAAGGAGATACATGCGAAACATTTGGAGCTAGGATGGGCTCGTACACGCCCCGTCTGGCTTTGTGGCCACCGACTGCTAACGAACCAAGGGTATTACCGTGATATGATTGTTTTCGTGCAATAAATCTTGTTCTAGATGGCTGTGGTGTTGGTAGCTCAGTGAAGTACTGCCGTGCGATTTTAAGAGCTGCTTCAACAGCCTCGGTGCCTGGCATTGGATGTCAATGATGGATCTTGGCGCAGGTTCAATATGAATAGTTACCGGAGCTGACGATAAATACTTTTGACATCGCTCCATTAGTAGACTCGGTCAAGAAACTCGATATCTTTTCCGCAGCTTCGGTTGTAAAGAAAGGATTGTAGCAATAGGCGACCTGGTCAAGCTGAGCGGCGATAGCATCCTTGACCCTCGATTGGTTATGTCCAATTGAAACGACAGCGGCACCTGATGAAGCATCTAGAATTTTATAGCCTTGATGTGTTTCCAGCCAACAGCCTTGGCTTTTGATAATTCTCGGGGGTGGGCTGTCGATTCTGGCATGGAGAGTTGAGACGCTGGCGCGGCTGGTATATGGGATGAAGCTGGTATTGCGAAATGCTCCTCGGGCGATGGCGCCCGGCTTATGAGAAGTAAGAAGCCTCATTTCCACAGCCTGTGCAAGAATGTGATATGAAGTGAGTTGGAAGAGTAGTGGTAGAACAAGCGATATCAGTGCGACGCCTATCTATAAGTCTCCTCACTTCACTATCTTCGCGGCTGTTACTCCGTACTACCGTAGTACATCCCGTATAGGGAACCAAAGTGAGAAAAGGCGTCCAATGGCGTTGAATTTGATAATATGCCGTTGATAAACTACCCCAGGATTGTTTTCACGACAGCGGCGTCTCCATCGGCCTGCTCAATCTGGTATAGTTGCTTTTTGGCCAAGATAAAGGATAGTCGAGGCTAGCGACGGTCCGGTCAAGGCGTTCCGGTGCATGAAGCCGACATCATGTTGTTCCAACTTTGAAAGCAATGAGACTTGAAATCAATAATGATACAAATCAGTAGTTCTTTCTCTATGACACGTCAGTCTTATGATGATTAAGTTGGGCTGGTTAATAAACAGAAGCTTGTCAGGAAACGACTACTGCCAGCGACAATTCTGATATCACCTACAATTCATGTGGTGGGGAGTGGATATCATCATAAATTCACTTAAGATTTAGATTCACGATAAATGAAGTCTATCTCTTCTTTTTATCTTTATATTTTTATCTAAACCTATAAGAACTTGAAGAGCCCACACTAAGCCCTTACATAACCCTATAGACAGGATACTCATCACCGACCTCAAGAGGAATAATATTGAAACTGGCATAAGAGTCAATATTCTCCGGCTCAAGCGCAACAAAAGCTAACCCAGCATTCTTCTGCTTGGTGCCAACAAGGAAGCTCCCAGCCGGTAGCGTAAGCTGTCGCTTCTTCGCCTCGGTCGTAATAGTTGCGAGCACAGTGCCTTCGTAGTAAGAACTGCTAAGCTCAGACGACGTGACGTTCAGCGCTTCAACTGTGCCGCTCCAGGGCTTGTTGAGTGTCTCGACTTCAAGTCCCGAAATCTTGAGACGCTCAACAATACCTGTCCAAGCAATAGGGATGAGGTAAGACTCTGGTCGAGAACGGGTGAGGTTTGCGGTCGTGGGTGTCGTGGAAGCGAACTGAACGGGAACTTTGACGAGGGATCCGTCTTTTTGATCAATCATCTGGAACTGTCGCGTGCGGTACTTGGTAGAGTCTGTAATCACGATGGGTTCCTTGGACTTGGTAAAATCCTTGATACCGCCCTCAATAGTCTTGAACACCTTCTGGGCGTTATTAGCAGCCGTGTCGATAATCGCGCTGGCCATGGTGAGACCAGCAGCAGTTCGTCGTTGGAACTGTTGATCTGCAAGACCAATTCCTCGCATCTCGATGAGAAATGTGACGGTTTGGGAAAGGCCCATTGCATTGCGGCCGATCTTGGCGTCCGAGCCAGCTTCATCGAATCTAACTCCTGTTAGCTGGATTCTCTCCACAGGTTGAGGAGAGAACTTACTTGGGCACATAATCGGGATCAGTGCTAGTTTGTCCAGTCACATATGGCTCCCAGCGCAATCCCGCCTTGACCATAGCATCGCCAATGTTCTTCGCAAACAACTTCTCAGAAAGCTCTCGAATATCCTTATTGATATTGAGATTCTTCGCAGCAGAGAAAAGACCATCTGCAGCTTGAACGTATTTACCGTATTTGCTCGATGATCCATACTCATGCATATCGATCGCAACATGAGGCGCATACTCGTTGAAGAGTTGCTTGATATCACGGGTCTGCTGACGCGCGAGCTTTATGTGATCGCGATTAGGGTCCAAGTTGGTAGCCAGCACACGCTGGAAGTAGTAAACTCCATCAGGGTTGTATCGAGGCAGGATCACAATATCAACATTCTTGAGGACTTTGGAAGCCCATTTTGGGTTTTTGTCGAACTTGCCGAGGAGGGTCAGGAGGGATTGGTCACCAGCAGGCTCATTGCCATGTACCGCACCCTGGATGTAGATTCGCACCTTTTCCGAGGTCTTGGGACCCTTTGAAGTGGAAAGTTTCACAAAAGGGAACGAACGGTGTTCCTCAGAGGTGAAGTTTGCACTTTGATAACTCATGTAGTCGTTCTTTGCGGCAATGGTCTCCATATATGCCTCTGTTTGGGATTAGAATTTAGTTGTCCTTGTAAATTCCAGATATGTGATGTGATACATACCCATATCCTCGTGAGAGGTTGGACCTTGTGTGCCATTCTTGAAGCCCGATTGCCTGGTGGCAGGGTCAAGAAAGGCTGGAGCATACAGGTCAATATCAACGTCCTTGAAATTGGCGGCCACTACTTCGGAGTCTTTCCGAACAGTGACGTGGTTGTAACCATACTGGACGGCGTTCACAGCCGACGCAGCTGAGAGGCCAATGAGGCAGATTGCGTTTTTCAACATGTCTGCCAATTGAGGTGCCTTGAGGGAAGAGTAGATCGTACTGGCAGGGCGATACGAGGGTTGTGGCCCTTTTATAGGACAACGGCAGAAGGATCCCAAATAGGTAGTTCGTTATGTACAGCTCTACTTCTTGCTTCCATCCTCCGATCGGCTTTATCTCTCGTAATTTCGACTGATCGTCACACAGTACAGGGCTAGTAATCCGTTTAAACATGATTTAAAAAGAAGACTTGTCTTGGCACTGAGGAGAGTAGCTTGATAAGGAAGCTGGCAAGACCGGGGATAGTGGGTCGTATGTAACATTAAGCTTATTGCAAGTTCGTGCGGGGTTATAGAGGTTAATCGCCTTCAAGAAGTTGCTTTTCATAGGAGAGAACATCCCTTTTTCTAAAGTTGATTTTTTTTGTATGCGTATTCCTTTCGCGTTACTCTGTAGAAGGACGAGGGATAAATGGAGCCTTTGAATAGGAGACTCTACCTATAGATCACCAACACCAAGGTCGCCGCCAACCTCAATCCATGTAATGATCGGCAAGATAAGACTTGCCGGACAACAAGCCGAAGAGGAAATTCTATGGGATCTCCGGGGTTGGCTTGACCGATAACGCACAATACGTGATACCTCCGCCGGGATAGACAGGCCTCAATGATCTGGATGGGGCTGAACCTTACTTCCCAACGCCTAGAGACTTCGATGTTGGGGTTCATAGCATGTTCCCAAATCCGTAGTGAAGAAGATTACTTTGAATTTCTCTTGAGCCCAGGTCTTGATGAAATTGTGGTATCTTACCGATGTTCGACGCGTCAGGGTTGCTTCTGCTTTTTGGCAAGTGAGCTTGTACACAGCCTGCCACAAATTCACAAACCAAGGCTATCTAATACTGTTTCGTATGCATTTGAAGTTACAGTGTCTATAAATGAGTCCTGATTGGCTACCAGATGCTGGATTTTCCAGGTGGCTGTATCGTAGCAATCCTGAAATGTATCATAAGCTGCAACAATTCTAGTTGAACCACCCAACACTAGAGGACAAGGCAAATCGCTTTGGCGTAGAATAAGGCAAGCCATGGTCTACTTGCATGTAGACGAAGATTTAAAGTTACTGTGCCGTCCTAGTCAGCATTCCATGTAGTTGTACCAGAAGCATTACTGGAATGCTTTTTGCAGAGAACCTTATACATAAGTAGTCTTCAATATTCTTAACTTTAATATATCCCAAAGGTAATAGACTATCACCTGATCTATATTGACTTTAAAATGCCAATAAATAAGTATGACTAAGGCTCACCCCAGCCATCACCATCCTTGTCGTAGGCAAATCACAACCTCCGCTTCTTCCGACACTAAACACCAACCAACTATTCAGACAAGATGCTCATCCCACGCAACGAATCGAGCTCAAAATTAACGCGCCGAATTATCTTTTATCACCAAACTCACTATCGAGATGATCGGTACATTTCAATCCAGCCCACAATCCTTCCCGGCGCTGGTGTCACACACGTCATTGTCGCAGCGATTCATTTGAACTCTGATCGCATTACCCTCAATGATGATGTGTACGACTCAGATAAGTTTATCCCACTGTGGGATGAAATCCGTCAACTTCAAGCAGCCGGCATAAAAGTGCTCGGCATGCTTGGAGGTGCGGCGCAGGGCTCGTACACGAAGCTTGACGGCTCGCTTGAGGGCTTCCACAGATGGTATCAGCCGCTGCGCAAGATGATTGCCTGGGCCAAATTTGACGGGCTGGATCTTGATATTGAAGAAGCCATGTCGTTGGGCGGTGTAGTCCGCCTGATCGACCATCTAAAAACCGACTTTGGGCAATCCTTCCTCGTCACACTTGCGCCTGTCGCACCGGCTCTGCTTAACAGGCAGAACCTAGGCGGTTTTAACATCGAAGAGCTTGAGAAAGGGCTCGGTTCACGAATAGCATGGTATAACACACAGTTCTATTGTGGATGGGGCGACATGAGCAAGACGCACGACTACGACACCATCATCGCGCGCGGCTGGCCACAGGAAAAGGTCGTCATAGGTCTTGTCACCAACGCGTCGAATTGCTCGGGACACGTAAAAGAAGCAAAACTGCGCGAATGTCTCAATGAGCTTGTAAGCAGATATCCGCGGATCGGTGGAGTAATGGGCTGGGAATACTGGTAAGTGTAGCTGTGGATGCTCGCAGTGTATCCGTTAAGCTAGCAACGTTTTGATGTGCTGACATGTCTAGGAACGCTACGACGGAGGAAAGCCCCGAGATTGGCACGCCGTGGAAGTGGGCCGAGATGATCAATGACATGTTGAATTCAGATGCAAAGGGAGGAGATGGTCCTAGCGGGTAACGAGCGCTGCAGAAAAAAGGAAATATGAGTGTCATGATCGAGACTTTGTCGTTTCGATATATATCTATGACGACAACCGTGCGCCACGCATCAAGGGGCACGCGACAAGTGCCTACAAAGACCCCAGATTCTCTTTCCAATCTCATACTTTAATCTAGATCTAGACATCAAGGTGTTTATTTATTCTAACCTTGATCTATTGCCAAGATCATACGCACATCAGTCAAAATGGGTTCCGATGATGACGAGAAGCATATGGAGAACCACCAACACGAGTTCTCCCATGACAACCATGACGACTGGGAGACTCAGCCTCCGTACACAAGACCCGATGACGCTACTAAAGAGCGAGAGAATTTTGAGAAAAAAGTCCACGGTTCCTGTCATTGTGGACAAGTTCAGTATTGGCTGAACAGCGACAAGCCACTTGCATCTAAGTTCTGCCATTGTATAGACTGCAAGAAAATTCATGGTAGCTCATCCAACCCTATACTATTTATGACCTAATAACTCTAGGCGCTCCTTTCCAATGGGCTGCTATTTTCAAAAAGACCGACATCTCGTTTGAGAACGGTGTTAAGGGACTTCGTTTCTACAAGACTTCATCCAAGAAGAACGAGCACGTTCTTCCTTGTAAGGTTGGTTGCTCCGAGTGTGGTAGCTGGATCATGGATGAGGGACGAAACATGGTCTTACTATTCCCTACGCTGTTGAACCTTGATACACCTCAACTGCGTGAGAACTTCCAGCCTCAGTAAGTTAAACCCCACGGTATGCCGATAGATAAAGACTAACCAGAATAGGTGCCACATCTTCTACGCCTCACGTGTCGTCGACATTCCCGATGGAAAGGACAAGTGGACAAAGCTCGATAAGAAAAGCGAACTCATGGAGGATGTGGAGTAAGTGATGAATTATTTACACAGAAGCGGCGGCGTTATAGGGAATGTTTTGGGCTGATGTAGGACATTACTAGTAACGAAGAACCACCCACCAAGAAAGTAAAATTATGAAACAGATTCACGCATGGAATATAGTAGGGGAGTTGTCCGACATAGATGATAGTTTTGACTATAATTTTCAACAAATCTCATTCTGGGCGAATGCCTTAGCATGATTCATCTGAACATACATCGACGTCAGGATCCCAAAACCGGTAGACTCTCAAGGTTGAAATGTATCGTCTTCATCGTTGGTGTTTGCCACTGATCCTCCAACCTCGTCGTCGCCGGTCGGAATCTAGAACAACATTTCTACAGCGACCAGGAGTCTTAGGAAAGGCATGGGATCTGATACGTCGAGGTGTATCGATCTGCGTAGACTGGCTTCCACCATTGTCGTCGCCAACCTGGGTGTCAAAGCTCTCCGTCACTGTTGTAACGTTCTTGCCACTGGACTTGTTCGATCGATATCGTTTACTCAACGCAATAAAGACATCTGTCATCTCGGAGTCATCAAGCTCGGCAAGACACCCATTAATAGCCGCTATCAAAGATTAGTATTCAACAAACAATAAACGAAGCCTTTAACCTACCAGTATTTTCATCGTCGAGGGCCTTACTAAGACTTTCCTTCGCCGCATTGATAAAAGCAATAGCTAATGCTTTGGTATTCTTGGTTCGTTTCATTAGGGGCTTGGAAGATGGGCTTTCCTGAATGAAATGTTTAAAGAACCCATCGAGTGATTCTAGCTTTTCTATGATATTGCCGAATGGAGTGGCTTAAGCTAGAATTTCGTCGGCGGTTGTCTCTCCAGCGAAGGATCGACGACCGACACTACCCATGGATGAACGACGGCTGGTGTTTCCCGACACTCCGGCATTTATGCATAGGGAAATATCTTCGAACGCCCAATTACGATAGAAATTTAAATAAGGATCTCATTAACTACTACTTTGATCCAAACCTTACCTGAGTACGGATAGCCGAGCTCAATTGCCTTGGGGATGTGTTGGCAGGATCCGACCCACCCTATAGCAGCGCGTCACATCAAGACTGTATAAGTGCAAATTGCGAATCTTCCTTTCAACCAATCACAAAGCAATCCGGGCGAATGGTTTAGTGGTATAATACTCCCTTAGCATGTTCTAACCATCATGGGAGTGGTCCAGGGTTCGATTCCCTGTTCGTCCATGTTCGGTGGTTAGATTCCACCTTCACCACAACTTTTTGATGTTTTAAGAGGTGATATCTTTTGGCGGTGCAGACAGAGTTCGTGCCTTGCAGTATCTTTGTGTGTCGGTCTCTATTCACATGAAAAGTAGAAGAGATATGGAGTCATGTCAGTGTTATCACTCTGAACATGCGAAGATCTCGAGACTTCTCCCTAGCACATCCCATGAACGCCAATTTGTTAAGATACCCCATCGACTAAGCGTGAGTAGAGGGAACGGTGTTCTGCCCTAACATAGCTGACAGATTGAACGATATATTCTGGGCCAATGTTCTGTCAATTGAATAGGTGGACAACTAACAGCAAGGAACATCAAATGTCGCTGTATAAATTGCCACAACTTTCCAGACTCTATCAAAGACAAAAACTGACAACATAAGCGTTGTATCAGACAGTACAAGAAATTTACTCACTCTGTTCTATCAAGATACAACACACTAACTCACCTTTCCCTAGCTACTAACCATGGATCCCTCGAACCCAAACAACAACAAGGCAAGCAGAGTCTACGATCCTGTCCGGGACGTATTCACTACGCTGGAGACAACTAAATCGATCAACAGTGTCGCTGACCGGCACAACCAGATTAACAACCAACTTGACAACCAACTTGACAATGTGTTCAACGGTCCGGCTTTCGAGTCATTTGATCCATTTTACGGCGGGTTTGGCGGGTATGATGGACTTGACTGGTACGACGAACTTGATGGGTTTGATGGGCTTGATGGTCAGCTTTACCCCCCAGTTGACAATGCATTTGACGGCCCGGTTCTCAACCCAGCCAACGAACCTGACAACCCAATCCCTGACAACAGTGCTCAAGCCGACGCAGCCACTAACCCTACCAAAAAGTGCACCAGGTGTCGAAACCAGACAACCAACCCCAAGTCATGCAACGAGTGTTGCGCCAAGATGGTTGCGCAAAGGAAGGCCTGGATCAGCCAAGGCATTTGTTCCAGATGTGGAAAGAATCCGGCTCGCCAAGATGCAAACGGCGAAAGGGGTAAGAGGTGTGAGGAGTGTTTGGCGAAGCGGAGAGCCGAGACTGCGGATGCTAGGGAGAGGAGAAATGCTGCAAAGGCACTCATGGAGTTGAGTCGAGGTTAATTCATGCAGTTTGGCTGGACTGAATGCTGCTGGCGGCAAAGGTCAGGAAACAGCGAGAATTCATTACCTGGGAATCAGAGAGCGGAAATGAAGGAGCGAGACAGAAAAAAAGATCAGGGTAGACATATTGATAAAAGACACTGGGATAGTTGGCGTTAAGTCATTAGAGGTAAGAATTTGGTACTAGTTTTGCGTAGCGCTTTGATAGAGAATGAACGATAGTCCACTAAGACTGATAGGTTCTGGAATTAAGTGATGTACTGAGTATAAACAGGTAACTGATACTGCTCATGCTATCTTTTACAATGTGAGTCTCGGATATAAGTGTAATGCGATGTCAGTTTGTATAGCCTATAGGAGCAAGGAGATTATTGGAACCTTTGCTCACCAAATGTAAAAATGGCGTTCATATTTCCATGCTTGGACAGCTGTCAAGAGACATGCCCAATAGAATGGTCTGATGAAGTCTCTGTGACATGGAAGTAAAAGAAAACGCCTAGGGCCCAGACAATCACACCCTTCATGTGGTACGACCAGGAAGTCTCAATTGTTTGACCACAAGCAAGATGGACCTTGCGTGTATTTCACAATCAGAATGCCATCTTCCTGTCACCCTTTATAATGAAGATTCGGCAGTAATACTCATCACTATGAGTGCCTTGGTAGTGCTTATCATCTAACCCAAACTATACTGGGTTGGAATCCTTCGTGCTTATTCCGAACTCTCACCCTCAACGTCATCTCTTACCCTCGACATCTCGACGACACGAGATAGAAAAACTCAAAACTCCAAATCTTTTTCTAAAACATCCGAATTATCAAGACATACTAAGACTACCCTAAATACTTGAGTCTTCCGTTATGGCAGCTGTACGAGCGGCAGTAAAGCCCGCCCTCGTCATTATCCCTGGCAATTTCAGCTTACCTCGCTTCTGGAGCACCTTCCAGCAGTCAGCCCAAGACAAAGGATATCTCTCCGAAGTCGTCGCCCTCAGTTCATCCCGCGAACAAACCATTGATCCCGCACCAGGTTTGGCCGACGACGTGAAGCAGGCTTCTTCTGTTCTGAACAAGCACATTGACCAAGGCAAGGATGTCGTCCTGCTCATGCATTCGTACGGAGGAATGGTAGGGACCGAGGCTACGCGTGGTCTGAGTCGCGTTGAGCGTGAGAAAGCTGGTCTGAAGGGTGGGATCATTCGCCTGGTGTTCTTGGCCGCTATTTTTGCGCCGCCGGGTAAAAGCTCGCGGGGTTTGTACGAGGCGAATCCCGGTCGTTATCCCCGCCGCGAGGTTCGTGAAACCTGGTCTAATTGAGAATATAAGAGTATTCTAACATAAATAAGGGAGATTACTTGATATGCGACGAAGACACCGCCATGTGCTTCTACAGCGACCTCACCAAGGAGCAGGGACTTCCACTAGCCCAGGCTGCATCCAAGGTCTACCAGGCCGTCAGAGTTTTTGGCGATGAGCAAACCTACGACGGATTTCACAAGTTGATTCCCTCTAGCTACATCCTGACTCGCAAGGATATACTTGTACCCGAGCCAGCTCAGCGACAGTTTATCTCACGACTTGAAGAGAACGGAGGTCGAACTGTGCCTGTGTTTGAAATTGATACTGGACATTCACCTCACCAGACTGATCCCCCATTGCTGATGGAAACATTGGAAAATGTCCTTAAGCAAGATACCTAGTTGAGAAACTGGTATGGCTGAAGTATGCACGAATGGCCATCTTTGAGGTTGGGTGGACTGAGTAGGAGTGGTACAAGTATGAGAGTGGCAATTATTCAAGGACATGAATCAAAATCGCGTACATTAAGTTCTGAATCATTCCAGGGTGCGGGAAGAGGAAGAAATCTCACCTTATCGTATATCCTTCAATGGCAGAGCTGACGCAGCCACATTACCAACCCAACATCCAGGCTCAAAGGCCATTGTATCTAGACCTCAACCTGCCACAAAGGAGTCCAGGGATCTCTTTGTATGGCTCACTACATTCCTTAGATAACCTAACAGCTCTTCGTAAACAGTGTTTAATCCTTGGCTGAAGGGCTGATCATGTCTCAGCGCCACTCCCTTGCGTCTCTCCTGTAGATCCACGACGACTTCAGCTCGGCACTCGGCAGTGTGTTCGAGCGACGAGCAGTCAGAGAGGAAGTAATATTTACTCTAAGAGACAGAACATAATACTTCATGTTTTGGTCTTCGCATCTTGCAATGTTCGTCGCTTAAGGTCAATTCTGTGTAACAGCGTATGGCAGATCGAGGTCTATAACTAAATATCCCATAAGTACTATTGATATATAATATTGCCTTCACGATGCTTAAAAAGATTTTGTCTATCAATAGCTATCCATTAAAACCTGTCAGTATTGAAGAGTGGATGCTCTAGCCTGGTAGCAGTTCTGAGGGTGACAGACAATGCCCCTTATTCAAGTGAGACATTGTGGCCGGTCATCGCCCTTCATTCCTCCCACTCCATCTCGCCTCCCTCAAACACGCTACGATTTGAATCGATACAGAAAAATTCCAGCACCGTAAAAGTTTTCCTCAATTAGTGCGTTTCATCAGATGCAGTTCGTATGCCTCCAACCACACCTGAGAACGATGCTGTACTCTCCCTGCGTAGCTAGTCCGCCCCAGCCACAGTGAGAGCCAAGCGTCTGGTATGCACAACTCCCAGGATGGCTGTTTAATGGTTATAGCATTTTTTGAGGGAATAATCGTGGGTATTCAGCCACTTGGGCGGTATGTCTCGCGCGAGAACAATGCAGAATTCGATACGAAGGTCAATAGGAGTAAGGACTTCAATATGGCGTTCCAGAATGGGCCAGGGGTGTTGAGCCATGTATATCAAGCAGACCGTTTCTCGTCATTGAGTAAGTCTATCATCACCACACAGCTTCATCGCAACCAGCACCAGAGACATTTCCCACCTCTCTACAATCATCAACAGTCAGCTTCATACTCATAAACCTCTGCGACAATGAGAACATCACTGGCTCTCTTGGCCCTTGCTGCCACAGCATTTGCTGTCCCTCAAGCAGTGACAGAAGACATTGCCCCCAAAGATGGCCCTCCTAAAGGATGCACTTCATCATATGACGGAAAGTTTGAAGTCACCATCTTCACACCAGGTAACGCAAAGCGCGATATCACCGAGGTAAGACACGCTCAATTCCATGCTCAATCTATCACTAACCCCTTCAAAGCGATCTTGCAACGGCGAGGGCGTTCTGGTCCTAAGTCTCAAGGACGGTGTCCTCAAAGACGCCAAAGACCGAACAGGCTATATTTCCGACAGCTTCCAATTCCAATTCGACAAACCCGCCCAAGCTGGTGCCATCTACACCTCCGGTTTCTCAGTATGCTCAAACGGAACACTCGCCTTCGGACCCTCTGCTATCTTCTGGCAATGCCAATCTGGCGACTTCTACAACCTATACGACCGCAATTGGGCCGAGCAGTGCGAGCCTGTTGAGTTTGGCGTCATGCCCTGCGGCGGCAAGAGCTCAAAGTCTGCACCCAAGAAGAGGATCGTTGGGAGCAGCGTTATCGCAACCACTGTCGTGACTGTTGTTTCCGATGGCACGACCAAGGAAGTCCCTACAACTATCGCAGTGCCTATGTGTCAGATCGGGGATGGACAGGTCCAGGTTCGCACAACTCCCTGCGATGACATGGAACTTCCCATCATCACTGCACCACCTGTCAGCCAAGTGTCGGATGGCAAGCTCCAGGTTCCCACAACTGCCCCTCCTGCTCCCCCTCCTGCCCAGCGCAAACCTGCGGTGCCAGAGAAGCCAGCGAGTGATGAGCCTGCCAAGGGCGAGGGCGGCGATGCTGCTGATAAGTGTGATGGCTCCCCCAGCGAATGCGGTTCTCACTCAGGTGGCGCACCAGGAGATGAACCCAAACCCGCAGGCGGTGATACTCAGCCCGGCGCCAGCCCTGCCGGCAACGACGCACCTGAGAACACAGGTGCAGCTACCCCAGGCAAAGACGACAAACCCTCCAGCGACAAGCCTTCAAACAGTGGTCAAGGAGCCGCTAGCAAGTCGAAGCCCACCCGGACCGAGGAAGAAGTGCTGGCCACTGACTCCGGCTCACCCACTGGCACCGAGGAGACTGGGTCTTCTCAAAGCAAGAGCACACGGGCGGTTAAGCCATTCAAGCCTCAAAGTACCGACAGCAATGATGCGGAGGAGACGGGGAGTGGCTCAGATGCAGGTTCAGACGATGGCTCGTCCGATGCGGCGCAATCGGATGCATTTAGGGTTGTTGCTAGTGTTGGGATGATGATTGTGTCTGGTGTGCTTGGCAGTTTGTTAATTCTGTAGAGACATTCGGGTTTTGATGATGTATATGCCCTCTTAGCACGAGTGTGGTGTTTGGTTTGCCTTTTGTTTGGTGGTGGATCTGTTCTTGTTAGTAAATCTCGACATGTTTCATAGGCTATTTACACGAATAAAGATTTTGCATGCATTAGAACAATTACGTTGCATTAAAACTCGTCGCATAGTGACACATCGTAATGTTTGAGGAGAGATTTTGCTGGCAACGTTCTTTGTCAAGTATGATTCCTCATCATTACCCCACTGCAAACGACGCCAGTGGACCGGCTTCGGCACTATCAGCAGGCATCTGACTGCAGTATCCGTATTTTACAGTGCATGTCATTTTATGAGGGGTCTACTTAAACTCCCACCTCCCTTTGAGAATATCGCCCGTTTCCATCAAGCAATACTTGGGCAAACCGACATAATGTCAAGCCAATTCGCATTGACGCCAAATTTGGTAATTGCTATCATACTGGGGGCACCCATCCTCATCTTGTTGTACCAAAATGTTGTCTCCACACCAAAAGAGCTTCGCAATCTGTACCGAGAAGGCGTCACATCCAGCAACATGAGCGATCAAACAGACTCCAAATACGACCTCCCAGAAGATAACAAAGCCAATGGCCCAGTCCGTATCAAGGCCATTTTCGTACACCCTATCAAATCCTGCGCACCCGTGGAACTGCATTGCGCACAGCTTGTGAAGAGCGGTTTCCTGTGGGACCGATGCTTCGCTCTAGCGACCGAGGTCAATCGACCAGAGTCAGAGGGGGGTCCGATATGGCGCTTTATCAGCCAGCGCACCAAACCGCTCATGTCTCAGATTAAAACTGAGTTATGGCTTGGTCGTGGAGATATCGACGCGAGGGGTCCCCTGGTCCGGTCAGCGGGCTATCTCGTCTTCAAGTTTCCAGACCCAGATCCTCTTAGTTGGCTTGATCGAATGTGGCAGTTGTTTGATCTTCGCCAGAAAGAAGTGTCTGTGGTTGTGCCACTACATCCTGACGAGGCGTACCAAAAAAAGCACGTCATAGCAATGAAGCCATTCACCATCCATTCCAGAGAAGCAAAAGGCCTGGATATGGGCAATGCACCATCGGTAGCCGCCGTGCTCCCCAAACTGAAGCGCTTCCTCAACATCCCAGAACATCAAAACCTTACCCTCCTGCAGTGCACACCAAACACGCTTGTGCGCACTGAAAAGAACCTTGCGCCTCTGGAACACATTGGAAGACCAGCTGTTCACGGCTACACAGACCAACAGCCCGTCAACATCAACAACCTGGCATCCGTGCACGCTGTATCTGCTCTCCTACCTGCCGAAAACCAGCCACTCAACGCCCTTCGTTTCCGCGCAAACATCTGGATCACGGGTGCCCCAGCGTTTGATGAGGAGACATGGAAACGATGCCGCGTTGTTCCAAAACAACAAGGTGGCGTTGAGAGTGTGTCGCCCAAGCTGTCTGTTGTCTGCAGGACCTCCCGCTGCACGATGCCAAATGTGAATCCTTGCACAGGTAAATTTAGTACGGAAACTCCAGATGGAGAAAAGACGAGGGGACGGGCGCAGCCGAGTTCAACGCTGATCAAACACCGCACGGTGGAAGATGGAAATCCTAAGGCGCTTGGCTACATCGGTATGCATTGCGTCCCGGAGGACTTGGGTTTGGAGGAGGCTGCAACGAGAGATCAGGGCTTGTATGTCCGAGTCGGTGATGAAATTGAGGTTCTTGGGCGAGGCATACACCACTATGGATCCACTGGTAATGATTACTAGTTGTTGTTTGGGAGTAGAGGTTCCGTCATCATCAAGACTTTGGAAGGGAAAGATAAAAGGATTATATTGTTTGGACAGCATGATAGGGAGACTATGCAAGTCCTGTACGCCAAGTGTTTGCTGTGCCAATCTGAACAACATAAGACCTTTCTCTACAATGCCGGCGCCAATCGCACACCTAAAATAATGGTATAGTGGAAGGGCGTTCACCGGATATCAAAAGCGATGACCAGGTCATAACAATAATCAATCAATCTAACTGACTATCCAACATCGTGAGTAAGGCCTGTCGGAGCTCCACCTCCGTACTTGTCAACTTGGCACCAAATCTCGAACAAACAGCCTCGACATTTCCTCTCTTTTTGTAGTCATCATGAGCACAAACAATGACCTTCTTAGTTTTGACCGCCAACCCGAGCTCCATGAGGCTGATGGGCGCCTCCGTTGCCCTGTGAAACATGAATACAAGAATGTCCGCCGCCTCTTGCATATCAAGCTCCCACCTAACCTGCTCCTCCCACCGGTTGTCTGAGAAATTCTCCTTCCACGTACTGTCCCAATCAGGTCTGTTTGGGTTTAGAATAGTCACTGGCCGATCTTGTAGAGCGTCTGTAAGTGTTTCGCGCCAGTCGGGCTCTCCTGTGTTTGTTGTGATGCCTGCCAGGAATATTGATGGTTTTTGCGTGTCCAGGTCTGGCCTTTGCGGAGCCATGACGATTCGAGCTTGCGAGACCATGTTTGAGCAATTACCGGACTGAGTATTTGATAGGTTGATTAGTTTAGTAGTTTACGGAGTACTAATTGAAACAAATTGTATGTAAAAGGCCTCATGTCCCCGCCTTTCGAGATAGCTACAGTTGCTTAGTTATCAAATGCAGGCTGGCCAAGGCATAATTGGCCAGACAAGTTTAACGTCAAGGTTTCCCGCTGCATGATGATTATCTTGCTTGCTTTTCCTTCGCAATACACTCTGTAGTTTTGATCGTGGTGATTCCAACAACGAGACATACAGTTGAACAAGTAGAGCAGAGATATTGAACCATTGCAGGATTCACCTGAGACTAGTACTTAGAGTACATATATAGCAGTTACATCCCAGGACTAAAGGATTCTAGTGTGGCCTCTTCAGGGCTGACCCGCGTTCCTCCGAACATTCTGGATGGCATTCGTGGGCTGTAGGCATCCGTCGTGGGCATCTGGAACGTGTCTGTGTTGTTGATTGTGGTCTTGTAGTGTCGTCGTGTCGAAGAATCTCTGTTGTTGAGGCGCATATAAATTACAGGAATAGGGTTTTATTTCCATAACATCACTTGAGCAGTTTTATAATCAAAGAACGAACAGGCCGAGGCCGATGCTTCTCCAGTGATGAATGTTCGAGGGTTGCTCGATTGTCTGCCCACTTTATTCAGCTTATTGTTCATTCACACAACAAAGGGTTCTTTGGCTACAATGCACAATCAACTATATTCTCGAGCATTGAAAATTCTATTAATACCAGTTACTTCTATCCTTCTACTCATGTGGCGAAATATTCTCTCAGCAAATCAATCAAGACATTTTCTTTCCTTCTATAGTATACAACATGACCTCTTTCACTCCCATCAACCTTTCTATCAAGAAGACGAGCAGCAAAGCCGACGAGAACAAGAACGAGAAAAGAAACAGCAGCAGCAGCATGAGCAAAAGCACCAACAGCGTCCGACTGCAGCCTTGGCAGCTCCGGGCTCTCCAAAATGGCAGAAATCCTCTGCCAGAAGCCCCTGGAGCGAGACCCTGCATCGACCCAAGGGCGAGCTCTCATGTTGTTAGAAGCCAGTCATCAAACCCGCCTTCTTCTATAGATGTGCTCTCTTCATCTGGTACAACCAACACCGACGAGGCTTCTGGGACTGAGGTATCTCGCAACCTATTCCTCGTTCATCAAGCGTCAATAACTAACATTCGTTCAAAGGCGACGTCCATGACATACCGCTTCTGGTCAGGCAACGATATGAGGTCTCTAATTGCACTCCGCAACAGCGGTGCCACATGGCCCGATGTCTATGTAAGTTTTCCCTCCCACCCTAACTGTGAAGCAAATTACTGACAAAATGAGTAGGCGGCGTTTCCAGAAAGAACACCAGAGGCAATCAAGCAAGCATACCACAAACGACGGCACACAATCGAGCGTGAGATGGTCATGGAGGCAGAGGCAGCTTCAAACTCCCAGAGTAACGGAAACGGTGGGATGAACAATTGATTGGGGGAAAACTATGATGCAGGCATCACCACCAGACCAAACAGCAAGCTATTTAGTATTTCTTCTTTTTACCTATCTATACCCATCCTCCCTTCCATAAAGACAAGAAAGACCACAGGAAGCAGTATAAACAACAATGGCAAACAATCTGTTCAACTCTGATCTTAATAACATTTCTCGTCCTCTTCTTTCTATTCTATATATGTTTCGAACTCGAGTTGTCTGTCCATCCTGCCCCTTGCCTTCGCTCACTTGACAAGCCTCCAATATCAACACGTTTTCAAGGACATCAAACTTCTATAGGAAGACTAGTCTCTGAATACATGCAGAGAAATCAATAAGGCGGGATCGATTTCATATTTTATTCTCATAAGTCACGATATTCAACGGTGCCTCTCTTGTTATTAATAAGGGAACAAAAGTATTAATGTTGTAGTAAGTTAGGCTTTTAGCCCGTTGTTCAGCAGTCAACTGATATTGCAATAGCTATATAATGTAGATGCACGCACTGTCAGAGCTGGCCAGTACTGGCAAAAGTCCAAATTGTCTCGCTATTATTCTTTTATAGTCCCTGTTTCTTCTTTCGCATTGTATTTTCTTCTTTTCTTTCCTTATCTCTTTTTGCTTCGAAGTGGGTGATGGAAAGATTCATGCCCCTAACTTCTCCCTTGACGATATTATCAACCGCAAGGATCAAAAGCTACGAAGAAACGAGTTTGATACTCTTGATACTCAACACTCAAAGGAACATCCAGATCTCTTTGTCAAGAACCTCGGCTTTGATCAACATCTACGATTGCTGCCATTTACACAGATCATCCACCTTACCGGGAAACGGGTTCATCTCCTTAGAATCATCACAAGGAGGACATTCACTTCTCTACGATTTGCACTTGATATATCATGAAGGACTGGCAGGAGAGGGCGATCAGGGAGGGTAGAACACCTTTGCCTGACTATCTCGGGGACAAACCATCCCTGGCCACTGTTGGTGACCTACCTGCTCACCCCAAATCCGTCCAGACCGGTATCTCTTTTTCCCATCGCTCCTCTTCCGCCACCGTTTCTACTCCTGCGCCTGTAATTATTAGCTTCTGCTATGCCCCATGTACTTGGTTGACTTTTCTTAGCAGAGTCTCAATCAGTCCTACCGATTTTGGTCAGAGTCTGACCTACGTCGCCTCATCGAAATGAGAAATAGCGGAATGGAATGGAACGCTATCGCGGTCAGTGCTTCCATGGATCTCCCATATTCCTTTTCCAACCTGAGTACTGACTATTTTGCAGGTGGAATTCCCTGATCGGACACTGGAGTCTATAAAGCAGACATTCCACAAGCGACGTCACGCAGTAGAGAAGCGCATGGCCGAGGAGCGCGCCGATACCAGTAGCTAAATATCAACAAGGGTATATCCAGTCCTTCCCTGGTCACCTTTCCTATATACCAAATTGACAGTAGCCGGTATCTCTGTATTTCTTCGCGCTCATCAAATACCGTGGACATATAATTCAAGGCCTTGTTGCCTTTCAACTATCGAACACCCCCCTAATCGGTCTCTTAAATCTGTGGAACAGACCTTTCCCATAACATCAAAATTGTCGCCTTGCCTTTCCTAAACCATTTAACTTACTCTGATCATGGTGGAAAAAGATCCTTTTGAAGGAAATATTTTGCCAAAGAGAATCGATTTCGAAGAAAATGGAATGTTGCGAAATAAATCACACATGTAGGTGATACAAATCCATCACGGCAATCTATAAATAACTTAGGCCAGCATCGAGTCAACCTTGCTATTCGTAAGTAAAAGGTTTGACATTCGCGAGTTCCATCATATCACGACAATATCAAAGGATTCGCCATCAGCAAATGGTCGGTTCAGCTCTCAGCTGACATTACCCTCCCAGAGTGAATAGAGAAAGAACTACGTGAGATTCTTATTTTCAAGATCATCAAGACATATCTCCACCAAGAGTGAAATCGCTGTCCTTGTTGTTCGAGGCAGATCCTAACAGATTAATAGCTGTCACTACAATATAAGCATTTCACAGGGATACTCAACCTCAATAGGAAGAGTTTGGAACTTAGTTTGAGCCCTTTCGCGGTTAGTTGAACATAGCCCTTCTTGTTTACATAACGACTGAAGCGATAAACTATAAGTAGTGCTACGGCAGATATGTTGCTCCCATGAACTCTACCCCTACAAGGTTAATAGGACGGTTCACATACCCACAAATGAAGAGAGGGAGAGTTCGCATTCCACCGAACGGATAGCATGTGGCAATCGGGTAGAGCACAGAACTCACAAAGTTCTTTTGCGAAATATCTGGTATTTTGAAGTGGCTCCCGCCAATGTATCAATCACAGTATTATCATTGATAGTGCCGTAAGTAATAAATAACACATCAACGACCGATCTTTAATTTATCCACTTGATATTTGAATGTAAGCGTCTGATGTCCGCAAATGTGCAACCAAGTCGCATCAACTCAGGCGCGTTGAAAATAGACACTCTATTCTATTGTCACGTATTTAACTTTCGTGAAGGTCTTATTAACCTGAGAGGCTTAGGGTCTAAAGTATGACTATAAAGTATGTCGTGACCTTCCTTACAAGAGTTCAAGTCTTCCGTCCTGCTTCCTTTACTCAACACTTTCTCTTTCCAAAAATCGGTTCCAAAGTCATCAACAATCACCATCATCACTATCTCTATAATCTTGTTATAAGCGACGATGCCCTCCAGGCCTACCTACTCCAAAGGCAGTTCTGCCAAAATGACAGCCCGGCCTACTAGGATCACCCAGTGGCAACAGCGTGCTCTCGACAATGGAAGGACTCCTCTACTTGAGGCCCCCGGTTTGAGACCTTGGTTGAGAGAGCAATTATCTGATGGAGCAGCACCGCCCGCTCGAGCTGTGCTACGACCATTGGCTCCTGCTCCCGCTCCAGCTCAAGATACCGCGACTGTAACCCCTAAGTCCACTCAATTATCCTCTACCACGACTGAGGGATCGGCCGAGCCATCATCTGTAAGTGTCGAAGATATCTTGTATATGTAATTACGGGACCGAAGCTAACAGTGATTCGTTTTAGCAAACTCCCTCATCTTCCCCTCCTGATGAAAAGTCTCAGTCTCAAAAGAAGGAGAAGAAAGACAGCAAGTAGCTTGGGTGTCATATGGAAAGGATCGACATATTATACTAGGATGAGAGTTTCGGTATAGAACTGTCTGAAGTTTATATCGTTTGAAGTCACAAGCAAGTTTTGTTATGGGCATACCCAGAGTGCATTGGTCCTCTTTTTGTATTGAATATTTCAAGGATAGGGCTTTCTACCGCCAAAATCAATCACACAGACCATGTCATAAAAAAAAGCAAAGTGATCCTAAAAAGCGAAGCCATCATGATGAATGATCGATCGATGGTGGTTTACACCGAAGTCGGTGCAACAATTAGCCGCGCGTGTCCTGAAGCGGATCCACTCGCCTCCCGCGTTTCGTTCCCCACATTGTAAACTTGTGCCTTCCAATTCCGCTCTACGGTGGCGGGGTATTGATACAACGCCAGCTTCATTCATCACCATTTCCACTCTTCAACACACTTTTCTTTTTTGGCGCAACAGTATAGTCACGTATCGCTAGACTGCCAATTCTAATCATATTGCCGAACAGGAACCTTTTTCTTACTATCAGCTACGGTCATCAATATTCACCCACTATGGATGACCAATTTGGAGGACGTACCGACGACGATCTCTTCTACGATGACTTCGAACCCGTCGAAAGCGAGACTGTGGTCACCACCGAGGCTGCCCCTGTTGCACCCCAACCCGTACCAGTAGCGCCAGTTCAAGCTCCTCCTGTACCTCAAGAAAAGCCAGTGCAGGCTCCCGCGCCATCAGCGCCCGCCCCCAAACCCGTCTCTAAGCCTCTTTCCAAGCCTGGTGGTCTCTCTTCGTCACGATACGCAGACAAGCCAGCTCCTGCCCCAGCTCCCGCCCCGGTTCCAGCTCCAGCTCCAACTCCAGTTGCAGCTCCCGCCCCGGCCTCATCCCCAGCGCCCAAGCCTGCAAAGCAACCCCCCCCGCCGACATCCAACGCACCTCCTAATGCGCCTACTGCCCCTCGAGAGAAAACCACCCATGGTTCGCAAAACACCGCCTCAAACGCCGCTGCCCGTCTGCAATCTGGCGCGAACCCTCGACATAAGCTCACCGAGGCAGAACTCGCTGCTAAGATGGAAAAGATGAAGCTCATCAATGCGGAGAATGCGCGCAAGTTCGAAAAGGCCGAGAAGGACGAGAAGGATCACGCTGCTGCGTACGCTCGTGGTATGGAAGAGGCCAAGAAGCGACGCGCAGAAGAAGCCGAGCGACGTAAGCGTGGCGAAGAGGATAGGCGCAAGTTGGAGGATGAGCGAGCGAAGAACAGGGAGAGGAAACTGAAGGCTATGGGCATGAAGGAGGGTGGCTGGGACGAGGGCAAGGACGCTCAAGAAGAGGAGGAGAATAAACGGTTCCGCGGCGCAAACGGTGGCATTCGAGGCACGAAAAGCGCTGGCCTGAGCGGGAGTCGGTACGCGTCAAAGGATACCGAGGAACACGATGTGGACCGATTTCTCGACGAGCGACATCGTGGTGGTAGAGGTAGAGGTCGCGGCCGTGGAGGACGAGGAGGTCGAGGCGGACGCGGTGGCCATGAGGGAGCGCCCCCAGCACCAGCGCCAGTCAAGCAAGCCGTCCCAGCAGCTGAAGACTTCCCAGCTCTCCCTGGTGAAGCTAAGAAGAACACACCCGCGCCATCAACCGACAAGCCAGCGTTTGCCGCAGCAGCCGCTGGACTTCCCCCGCCGCTTCCACCACTTACGGGCGGAAAGTGGGATGAAGAGATGGATGAGTATGATGAGATGAACAAAAAGTCATAGACACTGAAAAGAGATGGGGAAAGGGGAATGGCATGATAGCGGACTTGGAAGTGAGTTGGGAAAATACCATAGGCAGCATTAGTTAGACAACAGCAATAGTCAAAGCGAGATTGCAAAGAATATCTCCGTTCCCCTATTTGCTTTTATTGCGCTGAGCTCTGTCTAGAAAGGGTATTGTCCTCCATGCTCTTTAAGTCGACTTGTTCTCAATTTCCTCCATTTTACATGTAGCGCCCCAACGCCTTGACGATCCAATAAACAAATTCTTACGCTATTACCACCCTCCTCGGTATCCCCTTCCACCACGACCACCCCTATAACCTCCCGAGCCTCGTGGTCCTCTGGGACCATCGTCATCCATGGGTTGTCTTTGACGACCCTTCATCTCCTTGGGGAATGCATCGTATGTCTTCCTCATCTGAGCATAACCTAGATGCATCTTTCCGTAAAAGTGGTCTGCGAGACGGCGGTCGTTGTCAAGCCTGCTGAGATACGCACCGCAGACATCGCAGACCTGCAGCTTCTGGTGGCCTGAGGGTCCAGATGTGTCCGACAACGCTTTGAGCTCCTTTTCACGATCGGATTTGGATTGGGACGCTTGACGGACGCGGAAGAGTTCGTCTTGGGCGCGCGAGACTTCACCCATGGAACCGAGGATTTCGACTTCGAGGAGACCGTTGGTAATGGAACCTGAGAGATCAGAGATGGATTTCAGCTGGAAAAGTCAGTATTGTGATGATCTCAGAAACATATTTTGTAGACATACAAGAACATTGGTCTGGAGAATCTCGTCCGGCGTCTTCTCCAATCGTCTTTGTGCAGCATCGATTCGTCGGTTACAGTCGTCGATGTACTTTTGCAAGTCGCGCATATAATCGTACTCAAATCCATGTTTCTGCTTCTCCCTATCCGACAGCGCCTCATATTCCGTCTTCAAGCCCTCATTATGAACCTTTGGACACGGACCAATGTCCTGCTTCGTGTTTGTGAAAAGATCGTGAGGACAGGTGCCTGCGAGGTAGGAACGGCAGACTTTGGGGTCTGTAAGGGAGAGTTGAGCGGCGCGAGATGATGATGATGCGCCCATAAGCTGCTCCAGCAGCTTCCTCTGTTCGGCAGCCATATTGAATGTGTTTGTGATTGAAGATGTTGAAAGTTGGCGGGGCCTTCAAGATCCGAGATGCGACGGTATGTGGAGGAAGCGCGCCGGGGAGCTAAGTTTCTGCCATGCTCTACCGCTTACTACATCGAACCCTCCACGTCGCAGCTTCCCCAAGCTACGACACCAAGTCGATCTCACAAGGGCAAAGGTGCGATGTGAAGTCTCGATCGACTCCTACACTCCTTAAATCTCTCTCACGATGCGCCAATTCTTGGCCTATCTCCTTCTTGCCATAACTAATGGCTTCGCCCTCACATCAGCGGCAGCCTCCGGCTACCACGAGCAATTAACGCTTCGACCTTTACCCCTGTCCCAGCTCCTAGCGAGCTTCAACTTCCGAGCCAATACTTCGATCGCCGACTTTGAAGCGAACAACTTTCGACTTTTCCCTCGATCATTAGCTCAAATCTTGCAATATGCCGGCACACGGGAACTTCATCTTCGATTTACACTTGGACGATGGGACGCTCAGTCGTGGGGTGCCAGACCTTGGGATGGAACACGCGAGGGAGGCACTGGTGTTGAACTGTGGGCATGGCTGGATGCTGAGACTGATGAAGAAGCGGACGAGAAGTGGTTGACTTTGACAAATGCTTTATCTGGACTATTCTGCGCCAGTCTCAACTTCATCGACGAAACGAGGACGATTCGACCAGTTATGTCTTTCCAGCCTGACGGCGACCACTCCAACTCGTCGCTTGCCAACACCAGACTACTTCATGGTGTTTTGCCTCACGAAGTCGTCTGCACGGAAAACTTGACTCCGTTCTTGAAATTATTGCCATGCAAGGGCAAGGCTGGTATTGCTACACTACTAGATGGTCACAAACTATTCGATGCGTCTTACCAGAGCATGGCCATTGACGTGCGGCCCAAGTGTAACCCGGACGGCGAATGCTTTCTAGAGATGGAAGAGACTGTAGATATGGTTCTCGACGTTAACCGATCCAAGCGACCCCAAAGTACGTCCCTTAATCTCATCATCTTGCCCCTCTAACAAGTACCAGATAACCCCATTCCAAGACCTCCTCCAGCTCACGAGCTCCTTTGCGACACATCGAAAGATTATCACTCCGAACATAATTGCTTCCCTGCCGACAGTCTCGATGGTCAAGACTGGACTCTATCTCAAGTATTTGGCCGAGCTATGAAAGGAACGTGTCCTCTTACCGACCCCGGCGTCCCTCCGGTCTGTGTTCAAATCCCCCAGTCTCGAGACATCTATACCACCGAAGGGGCCCGCGAGATACGATCTAAAGACGGAAACTCCCGATGCTATAGTCTCGACCCCGATGCTGAACTTACTCTTATGCTCGTCAAGCCGGAGTCACAAGATGAGGACAAGATCCTGAACAAGCCCGAGACACCACTCCTCTACGCTGATCGCAGTTTCAACGGTCACGGCCAGGAACACGGTGGTGTACAGGCTATCCTGAGCAACCCCAGCGATACCGATGTCGAGTTCGTCTACATGGAATCCCTACCCTGGTTCATGCGTATCTATCTCCACACCCTCTCGGCCCGCATTGCCGATTCTCCCTCTTCTAACTCTTCCGACCTGATCAAGGAGATCTACTACCGCCCTGCCCTTGATCGTGCCCGTGGTACACAGCTCGAGCTTTTGATGCGCATCCCACCACACTGTACCGTCTTCCTCACTTATGACTTTGAGAAGGCCATTCTGCGGTACACCGAATATCCTCCCGACGCAAATCGAGGCTTCGATGTTGCTGCTGCGGTCATTACCACGCTGGAGCCTAAGGTTCTAAACATCCGCACCACAACGTTGTTACTGTATCTCCCCACGCCTGACTTTAGTATGCCGTACAATGTCATCATTTTTACATCGACTTGTATCGCGTTAGCATTTGGAGGATTGTATAATATATTGGTGAGGAGATTTGTGGGTGCAGATGAAGCGCAGGGCACGGCTTTGAAGGCGAAGCTGTTGGGGTTCATCGCTAGACTAAAAGGTAAGGCTGGGAAATAGTTACGATGTATGAGTTGTTTTCTTAATTACATTAAAAAGTGTTCATGCTACACCGTTTGCTTCCAGTTACACTCGGGCTGGAATGCGGGCATGCAATCACAGTTCCTCGCATCAAAAGATACTAATCCGCTCTGTTTACATGGTTGCAGATAGCGTCTCATTCTTCCAATCCATGGGGGAGGGAATTGGCAACTGTCGACATTTTAATGTATTACAAAGATATAAAGCGTGATATGACGCTTACAATTGTCAACGTGATAGTCCATAATAGCAAGAAGATCCCTCTGTCGAACTGACATCCACATCATCTTCGACATAGTCATCATCGGCGAATACCCCATGCTTTATGTATACGCCCAAGCCGCAAACTTATCCCCAGCAGTCTGCATTTCTATCCCCTCCACACTCAAGCATCCTCTTCCAGTGAAGGACCCTGTTGTCGCTTTGAGTACCGCTTCTTTCGTGACTGGAACATTCCTCGCTGTCGGACATGCCCAAAGGCCGGGCCTCCCCATCTCTGGCGACCACATGAGTATCGTCACAGGCATCTTGCACTCCGAAACGATCTGCGCCGCTCGGAAGCCACCCATTTGCGAGCCTGGTGGGCGGATACTGGAGTGGGCGATGGGGTACGAGATGATACCGTCGGGTGCGACAAAGATGAACTGGCCGCCAGGGACTGCCGCCTTGACGGTGTCAATGTCTTTGAAGTTGCTTATGGGATGATACGACTTACAGCGAGACCGGTCATGTTCGCGTCGACTTGCGTAGACGTTCCATCGGGACAATCAGTAGCGTTGTCCAGTCCGCAGAACGTACTTGGTCGTGCAGCACCGATGATGAAGGCTCTATTCCGGGCGTTGATGACGCGAGCGTGGATTTGAGGGATAGAGGGCGCGAATACGCTCATGGTGTAGTAGGCGCGCACCACGGCGAGCATCAGAAGGAAGGCCAGTAACTTCATTGCTGTGGGCTGAGCATGTAGACAACTTATTGGGTGTTGGCATGAACCAGATGGTTATGGGGTTGCTTAGAGAATGGGAATTTCGATCATGAGATGGTTTTGGTGAGTTGCATAAGAGAGATAAATCAAGTCGAAGAATCAGGAACAAGATATGCGCGTACTGGAAAGACCGAAGGGGAGGAAGGCGCGACCCTTTTCTACCCTATCTCTTGTTTTTGCTGTTACATCTCGCGTGGATGCCTCAAAATAGATTAGATGATTCAAATTTGCGAGAAATAGATGTCATTCCCTATCCAGTTGCATAATGAGCAGTATAATAACTTGAGTGAAATAATATTCAGCTAATCTGGCACTGATCGCATTCTCTTCAGCGGCCACGACATCTGAGGCTACACTCGCGAGATCCGATTACATGGCCACGGTCAATTCAATGATTCACGTTGCATCTTCCACTCGGCCTTACAGTCTTTACGTCGCGGCCCTGCACCGTACTCCTCCAAGCATCATGGGGCCGCGCAATCCGATCTGAGGAACACCAACACGAGCTTATCGCATTCCAGGGTTTTGGTGTTGGGGTTCCAGATGACGAGTTGCGGTGCACATGTGTTCAGGGTCTTGGGAGTGGGCAGCTGAAGTGCTGTCAGGCGTAACCTTGATATTCATGCAAATATCGAATGTCTGTAATGCTAGAAAGCCAGTTGAAACAGTCAAGGCGAAGGCTTGATGATGGAACCCGATTAGATGATCTAGTCTATTTGCGCAAAGGTCCAAGATATATCTCAGCAAGCTCATATTGAGTCGACATAGACGAGTTCCAACACGAGCTCAGGCACCGCGCACATCATCCCTCAGCGAATGCTCATCAGTCACTGCTCAATCTTGCTTTCCATCAAAACCCTGATCCTCCGCACCTCAGCAGAGCCATAAGTCTCCTCAAGTAACTCCATAACCCCCAAGGCCGTAATCTCCGGATCCCATGCATCCTTCTTTACCACAGCATTGACATCGGCATACTGGACGAAATCTCTCAAAATCTCAGCCCAGCGCGCTGTGCCTTCTGGGTTAGTATCGTAGTACTCGATCCATCCTCGCCGCTTCGCGTCACGGAGGTGGCGAAGGACAGCTAGCCATGGCGTGGTCGGCTGGCGTGTGATGAAGTGTTTGTATTCGTGGTTGGGACCTGGGTTGATGGATGATGGGTGTTCGAGAAGCCAGCGGATAAGTTTAGGTGATGAGAGGGGAAATATGGTTTTGTTTCGAGAGCAGAGGAACTCTGTTGCGTATGATAGCAGCGGTGTTGACCCGTCGTTCTCATCCTCAGTTAGGTCTGCAGACGAGTTCAAGTCCGTGACTTCTTGACAGACGTACTCCGTTAGACCAAACTTAGTAGCAAGGCACAAGAACGGTCTATGAATAGGCGGAGCCATGGCCCTAACTTCATAAGCCCCGAAAGTGCTCTTCGCCCAGTGATCGTGCGGATCAGATGGTTTAGCACGCCAAAGCCAAGAGATAGTCTTGTCCATCTCATTAATAAACCGCCGCTGCAGCTGTTCCGGATCGTTGACGACGTATCTAGCATGAGTCATGGCGAGTGCAATATCGGGATACCACTCGTCTAAGCGCCGATGATGTTCAATCTCTTCAAGGGGGTGTTTGAGACGGAGGATGTAGGATCGCAGAAGACGAAGGTGAGGATCAAAGTCTGGAGACTGAAGCGACGTGAGCCGTGAACCACCCGTTTCCATCAGCCAGTCTCGGACTGTTCGATGGATGTATATGACTTTGCTGGTAGTCACCAGAGCAGCGACGCTTGTGCGAATATTTCCAACACGCCCTCCCATGTGCACATCCAAAAGTCCAGAGAAACGAGCCCTGATATGTCCAACGGTTGTTCCGCAGCGACTTTGAATTTCTTTCTCGGTGGCCTCTTCCACTTTTCGATCGATTGCAAAGATATCGTCATCTTGGGAAAGCGCAAAGGCAATCTCCCAGACAGTCAATGAGTTGGAAGATTCATCTTTGATGAAATCTGCAACTGTCTCCCTGGCATGCATAAGCTGAAACAATGTCGCAGTCTGCATGATCTCCGAAGATGTCTGATCCTTGTAAAGAAGCTTCTCGAACAAGTCATCGAGCTCAGTAGGAAGACTCTTTAGGGTTTTGTCCAGAATGTCAAACTCGCTGGTATTCTGAAACGCAGCGAGCATTCTCTCGACGGCGAGTCTGACCCATAGGAACACTCCATCAGCCTGCTCAACTACTGAAGTGAGCAAGGTATGAATGGCTTTCTTATTCTGCTTAATCAGTTGTCGAATATGAGCATTTGTTTTGAGAGTGTCTTGTGCATAGCAGTACATGTCCTCGTAGCTAAGATCCTGTAGCTTCGTATTGGGAACGGAACTCCCGAAAGCTTTCTCAAACACGTCCCAAGGCCGAGAGGAAAGACAAAGCTTGAGCGACTTGCCGTCATATCTTGAGGTCAGCCCCATGAAGAAATCAATAATGTGACGATGATCACCGTCGAATTCATCGAGGCCATCGATGAAGAGGCAGATATTCGTCTTAGGTAATGCCGAATCCAAAAGTGAATGAAACGCAGCTTGCAAGTCTTCAGCAGACCAATCCAGAGCAAAATTGATCCTTTCTTTGGTAGTCATCTGTCGTAGTTGGGTCCAAAGGCTGGGAAATGCCTTCTCGATGAGATCAGGATCTGCAGATAACAGCTGATGCAAAAGATACCGCAACAGGCCTGTCTGGGACCTCTGCTGTCTGGAACCACTTGTCCAAAAGAAGAAGCCTGCCGTGCTCACAGGTTTCTTAACGGCCCATTTGCGAAGATAGTACACGGCCTTAGGATGTTGCGAAAGAAATCTCATAAGGGTGGATTTGCCGGAGCCTGGCTTTCCGGTGATCCAATAGATTGGACCAAAGTCCGTGCTGTTCAGCCATGCTGTGAAAGTCTCTCTGAATTTTTTACGAAGAGGCTGGCTAATAGGCGAGCCGTCAAAGATCCAGTCGAGGGTTTTTGCGTGGGCCTCTGTAACCTGACTTTCGCGATCGTGCATACTCTTGTATGCGAGGCTCTCAAGAATGAAGTCATTGATGAGACCAGCAGAAGCAAGTTTTGGGGTAGCGGTCTTGATATTAGGAGTCTGCTCAGTGTCATTTTGGGAATTTGAATCAACGATCTCAGCTGGCTCATCTGGTCCATCCTCGTGGAGTTCAGCATCAGGTTCAGCAAGTTGTAGGTCAGCAAGCTGGAGGAGACGAAGAGCACTGAAGCAGATTGGGTTAGACAGACAACATCATTAGCGTCGTTTGCACGGATACGTACTGTGAAGACGGAAGCATGTCTTGGCACTGATGCTCCATGTCTCGCAGCCGTACATGAAGAACAGTGAGGTCTTCCTGAGACCAGAGCTTACAAAAGCTGGTCCCGTCAATTCGACCGTTAAGCGATGCCAAGATACGATCGATGTGAACAACGAGGTCATCGCCTATCTGAATACAAGCGAACTTGATCAAGTAGACCGAACTAGCCTCATCTGCAACATCAATATCTTTGACACGCTGTACCGAAATAGCCAAGGCATCGGATAAGCGAGCAAAGTCTGCGTCACACTGATCTGTATAACTCTGACTGTGTATCGCTCGTACAGCATGATAAACGTCAACAATCCCAGCGAGACACGACGCGATGGCATCGGCCACAGCCTCAGACGGGAATGCAGCAACGGCCATTTTTAGTGATGTAATGGAACGTAGCGCGTGTATCAATTCTCTCTATCTATAAAACTATTCCAAACAAGATTCCTAGCGATTTACTGTGAAACTTGAAACTTTTTAGGCAGGGAAGAAAAAAAGGAAACAAAAAGAGGAGGAATGTGAAGGGATCGGAATGAGGGGTTTAAGTACTGTCACCCTCGTATTACCCATCAGTCACGCGTCAGCCCAAACCAGGCACAGAAGGATCCCTGCTTATCACATTGCAGTGAAACAGGCTGAATGCGGTGTCGAGGGCACTTTTGTACGACGATTGGTTATCGGGTATGACAAGGTTTGGCTTTGATGAGGAAACAAGTTGAGTATACCATGTTAAGCTTTGGATAAGACATTGGTACGGCTCTTTGCAAGGGTCTCAATAATTTCAATAACAGTAGAGATGAAAGTCTTGTAATGCATTGAGATTTATCATGTCAGTATCAGTACATGGGTTATACAAGTTTAACAGCTTACAAATACCCACGGGCTCGTTATCTGTTAGTAGCCATATTGGAATTTCATTTTAATAGTTTATTCACATAACCCATTGTAAAGCAATAAAGAGACATAAATCACAGCCTAACCTTAGGTATTCCCAACCCTTGCAAACTGCAGTAACGGTATCACAGCTAGCTACAGCTAGCCAAGTCAAATGCTACGCAATTGGCTGCTCACTAATGCACAGTAGCTTCTCTAAGCATGGTCCAATAGGCTGTACCACTCTCAATTTTAAGCGTCGGTTTCGGAAGATCGTATAAGAATACGCCACTCGTCCTTCTCCAAATTATTCTTCCTCACCAACAACCTCATCAACAACATCCACAATGGCGATTTACTCTCTCCTTGCGGGAGTCCTCTCACTCTCGGCTTTTACCCTGGCGGACAACACTCCCGGTCTTCCTTTTGTTATCAATACCTGGGGCGGCGACTTCACCGCTGCTACGGACGCTGCTTTTGGGGCTCTGCAGAAGACGAAGACTTCGGCGCTTGACGCCGTTGAAATTGGAGGCTTGACCTGTGAGCGCAACCAGTGCGATGGAAGTGTCGGCTTTGGAGGATCTCCTGATGAGAACTGCGAGACGACTCTTGATGCGATGATTATGGACGGAGGGAGTATGAATACTGGTGCTGTGGCGGCTTTGCGACGCGTTAAGAACGCTATCTCTGTCGCTAGACATGTCCTCGACCACACTAGCCACTCCCTCCTCGCAGGCGACCAAGCCACCGAGTTTGCTATCCAGAACGGCTTCAAGACGTCGAATCTGACGACCAAAGACTCTGCAAAGAAGTGCAAGGAGTGGAAGGCCAGTAAATGCCAGCCCAACTATCGACGCAACGTCAGCCCCAACCCAGCATCTACCTGCGGTCCCTACCGTCCGTTGGCAACCATCAAGAAGACCCAGAACAAACAGCAAGCCTCTCATGATACCCTTTCACTCGTCACCATCGCTAAAGACGGCTCCATGGCCGCCGGCACAACCACCAACGGCGCCTCCCACAAGATCCCCGGCCGTGTCGGCGACGGCCCCATTGTCGGAAGTGGCTCTTACGTCGACAGCGACATCGGCGGGTGCGGTGCCACAGGTGACGGCGACATCATGCTGCGCTTCCTCCCCTGCTACCAAGCCATCGAGAACATGCGCAACGGGCTCTCACCGAAAGAAGCAGCCGAGGACGTTGTGCTGCGCATGGTCCGCAAGTACCATGACGTCCATAGCGGCATTGTCGTCGTAGATCGGTACGGCAACCACGGCGCAGCGGGGAGTGGTTGGACTTTTACGTACAGCTACAGAGGTGGAAAGATGAAGACGACAAAGGTTGTCAAGGTGAAGCCGGTGCAGGAGGTACGTCTTGAATTGCGAAGCTTGTGATGAATGTAGTTAACAATAGATATAGGTTTGATACGAACGAAGCATGCAGCTTGCACGACTTAAAGAGAGGATGACTGTAGTTTAACTTGCCATGAGCCGTAGCGTTATTTTGAACTTTAATCCAATTTGCTTCCTAAATTGCTTTGTGCTTTAAGTGAGATCGGAGGCATTGTGTCATTATAAGTTCAGAATATCAACAACTGTCAAGTCTAAGCTACCTCCTTACAGTCAACCTGTATATTGATCAACTCTGTATCTGCCACACGAAGACTATACCCCAGAGGTTGTCAGGGTTTGAATCGGCATAAGCTTGGCCGGTCTACACTCTATTTTGAGATAGACCAAATAAGTTATGTCGTTACTAGGAGTATGACGAAATTGTGAAATTCTTCCTAATATAGCATGATTTTATAGAATCTCTACAAATCTTGTTACAATCATCTTTATTTATCTAAACTTTAGAAAACATAACGTTAGACCAAGCTAAAGTAAAGCCTAATCGTACATATGTCCGTCGCCCGTAATCTGTACCCAATAATTTATCCTTAGTAGCCCTCTCTTCGGTTAACCTTGTTAATAAAATCATTCCGTCCCTCACTCAGCCTTTCCAGATTCAACCTGAAGATATCCAACACTCTTTCAAAGTACAGCGAAGAGTTACCGCTGATATGAGGCGTAATGGTAACGTTCTTGGCCCTCCAGAGAGGATGCTCCTCTGGTAGAGGCTCCGGATCAGTAACATCCAGCGCGGCACCAGCGATGGTCTCTGAATTCAGTGCCTCGATGAGGTCATCTGTGTTGACAATAGGTCCGCGAGCAATGTTAATCACAAAGGTGCGCTTCTTTCCGAGAATCTCAAACTCAGGCTTTGAAATCAGACCCTTGGTCTTCTCAGTCAAGGGTGTCGAGATGACAAGGATATCAAGCCCGGAGTCAAGGAAGGCGTGGATGTCTTCCTTGGAATCTCCGGAGAACCACTTGCTGGGGAACTCGCCTTCTCGGTCACCAAGACCAGGAGGGGAGTAGGAGTCATCACGACGAGACTCGGGGGTCTTGCGCGGGTGAAGAGTATAAGCGTGGACGTCTAGACCCAGAGCTTTGGAAACACGGGCTGTTTGACGACCGATGCTGCCGTAGCCCAAAATTCCACTACAAGAGTTTAGCTTTGGTTATCAAACAGAAACTAGGGTTCCTTACATTCGCTTGCCAGCAGTATCCGAGGTATCTTCATTATTCCGATTGAGAGACTTCCACTTTCTCTCTTCTTGGAGCTTTGCATACTCTTTCACTAGGTTGATGTTAGTTGCAGACCATTAGATATGTCTATGGCGGCTTACAGCGAATTCGGTGAGACAAATAGGTTGCAATGACCCATTCCGCGATTTGAGGTCTATATCATCAGCAAATACCACAATTTTTCTAGAGTGAAACTAACCCATGAACACCATTAGCAGTAGAGAATGGAACCTTGGTATCGGCAAAGAGGGGACGCTGGAGAAGGTGGTTTGCGCCCGCGCTCTGAAGCTGAACATACAACAGATGGGGTACCTGCTCCGGTTTGGGCAGGTAAGTGGCCGTCAGGAACACAGTAGTATCCTTCCACTCCTCTTCATCAAATTCAGGATCCAATGGTGCACCCCATGATGAGATGAATGTCTTGATCGTGAGATCGGGGAATTGCTTCCGGATGGCGTCGAACTGGGCCTGGGGTGTCTGTTTTGTTGCAAAGATGATGGCCTTATGGCCTTTCAGGGTCTTATTCTTAACAGTCTGGATAAGTGTCATGATGAAATTACTGGGTGGAAATTAATTGAGACAAAGGTAAAAAGGGGAGTTGTGGGAGAGGTTGCATATGAGAGAATAATGTGAGATTACAAATCTATATATGTGGTGGTGATTAACGTCAAGGTGGGGCAAAGTGACGCCTTCGAGATAGCAGATCCTACTAGGGGTTTGATCATGAAAAGAGAGTGGTTGATAAGGATATTGGCAAACTTCTAAGGTGTACGGAATATGGATGCTAAGTTCGGTCATGAAATTTGTGGATTGAGCATATTTGTTACTGATTTATGGTCTCAGTTGCGAAAGCTGACTTGAGCTTCCTAAATAGTCTCTACCCTGTAACGAATTATCTCAGAGGTACAGTTCCGTGAAAAAGACCCGACAATAAGCCAGCTAGGATTCTATAAGACAACAATAGTTAGACAATCTTATTAAAAAATTAACATAAGATTCTATACGGCGATGTAAAATAGGAGGGTTTATTTTGGCTTGTGTAGACTTTAGGAGAGGGTAGCTGTTGAGACTTTTGCTTTTCTGTTATACATCTGAGCCTGTTTATCGCTATCAACAACCCTGTCTGGTCTACTAAGTCGACAATAACAGCATAGTCTAGTGGCTTTGTGTGTCAACGGTCGCTGTATGAACGACGCAATGGCTGGCAGGCCATTTTAGAGTTTGGTTGCGTCGTGTCATGGTCGGTGGAACAATAACACCGAGCCGACCAACTGGAAAGACGTGAAGAAGCAACATTATTTCTGTTTACCAATGAATCGAGAGATGCATCAAGACCCAACACAACATTCAATTCGCTGGCTATGCTGGCTGAAAGAATGGGTATCATCAGCCACCAATAGCTGGAAGCTTTCAAGCTCTTACTCTAACGCAATGTGAATTACACGTCCAGGTCGATCGTATAGGCCATGAAAAAGGCGGCATTGCATCAAACACCCGCAGGTTTAATTACTTTCATTTCATCATATTTGACGGAAGAATGCTTGAAAACATATTCATCTGGTCTTCAGTCATGTGAATGAAACATGCAGCGGCCGAGGTGCTCGCCATCAGCCCTACAGACTGCCTACACTAAGACCAACCAACCCCTGCAAATGGACAGTTTTGGCGGTGGCAGTGCACACAGCTGAACTGTCATACAGTTCAAGATCCTACCATCTTCAACTTTCTCCTCGCATAGCCCAACGCCATGAACACCAACAACCACCTGATGCCTCCTTGAAGGCAGCCACAAAAGTCAACATGTTTTTAAATACCGACTGCTACCCTCCCATGGCAGTGGTTTCTACTATTGACCCAGATCACTCACTATTCTAAATGGACTCGACATCTTCCACAGAGCTTGCCGTGCCGACATATTCGGCCGTCGACAATGACGATCTTCTAACACGAATCGAAGCCGCGCCTAACGTCGAGTTTCCTATCCTGCATTCCCCCGCCGGTCGCTCCACGAATCTCCAACGAGTCACGGCCGATGCCGACTGGAAGGCCTACCACGAAGCCTACCGTATCGAGACAGACATCGTCGACGCTTTCTTCTCCGCCATCGAGAACGGCCATGATGATATTGTCGCTGACTTCATATCTCGCGGTTGGGTCTCTCCCGATACTACAAATCGATGGGGCGAGACGCCGTTGATCACCGCTGTGCGCGTGGGCAAGCTGCCCATGGTCAGTCACCTCGTCGCTCTTGGCGCAACTGTCAACGAATACGGCCGCGCACGAGATAGCGACGATATCGTCAGACCAGAGGATTTCCCCGAGCGCACACCGTTGATGGTAGCTGCTGAGCGGGGCCATTTGGCCCTGGTCAAGGTACTTATACAGGACTATGGTGCGAAACATGAACTCATTGCACCTGACGGCGCAATGGCTCTGCGCCTCGCCGCAACCAACCGCCATCGGGAGATTGTACAGTTCCTCCCCAAAGTTCGCGGTGGCTCGTGGAAACGATGGAAGCATGTACACCACAAGCAGATGGAGAGAGTGCGACGCGCTGGAAGAAGACTGTTGAAGTTCCTGTGGATAGTATTCTGGGACTTTCCTAAGTTACTGGTCTACGATGCGCCTAAGGAGCTTTGTCGCGCGGCTTGGAACTATCGCCATCGCGTAAAGAGCTTTTTCAAGGAGTTGCCCAAGGAGATCAAGAAGCAGGTGATCGCATTGCCTGGGCACATCAAACGCGCCGGCAAGGCGGTCTGGGAAGGGATTAAAAAGACTCCCGCTTTTCTGAAAAGCGTTTTCCAGGCGATCTGGAGGGTGATGAAACGGATTCCAGGTGGTATCATGACGATTCTTAGATGGGTTGGCAACGGCTTGAAGGATATCGGCCAGGCGATCTTCAACATCATCACCAAAGCATTCTCGCTGCTCCACACAGCAGTGATGGCTGTTGTTACCTTCCTGAAGGGGATCACTCTACGCGATATATGGGATGGCTTCTGCTACCTGGTCCGCGCCATCTTCGTGGATGCACCCAAGGCTATCGGCGCATTCATCGTCGCCTTTGGCAAAACGACATACGATGTACTAAAAGCACTGTTCGGTACTTTGGGCGAGTGTATCTGGCACATTGGCGCAGGTATTCTCTGGATAATTCAGTATGTACCGCGCAGGATATGGACCATGATCGAAGCGCTTGGTACTTCGCTCGTCAAGGCCTTTGAGGAGGTGATGGTGTTTGTGAATCCCAAGCGGATGTAGCTGTTTGTGTCTTTGGGCGTCGAGATTGTGCAGAAATACAACGGGCATTTGTACAGCCTTGCTCTCCTCTAAATTTTATCCAAAATAATATAAATTATCATGAACTATCTTATTTTATATAATCCTACATAACTGTATCCTAAGATTATTTATAAAATATTCTAGTTATTGTATATTACATATATCTTTATTCCTCGTTGGGCCGTTACAAGCACTTGACTGGACTGTAACCAATTTGGTCCCGTAGGCGACGCCACAGGGGTCTAATGTGGAAATAAGATGCAGAATATCCGTGGCCCTACTCCTTTTAAGGCTTTGCATTAGCGCCAGGGGCAAAAGGACGAGAATCCCCGACTTCATCAGCGACCTTTTGACCAAGCCGTGAATCTCGCGCACAAGTCCAACTGAGGCACTGTTGGCCCTAATTCTTATTTCCAATGAAGCTATCGTCAAGGGGAAACAATAGTCTGTCGCTAACTCCACCAGCTAGCCAATCTCAGCACTAAAAGCCCCTGTAAAATAAGCATACCCCTGTCGCAACTCCGATTGTGCGCCTAAGGGTCTCGATAGTTTATCATCCAGGCGTGTTCTAGATCGTGAGAAAAAGAGCTTCTGAGTTGAGTGCTGGCGGAAGAGCGGGATGGCGTTTGTAAGATGGGTGGTAATAAAGATGGGCTTGCGCTCTAAATATTGTAGGTTGTTCTACTGCATTTCTGGTATTGTGAGCGTTAACTACTGCAGAGATGGCTCGCCGTCTCGTCCTCTCGTTCTTTTTGGCTTCGGCCTTCCATTCTTTTGATGTTCTTGCTGGACCCTGTCGACCGAGGGGTACCACTGCGAATGCTGTGACTTCAATTGCTGCGACAAGCGGTACAGCTTCGGACGTCTCTGGGATATTGACGAGCAAGGCTACGGATGTCTCAACAAGCTCGTTGACAGCCTCAAGCGATGCGTCCAAGAGTACTGCGACAACTGGCCTTGGGGAAAGCCTTACGGAAAGCCTGTCGCTAAGTGTACCAAACAGTCTTGTCACGGATGTTACATCAGGCTTCCCTGGGAGTTACTCGAGTCTACCTACCAGTCTTGCGACGACTTTGACTGCCATTCTATCAGAGAGTCTGTCGCTGAGCCTTCCCACGAGTCTTGCTACGACTCTGACAACTAGTGGAGAGACGATTGCTTCAACCAGTGACCTGGCGGCTACCAGTCGCGCGACAACCGATGCCGCGACTGATGCTACCACTGATGCTACCACGGGAGCGACAACCGATGCTTTGACAGGCTCAGCTACCACAGGTGAAGAGACATCCGGTTCATCTACTGGGCTTACTGCTTCGAACAGTGATGTTACAAGTGGTACCATCGTGCAATCGGTCACAAGAACCGCGACAGATGCTGCGGTTACCACCGATGAGAATGCATCTGGGTCAACTACTGCCCAGTCGACGACCGAACTCACCATGAATTCGGCCACAACAAATGAGGCGACTGCTGATACAAGTACTACGCCTACGACCGAAGCCACAAGTGATACCGCAGTACAATCGTCAACAGATGCCACAATGGACTCAGCTACCACCAGCGAAGAGGCATCCGGTACGGCCACTGCGCTGACAACCGATACCACGAGTGGCGCTGTCTCTGAGTCTGCGACGGGCTCAGTTACTTCGGAGGAAGAAACATCTGGCACAGCCACTGGCCTTGCGACTGGTGCAACGAGCGATATCACAGGCTCGGTTACTACAGATGCTATTACAGATGCCGCCACTGATCTGACCACTGGCGCTACTACCGGCGCATCTACAGAGACTGCCTTGGGTACAACAACCGGGTTCATTACCGATTCCTCAGCGGCCACTACCAACAGCGGCTCTACAGACACAAGTGCCGAAACGACGGCAGAGACTGCCACAGGGACAACTACTGGAGCTATCACGACAGGCACCACAGACTCGACATCAGTTCCTACAACTACTAGCCTCGCTTATTGTAAGCCATACACCCTCGATTAGCCCGTTCCATTTTTAACACTACTAGGTGATAACGATGAGTGGCTCAATGATGCCCTCATTGCCTCATTCAGCGCCGACAAGAACTACGCTGAGGATGTGTGTACCGCTGCGATCCAGCCTGTCACGACTATCACTGCTACAACGTAAGGAAGTTCGACTATAAGGCGTACGAACTCGGACTAACAATTTGCAGTGGGACGGCCGATCAACCCGAGACGACCACGACCGAGATCATCCCCGTGACCGAGCGCCACGACGGCGAGACCAAGATTGTTATCGATGCACCCTCTACCGACTACATCGCGGGCGCCGACAAGACTGTCACTGCTGTTCGCCGCGGAGACACTATCGACATCCTGGAGCCCAAGACCATTTACAACACCGTTGGAAGGACAACCATCAAGCTTCCCACTGCTTACGAGACGGTATTCACCACTGATGTTGACTACATCGGCACCACTAGTGTGGAGACGATCCTTGACGTAGAGACTCAAACGACGCTCGTTATCACCGATACCGTTGAGATTGCCACTTCCACTGGTACAGATGTCGTTACCGAGACTATCACCAGCGTCGAGAGCATCCCCACGACGTCAACAGAGTATGTGGTGACTGGCACTGACATCAAGTTTGCGCCGCGCATGAGGGTCTATGTGACCAAGTCGCGCACTTTTGTCATTTACGCCGTCCCGTCTACTCGTCTGCATACCGTGTATACGACTACCGATTACCTCACTTCGACTTGGACGACAGTTACGGTGCAGTCAACAGAGATCGATCACACGACTGTTCCTACGACTACACTTGACGTTACTACCGCTGCCACCACGGTTGAGGAGACCATCGTTACGTCCACTGAAACCGACCATGCTACTAGCACCATTACTACTAATGAGTGGACGACGGAGACTTGTAAGTCTGCTCGACAACTGATAAGATCATCTACTAATTACTCTCAGCTGTTTCCACCTCGATTCACACCAAGATCAGCATCTGGAATGAACATTACTTCCCCTGGCTCCAGAACAGAAAGCGCGCCGCTGCGACTGCTGCCCTCGACCCTCGCGCTGCCGACCCCGTCAGCCCTGAACAAGGCTGGCTCAATGAGTTTGGCGAGGCGCATTTGACCAGCGCATGTTCCTGCATTGTTGAATTCCCTCTTCCCACTCTGACGGTTTACGCTGCCCATACCGACACAGCATCAGCCGATTACAGAACGATTACTCTAAGGTCTACTACAATTGACAAAATTTATGGCGATACTGTCACTCTTACTCTCACTACTCCCGCCACTGTCTTTACTCACAAGACCGTGACGGAGACAGTCGTGGTGGATGGAACTACAACGGTTGAGACGCGCACTGTTCATGAGGATGTCACTGAGACAGTCTTCTCTACTCCTACTGCCCAGGAACTTGTCACCAAGGTTGTTTACAACGACGACGTCAAGGAAGTTACCAAAGAGATTGCCGTTACAGACAAGGTAACTCTCTATGGTGTCGCTACTGGATATACTTGGGTTGAAGTGAAGCGAACGCAAGATCTCTGGGACATTCGCAGCAAGCTTGTCACGGTCGGCAAGACCATCGACATCGCTGAGACGTCTACTGCTACTCTCCCACCAACCACTGTGGAAACTACTGTGGAGGTTACTTCAACTGCGCTGTCAACCGCCGACGAGACCATCTACGATGCTTTCACCAAAGTTGTACCTGTAGCTGTCACCGATGTGAAGAAGTTTACATACACCGCGACTATCTTTACAGATGCTACATCAACTTACTCGATTGACGCCACGCACACCGTCGGCACAATCGCAACTACCACACTTACCACGTTCACCACCGTCAAGAATGGAGTTACTTCTACCGTCACCACAGTCCTATCCACCGACGTAACCGTCACAGCCCAAGCCATCGCCACAGAGACGTGCAGCATGCCCATCGCCGACGGCGACTTCGAGTTCCGCCCCGGCACAAGCCCATGGTACAAGTCGATTTACTCCTACTACGACTGGGACAAGGTCGACCTCGGCGCGCCACACAAGAAGGTCATGCAGACCAACAAGCTCTACGACAACAAGGAGTTCCTCGCCTACCAGGACGTCAAGAGCTGCAAGGGTGTCACTTTCCGCTGCGGCTACGAATACTACTTCGACAAGTACTACCGGATCTCGCTTAAGGACAAGAGCACCAATACGTACAACTGGTATGTTCCGTATCTGCGCATGAGCTGGAACAACGACTATGAGTACATGGCTGAGCGGTGGCCGGAGAGCTCGAGTGATGCGAAGAAGTGGATGTCAGCGAACATCGAGTTTACGACGACGGGCAAGTGGGATACTCTTTGGATCTACGCTGCAAGTCCTCAGAGTAAGCCCACTGGAGATAACTTTGTGAGGTTGGATAATTTTGTGTGCAGGCCAATTAAGTATCGAGGACATTATGGACCTGTTGGCGGATTCCAGTCTTGATGAGCGTCTATTGTAGGTGTATGAAGTTCAGACAGTTTTTTGCCTTTTGTTGGAAATTTTACATAGCATTATGATTACCATTCTTGTAGATATTAAGTAGACTCTACACATAGCTTTGAACTATAACTTACTTTCTACTCTCCATGATTGTAAATATATGGTCTAAGGGATCCCAGGCACATAACACCCTATGCATCGCAGGCTCGTGCAAGTACATGATAGTTCAGACTCGGATATGTATAAAAAGAAGTGAAAAAAGATAGATAAAACTTAGAAAATGTTAGACATAATCCTAAAGTTCGTATAAGATCTATATAATATAAATAAGATTTAAATAAAATAAGAGGAGTTCACTGTAAGTTCAATTATATTATATAAAATTTATCTATCTAATCTAGATTTATGTAATATTAACAGTCAGTTTATACTTAACGTATGCAAATCCGATCTTTGTATGGAGAAGTGATAAAAAGGACTTGGCCACAGCTTGGGGTCATTCTACACAGGAAGGGGTTGGCATAATTCAGTCCAAAGTATTCTAGACTGGGGACTTATTATTCTATTAATGTCATGTCTTCATTATCTGTTTGTTTGCTTCTTACCCCCTACTCAAATCTAGCCCCCTATTTTATTACTATGACTTGTTCACGCCTTGTGGAATATTTTGCCGATGTACCATTTTGTTGTCCCTGTTTCTCGTTGCGTCATTGATGCATCGTACCAGTTGTCACTAGTCGTCCCCCCAATCGTCGTAGAAAACATCGTTTCACACAGCAGATAAGTCTTGACTCTGCCCCAAAGCCTGAGTCTGTGCATACTGACTCCGTCGAGACTCTCTGGCATCAGACCTTTCATCATTACCCTCCCAACCTGCCTTGATCAACCAGAAGAGAGCCATGAGAGGTGTCGTCAGTAGACCCAGCACGCCGCCAAGAATGGCTTTGAAAGCCTGTGGAACCCAATGATCGTTGTACCGCCAGTCGCCGCCGTCACGTTCTCCGAGTGTTGTTAGTATACCAACTGACATTGGCCAGAGGAGAATGAAGCCCACGACGGCGAGTATGAAACCTCTCAGTGCTCCCTGGATAATTGTGTTGAATGTGGACGCAGCCTTTGATGTATCTTTGGGCTCTTTCTCGGACTCTTCCTCCGAATCATTCGGATCCGAAGAAGGCGGGAGAAAGAAAAGCCATCTCAGCCACCGATGCGACGGCTGCGGAACGAAGCCAATAGGTTGAACAGAGCGTTTGGAAAGGTCATATCTAACAAGGCCCATCTCCACGAACCACGTCAGAATGCATTGAACAATGATGGTAACAGCAGCATCGCCCGATAGTGTGTTCGGCAGTTGAAACAACCGAATTGGGTTCTTGACGGTATCCTGCGTAGTATACATAGCTTCTCCCGTCAGCATCTTGCCCCTCCATGCAACGAAACGAGCTGTCGGAAAAAAGGTATAAACTCACGATAAGCAAGGGCAAAATTAACGCCGCCGGATAAAACCATTGCACCCACTCCATCAAGGCCAAAGACGTAGAAGAGCTGATGGCCAGTGAATTTCAAGCTTGGCCTAAGAAGCCCCTCTTGTTCTCCGTCTCCTGCGTCAATCCCAGGGTTGTCAAGTTTCAGAGCGCCCGACCCCTGCAAGCCCTGTTGCAGACCTGCCTCCTGTGTCTCAAGTTGCGCCGTCATGGTGGTTGTTTTTTGTTATCTCCGCGAACAAGTCGTGGAAAAAATTGTCCGTTTTGCGGTAATGTTTTGTTTCGTGGTGAGGAGAGCAATACTCAGAGTGGAAGAGCGGTGGGAAATTGGGCCTCGCCAAGGTGAAAGGGGGCTTGGGAAATTACCCGTGCGAGATCACAGATTTTCTTTTAGAGTGGATGATGGAGATGCATTAATCGCGGGATAATATGAGATTTTCGCATGTATATTTCCGTAGAGTGATTGTTTGATGGATGAAGAAGAGGTAATACAAATGATCGGAGGTGAAGTAGACGGCCACGCGGCTGTGATACAACTTTTGCACTGAATTGTTGAGATGGTCTTTGCATCGCACCATTTTACACCGCTATCTTACTAGTATCACCCGATATTTATAACAGTTGTTGAGAAACGTTAGTAGCTATAGGTTATTCAATGGGAGTTTTCATGATGTCTGGCGGGCGCATAAAGGTGGTTTTAATAAATTGATTTTCCAATATTTCAATAGAGTTGACTCGGGATGAAAAGTGAGAGACTTTTGGAGATTGTTTCAAATGGACTAATTCCACAGCAACTACGTAAACAATGACAAACCTCATAACTTTTTCTAATTTCTTAACAACTTTAGAGACGAAAAGATAATATGCCACGAACTGCCGTGATATCGCAATATTGCATGGAATTATAGAAACTTTAATGTTCTGTTTATGGTGGTATAGGGTGGCTGTCATTCTGGCCTGTTTAGCTGTTTCTGGTCTGAAGCTCACAACGTTTCACCACTGGGTACGACCCACGACCGGGTGAAGACACCTAAACAACCTGTCATCCTACAACAAAAAAGAAGTTGGAGCTTCGGCCCTACGTTCCGTTAATTTCAGTAAGGCTTTCCCAAGCCCATGCCCAATATAATGTGTTTTAATCATCTAAACTCTTCGCCTTGCCTTGTCTAGCTTGCGTCGCTTGCGTAGCTGTGTCGTTTGTGAGAACACCAATTTTCGGATTCACGTTACTCAGGGGCCGCGGACTTGGCGTCTCAGACTAATTGACAGGAGCGTGGCATTTATGATCTGAGCGTCAAAGTGACAGCTTGGGACTTGCGGAAAAATAGACACCGTTTCTACTATCCCTGTCCAGCATCCCTGGTCCCGGCGCTAAAGCAGGAACCGAGGGGAGGATTGTTTTTTCCATCTGTTCTTTATTTCTTCCTGGCCCCCGGGTTTCAGGTACAGCGGCTCTACGGCCGAGAATCCCTACTGAGGGATGACTTCGCTTCTGCATGTCGTGGCGGTTGACCGTCGCTGACTGAATAAGCGCTGTTGACATCTTGGCGCCTGCAGGATAGTTCAACGATCATCAAAGTTTATCTCGCATCTGGCGCACAGTCATTATAACAGTACTAAACGGTTTCTGGTAGTAAACCTTAATAGATTGAGTAATACATGTTAGCAGAAAGTAAATCTTTACATGATCGACTAGTACTCGATCTATCTAGATCAAATCCCACCCCTGTAGCCTGGCCAGTCTACCAATCCCACCAATGCTGAAACCACCTTGGCAATGCAACCCTCCACCAGAACATCCATCCCCTGGTCATCCTGGCCAGGCACATCGGCCAAGCATGATACCCCTGTATGATCTATCCCAGCCGGGAAACGACGCCGTTGTGACTCTAGCCATGAGGCTCTCCGCCGCTCATTTACTCGCCGCTGCTCGTGGTCGCAAGTTAACATATAAGACCTCTCGACTCCCGTCTCTACCTCTCTATTCTTCACTCTTCACTCAGGCTCAATACAGCAGTTCATTCCATTCACTTTTTTGCTCCTTACACATTCTTTCACGCTTCTTTGACAGAAGTCGTTTTATTCATTCTTTCCAAACTTGATATCGAAAACCCGCCAGTCGGAACAATCTTCATCAAATTACTTTCATTACCAACAAAATAAAAACAATTCTTTTTATATCAACAACCTTCAAGATGCCTTCTTTCACCACCAAGACCTTCCTCGCCGCCCTTGCTGGCGCTGTCAGCGTTGCCGCCCACGGCCACGTTGAGTCCATCACCGTTGGTGGAACCAGTATGTTTTGTCCGATCTAACAAATGCAAAGAAACACAACTGATAAACTCCGTAGAATTCGAAGGTTTGAATCCGGGCTCTGCACCTTACGACAACCCTCCCAAGGAGCTCGTCGCTTGGTTCGCCACCAACACCGACAACGGCTTCGTTGAGCCCTCCGCCTTCGGTGACGCCGACATCATCTGCCACAAGGGCTCCAAGAACGCCGTCAAGTCCGCCAGTGTCAAGGCCGGTGAGAAGGTCACCATCAAGTGGGACACCTGGCCCGAGTCTCACAAGGGTCCCGTCATCGACTACCTCGCTTCTTGCGGTGCCAGTGGCTGCACCAAGGTCGACAAGACCGACCTCAAGTTCTTCAAGATCGCCGAGGCCGGTATGACCTCCGGTGGCAAGTTCGCCTCCGACGAGCTCATTGCCGCTGGCAACACCTGGGAGGTCACCATCCCCACCAGCCTCAAGGCCGGTTCTTACGTCCTCCGTCACGAGATCATTGCTCTCCACGCCGCTGGCCAGGAGAACGGTGCCCAGAACTACCCCCAGTGCTTCAACCTCGAGGTCACTGGTTCCGGTACTGAGCAGCCCGCCGGTGTTGCCGGTACTTCTCTGTACACTGCCTCCGAGAAGGGTATCGTCTTCGATCTCTACAACAACCCCACCAGCTACCCCATCCCCGGTCCCAAGCTGGCCATCGGTGGCTCCAGCTCCGGCTCTGCTCCCGTCTCCGAGACTCCCGCCAAGACCGAGACTCCCGCTGCCGGTACCTCCGCTGCTACTCCCGTCGAGTCTGCCCCTGCTAGCAACGAGTCCGCCTCCGCCCCCGTCGAGACCCAGGCTCCCTCTACCCCCGTCGAGACTGAGGCTCCCTCTACCCCCGTTGAGACTGAGGCCCCTGCTGCTTCCTCGCCCACCAAGACTGGCTGCAAGGCCAAGAAGGCTCGCCGTCACGCCCGTGACATGGCTGCCCGCGTCTAAGGGGTTCTCTCATGGGAAAGAACCAAGCAAACGCGCTGAGCGTGGTTGTGTAAAAAGCTTTGTTTTCAAGGAACAAAAGCATTTCAAATCCTGAATGGGATGAAACTTGAATATTCTGCTGTATATATGTGACCTCGAGTCCGTCATAATAGAAACACTTTCTGAACCAATAAACTCTTGCAACATGTGACCTGTGACCTGTTCGTGCTTCAGTACCATATCAGATATGGATGTGACATTATATCAAAGCTTGCTCAACATTGACAGTGTAGTTTTAATACGACAGAACTGAATCATGTGCCTTGACCTCGTACTGTTGTTTATACGCGCTCTCACATTTACATCCTTTCCGATTGAGCAGTTTGATTGCTGGGTTCTATAAATGTTTGCGTGACTGAGGTACTAAGACACGAAACGAAATATACTTTTCTATTCCACGGACCATCACTACCTTACAATTCCGCGCTCTTCAGTATTTTATTCTCGAACGTTCGGCTTTGCGGCACCCTACTCAGTCAAGTCTCAGCTGTCAAACATTTACGCTGTACGGAAAATAGATTTAGTGCTTCAATAGTTTAAGAGCCATCTAACTTAGACACTACGGCAGCAACGGAGAGAAGTACATCGCAGCTGTCGTCCTCGGTATTGCCAGACACTACTGTGTCAACCGGAGTGCCGGAAGCATCGATGACAACGGACATTGCGGTTTCTGAGTCCTCTTTAGTCTCGACTAATACTGAGCCTACGATTTCGGTCGCCCTGTCTCATACATCTGGTCTTTCTACCGAATCAACACTGGAGACAATAGTCACATCTACCGTGGAACTCTCGACTCAAACCACCTCTGACGCAACATCATCTGCAGCCGAGACATCAACCGCCGCATTACCCATCCCGACCCTTTTCTCATTGAGTCCCCACGGCGGCTTAGCAGATGGCGAGACGCTATTGACAACTGGTCAATCATGAAACACCCTAGCGCTGGGCGCGTCCGGAAGCCAGTGGTTCGAAGCGCAGTTCACCTACGATGAAGCAACCGGCCATCTCCTCATCGGCACACAGGCGATTTGTGTATACTACTACAACGACAACAGGGGTTCGATGACCATCTGCCCTACTTATGATTCACCTCAGTTCGCGCCCGTGGTTTGCGAGTCGCCGACAGGTAGATACCTCAAATGCAGTGTGCCTGCTGTTAAGTGCGTGACAGGTGCTATGTGACCTGTGTGTACAACGAGTGACACTGCGTTTAAGACTTTATATTCTGGGCTCTGGTTCGGTACTGCCTACAATGTTTTCCTGAGTGAACCTGATCGTGCTATTACTGATTTATTTGATCCGATTGATCTGGTTGTTAATGCATTGCAGTCATGGGTTATCTTATGACAAGCCGCTATAAGACGTTGTAAGAAGCGATTGAAGCATAATCCTGTGCAGTTATTGACAACACGGTTTGTCGCTTATTTCTGAACTTGGGTCTATTTGATGGAGAAGCTTCATTATGGTATAGTACAATGGATATTGGGAGGGTTCAATGAGTTAGAGAAGAACTAGGCAACAGTGACAATTGGACATGGAATATAGATTAACATTGTGTGGACAGCCGATACGAATCCACGTTATCATCCCCCCTCACCAAGTTACCTTGGATCTCTCATAGTTACCAATGGTTGATTAGCCTTATGCCTACTCAAGCAGCCAGACTACAAGGGGAGAGTACAGTGGGTGTGCAAAAATTCCGACAATCTACTCTCTTCTAAAGTTTATATAAGATTATATAAAATAGAAAAGTTTTCAATAATTTAAATAATCTTGTATAATCTTAGAATAACATCGTAATTGAAGTATCCTAACTATTTATAGCTATTTCATTTATCTTTATTATTATGTGCATTCCCAGTTAGCTCGTTGTCGAAACTTCTTGCCTGGGACTGACTGTAAAAGATACAAAGTTGCATTTCTTTCGCCGAACTTGTCATCCTACGTGCTTAATTACCAAAGAGAACTAACAATAAAGTGTCCATTGATAAAATTCGTAGGTTCTGTCCGTTCAATACGTTTACGAAGACATATAGCCACGTGCATTGGGTGGCTTCGGGGCGTGATCAAGCCTCTGTGTCTCATTGGACGCTGTGTTGTCTTGGTCGTTCCTGATGGAGCTAGTTCGATGTTTAGCAGGTTTCCCTGCGAGGTAACGTTGACCATGCTCGATTCGTGCATGATCACCACGCTCTTAAGATAAAGCCCACGCGACTTCCTTTTCTTTTCGTCCTTTGTTGCGGCTTTTCTAATATTGTTTTTAATTATCGAAATACTCATAATTAATTGGGAATATGTCTACACTGAAAAAGGACCCTGACTCAGCGGGGCTGGAAGGGCAAAATGGGCCTAGATACGGGACTATCGATGTCAAAGTTGGCACTCAACGAGATCTTCTTGATCTTCAGGATTTGGATCCGGCCTTTAATGAGAAGATGCGGCTTGTCAATAATGTGAGGGATCAAAATCGCCCTTCAGTGGCAGAACTGACATTTTATTCCAGGCTATTGATGAGATTGGATGGACTCCTTATCATATGAAATTATTCTTCCTGAACGGGTTTGGGTGAGAAGCTCCATTGATCATTTTGTGCGGACAATCTCTGACTGCTCTGTTGAAAAGCTACGCCGTCGACTCAATGATCACCCTCTTTCAATCCATTATCGCTGCACAAGCGTTCCGAGAATTTGGAGAAAAAGGCTATGTCAACGGCTTGACAATCGCTACCTACGTAGGGATGCTAACCGGAGCCCTTTTCTGGGGCCTTGGAGCCGATATCATCGGCCGCAAATACGCCTTCAACATCTCTTTATTCCTCTGCTCGATCAGCTGCATAATTGCTGGTGGAATGCCTAGTTGGGCATCACTTGGGGTTTTCGTTTCGTTGCTGAGCTTCGGCGCTGGCGGAAACCTCGTCATGGACACAACTGTCTTTCTTGAGTACCTACCTAGCAACAAGCAGTGGCTTCTGACTCTTATGGCATGTTGGTGGGGGCTTGGCCAGGCGATTGCCGGATTCATCGCATGGGGGTTTCTTGTGCCTGATCGCTGGAACTGCTCCGATGTCGAGACGTGTACCAGAAGTAACAACATGGGCTGGCGATATGTCATGTTTACAGGAGGCGCTCTCGTCTTTGTTCTATCTCTTCTTCGAATCACCATCATCAGGCTCCGAGAGACACCCAAGTACTTACTTGGCATCGGCAAAGAGGAGGAATTAATCGAGACGTTCCAGTTTCTTGCTACCAAGTACAATCGGACTTGCTCGGTCACTTTGGAGGATCTCGCCGCCTGCGGGACTATCACTTCAGCTCATAGCAAGAATCGGTTCTCGATAAGCGAGACCATGATACATATACGGGGCCTCTTCGTCAACAAAAAGATGAGTTTGTCGACCTCGAGCATCTTTCTGTCCTGGACCTTGATTGGTTTGGCCTATCCTCTTTTCTACGTCTTCCTCCCGTGAGTATATACTTTGACACCGATCGAGCTCCCCAGACCAGCCAATAGAACGGTGCTAACACTATCATAGGTCATACCTAGCAAGTAGAGGCGCAGTCTTTGATCGCACGAAGTTTGAAATATGGCGCAACTATGCTTTGACCAACATCAGCGGTATCCCAGGCCCGATCGTTGCTGGCATCATGTGCAACACCAAACTCGGCCGCAAATACACAATGGTTATCGGAGCACTGATCAGCATGGCCTTCTTCTTCGCTTACACTTCCGTCAAAACATCAGTACAGGACATTACCTTCACCTGTCTCATTGCCTTCTGCATCAACATATACTACGGTACTCTATACGCCTACACCCCCGAAGTCCTGCCCAGCGCTCATCGCGCCACTGGTAGTGCCATTGCGGTTGCGTGCAATCGCGTGATGGGAATTGTGTCGGCTGTTGTTGCAAGCGAGGCTAACACTGATACGCCTGCTCCGCTTTATGTCTGTGCTGCGCTGTTTCTTGGGATGGCAGCTGTGTCGGCGTCGTTCCCGTTTGAGCCTTACGGCCACCGGAGCTCCTAAGCAATACGCTACAAATTATTAATCTCGAGAGGCATGAGGTTTGCCGTCAAATGTCAGATTCTTAAAGCTATCGAGGCAACACAGCACATCAGACCTAAGCTACCTTTCATAAGCCGAGAAGTGCCTGACAATAAATCAATAACTTTACTGATACTGAACGATACCCCAAGATATCTGGTGCAAGTTTCATTACGACCATGTAATGACATTTCATAGATCTTGAGTTACGAATTAAGCATAGCCTTATTGCACTAGAACTCTTGGTTGAATTCAGCTATAGGATATCAAAGCTCGTCTACTTCAAAGGTCCTTCGCAGTCTTGCCCTTCTGCTTATCCCACTCCTCCAACCAACCCTTTGTAAAATCGATAATATCATGCTGAGCCTTCGCAACAGCAGGAGGAGGCAGTCCAATCTCAGTAGCATCAGGATCCAACCCATTCTCATCCCAATGATGCACACCATAAGGAATCAGAATGAAAGGCTCACTGGCAGTAGACTTCCTAGCGGGAAGACCGATCTTGTGAGGCGTAGCGGCCCTCCAAGGATCGTACTCGCCGTCGATGAAGGCTACGCGTGGGTAGCTGAAGTTCCAGCCGCCGAGCTTATTGATGGATTCGACATTGGGCGGCGTGGTGATGTTGAACTCCTCACGGCATGGGATGGTGCTGTATTCGACGTCGACGAGGCGTGAGATCATGGGGAGCTGACCCTTGGGTACGCCGGAACCGGTCTGCCAGTAACCCCACTGAGTGCAAGTTTGATACGTCCATGGACGGCCAGATCCTTGGTTGAGACTGGTGTCGTTCATAGAGCCGCGAATGGAGTAGCACTCGTTCACGGTCTTGCCATCGCAGCTGCCAGACTTGTCACTCTCGACATTGGCTCGGATGTAGCCGATGTAGTTGAGGAAACGGTTGGTCAGATACTTGACTTCGCTCTTGTGGCCGTGGGATGAGAGCCACTTCTTGACGTAAGGAGTGAGGTGGCGAGTGCTTGCGAAGAGAAGGCTGTCTGATGAGACACTGCCGCAGTAGTAGCCGAAATCGGGAGCGTCCATCGCAGGATCCCAGTTGTTGCTCTGAAGACCGCCGATACCTCGAGAAATAGCCGAAGCGAAGTCATCATCTTTAAGTCCGAGAAGACCGAATGCAATCTTGAGCTGCTTCTTCTCCTCTTTGTCTTTGCCGAGGAGGATATCGTCGATGACGCGTGTGAGCTTCTGTGTGACCTTGGCGCAATCGCCGGGCGCGAAAAGACGGGCTGCCTCAAAGTACTCCCAGTAGTCAACAATGGCTGCTGTGACACCAGATGAGGAAATACCACCCCAGAAAACATCAGGGTAGATCTTTCTTGCAAAGGCAGCAAATGCGCCGGCATAGGATCCACCGTAGATGATGTAAGGGGTGTTGGAGGCGGTCAGGTTGTGATCCTCCAGACCAGGGAACTTGACATGCTGAGCGAAATAAGCCGTATCAGCGAGGGCCTGCTCAGTAGAAAGAAAGCGCAAGTTTTCAGTCTTGAGATCCGGAACAGGGAAACTAGTGCCGTAGTATCGGTGCTCGAGAATAACTCCAATGCCTCCCGTTGCGTTGGCAAGCATTTGCAGAATACCATGCTGAAGGAATGGAATTCGGCCTTCGCCAGAGGTCTCACCCGCAGCAAGGATGATGACGGGACCGCCCTTGCGATAATACTGCGCGTCGAACCAGTACCTCAAGGGAAACTTCTTGTCAGAGTGAGGCTCGTAGATGGTGTCATTGTGGAAATGATCCACCGGGACGCTGATGTTGACGGCCTTGGGACCCGAATCCTTCGCCCGAGCGGACAGGGCGGGAATTCCATACGCGCTCGCTCCAGCGGTGAAGGCCGCGAGATACGCAGCAGCGTAACTAGAAAACCACATGGCGATAATCGATACCGACGATCGATGATCGAATTTCTGATAATTGACGAAGTGGTGTTCCTGTGTAAGTTTATTCGCGGGGCTTGGCCTTTTAATAAGTTATACAGTATGGCGCGTGTGCATCCACCTTCCTGATTCAGATTAACAAAGTGCCCCAACAGAGCATCATCGCCGTACTGAGAAACATAAGTTCCGTAGCATTTGGAGCAGGGATCTTCAATTTTATAGGAACCTTTGTATGGGACTTTTACTTGATCACGGCATTGTTGAGCCGGTTACTTTCCTTATCTGCGGATAAGAGGCTGGGCTGTGCCGTGAGGGGCTTCATCACCGGGGTGATTGGTGATTGTTGATAAGCCTCGCGTGACCAAACTCAGAAACTCTCGACCGCAATGGGAACCATATACCACTAAGTAATCCTACAGCCTTTTAACGATAATTCCGCCAAACCAGACGTTTCCGGCATTGATTCCTTCTTGTCGATAACGCCGTCCAGTATAGTCGAAGATTGACGGTGCCATTTGGCTGACGATGTCAATATTTGAAATAAGCCTTGAAAAAGAGAAAGAGAAACCCCTTCTATAATTGCATATATCTATATGCTTTTTCATGGCTAAACTATGTCGTTGAATTATGCCGGGAACATCTCTTGGCAAGTTGCCATTCCTCGCACTCGCAGCAACTCATTCTCTTTCAGCTTGCTCTTGCTACCGACCACCCTTGTGATCTCACAGAACACGTATTTCATATGACAGCGATCAGCGAGGGGGTTTTCGATGTGCAAATCGAAGTCTGACCATGCTCCTGGTATGGGTTGTTCGATGTCGCTTAAAAACTCGCCAGATAGTTCTTCAACGCAGGGATCCCACGAAAAAGTCCAATCACTCGGCGAGTGCCCAGTGGCGCGAATTATCAGCGCTGGACCAGATGCTGGTATTCTCATTCCCACACGCAATCGTAGATGGTCAACCATCCAACGACCAATATAACTTTGCGGATAGGAACAATCGTCACTGTCATCATCGCTGTAGTCATCGTTAGAGTCATCGCTAGAGTCATAGCTGGACTCATAACTGGACTCATAGCTGCGAATGGCTTCCCATCTCATGTACTCCTCCAGATCAACGCCCGCAACCGCCAGATCCTCCAGTAACATCACAAGTGCCTTTCTAACCCATGTTTCGAACGGCTGCAAGGCGAACTGTCTTCGCCAGAGACTCGTGAGGATCTCTATGATAACCATAGAAGAAGCTTCACTCGCCGTAGCTCCAACAAAGATCTCACGAGCCAGCAGTCGCCATCCTTCCATGCTAGCTCGACTATTGAGGAATGTGTGGAGGTACTGTGTCGCAAAGTCCTGCAAATTGGAACCAGAACGGCCATATCTTTTGCGTAAGTTTTCAGGGGCGATCACACCTCGCGATAGCATTTCGAGAGGTACCAGTGGATTAACCATTTCCCACTCAATGATGTCGACCAGCCCCTGGAGAAATATACGGCTACGCAGCGACTCCCAAAAACCTTCGAAACCCCAAACTAAACCAAGAGTGTAAGCATGATACTTGAAGTCGTTTATCTCAGTTAACAAGATACGGCTAAATTCTATAAGCGATGCATCTGGCTGCACCCGGGACCACGTTAATAAATAAGAAATCATGCTGTGCTCCTTGGTGTCGGCTAAAGATAGACCCATAGACATGAGTGCTTTGATCACGTCTAGCTGCATGACGCGAGTTGCCACCTACGACATGTGAGGCCCAGTTCATGGCGCAGGATATTCCGGGCTCACCTCGATTAGTGAATCGCCATGCGAATTTCGATCATAAATAGAAGCTTCTTTGTTTCTAATAGCCTTCACAACTAAGTCAGTTCGGCCATACGCAATGAGTGCAAATATCTCGGCGTCGTAAGGACGAGTAGTCCAGGCCCTGAGCTGAATTGTCCAGCCGTTGGGCGCTCGGAGAGCATGGAAGTCCCAAGCCCTTTGCATCAGCCACCGTGGTAACTGTAGTCGCAATTGATGGACTGCAAGACATATCAGTGTGATTGTGTAATTATACGCTCTGAAGACCAGAGGTCACTGACCTTGTATTTTACCTAGCTCATCAGGTGCACACAAATCTTCGGTTACCTCATGTGACTGGTAAAAAAAGCTTCCAAGAAAGCCCGGCCGATGCCACGGGATAGACCTATTCCCGGGGCGCTGAACAGAGATTGGTGAAGTCTGTGATGTACCAGAAATCGACTTTTGCTTGATATGTTTATTTTTCGTGGTAATCAACGCATCTGGCTCCTGTTCGACAATTTGCCGCCGCTCTGACTCTTGCCAACTTTTGAGCTCAGACACCATAATCGCCGACTGGGATCGCGATAAGGCGCTGCGAAAGGTCAGCCAAGAATTCCGAACTTGAACTAATATTCACCATGACTCACATGAGATATGTTTGCTGTGATAGAGAAACGAGCTGCAGTGCCGAGTCCAGTTGTCGCTGATGCTCTTCTATCATCTCTTTCTTGATCATGACTTTGAACTGAGCGACGAATCTTTTCCTCTTTCGAGTAGCAGTAATCTGACTCTCCATATCTCTCACCAAGGTCTCAAGTGTTTCTACGGCCTTTCGTGAGTACTCGAGACTGCGCTTTGCCGCGTTGTCGTTCTGTACCATGTGGCGCGTTTGCTGGAACTCGTTGTCCATATCTTCAATCGCGGGAGCAAGCAGTTCAAGGTGATCGATACACCTTCTGATGCTCTCCGGAACATCCTGCACTTCATCCCATAGACGTTTGAGCCGGACCGTACTGGTGCCCAGCTTCCCTGCTACTCCGACTATCGTGATAATACTGGAGGCAAGACCGAGGATCTCGGCCATGTTGATAGATTATTTTAGTTAGAGCTGATACGGATTTGACGATTGAAAAAGATGAGAAATACTTTAATCAGTCTGGGTGACGGAATACTATGAGGGTTCAGCTCAAAGCCTGACTGCCTCCGCCTCCACTTCCTGCAGGGTGTCATACGTGCTGAGCTGTGAATGGGCTATCCTAATTTCAGCTTACCAGGGCTTTGAAAAGAAACAGAAGACTGCCAGTTGAATCATTTGATTCTAAGCCACAGTGGTACCGATTTACCAAATACCACACACACAGCCATCGCGAATACCGTCACCTTCCTCGTCTTGGCGCGACTCACTCTGCCTTGCACACCATTATCCATCCCCATCTTTGTGGCTATGGCGTCACTCTCAGGCGTCTTCATACTGGTCATCGTAGTGGTTTCGGTTACCGAAGAAGGGCCATTGCTCATCTGCGCCTCAGCGTAGGACCCGGCGAAAGCAATAGTATCATTCAGCCAAACAGCCCGTAAGGCAGAGCAGTCAGCGCCTCGAGCCATACTACTGAGCCTACTTGACAGTGTCACAGCCTTGTGCAACCCAACAAGATGATGCGCTGCTGCTATAGGACGAATAGATACGCAGTAAGCTTGAGGATGAAAGCACACCAATCAGATTGAGGAGGGAATGTGCATACAGGCATACCCATACCCATCGCGTCGGCCAAGGTTGACGTGTAGTCTTCCTGTACGACGTCACCGTGGCCGAGTATCGCGTCCAGAAATTTGCCCGTGGGTTTTGGGCCGTCGACGAAGGACTGAAATGTGTGCGTTGCGCATTGCCACGAGTCGTCTGTTTTGTCAGGCAAAGTGTTAAACAGGATGAACAGGGGGTACCATTGTGACGAGGTTACTCGATGCACATAGAGCCTAGGCGTTGACAAGGGTATACAGCGAAATAAAACTAGCCGAAGTCTTTTGGAATGTTTATTAAGAATTATATAAACAACTATATATTCATCATAAAGTTTGAGGCTTCCTTTGCCGATGACTGCCTACTTTCAGCCTCGTCACCGATATGCGTTTGGTGGAACGAGGGGCCCGGATAGTGTTTCGAAGCAGACGCAAGCCACCAGGCGCTTATCAAAAGACATAGACCGCAAAGAATCACAGAGTTGTAGTTCATCGTAGTTGAGTCAAATGGAATACCAACGGCTGCGGATAGTTAGCAATTACGGGCCAGGGTGAATGGCTTCGTGGGGCGGGAACACTCACGAAAGCAGAAGAAGATATCAAAGACAACTATCAGCATTAGTGTGAATCCGTTGATAAAGAAGCCGAAATTCCTGAGATGAAAAGGTCCGGGAGTGAAACGCTTGCGGCCGCTCAGAAGATTTGCCACAATCGGAATGGCATAAGACACCGTTGTGATGATGATGAAAGATCCTGTCAAATTGCTGAACCCGACAGAGCTCCCAAGTGGAATCGCTCCGATTCCGGATGCGATAACGGCGACAAAAAGAGTAGACTCAACCGGTGTTCCAAGCTTCGCACTGACCCTGCTGAAGTACTTGGAAAACGGCACAGCTTCATCTCGAGCGAGTGTCCAATAGGTGCGGCAGTTTGTCAATACCGTTCCGATGACACAGCATAGAGATGAGATGAGAATAATGAATAGCAGGGCAAATGTGGCAGCAGGGCTACCTGTAGCCTGGTGATATATCCCAGCGAGAGGAAAGGTGTTGGAGTTTCCTTGTAGTACGGAAAGATCCGATATGGCGTACCCAAGAACAACGGCGAATGCTAAAGCATATACTCCTCCAATAGAGATGTAAAGAAAAATAGCTCTCGGAAGGTCTTTCTTTGGGTTGGTTGTTTCCTCAGCCATATGGGTGATGGCGTCGAGAGTGCCGATGGTAAATGCACCGTTGAGAACACCAACCATAAAAGCCGTACCATCGTTCCAGCCAGTCAGGTTATTCTCATGGAATGTATTCCAAACAAATTGGCTTGAAGCATGCTTTGTAGGCATGACTGCCACAATGATAATGGTGACAAGACCACCCGCGACGACAAGGAACAGTCCGAGCTTCTGAGTATACGGAACTAGGCGGTTGGAAAAGATGACGACGAACGCGCTCAACCATATTACAATGAGATATGCGATATAGACGTGCCATGCTGAGGGTGAGAAGTCAGGCGTGAGAGTCGCGTAACATTGTACGCCTGCATTGGCAGCAACTTGGACTAGAGATGCTAGGCCAAACATCCATCCGTAGAAGTTGATCCAGCCTGCATAGAAGCCAGTGATGCGACCCCATTTAGGACCGGCTGCTATTGTAGACCAGTGGTATACACCACCGGAACTCGGACATGACGACGCAAGCTGCGAGGTTGTTAGATGATTGCAATAAAGACTCGGGATATTGACACGTACCTCGGCGATGCTTACACCGATGAAGGTATAGAAGAACACAGCGACAATGAGTCCGTATATAATTCCGGAAATGCCCCCGCTCAGGATAGAGACGGAGATTGAGGAGCCGAGTACGACCCAGGCATTGTTGACAGTGACGGCGATGCCAGTGAGTCCGACTAGCCCATACTGACGAGTGAGTTGATCTGTATGGCCTGATGCATTGATGATTGAGCCTTGTTCTGTGGAATAACCTTCTGTCACTTCTCCTTTTTCGAGAACGCCATCGTGGATCTTCTCGTTATCCATCTGGGATTCTCTAACGTGAAAGTGAGTGTCGCAATTGACTGTCTTAATGAAGCCGTCGCTTTTGGTTGGAGGACGAAGGGGATAATTCGGAGACAATCAACTCAGTGGGTTGGCAAAATAATAATCTTCAAATAAAGAGGAGTGTCTTCACCAGGACTATATAACAATAGTTAACTACTCTATGTACATACTTCTGAAACAATGAGGAAAGATAGATAAGCAACATACACCCATGGGGATACACTTCTCACCAAGCTTGCTTGTGTGACCCAATTTTGGCTAGAACCATGTTAGTGACACGGAATCTGATAGCCAACGTCACAATCTTCTTATCGATGCCGACGAGTCTTTCGATATCCGAGGCTGCAGGCGCCATTTTCGACCCCTGCGCTATCTTATCTATCGAGGACTTTCGCATCCCACCTTATCTTCATGTGCGAGCGGTTGCATCAGCCATGGTCCATGGGTATCTTACGATTATTCTACGACATCACTGAGTATACCCAGGATGTCATCATCTATCTCCAGATTCATGTAAGAGGTTTTAACCGAAACTTCCAATTATCCTCGCGCTTTTTGGGGGAGTTCCTTGCCAGTATGGATTTTGATTTTGAGTGAGCAGTAATGCATATCGGTACGGTGTTTAAGTCTCGATGTACGCTGCTTAACTTCGATTTCTTTTCTTTTCCCCAGATATTCTATTGGTTTTGAGTAGACTCTAAAACTACTCCTCTGTAGCAGTCTGCAGGTCATCATGGTCATTTCTATCCGCCGCCCTCTTGACCTCTTTCTTCCAATTGCACATAGCAATAATAATCCACTCTAGAATACCGACGAGAAACAGGGCCACACACTGTCCAACCCATAGTCCAGATAATCCCCAACCGTGGAAAGCAAGCCAAATGCCAGCTGGTAGCGCACCGCCGTAGTAGCTAATGCAATTGACGAGGGCACCAACCCACTGCCTGCCCATTCCACGTAGCGCTCCTCCGCAACTCCCGTTCAAGCCGTCTGCGATCTGGAAGAGCGCTACGTAGGGCATGATACGGGCGACGAGTGCAATGACTTCTTTGTCGTCGTTGAAGATGCGACCTATAACATTCTTGGTGGACATGAGAATGGTGAGGATAACGCTGCCAAAGAAAATGGACAATAGAGCCGCCGAGTGTGCACAGCGTCTTGCCTGCAATGCGTCACCGAGACCAAGAAGATTGCCAAGTCTAGCAGAAGCAGCAACACCAAGCCCGAAAGGGATCGTGTTGATGATTTGATCCAGCGTCATGACCACTGACTGAGCAGCAAGTGGTATCGTACCGAGACGTCCAGCAGCCAGAGCCACAATCTCAAACGCCCACCACTCAGTACCGACATGGATGACACCCAGAAAAGCCAACTTGGCAAATGGCCCAAGATGTTGGAGCGCTTTTCGTGGCTCCCATCCTCCCCAGCATTCTCCACCTTTCACAAAAGTGGCATAACCAACTAATATGAAGAAAGATAGCCAATATGAGATACCAGTAGCAATGGGGGATCCGTAAAGACCAAAGCCGAAAGGGTAGATGAAGAGGTAGTTTAGCAGTGCGTTGAGAGGGGATGTGACAAGCAGAGCGTAGGTGCCCGGTCGGTAAATCCCTTGTGCTTGGAGGTACTTCTTCATCGCTTCGAACCAGACATACCCAAGACCACCAGGGATCAGGAGTTGCAAGAATTTAGGCCCCTGGATACAGATGAAGTCTTCTTGCCCCAGAGCCCGGAAGATGTATCCGGAGAAACACCAAATAACCGCAACCACACCGTAGAAGGCTGTCAAAACAAACAGACCTCTCTGCAGAAGTATGCCCAAATCGTGTTTGTTCTTAGAGCTAGTATAGCTACTCGAGCCGAGGGTATCAAGGGCAGTCGTTCCGCCGAGCGCGATCAGCCATGCAGTGGCCATAGCGAACATGTAAGAAAAGGCAGCAGTTGCCAGAGCTTCAGGTGAAAGACGGCCGACCATGAGGATGGAGACTGTCTGCAAGCTGTTTTGGAGCATGTAGGCCAGTATCACTGGGATCGAAGCTTTGACTAGCAATATCGTCTCGTCGAGCCATGGTGAAGACTTTTTATGTGAGGTCGGAGGGCCGTGAATGGATGGGATTAGAGGGGTTTCTTCGTCTGGGAACGACTCGAGGATGTTTGCATGAAGCTTTGAAGGCGGCGGGTGTTGGGAAGCCATTGTGATTGTTGTTGAGAAACTTGGGTGACTGTCTCTAGGTCAATGGCAATTATGCGAATGAGTACAGTTCAACTTGCTCAATTCTAAGAAGGATGATTTGAATGAAAATTCGATTGAAGTGACACAGAATGAAGAGTCCGTCTGTGCAATCTGCTCCTAGGATTAACTACCGACATCGGTCTCACCAACAGTCAATGCTTAAACTCAATTAATTTGTCAGCTCGATAACATCACTATTCATGTGCTGATAAGCTTGCATACAGCACTGAATAGCCGGCATGCCACATCGTCATGAGCCATTTTCCATGCTGCAGAATCATCGTACTGTCCAGAGTAGCATTAAACTCACTTACACAACTTCGACAAGATGCCATCATGGTGTAACTCCGTTATCAGCAGGCCACTATCGACTTCTTACCCGATTTAGTAATTTACCCACGATAAGAGCGTGGAGAAATCGTGGAGTTGTGGGGTGCCGATTGCGTGAATCGTTTTACCCCAGACTAGCCAGATTTAGTAACTTAAGCGCTTTGTGAACGCCCGTTGATATCCCATCATGCAAGTTGGTGATGGTTTCAACCAGAGTGGTATGGGAGTTGAGATGATGATATCAGTTGGAGAAACAAGAATTTGTCACATCAGGCCATTACGTAGGATTTAGACAGGCAGCTGGAAGTGTAGCAATGATTAAGCATAAATACTAGACGTATTGCTATTATTTGATTTACACAGACAACTCAGAATCTTCTCTTAGTATCACGAAAAGAGAAACAAAATGCTTCTAAAATCTCTCACTGCTCTCAGCTTTGTATCCGTGGCTGTGGCTCACGGGGGTCATGACCATGACCAAGAGCCAATGTCTGGACCTCTGCAGTCCTTGTGGTACAATACTCTCCCAGGTGACGGCGGCAAACAGGTAGAAGCTTCTCCCAATGGCCAAATTAGCAAACATTATTAACAAGCCTTAGGCGGACTCGGTGTTCTCTGGCATCAGTACCTTTGGACGTCTCCCTTACCAGCCTTGCCTGGGACACTCAAGCATCAAATATGATATTGCCTTCATCGGCGCTCCTTTCGACACCGGTACCTCGTACAGACCTGGTGCTCGTTTTGGACCTTCTGGTATTCGCCAGGGCTCTCGACGATTGAATCTTTAGTGAGTGAACAAACAAAATCAGGGCCTACAGAAGTTGACAGATTCTTAGCGGCGGCTACAACGTCCCTCTGGCTACGAACCCCTTCAACAGTTGGGCCACTGTTTTAGACTGTGGCGATATCCCGGTCACTTCGTAAGTCAGCAGTCACTGAACAAAACAAGCAGTCGCTGATGGTATATAGCTACGATAACACGTTCGCACTACAGCAGATTGAAGAGGGCCATTACAGTATCCTGTCGCGTGCGCCTGTCACAGACGCCCACAAGATCGGTCCAGCCAAGAAGGGCAGGACTCTGCCTCGAGTCATCACCCTCGGTGGCGACCACACTATAACACTTCCTCTTCTCAGATCGATCAACCGCGCCTACGGCCCCGTGACCGTCATTCACTTTGATAGTCATTTGGATACATGTTCGTCTCAAGCCATCACGTAGCACCTACCCATACTAACCACTCTTCAGGGAAACCCAAGGTTTTCGGAGGTTCCCCATCAGAAGCCGCGAGTATCAACCACGGCACTTACTTCTACCACGCTGCCATGGAAGGCCTCCTCGCCAACGACACCAACATCCATGCCGGAATCAGAACCACACTCAGTGGCCCAAGCGACTACGAAAACGATGGCTACTGTGGATTTGAGATCGTCGAAGCACGAGAAATTGACACAATTGGTGCCGACGGAATCATTAAGAAAATTCTTAACCGTGTTCCCGCCGATCGCCCTGTGTACTTGTCCATCGACATTGACACGCTTGATCCGGCCTTTGCTCCCGCGACTGGTACTCCTGAAACCGGTGGCTGGTCGACTAGAGAGTTGAGGACAATCATTCGAGGGTTGGAGAGTCTGAATCTCATTGCTGCAGATATTGTAGAAGTTGCTGTAGGTTTACTCTTTCCGTGTGGAAGCAGTGACACTAACTGAACATTCTAGCCTGCCTACGATACTAATGCTGAGCACACTACCATGGCTGCTGCCGATGTGCTCTATGAAGTCATGTCTATCATGGTCAAGAAGGGGCCTCTCAGCAACATGGTTGAAGACAAGAAGGAATCGGACCTGTGAAATAGCTTGCATGAATGATCGCCAGGACACAGAAAGTAAAAACTCGAGATCAAAGCTGTTTGACATTATCAAGGGTATTTCATGGCGGAACTTTCGCTGTACAGTTGGCTACGTCAAATCATGATCCCACTTCAAGGAAAAAGAAATTGATGACCATTTCACTTGAGAATAGCAATAACTTTCTAATGAACATGAAGGGGATCCTGTTTTAAATGTCTATTTATGACCCCAAATAAAATTGCTTGAAGTTCCAAAGCCAATTCCTATGATCCAAGAAAGGTGCAAAAACTGGCTCTGAATGCCTTTGGCACGGTCAAGATAAGTCCCCGTCAAATACCTTGTCAGCCAATCAGCTTGTCCCCTCTTATCTTTCAATGCAATAAGAGGAACTACCCCACGACAATCATCAAGAGCATTCTCTACCCCGGATTTTCTCAAACTCTCCATCTTACTTATATCTGGTGTTAATACGCCGTTCCAACGCATGCCTGGAAAACGATCACGACAAGGGTGTGGCGAGTGTAGAAAGCGTAGGCGCAAATGCGATGAAACGAAACCCAGCTGTGGTCAGTGTGTTTCTAATAAACGCCATTGCCAGTATGAGCTGAGGCTTGTGTGGAGTCAAAGAGCTCAAACATCACAGAGCAGTATGCCAAATGTGTCAATTGGATTATTAGTCACGTTAATTAAAATTCTCAGGCTCTAACAATTCGACCTTCCTGGTCCACTCTCTCACCAATGACAACCTAAGAAGACACAGTCATGAATCTTACTTATCAATACCCGAATCCCTTCCAAATGGTATGACACTGCCCAGGCGATACAAAAGGTTACTACATCATTTCGCCGAAGGCGTCTTGGCATCTTTATCAAGTCACCCCACTATTCATCAAGACTTCTGTCGTGGTCTCATGCCGGTGATGATGCACTCCCCTCATCTTCTCTCCGCAAGTCTAGCTCTATCCGCTGCAAGCCTTACATCGCGGGGTATCCTTGAGGTAGAGGGAGTCTATGTCACCCGAATCGTCGAACATCTACAGTCATCCGGTCTGCCTCTTCTACGATCGGCATTGGCTCAAGGGCAACAGAGTGAGATACTGATAGCAACTTGTCTGATTTGGTGTCTGGCGGATGTTTTCTCAGGACAGCAAGGTATGCTTCGTTGGCCGATCCATTTACAAGGAATCAAGGCTCTTCTTCAAGGACGGCAAGACTACAAAGATTTCGCTACGGGTGATATGGCGTTGAGATCGGCTATGGGGCATCTATTCATGCTTTATCGTGCTTTAGAAACGTTGCCTCATGTACCAAACATTTCTTCAGCCACGTCTGGACAGTCTACTCCGGGGTTTCTCAAGCCTTCCACCACCAAGTCGCAGATCGACGGGTTCCTGGGCTATAGTGAAGAGCTCCTCGATATACTGAGGCAAATCAACATGATTGATTTGAGATCCAGTACACGCTCAGCATATGCGGAGGATCTTCTTAACAAACTCAATGCCATAATCAGCAGAGATATCAAATCCCCACCTCAAGTATCCATCTCGTCCCTTTCGTCGCAGTCAGGTCGCGACTTTGCGCTGTGCAACAAAGTCTTTCAACAAGCGACATTGATCCAATTATACCGACACTTATACGACCTACCATCCTCCTCTGCGCCGATTGAATCTGCTGTCGAGACGATCAATGGAATCATCAGCAAAATGGCGCAGGGCGAGCCCTGTAACACATGGGTTGCAATGGCGATGCCACTATTCACTGTTGGCTGCGAGGCGTACAAAGAGGCGCAAAGGACTTTTATTCTTGACAAGATTAACAAACTCGAGATTTGCATTGGTTCGCTGCACGTCAAGGTGATGGAACAAGCATTGAAAGATATATGGAGAATCAGGGAGGAATGTGAAGATTTCGAAGGGAACTTGTGTGCTGGTGCCTTGCTTGGTAAGTTACGCGTTCTCCTGAGAAGATGCATCGCTAACAAGGTGTTGATAATCAGAAAAGTTGTCCTATAACATCGTGTTGTTTTAAACGCCTTCCCACGTCAAGGGTGCATGTGATTGGACGCAAATGTCCGTACAGAAGGGTCAGATTCAAAAGGAAGTGCTGGCAGCTAAGAAAGAGACTAATACTGTCAGCTTGACCAGAAAGTGACTAGCCAACCAATAGTCTACGGGGGTCTTACTATTCTCAACACTAGGCGCAGACGCCTCCAAAATACTAGTCTTGAACAAGCTAAATTTATTCTAAGCTTTCGTGTTGTAATTTCCCCTTTCTTTTTTCTTCAACTGATGAGTCTATAAGACAGATGCCTGTCCCCACGCCTTTGTTTGCCGAGTTTCTCGTTGTTTTCACAATCAATTGATCTTAATACTACCTCATCATGATTTCAATCAAAGCGGCTGTCTTTTCTTGCTTGGCGCTCTCGCCCTTGGCCATCAATGCCGGTGCTTGTAAGCCGAGATCAACCGACATTACCACTATCCTATCCTCTGCGCTTCCCACTTCTGCGTCCGTTTCTCAGTCATCCGACATTACCACCGCATTGTCAACCGATGTCACAACTTTATCCGACGCCGTTACAACAACCATATCATCTTCTCCCGAGACCGTCTCCTCCGAAGCTCCAAGCGCAACCTCATCCGCCCCATGCCCAAAATGGAAACAAATCAACCCAGCCCCAAGCGGCAAAGTCTGCGGACTATCAGTCTCGCGAGGAAATGCGGCCAGCTCGCCCCTTTACATCCAGTCCCCTCTGTCCACCACCGGGCTGACGGGCTGCGCTAAGTACTGCGGAGATGATGACGAGTGTGTTTCATTCTACGCGGAGGATTATGTGCCTGGCCCTGGTGCGCCGACTTACAAGATCTGCTTTACCTTCCGAGGTTATGCGAAGGATATTCCATTTGGCCCGGGCAATGGCCAGCCGACTTATTATGAGCAGGGCTGTTTTGCTTGTGATCGGACTGAACCCAGTGGAGTTTGAGACCGGCACGTTACTAGACCGTGACTCTACGTCCACATGCCAGAGATCGATTGGTTTCATTTTGAACTACCATACTTAATAAAATATCACTTATGAGTACGCTGTACAAGAAAGTTCAGGAGGTCATCCACCTCCTCCGGCGACTTTATCCAGTGGCCCTCTACTTCTGCTCCTGTGTACTCTTTCCATTCCACAGAAAATCCAATCCGAGTGAATACATTCCGGGCTTCTCTTCCCAAGTCAACGTCGACGTAGGCATCGTCTATACCGTGACCTAGAAATATCGGTGTCGATAGGAACGCCTCTCGATTATGGGCGAGGGATGATTTGGCGCCTGCTAGCATACCGTCCATAAACACATCGACCTGGCTTCGCTCCGTACTAAAATCGTGAAGACCGTCCTCGATGCTGTGGTTGGGTAGCAAGTAATGCTCGACTCTCGACGCGAATGGAAGCCAAGTGCTTGTACCAAAGAATGCACCTAACGGTCTCTCCAGATGACCACGACAAAGAAAAGTCCACATGCCAACTGCTGCTCCTTGACTGATACCTCCCAAAACCACATTTTCAGTCGTCCCATCAAGTTTCCCGATCTCTTCTTCCAAGACCTTTTTGAGATAGTTGACAGAGTCTTTGATACCTGGGATCTGCAGATCCTGTCTAGCAGTTGTATCCGTCAAAGAATGCGCCTCGAACCAAGCAGGCATGTTCTCTTCAAAAACCGTACTCCAGAGCTCTTGGGAAGAAGGGAAGACCCATCGCCAGCTGGGGAGTGCTTGTGCGAGGCTGGTCCCATCGGAAAGTTTGGTTTCGTCAAAGAGCTCTTGTGCAAATTCTTCGCCGTTGCTGCCCCGTCCGTGGAGAAGAATTGCCGTATGAGTATGAGGGGCCACAGGCTCGACTATAAAGACAGGACCAAATGAGACACTCGTATTAACAGTTTGGTTAGATGTCTGAGTCATGGTGGTGGTGGTGGTGGTGGTGGTGTTGAGGATAAATCTGTCGACTGCTGCCTAGTTTGATGGGACATTGAAATAGAGATCTGGCGGGCGAATCAAATCGCTTACACTAAAAGACAAAGGACACAAGATATCATTATCACGGAACGAAAAATACTAAACACCTCAATAACCCTTTGTTTCTAAAATCACAATCCAATTTACGATAACACCAATAATTCCAACGCCAATAACATCCTGTGAACCCAATAAAATCAAAGAAATCATGTGTTTCTCTTCCACTTCTGCTTTACACCCTTTTTGGAGGAGGCCTGACTTCCTTCGGATGAAGACCGCAGTTGGAGAAATAGTCAGGTGGAAGCAATTCGTCATCCTCCTCCTCTCCGCTGTCTGACCTGTCTTTTGGATGTCATCTGCTCACCCAAATTGTCCGACCATTTCTGTTGATCAGATTGCTGACTTCGTCCTGGCAGGTCAACCATCCATCTGGCATTGCCCTGGCGAGACACATCGGAATTTCCGGTCTCTACACCTCGGGGCCGTCTACTCCCAGACTGTCGGGCAGTATCGGCAGTAGCCCCGGAATGTTTTTTGTCCACGCTTATGCCCAGTCGGCGTGGTGCCCTGGGACGAGGTTGCGGAAAGTCAGGTTGACTGTTGTCTCCATCCGGCGACGAAGAAGCAACAGGAGGCGGGTTGAAGCGCGGATTTCGTACCACAGTGCCGAAATTGAATCCAGTATCGCTCCATGGGTCAGCGGGAGGCGTTAACGGGGGCGACAGCGGAGGGGCGTCCGTCATGATTGTGTCCCCGTCCTGGTCCAAAGTTGAATCCATGATTGAGAAGAGCGGCGTGCTAGGGATTATTGCTGGATGACTTTCGATCCAAAGAAAGCAAATACGGAGATGCTGCGGATTGGTGCTTGTTGTGATAAAGTATTGCAAATTGTTCCGGCTTTATATAATAGCTATCAAGCTAGTATACACGTAGGGATCCTTCACACATAAAGCATGGCTCTTTTAATTCAATGTATCCTATTTCTTTGCCTTTGGCTACGGATAATGGAGAGAAGAATGAATAGTCATTACTACGTCCAATCGCAATTGAGCTATGGCATCTCAAACACATTCATAGGCATGCCTAACATTATCAGACACAGTGATCTGAGCCAAGGCACTTATCTGTACAAAAGCCAAGAAGAGCTTTTGCTGGTGAATAGCCCGATATACATTTACTCTTGTCTTGTATCTTAGACAGGCGAATCAACGAAAGCTGGCATTCTTACAACAACAAAGAAACCACATGATAGTCTATGTCACGCGTAAGGTATGATATTATCAATCAATACAAGGGACAATAGAATCATCCATTTCCTTACCATGAAATTCACTGATCACTCTCGACCAACGTATAGGAGTCGCTCACCTGGATGTAAAATATCATTTTTGACAGCGGCTGGCTTCAAACTCAGGTTTGTGCAGAAAGCTATGGAGAGGCTTTACTACAAGACCGGAACTCCGTGGAGCATGAGAATTGTAATCAGCCCAGCTCAAAAGATGCGCTAACTCAAAGTCCGCAGAAGAAAGTGGGGAAATATGTATTAGTGAATTTCTCGTCGCTCAAAATTGTCAACACAGTCGGGGGTTCAGTGACCAATCAGATATTACTAAATACGAAAAAGGGCACCGACCCACTGGAGCTCCTCCTCGTAGGATCCTTAGACCAACGGCGTAGCAATTAGACTAACTCCGCAGAGATACTCTTTCTCATCCAAGTCCGCATATTCTCATACCCCGTCAACTTACAATTTTATAAAGTATCGTATATATAGACAACATGTATCCAGCAGTCACAACTCATTCTTTATCATCATTCAAGCACACATTCAAGTCTACAGACCATCCTTTCAAGACATTCGCTATGCGATATACAATCTCAACCTGCCTCATAGCACTCGCCAGTGCAGGGGCCATATCCTACTCTAAGTCATCGCTGCCCCAAATCCACGAGATAGTCCAGGTTCCCAATGTCTGGTTCGAAAATGCTGCACTTCGCTCCAACGGCGACCTTCTCATGACTACAATCGGAGAAGGCAAAGTTTACACCCTCAACACAGCTACAAAACCCCCCAAGCCTCACGCCGTTGTCACAATCCACGGCGTCAATGCTCTTTCTGGAATCGTGGAGGTCGGCCAAGATGTCTTTGCTGTCACTGGGCACGTCGTCGAGGGAAACCCTCTGAACAACACGATGAACCTTTCTCTTCTCAAGTTCTCCGGGAGCGATGTTTCGATTCAAACTGTTTTTGAGAAATCCAAATACGGGCCTGTGAACGGGATTGTCGCCCTTCCGCACCATAGACATGTTATTCTTGCTGCGGATTCGGCGCGAGGCGAAGTCCTACGTATCGACACTACCACTGGCCACATCGAGGTCGCTATCAAAGACGACCAGCTGGCTCCTATAGCCGGTGGTCCTTTTCCGGTTGGCGTGAACGGTCTCAAGATCTTCAAAAATTACCTTTATTTCACCAACACCGCCCGACAAGCCCTCGGTCGAGTCAAGATCGACAACATGGGCAACAGGATTGGCGATATCCAGATAATTTCTAAGCTCGAGGAAGGTTCACAATATGCACCGGATGATCTCGCCATTGATAAGCATGGGAACGCATACGTGGCTTACTGGCAGGATAGGGTTGTCAAGATTACACCTCAGGGCAAGCAGAGTGTTCTTGTCGAGGGTTTACTTGCCGGTCCTACTAGCGCGGTCTTTAGTAAAGACCACAAGACTTTGTATGTTGTTACGGCTGGACAAAATGACGACAAAGTCTCTGGTGGACAGGTTGTTGAGGTTAAGCTGTAAGGGCATGCGCATTACACGTTAACATCGTCCTATGCAAGCTACATTTCAGGAATCCTGATTGATTCACGGGACAGCTAGACTATTACATAGAGAAAGGAATAAGAGCATTCAACATGTCACATGCTGTCCTTAGTATTCTGTGAAGCCCTCTACCGACATAGGTATCATCTTCGCCACCTAGTGATTCCAGAACAAAGTTGACCTACTACTCTTAGTCTTCAAGATTACCTATGGTGCCACAGTAGACAATGTAAGCACGGTGATTAGATCAAAGAAAGACGTTGGTACACTGATTGTGACAATTAATAACAATAAAGAGCGGGCGTACCGAATTACCCTTCAAGATGATATGGTACTCCTTTTATACTGGGATCGATTGGCTTAATGGCAGCGGGAAAGTCCAGAACACTCGCCTGATAATTTATTACTGTACTGGGCCTGATTACCAGATCTATGTCTGCATTTCGATATCGCTATCTTGGCCATGGCAATTGCCTAGAAACTTTCCATACTCTTCAGTCAATATCACCCACAGGTCCTCGTGCATAGTAATTTCTCGGCAACGAACATTCTACTCGATGAGAACAAGGTCGATATTACAGGAATTGTCGACTGGTCTCTGACGGCCCTTGTGCCCTTCGGAATGGATTTGGATACTCTCTTTTAACCACGGGGTTCATGACCCGAGACGTCTGGCATGACTATGCCTGTAAGAGTCTATTGTTAGATACCTTTTGGAAAGAGTTCTGGACCGTATCTGGGATTGACGAGGAGTGTCGGGGCAGAATACAGAGTCGGGCTGAAGCTGCAGGCCAGATTGGCGTAATCCTCCGATTAGCGTTCCAGCGCAACGCGGATGGGTCACCATCTGAAGAAGTTTTGGTGTCAGAGAGTAGGATAAAGCAATTGAGGGCATGGTTTGGTGACCAAGTTCTCTGAAGACGCTGGTTCACAAAGTCGAATCTTGGGGAAAGGCTGTGAGCACGTAGGGGTATGTGCCGCCCTATCCCTGGTTCATTACTGATATATCGTTGCTGCCTAGCCAGCTGAGATGGACCTGGAAACGAACCAACAAGTGACGTTATTCATACAAACAGAAGCTCTGTCGATGAACAAAGGATGTATCTCATAAATAGTGCAACATCAATTCATAAAATCCATCTCTTCTATCACAACATTACCTAGGTCGCCAGCATCTCAAGCAACAACCTTACTCAAGAAAAGACTCTGCACGTTACAAAACCCTTTGAGTCCATTGATTCCCCACTCTGCACCAATACCCGACTCCTTATGTCCTCCGAACGGCGCCATAGGCGTAATATCGAAGTGGTTGTTGACCCAGACTGTCCCTGCATCGAGAGCTTTGGCAACCCGCTCGGCCGTCTCAAGGTTACCGGACCAGACTGATGCACCTAGGCCAAGACGTGTGTCGTTGGCTCGATCGATTACCTCTTCTTCATCCTTCCATGAAAGGAGCGGCAGGATGGGACCTAGAAATATCAGCACTCATTCTTCTTTCAAGCAGTAAATGACTTACCGAACGGCTCCTCAACAACAATCCTCGAGTTATCAGGAGGATTATCAATAACAGTAGGCGTGATATAATATCCATCCTTAGGGGAAGGGTCAAAGCTTCCGCCTGTAGCAACCTTCCAGCCCTGCTTCTCAATATCGTCAAAGAAGGTCTTGACTCTGTTATACTGCATCTGATTTTGGATAGGGCCATGGCTGGTACTGTCTTTGGAGCCGTCGCCAATCTGATAGTTCTTGACGTGCTTAACGACGGCGTCGCGGAATTTCTCGTAGATGGATTCGTGCACGTAAACGCGCTTTACGTTGAGACAGATTTGGCCTGAGTTCAAGAAAGCCAACATTGACACCTAACCAGTTAGTCTTATTTAGCTCTCAGATACTTATGTAGGGACATACCTTCTCAGCAACCTTGTCGATATCCACATCGGGGAATACAACAGCAGCATCATTACCACCACTACAAAGCATCAGTCATCAATCCCATCAGAGCAGAGAAAAATACTGACAGCTCAAGAGTCACACGTTTAAGTGTTTTGGCAGCACTCTGCATAACTAGCTTGCCCGTGTGTGTCGACCCCGTAAAACTAATCTTGTCAATCCCCGGATGACTCGTGATCCACGGTCCGAGGTTATCATCGCCACTGAGTGATTGCACAACACCAGGTGGAAAGAACTGTTGCGCCAACTCGACTAGCTTTAGGCCGCAGTAGGGAGTGAATGGGCTGTGACAGGTTAGTAATGTTGACAATAAGGCTGAACTTTGTCTGAGCAGAAAAAGCTGTAGTTGGTAAGTAGAGTTGGTGTCAACTTACGATGGTTTCACAATGATGACGTTTCCCGTCAGCACCGCCGGAGCAATCTTAGCAGCAGCAAGCATGAGGGGGAAGTTCCACGGTACAATAGCAGCCGCAACACCAAGAGGAGTATACCGCGTCACGATCTTGCGAGTCTCACTATCCTCAACGACTTCCTCGGGCAGATCAATACTAGCCTGGCCTCGAACCCAAGCGATAGCAGCATCGGTCTCAGAGGAAGCTTGTGGAATCTGCTACCATTAGCCACCATCCGCCAGTCTCGCCAGCGAAAACGTACCGGCTTTCCCTGTTCAGAGATAAGAAGATCTCTAAAGTCATTCTTCTGCGCCTCAATGGCATCAGCCCACTCGAAGAGCTTCTTCTTACGTTCCTCCCATGGGACTTTTGACCAAGACTTGAATGCCTTCCTGCCGGCGTCGACTGCTTGGTTGAGATCGTCTTGGGTGGCGACGGGGACATCTGGTTTATTTTCGAGGGTAGCTGGGTTTACGCCCCTGTGGGACTTTTCAGTAGGGGAGCTTTTGCCATTGATAATTTGGACGTAGTTGTCCCATAGGTTGAGAGACTTTGATCCGTTGGTAGCCATGGTCAATTACGCCGAGATAATGAATAACCAAGTATATTTGATCACGCAGTTGCAAAGTTTTGAATAATGGGAAAATTAGAATCAAGATTTCACAGACCTCTTATATCACAGGAAACTGTAGGGGAAACAGTTTCCCGGGGCTAACCCCCGCACTTGACAACGTCAACCAAAAACGCCAAACGAATCAAGGTAGAATATAGCATTACACAGACTTGAGACATCATCGGAAACTAAACTGCTAATCCCGAAATAGTTCGGGCGGGATGTCCTCCGCACGCTAAATCTTGAGTTTCCTCACCCGCATCCGATGTGTTCTGAGACAGTCTCTCAACAAAGTTGGCGCCTCGGACCGAGGAGGACGGTTATGCATGCCGCGAAATGGTTCACAGACAGGTGGCTGAATAGTAAATATTTAGGTTGTAGAATGAGTAATAAATCAAATCTAATGCGAATTGGATCTAAACTGGTACTTCAATCAACATAACTGTTGTCTCACTTTCTTCCAAACAACCCCACAATATCATCCTTGTCACACGCACTCGCAATATCCAACGCACTCCTCCCCTTGTCATCCTCCCTCAAAGGGTCCAGCCCTTTTTTCATCATCATAACAAAAAGTTTCTTATCGTGCCCTTTCACTGTACAATCCGACTGTTTCCTACTCGCGATAGTATGCAGTACCGTCTCACCAACATTGTTCGCAACGAAAACATCTACATCGCTTTCTTTCGGGAATAACTTGTCGTAGTGATCCATATGGCAGCTTTCTGCCTTTTCTTTCCAACTCTTGGGATCCAACATCGAGAAGTAAGCTTGCAGTGGCGTGTTTCCATCATGGTCAGGTGCATTGATAGAACCACCTTGAGCAAGAAACTTCCTCCACATTACGGTGCACTTTTCGAAGTGATCATCACTTAACTCTCTATACGTACGCGATGAGTCTTCAAAGTCGCGATTCTGCAAGAGACATTGCGATGCAATGTAGTGTAAAGCTGTACGGCCTTGTGGATCGGACTCTAGTAGATCGGCGCCTTTGGCAAGGAAAGCCTCGCAGATCGCTGGACGCAAATTGCCGAGGGCGCAATGAAATGGCGTGTAACCATCATTATCCTGCTGAAATAGCGTAGGCGCGACCTCCTCTCGGTTCATAAACTCAAGAAGAACCTCATCTGGATATCCAGGATTGTCCATCAAATGGTGAAGTGCTGTCCTGCCGGCATCGTCCACCAGCGTGGCGTCCGCTCCAAGATCCAATATCCGTAAAGGCGAACCCGTCTGAGGTATCTGCGGCCGCCTTGCCCTAGTATTGTAGCCAGGCAAGGTTCCGCGCCAGTCGCATGCTGCCATCAATATAGTGCGACTCTGTTGCTCACGACGAGAGAAGTCAACTCTTGATACGCATGGCTCTTGCAAAAGGGCGTCGATAACCGGATGGTCAGACCATTCAAAAAGGAAGTGGATCAGGGTCTCATCATCGTTCAAAGGCAGATATAGATTCGCCCCACGTTCGATGAGTGTGGTGAACAATGGAAGCGTGTCTTCGATATGTCTGTTTGCCTTTTCGACGTATGCAGCGCAAAGAAGAGGACATATAAGGCGGGACCTTTGTAGAAGCGGATTTACCTCTCGACTGTGGCGTGTTTGGGCGACTTCATCGGTGCTGAGCCCATGATCAAGCAGCATGTTCAATATCTCGAGGTTCTGGTCGTAAGTGGCCGAGAACAAAGGGCTATAGGCTCCTGCCTTTGCATCTGCACCTCGGTTGAGTAATTCCCTGGTGACATCTGGTGCAGCCGAAGCTTTGTGGAGGGCAGAGAAGCCTTCCTGATCAAGCATATTCATATCAGCTCCGTGATCGAGGAGGGCTTGAACAGCAAGCAATCGCCAGAAACCTTCCACGTTACAGTACCTGTGCTGGAATCCCTCAGCAGCAACGTGGAGAGGAGTTTGTCCGTTTTCGTCCAAAATATTGACATCAGCTCCCCTGTCGAGGAGATATCTCAGTCCCTCCACCTGCCAGTAATGATCCGCCGATGCAAGTACATGAAGGGCTGACCCGCCGGGGATGGCTTCAAGAGTCTCAATACCACTGCGCGCCGTCACAAACCGCGCATTCGGATCCACCTGCAGTTCCTCAATAAGTGTCTTCAAGGTGAGTATGTTGGAGTGTTCCTGGGAGCAAGCTATACCCAATGCAGTCATTGTGATCGCATCATCAAAACAGAATAAGTTCAGTCTTCTCGTCATAAACATCCCTTTGACTGAATCGTAATCGCTATATCTTTTGATCATTGCCGGCGCTTTCTTGATGATTGCCAAATGGTCTGCTACCTGGCAGAAACTAGGCCTCATCAACCGGCTGACTAGGTTGTACGTTGCTTCTGACGACGGATCAGCCTCAAGGGTTTCTTTCATCAGTTCCGCGGTGTCCTCGACGGACAATAGGCCTAGGTAAGTATCAGGCTTTTCGCGTAACTCTTTGAACGTCTCCTCATCTTCTCTGAGGGTGTGCAGAATTGATCTCGGGCGCATCAAATACATTTGTATCTTGATTCTCTGCCAGAATGATTGCAGTGAGTCGGTATCATCTCTGTAGTACATCTCCATCACTGAAGTTGCTGTTTTGAATAGCCTCTCATCTTGCGAAAAGACTTGTGCGAAGGCCGTACTTCCAGTAAACAGAGCAACGTCTAGAGCTGTTTGCCCGCGATCATCTTCCTCAGCAACATTAACACCAGCCCCGACCAGCATGTGGATGATGGTTGCAGTTGCAGGGGAGAACTGCCTCCTGAGTGCCACTTCGGCAGGTTTGTATTTGGCTTTGTACCAAGGTCTTCGACTATCGGCGAAATTTCCTGGTCGGAGCGGATCAGCAGGACTTCGTAACCATCCAGCCCTACGTCCCCTGATATTCCACATGCATTGCTCTGTTCCATTGTCTGCACAAGCATGGAGGACAGTAGAGCCGTCCGAAGCCTTCAGAAGGGTCAAAGCGCCGTACTTCAAAAGCCAAGCAACTGATTCGGACTCGCCAGAGCTACACGCGTAGTGCAGTGGTGTTCTGCCGAACACATCTTGCTGGTCTATATCGATATCCTTACACAGCTCAAGAAGACCACCGACAATGTTTGCCTGCCGTGCACGGCATGCGATATGAAGCGGATTCTGGGAGTCTGATGTCAAGTAGTTGGGATCGGCTCCGAGGCTTATCAGCTTAGCTACATCAACTTCCGATCTCAAGGCCGCTAAATGAAGTGCTGACAAGGAATCTCTGTCCCGATGCTGAAGGTCGATTTCGCCACGACTATTGATAGCATCGAAAAAGTGTGTGTAATCGTCACTTCCCGAGCCATTCCCTTTACACTTGTTTTGCTTTTGGAAAACATGAAGCGGCGTGTCACCCTGGCTGTTGGTGGCGTTGACAGGAATTCCCAAATCAACAAACCGACGGACGATGGAAGCATGTTTCTTCTCGCCAGTGTACCACCCTGCAACAAGGTGTAAAAGATTGTTTCCGTTGTTGTTCGTGTCCAAAGGATCAACTCCCTCAGCCAAGAAGGGCTTCAGGACGTCATAGTCTCTTATGTCAGTAAGACAAGCCGCGAGTATTGGATTGTTACCATTGACATCTTTAACGTTGTTCTGCGCCCCATGGTCTCTCAAGATTCGTGGAAAATCCCGTGACCCACGAAGACAGTCCAGATAAAGTGTGTTGCCGTTTTCACCCATTGTCTCCATGTCGATACCTTCGGCCAAGAGGATTTCGAGAAGTGTCTCGAACATATGAGCACGTACTTTTGACAGATTGAACCAGCAACGTCTCCGTTCGTCCGTATCGTCACATCTTGAAAGCAACAATTTGAAGATGTCAACTCCAAGCTGCATAGAAAGCAAGAGGGCTGTATCATCATTCTTTGTCTTGAGAGAGGGATCCGCTCCATGATCCAGTAGATATTCCACTACACGCAGTGTGGCTTCGTCAGAATCGGTGCCTCTGCGAGTTGGTTTGTTCACCGCACAAACGAGGGCTGTCTCGCCAAGGTCATTCTTGGCATTCGGGTCGCATCCACGTTCAACGAGAAGTTTGACTACCTCCAAATCCTTACATTGACTGGTGACTTGTTGCAAAACGCTGTTACCATCCTCGTCGATCGCCTTGAAGTTGGCTCCCGCTTTGATCAAGGCCTTTACAGAAGGCTTGCAAAGTCCACTTTTACCACTATTATACGATCCATATCCAGCAGCATTTATTAGGGCAGTTACCCCGTCTCCGTTTGGCTGGTCAATATCTGCACCGGCTGCGATGAGGAGTTCCAAAATTGCTTTGCTGTCGAAATCGTTCTCTTGGGTCCATGATCCAACCAGCCAATGTATCGGTGCCGAATCATATCTTTCACTGAACGACTGTCCACAGATGATTGTTCTTGGCTTCCACCTGGATGTCTTCTGAGGATTTGCCCCTGCCCTGAGAAGAGCGGCAGCACATTTGAGGCTCGTCATGTGACAGGCGATGAACAAGGCTGTTGCCCCTTCAAACATTGCGTCGGCTGAAACCGACGATTGTTTCAATAAAGCTAGAACATTGTCTATCCGTTCGTACAAACAGCTTTGGAACAAAAGCTGTTCCAACATGTGTGGTTCGCAGTAGGGGATCATTGCCCTAAGAGACTCTATGTGGCCTGCACGACTGACGTACATCAAGGCACATTGCCCCTTGGTCAATGTCGCGCCGCTGGGAATATGCCCAGCGTGGTCATTTCTAGTCTTCAATGTATCCGGTTTGACGCCGGCCTTGAGTAGTCTGGCCACAACTCCAGCATGGTTCTTGAGGGCTGCAAGATGTATAGGCTTCAATCCCCTACCATCAGCGCCGTCAGGATCTGTTCCGCACCCAATCAAGAGTGCAACCAGCCGTTCGTGACCATTCGCAGCCGCCCAATGAAGCGGGGTTCGATCTTGCGCGTCCGTTGCCGAAGCAGAAGCGCCACTCTGTAACAGCCGCAAAGCAAACTCAGATAGTCCTGCAAAAGCTGCAAGGTGGAGAGGTGTTGGTATCCCGTCGCTGGTTTCTCTGCTTCTCGACGTTGAGCCCCACTGGATGACAAGCCATCGGCGGAACGAGAGGCTTTCTGGGTTGAGAAAGTCAATGATGGCCTGAAAGAACCCGCTATCTTCCACATCATAGAAGCTGGAGTGATATGACCAGTTCTCCACTGCGTAACTGAGAAATGGATGCTGCAGGCGAGCCTGTCTGTACTCGAAAGAGTCCCGCTTGTCAACCACCTCAAATTTCTCGGCCAGATGCTTCGGCTTTTCAAAGGAGACGGAAGGGTCTATAACAGCCGTGTTGGATCTTTCACTTTCAAGTAAAAGCGAACCAGATTGAAGATATCGTAGACAATTGACGGTCATGTGCTTATGCGCCTGAAGGGAGTCAATAATGGGAAAGTCAGCTTCCGACAAGGTCGTTTTATTGCGGGTATCACCACGTAAGAATTCTGTGAATGAGTGGTGAATCACTTGTAGCGTTTCGTCCTCGAGTATTTCAATGAGTGGTCCACAGCTTACGGAAATCAATCGTTTGAAGCCATTAGACTCAGTGATGTCGGGGCGAATACATTTTAAGAGACTCGCCAATTCGTTCAAGCGCAGGGGACGGGATGAATGAGTCACGGCCTCGAGTACAAGTATCTGGACGTCTGTGGTGACCCCAGGCTCTCCACGCTGCTTGGCCAACATGCTTGTGTATGTTTGCTCTAGACCGAGAGGTAGAGAAGCCTCGAGATTTGCGATATCGATAGATTCGTCTAGTTGCAGAGAATTTTCGACTTGATCCATGGTGAGTTTGGCGTATAGGAACAAACCCTCAGACCTTTTCGCAACCATGTCGATGATGTCCTTTTTCAGCTCGAGATGACGATCGGAATTTGGTGCCATGTCGAATCGATGATTGAGATAGGAGAGAATATCCACATCCACAAGCTGCTGCTGAAGGCTGATATGAACGATCGATGAGTCTCGGAGTGTACTTTGTAGGTGCTGCTTGGGTCGGCTGGTCATAAGGAACTTCAAGGTTCGGGGCCGATGCGAAGCGAGATTGTTGAGCTTCTGCAGAAAGGGTCTGTTATCTGTCGACATTTCATCAAGGGCATCTCCGACACAATAAAGCTTTGGGACACAGGATATGCCATCGAGGAAGAGTTGGATGAGATCGTTGTCTGATGTTTCTGCCAAGTTGGTCTTGAGCCGCGGCTGGAGAGCGAATTGCAGCTTGGGAGAGAAAGGCAACAGCTGAGCAAGCCAGTCCTGGATCAAAGCACGGGGCGAGAAGTTTGCGGCGACGATGTTCCGGAAAAAGAAAAATAACACAGGACAATCATCAGTTGTTCGCAGATGCTGGATCAGGCTGGCTGCCATTACAGACTTGCCAGCGCCCGGCACACCTTTGATCCAGAGACTGCCGTGGTCGGGAGAGTCGTGCCATTTTCGGTACTCATCTGTTTCGCATAGCCAAAGGCCAGTTCCTGGAGCCTGTGATAATAGATGGCGACGGTATTCGCCAGATTCGGCGAGATAGTCAGTTGGCTGGAGCCATTCTCTTAGCTTGGCGATGGTCTCAGGACTCAGCGCGGTGTCGGCGTGATCAACGAAATCGTACTCGTCTGCGGTATTTATAGATGTGGGCATTCTGATAAAACAAGAAGTTGGATGAAGATGTCAGAATTAAAGACGAGATGCGGTCATGATTTAGACAGGACCGTCAGACGCATAGGCAGCAACTGCTCTTCCTTCAACGAGTCGTCATTGGTTCTGATTGTCGAGCTGAGCGGGGACTTGTGCATAATTCGCTGAGCGTGCATAACTTTCAGCAGCGCTTGATATATGTTCAGCAATCGTAATAGAACAAGAGGTTTTAACTCTTTGGAAAACTCCCCTATACCTCAAATTTTTCTTGTGGCTTTACCTGACTTGGTTGGTTCGGGGAACATTCTGTAAAATTAGTGTTGCTGTTGAATTGCGTTGAAACTCACGACCTGACCTAAATCTGACAACAACCTTTAATCACGTGGTAAATCCCATAGCCAAAATTTCGTGAATATGTAGAATAATATCTTGATCGTGAAACAACATGATCTTTTGTCTGCCAATTCGTCATACTGTCAGTTAAGATCAAAAGTCTTTGCTGAGAGAATAGGACCAGCACTTACCCTGTTGTTATTTACCAGGACCGCGGGCCCGCGGCGTAGTTTAGCCCAGGCCCCACTTCTACGGTGGCAGGGAATACCAACGAAGACGGCTATTCAGAGTCATAGAAATGATTCGCCCAGTGTACAGTCCCTTAATTGAGATATTTGTGGACTCTTCCATCAACCAGAAATACCATTGGACCAGGAAGCTAGTTATGTGAGCATGGTCATCAAGTGCAGGCTGATTTAGGCCACAACTTAAACCCAATCGGGTCATACTCACTATGAATCATTCCCAGTCGATCGTTTGAAGGTGAGCATCAGGTCTGTGGGTGACACAACACTAGTATTAGGAATAAAAATACAAAGATAAAAACTGATCGATTCGAGATATAAAGATAGAATAGAATCTGAATTGCAATATCATAAAAAACCATCTTCCTTCCTCACCAGTATTGACACTACTTTATAATTACTTCCAATCATCCAACACCACCAAGATTTCTCTTCCAACCACAAACCAAGCTTCTTCCCCAGCAGCCACAATGGGTTACATGAAAACCACATACGACTACTTCGACCTCAAAGCCCCCTTCACACCCTTACCCAAATATGGCCATCTCTCCAAAAAGACGCCAGAGTACGAGCAAGCAGAGCCGTCAATTCGAAAGGCCTACTCAGTTCTTCATGACCTCCCCGACTTCGCGGCTGTGCGCGCAGTTGCCGGTGATCCTGATGCGGTTATGCCGCCGGGCGGACCTGATCGATACAAAGATGTTGTCACTGAGCTAATTGATATCCCAACTCGTGATGGGACTGTCATTGAGCTAAAGGTGTACAAATCGCCGAATGTTAAAGAGAATGCTGTTTTGATGTACCGGATGCACGGCGGTGGTATGTAAATTCTTGCGGGATTGGTTGATCGTGCTAACATTGTATAGGTTGGTGTCTTGGTCGCCACGAGGTCGATGGCGTTGACAATGTCTACGCTGCGACGAATCCTGAAATCATCGTCGTGAGCGTCGACTATCGCACGTGAGTATCACAAGGAACAAAAAGTAGACTCATCTAATGATTGCAGAGCACCGGAGCATCCTTTCCCGACACCCATCAATGATTGCTACGATGGACTTCTTTGGGTAAGCATATGATAGCAAGTTGAAGACTATCACTAAAAGATTATAGTGTAAAAAGAACTCAGCAAGACTGGGCATCGACCCTGAAAGGATTATCCTCAGTGGTGGCTCAGCCGGAGCTCAGCTTGTGAGTGCCGATCAAATTCATGTCTACTTAACCTCCATTCTAACAGACTTGTAGGCCGCTTCACTTGCCCTAGACTGCTTAAGAGACGGCATTACCGGCGTCATAGCGCAAGTCCTCCATTTCCCGCCTACATGCCACCCCAAGTTCTTCCCCAGGGACAAGTACGAGTATGGAAGCTACATTCAAAACTACGACGACGCGGTCCTCGGCGCAATCAACATGGAGACTGTCTATGATGCTTACACCCCCAACGCAAAGCCTGATTATAGGCACTCGCCTCTCCTTGCGGAATCGTTCAAAGACCTACCTCCCACCTGTAAGTTGCTGATATCCGATACTTGGAAGCGCGTTGCTAATATGCTTTAGTGATCCAATGTGGTGGCGTTGACCCTCTTCGCGACGATGCTTTTGCGTATGCAGAAGCTTTGAAGAGTGATGGTGTTGAGGTTGAGATTCATTGCTATGCTGGGTTACCCCACTGGTTTGCGGCTCTTTTGCCTCATACCTCCGAGAGTGTTCAGTTCTTTGAGAGGTATAACGGCTTCCTGGCTAGACATGTTGGGAAATAGAGTTATTTTTATGTGTCTTCGCTGCGGGAACAGAGAACACCAGGCAGTGATACAGATGATAAAATACTTGTCTTACCAATATGCTTGAATAATTACAAATATGGATATTCTTCTCACAATTTTATCTAAATAACCACGGGCCCTTCCATGAAGTTATCAAGGAAGCTCATATCAAACCCTTCCAACGTCCAAGGCTCCGTTAACATATGTTCAGGAGCAATAGAAGAATCTTGAGTGGCAATAATTGACCCAGTCGCATCGCCCTGATTCTGCATGGTACGACTTGTTCTCCTGGTACCCTTTTGCCCAGGTGGTGTAAGACCCCAAGGAACCTCCAATAAAACCGGAAGTGGCTCATTGCCCTCCGAATCTCGCCGCACAATCTTAATCACAGGAAAGTTCGGGAGATGAATATCGAGGACCGTTCCATCCTCGCTAGCTTTGAGATGATGCGCCAAGTCTCCATCCCTTGTAGATTCTTCCCCAAACGAGAGAGTGTAGCGAATACCAGCTGTCACATTGTCTTCAATAGCCAGAAGATAGTGCAGAAGAGTCATTAATCTCTTCGAAATATCATCTTCGCTCTTACGCGCGAGGGTCTCTGCAATCGTCAATACTTGTTCGAGAAGACCTCTATCGCTAAGGCGCTGCTGCTCAAGGAAATGGAACCCGTTATCTTCGATTCTCTTGTGACGATGATCGCAGAGGATATGCGCGAGCGTTAACGCAGTACACGCGACAAATGCAATCAAATCGGTTCCTCGGCAGTAATACCGTGTTTGTGGAATCGCACGGACCGAGACAAATCGAGTGAGAACTTCTCGACTGGCAGTAATTGCAGCTAATTTGTAGTATCCGTATTGGTTTCCATCGTCGATGCGCAGCAGGTATGGCATATGCAATTGTAGTAGTAAATGATACTGCATCATATGATCATTAAAGCGAAGAGTCTCGCGGAGTTTATCGGGAAGGTCGGTGCAGGAAGCAAGATTGGGCATGATCCACCATTGTGCCGGCATTGATGTACAAGCATCTCGCAAAAGCTTATCGATTTCTTTAGTGAACTTCTGGTCGCATAACTCAGAGGGCTTTCGTCTCAACAATAGCCCACAGGCTGTGGAGCAGAAGACCTGCAATTTCCGATTGGAAGGTAAGGTATAAGGCACATCGATGCTACCGACTGGTTCGTCTGGTGAACTTTGGGGTAAGCCGAGCATTAAACAGAGATAACGATCTAAGTTGATAAGGCGAAACCATAATTCATCGGGCTCAATAGCAGCACCTCGAAATGATGGAGGGACGATGCCTCTGTTCAGTCCCAGCATCTGAGCAATCATGACCGTCTTCCGAGTTGCGAGCCAAGACCGACGGAGATTGCCGGCGTAATTCTCATAAAGACTTTCGAGCATCATACATTCGATGCCTTCGAGCGAAGAGACAAGATCATCATTGCATGTGACTCGATCGTGTACAAGTTTAACGATTCGAGCCATTATCGTCTCATAACTGGTGCTCAGATTTGCAATATGACTCTCGGATGATAAGGGAACGCCTTGCAGAAAGGTAGCTAGGACGAGTAATTTCCGTGCGACGAGTATAGGATGTGATCCGCGCGGTGGTAACCGGAGTAGTGTTGCTGGGGATGGGAGTGTTGAGCCACGGTCTTTTGGAGGTGTGCATGTCATTACTCGGATGATCTGTGCGGGATCTGCTGGAAGACTTAGGATGACTTCCATATCCTGTGTACTTGGCCATGCTGCGACAAGGTCTCTACGCAGATCATCGTGTGGACCGGGTAGTGATGATGGTTCGTCCTGGCTAACAGAAGACAAAATTTCTCCTGATATTGATGCAAGAGCTGTAGGGTGGTTCTACGGCGATTAGTACCTGAGCCTCAGACTTCAGGGCATGAACTTACTATAGTTGAGTTATCGTACTCATCGATATCGATATGTGGAGTGACAGTATGAGGCGACTTAGAACGCGTCCGTCCATTATCGAGACTCTTACTTCTTGAGTCCAAACTCACAGGCGAAATCAACCCCTCTAGAGATCGCCCCTCAGAGCGAGCACTCTTCAGCAAATGTTGCACCAAAGCTTCAACCTCGCCAAGTCGATCCACTATATGCTTGTTGCTCCCTGGTGGGGGCGGCTTCTCTGTAACTTCCTGGCTGACACAATCCGTGCCGCGCCGCTTACAAAAGTCACAGACCTCCGAAGCACCGGCGAAAATGCACTTCGACTTGCGACGCTTGCACTCCCAACACGATTGTGTCCCCTTGCGCAGCTTGCGACGTTTCGAGGCGGCTAGAGCATCTGCTTCTGGATGCCGCTTCTGGCCTGGGGTGGAGTCTGTCGTCAGCTGCTGCTCGTCCAATGATATATGCTCCCCCATTGCGAGAAGAAATGAGATTGAGATTGATGGTATGGATGTGATAGGAATAGCGTTAGGGGTGGGATTGCTGACGGCGGAAGGACTCAGGTCATGGTGAGATTCGTCCGCCGTTTTCCCGGAGTTGCATTTGTCATGACCTGCGATTGGTCCGTTGGCGATAAGGCCTAGATTTCGACACACCTTGACGTCTTGGCGTTCGTATCATCGGCGGATGAATATGGGATTCCTGCGAAATGGCGGAACAAATTATTCGAGATGTGACATATAAAAGGGATATCTTTCAACTATTTTCATTTAATGAATAAGTATAGACACATTCTAGAACTCCAATCAAATACAACACAACACAAACAACAAACTCAAAATGGTCAAGATCGCAATTGCTGGTGGCGCCGGTAACGTAGGCCAAGAGGTTATCGACGCCCTCCTCGCCAGGAACAAGCATGAAATTCTCATTTTATCACGAAAGGTTTGTCCGCTCCACATCGATGCTTCCTAACTAACATCTCAGGACGCACCCGAAACTGAGATCGCCCCAGGTGTAAAATGGGCCAAGACTAGTTACCAAGATATCGACGAATTGGTCAAGATCCTGGAAGGTGTTCACACAGTCTTGTCTTTCATGTCTGTAGGGCCTGCAGGATTGGAAGGTCGACCTCAAGAGAACTTGATTGATGCTTCGGTGAAGGCTGGCGTGAAACGCTTTGCACCCAGCGAATGGGCGTCGTGAGTAATTTCGAACTGCTAGTTGCAAGTTAACTGACATTTTGAAGAGCTAAGATCGACCACTTCCCCTGGTATGACTTCAAGAGATCAGCCCGAGAATATCTGGCAGAGATCAACAAGGAGGAAAAGGTATGCCGCATTGCCTCTTTAACAAGCCGTGAACCCACTGACAAAAACGCTCAAGGTCATCGAGTATACACTCTTCCATTTCGGACTTTTCACCAACTACATGACTTACCCGTACAAGTCATCCAAGCATGTGACTCTTTTTGAGACACCCATCAACTTCAACGACTGTAGAGGCCTTGTTGTTGACGATGGTGAGGCTGTCATCACACTTGTTACTGCCCAAGATGCAGCCAAGGTGACTGCTCTGGCTGTTGAGTATGAAGGAGAATGGCCTATCATCAGTGGTATCAAAGGGACGGATATCACGATGAACCAGCTAGTTGCACTGGGCGAGAAGATCCGAGGTACGGAAGCCTGCCTAACCTATTGAAGATCATACTCCTAACGACGCTTCTAGGCAAACCATTCAAGGTTGAGAACCTGAAGAGCGAGGATCTCGAAGCCAATATCATTAAAGCTTCTTATTTGCCAATGCCAGAGCACCCGTCAATTCCAGTTGAAGTCCGCAGAGGCTATGCAAGTACGATCATCAAAGGAATACTTCTCGGATTCAAGGATGGTGCTATGCAGATCTCTGATGAGTGGAACAAGCTTTTGCCCGACTTTGAGTTTACTCAGCCTGAGGAGTTCTTGACTAAGGCTTGGGCTGCCATTGACGCTGGCCAGACGAGTGTATTCACGGATTACTAGTCAGATTTGAGTGTGGAGATTGACCTAGAGTTGAGGATTGGAAGCTTTTACTAGCACCAGACGAATATGGAAGATAGGACGAGTTAGAAGAATCTTTAGTAGAATTGAAGTGGTATCTAATCGCGAATTTGTGTCTCCTGCTTAAAAATACAACCCGTAGTCTAGCTTGTATCATAAGCCGCGTAAATAAGCTAAAAGTCTTATGGAAATTCCAGCCTGATTGCCAAACCAGGCATCTAAAACAGGGTAAAAGGCAGTGAGGTTCTCAAATACTGCACTCAACATGACGGGGATTAAATTAACATCCACCTCCACCACCTCCACCCCCTCCATCACCTCCACCACCGCCGCCGCTGCTACCACCGCCGCCATCGCCACCGAAAATGCCAGCAACAGCACCACCGTGACTGTGATGGTGATGACCTCCACGACGACGTGGCTTCTGGGCAGCGCTGTGGTTATAACTGGCAGTGCTTGGGTATTTGCGGTTGCGACGGGCGTTGTTTGCGTAGTTCATGGCTGGTTGGGGGGCTGCGTCGTACTCGACGTCCTTGATTCTTGAAGAGCCGAACACATTTTGTAGTGAGGATATGTTGCTCTTGATTGGGTTTGTTCAACAAAGGTTACTCGATGAGTAGCTCTAATGCAATTTATAGCTTGGTATAAGTGGTTCTGAGAGGTCTGGGTGAGAGGACATTGAATAATAAAGTCTTGTTGTGTCTCTGTCTCCTGCTGATTGATGACTTTTAAGCTGCGAAGAGTGATTGCCTATGTTTGTGATGATGGAGGGGTGATCAGAACATGCCGGGTCTGGGTATATATATACACGTTTACCAGTACAATGATAGCAGATTCAGCCTTGTAATATACAACATGCTGTAGGGTGACGTATTGGTGGTCAGCTGGCCCATTGGAACCAGGGCTGAGCCTCTAGGCATCAAAATTCCCAAGTGCTTCTAGAATAATTCTAGCTTCATCAGACTACAACTTTAAGCTATGGTTGGCCGGCCTTCGTTTTGCGTGTGCCCCACAGCATTGACAATCGCTCAATCACTGCCTTGTTTGGAAAAGTCACCTCCAATCATTTTCAGCTCTGCGCTTATCATTGAAGATCAGACCTTGAAGGGTAATCACGGAGGAATGATCTTGGGCTGCCAGTGACGCTGGCGAGAAGAGTGTGTTTAGGGATTATTAAGTAAATTTGAAGATGGAGGTTGAAACTATATTGAACGTCCGGAAATGACTACTCCCCTACCAGATTATTATGGAGGAGAGAATGAGTTGGAATAATCTTGAATAAAATTGAAGTGGTATCTAATCATGAATTTATCTACTTCTCAAGACGCGACCCATAGTCTATAACATCTCCCAAGCCGCAAAAGTCGGCTAAATATATTATGAATACTCTAGCATGGTTACCAAACCAGGCATATTAAACATGGTAAAAGGTAGTGAGGTTTCCAAACGCTGGTTGAGTTTACATGCGCTGAATGTAATGGGATTGGAATTAACATGCACCCCCGCCACCGCCAGCAGCAGAAGCGGCGATGGTAGCATAAATTCCGTTGTTATTGTGACGACCTCCGCGACGACGTGGCTTCTTGGCAGTGTATTTGTGGTTGTAGCGGGCGTTATCTGCGTAGTACATGACTGGTTGGGGAGGCGGGTAGTACTCCACGTCCTTGCTCCTTGAAGAAGAACCGAAACACATTTTTGCAGTGGTGATATGTTGCTCTTGATTGGTGTTGTTTCGACAGAAGATACTTGGTAAGTATCTTGACTGGGGTTTGTAATTCGGTATAGGTTGCTGTGAATGGCTTGGGTGGAAGGGCGTTGAATGAGAAAGTCTTTTGATTGATGACTTGTAAGATGTGAAGAGTAGATGTCTATGTTTGTGATGATGGGGGTATTACTAAAACTTGCTGAGGTTATTCATCTATATATACACGTTCTCAAATCAGGGGTGACGTGTTGGTGGTCAGCTCGCTCATCTGAACCAAGGCTGAGCTCTCGGTATCAAGTTCCCAAGTGCTTCCAGAATAATTCTAGCGTCACCAGACTCTGCACCTTGTTGTGGTTGGTTGTTCGTCGCATTGCGCAACCAAGTGTACCCGACAGAAATAACAATCATTTCGGCAATCGCTCAATCACTGCCATATTGGGGAAAGCTTGATCCAATCAATCTCAGCTCTTCGCCTGTGATTGAAGATCAGGCCCTGAAGGGGTATCGCGTAGGAACGATTGGTACGCCCTAGGACGCTAGCGTCGCATCGCATCGCGCGAGGTGCCAAGCCTTGCTGCGCCTCGGAGCGTGACGATGATTTCGTTATTCTTAACGCCCTTCATTTGTGAGAATTGAGGCTGGAGAAGTAATCGGATGAGAAATCGAGTCCGAGAGGTGTCAGTTCGAAGGAACCGAGTATTCAACCAAACAATATGAATCTAAAGACATCAGAATGCGGTACCAATTTTATAGAAAAATGACATTGTCCGAGTGCAGGGATTGACCCAAAATTAAAAGAACATATAAGCAAACCAGGTTCTCTTCCGTGTGCTCAACAATACGATATATCACAAGCGTCAAGAAAACCATATCGATAAACCCGATTTCCATACTGTACACTTCCCGACTCAAACCATGTATAATATACAAACATTAAAGCATCCTATAGCTTCCTCTTACCAGTAATAACCTCAAACTCCTTTTCTGAGCTTTTCTCAAGCTCCTTTTTAACCCAAGCCCCTATGCTTGAGGCAGCCTCTTGAGGGCTTTCCAAGTGTAATTGGAAGAAGCCTTGCAATAAAGAAGGCGTAAACGTATCATCTGGGATCTCCTTTGCAAACTCAGCAGCAAGCTCTTTCATCTCATCCATATCGAGATGTGACGTGCAGCCCAAGTCGGGAGCAAACATGCGGATGAACATCTCCTCCGCAGACTTTTGACTGATATTGCCCAGGAGAACTTTCATATCGACTCGGCCAGGTCGGACTAACGCGCTGTCTAATTGTTCGGGGCGGTTGGTGGTCATTATAATGATTCGCCCTTCCACAGAGCCCACGCCGTCTAGGACGTTCAAAAGTCCGGATAGCGTGCAGTTTGGCGCAGCGTTGTTCTCCTGTCCGTTATCTGAATTGGAGCGATCTGTCCATACGGCGTCGATATCTTCGAGCAAGACGACACAGCGAGGTGGAATTTCCTGGAACATCTGCTCAAGATCGGCATCTGTGGCAACGCTTGGAATTTTAACTTCGTACAGATCCAGCCCGAATTCACCAGCGATGGCAACAGACAAAGATGACTTTCCAGTTCCAGGGGGGCCATAGAAGAGATAGCCCCGTCTGTAGGGCATACTGCGGCTCTGATACCTCTTTTGCGTTTTGGGATCAAGGTAATTTCGAATATCGCCGAGAAGTTCCTGCTTAGTCTCGTTGTCGAAGTGAACAGTTTCGAGATGTCGAATTGGCTTGCGGGCCTTTGGTTTCCATGATAGTCCGTAACGATCCCGGGCGTAAATAATAACAAAGAACTGTGTCTGTCGATCTGAGAATTCGCGACATGATTCGATAAACGTTTTGATAGGCTCCGCTGACCAACCGAAGCAGCTTACGGTGATTTCCTCGCCCCCAATGCCGTCGTAACTAGGATCCGATAGTGAAGAGCTGAAATCGCTGACTCTGCGCGTTACAAGAAAGAGATTCCACCATAAAACAGCCATCTCACATTCCAATGCGGTGAATACTGAATCGAATGCCGTGTCTTTTTGAGAGCTGCAGCGCGATCTCCGTTTTGTCCAATGTCAGTGCGTCCATGAAATGAGCGGTAGTGTCGTTCCCGGTTGGCCAGAATCCATTTGACAACACTCCTATTAAGAGGGTCGCCCCCAGGAATTGTAACCGAAGCAAGAAAAAAGCGCCTGATTGTACTGTAAGCTTCTTGCCAAACGCGATGTGCGAATCTCCAAGCCGTAGGGAGCGTGCCGGCTATGGCGATAAGCGATCCAATTTGGGTAATATCCAGTTCCGACCAGCTTGAGAAGATATCTCTCATGATTCCGATTCCTTGCGACATTGGATCAAGGAGGTGTTGCCCGGCGGATGCGCCGACGTGGAAGCGATGAGCCATGGCCAATGGCTGGAGAGCAATTTTGGCTCAATTGGGGCTGATGTATAGGGGTTGATTGACCATTGAAGGTCGTGTCAAGACAGACACAATAAATGAATAAGATAAAGAGCAAAATGAAGTGATTACATCTGTAAACGAATGACAAGAAGGACGATTAAGGAAAAAGTGTTTGGATCGATAAGGGATTCTGGAATGACGAAACTCAAATATTTGTCAAGTTTGGCAGTTAATTAGATGCCATTGCTTACCGCCTTCCATTTTCAGCATAGCCTCCCCCTGGAGCTACTTATCCTGGTAACCCTTACAGCTTCCCTATCCCTTGCAGATGTTTATCTTCTGTGTTATCCTGAATAGTATTCCTATTGAAGAATATATCCTACATAGACCAGTTAAAGCGAGACTCTTTATTTCTCAACCCTATTATTTAACTGGAATTTCATAAATGCTTATGTCCAGTTGAAAAGCATGCACTGCTTGTGACACCCCATCAGAGGCATGCCTGATACGTTAACCATCATAGGGTTAATGATATTTTCAGCCGTGTCTTATTGAAATCTAGTCTTCATTCTCTTTAAAATATCATCAAGGCCATTTTATTTGCCTGATTATCCTCTTACTCTGGTTTCGATCTGAAATCTCACGTGGAGTTACCCTACATGAGCCTTATAAGTCTTTTTGTTCTGTAGTACAGGTATAAGGCCATACACATGTAGAAAGCACGCCGACCAATTAAAGTCTCCTTGGATGGTCAGTAAACCAACCATTATTGGCTCCAAATGGATGCTTTCAGGTTTGTACATAGTGGCCAATGTAATTTCCATTCGTAAACCGGAATTCTGTTCTTGCGACGTACGTGGAGACGTTCCGTGAAAATGGACACCGAACAATATTAAAAAGCTGATGACAATTCCCGCGTTATTCAGGCTTCCCTTTCACCTCAGATAATAATCCAGCAAAGTCCTCCACCCCCTTATCCGTCATCCTCTCGATGTAAGGCAACTGCTCCTTCAGCCAGCTCTCCTCCTGTCCAGCCTCGGGAATAGCCATTCCGCCCTCCCGAATCGTTATCATTGGTACAAATGTCACCATGAGCAACCTCTTCGACTCATCCTCACTATCCCAAGACTCTTTCTCAGTAGGTGGCGTGAGATCTAGAATTTTGTACCAAGCTGCTTCCATCTTGGCGCCAAGTTCATCGAAGTCTGCCTTCGATCGAGCTGCAGACATGCGAACCGTGCCGATGATGCGGTTCGATGTAGCATCGTGAGCTTTTCCAGCCATGAAATATGTTTGGGACTTGGTCCCTTCTTCGATGAAGCTGACGTGCACGAAGAATGCAGGTGTTTGAAAAGCCTGGCAGTGCAAGTCGGTAATAGCAGAGGCTATGTTTTGCCTCTGGTGTGCATTGAGACTATAAGAGTGATACACTTGGTAGAACGGCATGCTGTTCTGTTTTGGATAAGAGTCCGAGGGTATGAAGATTGGCGGATGATGTGATTAGGATATGTGTTACCGGAAAGATTGTTCACTAATCATGTATCGTTTTGGGAATGATGACCTCACCCGGATGTCCGACAACAAAAGCGGGGTTAGGTTGCTCAACAGTATTGCTGATCTTTGCCTCGGCTTCGGGATATAATGGCAACTTCACTGTTATGTATGTTTCTGACAATTCCTAAGAATAAATGCTCTGCTTCAAATACATCTCTGGATAAACCTTGGTCTTGAAAGGGTACCTTCTTGTCTTCTGATGTGTAGATATTTGAGTCCCTCAGCGCCACTATTTCTCCATATCCTTTTACCACTTCTCGACATATGGTCGAATGTCAATCTCCTGAGTAAAAGCCGATCGATGCTGAGTATGAAGATTCCAGTATGCCTCAGCAATCTAAAAAGCTCAATTAGCCGCTATTCACACCACACAAATTTGCATCAAACTTACCGCATCGGGACTGATCTTGCCATCCTCAACACCATTATTAGCAGCCCACTCCTTGGTTCGAGGAATATCGATAACTCCATCAATGACAGCATGAGCAATGTGCACACCCTGAGGTCCAAATTCGCGCGCAAGCGACTGGTGCATAGCTCGCTGTCCCCACTTGCCAGCTGCGAAGGTGCTGAACAGCGCAGAGCCCTTGACTGAAGCTGTGGCGCCCGTAAGGATCAAGGTAGGTGGGTATTGAGACTCAGGGACTCCTTTAAGAAGATGAGGGATTGTGGCTTGGGCAAAGTTGAAGAAAGATCGGCTGGTTCCGTTAGTTTAAGGTATCGTCGGTTTGGTGAGCAACGTACATAGATCCATCAAGGCTGGCATTGAGATCATTCTCAGTGAGCTCCAAAAACGGCTTTCTAGCAAAACCACCACTGCCGACATTGTAAATTGCAGCAGCGAGTTGACTGTCGGGAAATTCCTTGCCAATGGTGTCAAAGGCCTTTTTCAACGATGCAGGATCCGAGACATCAGTGCTGATGCCAATTGCTTTTCCACCAGCGTCTTTAACATCCTTGAGAGTGCTTTCGTAGCTCTCAGGTCGCCGGGCGAATAGTACCACAGGGTACTTTTGAGCAAACTTCAATGCGACCGAGCGGCCTGTCACGAAGGTTCAGTAAGATTTGGCGGGGAACGGGAGGGGGAGGTAAGCTTACCAGTGCCGGGACCGACGCCAGCGATGATAGCGTAGAGGGATTTGGAGGCCATTTTGATTGTGGATAATTTAGTATGTGATATGTATTAATGAGGTGTGAGAAGGATAATGACGAGAAATCTTTGATGGGAAACTATTGTTTAAATAGAAACAGAATTGCTGAGGCTTGTCTCATCATTCAGCTCTATTATGTCATATGCTGCCTGCTTATAAATGGCCCGCATTTGTAACCGCCTTCCCAGCAACCATTTAGTATTATTTCGCGTCTCGGTCTCCCTTAATCAAGCCGAATCCCCAAAATGCTATCCACTATGGAGCTCGGGCTTTGTCGAATATGCGCGGGGTCAATTGTTTATAAATCTGCCCGAGGAACCAGTATTGTATAATTCTTTTCGCATGTATAGTCTCCATCAAGCTCGACCAAAATCTTTCGCAGCCTGGTTCGCAGGGAAGTAAACTTCTAACTATAGGATGTCCTAACTTTACACCTAATTGTCGCAAAAATAAAGTTCGATGCCCCATATAGCCAAGAATGGTAGCTAGGAAGTAATTTAACCCTAGAGATCCCCATTCTGATCTTACGAACATGTCAAGCAGAAAAGGTTCAGTTTTAAGCACTGCTTGCATGGTTTGTGCCGAACGTTCCTGGCCCGAGACATAGCCCCTGTATTTATCCCCCAAAAATAGTGATCTCGCGCTCGCACCTCATTTTTATTTTGTCCTCAAACCTCCCTTTTTCATCCATCGGACGCAAGGCGAGGGGTTTCTCATCACTCTCGGACCAACAAAGACAAATCTTATAAGGATGAAATCAAACGCAGAATTTGCTGTGACGCGTTGGGAAGTGCATGAGACCGAGACAGATTGCAATCTAATCATTCGCTCAACCTCAGGACAAGTGTTCTATTGCCATATCAACCCCGACAAATTCATTGATTCTCCTACTGTTCTTGAACAATATCTCAAATGTCTCAAGATTCTACAAACTGGTGAGCAGGAGATCGATGATTTTTATGACGACGATGCCTACGAATGGCTGTCTCAATCCTTTGCCACGTTGATCACCCAGCTGTTACGGTCTTCGGGCATGGACGCTGTTGTGAATCCGACCTTGGCGCATTATCTATTTCCTTCCAAAGTATACAACATTCAACTCTTTGCAGTGGATGATAAGATGGGGCCTGAAGTAGTCAATTCTAAACATCACGGCTGGATTAATCCCATTATCGAGGTGGATAATGACTTCATACGCGAACTTGACCAGTGGACTCGATCTTACGCAACGTCCGACGTGCAATTATGCTACGATCGCCCCGAAGACAGTCTTGTTAAGACACCCAAACGAACAATTGCATTCAATCAAGACGGACAGCCAGTCCAATGCTTTTTCAAACAATTCGGCTTGTCATTTGGTTCGTCGCATGCAAAAAAGGAGCTTGAGGCAATGAAGAAAATTACTCTGGCCCAGTCCCGCCCACCACCTGACACATTTATCTGTCGACTGATTGGAGTAATACGGGAAAACAGCAAGATATTTGGAATGTTGTTTGCCTGGATAGACGCGGAGTGCGTATTATCAAAGGCTAGAGCAGCAAAAACCCCGGCTACCTTGAGGGGACGCTGGTTATCACAAATTAATAGATCAGTCCAGTGGTTGCACGAAGAAGGAATCGTCTGGGGCGATGCCAAAGCAGATAATGTTCTCATAGATAAGAACGAAAACGCGTGGATCATTGATTTCGGTGGTAGTTACACCCCGGGTTGGGTTGATAAAGACAAAGCCGAGACTCTGGAAGGCGACTACCAAGGTGTGGGCAAGATTAATGAGATGTTACGTCGATGACGAGATAAGGCTGCTCATATCAAAGAAACACACGCGCTGTTAATATTTTACAAACCTGCCTAAGAAATTAATGTTATATAACCTTTTTGACACGCATAGTCGGTCCCTTCAAGCTCGACCAAGATCCCTCGCAACCTGGTTCGTCCACGCCGGATCAAGCGCATAACGATAAGTCTGACGCGCGGGTGTAGTCTCACGATACAGCATCTCGCGCTTCGGCTTCAAATCGACGGTGAACTTTCCCACCTTTTTTGGCAATGCCTTCTTGGTCTTTCCCAACTTCAAGCCAAGCTCAAATAGCGTCCCGTCTATGTTCACGAGCTTCAGGGCGCTGTGGTCTTCCCAATTGAAGACTTCTACATCGCTGTCGAGATCACGCTCCATGACCCCGAGGGCAATGCCGCGGAGGAGGCTTTTAGATTCTGTCGCATTCGCTCTGTCAATTGCCCAGGTTTTTACTGTGCTTATGTTGACTGATGCGAGGTTGCGCGCTTCGGAAAGTATCTTGCCGATCTCCTCCTGACATTCTGTGTTAGCATCTTGCCTTTCGATATCCTAGTAGTTGGGATTATTCTTACGAAATTAAATGCGCTGGTTGAGAATGTCAGCTCTTGCAGGTTTGGTAAGTCGGCTATGATATTTGCAACATCATGCGGATGCCAGTGTGGAATAGCACAGCCGCCATGGATGCCATCGTGTGCCATTGTCAACTTGATCAAGCCCTGATGCTTCATTATAGCCTGAATAAGAGAAGGATTTATACCAGGTTCTGGCTGGCTCTCAGGATATTGTCCGAATTTATGCAGGTCTAATATGGTCAAAGTGTCGAAAGAGGAAACCAGATGAATCTTGGCGTTGAGGCTTGCTTCCTGCTCTCCCGGCTCCGTATTCCAGCCGTCGTCAGCCATGTCCAAAGTCAAATGCCGTAGCTTGATATCAGTCTTCACGTCTTCATGTGCTTTTGAGAGGACATCACCGATGCAACGGTGCAGAAATTCGACGCCACGGGACTGATAGTCTATCTTGAGCTGCTTCAACGCGGCAAGATCAACAGCTTTGGGCAAGATGTCCTTGATGTCCTCGTCGAAACTAGCGCCAGCGAAGGAGAGTGACTCGAGTGCAGTAAGTATCTTTCCTGTGCCTTTCACCTTTGCGCGTTTTGCCAACCCATCAAGAAGAAAGGAAGCAAACGAGCCTGTTTTTATGTTCAAGCTTCGGAGCGTCGATCGCGAATTGAGGATCAACGACACTCCGACCTCGTCCTCGATGGCATCTGGATGGCCAAAACCTAGGAGGGAGATGAACAGGTGGCTGAGGCCTTTGATTTTGGATAGGGCTGTCAGATCGCCTTCAGCTAGGCCGTTGATGGTCAGGCTTAAGGCTTTGAGGTTCTTCTGTTGCGCTAGACTGTTCGCTATTGACCTGCGATCATCGTAAGTCAGGGCATCCCGCAGGGAAGTGTCATACTTACTCCGTAACCAGCAAGGTCTCGACAATTTCGAGATTCTTCATGTTCTTCATCGCCTCCTCCATATACCGGTGGACAATGTATCGGTGCTTCCTACCAGGATCACCAATACCAAACATAGCCTCGGTGACAAAACTCGCAAGTTCGGGTACCTTTTTTGGGTCAAGCTTATTCGAGAAACTCTCCCGCTGGCCCTTGTATGTGCCCTCCGTCTTGAGCTGCTCCCTTTGTTTGATGCTGAGGAGTGGATCGAGATTGCGAATGAACTTGGCGATTTGCGGATGACTTGTGACATAGACATCGATGCGTTTATAAAGTTGGGGCGTGACCAACGCGTAGTAACTCTTGCTTGTTGCGCTCAAGTTTCCGAGTGATTTTGTATCGTCGACCTAGTCGCCATTGTCAGCAACCGCTTGTGATCATCGTCATTAACCCAACTCACGTTTTTCAAAATCATATTCAGAACCTCTGCAGGCAAGGATGAAAGAGCGTCAGACGTTGTGTTGGCTGGTCTACAAGTAGTTGATTTGCTGGTTTTTGTAACACCGGCTCCAATGTCCTTTTTCCTAGCTTTCGCAGGTGGCTGAACGCCAGACTCTGATGATACGACTTCATTCTTCTTCCTTTTTGAAGCTGGTTCTTTATCGTTTTTGGTAGCTAGAACCCTTCGCTTGGTTCTCTTCTTTGGCCCTTCGTCAGCAGTGGCGTCTGGGACCAGCATGGGCTCTTGGGTGAGTTGGACTCTGAGCCTTGCGCTTCTCCGCGTCGACATTTTCAATTTCTGGTTGATTTTGCGAGACGCTGAGTGAAATAAGACCAAGTAGGGATGGATGGTATTACGTCCAAGTGATGAATGAATGAAAACGCCACTTTATATAGGGGCATCACGTGATCGTGCTGACCAGTATTGTCTCAAGCCGAAGCTTACTACCACCCTTGCTAAGAACTAGGCAGCCATATGTTCCACTTACACGATTATTGTGATTATCCACGTACAGTCTCAGCAGGTACCTACAGCAGAGTGAGATATATTTACACTTCGGAAAAGGCTAGAGTGACACTTTAGCTAGCTTATTTACTATTTGTAGATAGCACCTTTTCCAGCCATTCTGATGAGTACAATGTAAGTCATACCAGGGTGTGGCTCTGACATGTCCCCTACATCTTGTTAAAGGCATAGCGGCGACATGTCAGGAAGCGTCTGTTGCAGTATACAATCACCAATAGCTGATTTAACTATTAACAAGCACACTATGCCACTCCATTATCGTTTTGGTAAGATAAGTGATGTTGCTTGCTCCGCCTCCTTGCCAAGGGGTTATGAATAATGCTTGTTCAATTACTCAGTGCTGGAAGGCAGGACACGCAAGACTCGTAGAAATTGACGTGCTAATAGAAGTTTTAGTAAGAAGCTATTGTTGGGCTATTTATGACAACAGAAGTATTATCTTTTGTTCACGCATCTATTACACAGCTAAGACGAAGCATTGCTCGTTTAGTCAACGCATATGTGGCTGGTCATTTCCTCACATTTATAACAAGTTAGTGTGTATACATATTTCGGGAGGCAGATGTTGAAGTGATATTGAAGAAAAAAAGATTGTTAGGTTAAGCTTCCACGATAGCCTTACAGGAGTGTTTGCTACGTAAACCTTCAATTCCACGGAAGGCAGGTTTACTAGTAAGTTTGAGTATACATAAACAGGTTCAATCTCCACCCTATCTTGTTGTACCTGAAGCCCGACTGGATTAATACAATAGCTACAGTTTGGTGGTCAAATCACAGATATAGAGCTGCACAGGCTAAATACACTACATAAAGTCATTTAGTGCAGTTCCACCTTCCTGCTCTGAATCTGCTTCACTGTCCGAGTCAGTATAAGCTAGAGTATTCGCAGAACGAGTCAATCTAGTAATAGAATTGGGATGACTGAAGACCGACATTCTTTTTCTTCTCATAGCTCTGAAAAACGCATCTCGAACACCAAGAATAACGGGATTAAGCGTATCCCTCAGTTCCCGATATGATACATCATGAGATCCCTCTGGTAGACCGACTGGCCCCCAGTTGAGATAGATTTGTTCGTGAGAATCGGGTTCAACTGGTCTCGAGGGATGATGCCGATAGTATAGCTTACAGCAGAAACAAGAAAGTTTGCTGGTGCCAACAAAGCGGTCGTCATCTGCGAAGCGCAATCTCCTGCCGTGAAAATGATTGAGAACTTGAACTTCGCTGTGGACTATCGGAGGCTTTGATTGCAGCTTTAGAATTTGCGTTATGATTTGGCCTTCCAATCCAACGTGATTCTTGAAGCGAGACAAGTCTTCCTGGACTTTGGAAAACTCATCGTCTTCTTTCGAAATCATCCTCCCTAGTATGCTGTCCAGGGTGGTATGGGAGTCAATTTCTGGTGGTTGGACACACAATGGGGCGGGGATCTCGGAAACTCGAAATACGTCAAGGACTTCTCTCACACGTAAAGCGTCCTCAACGAGATGCTTTGATACGCGAATGTGTTCCGCAAGCCTTCCGACGAAATGTCTTGCGTTACGAGAGACTTTTGCTTGTGATTCACCGTCTTCATCGGCTAAAACTTCTTGACTTAGTCGTCGGAGTATGTCCATTTGCGGATCATTCCGAGAGTTGTATGCTAATCTGCATATGTCGTAGGCTCTTGAGGCATCTTGGAATTGGAACTGTTGCAGCCATATCTCCAGATTCCTTGCTTCTGATAGTTTATTAGCCGTGCTTGTAAAATGCATATGACAGTGAGAGATGTACCAGTATCAGTTACGTTTCCGCGGCGAGTAACTGATCCATTCAAGTGACCAATACATAGAGTTGCCATCCTCGACAGTAAGCTTGCTTCTTTCCCAATTCTAGAGGCTGCAAAGACGGCAAAGGACCTGGCCAGTTCATCTGCCTCCTGGGCTAGCCAAGCTGCACTGGGATCTGACTGTTGTGTCACATCTTGGAGTCGTCGTAATGACTGTCGCAAAAAGGTTGGTGTACTAGGGGCCGAACCAAACGTATCCTGCTCAAACCCCTGATTCGAGGCCACCCAAAAAACAAAAGCTTGTTCAGAGTCCTCGACGCCAATTGATGTCGTAGTTCTTCCGCCCTTATCCCAGTCACAAAGGTGGGCAAGCCCTGTTGTGAGTCGGCGGCGAGAGGCGATCAGACTAACATTGTCGTGTCTGACAGTGACTTGTGGGCCTTGAATGGGTTGTTCAATCCAAAGCAGTATCATCGCCTCATAAAGCCGGGCGATGAGTCTTTGATACTTGTCGAGTCGAGGCGTGCCAACCCTAACAATGGTGTTTGGTGGCGCTGGATAAGCCTCATGTATTTGCGACATGGTTATAGAAGAGGACATGATACAGCTCAGGAATTTGAAAATGGTGGTACTGCCTCTAAGATATATATCACTGGCTCTTTCGTTTGCTAGAGCCACCCCGAATCAACCGAGCTTGGGCAGAGAACAAGGCTTTGTTCCAAGAACCACTTGTTTGGGTACACGTATCATTGCTCACTGTTTTTTGGTCAAAAGATCCGCTGCCCAATCCAAACAAGAGCAATTATTGGATGGGACATAATTCAGGTCAATTCCCGAGTCATTTTTTGCTGTGCCCTAGATTACGCTGATGCAAGAGACAAGGGACTGCTAGAGAAGAGCAGAACATTTGGCAAATCACATCTACGGTTAACGCAGCTCTTATGTCTCAAATTGTTGGCTGCGTCTGCCACTTGGTCGGCCTCCCACATACGCTTTACGATTTATGTATCATTAATGGTGCCTCCCGCCTCACTACGCGGGGTTGTGTGAGATATTGGTCTGCCTCCTGCATATGACCAATAAAAGTAAACTCCCTTGGATATGGAATTGTATACCCCGCCGAATGACGCCATTGTTTTTCATTCTTGTGGACTCACAAGAGGTAGACTTAAATCGAGCGGAGTGCTTTACCCTTAACCATTCTTGATAATCAGATCACCAATACAGCTCAGCTAGCTAATGAGTTGGCCGCTCTATGACTTCCAAGATATGGACGAGTCCATGACTTTCGAACAAGTTATGGGCTCGTCTCAACCCAACCCAGGTCCACCGCCTTCCCATACAAGATAAAATCCTTTCGCAGTTGAACTAATATCTAGCATTATAGTATCTCTGGGCGGTGATCAAGACAGTTTACATGAGAATAATGTTAATGAGGACTTCTCACAAACCTCCTTTTCATCCCAAGACGCACACAGCTTCGGGGCTTTCAATATGTTTCAAGACGGTGTATCTTCCGATAACCAGTCGCATTTTATGAACACAGACTGGATTGAAGACGACGGTTTACTCTTGACCGTTCCCGAGCTGACCGTTCTGGATGAAACCGGACTCAGTCAGTTCACATTAGAAACGTCATCACTGCAATATGAACCACTTTTTGATCCACAGATCGACGCTTCCACCATTCTGTAGAATGAGTCATCTGCACAGATCGATATACTTGGCCTCGTTCCGCAGAGTACCTGTACTGATGTACGCTGGAAAGGTTATTTGCCTCCGCACTGCAGCCTCATGAGAACTCATGAAGAAATTGTGTTGGGGCAAACAATTGGCAAGGAATATGCCGAATGGCGACTTTCATATCCTGGAAAGGATGAATTTGTTATCAATGGCTTGTTTCATTGCAGTCGTCAAGAGTGTCCCTTGTCTTTCGAAACACCTGGAGACAGAAAGTAAGTAGATCTTTTTATTTATCAATGAGGATAGAATGACTAACTACTACTAGTTCACATATCAGGGAGCTAGAGAAACCTGTTATTTGTCCACGCTGTGATATGCGAATGGCCTACCAAACTGACATGAAAACACATGCTCAAACCCACCTAAACGCTGGGCTCCGCCAGAGTTATCCATGTTCAGTTTGTGGAATGCTGTTTACCAGACGCGACAATATGCGACGGCACGAGAGGATACAGCATTGAGGTGTCGTTCTAGTGGGCTGTCACGATATTTAACTCTTCAATTCTATCTCAGCGCCTGGATATTGGAACACCTATCCTTTACTTTTTATCTCGATATTTTCAAACGTCATTGGCTTATTGCATTGAGATCAAAGCAGCCTATGTGATTGTTAACTCTGGCCTGATATTGATGTCGCAGTGCCTACGAAGTATCAAGAGTCTGGGTATCATTCGTTATCCTAGGTTTCTCTTTCATCAAGTTAACTGTTATTGTGTGCAACATGTCTTGATACCTTTCTGTTGCATGGTATACACCAACATTTCTGTGTCAACACCCACCGCAATCACCCTTTCCAACTTCCACCTATAGTCTGCAGAACTCGAAAAAATAGCTGCCTTTCCGCATGCCTCAAACTGCCGATGGTATCTTTCTAGATTTCTCTTACATTTTGCTTCATGTATATTAAACTTCTTAGTGAATATGCGTCTAGAACGTAAAAAGTAGAAAAGCAGAAACGATATCTGCTTTGTTTACTCACAGGCCAATGAAACTGTGTCCGTAATTCTCGAATCGTTCTTTTGTTATGATAATATATATGATGTTATACACATGGCGTTGAATTTCATACGCCACGTCTATGTATTGTCTGCTGAGTCAAAACTGAAAGCATTATCCTATTACAGGGATAGTACTTCCGATAACCTCTGTAGGCTGTTGACTACTGGTCTTGAAAAAGCATCCATCATTATGAGCAGAGCGATTATAACTTCCAGATTCCGATCTGATATCCTGCCAGCTAGCAAGGCACTCCCAGCAAAACTCATGGTGACAAAGACTACCTGTAATCGATGTTAGCATCCATGATTGAGCAGTACGAGGCCTAATCATAGACTTACATGTCATGTGAAAGCAACCATTGCCTTTTTGCACATGTATACCACATTCAGGGCATGGCTTGGTGTTAGTTGCCATCCACTTTTGCGTCTCTTGAGGCTCAGGATCACCTGTCTTCTTTAAACTGTCGTATTGTTCGCAGGTCAGTCCCTCATGCCACTTTACTTGGTGAGTGAAACACATCTCGAATTCGCACTCGGCGCAAGAAACGTGACTATCAAAGATCAGATCATGTATCTGCCCACTAGAGCATTTCTCAGCTAAACACCACATAAAAGATGGCATTTGGCTTAAAGCCTTGAGTTTTAAGTACTCATCATACCTGGTTGTCGTTTTAGTAGCTAGCCCATATAGACTTTCTAGCGGAGATAGAAAACTTACTTGTAAAACGTGTCTTCTTTTGCATATAATTGTATTTCTATGTAGGTAAGTAGGCGCTGACACTCCTGAGATGGACAAGTGATGTTGTCACACGCACTTCTTCCAAATTGGTCCAGCTGAGTTTGAAGGTGTTGTTGTAGGCAACCCGTACAGAAATCGATGATATGGCTGCAATGTTCATACAACTTCTGAGGAAATAGTAAGATCTTCCATATCCAATCACCTTCGAATTCAGAACAGACTTTCGTCCACTCCTCGAGAGAGCCATAGAAGACTTCATTGTAAGAGTCAGTGCAGATCACACATTCAATTGATGTCGGTTCTATGCGAAGAAATCGGTTGAAAACAGGAATGCGTAACGCTTCCCCAGCATGATCGATATTATATAGGTTAAACAATGTGGAGTTTGCCTTTAGTGGCGAGCCGACTTCGTTGTGAGTCAAGTCTCTAAATCTTAGATCGAATGGCGAGTGCATAAAATGGTTTGCTATGAGCTTCCGATGCATGCGTGCTGCTACGTTGCGGGCGTTCAATGTAAGTTGAGGGTCGATACCGTCAAGAGTCATCATGAGCTCCGATACCGTGTCATACCTATGAGCAATGGTCAATCTGGAGACTCAGCACAATTGTTTCGAACTTACGTTCTGATGTTTCTTTCTCCCAGACACTTGTCCTCCATGGAATGCAAGAGCTTGACTAGAGATCCACGGCTTTGTAGAGGAATATTTTTACCACAATGACCACAGGGGCATGGTATGCAGATGGTTGTCCCTTGAGTTCTCCACCATGTCTCTCGAAGCAATTCTAAGGAATAGGAGAATGACTTGAAAAAGCACAATGAACATGTAGAATAACTGCAAGCGAATCCTGGATAGGTTGCGCTGAACTCATTAATGCAGACAGCACCTTTGCTGCTTATCGCTTGTTTGAATTTGACTTTCTGGCACTCGCAACAGGTGAAAAGTGATACGGAATTAAATTCTCTCCCACGAAACCACTGTTCGAAAGTAGGGAGGAGATGTTCGATTTCATCAGCGCTCAGTACAGTGTCAAGCGTATCCTTTAGATTAGTGAATACACGACTGTCAACCAACTTCGAGGAAATTCGAACGTCTTTTCCACATGAAACCTTAAGATCCTCATTAGACTTGTTCAATAACTTGCTAATGATGATGGTTCTGGGTGTAAATTTTGAACCGTGTATCTGCTTGAGTTGCGAGATTTGATCTTGAAGCTCATGAACAGTGTATGACATGACCCTGGTTTTTTCAAGAGCATTGTGGAGTTCCTGGTTCGAAGAAGCAACTTTCAATCGTAGGGGGACTGAATCCTCTATCCTATCGCATATATTGGACATGAGTAACTTGTTGTCATGTATGAGTTTGCTGACGGTGTCTTGTAGACTTTCGATTTCTTTTTCTTGTTCCTGTAGAATCTTTTGCAGTTCTTTATTTTGTTTGGTCATTTTCTCACAATAATCCAATTTGGCGGTAGTAGTTGGAGTTGGATAATGTGGTTGCGCGTGAGGGTGTTGTTTAAATTGTTTTTGCGTACAACTTTTTGGATGCGTTTCAAGAGGATGTTGCCGGCCCATTGAGGACTCGGATTGAACGCGCCGTAGGCACTTCATGCTTCTCTCTTTGACGAAGTACTTTGTAGATAGAAATAAAAAAGGAGTTGAAAGTCTCGAAGTGTGTGTTCTCGAAAGGCTGAGGGTAAGGGGAAATGCTTAGACCCTTAGGTGGCGGATAACAGGTAACATGTGAGGAAGTATAAATACTATTACCAAATTCGCAGATCCTGTTGGCATTGTTACATACTGTCATCGACTCAACGCCTCAAAAGTAAAGTGTATCTAATATTGGTCGGCCCCCAGGACTGATGCCTTACAGTGGGCGAAATACGATCAATCAGAGGCGGAGACGCTGCCTATGGTCGGCCTCCTGCATGCTCTCCTCTCCTGTATCATCTCACATCTGCAAACCAAATTTCTCATATCTTTTCGTCGTCAGTAACGCTTGGTGCCGCTTACGCTGTTTTGCAAGCCACTCATGTTGATTATCGATTCTTGTTAGGGTTAGCTTTCATAACTATGTGTCTCGACAATCGCAAGAGCATTTTAGAGTAGTGACGTTCAGTGATTATAATCGAACCCGTGAACTTATTGTGATCTACCCTCAGGGCTAATCCCAGGATTCCCCGTGAAGGTTCCCATCAGGTAGTTATTACCAGTACATCCATAGCATTCTAGCACTATCCATTGAGGCATCCTCGCTACCAAAATCGGTCTTACTTAGAATTTTGAAGTCTCCCATCATTAAAGCTGCTGTTGGGTTCAAAGTTTACTATTCTCAATGGCAAGGGCCCAGTCGTTCTTGTGGCTGGTGAGGTTTCTCAAGCCCCAGGTAAATTACTCCTATGTTAAGTTACATTGGGGATGACTTTGGTTCGGCGTCAACCATCAACCGTTTCTTATTTGGAGATATGACGGAAGTGTTAAGAAACTTGGATATTTCTTTTTCTCGGACAGTAGTTGTACTAAACCTTGAGCCTGCATGATATGCTGTCAAGCCTCGTGGGCATTTCCCTAGCGAAAACATGAGCCTTGCAGTCTTGGTCTGGATACGGAAATTGAATCAGCTTGGACATTGTGATCGTCAACCCTGATGATTTATTTACCAGTTAATCCACATACTCGGCTTTTTGAAAAACCGACAAGCATATTCCCAAATTCTGGCTGCATTCCTTAAAGGTTAAGCAGCATCACTCCCAGAACGCATGATGTTGTGTAACACATCCTGGGCACTTCGCAAGGCGCACCTTGAATCAGGCTGTGCTGACCTTTGGGCTGCACAAGCAATGCACAGCCAACAAGTATGCCTCAGCAGATCACGCCAAATCAATATTGAGGCTGACCTACCCCTCATAATAATCGCCCACCCAACATCCATTTTCCTCTTGACCCCTCTGTATTTCATCCACTTCACCAATCTTGGTTTACTCACCTCAGCTGCAGTATCTTTGGTTAGATACACTGCCACCATGGCAGAGGCAATTGGCATCATCTCTGCGAGTGGTCAGTTTGTTGAACAGAGTATCAAAATCTTCAAACTGGCAAAAAAGGTTCAAAGCAAGTTTACGGACGCACCCGACGAGCTTGAGGACTGGCGCAACGAACTCGAGAGCCTCCGACGAATTGTGGATGAAATTCTCAAAACGCCTGCCCTGCATACCGACAACTTGGAACGCATCGTCACAGAGTGCAAACGCGTGAGCGAAAAGCTCCTCGATTTGTTTTGCAATATCGATTTCAAAGAATCGGACTCCTTCGCTCACAAATCGTGGAGAGTCGTGGTGTCGCTGGCAAAAGAAGAGGAAATTCGCGAATTGTTTAACAAGCTTGAAAGATGCAAATCGACGTTGAATGCTGAAATGGCCAGCTCAGGGGCAATTCAGTTGTAAGTTGTAACGAGTATCTATACGTGACCCATACTGACAAGTTGTAAGGGCTCAAGTTAATGAGGGATTTGCTCGTACAGCATCGGCTTTGGATGAAATCAAGCAATCATTCCGCCCTGGCACAGACGAAGACAGGTGCATTCGATCGTTATTCGTTACCGATCCTCTCAGCGACAGGGAAGGCCTTGTCACAATCAAAGGCCACCGGACTCGAGGAACATTTGAGTGGATCCCTAATACAAGTCAGTATCGGGACTGGGAAGCAAATCAAAACGGCCTTCTTTGGATCTCAGGTCCTCCTGGAAAGGGGAAAACTATGATTTCTATCTTCCTCTCCAAACGCCTGGAAACCAACAACCAGGATGGCACTGTCATATGGTTCTTCTGCGACAACAAGACGGCGTCTCGAAACAGCGCTGTCAATGTTGTTCGAGGCCTCATGACCCAGCTTATCATGAAGCACCCTCGCGTTCTTTCATTCTTGCTCCCCACGTGGAAAGTACAGCAAGATAAGACATTTCACGCAAATTCTTTCGAGACATTGTGGAGAATTCTTCTCAGCATGTTGGCTGCGTTAAAGAATGAAAAGGTGTATTGTGTGCTAGACGCTCTGGACGAGTGTGATGACGAGTCTCTGTCGTCGCTTCTATTCAAGATCAAAACACTTTTCGACCCATTACAGAACGATGACGCACGGAAGTCTTTGAAGTTAATCATCGCAAGTCGAGAATATCCACTATCCCTACCTCAAAATCTTTCAGTGTTTCTTAGAATCGCATTGAATGATCTTGACCATGATATCCAACTTTACATTGCCGAGAAGGTTGACCACCTCAGTCGAGTAAAGAACATACAAGGGTCGCCCTTACAACATCGCATTGAGAGTGCCCTTAGGGAGGGTGCAGAGGGCACTTTTCTCTGGGTCAGCTATGTTGCCCAAGACCTAGAGCAGAAGACCCTCGACGAGATTGAGACTGCCCTGGATCAACTCCCACGTGGCCTATACGCTATATATGACAGAATTATCGCCAAAATCAACAACAAAACCCGTGATCTTGTCATCGATATGCTAAGGTGGATACTCCTTGCTGCACGGCTACTCAAGATATCCGAGCTTTGCAATGCTATAAATGTCAAAGCCACAGACTTCCTAACGCAGGAACAAGTATGCCTGGGCTACGTCCAGTCATGCGGTCACTTGCTGCAACTTCAGACCTGGGACAAGGATCGTGAACTGTGGGTTGCTTATCAACAATATGACACGGACTCCGTGCAAAACTCACAAAGATCAATCGCTATTGGCCAGCTACGCACCACATTCCTGCATCAGAGCGCGAAAGACTTCTTCTCTGGTCAAAGGGTCAGCAGTTTACCTTTTCATTCGCTCGCAGATACACAAAAAGGACACACCGTAATAGCCGAACGACTGTTCGCGCTCTTAGAGGCGCGGCTGTCCTCAAGACCACTGGGTTACGAGGTGATACAGGAGCCCTCGAGGCAAACGCCGCTCTTACCCTACGCGGTCGAGGAATTGACTTTTCACATACGTCGACTGACTGAAAATGTCGGAAGTTTAATACAAAGAAATGAGAGATTCTTCGGTAAACCATCCAATCTTCGAGATCTTTGGTGGTGGCATAAATGTAAAAGTGGGAATAATATCGATTTCGAAGATTCAAAGAATGTGCCTCTCCTGCACGTCGCGTGTGGAGAGAATCTTTTCCAGTTAGCAAGAGCTTTGCTCCAGACGAGCAACATTTTAACGAGATTAAAGCACAGGAGGGATATAAACACGCAATGGGGTCACTGGAAAGAAACACCCCTTCATATAGCAGTGAAGGGTGGATCGAGCCGGATTGTACAATTGTTGCTGGAGCATGGCGCGAATGTCAGCATCACGGATAAATTCGAGCGAAGCGCCTTACACCATGCCGATTACTATTTCACGGGTTTGAACGAAGGCATCTACAAGCTGCTCTCAACTTCGAAGACAGCAAGTAGGATTTTCAAGAACGAAGCCAAAGATTACCAAAGATCACCGGGAAGACAATCTTTGCTCCATTTAGCAGCGGCGTCCGGTAGGTACAACATATGTCGCGAACTTATTGAGGTTTGGCGATATAGCATTGAGCAAGCGGACGTTGCGGGATGGAAGCCCATCCACTTTGCACTGGCGGGTGGTCATATACATCTCTTTCATCACATGGTAACACACTGGTCTGCAGACTTGGGGCCTCATGGCGACTTGTTCAAGGCTATCATGTTTGTAGGATGGTCTGGACGGGGTTCTCTCGTGGAATCGTTCAAAATGCTGATCGAGCATTTTGGGTGCGACATTAACACCACTGATACAAATGGCAGTACAGTCTTTGACACCCCTTACGCAAATGCAAATGGTAACACAATTTTTCACCACCGAAACTTCGATTATCGAGTGATGCAGATTGTGGACGAGTTGGGAGTATCAGTCGATTGGAACAAGCAGAATTCTGAGGGAGAGACATTTATCCACTCCAATCCAACGTGGCTACAGGATCCAAGACTCTTGATTGTTTACTTACGGCAATCACAACTAAGAATCAACACTCGAGACAATCGGGGGAGATCACCGCTCTATTCATACTGCGTTAATATACCAACATACCCTAGCTACAATACGTTTGACGTCCGGATGCTCCTTGACTTCGGAGCTGACCGTCATTTGAAAGACAAGGATGGTAAAACTGCACTCGATACATCTATCAGTGCTCGAGATGATGAGATAGCTAGGCAATGTCATGATAGTGAAAGGTTGGAATTTCTTGATGAGACGATCAAACTCTTGGCAAGTTACTCCACTGCTGCCATAGACCCTCGAAAGGTCGAGTTGCACCACGACAGTGAGAAATGGCTGGATCCGATCGACTGGCATAGCAATTGTTCCTAGATAGTATTCGTTTTTGAAATCATTCAAATAGTTTTCTTGCAAAGTCTTCGTGGTCTCGAGTCCCGCAGGATGCATGTAAGACCTCGTGAATATCACCGCTCAGAGAGTTCCGAGCAGGAATGCAGACTTTGCATTGGCTTCTGCGATCTTCTAGTACCCGTGGATGAGTGGACAAAACTTACAAATTAGGTGATGCAGCTGCTACCCTCACATATTCCCCCGCCTGTGTCCTGGTATGAATCTGGAGTAAACCTTACCTGTTACAGTCCAGAATCCAAGCCATTACCAGCCGATCCAGCCGAAATCTTGGCAACACAATGGATCATGATCTAAAAACTTCAAACTTAGGTAGTATCCCCCCGCCAAGCACGCGACCATGACGACGCTGCCGAGACCCTTTTCTTGAGAATAGCGGCGGGGTGACGTTGGCCATGCAAACCTACATCTTGGCAAAGTCTGGGCGTTGCAATAAGGTTTGTGTCTAACGGCAGCCACAACTCTACGGCGTCCTCACCATGACATGCGCCAACGTTCTGCGCCTTGGAAGTACGTATAGCTGAGAGGCGTTTGGATGTTGCCGTCGAGTGGCGTCATGCGGCAACTTGCGAGAAAGCATACAGAAGCCGGTTTGTCAACACCATTTGATAGTTACGACGCCAAGAGTTAACATGTCATAGGTGAATTTTACAACTATATATACTTATTTGATTCCCTCTTGCTCAAACTTTTTATCAAATATCACAATTACAATACACAACTTAACCACACATTGAACAATCCCTCTTTATCGCAATCACCTTGAATCAAGAAACACGCAAACTATTGATCAAGAGCCACTACATCAAAGACTTCCAAACTATCAACTCTGCAAAGGCAGTACCAACCACTTTCAACCACTCAACACAATCAAAGCACCAAGTCATCAAAAATGTGTCTTCCCTTTGGAGGTAGTCGCAACTCCCGCAGCAGCGGTGGCATGATGGGCGCTCGCCCAGTAAAGGAGGTTCACCACCATCATCACGGAGGCGGTGGCCGCATGGGCGGCGGTATGGGAATGGGTGGTGGACGTATGGGAGGCGGAGGTATGGGAGGAGGACGCATGGGAGGTGGCCGTATGGGCGGCGGAGGTGGAATGCTGGGAGGTATGATGGGAGGTGGAAGACGAATGGGAGGACGTCGTTGCTGAGCGATCGATTGACGGCCTAGTTGCTAATTTCATGACTGTTTTGTAATTATAGAGCGTCTGCATGGATACATAATTGAGAAATTACTCTTGCGCAACGTGATGTGATATAAAATGTTGCGTTATTCTCTCACGCACTCCACCATGTGATTTATTAAAACTCTACAGAGCAGTTGGCTTTCAGCTCTGGAGTCTTATCTATTAATGTCTATGAGAGTATACTATCTAACCATGAACCATCAATATGCAAATTTCATGCCAGAAATCATCGCATCGCATCGCTGCAAATGCTCCTTGTAAACGCCTTTATCCATGCAACCGATCCCGAAGAGTTCTCCTGAATTCTCTCATAGATATCCGTATCCTCCTCCAGGTGACGTTCCATAACTCCCACCAGGAGCCAGCCCTCCACCGCTCGACGTCCCAGAAACACCACCATAAACACCCCCATTGACTCCTCCATTTGGTCCTCCGCTGACACCTGAGTAAACTCCCCCATTCACACCGCCGTAGATACCGTCATGAGGTCCACCAACCCCTAATGACCCGTTTCCAGGGCTGTATCCTGTGCCGTAGCCGTGGATGGGTTTGTCTGATGATTTTCGGCTGCTGCTGTCGCTGGCGAATTTGCTTCCTTGTAGTCTGGATGTGGCCTCTGGTGTTCTTCGGCCCATATTTGCTGGACGAGGTGGTGGTAGATCGTCTTTGCCATCGTCTTTTGAGCAGAGGTTGAAGAAGCACATGGTGACTCCTGTGGTGTTTGAGAGCTCTATGTAGTACGTAGGTTCGTAATTGACTACGGTGTTGACTTTTTCCTTATTTGGCTTGTATTGATTTGATTGATGTTTTGAGACTTCGATTTGAGCTGGAAAAGACGCGAGTGTGAAAAGAATAACAGTCAGTCAATTGAACGGCGCATTTAAGAATATTTTAAAATAAGGTTTCTCGCGTCTTGACACGCGTACCAGGCTTAAAATAATGGGCCTACGGGGCTATGGTGATTATCAACAGCCTATAGGAGTCCCCTATGGGCGCCGGCACCGCCTCGTGTTGGTCCCTGAATTTTGAGCACAGCCGCACTTACACCCCTGTCAATAAGGCAGATTGATCACGAGAGCACTGTTGGCGCGTATGTCACGATGAACCTATTTTTGATCATCGTGTTAGAGCCGCATGACATTAATTACGTATATGGTGGAGCTAACCTAGGTACGCTGCTGTTGACAGTTGGCTGAAGGTCATTAAGGAAGAAATTCAAGAAGGCTGGGCGTTCATCGACCGTGGGCTGCAAATGAGATCAGCTTTTTTTATCCGATTTAAGCGGGTCGACGTATGGCTTGGCAGGCTACTCGAATGATCTAGTCGCGATCTTCTCATCGTCTCGGGTGAAGTTTAGTATATTTGACTGAAGTCGATTAAACCTTCTTATGTCTCGTATAAATTTCACAAAGAGCAGATAATGTTATACTTTGTTTGTAAATCTTTGGGATTGTAAAATCTAAACAAATCGAAGTGAAAATAAATCTAGTCTAATCCTATCCTAATCATAACCTGAACTCCTTAGTCAATCTTTTGATGACGTTCGTTACAGTTGGTACAGTAGTTGGCAGTAACACGACAAGTGTTGGAGTAGTAACCAGAGCCACACTTGCTCACACCATTGTTGTCCTTGAGGCCCTGGTATGCATCCTTGATCTGCTTTCCGTTCAGACCACCTACACTCCAATCATCACAGTCAAATTCAACAACACAGCCAGCCTGGCCGAAAGTGAGAGCGACGAGGATGCCGCTGTTGAATCGCGCGTAGTAAGAGGCGAACTCGGTATAGATGACGTCGTCCTTAAAGTTACCAATGGCGCGGTCACATGCATCGTCGATAGACCTACAGGGACCGGCACCCTTGTTGTTGGCATCGGTTTCCACAGGGTCTGCAGGTCGAATGGTGGAGGCATCACCAGAGCCCTCGACGCGGGTGTAGCTTCCACCAGGGTAGTTGCCAACCACAACGGTCTGGTCAGGGTAGGCCAGAATGGCACCGTCGTCCTTAGTAGTGGTAAAGGGGGTGGGCTCAGGAGGAGCGGGAGCTTCAGTAGGTGCGAGGGTGACCGAGGCAGGGTAGCTGTGGTAGTAGTGACACTGGCCTGAGATGAGGGGAGCGGTGGTGTAGAACGACTGGCCTTCGGTGGTAGTAGAGCATTGGCAGTGAGGAGTGGCAACGTTGGGACCACCCTTGTTGGCACAATAGTAAGGGCCAGTGTAAGAATCTCCCGTGGTTGTGGTTTCGGCAGCCGCAGTGGTATCGGGGGCCGAGGTGGTGGTGATGAAAGAGGTTCGAAGAGTGGTTGGGGGCTTGGTGGTTGTCTCATCGGCTGTGGTGGGTACATTTGGTGTAGTCTCAACTGAGGTCTCCTTGGGAGTGGTCTCTTCAGCTGTAGTAGTCTCCTCAACCTTGGTGGTTTCCTCGGCCTTGGTAGTCTCAACAGCGGAAGTCGTCTCCTCGGCCTTGGTGGTCTCTTCCGTCTTGGCCTCAGTGGTCTCAACAGCGGATGTAGCTTCTGTTGTAGGTCCGGCAGAAGTGGCAGTAGAGTCTCCGATGACCAAACACTCTTGGTTGGGGTTGTCCTCACGTTTCCGGAGATTGTAATCAGGGATCCAGAAGTCCTGCGAGGTGACGATCTGATCCTCGACCCAAAGTCTCCATCGAGCCACAGCGAGACCTAGACTACCCTGAGGCGCGTTAGGGGTCGTGAGTACCCTCTCGAGCATATCAACCTCCACAATCGCACGCCCAGCATAACCGTTCTGAGCGGTCGATAGGGCCTGATTGGTACGTGTGTAGCCTAGCAGGTATCCCTGGCCGCCGGATCCTGGAATCACGCGGGCCAGGTTATTAGCCAAGGCCTGGGCACGGTCTTGATAACGGAGTGTTGTTGTGACGCCCGTGGGGTCGAAGAATTGATTTGTGAAAGGCGTCAGAACGAAGACCTTGGGGGAGTAAATGGCATTCAGGGGCCCAGGGGCAGCATCGGTGCCGATGAGACCCACGACGCTTTGCGCGTTGACGGTACCATCACGGAGGGCTTGGAAGGCGTTGCGGTCAAATTGGTCGTCGGGGGTGTTATTCCAATCGATATCGATAAAAACGGGATTTTCCCAAATGTGCGATAGATAGACACCCCTCTCGGACACGATAATAACAGCGGTACAGCCATAGATGCCGTTGACACCAGCGGCAGCGACGCCTGCCTGGGGGAAATCGAACCATTGCCCGGACGTGTCTCCGACTTGACTGACCCAAGCAGGAGTCAATTGCGACACATAGTTAGGGTTAGGGCTTGTATCATCGGCGAAGCGGGCATAGATAGACCGCTTAGCATGCTGTGAACCAGAGTCGGCGTAGATGGAATGCTTCTTAAGTGAATCGGAACGCCTCACAGGCTGTGACTCAGGGCGGGCTGTAGGATCAGTCACGGAAAAGCCGCCGAAGTTGCCGGGTGCAGTAGGAAGATCTCCCTCAGTTGTAGTGGTAGGGATATCATCACAATCGCTAGGTCCGGTAGCCTGTACAGCCATCTGGGCACCGCTCAGAGGACCAGCGTTCATAGGGCAGGCATCGCCGCCACCGCAAGTGTCGGAGCCACAAGGAAGATACTCGCCTGTGGTGGTAGCCTCAGTGGTGGTTGTAGATTCCTCCGTGCTGGTAGGGGCTTCGGTGGTGGTAGGGGCTTGGGTGGTAGACTCCTCCTTGGTAGACTCCTCCTGCTTAGTGGACTCCTCTTCACTCTTTTCCTCTGTCTTGTCATCATCGTCGTCGTCGTTCTCTTCCTCGGTTAGTTCATTGTTGCTGCTCTGGACACCAGGAATGACGCCTGTGACAGCAGGGACGTTGCCGGCAATGATACCTCCGGAGATCTCAGTGAGGTCCTTGGCCATACAAGCGAGCTTGTTGATGACATCGCCGATAGCACCGAGCAGACCTCTCTTCTTGGTAGAACAGCCAATATCGGGCTTACCGCCGAGAAGAACAATAACGGCGATGATGTCGTCACGGGTATCCTCAACCTCCTTGTTAGTCTGATCCTTGAGGCTCTCAGGGTCATCCTTCCACTTGTTGATGACAGGAATAAGGGCAGCGACTTGGGAAGAGACAGAGGAGACGCTGGAGGTGGCTTCAGGTGGTGCGGTTGTGGGGACAGGGGCTTGTGTGATGACAGGGTCGTCATCATTCTTCTCAGTAGTCTTAGGCTCGTTCTCCTCAGCCTTGGTTGTGGGTTGAGGATCCTGGGCTTGAGTGGTCTCGGCAGGCTGCTGGGCGGCTGTTGTTGTCTCTTGGATAGGAGCCTGCTGGGTAGTGGTCTCGGCAGGAGGAGGCACCTCAGTTGTAGTGTCTTGAATGACAGGCAATTGAGTGGTCGTGTCTTGGATCACAGGCACATCAGTCGTCGTATCCTGGTTCACAGGTAGATCAGTTGTGGTGTCCGGAACCACAGGCAACTGGGTAGTTGTGTCTTGGACCACAGGCAACTCAGTCGTGGTGTCGGGGATCACAGGAACATCGGTTGTCGTGTCCTGAATCACGGGTGCCTGAGTTGTAGTATCCTGAACTACGGGCAATTGGGTGGTTGTGTCTGGGATCACGGGCAACTCAGTTCCAGTGGTCTCGGCGACATCCTGAGTAGTCTCTGGGCCCGGAGTCTCGTTGATGGGCTGTGTGGTGGTGTCAATGACGGGAGCTGGCCCAGTTGTGGTGTCCACAACAGGAGGCGGCAGCTCTGTCGTAGTGTCTTGAACGGGGACCGGTAATTGTGTAGTGGTGTCCTGGATGATAGGCTGCTGAGTGGTGGTGTCTTGGACGGGGACAGGCAGTTGTGTAGTAGTGTCCTGGATGATAGGTTGTTGAGTGGTTGTGTCTTGAACAACGGGCGCCTCAGTGGGAGTCTCAGGCACCTCGGGAATCACCTCGGGGTAGTCTCTGGGACGACGATGGCATCAGTCGTTGTAGGCTGCTGCTCTACACCGACATCAGTGGAGACGTCAACGACAGGAGCGACAAAGGCATCGGAACTACACAATGTAAGTAAAAGAGCCCAAGTGACCCATAGGGTGGGTGAAGACTAACGTGGTGGTTGTAGGAGCAGCATCGGGAATAGCTGGGTCCTGAGCGATCGCGTAGAACGGCAAAAGCGCCAGAGAAAGAAAGGTGGAACGCATGTTGAATTGATTCAAGCTAGCAGTAAAGAGTGACTGGCAGTAGAAAAGAATGGCTATACCGATGAACTAAAGACGGTAGAGGGCTGAGAAGAGCCTACTGTTGGGTTGGTAGAGAACGACTCAGAACAACCGCATTCAAGCCTACCTATATATCTTGTTTGCGTGCTCGAGTTGAGGAGATTGGTCTGGGCATGAGCACGGATTGAATCCTTCCATTGATGGCGCAGCCATGGGCACAATGATGACTGTGATTACAGTTACATCGTGGATGCGTACCTGCAGGCCAGGTACTGTAATACAGCAGTGAGCTGTCATTTGCTTTATTATTAGTGAGCTAGTGCACTGCTGCGCGCTTGAATTAGGGCTGATCCTTTTGGTTTCAGAATGCCAGCCTTGAAATGAGCAGGGATTACAACAGGATAGTGCAGCCAGACCTACAATAAAGCTGGTTAATTTTAGAATGATTGGAATAATCTTTGTAGAGCCTTAATAAAATATATTAATATAAGTTCAAGGTTTATGAATTCTTGAAAAATTACTCGAGTGTTGACGTCAACTTAGAATAGGGAAAATATCTTTATCGTATTTTCACAATAATGGTCCAAAGCTCACACCATTCAATGGTCGAAACATCCGGCTGGGTGCTCCGGCAAAATCTTGGCCATAGCGTATGTATTAGCACTATGAATTAGCTTTCCCTAACAGGAGCTATGTTTCAAGGCTCAGGATACAATCTCGATTCATCTCATCATTCTGCCACTTATGGTGAATCGTAAAGAGAGTACCCAGTTTTCGGTTTGTGGGATCACTACAATGGATGATGGCATTTGATCCTTTCATCCTGCACAACGATTAACGTATCATTTGCCGGCAAACCCATCATCCGTTCTACCCGCCATCCATCTCATGCCATGCCATGCACTAGCTACCCTTGTCCCCCAAGGCTGATTCCTTAGGGATGCCCAGGCTGTCATGCAATATGGAGAGATTACAATCGGCAATCTCGCAGCCATGGCCCCCAAGCTTTTAGTGGGTTTTGATTATTTTTGACCTGCTTGCTGATAAAATGTGACAAGATCGCCCTGTAATTTTATTTCCCGATAGCTGCACTAATCCTAAGATGGAGCTATTAGAATCCTTTGTCGCGCTCCAGCTAATCATATCACAGCAACTCAAGCGCGCGTTTCATCTCATCGCTGGAAACCTTGCTGGCGTAATCTCTAGCACTGCCGTACGGCCCCCTCAAATCAGGATCCGCGCCCTGGCTCAGTAACCACTGTACTCGCTCAACAGCGCCCGCCATAACCGCGTTCACAATAGGATACAGGGGAGTCATATGGCGCGTCTTGAATTTATCATTGACGCCTGCTCCGTTCTCCACAAGGAGCGCCATGACAGGAATTCGAGCCCTGTCGAACTCCACGTCTGGCGTGACAAGTCCAGCGTAAGGATTCGCCCCCGTGGGGCAGACACCTGCAGCGTGGTACAACGGCGCTCCGTTCTCGATCTTGGCGCCGGCGTTTAGCAGCTTCTGCACCAACTCGACACTGCCCTGTGCTGCGGCCAGTTCGAGTGCCTCGCACGAATCTGTGTCGGGTCCACCAAGGCGGTCGCGGTTATCGTGCTGGGACCCTAGGTTCGGGTCTGCGCCTTGCGCAAGAAACCAATCGAGCAGGGGTTCATTCTTGGTCCTGATAATGGTTGGAAGCAAAACAGCCCCGTAGAAACCCGGAGTATTGACAGTCCAGCCATGCTCAGTGAGCACCTCGAAACAAGGAATCTGTTGAGCCTGTGGGGCTTTGAGGATGCACAATGGCGTTGTGCGTGCAATGGGTGCTCCAGATTCCAGCAGACACCGCGCAACGTCGACATGGCCCTTCTCCAAGGCCTTCACTAGGCCCTGGTGAAGGAAGGCAGGCGTGCGAGGCTGAGAAGTGACGATGGATTCGACAGTGGGTAAGTCGCCCTCTTGGCAGGCAGTCACCAATGAAGCGAAATCGGGCTGTGAGAGAGCGTATCCATTGAGAATGACCAAATCATTGGGCTCCTTGACAGGAATATCGTCGTGGGCAGTACCCATCTGCTGTCCCATTTGCTGTCCCATTTGTTGTCCCATTTGATTTGCTGCTTGCTGTTGACGCTGCTGCCTCGCTTGGAATTGTTGTTGTGCCTGCGCGGCAACTATTGTCTCTATCTGTCGCTGTTGGCGCGCCTGCATGGCGAGTGATTCTTGTGTTTGTTCTTGTTGCGACGACATTGTCGTTTGTTGTTCGTCTGTTGATGTTCCTTTTTGGTCAATGTGTAATGATGGTTGAATAATCTATCCGATACCTCGACGAAATAGAGTTCAGTGTGTAAGCTCACTTTAATATCGTTGGTGAACTGATATTTAGGCGCTGACTCCGCTGACGTAATGGCATGTTTCAGCGTGGATTGAGGTGAATCCTACACAATCTGACAGCTACAGGCGCCTTGTTTATCAAGACTCAAATTTATTATGCATTATGCTTGGCTAAATACATGTCGTAAACTTGCACTGCCATGTAGACCACGTTGCTTTTAATTAGGTACTTTATCGATGTATCTATCACAAGGTTCTGGGTAATTATTTCTATAAGTTATCTAAGTTTCTTCGTAGTGTATGCCAAAGGTGAATAGGGTAATTAGTAAATTTCTTGAAAAAGAAAATCCTATTGTGTTGATCTATTGAGTTTTGGCCGGGAAAAGGTCTGTCTTATTGTTGACAATACCAGGAGCGTTGGAAGGCCTGGGTTTGCTAGGTTGGTTCTCCGAATAAAGAAAAAGAAAGTGTTAATAATAATATGTTCATTCGTCACTCATATAAAGTTTTGTGACATTATAATACAGTTTAGGTATTCCAGGACGGAATATTCACTTGCCAATCCTTTCCTATACATTAAGTCGTTCTAATTCATTATCAAACCCCTACAATTTCAAAACTGAACAATCAAGGAAGCCATTCCAGCCATAAACATGGCACCAAAGACCCGCGAAGCACTTGAACCAACCCCATTAGTTTCCGTCGGTGAGGCTTCAGTCGAGGTTGCAGTTGCTGAAGTTTCATCACTTGAAGTACCGGTAGCTTCCTTGGTTGCTTCAGAACTAGTTGAGTCCCTCGTGGCCGTAGCTTGAGCAGCTGATTTCAGTCGATCCTGGCCAGCGGTAATAACGACTGGCAATGTAGAGAACGATAATTCGAGGCTTTCTGATATATCCTTCGCCCCAGTGGCGATTTGCGTGATGCTCTCAGCAGGAAAGGACTCATCTGCCTCAGCTACAGCTTGAAAAGTACAAGCCAAAGGTGTTCCGCTGCTCACAGGGCACTCAATTGAGCTGCTGCCCATACCACTGCGAGTCAACATCCAGTGAAACGTTCCCGTTGAGGGAGCACCCTCTGGAACGGTTTTGCTAGCCCACGGCCCGACGACGATGGTGTTGTTGAAGCCGCCTTTGTCGCAAACCTCCTGGTACGGGCCGGCAGGACACAGAAATTGAAGAGTTGTGGCTGTGGGGTTGGCATCTATGACGCTGACTGTCGGCACACTGCTCTTGTAAATCGCGAAGGGAAGAATGAAAACGGACGTGGTGAGCGCTGAAGACATTTTGAAGATAGATGAGTGATGATTGTGGAATGTAATGATCGTATTGAGAGTAGGATGGAACTCAGGGGTGAGCGATGATTTAAGAAAAAAACAGGGGCGCAGCGCTATGGTCGTTAGCGTTAATAAGATGAGTCTGATAGACAATATAAACGGTTAAGGTGGATATTTTATCATTTATCCGCCGAGCCCGTGGTGATTTAAAATGTTGTTGGGGGCGATTAATTCTTAAGCTATCATAGGCAACTCTGTTTAAATGTAGTGTTAAACTCCGATGAGGAAAATAACAACGAAATAAAATCTTCACTGTTTTAATAACAAGGGTAAAGTTCTCTAAACTATTCTATGAAGCTCTACTACATCCTTAATATTTTAAAGTAATTTACTTAATAAAGAATCTCTAAATTTATAGGGCTTAGTGTTATTTAGGTGTATATTGGATATTTATATAGGTGAAGTGAATTTAGAATAATTTTAATATTTTATAATATTATATCTAAAGCTTTTATATAGTGTATCATAAATTATAATAAGCTCCTCTTAATTTATATAGTTTTGTAAGTTATTATTTTAAAATTAAATATAAAGTCTTCTAACTATAACATACTTACTACAGTCTGATCTACCGCAGCCATTTCTTAGTAGTTTATTATTAGAATTTTAACACGAAATTGTATGCCCTGCACATTGTTGACGTTATGCGTCTCATTCTTTGTTAACTACAGTTCAACTTAAAACCAACTCACTCATTGACATGAATTTTAATCCCGTGATCCGCAGCGAATTAAATTATTTCCCTTCTAATAGCTTTTCATAATGGTAAACGAATAACCTTATTTTATATCTCGGCGAGATAGATCAAACTCACACACAAAAGAAAAAGGATTTCCTTCCACACCAGACTGATAAACTTTGCCTCTCCACGGTGCCACAGTGGCCGATATTATACTTTAACGTTAGAATAGTATAAAAGCAATTAATCCTCTCTGTGAATTCACTTCCTTTCATTACACTTTTTTTCTCCTCAGTCATCTTCTCAATATGGCAAACCTCACAAAGCAGCCATCTCTCACGCTCTTGAGCCTTCCAAACGAGATAATAGATCAAATCTTCGAAGAATGCCATGTTTCAGCCCATTTCAACCTCGCTCTCGCATGCCGTCGACTAGCGGGATGTGGGAAACCCTTCTTGCAGCGACACAAAGCTGCATACCAGGAACACGGCGTTGTCTCTGACCTTGAACCTTTGACTCTGCCACTCCTCCTGCAGAAAGTCGTGCGCGATCCGTACGTTGCCTGGAACGTGAGATCTATCGAGATCTGGGCTACGCGTGACGATTGGTACGCCTGGGGGTCGATTCCCCTGGAGGTACCAGCACACATAGCCGCCCGCCCCATGTCCATTAGACCATACGGGTATAATTATTATTGGGATGAAATCTTCCAGAACGAAATCGATGATCCACCGCAACTGACGGAAGAGCAACTGGACGTCTACCTCGATCTGTTGCGTGAGCATGCTCATTTCGATGAAGGTGACCTAGAGGAAGCTCGAGCCGATTTCTCCGATGGAGCCGATTTCTTCTATAAAATCTTGTTGATCTTGCTATGCCCTCGGTTGAATAGTTTCAAGCACGTCAACATCAATGACCCATTTATATGTGATAATGGCGGGTACGTCAAACAGCATACAGCTAGCTCAAAAGCTGTCATATGGAAAATCTTTCTAACACTATTCCAGAAAAGAGATGTTCTCATGGCTATCAGTCATCATCCCAAGAAGTCGTGAAAAACAATCATGGGCACCAGGTCTCAAAAGCCTAAGAGAAGTCGCACTTCGTGTTCAACCTGGCCTTTGGTTTAGAACTGGCGAACACAGAGAGTTGTATCCAAGAGATATCTTTACAAGCGTCATGATGCTTCCCAACCTGAAGTCCGTTTACTTTGGAGAATTCAACACAGAGCCTGTCGGTCAGCGGCCGGAGGATCGAATCCCCACACGATATTGCGGACTCTCTGGCAGTTCTTCCATCGAGCACATCTTTCTAGATCATATGGACCACAGCCTGATGTTCCTTGATATAAATCAGGAATTTTTCCAATTTCTTAAGGTACCTAAGAACCTCAAAAGCCTAACAATAGGAGGCTTCTTCTGCCATGTTAGTCAGGTTGAGAAATATATCGGTATGGATTACCTCGGCCCATCTCTCGAAAGCGTGATAGAGTATTCCGGCAGGAACATATCTGGCCTCTTTCAGCCTTTCATCATGGTTCCGATATCTAAAAGGCTGTCCCGGATGACTATTAACATCTGGAGCTTCATATCCAGGCTCTTCCAACCCAGATGGGACATGACACACTCTGAAATGAGGGAAGATTGGAGAGATTCAAAAATCCGTGTCGAAATTGAGAACCGCTTGACAGAAGCATTTCCCAAGACTTCAGAGGTGCTGTTATTCCATAAAGGCCGGGACCGGAGCAAGCGCAAAATTACCATCAACGTGGAAATCCTCGAAGAGATCCTGATTCAACTTGTGCGATGCAAAGAACATTATCCTGCGCTCAAGGCCATAGGTATTCAACAACAACGAGACGATCCAGACCAACACACTTTTGACGACTATCGCTTTTCGAGGCTGGTCGAAGTTTGTTGGGCGATAGGCGTGGACGTTTACATACGGGGAAATTCGCGCCCACTACGACATCAACTGGACATGCCGATGCAGCCCACCATATCATCCTTGAGGGGAGTAGAAGCGCAGGATGAAGGTACCAACAAGATCTTGGATCCCTTCACTGGCAAATGGGTGAAAGATATGTGGGAGATGGGGGTTGAGGGTTGAGCATATCGTCCACGGATAGGATTTTGTGTTGTTATTGTGTTGTTATTCGTCGTGAACTTGTGTGTAATGATTGAAAAGACTGAGAGCTTACGACACAGGGAAAGTTAGAGTTTATTAATACTAGGAAGTCCGACTGTTGCAATTGATCTGTTCGAGGAAGTCTCGCAAATTTCATGGCCATCATTGCTGATACAAATACCCAGGTAACAATTGTTTTAACCTGACTAGGTTGGCCAGATATACCTTCAATCTACACATTCCGCCATTAGACCTTCACATGTCATTGCGATCTGGCTTGGCTTAGTCAGGACCACCCTAGCATTAAGCTTGAACCTCAGTCAATTGCCCAAAACATCTCTTACACAAAACTCGTCCTCAACGCCTTGCCACAATGTTCAGGCAATCCTTACCGCGACAGGCAATGCGTTTCAGCAATCCTCAGAAAGCTGCTGGACGTTTTAGAATACCACCAGAGTGGCATAAACACTCCCAAACCTTAACGGTATGGCCAGATTTTGACTCAATTGGAGACGCAGAAATACTGCAGAAAGCGCGCTTGGAAGTCTCTGCCATCTCCAACGCCATTGCTCGTTTTGAGCCTGTTACCATGTTCACCCGACCGAAAAACGTGGAGCAGGCGATGCAAACAGTATCTAAGAATGTCACCGTGCGTGCATTGAATGCTATCCAGCTTTGGATTCGTGACACAGGGCCGATATTTGTTCATGGAGAGCAGGATGGTCAATTCACGGGTCTCAAACTCGGTTTCAACACTTGGGGAGGAAAGTTCGAGAGTATTGGGGATGAGACGGTCGCTGCGGATGTTATCGATTCTGTGACGGCTAAGCTTGTGAATCATGAGATTGAAGAAACTAGTTCAGATCAACGCGACCCAGCCGGAGATAGAGAGTTGTCTTCTACAGAACTTCATAAGAAGCAACCCGTTCCAGGTATCAATGCAGGTTTCATCAGCGAGGGCGGCGCAATTGAAGTCGATGGGCTTGGAACTTTGCTGGCTACCGAAAGCTCAATCGTCAATTCGAACCGGAACCCTGGGATGTCGAAGGAAGAGCTGGAAGATAAATTTGAAGGATGTCTGGGTATCAGCAAAACTATTTGGCTTCCCGGTGTCAGAGGCTACGATGTCACAGATTATCACATCGACGCCTTCGCCAGGTTCATCAAGCCTGGCCAAGTGCTACTGAGCCGGCCCTCAAGGCATGCCGAGTCCTGTGTCATTCAGGCATATGTCGAAGCCAAAGAAGTCCTGAATAAGGAAAAGGACTCTCGAGGAAACAGCCTGGAAGTGGTTGAAGTTGAGGAGCCACACCCTAATGATCTCGCTGGGGAGCTTTGGGGCGTGGCTGTTGCTTCGTATGCCAATTACTATCTGGTCAATGACGGTCTTATTATGCCACAGTTTGGGGTTGGGAAGTTGGATGACGAAGCCTATGAGTTTTTCAAGCGATACTTCCCTGGTCGGGATATTGCTCGGGTTGATTTGAATATGCTTCCGAAGCTTGGGGGAGGGATTCACTGCGCAACGCAGCAAGTACCGGTTGGAATTTAAATGCAAAAGTATTCTATGAATATATTTCAGATTCATTTCTAGGAACGCAAGATGTGACTATGTTAATTTTGACAATAGGTAACTGACTTATCGTGAAATTGTGTATAGTCCCGTGCAAAAGTTCCGATCATGAGCTAACTAGAAAGACATTGAATAACATTGTTATATAAACGAACACTTTGTATATATTCTCATGCTAAGATTATAAAGTTCGATGTAGAATAAAATCTTGCCTATAATTTATACCATCTTATGAAACCTTTAGGTAAGAGGGAGTCGTTGGAACTTTCGTCTCGGATCACCCTGCTAATAATGAACTCTATTCTCATCACGTGAGAAAGATGACCTCGGGGACTTGATCAAAACAGCGACGCCGTACAAGACCCCGACTCTTTTCTCGACCAACCTACACGGGAGTCCTCGACACCCATAATCCCGTACAATCCACTGTTATTACCACCAGGTACTAGAAAATGGAGCCTTCGGCTGAAAAGACCCAGCAACATCAAGTTGCATGCTTCAGCTGCCGTTCATCCAGACAAAAATGCGACCGGCAAGACCCTTGGTAAGCCTCCTCAGCTCACCATGATTGAGTCCACTTACCAATTGAGTCTATAGTTCTCGCTGCTCTTCTCATGACCGTGTTTGTAGATATCCGGCTCGATCTAACCGGGGTCGCAAGCAAGGCAGTACCAAGTAAGTCGTCCACACTTGACTAATTACACCAATGCTTACACATCGTAGTAAGCCCGATAGTGTGGACAAACTCCTCGCGCGCATCGAAGAAAGCGGTGCCAGGGAGGACATCATTGCTGCTCTACTAGGCACCAGTCTTCCCAGTCCAAACACAACTGCCTCTCTACGAGGAACTCCGGGGACACTAGACCAGCCTGCTGACTCAATATCCAACCAAAGTCGTGCAAATATCTCTTCTCACCCCCTCCCCTTACGAGAACCAACCTGTCGTGATGATAGTGAAGACTCCGACACCCTAGTTTCACCACTCAATATCGTCACAGCTGCTATCGCGAGCAACACTTCTGCGAGATGTGACAGGCTTCGCTCGCAGATACCGCTGCAGCCCGGGGCGCGCGAGGCCATCATGGCGCCGATCAAAGAGAGATTAGCTGCGTATTTCTGTAGGTGAATCACTTTATCTTGTGGCTACTTTTCTAAATTGCAATAGGCCCACACAGAACTCAGCAGAAGGACTGGGAAGTTCTAGCCACTCAAGCAGTTGACTCGCCGTTCAAGTTGGAGAGAGGTACTTGCGATCCTCTTGCGTCTCGACTGATAGATGATCACGATGCTTCGCTATACTTTCAACTGTAAGTTTGGTCTGCGATAATACCCTGAGATGCTACTAATCCACCGACAATCTAGATTTTTCCAACTCCGCAACCCCTTGATAGGCCTTCTAGACGCCACACTCCACACTCGCGAATACATCTACGCAAACTCATTCACCTTGTTCTCCGTCATATGTTCTCTAGGATGTGCTCTTTCAACACGCCCCCGAGATCGCGCCATCTATCCAGTTCTAACATCGCTAGCTAACGGCAACGTCCGATGGTCTATTGCTGCCGCTGTAAAGTCACTTGCAACCATCCAAGCTATTGTCAACCTGCAATACTGGGCACCTATGTCTCCAAGACAAACAGATGATACGTATTGGTTAACCCTTAGCCACGTTAGTCCTCAATCCCTCCATCTCACAACATGTACCAGACACTAATTCCCCTTAGGCTTTCCAGCTAGCCAGAGAAATGGGTATCAATAAGCCAGATGTGATCAAGGAATATGTCAACGCGGAATGTGAGAATGCATCTTCAGAGTTCCGAGAACGAAGTATACGCAACTATGAAAGAACTTGGTTACGCACCCTCATCGCCGATAAGGGCTTCGGCATCATGAACGGACGTTTGCACTCTGTCAGTTGGAAAGAAATCCCCCGTTCTGCTGCAGATTGGTGGAAAGCGCCGTTGGCAGAATCGTCAGATCGTGTAATTAGTGGCGTTATCGAGAGCAGAGGGCTGCTAGTAAGTTTTACTCCTTCGAGCCCAATCATTAGTAGACAGAAAACTGACCTGCAATAGCTATATGCACTGGAGAAACGAAAACATGTTGCATCCACATCAGCATCCATCCTAGAATGGCACAAAGAGGCGTATGATACCCTTACCCAAGTACGTAACGAACGGTGTACATCAGATGATCTCCCATCTGCAAGGTGTCTCCCCATTCTAGCTTTCTACATGGACCACAGCATTCTCGTCTTGAACGCACAAGCTCTCAGAGACATCGCTGCCATTAGTGATAGTATGGTACCAGCCGCGCTTCTCGCCGTTGAAAGAAAGTCTGTCGAGGTAGCTAGTCGTGTTCTGGAGCTTTTGGCTACGGATAAAACATTGGCAGACCTTTCACTTGGCTTTCAAAACAATCAGTTCATCATGATTTGTCACGCCATCACAGAAATCCTACGAGTAAGTCATCGTCTCACCGATCGTTCAGGTTACTAACATCCACAGGCCATAAAAAGAGACAGCCTAACAGCAGAAGAGAACTCCGCCGCCACAGAAAAGGTCATGGGCGTTATCCCTTTCCTTGAAGGCTTAGTACAATGCCTCCCAGCATCATCAGCAGCACATCTCTACTTTGATCTCGCCCGCTTTTTCGCTTGTCAGATTGATTCCTTGATGTCTGCTCCGGATCCGCAAGCTATGCGTGAAACTGTTGATACTGGAATGTTTACAGATGATTGGTTCAAATCTATGGATTCGAGTATACCAGATGTTACTACGTTTCTGGATATGGGGTATTTGGGTATGGATCAATCTATGATGGGTACAGACGACTTTCTGGGCTTGAATGATTTTAACGATATTTCTTGACACGATCCCGAAGGAGCAACACATTAGAGAAATGGGACTATGGGTGTTCTTTATATTAATGGCTAATTAAACAATATTAAGCCTAAAGAAACTTCTCACTCGGCTTCCTTTCCCATTCTCCACCCGGCTCTTAATCTTCCACCTCACCAAAAGCATACAAAACGCCGCTGCGATATACATTAAACCAGTAAAAAGCTGTGCCCCAAGATAACTCCCAGTTCCGGTATAGATCTCCAAAGCTATGGGCGCACTAAAAGTCGACGGAGCAGCCATCACAACCCAGAGACAGCTCAGTCCCGACGCCAGATCCTCCAGCCCAATAACTTCGACGAGGACTGGCGATATGTTGACCCAGAATACACCAGCTGATAATCCACCAACAAGAGCAAACGCAAGAAGTACACCAAACGTCTTGGCATTGATCCATAGAGCGAATATCAGGATACCGGTTGTGAAGGACATGATGAATGTTAGGTTGATTCTGCCAAACCGGTCACTGAGCCATCCAACGCATGGACGGCCGATGGCTTGGCCGAACATGAAGAAGGCCGGGATCATCGAAGCTTGAGAAGACTGTAATCCAATGACATTTGCGTAGTTGGCGAGGGTGAAGATAAGAACAAAGTAGCCGAGCATGCTGAAAGCACCGTAACCCAAGACAAGTAGATACTCAGGTCTGCGGAATAGGCTGGTATCGAAGGCCAATCTTGACTGTGACTCGTACCGTGTTCGTATGAGAATAGTACAGATGATGTTCGCCACAGTAGACATAATGGCGAGGATTCGATACGCCCACCCCAAGCCCATGTTGCGAATAATAGCCCCAGTGGCCAGCGAGTAAGTCAATCCGCCGAGTCCAGCACCAGCAATAGCGATTCCATTAGCCAATGCCCTTCGTCTTGTAAACCACTGTGAGATAATGCCATAAGAAGGTAGGAAAAGCAATCCCATGCCAATCCCAAAGAGGACTCCCTGGGAGAGGTAAAGCTGCCAGATCTCAGTTGACAAGCTTGCACAAACAAGACTAACCGACTGGACCACAGCTCCTGTGAGCATAGTAGGTCTTGTCCCGAGCTCCCTGGCCATGATGGTAGCTAATGGTGAAATCAGCATCATCACGCCAACGCCCAGTGAACCGGCCATGGCGTACACAAGTGGTTGTGTGCCAGGGAATGTATCTTCTTTGACAAAATAGGCGAGGAAGACTGAATAAGCGGCGTTTATTCCCCAGGAATGGCCGTTGACGATGGCGACTGATGCTGTAACGACCCATCCGTAACCTCCATCCGGGGCTTTTTCTGATATTGCTGTATGTCGCTGTGTTTCCAGATCCGGAATCATGTCAGGGATTCTTTTATCGTCCATGCTAGAATTCGAATAGATTTATGGAATAGACTTTACCACGGTCATATATTTATAGTAATTCTGTCCGCGGAGATAGTGACACCTGGATCGAGAATCCGGCCACATAGTCGGACCATCGGCGGAGCATGCCACAATAAGCCCACAGTCTTAGCTAGCGTTGCCAAGAATGCAGTTCTAGTCCTCACTCTATGACTTGACCTCTGCGAATTTTGGCCCCAGGGCCTGAGGAAGACAAACGTTGAATCAAACGTATATTAGAAGCTCACCATGACCAGAATGGAACTCCAAGCTTTTCGCATTCTAAGGGATTCAACGTTCTGAACCACACACACCCCGAGTCTTCAACTCTTAGGCCGCACTAACTGGCCAACTCGAAAGTTCGTCATCTCGTTCCGCACTATGTATCTTCTCCTCTTTGCATACTCTAGTATACTCTCCCCAACAACCTTCCTGTATGCCCACGGTATTGGAACTTGGGCAACCCACACTCCAGACCATCTCCCGACCTCGGCGCCGTTCCTGACACTACCATTGAGTATTTTCTTCTGGTCAATAAATCTTCCAATGAACAGCCATTGTCTGATCACAAAATCGAGATTCGCCGTGCTGATGGTCGCATCCCTCGGTAGGCAAAGGTCTGTAGGAACTGGCGCACCATTGCGCACGAGACACTTTACCGCTTCAAATCGACGATGCAAAATTGCAGCATTCAAGGGATTTCCGTGCTCATCGCATCGATGTTCAAATCTATGAATTCCCAACCCGACGATGTTTTGAATAGCCTCAACTGAGTTCCAGCAAGCTGCTCTACATAGCAAGCTGTGCGTCCCCGGGTTTGCTGCGTCGCTGAGTTGAAGCATCTCATCTCTGTTGAGTTTGTGGCGAACATATCGGAAAGACTTTGTTATTCTGACCAGCTTTTCAGTCCCCTCAACGAAAAAGAGATCGGGCCACCCTTTGTGTCTGTAAACTTGTAGTTCCGGGCCAGTTTCTAGTAGGGACCGTAAGTAAACAAAGCAAGGATCTAAGAAGAGGTGATGGAAGGCCGACAAGCCGTAGATGTCCCTTTCATAAACATCATCCCCAGTATCAAGGATGCGGTGGAAAAGAGCGAGGTTTTGTTCGGTGCCGGATGTCTGAATCCGGGTCATGCGATTCAGCAGGCTCTCCCCATAACAAGTCAATCGCTTACTTGCTGCCTTGAGTTCGAGAAGAAAGCTAGCCAGTTTCCAGTTTCCATTCGCAAAGGCTACTTCCATTAGTGTTTCATTCGCAGTGCTTCTGACATCAAGCTGAGCGCCATGATCAATGAGAAATTCTGCTACGTCTTGATAGCCCTTCTCGACTGCGATGAACAGAGGTGTCTTGTGTTGGCTGTCATATGCATCGACAAACGCACCGCAATCGATTAACTCCCTTGTTCCTCTCAGGTCTTTCTTGCCAGCTGCGATGTGGAGTGGCGTCTGACATTGACTGCGTTTATCTGGCTGGTTGATCATGGCGGCTAACATATCAGCTCGTGCCTTCTGTTCCTCGAACGGGATATTCCTATAAGCTCTACTTAGTCTTCAATCATCTCTTCCTTTTTCTTATTCCTTGCTTACTTGAACATGTTTTGGCCTTGATTTATGCATTTTAACTCTCTCAGTAGTATGATAAGTCCATCAGAGTTGCCCGTTGCGAGGGGTATGGAAAGAAGACTGGATTGTCTGTGTGCGAGGTTACCACCCTCGGCAATATATTTGGCTAGAAGCGACGGTATATGATTGTTAAAACATGGCTTTTCCAACACCAGTTCGAGAGCCGTGCAAATCTGTAACGATTCAGGGTGCAAGACGATAGTCGAAACCTGTACTCGTTCTGCAAGCAGATATTCGACTACAAAGAGTGCATGGTTGTATATAGCTAACGTCAATGGAGTATTAGGCTGAACATCGAAATCGGGTTCTCTTGGATAGCCTAGTGCGTATATTTTCCGACAGTGACCGACGTCGTCCTCTTCGATGGCTTGCTGTAAGCTCTCTGTCAGGATGCCAAGTCCGTACGCAGTGTCGGTAAAGATCCCAAGAGCAAACAGTCTTTCACAAACTTTGCCAAACAGCGGCTCTCGCAGCACTCTGTACAGAGAATCTTTGTGTTTCCAATATTCTTGTGTTTCGCAGTAGTCCAACAAAAGCGTGACAGAGGGTAATTGGGACTGAGATACTGCAGAGCATATCGGTGATTTTCTGCTGTAGGATAACATTTTTAATCCAGCTTCGCGCTCACTGGAAGAAAGCAGTACTGCTAGAACAGGCAGCGAGTTATTCTCTGCAGCGTAATGCCATACTGTCTTATTAAACCTATCCGTGTCCAGGGTGGTCACCCCGTACTGCAACAAAGTTTGGAGGGACTGGTTGTTGTCTTCCAGACCGCACAAGTGTACTGCTGTCCTGCCAAATCGTGTCCCTGTTCTCACTTCTAAACCAAAGTCCAACAACTTTCTAAGGACGGAATCAGATCGGTATGTCACGGCGAGGTGCAGTGCACTGAAGTCTTGGTGACTGGGGTCGATTTCTCCCGACTTAACAAGTTCACATCGACTGGTACTGAGAAACTCGTCCATCCCTTCTGCGTTGTTGAGTTTGATAAGGGAAAATATATAACCTAGGACTTGTTCATCGGGCATGTTACTCAAATCTGACAGTGAGCACCTTGATACAGTTCCGTGAACAAAGGCCTGTATCTCTTGTTGAAAGAAGCGCACAGTCACATTCGGAGTTTCTTGGCTATTTAAAACCTCAAGAAAATTGGAGAAAAGTGTTTTCTCAGCAGAGCTGCCTGGATTCCGCAGGCGATCTTGCAAGTTGAGCCTAAACATATCTTGCAATTCCTTCATAGCTTGAGCCGTGATATTAATATCAAATCCCGCTTGGATGAGATGCATGACAACCTCAAGGTTTTGGTTAAATGGACTTGCATCTTTCAGGGCGAATGATGCGATGTTTTCTGATCGATAAATAGTGTCGATATGAGGCTTTCGACTGGCAGTAACCTGAATCAGTAGTTGGACCGTCCAAGTTCGACCCGGCGAGGGCATATATTGAACACATAGATTGTGGAGGAGACCAGTTTCTTTGAATATACCCAAACCACCAACAGCGCAGTCCAGTGGCGTGCCAAATCTACTGCATAGCTCTGCGTCGGAGCCCATTCCCAATAGCCACTTGCAGATGGCATGTAGACCAAAAGCAGCTGCTAAGTGCAGAGTGCTGAATTCTGGTCTAAGAATAGCATAGATGGCTTCATTCAAAGCCCGCTTTCCGGAACTATCTGGATCTGTCTCACGGCCAAGGACTTGATTGTTGCAACAAAGCATATATTCGATGGCCCACAAACAGAAAGCAGTCGTCTTGGAAGGCTGAAATAACTCCTGGATGAGTCCCCATGCTTTACTTGTTGGGCCTGTTCCATGTGTGATGTCAGAGCGCAAGGCCACTACTGCATAACAGTAAAGCTCGCTGCGCCGACGCTGCCTAATGAGCTTCTCGATCACTAGCATTATGTTCCCTGCGGAAGGAAGCCGCTCAACACTGTTCATGGTAATGCAGCGTATGTAGCTGCATGTAGCGAGTTCCTTGCTCTCTTTCAGAGAAACTCCGTAGTCCTTCAGTTTTGCTGATGCCTGATCAAAGTAGCGAGTCTTTAGTGTGCCAAGATATTCGCGAACCGTAAAGTGAGCAAACTCTATAGTCACAAGGTTTCTTTGTTGCTTGGCGATGGTCTTAGTTCGAACGAAACTGCTGCACCATTGCAGTAAGTCTCCTTCGTCCACAATTTCGTCATATTCAAGAATTTTGGAGCCCTCATTGAGGCTGATAGCCTCGCATAACCCTTTTAAGCCAATCTCCGGTCGGCTATAGGATAGAAATAATAGTGCCTTCTTAACTAAGTGCTTAACTGGGTCAATGTAACTTTCTATTCTCATAAGGATGCGGTCGTAGCTCGCAAATAGGGTAGGCGGTAATTTGTCCAGAGCTTCCCGTCGAGCTTTGTCCGTTGGTAGCTCGCACATGTGGTCTATCTGGCAGGCCACCCAGCGGAACCTTTGGTGGTATGAGCAGTAATTCTGAAAGAATAAATAGTGAGCTGGCTAGCTTACATGCCTTTGGCTCCATCAACCAATCTTGTCATGATGAGGTCTTTGAGACTCGGGTCGCGCAGCCTCAACTTCCTTGAAGCAATCCGTTCGCTTAGTTCAGAGGCCACGTAGAGCTGTATATCTGCCGTTTGTGCCTCGATCTCAATATGAGAAAAGTCGTCCTCAACTTCTTGTCGGATCTCAATCTCATTTCGACTTAACAATGCCAAGCTGATGAGCTTTCCGCCGGCTGACAAGGCGAGTTTCGCTAGACACTTTACGCTTGATCCAGCCTGGCCACCACATTCATCCAAGCCATCAATAACGATATGGACTTGCCTGAAGCAATCACAAAGGCGACCGAGTATCTCAATCAACTTGTCTGTGGTAGGTTCTGTGGAAAGAGAAGAACTGGAGTAGAGCTCGTCGTGATACTGCTGCAAAGTCTCGAATGCTTTCTCATTCTGCAGCGCGAGTTGCATGCACAAAGATGAGAGGATAGATGAAGGTTGCTGGGAAAGCTCGGATCTGTACGTGCAGAAGAAGTATGCAACTGCCATGTTTATATCGTCGGTATTTAGCTGTAGGCACTCTTGAATCATGGCAGCTGCAAGAACAGATTTCCCAGCGCCGGGAATCCCACTGCACCAGATTCTGGAACCAGGAGTAGAATACCAGTGACCAAATTCGGATCCTTGTGTAAGCCATAGGCCAGTAAGTCCATGTCGTAAACTCCTATTTGTGTCGTATTCTTGTCGGGGGTTGACTCGTCCAAAGTCTTTCAATACTTTGTCTCTCTTCGCATCGAGTGCGATCTTGACTTGAATGTCTAAGATTTTCTCCGTTATGCGTTGAACTCCATCAAGACTATCTTTCATCTCAGAATGCCGAGATAAACATAGGTTTAACTTGGCCAATGTATCGGATGCGAGAGCAATGTCTATGATCTGCTTGTAGCGTTGAATCTCGAGTATCATATCCTTGGACTCGGTCGATGTGAAGGGCCATTTGAGACGAGCTTGGAGTCTTTCCATACCCGAATCGGACGTCATAGAAGCTCCGGTACGAGAGAGATTTGTCTCTAGGCGCCTTAAAAGCCGATGACAGTCGTGCAGATGATGCGGCTGGAGACTGGTCTTTTTCTGTAGATAAACATTCTTTTCGGGAGGTTCCGCCTCCTCCAGGTCAAATGCAACCAAGGACAGGCTATGCAAAACGACTGAGAGGTCTCTGATTTCCCGCAAAAGGCCCTCGACCTCTTTCTGAGCCCCCCTGTAGCTTTTGGCATACTTGGTACCAGATCGAAAGACAAGGTCAGCGAGAGCGACGAGACCCGCGATACTGGCTGAGATGGAGAGAGGGTCCGCCATGATGGAGATGTGAGGTGTAGGTAGTTGGCAAGTGGGTGTAGTCGGACAGTATGAGCGGGGGAAATAATAGAAGTACCTTAGTATTTTGAGGCCATCTTTCAGCTGCCAAGCACTGCAGGCTCTGCCTTGTGGTCAACCTGCATCATGTAAGGCAACGTTAGGCTGACCAGCTCGCGCCTGCCCCGGGCGGCTAAATTAAGCCCGTCTGACAGATAGTGGCTATCGCAGTGAACGTCCATCGCAAGGACAATATTCATCTCACTTCTCCAAGAGATACAAAAAGCTGTGGTCATCTCTTCGAGGCACCGCCTCAATCAGGGTAGGCCGGAAACTTCATGTTGCCGCAAACCATTCTCGACAAGCGGCAGAAGCAGTGTCGTAACAGTGAAGACCCCCACCTTCCATTCTGCCGACTCTCCTCCTGTATCCGTATGCTCTTCAGCACCGCAACAACAAAAGCCAAGAGGTTACACCGAACGCTCCAATCAATCCGGCCCACCCACCGTGCAAGTTCCCATTTCTCGGAGGATCCACTCGGCGGTTGGCACCGGTCGAAATGGCTTTTCGGGCCGTTAGGGTCCACAGGATCCACATGTTCCTCCGGCGGACACCGTTTCTCACCGTAAATAATGTTTGCAATTGTGCCGCCTACGTTCTGGGAGCTGCTGAGATTCTAGGAAGTTAGTTTTATTTAGCAAATGAGCACGATGCCAAAGCACGGCATTTGCAGCATCACAAGAGATCAATGGTTTCAGGCGAATGCGTTAAATATGGTATGTTCATTTCTATCGTATATACAGCCTAAGACATGCTGTAGTCACTCAACCAAATGGGAACGACTTTCTGGGTATCTCTCAATATCGCCTGGAACGACTCGGCGCAGCATCATTAATTCCGCCATCGACACATTATCGACGACGCGATGGTGGATGATCCTCGAAGCTTGTTTAACTTCCACCGCGACGATCTGCGGACTGCCTCGCTGTTTCGAACCGTATCATAATGCCGGTCATCCAGGGCACAGCATCGTGCTGCATTTTCTTCACTCGCATTCACCAATGCTTTTGGTCGTTTACACCTCAGTGGCCTCCTGCTTCTTCTTGTTCAGCTTAATGCCCACCATGCCGACGATTTCCTCCCAGAAACTAGTAGGAGGGTCGATGATCATGGCACGCGCCTCATAAGCGTCAATGATAGGCCTCTCCCAAACGATATCACACTCTTCAGCACTGACGATCTTGGTGCGCTTGATGAGCTTCCAGGCAAGGTACATGAAAGGAGCGATGAGCTGCATGGTGTAGTTGGAGAAGAAATCCTTCGCACTAAAGGGGGCAGTGAGGGATGTGTATCCGTAGGTGTACACGACGACGGTGTGAAGGATAAGGGCGATCCAGGCACAGTAGGGCTGGAAGTAGCCAAAGTAAGGCATCTTCGTGCGGTCAATTCCTTGCACCTTGCAAGCGCGGTAGTAGAAGAGGAAGGTGATGTTCATGGTGATGTAGTCCACAATACCTCCACCGGTGATAAGAGCAAGGAGGATGCTCAGAGCTTCGGAAGAGCTGCTGTCGAGCTGAAGGAATGCGAGCAGAGGGAAGATCATGGTAACGGCAAAACACCAGATAGGGACACCGTTCTTGGTGGTCTTTCGAAGGAAGGCAGGCGCACGACCTTCGAGCGCGAGACTGTACAGGGAACGGGTAGCGCAGTATGTGTAGGTGTTGCCGGCAGAAAAGATGGTCGTGAAGAGCAAGGCGTTCACGATGTGAGGCAGAACATCAATACCGAGGTTGGACATAGCAATAACCCAAGGAGAGGCAGCAGCAGTACCACCACCCTCTCCAGTGCCGAGGTGAACGCTGACGAGAGTAGGGTCCTTGTGGTCAAGAACAATACCGCAAGTCAAGGCAGCACCAATAAAGAAAACACCAAATCGGGCGTAGACCGTCTTGAATGCAGTCTTGACATATATGCTAGGGTGCTTAGACTCGGCGGCGACCATAGAGATATAGTCAGGGCCGACAACGTAAAAGGCAGCGGCGGCCAGAGCGCCCATAAAGCCTTCGAGGCGTCCAAGGTCACCATCGGTTCGGTAGGTAGCAAATGCATCATGCACATTGGACCAGTAGCGGAAGCCATAAGCGTCACCCTTTGGGTTACCCCCAACCATAGTCACGAAGGTATAGAGGAAGAGGATGAGGATTAGGAGGACTTTGCCAAGGGCCAGCCAGAATTCAGCTTCACCAAAGACACCAACAGCAAGAAGGTTCAGCACGCTAGAGAGGACACAGAGTTTAGCATACGTACACACACATAGACGGGGGAGAATGAATGAGATGAAACCATGGAGTGCACCGTGACGATGGGCATCAGGATGCGACTCGGGGTTTTTAGTCCTTACCCATATGCAAGGATGACAGCGATAATGAAGCCGGCAGTTGGGCCAGCGTCTGTAACCTCGGGGGACCAGAATGAAACAACCAGATTTAGAGCAACGATTTCGAAGGGGATCAGGAGAGCCTCGTAGAAGAAGAAGTTCCATCCGACCATGAATCCCAAAGCATCGTCGACCCAGTGGCCAGCGAGACGGATGAAACCACCAGAGACAGGCATATAAGTGTTCATCTCAGCGATAGAGTTGTTGGTGAGACCGAGGACCATGGCGTAGAGAGCAGTGCAGACGAGAAGACTACCGGGGCCACCCTTGGCGAGACCGGCGCCGATACCGATGAAGAGACCAGTACCAACGGTACCTCCCATAGCAAGAAGCTGAACTTGACGGTTGTTGAGACGGCGATGAAGACCATCGGCGTTGTCAGCCTCATTGCTGCCAATGGGGCTCTCAGACCTCTTAGAGGCCTTTTCGTCGGAGGACATGTTGAAGAGGTTTCGGCCGAGTTGCTTTGGTGTTAGTCGAAGGATGTGGACAGCTCGGGACCACTTATCAACCTCAGATGTCTGGGTTTGGGGTTATATAGGGATGGAGGTTAAGAAAGAAATAAAAGAAGGGACAAAAAGTGAGAGCGAGAGAGAGTATAAAGAGTTTTTATGGTGATGAGATGGGCTGAGGTTCCTGGGCTCCCACAGAGCGCAACTCGTAGCGGAATGTATCGACAGAGCCATGTAGTGGAGAGTCTGTGGGTCGTAGTGATTGAGTCGAGTGCTCTGGTGGTGAACCCTTGTTCATGGTTGAGAATTGCAGGCATCGCGTCATTATTCTGGATCGCGTTGAGTAAGACGAGTTGCCAAAGGACGAGTCCGAGTGCAGAGTGTGGATATTGTTGACATTAGAGGAGGCGGAGGGAAGTCTTGACTCCACTGCCAAGAGGTGAAGTTTCGAGCAGTCAACCATAAATAACGTCATACTGAGGAGCCCGTACTTCGTACCCATCGAACAACCTCGTGGCTCGAGGGTTCGTTGAGGAGATTGAACGGCATCTTGCAAATTAAGCTTCTCCGCGACTTGCAAGAAGATGGAGATGTTTTGGGTCGGGTACGTACCACGACTGTTCAACGTGGGTTTGTAAAACGTAAAACTTGGTAGGATTGAAGTTGATCGGAGATTTACCAGACATAATGCCAAGCCGCAAATGGGCATACCCTTCAAGACAAAGTGACGTCGCCAAGTCTAATCCCTCCATTCAGATCTCAAATGCATCACGTGCCCTCACCAAGATTCGGCCAAATTGCAGGCTCACGTGATACACTTCATGGTTCGTTTGCGGCAAAATCGCTGAGGGTGGACCCTCGGTTGCGCAAAAGGGCAGAGTTTTCAAGATCCTGCTACGAAAGCTGAAGTGCGATTGGTTATAGGAAAGTGTGGGCTTTGTGGTGGAATTAGGAACAAACATGGTGCAGTCCAGTCTGCATCCTTCAACAAGTTTCCACTCGTGAGAAACCCGGATCGGCTTCCTCAGCCGACGACTCGGCTGTCCCGACAAGCTAGGAATCAGAGAGGCAAACCAGTTGGCCTGATTGAACTTGTCTTTTCTTTACATAATCGATCAATATTGTCCCTTGCTTCGGCCGAGATCTGAGGTTGAAGCACATGGCTGCGAGGGCTGACAATTGCATGTCTAACAGACCATGTACTCCGTAACGATGCTTACATCCATTAAAGCAGAGAATTCCGACAGTATCATCTCATTAAGACTAAACAAACATGAGTAAATATGTTTAATAATATTAAACTATGGTCCATAGCATGCAAATCACTTCCTTTCCATGACCTGTCGTCAACCATGCCCAGCAATCTAACTTGCGGCTCAGCGGCAGAGCGACGCCAAGTTTTCATCAGCTTCGCCTCTTCGGAAGAAAAACCGCCGCCGCTGACGCCCATCCGACAGCGTTTAATACCGAATCATCGGTGGCAGGATACCCAGAATAGGCAATCCGCCAAGTTTCTGGCCAATGGTGCGCTTATTGGCGGCGCAATCTGTAGGTACTGGGGTTCTCTATGGGCTGAGGTATTTACTACTACCTTGTGCCTCGTATTATCCCGGCGACAAAGCCGCTCCATGTTCTGTTGTCTCGGGAAATGCATCCGTAGCAGTAATACAGATGTCAAATATCTTTATTCTCTCCGAAAGACACGGGTAAGCGGCCGATGTAAGCTTATTTCTTGGTATCCAATCCCTAACCAGTTCATGTCAAGCTACTCCGTATTATCCAGCAAGATCTTCAACTCCATCGTACCAATCTTGGCCGAGTAAGATTAACACCGCGATGTAGAACTAGTTCTAAAGCAGTTTTGCTTTTTACTTCTTTTGTCGATTTTAAACCCATCTCGAGACAAATAGTCAGGGTCCAAGTAAGCCCGAAGTCCTAGGGCGCAATGGAAGCGTGCATGATCCAATACGACACAAAGCGATTCCACTACGCAGTTGCCAAGCAGGGTCCATATGAATCTACACAAGTCGGCCCATTGCTAACATCTTAATGGTGCAAAGTTTAATTTTGAGATTGGCTCAACCGCGGGAGCCGAGGGGTGCGGATGTGCCTTTGAGGTCTCATCTTGTAGGAAGTGCGACAAGCAATCGGAGTCTCGATTAAAGAAGTCACAAGAAATAACCATTCCGGGTCGAGAGTTCTAGATTGATAATAAAGAATAAAACAAATAATTTGACCCTGTGCTTTACATACATCATGAACGATGCCACGTCGAAGAAGTGTTGATCAGGACATTTAAAAATTTGCGTTAACAAGTATTTACAGTATTAATTGACCCCATGGCCTGCCCCTTTAGTTACAAATAAATGAGTAGGATTACCACAACAGGCTCATCAAATCAAAATAATATCGTACAATACCATGTATCTCGAAAGTTGTTTGCTGGCTCTTTTGTTTGGGTTCGTCAAGGCAATATAGCTTACCCTGCAGTCACACGTGGCCCAACCTCTCCAGTGACATAAGCACCCGGAAATCCAAGCCACCAATTCTAGAAGAAATCTCTAGGCAACTTCTCTTTACCATCACATTAGCAACCAAAATGTCCGAATACTGGAAATCCACGCCCAAGTACTGGTGCAAACACTGCCAGATTTACGTACGCGATACAAAACTCGAGAAGCAGAACCACGAATCGACTGCCAAACATCAAGGTGCCCTCAAGCGCTTCCTGCGCGACCTGCACCGTGGCCACGAGCGAGATGAGCGCGACAAGGAGCGCGCCAAACAAGAAATCGCACGTCTCAATGGCGTCGTCTCAGGGTCGTCGTCGGAGGCAGGGCCCTCGTCAAGACCTGCGCCCCGCGCGCCGCCTAGCGCACCGACGGAGGCGTCGTTGAAGAAACAGAGAGAGCAGCTTGCGGAAATGGGCGTCGCAATGCCGAGCGAGTTTCGGCCCGAAATGGCTATGCCCGGACAGTGGACAGTCACAAATACACGGATTATCGAGGCGAAGAAGGAAGAAGACGAAGATGCGAAGGTGGAATCGCGCGCAAACGGTGTTCGAAAGCGCGAGGTGACAGAGGATGAGAAGGAGGAAGAGGATGCTATGCGCAGCCTGTTTAAGAAGCCTAAACGATGGGGAAGAGATTCTAAAGCGATGCCACAACAAGCAGACGAGGAATTAGATGCGCTGTTGAGTGGTTCGACATTTGCGCCTAGAACAGTCAAGGAGGAAGCGGAGGACGTGACGAAGGAGGAAGACGATGCGACACCAGACGCGACAGTCAAGACGGAAGACACAGAAGCTGTCAAGACAGAGGCACCAAATACTGAACCTCTGATAAAACCAGAACCAGAGGAGGCCGAGTCGGGAGTACAGACGGTGGTGTTCAAGAAGAGAAAACCCAAGGGCATTCGACAAAAGTGAAAAGATCATCACTGTACTATACAATTATCTGCTGAGTTTACCAATGATACCACATGAGTAACGATCTTCATCTTTTTCCTCGTTTGACGAGCTTCAACAAGACTGCTTCCATGACGCTTCCAACGATTCATAATCCGGTGTTCCGTGGAGAACCTCCGGAATCGGGCACGGATATACAGTCGGAACATCGGTATCTCCAACGGATATAAGGGTTCAAACATCCAAATTCGTATAGCTTCAAAAAGCACACCGAAAACTACTCCTCACCACGGAGCTCAACCCCATGTTTTCACCAATGAGTACAATGCATTCAATGGAGCTTGCTTAGCAAGCAGACGGTAATAATATGAAGTGTTCATGCGCATGTCTTTTCCTGCCCTCTCTTTGTGGGGTAGACGGCCTGGACGGCATCTGTATTTTTTCTAGAATGGAGTTTTTGGTGTTCGGGCCATCAATTGCGTCACTCGGAGAACGAAGTCCCGCTTGGTGGGAGGATATAACTCGGGCGAGCGTCCTCCGGTTTTGATCTTGGCACAGTTCCACCTCAACACTCTTCTACAGCTTCATCTTTAGTAAATACAACCAGACCCCATATATCACAATGGCTTCTCACCAACCCGCGAAGTGCTGCACTGAGGGCGTGCGCCATGAGTAAGACCTTCTAATGCCAATGCGCTCAATGTTTCGCTTTGCCTAACGTTTTACAGAGGCGAGCCTACCGGCAAGATGACCAAGATCGGTAACGGCATCGATGCGTACATCGCGACAGCCCCTGCCGACAAGGCGCATAAGGGTACGGGAATTGTCTACGTCCCCGACATTTACGGTATCTGGAACAACAGCAAGCTCATGGCTGATCAATACGCTGCCAACGGCTACACCACCATCTTGCCCGACCTCTTCAACGGCGAAGTGTTCCCTAACCCCCTGCCCGAGGGTTGCGATATCGTGGGATGGATCACCAAGGGTATTAATGGCGAAAACCCTCACACTCCCGCTCAGATCGACCCTATCGTTGTCGAGGCCATCAAGGCTCTTAAGGAGCAAGGCATTACCAAGATTGGAGCTGTAGGCTACTGCTTTGGTGCCAAGGTAAGTCCACGAACGGTCCTGAAGTAAAACATCAGCTAAGAAAGTACCAGTACGTTATCCGCAACTACAAGGAGGGCATCAGCGTCGGCTACGTCGCCCACCCCTCTTTCGTCGAGGAGGACGAGCTCCGCGCCATCAGCGGCCCTCTCTCCATCGCCGCCGCGCAAACCGACAAGATTTTCCCCGCCAATCTCCGCCACCGATCCGAGGAGATCCTCATCGAGACGGGAAAGCCCTTCCAGATCAATCTGTTCTCTGGCGTCGAGCACGGTTTCGCTGTCCGTGGTGACCCCAACGACAAGGTTGTGCGATTCGCCAAGGAGCAGGCCTTCTACCAGGCTGTGCAGTGGTTTGACGAGCACTTGGCTTAGAATCGTACAAGTAGATGACTTATGATATAAATAAATTTTGTTAATGAAAGACGGGAATGCATCGTAGAGCGAACTTGGCTTCAAACCTTGTGTTGGATTGAAGCAAAACTCTATCCTAGGCCGGGTTCAAAGCAGATTTATTCCGTTTTTGCTAACAATGTACATGACTAATACTCGGTGGTTCTCGATGGTCGCTGTGAGCATCAATATCCAAATAATTATCTCACTAACATATGAGATCTATAAATGTTTCACCGACAGATCTCACACGTCGGCAATCCAGATGCACGGGGTTCAAGCCACTGACACAACCTTGCTTGACCCCCCACTGCCCCAAAGTTTCAGTGCCGCTCAGGGGAACCCTCGGTGAAGACTCCACTGTGGCGCACCCACCGCCAACCATTCATCAGCTTCCCGACTGTCTCTTGCCTACGTCTATTTGTCTTGTCTCATGGTGATGCTGACGGTCCAGAGCGTCTCCTTCTTTTTCACCACACGCGACCATCCTGTCATTCCTTTGCGCCGATAGCAATAGCATTCGCAGTCCAAACCAAAATAAAACAATGCTTCAGGAGCCTCAGCTTTGGTGATGGCCGCCTCTGTCGATTCCATCAACGCCCATCGTCTCCCACCGCTTCTGTCTCCCAGATCGACTCCTCCGCCATCGACATGCGCCGACGAAGCCCCCGAGAAACTCCCCACGATTCCCTCCGATGAGGACCACTCTTCTGAAGAAGGCTCGCATGTGAGTGGCAGTTTGCGCCGCGTAGCCTCTGCCTCGTCGTCCATTTCTGAACCAGCGGTCGAAGACGACGATGAGGAAGAGCTGGAGGTTGAGCCGGTGGAGGATACGGTAGAGAAAGAGAGGGACCAGGATGAAAGCAAAGACCTCGATACCGCAGTGCCCTCTGGTAGGGCCAGTCGCAGCAGCACGATAAGCAACACGACAAACCCAAACGTTCGCCGCCTTTCTGCCAGTGAGATGCAGCGCCTCACGAACTCTCCCGAGTCCCTCCCCGTGGCCCCCGCGCCCCAGCGGAGGTCAATCGACGAAGACTCAGCATCCCATCTTCTTGACCAGCGCGAAGCTATACGACAATCCACGATGCGACTCGAACAGGCTCAACAAACGCTCGAGGCTTTCCCATCGCTGCAGCCCAACAGTGTCGCTGTCGAGGCTCGTGCTAGTGGGAGTGCTGGTCTTGGTCCGCCGAGAGACATCCAAATGGACTTTCAACGACGGCCGTCACCTGGAGCGCGTACTCTGTCCACGCCGCCCACAACCCGTCCATTAGCTGGTGATTTATCTGGGACGTCTTCACCACGAAGATATTCGTCATTCAACCCAAATGGCCGCCCGACATCTCTTCACCTAAATCTTGATGGTTCAGGTGGAACATCCCCCGTGTTGAATACTCGATCTGGCCCAGCAACCGCCATTCCAGTCACGGAATCCTCAGGTCTCCGACCACCATCACCGATTCCACCTATAATCCCTCTACCTCCCATGTCGCTCCCTACACATCTCCAGCTGGAGCTGGCGGCTCAGCGACCTAGTCCGTTGTACATCCACCAATCCCACGCCTACGACATCCCCTACGAATCCAATGCCGCCAAGTTCGAGCGTCTCAAGAATGTGCTATTCCTCCCACCATTCCTCGAGCGCACCCTTAACTTCGGAGCTCTGGCATGTCTCGACGCCTGGCTATACAACTTCACCATTCTCCCTATGCGGTTTACGTTGGCTTTGGGCGTACTTGTTCACTGGTGGTTCTATCTCGTTCTTAAGGAGGTCCGATGGCTTGTCGATTATGTATGGTACGGCCTGGGACGGCTTTGGCGACGAGGACGAACATCACGGCCCACTACTACTGACGAATCATCTGATGAAACAAGATCACGTAGTGAGAGCCGTCCTCGAGGTCGAACAGAGGATACGAATGAAACCCCAGAGTTGAAAGATCTAAAAACGCACCTGAACGCACACTTTAATCCTCTACAACCTCGATCACAGCCTAGATCTGGAGCTTTCCGACATAGGAGGACTAAGTCAATGCCCTCCAACTTGTCGGCTTTCCATAAAGCAGATCTCCTCCGAGGAGCTGTCATCATTTGCAGTTCCATGGCTCTCATGACCCTCGATGCAAGTCGCATGTATCACTTCATCCGAGCCCAATCCGCCATCAAGCTCTACGTCATCTACAACATTCTCGAAGTTGGTGATCGTCTTCTTTCTGCTCTGGGACAGGACATTCTTGAGTGTCTGTTCAGTACCGAGACCCTCTCCCGCAATGCCTCGGGTCGATCCAAGGTTCTTCTCCCACTGGGCATGTTCCTCCTCGCTCTGGCATACTGCTGTCTTCACTCTATCGCCTTGTACTATCAAGTCATCACCCTCAATGTCGCCGTCAACTCGTACTCCAACGCCCTGTTAACTCTCCTCCTCTCGAACCAATTCGTCGAGATCAAGAGCACAGTCTTCAAACGCTTTGAGAAGGACAACCTCTTCCAGCTTACCTGCGCCGACATTGTTGAGCGTTTCCAGCTTTGGATCATGCTTCTTATCATTGGAATGCGCAACATCATTGAAGTCGGTGGGCTTAGTATTCCCGGCGCAGGCTCAGAGTCACAGTTTGACGATTCATCGGTACCGCTACACAACCCGTCAATCCTTCCTCACAGCTTCACCGTTTTGCCTTCTTGGCTCATGTCGGGCGAGGTGCTCTCCCCGTTCCTCATCGTCATAGGAAGCGAAATGCTTGTTGATGCTATTAAACACGCCTACGTGACGAAGTTTAACAACATCAAGCCATCTTTCTATAGTCGCATCCTTGACATCCTCTGCAAAGACTACTACACAAACGTAAGTCTACTCAGTCTTAAAGCCTCATTCGCCGTCATGCTAACTAAAATCTCTAGGCATTCATGGCTCCGTCACTCACCAAGCGTCTCGGTCTTGCAGTCATCCCTCTCTCATGTCTCTTCATCCGAGCCTCCATTCAAACCTACCACATGCTTCTCTCCACCCACCTCCCCATGCCTCTCCCTATTCCGGAATCTACACAAACATCCCTCACCGAAGAATCCGCCACACCTTCATCACCAGCTATGATCGCCGCCCTCAACCGCTTCGACTCTCTCATTCGCGACTCCCTCGGCCGCGCAACATACGGCTACCCCTATGGCTCACCCCTCAACTCCCGCCCCTGGTACTCCTGGACATCCGACGACGTCATCGCCGCCATAACCATGGTGGTAGTATTCTTCATCGCCTTCCTCGTCCTCCTCATCCTCAAACTTCTCTTGGGTATGCTCCTTCTTAAGTACGCTCGCAACCGCTACGCACGCATGAAGCGCGCAGAGCACCAAGGTCGTGCGCCTGAGTCATTCGACACACCCGGTGCGCGCAGAGTAGGCGGCTTCGGACAAGTCGAGGTTGGCGAAGAGAGACAAAGATGGATACACGCTGATAGGAACGAGGGATTGAAGGGTGGGAAGGGCCCGGGGAAGAGGAATGAAAAGCCGACAGAAAAGACGAAGAAGGATGATTTTGAAAAGGTGATGAGGTATGAGATGGTTGCGAAAAGGATATGGTGATAGACTATGCATAAGTTTCAAGAGCATTTTATGGCGTTAGGACTGCTTAGGACGTAGAAACAAATTCAGACAACATTACAACCAACCGAATAACTTTCATCACATTACTATTCATTGCAAGTCACGGTAGGAAGAGAGCATCAGGTTCCATATGGAAATGTATCTTTCTTTCTAATCCTAGGTATCAAATGTTCTCTATGACCAAAGCATTTTTTGCTTTGTCAGAAATCCGAGCGCTTGCCATCCATCCATTCATTCCCTTTATCCCTTTTCCTTTTTCCATACCCTATCCTTTTATTTTCCATACAGCGCTGAAGCGGCATGCAAATCCCACCGCGTTATGTACTCTATGAAAACGCAGTTTATCTAATGCGTATCCTTTTCTTCATCAAATCATGTCGTAGGTTCGTCACTTTCTTATTTATATAATCCACCAAACCGAAAAGTCGTCAAATCGTGATGCTGAGTGTGTCCATTTACTGAATGCCGGCGAGCTTGACCAGGCCGGGGTTGTTGGCCAGGAGGTCGGGCTTAGCCTTGTAGAGCATCTGGACGGTGCGCTGGAGAATCTCCCGGGTCTCGGGCTCGAGCTGCTCCTCAGGGGGGCTGAGAACCTTCTCGAAGATGCCGACGAGCTGGGGAGTAAGCTGCTCAACGGTGGGGTTGGACTGCTGGTAGAGGTTGAAGATGTTCTCGTAGATAGGGGCGTTCTCCTCGTAATCCTCCTGGAGGGGAAGAGCGTTGACGACGGCGGGAAGAGCCTGAGCAACAAACTCGTTGTTGGGGTTCTTGGTCATCATACGAGAGACAGCACCGGCGACGTTGTCAGTCATGCGCATCTCGTTGACGGTCAGGAGAGGCTCAAGCTTCTCCCAGAGGAGAGGGTACATGGGGAAAGTCTTGCCGGTATCGGCAGAGTTGAGAACAACCAGACCAATGGCGTAAGCAGCGTTAGACTTAGCCAGAGGGTCAGGGTCTGTGAGGCGGCGAACCAGGGCCTGGCCAAGAGACTCAGTGAAGGGAGTGATAGACTCGCCACAGTACTTGGTGATCTCGGCAATTGTGCCGACAGCGGTAGATCGGTGGAGATCCTCGTTGGAGCTGGCAAGTCGGAGAATAGGCTTCTCGAAGATCTTCCAGAGCTCGCCGAAGCTGCTGCCAAGAGCAGCAGCAAGGCCAACAACAACGTCAAGAGCAGTGTCAATGACGAGCCAGTCGTACTCAGAAGAACCAGCGTCAACATCTTGCTCCTCCTCCTCGTCACCAAGGTCCTGCTGGCAGGGGTGCGATCGAGTAATGATAAGACTGACGACCGAAACAATCTCCTGGAGGAGACCATCCTTGGAAGCGAGGAGAGCAGGACCACAAGCCTTGAGAGTGGCAGCGATGTTGCGGTTGATATCGGTGATAACGGAACTATAATACTGTTAGTGAGTGATTCGAGTAAAGAATGCAAGAAACAAGAAGTAACAGTGTCATGAATCAGAAGTAGATTAGACGTGTTCTCAGCAACGGCATTTTGCCTCTGAGTGAGCTGGGTGTACGCAAGGTATTCATCATTTTGACAGGAGGGACTGAAAAGGAAGAGGGATCAACTAACCGTTCGCTGTCGTCAGACCAGATGGTCATGGTAGCCTTCTCAAGAGCCTGGCCCATGTTGATGAGCGAGGTAGGAGGGGTGTGCTTAGGAGGAAGACCAGCCTCCCACTTGACACCAGCGCTCTCCTCCCAGACTTGGAAGACGCGGGCGTAGGTGCGCCAGAGGGTGGAGATGGCGGTCTTTCGGCATCCCTCGTATGTGTGCTCGGTGAAGGGAGAAACCTTCTCGATGGTCTGCTCGACGTATGTCTCGAGGTTGGCGCTGTTGCAAGAGTTGGAGATGACATCACCAAGAACGTCAAGAGCAATCTCCTGCTCAAGAGCGACGGCGGTCACGGCACCAAGGTCATCGAGATCATCGAGGTCCTCAATGTCATCCCAGTCCTCCTCACCACCAGTGGCGATGGTAAGATCATCCTGAGTATCAGGAACCTTGACCTTAATTCGCTTTCCACCCACGACGATAGAGCCGTCGCCAAGTTGGGCAGCATCAACACCAGGGAGATCGATCTCTTCCTCCTCAAGCTCGAGGGAAGAGTAAAGACCCTTGAAGACGCCAGGAAGGAAGTGGTCGAACTGCTCGTGGTAGACCTTGGACAGGTTAGACCACAAGATGAAGCTGGTCTCCTTGAGGCGGGGGTTGTCGAGGCTAAGGGCCTCCTCACTGGCGGCCATAAGGTCCATGACATAAGGCTGGAAAGCCTCGGAGCCGACAGCCATGGCGATACGGCCCAAGCTGTCACAAGTGGAGCTTCGGAGGTCCAGGGACTCCTCGCCCTCCTTGATAGAGACGAACTTGCCAAGAGAGGTCATGACGTCCTTGAAGTAAGGCTCGAACGTCTTCTCCATAGAAGAAGCGATGGCACCGATGGCAGAAGCAGCAGCAGCCTTGACACCGAAGTCCTCGTGGTCGAGGAGACGGACCATAGGGCCGATCAGGTTAGGACCGTACTGAGCCATGATCTTGGTGTCAATACCATCACCAAAGGTGTCGAGAGCACCGCAAGCGCAGCGGATGATGCTAACGTTCTTCTTGTCAGAGGGACCCTGAGAGGCGGCCTCGAGGTTCTTGAGAACGGAAGCGATGATCTGCTCGTGGTGAGAGGACATCTCATCGGCCATCTCCTCAGCGAGGTGGATCAGACCAACCAGAGAGGCATGTCGGACCTGAGGGTCAGAGTCCTCAAGGAGGGAGATGATGGTGGGAAGAAGAGGCTGGAGCTGAGTGGAGATGAAATCGGGAGCACCCTCAGCGGCGTTACCAAGAGCGAGCATAGAGGCCATACGGTACTTAGGGTCGTTGTTGGTAGCGAAGTGGGGGAACTGGTCGAGCAGAGGCACGATGGCCTGTCGGGGAGGGAGCTCGTTGGATAGAGTGTCGATGAGGCTGATGGCAGTGCGAGCAGGGGACATGTCCTCCTCATCATCGTCGGCATCAAGCTCGGTGATGATGTGCATGGCCTTGACCATGAGCTCAGCAGCCATATCCTTCATGCCCTGGATCTTCATGCGTCGGTAACGGACACACTGGATGAGGAAAGCAAGAGCCTGAGATCGGGCATCCTCCTCAGCGTTGACGTTGCCACCAAGCTCGATCATGAAAGAGAGGAGATCGCGGAGATGAAGGGCAAGGAGAGAAGAGTCGTAGGCGATGAAAGAGTGGAAGACCTCGAAGACGATCTTGTAGCTCTCCTCGTCCTCAGTCTCGACAGTAGCCTTGAGGATGTTAACCAGGCTAGGAACAAAGCCCTGCATGGCCTTGAGGGACTCGGGGTCCTCCTCAGGCTCGACGATCATGAGGATGGCACCAATAGCGCGGACGATGTTGATGCGAACCTCCTTGCTCTGAGGGTCCTCAATGCGAGCCTGGAAGAGCTTGAGAAGCTCGTGTGTGTGGTCGGCGAAGTGGGTAGGGTCCTCCTCAAGGATGGCGTAGAGGAGGAATGAACCAACCTCACGGGCAACAACGTTGTCGTTGTTGCTGAGAGGAAGAAGGTGCTTGAGGAAATCCTCACCCTCACCGTTCTCCATATCAGAGCTGACGATACCAGCGATAAGGCGGGCCAGGGAGTGGCGGACACCGGCGGAGGACTCCTTGAGGACACCCTCGAGAAGGTGGTTGCGGGCAAGCTGTCGCTGGTCCTGGGCGGTCTTCTCCCAGAACTTGGGAATCAGACGAAGAGCCTGGACCGAGGCGAGCTGTCGAACACCAGCGTCTCCATTTGTGAGGGAGATCTCGACAAGGGCGAGAAGCGACTCGGGCTTTGTGTAGAAGTTCTTCTGGAGCTCGGCGGTAACGGCCTTGACCTGCTCCGTGTTGGCTGGAGAGAAAGTACGTTAGTTTGGGTTTGCAAGATGAGGCAATAAGGCACAACAGCCAAGCAGAGCAGAGCTTGCAAGCTGTTGATCGTCGAGATGGGCAGTAAAACTTACGGACCTGGCTCCCCTCAAGGAGCTGAGCAAGCTTTCCCTTATCCATGATGATTTCTGTGTCGAAGCTTGAACGACAAAGAAAATGAGGAAAGAGAAAGGAAGAAGAAAGGAAAGAACCCAAAGGTTTATAGTTGATGGAGAAAAGACAAGAGTCGCGAGAGACCCGCGTCGAAAATTTTAAATTATTTGGGGTCCCCTCGGGTCGAAATTAGCAGAGAAAAAAAATTCCCATGCCCCGCTCTGGCACCTGCAGGCTTTGGTTGGCAGGCAACGCCTAGGCGCTCAAGGGTCTGTTGTTGCCCCTCGTTTCTATTCCACTTTAGCGCGGGGCTTTTGTGACGATGGTTTCGACGGGTTAGAATGACACCGAAGAGAACTTGAATTTCTGACCGCTTTTGGTGAGACTTGTGCTACGTGTTTTGTCTTTGCTGGATGTTGTCTTTGTCAAGTTTTTTTGTTGTGGCTCGCAGGCATTCACAACCTGCTGAAGCCTGGTTCTTATCTTCAAATCCAATGTCAGGCAACCAGGCATCGCTGAAGATGTCATGTCGGATAAATGCAACGCTGAGCCGAGTCCTTGAGCTTGCTGGCACACCACATCGAGATGGTGCGCTAGCTGATGTGTACACGGATGTTATCCAATGAGTGGTGATTGACTGGCTCTGATGACGTTGGTTGGCTGCAAGATACTGTAGTGTACCCTCTGATGAGCTGGGGCTTCATCAACAAGAAGCCATGGATAGCTTCCTCCTAGCATTCGCATTGAATGCTGCAAGGCTCCAGGGATGCTTGGTCCAAGCCAGCATGACTATGGGCTTATCTTAGGCCAGTATTGAGATATGGATCATGATGACGCCCAACTGTGAGTGCCATTGCGAAACGTTGCCTCATTCGATGAGGTTGTTCAGAATACAGCAGGCATGAACAGCACTTGCCTGTCATATCGTTGTTATAGAAGGCCACCAGCCATTATAAGTTTGTGTCAAAGTTGACACCATAACACGACTAACTGGAAGAAACTTGGAAGTTATCCAGTATGTTCATAGACGAGCTTGGAAGCTTGGAAGCTTATACTTGATACAGCCATGACACAGCCATCCAGAAGCACAGTACCACACCAAAAGCTTGAGCAAACGACCACGATCAGTTACCCTGCTATGCTTTAAATGCCACACAAGACACTGTACGACGCGATCAATCAACGCTCTTCTTGCCTGGTACACAAATCCGATCATCGATCATCATCGCCTCGCAGTCAAGGTCCGCATTCTTTTTGAGAAGGTCATCAACGGTCACACCATTCTTCTTGGCAATCTCCCAGCAAGTATCGCCCTGTTCAACCGCATACGGCACAGTACCCTCAGGACAATCCGGGATAGGGATGCGTTCTTCAGGCGAAGCCTTGCGGCCCAGGAACCAGCAGAGCAGGACCAGGGACAGAATGACGAGCATGAGGAAGTTGAGAAAGGGCTTCATCTCGGTAAACCACGACAACTTCGGTTGGTGCTGCGGGCTTGTCATGAGGAAGGTCTCGGTCTCTTGTCCATCGGGACGCGCTTCGCCGACTTTGGTGAGGTGGCCGTATTGGTTGCCTGGTGCGCTCTCCCAGTAGCTTCCATCGGCGTCGCGGAACGTGTAGACCTGGCTGTCAGCATCGTAGCCGACTCTCTGCATGCCCTCTGGGAGGCGCTCTTCGTCGGTGTCATAGCGTGAAAACCGAGACATGGCTAATGTTGATGACGGAAATCGGATTATGTCGATTTACAAGTTTGTTTTGATGAATGGAAGAAAAAAATGGAAAGGGAGAAGCACAAGAGCAGGTTGTCTCCCTTAAAACGCGGACATCATGTCACCCTTGCCAGGGGACCGCGTCATGGTCTTAGGTAAGCGACATTTCACACTTCAAACCAACCACCCACTCAATCTGAAGCCACAGTGAGTCTCAGAAGTCGCCGATCGCTTAATGTGAATAATCAAAACTTGCAAGTAAGTTAGATAATTACATACCAGTGTCCGACGTATTGGCAAAACGACTCAAGCCAAAGAAGCGATCTCGCTGTTGAGACTAGCCAACATCAAGAGCCACACCTTGTACATGACCAATTCCGACAGCTACACGAAACAAGCTTAAATCGCTACCATGGATTTTCTTGGGAGACTTCTCCTTGACTTTGCAGATGCAAGCCCTTAAATTTTCTACCGTGACTTTCTTCATTTCTTTGCACGGAGAATGGTTGGCGCAGCAATGTCTTGGGCACTTTTCTGGTCGGCGTTTACTAGGGGATCTATTTTCTCACTCCTCAACATCATCCTCCGCATGAATATAACGGTAAGCGATATCTAGATTAGTCTCAGCGGATATCGATGCCGATATGGACACTCAGCCGTGCTGACGAGCCTAGGAGTTGAATCCTTCGCGCTTACATCGTCCGCTTGACGACGGTGCGGGCTATCGTAGGGCTGACTTATTGCACATAAGAGAGCCTCTTGGCCGGCTCGTCGCTGAGGTCCCTCTCTGGCTCATTCCTCTTCAACCTCAACTATACTCGTTCTAAGTCTCATATTTTTCGTCATGCGTTTCCTCTCAGATGACAGAAAGGTCGACCCCAAGGCTGCTCAAATGCAGGTCCTTGCTCTCGGCCTGTCGCGCTGTGCAACATCCTCCCTTCAAGCAGCGCTCGAATCCGATGTCATAAAGCTAGGCCCGTGTTTACACATGGCTCATATCGCACCTCACGCGGACCGCGAGAGAATTGTCATCCAGGCTCTCAGGGAGCCCGACGCTGAGAAGAGGCATAAGCTTCTTCACAAGATCTTTGATGGATACTCCTCGACATGTGACTTCCCCGGCTGGGCGTTTTCGGCTGATCTTATGGATATGTATCCTGATTCCTTGGTTATCTTGAACAAGCGCAAGTCGGGAGAAGTATGGCTCAAGAGCATCGGCGACACGCTGCGCTTCTTTGGAACCTGGCGCTATCTTCTTCCCACGTATCTATGGACAACAGATAGACTGCACTACCAGATCCACCAAGAGGCATACGGCTGGGGCAAAAGAACCCTTGGTTTAACGGATCTTTACTCTTCTGAGTTCTACGACGCATATTTTGCTTGGGTACGCAGCGAGGCGGATAAGAGGGGCATGAAGGTGCTTGAGTGGCAAGTGCAGGATGGATGGGGGCCGCTGTGCGAGTTCCTTGATAAAGATGAGCCGAAAGATAGGCCTTTCCCGAACTTGAACGACGCGAAGGAAACGAATTTTGTTAAGAAGATTCTTATTGCAAGGGGCTTGGTTTCGTGGGGACTTTTGGCTGGTTTGGGATGGGCGGGATGGAAGTTTGGGCCTGACATGGTTGAGAAGTGGTTGTGAACATGATGATATGGCCAAGATTGAGTGTTAGAGGTGATGAACTACTAGGCTTTGCTGCATTGTTGACTGATGAATTAAATCAGCAGTTTCCCCTTGGCATACGGATAGCATTGGGTGCATGCCTTCTTCCTGACCACATATTCCACAATGAGAACTGTTGGTTGAAGTGTTGTTATACAAGAGCTAGTGAGATGTGGAACTGGTTCTATCATGATGAACTCCGTCCCCGTCGGTGTTGGAATATTGGGGACATTGACCACATCCTTGATGCTCACGTCAGACTCGGCTGTTGGCCCCGGCTTCTTATCACAATTGCGCTCTTGCATGAGCAAACAGCTCAAGGTCCGAAGGACACCAAAGCTCCAGTTCTTGTGAACGGGTTTACGTTTGATAGCATATTCTGGATGCCAACACTGTCGCTGAGCTTGATGTTAAGAAGCCGTTACCACAAGAGGGCGAGGAGTAGCTGAGGATTAGAATAAATGCGAATATTGTCAAGAAAGGGAGTCAGGATGCTGAGGTTATTGTATCTGATAAGGAGGGGAATGTTGTTGCTCTAAGGAATCACGTTGCGCTGGTTTGGGCTGGAACCGAGAGGTGAAGCTCTAGGGTGAGCTGCGTGCCTTGTATGGAAGAGATCAAAGACACATTAACGTATCCGTGTCAAATGGATGCCAGATTGAGACTTCCAACGGATTTCGTGACTTCGTGTCCCATCTCACTTATATATGGTAAGCAGCATATTTCATCGGCTAACAGTGAAAGTCTAGTCCGTGTTACAATCATTCTTGTTGATACTAACTTGACAACCCTCCCGTTCCCTAAATGTCAGAAGTTCACAGCTTGGATAACGGGATGGCTTTAGCGCCCGCGCCCCGCAGCCACCCGTTCTGGGGCCTGAGACCTCCACTGGCCAACACCTGGGCTGCTAAACATTGTTACAGCCTTAGCCATAGGTAGCGTCATGCCGACGGGACGAGACCCGGATCCAATGAGTGATGTTTGTGGTTCTCGACACAAACTCTATGAAAGGAATGTTGATCATAAATTTCAAGTCCTTCACTCGTACTCCAACTGATACCTGAAACATTTCTCCTATCCTCAGTATCTCCTGGATTGAGGCCTGCTACGACCCCGAAAGCGGCCGCCCCCAATCTTCCCATTTACTGCACCATAGCCAGCCCAAGCCCACAACAATAAGCACTTAATCCAATGGAACCCCGGACTTTTGAGCCTTGTGCAACTAACCTGGTCAAAAGATGCGCGACCGAGAAGTTCAAACAAGGCTCTGCGCCGGTGGGTTCGACCAACTCCCTTTCCTTTCAACTTCTTGATCAATTCTTCTATCCGATAATCATGTCGTTGTCTTGACCCAGGAGCAGTTCCCACGCAGGTCCTGGTTTGCGACTGCTAAGAAACCACAGCTCACCAGCTCTTCATGTCGTCTTGATCTTCCGTCGCCGCCAATTCCCAGCCGCCTCTACGAAAACAGACCAACGCACCCATTGGTCTTGAAGCTGTGTCCGACTCAGCTCGAGACGACCTCGCCATAGCCTGTTGCTCTACACGGTACTCGTCTTCTGACACGTACAAGACGAACGAACTCATCAATTAGATATTGGAACCTCGGCGCAATGTCTGACGCCGACCCCGAAGTCGTTGTAGCCCTTGTGGCTCTGCTGGTGTCTCTGGTCGCCCTGGCAGCCACTTTCATGCAGGTTATGCAACAGTACTACGCTTCTGCGGCAGGATACGCCGAATGCAATGAGAAGGTGATGGGGAAATGGGCACTGACAAAAACTCGCCGCTTCACTTGGGACGAGCTTCGCTTTGAGGTCGAATTTGAGGCTCCTGTCATATTTGTCTCGCCTCCAGACAACAAGCATGGCCCCATTCGTGAAGCCGAGATCTATTTCCTCGATGGGAGCCCACAGAGTCTCGACAATACATGGTCCGAGCTGGATATCAACCCGAGAGAAGAGTATGCGAACATGACGAAACGAGAGCGCATTCACACTGCCGATAATGAGCGAGCTTCTTGGACAATACTCCTCAGCGCCGTACAGCGCATGGAGCACGAGTCGGAAACGTGGCAGAAGGGCGAATACGAGAATATGCATAAAAATGTTGGGCCTCCCAGTGCGCTGACACCACACGACCTACCTATGGTACCGCCTACTTTATACGAAGCCCATACCTTAACGGTGGCTCTTCAGCGCAAACGCAAGAGCTGGGACACGATGCCTGCAACTGTGCTGCGCCCGTACGCAACCACTACGATGTGCCATCTTATCGAGATGCTGGCAGCACTGGGTATCTACTGGAAGGAGTTCGACCGCAAGCGCGACCGTTATCGTGCCGAAGGCAACGGTTTCATGGTGTTGGGAGAAAAGGTTGCCGATCTCGGCTTAATGTTCAACTTCAGCATTTACGGGCGCAGTCGTTTCGAGGACAACCGAGTGATTCCCGTCGATCAGGTTAAGGAGCTATGCTTTGGTTACGTCTCGACTATATATAGTGGGATATTGGATAAGCGACGTCTCCAGTTTCCTGAGGACGATCCTGAGAACTTGGCCTTTCTTCAGCTTGCAACTCGTGAGGAGATTTCTCAAACTCTCATTCGCATTGGATGCAACACCAATGCTGTTCGCGCTTTCCAGGATGCTGGCAAGCATACATCGCATCTGTTTCCCGGTAAGATTTGTCTTTTACGACAGATTGCACTCGCTAATCGAAATAGTCTCATTCGAAATCCTCGGCATGCTAAGCCGTACTTTTCATATTAAGAACAGCATGTTCACTCATATTCCCAATCCGACATCGGATCGTTGGGATAAGCAATCTGTATCGCTGGTCAAAGTGATGGAAGCCTACGAAGAACTTGTTCCCATCACATTACCCGGAGCACGCCGAAACCCAGTTATCGTCGAAAAGATCAAGAAGCACGTCGACCGGATTTTAGCTTATAATAAGGATGAGAACATGACCGAGAAGATGTCCATGCTCAAAGCACTTCATGATGCCATCGACGACTGCGATCGGATTCTAACAGCCAAGGAAGCGAGTGGTAATGTGACTCCTTTCGTAGAGCAGATGGATAAAAAAGTCCATGAGAACGAGGTACAGAAGAAGCGGAGAGAGATGGTGCAGGATGTTTTGCGATCGCACATCCAAGAAGTTCTGCGTCTTCTCAACGACGGAGAGGATCGTTTGTCTGAAACACAATCCCTGCGTGCTGATTGGAGTCCAGCAACCGGGAACCTAAGACAAGATGGACAACCCAAGGTCATGCCCATCGGATTCGAGGACATGCATGAGGCCAGTCCTGATGAGCGACAGCACAAGTTTATGGAAGTTTACTTCCACGTCATTCGCGAAAAGGTCATCCCTCGTGCCGCACGCTCAACGGATCGCAGGACAAGTATTATTGGAGCTCCCGCTGGATACGGTTTCCGAAGAGCAGGCACCGGTCGAACCCAGGCAAGTAGCACGCGAGGAATGGAACGAGCTCCATCACCCGCCCCGCCTATGCCAGCGCCTCGTCTTCAGACCAGTATCGAGAACATCCCTCTGGGTCCCATGGCTAACAACCGTCACTCAATATCCAGTAGACCTGGTAGCGCCGTCAGTGATTCTCTTTCAGTGAATAGCGAGCAGCCAAGACCAAAGCTCGAGGGTCATTTATATGAGCAAGAAGTGTCACATGATGATGCATGGTGTACGTTAATATTCCGCATGATTTGCTGGCTGATGCTTCACGACTTCAACAAGTTTGATGTGCAGTTAAGTAAGAGTGAGCTACTAGGGAGCCGTATGCCAGTTTACATATCTTGAGCTGGCATAATTATTTGGAGTTGTGTATCGGTCGTTGGATAGGGGAAATGTTGGAAAATAATGTGTTTGGCGATGTCTGGGAATATTGATACCAAAATAACGACTTACGGAGTCTTTAATGATAGACAAACTATCGGCGATATAGTTGGGATACGGCCTGGATGCTTCATATGGAACTGCATCATCAGTTATGATATAATTACGTACAGATTACCCCTGATTTACCAGCTAGAACATAAAACCGCCGTCTGTTTGGAAATTCGCCATTTTCACAACATCACATTCCTCACCAGTCCAGACTCTAATCTGCCGCCGATCGGCCAACCGCGCCCCGATCGGACCGTCCCCGCATCGGCACCCGTCCGGTACAGGAAATCCGGATACGCCGACGGCATGTCCTTTTCTGGCTGCACACAAAAGCTGACTAACCTAAACTCCCCCCGATTTCTTGGATATAAAGGCACGTGAGCTGCAAAGACGGGGATGGCTGGGTTGGCTTTTTTCCCGCCACAGGAAAAGTGTTCTTGGTCGGCCACAGCCGAGAAAGGGAGATTGTCTGGATGGGGTATTTCCGTTGGTTGTTGAGAGTCTGTGGGGAGATATGATGCGGAGTTGTACTTGGAGGAAGGGAGATAGTTTGAACAAGTGCTGGCTATAGGTGAAAGGGATGTAGGCAGGGATGTGATTGAATGAATAGTAAGGTGACTAGAGAATAGTAGCCAATAGTTGTAGAAGTAATAATAATCATCAAAGGGATTAAAGGAGTTGTTAATCTATTGTCTGCGCTTCATTAGTCCTACCCTTGACTTATGCCTATGTCTCTCCCTTGGCGGTAATAGCGAAACAGTGACAATGGAGAGCACGCACGAAAGCATTGTCCCGATTGAGTTTTCAATCGACCGTGTCTCTGGCCATGGATATAACACTACTCCGTTCGCAATCTTAACATCCGTTCAACCCTCCGGTTCCGACCCGCCGACTTCGGATCCCAACACGGAGGTATCACGTGAGACCACACGGCGGACACCAGGAAGCCATCATGGAACCTATTCTTGATTTCTAGTAGGATTCCGCCGTTACTCGATTTTAAAGTGTGGACCACCGATTGGGAATCGGCCAGGCGTAGCACTCTAGAACTAGAGCATGACTAAGACAAATGAAAACCTGTCTGTCTTGAATTCCAGCATCGCGTCGCCGTAGCCGTGGTCACGGGCGTAACCGCAGTTGTAGTAGTTGACTGTGCGCAGACCAGGCTCTCCCCGTGGCTTGACCAAGATTCTCAATGCATGGAAACGCACAGCAAAGGCAGCAAGGTTGATATCACCAACAAACAACTCGATTCAATACTCTTTGATCCTTTCTAAACAAGGACTGTTGTGATATTGCAGCGACCTGCATAAAGGTACCGTTTTCCACAGGCGCCCTATAAACTTGACTGAAATGGTGCGGAGAGGTACTTAAGCCTGCCCATGTCATGTTCCCTTCCCCAAAGACACCATGCTTTCTGGCCAATCACCTCCCCCGTAGCGCCAGGCTAGACCCTGTGGATTCTCCAGAACGCACCCTGGGCCAACCATTGCGAGGTAGTTTCAGTCCCGGAACAGCCTAGTCTGGAAAAAGTGGGATCCACCTTCACCTTGGGCCGAGAGGCAGAGACCAACTCCTCCGTCACATCAGCCTGCACCACATCTTCTCACTCACCAAAGCCTCGTCTCTTCCGTCAGCAAAACCAAAAGCCCAGACCCTTTCGGAGCAAAAGGGTTCAAGAGACAGAGAGCAAAAGAATACTTGAGCGGCTTCTGTTTTTTCTTGCTTGCCCTTTCTTCTTTGTAGCTCCTTTCTTTTTAATTCTACTATTTTGTTTCAACTTTTATCCCATCGTCTCGCCACACTCCCTTGTACACACCTCCCCTTGCCTTCCCAGCCTTCAAGTGCACGCACGCGTGTTCTGCCCGGACAGCCTTACGAGTTACAACTCTTTTCCTCCACCGTACTCGATACCGCATTTACATCCCCTCCGACGACCTTGTTTTCGAACGTTGAGCGTGTAATCCCTGTTTCGTTGCTAGGCCCGAGGCTAGCATAGCCGCCCCCGACAGTCCTTTCTCGGCCCTCTCTGGTCGTTGTCGACATCCAAACACCCCGACGATTTCCCTCCCCAAGACGACGTCGATCATATCGTGTCCTTGAACTTATCAAGCTTCAGTCGGTTCTTGATCAAATTCAGACAGCGTCACAGCTGCCTCGCTGGTCATTTGAGGATATATGCGTGATTCTTTTGCGTGAATCCCTCGCGTCGTTGAACCGTCCCCGGCAGGTCGATTCCGTGACTCTACTTCCCCTTGACTGGGTGTTGTTTGGGATCTTGTAGTTGGCCTCGAACTTCGAGACTGCTTGAACGGAACTCGTTAGCTTTTGTTTGCACAGGTTGCCTCCTCACCAGCCCGGTGCTTGTCACGGACGAACACAACAATCACACAAACCGTAACCAACCATGACACCGTCACCCGCGACTCCTCAGGCCCTCGAGCCTCGTCACCCCAAACCATCACAAACAGTTTCCGTCAATATCTCAGAAGGGTCCCAGAACCGTGCCCGCCGCTTCCAACTTGAGGTTAGCGAGTGCGTCGAGACTAAGACTGTTACGACCACCACTCGTCTCACGCGGAAGTTTCCTCAGGTCTTCGTTCGAGACCCTGTGCCTCTCGAAAACCTCGATACAAAAGAATATCCTCTCGCCATGAAGCCTACTCCACCAGAACTGATCCAGTTCTCCTATAACATGCCAGGTGCGCAAGAAACAGACGACGAGGGCGAAGATGATACCAGAGACAGCCAGGTAAGTCTGCACCATGCTGCAAGCTTTGTCCCTGCTCAAGACAGTGACATCCAGCTAATCTTTCAACCCTTGAACTACAGCAGTATAGTAACGAGCAGTCCACCCCCAGTCGAGTTAAAGACGAGTCCTCGCAAGATTCAACCACCCTAGTCCGGATACCCAAGCATCGATCACAATCTCCATCAGAAGGATGTCCTCGCCGCTCCCGAACATCTAGAGCTGGCCCAACAGATTCCCCAGAATCGTCAGTACCTACATCAAATCCCCGACGACCTGCTCGATCTATCCCCCTCAACGCTGTGTCGGACAAACTCCGCCGCTCCATTGCCCGTTGCTCAACACGACGAGAAGGTGAAAGGCCGTCTAGAGCCCAATCTGGCTTCCTGGCTACCCCTGACACATCAGAAGTCGTTGGCGCGGGCGACCGCTCAGCCCGCCGACGCTCGTCACACCCTGAACGACATCACTCGTCCGAAGCATCTTCATCCGCTGTCAGCCCCCATTACGAAGCCACCAGCCCTGTGGAGAGTGATTCGCACACTGTCTTTAGCAGTAATGTAGCTACTCCACCAATCACCGACGCCGACGCAGAACCATTTGCAGACCTCGATGAATCCCTACAACAACCACTTCGTCCCTCCAACCCCAGGCCCAGTATCGACGTCGTTGCCGCTCAAGATGCTAGTCTTCCTAGTCCCAGACTTTCGCCTACTTTGGCAGCTGCTCAGTTACACACTGCCGAACATGACGATGAGGCCCAGTCCAGCTTTCAGACATCAAACTCTGATCCCTCCCGATGGATTGATGAATCACAGCTAGCAGAAGAGGATCCCTCGACTGCACTTGTCCGTGCTGGCCATTCCCAGGATGATTGTGCTCTTACACGTATCGATGGCTCCGGTTCGCCTCATGTCGTTGACACACAGACACTGCTCGAGGCATTTGACTCCATGAAGACAGAAATGAAGACTTTCATGATGTACCAATTCCTCCGCCGATGCCCGCGACCTACTCTCCGTGTGATAGCGAACGCCGTCAATCCCGCACTCAAGTGTGATTTCCTACGACAACTACCTTTGGAACTCGGATACGCTGTCCTGGCTCATCTCGATCATCAGGATCTTTGCCGCGCTGCTCAGGTCTCTAAACACTGGCGTAACATTGTCGACCGCAACGAGACTGGTTGGAAGGAACTGTTCGACCGCGATGGCTACACCCTACCTCCTGGAGAACTGCAAAAGGCTATCCTTCAAGGCTGGGGTTGGCAGGATCCTGAGGGAGCTACTGGTTACGAAAGAGATTTGAGCATGCGAAACCGACTGACGTCCACTGAGCACGAGCTCACTCGAACTCTTCGACAGGAGACTGCCTCTAAATCCCGTGCTTCCAAGCGCAAGCGGGCGCTCAATACTTATTCAGCTGCTGAGCGATCGAAGCGACGTGCTGGCGCCCAGGAGGCTATAACACGCGAAGAGAGCAGGTTGCAGCCCGAGGCCAGAAACCATAAGTCGGAAGGGCCTTTGTCTGCCGCCAATGCCGCTGCTACTGCTGTCCCTGACCCTCAGCTTGGACTGCCAAGTCTGCGCGAGCTTCATCTCTACAAGTCACTTTACCGTCGTCACCACATGATCCGTAAGAGTTGGACCAACGGCGAGGTCAAGCCCGGTCATGTCGCATTTGCAGCTCACCCTCGTCACGTGATTACGTGTCTCCAGTTCGACGAGGACAAGATTATCACAGGCAGCGACGATACCCTCATTCATATCTACGATACTAAGACTGGCAAGATTCGCAAGAAGTTAGAAGGTCATGAGGGTGGTGTTTGGGCACTGCAGTACGAGGGCAACATGTTGGTTTCCGGCTCAACCGATCGATCCGTTCGTGTCTGGGATATTGAGCGGGGACTCTGTCAGCAGGTCTTTTACGGACATACTAGTACCGTCCGTTGCTTGCAAATCTTGATGCCTACCGAAACTGGTCGGGATTCCAGTGGACAGGCCATCATGGAGCCTGAGAAGCCCCTTATCATAACCGGTTCCCGAGATAGTCAGCTTAGAGTTTGGCGTCTCCCCGAGGTGGGTTCTCGTCGATACATCCAGACCGGCCCTCCAGCCCACGAGTCCGACTGCCCTTACTTCATTCGAGTTCTGGCTGGACACACACATTCTGTCCGCGCCATCTCTGCCTATGGAGATACCTTGGTCAGTGGTTCTTACGACAGCACCGTCCGTGTCTGGCGCATCAGCACTGGTGAGGCTCTTCATGTGCTCCACGGCCACTCTCAAAAGGTGTATTCTGTTGTCCTCGATCACGAGCGAAACCGCTGCATCTCGGGTTCCATGGATTCGTTGGTGAAGATTTGGGATCTCGCGACGGGCGCTTGTCTGTATACACTCGAAGGGCATAGTCTGCTCGTCGGTCTTCTGGACCTTCGCGACGAGCGACTAGTTTCGGCTGCTGCCGACTCGACCCTTCGCATCTGGGATCCAGAGAATGGCAAGTGCCGTAATACGCTTATGGCGCACACTGGTGCCATTACCTGTTTCCAGCATGACGGACGCAAGGTCATCAGCGGCAGCGAGAAGACTGTCAAGATGTGGGATGTAAAGACCGGCGAATGTGTTCAAGACTTGTTGAGTGACCTCAGCGGTGTTTGGCAAGTCAAGTTTGACGAGAGACGATGTGTGGCTGCTGTCCAGAGAGACCAGATCACTTATGTCGAGGTATGTTAACCGGAGCAAACGTTTGAGTGTGATATTGACTAACTCGATGCAGATTCTCGACTTTGGAGCTGTCCGAGATGGCAAGCCACCAGAGGAACTGGGAAAGCGTATTCTTCTCAACGAACCCGAGGTTCGAGCGATGATTGAAGAAGAGGCATAATATATCATGTTACGGATGTAACGGTTGACGGAACACAATATCATCAAAATGGTTTTATGCACGAATCGTTCCCATGTATATGGACGACTGACGAAACCACCGGCGTTGGGGTGTTGCACATTTACGCATAAACAACACACATAGTTACGAAGTACCTGCATGCAAAGGGTGGAAAGGCGTTATTTGCTACTTGGGGGATGCAATCATATACCTATTGTTTTACTCAGAAGTCACTTCATGTCATCCAAGCTCGGGCAGAAAAGAGGGCGTTGATCGCAATGTGTCTCAACCTGAGCCTAGAGGCAGACGAACAAAAGCCATGTTTGGAGCTCGGCATTGCAATTAGGAGTGAATGAATTTGTTACATTATGATTGTCGTGGTGTTGTGTCTGATTGTGAATATGATGAGTCTGGCTGTGTTTTGCGGCCTCATTCCGCTCTGGGCTGTTGGTGATACACACTACAAAAGATCCTGGCCTCTTTGAGGTCAAGGAATGAAGATCGAAGGATTTCGATGGGTCAAGTCTGCCTTGGGCAGATGCGGGGAGTTGCAGACTGAGTTACATCTATGGTCCAGCAGTTTGACCTAAGGAGCCCAGAGCGATAGAAAGGTAAGTGAAGTGACGTTACTCGGAATAATGTACGATCTTGCTCCATTAAAACTTTGGAGTTATTTCAACCTTGGATATAAGCTTGTTTGCATGCTGGATGTCATTCCATGCGAATGCCAAGTTCCGATCGTCCCGAGCTGAAAACAGGGACTACGCTTACATGTTTGAGATCCCTGCTTGTGGGTTACAATAAAAGTCGAACACTCATGGGAAGCTTTAGGTTGAGATTTGGGGGAGACATGAAGAGAGACAGGAGTCTGCTTCTAGATATGAATAAATTTGAGATATTGATATGAAGATGAATGTAAGCTAATGATCAAATGTGTGTGTATAGACTTTTGTAAGAAGTTGTTGAATTTATGGGGGATATTGGTGGTTCTATAAGATCGTACTCTCGTTACACCAACTGGGAGAAAGACGAAGGTGAGGTATTAAGCAAAGAAATTCGGAGACTAGATAGATCTTACGAGCTTGGACTCACTGAGATCTGGTTACAATAATGGTTTTAGATGAGAATTCTTGATATACCGCATCAGTAATTGTAAATCGAACTCCCCACTGGTCAGTTCACCCCAGTAGAAGTGTGCGAGTTTTATTGTAACCCAACCCACCTTATCACGCGGAGGGGCAGTATTTAGGCAATCAAGGCCCCTCCTTTGGATACAAGACCTTGGCCTCGGTATTGATCTCCTTGTTACTGGTAGAGTTTTGCTATTGCTATGGCTTGGCTTAAGGATTTTGTTGTCAAGGCTGGGGAGGAGTATAAGAAACAAATACAGTTGCAGCAACAACAGCAGCAAAGGCACAGAGAGTCAGGGTATGGATATCAACAACAGGGAGGGTATCAAGGAGGTTCACCCTCGGCATGGCAGCAGAGTCAGTATGGACAGCCTCAAAGTCAACAGAATCAGCCCCAATCACCGCAATATGGACAGGCACCTCAATACGGACAACAACAGCCACAACCACATTCCCCTCCATGGCAAGCTCAACAGCAATATCCCCCTCCGCCATCACCCTATCGCCCTGTGAGTGCTCAGCCTGAACCAATACCCTCACAACCTCAGTCTAGGCCACAGCCAGCACCATTCAACCCAGAGGCCCAATACAACGCCGACTTTACCAACGCAAAAGCCGCACTTCAAGCCCACCAGGCCCAAGCTGAACAGGAAGCAGCCCAAGCGAGGGCCAATCTCGAAGCCCTCACGGCCCAGAGCGAGATCCAAATGGCCCAAGCCAGAGCCGAGATGCAAGCAGCCGCAGAGAAAGAACAAGCCAATCTAAGAGCCCAACTCCAAAGCCAAAGATCCCAATCTCAGGCTCACACCCAGCAGCTTGAGACGCAATGGCGCGAAGCAGAGAAACTTGCGGCGCAGTACAAAGCGGATTACGAGGCGCAGATGAGACAGGCTGAGGCAGATCTGGCCAGGATGCGGATTGAGGAGCAGAGCCAGGTGGATCAGATGGAGAAGTTGAGGGCTGAGGAGGCGAGGAATCATCAGCTTGCGGAAGAGGAGGTTGTGAAGGAGCAGCAGAGGCTGTTGGATGAGATTCAACGACAGAGAGAGCAGCAGCAGCAGCAGGGAATGGAGGAGCAGAGGCCGCCTTTACCACCTAGGATCAACACACAGAGAGAGGAAACTGCACCGCCTTTACCAACCAGACCTGTCTCTACAGTTAGCACCACAAATCCTGGATCACGACCGGTATCATACTATCCACCTCCTCCAGCTCAAAGGAACTCGTATCTTTCACCGCAGAGTCAAGCAGCTTCGAGTCCCTCACAGGGGTATATACCTCCGCCTCCCCCTGGACCTCCGCCTGCGCAAAGTACAAGTCCGAGTCATGGTCCTTCGGGAGGATATGTATCGCCTGCGCCAGTATCTCCTGGGCAACCGTCGCAGCAGATGCCTTATCATACTCCATCGGTCTCAAGTCCACAGACACAAAATTATTCTTCCCGAGACCAGATAAATGCACAACGTTCGACAGATACAACAGCTTCACCCCCAACAGCTCAATATCCCCCTCAAAGACAACCAGAGACTTCATACTATCCACCTCCCCCGGTTCAAAGCCCACCTCAACAACAACAACCTCCTTCTCCTGTCCCATCTCACACTCAACCATCAAAGCCACCTCGTGTCCGAACTCCTGGACCAACAGAGCAACATGCCTGCGGCGCAAAAGTAGGCCTCGAGTGCTCAGCAACCTTAACGGCCTTCCCTCAACACTGGTTCTATCACGCTGCTGTACCAGAGTTTGTCCTCTGCGCCCGGTGCTATGTGGAAAGCATATACGAAACCAACTTCCGTGGCTCATTTCGAAAAGTGTTTTACGACGACGGTGAAAGACGCAGGTGTCGCTTTGGAACGAGACGTGTCAAGGAGTCTTTACTCCCAGCAGCTATTGAGTCGGGCAGTCTTGACCAGCTTATCGAGTTCATGGAGAAGAGAATGACCATCAAAGACTGCAGAGAACAGAACTTAACAGAAGGAGAGATGTGGTACAGAGCGAATGACATTCCTCACGGGACAATCTGCGAAGCGTGCTTTGAAGACGGTATAATCATATCGTCATTTGCAAAGTACTATTCACTTCAACCAAGCCAAGGCGGCGCCTACTGCGACTTGAGTGTGTGGTTCCTGAAGCGCAAATTCATGGACTACGCCAAGGAGAACAGATGGGCCGAGTTCTGTCAAGAGTTCAACCAGCGCGCGCAACTACCGGAATGTCCAAAGATCAACACCGCCAGTGCCAACAGTCGCGCGTGGTACAAGCCCAACTATGGACCGGAAGGACTACAAGCGTGCGTAGCGTGTTACCACGATTACTTCTACGCTTCTGAGGATCAAGGTAAATGGCAGCAGGTCACCGGAGGAGACTTTGAGACGAGGTGTAGTCTTGGGCAGTTGAATCATGCTATTCCCATACAACAAGCTCTGGGTGATGAAGATAGGAGCCTTTTCTGGAATGCGGCGCGAGAGATGCACAAGTATCCCTTCTGTGATAAGGAGGGCACAAAGGGTAGTGTTTGGTACGTGCCTGTCAATGACGACCGGTGGGGAATATGTGCAGCGTGCTATGAGGGTATCGTCAAGCCAATTGGAGGATCACGATGGTTCGTCAAGGACACGAGTACCACGCCGGACGGGGTATACCTCTGCGGCTTCAACCTCGGCCATCCGCGAGCGCCCAAAGCCCTCGAGACATACGTCAACGCACGTAACTGGGGAGAAAGCAAGCTTCTTCTCGACTGGGCCGCACAATGGGGTCAAGTCGAGCCATGCCAGGGAATCAAGTTCCGCAAAAACAAGCCGTGGTGGGGATGGGGCCTGTGTGCCATATGCGAAGAATGCTACCTATCCTTCGCGAAGGGCACGGCACTTGAACCTCGATTTGCGCTCACAGGACCAGGGGGTCCTGATAAGTCACGCATGTGCGATCTCTTCTCGCGGCGCATGAGGGGGCTGTACACAGAAGCTTGCAGAACAGGAGATCTTGAGGGCTTCTTGACCCTCGCGGAGCAACGGCACACGGTGTACTCGCAGACTATAATGCAGTGCAACCAGATACTGAGCCAGCAGAGGTTAGCGGCGATGCGGTCGCAGTACCTGGGCATACAGGGGTCCTTCTACAAGAATCTGGGGCGGACGCATGATTTGACTATGGGACATAGCTACACGGTTGGGAACTCGTATGTTGGGTACGGGCACGCAAATGAATGGGTTGCGGAGGGATATGCGTATGATAGACAGTCGAGAGAGGCGGCGACTCAGGCTATGGGTGGAGGGCCGGTTATGAGAATTCGGATGCTGGAGGCGAGGTGGAAGGAGGTTGAGTAACCCCAAGATATATCTTCTTTCCATTGTCATCATATTTTAGACCAGTCTTCGTTCCCCAGCTTTTCTTCCCCAGCGTACACAAATACACGAGCAGAGCCCTTTTAAACGCCTAGAATACAAGTTCCCACACGTCTAAAGTCGACGTGCCCATCTTCAGTCCCATATACGACGCCGCTTTTCCCAGTATCAGATATTTCCCATCCCAGCTAAACGACGCCGCCGTGACAAACCCGCTCTGGAACTTGATAGTGTACAGCACCCGTCCGGAATACAAATCACTCACATCCACCCCGTCGTCCGTCCGGCAGCACAGGAAGCGGCAGTCGGCAGACACGGCGATGGGCCAGCCCTCGCGCGTCCGTCGGCCGCTGAGATTGTACGACTCCAGCGCTGCGGTCCCGTGGTTCCAATGGAACACCGTGTCGCCCCACAGCGAGACGATGACTTCGCCATCGGGCGACGTCCCCAGGAAGAGCGGCTTCTTCCAGGTATCCGTCTCGAGCTTGGCGATGGATGCTCGAGATACTACATCCGTGATGCGGATCGTGCCGTCGCGCGACTGTGTTATTAAAAAGTTGCTGTTGGGTGTGAAAACAGCGTGGGTAACTTCGTCGAGATGGCAGGGAATTACGACAGAGGCTTTGTTGATGTTGGGACTGCAGTCCATGAGTCCTACGCGACCGCGGGTACTTCCCACCGCGAGCCAATTGCCATCCTCCGAGAACGCCAGCGGTTTTGCGCCTGGCCACTTCACGGCGGGGACTTTACGACCGTTGATGTAGTCGCCCAGGTAGACAACCGGTTTCTTAAAGTTAATGCCATCGTGGTTCGCCGCATTGAGACCCTTCCCGTCCTCCTCGCTAAGATACGCCCACTGGCGACCGTTGCGCGAGAAGAGCATGTTCACGCCGTGTTGGTTCTGCAAGCACGAGACCTGGTTGGCGCTCGTGTCGTAGAAGCGCGTGGGGGACTCGAGGGTTGAGATGGCGATGGTGGGTGCGCCGTGGCGCGAGAGATAGGCCGTCTCGATGACTTCATGGTTAGAAAGCTCCTTCTTGGCGAGGTGGCGGAGGGAGATGCGCAGTGGGGTCTGTGAGGTTATGCCGATGGCGTTGTAGTCCGGGATGGGAGGTTCATTCGTCTCTGAGTGGGGAGAAGAGGCGATTGTTCTGGGATGTAAGTATACTGAGAGGTATGTAGGTATATGGAAGAACTTACTCGGCATTACCAATGCTGCTGTTGCTGTTGTTGTTGGTTCTGGTTTCTGTGTCATCGACTGGTGGAGGCGGAGGAACAGCAGAAGAGCTTTGTGAGACGAAATCTTGAGTAGCGTCGATGAACTCGGCGAGAACTGTTCGCTGGCTCTCAAAGCGGTGGTCTTCGCTGTCGGGCTCTTGAAGGAATTGCGAGCGTAGAGTTGAAGCTTCTTGGAGAATCTGAGAGCTGCTGTAGCCGGGAAGTTCTCTCTCGCCATCATGAGGCTGAGAATTGATCGCCCTGTTGCATGTTAGTAACGATGCTGTAAATGAGAAAACAGACTTACAATAACACGCAATCCAATCCCAGACTCATTGCGCTTCTCAAACCCTCGAGCAGCTTTGCGAACGGCGATAGTCTCTCCGCCGTATGCTCCAACCACGACGGCGTCCTCTCCTCCGCCGTCCTCCCCGTATCCAACGCATCATCCGCCTCCTCGAGCAATTCCCCCGCCTCGCTAACAACACCCTTCAGGGCCTCATCCAGCCTCCGTGGCAGAGCCGCACCGCCATCGTCAAGAGCGCTGGCGTTGTGGTGCAGCAGCCTCGCAACCATCTGCAGCTCCGCCAGCTCGCGCGACAGAGCGGCCAGGTCCAGGCGCGCCTGCGGGTAATACGTGACGAAGTTGCGCAGGCCATCGACGAGCCGCGCGGTGGAGGTCTGGAGGGCCGTGCAGAGGGCGGATATTGAAGACATTGCTGATTGAGGGTTCCCTTCTATGATGAAGAGATGTGGAGTGAGAGCTGGTGGTTTCACAAAGGTCGAATGGAGGTGCGGGATAATTCTGTGGAGACACTACGGAGGGCCAGGGACTTTGACGCGTGTATTTCTGTCTTTTCTTTTGTGTTTAATGGTTTATAACGGGAGTGTTTAAGATGGGTTTCATAATTGCCGTGAGGTCAATTGTGGTGACTTTGAGATTGAATCGCACATGGCATGATGTGAGATGGTCTTGAGTAACCTAGAGGCCGATCTGGGCTAAGGAAGATCCGGGGCCGGTTAGTTTGACGGACGGGGTATTTGACAAAGCACCATCACTACCAACTGCTATAGAATTAGTCTACAATTAAGTTGATCGGTAGCGTATTCATTGCTACGCGACATGAATACTCATAAAAGGTGATATTGTCTTGAATGATGTATTTTCTCGACACCTCGGTCCATCTCGGAGGTCGTTGAGCACTACGTATTGCCAAGGACGCGGGGTTGAATCTTGGGGTCCCCGACAAACGGACTCACGGACCGAACCACGGGGACTCAACTGACGACAGCGACTGAGACTGACTAGTATTTAATGATACAGTAGCATCGAGAGATGTGAGACAATTCAATTACAAGAAATAAAACACTCGCAGGAGACTATTCAAGTGGAGACATCAGCATCAGCAATCAACATCATCTTGAGGCCCTCGACGCTTTCTATGTAGTTCTTGTTTATTCTTGGTCTAGGGTGAGCCAAGCCCGCCGATCAATCCCCTTCGGAAAAGCATCCAGCGCATCCAACGGGAGGACTAATGCTTGCTTTTTTCTTTTCTTTCCGGAGAAGCTAGCCAGGGAGAAGTGCCACATGGCATCGTCTGCTTCAATCCGAGATGTTGTTGCCATTTTGGTGCGATTGCGTTGGACAATCAGCCCATTAGCTTCTGAAGGACGAGGTATTATTGAGGATGAGCACTTGTGAGCATCACGCCTTTTGTCTCATTTTGGTCATTGTGTTTTCTGTCTTACTCAGGGTCTAGATTTTAGGTGTTGGGCAGTAAGAGCTGAATAATGCATAGCAAGAGACTGTTTTGCCACAACGCGTGTGTGGTCGTGACGAATAGAGTTAATTGTTAGTATTTAAGCACAAGCTATTCGTTGACACAGAGTCGAGACCTGGAGAAGTGTGACAAGACCAGCTGAAAGAGAGGAAAAATACACTCCAGCCACAATTGACCTTGTTGGCAGACTGTGGCTCAGCATTAGGCCTGACCCTCACTTTGGTTTGGTGATGCTCTCACCAAGAAGAAGGGAATATCCTGGCAGAAGCCTGCAAGCTAGAGATCGACATCACCATCACATCGCACCAGTTCGGAACGCACCCCCCCTCTCCCTGATTTTCCCGCCATCTTTTTTATCTTGTTCCATTTCTCGTCTTCCTTTCCAGGTTCTCCTGATTCCAGACGTCAGGTCGCCCTGTCCTGGTTTGATAGGGTGCCAGATGAACCACATGTGCGATGCGAATTGGAGGTTTGGCTGGAAGCGCTGACCCCTTTGCGGGCCTCGAAGGGGGGGGGGGGGGGGAGGGGTGGCTAAGAGAAGAGACAGAGAGAGGGAAAAAGCAGGGATATGCCCTTGTTTGGGTTCTATGTTTTCACCATGCACAGGCGCCTGACGAGGGAAGTGGACTATTCCAAGAACCAATCGGCAGAGACTCCAGCTTGTGAGACGATATGGGTTGCCAACCGCTTGCAGGTGTGAGGGACTGTAATCTTGATGGTTTGTTGGAGATTCAGGTTGAAGATGAGATATGGACAAGATAGGACGAGAGACGAGGAGAACGCTGCAAAAAGTGATGCCATCGTGAGAGAAGGGAACTGATGGTCCGTAAGTACGGTCAGGCCCATCCATCTACACCATCTCCATTTCTCATCTCCATCTGCAAACTGCAGACTGCAATGCGATGCGATGCGGGATCCAACTGTAACACGACCATCATCATCATCGTGCAGCTTGTCACATTTCCTGGGTCTTTTCGCTTACAGCTACTGTGCCTGAGAATCACAGTCACTATCGACCATCCGTTGCATTTAACAGCCCAACCCATCCCATCCCCGTTACCCTTTGCCGCCTTGGGACGGTACAAGTCTGAAGCTGGATTGAAAGGGTTGGATGATATCGAATGCACGTCTGCATATCCAACTGCCCACGGGGAATTACGATTCGATCTGTGTATTACCTGATCCTTTATCTTACCTTTATTATTAGGCTCCCTTTGTCTCCATTTCCACTCCTCTTCACCTTTTTCGTTCTTGTTCCTCTTCACCTCTTGTGTCCAACTCTAGGATTCCCCTGCCCCGTCTCGCTTGGTGCTTGGTGCATCTCCTCATACTCCCGGTTTTTCCTCACCGACAAATCCACCGCCTCCAGCTTACCTCATTCGATCCAGTTCCCAATTGCCCCTCCACTCTCAAGCAGAAGAGTCCCTATTTTTCTCTCCCTCTCTCATCCTTGTGGAACCGTTTGCTCTGTTCCCCGCCGCCAACAAGGTCTCCATTTTCTGAGCCACAGACATCTTAGCCCCGGAGGCCGCTGTAATATAGCGTCCAGGTTGCCTCTTCAGCGCATTAAAAGTACAAGGAAGCCTGACCGACAACCCGACCTCTTCTTTTTTACTCCCCTGTCCCCCGCCCACTTTGATCAACAGACCTTCTATTCTTCTGAAGTTCTTTGCCCTCACCTCAAACTCTTTGCCCCCACTGCGGATCAGCCTCAGCTCATCCCACCGACCGCGGGACCGGGACAAGACCCAAGATCCATCGTGAATCATTTATTTTTTGGTGCTCCCCTTTTGACTATTGTTAAGGGGATCCTAGTCTTTGGCATTGATCGGATCTTGAAAGACAGGGCCAGGCTTGCACCTGATCATCACCAAGCCGTTGCGGTCTGCATCTGCCAGCGCATTTACGACAAGACAAATACCTCCCTTATCTTGTCCGTCCTGTCCTGTCTTGCCAGTCTCATCACAACTCAAGACATACACAGACATTCCGACAGACAGACAGAGAGAGCTGGACTCCTCCTTGGATATTCGCATATAAACCCATCCCCGCCCTAGCTCTTCTCTCAGTCGTTGTCGCGACTTCGACATAAATTGACCTACACCGCTGCCCATCATGGCGCTCGAACAGACAATCACCATTGTCAACAACTCCGGCAAAATCATCTCGACCGTTTGTATTCCCCATGCGCAATATCGCTTTGCAATTTCACTAACACCCTCCAGGGCAAGCAGCTCTTTTCCATCTTCAAGGAAGCCCAGGGCACCTACAAGGAGAAGAAGGCCCAGATAAAACACGACCAGAACCTCCAGCGCTCCCAATCTTTCGATGCCCGAGCACTACCTCCTCAGCCCGAATATCACGACGATGAGCGCTCTCGCTATTACCCCCCTCGCACCATCGACCAGCGCAGCGAAGCCGGCTCACAACGCAGTCGTCGATCGCGAAGCGTTCAATCGCGACAGGATTTCGACGTCCGCAGCCGCAAAGCCCTGACTCTTGACAACCTTGAGCGACATACCGAGATCTCTGCTACCGCCCCCAGCAAGGCGCCTACCCTCGTCTACAAGAACCCCTACACCGAGACCATGGCTATGGCCCAGCCGCGCACCATGCCACCCTCTGTCTATGGTGACGGCCAGATGGTCCCCCGAAACCGATCGACCGGAGAACTGGTGCAGATGAAGCCTCGCAAGCAAATCGACATGGACCTCGCCTACGGCAGCATGCCTCCCGATCTCAAGGATCGCACTGATCTGGACCCGCAGTACGTTGACGAGAAGCAAGCTATGGGTCTCGTTCACCGTGTTGAGGGTCTCCTCACCGAAGCTCATTGTCTCCACCACTCGGCCACGCACACAATGTCCGAGCTTCAAAAGAACCCAGACCACGCAGCGGCCGTTGCACTCTCGCTTGCTGAGCTGTCCAAGATTGTCAAGAAATCATCACCCGCCCTGCTGGGTCTCCTCAAGTCTGGATCACCTGCAGTTTTTGGCCTGCTGTCATCCCCGCAATTCCTGATCGGCACTAGTATCGCTGCTGGTGTCACGGTTATCTGCTTCGGAGGATGGAAGATCTTCCAGAAAATGAAGGAGGAGAAGGCAGCACGCGAGGCGTTGGCCTATGAAGGCGTCCCTATGAACCGACCTGCGCCTATGCGAACTCAGAGCGAGTACACTGTCGAGTATGGCCCAGTTTATGACGAGGCTCTCATTCTTGACGATGACTTGAGTTCGATTGAGACCTGGATGAGAGGAATCCCAGCTGGAGATGCTGAAAGTGTTGATATGGAGCTTATTACACCCACCGCCCTTGACACAAAGAGCCGCTACGGAGACGACGATACCAAGTCGATGCGAAGCACAAGAACAAGCAAGACCGCCAAGACCAGCAAGACACATGAGAGCCACCGAAGTTCCAAGAGCCACAGGACCGACGACAGCCATCGCAGCCACCGCAGTTCCAGAAGTCGTCGTGATGATGACACGAAAAGCCGACGCGACTCTGACTACGCTGAAAGCATCGCCGACAGCGAGCGAAGTCACCGCTCATCCAGAAGCAAGCGTTCCGAGAAGATCGAGACAAGGTCTATCGATAGCCGAAGCAGCCGGCGAGACGATGACTCACAAGTCACCATGCGACCCAAGCCCAACCGCAACAACAGCAACATGCTCAAGGCCCTGTTCAAGAACAAGGAGAAGAAAGAGCGGTCACTCGTTATGGCTTAGACATCTCATAGAGGTTTCTAGATTTCCTCATTTGGTTTATCTCTTTTTTTCCTGCATACTGCTCTGGCGCAATTTAAGACCGGTGGATGGACTGCATCTGCGGTAGACGAGACAAAGATTCTTTTTTGGATATTCTTTTACAGATCATGGATGGGCGAAGAAGAGGCCCTTCCCACCAGCGATTATTCCCCTTCGTTTACTTTTTTTTCTTTATACTCTGAGTTTTTCCCTCGGTATTGTTTATGGTCTATGATACTATGAAGATTGCTCTTGCACACGCTTGAGTAGGTGGTTGGAAATTTATTGCATGACGCACGGAAGACAGATGACGGAGCTGTTTGCATTTTTGGGACCAATTCTTATTTTTTTTGACAGGGTTTATCTACATGAAATACATGGCGGGCTAAAATGTTGCCTTTTTTGGATTGTCAAATTTGATGCTCTCTCCATCGTGAAGTTTGGTCTAAGCTTGGGGGTTCCTTTGCTATGGACGTGTGGGTTGATAGGTTGCTGCGTTTGTCAGGCACCATTGATGCGGCGGTGAGAAGGTTTTGTGCGCAAATACCAAATAGGTGTCCGGGCTGAGCACCATGCTTGGATTGGGGAAGGAAGATGCTTGGTCAAGGAAGATGCTTGGTCTTGAATACAACGTTTGGTTTGGGTTAAGAATGTCGCCGTGTGGATTATTTGCGATGTTGGGATGATATCTGGCTTGTCTCCAGGTCAGATGAGCCATCTTTGGGGACGATGCGGCGTGGCTTGCCTTGGGCATTGCTCTGACATTCAAAACATCGAGCAACATATGTGTTTGGATCAGGCAGCAAGTGTGGATTGCCTTGTCTTTGGTGTTTTCTCGATTGATCTGAAGATTGCGGTGGTATTGCTGGAATGTTGGTGCATGGCTTGCAGTTGTCTTTGTCTCTGCCTCGCTTACACTTACTGGATGTGGTGCTCTTCCGTAAGGTTTGCAGATTGTTGAAGTTGGCATCCGAGCTGGGAGATGTTGATTGGAAAGATTGGTGCTTTGGACTGGGAATGATATCAAGGGGAGTGCTGCCTCGTCTGCTGGGTGATGGTGAAGGGACAGAGGATAGAATGGGTATAAATACCGTCTTCCCTGCCACTCTTCTTTCCGTTCCATCTGCATCTTCATCAACCTTTATACTATATATATACAAGATGGGACAACGAACCATTATCGGCAGCGCTGGATCCCGACAGAGCCAGGCCTAGATCATGAACTCTGAAACCATCGGGTCGACAAGCACTGATCGATCCAACTGCTCGACCGTAGGTTTTTGAGACGAGACTTTGTGGGATGAACTTGACTGACGGGTGTAGTTTTGAGAGATGCGATATCGAAGACCCTCTCGACTGACTGTGTCGCGATCGTGTCTGCAGGTTATTGCTCTCAACAAAACCCGAGAGACGGAAACACCATCTCCCACTGGCCTCACTCTTCTACCATCAAAAGACCATTGGGAGGTCTTTATACACCCGACAGTTCGACTCAAGGCAACGAGTAACACGAAAGTAGGTCTACTCACATATTTGGTATTCACAGAGTTACTAACGAGGATAGACATCACGAACATCATCGGCAGGGTTGGAGTGAGCGACTGGATAGACTCACTCTACATAAAGAGACAGCAGTTATTGTTCACGGGATATTATATAATCAAGCTCGCCATCCTCACAGAACTTCCAAGCGACACCCACCTTCATGCTCTGGGTTCTATGCCCTCTTCTGACGATGGCTTCGCATTGCAGTGGCGTTGCACAAGCAGGTTGCTACACCGCAACCCGTGTCACCGGTTTCAGTACAATTTGTTGTCGTCAAGACTTACCTCCGCCAATATACTGGGTGACAGGTACTACACTATGATCATGTCGTAAGTCTCCTAGCCTCAAAACGCATCCTCCCAAAACATCCTATCCCTATCGACATTCATCATTATGGGCTCAGCTGACAATTGTTAGTGACGTTGTCTCTGTCGTCACAATGGCCTGCGAAAGGAAGTCTCCCTGGTAGACAATGGAGCCTGTACTACACGAAGAACAGATGGCTCTTACATCTTGCCGTCAGATTGCCACCGAGTGATTTGCAACAGAGTCCTATTGCTCCGGCTTTGAGATGGTCAAAGATGGGACTCAACACTCTCAAGAGCAGTCTATTGAACAGAACAAGTCAAGATTCGCACTCACGCTGGTAACAGCAAATGGCCCAGACTACTATCTGCCACTTCTGTACGACAGCCTTGGCGCCAGATTCCTCCCCTGACCCCTTTATTCGTACGGTTCGAGTTACGATTGATGCGGATTAAACGTCCATGACAGACCGTACATCGGTCTTAAAGGATATAGCAAGGGTTCCCGCTCCTTGGGGGGAAAATGGGCCGGGGTTTTACATGACAGGAACACAGGGAGCGTCAAGTTCAGAATCTGGCAACAACTGGGTTTTCGCAGCTTTGAATGTCACTGCCTACGCAGAATTCCTCGAACTACCAGATCTAGCGAAGCAAGCCAATATATACATCGACGAAGCTCTTCCTATGTTTCGATATGTTCTTGAAGAGAACGATCCTTTGGGTATGCAGAAGTGCACCCTGGCCCATTTGCAGAGAACTGCATGATGGTCTTTCTTTCCTGCTGCACCAAGAATTGTCCAACTCGCAGATCTGGAAACCAGCGGTCTGCAGATGCCAGTTCGCTCTGAATTTTAAATAATGAGCCAATTTCGTCAAGGACGCTACCTCGTCAATGCCACAATGTTGAGTGATCGCCTCAAAGACGGCAGATGAACCACCCGATGGTCCAGACCCAACATCGTTTTCATTAGCCAACCAAGCTACAGAAAAGAGGTATAGTGACTGTACTGGAGATGGTCTTATATCTGTCTGCACCGACTCCTCCTTTCCCATCGGATGATACCCATATTATAAGCAGCACTTATCTTGGCTATACTATACGCTCCATGCAGCTGCGGCAGTATATCCAGACACAGAGAGACCCAACTGAACAAGTTGACGGATCCTTGGCAAAGTTGTATATGATGAAGAAGTCCCCACAAGTTGAGCAGAGAGGAAATCCTTGATGCTATGCACAGGGTCTGGTGTCTATCTACGTTCTGGCAAGAAAATTTGTACTATATGAATTGTACTGCGAAATCGAACTTTACCACCTCTCTTACATTTGCAGCGGACTCGGACTGCACCACAGGGGCTGAGCTGTTTATTCCACCGCACCAAAAGTTGGACCCTCTGTATCCGTCCAATATTGTTTGCCGCAATTACATCTCGACAAATTTTGGGAGACGTTGTATAGCAGCGAGAGCCTGGAGTATATATGCTTTGCTCGTGGAACACCATTATCACCACATGATTGGGCCCTCTTATATAAAGCACATCCAGTTCGACCATGGAATCTGAGCACTTCGAACTGGCATTGCGGTCTGCGACCATAACCCAGGCCCAAAAGACCTCACCCAAGTGCGCTCCAACGTGGATGATGCACTAGAGAACGTTGACTAGAGCGACTATGCCCCTAATGAGACTGATGGTATCATGGATGTGATAGCGGATCGAGTATGCCTTCCTGAGTACATCTTGGGCCAAGCCTCGACCAGACTAGCTTCCAGACTTCAGAATGTTACATGGAAGGTATTCCACCAAGCTTGCACGAGCAGTTCGAGTATTGAATAGTTCGCGTTTGTATATCCACATGGCTTGGTGCAACGACCAACCCAAAACGCGGGCTACTGAACGTCTCAAGGGCTGCCTTCTATCAATCGACGAAGCAGATTACCAAAGGAGGGTTGTGGAGGAGCCAGAGAAGGCCTCTCAAAAGAGAGATTAGGGAAAGTCTTGTAGTCGTTCATGTGTACTCTGTCAAACCGACGGGAACAAGAGATGAGACTGCTTTGGCGACATATACACCTGGAAGACAGCAGTCGAGTAGCCGATGATGTCGCGATAGCGAGATCGAGGCGGAAAGTGAAGGGGTGATGCAATTTGGAAGAAGCAAGCCATGAGTTTCACCAACATGATCATATACCATGCCGAGTTTTCCCAGTTCTAGGTATCCTGCAAAAATCAAGAATGATCCTACCAGTCATGGATCTAGAGATATCTCTCGATCTAGGAGATATTCAAGGGATTGAGCCTGAACCAGTTGGGATGAGATTGAAGTGGGTTATTTACCACCACTTGAAGTATCTGAGTGACCAGACACTTCGCCAAGTTACTCCTCCTGGAACAAGAACACTATATAACATGCGATTGATCAGGTAACTGTGTCATCTGGATCTTTCTCAATCCCTGACATTGATTCATCACGATGAGAAACTAGGAACAGCAAGCAGATTGTCTACCAACACAGAAGGCAGATCTCAAGGCCGAGTACAGACTTGGCTGCCGTGAGGAGCCGATACACAGCTCAACAAGAAGCTCGCCGTTTCGTGAACCACGCTTCCCAATCGCGAATTTTAACCTCAACGCGAGAGGCTATTTGTGTGATGCCATTCTGCGTTTATATAGAGCCACGCCCCATGCCCAAAATCATGGCTTGCTACACCGCCGGCCCGTTCCACAATTGAATGGGCTTAGGACCTCATCCTCAGTCTACTTTTCGGTAGGACGCTGGCGTCGCTGATAACCGCCGTGCCCAGCGGGCCGAACACTAGAGACTTGCTTGGCCACCTCGTTTGCTTCAATGCCAGAGGCTACAAATGCGCCGGACCGGGCCTTGAAACGACGCATTTCATTGTTGAGGGCTGCCCCAAGACACAAACAAACACTTCTGAAAACCCGCATGTGGACACCCGGAAGCAGTTTGACATCGGCGTGGCTGTCCTAGAGAGAGCGCCAATATAGCTTCGCCGAGATTCTTCTCACCAAGTCAAGAAGTGACGCGATAGGAGCTCGATATTGCGCCCACTGACAAGAACCACGAACACATTTCCAGGGGAAGGCTTCTTAAACAAACCCTCTGCTCGTACTTGA